AACGTAGTTGATCGACAGTATTAGTACCAATAAGAGAATTAGAAGACTCGAAGAATTAGTGGTTCGGTCCCAGGAGCGAGCCGCTCCCGAACCACCCACGGAACCATAAGGGATACTAATCGAATCAACCAGCGATAATAACCAGATTCGACGACCTCGCCCTCGTCTCCCCGACCCCGCGATATATATAGGAAACATCTCTGATTGGCCAACCTGGAGAATCTCGATAGAGAACAAATTGCTAGTAGACGGAGCTGCCATTGGTACCCCATAGGAGCAATTCCTTTATATATTTTCCCGCCTAGAGAAAATGGCCGCCAAGAACACCGGAACGTTTATGAAGACACAACGAAGCGAAGGCAACCTATATATGCTTCTAGAATATCTTAAGAGGATGTATAGGGACCCTAACGCTCGGTCACGAGCAGCTCGGCGTCTATATCAGCTTAAACAGAAGCCCGACCAGCCTTTTTCACGATTCCTTCCCTAGTTAGAAAGAGAGCTCGCAGATGCTGGTACAACCGAATAGCACGACGAAGCAAAACGATAACTCTTACTAAATGCTCTTAATAAAGATATAACGAATTCGCTTATAAATCATGGTATTCCCTATGATTTTATAGGTCTTATTATACGGCTCCACGAAATCGACACTAATAGTAAGACACTAAATATTATATTAGGCAGACGCTAGTTATCTACTCGCTAGCGAATCTAAAGAGATTAATCAACCATAGCTATAGAGGATAGGATGGACTAGACTCCAATAATAAACACAAACACTATATAGACGAATTCGTCCCAATTCGTGAACAAAAAGGGATAGGTTTATAAAGAGGATTAACATCTTATAGGAAAACGTGTAAAATAGGTCGAGAAAGAAGAACTCCAACATCGCCGTATAGAAAAGAGATGTCTACGATATGGTCGAGACAACTATTAGTAAAGCGTATGCCCTTTACTACCCGCACGGAATCCGAACCAAGTGGTGGTACGGAATATAGTAGTCGAAGAACCAAGATCGAGCCACCCCCGAAGAAGGGAGTATTCGCCAGCGATTAAAGAAGAGGAAGCGGAGAATGATTCGGGAAAAGATTAGCTCCTGCACTAAACCACGAGTAGGAGTAGAAGGGGGGTTAAGAAGCTGCTAAAGAAAGAGGCGTTATTCTATATCGATGCTAGAGTTAATAGAATTTAATTCGCGAAGACTTTAGTAGATAACAGAAGCAATAGCTATATATCTATCAGCGGACACCTAGCGCAATCTCTTAACCTTCCGCGTATCCCGATTCTACCGCGAATCCTGAACAGAGTCATCAAGAATCAAGGACAGATCACTCAGGCCATATACTTCGATCTTGATGTTAATGGACTACAACAGCAGAAAGTCTTTGCCTACATCATTCTAAGATAGTTAGACAAAATGATACTTAGGACGCCTTAGTTAAAAGATGTTGACGGAGTTTACACTACGAAACAAGGGTATTTAGATATCTATTCGAGAAATGGAGAGCGTATTCGTTGTTGGAACCATATCGACCCATCAATCGGTCTAATAAAAGTAAAGAGATTAAAAGTACAGCAATCATCTACGGGAGAAATTAAAGAACTATTCGATAGCGTTTCGTCGCCGGACTACCTCCGAATAGCTAAAATGACTATAGACGATATCGATAAGGCGCTGCAACCTAAGAAATTCACCGATCCGAGAGCTAAACTTCCCCCACAATATCTCCCTTAGTTAGATGTTTTTAGCTAGGAGAAAGCAGACAAGCTTCCGAGCCATCGCCTAGGGATCGATCATAAGATACCCTTAACACGCGATAGAAATAGTAACGAATCGACACCACCTTATAGGCTATTATATAGAATAAATAGAGAAGAGCTATTAGTTCTACGAAAAACTCTTACCGATCTACTAGGAAAAGGATTTATATAAGTCAGTAAATCGCCAGCAGCTTCACCAGTATTATTAGTACGAAAACCTGGTGGAGGCATCCGATTCTATATCGATTATAGAGGGTTAAACTCTATAACTATCAAGGACTATTACCCCCTACCTCTGATTCAAGAAACACTACAAAACATATCGAAGGCTCGCTGGTTTACTAAACTCGATATTATAGCGGCTTTCTATAAGATCAGAATATAGGAAGGCGAAGAATAGAAGACAGCGTTTCGAACATAATACGGGCTCTATAAGTGGCTAGTTACACCTTTTAGCCTGACTAGCGCTCCCGCAACCTTCTAACAGTATATCAATAAAGTTCTACGCGAATTTCTCGACGAGTTTGTGTTAGTATATATAGACGATATCATTATTTACTCCGACGGATCGATCACGGATCATAGACGAAAAGTACGCGAGGTGCTCTAAAAGCTAAGAGATGCTGGACTTTAATGCGATATCGAGAAATCTGAATTTAAACAGAGCTCTATGAAATACCTAGGGTTTATTATACAAGCTAGAGAAGGTCTATATATAGACCCAAAGAAAGTTGAAGCCATTAAGCTATAGGAAGCACCTACTAATATCCGAGAAGTACGTGGTTTTATTGGATTCGCTAACTTCTACCGGACGTTTATACCACGATTTATAGACGTCTCTACACCATTAGTATAGTTGATAAAGAAAGATACGATATTTAAATAGGACAAGGAGAAACAAGAATCATTCGAGACCCTAAAGGACCTCTTTATCTCTGCACCAATATTGGCTTATTTCCGAGAAGACACCGAAACAATAGTGGAAACAGACGCATCTAGATAGGCGATAGGAGCAGTCTTATCCTAAAGACAAGAAGATAGGACGCTAAGACCATACGCCTATCTCTCGCGTAAGTTCTCACCTACAGAGACCAATTATATGATATATGACAAGGAATTACTCGCTATCATCCATGCGCTATAGGAATAGAAGCTAGAGCTGAAGATGGTCCCACGATTTATGGTCTTAACGGACCATAAAAATCTACGATATTTTCATAAGGCGCAGGATCTAAGCGAACGATAAATAAGATGGGCAGACATCCTGGCCGAATTCGACTTTAAGCTACGATATCGACCCAGGAAACAGGCGATCCAACCAGATACTCTATCCCGGCGAGGACAAGACGAACCTAAAGGAATCTCTGATAAGAGGCTCACGAATCGTTTCCGGAAACTCTTCGAATCAGTAACGATCTATAACAATAGCACTAAACTAAGTCTACCTTTAGACTTTGATATACTAGTAGCGATGTTTAAAGAAGCAGAAACGCAGGAAGCATAGAATAACGCGCAGAAGGAAGATCAAATATACTAGTAGTTCGTACTTATACTTAAAAAGGGAGACCAACGAATCCCTACCGAATCGAACCTGAAAATAAGCCTATCCAAGTATGACTTAGATAAACAAAATCTTCTACGCTTTAGGAAAAGGATATAGATTCCAGACAACGAACTACTATACACAACCTTGATCTAGAAGGTCCACAATTCCTACATAACTAGATATCTAGGACGGGACGCAACCTATATGATACTAGCCTATAGATTCTTTTAGCTAGGAATGACGAACGATATATAGAGATTCTTAAGGAATTACACCATTTACAGACGAAACACGATTTAGAGAGATTCGAAGCAAGGCCTACTTAAACCATTACTAATTCTATAACAAATCTAGGCCGAACTATCCATAGATTTCATCACAGAACTTCCACCCACTAGGAAAGAAAGAGCGACAAATTATCTAGTAATTACTGATCGGCTATCTAAAGGAGTGATCCTAATAGATATATATAGTATTACTACGGAAAGCGTCGTAGATGTCTTTATAAAGCATATTTATATACATCATGGTTTACCGATAGCGATCACTAGTGACCGCGGCCTATAGTTCATAGGGGGGTTCTAGCGAATCGTGTGCGAAAAGCTAAAGATTCGACGCCGATTATCTACCACATTCCACCCCCAAACTAATAGAGCTATAGAATGCGTAAATCAAGAAGTCGAACGAATTCTACGCGCCTTTACTATATACACATAGGACGACTAGGCAAGTTTACTACCTATCGTAGCCATGGCGATCAATAACCAAGACGCAACCTCTACTAGACTATCTCCATTCTTCTTCACACACGGATACCATGTCGATCTAGTCGAAGTGATAGAAGTCCAAGCAGAGAGAGGACCAGAGATCGTAGCGGAAACATTCACGAACCGGCTACAAGACGCCACCGATTAGGTAAATACAGCGATAGCTATCGCCTAAGAACACTAATAGGAATAAGCGAATCGTTCAAGACGAGCCGCTCTAGTCTATAATATCAACGATAAAGTATGGCTAAACCTACAGAATATACGCACGATACGGCCTTCAAAGAAACTAGACTGGCTTCACGCCAAATACACAGTTCTAGAAGTACCATCCTCTTATATAGTAAAGCTGGATGTGCTAAGCGGCATACATCCTGTCTTCCATATTAAGTTAATAAGACCCGCGGCAACGGACCCGTTACCGTCACAAATCATGGACGATTCGCAACCACCTCCGCTGTTAGTCGAAGGAGATCTGGAATACGAAATTGAAGAGATCCTACAAGCAAGGACACAAAAAATTAGACGTGGATCGCGGAGGGAAGCATTAGTGAAATGGCGAGGATACGCAGAACTGACATAGGAACCTATCGACGCAATGGAAAACTGCACAGCTCTCGACACCTTTGAACTACAATACGGACCAATTACGACTTCGAATGGACCCCGGAAAACAGGAGAATAGGAGGGGGGTATTATAACAGGTTGAATCCTGGTGAACTATCACATGGTTGTACCACGTGACCCACCAACCACATACCTCACGATTCCACCCCGAATTGTTCACGTTCTTCAAGGATTTTGTAAATAGCATGTGCCTAGCTAGTTCTGAATTCAAGATTAGCTTTAGCCCTTCACACCAATCAGTCTATAAGAAGTACTTTGATAAAATGGATACATCTGATATCTATCTTATTACTATGGTACTAGACCCTCGCATCAAGACACACCTTTTAGAGGCTTACTTTGATGACGTAAGCCATGTCGCTTCTCTAGTAGAGGGAATCACGAAGAAACTTGAGATCATGTGCCCATGTCTTCCTGATACTCAGAATTCAACTTTTCAAGAAGGTTATCTTCAACAGAATGGAAAGCGTCGCTATCAACTTGAAGATGATGATTTCCTCAAACTTGGGAGGAAGCGGCAGCGAGTATCAACTTCTGAGATTACAAGGTGGTTTAAGACAGAACCAATTGATGGTCCTGAGCCCTTAGAGCTAGGTTATGAGGATTGGCTTCTCAATTGGTGGCGAGAACATGCAGATGAGTACCCCCGATTAGCTATTGCGGCTCAGGCTTTTCTTGGTATCCCTTTTTCTGAAGTTGCAGTTGAAAGGCTATTTAGTAAAGGGAGGGATATGATTGGAATCCGACGGTACCAGCTGAATGGTCAGTCTCTTCGAGTACTCATGAGTCTAAAAGATACCTTTACCAAAGAAAGAAACAGCGAGGGGGAGATGGAAGAAATGGGAAAAGAGGAGATAGAGCCAGAGGAGGGGGAATTATAGTCTTCGTTTAATGTTTTCTATTAATCTATATTACTTCAAAGCTCTCTTTCATAGACCCTCTGTCACGGTGCTAGCCGGATCGACCTACACTGCCTTTACCGTATGTTGACTAGGACCGAAATGGCAGATATGGCAGATATTTATCTGCCATGCTAAAAATGGCAGATAAAATGGCAGATATTAGTCATCTCCGCATCTGCCGCTGCTAGCAAAAATGGCAGATAAAATGGCAGATATTAGTCATCTCTGCCATCTGCATCTGCCATCCAAAAAATGGCAGATAAATGGCAGATAACATCCCTAAAGACAAGGGCCGAAACTGGAATCTAAACAAACATAGATAGCGATTTTGTGATGAGTCTGATCGCCTGCCAGAACCGTGCAGCTTGGTGTATTGTTGGTACAATGGGAGTTGAGGTATCCGTTCTGATTGGACGGATACTCTCACTCTTAATTGGACCGACCAGCCCCAAGTGGGGCAGAGGAGTCTCTTTTAGTTCAGGAATAGATAGACTGGAATAAGACACACTTTACAACTCCAGCAACACGTGCGTACAAGCATACCTACTGTGTTCAACGAGCGAGTGTCACTCCCGACATGTATATTGAACCGTCTTTCTTCTAAGCGGCGACCCACTGAAAATTGCGCCAGTTTTATGCACTGGCTATTATGTACCTTAAACAGGATCGAGATCAGAATCAAGCTACTATAATTGGAGTGATCAAACCACCTGTCCAAATGGTCTTAATTCACCAGATATCTCTTCTCAATAAGGAAGACGCAATGACCGAGACAAAAATTACTAATCCCGAATTTGTGGCACCACTGGCGCAGCTCTTTGCCTATAGTCTGAGATCTCCGATTCTTCGCACTCCTGATGAAGAAAGCCTGGAGTACGAAGATATATCGTTTTCTTCTCTCGACGGTATCGTCCTTGAGGGGTGGTTCATCCCCGCCAGGGGGTCCAACAAACTCATCATCGCCAACCATCCGATGCCAGGCAATCGATACGGCTACCCAGGCCACCTGCCCGAGTTTGCACAGTTTGGCGGCTTCGAGTGTAACTTCCTCAAAGACTACAAAGCGCTGCACGACGCAGGATACAATTTCCTCTGGGTATCGGGCAGCTGGAATGTTGCGATGTGGTCGGTTCTATTTTGTACGCCTAGTCCCGGCCAGACACGTCGTATATGGAGCTGGGTTTACTCAGCCGCTGTCTTGGGGCCAACGCCTCCATCATCGCCATGGCGCACTATCCCGCGCATTTCACTGATATCCGTGCAATGATTGCGCTCCAACCAGTCTCGGCTCGTGCATTCATCGAGACGGGGGCGAAAGCGGCTGGCCTGGATTCTCGGACTGTGGCTGTAGAGTTTGACAACACCATCCATAGGCTCACGGGGTTTCATCTGGATGAGCTGAGCCCGACCCCTTACGCGGAACGGGTCCAGACCCCGACATTGGTTGTTCAAGTGCGCGAGGATTCCATGACTCATCCAAGTGACGTGCAAGAGATCTATGACCGAATTAGTACGGATAAAAAGGAGTTGTTCTGGATCGAGGGGACGACCAGAAGATTCGATGGATATAATTTCTTCGGTGAGCAGCCAAAAAGAATGATTGACTGGTTTGGGAGGTTCTTCATTTCAAATTAGTGATCAAGGAACACGATATGCATGCACAACTAAAAAGTTCATCATTGGCCTGCTAGCAAGCCACAATTCTTCCATATTGAAATTGTCTACTTGGCCGCTTTTTTCTCTTTTCTCCGACTCTTAGCTCTAGCTTAAAATTCAGTGGCAGTCATCAATGATTCTTTCTAAAAAAAGATAGATCTTTGAATACCCATCAATTCCTCCTTTCCTCAAATCTGATGGATCTTGATTATCCCTGCAGCGGAATACAAATGGGGCATAAAGCTCCTGGAGAATTGGCCATCGCTCAAATTCTCCGGTCAAGACTGCATATGCATTACCAATGTATTCAATTATTAAGAGAGTGATTACATGTCAGATCGTCTGAAAATTTTCACAATAACTACAAGGATAATCCCTCTTCAGCTTGCATAATATGACTATTGGAGCAAACGGGCTGAACGCTGGTGCCCTAACACCTGCCGATGATTAGAAGCTTATTAAACTACTCTTTGGAGCAAAGTCGAAATATCGGGTCTGTGACGTATACCCGACTGCTGCCAAACATTATTAAGACTCCAGTGGGAGTTGTCCCTATTGATAGAATGAGAATATAAATTTGCGTTCGGGAAGAGCAGCTCAAGGAGAAATATTGGGTACGATGACCTGTCACAGCTATAAGCCTGGTCGAGTGTTGCTTCCAGCAGTGCTTGATAACCTTGCGAAAATCAACCCCGACAGAAAATTCTGCTTGATTCCATTCCCAAGTCCGATCGACTGTCGGATGGCTTCAAGAATATCTCTGTCAAAGAAATAGCCGATGCCATAAATCACACATCGTGGTGGATTGAACATTCGATAGGGCATGGCAATAGTCAGACTTTGGCCTACATTGGCGAGAACGACATCAGGTATTTTGTCATGATAGTTGCTTGTAACAAGACGAACTATAAGGTAAAGAATCGGAAGTTTTGAGGTCTCTATCAGGAACTCACCTTAGCTGACTATCTCAAGGTATTCTTCCCGTCTCTGCGCAACTCCGATGAAGCCTTTATCGGCCTGCTAGCGGCAACAAAGTGCCATCGGCTCATATACTCCGTGGACCAGGCAAAAAGAGCTACGCATGTTAGTGAAATCTGTAGGACTCCTTTGGTCCAGATTCCGTCGCAGCAAGAAATGTTTCAAGACGCAAAACATTATCCTTATTCTAAGACATATGAGGAAATGGTGGATGAAACATCCTTCATCATCCATAGCTCTGGAACCACAGGTAAAGCTCAAGTGTTATATAGCAAATGCATGCACAAACTGACCTTCACCAGGTCTTCCCAGGCCAATTCCGTTGACACATGGTTATCTCGGGGTTTACGACTACTTGTCTACAATCTCTTTTCCATCACACCGAATTCCTTGTTTTCACTATAACTTGACATCCGATGATTTGGTTCTGTCCACAGCCCCGTTCTATCACATGATGGGTATCTACCCCCTGTTACACGCTGTATTCGGAGGCGTACCAGTCGCCATCGCACCGAGCCAACCGCTCTCGATGGGCTTTCTGGTGAGCCTCATGAAGATCGCCAATCCCTCTGCCGTGATTTACCCTTCCTCTATTCTAGAGGATCTTCACAGCTCCAGGGAAGACCTAGCGCAATTAAGCCGAATGGATTACGTCTGGTACGGGGGTGCTCCTCTCTCTCCGGCGGTGGGCCAAGCTCTATCAAAAGTCACCAATCTGTGCCAGTTCACTGGTGCCACCGAGATGGGCTTTATTCACTCGATGATGGCCGAAGACAAAGAAGACTGGGTTTATTTCGAGTGGACACCCCAGTTCAATGTTATCATGGACCCTGTTTTTGGAGACGGAGAGGGAATTCTCTTTGAATTGGTGGTTCCTCGAGGGCCGGACCGTGATGCGCACGGCATCTTCCACACATTTCCAGATCTGCAAATCTACCGGTCGAATGACCTCTACACGCAACATCCCACCAAATCTCACTTATGGAAGTATTATGCTCGGTATGATGACATCGTTGTGCTCAGCAACGGTGAGAAGTTTAATCCTGTCGGGATGGAGAAGGTCATCGAGGGCCACTCGCTCGTCTACAAGGCTATGATCACAGGAAAGAAGCGGTTCCAGGCAGCATTGCTTGTACAGCCAAACTGGTCTCTGTGGGACGATAGAAGAAAGGAAATATCATCGAGCTGGAACTATGTAGAGGCCATCTGGCCGTCTATTGAGGAAGCTAACAAAGTTGGTCCGGCACATGGGCGGATCATGAAAGATAAAATTATCATTTTGCCACGGGAGAAGGCATTTAATCTCACCCAAAGGGTACACTGCAACGACTCAATACAGAGCGTGACTACCGGGTTAAAATTGAGGCAGTCTATGAGCAGCACGCTATCATCTCGAGTCTTAGATTCCCGGAGCACCCGCTATTTTCCTCAGTCAAGGACTTTATTGCCCAGGAAGTTGCGTCTCAACTCCACAGGAATGAAATTTCTGAGACAGAGGATCTCTACACGGCTGGTCTGGACTCGCTGCAAACCATCCTCCTGGCAAATGTGATTGCGGAGCTTGTTCGATATTATTCTCCCCAACAACCAGTGAGAATCGTCCCGCAAACAATTTACTCCAATCCAACAGTCAACCAGCTTTCAGAGTCTGTGATGGCCATATTGCATGGTAAAAACGCTGCCGTAACAGAGCCCCGGGCAGACAAGCTCGACCGCCTAGTGGATGCCTACACCGATGGGTTGCAATACCACAGTCCCGGAGAACCAAGCGAAGAAAATGTGGTTCTCCTCACTGGTCCCACTGGCTCCCTCGGAACCTGTATCCTGAATGTCTTATTGGGGAGAGCCGATGTGACAAGGGTCTACTGTCTGAATAGATCCCCAGATTCCCGCAGGGAACAGGAGATGGCCTTCACGAAGAGGGGTCTCACCCGGCTGCCGGTCAATGACGATAAGGTCAAGTTTCTTACTATATCATATGGCAAGGAGAAGCTCAATCTCGGTGAAAGTAATTACACGGAATTACTCAACTCCGTCACAACGATCATTCACAACGCGTGGACCCTGGACTTTAATCAGGCGGTCGAATCCTTCGACCCACATTACAAGGGCATCCGCAACTTAATCAACCTCAGTCTTGCTAGTCGACATCGCGCTCATCTTTACTTTGTGTCGTCTATCAGTACCGTTGGAGCGTGGATGCCGTCTGAGGCACAGCTCTCAGTTCCGGAGATGGTATGCGAGACTAGCGCTGCAGTTATGGCATCCGGATACGCAGAATCGAAATATATCGCAGAGCGAATTTGTTTGACTGCATCGCGGATTGCTGGTGTTTCTGCGACAGTTCTTAGGGTTGGGCAGATTGCGGGTCCGGCGGGCGCCATGAAGGGTGAATTGAGTCGGCGGGAATGGATCCCTTCGATCGTGTTGACTTCGAAGATGATAGGGAAGCTTCCTAATTCATTGGGTACGATGGTGGTTGATTGGATTCCGGTGGTGAGTATCTCTTGTCCAAGAGAGTTGATCGAAATTCGCTGACTTTTTTTCAGAATACTGTGGCTGAGATCATTTTGGAGCTCATAGACTATCGGAGCTTGGTTTCTGCGACAGAATCTTTTGCGTGCTTTAATATCGTCAATCCGAAATCAACCAGTTGGCATGTGCTTGCGTCGCCGGTACGAGAAAGGTATAATTTGGAGTCGGTCAGTCTAGCGTAGTGGATAGATGATATAGAGGGCACTTTGAGAGTTCCTGGAAAAGAAACCCGGGAACTGCCGGCCCTAAAACTGCTGGGGTTTTACCGTAGTCTTCTGGGTGATGTATCTGCTCCTTTATGGGACATTGATATTCGTAAAGCAATACGAGCCAGTGCAACGATGGCTGACCTGGAGCCAATTACCGTATTGCTAATGAAGCGCTGGCTAGATCAATGGCATACAGTATCCTAGGCTTGTGAATCAACTGACCTACATTAATGCAATTTGAAGTAACTATAGAACTCGAGGTTTTGCGGGAGAAAGGTCTCGAAACAGAAATATCTGACACTAACCTGGTGATATCCAACTTCAATAAGTCATTTTGTATCTAATAATACTATTGAGGCACCAGCGAAGGAAGGTCTCGACTAGCTTTATATCAAATCTTTCTTCGAGCAAGACATTTCTTGGAGGGTCAAGGTCTAATTCTCTCATGAATCTGCATCATTTAGTTTATAATCAGATTAAGGACTTTAAGAGCGGTTAGTACATGTCAAAATTCTCGCTCATACACCGAATTTCGTCGTTAGTCGGCAGCTTATTTTTCTTCTGATATCTAGGCTCTAGGCCAGGTGTGATGAGGAAAGCCTCAGGGTCTTCGATCTTTCTTTTTGGCGGCATTTTAAATTGTGAACCCTGACTTGGATATGATCTAACTCCATAAGTGAGGAAGATATTGTTCTAATTTATAGTTATCCTCTCCACTACGATCTGCAATTGGTGTGTGCAAGGCTGTTTTCGAGTAGAGATAACGAATAAGTATCATATATTATTAGTGTCTTTGATGGAGACTAGCGTCCTTGGTGGGGATTAGAGTCGTGAGTAGGCTAGGTATCAAGGCCATGATTTTGCGAATGCCACGATTTTTAAACAAAACACCACGCACAACGTGACCTTTCCACAATGCACCATGGGTTATCACGTATCGTTGCTATCCTGTGAATTACCATATTAGGTTTAGCGGTCCGGTTGAGGTATACAGATCATTGAACAAGTCGCTACCTAGTACAATGTCTCCGAGGTATAGACTGGTGACATATTTTACGGAGATGACTTTTACAAATCTAAGTTTGTATTTGTTATGGATAAATTTCAGATGGAATTTTCTGGAGAACACCTTTCCGCACATGGGGTATATTAGGACTGGGCTAGAATTGGAGTATGATAAGATAACCCTGTGTTGCGATAACAGAGGACGGTAAATCTACTCATCAGATGGATTCACCAAGAAACTGCCACACGAAATATATGAGGCTTGGGTTAAGCTGCTCAATCTAGAGGATGTGGGCAGTGATAGAGCTTTAAGGCCATAAAGTTCTTGTGTTACAGAAAATAAGTATGAACTGTTATTACAAACCTAGATGCTATAAGTTATCATCTCAAAGACTGACAGAGATCTTTCATCAACCCGAAAATGATGACCTTCAGCCTATCAGGCAGTCTTACCCCGCTTAAATGTAAATTTTTACGATACAAAATTACGATTTATCGCATTTTATATGATGTTCAGGGAGTTCTGTCAAGTGAAGAGATCTCGGAAACAAAAAAAATATCACGAAATTGATCAGTAAGATTTTTAATTTTCCACTGACCACAACTATCACATTTAATGGATATGTTTCTACCTTGATGAGGTAGAAGGTAAACGAGAGACAGGACCTAGGAGAAGCCGAAAAAATACGGAAAAAGACACATATTTGAGGCAGAAGGTGGGAGAAGTAAAGAATGAGTTGATAGGTCCTCAAAGCTAGACCGCCGGCTGGAGGTTCATTCTCTGTAGGTGTCCCGTGGCGAAATCTCGCAGAAGATTAATATCGAGGTCAATTGTCGCAGGAGGGGGCCCATTACGCGCTGGATCTGGCAAAAATGTCGGCCCAAATACCTCTTCATGACTGAAGATGAGACGCTGCGGGCCCCCAGTCGGAAGAGGTGGAGAAGCTGGAGGAGGTCGCGGGTGAGCGGAAGGTTGAGGGGCCGGAGGACGCATGCTACTGCGTGTTGCGATTCGAGGAGTTGGCACTGTAGGCACAATTGGGCCGGGAACAAGCAGAACAGGCAGATTAAGCACTGGAACAGAGGGAACAAGGGGGGCAGGGAAAATTATCTCGTGCTGCCGTAGCGCAGGAATGCCAAATACGTCCCGGACATATACGTCCGCATATCCTTTCACTCGCTGAGTGAGCCTACTTTTCGTCCATTTCACTACCACCACGACATGAATGGAGCCGTCGCCACCCGTGAGAAGTAAATCCACGTCTGCCTTCAGCTTCTTCTCGGTCTGTGCCCACACGACTTCAAAGGCCAAGCTTGGCAAATTGTCCATAGCTAGCTGAGGAATCACAAACAGATCGGGTTCTTTTTCCGAGTTCGCGTACGGGCCGGACTGAAATTCCAGGGCTATAATAAGTCAGTGACGGGCGAATCATGATGAGCCAAGCATAGATTACTAGTGCCCATGAAAATTTGAATCTGACGGCGCTCCATGGCCGTCATGTGTCCATTTATGCCCATCTGGGTCACGGATTCGACCCACCATGGCTGGATACAATCATGTATCCATGAGGGCATTATTTTAACCGTCAGGTTTTTACTGACTGTGTCCCATGTCGTTCTACTAATTTCAGTATTCAGAATATATAACATCAAAGGTCGGGTTTGTTCTTACCGTGTGCGGCGTGCGCGGTTGTCCTTCTTCAAGGTATCGTGGTCATCCTTCTTCAATATATCAAAAATTTCTCGTCCCCAAGAAGGCTTCAAATCGCCTACTATGAGAACTGTAGCCTCGGTAGTCTCTTCAATTTGAGAGAGGATATGTTTCTTCAGCTTGTGACGAGAAAATTCGCAGGCGGAAATTAAGATCACCACTCCGAGTTCTTCATATTCAGCACTAGATAGACTTTGGGGTGATAACGCCTGAGTATCTTCCGCGGGAATTTTATTGATGAGAGCCGAGCGATCTGGTAAGGTGGTACGTTGTTCAATACCTGTCATTGCGTGTTTTAGTTGTGAGAGAGGAAAGTCCAGAACTAAGAAAGTGGTTCAGACAACATTATGTAATCTTCTTGTTTAGGACACTAGTCTATGATTGGTTTATTTCCCCAATTGGTCGTCCAAAGGGTCTACGTGGGGTGGGGCACGTTTACTTAGATCGCGGTGGAGACCACATATGCTTACATCTATAGCTAAAAGAGGATTTTTAAGGGAAGCTTGGTGAGGTTATCTCGGGGCCTTAAGATGATGACCTATTTAGTATGAATAAGCAGCAGGTTGAAACCTTAGTTTCTAGTGATAGATATTATGTCAACTTGGGCGAGGAGGTGGGATTATAGGAACCAATCAGAAAACTTCACAATCTCAAATATGTGTGTGTATTCGCAGTAGTAAATCTTACTATAGTAAAGAGCGTACGGAAGCTGACTAATAAAGAACACTAGACTAAAATAGGACTGGTCATTTGACATATTATTATAGTCACTAACGAAATCTGTCGGTTTCTGACTCGGAAGATCTACCAACGATACGTGATAACCAACTACACCATCCGGCCAATTGTTTTACTGAATTTTAAAAGTTAAATAAACTAAATCACTACCGAATGGGACACCCGGAGAAAAAATGAATTACACTGTAATTTATCTATTTTAGTTTTAACTACACTTTAATTGATGATTTCTAAGGATTTCTTTACATAAAGATATTGTCGGTTGACTAGGTTATTACCGAAGCAGACAGCTATTGATATCGTTTCTGTACGTATATAATAGGTGTATGCATATTGGGTAAAAGTGAAGTGTCATTCTAAAATGCTTAGGTGAAAGAAGATATAGTAGCTGCCATGCCAAGATCACATGATCTTGGTATGTCAGCTGATATTCGTTCCAACATTGGGCATACTTTAAGAGGGGTAAAACGCGGTCAACTGATAAAATCAAAGTATCATAAGCTCGCATGGCAGTCCTGAGTTCCAATCTTCTGCCTTAAAAATCAAAGTCTCCATTTTTAACTTCCAAATTCAATTCGATCGCTCGACCCAGCCAATTGCCTTCAGATTGATTTTGTTCGTGTCAATAAGTTGAGTTAACGTATTGCACGGTTTGGCCTTGGTCATTGCGTCTGCTGGGTTGGAGGTTCCATTAACCCACTTGATTGACGCGATTTGGCGGCGTTCATACGCCTATCGCAGGCATATTATGTCTATCATTAGGCGCTTTTCCTGTGTAGACCCGAGCCGCACGAGGTAATCGTACAATGATTTCGAATCGGTGCATAAAACGATTGGGAAGTTCGCCTTTAGCATTTGATCCAAAGTTGACTTGATCGCGAAAGCGATATCTGAACTGTGAACTATGGTGTAAAGTTCGGATGCCAAAACGCTCCTAGTGATTCGTTTACATTTGATCGAGCTCTAGTGAATGATATTAGCGTTGGCGAAGTTATCAATCTGGCTGGGTTCTGTGGTCTTGGTGTTGTCGATTTGAACGTTTCTCTTGTCGGCGAGCATAATGACATAGCTAATTTGTGACGAGAGGTCCTTGTTGTTGGTAAATGATGCGTCTATAAAGACAAGAAGTTGGAGTGATTTTATGTCTAAATCGACGAACTTGAGTCCTCTGGAAGAATTTTCTCTTTGCCAATTAAGCTGTTTGTTCAGTAACTTATAGTCATCTTTGTCCAGGTGGGTCGCTTAGGCAGCGAATGATAAGTCGAACGCAGCTTCAGGTTAATATACTGAAGCTATATAGGCGCCTCTCGCGCGCTCGGCGATGTATTCATCTTTGGTGTTGGCAAGGGAGATCTTATCGCATTGGCCCTTCTGCGCAAGGGTGATGCTTCCATCTGTTGCCAATTCGATGACTCCACCATTGAATTTCAGTAGATTTTCAATGGTTAGTTGTTCGCGTTCTTTCGCCGCGAAGTTTGCCTTTTATAGCTCCTGTTTTTCTGCTTCTGCAAATTCGTTATCTGTAAGGATAAGAGTATTATCTGTTTGAAGTCCGACGATACCGAATCCTTTCGAATCTGTTATATGTAGAAGACATAGGTCAAATGTCGACTGGTTCATTTTCAGGTTTATCGAATGGTGGGAGTGATATATCCTAAACCAGTGGTTTCCTGCTTCGGGGATGCTATAGAGTGGCTTAATGACCTTTAGAAGTGTGTTTTTCCCGAGGTGGCCTATCAGTTCCTTCGGCGGGCGTGCGTAAAATTCACGGTTTAGTGTGGTCTTTGACTGGACGTACGCCTAGGAGATATCGCGGAGGAATAGCTTGGATTCAGCGGCAATGCCTTGGCGACTTGCAGCGATGTAAAGGATTAGTCTCTGACTGATACGTTGAATCGTTGGCGATTGAGTCAAAACTAGGTCTTTCTCTTGGTCGTTATATGCTTGAATAACTAGTCTTGATTTTTCGAAAGCCCGCTCTGTGCCTTTATTCTTGATATCGTCAACGAATCTTGAATTAAATAGTCGCACACCAGGTGGGGCTTCTGTGATAAGCTTAAAGACTCCCTTTTTAAGTAACCTATTGATTTCTTTTTGTCTTGAATCTCGGAACTGAGTATTGGTGCTGCTCTCCTCTTGCAAAAAGATAGTTATGGGCGGAAAGTGTTTACGCGGGCGACCTAGGCCACGTTTTTGCGCTTCTTTAGGGACAGGGGCAGTTATAGGTACCGGGTGCTTATGTGGACGGCCTAGGCCACGCTTCTATAGCTGCGTGGGCTGCGAGGGAGTAGGGGCAAGTTCTTGTTCTTGATTATCTACCTATGTTCGGCCAGAGCGTCTAGGTTCTGGCTGTGATCTAGCGTGTTTAGAGAGGGTTTTAGTTTTAGCTTCTGGTGCTATTAGGTCGATTTCGTCTATTCCCTATGGTTCTGGGTTTAGAGTCGGCGATTCTGTGTAAAATGGTTTGACCACTGTCGATCGAAATGCTATTGGTCTACTTAGTAGTTTGACTATATAGTTTTCGTCTTCAATCGATAGTAGTATATATGGCCTAGTCCAATTACCTGTTTTTCCTATGTTTCCTTCTCTCTAGATAAGAACTAGTGAATTCAGTAGCAAATCATGGATTATGGTTATGTTTAGGCCGTTTCTCATGTTTAATGTATCAGCGATTTGGCGTTCTACTAGGAGCTTCTATATCTCGGCCATCGCCTTTCTAACTGCTATAGCACGCTGTGTGATTGATGGTGAAGGGGAATCTAAGTCAATCATTCGGGGGTATACGCTAAAAACAAGTAGTATAGGGACTAAACCTCCTGGTCCAGCTGTGTCGTTAATTGCTTTAAAGGCCATTTAGAGGGCTATTTCTTGGTCGATTCCAGGAATTTCAGCAATGATAATCTGGTAGGCGCGGCGTAGGGGGCCGTGGTATTGTTTAACCATGCCGATTAAGTTGTGCGCTTTAATAGGCACACTTCTTGTGTTTATGCCTATGGCTTTTATATAAGTCTTGAATTCCTTACTAATGAAGTTCTTTCCGGCGTCGTGGGTGATCTAGTCTGGAGGGCCTAAATATGTGTCGATCCAGCATGATTGTAGTTTATCCTAGGTGTTTTTGGCACTAATGTCGTCTAGCCATCGGCCTGATTGAAAGTGTGTTGCTTCGTCAATAATATGAAGGAGGGGCATGTTTGCGATATATATAATATCGACTATAATATTGAAGTTGAATCTTATATCATCTGGGTCCTTTAGGGTGAAGCGGAATCTTCCTGGCGATTTTCCAAACTTCTGGCAGAATTGACAAAATTTGGTGAGGTGTTCTAGTGCCGTGGTGTTTGTTTCATGGCCTGCGTTCTAGAGCAACTTTTGGAGTCGGCTGACTGATGGATGGCTAAAGCGATGGTGTAGTCGTCTAAGCTTAGTATTGGTCAGGAAGCAAGGGTTTGTGCTGAACGATATGCTAAGGTACGAGGAGAGGGGTGCGTCCTATAGCATGAAGGGGTGTCCAAATCGGCGAATGATAGGTATTTCATTTTGTTTACCTGGTTTTAAAGTGATGACTACGTTCCTAAGGTTATTATAGTATACTCCAAGGTTGTCTATGTCCGCTAGGTATAACAGGAATGGAGTGTCTGCATTAACGATATAGAATTGAATGTTGCTAATAGGAGTAGGGATTTTTTGCTGATCCGATTAAAGAGGTTGTTCTAATTCCGAATTGGACATTAACTTCGCCAGCTGTGGAGGGATCTAATTTGATGTTCTTAATCCTCTGAAGCGCTTAGAACTGACTAACTCCGGCTGTAGATTTTCTTAAGGCGCCGGTATCGATCATGATTCCCATAAATGTTTAGGAATTATATCGGCTGATAGGCATAGTAGTATAGCTGAATGGGTTAGAGTCAGCTAGCGAAGTATGCTCTGGTAGGCGAGAGTTGTCGAAAAGCGAATGCAAGAACGCTCTATTGGTAAGTTCTGAGCTTGTTGCTATAGCTTGCTTAGCAGTAATTAAGCCGAATGAGGTAAAGAAGGTATCAACGTGGTCATATTCTTCTTCACCAGAGTCTGTTCCTTTGGTCTAGAGGGCAATGGTTTAGGTGTCGACCAGAAGGGCTTTAAAGGCTTCTATTTGTTCGCTCTCGTCGTCTCCTTCGCAATATACCATGTACTGCCTATATCGCTTATTGAAGTCACCGTTTTTCTCCTTATTGTTGTTGAATCCCTGGAGGAACTTTTGCTTAGATTGCCTTTATTCCTCCTCACTATGTCTCCAAGATCGGTAGGTTGGTTTCTGGCAGATATAGCATTTTCCCTATGGGTTTCTTTTGGTCTGATTCCTGGTGAGTCCTCTTCCTTGATTGCCGTCTCTATGGTATCGTCTATCGGTGTAGAATGTTTCTTCTAAGGCGAATGCTGCTTACCTCTCGGGGTTTTCTTTCTCCCAGGTAGTGATTGATGACTATAGTTTATTGATCAATACCACGAGGTCTTCTGGTGGATTAGAAAGTGCGTTACTACACGCTAGGACTCCTCTATAGGCTGTGATGAGCTTATTGATGAGGTTCATGTTGCTCCTGAGTTCTAGGTGAAGACCATGTCGCTTTCTGAGGAGGTCACTAAGCATGGATTGGAAATTCTGATAGATTGAGTTTAGGCTATTAGAGTTGTCGTTTATTACTCTTTATAGTATAATATCGTTCCATTTGATCAAGTTTTGGCGGTAGAATTCGGGACCTTCAAAGAATTGGTGTAGGTGGTTACACGCTTCTTGGAATATTCGCGAAGGTAAATCACTGCTATAGTAATGATCTTCAGCGATTCCGGTAAGCATTGTTGGAAATGCTGCGTTATAACCGTCCAGTGTTATCCCAACTCTTTTATAGATGGTGTAGAAGATATTAAGTTTCCAGTCAAAGCTGCTATTATCTGTCCCACTATATCTCTGTTTCTTAGTATAAATCTTTGATATAGAGTTGATCTCTTTGGTGAAATCAGTCTTTAACTTCTTGGTTTCAAAGATAAACAGGCTAGTCTCTGGAGAAAACTGATTAGGAACGCCTAGAGTGTCCTCTGGTAAGGATTTGTCGCTTCCTTGGTCAGGATGACTACTTCTAGGGGCGGACGTATTGATTTTTGGTGTAATCAGGCGGTCCGCTTATAGGGGCAGAGTGCCTTATAAAGGCTGCTTCAATCTAGTGCAGGTCGGGTTAAGGCGGTATCTTAGTGCTCTAGTAATCATTGGTATCTTAAATTCCGTGAAGAAGCTTTCAATATCTTCGTCTATCCATTCGTGGAACTCCTCTTGTTGGGCTACTATGGATAGTAGGGTGTAAATTGCTATTCCTCGACTAAATCGTGGAACAAATACTCCATGCTGAAGTAGATTCGTCCGTAATGCTGTTTGTCTTAGAGGTGCGACTTGCTTAAAGTGTTCTGGTTCCCAGTTTTCGAAAAGGTCGCAGTATGTTGCCCATAGGTTGTAATCTGATGTTCTGTCATCGAAATGCATGTTCTTTTCAACGTAGTTATTTATCTCTCGCTTTATGGCTGTCGCTAAATCGATTTCCTAATCATAGTCATCGTTGATTGATTGAGCTGATTCAGCGGCTGAAGGTGGTGCAGACATAGTGTAAAGCAGTGTGGGTTTTTCAGAAATGTTAAGATGGTGTAGCAGTATATGAGATAGGTCACTTTTGGGTTTCCTGGATTTTGAATGCAGGGATATGCAAGGTTGGAGGGCGAGGATGAGGGGATTTAAGCGGTCAAGGATATGTAAGTAAGAGAAATAGGATGAGGGGATTTAGGCGGTCAGGGATATGCAAGTATGAGAAAAATGAAGGGATTTGAAAGGAATGGAGGAAAATGAGAGGGAAGTATGGTAGTGTTTTTCAGTGTTTTTCAGTGTTTTTGGACGTTCTTCATAGACCTTGGGGCTTCTATGAAGTAGGTTCTTAGCAAGATGGTGTAATTCTCGGCGATCGTTCAAGCCTCAAATTATCACGATCTTCTCCTTCGACTGAGATATGGCAAGGACTTAGCGAATCTGGAAAAACAGCTTTTGAAGACTGTTCAACACGCTCGAGCTTCGTAGATGCGTATTTCCTGATCTGTACGTCTACTGATCAGTGTCGGTTGACTAGGTTATTACCGAAGCAGACAGCTATTGATATCGTTTCTGTACGTATATAATAGGTGTATGCATATTGGGTAAAAGTGAAGTGTCATTCTAAAATGCTCAGGTGAAAGAAGATATAGTAGCTGCCATGCCAAGATCACATGATCTTGGTATGTCAGCTGATATTCGTTCCAACAGATATGTTTTCAAGCAGAAATAATTCAAATTCGAGATTTAAAATCATTTCCACTTGTAGTTGTTGAGATCTGACATTCAGTTTTTTCGAGTTTACTATGGTGTTCTGGGTGTCCTGTTCGGTGGTGATGTACTTTAAATGAAGATTTTCAAATTTCTAGAACATAGATTTCGACTTTCCTCCGCCTAAGAAATTTCTTTTTGAGAAGTTTTTGTTTCGCCAGTAGCTTTAAGAGCTATCTTCTCCCATAAGAAAGCTTTTTTGGGATTGATTTGATGGCCTCTTCGGGCGTCATCAGACCCTCCTGGATCCGCTTCCAATTCAAGCAGATATTGAGCCGGGTTTTTTGTGGAAACATTCGACCATAAAAGTTGACAAAGAATTTGTCTGCCGCCGGAGGACCAAGAACATAATTTGGGGAGAGACATCCGATGTAATAGTAATATTGTAATCTGACGTATCTAGCAATGCGTGCGTTGCCTCGCTGACTTAATGAGTGATCATAAATCAAATTAATTAAACCTATGGAGTAAAGGTTAGCATATAACCAGCTTGAAAACAATGAGAATGAGAAATACTTACAGTCTAAATAAACCAGCTGCCGTGGAAATCGACATCGCGTATCAGCATGTAAGAATGTGTTTATCGATAAACTCGATTCTGAGAGATCCATATGCCAGAAACTCGATGGAACAATAAAAACGCGAGTATCATGTGGATCTCCATTATATAACACATATCCTGGCCATCCGAGAGGGAATTCTGTAGAATTTTGATCCTCATATCGATCGTAGTCCTCCAATACCCGGAATCCTTCCCGACAAGCAAGAGTGAAAGCATCTTCAAGTTGTTCATCTGCGATCACAAGAAAACACTAGCATACCACCAAGGGAAATCCAAGACTCCTGATAATAGGATCGCCAGCTATACAGTATCCGATGCTGTGTTCGCCGAGAGATTCGGATAGGTGACAGAGATCCTCTCCAATCAACTCTGGAAGAGGTCTATCAGCGGTATAATCATCCATATTGAGTGGGGAAATTATAAATAAATCTGGCCTTTGGTACAGGATACTGTTATGAGAACTTGATGAGAACTTAATAGGAGTGTAGAGTGTAGTTGGGAAGATTTCCGGGAAGGATGGTGGGGTGATAAATGCGGTGGTTTCTCCACTATTCTTTGTCAGCGCCATGAGACCAATTAAAATGAGGTTCCATTTTAGTACTAGTCCTACTCGGGTTAGGCTGAATATAGAGGAGGGTCACTTCCCCACTTTGATACTGTTTACATTTTAAGCCTCATCTTATTCGACCCTCTCCAGATCTTTTCCATTCTCCGTCCAGACCTTTACATTCTCCGTCCACCTCACTTCGGTTCCTTTTCAGCCGCAATTATGCCGGCCCCAAATGAAATCATTTCGTTGATCAATGAGATTAGAGACAAAGTCTCAGCAGACTTCATTCTCGTCGGTGGCGCAGCGGGAAATTTTCAAGGCAATGATCAGGTCACAAGCGATATCGATCTCCTTGTCCGTGATCCAAAAATCCTCGAAGAACTGCAAAAGATTGAGGGCTTTCAGCTGAAGGACAGGGCACTTAATTATAAGTCGACCTCTTATCGATCTGCTCCAAACGGTCGATGAAACAATGAGATACCACCAAATCGAGCCTTTCACTAGCATCTTGTCTGGAGTACGCATGATGCAGGCAGACCCCGCCCTAGCTGTAAAATTGAAGTGCTCGTATCTTCGACGGGATGATGAGAATGGGTTCAAGAAGAGAGACAGCGACTTGACTGATGCACTTTTCTGGGCAGAGAAGTTGAAGACAGCGGGACAGAACATATCCGAAAGCTGCGCCAAGACGTTCCGTCTCGGCTTCTACAACATCCTTTTGCTTCGCAAGCATCTGTCCACCTCTGACTTTGAGGAGTTGGTTGACGTGGGGCTTCGCAAACTCCTACTCCCCTGGGAGGAGAACTCCCAAGACCAAAAGGAGTACTACTTGTGCTTCGCAGATGAGGGAACTGACCCCTTTACTGTAAGTCTCGTCGAAGCTGATGAGTGAGTACTTCGAATGCACTGCTTTGGGATACTTTCATGTACCGTTTTCTATGAGTTCTGCCTTTTATGAATAATCCTGTATGAATAATATCAATGCTCTCCATTCAATAGATTATTTTAATGTCTAATCGCCTTGATCTGTAAAATTGTAGCAGCATACTCTGCTTTTCAAAGCCAGTTCTAAAATACTAATAGATTAAGATAACCGGCTCACTCGGTTGGTCGCCCTCCCCCCTCCCCAAGGCTGATACTCACTCGGGTTCAACCGTGAAATCCTCTCGAAGAAAGAAGAATTCTTTTCTTTCCTATCATGAGCCATATTTCATCCTGACCAGTACGAATATTTTCCTACCTTCCTTGGTCAACGCCAAGTCTGAAGCCGGGAGCGGTTTGATTAACAAGACTGTGAGCCACCTGGCGACCGCCGAGGCCCTAGAAGCAACTCTATGCGCTTTCTGATGGGAATTGTTCCGTCAATATAACCTTCACGACTTCGGATTGTATTTATCTTCTCTCAGGCGGTCATATAAGATTTCGATCTCCACCATTTAGCATAGGACGTACACAGTTCTGCAAATCAATACACTACGTACGTAAAACCCCTTAGCTTAAGACCTGATGACCCTGCAATTTGATAGCCCGCCTTTAAAGCTAGCCCCAGATTAGTGTTGGCAATATGGTGGACATGGTAAAGATGGTTGTATTGTCTAACTAAGCAACTACGGATATGGACCTCGGGCGTCATGTCACCGTAACAATTAGGGATCCTTAGCCGTACTGAATCCAATATAAGTTTGTAGCTACCTAGGCATGCTACTATGAAATTGAATCATAGAATTATAGTGCTTCCGATGGGCCTTTGGCCAATAATGGGAAATTGGAATGGGAGTATTCGATGAGACTTTAGGATCATAGCATTTTCACAGAAACTGTGGTCGATCGTGGGCAACAGGACATCATAAGATCAATACAATCTTGGTGACGTTGTGAACAGGGCTAGACGCTAGGTCGAAAGGCCATGAATGCCACGATTTTCAAACAAAACACCACGTATATCATGGCCCTTCCACAACGCACCATAGATTATCACGTATCGTTAACACCGATAAGGTCCTGAGATCGAGAGGTCATTTCATTTTTGCAAACTTGCCGTCTTTTTTCGGCAGTTGAATTTGCATTTTTTTTCTATGTTGCAATCCACACAGCCGCTGTAATTAAATTATTACGACCTCTGTTTCTGGACAAATTTGATGTGCTTCGTATGTACGAGCTGCTATTATTAGAGTAGGTGATAAATTAAAGTAAATCATATACGAGCGGCGCACACATGCGAGTGGCGCACCTAGAAAGAACACCATAGTAAAATCGAATAAATTAAATATCATATCTCAACAACCATAACTCTCATAAGAATCAATACTGGGTGAGAAATAATAATAAGAATCTTTTTAAAGATCTCATTCATTTGAAGTAAATTAATTAGATGGATTATAGTGATACCATAAATTATGATGTAATTTATTTATCTTAGCTTTAACTACACTTTAATTGACGATTTTATATTCCTTCTTCTATATTATCATTTTATCAACTATAAATGATCCAAATTCAAGAGTTGAAGTCATTCCAACGGGTGGTTGTTGAGATATGATATTCAATTTGTTCGAGTTTATTATGGTGTCCTGGGTGCGCCACTCACATGTGTGCGCCACTCGTATGTGGTTTACTTTAAAAGAAATAGAGTAACTATTATTTAAAAAATAAAAAAGGAAAATAATAAGCGCTATTTGGCCGTTTTTTTGTGCTCGCGCTAGCCCTGTACGGTAACCGACAAGGCTGCGCCCATGAGGCTGACATAACTTCCAGCTTCCCCTTCGACAAATATCAACTGCACAACTCCATGCTATGTTGGCTGAGGCTTCAGAAAATATAGTTAGATTGATATTCAGTTTCCTAGAAAGAAATCAACATCTCAATGATGAGCTCGTTTATACCAGCCAATGACCCTGGTCCTCAGCAAGGCTCTAGGCTCTATCTTGCTTGCTTTTTTGGGATGCTAGAGCCAGCACGAGATCTTATTAAAAGTGGAGCGGACGTTAACGAGCAGAGTGAGCACTGCAACGCTCTCGACGTCGCCTCATTTCAAGGCCATCTCGAGATTGTCAAGCTTCTCTTGGACAACGGAGCAGACGTCAACGTGCAGGGCGGTAAGTATCAGTACTATAACGCTCTCCAGGCTGCCTCGTTAGAAGGTCATCTCAAAATAGTCAAGCTTCTCCTGGACAAAGGAGCAGACATCAATGTACAGGGTGGTCAGTATGGTAATGCTCTCCAGGCCACCTCATTTAAAGGCCATCTCGAGATCGTGAAACTTCTCTTAGAAAAGGAAGCAGACGTCAACGCACAGGACGGCCAGTACGGCAACGCTCTTCAGGCTGCCTCTTCAGGAGGCCACCTCGATATTATCAAACTTCTTCTAAATAAAGGAGCAGATATCAATACACATAGCGGTAAGTACGGCAATGCTCTCCAGGCCGCCTCCTCAGGAGGTCATATCGATGTTGTCAAGCTCCTCTTAGACAACGGAGCAGACATTCATGCGCAGAGCGGCGTGTACGGTAACGCCCTCCAGGCCGCCACACTAGAAGGCCACCTCGAGATTATCAAACTTCTCTTAGAAAAGGGAGCAGATATCAATGCGCAGGATCGCACATACGGTAACGCTCTCTACGCCGCCTCATCTAGAGGTCACCTCGAAATTGTCAAATTCCTCTTAGATAAGGGAGCAAATATCAACGCCCGCCCCCATAACGCTCTTCAAACCGCCTCATCAGAAGGCCATCTCGAGTGTGTCAAGCTTCTGTTAGAAAAAGGAGCAGACGTCAACACACAAGGCGGTCATTATGGTAATGCTCTCCAGGCCGCCTCATCGAAGGGTCAACTCGAGATTATCAACCATCTCTTAGACAAGGGAGCTGATATCAACGCACAAGGCGGCTACTACGGCAACGCTCTCCAGGCCACATCATCAGAAGGCCACATTGAGATATTCAAGCTTCTCTTATATAAGGGAGCAGACATCAATGCACAGGGCGGTCATTATGGTAACGCTCTCCAAGCTGCCTCATTTAAAGGTCACCTCGAGATTTTCAAGCTTCTTTTAGACAAAAAAGTGGATGTTAATATAAAAGGCGGCGTTTGTAACAGCGCTCTCCAAGCAGCCTCGTCGGAGGGCCATCTCGAGATTGTCAAGCTTCTTTTGGATAAGGAAGTGGATGTGAATGCATGTGGCAAGCATTGTAACGCTCTCTACGCCTCCTCATTACAAGGCAATATCGAGATTGTCAAGCTTCTCTTGAGCAAAGGAGCAGAAATCAACGCGCAAGGCGGTTATTATGGTAACGCTCTCCACGTCGCCTCATTGAGCGGCCATCTTGAGATTGTAAATATTCTCCTAGATAAAGGAGCAGATGTTGACGCTGAGGGCGGTCGGTATAAGTACTATAATGCTCTCCACGCTGCCTCATCACAAGGCCATCTCGAGATTGTGAAAATTCTCTTAGAAAAGAAAGCGGATGTTAATTCAAAAGGCGGCTTTTACAGCAATGCTCTCCAGGCTGCCTCGTTTGGAGGCCATCTGAAGACTGTCAAGCTTCTCTTGGATCAGGGAGCAGACATCAATGCGCAGGGCGGCTTTTACGGCAACGCTCTTCGGGCAGCCTCACTGGAAGGCCATCTCGAGATTGCCAACCTGCTCCAAAGATCTGGCGCTATCACGAGACTTCCCGGCTCTAGAACCCCATTCAACACAGAGAAGAAACTTGGTCTCACGGACTCTGAACCCTCTGATCAAAGTTAATCATTCCTTTGGTAGCCTCCGTGATATCCACCTGTCTAGCCGCGTGATATTATGTGGCTTAAGTACGGCTTAGCGGACGGGAAGCCCTGTTCTCCATACCTAGGTACCCTATGGTCTTATTAAGTGTTTAAATAAAAAGGAAAACTCCATCGCACCCTATAGAGGCTCTAAGCTTCCTAACATCCTTAATGACCTGGTTGTCCCCCCAGTTCTCGACTTTGACTGCGACGAAAAATTCTGGATCTCTAGATTCAAGGACTTCTGGTTCCACTCGCTGTGATTCAACGTGTAAAATTTTCGGGTATAGACAGATTGGAGCAACACACATGACACAACACCATTTGGCATTCTCTGCAAATGATCAAAAGTCAAAGTGCTCTAAGGACTTTCTATTGAAGATACGAGGATCAATGTGTCGGTAGATTAAAGTATTCTACTGATTCGCATATGCTTTTCTATGATAAGGAACTGCAGTTGTAAAAGTGGTAAGAAGTGTGTAATATTCTATTGCTAATAGTTGTAGAAGTAGATCATTCACCCAACTGTTGTCATTACCGATCCAATCGGAAATAGGAGTCATTGGTCCAAACCATACTCCTTTCCCTCTACATCTATCCTGAGTTCCAACTCGATAACTCGAAAGACTAAAATTCTACACAATCAACGAAGCAGTAAGCATAACAAGCCCACCCATCCCATCCATGCCCGCGCACCACTCCTCCCAATTCGAAACGCCACTGCTCGACGAAGCCTTCGCATCTAAGGGTTTGTAGCTTAACAGCCCATTGGAGTCGCATGGTTGGTCCTCATCCAACGTGACCAGCTCGCCGTTTGCGGCTAGGCCAAACGCAGTCTGAGTTCCCGAGTTCTTGTCAATCTCGGCCTTCCACGTTAATGCATCGCTTGCTTCCCACAGCTGTTTCTTGGCTGGGAGGTGTGCTAGAGGTAGCTCTGTTTGGACGGTACACGTTTATGATCGTTCAAAGTAGATTAGCATGTCTAAGATTCGATATAGTACGGCTAGTCTTTTTGCTTTAGTTGGTATCTGCGTAGTCATATGCTGATAATAGTGGTGAAAAACAAACCTTCGCCTTGATTCCAAATATATCCACTCAACCCAGTCCTTTTCGAGACCGTGGCTGACTGATATAGAATGTATGCCGTCTTTAATATCTGTGTAGCAAAGATGTTTGGCTATCACCTATCAAGTTCATCAGAGCTAGGGAAACAAGAAGAGAAATCGGTACAGCACATACCATCAACGCTGCGAGCAATAGAGAATCATAGTTGTTGTGGTCAGTCTGGCCTTCATCTAACCTTGTGAGAATATAAATTAGGAGGGCTTGCATGGCGGCAAGTAACTCCCACTTGTTAAGCTTCAGGTGCTGGATTTACGGTATCAGCTCCTTATAAGTTCTCCTTTAGGATTTGAACATACCTCTGCCACCAAACGTTCGCACTCTAACTCCACATTCTTCCAAAATAACTTTCGACCGGATTGGAACCCACCGCTGATCATGTGCACTAAGCTAAGACAGTTAGAAAGTGGCTCCGATGTTGATAGATGCCGGTGGATAAACGGCCGAAGGGTCTCGTGGCGCATCATCATCAGCGGATACGATTTCAGGTTGTGTAGTATCAGTTTGGCGATTCTTTGCTGGCCAGTCTTCATTCTGAGTAGTGGTTCTAGTGATCGGATAAGGCCAGATGGGGTTGGTGGTATCAATATATCGATAGTCGGGAGCGCTTGCTGCATGTGAAACGTTTTATTGGTGGAAGGTGCGGTGTGACTGGTTGAGGGTGATAGAGGGATTTCCTCGTTGGTCTCAGTATTCAAAAAGTCGGCAAAGTCATTATTTAGATTCATCCAGTCAAGATATTCCCCTTCTTTATTTTCAAGCTCTGTATCCGACAGAACAAGGGTACTATCGAAGAGAACATCACTTGCGTCTCGACGATCTTGGAGAGCAAGAGAATCTGCTACCGATACAGACGCCACATGCGACATTGAATCATTTCTAGGCTGAACTCTTGGCCCTGCATCTTTGGATGAACTGGCGGGATACGTGCATTCGAATCCCTTGGTTATGCACCTTGAGCATCCAGGCCGCTTATTATCGCAACGCACCTTGCCTCTGGCACAGGAGATACAAGACCGAGACCGAGTGGTATTGCCGAGCCTTCTAGAGCGGCAGTAATATCCATGTCTTTTCAGTGTGGACTCTAAAACACCAAACTTTTAGTAAAGACTCGGAGGAAATTGAGTGCACGTGCAAACTCACGCTTATCAAAGGGTTTCTTGCACTGGGTACACCGCAGTACAGATTGCACGTCTCCTTGGTGCATTTCAAAATCTCCCGTAGCTAGTCATGGGAATCTATGAAAATTTTGAAGATGAAATACCGATATATACATAGTTAACTTCACTTTTGCATTTGTCAGCATTTAGTCCGGGCGGGACAATTTGAATAGATGCCAAGCTACAATCCGGGCGGAACATTCAGCGGAACAATTTGAACAGAGTAAGAAACATTTCATTAAAGCTAATCTTGCGTTTCATCACATTTGCAGTATTCTAACAACATTTGACTTGCATCATGGTCGCAGTTGTGCTCACAAATTGCACAACTCCGCTGTTACTCTGCTTATGTAGACCTACGTATATAAATATAGACAATGTCCGCCGAAAGAAAATGTCTCTCAATCAAGCAATCCGACATTCGATGAATTATTACCATTCAACATCTATATATTCACAATGACGGCCCCCTTTCCATCCCCAACCTCAAAAGGCATTCAGAGAAATACGACTCAATATCTCCTGCCCGACCAGAACTCTCTGCCAAGGGCAAGACGGTCCTAGTAACCGGAGGTGGCACAGGCATTGGCGCAGAAACAGCTATCTACTTTGCCCAAGCCGACGCATCACGTATCGCCCTTCTCGGCCGTAGGGAGCAGCCACTTCTCGACACCAAAGCCACCATCGAGCAAAAGTATCACGGCGTTGACGTCTTGGTCGCCTCTACGGACATTTCTAAAAAGAGCCAAGTAGACGACGCGTCCAGCCTGGCATTGTGGACACTGCGATGAATAGGGATGCCGGTGGCATCGCTGCTACAGGCATCGAAGATAATAGTAAGTTAGGGAACCAGTGCTTTGCAATAAGGAAAGATATTTTCATAATTTCTGATATTATAAAAACCTAGTTTCCCTGCCGGCTGGGTTTAATATTTGGCTTGCAAGTCCCGAGGCGCGCTTCTTGAACGGAAAGTTCTTGTGGACGAATTGGGATGTAGATGAGCTCAAGGAGCAGGCTAAAGAGCTTGAGACAAGTAGCCGACTTTCCATTGGGCTTATTGGGTGGCCGTTTGACAAATCGGATTGGAAGTTTGAAATTTCGTGGTAAACTTAGGGGAATAGAGATGGATAATCATGGATTCAATTCTACTTTTTCGTAGGGTAGTTTTTGTTTCGTTTGCCTTTTAATCTGGGGTATTCAATGTACACTGATGATATCAGCATAATCAAATGAATAAGGAATGAAACGGTAGTTACAAAAACATACAACAGACAACACCAGGTGAAAAGACCATAATTTTTCAACTTAAAGCCACGCATATCGCGGCCTTTCCACGATGCACCATGGGTTATCACGTGTCGTTAACACCGACAAGATCCTGGGATCGAACCCCAGTCTGGTCACTTTTTTGCGGTTTTTTGCTATACTGGAGACGTTTCACCATTTGACTCACGGACTAATCTATAATTGACTTAGTGTGGCGGATCTGCAAACTATTCGAGAGGGAGGGGAAGAGTAGTTCTAGTGCCGGCAGTAATCTCCCCACTACACTAAACACTCTGCTCCACTTTCAGCCCCGATCTTCCTCATTCACTCAAAAATGACTTCCAAAGATAAAGATCCGCTCTGTCTCGAATTGCCAGACATCTCGTGCCCCGCCCAACGCCCACTGTCCAAGAGAGAATCGATGGGCTCAAGTGCATACTTTCACATCAAAATGCTAAACGACTCGGGCAGTAACCGGATGGTTACCTCTGTAAGCTGTTGCAGGTCAACACACAATATGGAACTGAACTCAATTCCTAGTGGGTGGAATTGTCCATGATGTATTCGGTATTCAGCGACCATTTAATATTGTACTCATACATAATTTTGCCCGCCTTTTACTCCGCTTTCTTCCTACCATACATTCCTTCTTTGGAAAATACATTCTCGGGTGGAACTTCAGGTAATGTGTCAGGACTTTTGGCACCTTTCAAGCTTTTTGTTCTAGAAAAGTATCCGACACCAGAGGTTGTGTGATGCGGTCTTATGACACTCTTTTTTTTTAAGGCTGCGGCGTGTTTCTTGGTGTGGTGAGTGCTGACCTAGCGTTCACAAAATTCTCGAGTATAGCTGACAATGTAGCTCGCTACCGGCTTTGTCCCCATCCTTATTCAATTCTACGCAACAAACGCGTTTATCTTTGGCGCTGCTGATGTAGGTGCAATCCTAGGGAAAATGAGACTGACTTAACTAATCAGACCGACAAAACGGTTATCTGATGTCCCTTAAACTCTTTCGTGAGGAGTTTTTCTCAACTTCCCATTCCCTCGTATAATCAGCATAGAGTGCAAGTGGTACTCGAGTAGAAAGTCCAAAGCCAAAGAATCTCTGGCGGAAGAGTCAATACTCCCTACCATTAATGATTTTGAAGCAATTTCTGCTGGTGCCTAACCGGAGAAAGAGCCTGCTATAGATGAAACTCTTATTGCTTCTGCTACTCGTGAAGGTTACTTGAGAGATATGGATGATATGATGTTACCAAGAAGGCAGGTAGGTTCAAGACTGATTCCTGAAGAATTAGGAAGAAATTGTTGCCCAGGTGGTGATTCGGATCTAATTAGTGCTAACGGATTATATGATTCTAATTCATTAATCTTTCCGATTACTCTCCATTTCCTTTATTTGAGAAGTTGTAATTTTTAGGAGTTTTGGGTAAGAAAATCTAAGAAAAATTTACTCTTTGAAGGACTGACGGCGGGCTGATAATGCATAGCAACATGGGCACTACTTTCGCGTCACAGCTATGAATTTCATAGATCTGGTCGAAACCGAGTGTTCCAAGTAGAGTATCCACTAACTTAGCTTCTCCCTGAGGTCGGATGAATCATCCGCATTTTCCATCAGTGATAGAGGTTCCTAGGATTTCCTCATAAGTTAACTGGACTCTGATAGATGCCTAATGAATTTGTGGGGGGAGGGGGATCTACACCCCACCTGGGCACTAAATGGTCTAATGCATAATCCCATCACCCTAATTCTGCCCTATGCCAAAAATCTATTTTATAGTCTCATACCCCATAGCCCCAGGATTTTTATATTTTGAGACACTGAAAAGAGCGGATTACACAGCCACAGTGAACGATTAGGCGGTGAACACAAGAATCTCACGTCACCGTAATTTTGACTTTCCTTCAGCGTAAGCGACTTTTCAATCGGAAATTCATCTTGAACCTTCATTTTATTCCCTCCATACATTCATAGCTTCAACTCACAGTCTCAAGGCGTCGCAATGCTGCGAAGAAGAGAGGCATATATCAATATCACACCCCCCCCTCCTCTGTCCCTCGCCAACTGGCTCTTGACATATTACATAGCCATAGTGAGATAATCACGCTCAACCCGCTCGTATTATCCCACTATCCAGTCAAAGCCCCAAGAGATGCTCCCGCGGACGAATATTATTGTACCTGGTATGAGATCAATCAGCGAGTTCAATATATACCAGGCTTAGGAAAGATGGGATCCGGCAAAATCAGCTTCAAGGGCTGCTTTCACGACGTTGACTGGGGACTTCAGACGCACACTTACGCTCCCCTCAATGTAGACATGAAGTGCAACTATCGCATCGAGGGCTGTCAAGACAGTGGTCTTTATTTAAAAGAGGAAATTGAAATCGAATGCAACCGCACAATGATATCCTTCGTCAAGAAAGAGATGAAAGCAGCCTCAAAAGTACTGGTTGATCGCCTGATCAAAAAAGCTGAGCTTCTTGATGCGGGTGTCTTGCAGGCCATGATCAAGGACGGGAGACTCAAGACCTTCAATCCTGCCGATCGAACAGATATTTCTCAATCAGATATTTCTCGATCAAACTCAATCATGTCCCAGCCGTCGTCATTGAGATATTCAATGAACGGGCCCATGTCGCCGGTTCGTATGGGATCAGTGTCTTCGGGGTCGGGGTCAGTCATGAACTCTTCCATGCAACTGCCGATGTACAGACGGGAGTCGGATGTAGGCATGCCAGTGGAGTTGCCTGGCAATTATTATTATCCACAGCAGCAATCCACATCTAATAAATATCGAGAGGTGGCAGAGCTGGATAGCGGAGTTCGTCTTCCCCCTCAACAGCCTGATAAAGGATATCGCGCGGAGCTCTCTTCAATGCCTGAGAGCGCAGATGAGTATACTGGAAATATAGCCCACGAGATGTATAGACCTTATCGCAGTGTCTAGCCCCTGCCACTAATTCTCTGTCTCTATCTGTGACCCTTCAATTCTTGTCTGTTATTTAATGTTTATGGACTTATTTGGGAATTTGGGACTTCTGCTGGCAATAGTTTTGAAGTCTACTGGAATATATGGCTTAACGAGCCCTAGGAAATCTTGACGATGAAAATGACACTCTTTACACCATAAACTATTCACTTTGAAGTCAAGCCTCTAGGCTCGGCCTCACTCATATTATGAAATCTCAATAGTCTCATTCTTCTTCACCATAGTTAGATATGCTCCGGGATAGATATGTTGCTTAGTCATCATAATCTCAGCCCTGTTGGGGCGGAGCTCGTTTGCCAAATCGTTTGGCCAAGAACAGATCAGATCATCCAACAAGAATATTTGGAAGCTCTGCTGCCTTACCACAACCTCTTAATTTTAATTTCTCTACACTCAGGCCACAGGTATATTTGTGAAACCAAGACCAGCTGCTCCCTCCGATCGTATAAATATTCGCGACTCGATCACTACGTCAAACGCCCACGATGGATAGCCAGCAAGCCGTTAGATATCTGGAGAGCCTTATTGGTCGCCAGCTTCGTATACATATTACCGATAGCCGCATGTTTGTTGGCCTCTTCAAGTGCACTGATTCAGTAAGTAGCTTGACTTTGGAGATACTTCGCAGAGCTAAGTCCTCGTGAATCAGAAGCTGATGACAATCATATGACAGGAGCGGAACATCATCCTTGCAAACTCTTTTGAATATCGCCTACCCACCCAATCTGTCGTGGAAGCTGCTGCAAAGGAGACCGAGTCGTGGAATACGGCTCCGGACACCAAGACCACAGTCAAAGTCAACATGAGTAGTCGACTCATTGGGCTCATCGTGATCCCAGGCCAATATATTACCAAGATTGAGCTCGAGTAAATTCGCCTAATGAGTCCTTGTCTGTGCTACGGACCGTGTCCAACATCTTACGTTCTTCCAATAAGAGGTCATCTTCGATACGATGATACGAGCACTACATCATACAGTACATGGCTTTACGCACTGAGGTCAACAGATGATGAATCCTATTGCCAATTTGGCCCGGTTTCTTCCTCATAAACCCTCACAACGAAGTACATACCATGAAGTACGGAGTACGCAGTCCTTTAGACCCTGTCCTCCGCCGGCACGAGATTTGGAAAAAAAAAAGTGGGGGCTTGCCAAGGAAGATTTATCTGCCCGTGTTTATACACACATACGCCTGTTGCTGATCAGTCAACGTGGCGCGGAGAGTACGGCGGCTGCAGCGCAAGCAGCTTCTGGGTCTAGACAGGCAGCAGATCCACAGCCTAAAAGGACCATAAATTTCTAGGATTCATCCTTGACATCCGTTCAGTGGAGGGGTAAAAGGCGGTGTCTCCGCCACGGATATCTCTTGGCATGCCTGTATATGCAATGGCTTTCTTGCATGAAGCCTTACCTGCAGCTCTTATCCAAACTTGCGACCAGACCACAGCACGGGGTTATATCTTTGTCCGTGATTGTTTCCGAGCTTCTCCCAACATCCCAGCAGAGATAAATCTTGGATCATTCATAATAGACCTATCTTCTTCGTACTTTTGTCATATTTAGCTTGATATGGTGGCGTATGGGAACGTGCCGGGAAGTTTCAGCTTTTAGCCCCGCTGCTCCTGATAGGAGCCCTGGTGGAGTCTTGGCTCTAGGTTGACCTTATTCACACTTATCGGCCCGGGAAATTTTCGATAGAGTCATTCGCACGGTAGAAATTTTCACTTGGTTGGAAGATGATGGGCTGAATTGAAATTTAATGGTGGGTGAGCGTAGTAGAGCGGGCATAGTCCCACTTTTTTAGTGTACAATGATCTCCAGCTGGCAAATATCCACCAGGCTTTAAGAGTCAAAGTCATGAACGCATTTAAAGTAAGCCCCGCTCGTAATTTACATTTCATTTATTACCGGACGTGAAAGGAAAGTGTCCATACCTCAAATTTGAGTGAACCCTTTCAAGGTTCCAAGGTTCTATTTCAACTCGTCCAATGACTTGAATCAATGGAGTACTATATTGTTGTGGGGAATGGATCTCAATGACTTAAAACTGTCCTCTAGTTAATCAGTCCCCTCACCTAAGAAACTACCAAAGTCTACCCATAACTTATAATTCGAGCCAAGATTCAAGAGTAGAAGAAAGCCTAAAGAAATTTGAACCTTTGAAGGCAGCATAATCACTCATGATCCCACTGTTGTAGGTATACAGGGTACTACCTCGATACTTGAGTCGTCCGGTGGACCTTGGAAGTTGGAATATCAGCCTTTGGGTGCGTAGAAGCTATAAAGCCAAGACGCAATAGGTAAAGCCATGTCTTCTACGATAGGTATCAGAAATCAGAATATTGCGGGAAAATAGCAACAAGAGAACTCAATCGGGTCGTTATTTTGACCAGCCCATATGTCTAGATACCAGGTGAGCACATGGTTAGTTCAGGGCACCCATTGGGGCTCGAGCTTGGAAACGGTCTAGGCTCTAGTAGTAAGTGAGGCATCTTGAGAGCCCTGGAGTATATAATGTGGTAATAAATGTAAATTACAGTATCAAACCTTAACCTTCACTCGGAACGTGGAATGATCCGGTATTATGTAATCCTTCCCCATGCTCAAGATGTTGCCTTGTACTGCCAATGTACCGGTTCACCTCGCGGCGGTGGCGGAGTTACTTTCGCCTACTTTGTCAAAACTATCATCTTCCCCTCTTTCTTTCTTACTCACTTGCCCCATCCTATTAGATTCTTTCAGATAGGTATGTTATTGCTACTTCAACTCTGCCCTTGAACACTCCCGATTGGAATAAATATCTCCAAGAAATCCCGGGAATGACGCATTCCTCTCTCTCTACCCGCCCCAAATCCCAATAATCCACCAGACTTGTCTGCCAATTCCTCCCTTGCTTTTGTTTCCCACCTCGGCATACCTGATGAGCTTTCGTGGAGTTTCAGACTGGCCGTGAACTGCCATCCGGAAAGCCTGATGATCCTAGAGCCCAAATACTAATCCCTCGTGTAGGACCGAGCTCTGTCCGTGCAGCCTCGAGCTTTCGCGTCTTCCCACTCCACAGTCGTGCCAGCTTCTCAATAACAAAACCTCTTCATCCGTAGCAGCCTCCAACTTGCTTGGTCGGCTGTCATTTCCTCAACAAACCAACCGGTCGCTAGTTCATTTGCATCATTGATCAATTTCTCCATCCACCCCCGCTCTTTTCCTCAAGCTCGGAACTCTCCTCCCCTGGCGTCAAGCAAAAATTTTCAGAAAACAGCCACAAACCCGGCAGATTCCTTCTGCTAGTATTAATATACCTGTCGCTGGGAGTGATCCTGTTAAGACCTTAGAAGCCAAGACATTCCAATACAGGGTGCCCTTTCTCGGCGTCGGGCTTGAACGTCCGCTGTTCGTGCGATCACCCCAGTCCTAGCTTGGCAGATCTCCTAGCCTTGCAGTGATGGGTCAGTCGCATTCCAAGGGCAACGCCGGCTCGGGCGACCCGCTGCAGTCGTACCCGTCTTTTTCAAAATCAGACACCAAAGAGTCCCTCCGCTCGTTCCGTGGCTCCATTCGTTCCAAGATCCCCGGGCGCAGTAACGACAGCCCTCGTGCATCGAGCACCCAGCTCTCGACTGATAGTCTCAATGACAAGTCTGATGCTGGATCTACCAAGTCGGCTAGCCGCCCGGGCTCTGAGGCCCCGTCTCGGACCGGCTCTCCTGAGCCTCCGCCGTCGCCTTCACTTTCAGCTAGCTTGCAACGGGGACATAAGGATGTCACAGCCATGCAGCAGAGTGGGGAGGTTGACCATGTATCTGACGGTCCTCCAAGGGGTGTTCCGCCACCATCTGGACCCGCTCAGGTTGCAGGTGAATCTATTTTGATGAAGCGGGAAAATCAGCTAAACCCTATTCTGGATTTCATCCTAAACACCCCACTCGATAATTCTGGCTCCTCTCCTGGAATGGGTATGGGTGCTTTGAAGTCCATTGATCTCGATGATATGATTTCACGTCTCTTAGATGCCGGTTACTCAGCCAAGGTTACCAAGACAGTTTGCTTGAAGAATGCCGAGATTACCGCTATTTGCTCTGCTGCCCGTGAGCTTTTCCTTTCTCAGCCTGCATTGTTGGAGCTCTCTGCTCCGGTCAAGATCGTCGGCGACGTCCATGGTCAATATACTGATCTGATTCGACTTTTTGAGATGTGTGGATTCCCACCTTCATCAAACTATCTTTTCTTGGGTGATTATGTCGATCGAGGAAAGCAGAGTTTAGAGACTATTCTCTTGCTTCTGTGCTATAAACTCAAGTACCCGGAGAATTTCTTCCTGCTTCGGGGCAACCACGAGTGTGCCAATGTCACACGAGTTTATGGATTCTATGACGAGTGTAAGCGACGCTGCAACATCAAGATCTGGAAAACATTTGTTGACACATTCAATTGTTTACCTATTGCCGGAATCGTTGCTGGCAAGATTTTCTGTGTTCACGGTGGCCTGTCACCCAGCCTGTCCCACATGGACGATATCCGAGGCATTGCCCGCCCTACTGATGTTCCCGATTATGGCCTGCTAAACGACCTTCTCTGGAGTGATCCAGCAGATATGGAAGAAGACTGGGAGCCCAACGAACGTGGTGTGAGCTACTGCTTTGGAAAGAAAGTCATCATGAACTTCTTACAGCGGCATGACTTTGATTTGGTCTGCCGTGCACACATGGTGGTTGAAGATGGATATGAGTTCTATCAGGACCGGGTTCTTGTTACAGTATTTTCTGCACCTAATGTAAGTTATACCTGCCCAGTCCTTGAAATTGTTCCTAGAGCTAATTTTATACTAGTATTGTGGCGAGTTCGATAATTGGGGTGCTATCATGTCTGTCTCTGGCGAGCTTCTTTGCAGCTTCGAGCTTCTGAAGCCCTTAGATTCGACAGCATTAAAGAATCACATTAAGAAGGGACGTAATCAGCGAAACAGCATGCTGAACAGTCCTGTAAGTTTCTACCCCCCTTATCTCATATACAGGTTCATTCCGCACAAACTTGACCCTTGCTCCACCGCCATCTCTTTGATATTTCATGTGCTGACACATTCATCTTCACAGCCTGCATTGCCGTCAGCCCAAAGCTTTTAATACTGTCGCATCGAACCACTGGTCTTACTCTTGACATCTGCAAAGTCTCCATTATTACAATGGCTGCAGCGCTCGCCAAATGAACCCAACCATGATCTTATCTCTGCCAGCTGTTACTCAACTGCCAGAGTAATGTCTAAATTCTCACCACCCGTGGATATATGCTCTATTTTGAGCCATGATTGTCCTGTGAACACTCGCCGGAGGCCATTGACCGGGGCCTGTTTTATCAATCCCGCGCAAGGAATATTTTCCATAAACATGCGCATGCAGATCCCGCGTCTACCGGAGACACTTACATAGGGAATATACGTAAGGACATACCCGTCTTGAATATTTAAGATGTCCTTGCTTTGCCGTACTCAGACTTGGGCGATCCCCAAGTACGCGCTCTCCCCCTTCCAGCTCTGCTGGTGACACGTCCCGGACTCCTTTGGCTGATGGCAGTGTTCTCTAACGCTTCCTTCGCTCCAAATGACTGATTCTATTTCTATTCTTTCCCTTCTCATGTATTCAAACTGTGTTTCTCTTCGGATCAAGGTATCGAGGTCCTGTTTTGTATTCGTATTTGTTTCAGCATTGTCACGCAGGTCTCACGCAGGTGGCGTTAAATCAAATTCCATAAAGTGTGCTCTAAACGTCCAGGGTTCTTCTTTTTCCTTGTTTATGGGGTTACTATATTGAGTCGAATAGAAGTCATTTCAAAGATACACCGTTAAATACCATCCATGGCCCTCAAACTTTGAGCAAAATTTTATGGTAGCAACAGTAGCACAATTTCGAAGTAGTCCCAAGGTTCGTGATAGAACAATAAGACGGAGCTGAGGGGAGGTATTTGCCTTGACAGGATATCTCGAGGGGCTCGTCTGACTGTCGGGCCCACTGTGGTGTATTACTATATTCTAAGCTATGTATAGACAGGCAAACCATTAGGAAATGGATAGCATATTTCAAAAAGGACTTGTGTGGAGTGAATGCACTTTATCGCTGTCCAAGCATTGAATGGTTCTCTTCCCAGAACAACCGACAAGCAGTATGTCCCCAATGCTCAGTCCACCACTCCCCAAAACTATCCTGTACATCTCCCTCATCAACCCTGAGCACACGCTCATCCCTCTTCAAGGCGCAAAGTGCACAAGCATGAGGAGCTTTGAGAGCCCCAAGTTCAGCCTTCGCCAGTACAACCTTCAGGGAACTCGGGTCAGGAACAGCTGGAATAGGTCGCTGTCCCGCGGCCTGAGTAACAGCGTTAAAAAGAGCAGCACGATCGCGCCACTGGGCCAAGACATCGAGGGCATCTTGTTCTTCTTTCAGGTTCTCATGCTTGTTCACCGCACTGAGTTTCATCCCGCCTGACTTGCCAGTCGCGGGCCCAATACGCATACTTTGGCTGAGGATTGTGTCGCGTTTCCAGCGGAGAGTGCGGCCGGCGATTATGCGGGCTGTTGTTTCGAGAGTATTGTGGATTTTTTTGGCAGTTCCTGCTTTGAGCGATGCCGGTGTGGCACTGGCTTTGCTTTTTGTCGCTTCCGTTTGAAGAACTTTGAATGTGTTTATGAGAAGTTCGAGGAGAATGGATGGTGGTGGAATATTGGTTGGGCGTATATTTGCTGCTGGCGTTGTAGGCCCGGAAATGAAGCTACGTGGAGAAGGGATTGATATTGATGGCGACTTTGATGTTGATGTTGGCTTTGGTGCTGCTGTGCTAGGCCCGTCTGTAAAGTCTCCCCATTCATCAAAGGCATCGTCATCCCAGGCTGGTTGCTGCAAAGACGCTTTTATAGGGACTTGTTTCGGTTTTTGAAGGATCTTGGCAGATACTGGCTTTTTGGATGATCCATCTGTGAATTCCCCCCAATCTTCGAGCGCTTCATTTTCTTCCCATGTCGGGCTTGATGGGGGATTTTTGGACTGTGGCTGGATCTTGATCTTTGGATTTTGTAGCTTTTTTGAAACTGGCGCATCTTCTTGTATTGACAATGAACCTAAAAGGTCTACTGTCCCAGATGACGCTTTCTTTTGCGCAGGTTGAGACTTGGATGTATAAGCCCGTGCTGCCTGAGTCGCAGTCGTTGAAGGTTGGGATTGACTGTCCAGAATTGTAGCTTCAGGACCTTCAAAATCCCCCCAGTCATCATCCGTATCACTGGCAGGAGTATCTATCGCGGCATCAAATAGCACATCGCTATCTTGTTCCCTCGGTAGACTGAGTGCTTGTAAGCCAATTGGAGCTGGATAGGCATTCTGAGTGGTTGGGTTGAAGGTAGATCTGATTTGTTTATTCTCGGAGACTCCAGCAAAGAATTCATCAGTTTCGTCTAGATCGGTTATCAACGAATTTGTTTGTGGTCTATGTGTCGGTGGAGGTGCGGAGGTTTGCGGAGCTCCAGAGCTCTGGCCGAACGCTGCAAACAAGTCGGCAGACATTTGTATCGGGGTATCATGAAGTAAGAGGTAGTTGCGTAAGATCGACTGAGTAGCGGTGAGGTACTGAGGCCAGTGAATCTACCCCGTCTTAGTATAGCGCGTCTGAGCTGGTTTTAAAAGAGGTCATGTTGCTGCCCCCACCAGATAAGAATAAGGCGGACGGCGATTACACTATCGTTTCCCCTCAATCTCACCTTCACATACACTTCCGCTGCGCCTGAAATGAGAACCATTGAGGAGACCAGGTAAGCCCTTTTTACGTTTTTACGAGGCCATTTCAAGCTGATTATTTGCAGAAAGAGATGGGATGCCCTATTCCTCAACAATGACACCGCTGTCGATCTTCAGGCGGCACTGCGATCTGAGCAAGGTAGAAAGCTGTGTAACGATGGGCTGAGGTCGATCTGCTGGAAGGTGTGTGGGCATTGAATACTCTGGAAGCTCAGCACTCACTTTCCACGTCCAGATCTTCTTGCTCTTCGAAGGTCTCGAACGCGAACAATGGTCCCAGAAACTCGCCGAATCACGTGAGGCATACACTGCTCTCCGTGCCCATTTCTTGAAGTATATCGAGCACCCAGATGACTTAGGGTCGACGGTCGATCCGCTGGCGGATGATGAACATGTATGCAGCTATCTTGGCCCAGTAATTCCCTATGCCCAGGGAATTATCTATCTGATTGTTTATTTACTTACCGATCGACAAGTCGCCATGGCAAACCCTTCGAACCGACGAGAAACTGCGCGCCGAGATATTGCAGGATGTCGATCGATGTCTTCAAGAAAACCCTTTCTTCCAAGAACCGGCAACCAAATCTAAACTGACCGATGTGTTGTTTATTTACTCAAAACTCAATCCTGATGTAGGCTACAGACAAGGCATGCATGAGCTGTTGGCACCAATTCTATGGGTCATTGATCAGGATACCATCCAGAAGTCTACTGAAGCCAACCGTAATGGTAATGAAGAAGATAGCCTGATGGTGGACCTTCTTGATGAGAAATTTATTGAACATGATTCGTTCAGCCTATTTCTCTGTGTTATGCAGACGGCTCGAATATACTATGAACATAGCGAAACAAACGGCCCAACAGATGTGATCCCGATTGTTAGTCGATGCGAATTTCTACATAAGGAGGCCTTGATGATCATCGACCAAGAATTAGCGGAACACCTGGAGGCAGTTGATGTGCTTCCCCAGATTTTCTTAACGTGAGTTCTATTTTGATCAGGCTGCCCTCAGTGCTAATTTTTACGAAGTCGATGGATGCGTTTGTTATTTGGACGAGAATTTCCTTTTGAGGATGTCCTCACCATGTGGGATATTCTGTTTGCCCATGGGCTAAGATCTGACATTGTGGACTTCACATGCATTGCAATGCTGCTTCGAATTCGCTGGCAATGTTTGTGATATGCAAATGCTTCCAGTTGTAGTTTACTAACTGTTCATCATATAGTGCTCAAATCAGATTACTCTGGCGCCTTGACAATGTTGCTGCGCTATCCTTCACCTCTCCCACATTCGCCGCACGAATTTATGCATGACGCACTTTACCTGGAGCAAAATCCAACAGCAGATCGAGGGGCGCATCTAATTGCAAAATACTCGGGTAAACAACCCGGGTCTTCCAAGCGCAGAGAAAGTAATTTGCGGTTTGCCCGGAAAGCTCATCTTTGGGAGGACTTCAAAAAGCACAGCGAGAGTGAATCATCTTCTTCCAGAAATAGCCCAAAAAGTCTGGAAACCCTTCTACAAGACGTTTCCCAGGGAATTCAACGACGCACAGAGTCCTGGGGCGTAGCCAAGGCTGTCCGGGGGGCCGTGACGGAAGCGAGAAAAAACATGCAAACAATGCAGCATGAACCAATCCGACGGGTCGTTGCTAGCCAGCCCCCTCTTACCAGGATATCTCCAACAGCAAACGAACTTAGTCTTGAAAAAAAGATTAGTTGCTTGGAGGAGAGGAACAAGGCGCTCTCCTCTACTTTGAGTGAAGCTCTTACAGAACTTCGTTTGCAGCTAGCCGCCGTCAAGGATCTTGACTTGAGTGCAAATGATGCTTTAGTGCAGGCTTTAGCTCGAGCTGAGTCGGTTCAAACCTGCCTTGAAAATCCTTCAGCTTCAGTAGACCTGGTCGCGCGTCCCTCCAATGTAGATAACGAGTCAGCCCAATCTACAGACAAGTCAGATGCACTGAAATCAGATGTTGCGCAGGGTCAGCCAGATGTACCGCCACCTTCCATCGAGGTCCAAGGGCGAAGTGCCGAAAGTGGGACCCCCAAACCTGTCGGCATTTCCACAGCTCCCACGACAAACGGCAAGACCGACGGTGTGCGCGCGGTATCGCGGTCACTTGTGCGACCATCCCTGTCTGACGCAGGCTTCTCATGGATGCTGGAAGGCAGTCGAAATGTTGCCAGTTTTGTCAGCTCCGCATCAGAACCACCAGAGCAGACTCGACAGCTAGATCGAAAGCTAGATCAACAGCGCAGAGGCAGTAAATCGAGTCCCCTTTTTGGAAAGGCTGGAGAAGAGAAATCTGAAGCTGAAGCCGAAGATGAACTTGCCATGAGCCATCTGAAAGGGGTGCGAGAGCCCCTGTAAGCATACAACGCAAGGGGCGATATTAGATTGCGATTACTGTGTAGTATTTACAGATCGCTTTATGCAGTGATCGGATTGTCTTCAGATCCATTGTCTATGCAATTATCCGACTCTCATTCGCTGGGAGGACCAGCTTGCAGTAGCGGTGGAGATGTACCAACGCACAAGAATTCCTTCGGATCTGTCGGCCATTACAGAGTACAGAGTACAGAGTGTGTCCTGGTGGAATACAAGAGAACATCCAATAGTACTGAAACCTCAAGCTTGCAGTGTATCAGATATATGGCGGGAATGAAACCCAAGATATAGATGTGTAGTTGTATAATTGCAGGGGTTAACTAGTATCTGAACAGAAACCAGTCCATCTCTCCCAGAATCTTTCGAGACTTAGTCTGGAAAAGGAATGATTTGAAAACAAAAATGAATTAAAATGAGAAAAGTACAAATACCGTGAAAAGTCCGTCTTCAGCGCCTACTAAACCGATCTAAGCTAAATATCTACGTAGTCTTGAACTTCTCTATTACATCACCCTCACTCTTCACCCCGCCCCCCTTTTGGGCACTTTTTTCTTAAAAACTCCACTAAACAATCCCCCGCTGTCTCAATTTTTCCCCTCCTTCTCCCTGCACTAATCCCAAATCATTCGCACAAACGCGTGCTTTGGCCACTTATGCCGGGCGCTTGACGAGGCAGCTGCCCTGTCCTCCATCTGGTCGTTGCTGACTCGAGCGAATGACCATTTCGCTTGTCATTCGTTCCATGTCGCATTTGTCTCCATTTGAGCCTCATATCCTTCTTATTCCGGTCCAATTTAAGACCCTCCGCTTCTAAAATTATGGGGTCAGCTTACAATCCCGATGGTAAGTCCACACATCCTTGCTTCACATGCCGGCTGGGGAGGGGGAGCAGCAAGACTCGATTGGAGTAAGGGACTATAGGGATGGAGAACGCCACAGAGGAGAATTAAAGGGAAAAAACCCACTTACTTTTGTCCGGTTATCGTCACTTCGCAGTGAAGTGAGAATAGACTCCGTGCAAAGACTTTTCCTTCACATGCGGGACGGCGTCTGACCGCGGATATCAATTAACCCCCCCTCTTCTGCATCACTTGCGTCTATCACGTTCTCATGCCCCGTGGAATGGAAAATTGAATACGCGCCAATTGACTTGATACTGATATTCAATTATACAGACGAACCAAGTCCTCTGTCATCTCCATTGCGTTCCCTTCCCGAATCCCCCGAGTCAGAGCCGGTTTTTCCAACCCTTTCTCTCAAAACAGATCAACCCATGAGAGGCTCGGTAGATAGCCTTTCGTCAGGATATGATACTCTTCCAAGGTCAGTACCTCATTCGGAGGGAATGCGAAACAATCAAGAGACTAACGTGGCTACTGTATCTGCAACAGATCCCCTCTATTTGAGAGCGAACATGGGCTCGGTCCATCTGGACTCGATCGCATACGACAGAATCAGCCTGCACGAGTTTTAACCCTCCCAAATTTGTCGAGTTCCTCCGTGGCCCAAATGTCTACTCGTCCTCTACCGTCCTCCCGTTCAAGCTCTTCATCTAGGGCTCCTCCAGGCCACATGGCTCTTACCCCGAGCTTTGGGGACTTGGAAGATTTGCATCGATTCCCCTTGGAATCATTACATTCTTTTTCATTTGCTCAGCAATCCGGGGAATTGCTACAGAATAGACAGAACATTCTCAAGAGATCGATCGATATCCTGCGCGACCGCATGGGATGGGCCAACAACAACTTCGGAGTCGCCAATTCTCAGGCTAATATCCATGGCGACTCAGATATGCAGAGTATGATGGACCTTTTGGCTCGCTCTCATGTTCTGGATGAGGAGATCAATATTACGCGCGGCCCTATCACCGGACCAGCGAATGTCAATGGCGAGAACATTTTCGACCGGGCCTTCTCAGACCAGGGAACGCGCTCGCCCAGCTCTCAAGAGAATCAGGACTCAACTCCAGGATCGCAAGCAACCTCCGCCAACTCCCAATTACTGAGTTCCCTGCCCAATGACCGTATCCCACAATCCAGGAAGGATCTAAGATCGGCACCGGCATCCCGGCGCGTTAGCCTAAAACGTACATGCACGGATCTCAACACTCCTTACCCGCAAAACAAGCTGATGGAAAGTTTAGCGCGATCATGCTCTTCCACGGATCCCTTTGCCTCTCAAATTTCTTCCAGTGCGGGATTAGGATTTCCTTCCCCTGTCCTGCACACCCACAGTAGCAAATGGACTCCAGTTTCCCAGGCTGTATTCAGAACCGAATGCGATGCACCATGGACTATTATCGCGGCTAATGATCTCTCTTGTCTAATATTCGGGGTCGCTCAGTCCGAGGTTCGAAGGCTCAGTATCTTGGAGGTTGTACAGAAGGAGCATCGGAAGTGGCTTGAGGCTAAGCTTCGAGACCCTAGTACTGACGCTGCAGCTCGCACGCCACTTCCGCCGGAGAGACCTAACATCCGTGCAGTGAATCCGAAGTATCGAGGCCTGGGGAATGGGAACGGATTGACTGCGCAACTGCTTAGCAAGCCGTCATCACGAGAAAAAGCTTCCAGGAGAGCGCAGACTGATGATGGGTACGGCTCAAGCAAGAGAAATCCCCGCAACGTCAATCACCCGGCCACCAAGTCGCGTGGTGTTCTGCTCTGTGGCGATGTAGTTCCCATTCAGAAACGAAACGGCGCTAAGGGGTCCGCTAGCGTGTGGGTCATGGAGAAACGTGGTGGTCTGATTTGGGTGATGGAAGAGATCACGGAAAACATCGCAACTGTACAGTGCGATGATTCCTGGAATGTTGTCAGTGCCCACGGGGATATCGACAAGATTTGGGGTCCCTCTGTAATACGTAAGGGCCAGCCAATCACCGAACTATTACCTCGTCTGCCCTTCGAATCTCTTGAAACTTCCCCCGAGAATGGTGTCGCCAAAATAGTGGATTTGAGGCATTTTGCCGCCCGAACCGCTGTTGGAGTTTGCATTCCAGTGACTGTGGGCAGGGCAGATGGGCCTCGCATGTTGCAGGTTTCCAGCTTTCCTCATGTCGCAGGAATGATGGTTTTATCCTCGACCACATTGACCGTAATTAGCTCGAATTCCGTATTTTCGTCCGCGCTTTTCGGCCAAGAACGACCTGAAGGTCGGCACATCACAGAGTTGGTACCGGGGTTCGACGAAATTTTGGATGTCTTAACTGAGGAAGACAATGTGCCGCTGGTGGATGGAATTGTCATCCCCGAACACAGTTTCAGACGAGCTCGAACATTGTCTATCCTTCGCGATGGAAAGGCCAATGCCGCATCTGTTTTTACGGAACCCAGTGGCTTGCTGGCCAAACATCGGGATGGCAGCACAATCGTTGTGGATATCCAATTGCGGGTGGTCAAGAGCGGCACTTTCTTCTCCAAGGAACAGGTGGAGAAGATTTCAGAGCGCTCAAGTGACTCTGAAGACAGCGACGATACCATCGCCGTCACCGAGCTGGTGTACGCTTTGTGGATTACATACTCGAGACAAATCCATGCTGCCGGGCCTGCAGCCCCCATTTCATCTTCTTTGAATTCTTCAAAGCCAACATCCCCTGGCGAGACTCATCCGCCGTCTGAAGCCGGCATCAGAAAAAAAACTCCAGAGAACAGCAAAAGCTCTGTGGAGATCCAAGCTCCAAGCTCTACACTTAGTCAACAGCTGAGTGAAGCTGCCTCTGAGCCGCTCACTGATCGGCCACTACAGCCAGTACTCGAGGTCAATGCCAAGCCACAGAAACGAACGATCAACGATTATGTGATCCTAGAAGAAATGGGACAAGGTGCCTATGGGCAAGTGAAACTGGGCCGTCTCAAAAAGGATCCCAGCAAGAAGATGGTACTGAAATTCGTCACCAAGAAGCGCATCTTGGTTGATACCTGGACTCGTGACCGACGGCTTGGGACCGTGCCACTGGAGATCCATGTATTGGATTTCCTCCGCCGCGATGGATACAAGCATCCAAACATTGTGGAGATGGAAGGGTTCTTTGAAGATGATATAAACTATTACATCGAGATGAAACCACACGGACTTCCTGGGATGGATCTCTTCGATTACATCGAGCTAAAACCAACCATGGAGGAATCAGAATGCCGCAACATTTTCAAACAAGTTGTGAGCGCAATCCATCACCTTCACACCAAGGCCATGGTGGTACATCGTGACATCAAGGACGAAAATGTGGTTCTAGACGGAGAAGGTCGAATCAAGTTGATCGACTTTGGTAGTGCAGCCTACATTAGAAATGGGCCCTTTGATGTGTTTGTGGGTACTATTGGTACGTATTTATTTGACAGAAGGAAGTCTCATGTTTATTCTACTAATCTGACGTTTCTATAGACTATGCTGCTCCGGAAGTGCTTCAGGGCAGATCATATCGAGGCAAGGAACAGGATATCTGGGCTCTTGGCATCCTCCTCTACACCATCGTGTACAAGGAAAATCCATTTTACAACGTTGACGAGATTCTCGACCACCCTCTTCGCATTCCATTCCTCCCATTCTCCGAAGACTGTATCGATTTGATCCGCAAGATGCTTGATCGTGACGTCGACAGTCGACTGACCATCACTGAAGTACTCGAGCACCCTTGGATGACAGGGGAGGACTAATCACACTACCACACCCTTTTACCATTGTCATCAATATCTATTTTTTTTTTTTTTTTTTTTTTTATAATTGTTAACGAGGCAAAAAAGAAAACACACGATACCCCCACAACGTTTTGATTTGCTTCATGGATACAGGTTTGGGAATTTACTGGGTAGTTATCCTTTTAGCTCTTCAGCATGGAAAGTGTGGTCTTCGCACTGAAATTTATGGTGAATTTCGGTGGAACACCTCTTCGCATGACATCTTTACTGCAAATTAGAGATCTCATAGTAGATCAGAAAAGAAGAAAGAGATTAGCATAACTTAGTTTTGAGGCTACCCCACCCTAGACACACGAAGTATTATACCAAAGTACCTCGGTCCGTACTAAGTAGTAAGCCCCGGACCACATCTGACCACCCTCCACACTAACTGAAAAGAGGAAGTAGCGTACGGAGTACTAGTTTCGTGCGGCCTAGCCTTTTTTAGAGATATATTATGTTTTCTTTTTCCATCGTTCAGGTCTCATGGGTAGACTTAAGGGTGAACATGATTAATATGACCCAATAAAATAAGAGATCAACTCAGAAATAACCAGTAGTATCTATCATATCTATGGAGTCAAGAGTTCTTCTGGGGCGTCGTCAGCCGACTTGAGCTTGGGTCACTTGCTAATTGGTTGTGGCACAGACTCAACCCCACCAGATAAAATATACGATAAGAGATAACTAGACAGCTGCCTATACTTGCGGTGTACATGGTTCTTAGGTGGCATCGCCATAACTATGACATGTTGCCCTAATGTATCACATTTTTTGTCTTACATTCCACTTTGACCATCCATTCAGCTCTTTCCCCCCTTCTTCCCGATTGCGACATTTCTTTCCCTTTCTATATTTCTACTTATGTTCCTTCAACCTTGTTCTACTTCCTCCCCATCTCTATCTACTAAAATCAGTTTGACGTTCAGTGGGTCGGAACTATAAGGTGCCACGGTACTATATAACCCACAGTCTCCACTTCCTCCTTACGACCTGTTTTATCCCCCCTCCCACCTCGAAGATAAAGAATCCAGATCCGGTTTCGGGGAATCTTGCGTACTTGCACTATGATCATATAGCTTGTCGCGGTGTAGTATCGCATGCGCTATTCAAAGTCTTCTGGTTTTCTTTGTTCTTTCCGACGTTTAGGCCTTTATTCAGTCATACGTTTATTCCGCCTATAACATCCGAACACCATGGCTACCACAATGCCAGGAGAGCCTACTGCGGAGTCCCCGATTTCTCAAGCCAGCCCTACTTCCTCCACAGGACAAATTCCTCTAGAACAACCTCCCAAGCTCAAAGGCCGGCACAAATTGCTACATAATCTCCAACGTATATCGTCCAGCCCGACATTAACCCGCCTCGGCAGATCCGCATCCGTGGGCGCTTATAGACGGGAGCGAAAGGCGTCCTTGTCGTGCGTTTCACTATCGACAACATACTCGCCTTGTCTTGGGGAGGGAGAATTGTTACAGCTCAATGGAGGTATCAATACCCAACCGACTACATCGGGTTGTACAAGTGAAATCAGCCATCGGATCCGCGTTGTGGGTACAGAATCACCCAGCAATCGGACTGTGCCTCTGCCCTCCGATCTGAGATCGCCCTCGCGTGGCTCTCCATGCAAGGATATTCTGGAGCATGGGACAAGAGGGGAGCGGAGAAAATCTCGGCCGACTAGAAATTTCGATTTTTGGAGTGATATGCCGCGCGAGTTGAAGACGGAGATTTTCCGCTATTTGACGCCGCAGGAGATCGTGCGTTGCTCTGCTGTTTCCAAGGCGTGGAATGCCATGTGCTACGACGGACAATTGTGGTCTAACGTTGACACGACGGAGTATTACCAGAGGATCCCAAGTGATGTGCTGGTGAAACTGATTACTTGTGGTGGTCCATTTGTGCGCGACCTAAATTTGCGAGGTTGCGTGCAGCTCCGCGATAAATGGTCTTCAGATGGAAAGCGCATCTCAGACTTGTGTAGGAATGTTGTCAATTTCTCACTTGAGGGTTGTCGCATTGATCGGTCGTCGATGCATTATTTCCTGCTGAGGAACCCTCGTCTGGAATACATTAATGTCTCTGGGTTGAGCAGTGTGACGAACTCAGCAATGAAAATTATAGCGCAGTCCTGTCCATACCTTGAGGCGTTGAATATCTCATGGTGCAACAAGGTCACGACTGAAGGACTCATTCGAGTGGTCCAGTCTTGTGAGCGACTCAAGGATCTCAGGGCCAGTGAAGTCCAAGGCTTCAATAATGTAGAATTCACAGTGGAGTTGTTCAAACGGAATACCCTAGAACGCCTCATATGCAGTCGCACTGATCTGAACGACCAAAGTCTAAAGGCACTGCTACATGGCATTGACCCAGAAATGGATATTTTGACCGACAGAGCGGTTGTGCCACCTCGAAAACTGCGTCACTTGGATATACATCACTGCCCTGACGTGACCGACGTCGGCCTAAAGAGCCTTGCCCATAACGTCCCCGAGCTAGAAGGCCTGCAAATCTCACAGTGCCCCGAGCTAACCGATGACTCGGTGATCAAAGTGATTCGCACCACGCCACTCCTCTCTCATCTCGACTTGGAAGATCTGGATCGCCTGACAAACAGCACCCTTTTCGAACTTTCCAAGGCTCCATGTGCCAAGGTTCTTGAGCATCTAAACATCAGCTACTGTGAAAGCTTAGGTGACACTGGCATGCTGCCTGTAGTGAAAATCTGTCCGAAACTACGTTCCCTAGAGATGGACAACACCCGCGTCTCAGACCTTACCCTAATGGAAGCCAGCTTCCGAGTTCGCAGACGTGGCTACAGCGACGAACATCCCAAGATTGGAATGCGCATTGTAGTTTTCGATTGTATAAACGTTACCTGGGCCGGTGTCAAGGAGGTGCTATTCAGCAACGCATACATCCCCCGATTATCTCGTAAGCCTGTGTCAACAGTTGTGACAGTGACTCAAGCCTCGGACGCAGACTCGTCCCCCGTGACAACAACCTTTGTCACGCCAGCTTCCACGCCTTCGCCCTCGCCCACATACCCGAACGAGATAATCCAGCTGAAATGCTACCACGGATGGCAGATGACCGTCGATGAGCACACGAAGCGTGTTCTGCGCGGTGACTTGGCCGCCGCTAGTCGGCTGGACCACAAGTGGGCCGATTACATGATGGCCACCCAGGAGGCCGGCGCTCCTGGCGCTGGAACTCGGCGCAGAAGACGCCGAGCCCGCGAAGCTGAAAGACTATATACGATCGATGACGATGTTGATGAAAACGGTGCCTATATTGTAAACAATCACACTGGCGGGCGTCGCCGACGTGCCCAGACCAGTGTTGGCGTCTGCTCAGTGATGTGAGATTTCAAAGTCACGGATAATGTCATTACCAGCGGCCGGATCGCTGGTTGCTGCAGCGCAGCTCAACCTACGAGACACATGATAGTCTCTTTCTTATCTATATTCATTTGTTCTTGAGCTAGCATTCTGCATATTTCCATTATAGCTGTCTTACAATTTCATTTCTGCCTTACTTTCAGCTCTGTTTCCTTTATTTTCCTTACCTGTCTCTGTCTCTATCGCTGTCTCCATCTTTGGCGTTTGGATTAAGACCGTATTCCCTGAAGGACTCTTCACCTCATTTCGATTTGGCATATGTAAACTGTAGACCTGGTGGATATCGGAGTTTAGTGCTGTTTTGAACTTCCAACCTGGAAAATTATCTTTCCTCTCTGGAGTCTGTACATGTGGTTAGCTTATTCAATTTTACCTTTCGGATCTTGGAATCTGTCTTCAAACACCTATATCCCTTTAATTGAAGGCAAGGTCTTGAAAAGCTTTTTTTTTTTTTTTCGCGCGAAAAAAAAAAAAAAAAAAAAAAAAACCAACACACGCTGAAAAGATAACAAATAAAAATGTGAAATAGAAAGAGCATTTTTTTGGAGGGTATCGACGCAAAGTTGGAAAAAAAAAAGAAAAAACTGCAAAGTTGTGTGTGTCTGTTGGTGGGCGATCACGCCTTGATCAACAACGGCCATTTCCTATTCATGCCTTATGAATTTGAGTGTAAACCGCAGTAGAACGACCCCTATCGTCAGTGATATATTCAAGATGATAGGCCAGTCCAGAAGATTTATTCACAATTTGTTGCAGACGGTCATCTTGGACATACTGCGGAGGGTGACCCAAAATAGGATTTGAAAGGTTAAAGTGCGGCTCCGGAAGGGGATAATTGAAGTGGGGAAGCTGCCCAGCGACGTCGATGTTGAGCATAGTACCGGAAACACGCTGCGGAAGAGGTTGAGTAGTCTGCAGAGTTTCATCCTGGAAGAACCGAGAATCTTCAGTCGGCTCCATAGGATGGTCTTCAGTCAGTTCTAGAACACCTTGGGTGGGCTGCGCAGGCTGATCCTGAAGCTGTTCCAAAGATCGATCAAAAAAGGACTGCTCAGGTTCTTCAATACGCTGCGGAGGCTGATTTTCAATCGGCGGAAGACCGTGAGCGGGCTGCATATGGTGGTTTTGGATCGGCCTCGGGACAACCTGAATGGTCTGTGGAAAACCCGGGGAATACAGAAAGTACTGCGGTGGTCCTTGTATCTGCAGCATTCCTTGAATTTGCGGTGGAAACCCTGGGAAGTACTGTGCAAGAGGTTGGATATAAAGTGGAAGACCTTGAAGACTCGGAAAATGATATGGCAGACCTGGATTGTACTGGAATCCTTGGAAGTAGGGCAGAAGATTTTGAATACGCTGTGGATTTTGCATAGGGTTCTGGGAGAACTGCTGGGGCTGATCTTGAATGTGCTGTGTACCTTGTAACTGCTGAGGCTCTTGAATATGGGGTGGCGGCGCATGTTGAATGGGTGAGTCGCTGCCGCTTTCACTAGAAGAGCTGGTTTCGCTTTCAGATTCAGTTCTCGTTTCTGATTCGCTAGAAACCGAAGTGCTAGCACTGTGAGTTGAAGCAGTCGCAATTGTCGTGTCATCAGGTGTCGATTCAGTTTCATATCTCGCGATTTCGGGATCAGTGTTTGCAGCCGGCTGGAAAACCCATGTTTCATTTGCATCTTGGTTACCAACGGTCTCATAGACACTTGGATGCCGTTGGTTAAAATAGCGTCGGTGCAGATATTGTTGATAATCAAGGGGTATTCCGTGGAAAACTGTTGCAGGGGCGATTGAATGATTTGGATAATACCGCAAGCTGGGACCACAGCGCGGGTGGTAGCCACGAATCCACACCAATGCGCAGAGTGTATAACCACCATTTACCGAGGGCACAAGCGCAATATCAGTGTGGTTGGATGCAACGCGATCGCGCATGGCAGGATCAGCCTCCAGTCCAAAAGCTCGGGGGTAATTCACTCCCGGAAGTCCCTTTGATCGGTCCCAAATTTGCATCTGATTATTGAGCTTGCGTATAAGTGCAACAGCTGAGCCTGGGGCCACGACGACTGGACCAACAGTCCACGTTGGATAAGACTTGGCCTGGGGACTACCCAATGGATGCAAAATCCACCCAGCCCATCTTGCATGCAGCCGACCACACAGAATGTAGTATCCCTTGTAGACAGGGAAAAACGGCAGACCATGTGCCCAGCAGATCGGGCTAACCCCGGACGGTACACGCGCGGTGTCGATATCTCCATCGGAATTGAAATCGTACGGGTATTTGCGTGCACGATCTGTCGGACTCAGATGCTTAGTCGCCAGATAAACCAACTCATCACTGAGACGAGTATAGGAGAGGGGGAAAATAGGCTTTTCTGGTTTTGTTTTGACGTAGTTAACTTGTTTGGCAAGGTACATAGCCTGGAGTCCTAGGTTGTTACTAGGCTTTCTAAAGCGTCTTCCGTCATCAGGTGCATAAAGATTATCAGGTCCATTTCGCTCATAGTCATCAAGGATGCACAGGCAGGTCTCTCGATAGGTGCGAATGTTACCAGCATAGACAGCGGTACTGCTCTCAGCACAGGCCATTAAAGCACCACCCACCATACTGGGATGACTCATCATGGCCATGTCACCTGGAAACCTTAATGCCACGACAAGTCACGGGATGGAAGATCGAACCCGGAAATTAGTTTATCCAGTATAAATTGACCGAATTGGTCGAGTACCGTGACGTAATATTGCGTATTGTAACGCACCAATTCTTGACCACGTGATCAAAAGAAGAACGCTGTTCGCGAAAATGAGAAGGCTTGGAAGCGATAGCGCATAAATTGTATTGTTAGCGTCCCAGGATGAAGATGTGTGTAGAAGAGAAGAAGATTATGTACTGAAGAGATACTTGTTTGTTTGATATACCTAAGGATGGCGTCCAGTCAGAGGCGCATAAACTTATCTTGTGACTCTTGTAAGCGTCCTAGGATAAATATAGTGTAGAAGGGTAGAAGATTATATACCCAAGAGGCACTTATCTGTTTGAAATACCTAGAGTCGAGTGCTTGATATACCTAGGATTGGATTCCGGATTAGTAGATTTCATTCACTGTCTGATTCTTGCGTCCATGGGATATCTCTTATAAGAAAGTGATATAAGGCTGAGATAAAACTGTTTCAATCACGTGTGAGTTGAAGATCTAAGTGAGGCGAAATTAAGAACTCTCTTTATGGATTTTAGGCAATCAAATAGTATAAAACCATTTACTACATTTCATCTTAATCTAGGATTATGTGTCAATAAAAGACCGAAGTAGGCTATCTAAGTAAAATTAAGTAGCGAATCACACCTAGGTAGGGATTTTAGACTATTCAGTACTAGAATACTTCATTTAACCTTGATAGTATCACGTGTGGATTTAAGGAGCCGATTTGTATTCAGGACCCGACCTCGGGACTCAGGAAATGATCAATGTATATCTTTTTCTTATATAATTTGGGCTGCAAGAACAAAGTAATACTTGGGTACTTGGTAATAATTAATCTACTAATTACTCCAGATCTAAATTAGCTTGCAGTCGACTGCCAAGGTAGAAAGCCCATCACGACAGAAATTTCTTTCGATGTTTGATTTGACGTAATACGACATTGGATATCAATATGGAGGTACAACATTCAAGAGACAACCTTGGAACACATCATAAAACAATTATATGCCTTATTCCCAGAAAGTTTTATTCATCAAAGAATCCACCATCACTTTCATCATCAGCAAGTACGACGGGGGCCACATCATGTAGTCTGTCGCGTTCTTTCCCGTAATCTTTCCGAATCTGCTTCTCCGATGACCTGCTTCCCTTATCATCTCTCGCCTTGAAACTCTGTTTAGTCTCTTTAGGCCCTTGCTTCTTCTTTTGTTTCTTGCTATCATGTTCAGGTGATATTTTCTTGATAGTATCAGGGATAGGTTGACCATCAGGCCCAATATTCAATTTGCCCTCGCGAAGTTGATCAAGTGTGCCCTCCTTCATACACTTTTCGACAACGGACCACAGAGGAGGCTTTACATCAGTTTTATCGGGGGTTTGTGCTGACTCCGACTCTTTTCCAGCTTTATTGTCAGCTTTTTCCTGAGACTTGGGATAGAGCGAAATGTATTTCTCGGTGAGAGGATAGTAGACCGTGTAGTTAAGGTTGACTCGAGCGGCGTGGATCTTCTGCTGAAGGTGAGATGTTTGATCAGAGTCGAGATCTTTTTCTTTCTCCTGTCGGATAAACAGTTTTAATTGCTTAGAAGCAGTCTTGCGGTCTAGTAAAAAGTGTTAGCATCTCAAAAAGTCACCAGCAAAAATTATTTCGAGACATACCAAGGAACCGAACAAAGTGATATTTCTTGATTTTCTGTGATCGTTCTCTGCGTGCTGTTTCCTCTGCGAGATCCCGTTGATATCCTTCTAGAGCTCGTTCCTGCACCACGCGAGCATCTGCGGGCAGTTTCCCCTTGGCGAGAAGGCGTGTAACGTCGCGAATTCTCTTCTTGAGGTCATTCACTGATGTGAAATTTTCATCCTTTTCGTCTCGTGGTGTCGGCTTTCCTTTGTGTTTGTAGCTCGATTTGGAGGTGCCCGCGTTTCCATACTCCTCATATTGACCGTCGTCGTGGCTGCCAGCTGCATTCCGGTGCGGCTTTTTCCGAGAAGCTGTATCCTCTGGGCCATCGCGATTCTTGCGCTTTGAAGACGCGCTTCGGGTGCGATCGTCAGACATTGTGCGTGTGGAGATGATAGGAGAGCTTGAACTTGTAGATAAAGAAAAAAAAAAGATTATCTCGGCGCAATAACCATCGGCCCGTGCCCCAGATCGTTCCGGCCAATGGGAGCCCGATCGATGACGGTGGCAGCACCACGCCTTCTCACTCTTCACTTCTGTCCATACCCATTAATTTGCGCTTGGCTTCTGATCCTGAGGCTGCGGCCTCTCAATTTACTCTAACAGACTCTACGTGGTCTTCAGCATTATGGAGTCTGCCATTAGATGGTCGCAAACCTCAACTACGGCGGAACAGCGGTTTTTGGCAGTCGACGTTGCAGGTAAATCCTTTCGTCTTTGCAAAGTCACAAATTTTGATGGCAAGGCTGTACGACATGAAATCATCTCCCACCTGAAGGACGTACCCCTTTTTCGCGCGTACGACTGGTCCACCTCCAACGAGAACCTTATCGCCGTCGGTCAATCGTCTGGCGAAGCTACAATTCTACGACTCGACGCTGACGCGAAGACTTCGCTTTCGTTCCCCGTTCGCAACCAGCGGTATTGTAATTCGGTCGCATTCAGTACACATGGACTGGTGGCTGCCGGACTTGATCGTGTGCGCAATGACTTTTGCTTCAATATTTGGGATGTAAACCAGCGGCTCAGTCCCTCTGGTGGGAGTAAAGGGTTTCCTGAGCCCCTGAGGAAACTAGCAAGCTCAGAACCGATTACAAGTATCAAATTTTTCCGTGATCAACCAGATACCGTGGTGACGGGAGTCAAGGGTCAATTCGTTCGGATTTATGACCTTAGAGAGGGCCCGGGAAATCCTTCTCTTCAATTTCCAACTCGCTGTGTTCACAACCTGGCAATCAATTCACTTGATGAGAACTATATCGCATCCTGTTTGACATCAAACGAAAGCACTATTTGCGTCTGGGATCGACGAGTAGGAGCTCGACTGACATCCCCATCAACAGGTTCTTTAACGAACAATCCAGACTCCAATCAAGCGGTGGCTGCACTGCAGTTCAACAATATATTTGATTCTAAATCCTCTATTTGGAGTGTACGATTTTCCAAAACAAACCGAGGCTGTCTTGGAGCACTATCAAACACTGGCCATTTCAAGACCTTTGACATTGCAAAAGATTACTTGACAGAGGATTATCGCTCGCCTATGGATGAGAATCTCGGTCAAGGCTCTTGGAGAAAATTTCCTGAACCAGTTTATACAAAACATGTGCGGGATGTGTGCACTCCGTTCCACCATCCCACACGTGGATGCAGAGAGAAAGAGCGCGTTGTAGCATTCGATTTCCTGAATATTAGCATCTCAGCCCAAGCAAGTGCTATCGCACTTGATGGCAATGGGCAACCGCAAATAATTACCGCGCGACCACCATGCCCACCCGTGGCCCTATCTTCAAAAGGAGCCTTAGCTTGTGGAGTTTCGTCCAAAACCTCGGATATTAGATCTATTCACCCTCTCTCTGATCAAATTTCTCCCATCTCCGAGCTGGTTGGAAATATCAGGAACCGCGTCCTCTCAAACAGCGAAATTGAGATGCCCCCAAGAAGTAGAAAGCCTCTTACCAGGAGTTTGAGCTCCGATCCTGTCCCAAGCTGTGAAGGTAGAGAACGAGCGTTGTCCTTGGGAACGCTTGGGACTCCTTTGACAGCAAAGGAGGCTCTGACTCTCTCCACAGTCTACCGATTGAGATGTAAAGAGGGCTACCTATTTGACGCGGGTCTGAATCAGAAAATTGTAGCTGAAGATACTGCACTGAAAGATTTTTGGAGCTGGATTGAACGTACGTCGACCGATTCCCATAAATTTACCTGCGCTAAACATAATTTTAGGTGCCTGTTTCGACTCATCGTATATGGAAACTGTAGTCGATGGATTTGACATGAATTTCCTCGGCGTGAGCAATGTTTGGAATAATGACAAAGGTTGGTCTCTTCCCCGCCTTTCTCCACTCAGGGCTCCAGCTAAGCAATTATCCAGGCCAAGGGTTTGAGAAACGACACACAAGCTCCAAGGGTGACGATACTAAAAAAATATCCGATGGATTTGTCCAACTTGTCGAACAGCTGAACATACCGGAAGTAAAAAGCTGTGAGACTTCCTACCCCGAGCATCGACGCCTCTGTCTTCATATTTGCGGCGCAGCACAGTCGTATGATGAACTCGAGATATTGGTGAAGAAGCTTTCCTCTGAGGCTCAACATACTAAAGCCGCTGCGCTTGCTGTTTTCCAAGATGAGCCTAAATTGGCATATCTAGGCCTTCGCAGCAATGAACCTGCACACGCACATAAGTTATTGGCGATGGCGATTGCAGGTGCTGCGAAGGGTGATAACAGTGCCGATTGGGAAGAAACCTGTGCAGATATTTCGAAAGAACTCACAGATCCATACGCTCGGGCGATTCTTGCTCTAGTGAGCAAAGGTGATTGGAATGCGGTTATCAAAGAGACTACGCTGCCGTTGAAATACCGCGTTGAAGTCGCGTTGCGCTGGCTTCCAGATGCTGAACTCAGTGTCTATCTCAAAGATGCCACTGCAGAGGCGACCTCCAGAGGCGATATCGAAGGAGTGGTCCTCACTGGCTTGGGATACCTGGCCATGGGTTTGTTTCAGTCTTACATCGAAAAATTCAATGATGTACAGACCCCGGTGCTTGCCATGAGCCATACAGTGCCACGAATTATCAGCCATCCGACTTACATCTCCCAGTACGAGGCTTGGCGACAAACCTATCGCCGACTGATGAATTCTTGGAAACTCCAACTCGAAAGAGCACGGTTCGATGTGGGCTCTCGCCGATTTGCAGTGACCGCTGACGGGCGGAAACTAACCCCAAATCCACCACAGCAAGTCAGTCTGACCTGCAATTTCTGCACTCGCCCACTCACCCAGCATGATTCATCGACAGAGGGGTCTCTTTCAGGCGCTGGTGAAACTGTGCATCAAACGGTGGGCAACCCACTCGGCTCTACGACAATGTCGGGAACAGTATGTCCACGTTGCGGTCGCCACATGCCTCGCTGTGGTGTTTGTACTATGTGGCTAGGCTCTCCTGACCCGATGTCGCGCTCTGGAATTGCAGCCGATGCAGAGCCTAATGCTCACAACCCCAGCGAAACTGAGGTTATGAGGCGTTTTACGGTATTTTGCATCAACTGCAACCATGGATTTCATGCGCACCATGCGCGAGACTGGTTTACGAGGCACAAAGTGTGTCCAGTCGCAGAGTGCAATTGCATCTGCGATCGATGATAAATCTGAAATCGAGCAATTAATTTGTTTTTATGCATATTTTTGGGAGATGCAGGCTATACCCATTGATTTCATAGTTGTACATAGAGTCGATCCTCAATCCAATTGGGCTAATCAATCACCTTATCAAATCATTATCTCCGCAGTAAAAAAAAAAAAATTGGAGACGTTCTTTCCCTAACTAGTAACTACTTGTAGAACTAAAGACTTTACTTGAAATATAGGTTATTGCTATCAATGCAATTACAAGTGAACAAGTAAATCACAGGGAGTCACTACTCGTATGTTTAACCCAGTTACTCCGGAGCATCCTGACTCACAATTTACCCCGCCGGAATATTCTTATATCCACAACCTCCAACTTTTTGCCCACATTTAATCCGATACTCACGATGGCCGCTGAATCTAAGCAAAACCGTGGTCGCGGCCAAGGTGGCCAACCCCGCAGCGTGCAAATCTCTAAAGCATTGAGTCGGCTACTACGACATGCTGCAGAGAAAGAAGGGTTGAAAATGAATACTGAGGGCTACGCCAATGTGGCGGACGTCGTATGTATAGTCCTTGGCATTTGCAGCTGCCCTTCGATAGTCTGGTCTAACTTGAGTGCAGCTTCAATGGCAGAGACTCAGATCGATAAAATGTACATTTGACGAGATCAAACATGCAGTTGCTTTGTCTGACAAGAAACGTTTCGGTCTTCTCTATATCTCCACAGTCGATGAATCCATGCCCGTGGAACCAACCCCAACCGATTATCAGGGTAGCGTGACGCAGCATGCTTTATCCGTGCAGGATGCCGAGCCATCCCATTTCCTCATCCGTGCGACCCAAGGACACAGCATTAAGACCGTGGAGGCCGCATCCCTCCTAGAACCACTTTCCTTAAATGACGAATCCAAGCTCCCAGATACAGTCGTACATGGTACATTCCACGGTGCCTGGGAAAGTATTTTGAAATCAGGCGGATTGAAATCCATGAGCCGAAACCACGTCCACTTCGCTACAGGGCCATCTCTTGAGGCTGCTCTTGCGGCTCAGCAAGAACAACACTCAAATACTAAGTCAGTAGCAGATAAAACAGTCATATCTGGTATGCGATGGGATGCTCAGGTGTTGATTTACATTGACATTCGAAAGGCCTTGGCCGCTGGGTGCCCGTTCTGGCGCAGTGAGAACGGTGTCATTCTCAGTGAGGGACTATCTGTTCTTGACGCTTGTGAGGATAAAGATGAGGCCCCTCAGAAGATTGTTCCTGTGGACTTTTTTGATGTCGTTGTGGAGCGTAAATCTGGGCTGGGCAAGATCTGGGAGCACGGAAAAGTATTAAAGGAGCTACCAGAGACGTTGACTAAGCGAGGTAATCCCAAAGGCAACAGAAAATGATGCCGGGCTCTGCTTACGCGCCAAAAATCCCATGAAATCACAATGCGGGCCTTTTCGAACCGAGTGCGGAGCATTATCGGAATTCAATATGCTTTTATAAACCATTCTATCGAGCGTTTACCTGGGAGTATGAAGATTTCTGCCATGGCTATAACAGCAAGTCGTCTTCGGCAGAATCCAAGGTCAAGGCTGCTACAGTTCTTTTTCATATATTCAGCTGTAAATTGATATAGTAGCCAATGGAAGAACTACGTTATCCGAATTTATTGGAACCGGAAGCATATCAGCAAGCCCCGATCCGAATCTATGGAGATATCCGACATCTGACATACCAATCATGGCACATTGCCCCAGTTTTGCGGGGTTGTTCGCGAATAAGCATCGATTCGTTGGCCGAACGAGTTCTGGGGTGGAAATCGATCCGTCCGAATTTAATCTGGGGATAAATCCGAGATCCAAAAGTGCAGTCCCGTCGGATCCGAACTAGTACTATTTAACAACTGTTAAATTGTGGGGTTGCGACCTTCTCTCTGTCCATCTATATCTGAAATATCGATATAAATCAAACCATCACTCAAGATAGTACAAATTATAACAAATCATAATGGCGACACACAGATTCAATCCACAGTTCACCGATGATGTCATCAATTCGATAGGTCCGAAGACCTCACCACGTATGCGCCAGCTCATGACAGGGCTGATTCGCCATGTGCACGACTATGCGCGCGAAAACGAGTTGACCGTTGACGAGTGGATGGCCGGTGTTAAGATGCTCAACTGGGCTGGACAAATGAGCGATGATAAGCGGAATGAGGGACAGCTTGTTTGCGATGTGATTGGACTAGAATCGTAAGCTTGGAGAACAACTCGCATTTTTGATTCTTGAAGTTGAAATCAATATATTGACTCGTCCATGAAGCTTGGTTGATGAAATCACTTTCACTCTAGCTGGGGAAGCCAAAGATGCTCCCACTGCCACCGCCATTTTGGGACCTTTCTTCCGCGCTGATACTCCATATCGCGCCAATGGAGACGATATTGTGATATCAAAGCCAAAAGATGCCGAGATGGCTTTCATGCACGGCCGAGTTTTGGACTTCGAGACTGGCCTACCCCTTGTCGGTGCCACTGTCGAGGTGTGGCAGGCATCTACCAGTAAGTAGTTATCGTGTTCGTTATATCCCGCAAGACTGCTAACTTAGATTTTCAGACGGATTATATGAACAACAGGACGATAAGCAAGTTGAGTTCAACTTGAGGGGCAAGTTCCTTACAAATGCCGAGGGCCACTACTACTTCTACTGCATGCGCCCAACCCCATACCCTGTTCCGGATGATGGTAAGATTCCATAAGTTGCACTGTCTATTAATATACACAGGCTGATAGTCTATGTGTAGGCCCCGCAGGCAAACTTCTCGAACTCATGGATCGCCACCCTTTCCGCCCTGCTCACATCCATATTATTGTAGGTTTGATCTGAAAGGATCTTCTTTCTTTTAAAGTTGTATTAATTGTTTCCAGGCTACTCATGACGGTTATCGCCCTCTAACCACACAGATATTTGATGCCAAGAGCAAATACCTAGAAAATGACTCTGTCTTTGCTGTCAAGGACTCACTGGTTGTCGACTTCATTCCTCGTGACGGTGATGCTCGCGCTGAACTTGAGCTTAACTACGATGTTAAGTTAGTAAAGTTTGAGCAAAGCAGCTCTGACCACTCAACTCACTCAATCCATAAGGCATCCTTATGATTGTGAGGTATGGCTGCGGTTCGTAGTTACGGTATATTCGCAAAATCGCACCGCACTGTGTTTTGATTCCGAGACTCCGAGGTTCTCCCCACGATTGACTACCTAGAGAGGTCTTACATAGGTCTCCCCATGAAGGGAAAGACTTTGGGACCTACCTAGGTATTGTGTACTATTTTTCGAGCGTTTTTGAACATGTCTAAAACTATACCTATAATATCTCAATTTTGATACGTAGGTATACAACTATTTTCAAACGAATTTGCTGATCGTAGAATGAGTCGTCACCTTGAAGTGCTGCAGTTGCGTATTGAAATTGATTAGCTATATACGCTCGTGGATGCGCAGTGATTTGCCTGAAAATCTTATAGCAACTTTTCACAGTACCCAGGTAGATATTTCACTCAATTTTTCAATTTTGTAGATAATTAGGTATAGCTATATTTAAGCCTGGATATCATTTATAAACTTGGCAATAAAGCCGCCCACCTCGTCAGGCGCCTCGATGCAGTGCCAGTGTCCGACTCCTTTTAGTACCTCCAGAGACTTGCTGACGCTTGAGACATGGTCGTAGATATACTGACAACCCTCAAATGAAGCAGACTTATCCTCCTCACCGGCAATGAGCAGAAACGGCACATGCACAGCAATGTAGTCTGGCGCCTGAGCATTCGCAATAGCACGACAAAGAGCTGCATACCCCTTAGGATCCTGGCCAAGGATCAATTCACGAATAAACGATTTTTGGAGAGCAGTGCTTTTAGAACCAACAGCAGCAAAGGGAATAGAATTAGCCATTGGCTCCATACCGGCTAAAAGCAAGTTAGCAAAGCGTAAAGATAGAGGCATTTGCAGTGAGGCTTGAGCAAGAAATGACTTAGTACTTACCCTCGAGTACAGTATCCGATCTCTTCCCCATCACAGAAACCAATCCCTCAGACGGGTGGGTTGGACCGATAGGCACAATGCCCAAAACACGGTCCTGATAACGAGCGCCAACATCAGTGACTACGAGACCGCCCATCGAGTGGCCGACTACAACCGCCTTGGCGATTTTCAATGCGTCTAGTACGCTGATGACATCGTCTGCGATACTGGAGATTGAGACTGGATCATTGGTGTATGGGGAGCGGGCTGCACCATATGTATCCATGGTGATGCAGCGGTGGCTAGTGGTCAAGTGTGGGATGACAGGGAAATAGTAGTTTTGGGAAGAGCCCAGGCCATGTATGAAGAGGATAGTCACGCCGGTTGGTGTCGGCGGGCCATCGGGGTGTGAATCTGCGTAATTGAGGCTGTGGTTGTTGACCTTGACGAAAGGCATTGTGTAGTATAAAAAGGATATTTCAAGGTTTATTTTGTATAAAAATTGCCAGAGGTAGAGAGGTGTGAACACTGTGAAGGTTCTAGTTCCAACTCTATGATAATCTATAAGTCTTTTTAAAGTGCCGAGTGTCGTCATTCCAGAATTGACAAGACCAGGGAACGTTGTGATTGAACATGATTTCGGAAATACTGAAGAGGTTAAGCTCTAGCCCGAATTGAGGGGCAAATGCACATCCGCGCCTCAGCTTCGGAAGCGCCTTGCCGACTTTCGGACCGTAGCCGATACCCCGATATCCCCGGACGCGACTATGCCGAAACTACACTGCCAAGTTTGGGGTCTAACATTTAAAATATGGTGGGATGCTCTAGATTTGTGGATTTCACTCATGATGACGCATGATTACGGAAGACCTTCTCGGTGTCTCGGGATTGCCATGACTGTCCATGATGTCTATAGTATGTATACAGTAGGTGCGGTAAACGAATTATCGTGTAGGCATGTAGTGAGGAAGGATTTAATATTGGACAAGCTCGCCAAAAGAAACCCCAGATCCCCGGGCAAAGACTTCTTCAAGATAATCAGCTGTGTCGTCTCGAAACGATTCTTCCAATGGGATCTTTCTTTTCAGAGAATCTGCAGGTGGCTGCATAGATATAGGGTTCATGGGTATGGAAGATTTTACGAGTCTGATTGCAGCGGCGTCTGCCTCTTTCAGGATTTCATCATCATCAAAAACCGAGCAGTCGGAAAATTCATCATCGTCTTGAGCAGGGCAAAGGGTTTGTGCACTTGTATCAATTCCAGCATCGCAAATTTCGGATTCTGCAGGAGGCTGCGCTTCCTGGAGAATAGCCATTTCGTGCTCCATCTCTTCGTCGAGGTCATCGAATATATCCGAGTCTAGCTCGGTGTCACCCGCCGCGCTATCATCCTCTGTATCTCTATCTTTGTTATTATTGGTATCGGTTGTCATAAAATGGACATTAAATTCAGTATGTGGTTGCTCCGGGGGTGCATGTTCGAGATGTGGCTGTTCACTAAACGGTGGCTCAGAAAGCGTGTTTTCACGATATGATTGCCTGGAAACCGGTGGCTCTGTCTGGGTATTTTCTTGTTGCCTGAGAGGCGATTGATCAAAAGGGTGCTCAGAAGGTGGGTTTTCAGGAGACGACTGTCTTGAAACCGGTTGTTCTGTCTTGATATTTTCTTGTTGCTCAGGCGGCGATTGCTCATAAAGTGGACTTTGGTCGAACGGATTCTGGAAACCAGGCCTTTCTCTCTTGATAGATTCCTGTTGCTTAAGAGGCAGGTGCTCTGGCGGTGAATTTTCACGGGACGACTGCTTGGAAACTGATTGCTCTGTCTCAGTGGTTTCTGGCTCCTCAGATACAGCTGATTTTTTAAGCCCCAGAAACTTTGAGAGCAAGGGCTGGCTTGCAGGGATCTTAAAACCGAAGGGATCTGGCAAACCTTGAAGTCTCGCCTCTTCGCGAGCCTTGGCTTCCTTCTCTGTCTTCTTCTTTTTATTTGCAATGCGCCTTTTTTCTTTCTCGCGGAGATCCTTCGCCCGTTTCTCTCGTGCCTCTTCGCGCTCAATTCGTTTAATTTGCTCGGCCGTGAATGTGAAACGTTTGTTGCTTCGCTGGTACCGGCGCCGTACCGTGCTAGACTTCTCGATAATGATCCGCGGCTTGTCTAGAGGCATCGTAGTAGCAACCGTCACGGTGACTCGCTGAAGTATTGCCGCCCATGGGGGATGGGTGAAGTTGGGACGGGTAAAGTTGGGGAAAGCGTAACTAAAAGGCGATCAGACAACGGAGTGCCGTCGCAGGCGGTGGGACTTTCTGCCTAAGACAAACAAACTTCCCGATTTGGAATTGGAAATTGATAGTTGAGCACCATCAAATCTGAGAAATCTCAAAAGTTATTCGGTAAATGTATACCAGCTAGCCTACTCAGATTTGTTATTTTGATAATTTGAAATGTTGTTACTATACCCTTTCAGTTTTGTTCATTCAAAATCGTTCAGAATCAGTCTCGCAATTGTTTCGCTTCAATATTTGACTTGAGTACAGTACAATGTCAACACTAAACAGGTTACAGGCCAATGATTTCAAAAGAATTCCAACAGGGCATTTGTGATTTCAATTTTCATTCAGACTGTCTGTCTGTCGACCATGTCGTAATTATTCCTTGCAATCCCGGACCGGATCCCAGCAGACAGGCGCATACTCTCTAAGCTTCAGACTAGCCATGTCGGCCTCGGACAATTCAAAATCGAAAAGCTGTGAGTTCTCAAGGATACGTGAATCAGTCACTGATTTCGGAAGGGGGACATATCCCTTCTGCAAGCTCCAGCGGAGAAGGATCTGGGCCGGAGTCTTGTCGTGTTTCTCAGACAGTGTCTTCAAGACTGGCTCCTCCATACGGGTAGCTTGCACAAGAGGCGAGTATGCCTCGACAATAACATTGTGCTTCTTCAGCCACTCGGCAATATCCTCACGAGGACACCAGGGATGAATCTCATACTGGCCAACAGAGATCTGACCACCACCGCCACTCTGTATGTATGCCTCCAGCTCCTCAAGATGCTGTATAGCCCAGTTAGACACACCCAGAGAGCGGATCTTGCCTGCATTTTGAGCTTCGACGAGAGCACGCCATGTGCCCAGACGGTCTTTCTTGTTGGGGTATGGGGCATGGATCAACACACTAACAAAGTAATAAGTAGGATGTCAAGCCCTATAAGCATGGTATTCATACAGGTCAATGTATCCGAGGTTTGCAGCCTCGATGCTCTCCTCAATTGCCTCTTTGGTCTTCTCGTAGCCCATATTGACTGGAGGTATTTTGGATGTATAAAAGATTTCAGACCGCTCCAGTCCAGATTTCCGGATTGCCACAGCGCTTTCTTTCTCGTTCCGGTAAGCCTTAGCACTGTCCACGTGTCGATAACCCAGCTCCAACGCCTTCAGAGTCACTCTCTCTGTCACATCGGGAGGTCTAAAGAGCAAGGATTAGTTAATGATGTCACATAACTATGTACTTCGTCCCTGGTGCCGCTTTACGTTTGATAAACCTATAATGATATTAGAAATGAGAAGTGATGAGGTATCCAAGCTCCTTACACCGAACCCAACCACCGGTATCTCGTAGCCGGTGACCAGCCTGTAAGTTGACTGAAGCGATAGCCCCATGATTGCAAATGTTTATAGGGAAAGGATGGAGAAGAAGAAAAGTTGCGAGGTTCCAAAAAGAGGACCACGCTTGTGTTATACTGTCGGTAGACGTCTAGTAAATTCGTTTATGTTTGAATAATAGGTGCATACGTGTGAGGTAATAGTGAAATATATTTCAAAATGCTAGGTTGTATGTTGTCATGCCAAGATCATATGATCTAATCATGCTAGCTGATGTTTAATACAAATTGATTATTGATTATTTAATTCAACGCCACATCTACTCCCCCAGCTTAGAAGCCAAGGGAATGGTCATAGACTCCAAGGTCGTATAGTGACTCATGATCTTCCCTAGGAGGTTTGTAATTGGTTCTTTATTTGGTTTAGCTTTAGTCAGTTAGTCAGCATTTCCCCTACTTCTGGGAATTGATACACCCCAAAACCAAGCTTATGTCAGCCACCCACCCCACCAAAAAAATAACAGCCAACGGATCACGCGGCGAGCGGATCACCCCAAACACCATAGTAAACTCGCAAAAATTGAATATCATATCTCAAAAACCATGACTCCGATAAGATCAAAATATCCGGTGATATATAAAGATAAGGCTCCTCATAAAGAATTTATTCATTTCAAGTAAATTAGATGGATAAATTATAGCGGTACCATAAGTTACAGTGTAATTTATCTATTTTAGCTTTAACTACAATTCACTTAATGATTTTCTAATCTTTCTTTCCATATACATATTTTATTAACTAGAAATAATCCAAATTCAAGATTTAAAATGATTTCAATTTGTGGTTGTTGAGATATGCCATTTGAGTTTACTATGGTGTTCTGGGTGTGATCCGTTCGTATGGGACTTACTTTAAGGGCTGTTATTTTTTTGATGGGTGGGTGGCTGACATAAGCTTGGTTTTGGGGTGGCTGTATCAATTCCCCTACTTCTCGAGTTATTACAGCGGGGTAAGTCTTTCCAAGGTTATCTATCCAGATAATAACAATATTGAAACCAGTGCTCGATAATTGGAGGGTATTTTACTGAGAATATATATTGAAATTTGAATCTGATAAATCATTGAATCCTTTGGACACTGAACAGTGAGCATTAGATTTGACTAAACATGCTTCTATATAGCTCCATGTTCATTGGCCAGGGCCTAGACGGTATAAAATGGCAGTATCAAGGTATGCGGGGCAAATACAGAATCAGATCAGAATAATACCTCTTTTGCATCATTTTGAAGTCGAGTCTTATATCTCTTCTCAAAATCTCAACCTCCAAGACCATACCATAGTACTCAAAAATTTCGACACTCACATCTTGTCCGACCCTCATCTCCACGCTCAGACCTTGAACATCTCCCAATATGAGGCTTGTCAAAAACAAGATTGAGCATGATGGCTCAGGAACGGTCACTTTGATCCCTGAAGAGCCTGAAGACATGGTGAATTTGCTTCTATGCCAACCCATCTCGAATATCCAGCTTATGCGATCAAATATAGTGGCACTGCTACAACCTGATCCGACCAGGAGACCTTCTTCGCGCCAGCGCTATCCGCCGTGTGACCACAGTCCAAGACACCGGATCTACCAGCTCCGCACGAGTACATTTAAATCTCGTTATTCGCGTCAAGACTCTTGATTTCGACCCACAGAGCTCCCAACTGCATGTATCAGGCCAAATCGCAAATGAAACGGCGCACACAAAAATCGGTCAATTCCACACCCTCGACCTAGAGCTGAACCGCAACTTCACACTAGAAAAAGAAGTTGGTGCTGATGGAGAAGGCGTGGGATGGGACAGTATTGCGGTGGAGCAGCTCAAAGATGCAGTAGATGAGGGTGGAAAACGCCGTGCCGAGGCTGTTGCCGTTGTGATGCAGGAGGGCCTCGCACATATTTGCTTTATTGGTCAATTCCAAACAATAATGAAGCAGAAAGTGGAGATGTCTGTCCCGCGCAAACGCCAGGGTGGCGGGGATCACGATAAAGTGAGTTTCGCAAACACTGGAATCGACTCTACTGGTTCATCCGACCAAGAGCTGATCAATCTAGGGAATGGACAAATTTTATCGCGTAACCTTGGAATCCCTTTTACGACAAATGGAGTTCAATACTAGCCTCACATCCGGTTCTAACAATGAAGTCGTACGACCCGTTCTACTAGCTTCCCCGGGCTTTGTCGCTGCGGGATTCCAAAAATACATTCAGTCCGAGGCGTCGACAAAAACTCCCGCGCTGAAGAAACTACTTCCTAGCATTGTGGTCGTGCACTCCGCATCAGGATATACCAGTTCATTAGCAGAGGTTCTTCAATCACCCGCAGTCAAGAGTCTCTTGGCCGATACTAAATATGCCCGCGAAACAAAATTAATGGACGACTTTATGGACCAGTTACGCAAAGAGACCAACAAGGCTACATACGGTCCCCGCGAAGTTGAATCTGCGGTTGAACAGGGCGCTGTCGGTCGCGGTGGTGGTGTATTGATTATTTCAAACCGTCTTTTCCGGTCACAAAATATTAGTGAACGGAAACGATGGGTGACACTGGTGGACCGTGTGAGAGATGTGGAGGGTGGTGAGGTACGAATTCTCAGCTCGGATCATGAGAGTGGGAAGCGTCTTGAAGGATTAGGAAGCGTTGCCGCGCTATTGACATTCCCCATTACTGACGAAGAGTGGGATTCTGACGAGGATTAACTGATAAGCTTCAAATGTCATATAATTGAGGTGATATCTAGGTATTATAGAGTAAAATACAAGTCCTAGCTGCCTGGACAGATGGAAAGATTTCAGAACCAGCCCACGGGTTCTTAAATATTGACTTCCCATTTACGAAGTCCACCAGATGTACAGGCTCCCAACATTGAAAGTTTGTACAACAGATCTAATCCTATGGCTTAGTCAAATATTCAAACAGTTGGTGTCGTCTACCTAGGCTTAGGTTCGACGTCGTGCCATTAAATTTGATACATTGATTTGATATTGACTACCTAGCCTATTGAACATGCAAAAATTCCTGAAAAATTCAAAGCACTCCTAAATAAATAAAAAGAATCCGATAATTCTTACCGATTCAACGCCAAAATATCTATGCTGTTCGCGAAAATGCAATCAAATATACCCAACGACTTGAAAAAAGCAGGTTCAGAGATGAAATGCATCCACTTCTATAAATCCTCCGTATCGAAAGACTCTGACCATGCTCTTTTTCCCTTTCGAATCAGAGGTGATGCTGGAGGAGGTATAGATGGAGAATTTGAAGGGTCAGACATGGCCGACGGAGAGGCAATTCCCAATTCTCGACGATTCCTTTTAGTCTCCATGAGTCGGAGCTGTGCCTTGCACTGTTCAGGTGAATAATCCTCTGATGAACCAAGCTCTTTCATCTGAAGTCAATTTAATATTTAGAGGAGCTAGAGGCAAGGAAGAAGAAGTGAAAATTTACCTTGTTTGCAAGAAATCGATACTTTTCCTCCTCCCATATATTATGAGCGGTGACAAGAAGCTGAATCTAAGGCGTACTAGTCAATATCAAAGTCTCAAAGACGTGTCGTATTCTTAGACTTTAGCAAATTTGTAGTACGTACTCACATCGTGATCTTCCCAGCGCTCAAGCCTCTCCTTACGTCGACGTAGCAATCTCATCTGCAGCCGTGCCTCAGAAGCGTCCCTTTTGAACCTCTCTAGGAACATCTCGCGCACATGCTTCCAGGCAACGTTTTGCTGCCGCAGATTTTCCACAAAGGCATCTTCTTCCTCGGCCTGTGGGTCACGACGACCACGACCCGGAGCGCGGGGCCGAGGATGAATTGGCAGTGGAGGAGATTTAGGGTTTAAACGCTCGTACTCCATTCGCTGGACACCTTCTGGGTCTGGAGCAATGTTGACAAGGGGCTCACGTGCAGATGTCTGAGTTCTAGATTGGGTAGAGGGAGTGTGCTTGATACGCTTTGCTGCCGGTATCTGCGGGGACGGCCGTGAAGAGTCATTAATTGTATAATGAAACTCATCCTGTCCATATGCATAGTTGGCGCTTGGAGTGGATGATGATTGTGGAAAACCAACAGGAAATAATCCAGTGATTCCTAGACCGTGGTTGGGAATAGAGTCGCCGATGCCATATCCAAAGTCTTGTTGCACATACCCCTGTTGACTGAGGGCTGGGCTTGGACGAAATGAGCTGTCAGGGAGACTAATGGGCGTGAGGATATCTGGTGGGACCATGGGATCTACTCCACAGTATGATGGATTCAACCCCATACTAAAAGCATCCTGAAACGTGAGCTAAGAATAGTCAAATCAGCCACCTGCGTGTGACTCTTCAGGCCAAAGACCAATTAGGAAGGGGGCCAGAGCATACTGTTTCAACTCCAGGCCATTCGGGCTCAAGGCTATCGTAGTCGTAGAATTCTGAAATATTCTCTTCATTCTCATAGTGTGACATGATGCGTGCAGGGTGTGCTAAGGACTATAAATCCCGAGGTATCGCACACTTGATTGGAACAGAGACCCGTTTGTGGCAAAAGATGAAACACGGGATTGATACACCGTGCAGCTTGATAAAGAAACTTCTTATAGGTAGAGGGTGGCAGTCGATAGAGAATGGTTGGTGAAAGCGGCTATGATATCAAACAAGAAAGCGTCTAAAGCGGCTTTTGTATAGATAAACTATGTTTCTTAAAAAAGCTCACACGACCTCGGGAAGGATGATTCTTTATGAATGAAGGATCTAGTCAGGTACAAGGTGGGGTGAAAGGAATATGATATAGATGCACTTCGCGCTCTGTAGTTTTATGAGAGATATCACAGCCCGCAACCTTGGAACATATCTTCGCAAGGCAAAATGAAATGAGAGCCTTGAGAGGACTGCTTGCTGAGCTATAGGCTCAGAATGCACCAAGAATCAAATACAGCGCCTCTGATGGCATTGGTAGTGCATTAAACCCCTCGGAAGCAGACGAGTTTAGACTTGATGAGGGCCTATATCTAAGCGCCAGCTGACCCAATAGTCTCATTTTCTTCATATCCGCCCCCACATCCATGCCCCCTTTGATGGGGCACAGACTCTACGCTTTTGAGAAATTTGAAATTGCAGGCCAAGTGGGCTGTGGCCCACATTGATCTGAAATTATGATGAAAGACAAAAGTAGAGAAGAAGTTTGAAATCCGAGCCAGTGGTTCTTGGGTCTACACAGGTAGAGAAGAGCTGCTGATTGGCTACTGTCATGATTTCGGGCCGTACCCTTAATGTTTTAATTATTTAGTTTAAACTGCTCGATGTATGATCCTAGATCCCCCGTCTTTCTCCCCTTACTACAGTATTCACCAGCTAGCCCAGCTGGCCTCTACCACCTAAACAAAAGATGGTAGCTTCGGAGATACATATGATGTGGTATATGGATCGGAAACTTTGTTTTCTAAACTAAAGCAATAGGTAGCGGAAGAGGGAAGAGGGAAAAAAAAATGGAAATCTTAAATCTCAATGAAATTCGTCAAAGGGGGCTCTTGACTGGACAGATTACGAACAGTAGGTTCATGAGGCTGAAAAGGCGCATCAGAGCGCTTCTAAAGTGGCTTTTTGCTTCGGGGGATTGTCAGCCGTTAGTTAAGCGCCGACAGGGCTGTCCTTCCCCGCGCCACTGCAGCAGAGAACCTTCTTCGGGGCTTCGCCAACGGGATTTGAAGGTTCTGACTGCCAATCTCAAGGTGTAATACCAAGGAAAACAGGGTTATGTTCTTTATTCTCCCACCAATCTCACCGTTTCTCGCATCTATCACCTCCACTACAACCTTGAAATCGTCTTTCTCGAGCGGCCGAATCTGTTCCGACTTTCTGTCGTTAAGCGCCTCTCGAGGCTCTCGTTAAGATCTTTAGTAAATGATGGCCTGATGGTGATGTGGGTAATGTTCTAGCCCCAAAATTCACAAAATTAAAAGAGAAAGAGAGGTGAAGACATCGGGAGTTGAAGTTCCCATAAGAAGGTTAGGGTTAACCCCACCACCTGCATGACATTCTGAAGTTCTATCCACTGTTTCAGATCCAGATTTTTTTTCTCTGACACTGGCAGCTTCATCTATTAGGGGATCACTATGAATAGCTCTCTAGCTTCTACAAGTTGAAACGACCATGAGACTGTCGACGCTAGTGTTTGGCCCCTTCAAGACAGTCCTGTAGTGGACCTAGTCATGTGATGCAACAGGGGGAAGATCAAAATCCATATTAAGAAATTTTACAGAGTAGTAAATAGTGAATAGCTAGGTATCTAGATACAAGGTAACAAACATTCCACTCGGACCTATGATATGGTGGACGTATTGTCATAATATGGAGCTATTTCATCAAATGACATCCATCTCAAAGCGCTTTTCGCGAGTGGAACGATAAAAAAAGAAATTCCAAAATAGGAAGTGTCTGATAACAGATTCTCTGTATGTCCTGTATGGAACAAAATATTTGACGCCGGCATCTTTTTTTTTTTGCTTTTTTTTTCTCTTTTTTCCCCCGAGCTATGTCGGCCTAGACCTCCAAAAATCCTAAATCCTGATAGCCTTGAAATGCGCCTTACTCGCTCAATAAATACCCAAAACAGATAACGCTTGTCAAGTCGTCAAGTTACGCCTACGGGAATACACCGGTGTTATGGCCGCAGTTTTTCAGAGGGCGATTACGCCCTGCTGTGGCCAAGATAAGGGCTGTTCTCGTCGTCGTCTTCATCGTCGAGAATCTCATCGAGATTCTCGTCATGGGGTTCTCGGCGGCTATGGTGTTCCAATGTGTCATCGGCTGCGATGGAGACTCCCCGGGCGCCCCACCGGTTAGTGTTCGGTCGTCCATCCTCGCCATCCACGTCATCACGGAGGTTCTGTTCCTCGTCGCTAGATGCACGTGAGCGGCGGAAGCTGACGACCCGGTTAACGAGCCAGCTCTTACTGTAGTCATCCGAGTCCACAACCCCACCGTTGCGCAGCTTCACGCGCTGACGCGAGTAATACACCCAAGCAAAGTCGGCATAGAATGCTGTCTGCACGATACCAAAGACCAGCGCGATAGGATCCCAGAAGTGCTCTGAGCCAAAGCCACGCACCATCCAATTCAGTATATAGAAGGCCCGGTAAGAACCCAAGGCCGCGAGATAGAAGGAGTCGATCACCGTCGGGACAGTGGTTTGGCGGAGGAGTAGTAGCTGGGGCAATACACAGACAGACTCCAAAATAATCGAAAATGCCCAGGGCAGCTATTTTGCCAAATATAATCAGCAAATGTATCAGAGATCACGGCGATGCGAAACACTGCTTACCTCTATAAACCAATTTCCTTTGAATGGGTTCTTTCGGAATGCAATTTCAAAGATGTAGATGGAAATAGGTGCCAGTACCAGCGAGCCACCTACGGAGTAGGTACCTAGCTTCCATGCACGCTCCCGTTCACGAGTCCGAGGGAAGACCTTCATCATAATAAACACGAGGTAGAAGGAGGAGGTGATGTAGAAGAGCTTGAAAAGGAGATTCCAGAATGTAGTAAAACCCCCATATTTGAAGTCCCATGTGTCGCCGTCGAAAATATCCAGATAGCGAGTGACAAAGACCAGGGCATAGAGTATCTGTGTCAGAAGCGAAACACCTACAAGCAAGGTATTAGCACGGCACAGGTCATTACCTCTTCGCCCAGTTGTAATAATAACTTACCCTCAGCACTTGAATTTCTATGTATTGCCCAGATCAAGATGCATATCGAAGCAAAGTGAGAGATATCAGCCAAATAGCGGAACACGTTCCAAAACATGACTGAGTAGCTTAGCGAGGTTTGGAGAAGAGTGGAGGCCGGGAGGACGTTAGGACATCCAAATGTATGTCGCAGGCGATAAGAAGAGACCTGTCGTTACTTTCTGACCCTTAAAGAGAGCTGTCAGAGCTTGAGAGGGAGCCTGGAGAGCTCCCGTATCAACGACGAGAGCTTTAGCCGCGTGTCCTCACGTGATGGAATACGTCATCGTTTTTTTTATAAATAGATTTTAGGGCATCGGAGTATGTGCTGAGGAAACATGTGATTTTTCTAGTGAAATGCTAGTTTACTGGAAAGAAATATTGGAAATATATAAGTAAGAAAAATGATTTTATTAAAGCTCTGAGAGAGAGAGAGAGAGAGAGAGAGAGAGAGAGAAGGGGGCATAAATCTCTCAATGTGCCTTACTTCCGATCTTTTTACGCCCCAAATCCAAGAGCTTGGCCGTAGGATCTGCTCGGTTCGATCGATTTTTCAGCAATCCCAGAATCACCTCCTTGAAATTTTCTCCCAAGTTGCCCCACACAAACTCTGGGTTAAGAGCCTTGATGAAAACGCGTACTGTAGTGGCAGGGATATTCAAAATAGAGCATACATCCTCAGGGGACAGGCTCTGCTGCATCTTCTTGATAAATGCTGAATTCATCGTCGATTTGAATATCTCAAATCCATCCTTCGTTTTTGTTTGAATCATGACAGTTCCCGGGGATGTTGCTTCTGTTTCTACTTTCTCATCTGTATTCAAGTTCTCGGGGAGTTCTGGCTCTTTCCCTGTCAGAATCGTTTGAAGGAAGATCTCATCGAGAGGCTCGATGGTATCGTTGAGTTCTCCTTTCTTCCTAAGTTGCCAAGGAGCACGCACTATCTCAGCATCACCATAAACTTTTCTTGTTAATTGGACATTTTTAGACATGGTATCTTCGTCAATATCATCACCAAAGTCTGCGTCAAGAAGATTCTTATAAATCTGCATATTCTGCATCTTCAACAATTTGGGATCCACATTCCAGAGCGAAGCGATTCCAGCATGTTTTTCCATGATTTGTTGGCAACCTTTTTTCACTGCAGTCCAGGCATTCCTCTTGCATGCCTCTGCAACTGATGTCTTGAGCGTACTAAAGATAGCTGAGCGTGAGATGTAGGTACGGGCGGCAATTAAGTCATCGTAGGCACGTCGCGGACCTCCTCTGGCAAGATGATCGAGATAGCGGAGTATCATAGAGTAGGAATTATATCTACTCCGATGCGGAATCTCTTCTTTTGATGGAATGCTCTCTAGCAAACGAGTTGCGACAGCCGCAATGTTGATGCCATCTGTCGAAAATGTTCGCATAAGCACAGTGAGAATTGTGCGAGAATGGTAGAGTTCAATGTCTCGAAGCTTGTAAGATTCGATAGTCTTAGCTTCTTTGATGGCTTTGACCTCATCCAGGTTTTCGTTTTTGGTTACTACACGAAAGATGACCTTATCAAAAATTTTCTCTAGGTTTTTGTTGAATTGATTGAGAGGCCATCCTGTGTAGGGATACAAAGCGACGACATTTTTGTACCAAACCCACTCTGCATCGGTCGTGGGAACATCGTATTGGGGATGCAAACCAAACAACTGCCAGACCATGCTGGTAGGACGCACTCCTGAACCTGCTATTGTCAAGAGATTCCCGAAAAGTCCTCGCATCAATCTTGTGACAGTATCTTCAGCCTCCTCTAACTCAAGTGGTGCAGTTGTTCTCCTCTCAGCGAGTTTTGACATGGCTGCCATCAGTAATGCGCTCAAGAGTCTGCCAGTTTCGGGGCTTTCAGGCTGAATATTGTACTCTCTAGATGCCAGTGCCTGACTGAGAGTGAATCTCATGATGATTCTTAGCGCGGAAATGTGTGGTTCATTACATTTGTCCATCCATCTCACGGTGTAAGGACTTTTTAGATTGACAAATTCATCCCAGCAGACCCAGGCTATCATCGACGAATTTGTTTCGAGTTCTCGGTTCAAAGACGCCATTGCCAGAGTTGGGCGCCAGCTTCCGTCACTTCTTTGAAGTCCATGATGTCTGTTCTGCGACTGCTCTATGATGATTCCTGCGTCGAATCCATTGAGATTCAGAATTCTTGAGTCAATATCGCAGTATGAGCTATGAAAGAATGTCAGCACCATGTATCATAAAACTTTTAGTACTACTGTTCACGGGAAATTTCCAAAAAGAAGCTGGCTTCACATACCTAGCATCGATGATCTTATTTTGGAGATCCCCCAAAAGCTGCTGAAAGGACGACGTCTCTATACTCAACAGCAGGACACCCATATCTTCCGCATATGTTTCAAGGTACCCTGCCAGGGTTTCAAAAGTCATAGACTTCGCGTTCTCGACATTACTTTGAATCTTTGATTGGCGAACAAGACGCTGCAAATCGTGTGTTCGCTTTGAAGTCGTCTGAGATGACACCATATTGGAAAAACTTGAGATCAGAGGCTCAAAAGCCCGTTGTGTCTCCTTCATTCTCTTTCTCAATTCTCCGAGCATACTGTTCTTCTTCTTCTGCAATTCTGGATCTTCCGCATTGTACTCTTGGGTCAAAAACTTGATATAGGCCTCCGTTAATGGAGACTTTGCGTGCATAATCTTTGCTTGAAGCGCAGACACCAAGACTTTGGAGAGTTCCTGGAGGTCTTTTCGGCTCAAAAGCACCTGTAGTTGTGACACTGCTGCATATATGTCCTCTTTTAGCTCTTGAAGCTGCTCGAATGAAAGCTGTTCAAACAGCTTCTGAAGGTCTTGAACTTGGATCACCTGGCCTGAAGCGGGGAGGATAATCGAAGTTGAATCGCCAAGAATAACTATTCGCTCAATTCTTGGATCCAATATGGCTTCTATATCAGTAGATGTGAGTAAAGATGTCACATCAGAGCCAAATGCAAGTTCAGATGTGTTGAGATGTGCCCGATTAGCAAGACCTCTGTAGAAGTAATACTTGTCAAAAATTTGAACCAGCACCAAAGATTGTGGTCCCGCAAGCGCTGTTACGGCGTTTACGTTCGCCGAGTTTAGTAATGACAAGACTTCATCGGCATTCTTAGGCTCAGATTGTGGGCTTAGTTGCACAATGAAGAGTGCGTTTATTCTGTAGGCAGTTGCGATATTGCGCGCATTGTCTGTCATTTTGTCATCGACAATCACCACAATATTCTGGAGTTGCTTATAATAGTCCCGAAGCGCAATATCATCAGTAAAGGGAACATTTGAGGGAACTGTTCCCGTCGCTAATAGAAGTGGGCCTTCAAGCTGACCAAAAATGCATGGCAAAACTAGGGCAGATGGCTGATTTTTTGCAGGGAGTTTTTCACCCAACAACTCAAATTCAATTCCGGTTCCGAAACGTATGATCTGTGCTGATTCCAAATCAAGCACCGAAGGAAGTGAAACGGAATCCGTGATAAACACGGCATTTTTCTTGGTGGGCAGGCTTTCTGAGCTCCGGTTTCTGGCGTCTTTGGTTGCACCTGTATGTTTCACATATGGTCAGTTGTTGAACTTCCCCTTATCATCATTCTGTAATACTTACTTTGCGAGGCCGACAGAGTAGAAGCAGCCCGAGCAGCCTGAGGATCCCGAGAGAAAGTTTTGAAGTCTGCCCGGTTGATCGCTTCCTGAAAGCAGGGGCTTTCTAATTGGTTCGCTTGACACGATAGCTCTCGGTCTGTAGTTGCTGTTGGCAATACAGAGCAGATCAGAGACTCTCCATCGCGCTTTATAACTATTGGACAACATATAGTCGCATCTCCAACTGTTGCTGCATCCAGAGGCACCGGAATGATATAAAGAACCTGTCATAACTGTTAATGAAGGTCAAAGGGAAAGTGCAGAAGTTTTAGAGTACCTTTTCCACATGATCGGCAACCAACAAAGCAGGGTTAGTTCCGAGAAATTTTGTGATGGGGGTCAAGTGAAATCCAGATATGAATACGCATAACTCTTTTTCCACTAGATTGTCACTTTGTATCGTAGAGTACTGTAGGAGATCCTCTCCGCTTTTAATATCACCACTGTGACGTATCCCCCGAAAGGTGTCCATTGCGCTATAACAGCACGTGTTGTATGATGCATCGGCGAGGCAGAAGTCGTAGTAGGTGGGCAGGCATCGAGACAGTGCAAATATCATAATTTGGCCTGAAACTATTGGGATTTTGAAGGTTGAAGCTGGTGCTTGCATGATTTGGAAGTCCTCGAAAACCCCTGCCAATTATCAGTGGCTGTCCAGAACTTGGAAAGTGCAAGACATTAAATATACCCAAGTTGGACTTAAACTTAGACATTCGATGCAAAAGGGTCTCGCCCATCTCACCCAGATCCACGGCATTGAAAAAGAAGTCTTCCCGGTAGGAAGATATGTCTATTTCGACAATGCCATCGCTTGAGCGGCAAAGAAGAAGTTTCTCTGGATTGAATGGGTGTGCAGAGCCGACTGGAAGTTTCTCGAGGTTTCCTCGAATCTGAGCCTTCGATATTGCGAGAGGGTCGAAGTAGGTCTTCCTAACTTGATCCATGGTAGCTAGGTCTATTGAGGTTCGTTGTATTGATTATGGGAGAGTGGTATGAATGCTAATAAATCTTCTCATCGCAGTCTAATTGAACTATTTATATTTCTCAATCTCTCATGAGTCAGGGCGGGGTCAGAAATAGGAAAGGACAATAAGCTAACTTCCATGGTTGGAAGACACCCAGAGACCTAGGGGCACTAGGCCGTACCCGCTCTAGGCCCCACTAAGACCGATAACAACCAAAATTCATCCATGGAAACTCTTGGAAAAATTACTATATGCAATGTCAAACAATAACAAAAATAATATGGTAGACTTGGAATCTTGGAAATTATACATTATCTAGTATCTAACAAGGTATTAGAACCTTCCAAGATTCTTTCGGGGCCTGAAACTGGAGTGAAAACAATATTAAACTAGTCGTACCATGACTCACATTTAACAGAAACCAATTCCAACTCTTCCAAGGTTATCAACTGACTATTTTACAGTCGACAGAGGTGTGATGAGATGATTTCCATAAATGAGTTCAAAATAGGATCGGTATTATTGTATAAAGCGGATGTCACCTAAGCCCTCTATGCGAGCAATGCTGCACCAAAGAGAGCAAATGCAACTGTGTACATGGCTAGCCCCAAAGGACCAAAGTCAGGATTAACAGGATATACAAGATTACTCGCAGCTCCCTTGCTGGGCGAAGAAGTGCTCGTTGAAGCAGTTGCTCCAGTGGCAGCAGTTTCAGTGGCGGTTTCAGTGGCGGTTCCAGCAGTAGTTCCTGTTTGTGTTGCCGCAACGTTCTTCTTGTTGTATGGTGCCGGCGTAATGACAGTGATATAGCTTGGGAAGATCGAGAATGTGTAAGGATCGGGAGAACTTGTAATGCTCCCGGCATCAGTGGTCTCTGAGAGAGGTGCTGTTCCAGGATAACCTGAAGGAAGCTCACCAGGATTGTACCACGTTGATGCGGCAGTATCCAGAGAGAAAGAGGCAACACATTGGCTACCGTCGGAGAGGATGGAGCATTGGTCTGATGCCGACTCATTGTATCCTGCCTCGAAGCTTTCCAGCATTGTGTCGAAAGATAGATCGGAGAGGTCGTTGTGAGGGCATTCTTCGATAAATCTACAAACCATATCTGTAAGTTGATATGCTTTGAACATATTATTTACTACTTACTCAGACAAAAAGGCTGAATCCCAGCAACACTGACAGCTAGCCACCTCGGAAAGATCACCCGAAATGGCGTAATCTTCGCAGGGCGCATTCAGGGCATAGTTCTCGGTATAGTTTCCCCATATATAGCCTAAGTTGCACACTATATTCACAGTCGTTAGTTAGAGGGTTCATCATAGATATCATAAGCAGTGGCTGCAGCTGTCATGTCTTACCGCATCCACCAGGTGCATTATCTGGCGCAGGGTAGTAGGGAATTTGCGACCCCTGTTCCTGGTCAGAGCCTGTAAGGTATTGTAGCGCAGTTTCTTGGTAGGCGCATGAGTACACCTAAAGCAAATCTATGTTAGAAGATAATCATTAGGCGGAGAGGATAAACCGCACCTGATTCCAGCAACTTGTCAACCAACAACCAATATTCGCAGCCAACTGCACATTTCCACATGCCAACACACACGTTGAATACGAATCTCCATCGCAGTCTTCCTTCGCTTTGGTCAAGCATGTGGTAAGTGAATTAACATTGTCTTCGTAACATTGAAGATAACCACTTGGGTCAACACAGCCCTGACCCTTGGGGTTCAGGTTTGACGCATCGGCGGAAGCTAGGGACCAGAGCAGCGCCTGTGCTAAGACAATTGATTTCATGATAGCCATGATATGTATAGTCTTGGTCTGAAGCTTGAATTTCTTTTGCAGGAGAAACGCCAAAAGCTTGACCTGTGGACTGCCCCGGGTGACATTAAATACAAAAAACTTATACCTAGGTAACATCAATGTAAAGGTAGGACACAGATGCCAGGTGGCTGCTTACGGTGCATGACTAGCACCCCTGAGGCTGAGAGCTTGTTCGTGGATAGGCTGAGATGGCTTGAAGCGGTATTTTGAATATTCTGAAAATGGCAAAGTTAACCGATGAAAGTGATCCTCTCCATCAATCTAACCGGATTTGATAGATATCAATGCCCTAGTGTGAAACATTTCCAGTGTTTTCTTTGTAATCGGTAAGCATTTACCCAATCTCCGCCGAAACTCCAAATATGTGAAGTTGATTGATCGATCAAATTGTACGAAATACGGAATTTTCCGGTATTTTTAGGACCCTTTTCTAAGGGCTCAGGGGATCAATTCCACTTGAAACATACATGGGTAAGAGTCGGAACGGTGACGTTCTTACGGTGCATATGCAACTAGTATTCTTGATGGAATAGATCTAGGTGCGTCGATGCGAAGTTGTAAGAGGTGTGTTATTCAATCTTTTCCTCGCTGTAACTAAATAGACAAAACTCGCTAGATTCACTTCATGTCGAACCAACAGCATCGGAACCATTGGTCCTGTGCCCCACTTTGGTCTAGTGGTATCGACAGTAAGTTACCAATCGCAGTCGACTGCCGAAATCCTAGGGGTGGCTAGTCTCCCTAAATTCTGGGCCCCTATAGTACTGCACCGCCACGGATATGACTAGCTTAAGTCGGTATAGCCACCCAAACCCAACCAATTGATCTAATCCCGAGGTCTGATAACAGCTTGGCTATTATGAGCTCTAGCGGACCACAGTAAGGCTGTAACTAATTATTTGATAGAGTAACTTACTAGCTATGTTAAGGTAGTAGCGCACTGCTTCCAGGGTTCTTTTGGTTCAACGAAATTAGACCTCGGGACCCTTGGAACGCTCATTAGCGGGGTATTTCCGGCCGGGTAAAAACTGTATCTCCGGGGCCGTGGTAAACAAGCTTTTTTTACGCTGTAACAGGACGATGACTTCAAACTTTTGTAGAGATGTTCTCCGCTAACTCTTAGGCAACTAGTTGCTAGTTGGAGGCTATAATAGAGAAGTGTTGAATGTATCACTCCAAACCGCTAGACGTCGAATGAAACATTGGAATCAACCTTTGAAAAGACCTTGCCCAGGTGGGAGTAGGTAACCAGTGAAGGGTTTCCATGTGATCATCACAAAATTATCTACCGTGCTTGCTGTTGCTCTGTAATTATCAAGGGCTGTAGGTATTAATTGATACCCTGTACGGAGTACTATTTGATCTGACTGGTCCATGATTAATGAACTTGGCTACCTACTTTTGTAGGTAGCAAACCTTGAAAGGAGGTATAAATATAGGGTTTGGAAACACGAATTCGATGAATTATCCAAGGTTTTGTGCACTGCCTAGTTTTAATGACTCCACCTGACCGTCCTATCTACCCTGTACGGAGTAGTGACTGGCCTGGCCGTACGGCACATCCACATGGAACCAAACATCCGCCTATGATTCGCTCAAAAATACTTGAACTGAACTGCATTTGATTTGTGCTGATTTTTTACGGCAGGCTGTCAGCCTAAGAAACCAATGAGAGAGCAAATAAAAATTGTCATGATAATTACAAAACTCGTCAGCCAAGGCCCACCTGCATGTCCAGATGAGATTCTGATAATTATGCTTCAAACCCCTGAGAGAGGACCCCTGCATTTTGATGGTCTCATCGATACCAATCAACTGATATTCAGCCCTTCTTAATGCCCTTGTAGGTTCTTAATGAAATTTAGAAGCATATGTGACAAGGAAAGTTATTCGGTGATTCTCAAGGTCGTAATAAAAGTTGACCATGCATATGTGAAAATTTTCATACATTTTCCCGATTTCCAAGGCTGCTGATTTTGTTTGAGAATATTGAAATATGTTCCAGGTGAGTTCCAAGCTTATTCAGGAATTTCCAGGTAGCATCCATGGATTCCAATGTTGAACTTTGGACCCTCTAAGGTTTGAAAAACCCCCGGGGTCGTGTCATTCATCTTCAGCTACCTATCATTCAATACCTAAGTGTACCTAGATACCTAGTGTACTCACGATCTTCCGAGTGTTCAAATCCAAATCCTAACGTTTTGCCGCATTGCCATTGTTCTTCTCTTAGCTTGGTAAATGGCCTTCTCCAGAGAGTAGGATAATCAATTTTCAATTCTCTCGTATATTAGATAAGTTTCCAGGTATCAGACTGATCATTCAGTGTTCAATTCCGTGTCATAATACGAGTGGATCGATCCACTATGACCAAATTAGGTTTTTACCCCACGATTTCAAATAAGCACAATTAAGGTTGTAACTCAAAACTAATCGCTTTGGAATGCAATGTGAAATTTGATTTCTAGAAAGCCGTTTCGACTGCTTAAATGACCTGATTACTATGATTTTCATCTTCGTACCTCTCTTCCACAATAACATAAAAGGTAATCATTGTGACAAGCTCAGAACATCTTTGGATACCCAAGTACTCTTCCAGGGTTCACGCGTTTTCATTATTGTTTGCTAGCCAATGTTTTTGCATTTACTTAGATAAAAAGAGGGTATCCTGGATACAAGACTTCGAAACATCTATCAGAATCGGAGGTACCTGTCAATCTCTTATTAGAATGAAGGCGAAGCTATGTATCTGGTCACTTATGCTCTTCTCAAAATGAGTAGAACCCTATAATTGATTGGATTTTGTAGGTAAAGCCTTATATTTTGAACCTTTATTACCACACTAGTCGTCCTCGGTGAAGACTTTCGTAGTTTAACCAAGCATGGACGCGTCATAAGAAAAAGAAACTCACATCCATTCTTTCAAGTGCCAATAGTTTGCTACTACCGCTAACAGATTGAGTACAATTTATCTTAGTCATTGTATGGGTGGTTCTATTCAAGAGAGCCTTCGGAATATTGAGAGTATTTTAACTATTCCGACTCGTCCTCAAGCACGGCACCTACGTATTATAAGTTTCTATGGTGATGCTCATAACCATTCTCATGCTGCGCATGACTAACTTTCCTTTTCAGTCCTCTCTAAGCGTGTGATTATTTGGTATAATCCGGGGTGATGGATTTAGGAACTAGCCTGCCAAAGTGAATGAACTTCCTAGAGCAATATGGGGTGGTCACATGCAGAAGCCATGTAAAGATGAGAAATTAATAAAAAATCGGGATCTTAAGAAGTAACAGGCCTACCTAGAAATTCACCCGAGCAAAGAGTCTAAAAAATCGTCAGTAATTACTATCATAGCCTTGATATTTTGCTGTCCATGCCTAGGTATGAGGTCTCACTTCATGATCAAGACTTGGGCTAGAATGATGATTCATGGATAGCTGTTAAATAAAACTGGAACACTCCTTGGCTGATACATGTAGGTACCTATAGGTACTTAATTCTCATGTCTGTACTTCATCACTATTACTAGCTCATTATTAAGGTTGGAACCTTGGGAGCTATGACGAAGACATATAAAATACCTATGAGGGCATTTTAGATCTCACTATCGAAGCTTAACACTTTGAAAGAGCATGCCAGATTTGGAAAATGAAGGATAGAGAAACACGCAATCCGGTGGCGAGATGAAACAACGCAAAGCATCTTCCGTTTCTTGTTGAATGGCCAAACAACTACAGAGTAGAATGGTTGATAAGATGAGGTTGAATAACCATGTCCATCATGCTGGCAACCTTGCTTGGAATACCTTGCTCAACCCCATATATCCGCAGATACCTGCCTAGATAGGTAGGGCCAGCCACGTTGTTTCGAAATAGACGCGTTATCCTGGCAGGCATTCTCAGTGGCTGCAGCTGCTATGATATCACTTGCTCCAATTGGCAGATTACTTCAGCCCCCAATCTATTCCCCTCCTGGAACTCCTAGGGATCTTAGTTTAGCCATTAGTTATGTGTCAGATCCCGTGCCATCCAACTGTATACTAGGAAGCTCCTTATCTTGCACATCCCCTCCAACTTTGTTTAAACAAGACACCACAAGGGCATATCAAGCCCATTCCTGCAACAGATAGGCAGTGAATCATATGAAAGAAAGATAGGCCCTGATGAAAGGTAGATCCTGATAATGGATGGGGGGAAAGAACAAGGCAAAGAGGGGAAGTAGAGCTGACAGGGAGCAACAATGCATTGCATTGGAAGCGTGCTGTGGCTTGATTTAGTCTGCCAAGTCTCGGGTTGGACGGACTGAAGATTGAAATCTTTTATTTAATTTTCGCTTGAGAAAAAGAAGAGAAATGATTGCGGCTCGAGAAGTGGTATTGGATGATATAGAAATATTCAGGCTCTCCGGGGACATCAATACGGCAGGCATTGGGTAAGATGGGTTGTCATCCTCGCACGGTGTGAGAGTTCGCCGGGTCACCGGATTCTGTAACAGGCCACTCGCGCGGGCGCTTCGGCCTAAATGTCTCATGGGAGCAGCCGGACGTGGCCATCCTGATTCTGCAGACTCTTCCTTTGGCCGAATTGGAGTGCAGCACGAGCTATTTGTGACAGGGAGGCCGGGCATCGGTTCCTAGGCCACAAACGGCGTGGTGGAATGCACCGGAGCGGGGGGTCTCGAAGATCGAGGTCCATTTTATGTAGGACTTTTTTGAAGTGAGAAGTAAGGCATTGTGTTCCTGCTGTTCCTTAAATTTCTTTTCATCTCTTTTTGTCTCCCCCTGAGCTTTTTGACCAAGGGTGTATATGTGTTGAAAGATGGTAGGTTTCAAGGTCAACATCGGAGAAAAGTTCTAGAACAATTCAAGGTCCTCTTTTTCCCCTCTATCTCTCCGCATTCTTTTTTCTTTAAAAAAGAAAATACAAAAACGTAAAGAAATATCAGTTTAATCGTAATAATAAAAATGCATAGAACTTAGATATAAACCTATTTAAATTGCTCCAAAAATGAGCGGGTCGTGTTATTAGTACCGGCAAGGTTGTGATATGAGGTGACTCCATCCCCGCTCACTTTCTTCCTCTTTCACTCCTCCACTTCTTCGTAACCTCTTCCTCTCGTTACCTCTGCCTCTCTTCAAAGTATTCCAAACTCTCCTTTCTCCTTTTTCTGTTCTCTTTTCTCTTCTTTCATTCTCCTTCCTCATGTTCTCTCCATATTCGGAGGAATTCGACGTTCCTGACCCTACTCTTCGACCATGCGACTTTGAAATGTGAGTTCACTTCTAGGAGATATCCAATTCCCAACTCCAGGAAAGCTAAACGCTTCCCCGGTCGCGTCTGTCGCGCGTTCTTCTTTTATCGTTCTACACCCTGTTCCCTTCTTTTCCCGATCTGGTTCTACCCAGGATGCGCCTGTGTCATCGTCTTTTAGTGTAACGAAAGCCCACTTTTCCTAGTTGACCCCCCAAGGCGCGCCTGTAGCCGATCTGCTAACCCCCAATCGCGACCTTTTTGTACGTACAGATGCGACGTGTGAGATCCTCTGTCTTTCGTCATGTCGTAAGTTCCCTCGTCAATGATCTCCGTTCTGTGGGAGGGAGACCGGAATCTAGCGCGGTGGGGATGCTCGGTTCTCTTGGTTTCAGCTCACTTTATTTATGATGCTTTTCACACTCTATCTCTTTCCTTTACTTCCTTTACATACTCTCCTTCTTTCCTTCCCATCGCTGACGCTTCCATTCCTTTTTTTCCCTATAAAGATCACCTCCCACTTCCAAGCGCATCAAGACCTCAGCGGCAAGCGCCCCGCCACACCTACTCGCCCAACAACAACTCCACCCATTCCATCGGGTGCCGACATTTGAGGGTATCCCGATCCCATCAGCTCCGATTCCCCAACAAACATCTTCAACGTCGCGGAAACGACCTCCATCTCCTTCGGCTGGCCCATCAGGCATGATGGCGAGCCCGATGCCCCCCGTGGGTTCGATCGAGGGTGATTCAGGCCTCCCGACTTCCATTGAACCCACTCCTAAGAAAAAGGGGTCGCACCAATACCCCATGGACTGCGGAAGAGGAACAACGATTGAAGACGATGCGGGACGCAGGACGTAGCTGGAGTGAGATTGCGAAGGTGTGTGGGGATATACTACTTAGCTAACGTGGCGCATCTAACCTAACTTGGACGCGTCGCAGACTTTCCCCACGCGCACCGAGGGTAGCGTGAAGAAGCATTGGTATAAAGTATGTTGAGTCTGCACTATCATCACCATTCCACTTTGAGTATATTTTTTGGGATCTGTTTGTCTCTAACGCATCAAACAGGACATGCACTATGCCGAATTCGCCGAGGATGAGGTACTACCTGATATAAATCCTCTATTCTTGATTGGTCCAAACACTAACAGCTGTACTAGTCTATCAAACTCCGTGAAGCCATCAAGGAGTATGAGGCGAACAAGTGGAAGGTCATTGGCCAGAAAGTGGGAAAACCTGCTAAAGTAGATATATCTTTTCCTGACATCTTCCAGTCTTCCAAGCTAATTTGGTTACAGGCGTGTGAGCAATATGCCAAGGAGCATTTCAAGACCATTTAAAGCCTATCTGATGACCACTTATGAAGCGATGACTATTCTTTTTCTCCTTTACATTCTTGCATGAATTTGACATGCTCTTCTCCCGGTTTCGGCAGTTCCATAAGCGATGCAAATATCATCAAAATGGCCGAAGGGGCCTTTATGATTTATCAAAGGCAAGATGGAGTTGGTGATTCTGGACTGTGATTTTTATTTCCATTTTTGCGAATATTTTGAACCCTTTGACCCCTTCGAAATGTTCAGGGCGTTTCACCAACAGTGGTGTTATTGAAATATCCCTCTTACTACATGGATATCATTATTCCCATGATACAAGTAACCATACCTTTGAAGTAGCAAGTAGAGTACAATATAAAGTACTAAATAGAGCACAGAACACCGAATCTAGATAGATCCCGTTGACTCCACTTCAGTTTCCGCGGCAAAAAGCGCCTGGTTTTTCCCCCGCGGAGCCCTTCCACTTTTCCCCAGTTCCACTCAAAAGCAATTGTACGCTAGTTTCTTCGCAACTCCCAGAGAGCATATGATTTGCCTCAGGTAAGACTCCTTATCTGTAATCTTCTTAGTTTCAAGGTTATAAGTATCTAACGTTGATCCTTCATAGTGACTAATGGAAAGTCTAAAAGTGTGAGATAAATCCCCGCATGCTCGCCTATATATACTAAGGGCCCACCTACCATAAAGACGAGTAGTGTGGTTTTATCAAAACGATCAAGGTATATAAGGACAATCTGCATGAAGACCGTTGTTCGGTAGTCACCACTAGTGGATGTACTGCTGTTCTGAGATAATACGGTTGAACTTGATCTAGATAATTCCAGCGAAAGGACTTATGCTCAATTCCTCTATTCTTCAATCTCTCAAATACTAACAATTCAATCACAGCATGGCCTCGGACAATGAGGTCGCCACCGCCGCGGTGCGCAGCTCAAAAGATGAAATCACCCCGTCGCAACCTGAACCCGCTACTGGCGAGCAGAATTTCAAGACGGAACGAAGCTATTCAGTTGATGAAACGGCCCACCAACGGAATCCTATCGGTACACGTGTTGGCTCACTTCTCCGAGCCTTCGAGAAACAGCTTGTCGAATACAACCTCGAGGCGCGAGGTATTGAGCGAGTTGCAGTGGATGAGCGCATGAAGCGATTATCCTGGGTATCGTACTCGCAGGCTTTCTTGCTCTGGGTTTCAATCAATCTCGCAGCTAACAATATCACTCTGGGCATGCTGGGACCTGCTGTGTATGGACTCAGTTTTCTGGACTCTGCGCTCTGTGCCGCTCTTGGATGTCTAACTGGTGGTGTGGTTGCTGCGTGGATGGCTACCTGGGGTCCTCTCTCAGGTATTCGAACTATGGTCAGTGTCTTGTATTACTGTTTCCAGGCTGTTTCTAGGTGAATAGCATGCTGATCTTGCTATTAGGCTTTCGGAAGATACTCAATGGGATGGTGGCCTAGCAAGATTATTGTTGTGCTGAATCTCGTCCAAATGATTGGATACTGTATGATAGATTGTGTTGTTGGAGGACAGATCTTATCTGCGGTCTCTCCAAGTGGCATGTCTGTCGCTGTTGGTATGTAATACAAGATAGAAACCCATTCCCACAAGTACCTTACGTTGACTCTGAATCACAGGCATTGTTATTATTGCAATTATAGGTTGGGTGGTGGCTACATTCGGAATTCAAGTCTTCCACTACTATGAACGGTTAGTTGAATCACTACGAAGGATCAATCTGAAGTTCAACTAGCTCATCATGCACATTAGATATGCCTTCCTACCCCAGTTGATCGTTATCTGCATTCTTTTTGGCGTATCATCAAGAAAATTCGATTTATCAACCGTGTCCGAAGGCGACGCACGAACTGTTGCTGGTAACAGGTGAGTACTGAATAAATCCAATCCTTTGATATAAATTGCACCACAAATCTAACCACAAATATCAAGACTATCGTTCTTCTCCATCTGCCTCAGCGCAGCAATCACCTACGCACCCCTAGCAGGCGATTTCTTCGTCTACTACCCGGAGCACACCTCCCGCCTAACAATCTTCTCTCTCACCCTCGCAGGCCTCGTATCCTCCTTCGCCCTAGCCATAATCTCAGGCATCGGCCTTGCCTCCGGTATCTCCACCTACCCAGAGTATTCAGCAGCCTACGCCATCGGCCAAGGCGCGCTAATAGTCGAAGCCTTCGGCCCCCTGCACGGCTTCGGCAAGTTCTGCTCCGTGATCGTAGCCCTAGGCCTTGTCGCAAACACAGTCCCACCAACCTATTCTGCTGGTGTTGACTTCCAGATCTTAGGTCGCTATGCAGAGATAGTGCCCCGCGTCATCTGGAACTTCATCGTCTTCGTCATCTACACTGTATGTGCTCTTGCAGGCCGTGAGCATTTGTCTGAAATCTTCACAAATTTTCTCGCGCTCATGGGATACTGGGTTGCTATCTGGTTTGCTATCGTCCTTGAGGATTTCCTCTTCTTCCGCTCCAAGAGCGGATACAATTGGGCTGCGTGGCGGGATTCGTCTAAACTTCCTATTGGTATTGCGGCTTTCATGGCTTTTGTCATTGGGTGGGTTGGCGCTGTTCTCTCTATGGCCCAGGTGTGGTATATTGGAGTCTTTGCCAAGTCGGTTGGCGCTTATGGTGCTGATGTGAGTGGGCCTTTCAATTCCATTCGTCTTTTTCTTTGGATGTGTGGCGCTAACTGTTTTCACGTGCTCTAGATGGGCAACTATGTCGGTTTCTCTTGGGCTTGTATTACTTATCCACCCATGAGATACTTGGAGCTACGGTACTTTGGCCGTTAGATCGACCGCTTCACGTATCTTAACCCTTTCCAGCCTTTTTAACCCTTCCTCGACCACCATAACGTGTTTGTTCGCTCGCGGGATACCCGGATATCTCACCATCATCTTGTTTATTGTATGCTGCAAGCTCTTTCATTGTCAGCAGAACACCTAAAAGTTATTTGCCATTATAGATTCCCCATGTATTATAGTAAGTACTCTGAAAAATCTATGGAAAACATTTGAGCCTTCCCAAGGGTCTAAGGCTGTTTAACGATATAACTTGGAAATCCATCCAAGTAGATGGATGGGTATCCATGTAGAGGTAGACCTACACCTTCTCCCTAGGTACCTAGGTATACATATTATAGGTTCGAATATGAAAAGCACAGGGTTGATATTAAGTCAAAATAGATCCCCATCGCACTCTCATATTCATCCACTAGATAACTATTCTACAAAAGAGATGGAATACAAGGCAGGTAGAACAGATACAGACACACAAACTCGCATACTAAATGCAACATGCAACATGCGCCGATTACACTGCATCGGTTGGTATACTAATGCGCACGAATTTACCGGTACCAGTACTCGGGCTTGACGTAGTCGGCAAAGGTCTTGGGCTCCTCATGGGGAGGGTGGTGGTGGCCGTGGTCGTCTGTAACAGCGAAAAGACGTTAGTATCAATACCGAAGAGTATTTTTGGATGATGATGAGAGTGGGAGCATAAAACATACGAGCGTGGGGGTCCTCCTCAGGGCCGATGTAGTTCAGCTTGACGACGTTACCGCACTCGTTGCAGCGCTCAATGGGGCGGTCGCGGGAGACCTGGGAGCAGTCAGTAAATTTGCTATGTGTGGATCATTCAAGAATACGAGAGGAGATTTGTCGTACAGTCAACCAATTGACCTGGTGAGAGTCTGCGGGGAAACCAGTGCAACCGGCGTACTGCTCGTCACCAGCACCGTTGACAACGATGGGGTTCTCGAGTGTTCCTGTATAATTTCAAATTCGTCGATCAGTTACTGTCCGATGCATGATATCTTGACGTCGCGTGCAAAGCGGGTGAATTCGCACGAGGCATGAAATAGTTCTGACATACCCAGGCGGGAGGCATCAAGGGGACGCATGTCAAAATAGTCGATGCCCTGCATCTTTCCGATAAGCTCGAGACGCTCGAGACCGGTAGACTGGGCGAAGTCGGTAGGGATGGTACCGGGCTTGGCACCGGGGGCGATCAAGTCCTCATCCTTCTTGATCTCTGGATAAAGATAGCCGAGTTAGTTTTGCACAATATCACATGATGCGGATGGGCTGCCTTTGCTGCATCTCGTTGGGGAGGAATCCACAATTCATGGTCCTGACATGCCTTGCAGTCTCATTGCTGGACACAAGACGAAAGGACCATTTGATATTCCCTGAAAGTATTGACAGCAGAGGCGCAACCATCGTTTGTTATACGCTGGTGAGGTAACTGACCTTCGAAGGAAAGAATCTTGCCCTCTTCCTTGACGGCCCACTTCTTCTCGTTGCCTGTTACGAAATTCGCATTAGCGAGCGATCTAAGAGGCCTATATTTGTTTTGTTTTGCCAGAAATTATGTTGGGAGCCCATTGAGGCGTCAAGGGGGGAATTGGCATATGTCGGGTGAATGAGGTCAGATCATGCCACCGGGGACGGATGAACGTACAGCGGACGATAGAAGAGGAGAAAGGGCGGGCGATAGCGAGAGCACGGGCAGGGGAACGCCTCACGAGGGCGGAGGCGGTACGCTGGAGGAACATTGTCCGGGGAAGGATGGTTATTTTGGTGGAGAGGGGAGTTTGGGAAGATGGAGAAATTGGAGGTCTGAGGTTTGGGCAAGTTTGATTGAAGCCGCCTCAGCCCGTAGCCTGCTAATTGGCTGATTTTGGAGCCAATGGCGGGCGTATTTTTATGGATGACTCATCATGACTGATTGGCTGATCTTACGGCAGGTGGTAGAAACCACTAACGCAGCCCTTTTTAGGAAGTTAGGGCTTAGGGCTACTAAGCTTTGATACTAAGTGGTGGCTCTCTTTTGGAATATGGATTACAACCGAAGGGTAGAAGATCAAATGGTATTGATTAATGATCTTCATGAACGCACTGCTTGTCCAGCATCGCTGATATAGGGGAAAAATCATGCTTTTCGTGAAGCATAGTGAAATAAAGATACAAATACAGACGCCAGGACGCCGCCACATCGCTTCTTTTCTTTAATCAAAGTTATTCGAACCATCAATCCAGATATCTTCCAACTCAGAAAAGTTCTGGAAGTGTAGAGGGCGCTGTCGATCGTCGTAGAACCGAACCGGCTCATCAACCTTGACGTAAATGGCTCTCTTCTCAATGCTGGTGAAGGCACTACCCATGAAACTGTAGTTCCACAGATTGTCTTCGGGAACCATGAAGCGGCCGCGGACTCGGTCACTGAGCAGGAGCTTGCTCTTATCTCCCATACTAAAAGAAAAGCCTTGGGGCTGGTCAGAACTCATATCCTTGTTCTCAGCACCCCACTTGTAGCCTTGAGGAGTGAGACTCCAGCCGGCAAGGGAGACGGATCCCGGAATAAAGGACACGGTCATGGTTACAGTCGATTCTGTCCATGAGGGGTGTGCATCCATTAAACGAGCGTGTTGTGTGACGTCTGCTGCGGACATGTACGGCGGCTCATTGCCTGAAATAGTGTGAATGAGACCCAGCGGCTCCATGTCTTTCAGGTAGTCATGCTGAGGCAACTCATGCGGCAACTGGACGTCACGCGTGTTTCCGACTTGGGGCACCATGACGATAGCGCGAATCTCCTTGACCTGAGAGTTGTCTTTCGGCGATTTACCGTAGAGATAGCCAGTGACTTGAACACGAAGGTCGGCAACGGTGATGAACCGCTTGAGTACGTTCTTTGGCATAACGAACGTGGTAAGACTGTCGTCGCGAATACCATCGGATGACACATAGATGTTGTTCGATCTGGTTCGAAGGTTGGAGGTTGCGATCGCACGAGTACGCCACTCAGTCTTGGAGGCAAAAGACTGCTGTTCAAAGTTGGTTGTTGTTGTGACAACCATATCCTCGCCTCGTGCGTTCTGTGTCTTGGTTGTCACCGAAGTGAGCTGTCTCGCCTCATCCTGTTGCTTGTCGATCTCGGCAGCTTGCTGTCGCTGTAGAGATGGTGCACTGATTTCCATACCCAGAATGATATCTCGGACTTCACTGCTAGTCAAGCTCTGCACATTGACATTATTTTTCTTGCCATAATCGTTCAAGATGAGATCACGCAGTTGGACCTCGACCTTAATCCAGTCCTCGTCCGAAAGAGACGGCCAGATGTGATGCTCTTGAGTAATCACTGTCTTATCAGGTCGAAGGATAATCTTGGCCTTATCAACGTTGACATGGAGAGCACGGAGAATCAGAATCAATCGTGAGAAGGCGGTGTAGGGAGAGATCGATTTCAGCCACTCGTCGTACAGGTTGAAGAGAACCATCTGAGGCTCTGTAGCACGAAGGATCATGTCTGCAAGTTTTTCAACCTTCATGGCAGCCTGGAATGGCAGCTGGAGCTCTGATGCACGAATGGAAATATTCGGGAAATCCAGTAGGTGAACCTCAAGAGGGTCGAGCAGACCCTTTCGGGTGACAATAAGTTGCTTCGGTTGCTCTTCGGCGGGGAGAGATCGAATAAGTGCAGCCACCTCTTCAGCGGTCTTCCATTTAGCAAGTTGACCCAAACGCTTTTGACCAGCCCACACACTGGTGTGGATGATCTTCAAAAACAGCTGTCCGGTTCGAGGGTTGAAGATGAAAATGGCACCGTTAATGGGTTTGGTAGTCAGATTACCCTCGAATGTCTTGTGGATGGTGACACGGTAGACATTGGTATCATCAATGAACAGCTGAGTCTGGGGACTGAAAAGTTCCGAGTAGTTCTGCGAGTTGAGGAACTCCTGGTTGCTCTCCGATGCAAACAGCTGCAGACCCTTGCGAATGCGCTCTCGCAACACGTACAAGGCTGGGTTTGCCTTCATGATCTTCGCCATAGCCTGTTGCATCAACGTCTTGAGGCCGGGGAAATACTGACCATAGGCTGAGTAGAGATTGTACGCAAGATCAATGCAAATCATGAGACCATTGGCCGAAGGATAGACACTCGTGCCGTCGGTGGTGTAGTCAAGATACTTGGCACGGGTGTAACGCTCGATGTCGTGGGAGTCGTAGTCACCGTATCTCAGTTGAATATCAACCCAGAATTTCGTGGAGGCGGTATTTTCATAGGCATCCTTGGTGTCAAACAACAAAGAAGGTCGGGTAACATTCCACTTGTTCGTGGCGAAAAGAAGAATGTCCGCGCAAGAACTGTTCATCTTGTAGGATTTACGAGGGTGAATTGTTTCCTTCTGAACTGCTTCGATACCAAGTTGTTCTAACTCCTGGTCGAACACCTGACACAAGTCCATCACAACCGACTCATGGATTTTCTGCCACAAATGGGCACGGAAGATCTGAATCAACGAGATTTTGAGGGTTGGGATTTTACCGTGGAGGAAGATACCAGTCAGATCCAGCTGGACCTGGAAACCGACATACACGTTGGCACGGTTAATCGTAGGAGACCACCACAGGGTGAATCGACGGTTGGGAATTTGATTCAAACCGGATCGTTGAGCGTTTGTAAGCTTCTTGAACTTCATACTCTCTTCGAAACCACTGTTATGCAGAACAAGGTAGTCATGGCGTAAGTAGAGCTGATCCTTGTCAACTCGGAATCCGGCCCACTCAGTACTGACAGATTCAAGCTGAATGTCATGGGCCTTGAAACGGAGTTTTTGGGGAACGGACTGTTCGGACTTTTCCAATCCAGTAGCTTTGAAAACATAATACAATTCCCTTTCTTCAACAGCAAGGGCAGCGAATTCGGCCGCAGTGATTTCCACAGTGTCATAATCATCTACGGCAGATAATTCAGCGATGGCTCGCTTCTCACGATGGAGCACCAGGATATGGTTGGCGGTGACAACAAGGTCTTCATTTTCGGTGTCAATCTTGATGCGGTAAAGGCGATCATGGCCTTTCACGATATTGAAGGCACGGCGAGGTCCACCATCAGGACCCAGCAACTCATCACCCTCACGCACATCCTCGACGTTGACTTGGCTTCCGTCATATCGAAGAAGCCTGGTACCTTTAGCGAGACACGCCTTCTCCCAGAATAGGCCCTCCCAGGATGGGAAAGCTGTTGCCTTGAACAGCGTATGTTCCAAAATTGTTTCCACACCACCGAGGGCTTGAATAACATCGGTACGGTAGGCATTCAGATTCCAGAGTTTACCGTCATGACGTTGGCTAGTCCACCAGAAGGGGTTGCTCTTCATCAGCTGATATTGCTTGAATTCGGAACGAAGACGGAATCCCTTGTCAAAGCTGAGGGTACTGCGGTCTTTTTGGAACAGAGTGTTGATACGGGGCAGACCACGGTCCCAGCTGTCCTCAAGATCCTCCAAGGTCAGACGTCGGTTCTGTGACTGGGCTTCCATCCGTTTCTGAGAGTATTCCATCCATACACGCTGAGAGTCAATGAATTCGGCTGACCAGGGGATGATGTACCGGAAAATATTCGGGATCAGGGTTTCCTCGTCATGTGACATTCCAGCGCGGAAGTGGGTAATTCCGGTGTCTGTCTGTTGGGACCATCGTTTGTCGCTCGTAGGGATAAGGATGTGTGATCCGGAGATCATACCAAGACCTCCAAGTTCCTTGGGCGTGTAGAAAACGGCCGGAGGGAAACGGGAAGGCATTTTTGAATTCAAGCCGATCTTGACTCGAGTCTGAATCTTGGTCTCACACTTGACAATGATGTCGAGAAGATTGACAGTCGAAACAGCCGCCTCACGGTAGTATGTGAAGAGAGCAATAAGGGCAGTGTTCCACTTGTTGGCAATCTTTGTGAAGGTTGTCGATCCAGAGGACATCAGAATCTGACGAATTCGGTTGTTGAACTTGTTGACATCTTCTTGAGTGACTTGGAGGAATGCATCCGCAGTCAGTGCCTTGGTCGTGTTATTGACCAGAGACCAAACGCTGTCCTTAGTCGAGAATGTTGAGTTTTGGTTACGAATCTTGGGAAGAATCCGAACCTCAAACCCATTCATGGAGTAGAGCAGGTTCGGGTTGTCCCTACTGTAGACGCTAGTGAACGTATCGTCCCATTCAATAGATGTGATGGACCTAGGAAGTCGGTTCTTCATGTCCCAGAATACAGCACGTCCAAGGTTGACGTCATGACGCATCAGACGCATACGGCAATCGCGAGGCCAGCACTTCTTATTCTTGAAACCAATGACATTCTCAAAATTAGGATCAGGGTTCTCTGTCAAGAAACGCTGGATCAAATCTCGGGATTCATCGGCAGTGAATCGGTAGAACACCCAGATCTTGTCTACATAACGAGTGTACAGACGGATGGGATGTCTGGTCTCGGTTTCACGGTCACGGAACTGAAGGAAGTCATTTGGACTTCCCGGGGGTCCGGCCATTTCGCTGGCACGCTGGAGACCAAGCAGCAGCAGATCGATCATCATACCGTAGTACTGGAATACGAATCCAGAGAATTGAAGACCACGAATCAAACCATAACTGTTGGTATGGTTCATATCCTTGTAGCTGAGCTGAACGTTGTTCTTCGAGGTAATGTAATCAGCCATATTGTGGTCCATAATAAGGCGAAGCATTCGGTTCAATAGAGTGAGATCGATCTTCTCATGGATCTTGGAGAGTTCAGTTTCCATGATGACGTTGGTCTCACCATCAGCTGTCTCCCAAACATTATGCAGGTTATTAATGCCTTGTGTGAACTTGTATGTCAAAAGTGGAGGCACCTCGGAGTCAGATGGCTTGATCCAAGAAGGGAAAAGATGACGCTGATCAGCCTGGTACCAAAGATATTGATCAAGGTAGGCATCTGTAATCTTCTCAATGGGCTCAATGTCGTAGACGGGATTGGTGAAGTTGTAGTTGTCATTCATGTCGACGCTAACTTCTTTGAATGCCCGCTGAGTCAAGAGGAAACGTTTGATTCTGGCCAGAGTTGTACCAGGGGAGTCATAAGCCTGTTCGATCAAAGCAAGCTCTTCTCGTTGGCTCTGGTTCAGTCTACCCTTTACAGAATACGACTCGCGAAGGCGCTCAAGGGCCAGAATGAGGATCTTTGTATCATGTTTGTAAGACACACTGGGAAATGGTATTGGCGAGAACTTGCGCGATTCTAGCCAGTGGACCATGGTCGTGTAGATAGCCACAGCTTGCTCAGATGACACATACGGACCATCCTTGAGATAGTTGTGCTGTCTTTCTTGCTCCGTCTTGAGCCAAAGACGAGTGAGGCGCCCCAAGTTTTTCTTTGCGACAGTCTTATCAACAGTAGCACCACGGCGGATTCGCTCTCGGTTATAATGGGCAACCGAAACCCACCAGTCAGACTTGCTCTTCACGTACCGGAGAATGATGTTCTCGATAGGTGCAGGCAGACCGGGAACCTTCCAAGGAATGTTACTCTTCCAGCATCTCCAGGCCTCGGACAAATGTTGCAAGACGACATTGACCTTGTTCTGTTTGATACCCTCGGGCATCATATCCATAAGATCCGCCATGACAGATGCACGTAATTCCAAGTCGAAGTGGGACTCGACACGTTGTTTAGTCGTAGTTTTGGCAACACCCTTGCTGTGGCGTCCCTCGAATTGACGAGAAAGTAAATTTCCCAGCCATCTCTCAAGAAGGGGGATGATACCACGCATGAAAAAGAGCCACACACGCCAAGCTGGGGCCCAGAAACCACATCCAGGTCCCTTTCCAACGGGTCCAGAGTTGAACCGATAGTAGATCAAGTGCTTCAAGTCTTTGCACGAACGAATCTGGTGCATGAGTTTGTACTTGTAACGGTACATACCGGTCAACTGGCCCACATGATTGAAGGCGTACATAATTCCATCCGCCAGTTGGAAGGCATCGATGTTACCCAAGCGGTATTGAACCTGGGCGTCCACAATCAACTTGGTCAGGCGAAGGATTTCTCGCATCAAATGGAAAGCATTTCCGAATCGAGACTTTTTGCGCTCTTTGGTGGTCAAAGTCTTGACTGGCTTCAAATTGAAGTTGTAATCCAGATGCAGATAAGTCAAGTTCTTGCGGTGAATCAATAGGTTCAACATGTTAAAACCTTGGCGACAGACTTGTAAACCAGCTTCCACCCAATCGATACTTGTCTGCTGGAAATAACTGGTCGATTTCAAAGTCTTCAGGAGACTCTGCTTACTCTGTGTCTTGGGAGTCCTCTTGTGCAGCTCATTGAGAACATAGCTCTTGAGCAGTTTCTGATAAGACACGCGAACTTTCACTGGCTGGCCTTCCGGACAGCCGTCCTTGTACCACTGCTTGACGATTGGCACATCCTGCGCACGGACCATTTTTCCATGTCGTTTATTAAAGGGGTGAGGCGCCCACCACAGAACAATGGCAGATGCAGTCTCTGGAAGGAAAAGTTCCTCGTCCTCGAAGAAAGCCTCGAAACTTCCGGGAAGTTCAAAATCGTCTTCATCATTATCGGGACCGAAGATTTTATCCTCATGGGTGACAGTGATGTTCTTGGGCTTCACCGCACGGGAAGAAATAGGGTGGAAGCTAGGATCGAAATAGTATGCAGGAAGGTTGGGGTCTTCGGTGAGTGTGTAAACTGAGTTAGGGTGGGAATACCAGCCAAGTTTGACGCTTCGAGGGAGGGTGTTGTACAGAAACGGGAAAACAATTCGATATTCGGTGCGGGTTGGGAAACGGAAAATAATGCGGTCGATGGCGTTGAACTCTCCGAAGTCTTCGCCGTTGGGGTCAATGTCCTTGTAGAGAGGCTCAAAGCGAGGACCACCAGGGATTGCGACATTGAGGGCCTTAGCAGTAAAGAAGCTGTCGAGATCCCACATATGGTAACGGTTTTGGTCGATGACTTCGGTTAGAAGTTGTTTACTGAATCGGTGGAGAGTCGCCATCTGCGGCAAATTCAAATTCCAGGATTTATAGCTCGGACCATTGACATGAGGGGTGTCAAGAAGGGGTCGGTGGTCGTAGAACCAATCGTAGATGGCCTCATCTTCATACTCATCCAGTTCCAACTGGATGGGTTCCAAAGGCTCCACATCTTCGATATTTTCTTCCCATGAAAGGGGTTGTTCCTCATCATCGAATGGGGGGAAACGCATTCGTTTGAAGTGTCTCCGATCACATTTTTCGCGACGCATGCTCATCCACATTGTTGCCCACTGGGCATGGAAGACAGGCTCGATGACACGGGGCACCTCGTTCACCAGTGTCAGACAACCATTAATGTGATAAAGTACCTTGACTTCTCTGGATGATTCCCAGGGCATTGGCATGTTTTCAAGAAGCTTGAGGACGGCATGAGGCATAAATTTCAACGCACCGAGATAGGCGCGTTTATCTTTGTTGTATTTTTTCTGCGAAACATCGCCAATATCCGCCACGACTTTGCGAAGATGAGAGGGAGGCAGGTCAGGTTTGGGTCCGTCCTCGTCACTACGCTCCTTGGCCTTTTCACCCAAACGATCGCGTTGGGTGCGCAACCACTCCGCCTTCTTTTTCGCGAACTTTGCGACATTGGGATCGGTTGGTGGTTGATAGCCCGGAGGGGGAGGTGCCATAGGCAGTGAAGAAGAAGCTGCACCCCATCCAGGCGGGGGCGGGGGAGGTGGAGGTGGAATGGATGACATGGTGATTGTTGATGGGGAGTTCACCCACCCTCCCAAGGTTTCTAACTCAAACGCGCGTCGAATTCACGACCATAGACAAAGTATTTAAGAATTCACAATTGGTGGTGGGGTGAAAGGAGATGAGTATGAGGGGAGGGATAATCAAAGATGGGGGAAGGTAGAGATGATGATGATGAAGGAGAGCTAATGATCTCTGCTCTGGATGAAGTTTGGACCTTGTGAACTTTCAGGTGGGCGTGGCGGCTCGGGACACGCCAACCGTATTTGGACTAGTGTGACAAATCGGGGTTAGCGTGACCTCGCCAAATCTGCGCTAGAGCGAAACCCACACAAACCCAGTCCAACTCGAACATTTCATCGTTCTACAACCCGACGACGACACAACGCAGCTCTTGACCATCGCAGAGGTTCAAGCACCGCCAAAATGCCTAACAACAGACTGCAATTCGTGAGTCTTACTTTCATGCCATTTTTTCAATTCGAAAAGTTGCTAATTATAAATTTTCACCCGCAGCGCCGCCGGAACCCGTACGTTCGATAAAAAATCCTTTCCCCTCCCAAAATGACTATTTGCGCTTGGCTCGATACTCTCGATATTGGATGCGATTAGGCTATACTGGCAGGGTACTTTTTGAACGACATATTGACGATTTTTCACCAATAGTTACAACACCCGGTCTAACAAGGTTCGCATTGTTAAGACCCCCGGTGGTGAGCTCCGTTACCTTCACCTGAAGAAGAAGGGTACTGCTCCCAAGTGTGGTGACTGTGGCATCAAGCTCCCCGGTGTGAGTGCCTCCTGATTCAACCTCTCTTATATGATTTCTTCGTGGTTTATGGATTTGTGGTTGTGTGAGCGATCATGGGAGGACAGCCGGAGGGCACTGAAAAAATTCTCTCCGGTCGAATAACATGGCCCTTGAACCCGACTTCTGATGACCCAGAAACACACATCGCACAATCCTCTACACGATCGTTATTCTCGACTCATCATCGGATCACTGACAATTTGAAATACAGGTTCCCGCTCTCCGCCCCCGCGAGTATGCCCAGATCTCCCGCCCCAAGAAGAACGTCAGCCGTGCCTACGGTGGCTCGCGCTGCGCTGGTTGCGTCAAGGACCGCATTGTCCGCGCCTTCCTGATTGAGGAGCAGAAGATCGTCAAGAAGGTCCTCAAGGAGTCCCAGGAGAAGGCTGCTGGCAAGCGCTAAGCAAAGTCCATTTGTCGGTGTTTGTCTTTTTTGGGGAGCGAACGTTACGGAAAAAAAATGGGAAATGGTTCTTAGATTCTAAGAAGATGATGACAGGAACCGCTAGTACACGAGCCGAACCGTGTCGTGGCTAAGCAAATGAAACCCACATTTCACTATCTTCATGAGAGATTCCCACAAAATTACGTCTTATTCCCAAATGACTTGTCCTGGAGCTTGATATAATTTCATCTGATCACCTCTGGAGCACTTACAGCTCTCTCCAATATTCCCAAGACATTTCCGTGGTCATGAAGATCGTGAACATCGCAGTAAGAATGCAAGTGTAGTAAAGTCACGTCTATATCACGGAACATAAATCAATTTTCAGATCTTCCAAGTGCACACTGTCATTTTAAGAATGTTAAGTATGATGCAACTGCTCTCCAGGCTCCCTTCCCTCCAGGTCATGGAATTTCCTCAGATCCTCCTTCCTAGGTATACGAAATAATGTCTCTTAGGTACATCCACGGATTCACTAGTACCTCCAGACCCTCATCCACGCCTATGTGGGTATCTAAATAGGTGAGCAGTAGCCCAGACCTCAAGATGGGCCTTCAAAGGTCGCTACTTGAGTAGACATCGACAATATGCCTATTTACCTTGGTATAGTCTTATGCCCGGGTTTTTTCTTAGATATTTAACTGAGTAGATAGGTAATTTTACCACTTCTTATTTACCTACCTAGGTATGTACATAGATACTCATCTCAATGAATGTCGTATATTTCAAGCCTTGGAATCTAGGTAGGTATACTGGACTACCTAGGTACCTAGGTCAAAGGACCACCTACCTGCTCAAGTGGGCAAATCTACAGGTCTCGTACTCCAAGGTTTTTCCCACGCAGCCTCCTACCCAAGTACACATGTTAAGTACAGGACAAAATACAACAAGTACTTCTAGCAGCCATTATTACCTCAGAAGCCATGCATTGTCTGGCACTTGAAGAACCAGCCAACACATCAACAGAATTGACTTTGTTGCCAGACCGCCGTAAGCCATCGTCTTGACCTAGCGGTACAATGCAGCGGAATACGGACTTGAACCCCTGTTCAATCGGAAATGTGGGTTGAGGATATTTGTCATTGACCTGGATAAGAATGGTCAGGGTTGTGAGGTCAATTATAGACCAGGGACCGACTGGAATGGGAGTTCCTGTTCCGAGGAGCATTCTTGGCCTATGGCCAAATTGGCTGATGGTGCAGCGACTTGGTGGGCTAAAGTTGAATTTCGGGCTTATACGATGCAGACTGACGTTAAGAACCTGCATAGCTGTTGGAATGGATCACTTTCCCCTGAAGACCGCTTATTGCGCTCCAGTTTCCAAAAATGAGGTGCATTTTTGTGTGATTTATTTTAGCCCCGGAGCCCTGGAGATCCTGGGGTCGGCATTACGTGAAGGCGCATTACTTCACATGGATTAATACGATCCCTTTGTCAATTACGACAATCCAAGATTGAAACCATTTGAAGCCATGGGCACATTGGACAGCTAAACTTCACATATTGCCCAGGTTCGTAGATGAATCATCTAAAAGTTTTCTCGTGAGAGACTACTTAGATAACATTGATACTGACCCCCAAGGCCAGATCTTGAAGGATCCGGCTTATTGTAATTGATAGCAAAACCTTGGAAGATAGGACATATATTACTTTTTCCTGTCACAAAGGACTTGCTTGGGGCTTGAAACATGAGCAGATCAGATCTGAGGATCTCATATGGCGCTCAGCGCTCGAGCCTTTTGATCCACTATTGGCGCCTTTAACGGTCCACCTGGGCATTTAATATAAAGAATGAGGAATAAAATCAGTGCCCAGCCCTGGTGTGGATCATCATGACACAGAAGTAGACACGTTGATTGTTCAAATTTGGTTCAGAAGCCCTTCCGACGTCGGGACAACCGATTTTTCTTGTTAAGATACTACTCCAGGATTCCATGTGGACAAACACGAGGGAACGGCCAAGGGAAAAAGTAAAATGTACCATGACCCCAAAATACCTTGACTCATTGGCCCAGGTGCCAATAGTATATGCAATCAGGGAACTCCGATTTAGGCAAGAGCTTTCTAGGGTCATCCTAGACCTGCTTCCCAAAAATATGACCAGATTGAAGTGCATATGGTCTGGAGTAAAGGCAAGGCTGGTAGCCGAAGAAGCTGCAAGTCGAAAATGGAGTAAGGGGGGACATTTGGCCGAACTCATTATGTGGTACCTCGCTTCAAGGTGCTCTACAACCACATTCAAATTCTATTTTTCATTTTTAGGTTATCCATCTATATGACAGGAGGTCTGAGTCCTTCGGGGATTTTCTAGTGCAATATTTCAAGTCTGGAAGGGATTGATACCTGTCTAGGTAACCAGGTATACTTTTCTTGGGTAGAAACCCTGGAATTTATTTTGATATTTCTCGTACAACTAGAACCACTCAGGTGCTACATAGGAACCCTTGAATGATATTATCAAAACATAGATTACGTAGAATACGCGGGCTTCAATTTACATGTACCAATGAAGAATGATCCTTCTATTTCCATCGATAGCCCCCTGCAGTATCGAATCCATAGTGATACATTCATATAACGTGGCACTTGATAAACGTCTGACCCCTAGAATCCTAGACAGGCTAGGTAAAGAGCGGTCGATCGCTGCCAGTGTAGATCTGCCCCTAAGTACGGAGTACTCTGTACTGCCCTGGCTTCTTAGGTTTAGACTTTTGGCCGTTTCTTTACTTTTTCTTATCTTTAAATTCGCCGCGCCTGCCGCGTTATTATATTCAGGACTGATTCACGGAGGTCTAGACAGTTATGTGCATGATCTACACTCGGGATGAACCATGCCGTCAAGCGGCCGGGATCTCCACTGCATTGTGATGTCTTAGCGCTTGCCTTTGCAGCTTGGATCCTGCACATCTCAAGACTCGGGAAATGCACATCCATTTTGACAGCTGTCAGGCCCGTTGCATCTCACATTCCATCAACGGCTGAGGCCCGTGCTACTCTTGATTCTGAAGGGAAAGGTATAATGGATAATTTGAAGGAAAGGAAAGGAAGATCCGTGTATTGGAAAGATTTCTGAATACAATGTTGTTTCAGTTTCTTAACTGATTTTTCAATATGAATCGATAAAATGAGTATTGATTACCTACCTAGGTATAGCATTACTGCACTAACACGGGATCCAATACTGAGTATATGTATGCATTGGACTAGAACTCGGAAGACCGTACTAACATCTCCGATAAAGTTCTTATTTTTCAGAGGTCATCGTCAGATTCTTCACGGAACCACACATCCATTTTTTTAGGCTAACCGCTATAACAGCAGAAAATGATGAAGCAGCTAAACCCGATATTGTGGTTCTGCCGAATCGAACCCTGGAAAATTTGATAGATCTTCACGGGAGTGAGATGAATCTGGTTGAATCGAGTAGCCATCTGCGAACTGCACCACGATCGTTTTGGTGATCCGTACTGACTGGCCGGGAGCGCCATCGATTAGAGCCCAGACCAACGATGACCCATAAGCTGACCTGAATAGCTCGAAATGAAAAAAGCAAGTAGAACACGGGAGCGGAACTTTGAAGATTTCCCGCTCGCTATGGCTGCTGCATACAAAAAGGGAAAAGACGAATCACCAATGGATGGAGGAGAGCCGTCCACTAAACTGCCGGGGTGTGCAATTTCTAATTGGGTTTTATTTAGGTATGTTTACTTTTAGCACAAAAATAGGTCGGAACTTCACATCTAAAAGTACCACCCAGTTAGCCTCACTTTTTAAATCCATCACCACCTAGAAACCTTGGTAGGTAACCCCGTAATTTTAGCAAGGAATTTACTCTGAGTGAATAGCTATTTACCTATCTAGGTCGGTAGGTACATATTTTAACGCACCGTGCTGGAGTGAATTATAATCTCAATCATGGATCTTATTTATCGGGCCCCAACCTTGGAAGTCAGAAAACATCCACAGAAACTTGTAATTGAAGCCAGATAGGTTCAATATAGTTTAGATCGGGTGATTTCACCAACCAATCTATAGCCTTGAAACACATGGTTCCTGATTACGTACATGGTGATTTGAGATTTGGTCTGCAATTTCTAGAGGCTAATCCTAAGGTTAGGTACCAAGATGGGCCCACAATGGTGTGGAGTGGGTGGGGTCATGAGACAGAGTTGACGATGTCTTTGGGGTAATATGAGAAGAAGTGAGTAGACTTTTGACATCTTATGTTTATGCATGGGTACCCGCTAGGTACGGGTTGCCTTATGCTACCCGCAAGCCACTTTATGCCCTTTACGGCTATTACGTGAGTCATTTCGCGTCCGAATCTGCAGAAGTAACATCATTAAGGGCGAATCAAAACACGAGTGTATAGCCGGGGATATAACCGAGTGGCCAATGGTTATTCCGTTACAAGATTGAAAACCTGAATCACTGTATATTCTCGATCTGAAATTCAGAGCGAATGACAGTATACATTCATGTTAAAGAGATAGGAAAAATGAGTATAAAGATGTCCCAAAGCGCCCAGCGGCACGGCCCGCCAGAAAGTAAAAATTAAAAACTTGGAATATAATAAAATTCTAAAGGGGCGCCAGACTGAGAACATCGCGCTTGGGTGCCTTGCGGACGATAGAGCAAGTATCACCTATAGCAATAGAAGCTTAAGCCCTAGCTTCGGAAAAGTCTCTATCTATCCCATTCGGGCAACTTCTGTGCATTCAGCGCACGGACTCGTTGAACAACCAGCTAGGGGTATGAAGATGGATAACGAAGCGGTCGCAACTCATACCTAGGTAGTAAGCAGACATTACAGACGTATAATGAAGATTATCATGTGTCATATTCAGCTAGCAGATATTCATTTATAATTATATCATATACTCGAGGTTTCTTGGCTAATAAGGGTACTAATGATCATGTCTACGGGAGGGGGCTGCTCAATTGAGAATTATGAGATTCCGAGGACGTATCAGCTCCCCGCTGTCCCCCACATAAGACTTGGCCACGAATAGTAGATGACACGGGAGCTATTTCCAGATATCCGGAGCCATGACAAAAAGGAGAAGCGTGACCGACGGGCAAGAGCATTTGCGGCCGGGAGTCTTGTGCCAAGTACCTAAGTAGTGGATGAGGCTGATTGGTGATTTAAATGACACACTGGTAGTGGAAGATCCTACATAATTGATAGGAGCGCCATAGAGGTGGCTAACCAAACATGTTTATACAAAGCCGTTAAGCCAGACAGTATGCAAATATACAGGAAGAAGAAGATCCATCGGGGAGAAGATTATGGATACACTTGGGATCTTGTGCAAGTACTAAAGCGCCCATTGTACGTTGCAGAGTATCATTTAGCGCCATTCGCGCATGCTCTAGCTGAAGACAGACTTTCCATTCGCGAAACGGTGTGGACGTGCAGCAATGAACTTGTCCCCTCTTCGCTAAGTGGACCCAGTTTTATCCAAGCGTATCGTGAAATACGGGTTTTTGAGTAACTTGAACTTTTTCTTTAATAAAAAATCTTGCCAATCTATGCTCTAGCTGACATCTGCATGAGAAGTTGTCAAATCGCATTTCAGTATCATATTCGACAAGTGGAACACAGTGGGACCTCGGAAGCCCGGGACAGACGCTAAAACGACACTAGAGGTGTGGGGGTATGTATACATGAGGTCAACTGGTGCGAACAAAAAATGAGGATAAGCCAAAGACGTACTCGATCCGCTACCTGGGTTAGCCGACATGATAAGCATCCGATCGACACGAGGTCCTCGAATATGTCTTCAGCAAGAGGTTCGTGATAGTCATAGATTCAAAGCTGCCCATGGATCGTAAGAAGTAGTGATAAAGATTGAAACAAAAACCTTGAAAGTTGACATCCCAGCGTATCCCATTTTTGAAAAATCACATTTTGAACACCCCAATTCAACTCGCAAAATGCATAATGCAAAAATAAAGTGCTTCTATGCTATTCAGCAAATTATCACACGAACCATTCCAATGGAAGCGATAACTAAATCCCCCTCCCCCTTGCCCTTTTGTCAGAGAAAAAAAAAATAATAATAACGAAATCAATTCCAATATGCATTTGAAATGCATGTAAGCCGGTGCCGGGCCTTTTCGCGAATACCATTGCACTCTCCCCCTCCACCCCTTTTTCATTTTGTCTCCCAACTAGATAAGCTGGATATCTGAGAGACCATCAGTACCGGTGATGGGCCCACTAATATTAGGACCCGAGGCCATTGCATACCAGCACCCCATACGGGCAATATCACACGTAGCATATTCCGGTCCCGCCGGTCCGGGTGGGGGACTCCTACAGCCGACAACAGTGCCCAAGTCAAATGTGCGGACTTGTGCAGGACTAGCCACAGGCGGCATATGAGCAATAGGGTAGTGCGGTAGACACGAGCCAGAAAAGCGAGGATTCAACACAGGGGGCTGAGATGGTCGTTGGGGGTGTATAGGCGGGCAGTATCTCTCCGTGGTATGGCGTCCTTTAGCCGAAATTTTGAGAACCTTTCCAGTCTTGATACCACTCAGACGAGTAGAGGATTCTGGGCCTGCCTTTCTGGGCCCAGGTTTTCGGTAGCGGGTGGTTGATTGGACTTTGCCATTTCGAATGGCCTCATCTGTGAGACGCCAGTAGCTAACTGTTCTTTTGCCGTTCCCGTCTTCTCTAATGGCTTCAAACCCCTACAAGTAATAAAAGACTCTGTTAGCTGACAAATGTTTCAAGAATGGATAGCCTTAGAACTCCTTGGAAATTTATAAAAATGGCTAAATTTGGAAGCGGGGAAACATACAGCGTTCATAGATAGGTTATGACGGATACTGTTTTGCCAGCCTTTGTGGTCCCTGCCACCCTTGTTCGTATTCTTTTCAAACCAGGAATATATTTCCTGGAGGGGCATCCTCTTGTCAGGCTTGGATTCCAAGGCCTGGTAGATCAAGTGCGAGTAGGGAAGATCCGAAACCTGTTCTTCCTCATCGACCGGAGCAGTAGCTGGGCTCAGGCCTTCCATAGGGTGTGCTGCAGAATATTGTGAAGACATTGAGATGGGTGATGATGACACTGATGTGGCCTGACTAGGTCTATCGAAGCTCTGACGATTCAGGTATTGCTGATTCAACAAGGGTGCTTCAGTTTGCCAGTTTAGACCTTCTTCAACCTCATGGTGGTCTGGACGAGGACTTAGATGATCCATATTTGATGAAGTGTTGATTATAGCGGGGATATTTGAAAGTGGAGCAGAGTAGAAAGAAGAAAGATGGTAGGAGCTTTGTGGCAATCTTTTGGCTTGTGCATGTGATTGTGCAATGTGAGCAGAGTCAAGCTCATACGCCTCAGGAAAAGTCACAGTGGCAGTCCATGGATCACTATAGCCTGAGTATCGAAGAGGCACCATAGATTCAGATGTCGGAGTAGATCTCAATGTTAGCCAGTTGTCAACTGTGGGACAGGGGTCATAAGGCGAGGTCTTCAGGAGAATCTCATCTTCGGGACCCTCCATTTTTACCAAGAGCCGATTGTGCTCGAGCTCTCGCTGGTCAGTTGACATCTGAGCCAGGTGTAAATGGTAAGTTGAGAACGAAGACTCCCCGTCCAACCCTCTTAACTTCGAGATAAGACCCATTGTGAGAAGCTTAGGGGTATAGAAGCATAGAAGCAATTGGAAAGTAAAGAAAAGACAAAGTGTCAAGAGATTGAGGGAAGGCAAAGTCAACCTAGAAGTAACCGGGGAGTTGAGCGTCATGCCCAGTGCTAGACTGGATGGAGCTTTGCAATACTTTCCTTTTCCTTGTATTTTTCGATTTTATTTTTATTTTTATTTTATTTTTAATCTGAATTTTTGCCCCCTTAGCCAGCACATGCCCTTTTCTTTCTATGCTACAAACAGAAATATGCATAAAAAATAGTCCCTAAGGGAGCAAACAAGAAAAGAAAAAAAAAACAAAAACAAAAAACAAAAAACGGTGTGAAGGCTAGAGCCATCAGATCTCTTAGAATATTTAGGAATACCTGTAGGAGCGTCAGAGCGAGTAAATCGGGGCTACAGCGCGTACAGAGTATTAGCCAATGGGTCCAGGGATCAAATCAACTACACGAATAGTTCTAGCCCTGAAGAGAACTGGTGAGCATCGGCCAGCTGCAGGCCAAAGGTGCTTTGGCTATTCTCCAATGGCCCCCGGACCTTCTGGAAGTTGACGGCAAGGCCAGTCAAAGGGATCTTCTGCTTTCCACTCCACTGAATTCTCTTCTTGTCCGGGAGTTTCTTTTTAGACCTGCTTCCAGCCAGCCGGAAACGAAGAATCATTTGCACACGCTGCAGGACGGTGTCTGGTGTTACCATAGGAAAAGAAAAGAAAAGAAAAACCGTAATCAGAAGAGAGAATAGGAAGCAAAAAAAAAAAAAAAAGATAATAGTTTTGTAGGACGATCTCAGAAAAATGAAGTTGGAGGAAATGATAGCACATCGTCATATTTCCATAGTTCCTGTAAACAAAAACTAGATAACCTCAGACCCTTTTTTTTAGTAGGTCAGATTAAGCATTTTGAATTGCCCTCACAGTGTGGATCAACTGGAGTCGGGCCTTTGACATCAGATCCAGACTAATCGGTTGCGAGCCTGTTCGATTCACAGGATAGGAAGTCTCTGGAAAATACAACCCGAATTGCATGATACCCACAACTCCACCCCGATAGACCATGTGGGAATGATGGGTTGCGTCTGTGTTACTTCCGGTAATAGATCTGAGACAAAAGTCAGTCATGTTCATTGTGACTTTTTTTTCATTACTTACTCTCTTGAACTGAAAATGAAGTTGCAAAATTCCCTGTAACACAACGGAAAAAAAGACGTTAGACAAGAAATTTACGAGAATTGCCAACTTTTTAAAGAGGAAAGATCTACTCACCTTATCAAAGGTACTCTTAAATCCTCTTTCTCGCTTAGAACTGTAGTCCCATTCTTTGTCGACAATTCGGAAGGCGATATCTTCATACGGAGGGCCAGCCTTGAATCGAATCAAGCAAGTATCTTCTTCGCCAGCAGCGGCCCAAGACTGACCCTTCTTGCGACCATTCTCTCGTTCGATACGGAATGTCGGAGCTTGAGTTTTGTCGATCAGATCGGGGTAGAAGATGTTAAACTTGTAACCTTGTACGACCTTGGGTGGAGGGTTGTCATGGTCGTAATGGGTTTGGTTGTACTTATTCCATTCATAGCCCATTTGCACCCGGTTAAAGTATCGGGGTTTTCGCGGTCGGTACTTGCCAGCCCATTGGGATTGTGATGGTGTGCTGACGGCTTCTTCGCCCGTAAAGATTTCTTCATTCTCACTGATTCCCTTGGCCAATTCCTTGTCGTAAAGTGCCTTGGTTGCTTGTGAGAAATCGCCATTAGGAATGGAGGAGAATCGATTGGAGATGGCCTGTGCGGATGTACTACTGGAATTAGTCGTGCCAATGGTGGCAGTCGACCTTTCAGTTGCTCGCTGACGTAGAGGGACAAATCCCATGCGGATAATCTTTTGGCGTTCCTGGGCCTGTGAGAATGTTTGTTAGGACTGGAATTCCATTGGATATAATAATATTGGGAGAGAACATACCACTTGACGTAGAAATACAGACTCGTCCATTCTCTCCAATCCTTTGGCTTCCTGGTCCAATTGGAGCAACGGATCAGGGTCCAGATTTTTGAATTGGACAGAATCTATACAGGCGAGCTGCTCCTGACTACTAGCAAGAGGCGCAAGAGGTGCCAACTTTGCCCGAATAGATTCAGCCTCACATTTCTGCTCCTTTCTTAGATCTCGAACGCGCTCGTCGATAACACTTTTATAAACAGTTCGGAGTCGTGCTCTGGCCTTCCAGACTGTCAAACTGCGTAAGAGCTCTTCCCAATAATCTGTATCGATAGGCTCATTGGAATTCAATTTTCTTTTCACTTGCACCTCCAGTGCCTGCAGTTGTTCAAATGTTTTTGGGCGTAGGAGTTTGTTGATGTCGGTAGCAACGGAGCTAAGGGAGCGTCCTTCTGGTGCGGAGGTCTTCATGCGGTCTCGACAAATAATTTTCATAGTCTAAAGAAGATACTGTTAGTTTGGAGCTCAAGGCAAATACAAAAATCCTGGATATCATACCTGCCAATATTCGCGGTTTTTTGCATTTGACTCCAAGTTGAAGAACGTCACAATTTCTTTCTCCAAGTCCTGCAGCTCTGGATGTGACAAGCCCTCAAATACTCCATCTGGGTCGACTACATCAAGCTCGGCGTCCGTAATTTCGTCATCCAAGGGATTACGCTCGGGATCAATAAAACGAAGGGTGACAGTGAGCCAGTCAATAGGCTGCGCGCGCCCTTCCTTGACTCGGATCTCTGCCTTCCTCTTAGCCTGCTTCAGCACGAAGATATCCTCCTGCGCAACCCATTGTCGCTCCTGCTCATCCTCTTGGAGCTGGTTCAGCCGAACTTGGTCATTTCGGTGATGCGACTGGCGATACTGTCTGCCATCCCGTTCGGAATTCTGTTGATAGCCTCCACCTCTTTCGTCTCTGCGGGGGGTTTTCTGGGGTTGACGCCAAGATGGGGATCGCGATCGACTGCGCTTCGAGCGTGATCGGTCCCACGGTGGTTGCGTAGACATTAGGAATAAAGTCGTCTTAGGTAGGATGTGTAAGATCTATGTCCAAGATGAGCGATGAAGAGTGTTAAGTAAATGCGCGGTTTGGTCGCGAAGTCTGAAAAGTGACAGACTGGGGCGGAAGATCAGCGGCAAGTTAAAGCGTGCGGCTAACTTTCCCCGAGGCTCCAAGCACAAACACCGCACCATCATACTGCCATTATCACATATTTATTCCAAGTATACAGCCTCGGAGACATATATTATGTCTTCAAAATGGTCTCGACTTTATTTAAAGCAAGAAGATTTGCCTCTACTGCTTTTCCAATACACTTGGTCCCGCCAAGGTTATGAGCTCTATGTTACTGATCTCACCTCAGTCTGGTCTGAGCGCCTACCACAAAAAGAGATTTTAAAACGAGCAGAGAACAACAATACAACTATAGATCCAAGTGAAAGTCAAGAGCAACTGGAAGTTCTGCTTGTGAAGATTGGAGAAGCTCTGCGCGGCGATGGGGGCAGCTCAACAGTCAGTCATGGATCCGACGCCAATTCGCTCGAGCTCTCCATCAGTACCAAGCTACCAGCTCCTTTAAAGGCTTTGAAATGGACTCTGTCTATCTTAAAAGAGCCCGCCTCGTCTCTGACAACCCAACTACTTCTCCCTCTATTGAGGGATGAAGCAGCGTGGGAGTCCCGTCAGCGATCCATACTAGATCAACTTAAGCAGAAGGACTGGGTCCTTGGGAGAATTTTCGATAAGATCGATGTACTTGGTATTGACCTGGCGACGATTTTCCCCGGAGCCGCAGGCCTGCGTACATCTCGAAAGGGAAACACCCGGTCTGAAGCAGCCAAATATATCAAGGGCCTTGCACCGTTCGACGAGTCCGCCTGGCTTACTGAGTCTGAGAGATTAGCTGCAAATCTAGTCCACGAATTAGTTGGATCTGACTGCAGTGCTGAGGTTGAGACTATCAGTCCGCCGCCGGACAGGTGGTGGAGCTCTGTCTCTGCCGCTGTCGAAGAAGACAACAATACTAGAGATTCGCAAAATTCCTATAAACTCTCGCAACGAGATCTTGATATGGATTTAGATCAAAACAATGCTTTCACAGAGAGTGAGGATGAATTTGAAGTTTGTCAACGCAACCATATCACTCATCTCGTCTATATACTAACCAAGTTCCCAGGAACAAGAAAATCTTCCACAAAGAAAGGCCAAGAAAGACCAAGTGATCTCCTCGCCACCAAAATCTACTAAGAAAAAATCACCACCTCAAACCCGTGCGCCAGACCCTGGCGAAGTCACAGGATCAGAATTTGAATCTGAATCTGAACCTGAACCTGAATCTAAGTCACAACTGCAGTCTGAACTAGAATCTGAGCCTCTGTTAAGTCAAAGGCGCACACCTAGTATCTCACCCCCGCCAAAATCTCCAAGCAAGCAGGCCCCCAAGAAGCTCAAAACAGGTTTTGGTGTAATAGGAGGCAAGAGAAAGCAAGAAAAGCAACCAACCCCATCTCCGCCACCACCCCCATCACCCCAAAACCCAGAAAAGGCCGAAGTAGTCGAAGATACACCTCAAAACAAGCCGGCTCCCAAGAAGCCCAAACTAGGACTAGGTGTAATAGGAGGCAAGAAAAAGCAAGAAAAGCAATCAACACTATCACAACCACCACCCCAAAAACCAGAAGAGGTCCCCAAAGCAGCTGAGGACACATCTACATCCACGTCTCAAACGCAACCAATGGTAAAGCCCAAACGACCCGCGAAGCTAGGCATGATAGGGGGAAAGGTTAAAGCCAAAGTATCTTCTCCCCGCCAGGAAACGCCTGCAGCACAGCCAGAGAATACTCCTGCACAGTATATAGTGAAAAAGAAAGAATCCTCGTCATATCCTCCGCTGAAAAGGGAGGATTCGCCTCAACCTAGCCCATCGGCTGGAAAGCCTGACGCTAATCCACCTGCTGCTCCCGAAACGGACGAGCAAAAGGTTCAGCGGAAGCGAGAGGAATTGAAGCGGAAGCTTGATGCGAAGACGAAAGCTCCAAAGAAACGGAGATTCTAGATGTCGGGACTTAACTTGATGCCAGAGCCTTCAGAATTATCTACGGGATATTTGAAGTGATCTTGATTTCAAGAAGATCCTTTCAGATGAGTTATTATTTGAGGGAACAACCCTAAAAAAGTAAAAGAAATTCGCTAAATTATGGTCAAACCTGGTATCACTCATACGCCAAATTTATCCAAAGAATTAGAAATGTATAATACAGGAATCATGAAACGAGCTTCCAGAGCTGTTTGTTGGGAAAAAAAAGAAGACCGGGGAAGAAGTGAAACGGAACAGTCGAAGCCTAGTCCTTAGGCCCGGCACCCGGACGGAGAGGGGCAGTACGCGCATTCTTTTCAATCGGAGCTACGACTCTCACTTTCCTCGGTGAAGAAACACTAGAAATGCTAGGCACCTGACCAGGTGCGGAATTCGTTGTCGAAATGCTCGAGACAGCACTAGCTCCAGCACTACCCCCAGGTGCCGTAGTGACGCCCGCAGCGCCTAGCATGCCACGCGCTTTTTCGACGGCCTTGGATTCACCTCGGGTCCAGGGATCACGTTTTACCAAGCCAACGCCAGAAGATCGGTTGGCAGTGTCCCGGCGTTTCGATTCAGAGGATTGAGCTTCGCGGTTTGCCTCGCGACGCGGACCTGGTCCGCAATCGTGTGAGCAACCAGGTGTAGCGCAGCCTCCCTCGCTAATAGAAGGATCACTCAGCCAGGTTGTGATGCAGGCCAAATGGCCGCCATGACCACAGCCTTGGCACCAGGTCCAGAGAGCTGCGCCTTTGGGACGGGGTACAGTGAAATCATAAAGGTGGTCTAACTCGCCATCTGGCGCACGCTCGGTTGCAACTGACAGGTGGGATGAGAGGTGTGAGGTAGTCTCAGTTTCTGGATTAAAGATCTCGGAATCAAATGACGAAGGTTGCGTCAGTTGTGCTGCGACCCATTCCGGGGGTGGATGGATACTCATGCAGATAGTACACGGTGCCTGCGGAGTGTTACAGCGGTAGCAACGAGTGTTGTCACGCTTTGGGTTTTCGTATGGTCTTTGGCAGGTATAACAGAACACGTTGATGTAAGTATCAATTTGAGCGTAGTCATACACAGCAGGGTAAGTCGGTACGCAAGATAGGCGGAGCTCTGCTGCCTCCAAGTCCATTGAGTGTCGAATGAGATATTCATTGTATGTTTGAAAGACCTCTTGACTCTCTTCGCGTGGGAAAATCTCCTCGCAATCGTGGAATAGGACGTGGAGCTTTTGTAGCAGATGCGCTGCAGTCTGGATGTCGATGGAGCTGCCGCTATGATAGTACCGAACAGCTTCTTTTAGAATGGTCTCAATACTCCATGGGTTTGGGTCTGCGGTATCTGGGGCCAGGGGAAAGGTCATGCGGGAGAGACCTTCATAAAATCCTGCAATCGTAGGATACACAGGGTTGTTCACCAAGTGCGGTTTTTCAGAAGACCGAGGCTCCATCAAGTCCGGTTGCTCAAGCGGGGTAGATTTGGTCACCAGAGTGAATGGACTGGAAGGTCGATCAAGGTGAGCAAGGTCTTTTTCTAAAAGTGACTCATCAAGCTCCGAATCTTCTTCAGGCTCCTCCTGTGCCGGCTCCAAGATGGATTCAATTCTGGGAGGATTAGGTGGCCCACTAGCATGGGAGACAGCCTGGCTTGCCTGGCCTGCATCGGACAATCGACGGCCCTCTGGGAACCGTCCATTGGGTGAGTAGGACGCGGCGATAGATTTCTCAGGGTTTGAGCTATCAGTAGATGCCGAGAACATCGGAAAACTTTCTGCAGAATCGCCCATGTAACGGTCCGCTGTTGGGGGGCGGTGGGTTCCCATAGCAGAATCCAGCGTGAGTATATTCTTGGGGATATGCTTGTAGTCATTGAGGGCTGCTCGCTTGGTCTCCATCTTTTGGTCATAATCATCATCAGTAGCCTCGGGAGCAAAAGTAGGACGGCCACGACCACGCCAGTCTGCTCTCCCGGCAATTGCCCGGGGAGCAGATCTCTGATCGCTGTCCAGGTCATAGCTTGGATCGCAAAGACGGTTGGGAACGACATCTATAGAGTGAGGCATAGGGGCCATAGGCTCTGACTCTACTTCGTTCGCAGTTGCGATGGGACCAGCCTCTGGAACAGACATGCGCCAGCCGTTATGAGAACTGAGCACTGATGGCGGAAGTTGTTCGAAATCGTCAGTGTCGTCACTTACTGAAGGTATTTGCGAATCAGAGCTTGTCCAAGAGTCCATGGCCTCCTTGGGTGAATCTGGTAGCGGTCGAGCGACAGGTGTAGTCATATTCGATGTGCTCTCGGCCTCTGGAATAAGGCTTGCCTGGCCCTCCGTCTCCATGACCCCCTTGAACAGTCGGCTTTTGACCTTTTCATCAACTGCTCGTGATTTCTCTGCCATCAAGACGTCCTTGGATTGCTTGCCCTTCAGACCACCCTTCCGTGGCGGCTGCTCCCTCGACCTGCGTTGGAGCTCCTGAAGAATGGCAAACTTGACAATACGCCAGGTCTGAGCCAGGGTCGTCAGTGATACTTCATCTGCGCGCTCAGCATTATGATCAAGCGACTCTATCAAAGAGTTAAGATCATCGAGATGGGCTGTGTTGCTGTCACGTTCGTCTATGAGAGGCGCATAATTTCGTGCCAGGAACCTAAAGAGCGATTCATCGCTGGTGGCACCCGGTATGGTTCCGATAGCTCCCATCTGGCTCGGACAAGAAGTAGAATTTTTGGCCAGGGCTTGGTCTAGAGGAAGAACAGCAATAATATCTACTGCACCGGGAGGGGTGCTGCCTAAAGACTTTGTTGGTCGGATTGTAGTGGGCTTTTTCTGCTGATACCGAAATGAAGAAGCAAATGCAGCTTCATTGAGAACGTCATCTGATGGGCTCTCTCTTAGCAACTTTTCGCCGTTGCTACTCTCTCTATCATCCTCAATACTGATGAATTCGGCAGCATCGACGCCAAGATGTCGCCGCCGGGGTCGTTTTTGGGAGAAAGCGACAAATCCGCCATTTGGACTCCAGGCGACTGAACACGTCGGTCGACGATTGACGACCGTAGGTGTATATCGAATATCGGTCTGAGTGAAGGCGCCAGTTTCACCTACTGTCCACAACAAATCCTTGGAACGCCAAAGCAAATCGGCAGCCTGTGAATCGTAGCGATCGAATTCTCGGAAAGGGACATGTGGACGGCGGAGGTCCCAAAGATGGATTCGCGGATCTTCTTTGTCATAGGAGGTGAGCAGTTGAGATGACTGCTGCTGGCCAGAGCTCGGAGAGTCACCGACCCAAGACGCTGGTCTCCAGCGTACATTGGTCACAGCTTGTGGGGTGCGAAAGTGGAACGCGGGTTTCTGCCGTCGGTCTGCGGTCGAAGAAAAATCCCAGACCTTGACCTGCCGGTCAGTGCCTCCGCTGACGATGTGTTTCCCATCGGGGTGCCAATCGACGGCATAGCAAGGACGATCATGAGCGGCAATCCTCATAAGCGGAGCGTTCGTTTTGCGCGTATCCCACATTTGAATGGCGCCGCTATCCGAAGCCGTCGCAAACACGACTCCGTCACCGGGGGACCACCGGACGTCCCGGATGGCATCGCTGTTGCCATGGTAGACATGCTTGCTGCTACATGTGGAAAGACCGCGATTTGTCGGGGCGGTTCTTAGATCCCACATACGGATAGTACCATCTTGACTACCCGAGAGTAGCCAAGAGGCAAGATGAGGGTTGAAAGCGAGTCTATGGACCTGGCGGTTGTGGCCTTGGAAACGACATAATTGAAGGTCGGGTCGCTGCAAATCGTAAACGACGATCCGACCATTGGCGACGGCGGTTGCTATGATCCGGTCGAAATTGCTATGTGACCATTTCACATCTTGTACATTCAACTGGTCCTTGTGCGGTATCACGCCGTCCTGCTGGGTGGATGCATTGCTGATGATGGCATCACGAAGATTGAATTCCTCGGTGGAATGATCAGGTGAGACTCGAATAGTTTTGAGAATCTCCTTGCCACCGATTATAGCATGGGTTTTGTCGGGGGACGCATCTAGGGCGGCGATGGGAATACCAGTTCGGTGTGTAACTGTCTGCGGCTCACCTGGACTAATGACGTTTTAGCCGGGTTGAGCGTTTCGGACAACAACATAGAGAGCATCGGGGAAGCATGAAAGAGGGGGTATAACATGTGTCATGATATTTTAGGGAAACCGTTGCAGCGGTGTGAGGAGATATGCAACACATACAGCGATTTTGACTTGATCGGGTAAGTACCATCGATCTTATTCTGGGGACTTGGGGGTCTCGACCCAAAAAACGGCGCAAAACGGCGGGCAAGGGCGTTAGCAGCGCGTGAGTACCTCTGCGGGGGAGGAGGTACAGGCGAACGAGAGCCTGAGTCGGACATGATTCAGTCCATTATCCCATCAAATTAAATACTAAAGATGGTGTGTATGTGTGTGTGTGTGTGTGTGTGTGTGTGTGTCTGTGTGTGTGTGCGTGTGCGTGTATGTGTATGTGTATGCGTGTGCGTGTGTAGGATCTAATTAGATATAGAAGCGGTGAGGGGAAGAAAGAGGTTCCGGGTTCAGTATCAACCTCTTCCTTCACAACATACCTATACCTACTTCACCTCAATCTTGGAAGGTCACAGGTTCTCATGTAGATGTACCCGATAGATTTATGAAAGATAACGACTCGATAGATCATAGGTACCCAAACAAGCCTTGACCACTCTGATACAAACAATGGGGCGGTCTGGCCGCCAACACAGAGCTCAGATTGAAATCGTACAGACACTGCAGGTGATTTCCCGACATCTCCGATGTGATTGATAGGTTTCAAGGAAGGGTCTGCATATATGTTTAATTGTGAGTACTATGTATGATACCTAGGTAGGTTCTAGGTAAAAGACCGGAGATAGTTGGTTGTTATAGCTAGGGTAATATAGCTACCTAGGTAGGAGTTTATAGCTACGAGTTTAGATATTTAAGCTCTATCAATACTGCTAGGAACCTACCTGGGGTAGACATAGTATGATTATACTTCTTTTACATGAAGATATGGAAAACAAATAACAGGGTAGGGCTAAATCGGCTAAATCAACTAATGAAATCTAATCGGCGCTCAGATACTCTCCATGGTATGGTGGTTGCACATCAAATCTAGATTGGTCGAGTACTTTCCCTCTCGATAGGTATTTACTTATTCTAGGTATACTACATTCATACTATTTGATATTTGATATATTGGGATATTATATACATGCGTTATTCCCTTTACCTAGGTACAATTCATTAGCATTCCTCTATCAACATTTGCTATTTCCCGCTTCTTACGTGTTCTCGATTCTTGACCCTCTTTTTAATCCTTCTTCCCCACCCTTGTCTTTGCCATTCCCATCCTAGTCTTCTATTATTGAAAACTGGGATTATCCACGTTCTGATTCCGACGTAGTGGTTCGGAACAGGGCAGGAATTCTACACAACTACTTTTTATTTTTGGGTATCAAAAACACCCAATTCGAAGCTTTGAAGTATTTGGGATCTTTGACAAACGTTGGTGGAGTCTTGAATGCATTAGCTGCATTCCAACGTATTCGACTTTCGACTCGACACACCGTCATTCTCCCTTTTTAGCCTTCGTTTTTTATTTTATTTTATTTATTATATTTCATCTCCATTATAAAAGGTTGAAAGTGAGTAAAACCCTTTCCTTCAATTTTGTCCTCTATTACTTTGCCACCCCGTGACCATTCTTCATCCCTAAGGTCAGCATCTAAGACGGACTTTTGCTTTTTTCCACTTCCCTTTTCTGTCCCAATCCTTATCAGCCTCACACCATTTTTATATGCATCTCATATGCTAAGTTTAGATTCCTTAAGTCCCGAGATCGTGACCATCTGCCCCGCGTCCGTCCGCGATCATTCCTCCTCGCGTCGATCCTTAAGCCATCAGTCGTTTCCGATCCGAACCCGGCCCCCTCCCCCTCCTTCTACTTTACTATCAAGTAGATTCTGGAGGGATTTCGTGTCATGGAAATCGTCTGAATATATTTCTTTCCTTTATTTCTTTTTATATACCACATTGGAATCGACCAGTGAGAGATCGGTTCATCATGGATCCCCATGCAGCTCTTGAGCTGCTGGAGTACCTCCGAATATGCTACCCAATCTTCACCCTAATACTCTTTGTCGTGGCCTTCATTGCCGTCACTATGATAACTGCCACCAAGGCTCATAAGATTGATTCACAAGGACTTGGCCCTGGTGGAAGACCTCTTCCCATGCGCTCCCGAAGCGCGCGTGTTTTTCGCAATACACAGGGTTTCTCGAAAAACACCAAACGCATCTTTAATGGGTTATCTATTGCTGTCCTCTTGACATTTCTGGTTGATGCTACCATCTATATCCTACATGTAATGGTAGCGAGATCTGAGCATTGGTGGCGCGGTCAGTCACAGGTGGTACGTATCGGTGGGAGATTTCAATAAAAAAAGAAAGACAGAGAGAGAGAGAGAGAGAGAGAGAGAGGGAAAGAAGAATTGGCATGAGCTAACTGGTTGATTCTAGGTGTATATTGTCGGCTCTTTTTTTGTCTACGCAGTCCTACTCATGACATTGATTGATACGACACCATCTCCAACACTCGCTCAATTTATTTGCTGGTCGGTAGCTATTCCGATCGAGCTCGTTATTCTTAGTACATCTCTATCACTATACACCTCAATCCACCATGAACCTATTGTCGGAAATCCCGAGGGTGGCCGCCTTCGCAGATCCATTACCTCGTGGGAATATGCAGAGGTCATCACCAGCAGTGTCCGCATTCTTATTCTGCTTACTTTGGTTCTTGTCTACGCCAGCCAGTCTATCACCACTAAGAGCCAGGATCAGCAAGCTAGTCTCCAGGTCGATGGTGTTACCGAGTCCACCGGTCTTTTGGATTCTTCCCATGCAGAGAATGGTCATGCCAACGGTGCCAACGGCAATGCCTATGGCGCAACAAATGGTACTGCACACTCCGAAGCTGCTAAACCGCAAGATCCTTGGGTCCGCCCAACGTCCATTCCTTCTACAAGTTGGTGGGAATATCTGAGTGGTTACTCGCTCTTCTTCCCATACCTGTGGCCGTCTAAATCACGCCGCCTGCAAATAGTCGTGGTTCTCTGCTTCATCCTTCTCATTCTGCAGCGAGTTGCCAACGTCCTCGTGCCCTACCAAGTGGGTGTTGTCACCGACGCCCTTTCTAGGGACGATGAGGCTGGGTTCCGTGTTCCGTGGTTCGAAATCTTCATGTATGTTGTTTACCGATGGCTACAGGGAGGTCAGGGTCTTCTCAGCTCCATGCGCTCCAGTCTTTGGATTCCCGTCAGTCAATATTCCTATATGGAGCTTTCGACTGCTGCCTTCGAGCACGTCCATGGCCTTAGCTTGGATTTCCACCTGGGCAAGAAAACGGGCGAAGTTCTGTCGGCCCTGAGCAAGGGTAGTTCGATCAACACCTTCCTAGAACAAGTCACCTTCCAAGTCGTTCCCATGTTGGTTGATCTGGGTATCGCGATTGGTTATTTCTTGATATTTTTTGACGTATACTACGCCCTCGTGGTCGGTATCTCGACCTTCGGATACCTTTACGTGACCGTTCGTATGGCACAGTGGAGAGCGGAGATCAGACGACAGATGGTCAATGCTTCACGACAGGAAGACGCAGTGAAGAACGACTCCATGGTGTCATACGAGACTGTCAAATACTTCAATGCGGAGAGATACGAGTTTGACCGTTATCGCGACGCCGTGGGCACCTTCCAAAAAGCAGAGTACCACGTGCTCTTATCCCTCACCTTGCTTAACACTTGTCAAAATACCGTCTTCATGTTCGGTTTGCTGCTCACGTGCTTCATTGCTGCGTATCAGGTCGCGATTGGCCAGCAGCCCGTGGGTAAGTTTGTCTCGTTGTTGACATATATGGTTCAACTTCAAGGGCCGTTGAATTTCTTTGGAACTTTCTATCGGTCCATCCAGTCCGCTTTGATCAATGCCGAGCGGATGCTGGAATTGTTCCGAGAGCAACCTACTGTCGTCGATAGCCCCCATGCTGGTACGCTGGCTACCTGTCGGGGTGACATTCGGTTCCAAGGTGTCAAATTCTCATATGACACCCGCAAACCCGCACTAAACGGACTCACTTTCCACTGCGAGCCTGGAACTACCACTGCCTTGGTCGGGGAGTCCGGCGGTGGCAAGTCCACAGTCTTCCGTCTGCTTTTCAGATTCTATAATGCTGAGAAGGGTTCTATCCTCATCGACGGGCACGATGTCGAGGACGTCACTATCGACTCTCTGCGCAAGCATATAGGCGTAGTGCCACAAGACACAGTGCTTTTCAATGAGACATTGATGTATAACTTGAAGTACGCCAACCAGGCCGCTACCGATGAAGAAGTCTACGATGCCTGCCGAGCCGCTAGTATTCATGACAAGATCCTCGCGTTCCCCGATGGTTACAACACCAAGGTCGGCGAGCGTGGCTTACGACTCAGCGGTGGTGAGAAGCAGCGAGTGGCAATTGCCCGCACCATCATCAAGAACCCTCGTATCATTCTCTTGGATGAGGCTACTGCTGCTCTTGATACCGATACCGAGGAGCACATTCAAGAAGCCCTCTCCACACTTTCCCAAGGTCGCACAATGCTCGTTATTGCTCACCGTCTGAGTACTATTACGACGGCAGACCGAATCCTGGTTTTGTCAGATGGCCAAGTGGCCGAAAGCGGTACCCATGAAGAGCTGTTGGCTCTCAAGGGTCGATATGCCAGCATGTGGCGGAAACAGATCCGGGCTCAGAAGGCTGCAGCCGAAATCCAGGTCCTACAGGACCGGGCAGAGCGCATTCGCAACGCTACAAACAGTGATGATAGCTCCAGTCAATCGGACGAGGACCGCAAAGCCACCCGCCGCCCAGCCCACTAAGTGATTGCACTGCATTGAACGTCTGTACAGGATCATCAACTCCTTCCGCATTTTGTTTTTCTCCCTTATCTTTTCTTCAATGTGCATATGCTATTTTTCTTTTTTCTTTTTTCTTTTTTCTTTTTTCTTTTTTTTTTTTTTTTTTTTACTTCATTGACCAAGGTCAGCATTGACCGAGGAAAAGCCAATGGTGGGCAGTAATGTGTTCGGAGATTAATTATATGGATCGCGTGAATTCATTTTTGCGCCTTTATTCTTTTCTCCTCCATCTTCCATTTCGGTTCATTCATTCTGGGTGCCTTGGTTTTATTTCATTTCCATTATTCTGTCGCGATTTCAAGGCGTTTGGGGCTTTACGACGCATGACATTCTTTTTTACTTGTCCTTGTTTCATATTTTGAGGTGCAATACGGTCACGGTTGACATACCTGGAAATAAAAGGCTAGATTAATTACTTAGGCCGCTGAGACGGATACATTAATACAAAAGGACATTCAATATATTCGGTTATCCATTAAGATGTACTCTGTAGAAGATTTAGATTGTAGTTCTGGTTGCCAAGGAATCAGCGGGTACTTCCCCGAAGGTTGTTGTTAGTCGTCACTTTTTCCAACCTCAACATCACAACCCTTTGCGCAATGCATTCCCCATCATCCCAGCTACTGCGTGCTTTACGCACCTCACTATCCAACAGCCCAGCCTCTATCAATCTGCGTTCGAGTTCTTCCCGATTCCCATATGCCATCTCACAATGCGCCGTCTCTCTGCCATCTACACGGCGTAACCAAAGCTCTACAATTCGACCAGAGCGCATGGTTTCTCGCTCCCAGCCACACAAGCCCGCCAGTCATGACCGCGGTCCGCAATCTGGTGAAAACACGCAGACAGACTTTGCCTCGTTGGATGTGTTTAGCAATATTCCGGCACCTTCAACTTCCATCGACGCTACACTAGACTCGGGCTTCCACCTAAACAGTGGCGTCAGGATCAAAAATGGTGACGGCCTGCTGCTTGTAGGCGGCGAGGCATTTGCGTGGCGGCCATGGAAAACTGTCAAGGGTGCGGATAATGACGACGCAGCCAAAGCAGGCATGATCAATGCGAAGGGTCAGTTCGAGCTAGGTGAAGAGGCATGGGGACTTCTAAGCTTAGTGTGGCCTCGGCCAGGTACGGAATCTCCTCTTCTCATCCTCTTTTTGTCCTATGGCACGATGGTTATGGGCAGCTGACACAGGTCATCTGCTCTGTTGGTGCTACACATTATTTGAATACGTGGCGAAAACTTTATATATCTGGTTTGCTGATGTCTCTCTTTCGGTTAGATCTGCTCATTATTGGGCTTGGTAACTTCATGTCTCCGCTTTCGCCTGAGACGAAGCGCCATATCAACTCTCTAGGTATCCGGGTGGAGATTCAGGATACCCGGAATGCTGCGGCGCAGTTCAATCTTCTTGCTACGGAGCGCGGCGTTAATGACATTGCGGCCGCTATGATTCCTATCGGATGGAAGGGAAAATCGTAATAGTAATAGTCTACGGAATTGAGAATTCTATGATATGGTTGTGAGATAGTTCTGTAGAACTAGTTGTTTGTAATCCTTGTATCTAGCTTCAGATGACCCAGACCTCAGACTAGTCATGTGAGTGGCTGCTTATCTTATCTTTCCTGCATAAGCTGGGCCCGATCGCTCAGTCCCTGACTCCACTAGCCTTCACTACTACCATCAAGAGCTCAGTATACCTTAACTGAGCTCAATTATATCTTACTTAGCTATGACTCCTGGTGAGTCCTTACTGGTACCGCGCCTCTCCTCCGACGGATCCTCTTTACGAAATGAGGATGAGGACGAAGCGCTCTTGACTGGGCAACGGACACACCGCCGAGATGAAGGACGACGGGGCTGGGGTTTCTGGCGGGAGGTGGGCATGTTTGCCTGGGCTTTCATTGCTACAGCTATAGTCATTGTACTTGCCGTCGTCTATCAACATGAAACCAAAGCTCACAATGTGTCGGATGGAACCTGGGGCCCAAATGGCAAGCCGACCGGCAAGCGAAACCTGATCTTCATGGTCTCCGATGGCATGGGACCGACTAGTCTATCGATGACAAGAAGCTTCCGCCAGCTGACAGAGGGATTACCGATCGACGACATCCTAGTTCTGGACCAGCACCACATCGGCACATCTCGAACAAGATCTAGCAACAGCTTGGTGACAGACTCGGCAGCTGGAGCGACTGCTTTCTCATGCGGACTCAAAAGCTACAATGGTGCTATTTCTGTGCTACCTGATCACTCTCCTTGCGGAACCGTTCTTGAGGCCGCAGCGCTGGCCGGCTATAAGACTGGACTGGTTGTTACAACCCGTCTGACTGATGCAACACCTGCTTGTTTCTCCTCCCACGCCAATCTGCGATCTTATGAAGATAGCATTGCGGAACAACAAATTGGTCAAAACCCGTTGGGAAAGGTTGTCGATCTCATGATGGGTGGTGGACGATGCCACTTCCTGCCCAATACTACCGAGGGAAGCTGCCGCGGCGATGACCGTGACATTGTTGACATTGCCTCAAAAAATGGATTCAGCTACTTGCAGACTCGGGCTGAGTTTGATGCGCTCAACGGTGGTTCTGCCGTCAAATTGCCTTTGTTGGGTCTTTTTGCTAACACTGACATTCCCTACGAGATTGACCGCCGCTCTCAGAACGATGTCTATCCATCCCTGGAGGAAATGGCCCGCACTGCCTTGAATGCTCTGAGCGAGGCGACTCGCGATAGTGAGCAAGGGTTCTTCTTGATGATCGAGGGTTCGCGCATCGATCACGCTGGTCATGGCAACGATCCTGCTGCTCAGGTCCACGAGGTTATGGCCTATGACAGAGCGTTTGCTGCCGCTTTGGAGTTTTTAGAGAAGGACTCGACTCCCGGTGTCATTGTCAGCACATCTGACCACGAAACTGGCGGTCTATCTGCTGCAAGACAGCTGCACACGTCCTACCCGGAGTACCTCTGGTACCCCCAGGTTCTTGCTAATGCAAACCACTCTAGTGAATATGCCGGCGCCAAGTTTACTGAGTACACTTCTGGAGAAGGTAAGGGCCATGACGATTCGAAGAAAAAGTCATATGTCCGTAAGACTTTGCTGGAGAAGGACCTGGGTATCACCGATGCTTCAGATGAGGAGCTAGAGGCTATTATTCACGCTAAGCCAGGCGTCCCACCCACTTATGTCTTTGCCGACATGATTAGCCGTCGAGCCCAGATTGGCTGGTCTTCCCACGGGCACTCCGGTAAGAAACTTATCTCTTCAAATCTAACTCAGTCCGCTAATATGAATCCGTCTAGCTGTCGATGTCAACATCTACGCATCCTCTAAAAAGGACGCTTGGCCTTTGCTTGGCAACAACGAGAACACCGATGTGGGGTCTTTCCTTGCGGACTACCTTGATCTGAATGTCGCTGCTGTCACCAAGAAACTTCAATCCTCAGCTTACTGGAGCACATCGGGAGATGCGTCCTCTGATCAAGAGAAATACAGCTGGATGGGTAACCCTCTAGGCTCGAATGTCCAAACAGAAAGCTTTGACTCTTACCACGGCGACTTCAAGAAGCGATCACTTGATGATTGTGGCTGTGGTGGACTTCATTGAGTACATGAGGTACTGATTGTTTTACTACAAATTTCCTTTGGTTCATCTTCCGTCATTCTTTGGCATCATCTAAATTTCGCATTGCAGGATAGTCATTATTTGAAACTTTACAATAGACAAGATACAAAACCTACAAACAAGTCAAGCCCAGAAACAAGTCAACATTTGCTACCTCGTGAGTAGCCTAAGACTCATTGACTACTAGAAGCTCAGAATATCAGAATCTCAGAATCTCAGAATCTCAGAAGGGGAGCAAAACATCACCATCGCAAGTCTGCTTTAAATATTCAAGTTTGCAGAGGGAGCACACCGAGGACACCAATCTGAAACATCAGTTACCCACTGAATGATATTCGTATCAGCAAACTGGTTATTCACCAGAAAGAGCGGTTGTCCGTCCTGCACAATGACACGAGGGGAGCAGTTTGGTTTTGGATCCCATGGAAGAGCGTAGAGGTTTCGCTGATTAGGGTCATTGATACGGAATAGTTGATCGTATTGATCTTGGCAGAAGCCTTGGTCTAGCTCGAAGAGGTAGTGTTGGCACTCCCAATACATTATACCTCTGAAGAAGCACATCGTTGATTTTGTCTTGGAGGTGTTGTACGGTGCTGTGTGTACTGTACCTGACACTGTAAGTTATAGCTTAGTTAGATGATCCCTGGGTATTTTGGAAAGAAATACTTACCACTGATTGTGTAGAGGGTGACTGAGTGCCAACGTTGGGGCTCGGCAATCTTTAACTTGTAACTTTTGAGTGTGAGGTTGAGGTTTAATAGGTAACAAAAGATATTCTATGCTGAGATGATATCCTTCTACCGACCGAAAGAGCCTGGTATATTAGTTGCTAGGTCAGAAAAACTCATAATCTTTCCAAGATCCTCTCAGGGTAAGGTTAGATGGGAGATGACTGACTGAGCAGGTATCAATGTCTTCCACAAAGACATTACCATACATAGTTATTTATAATCCACCCCAAAGCTGAAAGAGGAATTGTATGAGGATACAAAGCTATCAACTCTGTATGCCTTGAAATGTACTGCATGAATGCACATGTACATACCAAGCCTCCTCGTTTGTACTGAAATCATAGTGATTTATAACAAGTAGAGCCACAGATCCACAGCTGGACGACACATATTGTTGTATATCTTTGGCTTGTTCAACTAGACAGAATCATGATCACCAAGGACGAAAAACTGATAGGCGTAGTGTCTTGGTATGAAACTGTATAGAGATCTCCAGGGCTGACCCCAGTCTCCACGTGGTGGAGCATGAGGTGGGTTCCTGCATGGGCCAAGTATGTCCATTGCCCCACTGTTAAAGGAAAATACAGTGCAGCATTGTAGTACTGCATGGACTGTGCATCTTGAGTGTTTATCCTTTTCAATTAAATACTTTGACATCCACATAGGAGCTAGGAGCTGTAGGTGTGTAGGACGCAGATTCAGAGCATACAAATAATTTTGATCAAGATGAGCCACCCTGATTATTACATATTCCATAATATGGAGAAAATATTACATTCAAGCAGGGATCAAGATCCAAGGAAAAGAACCATTCATAAATAAATCAATACACCGTATATTTGGGGTGATCAGAGAAGTAAAAAGCCGAAAGGTATATCGAGGTTGAAAGGGGAATAGTAGGTCAAAAAAGAAATGCAGTCGCCATAGTACATACAAGGTATCAGTTCATTCAGAGTTTGTGCAGGGGGTCAAAAAGATGGAAGAATATATGTACTCGAGGGTAAGAGTATGTAGAAATAAAACATGTCAAGAATATGTAGAAAAGGAAGAGTTGACCGAGACGTTTAAAGTGTCACGAGAACGACAACAGCCACCAGCACAGCGAAGAACGAGCCCCGAAGAACCCGCTCATTCTGGCCAGCAGCACCGCCCTTGCTAGAGGCGCTAGTGGTGGTACCCTGGTTGAAAGTGGTATCAGTGGTTGAGGCAGAGTCAGAACCGGTGCTAGAGTCAGTTCCAGTTCTACCACCAGAGCCACCCTCGTTGGTGGGCACACTGTCGCTGCCAGTGACGGTGCTGCTGCTGTTGGCACCATAATCCATGTCCAAACCGGTAGCACCAAGGGAACCCAGAACGGTGGAGTTACCAGTGACCTCGACATCGGCCTGCAAGCCAGAATCGGAAGTGTAGAGGTATGAAGAGTTACCCTTTGTCACGGTGCCATCGGGAGTGGCGTAGCAAGTGACGTCGATTTTACCGAACTCGGCGTAGTAGTAGCCCTTGTCCTGGATGTCCTCGCTGTCCCAGTTAATATCACCACCAGCCCAGTCGATAGTACCCTGGGCTGAGGTGGATGCACCGGCGGGCCACAAAGACAGCTGCATACGGGAGGGAGTCTGGGGGTACTGGTAGGTGTTGGAGGTGGAGTTGTAGGTATCATTCTTGTTCAGGGTGCGCATGACGGTGCCGTCAATGATCCACTTGGTGGTGTCGGGTTGCCAGTCAATCTCATACGTGTGCCAGTCGTTGAAGGTATCCTCGCCAGAGACACTGGCATTAGCGCTGTTGTGCCCTGTTCATAGTGTTAGTTGTTATCTTCCTAAGAAATATCACAATCAATGAGACCTACAGTCAAGAACACCCTGCCAGTAGTAGTTGGTCTGCACGGCAGTCAGATCGGCACCGACCCACTCGTAATCGATTTCGTCCTTCACGTCGGACAACAGGATGAAAGCAGTCACCACACCCTTGCCACGGCTAGACTTGACCTTTCCAGAGATAGTGCCGTACCAGATATAGTGGGTGTTAGCGAAGAGGGTGCCAACGCTGTTTTTGGGCATGGTCACAACCAGGCTGTCGTTCTGGATCTTGGGGTAACCGCTGTAGACCCAATCCTTCTCGGAGGCATCGCCGAGATATTCGGTGTTCAAGATGGCGCTGTCGAGGTTCTCCCAAGTGTAGCTCTTTTCCTCACAAATAGGCATGGGAGCACACGCGCCGATGGAGTAAGAAGCCTGGGGGTCGCAACCACCCAGGCAGTATGCGCCGGTACCACACTCGCCATATTCTGTAACATAACTTGTTAGCAAAACATAATATTTGTCATGATCCTGGAAGAAAGATACTCACGAGAACAGCAAGGTTTGTCCTCAGGACACTGACTGCTGGCGCTGCAAGTGATAGTAGTAGCGCCCAAGGCAGTTGCCGAGAGGGCTAGGAGTGCAGTCGCGAATCGGACCATTGTGTGATACTAGTATGCGGGAATTATGAATGTGAGACCAAAAAGTCAACAGACCAGATGAGATATCCGGCAATAGGAAAGGATCACAGTAAAACGAGCGAACTGTGTAAAGTAGCAGAAAGAATGTCTGTCTTTGGGGTTATTTCTTGAAATAAAAAATGAGGGACGGGGGCAAACTTAAGGGTAATGCAATTACCATAAGTTCGAAGCCCGAAACTAAACCAAATTGGGAATAATTGTGACTATCAAAAGGGAGGTCAATGGAAGCCAGGGACTGGTAGGATCACACGCTAATCCTAATTCTGTTTAGTCTTGAATCAGTGAATGTCAATGCATTTGTAAGGGAAGGTGGTATTTCTCGGGTATTGGTATTTTACATCTTATCGGGTTGAGTTTTCATCTATTTCATATCTATCTCTTGTAGTGTTCCTAGAGTAATTGAATATTTTAAAGGATACAGTTATATAAGATTATAGTGTTATGATTTGATAACAAGTAAAAGTGAAACAATCATCCCAGGTGTTTGTGATAACATGTCCATAAAGTGGATCCTCCATAGTCCTCTTCCCCATACAATCCTAATGGACACATGACTTGGCGAGGCTAACATTTACCTTGCCACCTATTAAGCCAATAAAGATTATCTTTCAAAATTCCCATGGTTCTGTCTTGGATGTGACTTTGAGAGGCTTGATGAGGCTTGTGTTATTAATATCGAGTTCTGCATACCCGGAGTACATTTCAACGTGGCTGTAATGTAGTGGAAGTCATTTCCAGCATCGATCTACTCACTTCATAGATGTTCAAAAAAGTATAATCAGAATGGATACAGCATCAACTCATTGTAACAGAACTTCATAACTACCAAAGCCAGTCATCATTAAACACTAGGAATCCACTTACAAGTCTAATTACAAATGAGGAAGTCAGACCGATAATCTATTGACGGTAAGGATCAGGGATCAAACAAGTCAATGGATGTTTATACAGCAAATCATAAACAACAACCACCTTGCCACTTCAAGTTTCTTCGATGGGCTATTTAGATGGAGATCTGTTTACATAGTGTTGATAAGCTACCAGCCAAAGAATGTGTCAATCTCAGCAAGGGGCCCGGGTGGGCTTTTGTGGCTGCGCCAATTTTCATAGTATGTCTCATAATGCGGATCATAAGTAGATAAGGAAAATCAGATCCAGGGGGATCGTAGAGCTTTGAATCTTGTCGGTTCCGTTGTTTCTGCAAATCTAAATTTATACAGCCCACAGACTATGAATTTGTTGGTTCACGTGCGATGGTTTTCCCTTTCGGGTTAACGTGTCTCGGCAAAGGAAGTACAGCAAAGACTTCGGAAATGAGATTCTAGCATACTATTACCTAGATAATTCTTTTTTTCAATCAAACGAATCATTGTTTGTATAATACTTAAAAGCCTTGATCATACATCAGCCGAAGATCCCGAAGATCCCGAAGATCCTGATTTGCGTGGAATTCAGGGCCGATCATGTGATTGCCACTATAAACAATCCCAGTCCACTCAAAATATCTGACGTAGCTTTAATGTTCCCTATGGAATGTGATACATATTATTCTCCGGAGGTTCACAGACCTTGAACTCGGAATGTAGATGGTGACGTGTGCTTAATGATATACCAACTCCGCACCTTGATATGTAGGTACCTCTCCAGGTCTAAGGCTACCTAGGTCCGCCTGTAGTCAATTTGGAAGTTAGTTAAGAAATGGCAATGAATTTACCTAGGTAGTCACAACTTACTTGATGTATCCATAGAGCTAGCATGAATTCGTTGAATGATCCATATTCCAACCTTTGGAAGGTTATAGCCCACGACAAAAGTGGGCCATGTAGACCTGGGCATATCTTGGTATGAATGCTAACTCCTGGGTTTCTCGACTCATACATCGACTCTCACCAGTAGGACTGCCTGGAACTGTAGGTGTACATTGAGGTTCGCTCTATCTACCTCCAGGGATATGTATGCCCAGGTGGATGTATCTTCCGGATATCATTTATTCCGAGACCAATACGAGATATCATTCGTAGGAAAGTTTGAGCAATGTTTGATAGAACCGTGGGGTACCCAGACATCTACCTGGTGACCCATCTCTCAAACCTTTTTGCAACCTCCACGCATCGTTCATCAATGTATCGCGTATACAAGTGTGCCACATAAATATTGATCACAGCAAGAATAACATACCCCACAAGCCAAGAGAATGCAAAGGGAAAGGTGCGCTCGCTGGCTGTATCTCCAGGATATCCCTCTCGCGTAACGACAAACCAAAGGAAATCTCGTATAGGGTCGCGAACGAGGTGATATATTGATTGATGCACCAGGTAGAGCGAGAAAGAGATTTTGCCAAGGTATTGCATCGGGCGTGAATTCAGTAATCGTTGAAGATAACCCGACTTGCCGATCGCATAGACAATAAGCACGGAACCTGCCGTCTTCCAGCATTTGCTCACAGTTGCCCAGTCATTATCCCAGCGCGAAGATTCAACGAGTTTTAAGAATTGATATCCGGGTGGGAGGAAACCATCGTCACTGAGACACACCAGGTGGATACCGAAGATGAGGCACACGACAGTTCGGATAGTGTTGAAATTTATCGACCTAATTCCAGTTGTCCAGGTCTGTATGGAATAATAGGGAAGTTTTGCTTCCCCGTCCGTGTTCTCTTGTTCGGACAAGATTCGGCTTTCAGCTAGATATAGACCTGCCAAGAATGCGAAGATGTCCCATAGCCCAAAGTAGAACCAGTATGCCACCAGCGATGCTAGTGCGATGCGCCGAAGCTGTGGTCGCCAAAATGCAAATCCCAATACCGTGATATAAATGACGCAGGAGCCACGGAACTCAAATGGCATAGTCCAGAGTTGTCCATTCAAGCCGGGGTTTCCCTGGAAAGTGATGATATTCAGCATATCCATCATATAGCGAAACAAATAGGTGATGTGAAACCAGGGCGCCGTCCATGGTTTCCGGCCCCAAACAACCTCGTCCCCAAAATTCCAATGGAAAATATTACAGAAATATAGAATTTGGGAGATAGTGGCAATACAAAAGACCGGCAGGTAGATGCGTAGGATTCTGCGAGTGACAGCAGAAGAGAGTCGGCGCAGGAAGTCGCTACTACTGCTTCGTAATCGTAAGAGATTCACTGAAATTGCATAGCCTGAAATGACTAGAAATAATGGAACCATGGCATGAGCTGCAAACAAAATTCGTATCGGTGGTAGCTGAATAAGCCGTCGATTCTCTTCTGGAGGATCAGCCCAGTATGAACGAAACGCTACATCTAAGACACCACCCATAAAATAGTGGTCGGTTGCGACAATAGCTGCTGCGATACCCCGTAGGCCATCGAGCCATGTTGTGCGTTCCATGATCTCTTCGAGTATGCTGTTTGAACCTTGGAATAAGACAGTATTAAGTAAACAGCCAGCTTTTAAAAGTTAAGACAATTTAAAATATTAGATGAGATTAAGTGGGGTCTTTTCAGGCTGCGGTAAGGGAGCCTACCTATCACTAACACTAGTTATTCACTGCATATTGACTAACCAGTTATAGAATTTTCTTGCGCTAATCCAAAGACCCTTTTCCCCCTTTAACTTGACCCACCTGAGCACTCGGCTTTCTCCATCCCAATTTACGGTTCTTGCCGATCAACTGTACTGTGTACGAAGGTACATACTACGGAGTATCTGAATTAAGATTTTTCGAGTTACATACTCAGATGAGTCTTATTCTTTATAGAGATATATCTTCAGCTTTGGCATCCCCAATTCTCAACTCGTCGTGGCATCCATCCACTAACCCATGGTAAACTCGTTTGTCGTCGTGAATCGCCCTCTGGAATACCGTTCCCCAAGAGAATCATACTATCCATCTTACACCGATCCTCGTAGAAAGACCACTGAACGCATTCTGCCCAAGAAACACAAGCAGCTTCACACGCATCAACAGATTCCCAAGCAGTGCGCCAAACTTCTGCGGACTCCACTGTGCTTGGTGGTTGTGCCTCAGCCGCAACACTAGATTTGATTTCATATTTCGAGGACCAGTTATCCCACCACTCTACCCGGGAGCGAAGGTAAGGAGCAACCATCGCCTTGTAGATATCGCGATATTTCAAAGATTCCTAGATAAGTATAAGCTTTGCATTTCGCAATATTCCAGCATAACATACCTTCTCAAAGTCCCAGGACTGCTCCAGACTATAAAACCTCGCTACATCCTGTCCATGCGTATGGTGCCAGCTGTATACAGGCTTGCACCAGTTCGCTGGCTCAAACCATGTAGACCAGTGTGCCTCTGGGTTAAATCCATATTTGAAGCGGCTTTCATCGACAGTCTCGCCAAATTGTATACCATATTCATGCAATACATGGCCCAGGATATGATCACCGCAACCATGAGCTTCGGTAAAAGCTTCAAATTTCTCAATGATATCTGGGTCCTTGCCGAAACTTTTCTCCCATGCGCCTCGAGAAAGAGCGAATCCAGAGCCACCGTGAGCAAAGTAGTCACCGTGGATCCAGGCCAAGCTGCCTAGATACCACGACTTCTGATGGTCGAAATTCTCTAGATGACGCAGGAGATTGGGGAGGAAGATGTATGAATCGTCTTCCATGAAAATGTACCATTTGGCAATTTTGGTCTCCCCGGCCCTCTTAATAATGGGCAGAAACTTGTATTTATCACTGCATATCTTGTTAGAACTTCGACGAAAAAACAATTGAGCTTGGAACTCACAGCTTCCAACCTCCCGGTGGTCCGGCTGCATCACCTGGCATGTTCGACATTTCTGCATAGTTCTGACGCGCCTCATAGTCCTCTTGCTGGAGGTAAGGCTGGAAAGTCTCGGATTGGCGCACTTTATCAGAAGAGTTTGCTAGGATGTCAATGATCTCCCACTGGCCAATAGTTTCCGAGTGGTCAGAGTAGATTTGGATGTTTTCCGGCTTGATGCGATTTGCAGAGAAACTTGTAGCCATGTGAATAGGAACACGTTTCCACAAGACTGTGGCCCCTGTCTTGAACATGAGAACTACATCGTCTGTTGTCAATCCCTCAGACTGTTGTAGGGAATCACTGGAGACCTTTGGATTGGCAGATGGAGCAGTTGAAGGGACGACATCGCTGGCAGTCTTCACTTCAGCGACTTCATCTTGTAATTCGGTCAAATCATTATCAGAGCTTTTCTGTTGTGAAGTCTCAACGATGAATGTAGTTGGCACTTTTTGTGCGGGAATCTCCAACTCTTCCTGTGGATCGGGACGATCTAGTTCGAAATGATAGAAAAATATGATCAAGGTCAATAGCATAATCCCCACAGGGACTATGCGATTGTCCTTGTAAAAGGACTTCATGGTATCTGAGGAAATTAACTAAGTCGATGAGACATGAATTCCAAGGTTCTTAAATGCTTATGCGCCTTTGCTTATGCCAAGGTACTGAGGCGGCAGGCAGAGTCGCATGTGGGGTCAGGGTCTTTGCTGGTCGAGTGCCACTAGTGCCGAATGAAAAGGGGCCTGCGATCTTATTCGTCGAGATCAACAATACGAGAGAAGAAAAACACGAGAGAGGGTCAAAATTGGTATCGGAAGGGCCGGGAAATTGAGCAAATGCACTGGTTCTTGAATCCTTTATTAATAGCTCGGCACATGTTCATATCCATTCTAAGGCTGCTCTTGGTTACTACCAGAAGAAGCTAATTATGGGGCTTGGAAGCCTAAACGAAGACCGAAAAAAATGCTAAATATAATTTTTATTAAATAAGGAGAATCATTGATAATCATTTGATTGACTTTCATTTCTAGTTCTGAAATCGTGAATCTTCTATTTCTCCGAGATCTTTTAGGTCCTTTCAAGGTTCTGTAAGCACTTGAGGGCGAACGGACTTAATCATGGAGAAATTGTATACCAGGCTCCCCATGTTTGAACAACGGGGACCTGAGATATCTCGCTTTCGACAGTTTCTTAATTTCCTGGGATGCTTGATTGTAATCCCAGTCTACTCATATATCACCGGTTATACACGTCACCCGTTAACTTTGGACATTCTGTTGACAATTTTTGCCGCGGAGTACAATCGTTTTTCAAATGAAAACCGTCGCCGACAAATACGAAGTCCTGCCCAAGCTACTCAAGATGTCGAAAAGGGAAGCCATATTTCTGGAAATCACGCTCAGGAGTCAGAGTGTATGGCTGCAATTGTCGGCTATCGTGAAGATCCCGAGTTGTTCTCCCGTGCTTTGGATAGTTACAAGGGTGTAGCAGAGTGTCGCTTCCTCCTTGTGGGCGTTGACGGCAATGAACAGCCTGATATGGAGATGGTTCGGGTGTTCAAACAGGTAAGCTATAATCTTGAAGCTTTAAAGCTTCTGTTGGCCCTCTTTTCTGACCTTTTCTCTAGGTATTTCCAGACAGATGTGCAGTCATTCATATTGATGAGCCGCTTGGTGAAATGGCGATGCAGACTTTTGAGAAGCTATCAGCTCTTGACGGCGACTCAAAAGCTCCGCAGAAGTATATGGAGACGGCTATTGCCCATTGCTGCCAGGTGGCTCGAGAGATCCTAGCAGAGCATGACTTGAGACTAGATCAGCCCGATGGGGTCAGAAAGTTGTGTCTTTATCAACCACACCTCCATAAGAAAGGCATTATGTTTACAGCCTTTATCTTTTCGATCGTTATCTCTGAAATGATCGGGGTTGAGTATCTTTGGTCGTCTGACTCGGATACAATTATTCTACCTGACTCTCTCCGTAGCACTATTGAGACGATCAGCGGCGACCCTCATGTTGGAGGAGGAAGCTCGGGACTAATTGTTCATAATGAGAATGATACCATAACCACCAAGCTTGGTAGCGTTGTCTACTGGTCTGAGCTGTACATGACGCGTTCTACTTCAACAGCTTCAGGTACTAGTGACTGCCAGAGTGGTCCCAGTTCAGCTTTTCGCATCAGCGCCCTTCCAGCTGTGTTGTACCCGTGGTACACCCAGACAGTGCTTGGACATCGCATGGTCAGTTTCTCTTCATTTTCATTTACTCCAAATCTCTGACAATTTGATATAGATTGTTAATGAGGACCGTCATCTCACTACCAACCTACTCATGCGCGGGTGGACGGTGACTTATGTGTCCGATACATTGACTGCAACCGACACTCCAACTACACTTAGCCGATGGATCATGCAACAGGTAACTTCATCCATGCCACTTTATCTAGTTACACCACTAATGTATGAGTAGGTGCGCTGGAGCCGCGCCGGCCACATTGAATCTTTCCAACAACCAAAAGTGTACCTCCTGACCCACCCACTTTTCTTCTGGGCTGCTGTAAAGCGAGAAATTGGCCCTCTGCTAGGCTTTGGCTACGTCCTCTACTATCTCATTACTGGGAAATGCTTCGCCTATTTTAATTGGTACGATGTGGGCATTCGTGTTGCGTATACACTTTTGTATAATTTCTTCCGCAATCCAGACCGGGGCCCGACTAACTACTGGCTCTGGATTGGACCGGGACTTCTATTCTACAATATACCCCTTCCGATGATTCATCTGTGGAGTTTGATCACGGTTTTCCAAGACGGATGGGGAACCTCCATGCGGTCGACTGGGGAAATGTCTAAGCGTGGCCAGGCCTGGAAACGATGGAAGGATTTGGGGTTCTTCGTTGTTTGGATGGGCATTGTCGGTGGAGTAGTCGCCAGAATGGCGGCTCAAATGGCTGGGTGGGATGAGATTCGTATAATCAAGGCTATTGCTTTGGGTGTCGTGATTCCGTCAGCTATATCATTCTATGGGCTGGTGGTTTGTGAGTGACCGCACTTAGAGCTGCGTCAGTTTCCCTCACGTTTAATTTTGTACATAGGTATATTTCAGATTTATAGATACCAAAAGATGCACATGTGAGACGTTCAATTAAAAAACAAGGGCTTCTTAAGGTTTAGAGTTGAGTTTGAGAATGTTGTTTCAACCTTATTATCATGACGAATGACCCTGTCCTTTAACCTTTATTAGATAAGTTTCAGGTAAGCATTGGTTAACTACGACAGTTGAACAGAGAGATAGAAACTTGGGATGGTATTGGATTATAACTTGGCCAATGGCGAGGACATTCATTTTGAAAGATAATTTTGTAAGTAAATTAACAATTCAGCAGTGAAAGACTTTCTAATTATTTTCGACATTATTCCCTCCAATTTGACCAATCATATTGATTGAAACACTTTCTGTTAGCCATCAAGCACTCATTGTCTGTGGACTGGGAATGAAGTTTCACCCCAAGAATGATGTGCCTGTCACTTCTGACGAAAATCAACCTAGCCGTGGCGCGAATTTGAAAGTGTAAAGCATGGTCCCAGCAGCTTCCATAGGATATGCTCTCAAGATGAACAGAAATATAGCAGAATGCTCGCAGATAGTAGACTCAGGTCTTCGGAATGGTTATAAATTTTCATAATTTAGGTCCAAGTCAATCCGAGAGAGGAGGGAAGTCCCGCACAAAGCTTGAAAAGAGATGAGAGGTTAGCGAATGGACAAGACAAACATAAATTGAGAGTGGATCCTCCCATTCTCAAGAGGTTACACATACTGTGCCGGGCACTCATATCCAGCGGGGTTTTTGTGGAGGTACAATTGGTGGTAATCCTCTGCATCCCACCATGTACCAGCCGGTACGACCTTTGTCGAAACAGCCTTCTTATACCACTCCTTGCTGACCTTATCGGTCAAGTCTTGCGCGATCTTCTGCTGCTCCTCACCATGTGTGAAGATCATACTGCGGTACTGGGTACCAATATCGGGACCCTGTCGATTTGGTGTCGAAGCATCGTGCATACGGTAGAAGAACTCAAGGAGTTGGCGGTACGTCACGATAGAAGGATCAAAAGTCACCTGAAGAGCTTCAGCATCTGCACCAAGAGAGGAAAGTATTAGTCATTTATTCAAATATTTAAGTATCCTTCATCAGGCAATTGAAAAGTTCTATTCAAGGGAAAGAAAGTCTTACGTCCAGTATCACCACCGCATACAGCCCGGTAAGATGGTGTATCAATATGGCCACCAGAGTAGCCAACTTTTGCGTCGAGCAAACCTTTGCCGTTGCCGAAGGTTTTGCGGTACAGGTGCTCGACGCCCCAGAAGCAGCCAGCTGCGACGGTGGCTTTTTCAGTGACTGTAGACATTTTGCGTGATTGAGACTCAGAAGTCAGCGAGAGTAGTGGCACGCTTGTGGAAAATGGGCGGAAGAGTCGTGAGAAGAGCGAGGTTATCGGAGAAGCGATAGTCATCTACAAAATTTCGGTGGGGCCGTGAAGAGAAGAAAGCGGGGTGACAACTCTCGAGTTAGTATTTTCAGAGATTGTGAATTGAATCGCAAGGGATAAGTAGCTAGAGCTTCGAATAACTATGGGAATACAATGTACTGTAAACAGCAAGAATAGCAAAGAACCGTGATGGCGTCATTCATCATGACAAAGCAGAGTGGAGCTCCCATCTGAATATGATAACTATTAGGGTTTCTTCGTATATACGCGGAATCAAGTTTGCCTCATAGGCGAGAACATTCTATTACTATCCCCTCTATATCACATGACTTATTGTTACATAGCAACAGATAGCAGTGCCACTGGAATTTCTGCGTGACATGTGAGGTAGTAAATATGGAAACCATAATTATCAGGCTCAACTATTTTAGTGGCAACAGGATAGTTGATGCTTGACGATATTGAGGGCCTGAGATTCAAGGCGACCATATACGACCATGGATGGTAAATATACGAAGAAATCATAGAATCTGATGAAAAAAAAATATTGAATAGAGCCAGAAATATCATAATCAAGTAAAAGCCACCTGGGTAGTCAATGTACACTTTGAAAAGAATATGTCAAATGAATGAGAAAAAACTATCGGCCGAACTCTGTTGTGAGCTTGAGGAATCAACAATAAAAGCGAAATGACAAGAAAGAAAAAAGGAGACACCAGTTCTACTTTGAATAATGAGCTTTGAGAAGCACAGGGAAAAAGAGGGATCATCTAAGCCAACGCCATGAGCACCGATCCACCATGACCGAAAAAAGGGACAATCGCTTTGAAAATGCAAGATCTATCGCAATCCACCATGAGTCAAGTCAGGCGTGCGGTTCACAGTAGGTGCGGCCAAGATACTGAGACGAGTAGCTTCTCTGCCAGTAAGGCTGACGCGACGGGGTCGAATGTCTCCTCCCACGGTAATTCGTCGGCCAGTGTTTTTCATCACGGGCAAAGATTGAGGACTCAGTACATGAGGTTTGGTCTCCATCTCTTTATCGCTCTTGACCATTCGACGGGCCTGCGAAGCTGTAAACATGTGGTTCTCGTTTGGAGAATTGCCATAGGTAGTAGCCGTGGGGCTACGGCGACGCTGGACTCTAAGAGAACCGCCTGACGTCGATGGGCCGAAATTGCCATTCGAGATGCGGCGCATGGCGGAGTTAATCTTAATTGCTTCATCTGTCCCCGCTCCAGACTTCCAATTGACATTACTCTCGGGCACTGGACTGCTTGAAATGCTGCCAAGACTGGGACTTCTGGATAAAGTGCCACTGGGACTCCGAACGGCAATTCGTGATGGCCGATCTGCAGGAGATGCACGATTTAAGAAACTGCTGCCTTCAATATTGCGGAGTGGTGAATTCTCCATGTCAGATATGGGAAGAGAGATTGAAGGTGGCGGAGCAAGGGGGGAGCTGCTCTCTCTTTTGGACAAGAACCCAGCCTTAAATCGACTGGTATTTTTCTGGACGTTCAATGTTGGTTCAATCGAGGATGGAACCGGAGATTGTCTGCTCGACGGAATGACCCGAGGAATGTTTCTTGGAATAGGGGATGGAGCTAGGGGCAAGGACGGCTCTTCCAAGTAGCTATCATCCGCGGGTGCAGAAGGGGGCTTCAGGGGCGACTGTTTGAATTCAAACAGAGGGCAATTCTCTTCATCGTCCTTCCAGCGAACTGATCTTTTAGGGGCTGTTGTCTGGACCTTCTTTGGGGTGAAGCTGACACTTTTTCGGTTGCCTGCAACCTTGCGGCGACGAGGAGAGCTTTTCTTGGGAGAGACAGGTGCAGTTGGAGCAAGCTGCACGGAATAATTTATTGGCCTAGCAGCTGGCATTCTCACCAGGCTGTATCTCTTCTTGGGCTTAGCAGGACTGGCTGGTTTGGCAGAGGCTTGCGTGGTTGGCAGTGTCGGCAGGCTACCATCCGATTTAACCAAGCCAGATGTGGCATCTGAGCAATTTTCCAGCATCTTCGTAAGAATCGCATGACCTTTCTCCATGGCCTCATCTGCGCTCAACTGCATGATGTCTTCAATGGACGCGATCAGCTCAAATTGGGCCTGTAGCAGTACCTGAATGGCAACTACTTCTCCAGCCTTATCTTGCTCCACAACCACAGACAGCGCTTCTCGCTCGGCATGTGACCTCAGAAGCTCTGCCTCTTTTTCCAAGTTTGCAAAGTCACTTTGATCACTAATATCTACCTCTTGAAGCTGCTTCGTGGCGTTCTCAACGGCTGTGTTCATGGCTCTGTCCCAGGTGCACTTCGAAAGCCGTTGATTGTAGTGGTGTCTGCTACTCTCCAACTCAACAAGGATACCCTGTGCCTTTTTTCGAATCGCATACAGGTTGGAAAGTCCCTCGCCGTCTTCGCGCTCGGCGCATACGTTGTCAAATGCGGCTATCCAAGAAGACAGAATTCCGATACGGCGGGTGATCTGTCTTAATTTGAGCGTATTCGTGATCCGCTCCTGTCGGTCCTGTAAAGTATGCTCGTAGGCACTGCGAATACGAGCAACACTCTCCCGTAGCATGGCATCTTTCTTCTCAGTCTGTTTCTTGAACTTGGCAAAAGCTAGCTTCTCGGAGTCCTTCTGTTGTGCCTTGAGATCATTAATCATCTTCATTTGCTCGTCGATCTTGACCAAGAAGTCTTTGACATGTCGGTTGACATTGAAGACATTTCGCGTGACCTTGGTCTGAATGTTCTTTGCTCGGTTGGCATATCGTAGTGTATTCTGTGTTTCATCAAAGTGCTGGCTTGATGGGCTGACACAGACAATCATGACAGTCTTACAGTTTCCACCAAGCGCAAACTTAAGCAGTCGAGTGAGCTTGGAGTTACGATATGGAATGTGGTTGTGCTTTCGAGGGTCGCAGAGGGCGTTGATGCAGCTACCTAGAGCAAGTAGTGACTTATTGATGTTGGCACCTTCGAACAGACGTTCGCCTCGGTTCTTTGTGGCACTAGCTCTCTCACTTCCAGCAAGATCAATAATGCTCAGAGTTGCGACAGTATGCGGTTCATTCACGTCGGCATTTCTATCTTTCTGTGCGATGTTGACTTGGAGGACGGCGTGGGATCGTGATGAGGTGGCATTGGCTTCGGTTGGAGACATTGTACGGCATTCATTTCCTCGCACAATCATGTCCATGACCTGCTGCACATTTTGTGGATGATGGCTCGATAGACCAGCTACAGAGACTGATTGATTTGTGTCCTCCCGGAGCATGAGACCGCCCTTGTTGGTGCTGGGCATAAGTAAGTCACGGATAGTTTCATTGTAAATTTCAAGGTAAGAAAGTGAAATTTCAGTCGCTTTCTCATCCGATCGCTCCTCAATCCTTTCAAACAGCTCCTGCATAGTCATGAATATGATGCCGGGTTGCTGCGCTGTTCCAGTGATGGTATGCGTTTTTCCACATCCGGTCGCACCGTACGCGAAGACGGTCGCATTGTAGCCATCAAGGACGCTATCGAGAAGGCTTCGTGTGGTCGATTCGTAGACTTCGCCCTGGGAGGCATTTTGGTCGAAAATTTTGTCGAAAGCAAATGTTTGGTCCTTGACGCGCTTACCATTGGGCACGACACTCCGGGAGAATTTCTGGACAGGGTTGTCTTCGGGCGGATCGAATACCCTGACTCACTAGTAAGTAACTTGACCATATAAAGTTAATCGAAGGCATAAGATACGTACAAGCACCGGTCGTCGATAACCTTCACAATGGACCTGATTCCCTTCTGGTTGAGTTTTGGGGTCGGAACGCCTGCTAGAGATCCATCGCCAAGGAACAGAGTGTTGTCGTCGGACTTAGAGAACTGAGCAGCCTCTCTGATTGTAAAAGGTCGCACCCGGACTGTGACGGTGATGGAAGAGGCGCCATCAGATATCATGGTGAGATAATTGGAGGTTAGGTCGCGTTCCAGGGCGGTATGTGAAGCAGTTGGCGACACCCTGCGTCAGCAAGGCCAATCTAATTTTGTCGTAATGTTGGAGTATCGGAATGATGTCAAAATAATGATGAAGTGAAGAGGAATGCGTGGAGCTAACGGTGCAAGTTTATGGGGTATGGGATGCAATATTCTCCGAGGATCCTAAACATGATTTCATTTGTTGATGAGAGCGTGTGCTGTCCACTTATGGTTGCTCCGGGCAACGAGTGGTAATAGGGGGAAATTAACGTGGCATTAGTTCTGTCTACTAGTACTTTTTAACCTATAAATAGCTGTCATGACCTAATTTTTCGCCGCCTTCTTATCGCTACACTTGTAACCATCCTTAATAAAAAGAATATCCACACCAGACTCCTCGAATGTATCATGTGTCTCCTTGATTTTCTACATCAAGGTAGAAATATTGCTGGTTGACGCGTTTATATGAGTATGGGATTCATCCTCCGAAATAGGTTCTACTCCACAATACCATAACTCAATAGTACAGTTCAAAACAGTCTGTCTGATACTTCGAACAGATTTTCTTGAAAATTTGAGGCCTTGGAAGAAATAAAGGCGCTATCAGGGACGGAGTAGCAGCGAGGGCGCGGATCCGATTCTCGTGTATAATCTCATCGGAGATTCTGGGAACTAAACATTGGAACGAGAGTGCTGCGAATCTCTTTGTAACAAGGCATGAGATTTCCGAGGGTGAAAAGTTCTGGTTCATCACAGATACTGTTGGGATAGGCTCAGCCTCGGGTTTAAGTCTTGTTCTTCCTATAGTATAGTCAAACTTCTAGGGTATTTGGTTGGCTTCCAAGACTTCTTGGATGGTACTTGCCATGGAACTTGATCTTCTGGCTGTATACGAGAAGAGAGCAAATAACCGATACGCCTACTCTATTAGGGGAATTCTAGAACCCTTCGTCATCTACCACCATGCATCCTACTGTATGCGGAAAATATCGACAATGGTTACCAGAGGCTACCTAAGTAAGAGCGTGTTCGCTGGAAAACAGAATAGTCAGTCTCAGATTCGGATGTAGGTAAGAACATACGTTGCACGACTACAGGTCGAAGCCTTAGTAGTATTCGGCATTTTTGTTGGTTTGGAGAATATGCGAAAATGGAAAAAACATCGGGAGTAAGATTGGCTAAATCCACCAGGTAAACCAGTCTGAATACATAGCTATTAGTAGTGAAGATTCAGCCCAGATGGGTTTAGTCCAAACGTTGACATTATTGGGAAATCCGGGGAAGAAGACTTTAGATAAGGTCACGTGAGAGTGAGAAAATAGTGATGAAGGTCAAAGTGATGGTAATAGTGAAAGTAATAGTGAGAATGAGATGAAAGTGAGAGCAAGATTATTGATTAGCTTAATAGAATGTGGAATTCTTATAGATAATGAAAACCTCTAAAACCTAATTAATGCACAATGATACAAGCATGAAGTTTTGTCAAACCCACAATTCTTGTTTGATAAACAATCACTAGGTCCAAAGAGAGGCGAGGCGAGATCATTTTCTTCCTCTATTCTTCTTCCTCTTCCTCCTCTTCCTCCTCCTCCTCTTGGTCGAATTTATGAATCACCACATCCCAGTCAGGTTCATCTTCGCCTAGTGTAAGGAAACGGTATGCAAGTTTGGATCCGTCCTTGAGTTGGCATGTAGTCAGAGTGTCGACATTCCTTGCAGCTTTTTTGGATAAGTCTGTTTGAGGAGGGTGGTTCAGTTGGAGAGGCTTCCATCCTTCTGAAAGGTCGGCTGGGTCCACGGGGATACCAAATTGGATATTCTCATGATCATCAGGTATTTGGTCAAGATTATTTCCGCTCAATTTTAAGGCCTGTAGAAGCTGGTTCTTGGCTGATGAGATGGAATCTTGGGGGGATAACGAGAGGATAACTGTGGTTTTGTATTTCTTGAAGAAGATGGTAATATCACGCTCTTGTGCTTTCGGAGCCTGTTGGAAAGTTAGTTTTTGAAGAGCTTCTAATGTGCCATTTGAACCCAATACATACCATTTCAAAATATTTAAAAAGAGTGTGAAATGAACAAAGTGACGCACGTGGAGATAGTAATCCACCGCTGTATTCTGCCAAAAGAATGATACCGCCCGAACCACCGACTATGGTACCGCTCAATTCTGCCGCCCAAAAGGAAGATGCATCTTGGCGCCGTTTGATGCAGCGATGCCGCTTCCTCAAACTTCGCCTTCGACCTTTCATGACCACACATTGCAATGAATTCAACTACGAATATGGAGCCTAAACAGGAGTCTCCTGACTCTGCTCGTGAAAATTCACTTTTTCTGAAGTTGGTTCATTGGCATAAACTGTTCGAGTCCAACAGCCCTCCACGGTTAGGCATTGATGTTGATAAACGAATTCCCTATGCAACATTTGCTGCATTTTCCACAGGCCTAGGACTTGGATATCTACATGGCAGCAAAAAAGCTGGCTTTGTATTTCGGGCAGAAAACGCACATCGATTCCCTACCTCGTCAACAGGGTGGTTTCAATACCACAAGACGAAGAATTACATTTCCATAGTTGGAGGAGTGAATGATGGGGTCAAGATGGGCTTTAAACTAGGTGCTGGGGCACTTGCTTTCTCCCTTTTTGAGGAGACAGTTGACTATGCCCGGCATGAAAACAGGGATTTTTTGTCGACGGTAATAGCCGGATTGTCGTTTTCTGGGATATACAGTTTGCTATGTATGTCCAACCCCATAAGCATCTTGAGATGAATATTTTTACTGATGACTTTATTTCTTTCTAGCCCGCCATGATGTTTACACTGCTGCCCGTACTGCAAAGCTTGGATTGAAGCTGAGTCTGGTCTATGGGCTATTACAGGATGGCCTGGAGACAATGAAGGGAAATCATCCGGCTTATTTGGACTTTGTGATGGGCAGTCGGACACAAAAAAACGAAGGCTCTATCTGAGATCTGAGTTTATGGGACTTGTATGTCGAAATTCCATCTTCATTCGAATTTCCGTCCCTAGTTCTGGATCAACGTGGTGTCCAACAAAAGTCTGATGGCTCTATTCATGTGTCTCCTTGACTCATGATGATCTCTCATCTAAAACTGGGATGGTCAGTTTTTGATACATGGCTCAGATCATAGGTGGTAGACATACGCGACGTCGGTCCGTCTCCCTTTTGAACTCAGTACCATAACAACAGTGATACCCCCATATCGGATCCAGAAGTCATCAATGTCCGAGCCTGTCTCAGCCTTCTCTTTTTTTTTTTTTTTTTTTTCTTACTTCCCCGAGACTAGTGGAAGAACTCCTCCTGAAGAGCATATTCTTTCTAACACATCTCACTTTACTCTGTATATACCATCTCTATTACGATACCCTTTTACTATCATACCTTGAAATCATTCTCGCCTCTGTTCTCGCCCTTGAACCTCGGAATTTCCCCCCCCCCCCCCCCCCCCCCCCCCATATCATTGGCACGTGATCATATGTGACAACCTCCAGAGCATTCGCAAGCTTATAGCAAATAATAGCTAATACCTATATAAGAAGAAAACTTGAGACTCCTAGGTTCATCAGCTAGGAAATATCTCTTGATTAGATAGACATTCAACTTTTAATTTGGATGGAACTATAGTCCATATTTGGACTGCTGCTTTAGGCAAGTGCCTCCTGATTAGGAATCCAAGAGTTTAATATCTTTTTTTCTTGCTACAATTCATTATTTCAGATTTGATCTGTAGCATTGTAGCGTTTCTAGCTTCCTTCTTCTGAATTGATCTCAAATTTGAAACATTCTTAAATAGCTTCCAGCGCGAACTGCTGTGGTACGTGCATGTTCATAGACCGCTTTGTGCATCAGGCCCCACCAGTACTCTTGGTATAGAAAAAAAGGTTGAATTACTACATACAATAAGTTAGGTATGACCCTATGATTCTATAATGAGAAGGTCTGGAGTGGATCAGATGTTACAGAGTTTCCGAAGGTTTCCAGACTCTTAAGATGACCTTTGGTGGACCTTCTTCTTCTCCTACAACTCAACCGCATTTAGCCCCCCACCTTGTCCAGAATAGACTCCCTTAGCTTCTCAGTCCTGACGCCTTTTATTCTTTCTCTCTCCCTAACATCCCCTTTCATCCTGGCACATGCTCTTCTGCTAGTATTCATCTGTACCCATTGGGCCTATGCCGATGGCTAGCTCAACACCTATACTGATTTCGTCGACGTCATCGTTATATTAATGCTCACCGATAAAAGCATAGTCACCAACATATCCATCCCCTCTCCAATATCACTATGCGTCGCCATGGCAGGTCCAGTGGGGGCTCAACTAAGGCTGTCTCGGCCATGTCCGATTCCGTTTCCCTCATCCATTCCTTCGATTCTGTCCTGAACCCGAATCGACCCGCGCGCCCATCGCCATTGACCTCCTCTCACATCAAAGCTTTACCACTGGAACTTTTCGATCGATTGCGTTCCTTTCCTCTTTTTCAGGCTACACCTGAATCCTTTCTGATCGAAGTCGGTCAGCATTTGCGCCCGCAGCTTCACTCCCCGAACGACTATATCTTGACTGAAGGCGATGATGCGAGGGCTATATACTGGTTGGTACGGGGTGCTGTATCTGTTACCTCGCGTGATGGAGAAAGTATATATGCCGAGCTGAAGCCAGGAGCCTTTTTCGGCGAGATCGGTGTGCTGATGGATCGACCGCGTACTGCAACAATCATCGCTCGCACCCGATGCATGCTGGTCGTGCTCACAAAGGATGATTTCCGCAACATCCTGCCCCACTTTCCCGAAGTTGAACGGGCAGTGATGGATGAAGCTCAAGAGCGATTGATGATCTTGGAAAAGAAAAAGAAAGAAACTTCTGCCCCAGTCTTTGATGCTCCAAGTCCGAGCCCGATGCGAAGAGGATCAAAGAGATTGCGGGAGAGCCATTCCAGAGAACTTAAGTTGAATGGAGAGGACGTGAACATCAAGACAATACATAAGAAACGGAAATCTCCGAGTCCAGGGAGGAGAGATGGATCCAGTGCTCTGGCGAATGGTCTTGTCAACGTCCGTCTTTTGCTCAAAGAACTTCCTCTTTTCTCTGGGTTACCTGCCGATCTCCTTCACTATCTGGGTCTCAATGCTCAACCTTGCTCGTTTCCCCCCTTCACGGATATCATCAGACAAGATTCTCAAGGACGTGAACTCTACTTCATCGTACGTGGTGAGGTCGAGGTCGTGGCTGATAAGCGTAATTCCCGCCCTGTGAACGGCATTACCAATGGAGCTAATCGTATTGACGTTGAGATCAAAGCTCGCCTCAAACAAGGCCAGTACTTTGGAGAAGTCGTTGGCTTAGAGCTTGCCCCGCGTCGAACAGCTACGGTTCGCTCTGTCACCTCTGTAGAGTGCCTCATGCTTAGCGGGGAAGTTCTTTCTAAATTTTGGGAAATGTGCCCACCCAAAGTCCGCGAACAAGTGGAGCAAACTGCCCAGGAGAGACTGCAGGCAGGTGATGATGGAGACGTGATGATGATGGATGTTTCAGACGAACAGCTCTCTTTCGATGATGGAGTCAAGATCAATTCGTCCCGGAGAAAGTCAATGCCCTTGCTTACACTCACGGAAACCGAACTTGATGGTCCACACAAAACCTCCATGATCGAGGGTCAAGATTATTTGCCATCAGACCCCGACCCATATCTCAACCTGGGACTGGACAAGGTCCGACTTCGAAGCCGACGTGGATCAGTAGCGCCATTGACACCAGAAGAAATTTCAGGCGAGCAACAACGACCTTCCCCTTCTTCAGAACGCTCTGCCAGTTCGTCAACCCTAAATCTTCCAGACGTTATCAGCTTCTCAAAGCCACATTCAGTTGCACACTCCCCTAGTGATGCCCACCGTGGAATATTTCCGGATGCCGTTCTAGTGAATATTTTCAAGTACTTGGAGCTTCATGAGCTTCTCCGACTCCGCGCAGTATCTTCTTATTGGTCAGACATCCTGAGCAGTTCACCCCATGTGGCCAGAGACCTGGACTTGAGCGTGTACAATAGGTGCTTAACAGACGATGTCATCGTGAAAATTATCTGTCCCTTCACTGGTAATCGGCCGCGGTCTGTGAACATCAGCAATTGCTTTCATATAACCGATGAGGGCTTCAATACATTGGCGAATACATGCGCTCCTCTCGCTACCACGTGGAAGATGAAGAGCGTTTGGGATGTCACAGCCTCTGCTATCCTTGAAATGACCACCAAGGCCACCTGCTTGCAGGAGGTAGATCTCAGCAATTGTCGTAAAGTGGGAGATACACTCATGGCACGAATAATTGGCTGGGTTATTCCTGGTAATCAAAAGCCCACTGAAGGAAAGAGCGCCACTATTAAGCCTACTCTTGAAACAGCAGAAGGTATAGTCTACGGATGCCCACAGTTGAAGAAGCTCACGCTCTCATACTGCAAGCACGTCACGGACCGCTCAATGCATCATATCGCCTCTCATGCTGCCTCTCGAATTGAAGAGATGGACTTGACACGTTGCACCACCATCACTGATCAAGGATTTCAATATTGGGGAAATGCTCGTTTTACCAACCTACGAAAGCTCGTCTTGGCAGACTGCACTTATCTAACGGATAATGCCATGGTTCATCTAACCAACGCGGCCAAACAATTAGAAGAGTTAGATCTGGTAAGTACACTCCATATATCGCCTTCTATCTTAGCGTTGATTCTAATGGAAATTCCAGTCCTTCTGTTGTGCTCTGTCCGATACGGCGACGGAAGTTCTCGCCCTCCAGTGTTCACAGCTCAAGTCTCTCAAAATGTCTTTCTGTGGGTCCGCTATCTCTGACCCTTCGCTACGAAGTATCGGTCTTCATCTCCTGTCACTTGAACACCTCTCAGTCCGCGGATGTGTCCGAGTTACAGGTGTGGGTGTTGAGGCCGTCGCAGAAGGCTGTAACCAGCTTCGTTCCTTCGACGTGAGCCAATGCAAGAACCTCGCACCTTGGCTTGAAGAACATGGACCAGCGAAGTATCAACCGCGAATCAAATTCCAGATTGTGGCTGCCAGCAGAAACAGACCACCATCACTCACTCGGCGATGAGCTGGGCTGGACCCGTCATTTATCAACCATATAACCTCTATTCTTAATATCTTGAACTTATCTACAGTCCTATCTGTTTTTCTTTATATGTACTATGAATACTTTATCACGCTATCTCATGATCTGGGAGTTCAGGCTTCCGGGGCTTTTTTATAATCTTGCTGGCTGTGACCTGTATAGATTCGTTCTTCTTTTACGCTTTTGGAATTGGGATAGGCCTTCCGGTCAGGGAATCTTTTCGTTCTTGGGCTGGTTGCGCATGGCTGGAGTTCGAAGACTGAATTTGACTACTAAATTCTATTTATGCTTCCCTGACTTACTAATGCAATCCTTTTCCATTTAATGAATCTAATGATGTACCTTGGTAATCTCCTAAACTTAATTAAGTAATTCTATTAAGCACCTGGGCCCATGTAACAGCGTCAGGGCTGCTCGGTATACCAGCATTAATCTGTCTTGTGATTATTTCTACAGCCTCTGCTTGCTAGAAGTAGATGAGGCAAAGCCCTAGCTAGGCTCACAGGACAAAGCCCTAGAAATTTTTGATCTTTGTATCCTAACAATGCAATTATGAAATATTATCATATCTTTATGAGACAACCTTAGAAACCGTGTATAGTACAGCTGAAGATGACCTATTCAAATCCCCCTCAGATCCCGGGGTCTCAGCTTCTCTTACGAAGGTATACCTTTGGAAACATTCCAAGGTATTCATGGCCCAAAAAATTATATTGCCACTTTGTATAGTAAGAACAATGACCAGTAGACAATACAATCTCTTAGATATTTTGTAGCTTAGACTCACCTCCAGGTGGGCCAGTTTTCAAAAGGTCAGGATATGATAATGATTGATAAACGATCCCAGATATTAAATCTAGCGAGTCAGTTTGATGCCCGGAAGGCCTTTGGTAATCTACTCTTTGATCAAGCTATTTGTCAAATTATTTAACGGAGCATTCCTACCTTGCAAGATCCTTTTCGCATCATCCTTACCTATCCACATCTTGATCAGCTCATATTCGATCAATCCATACTATCAAAATGGACATAACACCTGAAGATTTGATGCTACTCTCAGACCATAACTCTCAGCAAGATGAAGAGGAAACAAACAAGAAGTCCCTAAAACGTCGCCGCTCAGTCGACCACTCCTGGTCAGCAGAAATGAAACAAAAACTGCAGAAAAACATAGTGGAAGGCCGTGCGGGTAGACGCCGAACTGCAACGGCGTGTGATCGGTGCAGGGCAAGTTCCATTATGATACTTGAGGGTTCTTTCCCTCTTTTCTCAGGTCCCCAATATCACTAGATTCTCATTCTAATGCTACGATTCAACAGTTGAAGAAGATCGCTTGCGATTATACCGCTGATGGCTGTATGAAATGCGTCGCCAACGGAATTCTCTGTTACGTGACTGACCCTGTCACTGGCTATTCTGCAGAACGCTGTTCAATCCCCAGAATGCAGAGACGGATTAAAGAGCTTGAGGAGCAAGTCAGCGTCTTGACGAAGGAAGTGGACCGCCTGGAAGCCAAACTTGTCTTCTCAAATAACACTATTGGGTATCTTCGGCTTTCCCACGGGGAAGTGGTGGAGCGGGGGGAAACTTGGGCAATGGTGAGATTCAGATGTCCTCAAGGGCTTACTTTAAAAGACCAGGAATATTTCGTTAATTCAGAACTCATATAGGGAGGAGACCAGGGGTCCGTGGATTCTAGCGTTTTCTATCCAACTCTTTCAAAGTAATCCGGGATTCCACTCTCATCTTTTCCAACAATCAAAGAATCGCCAGGCAATATTGAAAAAGTCTTATTTTTTTATACTGTGAAAAATATTAGAGAAGAGTGTTCCAAAGTTTTGATGCCTGCATCTGCGAGGCCAATTGTCCAGAGATGATGGGGAGGAATGATTGGAATACTTTTAATGACTGGCACACCCTTCACCACAGGACCAGTGTCAAAGAACATCTGGCTAGTAAATACCCGTCTAGAAATATTGTTAAGCCACTGTGCTTTTAGACAGATACTCCATTTCGCTTTTACTTGGTCATATTAATATGGAAAGAATTTGCAGTTGAAAGCTACACTTAGGTACTGGTGTCTGCCAGATGTTGATATCATTCGACCTGATTCGACTCTATATCCTTGCATAGAACATGCGTGCGTAATTTTCTACTGACTGTCAGACAGCACGGCTGGAAAATTGCTTCATGGGATGCATGGGATATCTTCTAGGAGGGTATGGCGATAAGATTATCAAAAAGCTCATAATGAATGTTGACTACATCAGGCTCTTAAGCCTAGTTGTCATGGTTTACATCTGCCAGTGTTTTTTCAGCAATATGATAAGCTTTGGGTTGATGAGAAGCATTTATCACGATGCTCGTAGAGCAATAGCTCCAAGTAGGGAGAGCTCCAATCGCCGCCTGGCATCTGTGCCATTAGATACTTTGTCGCCTGGCGAGGGCAAGGCTGCAAGTTTGTAAACCTTCTTGATCTTGGTAATATCCGAGATCTCAGAGATTATCTGATCATCGAAAGGCACCGAAGTTCCTTTGATGGAACTTTCCAGATGTGCGGCAACGGAGTCATGGGTTATCTCCGGGGACACGGAGACTTTTACCGCCAACAAATCTTTCGTAGAGTCAGAAACGCCAAATTTGCGCAGGGATTCGCCAATCTATTCCCGTTTGGTTAAATCTATAGTGGAATGCTTTGAAAAGCATGACTCACGTGGTTGGTCGGGTTAAATGAAAACACAATCTCCGAGTGCACATTGTGGGATTTGAGACGGTCATTCAAGTAATCATTAACTGCGCGGAAAATAGCAGTCAACGCATGCTCTCGCGAAAACACCTGTAGTTTATTTTTAGTTCCATGGTCCTATGTCACATTTGCGAATGATATTCACCATGCTAGCATCGATAAAAGCATATTGAAACTCCGTATTCCCGGCAAGCAGCTGCTCGCGCAAAAATGCTGCGTTCTCCACATTTCGGTACAGCGCTACATGGATAGGGAGAGACGCAGGCAGGTGAGGGAGATTGATGGACTCCAGTTGCAATGCCATTGTCACGACTCGCTATTCACGATGCCTAGTGCCATGATCAAAAGCACCGACCACAAAAGATATTATGACGTATTTTCGTAGCTTTCAGCCCCTCATCACGTGATATTCTGGAATCTTCGGACTTAAGAATTGCCGCCAACCGGATTCAAGACTGAGTAATCACTTATATCGCTCGGGTATAATTAGAGCTTGGCGTCTTCACTTTAACCCCATCCATCCTTCACATCGTTGTCATGGCTTTTTTCCTCCGGCGCCCGTTCGCCGTGGCTTCGGCCATTCGGCAGGTCCCAAAGCTCTCTAATACTGCTCGTCTCATCCACAACTCTCCTCTCAAGCCCACCCAGGCTGCTCCCAAAGCGGCTTCCTCAATCTTCACGAAGTCCCGCCAGACCTTCCAGAATGCCTTCCGACGGACATATATGCAGCCCACCTATGGCTCCTCCACCCAGGGCAACATGGGCCAGAAGTTGCTATACGGTGCTGCCATCGTAGGTGGTACTGTCTTGGCCACCAACGTCATTTTCAACCGTGAAACCCGAGAGGATGGCGGTATGCCCGCTTACGAACGAAGCTACCTGAACGAAACTTTCATGCACACTGGTCTTGGTATTGGTATCATTGCTATTGCCGCCCGCGCTTTGCACTCCAATGGTTGGTCTTTCCGCTTGATGGCCATGAACCCATGGCTTGTCCTGGGTGTCGGTCTTGTCGGCAGCATGGGATCCATGTATGGAACTTTCTACACCTCCCCAGATAAGTAAGTTTTAGTTTCTTTCTTTTCATCCTTAGAAATAAACAAATTGCTAATTTCTTCCTTAGCTACGTAATGAAATATGGCTTCTGGACTCTCTTCAACGTCACCCAGGCTGCATTGCTCTCCCCACTGATGTTCTACAACCCTGCTCTCCTCGCTCGTGCTGGTATCTACACTGTTGGTTTGATGGGCTCGATTGCTTTCGTCGGCGCCACTGCTAAGCAAGAGAAGTACCTCTACCTTGGTGGCCCCCTCCTCGCCGGTGTGACCCTCGTTGCTCTTTCTGGACTTGCCCCTATGGTTCTTCCCGCCACTGCTGCTCGTACCCTGATGTGGTCTGAGCGCATCTGGCTTTATGGTGGTCTGGCCGTCTTCGGTGGCTTCACCCTCTACGACGTTCAGAAGGTTCTGGCACACTCGCGTATGGCCGAGCGTGGATACATCCAGCGTGACCCCGTTAACGAGAGTATCAGCCTCGAGCTGGACTTCATTAACATCTTTGTTCGCATGGTCCAGATTCTTGGCATGCGCAGCAACAACCGGAAATAAATATGCTCTTCGGTACCAGCAAAAATGGCTCTTTCAGCCACTGTATTCCTAGCGCTCTGTCCTGTTAATATTCCCCTTTTGATTTTCACTTTGTACTTGCCCGGGTTTCTTAGATCACCATCCAAGGACTTATTCTAAATAAACACTATGCAAAAACATCTCCACTCTTTGACCTGTCATAAATATAAACCCTAAAAAATTAAAGAAAAAATCACTCATAAGCCTCCGTACCGTACTAGCTACGTGACTAGCACCAAAAGATCTTCGACATCTGTAGCTCCCTGAGTGCTCCCTGAGTGTCACTTGATAACTTGTCACCTGATAATTAATCAGTGAGAAGATCAGTGAGGCAAAAGCAGCGAGGGGGTGAGCACTAATACGGAAGGGAAACACCAAGAACTAGCATGGAAAATCCGGTATATAGGTACCAATATCGATAGCCAACATGGAATACAAGGCTGCCTTACTACCCAGATAAAAACCGCAGTGAGTGTCAGGATAGAGGGCTAAGGCCTTCTAACGCGTTCAAATTGAACGGGGGTTTTTCGGTTGATTCTCATTTCAAAGTTCACCTGGGCAGCGGAGCGATGGCCAAGATTGGATGTAAATTTATGTCACCGAAGGTACGTCTAGAGCTGAGGTCCTTCAGCTTCATTGGATGAACAAACTATCTAGATAAATTAGTCTCCTATCCTTTTACTTAGATTCTGAATCATATGCTCGGTGGTTGGAAATTCGAGGTAGGTACAGGAGAGGAAGAAGCCACGGAGAAGGAAAAATATTACCACGGATGACTGGACATAATAGGAAAATTCTCAAGATTATTCACTACTCGAGTGAAGGGGAGAATAGAAACAATAATAGAATCAAGTCTGACCTTATAGGTGTAGAAATAAAGAGCTTAGAAAATGAGGCCACACATGGGTAGAGATGCTATTTGATACAGTAGACCTCATTAGTCCAGCTTGTATCTATCTATCTTCAAAGACGTCCTGGTGCTTTCACGCTTACTTTTGGTACTTGTCTATTACCCATGTTTACTATCTAAGGCTATCTATCCTTTCTGGAATTTGTCACTGATACCTTCAAAATCGATTCAGCCAGTGCCTCGGGACCTTACAGTCCCCGATGTTGTATGGAGGATTGCTAGTGCTGCCTCTTCCGGCTAACCCACTTCACAGAAAGCTTGGTGTCTCATGTAACCGCTGTACTGGGATCCGTCAGTCTGTTTGGTCTTTCTATTCTTCTTCTACTGTAAAGTTACGATTTGTTGATCTGAGAGATCATTTTATCAAATTATGATGGAGCTGGGCTTGCTCAAAGTATCAAGTAGCATTAGAACACGTGATGAGGTAAGGGATATGTGTACTAAATCTTTGGGTGACAGCCTTGTTGAATTCCTCGGGTTTCAATTCCTTTCAAACTATGAATATCAGCTTATGGAAATCCCATACCAGGCAAGACTTCCTCAGGAAGAACGCCACCCCAACCAATAGGCTGAGCATCGACCAGTCCTGCAAAGCCCTCAATCCCAATTCCATTGGTAATTCCAAAGAGAGACTCAGGCCTGGCAGTTTTCTGCTTGCGTGAAAAATAATCTGGCTTTGCTCTGATCTTCATTCTCTCCAACATCGTCTCCTTGAAATTGGTCTTCTTCTTCATTCGGTTCCAATTGAGTCCTGAGATCTTGTTAAGCCTCTTGCTAGTAACAATTCGATGCCATATTGTGGAGTCGATTTCTCGATAGGTCAGGAGGGTTAAAGCAACAGTCTTCTGGGAGTGGATTCGACGTTCCGGGAATCGAAGTAGCAAAATTTTGTCGTTTCCATGGCATTTCAGAAGATTCTGGGAAAGGGGACTCTCGATCCGGTCATTGATGAATCCATATTCGAGCGTTTTGATCTTCAATACTGTGGTTTTGGGGGAGATGGGTGATTTGAGCTTAATGGTGAGCAAAAGCGAGTTGTCCTCGAGACCCTCCAGATTGACAAATTCACTATTGTTTGGGTTGAGACAAAAGGTGATTTGGTGCTGTGTTGAAGGCCAGAGTCTTGGATCGTGTGTTTTCTGCTTGAGGACCATATTGGTTGTGACAATGTCGAATGTCACTTCAAGTATGGTATTCTCTCCGCATAGGTCGATTGTTTCACCTGACACTTTATCCAGTAAAACGAGACCGATGGATTCCGGAGTCTTCGAGTGTATTTGCTCATGGCAGTCGCACAGGCCATCCGGGCTGTTTGATTATCAGATTCTAGCTTATCTGGAATTTGTTCAAGGATTCAATTGGGACGTACCAGAGCCAAAACATGATGAGAAGTTGTAGAATGTTGCTGGGATGTGATGGTTGTAAATTACCAAGAGTGAGTCAAGTTCGTGAGTTTTGTTGCAAAAGAGTGAATGTTTATAATAAGAACTTCGCGTTGAAAACTTCGTGTCAAGAGTTTTGTTTGATTCTTACGGGGGATACTTCGGTTCTGCCCATTTCTCAAGTCAACCGTTTCTCTTCTACATATTAGACTGTGAGTCTGATAATTGCTCAATTCAGTGCAACCCCAGACCATTCATGGACTCCGATTAGCATTCGGTATGGTAAAGTCAAATTTAGTTCTGCAGCATGGCCCAGACGCTTACAATTGATGCTTAAAGCTTGAAGTCACGTTTCTTCTTTTCAAAAAGTACAAGTTCATTCTCATCCCATTCATTTTTCTCGTTTTCTTCTCATCAAACTTCTCCCAGTGTCGTTTATTATGATACTCGTTAACTGGTGTGATATTATCGAATATGGTCTCTTATTCTCATTCAGATCCCTGGTCCTATGATGTTTACGCTCATAAATTTACAAGCCCAGACTGTACCTGCAAGTCTCCTCAGGCTTGCTAGTTTCATGTTGCCACAATCAAGTATTCTGAGTATCATCTCCTGTACATTACTTGAAAGTTATAGATACTTTCTTTTCAGCTTTCTCTTCTACCATATTATGGATGGATATGAACGGCCATATTTCATTTCATCGCACCTCAACCTATTGATTCCTCGAGAGCTTGCCCTTTCTGATCTTGTTATGTCTATACTCATAAAAATCACGATCCCAACTCTGATCCCTCAAGTCTCCCCGTACTCATGCCGTGGCACTCAAACATTATGACGATTAAGAAAGACACTCTTAGTAGTAAAATGCCTTTATTTACCAATGCCAACTACCAGTAATTACAGCCCTGGAGAGAAATTAGTTAATCAGAAATGACAGGATGCATAAACCTTGGAATTGACTCAAGGTTATTTATAGTTTGACCACGTGGGAATCTAATAATGTCTTCAACGGTACGTAATGAAGTAGAACTAGATGATATTATTGGAATTCAATCAATCCCCTGAGCTATGGAACCAAACTATCTTACACTAAGGCTTCAGATCGCTCAAATATCCTGGAGTTGATCAAGAAATTCAAAAGAGGATTGAGGCCTGAGGCAGTAAATAAAGGCGGTGAATTGGGAGGTTCAAGCACTATTAGGCGGTATGTCGCGGTAAAATGATACCGTAGAAGACGTGCAAGCCCACAGCTTTTCCATTTCACAATAACATCAAATCATCCACAGCCTGTTCAAACAATAGAGTACAATCTCTATTTAATATTCAAATTCAATAAGCTCCACATATTGACTTTTCAGGTATCCTGGAAATAAGACCGACCAGAATACAATCATGTCCAATGAAATGGAAGTCGACCCTCCCGTTGGAGGTGAAGCTCCCGAGCAGCCTACCAATGAATTTGACCCCCACACCTCAACGGGCGCTGTCGCTGTGCGCAGTATCGAAGGATGGATTGTTATGGTGTCAAACATTCACGAAGAGGCAGCCGAAGAGGACGTGAATGAGCTCTTTGCAGAATACGGCGAGATAAAGAACTTCCACCTGCCCCTTGATCGTCGCACAGGTTATGTCAAGGTCTGTCGCAGTTTGAATCTGCCAATGCTTACTAATATAAAAACGGCTAACATATATTCGCTAGGGATACGCCTTGATTGAATTTTCGACACTTCCCGAGGCCAGCGAGGCCATCAAGAACCTGAATGGCTATAAACTTCTCGAAAAAACCATTGGAGTGGACTACGCCTTTATCCGCCCTCCTCCTTCCCGCAAGGACAAGGATACTAAGGGTACGAAGGGATCTCGCGGTGGCCGGGATCGCAGCCGCAGCCCTGAGGGTGACAATTAAACTTGCGAGGTACCGCAAGCTATGACTTGTTTTGTTCTCTTTTTTTTTTGAGCGAAGATACAATTTCTCGCCTTTATCATCTCACCACAACGTATTCCATCTTCTCCTTTTCCACACCATCTCACGACTCTCTTGATGGATCATGGACGAGGGATAACCCGTGGGTATCCCGGTTTCGCCGGCCTGCGTCGGCGACTTAATTTATGCTTCCAATGGGTATGCCCATATTTAAACGGCTTAACGAACTCATGTACTGGGTGCTGACTTCAAATTCAGAACTGAAAGATTGATATGAATAAACCGCGGTCCAAGATATGACCATATTTCTTAGAAGATCTAATCCTAAACGAAAAACGCAAAATATACGATTTCAATGGAGCGTATTTTGAGGCACGTCAAAATAGTCAATGCGCGATCTGTGTAGTGATGCGAACCTTGGAATCGTGGCATGCCCGAGGTCCTATTAATAACTGGTGACTCAAGTGAGCCTTGTAATTCTCGATATGGGTAACTGGTGAGACGAATAATCCGGCGTATTGAAGATACAAAATACAGATGCTGTATGGGTGAAACATAGGCCAATGAGACTGTTTCTTTCCCGAATGAACTAGGATGAGCTTTCGGCTCAAATCTCCCACGCAAAAATAATAGCTCAATCGGATATCTACTAGCCCAAAGGTTCCAAGGTTTGCTGTACAGCTTCACGGCCCCTTCACTGCATCACACGACCTTTCCGTGGCGCAGAGCCCATGTATGGCTTCTCGTGATGACTTTTCCCCTCTCCATTACCCTCGTGCCACTAATTCCTCGCTTCCTCATACTATCTTAATCTGTGGATCAAAATGGTTCATGCTCCATTCAGCGGACAGAAGTAACTAGAGTGGGTCGCGGGTGACTAATCTAACCCCCTCTTCTCTCCATTTCCCCGCATTTGAGGCTGTCGAAATCCTTAATCGATTGGAGCGCATTACAGTCCTAGTGATTAGATTATTATTATAGAAGAGGGATCCACAGTGCATAGTTGAAAATTCTGGCTCCCTCACCAGACGTGATGGCCTTTCATTCCATGGCCCGCGCTCCTGCCGGCTTATCAAGGGTCTCGATGTGTTTGATTTTTCTTCTTTCCTTTCTGTTTGCGGCGAGTGCACTAGTGCACCCGGTTCAGAAACCCCTAAAAGAGACTGTGGCTGCTGACCAGAGCTCTGTGAATGTAGCGGATGAGTTCTCGAGTGCCCCCGATCTCGACGACAGTCATGCGGCAGAGCCGTGGATCTGGGAAGCGCCAGCTCCTGCGGAGACATTGGAGAACCTTCTCAATGCCCTCCGTGTTATGCAAGACAATTATTTCAGGCTATGGCTTGGCACGTGGCCGACTAGTATCGATTGGACCGCTGCTGTTCTGGGAACGCACGTTGTCGCGACATTGTCGTCCTACACTTCTAGCGCGCTCGACATCGTGGACGCGGATCAATTGCATGAGCCAGCCTTCGTTGCACTTGAAAACACCGTCAATGAGTTCTTTAGTCAGACAATGACTTTCTACTTCGGTGAAAACGCTTTCAGTCTACGTAACCAAGCCTACGATGATATGCTGTGGGTGGTGTTGGACTGGCTGGAGAATGTCAAGTTTCAGGATCTACACACGGACCTGCACTATTCACGGTCGAAGAAGAGCTCGGATAAGGAGTGGTATGGTACGCAGTTTCGTCACTCGGCCGCACACCGATCACGGATCTTCTACGAGATCGCAGCGGCTGGTTGGGACAAGACGCTCTGCGACGGCGGGATGATCTGGAACCCGAACCTGATTCCTTATAAGAACGCCATTACAAACGAGCTTTATATATCCGCGAGCATCGGCATGTACTTGTACTTCCCCGGCGATCCTATTGATGCGCCGTTCGTCCAACAAGATCATGATCACAAAGATCAGTATCCACACAACCCAACTCACCTCAAAGCAGCCGTCGATGCCTACTCCTGGCTCACTAAATCCAACATGACCGGAATAGGTGGTCTATACGCTGACGGCTTTCACATCAGTAACTGGAGTGGTTCATCAAATCCTGGCTCCGGGCGGTGTGACGTGCTAAACAAAATGGTATACACCTACAACCAAGGGGTGATTCTCAGTGGGCTAAGAGGGCTCTGGCTAGCGACGGGCTCACAAATCTACCTACGCGACGGCCACGAGCTCATCTACAAAGTTCTCCGCGCTACCGGCTGGCCGCAGATCTCATCAAAGAAATGGTCCGGGCTCGGACGCGGCGGCGTACTCGAAGAAATATGCGACTCACATGCAAGCTGCTCCCAAAACGGACAGACATTCAAGGGCATATTCTTCCATCATCTTGCAGAATTTTGCCGGCCACTCCGGCCGTATGAAGAGCGGTTTCTCGCTGGCGAGAAACGCAGGCCCCATGCTGACGACGACTGGAGCAAAGTTTACAACCGCCATCTAAAGCGGTGTCGTGCATATGGACTCTGGATTGAACATAATGCGCGCGCGGCACTCATGACTCGCGACGATGAGGGGAAATTCGGCATGTGGTGGGGTCTTCCGTTTGATGATACTGTTTCCGAAGCGATTGTCAATAGTAGCACCCTTCCCGCGAATGCGCTTGATTACCGCAATGATGTGGATGAGATCAATACTAGTGACGGTGTTCCGCGTGACTTTAATGATCGTGGTCGTGGCCGTACTGTTGAAACCCAGTCTGGGGGTGTCGCTGTGCTGCGAGCATTGTTCCAGTGGCAGATCTCTGAAATCCTCTGACGTTTTTGACAAAATATTATCATTATCATTAACGGTAGTCTCGGTCTCAACCTTAGTTGCGTAGCCAAGCTTCCACTCCGGAATTAGTTTATGCTCCACATGATATCTGGCGGAAATCTTCCAATCAAAGCACGAAACCCGGGCTCGGTGTGCAATGTTGAGGTCGTCATGGGGAATCCTTCGTGCGACGGCTGAGAGGCTCTTAGTACTACTCGGGGCCGAGCTACCTACTTAGGTATTACCCGTGGACACTTCAATTACAAATTTAATTATATCTACACAGTACTTTAATGGTATGTACGAACCTACTTACCTATGTATTTATTTAGGTAATTAGTTACTCCGTACTCCATAAGATGCTTACTACTTTTAATTTATTTTCCTCTACATAGGTATGATGATGATTCAGTATATGACTCAAATTCAGTTCAGCTATCTCAGTGGCATGTTTGGTTATCATTTCCAAGGCTAACGCGTGGGGCGGAGGGGTAGAACGTGTACTAGGAAACTACTAGCAATCATCGGTCTAAGGAAGGGCATATGACCTCCCCACTAGAGAATAAAAATGATGTCTAGTATGAAAAGACGGAAACACTCCGATGCTCCGAAGATGATGAACTAAGTTTCGAAGTTCCCAAGATCCATAATTCAAACCTATACTTTTCAATAGTGCGATAACAGAACGGGAGAGGTAAAAAAAAAATATAAATTCGTACGGGAAAGAGGGGAGTCCGCGAGGAATAATATAAGAACCAGTAATATTAAGAAGAAGATCTCTTTAGCATTTCATCCACCCGCGCTAGCCCAAACCACGCGCGCCATCCGCAAGATAAGTGGATTTGATGTGGGTTTAGTATTTACAGTACCTAGGTACGGTAATGGATTGCTACATAGGGCTTGTGTGTTGCAATAGGATTGATATCTAAGTGAGTAGGTAAAAAGAGAGAGGTAGTAATAGTTACTAAGTAGAGTAAACTACTAGGTAAAAGGTTAGTAGTATATGGTATGTCCAAACTATAGTCTTCACATAGTTAGCGGAGACGGCTTACGTTGCTCAATGGCTTGTCTCAGTTGCCCCGAACATCAAGCATGAAAATAAGGTGGAACCATTCCACGAGGGAGTAACGGAGTACCTGTGTACGGCCTGAGCGTTAGGCGGGGTGTAGGAACGGATGCAACTGGTTCTGTTCAGTTTGCTACCAAACATGATTGATAGTGGAGTAAGGGAAGATTTAGGAATATTTCCGATCGGTCACATTTGAGGATATGGATGGATATGGATATTACAGGAATTAGGGCGGGGTTCCTTAGAGTCAGCAGGAAGACTAATTTCCTTCTTGCTTCTGGTGCGACCTCGGAATCACATCCCCGGAATTATACCAAGTACTGACTACTAACTAAATGATTCCATCATCCTTGTAAAGAACACCCTTCTTTGTTCTCTTATTTGCTTTCTCTCTTTCTTTTCCTTTTACTATATATAGTTTGACGTAGTATAAGGACAACTCCGGAAGGAATAAGTCTATTCAGCCTACAAGGATCCGTGGATCATCAAGGAATATCCGTACCTGTTCCGTCCCAGCTGTCGCTATATAACATGACATTTCCGTTTTCAGTCAACAATAACATCAACTTGACGACATTCCTCACCTTCCATTCCCTTCCCCAGGTGGAGCGATGTAGATCAGCAAGCCCTGTTTTTCTGTTTCACTGTCGTTTTTCCGATCCCGTCAATAGGATTAGAGCCCAAGGGAATGGATCGACCAAACGTTTTTCGCGCATTGGTAGTCCTCTACCCGCGGCAGTGACCAGGTTTGCCGTTAACTAGTTAAAATCTGACCTAGGATTCTGTTAGAGGCCAATACGGAGTACTCCATAAAACTATAACCGGACCTTACCTACATACATTACATAAATTACACTTCCTAACCAGATCGACATCCAAGTGGACTAATTTTCCAAATTTCTACAACCACCCTTAATATAACCACCAACAATCAGTAAATTTATTTATTTATTTATTTGATGCAAGAAGGGTATGAATTAGTGACTAAATGAAACCACAAAAAATCGATTCTTACGACAATTTCTATGTTTCCTGATCTCGACCAGTACCTTCTTGAATCTTCCACTTTCGTCATATCTTCTCTTGATCAACTTTCTCACAGAGTTTATACTTTTTTAGCTTTATATTTTCTTGGTCGGAAGTAATGATGCCTGTGGTTTGTGTATATCGACGAGAATTATTATATCGGGCGTTATGTGCCGTCCAAATAGCTTATGTTTGATCAAATCCCCGCTTTATTTTTTAAGCCAGGTGATAGATTCGCGATTTACGGTAGAACGATTGGATAGTTTCTTCTTGCGCTCTCTTAAGATGATCCATGGATCTTATGAGAGACCAATTTGGAAGCTAGTTTCGTCGAAATCACAAATATCTTTGGGACAAATCCTATATCCTGTCATAACGTGTTTATAGCCTTGAGACAGCCTCTTAACCATAATTCTATCAAGAGTAATTCGTTCAACTTCAATTACTTGTCGGTGTCGACAATAGTATTCGGGATGATGTTTCAGAAACGTTTTAATAGTTCGCTGATATATGGTTGTTTTGTTATTGGGCCTGAATGGGCCTCTTTTATAATCGAATTTACCATAATTTCAATTTGTCCTCGATTGATGAATACTTCTGTCTTATCAAAATAGTTGGTTTATTCAAAAAGAGCTAATCCATATGTAGAATTAAGCTTACGACCGTTATGTTATCATTCAGATAGCAATTGTCTACTATGCCAGCGCCGAAGAAGCCGGCTGCCAGGGACCGCGAATTCTCACGCAGTTTTCGCAATATCAGGTTTCAATTAAGTATAGAGAGATTCAAGGGCTTTAATGATCTGGTCTTCGAGTTCTTTATCATTTTGAGGCATTTCTGGTAAAGTTGTTGATAAAAGAAGAGAGGTTGAAGGAATTCGGAGAATTAGTCCATTTGGGTGTCGGCCCTGTAGCGAGGGCCTGTAATGTAATGTATGTAATGCCTAGTTAATAGTCACGGAGCAGATTGTGATCTTCATACTAGTGATCGGCTCACTTGATTTTGGGAGTTAGAATTGATTTCTTTGTTTTAGTATTACATTAGTGGGCTCCCTTCGAAGCTTCTATCTGCCTTCCCTGTTTGTGTATTTTGTTGTAATTTGATATCACGAGATTCGGCTGCGAAGGATTATCCCTGATGAGATTACTAGGCTGATTACTTACTTGTATGTACGAGTAGATGTTGCCACCATTACCTAGTTACATAGCTGGTGGGTATGATATATGCTTACCTCCATTTTATTCTTTTAATTCTCTAGGAATTTCTCTTCTCAATGAAACAGAACAAGATTTACATGATAGAAGCAATTGCGTCATTTTTACTTGTTGCGGCTCGATCGACACTGCATAGCGCGTATATTTTCTCCCCTGACTGCCCCATATACCGGGTGGATATGGGAAGTTGTCAAGTATTTTGCATCTTATATTTTGTATTTTATATTTCTTATTTATATTTCTTATTTATAATTTATATTCTATAGTTCATATGAGGCTGAATGAGGATCAAAGTCAAAAGGAACACGAAAAAAAGGGAGTTGCTAACGCTAACGGTAGAAATACGTGTTCATTAAGGTTCGGTAAAAAACTCATGGCGGTGGAGTTCAATGCTTGAAGTTCAATTGGTTCATAGGGCGGAGCTGCCTGCCCTAAGAGTAAGAGCGGTGTATTAATGGGTATTTCCCCCTTTCCCTCTTTTCGTCTCCCTTTTCTCTAATTATTGAATCTTTCTAATTATTGTGTGTCTTAAATTTACTCTTCTCTTATATCATATAGTTCAATACTCCGTATTAATTAGTCTGATTATTACTACACTCCGTATTTCTGTATTTCATTCTCAACCGTTCAAACTAGTTCATAGTAGTACTAGTACTCCGTACCTGTAATTATATGGCCGCTATTACGAGAAGAGGAGTGAGGCCGATCACTGTTTGCCCCAACCAGACTTATTTTTTTCTTTTTTTTTTTTCTGTCTTTTTTTTTTTTTTTTTTTTTTTTTTTTTTGAATTACTTGAAATGGTGTTAGGATAGTCAATGCTTGGGAAGAACCCCATAGGTACCACTGGGAACCGCCACTTCAACCACTGCGCCCCAAAACCACTGGTCAGTACTTACTAGGTACTCCGTACTCCCTTCCAAGGTTCCTTTCTGGGTAACACCGATACCATCCTTTTTCCCACCCCTCTCAAGCTTGACCCTAATCCTTTTTTGCTCTTGACCTTTTTTTACTTTCTTTCTCTTTTCCACCCCTTTGATCAACTTCTTGTCCTCTCTCTCCTACACACAAACACATCGCTTTTTTTCAAAATCCCGTACTCGGCAAACTGGTCATCATTATCCCCGCCCCCTACGCCATCAAACATACAGTGGTTCCGATACAACCACTGATTCAGCCTTCAATCCACGACACTTTATTTGGACGCCCGGTGGCTCCCTTAAGCATAACACAGATCTTTGCGTCTGGGGTACATCGCTAGGGGTCGACTGTGGTCGTGAAAACCGACCTCTTCTGACGATAAAAATACGGTCTCATCCAAGTCGCCACGCTGGACTTCGTCAAATTCCACCCTTTCAACTTCTGCATTTATCATAACATATGGCGTCTGATACCGAAATGACCGAAGCCTTGCCCGTGGACACCCTGCCTCAACCCAGTGGTCGCATGCATATGTCCTCTCTCTCCTCTTCCTCCTCTATATCCGACGCCGACAGTGACCGCCGAGGTCGCCCCGAACGCCCGCGCATGGCGAGTCGTAAACCCAGTGCATCAATACTGGTTCCCCGAGATCACCCTGAAATAGAAATTGAAGAAGAGGAATTCCCTCCTGACGACGCTCGTGCAATGAGTCCACGCCGCAATTCTGCCGACCTCGAACGATTGGGCAAGGAAGCTCGGCAAACTCTTCAAGAGTGAGTTTTCTTATTTCTATCTCTGATCTAGTAGGGTAATATTACAAGTATTTGGATCTAACGGTAAATAGGCAAGCCAAGGCTCTCCAATCTTCTCTTCAAGCCCTCGCAGAGCGAATCGACGCCGTCAAGTCCGATCACGATAAGTTGGAAAAAGACAACAAAATTCTACAAGACTACATCGGCGGTCTCACTCGCAACATGACTAAGAGCGAAATGACGCGGAGTACGAAAGCGCGTAAAGCGCAGAAATAGCTTCACCGTTTCAAAGGAGCAAACAGCAAACAGCAAACAGACGGGGGACATACAGGATCAAAGAACGCCTTGATCCTTCGACTCTGTGGATACATCTTTTTTCTTTTTACACACAGCAGGAGTTTTTCTTGGGAAGCCACCGATGCTATCCATATCTTTACCTCTCTTCGCCCTCACTTCCTTTCACCGGAAGATTTCACGATTAAGCAACTGATTTTCGAGTTTCGAGTTTCGAGTTTCTATGAGGAAGCAGATTCCTCGTACAAACAACATTCGCGTTCAAACTAGCTGATCCATGTCGATATTTTCCATATTCTTTTGCCATTTCTTTGCTCTGAATCGGCCACCCGACTGGCTTCGAGTGGCCCATCTATTTTCACCCTCTCCACATCAATGTCTCGTATCCACCTTGCTCATCCGAACAACCGAATGCTTCCACCTGTTTACTCAAGGGGACCATGAATAATCCGTGACATCATCGCATACCTGAGTTTGTCAAGTGGTCCGCCACTTGATGTCTTGGCAACGACCTTATGTCATGTGTGACATGTATAAGCATCAGCGTTCCATGACATTGCGCTGTTCATATTATCCTTTTTTGCCTCATTCCCCTATCCCTCATCCCTATCCAATATTCTTTCTACACGTCTCTTCCACTCTCCCTTTTTTTTTTTTTTAACCCTTTCTTCTTTTCCCTCAGCGGCAATTTTTGAGGGCTTGTTTCACCTTGTACTTTTTTTCTTTTTTTTTATCATCGGTTGCATAGCACCTTGGGCGTTTTGGGGACCGGGACTAGACTCTATTTGATTGAATGAACTTCTTTACCGGAGCCCGCACAGGAACTTTGTTTTTCGTCCTCATCAGAAATTGCATGGTCATGGTCACGGTCAACAGCAGGACAGCGTGGAAAGTTGAAAAGCATCTCAAGCGGGATTCTTGTGTTTTTTTTTTTTTTTTTTTTTTTTTCCCTTCCAGAGAAGTCCATTTTTATTGCTTTTACCTTTTTACTTCTCTTCTCCCTTTTCTCCCTCCATCTGATTGTCAGAGACGATCAACTGTACATGTCTACCCCCTGCATTTCTCTTCCTCCTTCCTCCTTCTCCATGGACTGACCCGCTCAGAAAGACTTTTCTCTTCTCTTCTCTACCTCGCTTGTTCTTCTTCTTCTGCAGCTCTGTTTCTGATAACCATAACTTGCCTCTCTTGTCATACCCAGGAACGTGTGCATGGTCTTAAAACCCCCACCCTTTTTTCCATCTTTTCTTTGCGCTTATCATACCCTTCCGATCTGTTTAGCTTTGCATTCAGCTAAAAAGCGAGGTGGTTCATCATCCATCATCAATGGAAACTGTTCAAAGATTACTCCGAACATACACGTAGTAGTAAAGAACGGATAGTAGGCATATACCTAGACTTGTGCTGATGTCTTTTTAGCCTCTACTTTTATCTCCTGTATTATATTACACTATTACACTAGTCCACAATCTAATGAACCTCAGTATAAAATCTAAATTAACCTGCTAGCCAAGCGTGTGCCACTGCAGAATATCGAGATTGGATCTATGCAGCAACCCTTATTCGGATATTTTCGGGAACTGTTCTATTCTGCTTTCGGTTGCGTACATAGCCGTGGATCCGCCAGGACCTTTACTATTCTAGGTTGTTACTAGGCCTGATTTGACTAGGTAGGTTTTCAATTGCTGTTGAGTTAAGTGTGATCCATGGGATAAACTGGAAGGAAGAGATTGAGATCCATCGGGACGAAGCTGATGTCATGGGTTTAAGGGGTTTGGATCTGCACATGTGACCTTGAACTTGGGTGTGGTCATTTGCTGCCTAATGCCTAGATCCACGGGTGTTTCCGAGGGTGGGGGCTTATGATTGTAGTCCGTACTTGGCTAGGTTGCTATTGTTTCTGTCCTTTCCATAGGAAGATAACCATGCGCATGATTAAATTCCATTGACTGTCTTAAATCTAAGATTGAGATGGGATCTTAATGCGGAAGGTGCTCAGGTAGGTGGAATACCTACCTGAGGTACAGTGCAGGTGTGATCACTTAATGTCTCTCTGCTCCCTGAGGTCTAGTTCGCATATATCCATTCTCATAGATGTCGATTGTACCGTAGATGATCTTCTACACTATCACTTCAAAGGCCGAATACTCCAATATGGCAGTAGAAGGGAAGCCAGTTGATTAAACATACCGCAGTTGATCTGAACCTCTAGCGAGCATCAAACGCCACTTGGCAAGAATACGATAAGAGACCAAAGGAATATAAGTGTCAAAAAAAGCCAAATCGGGGGATGGTACGAAGGCCCGCATTGTAGTCCTCATAAGGAGCTGATTTAAAAAAAAAAGTCTGTCCGTGTGTATGGTGGGGAAATTGGAGAGTGCGCGCAGGGGGACTCTTTGGGGAAGGGGGTAGTTAAGAGGCAAGTAGACAAAAAAAGGAGAATGAAAGAAACGAAAAGATAAGACTGGGACGAGTTCTGAGCACCCTCTGAAAATAGGGAAGCACTCAACGGAAGGAATAGGGGCTCGAGCGAAGAGATAATTAATCTTCCGTAGACCTAACGCCAGGAATCAAAATCCATCATCCATGCATCTTGCCGCCTATTGAATCCGTGTAAACTCGATCCCTGCAGCGGAAACCCTATCGCGCAAAAACTCCTCGGTCCCATCCGCCTCAAGGACGTGAGTCCATCATCAAAATCTTTTAAACATTCTTTCTTTACTCTTCGTCAGCGGGCTTCTCGGCCTCGGCGGCAGGAGCCTCCTCCTTCTTCTCGGTGGTGGCACCCTCGACGGAAGGCTCGGCCTCGGACGAGGTCCAGAGGGTCTTTAGGAAAAAAGAAAAATAAGCAGTTAGATAGGTGAATCAATCGAGTGAGGATTGAAAACTTACCAAGTTATCACGGAGAAGCTGCATGATGAGAGTAGAGTCCTTGTAGCTCTCCTCGCTAAGAGTGTCGAGTTCTACAATTTTATGTTAGTTCATAGCTTATGTATATGCACAACGGTGGAGACGAACCAGCAATAGCATCATCGAAGGCCAGCTTGGCGAGGTGGCAAGCCTGATCAGGCGAGTTGAGGATTTCGTAGTAGAAGACAGAGAAGTTCAGGGCCAGACCGAGACGGATGGGGTGAGTGGGGGCGAGATCAGTGTTGGCGATCTCAGTGGCCTTCTTGTAGGCCTCCAGAGAGCTGTCGGCAGCCTCCTTACGGCGGTCGCCAATGGCGAACTCGGCGAGGTAACGGAAGTAGTCACCCTTCATCTTGTGGTAGAACACCTTAGACTCACCGCTCTGGGCAGACTGGATAAGGTGCTTGTCAAGAACCTCAAGAATGTCATCGCAGATCTTGGCCAACTCATTCTCGATCTTTTGACGGTACTCCTTGATCAGAGTAACCTGGGACTCGTTGCCCTTGGACTCCTCCTTTTGCTCGATCGAGGTGACGATTCTCCACGAGGCACGGCGGGCACCAATGACATTCTTGTAGGCAACGGACAGGAGATTGCGCTCCTCAACGGTGAGCTCAACGTCGGCCGATGCAACGACCTTCATGTTCTCAACCATCTCTGTGTCGCAATTGTCAATAATCGGAGCGAATGCAAGCGGTAAATCATTGGGGGTGTACCTTCATAGCGCTCAGCCTGCTCAGCAAGCTTGGCGAGGTAGACGGCATCTTCATGACCCATGGTGAAAATTGGTTCTATGAAAAAATCAAACGATTTATCGTTAGTTATCTCTTTCAACTAATTAATCCAGATAGACTATAAGATATTCAAGATGAGAGTGGTAGAATCACGCCATCGACATCATCGCCCAGCGACCGGGAGGGGTAGAGATAATAGGCCCCCGTGCTCCCCCTTAGGACTCAGCTTTGTCTTACTTGACATCACTAAGGGGCTAAGATCACAGTCCATTATTCGCCTCCCTTGTTACAGAGACCACGTGGATGATCGGTGTTGACAGCGCGATGTCGTGGGGCTCTGTCTCCGTGTGGGTGTGCGTGTTTTGAGGGGGTAAACCACAATGAAGCGGTCGCGGCAACCCAATGTGTAAACAAGCAGGAAAATTGATTGACATCCATAAGAGGAGGTGTATAATCCTGATGGTACATTGATGGATTTTTGTTATCGATTCGAATCTTGCACAAACCCCCCTCAAACACTGCCAACGAAACACCGGTATGTGTGGGTGGATAAGTGGGTTGTGGGTGTTGGTGATGAAGCGGTGTTCAGGGAAAGGGGGTAGGAAATGGCATCAGGTAAAAACATCAAGAATCTTACTTACCTGGTAAGAAAGGGAAAGGGGAGTAGGAATTTGGATGGAAGTGGATGATAAGGAGAAGGAGGAAGTTTGAGGTTGAGAATGGGAAGAGGGAAGAGGGGGGGAAACAAGAGGGCGGTGTCCGTTGGGAAGATTTACGGCGAATGAGGTACAGAGTGAAAATTACTCCCCCCGAACTCTTCTAATTTTCATATCAAACTACCCTACTTTGTTATTTTCTAATTTTCTATCGAATCTTGCTTCCCTCTAGTTGCGCTGAAGTTGTATTCTCTCAACACCCTCTTGTTGTCCATTATTCTATGTGATTCGGTGGGTCTCGATTGTATGTGCGCCTCACTTTGGGGAAATGTACGGAGTACTAGTACTATCTATTTACTTCTACTACCTAAAGGATACGCCACAACTAATCTAGATCTCCAATCACTCCCATTACACTCTTACAATAATAATAATAATAATAATAATAATAATAATAATAATAATAAAAGAAAATTATTGAGGCCTATTTAATACTTTGAATTCGAGTGAGAGACCTTCGATTTATCGCTGATGTAATTGGTCACATGATCATATATCTTGGCACGTGTCGTCATCTTACAAGACAGCTCATGTTCCAGATTCGTCTGTTCCTTGTTACTTCCTCACTCTCTTCTCACACTCTCTGCTCTCAGTAATCCAATATTATCATGATGTTCCGCCAAGCAATCACCCGGCCTGTCATGGCTGCCAATCGTGCCATCTCTCAGCGATCTTTCTCGGTTGCTCTTCCCCGTATGGCCGAGGGCGACACTGGTGCCCCTCGTAGCTCTGGGTATGTGCTAACCATAGCCCCCTGCACTATCCTTTGGGGCCACTCACCTCAAATTCATGCTTCAGCCACTGTTCCCTCTCTTGATGACATCATCTGATTTCCTTTATTAACGTACTATTGTAGTGATTCCTTCACCAAGCGTGAGGCTGCCCAGGAGGCTCTTTACATCCGTGAGAAGGAACTTGAGAAGTAAGACACCTCCCACTGCAACAATCTCGAACATCTGCTGACGATTGAGTGAATAGGCTTCGTACCCTGAAGGCTAAGATCGGCGATCAACGAAAGCACCTCGATGAGCTGGAGGCTCACATGTAAGTTGCACCATATCCCTATAAAGCCCAACTTTGGTAGTATAATGCTGACTTATTCCAGTGAGGCACTTACCAATGAGTCCAAGCGTTAAATATTGAAGCCTACCTCAAACATGTCCCGTATCCGTACACTCTGACCCTTTGTATGAATATATCCATCTCCAATCCACTCCAATATCAGCGGCATTTGTTCAAGATATGGCCATTCTGTCATATTGTCAATTGAATTCATCATCATACTTTTCAAATCAAAGGAAATAAACACCCCGATAATTTGCGGATAGCCCGGATCTATACTTGCATTGTAGAATAATAGCTGTTTGATGTTGGATTGTATGGAGCATGGGTGCCACTTTCCATAGATCCTAAGCCATTGTAGATATTTACTTATGTACCTAGACCTCAGGATACCTAACAAGTCCCAAAGTTACTCCCAAGGTCTCATCATCAATTTATGCCACTAAGTCCTTGCAGTACTTCCAATTGAGTTGTAGTTGAAGTAATAGTGCTCTCTAGGGATTTCAATTGAGGCGACCACCTCGAAATTAATCTACAACTATTCCTTGGTAACCATAGATATCGATCAAATCACATCCAATGTCAATCGTGGATTTAACTGATAGTTCCAACGTCAAGGTATTTATCCCCTATTCTAGAGAGAGAAAATAACAGCTATAAGACAAAAAAATTAGCATAGACGACCGCAATCACGCATCTAGTCATTGAAGGTGGATAAGGCGGGTGTATACTTGCTGGAAGCAAAAATTTAATGCTCACAAGCGGATTTGAACCGCTGACCTCGTGATTACTAGTCACGCGCTCTACCAACTGAGCTATGCGAGCTGGTAGATGATTAGTCAGTGCCGTATTCAAATTATATTTAGTTGGCCAAAGCTGCTTGCTGGATGGAACCCTGGATCCATGCACTATCAAGGCTTGGCAGTGGAACCCAATTCTCGCTTAACTATGTTTCGTTTAGGTGAATAAGACTCAAGAGCAATTAAACTACATAGTAAATAGATAGGAAAGGACCAATTACTACTAAAAATCTCAATTGTCCCAATTATTATATCTTCAAATGTGGTTGTGGCTGTATATGGTCAGATCTCTAAAAAAAAGGAGGTAGATGTGTGTGGACGAAAAAGTTTCAACGTAAATAGAGCAAAAATTAAATGCTCACAAGCGGATTTGAACCGCTGACCTCGTGATTACTAGTCACGCGCTCTACCAACTGAGCTATGCGAGCCGGTAGATATGTTGTCGTCGTCCAAAATCCTCCTACATGATTCTCTTATAGTTAAACGAGACAAAAAACACCAAGGCAATTCCATTAAATGGAGGTCGACTGTATTCCAACAACTTCATGAACATCTCCATGTTATTTCTCAATCAATTGATAGCTACTAACTAGTATCTACCTAGGTAGCTTCTGTTGGAATATGGAACAAAGCAGTCATGTGATCAAATCGTTACTTTATAATAGCTAGCAAACCAAGAATGAAAACTCAGACTTTACAACCATTTCAAAGGACACACAGATATCATAGGAGCATAAAGCGTTACCTGTCATAGGTGTCAGAAGTGGGCGTTAGCCTCTTGTCTACCATTTCGAATAGCTATTCAACACTTGGTACTGGTGTACCGACAGTTTCATCTATTAATATTCAGCCGTACAGACATATGGTCAACAGAAATTTTTAAGGTTTGACGGAAACGGCTGGACCTGGCAATAGTTAGATAGGTAGCTTAGTGGTATGATATCTTTACACAGGTTCCTGGGCATATTTTTAACTTTCATGGTGCCGAGAACCTAGGTTACTGAGAACCACATATATAATATAGGTAGACTACATATATGGGTAGGCGAGTAATCATGCATTGAAGAAGATGTACTCATGGACATCGCACCCTAAGACCGAATTCAAACTAAGAAGATCTTGTGCAGTGCGGATCTAGCATGAGAGTTGACAAGACGGTATTTATAACCATTGTTGCTTTCATATCCGAATGGGGGTGTGTCAGATGCTCAAAGGGTTGAAACCTTCAAATTACCAAGGACAACTCTCATCCATTTGAGCTATTTTATTTCAGGAGTCTAAGCCTCTTAAAGTGGTATATCTCACACTGCCCAGAGTGCCACTGAAGTGGACAGATGTCCACTGATTGGAACGCCTATATTCTTCGACTGTGATAACTTAAAGTGTTGGTCTAGGGTAGAGACACAAAGTGCGAAGAGCAGAAGACATTCAACCTTGAGACAATTACCTGGATTACTCGTACTTCCAAGGCTACAGACCTCAGCGTCACAGTCATTTCTCTTCCGACCTAATGGCAGCCTATATGTTTCATCACCAAATACTTTGATTGCGACATAGTCTTACCCCAGCTAACACATCACTGGAAGAGAAGGTTTGCCATTATCAAATGTACCAGGGCATATGAATACACTTCTACCTTTCATCCCAAGGTCACCTTAATGCCATATACTTCATCCCTGGTCTGGTTGGCGACTAGATATCAGCAAGGATAGTTGGACTGGTAATGGACCGGTGCTGAGAGATTATAGAAAGATAAGGGATGTTCAGGTAGCTAATTAGAGACCTTAGGAATGTTCGCTGGGCATTCATCAATCAATCACATATTTATTGACGGATCTACAGGTCAATGATTCCCACATTTTTCAGTTTGTCAGTAAATTTTTCCACCAACTGCCGAGGCCCGAGCTTGAAATGTATACCTAGGTATGGTAGGTCCTTAGAATTGGCTTTGACGACCCGGTCAAGTCTTAACCTGAGTTGGACTTAAAGCACCTGGGATCACGAGGCTAGTTACTGTTGGAATATCGGACAAACGACATCCCGGTTTAGACTACATCACGAATCCCTGTTCAGAGTGCATCGCAAACGACAACCTTGAACAGTATGCATTCATAACAGTGATGTCCCGTCTTTACTGACTCTTCTGTCTTAGACGATGGAACGCATTCGTCTAAGACAGAAGAGCAACTTATAGTGGCTTTCCTTCATCAGGCTTATAACCTTGACTATCCATCTCTACCTAGGTAGTATGGTTGTTTTAGAAAAACATCTATGAAAGGTACATCCATCTCAACTGCGAGAGCCACTACAGCACGTTGGTATATACATGCGATTGGCTAGAGTAAAGTTATCCTTCTCACCTAATGCCAATGAAAACGGCATTGAGCTAATATATTAAACTCGTTACTAATCAGCCTTGGAATTAATTAATTCAGGTAGAAACGGATAGAAAGTCCTGGGGATGTGTAAAAGATAGAAGTTATAAGAATTTGAAATAGTAAATAGTACGTAAAACCTAAGCCTAGGTTATGGGATCAAAAGTCTGAAGAAACTTCAACCAACCAGCTCGCATAGCTCAGTTGGTAGAGCGCGTGACTAGTAATCACGAGGTCAGCGGTTCAAATCCGCTTGTGAGCAAACACATCTCTTTTTGTTTTGTTTGCATAATATGTTTGTTAGGCAAGTGATTAATTAGAGTCTGACTACGGGATGTTATTTGGCTTAATTTTTTAAGGTTAGTGGCACCAGTTAGCTAGCTATCACTTACGTGCAATGAATTAATAAGTATATAACGACCACCCGTGATGGTTCCTTGGAATACTGTTGTTTGTGGGTTTTGTACGCGTCATTCTACTCTATTTTAATAATATAAATGCAAAATCACTACATGTAATACATCACGTGGGGCGATAGTTCAGTTGGGAGAACGTGCGACTGAAGTTCACTTGAGTCATTTAATCGTAAGGTCGCCGGTTCGATCCCGGCTCACCCCATTTCTTTTTTACGTATTTTTATTTTTATTATTATTATTTTTCTAAAGAAAACTTTATCCATCCTTTTGATTTTTGTTGACTATAAAATAGAGGTCGCGCGTGTGGTACATACATACATACTACTACTACCCCTTGAAGTATCATAGCTACATAATCTACTCAAAACGGCCCGAAACGAAGAGACACAAAATTTTGATTTTATGCATATACTCCATAGTATCTGCTTGAACCAAGGAGTTATCTGGGAGAACTATCTTGGTGAATGCCGTTACGGATACAGAGATTCCGGTTTAGAGAGGCTTAAACGCATACATGCATCTTCCTCCTCAGCGTTAGATAGGAATTCTTCTCCAAGTGATCGGACAAGCCGAAGCAGTTGATGAAAAATGAGGTTCGCATCAACCGGGGGTAGTGTAAGCCCAGTGACACAGTGCACCCAGCATGCGCAAGCACAGAGGCTGGTTGCTGTTATCAAAAATAAGGATAATCAATGTGTTTTCCATTGGAAAACTTTCAGAGATTAAACTGAAAAGAACAGATACTACACTTGATCTAAGCCAATTGGCAAAGAGAGCTGAAGAAGAAAGAAAAGAAGTTCCAAGCGCAAGAAGAAAAAGATTTAAATAGGGTTCCCGCTCTAAGCGAGCTTAGTAACGAAGTCACATGGTTAGCTGACAACTTGGTTTTCCTCGACCAATCAAGTCACACCACTCAAAGGCTGACTTTCCCAGCCTGATTAGGCTTAGCTGACGCTGACGAGCCGTATAATAGTTGGTATACGGCGTATCTACATATCTTTTTTGTTCCAATCAACGGACACACGTGTCATTGTGTGGTGTCATACATTAGGAATACTGCTACTGTTAATTTTTTTGAGGCAGTTTGGCCAAAATCTGTGTCCTCACACTTTACTAATCGGTAACAGCCGGGCACAAGTGAAGTCGTGCTTACTCCGTACTATGAAATAAGCCTTGACCCTTCGAAAGTTCATTGAAGCATGATTCGTCACTTATACCTAACCATAATCCCCTGGGTACGAACCACAGTACTAGTTCCACCCTAATGCCGAGGCTTAGACATCAGATATATGATTTGAAAGTTCCATGGGTTGATTTAGTATGCAGTCTGCCTCACACGGGGCACTTGAGCATGCGCCACTTTTGAAAACACGCTGGGTCAAAGAACCTCGGAGCTGCCTACTTAGGTAACAACGGCTAGAGAATAACATGTATACTTATGATGGCTTGAGGATACCCCATAAATACCTATCATCAGGTCCTGATCCTGGCTTGGGACTGATTATTCAATTTTATCTATCTACCTATCTTTCTCTGCAACAAATACCTAATTATTATTTATTATGCCTAAGAAAAAGGTACATGGGTATACGAAGTCTACAGAGTTACCACCACCTCCTTACAGCGAAGAGAATCCGTTGACACCCACCAATCTGCCCAAGTTGAATCTTAATCGAAACGCAGACCAAAACTCAGATTCCAGCGACCTCGTCACTCCAGATCAATGTGTGGCGCATCTGAAACTGCTCGCTGTTCTGGCGGATTTACGAGACACCATATCAGGCCACAATGGTCTCTTTGGTATATATAACAGTATAGCCGAACGCTTTGAGCCACAAGATCAGCGTGATCGAGCTCTTGCTCGTATTCGGGAGAAGAGATGGACTGTGTATACGGCACGCGCAGTCGACCGCTATGAAAAGTGGTGGTCTTCTGCTTTACCCTCTTCAAGATGCAGACTGACAATAACCGATATGATGACTCCCAACTTCGAGGATATTGTTGATCCAAAATCAACATTGACATGGAAGAACCCTCCTCCAATTGGTACGTCTAAAGAATATTCCGGTTGATATCTACGTATCTTACAACTCTGTTCTAGATGTTTTGATGGTACTTCATTCACACATGCTCAACCCGAGAGACTTTCTTCAAGATTGCCTCATTCATGGGAAGATGTCACTCTGGAAAGCGGGCTTTCCATTTGAGCTAGTCAATAACTGCATTAACGACGATACTTTGGAATATACAGTCAGTCAGGGCTCCCAAACTCACTTTAGCGACAAAGTGGGTCTCAATTGGGATAATATACTTGACCCATTGGTCAAGTATATTGAATGTCCAGGCTGCCATAAGACTCTTCATGTTCTCTGGACCTGGAATAAGAGGAAGGAAGGGGCTACCCCAGACGAACTTTTCAAACTGAGTACCGGCTATGCTGATACCTGTTTCAAAGAGATTTGCCTACACTGCAAAATTGAAGTCGATCATGGTCGACTTCGGGTGCGTAAGTTTTGGAAAGATATCAACGACAATATTGCACGCGATTACCCGATGCCTGGATCAATCTTGAATATCAAGGGCATGCCTGAAAACCTCGCTCCAGATGACTACTACAAGACTTGGCCTAAAAATGTTATGAACCGACTGATATATAATATCGGGAAAAAACTAGCCGTGTATACCGACCCAACAGAACCTCGTGACATGAGTGATATTCGCTCCGATATCCAGGCCAAACTTACGGCTTATAGTGATAGGTACCAGATCTTCGGGCCTAAAAGTCTGAAAAATCCGTTGAAGGGTGATAATAAGGTATACTTCCAGCGAACTATGACGCACTACTGGGAGAATTTCAGTCTATTTGGGCTTGATCTAGTTGGTGCAGTGATTCGGCAGGGTACTTTTGTCCAGAAAATGGATAACATCGACTGGCTCCACGCACCTACAGTCATGGAAACAGCTCAGCGTTTAATTTCAAAGTACACAGTTTTTATGAACATCATGATCTCCAATCGAGGAGAAATGGCAGTACCAACACTGGATATTGATTTGGCCTGGCACACACATCAGTTGATGCCGCAGCGGTACTACCGACACACCACATCGAAGTCTGGATATTTCATCAACCATGACGACAAAATCGAAGAAACTCAGCTTTCAAAAGCCTTTGAGTGGACAAGCAAGATGTACCGCCGCGCCACAAATGGAGAAGTCTACAGCGCATGTACCTGCTGGTACTGCGAGGCCGTCCGCGTCCCAGACATATATGACGGAATTCTCAGGAGTATCGGCTCAACTTCACGCGCTGCCAAAAAAGCTGACGCCCTACATGAAACTGTGTCGTCGGATCCAGAAAAGAACCCGCATATCTCTGCGCACAATGCTGTGCGGCCGGTAGAGGAAGCCGTAAGGCAGGTCCAAAGTACCTACCTTTATCAGCTCTACCTCAAGCAAAATTACGCAAAAGCGTTCCGCCGTTCTCAGAAGAGACAGCGCTTACCCTTACCCTCGAAGACAGACGCAGAAGGTGGTAGTAGTAGTACTAGTCGGGCTGGACCCGATTATGCTACACCTCTTGTCTGGGGCTTGCCAATAAATTTTCCATACTATGCACCCTATATGTGCGATCCAGGCATTAGTCCTGGTACGTATGTGGAGAATACAACGGCTGTGCAAAATGCCACCTGTATGAATCTCAGCCTTGGATTTTGCACTGGTACAACCTGTGGAACCAGTAAGTTGTCTTTTTCCAAGACCCTTTCCTCTATTCTACTTGGCTAATCTGTCTCTAGCTGGAGGAGAAGGAGGTGGAGATGGAGGAGGAGGAGGAGGCGGAGGAGATGGAGGTGGAGGTGGAGGAGATGGAGGAGGTGGAGGAGGTTGCGGAGGTGGCTGTAAGTTTATTTTTTTTCTTTCATTTTCAAGGTGAGGCAAGCGTTAACCTCTATTCCGTAGGTGGTGGATAATTATGATAGAGAGTACGTGTCATTTATTGATGTACTTCTTTTTAGGAACTGATCGGAATATAATGCATTAATTTTGACTTTCACAGCTCCACATCCCCTTATCCCCTCATCTCCAATGTTGTTCTTGCCGTTTTACTTTAATTGCTGAATTCAACTATTAGTACTCGCAAAGATAAAACTGTTCATCTATCAATAATATCTACTCAGAAATCAGATACATAGTTCATGAGCTCGTTCATGAAGTTAGAAAGCCCATGGTTTCAAGGTTCTAGCTCAGCCATTTTTTAGCAGATCTCGGTACCGACTTACTACGATAGTTTCCTAGAAAGATGGATTCTTTCGTGAGCCAATCAAGCAGGAATTCTAGGAGCTCGATCCATTTTTACGAACCCCTTAGTGGGTTCACCTAATATGGCTGTTGATATCGAGAAATCATCTTTGAATTCTTTCTGGTACCAGGCGCGGAGAGAACTTCACCCTCCGGGGCATAGAGAGACCTGCTAAGGTCCGATCAGAGTGAGCACCACTAGTCCGACCCCAGAAAGCCTCCGGAGCAACCGTGTTCAAGGCTTCTGGACCTTGTCAGTCTGGATACTGCTAGGCCGTGTACTACTGGACACTAATGTGGAAAAAGTAAGAAGATGAAGCTGGGTATGATGCGTGCTCTAACTATACTTCCGAGTAATAGGCGATCGTAAAGGGGGAAATCTGTTAATAAAGAAACAAAAAGAAAGAAAGCTGAGCACCAGGAACCGAAATCATCTGGCCACTTGAGAATTCCTTAGTTGACTACATTATAAAGGATTGTGGCCAGTCTTTTGAAGGTGTCGCCCGATCCTGCGACGTAATTCGAACAGGTTTAATGGTAGATGGTTCAGCGGGTTTCGGTTAGCCATAGCATAGACGCCGAAAACATCACCACGATAAAGGAACGGTGCCGCCTGCTGGAACTGAACATTTCCAGGCTGGGGAACTGGAAAAATATCCCAGTCCCCAATTCACACGGCAAGGCCGTTCGTATTCCTATCCCAAATCTCAAAGGTTGCTTCAACTCCTCGTCGTGTATCACGAAGATTTATAATTATGACTTTTCGTGTATGGCACCGCCCTTTAGGAGTAGATGTGCATTAGCTACAAGGCTCGGATATGACTGACTTCATCCAGCCTCCATTGAGATTGTGAGAAGCTGATAGGAGACTGAAATGGTTGAATCGAGAGATCGGTGATTTTTGCGTCGCTTATATATGGTGGCTGAAGCATCACAACCTTGGGGGTTCCTCCAAAATAGAGCTCACTTTCTTCGGCTGGAGTAATATGGCCCAAGTTGCTCCATCCCCATATTTAGCTAGATAGCCAATAAATTGGCGCTTCATGCTGTGGGGTAGGCATCTTGATATGCATTGTTTTTTTGAACAAAAAATGTCAATTTGAAGCCGAGGTTTCTAGTCTCGAGAAGGTTCCAGAGGTCTCGTCCGAGATTTTCGGACACATTCGTTAACACCAACAACGGCGAAGCATCGCATAGGATATTACTCTGGACAAGGGTGAACGCCTTTTGCGCGGAGCGAATATTTTCAAGCGAAATGGTTAGATCTAGCTCTTGGGACCGGGGTTGATCTAAAGCGAACCCACGATGAGAAGTTAGAGTCCAAGGAGGGAAATATTAGATCTTTCCTAAAATGGATGTAAAGGAAATAGAAGTTGCAGCTAGCCCCATTTTCTCGACACTTACTTTCTCGACGACACTATTTGAAAACCATCGATTGAAACATCAGTCATTAGAAACCACCTCTTTCTTCAATTATTGTTGAGTAGTCGCAGGTTATTCATAAAGAAAAGATGAGCTTCCTTGTTTCTTAAATGGGGTGAAAGGAGCCAAGGATCCAAGATAAAATAGAAATACTTTAACCCCAGGTTTTTGGAATGGCGTGGTAGAATTTGACTATTTCGCCTAATAACAACGATAGTAATATGGCCAGTATCCAGATCGTCTGCGATAACAAGGAAATAGTTCCATATGATTCGCATAAAAATGACCGTGCCTCGGTAAGTCATGGCCATGGATTGAAGTTTACCAATTTCAAGTGAGGCACTTGGTAGCACGTCAGTGATTTACATATTAGAGTGACTAGGAATAGTCACAGGATTAGAATTAAGCCCGTCGTATTTACCACTCTCCTGAAAATATGACAAATCTTCCCGCTGAAGTTGAGCTGGGTACTGCGGTTTCTTCTCGAAATCAGACATCTTTTAAGTGTAGTAAGCTTAAACTTGGTACGAGAAGTATGCCAGAGCGACAGGAGGGCCTACTCGGGGCTTATTTATCTTTGAGTCCATGCAGTCAAAATCTTAGGATAGGGGACCGGGTGCTAAGCTCACATAAATGATTTACCCTCACCCTAAGGAGATTTCTATGGCTGCTTTGGGGTGAGCTGGGTTCTAAGGATGTGTGAAGAATTGGCCGCGTTTTATATTCGGCTCAAGTACGGCTGAGCGGACGGAAGCCATAATTTCCACACCACATCATCGTATGTGGTAGGGTAAGACAGGTAGAACTATAAGGCAAGATGAGACGGGAGATACAGGGAGGGATGGGCAAGCGCCGCATCAGCGTTGCACGACCAGGGATGAGAAGGGTGAGTGCATAATACACAGGGTGAGATCGAGGTGAAGCCAAGCTAATTTTTTATTAATACTCTAATTCTTAGTGTTTAAAACCCATTGAATACTATTATACCTCTTAAAACAATAATCCCTTAGCATCTGCTACCTCGAGCTAACTAAAGCTAGCGACTGCACACTCATGCCTTCCTTCATTGACATTGCTACAGATATAGAAAACATACTTTCAATTAGTACTCATCGAGTCTCACTGGTCAACCATATGATGGCACTGAGTAGTCCAGTCTGAGCTTGACTATATAGAGCTACCTAGGTACGAAGTCGAACGCGATTTGAACTTTCAATAAAAGGCGTAGTGCCTGTACGTACTAGGTGTTCCATAATTTTTTCTTACACAATTTTAGTCTTTTCTTGACACGATATCCCACCTACCTCCACTCATGCCGCCACACTCTAGCTTTACTAAGTTCCAACCCTTGCCGTCAGCAAGCTCGTTCTGGCTATCGTCTTAGCTTAGTTTATCCAAGCCAGTTACCGATACATCTTCATAGACTACACCATCATAATGGTGATTTCATTTAGTGTCTTCTATGTCTCCCTAAGCCGGGTATGTCTAAAGTGATCTATAGAGTAAGTATTTTAGGGTAGACCCACCACTGTCCAGATATGCTCACCCCGTTCTCACCTAGCTTAATTATGGCTGAGCGGACGGAAAACCCTATCTTCCATACATATGGTTGTATGTGAGAAATTAGCTGCAAGGGAATTCATTTGCTTGAGCGGAAGCGACGAGCTGCTAAGGAAGGCTGGCTTAATACGAAGGTGGAGATGGACAGTTTCAAGGTTGATACTTAAGTAGATGGGTTAAGCCTATCATGTCTACTGTTTATGGCTGTTTATATCCGGACTAGATCTGTCAAACCCCAGCTAGGTACCTAGTAGAACGAAAGGAAACAACCTTGGAATGCTTACGTCCAGATACCTGGCAAGGTATATCCATAGCTAGGGTTATTACCTAGGCATTAAGACGTAGTTTTCAAGCCTGGTACAATAAGTAAGTTATCCCTATTAAATAACAAATTTTCATTATAATCACCGAAATGCATCATGACTACATAATTATACATTTATGTCGTCGCCGACTCCTTTCACGGACCGTACGGTTATTCCAATCCTCAATGCGCCTCCGCCACTCCTCGTCTTCTGGAGGCGGTAAGCTGGTAGGCTCTGTCAACACACGGCGGTGGAATATCTGTCTTAGTGCTGTTTGTTCTTCGTCTCCCACCGACGGGTCCAGCGGGTTATTGTTGAGCTGGTTAGTTTGTAGAAGATTTGGAGAGGAAATGGAGTAAGGGTAGTAGTTTGGACCCAGCATGGTTGCCCCTAAAGATGGCATGGGCTGTTGACCTGGGTTTCCTTGGTTGTTGGGATGCGCCATTTCTGTACGAGGAGTATAACTTTCCCGGCCGCTGGGAATGATGCTTAGTCCTCGCAGTCGGTCACGCAAATCTGTCCGCGTTATCTGGTTCTGCTGAACTGATACATCATGTGCTTGAAAAACTGGGAGTGCATTAGGAAGAAGACTGTGTTGTAGACGTTGAGGCAATGGTTCGTCAGGTTCTGGTTTGTAGGGAGGCGGTGGTGGCACCCAATTGTCGGCATCGCTTTCGTGGGGAATCTGGCGGCGGCGTGGTGGAGTGTTGCGATATCGTGGATCATACCGCCCTCTTGTCGACGCTGCAGCCGTTGCGGCACGTGTGAGAGTGTCTTGAGAACGAGGTTGTGTATTATCATATGGCATTTCAGGTATAGCCCCAGGTCTGATCCCACCCTGTAGCGCTGGGGCATGAAGGAGTTGAGAATCTCCAATAGGAGAAGTCCTTGATACTCGATCACCACGAACCATCTGAGTTCGCCGTCTTTCCAGCTCCACCTCAGCGTCTAAAGAAGATTTTGGCTCTGGAAGCATCTTTGGCGCTGTCTCCCCGACTTCAATATCGAGTTCCGTTTCCTCGCCGTTAGTCGTTGATCTCTCAAAGTCCAAGAGCAGTATTCTTCCTCCGTCCACAGGGATATCTTCTTGTCCAAAAGCCTGTGGGTGTACCCCACCAGGTGCCACAGCAACAAGGCGATGCTTGGGCTTAATTGATGACGCCGAATGTACCCAGCGAGCGGAAGTGATTCCGTGGATGTTGGTCAAACATCGTCCACGAATCAGTGCTTTGCGTGTTGGAACGATCTTCTGGAGCTGTGCTAAATTATCACGATGGCTATTACAATGGTGGCAACCGCCAAATCTAGTGACATCACTATCTTGACTGGAGTTTGCTGGAGCTATATCAAGACGCTTCGGAACTCCATATATCCATACTTCGGAGTCCTTAAATCCTAAAGCAGCAAGTTCTCCAGCGTCATCCACAGCAGGATGCATGAGAGGTGGCATTTCTCTTAATTCGTCCTCCTGAAATGGACTGGCAAAGTATATACCGCCTGTGTTGGGGTTTGTAACTTTGATTGCTCTAAAGGCAGCAAGCTGGCAATCATAGCCTAGAATCCAGCTGTCATCTAATTCTTCATGCTCTGGAATCAGACAGGCATGTGAAAGCCCACCAATCTGCTCGGGGAAGAGTATCTGTGTTGTCCACATGCGCATTTGAAGCTCTTCTGGTGAGGCATCGGTTCCAGTCTCTGTGTAGAACGGGGCTGTGATAGTCACAATGCCATCGTGGTCAAAGTCCCCAGATGACCCAAGCAGCATCGAACCATCTGTAGTAAATGAAAGCGCCTCTACCCGAAGACACCTTGCGGCACGACGTTCTGTGGCTAGAACCCCTTCCCCGACGGCGTACACTTCAATGCTATCCTCAAAGGACAAAGCCAACACGCTGCCAGTGGGTGAAAATGTCAAATCCCTAGGAGCATCATTCAGGACAATAGTCTGTATATGCTTGGCCTCTTCACTGGAAAGTGTATAAATATTAACCCGATGTGTGGACGAAAGGACTGCAAGTAGTGTACCATCATCCTTAATAGCAGCACCTTGAGGTCGCCGGCGAATTATTAGCTCATGTTTAACGGTCACTGGATCTGTGGCCACATCCAGAACTACAATTCGAGATGAACTGATACATAGTACCATATGGCCATTTGCCGAAAATGAAAAGCGAAATACTTCACCCTGGGGAAAGGCCGTCGAGGAACTCATGGAACTCGAGATCATTCGCACTAAAGTCCGGCGTGGCCGTAGAAAAACATCGAATGCATTTCGTCTTACTTCTTCCAAGAATTGGCGTTTAATATCTGATAGGCCTTCTTCGCTGGGGGTGGGGATCACCCCGCGGGACCAAATGAATGAAGGACATTGTGATAGGTGATGTGCGTACAGAGAAGGAGATTCTGATGCCCGCCTCCATTGCCGATTTAGCAACGCCAAGGATGCAAAGGTGTTCGCATCCACGGCATAAAGAATGCTACGTGGGTCAGAATCACGATCTGAAGCCATGGAACATCATTGAAACAAAGTTACGTACTGTTCAATAATAATAGGGGGCAGCCGTTCAAAGGCATGTATCACTGGGAGCACATCCTCCATGATATCCAGCAATTCCCGACATACGTATAATTGTGTAAGAGCCAACACTTCGAGATGGAGATGCCCTTGAAAGGAAGTAGTCGCTCTTTCGCAGTCACGTCGATCCCTTGGATACCAGTTAGAATTCCAAATGGAGTCTAGCCCCAGTAGCGAGTGCTGACTCAGCGCCCCGCATTCAGTCTAGCTGCTTTTTTTCTGGTTCCCGAAAGAAGGTCTTTTTGCCTCGAGATAGAAATAATTTGATTGCTGACTTTCCAGGCTGAAACAGTAAACAAAATGTGCTACAATGGATTATAACGACCCTTGACCCGCCGCTGCGCTCCATCGTTGGGAATTCTCTACGCTTATCGCATCCGGCCGGGTTATACCCCCTCATTCTACCCAACTTCAAATTGATTGACGTTGAAGCGCCGATATCATCTACTTCTAGTCGCTTCTATACCTAAACTACTTTGTGAATCATGGCACCTGTAACCGCTCAGACCAATCCCTCCTCGAAACTGCCCTCATCCGCGTTCGCTGGCGCGCGACCCTACCGCTCACACAAGGTTCGTGCATGCGATCTATGTCGCAAGCGCAAGTCTAGATGTATCGTCGAAACCCTCGGTCAATCATGTCTCATGTGTCGCATGCAAGGTGCCGACTGTCACTATCAAGATGAAGCGAATGCAGATGTGTCGGTGTTGAGCACTTTAGAGTCCAATTCTGTGGTGAATATGTCTGGGCAGAAGCGCAAGCGCAATAACAGTCCCGATAAGCTTTCTAATTCGGAATCACATATACCTGCTCATATCACATCCCATCAGTTGACCAGTGGACCTAGTCCTCAGGGCACGAATTCTTCTTCTGGTCGGCGGGGAAGTGACTCACGACGGAAAGGATACGACGACGACCGCCATAACGAATCAGTTCTCATAGTTGGGCCAATGGTTGCAGAGGATGCGCAGGTTATTGAGAAACACATGCCTCCTGAACGTTCTAGCCTTTCCGAAGAACCGCAGAGTCACCCATATAATATTTACTCGAGTGACCCGCGCAAACCTGTACTCTACACGACGATTCCGCGACGGAGGAAGGGTATGCGTGTTGGAGTTCCACCAGGCGAAAATCAGAAAGAAATTCTTGAGCAAATACTGGGTCCATTCAAGCATGATCTCGTGAAATTGTGCGATCTTGTTCTACTTCTTGCTTTTCTTCCAATTGGACACTAATCTTTTTAATAGATTTATTGACAGATTTAATATTGCATTCCCCATATTTGACGGACAAGCTTTCTGGGAGGGCTATATAACAGACTCATCGGATGATCCTCCAGCCGCTCTGGTGTGCCAAGTTTATTCGATGTCACTTGTGTATTGGAAGCATACTCCAAAACTTGCATGCCATCCAAAACCAGACGTTCGATACGCCGTAAACATGACTGTTGCTGCATTACATGAAGAATTCTCGGAACCTGGTCTTTCAACTATCAGCGCAGCGCTGATTGATCTCACTGGACGGCCCATCTTCTCTATGACCGGAAATGCTATCAGCTGTGGCCGTATGATATCATTGGCAAATTGCCTTGGTTTGAATCGTGACCCAAGCAATTGGAAGCTGTCACAGCCAGAAATGGACCAGCGGATTCGCCTTTGGTGGGGAGTAGTTATTCATGATCGTTGGGGAAGTTTCGGTCATGGCGTACCTCCTCAGATCTCCAAAAGCCAATATGATGTGCCTCTGCCTACAGTTGATAGCTTGGTTGCTCCCAACATGCGAAATACAGAGCGTGTTGAGGCAGCTCAATGTCATATCGCTTTATGTAAGTTGACTGAAATCTTGGGTGAGCTTTTGCCTCTTGTATACGGTCTACAAGCAAAGCTAGCTCGCGAAATCTCTAAGAAAGTGAGACAGATCCGAACAGACTTAGATCTGTGGGAAGATTCTCTCCCTAGTTGGTTGAGATCACCAGTACCCAATTGTGGAGAACAAATCACAGCAACAAGCAGCTTACAGCTTGCCTTTTTGGCAGTTAAGATGCTTGTCAGTCGAGTTGAATTGAATGTAAGAGCCCTCCATATGGAGGACATTGTTGTTATATACTCATGCTCATATTATCAATTACAGGAGGTCAATAACGCAGATACAGATAATCCGGCAGCACGCCGTTACTTCCAGACAGAGTGCCGTCGATCAGCAGAGGATATTGTGCGGTTCATTACCTCTCTCAGAAAGGAGAACTTCAAAGAATTTTGGCTGCCATGTATGAAGCATATGATTTTTGCGGGTCCCTATCTTTACCAGGCTGACACACTATTTAGATAGCGCATTTCACCTGACTTCGACCGCAACTCTGCTTGTCCGTTGTGCTCTCGAGTCCAACGAGAATGAGATTGCCCAGTCTTGTCTTGCAAATGTGGAAACTCTCCGCAGTGTCTTGCGGCGAGTGCGCGAGGAAGAAGACTGGGATGTGGCAGATATGTGCCTGGACCATTGTGAACGAATCATGCACCGACTTTCTGGCACAAATACCAAGACAGACCAGGCCTTGAATTCTTCATCCATGGAGCATGGGCTGATTAACCCAGCACTGATCTCACTACCTGAAACGCAAACCAATAATGACATTGTAGATGACATGATGTCTATCTCGAATACCTTCGGGACCATGGATGGGTTCCCCTTTGACATGACTGGAATTTGGGATGTCTCTGCTTGGGAATAGGCACGATTTGGCGACCTGCTATGAGCACTATAGATGGTTTCAGCTTCTCATCTTGGGTTGTGCTTTGGCTTCAAGTCGCATTTAAATAAACTGTTAGCATGTGGTGTGTCCCAAATGAGACTCAAGAGATGAATCGCCAATTGAACTTCAATTATGCAAACTCAAAGCTGCAATATGGACTAGTATCTTGAATTCTATGCAGTATACAAAGCCTCGTCACGAACAACTTGATATCCACTCTTGATTATTTTGGACCTCGTCCCCATTTATTGGTTTCATTAACCACTGGAACGAGCCAATATCAGCAATATTCGGTGAGATACCTGAACCCTCGTCATTTGCAGATATTCCCATATAAGAAAATCAGCCCCGCCTCATTATCTCTATTTGGCTTGATACTACACTTTCATTAATATTGTGTTTCTGTTCTGGCGGCCCCAGGGGATTCAGAGATTTCTATCTTCGTAACTCACTTGAGATAATCAGATATGGAGGAATACAATCTTCCCCCGATGAGATAGCTTCCGTACTTTGGCGTGATCAGTATACTACGTCTGCGACCCTCTACAACGACCACTTCGAAACCGCAGATATATCAACGAGTCCCGATGATCATACGACATTTGAAAATATGACATCAAGGCATCTGGACTGGAATAATCGTATTCCAAGCAAATTTTTCTCCCTATTCTCTGAAAATACCCATGCCGAGAATTGGATGTTGAAAATCCATGATACCAACTGCGTTATATTCGAGATTAATGGCAGGAAACTCCGGAACTCACATGTATATCATACTGGGAGAAACTTTCAAGCAGGGATTTATAGATATTCCTAGAAGCACAAAAGCGTGAAAATGGAATAAGTTATCATGCACCGATTACCAAAAATTGCGATTGATACTGTTCGAACGAAGGGTCAGGTCCAAGAGGGTACGTATTTGATTGTCATTACTACTATGAAACTGAGCTAACCTTGGAATATAAAGCCCGTTCCAAAGACAAGATTATATATGTATGCGCGGATGATACTGCATCCGATGATTCGATGAAACGTCTAGAAGAACTAGGGCTTGATCAAAAGGCTACTTGGAAGACTGGCACTTCCACTTTGATGCCAGGACCTCGGGAATCATCGCAATTTGGCACCTAAAGAGCCGGTGATTTTATATCTCGATCTCTTCAGATTATAAAGCAAACAAATTTTGTACAAAAGGTGGAAGAGAAGAGAATCGGGACACCAAACGCTATTTTACACAGTCGTTCCGGAAATAGAATGCTCAGAACGAACCCAAAAACCATCTAATGACCTGCCTCCTTGCCCATAGATGAAAGGAAATAAAACCAAAACCCCCGAGTATGAGAGAGAATGAAGAACAAGAAACACAGTGCACTGTTCAGTAGGCACAAGGTATCACACTGAATGAATGCAGAAATTTACTTCTGTTCACCACCGCCAAGACCGAACATGCCTGTGACGTTGCCCTTCATGCTTTGCATCTGCTCCTGGCGGGCTTTTTCTTCCTCCGCGGCCATCTCAGCAAGCCACTTTTCGCCATTTTCACGGATTTCTTTCTCAATCAGCTCGTAGTTCTTCTGGCCACGCTCACGGATTTGATCCCAGAGCATCTTGCCCTGAGCCAGACCTTCCGATGGCGACACCTCTCCATCCAAGGTGCGGGATGACTTCAATCCCAGAGCAGAGGCAAAGCTGCCGATTCCAATGGAGGGCTTTCTCTTCTTCTCCTCGATGAGCTCCTTCTCGAAACGCTCACGCATAGCCTTCTCACGCTGGGCGAACTCCACAGGAATCGACGATCCCTCAAAGGACTTCAGAACGGGACGGACATCCTCAACTCCCATACCAGCCATGTATTCCAGGAAAGGAATGAGGGCAACTAGTGTCTTGTCCTTGGGGTTTCCGGTCCATTTGTCCAATATGATGGCGTTCTCAGGCTGCAAGCGGGCGTGCTCCTCTTTGGTGTCAATGAGGATTACTTTGGACAAGTCACGGTTCAGGTAGGCCAGATCCTGGGACAGCTTGTTAGACAAATCGAAATAGATTAAGGAGTTAAGATGTCGGATGAACTATAGCGCAAAAGTCAGATGAGTCATACCTTGATGTACTCTCCGTCTTTATAGCGAGTAGCTTCACGGAACAGAGGCCAGCGGATGATACGGAACGGGTCAAGTTTGCGAATAACTTGATCGGCCATCATACTAGGCACGGTGGTAAACAGAACAAGCTCGTAGTACTGATTGAGGTAACGGAGGAAGTAGTCGACACCCGGACGCTTCGCCAGGCGCCATCCATGCTCACGACTCCACTCGCTGTGAACAAGAAGGTCTTCCAGACTGAGCACGAGGGTGTATGGTTGGCGCTGAGTAGGGTCCTCATCAGGAAGCAGCTTGGGGAAGGTCGGTTCGGTGTAGTAACCGGTGATGTCACCGTAGCGAGCCTTGATACGGTTATACCAGAGACCCAGACCCCATCCAGATGGCTGTTCCGGATGAGCAAGCTCCTCCTCTTCGGTTTCCCAGTTACGGCCTAGGTAGCCAATACCTGCAATACCGGAGGCCAGCATCAAAACGTACATGATGTTGGCCATGCGCGCCTTGCGACGGTCCAAAGAGGTCTCATCTCCACCCTTGGGAATATCACCACCACTACGACCTTCCTTCTTGTTGTGCTCATTATATTCATCGACATGGGCGGGATCCTCAGTGAGGTTTACCGGTGATGCTTTGGCTTGCTTGCGGCCTTCAAGCTCAGCAAACAGCGTCGAAGGGATACCCTGGGTCAAATCAGGAAGGGGTTGCTGGGGAATCTGCTCTGAGGTCTGCTCCTGCTCCACTTGGGACTAAATGTCATAATTGTTAGAAGCTTGCTAGCTATATGTGCATGGATTTCGCAGTTGAGAATGCATGTATATCTTACAGTATTGGATTTAGCCGCGTCGATATCCTGTTTGGCATTAGTATTCAATGGAGGCTGTTGCTTCTGTTTCTTTTGAGCCTGATTGGCAGCTTTGGACTTGTTCTTCTGCTTTGTCGTCTCCGGCTGCATTGACTTGGGTAGCTCATACGGTGCACTCTTGCCTTTGGCATAGAACCGGAGCTGAGGAACGGACAAAGCAGACACACGGACGGCAGATGCGAGAACGTTGGGCCTCGTTAGAGGCAATACGGCGCGACTCAGCATGACGAGTTTGTTTGATGGAAAACAAACAACATAGTAGGGTACCTTCGGTTGATGTTCAGAAAAGTCGGGGCGGTAAATTATCTTACCTAAGCATTTTTCATTTATGTTTCGCCGAGGGCGCTGCGCTTTCCCTTCTTCTTTTTTCTCTAGTTATGAAAGTTCCACCCAGACATTAGTTTGACCTGTCACGCTTTCAATTACATGCCGGGTTGTATTGTCTGGGGAGACAAAGGGAAGATCTTCTTCCTATCCCACATCCAAGAGCGCATCTAAACAAATCTAGTGAAGTTGCTGCTCCAATCGTGGGTTACACTCCTTTTGTGTTATCCTTCGCTAGTTGATTCATCCCCGCAACTGTTGATCTTCAATAATCGCCTTCAATGAATAGAGACTGAAGATCAAGATGAAATCTCGTGCCAAACAACTATAGACTCGTGTCGCGTACTCATAGATTTCTCCAATCTCCCATCCCACCATGACCACTAGGAAAGAAAGAAAAGCCGCAAAAAAGGCTGCCGAAGTCGCATTCTACGAAGAATCATTTTCAGATGAATCAGACTCGGAGCCAGAACTACCAAATCCCTTTCGATTCCTAGATCTTCCTTCGGAAATTCGCGAGCGAATCTACCACTTTGTCCTTTTTACACCGACACGGCGGAGTGCTTTGTTGAATCGCGGTACCGTTGGCGCTTCAGCGAAAAAGAGCAAAGCTGTGGCCCCAATATCGCATCGCATAGGCTTGTTCCTAGCCTCACGCCAAATCCATGATGAAGCCAGCTACTACTTCTATTCGACGCAAATTTTTAGGGTCTTCCCGATCCAGGATTTTTCCCGTATACCGACAGTTAGAGCCCTACCACGTCGTCATCGTTCATCTGTTACCATCATTGAGTTGATTTTGGGCAATAGTTGGACTGCACCGCCAAGGTCATGGGTTGTCAATCAGGGACTGGGGCTGCATGACATGACACTTACCCGCACTCTGAAGGTGTTTATCGAGTGTGATCCCTCGCAGCCAGTCTTCGAGGGGTTTCGAGTATCCAAGGAATACTACACTGAGTTCGCTGGAAAGCTACTGCATCAGATCCTAGAACGACTTCCTGGTCTGGTCCAGATAGAATTCGATGCATATCCATCTGTTCAGAAAAACGGGTCTCTGATGAGACGGTTGTTGATGGAGGCTCAGGAGGCCCAGAAGAGAGTCCTGTGGGGTCCAGAGAGAGGTTGGACATCCAGTGAGACCGAAGATACTGAGAACATCAGGGACCCAGAAGTGGATTCAAAAGTGGATGCAGCTAGTGCTGCCGTTGACGGGCTTCGTGCCCATATTCCAGGCAATATTGATGTTTTAGCCCACTCATTGCAAGCCGTGAGCCTGGATATGTAGGCTGTTTTCTTTCAAAGATCCGACATTTCATTTCATGTGACATGAATTCATCCATACACATTGTATGGCGTTAATATACTGGCCTGGCATCGCATATATATATTTCTACATAGAATAAGACCAAGCTTCTTCCAAGGTTTTATTTACTTGACAGTTAAAACACTGATCTGCTTAATAACCCCCTTAGTTGAAGCGAAGGAGATTTAAGAAGATTTCATAAATTAGAGCATTTCAGTTCAGCCGCCCTCTAAATCTAAAGCTCCTCATCAATCTCCATGGAGCCACCGTTGGCATCCTTGTCTTCAGCCTGTCGGGCAACCGAGGCTTCCTTATCAATCATCTGCCTCGAAACAGCAACGATGTTGTCCTCAATCAATCGCTGGCTGACATCCTCAATGTCTGTGGACCGAAAATTAGTATGTTGTAGAAACTAAAGGTGATAAAAGTACGTACGCTTCTTAGGATCGAGTTTGCCAACGTATCTAGTCTTCAGCTGGTCCTTGGTCAATTCAGTCTCCTCCTTCACTCGCTTCTCATAGCCCTCGGCAAGGCTGACGAGTTGCTTCATTTGATCCACATTGTGCTGGCCTTCCTGATGGAAGTCGTTCATTTGCAGGGCCTCTGTCCAAACCTGCTTGTGCAAGCTCATCAGCATATTTTCTTCCAGTCCTGTCTTCCGGTAGGCGATTGCAATGCTGTAATAGTGGCGGTTGAGACCATGGATGAGGGCCTGAATGGAGGGCTTGTTGAGGTGGCCCAAGTTAGAGGTTGTTTGTCGAGGTTCCTGGCCCATGACAACGGTCTGGGGCTGAATGAGACGGAATGCATCAATCACAACCTTTCCCTTCACAGACTGAATGGGATCGACAACGACGGCCACAGCACGGGGGGTGAGCTGCTCGAAAGATTGCTGAGTATTGATATCGACGGACGAGAGCCAGCAGCCGAAACCAGGGTGAGAGTGGTACCAGCCGACAACAGTTTCGGGTCTATACAGTAGGGAGAAATCACAGGTCAGCATTTAATCGTATCAGCCAGCCCGCCACACCCAACGTACCGGCCCGTTTGTCGGAGCATCTCCATCATCTTAGTTTGGAACACGGGATCCACAGCCTCGACACTGACACCAGTACCACTTTGAGGCATGGCAAAAACATCAACAACACGGACTGTGTAATCATCGACAAATTCTCCCAGCATGAGGCCCATGACCTCCATCGGCACACCAGCACGACCGTGTCGCAACATCTTCAACAGCGCCAGAGATGAAATGTGAACAGTTTCCGAGTTATCGATCATAACAGTAGTGTCCTGAGTGAGCTCTTATTAGCTATTTGAGGTCCAAGGGTTGCATGCGTTGGAGGCACTGGAGGTGCCACAGGTTGACTTACAGAATTCTGACCACCACCCATTCCCAGGCCTTGGGCAGCCTGGAGCATTCTGTTGAGACGATCCATTGCTGGGCTGGATAATCAAATGATTGGGAAAAGGGAAGGATGAGAGAGATAGCTTCCAAGTTGGAAGCTACGGACAGGTCGAGGTGCGTCAATTATCAAATCAATTTCCAGATAGTATCAAGAGAATCAGAAGCAAAGGTTTTGACTTGGGATTTAGTAAAAGCCAAATGATGTGTTTAGTAGACTTCAAGAGCAAAGGTCAACGATATGCTTGATAATTTGGTTGTCACTGTCAATAAGGCCGGCAGCTCAACTGACGAAGGCGGTGTCATATTCTGCCATCAACGCGACGATCGCTTCTCTCAAACCTCTCCCGTCTAATAAGCACAATCTATGTCAGAAGGGCCTGTTATTGACACTTTTTTTTATTCCAGTGTCACTCTGAGGTGATTGATGGTCATCTGCGTGACACCATCCACTTCCACGTGTCATATAGGGCTTAAATTTTGCTCGACGCCACACATACTTCTACTTCCACTACTTTCCAATTTGCGCTAAGCTCGTTTACATTCACTTTTTCCCAATCTAAACTTACCTACTCCAACCTAATACCTCCAATCTACTTCCTCTCTGCAACCCAATTTTCTCGTCCGTCTGGAATACTTTCAGATAACCGACAACATGGCTGCAGAGCCTATCTCCAATGGCGCCGGTGCCAACAACAAGAAGGTCGCTTATTTCTACGACTCTGATGTTGGCAACTATGCCTACGTTTCCGGTCACCCTATGAAACCCCACCGCATACGTATGACCCACAGCTTGGTTATGAACTATGGTCTCTACAAGAAGATGGAGATTTATGTAAGTTCCCTGTCTCCGGTCTGAATTGGAAGTCGGAGCAAGCTTTACTAATGCGCATATTCACACAGCGTGCAAAGCCTGCCTCCAAATATGAAATGACTCAATTCCATACAGATGAGTACATTGATTTTCTGTCTAAAGTCACTCCCGACAATATGGACCAATTCTCTAAAGAGCAAAGCCGATACAATGTGGGGGATGATTGCCCGGTTTTCGATGGTCTGTTCGAGTTTTGTGGAATCAGTGCTGGTGGCAGTATGGAAGGAGCTGCGCGCCTGAATAGAAACAAGTGTGATGTTGCTGTCAATTGGGCCGGTGGTCTGCATCACGCAAAGAAATCCGAGGCCAGTGGCTTCTGCTACGTGAATGGTATTATGCCCCAAGTCCCCAACCGGTGGAACACCGAGAGTTTACGAGGCGCTAACATTTCTCAGATATCGTGCTCGGAATTTTGGAGCTGCTTCGATTTAAGCAACGTGTGCTTTATGTTGACATCGATGTTCATCATGGTGATGGTGTCGAAGAGGCATTCTACACCACAGATCGTGTTATGACTGTGTCTTTCCACAAGTACGGCGAGTACTTCCCAGGCACTGGTGAGCTTCGCGATATCGGCGTTGGCGCTGGTAAAAACTATGCTGTCAACTTTCCCCTTCGCGACGGTATCAATGACGACTCATACCAGAGCATCTTCGAGCCTGTTATTAGAAGTGTCATGGAGTGGTATCGCCCAGAAGCTGTGGTCCTGCAATGTGGTGGTGATAGTCTTTCTGGCGATCGATTGGGTTGTTTCAACCTGAGTATGCGTGGTCATGCCAACTGTGTCAAATTCGTTAAAAGTTTCAACCTACCCACCTTGATCTTGGGCGGTGGTGGCTACACTATGCGCAATGTTGCGCGTACCTGGGCTTATGAGACTGGTATCCTTGTGGGAAATGACCTTGGATCTGAGCTGCCATATAACGACTACTATGAGGTATGTATGCAAAGTTATCCGTCTGACGTATTTCGTTAACCAAACGATCAGTACTTCGCCCCCGATTATGAGTTGGATGTTCGTCCTTCCAATATGGACAATGCGAATACCAAAGATTATCTTGACAAGATTCGCAGCCAGGTTGTCGAGAACCTTAAGCGTACAGCCTTTGCGCCCTCTGTTCAGATGACTGACGTTCCACGCCACCCTCTCGGTGCAGGCATGGACGACGAGGCTGACGACATACTTGATGACGAAGACGAAGATGACAACAAAGATAAGCGATTCACCCAGCGACGCTTCGACCAGTATGTAGAGAAACCCGGAGAGCTCAGTGAGAGTGAAGACGAAGAGGAAAACGCAGCCAATGGCATTCGTCGCCAGCCCAATGCCATTCGCCGTCGTAATCAAACCAATTACCGCAACCTCGACCCCGCCGATTCTGGTCTCGATAGCGGTATGGCTACCCCGCAAGAGGCGTCTTCGGTTGGTGATGTCGATATGGATACCGGCATAGATATCAAAATGGGGGATGCTCCGCGCACAGAGCCCGATGTACCGGCAGTACCTAGCATTGCGAACGGCCATGAAACACCTGCCACTGATGCAGAGCAAATTGCTGCTGAGGACGATAACAGTGGCCCATCAGCAACTTCCCTTCCCGACGAAGATACAGCTATGGAAGACGCTGGCGCCTCCGCAGTGGAAACTTCCAGGCCTGTGGTTGAGACGCAAGAAGACGTGAAGCCACAGCTGCCGCAAACTACAGAGGACGCTTCCAAGGTGCCGTTGTCTCCCCCGGAAATTTTAAAGGATCCTTCTGTGCCTGCCACAGAGCAGGTACCTGAGGCTGAGCCCACGCCTATTGGGGTATCGGAATTTGCAGCCAAGACCACAGCAGGACCTGTAGAGGAGACCAAACAGGAAGAGTAAACTGAAGTCAGAGGTATCCATCGGTCAGGTTAAGGAGTTATGGAAACAGGTCATATGTTTTAGCAACAATTCCAAGGTTATTTCTTTACATGCAGCGCGAAATATATCCTCTCATAAACAGAATATTCCACATTCCACATTCCACATGGCAATTCGTTTTAGGCTGTGATGTGATCTATTGTTATGGGGTACGTTTTCTCTCAGAGAAGCTGGATTGATAGTCTATGAAAGCAATAGCCACTTTGAATCGAACTCAGAACACAGAATACTTGGATGTGCCTTAAGGTTCGAGCCAATGAGTTCAACGGCATGATTTATCATACTAACTATGAAGTGAGCTGATAAGCCACTGGCTTATCATCTCTTTTGATATCCAACTAACACGTGATAATAGTAGATATGATGCCTGAGGCATGATAATGAGATACCCAAATAGGCCTAGTGCTAGGGCAACTCATCTACCAATAATAATGCGCCAAGATTTTGACCCACTCTCGCACTCGACACACTAAGCGAAAAACCACTGTGAACGTTACTTTGACTCCCGAACTGACCTTTGTCGCCAACCCTTTTTATCTCGACAATCACCCGTGATACTCAGCCATCATGTCTAAGAGAGGGTAAGTCTTACTGCTCTATTCCCAGAATATCAGCTCAATCAATTTTGGAACCAAAGCTTGTGGTGAACTATCTCGACCCGGAGCATGCATATTCAACATTCTATCATGTGGAGCGGGGATAGAGAAGGCGCAGATCAAGCAAATAACGAGCTTCAGAAATAGAATAGGATCGCTAACTTGTCTTTGCTATAGTCGTGGTGGTGCCGCCGGCAACAAGCTGAAGATGACCCTCGGTCTGCCTGTGTATGTCGAATTATTTCAACCGATTTTCTTATCCCGAGCCCGTGTACACTCTGTTCAATGAAAAACTTCAACAACGCCCAATGTCAACTACGATGGTGGAACCAATTTCTCAATCAACGATCGCCGACTCTTCATCACAAGTCAATGGAATTGGAGAGAATCACGACGAGTTGGCATAGCGCAACGAAGAAATTTATTCGGCGGGGCTGTACACGATTTAGGAGAAGGATTTCTTTTCTCTTTTTCTGGATAGGAACAACAAAAAGCTAACGGTTTCCAACAGTGGCGCCGTGATGAACTGCTGCGATAACTCCGGTGCTCGCAACCTGTACATCATTGCCGTCTGCGGTATTGGTGCCCGTCTTAACCGTCTCCCCGCTGCCGGTGTTGGTGACATGGTCATGGCCACCGTCAAGAAGGGAAAGCCCGAGCTCCGCAAGAAGGTTATGCCCGCTGTCGTCGTTCGCCAGAGCAAGCCCTGGCGCCGGGCTGACGGTATCTACCTGTACTTCGAGGACAACGCTGGTGTTGTAAGTGGATCGTCCCTTCGATTTCTTGAAGTTTGATGTGGTATATGGGCGAGGCTTAGGAATACTGTTCAAAGTCGTGAATTGATCCGCTCAGTCCACCATGCCAAACTCATTTACCACACCTCCAGCCTACTCCGCACGTGCTTTCAGATTCACTAACAATTTTGCAATAGATCGTCAACGCTAAGGGTGAGATGAAGGGTTCCGCCATCACTGGTCCCGTCGGTAAGGAGGCTGCTGAGCTTTGGCCCCGTATCGCCTCCAACTCCGGTGTTGTCATGTAAAGAGAGAGAATTGAATACCAACCCAAAAATATCCGATACCAACCCTGAATTTCCTTTGGAGGCCTGGGGAACAGGCACCATGTCGACGAAATAAAAGTGGGAAAAATGGGAGAGGTTCAATTGACGAATCCACCTGTGTTATTTCGAGCAGGTTTCCCTTTTTCCCATTCGTGTTTTTTTCCTCTTTGAACACTGGCGACTCTCGGAAGTACTTGAAAAATACATCCTTTTTTATGACAATTAATTCTCCGATGGAGCCGAGAGTCGGACTTGGTACGACCCTTGTCTCTTGAGGTGAAATATGACGACCGATAACCTATGGAAGTCCATTAAACCTGTGTAGTTACATACGTAGACATTGCAGGTGCCACCTCTGGGAGTCAACTACCTCTTTGATCATAATAGAGTGATGGTGCCGAGCTGAGGTACCCATTAGATCAGAGTCAGATATATCTTCTATCGCTTCTGTAAATATTATACGGTCCTTGTTCTAATTTTATACAGCACTATACAGCACTTGGGCAGTTTTCTTATGACCTTGGGACGATGTTCTAGAAGGAAGAATACCCAGGTAAGCTTCTTGTATACTTACAATCCTTTCTTTTTATCCCCCTCTTATTAGCTGCCTGGAAAGCTAACTCCTATTGTGCAAGGATAGTGTAGCCCTACAAGGTTTTATCAAAACTGTTTCTTCAATAACACTGTATTATCAGATGGGGAACAGTCTTGCACATTCATCTAAAACCACAACTCCATTCTCCATCTTTTCGGCACAAAACACACAGCATTTTCAATATCACCGTTAGTCTTCTCAATGCCCCCTTCGCATCGCCAGGGTGTAGTTACGAGGCCTTAACCTCAACGGCATGGCAAAATTCGGCTTCCAAATTTCGATACCAACGACTACTCCTATCAACTACATAACTTGATCTATCATCTTGTCCAAATTGCTGAGTAAATCTAGGGTGATAGACTTGAAATGGAGCTTTCCAACTATATCTTCGAGCTTAGGTAGTATATGATCTGGTGGATGATGTTACGGTTCTTCACGACGGTCAGTAGATATGTCATCGATGTCATTTGAAAGTCGCTTCCCTCTATGGGTAATTGCAGCGGCGCCCCAATAATGATGAAATTACCTGTGTACCAGAATTTCCATGCCAGTTGGTATTAATGCTCACCTCGCTGCTTTTGCTCACTTAGTAGAACCGAGCACACCTGAGCGCCCTGATCCGACCAGTGAGCATTATATAAGCTCACCAATCTGCTCACTGAGTATCAAGTGACACTCAGGGAGCACACTGATTTGCCTCACAGTTACGACGTTGAGTGATATAGGGACAGAACCAGCGGCTCGTGTGTATTGAGAGTATATTGAGGTGTAAGAACCAAAATCCATCTAGAGTGTACTTTGGAAAGGAGGAATATGCATGATCTTAAGCGGACTAACCAAAGCCTAGAAGGAATATTGTGCATGCTCAGTCTTTGGAACCCTCCGACAAGAGGTTTTATGGAACCGAGATTGCAGAATATATCAGATATAGAATCCTATTGACTACTTTAGGTGGGCTTATAAATCAACCTCAGCTAATCATGATAACTCTGCACATATTCTGAGGCACAGAATTCAGATTCAATACAGAAATTGACTTCGGGACGTCCCGGAGAACCACGCGTAGCCTTAGACATTATAATAAAACCTGCACCGCCATAGTTGTTTATCTAGCTATATACCATTGTATATAATAGAGTGTTTAAGAATTGTTATGTATTGTAATGCTTAGCTTGTTGGCAATCAAACGAAAATGCCTTTTCTTCATAGTTCAAACCTACCTTTCGGTGAAAACGTTGAACCGTCACCAAATGATACTCAAGAAAAGCCCGTTAGAATCAAATTGCACTATCGAAAGCTAGGTTGTTTGATGGCCTAATCACTTCGCATGAGAGAATATTCATTCACGTGGAAAATTTAATAAAAGTTCAAGAGATCAAATTACCGTTCGGGATTTTCTAATTCAATCATTCTCTAAATCCTCTTGTTCATACTCACCAAGACTATATGTGAACGAACTAGTCTTCAGAATGGCGGTGAAATGAAAAGAGACATTAATAAGGCTATCTTGATAAGTGGAAGTAGCACCTCTTACTCTTGTTTAAGATAGCTAGATAAACACGTAATAGACTAAGGATGAGAGCAGGCTGTCACTCATCTAATGTCAAAGTTTCAAAGTCCTAGTCATGAAATCTAGAAGACTGCCCAGGTGTAGTTTCTGGATAGTGGATTGCTTGATCATTTTCAGCTGGAGATGTCTATACACTAACTTGCACGATATTTGTGATCACAGGGTCTGGTCTACTACCATGATTTTTGTTTTAAATATCTTTAGTGCACAGCCCAAGACCACCGATCATACATATTTACATTCTTATCTCATAGAAGTGCGGTGCAAATGAATCCACTCGTCTTTGCCATAACATCCTCTATAAGCTCTTCCTGATTCCTAGCGATGTGGCTTTCTTGAAGCGGTGGGTTCCCACTTCGGTAACATACTACGGAAGTAAGGCGGGAAACCAGAGTGTGCAGATGGAGAGAATGGATTGAACGAAAGCACATAGAAGCATTAAGTTGTCGGACCTATCATCGCATTCGCAATGGGACGGAGCAGTTGGCTGCTGGAGGATGATGTGGCATAGCAGCTGAGATATTGCGTGGGGGTGACCTATCCCATGTACATATTCAACGAAGCAATGCACACTAGCTAGGGGGCTGCATATGACCCAAGGTCGTGAAAAGCCTGAAGAATGAATGAATAAACAAATGACACACCTCAAGTACTATGCAATAGCCTTGTTGGCTTATTATAGTACTAGGAGTGCACACTGCATCTCTTGTTTCTGACAGCTAGTGCTAATAATCATTTGATAGACGATAAGAAATGAGTTATTCACGCACAGTCCGTTTGGTTCCTGTAGTAAGTTGAGGGCCGTAACTGCCTTGAATGGTCAATCATTCTGTAGGATCATACATACGTTATCTAATACTCTGCTACTTCTCACAGATATTAAATGAATTTGGAACTGTCATATGTTGTCATATATAGGTCAATAATACCTAAAATCTGTTAGCTGAAAAATACGCCACTAATGTAACTAGGGGGCATTTCCTGATGATTTCGACGCACTATGGGGGTTTTAGGGCTTTTTGTCCGGAGGTATACGAAACTGAGTTTCGAATCAGCATTAAAGGAAAGCCCTGGTCCTTGGAGGATTGCCTGGAAGAGAGCAATGGGAGGTGAAAAGAGCTAGTTCGTGAGGATCTAGCTCCATTATGCGCCATTAGCCCTTTCCGTGAACTGCTTAATGCCGCTTCGTGTCATGATGGCTCTACCAGGATACAATCATCTTCCGATAATTCTTCATACTTCTAATCTCGATCTTTTCATAGACCACTTCACATTGAAGATTAAATCACTAAACATAACAACAGATAGCCCAATCATATATGCCACTATCGCTCCAATAGATGCGGCTACTCCAGCAATGCTGCTATAAATTATTCTTTCCAAAGGGTCGGTAAATGTTGTGGTATATCCTTTTCCATGTGCGTATGAGACATTGAATCATATTCTTAGAATATTAGTTAGACACTATTCTTGATTTTCGAACTATAAAGGGTATTAGAAGGCGTTGTCTTTAGACTTTGCAACGGACGACCCTGATCTGGAAGAGTGAGATGCATTTCACAAGCAATCTATTAAGCTTTAATTATGTGTGGCGCAATATAGTGGTACTAATAATAGGGATCAATCGAAGAGGTCTTAGCACCAACCTAGGCGAGGTATTTGTAGGCAATCTTATGACTCCTCTAGTCCTGCTTTAGACAAATTTCAAAGTAATAGTATAGTTTCTTATATTCGCCGCAGACCAGAAATTTTAATGTCTTATCCCAATAAGCGTTTCATTTCGGTTCAAGTCTAACCGCATTCATGATCATGGATAGACAATCAAACCAAACCTCTGGCAGAATCTTGATCTTCTCCGCGTCACTAACCTCGATCTTGCGAAGGTTGTCCAATGGGTGGCTGGTTCTTCAGGCCAGATGGCTGTGGGTTGTTATGACATTAATTTGGAGACCAGGTCGCCTTTGCCGGTGAGAGATCCTCCGCCATCAACGACAAACTGGTCAGAGACAGCAGTTGGGCAATATCTGTGCTACTGTGGGCCACCACGGTCACCCATTGTCCTTCAGGATCTTGTCGATCTCCTCCGCCTCAGTGTCATTCAAAGTTTTACTAATAGCTACATGAAGCTCTGATAGGGACTTATCTAGAAGATGGCAGCTCGTTCCGTGACTAACTGTTCTTCCATATGTCAGGTGTGCTGCTTTCACTGCAACCTTTGCTCTCCTGTTTATTGGAAACAGTGGGAACTTCAGAATTAACCTGGTGATTCTAAATTGAATCGATATGCTACTATTCTAGAACCTGACTAGCTAGGTAGATGCCAATCCATAGATATATCCGTCTGCCCAGGTGGTGTCAGTCTCATTATTGAATCTAGATAGTAACAGTACCTTTGTAGCCGAACATTCTCTAGTTTGGTTGTGATTGCCTGATCATGTCGAGATTCCTTGTGAAAAGTTATACCTAGCCGATACTTCACCCATAATACTTACGTGAATTCACCGACGTGGACTATAATAAGTCGAATCACTCTGCGGATGAAAATCTAATCTAATCCATCAGGCATACGGCGTACGGAGTACGAGGAGACCAGTTTTAAATTTCAGTTTCATCCGATTCACATTTGCGCACTTTCATATCGGATATATCAAATCAGATCAAAAGCCGCGCGAAGACACAAAAAGTCGAGAAAAACATCCCGAAATTCGGCCAGATAATTTTGGGTTAGATGCAGCCCAGCATCGAGAAAAGGGGGATTGGGTTGGGAGGTGGGGGGAAAATAACAAAAGTGAGGTGAAAAATTGAGAGGGAAACGAATCAACCGACACACAACGATCTTCTTGCCTGAAAGAAGAACAAATAAGTTTCTTAACTCCTTCTATTTGAAGTCCATGGGGCCAATCTTTCAACATCAGTTCTGCCGATACAAATGGACTCGTGGACACCGAGTGAGATACAATTGAACAAAAGGTCATCACCTAAGAGAACTGGGCAAAAGGATTAGAAGAAAGCAAATAAGAGGAGAAAGATTCCCTGGGGTCGGTTTGCTGGGCTGCCGCCGAAGCGGTGGGAGGCGTTATTTAGTTACCACCCAGGCTCGGGAAGTTCTTCTCATCGACGGTAGGGCCAGCGGCGGAAGCACGGGGGGCACCACCGCGGGGAGCACCGCCACGAGGAGCGCCACGGGGAGCGCGGTCACCACGAGGAGCGCGGTCGCCGCGAGGAGCACGGTCACCACGCTCGCCACGGGGAGCACCGCGGGGGGCACGATCGCCACGGCCACCACGGCCGCCGGTGGGAGCGCTGCGGGGAGGCTCGACGTAGCGGAGGTCAACGTCGACGAAGTTCTTCTCCTTGCGCTGCTTCTCGCGCTGCTTCTTCTCAGCGGTACCCTGGATGAAGGCCTCTTCCTCGGCACGCTTCAACTCAGTGCCAGAAGCCCACTTCTTGTCGGCCTTGACACCCTCGTTGGCGGAGCGGACGGGCTTGGCAGCAAGGCTCTCCTTCTGGGCCTTCTCGGCAAGGAAGTCATCGTAGGACTTGGACTTGTCAGCCTCTTCGACGTCTTCGGCGGGAGTCTGGGGCTCCTTCTCGTCTTCCTTGGCGATGTTCTCGCCAACGCGCTCGTCGTCCCAGGTCTTCTCGCCAGATTCGCCACCCCAGCCCTGCTGGACTTGCTTGCGGGTGTCACTGGAGGGATATGAATGTTAGTCTCCGAAAGTATTTGCATCAAATCAGCAACAATCTACCATGATTGTTCAATCCGAATGCTGTTGCAAATAGATATGGCGGGGAATCGCTTACGTCTGACCGGTGCGGGACTGGCGGTCACCACGGCCGCGGCCACCACGAGGGCGGGAGGTCTGCTCAGTCTCACCGTCGGTGGGCTTGGAGCGGTTGTTGGTGCGACCAGCGTTGCGGTCACGGAAAGCTAAACTCAATCAGCTCCATCGTCTTCTTTAAAAGTTTCATCGAGGAAACATACCAGCATCATTGCCGGCATTCACACGGCCACCACGACGGCCATTGTTGTCACCGCGGGGAGCGGTGGTGGGAGCAGCGGGAGCTTCCTTGGGGGCATCACGCTTTCCGATACGGGCAGCGGGACGGTCAACAGCGCGAGCGGGAGGCGCGGGAGGACGGCTGGGGTCGAGCTCAGGGTCGTTACCTAGAGACAGGCGGAGATGTTAGCCAAATGTTGGGGATTGAGATTGACAGCTGTGGAAGCTATATCCAGGCTCCAGACTCCAGATGCGAAACCCGAGTCTGGGGAAGTACCGAGAGGATTTGGGGAAATCACATACCGAGCAGCTCGTAGAGGTTCTATTATCATCGATAAAAGAGACAATATGGTCAGCCACGCGTCCAATATACTCAATGCCCGCGCGATTCAGGCAAATTTCCAAATTCCCGACGTACCTTGGACCGGACGTCGACCATGACGCCTGGTGTTATGGAGTCCTTCCTACGCGGAAGGAGCTCGATCACTGAGTGAAAAGAAGGTTAAGCCTGGGGGCAGAACCTTTGAAATTCAGCTTTAGTTAGTGATGCTGAAGTTGAACCTCGGGAGTTGATGTCAGGAAGGGAAGTGGTTTGTGGTGCAGCACGAATCCGGTTAGCTCGGATTTACTAAGCGAATCAGGCTAGGGCTTAGGGTATATGGCGTCACTACTTCATAACATGAGCTCTACATTCTACTACCCAATTACTTCAACTTTTTATGTATATGCTTTATTCGATATTAATAATTCAATTTAATTATGACATCGTGTTCGCTTTTAAAACGACGTATGAAAATTTACCACATTACAATTCGATGGTATCCTGGAAATGAAATCCACTCAAAAAACGCCCAGGCAATGCTCTGAAAAGAACTTTTGTAGTGTAACAAGATAGGAGAATTCAACTCCAGCTCTCCAGCTCTCCAGCTCTTTTACTCTAACCACGAGAATTATTCTGCTCGTAGTTGAATGGCGTGGGGAAATGCATGCTGGCACTGAGTCCGAATGGATCAGCGTCCACCATGGGCTCATACTGAGCCATGATATGGTTTGGGTATTCGGGACCGCCATCCGAAGCATTGAAGCCTGAATGAGATACAGATGAAGCTGATTGTGGTGTAAATCCGACGTAAGGTTGGTTCACCTGGCCGTCGTGCTCGTCGTCTACCGTATCCGCTTGCGCATCGTATTCGTGTTCTGGGTCTGTTAGTTTTCGTCTTTGGACTTTCGATGATATTCTGATGCCTACCAAGTTGATCATATTGCTTTTGGAATGGAGATGGATAGTATGTCGCTGCAATGCGCTGTCCCCCTCGAGGGCCTCGCGATTTGTGCTCACTCGGGTCGGAGTGTGGTATGCTGATGGCAGGTGGTGATGTGTGATTATTGAAGGATCGAGGCTGAGGGTGTAGTTGTGGCCGTCCAGGTTGCGAGTCCACTATAGGTGACAGGGCGCTCTGGAAGCCAAAGCCGGGAGATTTGGTATGGTTGGTGTGAGATGGCGAAGAGATCTGGGAAGTTGGCGTTGCTTGGAACTGCGGGGACGGCATTGCATATGCACTCTCGCGCTGGGACATGAAGGCATCGGGTTTGGTCATGGTTGGGTGTCTCGGACGATTGGGCCCAGGTTTGTGAATGGCATTTGTCTTGGCTGGGATGCCCGGTGCGCCTGTCTTCAGGCGCAACTCTGCTTGCACGTCGATTCCCTTTTCCAGCAATATCCTCTCCAGCAATGAGTTCTTATATCGAAGCATCAGACACTCGTCTGCCGCGCTGCGGTGACTTTGTTGTAGGCTCTGTAGAGAGTTCTCATTGTGCTTGATAGTGGTCTCTAGCTGACGAATATACTCGGTCCGACGTTCACGAAATGCAGCTTGGGCCTGTCTGTTGCGCTGCTTACGTTCCTCGGAGGTGGCATAGATCTGCAGACGGTATATTAGTTATATCTGATAACATATATAGTACTTGACTACAAAGGGAATTGGAAAGAGTGGATGCGGGGACGCAGAGGTATCTGTTACGTACAGGTTTGCGACCACCTTTGCGCTTCTGTGTCTGAGCAGGATCATGAATCAACGCCTCCACCTCCGGATCAGGAGTTGAGACGGAGCTGATTGAACCATCTGGCATAGGTTCTGTCTTGGGCATGGGGTCCACCATGTCATTATGCAAGTCAACCATCACAAATGTTGACACAAGAAGGATCTCCAATGACGAATATCCAGCTGTGTCCGACTACGGACCAGCGTGTTTGATTTCTCCCCAACGGGACTATGAGGAGAAATAGAAAGGGAAAAAAGATCAACAGACGCGAGGAACCGCGCGGCTATGCCGTTAAGGGACGTGCTTGGAAGAGAGTGACATAAAAGGAAGATAAACAGAAAGTCGCTGGAGATGGAAAGAGAGGAAAAATGGTGTAAAAATGGTGTAAAAATGGTGTAAGACGATTGACTAAAGAAATAATATAGAATCAGAATTCTATAAGGAGGGGCTCTTTCTGTCGAGCTTTTTTTTTTTTTTCCTTTTTTTTTTCCCATTAATTTTCTCAATTTTCTCAATTTTGCCCAATTTTTCCAATAAAATCAGAAATTTCGCCTTCGAACCAGAAATGGCTGTAACGGCACGGATCCACTGGTGGAGTATATTAGGAAGGAGGAGGAGACGTACTTCCATAATGTACGGAGTACTAGGTACGTAACTACTTTTATTTGCATACTTCATACTTACTATACTCCCACTTCCGACATGCATGAATGGCGCAACATCTGAACATCTAATCAAATAAAAGATAATAAGTAGCCGAGGAGGTCGAGCCGAAGTCAAGAATCGGCTCCGCCTATACTTATTCAGTTCGTCGCGTCTTACTCTATATGGAATTCCCCCTGAGCACATTCCACACTAACGCCCTCTAAGATCTGCCCATTGTCTTACCATTGCCATCGTACTTCTCACCTGCCTATTTCGAATACTTAGTTGTAGAGAAAGTACTCCGTGCTCATCCACTAAAACAGGGCAATGGTACCTTCTGCTTTATATCACGGGCTTGGCTGATGCAATCATGCTAAGTAATCAAGTTGTGCGGGGTTTCAATTCAACTTCGTGTTTCTTTTTTTTTTTTCCATATATCTCTTTTGTTTGTTTTTCTGATTCGCTAGTCCATGATACCCCAGAATAATCCTTATTTAGATCGATCGATTAAAGTATTTAGTGTGTAGATAAGTGATAACGGAAGTATAGACATATGTACCCATTGCTTAGTGTGCTGTATGGCGGTGTTTCTTTCCCCGCTAAGCATCATCAATTGTTGACTACCACCTGATACGCCCTACCATCACAACAGGCCTATTCCAGCCCTACTACTGACCTCGGATCCGTATCCCTGCTATATCCCACCATGGAGAATATCTCCGAGAAGGAGAAAATCCAGACTCCAGAGCCTGGCGCAACTGACACAACTGCCAAACCCGCACAACATCAACTCACCCCCCAAAAGCACGACGAAGAGGACAACGACTCGGATTTTGACGAATTGGACGGTAAGTGCAGCCCATGACTTCCTTGTACACAATCCAGATCCTGATCCAACCCAATCTCCAGACGTCCTAGATGATTTTTCAAAACCAGAACCCCACGTCGCGCCAGTCCCAGCCCCAGCACCAGACAATGCGCTCCCCGACGACTTCGACGAGGACGCCTTCCTGAAGCAGCTAGAAAATGACATGGCCAGCCTAATGTCCGGTACCCCTACTGCCTCTGCCTCTGCCTCTGCCTCTGCCCCGGCAGTCGGTGCCGGGGGCCCCGACCCGCCGGGTTTCGCATCAGTGGAGCAGGGCGCCGAAGCCTTCGCAAAGGAATTAGATGAGAGCGGGATCCCACCGAGCGAATTTCTGAAACAGCTACTCGCCGACGTGATGGCTGAAGCAGGAGAAACAAGTGGCGCAACAGGATCGAACGTTAAATCGACACGGCCAGTGCCAGCGCAAGCTTCCAGTGCCTCTCCCAGTGCTAATGCTAATACCGCCCAGCAACAACCGCCTTCATTCAATGATGCGATTCAGCGGACGGTTGAGCGCATGAAGGAGTCTGGGGATCGGGCTACTGAGGCTGCTAGTGCTGATGACGGTCTTTCGGATGACATGCTTGCGCAATTGCTTAAGGCTGTCGAGGCTGGTGCTGGGGCTGGTGGTGCTGATGAGGGGGATATGACGAAGATGTTTATGGGTATGATGGAGCAGCTTTCCAACAAGGAGATGCTTTACGAACCAATGCGGGAACTGGATGTCAAGTTTGGCCCGTGGATCGAGAAGAGTAAAGCTGCAGGTACAGTTTCTGCGGAGGATATGGCACGGTATGAGATCCAGGCGAGAGTTGCGAAGCAGATTGTGGTCAAATTTGAGGAACCAGGATACTCGGATGAGGACTCGAAGTGTCGCGAATACATTTGGGAGCGAATGCAGGAGGTTTGTTTCTATTTTTTTTTTTTTGTCTTTTGACCACTGCTAATTATGTTTCTGCAGATGCAAGCTGCTGGGAGTCCACCGGAAGATCTCATTTCTAACCCACTAATGGAGGATCTAGGAGCTGATTCAACGACGGGGGCTGACACTGGAGTCCCTGAATGCCCTCAGCAATAAACATTGAAGACCTTTTATGTTCATGACCGTTCACGTTTACATTCACGTTGAATTGTCAGATAAATCACATTTTCATCGGCTTGCTTTTGTATATCCATGATAACGTCCGATACCCTTGAAATTTACACCTGCCTGACCCAGTCAGAATCAAAACGCCCTTAATGCATACCGTCTAATCATATCGTATAGTAAAACAAACTCAACACATATCCATATCCTGGTCATGTGTCGGATCCGGCAGCTTCATAAATATATCATCATAGTCCTCATCACTAAAGGAGATTTTATTCTCAATCGACTCCCGCAGAGCCAACTCCATAGCTTCCTCCTGCGCAGCGAACTCGTCAAGCGCGAGAACATCATTTTCATCTGTAAAGTCGTACCATTAACAAGTGGTCCCATCGGAAAAACGTATTAAAGATGGAAAGACCTACCAGGAAGCATATCGTCATCGCCATCGCCATCTTCAATCTCTCCCTCTGTAGGCATCGCAACATCTAACCCACGCCCCATAGACTCCTCCCACCGCCGCTTATCAGCCAGATGCTCCATCATCATCATTTGTTCCCCGCGCGCCTCATACCGGCCCGTATCGCGATCATTCTTGATACGATTCATGAACATTTTGCGTGTTTTAGAACGTGCCAGCGACGAAGAGGTTTTCATCGGGTTCGCGATCTGCGACGCGTAGCGATCGGCGAATTTACCTCTCGATGGAGAGGGCGAGGCTGGGGCGTGGAGAGATGAGGTGAATGGCGAGTGTGTGGAAGTGGTGCCGAATATAGGCGATGATTGTGTCTGCTGTGTTGACTGGTTGTGACTGTGACCGTGACTGTGTCCATCCTGGAAAGAGAAGGTTGGGAAGGCGACGGGCGAGATTTGGGAATTTGTCGTCTCGTTGAATTTCCGGTCACAGGCCATTGTCCATGGGGGCGTAGCTATGTTGAGGCGCTGGCCTAGTGGTGATGGACGTACGGGGGTGAAATGGCCTGTTTGGCGATATGGGGTTGATGGGGATGGGGAGGAGGGGGTTTGTGTTGCGAACATTGTGAGGAGAAGTTGAGATCGAGCCGTAGATCCGGATGTGGCAGTGCTTGGACTGAACTGAATGCGGTGGATCTCGAAACTTTGATTTTGATGCTAATCAAGAGTATGGGACGCGATGGCGCGCGATGGGGTTTTAATGGGGCGGTGGCTGGTGATCGGGACACGACATTTCACGCGATCGTGGCTGGAGGTCTTGGAATGTGAGGCCTGGCCAGACTAGGTTATGATGCAAATTATCAATCTTAGATCTTATCTCTGGAGTCTGGATTCAATATATCTAATTTTATTTAATTCTTACAATCCTTCGGTAATCATATATAACTCTTTAAATTTGCGGTGAATATACACTCCAAGTCATCCAGTGATATACCCAGCAGACGCTTGGAAGAAGATGATGTATTAAGTAACAAGATATGTGAAAGATGTGAAGCACTTGAAGGGGAATCAAAGGGACAAAAAATAGAAAGCGAGATCAGGAGGTGCAACCGAAAGGAATGTGGAGTTTGCTCAGAACGCAAGAAGGAGTGGTCCATAAAGACTCATAGATGAGAACCCGAGAAAATATCTCGGTCAAATGGTCAAAAAAGGAATGCAAACGGATAAAAAGAAGAAAATCGCGATCGAGACCTTCGCCATAGCGCCTGGGAGTTTGCATGATTCGTACAATTTTTACACTTCCGACGAATTTGACATACCGCCTGCACATCTGGACTCCAAGTCCAGAGTGGATGAATGAATGGATAAATGAATGAGTGAAATGATACCGCTTAGAAGTTTGCGGCAGCGTTGACACGACCAGGGTTGTGGTACTGGTCCAGTGTGTTCCTGAAGGGGGTAGCATTAGAGGGACTCGGGGCCTTCTCTCGTGGTCCTGAACCAACGGCAGTGCCACCCATCAGATCAGCATCATCGTCGTTAAATCCTGCATTACGCTTCTTTTGGATGCGCCAGAGCACGAGACCCAGGACACCCAATACGATAGCACCACCGACACCAACCACGACACCGATGATGATCTTCTTGTCCGACGAAGACAGACCACTGGCAGAGCTTTTGCTGGAGTTGCCGTTAAGGGTAGGCTCAGCGGTAGGAGTGGAGGTGGTGGTCATCACCGTAGGAATGGTGGATCCGGAAATAGTGTCATAGGAAGTGATGGTCTTCACAACCGGGGCCTGTGTAGTTGTGGCACTAGTGGCAGCAGTTGTCTTTGCATCAGCGGCAGTAGTTGGTTCAGTGGTCTTGGCTGCCTCAGTCTTAGAGGCGGAGTCAGCTGAAGAGGTATTCTCCGCGGGGGATGTGGTTTCGGCAGTTGTTTCGGCGGGCACGGAGGTGGCAGTGGCTGGTTCTGAAGTGACCTCAGCGGAAGTTTCACTGGTCTCACTGGAAGTAGGAGTAGTCTCTGCTACTGTGGCAGAGGTTGATGTAGCAGCCTCTGTGGTAGCGGCCTCTGTAGTAGCGGCCTCTGTGGCAGTCGCAGTCGCAGTAGCAGTCGCAGCCGCAGCGGTTGTACCTTCGGTGACAGCGACAGTGGGTGCGGCGGCACTTTGAGCCGCGACCGCGGTCAGGAGCAGGGCCTGTACAAAAAGTGAGAGATTGATGAGACGCATGATGGTACTCAAGGATGAAAAACGAGTGTGGTTGAGCGATTGTGAGAAAAGGGAAAGGGAGAAGTCAGCCGGGTGAAAGGAATCTAACGCTAACCGATATTAGGCAAGGCCTACTAGTGGCCCCAAGTTTCACTTGGCTATTTTAGGCAGCCTTTTCAGCTTATTACCAAATCTTTCTTTTCTTCTATTTACTTTACTTTCTACTATCAGTAATTCTCTCTCTCTTTTTTCAATGGAACTCAAAACATAAGGTATCGATATATAGTCTTTAGTCCATGTCCTGGTCAATCATGGTTCATCTCTAATTTTAGCGGTTCATCCTGTCACCCGCACCTGCCACTTTTGTCATCACTTTTTCTTCCTTTTCCTTCCGCTGTCTCGGAACATCCTACTCCGTATAGAGCCGTTACGGTGACTAATCCTCGGGGATCCCAATCGGAATATGAATACGAGGCCAATGTTATGCCAATGTTATGCCAATGTTAAATGGGGTACTAGAGTTTTGGGCCTGGGCAATGAAAAGTAGATCTTCACCAAATTCTAGTGGCTGCTATGGCATGTTATGGAAGTTCTAGACCTTACCCCTCGCAATTTAGTAGGTGGAATGTGCTACGTGGTCTGGAGATGAACTAGTATTACTCCACCAGGCTGTGTATCAGCCATTTAATTCGTCAGCCTTTATTAACGCCTTCACCTTCTATGCACTACAACCTTGTGCAGATGTAAGTTTCACAAACTGCCCGTTGCAGACGTTTGGACTTTGAAATGCATATGCTACAGGTAGCACGTAAGCGCCTCTGGAGTCTGATGATGAGAACTGTCAAAGAACAGACTGTAATTGGTTCTATATTTGGTATAGTTTCAGTAAGTCAGCATTCCCCTACTTCGTGGGAATGGGTTTGCTCCTTTAGTGATTACAGGTATTTTCATTCGTTGGTTCCTACAAAAGACAAAACTTATTACCACGTGATCATTGGTTCTTGTCAACTTGAAATTTGACCGTCCAATCTTCATTTGTTGACGAAACTGAATTCTCTATCTACACAGTAGGGATGAAAAGCTTTTAAATACACGCCCGTTGTGGACCCTGCAAATAATGCAAACAACACCCTCTTTTCTAGGTTGACAGTTCTCCAATATGCAATAGTTTAAATAATACAGGGCGGAAAAAATAGTTTGACCAGGATCTGAACTGCGGTTCTCCGTATACGCCGCATCAATACACTTTTGTCATAAAAAAGGAATATCAAATGAGCTGAATACCGTATTGACAGTAATTTTGAAAAGTAAAAACAGTTGACCAATGTTTGTATATTTTCCATAATAAGCGAGAATGTGCTTTGCTTTTCACAACAGAGAACCTTTCAAGTGGTCTACTTTTTGCAAGTACGCCGGGAAGATAGTTGAGCTACATTTGTATCGATGCAAATGTGTTGTCGATGCTGTGTCAATCGTGAAAAATCTTCGGATAAACTGATCGCCCGTGTATCAATCACTGTTCTCCTTGGGGCCAGGAGCTTTTCATTCATACACCCCATGTGTTGGCCATCCTTCATGTCTGAACTTCAGCAAGAGATTGTACGCCAAGTCTGATCCTATCTTACTTTTATATCATATTAATAAGATTGGGGCCCCGTAAGATATAATAATGATCACTTGTCCTCATGGATATGTTTTTTTTTTTTTAGATATTTCATCTTATTTCTTTTTTACTCTACTCGATCGCGAAATACCTAGGTAGTTTTCAAATTCTTAAACTTTTCAATAAACAGAAATTGCATATATCCATTATTTCCAAAGCTATGAATCCTATGATCTACTTCCCAAGTGTTTTCTCTCAGTTGTCAGGTCTTCGATCTTCTTAATTTCTTGAGTTGCTACAAACCTGACCCACCAGCCCCGAATTTCAACTATCTCTGGTGGCAACTTGGAATTATAATTGATAGTAGTAACGATTTTCAATAGATAGTATGATGCTGTATGTTTTGACGATAAAAGATATGTTGATATCGACGTTAGGTCTCACTATCAACTCCCCAACCTTAATTGCCAGAATCGTTCAGAGCTACCCAGTCAGAGAGTATCGATGAGACTCAACTGGTATCTTTGATATGATCCTCTGGAGATGCCATTCCAGGAGGGAAGAGTCCTCAAGTAAGTAGAACATCAATGGATGGATGCTAACTAGGTACTAGAATCGTGTTGTACCCAATTCCAGGGGATCTAGTTTCTTTTCCCTCATCATTTCCTCAGTTTTAAAGTCTCCGCACTCAAGTCATTGAACAAATCCTCAGACAGTTCTATTCCTTACACAATGTCCCAAAATGTCGCAAAGTCTTACTAGACGTAATGCGCAATTTAGCTCGGCTCGACTACTGTCATTAATGCAGTCCTTTGGGCTGAAGTGATATGTATGCTAGCTTCATATAGTATGACAATAATCCTTTTCATCGAAGCTAGGAAGAACATGTCCATCGATCGTTATATCAGTTCTAGGCGCTTTGGTTCGATTGTAAACATCATTGCCATCGTGTGGACTATCTTCGTAACTATGCGGCAGTCCACCCCTCTGTATTTACCAGCCACGGGAAAAACTACAAACTACGCCATTGTCAATATTACTGGTTTATGTCTAGTGAGCTTGATCAACTGGTTCGCTCATGCCCGTAAGACGTTCTAAGAACTCACCGAGTTAGTTGAGAAAGGAAGAAGAGACTAAAAGTGTCTGAACGGGTGAAAGGTAAACCTTAAAGCCTTATAGCTCTGTTTCAGTTCTAATATTCTTGAAAATAATATTTCTTCTCATAACAGCGTGTTAATAAGGTGGATGTGTGTCAATAGCCCTGGAGCCCATAACATTGATTTCAAAAGTAAGAAACAGATTAAACAGTGGATAAACTCGTCCAACCCGCTGTGAAGAAGGAGCTTACTCTATTGTATCAACAGGAATGAACTAAAAGGCCTCGGAGTGTAGCTGATGCTGCTCGAAGTCCTTAATTCAACTCTGATAGCCCTCGCTCCGGTAACTCTATAAGTGCCCTCCTTGATTCCAGCTCCGGGGGCTCAACTAGCATCTCACTCTTGTACGTCGTGTCACTTCTTCCATTCGGGTACCAACTTGGACTGAAGTCGAGGTTATTCGTTTCTATTCGTTCCATCCGATCTGATCGTGGCGTCGTCTTTTGGTGAACCCATGCCATGAGTTTTATTCGATTCCAAACCAGTGCGATGATAGCGATGAAAGCGACCACACCTATTACAATTCCCGCAATAGCTCCTCCTGATAGGGTGCTTCCGCTTTTATTGGATGCGGAAGTCGCAGTAGTGGTCAAAGACAGACTCGTTGTCGTTGTCGTTGCAGTTGTCATTGTCGTTGTCGCCGTCGCTTCTGTTGTTGTGGATATAGAAGTATTCGTCATTGTAATCTGAAGATGTCCATGTTCTAGATTAGCCGTTTTTAAAGCATAGCCATGGCTTTTTCTCCTAAACCCCTTGGAAGTCTTTACCGGCACATATTCTATTTGAAACGCATTGATAGCATCGAAATTGGGCGTGAAAGCGACAGTTGTCGTCGTCGTTGAAGGATTAGTGCCGAAAACAGAGGTCCGTGTGAATATTGCAGTATATGAGGTCGTGAACTTTTCCTCGCAGCTAAATGTCATTGAGCTCCATGCCCACGCATAAATTGGGCAGGTCATATGGCGTGCGCTAGTTGAGTTATCAGCTCAATGATCAGGGGCTAGTTATAAGGTGGCTAACGTCGGACAGCACACGGTTGTCGCATCATCGAGGCCATGCGCGCAGGCTGAGGTATAACCAGTCGGACAGGAGACCGCATAATAAGCTACAGTTGGTGTATAGCCAGGGGGAGCGCAATCGGAGGTCGCAGTGAGGGGACCAAGATTGAAAAAGACTTTATTCGTGGTTGTAAAAATTTCCCAAAGATCGTTGGAAGCTGGACAGCTTGTTGGAGACCAAGTCGGGGCAAGAGTTGCAAGAGTTTCGGTCATTTTATGTGAATTTTGAGGACACAAGGCTATGTTATAGCACAAGGCTGTAAGTTTGATTGAAAAAATTGAATATTGAGCAGAGAAGGGGGCGATAAATGCCGAAGTTGTTTATTTGGTCCTTTCTGCTTAGCGTCGGAATAGAGCCCAGTAGAGGTCCACGAGTCAGCAATGACAAATCCTTAGTAGATCCATATTTAGCTCTTGAATCCTCAAGGAATATATGATTTTTGATATATTCTACAATAAAGTGAACATCATTCTAGATACTTCAAACGGTAGAAGATTTAAGGTCTTGTAAGCATATATTTTAACCTTAAAAAAGCCTCAAGATACGGTATCTACTGAGTACCGTTAATCTGTTACGTGTATAATTTTACAGATTTGATAACTAGACCATTGATCTATAGTAGACTTGCAGAAAAGCACTGTATCTAGTCATTGCTCTCTGAAATTCTGAATCTTGACAGGCAAACATGATTTCTGTCATTACCATTTGCCAGGCCCAATGTCAGCGCTAGTTCATATTAGGTTAGCACTGATTAAAGATTAGATTAATGGATTCACTAATGCTTTCAGGGGTTCAGCTGAGGTGAACATACTCCACAACCGAAGTATTCAGCGGCCTCTTGGAACATCCAGTCTTTTGATTCCAACATATTTCAAGTCAAAGTTGTCATAGATTTGCCGACTTCTACTCCTGCTCTATTCTCAACTGTTGTTATTATTCTCTTGAGTCATGTGGCCACTTAGGCGAACGATTTATATTTACCGGATAACTAGAATGAACACCAACCTGATTATCAGCATATATCCACTACCCGTGAACAGTAGACTGTCTGTTCACACATCAACCGACACCAACCTTATGAAAGCTTCATTTACAACGCCCTCAGAGCTGAGTCAGGCGATGTTCCTATTATCCATATCCCTACCGTTGCCAAACTAATTGAGAGTGGTAATGGCTAGGGCTAGCATGTGTAAGTCATTATCGATCTAGAGGCTCTCGCACCCAGAAATTCCCCGTGGGGTCCTGGTAATTGGTCGCGTTGAATCGATTTGTCGAGCTCTCTTTCTCTCTCTCTCTCTCTCTCTCTCTCTCTCTCTCTCTCTCTCTCAATGCGGGAAGTATTGACTTCCAAAGTTGACGAAAGATACCTAGGTAGTGTCGCTCTTCCCTGGGGTCAAAATCTAGATGCTACACACACGCCAGACAGGGCCAGAGTGAAATCGAGTTATCACCGGATTTATAGACCTAGGCTAACGTGGACTAATGCACATTGTTCTTGCAAATAATCTCGAAGGTTACCCCGCGAACTCCACGGGGGAGCAATATATTCAAACAATCAACCCTTGGCGCTATGATATTTTTATTGCACATATACATTTATCATTTACTAGTATAGCGAATCATAGGACAATTTAGGCTGACTTGGGCGAGAAGAATGGTGGAATATTCAAATAGATGGGTATCACGCAGTATAGTTGAAATCGCAAACGTCGGAAATGTTCAGCTTTACAGCTTGTTCGGAGGCTTTCCTTTCATTTGGTCTTTAAGCTCCTCTTTGAAATATTCCAGGAATTTAGTGCGAGTTCCTGCATAATTATCAGCCAAGCCGACACCAGATTTGCCTAAAGAACTCATACCTGGGTTATCGAGTGAAGTGCGACTTTGCTCAAGAGGCACGCCGTGTCGAACATGCTGTACATATTGATGGACTCGACCGACCATCTGATGGAAGGCGGAACTTCTTAGGAGCTAGGAATTTTAGTAGGAATGGTAATCGTTTAAGACTCGGAACGCGCATACTCGGTTGATAAGCCAGATCTGTGAATTGTCAGCAAGATAAGTCCACGGCAATATTTTTAAAGCTCACTCACCTCCAACGCCCGCATCCCAAGATTGTTGAAGACCATTTTGGTTTTGAGTGAAGTTTGAAGATGGTGAGTGATAAGACCGAGGAACGGCTAGTTAACAGAACCGCATTTTCTTACTAAGCCCCACCAGTGATCGGCCCCCGCACTGACATTCGATTCCTCTCGTCTCTTTTTTATACTTCTCGATGCTGGCTGGATCTCTGGCTCATCCCAATCAATCGCCCCTCAGCGATCGACGATTGAGTCAAACTACCGACGTTCTGATTCCTAAGCGATGGCGAGTGACCCAGCACACCTCCACTGGCTAGGATCTTGATACTGCTGCGCAAAATATACTTACAGAATCTTCAATCGATCATGGCTAAGGGTTGTTATACTTGTCGCCGCCGGCGTATTATTTGCGACAACGGCCAGCCCACCTGCAGAAAATGTCATGATGCGGGAAAGGAATGTTTGGGATATCAGAAGCCGTTGGTGTGGGTCAAAGGGGGCGTGGCTAGTCGAGGCAAGATGATGGGCCGCAGCTTCGATGATGTGAAGAAACCTACAGGCCAGCTCACGCAGCAATCTTTTGCCCAGACAGAAAGTTCTGCAGCAAAATGTCCGGACTTCAATATTTCTACAATAGTCGAGTCATCGTCCGAGACAGTTCCAGATGTAAGTCCAGATGTGGATGCTTGGGCCCTGAGTCCGTTCGATACCGCGTTCGATACAGTAACTGGGGAAGAAAGTATTTTGAGCTCCAATCGATTCGAAGAGCCGGTAAATATGATGGTTCATGTATCGCGGGGTAGTCCCACAGAGTATATGCCGACGCCATGGGGGCTTGTAGATCCGCTAGTCCAAGATCTCACTAAAATGACAAGATTCTACATACATCATTGTACGATTAACCCTCTATTTTCAACTTTCTAGCTTGCTAATCACTGGTTTAGATAACGAGCACGTGGCAGAATGCATTTCGCTATACCCCCAGTTTAATAACCCTTGGAGGGACCTTATTGCCTTGGTCGGTAGCTCGTCTCTTCTCGCAAATTCTCTAGCAGCCCTAGGAGCTATACACTACTCGCTCATTGGAAATTCAGAATCCGAAATGCCTTGGTCCTCTCCCAATCTTGCAGCTTCCAATCCCATACTGACACCAGCGTATATTGAACGCATGGTTACACCGTCAACTTCTCGGCATCCAACGTCAAAGGCATATCGTCACTTCTTAGAATTAAAGCAGCGTACCCTTAACCAGCTATCCAAAGATCTTTCAAAACCTGAATTGCGGTATGATGCCAGAATCCCCGCGGTTATTGTCGTTCTCGCTCTTCTGGATATCTTCGAGTCTGGAAGTGGCGCCTGGAGCTATCATATCGAAGGTGCGAAGAAGCTTCTTAATCACAGACAGGTAAAACAAGACAACGAACTGGGCGAAGGAATCCTGCAGGGCCTGGAGACATTTGCCGTTGACGGATGCTTGATGTACTTAGTCCTCTCATGATGCAATCCCTGACATATCCCGCTAATATCTTCCTTTCTAGCATGGAAATAATGGGGTCTACTCTTGCACGTCCAGGAGCCCTATCAAAACCATTTTATACGACCATGGGCTCAGCTAGACTCAAGCGTCTAGAAGGAACCTCTTGGGTCGGCTGCCCAGCATACCTACTAGAGATCATATTCTATGTGCATACCCTTTGGTATCCGGACCCAGAAGCTGCATCTGCAATTCCTCAGCCCACCAACCTTCCGATGGCCCTCCAATGCCAGTCACTCACCCACGAATCTTTTGTCGCCCTCTTACAGAGCATTCACAACTTCGACCCTGTCAACTGGGCCCAGGATATGCAAGCTCACTTCTTCATCCCCGACCTTTCCACCCGTATCACCCTCGCCCGCTGCTACAAAGCCGCAATCTACCTCTACACCAGCCGCGTTCTCTCTCGACCTCGAGAAGGCTTTTCGCCATCCTGGGACGACATTGGCGTCCCGTCCGACCACTCCGCTATCGCACACGACCTTATCGCCTACATCTGCTCCGTGCCAGTCTCCGACCCACACTTCAAATGCTTCATCTGGCCCACATTCATCGCCGGTGCCGAATGTCGCCGCTTCTCACAGCGTACCGTCATTCTCGAAAAGCTCGGTGCTCTCTACCAAAGTGTTTTGAGTGTTAATGTTCGTAATGCTGCGTGGGTTTTGCGTTTAATGTGGCAGAAGCAGGACCTCAAGCAGCGGAAAGACCTTCTGCAAGATGGAGTATTGCAAATTGGTATTGAAGACGACTTTGATGGTACTTTCGACTGGATCGATGAGCTGGATGAATATTCCCTGGACTGGCTATTCATTTGATTTTGGTTTCTTCCTTCCTATTCAGGCGACTCCGCTGTTTACGGCTATTTTATAATGTGAATGCTTGTATATATCTGGCGATATCGTCACTTGGAATAGTTCTGCCTCAGTGAAACATCTTTATCCAAACTCCACAAAATCACCCTCTGTATCCTCACTTAAATCTGCAGCTGTCTTTTTCCACGCCCTCAGAAACAAAGCTGGGTATTCCTTAGCCTCGTTTGGCAACCCCCATGAGAGTAGCAGATTGGATGCCGCACGAAGATAAGCTTTTTCGAACTAGTCCCAAATATTACGTTCAAGATCACCTATCACTACTGGGTTCGGGAATTATGGATCATTTCCTGTTACTGCTATAGCCATCTTATCACGAGAGGACTTCCAGTCCTGAAAATTGAGTTTGCCTGCTTTGTCGAAATCGAGCATCCAAAGGTGTATCTGTCGTCTCTCAAAGTCTCTAGACGGTATTTTGAATGGCTCCACTCCCTTGAAGTTTTCGAGAACCAAAGGAAGGTCACTGAATGATGCTTCACTTCCTAGAACAAACTCCACGTCCATGCCATCCATGCAAGCCTCCCAGTGGATGATGGCCAGCCCAACAGCCATCTCTTTCGAGAACTCGGCGGCATCCAACTGGAGTTCCTCTACCTGATCAAGATAGAGAGGGAATTTCTCAAGGTTGAGTGCCAGATTGGGTAATTCCCGCTCTGTCCTTCGCTGTCCGAGGTATAGCCGGATAATACATGCATTGTTATATGGGGTTTGGAGTGCGGAATAACTCAATTTCTTCGGAAAGTATAGGCGAATTAAAGCTTCGCGGGACGACTTTGGAACTGACCATATCCGCTAGACTTGGAAGAGATATCCTTTTTGAGCGTCTTCTTGTGGAAATCTGGACAAATTCTTTGTCCACCAATTTTCTAGCTCATACTCACATATCTATTCGGCTACGTAAGGGACGCGAGGAATTGATATATTTGGGAATATTTTCTCCAAGCGGCTCTTTGTCACCATAACTGCACGACAAGCCGTATTAGTGAAGTTTACATCGTTCCACAGGGAAGCACGATCCCTGCCCTTCTTGTATGCGGGCTCGGTTCCGGGGATCTCGAAGATGGTTCCACAAGTTCCTTGCACAATCACGACGAACTCATCATCCTTTTTCTCCGCGTACTCTGTAAAGCTGGAGACGGCGAAGTACGCCTTTGTGGTCAGTTAAGACATCTTCGGCCGGTCTTGCTAACCGCCCAGTAGCATTCTTGGATAGTTCAAAATCGTGGGGAATCTCTGGCAGGTGTGAGGACATTATGAGCATAAAATGGAGGGAGGAAAGAAGTTGTGACCCGGGAAGGGTATACATCAGTCAAGAGACAGATTGGGACTAGTACACTCTCGGGTATTTACGTCAACCTTGGAACCTTGGATAGTAGTATATTTAGTTGAAATCTCATGGCATTGCCAGTTTCCTTGGATCATATCATCCACAATGTCGATCCATAGACTGAAGAAGAGTGAGATCCGTTGACTGGAAAGTGGGGTATATCAATTTTTGAATTCCGAAGAAAAAATAAAGTGCCCTGTTGTAGATAAGGAAAATAGGATGAGAGTGTATAGGATGTAAACATAGAAAATGGTAAGTCACAATGGAAAGGTCCGCCCGAGAAATAAAGCGATGATAGGAGAGATGTGGTGGTATAATGAAGAAATGCGAGGGCAGAAACGAGCAAAGAAAAGAGAAGGCGCGAAGCAGTTCAACCATCTTTTGAGGGTATGTAGAGGAGTAAGGTTGAGTAGTTGGGATAGACAAGAGCAACGTGGCCAGGGGGTTCTTATACTGCGACTTGGGCTCGCAGTAATACGCAATTCAAAAAGTATCTCCTGATCAATATCGCCAAATGTGAGGAAATTGGAAGGGAGATAAACAGCAAGGCTTTTTATGAGGTTGTCGACAGTATGCATCAGATCAAATCAGGGATATATAACAGTGGACAGAAGCGGCAAAAGAAAGATAAAACAGCTCGAGATTAACTCGGGTTGGCGCAATGGCCAAGCAAGACAAGACAATAGATAACTTGTGCTCCTGTCCAGCTCTAGATGCAGCCACATGTCCCAACTTGAACGAAACACGCTCGTCACTGTAAAATGTAAGTGAAATAGACCAATATGCTGAAATGACATCTGGCTTTGGTGTTCATGGTGGCGGCGTGGCAATATACTACCGCCGACACTGGATAGCAAGCAGCTAAGGCATAAGTTACCCATAAGGCATCACATGAGCCAGTTCGTAGACTGCAGCCTTATTTGTGACCAGAATTTGCTCACAAAGACTTTCATCTACAGGTCTGGCTCAATCATGAACGGAAAAATCATATAGAAGGCATCGTGGGCCGATTGAGAGCTGTAAATTTAAAAGACAGCAGCAAGACTATTCTTGGAATGACGCCTGCTGAATCTTTTCCTCCCCTTGACTGACTCTGTGTCATTCGATTGGGGTTGTTGTTTTACCAATGTGTTGCGCGAAGGTGGGGGGATGTTGCTCTCTGATTTGTGATCGAGTGTGTTGGAATGACTAGAAAATCCAGTTGAGGACATGTCGCGGAATGCATCCTCGGCGGACATGGTCCCAGCACTTTGTTGCATCAAAGCCATCTCTCGAGCACGATCTAGTGAATCTAGCCATTCTTGAGCTGATAAGGCGGTAGCTCCAATGTTGTTGGAAGATGGTTTTGGATCTTCGAAGACAAAATGTTTATCTCTCTAGACTCAAAATTAGTGAACGATGAACCATGATTGGGAAATATGAATACTGTACCGTGTCTACGATCCAGGACGAATGTCCCTTAACATCTGTGGTACTCCGCCAATGTGTACCAGGAGCTAGTAGAGAGATCTCGAGTTTGGCCTTTTTCTCGTCGCCACCCGCGGCTGCCATAATGATTCGCGCAGTTGATGTGACCATGACTAGCCTTGATCGTTTTTTGGTTGTTGAGCCCGTGAAGAAACGTGAGAACTTTCTCGGAGCTTCTGGCTCACTGCCGTACTTCGATGATGGGCTATGAGATGCCGGCGATGACAGCACCACCATGTTTCCCAGCTTCAAAATACGCTCGTTGGCCTTGTTCAATACAGGGGACCATTCGATGTCCAGTTGGCTTGGTGGGGGTAGTTCGGTAACCACGCGAGGAAGGGGGCGTTGATTGGAGGTCGTCGCATTACTGGGCGCTGTAGAAATTGCCGGAGGGAAGCTCTCACCACTTTCACCGCCATTCAGTTTAATAGGTTCACGGGGTGGTGGCACATAGGCCTTCAGCCGAGGTGCTTTCTGTTTCCACATGTCCGTTCCCCAGGTGATGCCTTGAAAGAATTCGTGATTTTTGATGTGCTCAATTTGTAGACGCCGGGTAGGATCCAGAACCAGGAGACGCTCAACGAGATCCCGGGCAACAGTGGGGAACCCGACTGGGAATTCATAGTCCAGGGCGACGATTTTTTGGAATGTTTGGTACTCGTTGCCTGCTTTGAAAGGTGGCCGACCTGCCAGCAGCTGATAAATTATACAGCCAAACGCCCACAAATCACTCGCCTTGCAGGCATTCTTGTCCGTCAACAGTTCGGGGCTGACATACTCCGCAGTGCCAACAAATGAACTTGCTCTCTCCTCCTCGAGTATATCGGAAGAGTCGAGGGGTGATGAAAGGGAAACACTACTCTCGTCTGGTCGTCGTGTTGTACCCTTCAGAATCTTGGCTGTTCCGAAATCGGTAATTTTGACATGCATTTGATGATCCAGCAAGACGTTTTCCGGCTTCAAATCTCGGTGAATTACACCGCGCCTATGCATGTAGTCAATCGTATCAAGTATCTGGGCGCTGTAAAACCTAGTACATTCTTCGTCAAACGTGGTCATTCGCTTGAGAACGCCCAGGAGCTCGCCTCCTTTGCAAAGGTCCAGCACAAAATAGAGTGAGCGTTCATCCTGAAAGGTGTAATAGAGCCGCACGATGCCCGGGTGGTCTGTCAGGCGATTCAATGTGTCCTTTTCGATATTGACATATTTGACCTTCTTCTCCTTGATGATATGTCGCTTGTCTAAGATCTTGATTGCGTACTCCTTCAAAGTTTGCCGGTCCGTTGCGAAGACCACCGTACTGTAGGAACCCTCCCCGAGGGTGTTTCCAAAGGAGAAATCACGGACTCCCTTCTTAATAAAGCGAGATACAGTCTTCCCATTGGCATCAACTTCTTGCCTTACGGATACTGCCGCACCGCGGTCTTGCCAATCTTCACTGCTGGAGACGGGGCCGTTTTCCATAGCATATGGAGATCGAGACATCTGAGCCGTCGGTACGCCTCGGGCATGCGCTCTAGAGGACTGACGCATTACCACCGACCCATTCCCCGATAGTTGACCTGCTCGGTAAGAGCGGTCGCTGTGAGAGTTGTCGCGCGTCAGAACGCCCGCCTGTGCTGCACGAGAGTCTACGCGCGACTGAGAGTTTGAAGATGCACCCGAATTGGTCCGTATGCGATAGTGGTTATCAAGTGGACCTACTGGAGGTGCGGCACCATTTGTGTACACTGAGGAAAGGGGGCGGGAGTGGCTCGGCTGTGTTGAATGAGGTTGTGTCAAATATGGCTGCTGTTGGTAGGGATTAGACGTAGGAGGCGGCTGAGAGGCCTCAGGGGAGGTGTGAACAGCAGGTGGTCGGGTCTCACTTGAAACGGAGACTTCGGTAGGAGCGGGGGGAAATGCCACCGAATGCTGGTCTTCTGGTGCGGGAATCTGTGGATATGTTGATACCGAATCGGCCGGTTGTTCGGATGAAGTAGATCCCATCAAATCAACGGTCGCATCTTCCGACTGTAAAGGAGAATCATCTGGATTTGCTATTCGGAGCCCTCCCAAGGACTGGGATAGGCTAAGATCCCCATTCATGCCGGCCATTACGTTTGGCGACAAGGGGAAAGGAGGGTTGATCTGAGTGGACAGAGTGTACCTAAACGAAAGGAGGCCGACAGTCTAAGGCGGTGATCGCAGACGGAACGAAGGCATGATACTCCGGAGAAGGTTGGAGGTTGAAGTTTGGAGGTTGAACTTTAGAGTGTGAGTGTAAGTGATAGATGAGAGGGAGGGAGAGTAAGAAGAGCGAGAGGGGGGGCAGAAAGGATCAACAGGAGGGATCGGGTCTAGTGTCAAGAGAGGGTTAGCAACAACAAGCTATCATTCTTTTTTTTCTTCTGTATTTATTTTTTACTGAAATAAATTACTCATCAAAAGGAATTTTACGAAAAAGAAAAGAAAATAAGCAGAGGCGGATTTTATTAGGGCGTCATAATCCTTTACTATGAAGGCCATCTAAGGACTTGTCTTGACTTAAACAGGGTCAACCATGGCAGGGAAACTATATGAGAGCTCCTTCCTTATCATCGACTATGTCTTAAGACTTGTGTGATCCCGTTCATTTACTCTACATCTGCAAACATCCTCGATGAGACGTCCTCCTACTGTCATTTTGTTGGAGGAGGAGGAGGAGCTTTATTCTTCTCTTCAGCGCATCTTCTTGAATGAGCTACAAGCCCAATTTGACCGACTCTATATCAATGAACAGAACAAGCGCCACCATGTTGACCCTCCCATTGAATCTGACCTTGATGCTTCGGGCGACTCTGACCGATTGATTGATTTCAGAGATTTAACTGGAGGTTCATTTTGTGCTGGAAATCTTCGGTCTTATTCTGATGCCCGAATTGAGTCAAACGATTCAATTGCTCAATCCAGTGCTCAATCCACCTCTTACAGAGCTGACTCGACCCATCAAGACGTGGACTCTCGTCATGTCCCCACCCGTCGTCGACAGACTGCCTCTTTACTAGCATCGCGGCATCAAACCCCTCCATATTCCGAGCGTCCACGCCGCCATAGGGTCACATGGGCCACTGAATCACCAAATTCTCGGGGGGCAAGTCCCCGCTATTCGGTGCAGCAGACAAGTCAAGGTGATTTCCAGCAGGTTGACAGCTTGGCCTCACTATCAAATCGTTGACTGGCTCAGTAGAACACTACCGACGAGACACAGCTAATGATCACTCTCGACACTCTCGCTTGCCACCTGATGTCCGCACAGATACCATCGGCCATGTCCCACGTCGGGGCTTGCCAGCACCTACAGTCTGATGAAACCAACTTGGCCACCGACATGAAGATCTCGCCTGCCGTGGCAGTGGATACCACGTCAGAAAAAGGCGGTATGGAACTCGATTTCGTCATTCCAAAGCCCTGTGCAGATTGAGATCGTTTCGTTTCTAATTATCTTGAAGCGAGTTGAACGGCATAGAAGGAACTCGCAGTGGCACGAGATTGTGGACTATGAATTATGAATATTATTGTTTCCCCTATTATTCCCAAGCCTACAAGGACGAAGTGGTTATATGTTGGGAAGAGTTTTTTTCTTTTTTTTTGAGCGTTATGTACTGGGGTACGTATATAGATTCACGTCATTTTGCAGATGAAAATTGACTAAAGTGAGTAATTATTCGTTCATATAATTAACCAAGCCTCTTACAGCCTGAAACTACAGTCCTCCGAGGCATTAGCTAACTATAGTTCATTTGTGGGACTAACCTCGACCGGTGATTCGGTGGCTTTGAATAGTTCAACAACTGACGCGGCCTACAACTACTCCCTTTCTTTGGATTTACCGCTATACCGCAAATGCTAGTAGTGCTGGCAAAATAGGAGTCCACAGACGCTATACGGTGTACAGTATACAATTCTTGTATTATTATTATCCATGGATCTAACTACTGAGTCATTAGTGTTAATTCCAGAATTGGCTCGCTTGTTGGGGACCCATCTTCCTGCAGTTCGTGGCTTGCAGGGCTTTGCGGCCCACTAGGCTGCAGCCAAGCTCTTTATTTCCTCCTAAAAAGAGAACAAGGTATTAATAGAATTAGCAATGAAGGCGCTAAACATTTTGAAACTTGGGAATGTCAAAGGCTTCCGATATTGTTCCAAGGTTGACCCCCGCATATTCTAAGGTCGCTTGATCTATACGGAGTACAGCATGATAAAGGACTATTTATAGGGAAGCTAGGCTCCAATATACCTCCAGTGGGCCGTACTGATGAAGTGGCATGGTATTTAGGTAAAGCCAGGTGGTCTTCTACATGAGCTGATGAAGGTTTGGCACCTCCGATATACCTTTTACCGGGCCCTGCAGGTAAGATATCGAAGGTTCCAACTGGCTGAGCCTATATTGGGATATACACCTACCTAGGTAGACACCTAAACATATCTAGACAGAAGGTATTTAGCCTTTCCAACGTCCCGAGGTCCCTTGAAATTCATGGATGTTGTGCAATATTACCTAGAAATTGAGAGGTCAAGTTGCACCGTCATAAACTCAAGATGGAGGCCCACTTAGTGTCTCTAGACTCTGATATTTCCAAATCATCGCTCGGTTATTGCTAAATATAGTGTTGAACGATCCACCTGAGGTAGATCATGGATGACGGTAGTTGAGGCTTAGGTGTCTCCAATCGATTAGGGCTAAACAGTCTTGAAATACTAGAAGCCCTCGAGATATCTATCTATTTAATTGGCCAGGAGCTATGAATTCGCCGAGAGTTGCATGTTTCCCGAGGTCAAGCGATGTTCCAAGCTTGGAATCTTGGAGCTCCAAGGCTATCCATATCCAACTTCGTGAGCCTACAATCTAAAATCTATAGCAGCTAAAATCAGAAACATGTGCCATGCAGTGTTGCCATTATGGCCCGGTCAACTTCATAACCCTAGAATACACCGATTGTGGCTGAGCAGTGTGATGTAACGCGGAAGCTGTGTGCGAACACTATCAATAGATCTAAAAAGCTAGCTGTTCCGCATTTCCATTGGGGTTTGATAAGCTTGCATATGACATGTATGGAACCCTTGGAAGGCTGTGGAAGGAAGAGTTGTACTTTGTATGTTCGCGCTGACAATATCCCGGTGGAGAAAGGGCTAATCCTATTTGGGATAATCTACTCCGGGCACCAATCAGCCTCCAGTTACATAGATCGTCCCATCACAATTCTTACCTCCGAGGTTGGTTCTATGATCAGAGCCAGAGCAAGGACCAATGTCTTGAACTTCTTGTCACTTTCTAGATACGTGCTGATCCCTGGAGCGCAAATAAAGTCTCACAAACTGATGAATATTCTCTTGTGTTGGATCCAACCTTGGAAAATATAGATGCTAACCTTGGAAGGTTTGGGATAATGCCAATAGCTCTAGACTGTTTCTTTCGAAATCAGTTACCAGCTCTTATGACTTAATTCCCGGAAAAGAAGTCCGAAAAACGCTAGTCTATTTTAGTTCACCGCTCTGTAATTTCGGCAAAACTGTATCGTAATGATTGTACCACTGATGAGTTACCGTTATACAAGAGCAAGACAAATTGGGGACAAACGCAAGGGAGGCCATGTTATTGGGACTGGAGTACCGTATTCCCCTACCAATATTAACGTCTTACCCTCGCAGTCTACCGCCCATAGACTTGACATTTTGGCTTCCAAAGCGGAAGGTGACTTATATCATAATTACACTCGATACTCCTGGTCCGAGGGACCTGGCCGTCAAGGAATATGGTGAGTGGCAGGTTTCGAATGTTGTCAATAATATCCTTAAAACTATATTTCGAGAAGTGTGTGATATGATGCGTGAGAATAGTCTTGATCTAGAGCAGGTGTATAGGGACCAAGATCCTGAATTCTTCATTAGAAAAGGAATCAAGATAGGCATCTCTCGACATTTCGTTAAGAATATCGGGCAGTGGGCCGGGCCGAGAATGTGAAAAAGACGATACCTGTTTGTCGGTACACCTGTATCAAGTGTGGAATAGCTATTCGATAGGCTAACGCCCACTTCTGACACCTATCACAGGTAACGCTTTACGCCCCTATGATATCTATGTGTCCTTTGAAGTGGTTGTAAAGTCTGGTTTTCATTCTTAGTTTGCTATCTATTATAAAGTAACAATTTGATCACATGACTGCTTTGTTCCATATTCCAACACTGTTGTAGGAACTTTTCAGTCCGTATGAGTCTTCATCAGTGCGTCACGGTTATATGCAGCAGTGCAATTAATACTTCTTATACGCTCTGGATCCGCGACGCACAAGACATAGTAGAGAAACAGCTATTTGAATGATAAGGCTATTTTCTTACTTACTAGCGAGAAACCGAGGCATTGTATTTCTCCCAATTACATAACAGGTTAAATTAGCAGTCGTAGAGCAGTCGTCGGAAATAATGAGATAACTGTTTAGGTGCGCTATCTACTTCAAAGACATAATCAAAGTAGGTGAACATATATTTATTGATTACGATCCATTAATCTACATATCAGCCTAGAACTAGATGTGCAAAGTATACGAACAAGCAATTCGATACCGATAAAGCACCAGGAGGAAGTTGATCAATGAGTATTCACATATATACAGCTTGTTTCAATCTATGAATGGTACCGGAGTATGGCTTCGGCCTCTTCGTACCTGCCCTGGCTGTCAAGGACTGAACCAAGGTTGTTGACGCTGGTGAGCGTGTCTGGATGTTCTGGCCCTAGCACCTTCTCTCGGCCTTCTAACGCCCGCTGATGCATGGCTTCGGCCTCTTCGTACCTGCCCTGGCTGTCAAGGACTGAACCAAGGTTGCTGACGCTGGTGAGCGTGTCTGGATGTTCTGGCCCTAGCACCTTCTCAGACCCTTCTAGATCCCGCCGGTGCATGGCTTCGGCCTCTTCGTACCTGCCCTGGCTGTCAAGGACTGAACCAAGGTTGCTGACGCTGGTAAGCGTGTATGGATGTTCTGGCCCTAGCACCTTCTCATATCCTTCTAACGCCCGCTGATGCATGGCTTCGGCCTCTTCGTACCTGCCCTGGCTTTTAAGGACTAAACCAAGGTTGTTGACGCTGGTGAGCGTGTCTGGATGTTCTGGCCCTAGCACCTTCTCATATCCTTCTAACGCCCGCTGATGCATGGCTTCGGCCTCTTCGTACCTGCCCTGGCTGTCAAGGACTGAACCAAGCTTGCTGACGCTGGTGAGCGTGCCTGGATGTTCTGGCCCTAGCACCTTCTCTCGGCCTTCTAACGCCCGCTGATGCATGGCTTCGGCCTCTTCGTACCTGCCCTGGCTGTCAAGGACTGAACCAAGGTTGCTGACGCTGGTGAGCGTGTCTGGATGTTCTGGCCCTAGCACCTTCTCAGACCCTTCTAGATCCCGCCGGTGCATGGCTTCGGCCTCTTCGTACCTGCCCTGGCTTTTAAGGACTAAACCAAGGTTGTTGACGCTGGTGAGCGTGTCTGGATGTTCTGGCCCTAGCACCTTCTCTCGGCCTTCTAACGCCCGCTGATGCATGGCTTCGGCCTCTTCGTACCTGCCCTGGCTGTCAAGGACTGAACCAAGGTTGCTGACGCTGGTGAGCGTGTCTGGATGTTCTGGCCCTAGCACCCTCTCTCGATACTCGAGGACTATCCGAAACATCGTCTCTGCTTCACGATATCGCCCATCATATCTCAGACAATCCCCACAATTTTCCGCAAGATTGACCTTTTCCCTACTACACTTATCATCTTCTTCCACAGCGTGTTGTGCATGAGCTATATATTGCCGCCAGTGCATCCGATTTACTTGGTGGATATCTGATAGGAGTTCACTCAGCCGCATTACTGCTTGTTTTTGGCAAGCCGGTAGTTCTCCATTATTTTTTAGCCATCCCCGCGTCACCAGATGTACTAGACGATGTATATCAAATGCTGATCCATCCTCATGTCTAGTGATGAATGAGAATGCGTCAAGGATGCCGATTGCATCGCTCTGCTGTTTAAGCGATGACCCATTAGGAGGCGGTAGCAGCGACCGAGGAATATCTTTAGGGTCCACACAGGCCATAAATCCTAGATATTCAAATGCGAGAGCGCTACGGCGACGAATTTGCTCAAATGAGATGAGCCATGTTTTTGACACCGCATTCTCTATATCTGTATATCTGCCGTCATCTTCAAAATGCTCACTTAGGAGCTCAATCGCCTCATCATCTTGGTTAGATAAGAGAGCTTCATAATTCTTAAGTGATTCCCCAGTCACATTAATATACGCTGCGGCCTGAACAATTGCGAGTGGAAGATATGTAAGTTTCTGTAGTAATCCTGTTAATGAAAGCTCGTCCTTTTCGATCTGACTAGGATCAATCAGATAGTTCCGCAACATCTCTGCGGCCCTAGGCTCGTCCATTTGCTGTATAGACACCACATTTTCTCGAGCAACTCCTGTGGCTAGCCTGCGATCGCGCGTGGTCCATATGATCGCTCCATACCTGCTCCGGGGCATGTAATCCATCAGGCGCTTAGCTCCAACCTCAAGAGTGAGTGGGGATGTCCATAGATCTATGTCATCAGCGTTATCTAATACCAGCAGCCATGGGCCAATAGTCTCATCGCTGAGATATGTTTGAACAAGTTCAAGGATATCAGCACCAGTCTGTTCATAGCCAGGAAGGCGAAGGGTTTGTGCCAACTTCCGATATGCCGTTTGGAGATTGGCTAAGCTGTTGACGGGAATCCAATAGACCGCGCATTTTTCTCGCATACGGTGGGCGAGCTCAAGTACTAGTTGTGTCTTGCCCACACCGCCGAGGCCCATGATTGAAATTCTTTTGGTGGTATCAGAGTTCAGTTCTAGTTTCTGTGTTAGGTCGCTAAGCAGTTCCTCACGGCCTGTGAACTTGGTATTCCGTTCAAACGGCACCTGCCACCGGGCACGGCCCTGCCCTTTAGCTTTATAAGTATTGGATTTCGAAATCAGTTATCCAGAATGATGACATACATTGTTCCCGAAGAGCCAGTGTCCTTTGATATAGCTATATAAGATTAGCCATATAATTATACTTTTATTCTGGCCGTAGAACACTAACCTGAATCTCTTTAATAAAATCGACGCTGGTTAGACCTATATATCCGTTATATCCATTAGTCGAAGGACATCAGGACTAAGAAAAATCTTCTAAATACACACTCTGCTTTAATTTCAAATTTTCAACACAGTCTCGCACTCGAAACGCCACTGCCTGGTGGTCGAGATACCCTTCAGTTGCTGACTCAATCAAGCCTTGCTCCTGGTATTCCGCCAGCCCGACGTCTTGTAACCCCTGGTCCACATTGAATCGGAAATACCGCTTGCTATCATAATGCTCTCGCCATTTAGCGATGAATCGCTTCTCTGTGTACTCGGTTTGGGTGGCGAGTTCTGGTAGGGTTTTAGAAACAAACTTCAATAGGTTGTCCTCCATCGCCTTCTTCCCAGGATTGCCGGTGCCAATCGAGATGAAGCACTTCACCTGTGGTTTAAGGTCGCCTGTATCTTCACACCAAATATCAGACGCCTCGCCTTCTACTTCATCTACAGGGTTGTTGGCCCCGAGCCCGCCATCTGCGAATCTGCGTGCACCGATCGACACCGGCTCGAAAAAGGTGGTTGCGGCGGAGGTTGCGCGAGCGGCCTGGCAGATGGTGGCCGATATTCCAGGCTTATTATGTAAAGAGTAGCTGCGAAGGCGCACAATCTCCTTAGTCTCCTGTGTGATGCTGCAGACGAATCTGGAGCTATTAGCAGAGTATAGGTTCATCAGCTCTCACACATACTTACACCCGGCAAGTCCGGTCAGCTTGATCATTAAATAGATCAGTCGGCTGAGCTCCGCAGTTTTTGATGACTTCGTTAATTGCACTCTCGAGCTTGTGGGCATCGAATCGGGGTTTAATCTTGCCAAAAAGTCTGGATAGGCTCTGCTTCGAGGGCTTATCAAAAATCATTTTCATTAATTTGATATATGCCATGATGCATTCATCGACATCCATCTCCAATCGACCTAACATGATCGCAATCAATCTATATCTGTTAGCCACCCGACTTTAGAATACGGACTAAATCAACCCACCCTCCTGTGCTGGTGCCGCCAATCAGGTCAAACACCTCGCAGGGTTTCTTTGCTGGTGAACCCTTAGGGCGCGCCCGATTTAATCGGTCTATCAGCCCTTTCAGGATATATAGAGTCGACAGCCCGCGCACACCGCCGCCATCGAGGGATAGTAGACAGAGTCCTTTGCTGTCTAGCGGGTTCGGCTCCCCGCCGTGAACAGTCGCTACTTGCTGCATCACCGAGTCTTCTTTCCTGTTGGGTAATATTGCTTGCAAGAATAGGTCACAAATCCAAGTCAAGCATAAAGAGCAATAGTTATCAATCCGCTGGCCCAGGATAGGGATGGGCGCCTAGGTGAGGCAATTACAGCTCCTCAATAGGTTGACGGCCGTGGCGTGACCAACGCACCTCAGCTTATACATATCACATCTCCAACCTATCAGCTTCGGTGCACCTTCAAACACTTCTCAAGTTTTCCAATCTCTAAGCTATCGTTCCTTCTGCCCAATTCTGACCATATAGCGAATTTTAGCTAGCGAAGTCTCTGGCTTAATCTGTCTCAGCATATCGATGACTGTTCAGTAATATGGCGTTTAGCCTCGCAGCCTCAGCCTCACAGCTTGGGATTTATTAGTGATTTATGGATTATCGCCCGGGTTGCCAAGAGTTCTGACTGCAGCTGCCGTAGTACGATGATATATCAAATAATATGGATCCCCTCATTGATTTTACCTTCAACTGACACGCTACTAGAATAAGAGGCTAAGGGGTCTTAGGCATAATAAACCTCTAATTTCAGGCCTTTATAGCGAAAATAGCCTCAAGCACTCTCTTCTTTTGCACCCTAGCATCTATATATATATATATTTGACTTTTTACCTAGCCTTTGCCTCCAACCCTCGGGTTCTTTGAGTGATTCCTGCCTAGGTAATTAATGCAACAAGTCACTACAGTTGAAGAGAATAACCCATCGATGTGAACCAAAGAACCTCGTGGGATTTAATCTGTGGCAGTTGTACGGAGTAGTCGTTAATATTATCCAGCCAGGGACAACCGTGATATAGAGCTTCTTGTGGCGGTAAACTGGGCTGGAGACCTCGGGATGAGTACGAGATATGGAGAGAACTGTAGTAACGCTCAAATCCGATGGATGCGCTCTACACTGGAAGATCAATACTCGTAAAAAAAATTCATTTAAAGAATAAGCAACACAACCAGGCAAGTCTAGAAAATAAAAGGTGTATCAAGACGACAAAAAGAAGACTGCCACAGGACAAAACCGGCTCTGGATGGCAGTTGACACAAGGAGTATGTAGAAGAAACTTAAGATGGGAAAGTAATTCACATGAAACGCCAACAAAAAATCATTTCCCACTGACTTCAAATGCTCCGATTTCGTGTATTCTTTTTATTTCCGTGATGTAATAGAATTTCGTGCAACTTGTATCAATGTCCCTTCCCATTGAGAGACATGTAGAAGATAAAAGAGAAAAAAAAATAGAAGAAAAAAAATGAAGAAAATAGAAGAAAATGGAAATTCAGTTCAAGACATAAGGTATTAATGGAAATGAAAATGTCTACTCTTGAGCCTTCTTGGCGAAGATCTGGGCACCGTCGACTAGACGACGCTCAGTGTTCTGGCGACCGTTGACAAAGTCGGGGTAGTTGAGGGTCAGCTCAACGGCACCGTTGACAATGTTATCAACAGCCTCGACACCGAGCATGAAGGAGTGGTCCTGGTTGCCGACCTCGTAGCGCCAGCTGCCGAAACGACCACGCGACCAGATGCCCTTCTCTTGCAGCTTGGGTAGGATCTGGGTGAGGGCACCTTCACGCTCCAAGCTGGGGGTGGGGTAACCGTGGTCAAAGCGGCGGTGGTAAGTGGAGACAATCTCGTCACCGGCCTTGAGCATGTCGGTGTTGACAAGACCCTGGATGGTATCGGCCAACAGGGTGTCGTTGTTGACAGGCTTCATGGTGGACTCAGAAACCTCCAACATGATGGACCAGTAAGGACCTTCCTGGGGCTCGGTGTTCTTGGGCTTGGAGCCGTCGGCGAGCTGGAGTGTGGGCAGCTTCTTGGAGGACTCGGGCTGGTTGTAGGGGGAGTAGTTGGAGAAGATGGTAGCACGGTAGAATGGGCAGTTGTCTTCGGGGAAGTACAACCAGCACTTGTCACCAATGCGGTCGGGGCGGACACCACGGATACCAACACCAATGACGTGGGTAGTGGAGTAGTAGAGCTGCTTGGTGAGGGGGATGAGCTCAGTGTCGCTCATGGCTTCAGCCAAGAAGTCGACAGCCATGGTGGAAACGAGCTTGCCGTAACCAATGGTGGTGCCATCAGCCAAGGTGACGGTCTTGTTGTTGGCGTTGACCTTGGTGACCTTGCCCTGCTCGCCAAAGCGGGTGTTCTTCTTGGGAAGAGTGTTGGCAACGGCAATCCAGATACCACCGGTACCATCACGGGCAGGGAAACGGAAAGTAGCGTTGGGGCCCCAGTTACCGGCGGTCTTGTTCAGGATGACGTTGGTGGTGACAGCCTTGAGGTTGGGAGCGGCGACACGCTCACCGAGCCAAGCGCATTGCATCTGAAAAACAAAGAGGAAAATTAGAAAATCACGATTGAATGGTAAATTTTGTGGGGGCTGCTTACCTTGGTGGTGGGAACGGCCCAGACCTTGAAGTTGTAGGGACGCATGAAAAGGTCGGCAATACCAACACCCATCATGCGAACGATCCACTCATCGAAGTTCTTGGGCTTGGTGCTGGCGACACGAGCCTCTAGAGCAGCATCGATCATACCATCGATACACTTGACCTGCTCGGCCTTGGGCAACATGGATATGTTGTTCTGGAAAGGGTAGGGAACCCACTCGCCCTGGCAGCGGACGTAGGAGATACGCTCGTGAGTGTACCAGTCATCATCCTTGGGGAGAGCCTCATCAATGCAGTCATCGAAGTATTTGTAGTGGGAGAAGATAACGTGGCCACCAACATCGTACAACTGTTGGTATGTCAGTCAGTATTCACTTTCCCTCGTTCGAAATGGAATGCGGCGAAGACCTACGAAACCTTCAGGGGTGGTATCAGTGGAAGCCAGACCACCGGGAGTCTCATTAGAATCGATAATCAACCAAGAAGGGCCATCCTGTTTGCAATTAAGTTAGTTGATGATGTTCTTGAAGTTAGTGGTCACTACCCCTCCATCCCCCCCTATTCTGCGGGCAATGTTTTTTTTTTTTGGGCCACTATTTTGAACGGAGGAAGAATTGATCTTACAATCTGATTTAAACGCTTGGCTGCACCCAAACCAGTTGGGCCTGCACCAATGACGAGGACATCGACGGTACTGCAACGAGGTCAGTTGGAGGGCATGGAGCTCAGTGTTGTTGTTCTTACATATCGGGGTGGGTCATCCTGCCTTGTAGTAGGTCCTGAAAACTGGGTACGCGTTTGAAAGTTTTGCGAGCGATGTTCAGCATAGAAGAAAAAGAAAGGCAGTTAAAAGGACTGCCAGGGGAAGTATGATGATAAAAAAGGGTGAGAGAGAGAGAGAGAGAGAGGAGAAGGAGTGTAGAAGCTACCGTGGGTAGGGGTAAACGGACCCGGCACCTTTTCAGCGGTGTCGAAGTGGGGGAATAGTTGGGGTGTTTCAGGAATACATCCACTTACACTAACACTAAAACATACTAAATATCGAAAGCATCAAAAAACACAAAAAGACTGTCGCTTTTGGGTTTGCTACCCTTATTTCGCCCGATCCAGACTCAATCCACCACACTGTCCCAGAAACCAGTCCTAATGGCTGTTCCTTACAGTGGGGACTACCAAGAGACTAAGGAACACGTACACAAAACATCTTAATAGTAAAAGATGTTCATTTAGTCCCAAGTCATTGGCTGCTTATTGGTTAAATTGATTTCCCTTTTCTCCTTCATATTAAATTGCATATGGGTATACTTCCTGCTCATTTGTTGTCACAACGCCACTTGATTAACCCCGGCCTTTAAACTATCGAATTACAGTTGAGTAACTAGTGTTGATCCAAATGATAATCCGGAAATAGTCTTCATAAGGTATGGTAGTTTGCGGTACTATCAGGGTGAAAAGGCTTTTAGCCAAGGAATGCTCTTATCATGGAGAATTTAGGAGAAAGAAGGATAGAATACAATATAGAAGAAAAGGAGAACGAACGATCTTGGGAACTAAAAAATTAAAAACGCCACAAAATGTACGTTTATGCACGTCTGCGCCAACCGTCGGCTTGTATACCTACGTCGAGGGAATTGCTCATATTACGTTCAATTTACTGTAGATTGTTAATAGATTTTTCATAGATCGTTCATAGATTGTTCATAGATTGTTCATAGATTGTTCATAGATTGCTCATAGATTGCTCATAGATTGCTCATAGATTGTTAATATTCAGTACAATACTGTGTACAATATGGACAAGATTCACGTATATGAAGTATATTTTACCCAAATCGAATCAACCGAGTCTCGAATCAGCACGGAGTAACTCTCGGATATCAGCAGGGGGATCATCCTTCTCATACATGTATGATTTCAGGGTATATAGATGAGCAGGGTCCACTGATTGTCCCCGCCAAACAAGGAATTAGACAGGATAATCTAAAATGTATCCATATTAGCCGTTAAGAGGGATTCAATCACATTGTGCACTGTGCTGATAAAAGAGGAATAGATTGATGGAGTTGAACCAAAAAAGCTTCTTCGAGCCAAGCACTTCCCCTATTGAATGCACGCCCCTGATTTTCTGACTTTGTGACTACTGTGTAGGGTTGGCCCCCAATGGAGAAGGGTGATGGCGAGCACAGCCTTCCAGATCGCCGCATTCTCCACCTTCCGTAAGGGACCCAACGCTGAACTGCACGCGGGCTATAGTGGGTCTTGGCTGGGAACTGCTTGCGTAATGTTGCCGCTAATTTTGATCAACATGGGTCAAGGTTGGTGTTGTTTCTTATCTCAAAACCAATGCGTTGTTAAGGATGAGGTTACATCCTTTCTTTCGAGACCGGAACAGGTTTAAGGTGTAATTAAGAAGTTCCCAAGTGAAAATAGAATTGGAACCAAGCAAATTAGCAGAGACCGACAGGTGGTGAATTGAATGTGGTAATGCTTATTGGATGTTGACGTTGACGTTGATGTTGATGGAAAAGGAGTCGCCACGAGACATATACAATATTACCAGTACTTGTATTTACTGTTACAATACTCCATACGTGATTCATGCTGCTTGTATATCCGCTAAAGTACAGGTGGCCTGAATAACCTCATGTTCATACAAGACAATACTGAAAATACCACCCAGTGGAGAACGTAATGATTTAACTCTGTTTGCAGCAACGAATCCTCTATTTTACTTATTTACTTTAAACAGATCAGCTTTTGGTACCGATTATTAAAATAATAAAAATTGCATTCTTCACTGTACGTTTCCCATTCTTGGTCCACTTCTAATTTAGGGAATCTTCCATTTCTTCCATTTCTTCCATCACTCACCCTCGTTTGACAGTGTTGCTTATCGTATAATCTTTTTTTACCCCTCCTGGCTTCTTCCGCTTTCAGCCAAGGAAGCCTTTCGCGTCCGCGGCCATTTGAACTCCGTCAATTCTTCTCTGATCAAACTAGATCACTATCCCTCAAAATGAGTTCCGAGGGTGAGAAGGCCCGCATCTCCGGTGAGATTGCGCGCGAACCAACCCTTCCTACCGTCAACCCAGCCTCCGAAAAACAAGAAGCTCCCAAGGCTGCTTTGCACCCCGCCGTTTATGTCGCGTAAGTAGATGGGGTAGCTGGAAGATAAGCAGAGGATGTATGGGCTGACAATTGCGCAGTACCTGGATTACCCTCAGCTCTAGTGTGATTCTGTTCAACAAGCACCTTCTGGACTATGCCAACTTCCGTAAGTGATTTGATAAGCTATTTCAGCTCTTCAATGGTTGCTAACTTATACTTCTTCTAGGTTTCCGTATGTATCCTTGAAACTCCATCGAAAATCCTCCTCATCTGACCTCTTTCCAGCTATTATCCTTACAACATGGCACTTGACGTTTGCGACTATAATGACCCAGATCCTTGCCCGCTGCACCAATGTACTTGACGGCCGCAAGACCGTAAAGATGACTGGTCGTGTCTATCTGCGAGCTATTGTCCCCATTGGCATCATGTTTAGCTTGAGCTTGATCTGCGGTAACATGACTTATCTATATCTGAGCGTGGCCTTCATCCAAATGCTTAAGGTATGTAACTATTCAAATTCAACTTCGACCTGGTGTGGGCTAAGTTAACCCCGGTTACTATAGGCCACCACTCCCGTCGCTGTTCTGTGCGCTACTTGGGGTATGGGAATGGCTCCAGTCAACCTGAAAGTCCTCCTGAACGTCTCGATCATTGTCCTGGGTGTCATCATTGCCTCCTTTGGTGAGATCAAGTTTGTATTGGTTGGTTTCCTCTTCCAGCTGGGCGGCATCGTTTTCGAGGCCACTCGTCTCGTCATGGTCCAGCGTCTACTGAGCTCTGCCGAGTACAAGATGGACCCCATGGTCTCCCTGTACTACTTTGCTCCGATCTGTGCTGTCATGAACGGTATCGTCGCTCTGTTCTTGGAGTTCCCGCGGGTGACCATGGACCACGTCTATGGAGTCGGTATCTGGGTTCTGATTGCCAACGCCATGGTAGCTTTCCTTCTGAACGTGTCCGTGGTCTTCCTTATCGGCAAGACCTCTTCGCTGATCATGACCCTGTGCGGTGTACTGAAGGACATTCTGCTTGTTGCGGCGTCCATGATGCTGTGGAATACCCCTGTATCTGGCCTGCAGTTCTTCGGTTATTCTATTGCCCTCATCGGTCTTGTCTACTATAAGCTCGGTGGTGACCAGATCCGTGAGTACACGGGCCAGGCTAACCGTCGCTGGGCCGAGTATGGCCAGTCCCACCCTGCTCGCCGCAAGTTCATCGTTTTCGGTGCCGCTGCCCTGATCTCCTTCCTTTTTATTGGAACCATGGCCCCCAGTTACGCTCCCAACTCTGTCAAGCAGGTGAAGGGCATGCTTGGTGGTGCTACTGCTGGTAATGCCTAGATGTGGCCTCGGGGCTTCCCACCTGGTCAAAATATTTTCGATACTTTTCCTTCCCTTTGGACAGAACCCCGTTCTCGCGGATATCCAATAGCTGATGAAGATTAAAATTGGCTTTACAATATTTTCTGATCTACTTATGACTTGGGTCACGGCGACATGCAGGAAGTTCAGCCGAAGCTCGGTCCTTTTTCACTTCTTCGTTTCCGGCCATCGCAGGCTTTTTATGGAAACGGGTTATTTCCCCGGTCCTTTTCTTTTCCCTTGCAATGAATTCAGCCAAACTGGTGTTGCTGATGTTCTTGCCTTGCCTTTTCTTCTTTCTTTCTTTTTTTATCTTTTTACCCCATATCTACGACTATTGATTTGATTTGATTCTTTTAGACTTGCACGAGCTATGGTGTTTTGCTTCAGGGGATTGGTCTACCCCTCATGTCACAATATCCAAATTTCCAGATATTTTCAATATTTCCAATATTTCTCAATACTATCTTCTTTTTCCAAGAAACGGTTGAGCGGCATTTTTATGGAAGAAGAAAGACACAAGTAGTCACATGATTATGCAGGATCCAGTTTGATGTTCATTGGCTGTTCACCATTGGCCAATCGCTTGATTAGGCTCCACGTCAAACAACCAAACCCAAAGTGTATTGGTACTGTTACGGCAGGTCGGAATCTCCTTCCATATTGCTGTATTTTTGTATGGTAAGGTAATCTCCGCACGCAACGGATCGCCTCAGATCTTCTTTCCCTCTTCCTCTACCTACTTTTCTTCTCCCCCAGAACTTTTCTTTTATCTCTTCCCCCTCTTCTTTACTTCTTCCACACCTCCCCCTCCCACTCTCACCGCCAGACTTCTATAGTACCTTCACCTTCTCTCGTTTCCGAAAGCTTTTCTCTTATCTATATACCTGTCTCTATTCGTCGTCCCTCGTGATATCTAGGTGATATAAGCTTGTGGTGTACTACTCACTTAACCCTACAGAACAGTTTCCATCATCATGATCCTCAACCGCCTTTCCGACGGTCCATCACAGATCCTTTCTCCTCCCCAGGAACACGCCTTCGCTCAGCTCCCCTCTCAGTCTCTATTGAGCCAACCCGGACACTTCAACAGCTACCCTGCTAGCGCTGGCTCTCTTTTCGCCAATAGTGACTCAACAAAGCCCACCTCGAGCACCAGCTTTGCCTCATCCTCCATTGCCCCGAAGCCTTCTCGCAAGAGATCGCGTGACCAATTCGTTGAAGAGGTCCCCATATGTAATGTTCCAATTCGACCTACCACGGTTACTAAAGAGAAGCCCATCTATGGCGAGGGTATAACCCTTCTCAACCCTCAGACGGGGATCGCTCTCTCCGCTAAAAACCAAAGTGGCACTTGGTTTGAAGAGACTACTAAGTCGCAAGCGGTCCCAGCCTCTTCACTGTCAACAACCAATCATTCTGATGCTGCCGATATCAGCCGCAAGGCCCAGCGTCTTGATAATTCTGCACCCGGTCTTGACGAGATCGCACTCGCCTCAATGACTCAGCGCCTTGATGGCCCCGATATGGATCAACATCGCACCATCAATGGTGCATCTACGCCACCCACCGAGCCTCTCGTGGACGATGCCACCCTCCTTCTGGGCATTAGCTGGCAGCGTATCGACATGGACGGTGACATGGCCCCTGCCGTCCGTGGTTGGATCAAGTACATCGATAACCAGTATTCGGCCCACCTGCGTAACTCGCAGATGCTCATGAAAAGCCGCGCTCTGAATGCCTACCTAGTCGCCGCGACGCCTATTTCCTCCTCTGCACCGGCCTTCTACCTTTTCAGCGAAGACCTCACTCAGGCTCAATGCGTGGCTTCTTCTTGGGAAGCATGCCTGCACAACCTTCGTAACACACCCATTCTTTTCGAGGGTGCTCCTCTGACTGCTGCATGCCTATCCAGCGCGCAGCAGATCCCTAACTTGTTCACTTCCAACGTGGACGCCGGCGTTCCCCTCCTCCAGCAAGCTATTTCGAGCCACTCACACTTGCCCAACTCAACATTAGGACTGAACGGAAGCGTAGGAATGGGAATGGAAATCGACTCATGACCTCCCTCCTTTTCGTTCTTTGTTCGCCGAGAGTCCGATCGTCAATCGAATAACAACGCAAAGCTCAACGTCAAAACCACGAAAATCGCCCACACCATAAACCATTCTTACTCTTTTCGTTTCTCATGTTTACTGGATTTCTTTAGTCTTTTTTCTCTTCTTCGTTGCGTCTAACTGACTCAGGTCACGCAGCCCCATCCACATCTCGCTCCGGGTGGGTGAGTATTGGTATTTACCTCGATTTTTACCGGCGTGGATTCTGGCGTAAATGTGGAGTTTAAGATTCTTTGTATTTCTTATTTATATTTCGCCCTCACCTTTATTTATGATGCGAACAAGAAATCAATCTGATAAAATATCAAAGTCAATTATGGATCGAACAAATGAGCTCTGGTTGAATTTCCTCATTGCGTAGATTGTTGCGTCTTCGGGTACTTCAAGTCAGCCTCAGGCTCATCCCAAGCCCCCATCATTTTGACCGTGTCTCAGCTGTGCAGGTGCTGAGACGCCGGAGATTATCCAACTTAATAGGTAACTTGGAGCTAAAAAAGAAAAAAAAAAGGAAAAGCATAGTGCGTCTGAAACCGATTAACACAAGTACCTACGCCCAGGCGCAATACAGGGCAGGTGATTGTAACTGGTTCGATGCAGGGAACCTCGGAATACCTTACTTAGGGTTGCGTCCGAAACCCCGGGTAATTTTAGAGAATGGAATAGCGAAAAGACCATCCTAGGCTCGTTTTGTACACGCACAAAATTCCGAAGCCACTTTTATTGATCGTGCTCAAAGATGGGATGTTTTCGTCGCATGGTTGAATTCGTGAAATTAAACTACCGATGAAAATCTACGAGGTGAAAGGGGCATTGAAATATGACGGGTATCATTACTAAAGGCTTCATAGATCATCTAATCGGATCCATAGTCGTAGTCACTAGCGTAATTGTCGTCAGCGTAGTCATCGCCATTCTTGTCAATGCCGTAATTGTCACTGTGCTTGTAAGCGCCAGCAAATGCGTCGTCCAGATTGTCGTCTTCGGCGTAATCTGCCTCGTCATCCTCCACTTCATCGATATCAGGCTGCTTGGAACCGGTACCTTCTTCAATAACAACTTCATCACTGATGGAAATTCCCGCAGGTGCTGTCGATGGTGGAGTCGGCTGTTGTGGAGCTGGCGCTTCAACAGGTACCTTTGCAGTTGCCGGCAATCTTCCCCGACGACGAACATATGGGCCCAATGTTTCTTCCGAAACAAGACTGGCACTGCGACGCGAAGTGATAGCGCTGCCACTACGGCTTCGACCACCACCGTTGTCGCCGGGCGGTCCACTTCCAGGTTCCTCGTAGTCGCTAGGAGGTCCGTTCTTCCCGCCGTACAGGTTATCCAGAGCAGAATAGTTGATTTTCTTACTGAACCCACGCATTTCTAACATTCGTCGTGTAGCCTCAGCGGGGGTAAGGGCCCGGGAACGTCCAGAAGTTTCATCACCCTCCAGATAGCCAACATCGCCCATGCGGCCCTTGCGACGCTTGCGGGATTTGCGGGGAGAAGTTTTGTGTGGATTTGCTTCATCAAGGGCGCGCTTCAAGGCCTTTTGCTGTTGGAAACGGAGCCATTCCTTATTTTCGTGGACCCATACTAGTTCTTTGAGGTCGATCTCGGTGGACGAAAGGAGACAGTTTTGCACTTCAGGGTCACTTTCGAATTCTGTTTCTTCGATTTCAGCAGTGTCGGGGATATGTTTTTCGACCTTTGCTAACATCTCTCCGTTGTCCAGCATGAGTCGCATTTCTTCTTCCAAGGCTTCTTCAGACGCAATCTGCTCCGAAGTTGGGGTGGGGAGAGGCTGTTTGCTCTTTTTGCACTGCTCTTCTTTCTTTTTACCCTTAGCCTGTTCCACGGCCCCATCAAGAGCCGTTAGGGCTGGGTCGATTGGGAGTCTGGGAATGGCAAAGCCATCGGCATCAACGGGCCAAGGCTGGGGCGTTCCATCCTCGCCATTATCGTCGTCATTTTCTACCGGATCACCTCTTTCAACATATGTCTCTGGCTGCTTGAGGCGTTTGGACAGGCGGCCCTTCGACGCCCGAGTGTAAGCGGGGGGATCCTTTTCACTTTCAAGGCTGACAGAGCGGAACTCATCGACTGTTAAGTCACCACTCTCTGTGGAACCGAACTCGTTCAAACGCTCACTGATAGTGACTTCAGTCACTTTGACGACATAAACGACTTCGCGGATGGTTCGGCGGAAGTTGTTCATACGCGCCGCCAGGATCAATGCTGCACCACATATACCAGCTGGACGTCGGCCAACGGTCATCCAGTCACGGTTCATTCGCTGCACAATGCGGCAGGCTTCACCGGCAACGGCCATGGTAGAGGAGCCAAATTCAAGTTGTTTGGCAAATCGGTAGATAAGGCTCTCTGGATCAGTTGGATTCATAATAAAAACGCTGCCGCTCAAGCGCAGCTCGTCAAGAAGGGCTTTGTAGGTTCGGCCGAGGTTGAAAACGTTAATCTAATGACTGTCAGCATAAGCTTCGATAAATGATAGACAGTAGTCTGGAGCGACTTACCATGAGAACATCGGAAAAGTCAATTAGCATAGCTGTATTCCCGTTCTGGCGACGACAGGCAATGTAGAGACAGACGGCAGCGACGTTTTTTGTGCGGCGACCTTGAATAAAGTTCATTCCAACGGCGAGCTTAAAAATTTGACCAGCGGCCTTCGAAGCGCTCTCGGGAAGGTTCAATGCCCGTGATACTTGGCTGATAAATTGATTACCTGTTAGAAGTTAATGTCTGTACATAGCAAACAGGTAGGTATATAAACGACTTACCATGCACTTCGGTCATCTCTCGACTCTCCATACCACCACCTCGCTGGAAACCCGGACCGAAACTGCGTGTATGGGTCTGATCTTCTCCGACGAAGGTACCCTGGACCATAGCAGCGCCGGAAGAGGTTTCACCAAAGGTGATTTCTGAAACGATATTGGCCTCACTGATAACTGTAGCACAGCTTGCGCAGATTATGTTTCCACCATCTTCAGTAACATTTGGGTTGTCACAACTTGGATTGGGACATGACTGCTTTGCCGGCGCAGTAGGTCGCGGTTGTTGGGACATTCCATTTGGCTGTGGACGATTGACAGGTCGGTTTATGGAGATCGAACCTGAAGTTTTGGCTTTCGAAGTCGCAAGTCGCCCGACGGGAGTATGAGCGTTACGAGAACGCACGCCAATGCGTGTGGCGGGCTTAGGCATGACCGACGCCATGGTTAAGGCTGTAGAGTTTGATAAGGACGGAGAGTGAAGGATGAGAAAAAAAAAGAGAGAGAAAAAAAGATTAAAAAAAAAAAAGAGGAATCAATGACGAGGGTGTGAGAGTCAGAGGAGGGAAGTTCCGGAAGAAGATTCGGGGAAGATTGACTGCCTGCGCAATCAGATCACCTCGTCTTTCAACCGGATCGCGAAACTTTTCGTGTAGTTTCGTGTATTAGTTCGTGTACTCGTGTAGAGTGAAATTGATATGTTGAAGTGAGGTTGGGGGTTTTGGGGTAAGAAGATTTTACTTCGGTTTGCGCACTGTGGTTCAGTTGGGAAATCATGTGAGTGGAACTCAACTACGCAAGTTCATTTCGGAGAAAAATCAACAATTTGCTCAATTCACTTTCAAGTCTAAACAAACCAAAATTCAAGTTTGATCGGGATTATATAGATATTAATACTAAAATATATTTTTTAGAGTGTATTCTACGAGATTTACCTCCTGTAGATGGGAGTGAATTGTGAGGTTGATTTCGACAAGTTAGTGCCTTGTTTATAAGGTGTCAACTGTAAATGGCGCTATCACATGATGGACTGACCACCATTTTGAAAATAAGAACGAGGACATGGCGACGATGACCTTGGAAGTTGCAATTCAGATAAATACCTGGGCAGCACCACATAATACTGTATTGTATGCTGATCAAAGTACGGACAAAAGAGTAGCGATATAACCCAATTTTATTCAACTTAACCTAAACCGGATATTGTCAACCCGGTATGTTACCATATCGCTTGATTCGGTCATTTTGCTACAGTGGAAGCCACCGGCACAATTCTGTTTTCGATGTGAGATATAAAATCGACCTGAGATTATGTTACCATCACTCAGATACTCAGCGTGCTCGGGTACATTCGTCGTGGAATCAAAGCGTCCCGCCAAGCATTCTCGATGAGGGAACCGAGATCGCTGTTGTCTGAATGAAAGGCAAAACAAGACCTTCATAACTATCGGTGGATACTTCTGGTCGGAGTCCAGTTTATAGTTCATAGATCATTGAGGCAGCCTCATTGCATGCTGATATGTTGCATCTGATACGGTCTCGGATGGTCCGTTGTTAAGAATACCTAGGTAGGCAAGGGCTTGCGTATCCAAATGGGCAGCTCGTGCCAAAATCAATAAGTAATGGGTGGCTATTGGCGTTAAATAGTATATTGTCTTTGCGTATATCTGAATGGGTGATATTATGTGCGTGCAGATGAAGAAGCGTTCGTGATCTGTCCTGATACCAAAAGATCCAATCAAACCAAGATACTGAGGTTATCTCAGAGAGCTGTCGGTATTTGCTAAGATGGATAACACTCGGGCTGATCCAAATCAACTACTTCTGCAATGTTTGGATGGAGATGCTCCATAAGCAGACGCAGTATGGCTCTCTCGTCTTTCAAAAGGTTAGAAAAAACTGTCCCTGAAACATATTCCAACAGAGCTTTTGGGGTAGCACTATTGGGAAGAGGTTTGTAGGTCCTGCACGTCTTCAAAACAGTGTGATCATTTACTTTATAGACTTGATCTGCTGCTCCAATACCTATAATGTCAAGGCCCATCTAATTCATCTGCCTGTTGGTTTCAAAGGGTTGAATCTCTTTTGCAGGAGTTTTCTTAATGCTTGGAATTTGATTTCCTCTGATGTTCAAAGGTTCGCAAAGATATTCGATTGAATAAAAGTTACACAAGATAGAAAAGTATGCAGAGACTAAGTAAAAGGCAAAAGCTTTGGAGACCTCCTTATTTGTAAGGCATCAATAATAAGTTCAAGTGTCACATGACATATCTTATTAGGTGATATCCACATGATTCAAGGGCATCCATGGCAATATAGCATAGAAAATAAGCAGACACAGATAGAGAACAGTTGCATTCTCAATTTTTTGACTCTACATATCTCATTTTGAGCACCTGATTTAACGTGAACTTCTAGACTACGACATACTACTGGGTCATGGTAATTGATGGGCTTGGAATGCTTGAGGGATTTGTGCGTTGGGTTTGACTTCAAATGCCTGAATCACGCACAAATCCCGCGATCCTATTTCTTTCACCTTCGATCTTCTGCTTAACTATTTCTTTCTTCTTTTATAAACCATACAACGACCAATTCATTTCACTTCTGCCTTACTATCTGTCTTATCATGTAACTGCTGTTGCAGCTTCCTGTGGCGAATTTGTATGACCAGCTTTGTCTATCCAAGATTCAAGTGACACAGATCTTAGATCTTAGAGCTGATATTCTGTACCCCAGTTTTTTGTGTGGTCCCTATCGATATCTGTCGCAAAGGTGTTATATTTTCCGTCTCCCTTGCTGAGAAAAGAGGGAGAAAACAGTGTCGATCTTTATCTTCTGTTCCATTGATCATGTCTTCTGGGTTGAGAAGTCCACCACGCATTGGTACAATGCAGCTGAAGGACCGGAATGCCTGTAGAAGGAGTGTTTTCTGGGTTGGGAATGTTCATTGTGCTTCATGTGTGGCCTATGTCACTGATGTACTCTCGGAAATTCCTTCCGTCAGGGATATCGATGTGTCGATCTTGACCTCCGAGGTGCGGGTTACCCATGGCATCTCAACACAACCAGCAGATCTTGTTGTGGCTTTGATTCATGCTGCATTTGAAGTACACCATATTACCACTTATGATGAACGTGGCAACATTGTCGCTGAACTCGATACTACTTCCTGGAATCCCCGCGGATCGGCCCTATTCTCTACACCCCGAACATCTTACTCAAGTATCTCTTCTAATATCAAGGAGAGATTACATACAAGTAGGGAGAAGCGACATATTGCAAATTGTGACGCATGCAAGAAAGAAGAGGCTGGAAGACTTGTCGCCCTGAATGAGAAACACTCTCTCAACGATATACAACAGGCTTCTCCAATATCTTGCGATGACCGGAGCGAAAAGACATTGGAAGCAGCGGACGAGCAGGATAAATCCCCACCATCGGTTGCCACATCGAAAACAAGAATCACGTCGGACTTATCCCATTTTACACACATTCCTCAGAGAATACCCGAAACGCCTGATGAATTCAATGCAGTAGTCAGCATTGCAGGCATGAGTTGTGCATCTTGTGTCAACAGTGTAACTGCCGCAGTTAAGGAACTTGAGGTGGTCAAGGAGGTCACGGTGAATCTCCTCACGAACAATGCAACCCTGGTGTATCTCGGACCAAAGGAAAATATCGATCTGGTCACGGAACGAATAGAGGACCTTGGGTTTGAAGCTTTTCTTGATAGAGTTGACCCAGTCCCCCAACCCCCAAAACTTGAGCCGACTGCAACATGTTACGTCTGTGAAATCGCTATCACTGGCATGACCTGCGGTTCCTGTGTGGGATCAGTGAAACGGGGACTGGAAGAGCTTCCATTCATAAAAAATGTGTCGGTAAACCTCCTGTCACATAGTGGGAGAGTGGAGTTTGAAGACCGCAACAATCTAGACAAGATTGTGGAGAAAATCGAAGATCTAGGCTACGATGCCGTTGCGAGCAATGTGCATTTACTTTCCCAGGCTACAGAAGATACAGGCTATGTGGAAGCAAGAACAGTTTCAATTCGTGTCGATGGAATGTTTTGTCACCACTGTCCAGAGAAGGTGCTTGCTTCTCTGGAAACACTCCCAGGTGTCACTCTCGAGGCTGCTCCTTCAGAGAAACATCCTATACTCAGAGTCACTTATGTACCAGCAGCACCTTTCCTGACTATCCGATCGATCGTTGCGACAATCAACGAGGCCAATAGCGCCTTCAACGCTCACGTTTACCACGCACCGACTATTGAAGAGCGCTCTCGTGCCATGCAGATGCATGAGCGACGTCGGCTTTTGGTTCGACTGGCTTTTGTATTTTCTGTGGCAATTCCAACATTCATTATCGGCATCGTCTTCATGTCACTTGTCTCTTCGGAAAATCCTATCCGCAAATACCTGGAGCAGAAGATCTGGTCTGGTAGCGTGACTCGTACGGAATGGGCCCTGTTCATTATGTCAACCCCAGTCATGATTTATGGCACCGATGTTTTTCATACTCGAGCCCTAAAAGAGATCTATGCCTTGTGGCGCCCGGGAAGCCGCGTGCCAATTCTTCGAAGATTTTATCGATTCGGAAGCATGAACCTCCTCATATCTGCCGGAACAGCAGTGGCGTATTTCTCCTCACTGGCAGTTTTAATCGTTGACGCTGTCGTTGGGACGAAAGCAAGCGCCCAGAGTACCACATATTTTGATACAGTCGTCTTTTTGACATTCTTCATCCTAGCCGGTCGTTCCTTGGAGGCATACAGTAAAGCTAAAACGGGTGATGCGGTCAGCTCGCTGGGTAAGCTTCGTCCCTCTCAGGCATTGCTTGTCCAGGACCAGCCCATTTCAAACAACACACAAAGCCCAGCGCTAGGCCAAGTTACCCACGTCAATGTCGACCTTCTCGAAGTCGGCGACAAAGTCAGTATTCCTCACGGTACATCCCCTCCGGCCGATGGTGTTGTGGTCAGCGAGGGTTCGTTCAATTTTGATGAGAGCTCGTTGACTGGAGAGTCGCGCCCTGTCAAGAAAACTCGCGAAGACCAAGTTTATACAGGCTCCGTCAACGTCGGACAACCGGTTCAGATCCGAATTACTGCGTTAGGGGGCTCTTCAATGCTTGATAGAATTATTGCCGTGGTTCGAGAGGGCCAGAGCAAGCGTGCGCCTTTAGAGAGAATTGCCGACCTCCTCACTTCCCACTTTGTCCCTCTCATTACCTTGATTGCAATTCTTACTTTTATGATATGGCTTGCACTTGGCCATTCTGGTGCGCTTCCTGATGACTACCTCGATGTCGCCGAGGGTGGATGGACATTTTGGAGTTTGGAGTTTGCCATTGCCGTCTTTGTGGTGGCTTGTCCGTGTGGGCTGGCATTGGCAGCCCCCACAGCACTGTTCGTTGGCGGTGGATTAGCCGCCAAAAATGGTATCCTGGTCAAAGGTGGCGGCGAAGCTTTCCAAGAAGCTAGTCGTCTGGACGCCATCGTCTTCGATAAGACTGGAACTTTGACTGAAGGAGGCAGCCTAAAGGTCTCGGACCATGAGGTATTGACTAAAGATGAGTCTCTACTCAAGTATGCATGGGCTCTCGCTCGGAAGATGGAGGAGAGCAGCAATCACCCAATTGCCCAAGCAATATATGCCTTCTGCGAGTCAAAATCACCTGTCAATATACTGTCATCAGATCTCCAGGAGATACTAGGACAAGGAATGAAGGGCACTTTCACCGTGCGTGACGGTTCATCGGAACATCAATACGAAGCTGCCATTGGCAATGAGCGCCTGCTAGATAGCGTCCTGCCCTCTGAAGTCGACACATATTTTATTACCAACCTACTCTCAAAGTTTCAGTCTGCAGGCAAATCAACTGCAATTCTCTTGTTAAGACCCATCAACCAGCCCGAAAAGTCGCACTTTGTCCCTGCAATCATCTTTGCAACCTCAGACACCATACGTCCAGAAGCTATTGATATTATATCCCAGCTCCAGAAGCGCCGAGTAGATGTCTTCATGTGCACGGGCGATAATCAGACGACTGCCCACGCTGTCGCCCACATGCTAGGAATCCCACGCTCAAACGTCATGGCGAACGTTCTGCCCGCAGAGAAAGCAAGCTTTGTACGCTCTGTCCAGGACAGTTCAGCACGGACACAACCTTCACCACAGCCAAAGAAAGCACGCTCTATTGTTGCTTTCGTCGGCGACGGCGTGAACGACTCTCCTGCCTTGGCCGCTGCAGACGTCAGCATCGCCATGGCATCTGGCTCAGATGTAGCCATGAACTCTGCCAGCTTCATACTTCTCAACTCGGATCTCAACACCATTTTACACCTAGTACTGCTCAGTCGCCGCGTGTTCAATCGCGTTCGAATGAACTTTGTGTGGGCTGTTGTATACAACATTTGTCTGGTCCCCGTCGCTGCAGGGGTCTTTTACCCGATTGTCAGTGGTCACCACCAGAAGCTTGTCAATGGCGAGTCCATCACTGTCAACGATCATTGGAGGTTTAGTCCCGTTTGGGCTTCGTTAGCTATGGCACTGAGTAGTATCTCGGTTGTGATGAGCAGTTTAGCGTTGAGGATTAATAAGGAATCTATCAAGAATGTGATCCGTTGGAGAAGATGAAAGCCTTCATCTTAACAAGTAAATACATCGTTTTTCAGCGTGTTGTCTGCACTTATTACGCGTGACTTCTATAATAAATATGTGTTAAATCTGTGATCCTATCCCAAACTCCAAAGCCAATGCAACCATCGAACGTAGCGTTATACAGAGGTCCACGGGCATCTTCCTAGTGCCGTTACCCTGATTCACCCCAAACTTCTGCAATCTTCTTGCTCAGCACCTTGGCGATCTTTTTGCGACCCACTAACGACTGAAGTTTATCTGAGACCATCTTTTCCCTGTCCTTGGGATCCAGGGCCCTGTATGCCTCGATCAACTCCCGAGGAGTCTTCCACTGTCGCTGAATCTCAAGGGCTTTCTCTCCAGTGACACCCCGGGTGCACATGAGCATTTTGAGAAAGATATCACGGAGGGTCAGAACATCAGACTTACTCGTAAGGGCCGAGAATGTCGAAAATGTCACACCATATGTCGTGCATGGATCCTGATTGCGAAAGTTTTCCATAACGCTGAAGTAAGACTGCGTGGAAGAGATTCGTCCGCTAGGAATGAGAGAGATCTTAGAAGACCCAGAGCTGCTGGCTGGTGTACTCGAAGATGGGGATGAATCAACTGCGCCGTACATTTTCCGCAGAAGAAGAGTCATTCGCGCTAGATATCGAATTGAGTCATCGAGATTTTGAGTCTTTTTGATAAAATACCCATTGACGACTTGCGTCGAGGCAATGGCTGAAGCAACCATCTCTTGGTATTTCTGCGCCGTGCCGCTTCCAGCATCTGCATGTACGGCGGTGAATTCCTCAATCAAGTAGATGACATGTTTGATACCGGAACGGCGAAGACGGAATTTCTGTTCATGAAAACGACCGTCTTTGATAGATCCAATCAGATCATCTAGTCGCTTTCTCTCAACGATCCAGTCCAGCATTACTTCATCGCCTTCTTCGCCATGGCGAGAAAGAAATGTCGAATCGTTGCACTTGGCAACCCACATAGCGTCTCCTAGTTCCAAGGCACGAACTTGGACCGTGATACCCTGTTTTAAAAGTTCATTTGCGATATAGTCTCTGTCTGTAGAAGTGCGCACTTCTCGGGTATCCAAGATTAATTGGATTTTGAAACTACCCGGAGGAAGAGCGATTGGTTCAGTTGGACCGTCGGTATAAGATCGGCCTAATGAATTGATGGCTGGAGAATCATTATCTTCATCATTATCGCCGTCATCATCTCTCGATTTAGTAACAGATGCTGTTCTTGCAGAAGTCGTATTCCCAGTGTACCCAGGAAGGGTCTTCTGGATACGCTTGGCAACCTCCCATCCATCTTCAGAAAGCATGTACTTTCTGAGAGGACGTCCGTACTCACAGACTAGGTCTTTCGTGATGAGGGTTTTCATAGAATTCCACGCAGTGTAAAACTTTGTAGGATCTGAGGGAGCCGTGAAAGAGCTATCACAGTATGGTTGAGCCGCTTCAATCAAATTGGCCTTTGTCATTCCTTGGGTTGCATTTTCGTCCATAGTGGCCAACCCTAACAGGATTGCATATGGGCCAGATCGGAGTGCTGGAACATATGGCTTGGTTTTCCGAGCCTTTTTGACCGGTTGATCATCAAGAATTACACCATCCGACGTTCTTTTCTTAGCTTTGGCTATTCTCCCCGTTAGTTCTCAATACCCCAGCCTGTAATCATCATTAATATCTAACCTTGACCCGGGGGTTCAGGCATGGGAAGTCCCTGCGCTTCACAATGGGCTTTAAGTTTTGCTGTCAGGCGATCGCACAGCTTAGGTCCAAGTCCGCTCAACTGCTGAGCTTGTGATGGATGTTGAAATATAACAGGACATTGTTTCATTGAATCATAAGCTTTTTTATAGCTGCGCAAAGGTTAGACGCGAGAAATTGAGTGATGTATTCTGATACTGACACCGTCACACCCTTGCTATTCCGCTCCCGGGCTTCATCCAGCCATTCTTGGATCCATCCCAGTAGCAGGGGATTTTTAATATCGCTCATCGCGACAAACTTGTAGCCATTAGGCTAAGCTAAAGAGTTTAGTTGGCGACACGCGACGTTGATAACGCGTTTTAGTCATGTGACTGTTATCATTCCAAGATGTTGATTTTTCGACAGATCATAAAGAATCCTCTCCAAACTCGACTTCCTTGCGTACATGTGGGGTTCGATATTTACTGCTACATAAACCACTTCCTGTAATTTTCTGACCAAGATCTATCAAGGGTCACATCCATTGCACGAACCCAAACGACGTAGCAGTTAACATCGGCGATGTCGGATGCCATGAAAGAAACATCTGCGGATATGAAAATCAGGTCCAGAGTCCTGATCAGGCACCTGATTTATTTCATGCAGCTTATTCACTTGTCAGCTCTTTTAAGTCTTCGATTGACTGACTATAGACCCTACCTAGGTATGCTGACTAATGGGCGTTCTACGCCTTGGAACAAAGCACTCTCCATCGAGATACATCTCAAGCCAATATGATGGCTGTGAATTCCCATATCATAGAGTAAAGTGTACGGTGTACTCCGATTCAGGCTTTGCCACGCATCCACCTTAAGAGTCTAGACCGATACCGGTCTTATCCTAATATGACTGCATTCGTTTTAGCGTAAATAGGATCACGGAAAACAGTGATTGGGCTAGCTAGGAGTGCAACCACCGAGTGTACTCCGACTGGACAGTACTCAATTTCATAGTGAGACAAGCAGTTCCGTGCTCTGAGTGGGCCAACTCAAAATTCACTGCTCAGGGGATCAAAATGTATGGATCGCCATCTAACCACTAGTCAAACGTCAGCATTGTTAATATTGCTCCACAAACCGGACAGTCGGAGGTTAGACTCCCAAACACGGCAAAAACACCGAACGCCCTTTTAATTAGTTGGGGTTATAGTTCCAATTGAGAGAAACTGGAAAGGCTCTGTCTCTACTTGATTCGGTACTTAACTGGCAGTGCTTACTTACCTTCGACCCGAAGAAGTCGTTTAACCATTCCAATTACGCCATGGCTGCTCTCCAAACTGTTACAGTTCCCCACCTCGGTGGTATCAAAGCGGGTTACGCATTCGCGCAGAGCCCCTATGATGCATCCAAGCCGACATGTGTCCTCATCAATTCGATGTGCATGACCGTGTCTCTCTATCATGATCAATTTAACAACAAAGAGCTGACTGATGCTATGAACCTTTTGGCCATCGAGCCATTAGGCCATGGCTCGACTAGTTCTACCACTGAGCACTTTACCTACTGGGATTCTGCGCATATGGCCCTGCAGGTCCTGGACCACTTCAAGATCCAGAAAGCCTTTGCTCTGGGTACAAGTCAAGGAGGCTGGGTTGTAGCCAGGATGGCACTTCTAGCACCAGAAAGAGTCAGTTCATGACTGGCCAATTGCACTATCGAAAAGTACTAACGAAATAAATTAGATTCTCGGTATCATGCCTTTGGGAACATCAATGGACTACGAATCTTCAGACTCTCGGACCAAGGATTGCTGGGATCCTGCCACCAGCCTCACGACATTTTATGACAAATGGTCCACTAACTCGGCTACACCTGAGTTCATTGTAGATGACGTCTGGTGCGGATTGGTCAGCGGAATTGGCTTCGGAGCTGCAGCCACCGAAGAGGGAGCTGCATTCTGGTCCAAGACCCTAAAGGAGGTTTACAAAGGCGATGAAGGCCGGAAGAAGGTCCGTATGGCCCTCGGCTGCCTACTAGAGCGGGATGGGCTTTTGCTCCGACTCAGGGATATCAAGTGTCCCGTTTATTGGCTACAGGTGAGTAATATCGAGATCTACACGTGTATGACATGGATAAGAAGAATCTGACGAATCGTACAGGGATCTGAAGACTATCCGTTCGGAACGAAGGTTCCCAAGGAACAGATAAAGCTCTTCACCTCGTCTGAAGACGCCAAGCTTATTATGATTGAAGGGGGCGCACACTATCTGAATGCCAGTAACCCGAAGGAGGTGAATGAGGCTCTTTTGGAGTTGGTCACGAAGCACAAGTCAGCCTCTACATAGACGAATATTACTCCAGAGCGTTTTTATCTCTCAATTTTTACTATATTTTATCGTTTAAGACCAAAACTCCAGGAGGACATCTGCGCCACGAAAATAATCCCATTAGTGTTGCCGATGATTATCCAGGGAGTGGATATCACGGATGAAATTAACGGGGGACAAGACAACTAGAACTCCGAAGATGTCCTACCCCTGACAAACTCACTACTTATTATATACATAGGTATACATAGGCCATAGAATCTTTGAACATAGGCCGTAGAATCTTTAAAATTGTTCTGGTGCAGACAATAGCACCGATTTCAACTCCACCTGTCTCGGTGGCGACCGGCGCAAATCCCTAATCTGGTGTAGTTTTATTAACCTACCACACGACAAAAAAGAAGGCGCAAAACTAGTTTCAAAACAAACGTGTCAAATTTCTATAAGAGGGTATATCTTATGTAGATCATATATCATGTAGATCCACTTTGAGCTACTGTGTAGGGAATACTTAGTTATTGTACTTTCATTTTGCCTCTCGATTTCAATCAATACTTTGATCTAGTTTTTTCTATGTCTACTCTCTAGCCTTATACTATGGCAGCTAGCCACAGTCTACATCAATGGTCCATAGCGATCACGGCCTCAGTCACGGTACTGGCCTTCGTGACTGTTTGTCTTCGACTACTCGCTCGTTATGAACGGATGCAAAAGTTATGGTGGGATGACTATGCGATCATCTTTTCTATGGTAAGTCTACTTCCATAGATTAAGTGATGGTGGTCTCTGACATACAAATAGCTTTGGAACTTCATGGTTGTCGGCTTTATCTTCGCCATGATCAAAACAGGAATGGGTGAACATGCAGATACTCTTCCACCAGAAAACGTAGTTCTGATTGCAAAGTACCTTGTCGTAGCCGAGGTTTTATACGTTTTCAACCTCGTCTGGACCAAAATCAGCATTCTGCTCATGTACTACCGCATCTTCCACTTCCGGTACTTCAAGATATTCGCATACATCATCGGAATCTTCGTCATCCTCTGGGTTATATGCATCACCTTCCTCTTCATTTTTATCTGTGTCCCCGTCCAAAAGCTGTGGTCTCCTGACCTCCCAGGCCATTGTATCAACCAAGTTAGCACATGGATCGCGAACGCCATTTCAACAATCGCAACTGATCTCGCTATTTTGCTACTACCTCTTCCACAAGTATGGAAGCTCCAGCTTCGACTTTCAGAAAAGCTTGCTGTTTCATTCGCTTTCAGCTTGGGATTCTTGTAAGCCACGTCACTCTCACTTATTCAAGCCCATAACCTAACCTTTACAGTGTCGTCTTTGCCTCCGCGTACCGCTTCTCTGTGCTCTTCAGCTACAACTCTGCCGATTCGTCTTACACTCTCGCTCCAGTAGTAAGCTGGACCGCTATCGAAATGTCAGCCGGAATCGTGTCGGCCAACCTTCCCACCATCCGCCCTGCTATCCGATTTGGAGCACGCCTGCTAGGCCTTGATGGAATATTTGGGTCTCTACTCAGAAGTTCAGGTGAAACAAATGGTCCTCTCTCAAAGAATGCCGCCACCAGGCCATCAGCAACCTTGAAGAGCACTACGACAATCATCAACACTGTGGAGTCAGGGCGACATTCCTTCTATCAGTTATCTGATGATTCTGAATCTGGAGGAGGAGAGACACTAAGGGATACATCCTTCAGACCGGATGGTGATTATTCAAAAACATACACCAAGGTTGTTGGCCCCAGGGCATCTAATAATAGGGGTGTGGAAGATATCCAATTAACTGGCATCCGGGTGGATAGAGACTTCACGCAAACTACTCATAATTAGAATTAGATCTCTTTATCATATTCTTATTGTAATGTCTAATGATCAACCATTGAATCATACGATTAATAATTCAGCCTCCAGGGCTGTGGATTGTGAAGTTCATATAACTTTCGATATTTGAACGAAGTTTACAGATCGACATTCTGATCGAGTAGAGGAAGGAGTAATCAAGGCCAAATAATATCATATCGGAAGTGGCTTCTAGAAAGGTGTTCAAGGTGAATTAAATTGAAAATCTAGTTCTTCATGATTTTATGTATTTTATACTGAAGAAGTTGGCGTCGGGTAAATAGTAAATCCCTATGACGTCGAATTGCGGAGTAATGGAAATAGAAGCCGCGGATGAATCCAGACCTTGCTTTCTCTATCTCTCTTATCTTCTTCAAACATGGATCACTTGGAAAAATTGAAAACATAAATATCTCCTAAACCAAGAGGACTCCAATTGGATTTCAATCGTGCTTGCACTGCAATGGGTCCACCACCTTTGCCACCTCGAGTTCCCCCTAGACTCCCGCCTCGAAACGGAAACGAACAGGTGGAAAACTCCTTAGATGGAGCAACAGACAGTCACATTTTAGCGCAAGAAGAACCTGAAAAAGAGAGTCAATTATACGAGGCTAGCAGAAGACCTGAGATTGCTGATTTGGGATGGGCTAGACCTGCTGAGTATTTCGGAACACCCCTGATTGCTGGGTTATCTAACGAAGACTGGTGGATGCTGGTCAGGAGGTTTGATAAGGTGATTATTCACTCTCAATACCACGTTGAAAGCTCAATGCTAACTCAGAATAGCAAATCTATAATGTCAAAGCTGTACCGGATGCGCCCCTACAGAGGCTGGATCTGACCCGTGCTGAAAATGATGATTTCTCGCCGGATAAGCTGCGCGCTAGTGTTGAGAGATTTTATACGACAGTGATCATTAATTTCATAAGCTTTATTAAACATATTGCACGTCTACGTTCCTGGAAAGAGACCAAGCGAACAACAATCTTCTGTGTCATCTATTTCGTCTCTTGGTTTTTTGACCTGCTCATCACAACAATATGCTCGGGCTTAATTGTCTTTATCATGTTTCCCTCGATAAGAAGGATGCTGTTTCCCGCGGCGCCGCTTGCTTTAGTCAACAAGAATACTGGAGGCGTTCAAAAGCCCAAGGCTGGCGTACTGGGCTCCGATACCAGCGTGACCGGTGCTCCAGAGAATCTGAAAGGGGAAGCGGCCGAACAGGAGGCAAGCAATTTAGTAGCCGAAGTTGCCAATGTCGCAGCGGTTAGTGCAGTCGGAAAGCAAGACAGAGGGTTCGAAGACTCTGAAATATCCGATACGGACCCTACGAGTTTTGTTAATAGCTTCGCGGATGCAAAAAGCGCTGCTAGTGGAGAAATTCCCATTGATTCATTTGATAAAACGCGACAGCCGATGAAGCAAACCGTGATTGATGGTGCGGATAAGGTCATGCAGGTTCTTTGCGATATTACTGATACATTTGAAAAGTTTGGAAAGTATGTTTTCGGTATACTTCTTGTGTTCCGATAACTGACTTTTTATAGTGCTGTGTCCCCGACACCTCCATTTGATCAATTCGCTCCTCGTATGCGCTTTGCATCAATACTTGCCCCTATATGCGCAGTATCAATGCTTATATCTAGTTACCTCTTGATTAAGATCCTAGCGCTCGTCATTGGCCTGGCATTCTTTGGAGAGCCAGTGGTCAAGCACGGCACTGCATACTTGGATGAGAAATATCCTACCTGGAAGGACCGCATCCAATTAGGAAAGTAAGTTTTCAAATTGGTAGCTTATTAGCCTGGGTTACATCTACTAACAGCTGAAACAGCTCACTTCTTAAGGGGATCCCAACCAATGCTCAATTAACCCTGACGATCTTGCGCATCGGCGAGGCAAACTCATCACCACTGCCACCTCCACCTATCAAGCGCAAACCATCTTCAAGACCAGAATCCATCCGACAGAATAGTATCCCACTTGGCGCTTCCCAAGAAGAAATTAACCAAGCAGCTGCAGGTGACAACACCCTCCAATCAGATTCAGCACAGGGAGCAACCAAAAAGAATAATTGGGCGACCAAGTCCCTCTTTCTTCTCCGGCAGACTACGGCAACGGGAATCGAAGGTAAACGAGTCATTGACCGGATGCGCGCGGTTGCCGGCTCTCTTCGGGCCCAGAATCAAGTCGGCGTGCTCCGGCTTAAAGACGAAATGTCCAACCCTATCGGACCTACAGAGTTTGAGGGCCGATACCGGGGTAAACGAGGTGCTGTGGTTATCGATTCAACCAAGGAGCCTCAGATGCTTTATTTTACTACGGATATGTGGGGTGGTGGTGTCCAGATGGAGAGCCGGAAAGCGAGCTCAGTCTTGTTTACAATGCCCGTTACGGATATTAGAGAGTTAAAAAAGGAGGGCGGTATGGGGTGGAAGGGGAAATTGGTAGTTGGGTGGGCTATGGGTGCTAGGGAGGTTGTTGATGGCTTGCTTATTGTGGGTAAGGATCCAGAGCAAGCATTCCAGTTAACAGCTATGAAGACGAGAAATCAGCTGTTTAATCGACTGATTGCAATTGATACACAGATTTGGGAGTACTGTTGAAGAACACAGTGCACAGGTGGACTATCATGATAAATTCAAATTAAAGGAATCTACTGTTAAGAATCCAATTATTTCCTTCTAACTACCCAGATAAGTACTAAAAAATTTGGTTATGTGCTCTCAGATGCGAGCTTGTAGTCTCTCACTGCCTGTTCAAAAGACTCATCCCGTTTAAAACCAAGAGAGATAGCCTGCGAATTATTAAACCGAGTAGGCCAAGATCTCAAGATGGGTACAAGAGCAGGATCTTCCTTCACTTTCAGCAGAGCCAGTTTATCCTTGCCGCCCACCTTTTCCAACGCATCCATCATGCCCTGAACGCTTACACAAATCCCAGGAACATTAATCTGGCGAATATGCAACGGCACAGAGTCTGCCGGAAGACGAAGTGTGAGTAAAAGATTCTTTACAAGTGTACTAGGCGAGCAAAGCCACGACTTGAACTCCCGATCCTCGATGGGAATGATGCATTCCTTGCCGGCTAACGGCTCGCGAATCATACCGGAAAGGAACGACGAGGCAGCGGCGGTGGGCGCACCAGGACGAACGGATATAGTAGGAAAGCGCAGAGTAAAGCCGGTGATGAATTTGCGACGAGTATATTCATTGATAAGTGTCTCGCAGACAATCTTCTCAGCGCCATATGACGACTCTGGAGTCGGTATCACGCTATCTGTCACGACATCTGGCAGTGGCTGGCCATAGACAGCCTGACTGGAAGAGTAGATCACCCTCAATCCAGGACATGTATGTCTCAGCGCTTCGAGCAGGTTTCGCGTCGCATCAATGTTCACGCTCATGCCTAGCTCGAAGTTGGCCTCGGAGCCGGAGGACATGATGCCGTGGAAGGCATATACTGCATCTAGGGAGGAGTCGACAACATCTTTAGCCTCTGTGAGAAGATTTGCCTTTACTAAGGTCGCATTTTGGGGATAGAGAACGCCTTTCGGAATTGGAGGCTGGTTGACGTCTGTCAAAGTGACACGGTATGTGGGGTCATTCAGCAGCTCTTTGGCGAGTAATTGACCGATAAATCCTGCAGCGCCGGTGATGAGAATGTGCATCTTTAATTGTAGAAGTGAGAATATCAGAGATACGGATTCAATTCAGTTGATTTCACTGGGAATTCAACTTGTATAAGAAGTATTTGCCTTGTTCTCCGCAGTCGCACCAAGTCCGAGACTCTTCTGTTCCTCCACATCGGACTTCTCCCGGTAGATCAATTAGTAGTGGAAATTCATCCAGGGATTGAATAGACATCCCTGATGATTTTCAAAATGGCCTGTATGTCAAACTTCAGTACAAGTAATGCTTCAAACGTCTATATAGCTAATCTGCTGCCTAAGTACTATTCGGCGCATCATAGCGGAAGACTAGGGCTAAAACCCCACATCGGCTTCCCCCGACTTTCTTTTCCCCGCCAAAATATTTCCCGTAAAAATGACCGGAGTATCACCGAGTACAAATGGGATGGATGTTTCCCCACTGAAGCGCTCATCGACCGAAGCTGGCCTGGATTCTCCCGACAGCCGATCTGGGCCTGCGAGGCGTGCCCCCAAGATCTCTAAAGCTCGCGCATGTAAGTTAGGCTTCCCCACACTGTTGACTGTGGCTTGTGGCTGAATTACTCTCAGGTGCAGAGTGTAAAAGACACAAGATTCGATGTGAATTCAAACCAGGAGAATCAAATTGCACAAAATGCAATCGCACTGGTGTAAAATGTGTGATTAATGACTTTTCACAAAAATTCGTTGATGACGACGGGATGTATGTGATGCTTACAGCTCTTGTTAACCCCGATCGCATGCTAATTCCTTTCGCGACAATGTAGATGGAAATCACAGGCGGATTCTAGCCTATCTCAGCTTCATGCGGCTGTGTCGCAGCTCCTGCAACAGGCGGGATTGCCTGAGCTGTCGACCTTTTCGGGTGAAAATCGCAATGGCCCCAGCCCGGCCGCCTCTAACCACATTCATCGGCCGTCTATTGATGCTACCCAATCGCATACCTACCTCCAGGAGGGGCCGGGAGTGGTGATGGATGTGACCCGGGAGCCTTCCCAGGAGCCTGATCTCCAAGACCCTGAGCTAGTTCCAGCGCCTATGCGTAGTCTATACGAGGTCACAAAATTACGCAACTTGCGAAACAATCATATAGAGGCTCCAAAGAAGACGCTTTTAGAGGAAGATTTCATTTCGCGCGGTCTTATCTCAATACACGAGGCAGAAGAGCTTTTCGCATACTTTAGCCGCACTATGAATCAACTGCTTTGGGGCGGGATAATTCTAGTACATCGTGATCTGACATCCGTTCGCCGCGCATCAACGCTACTTTCCGTTGCAGTTCTGACTGTAGCGGCCCTTCACATCCCTAATCGAACAGAGACGTTAAGCCTGTGCTATAATGAGTATGTTTCGTTAGTTTCTACCATGGCTCTCACACGAGCCCACACCCTCGACGATATAAGAGGTCTCTGTGTCGGAGCATTCTGGCTGTCAGAACTAAGCTGGAAGCTTTCCGGACATGCGGTTCGAATTGCGACCGAGATGGGTCTGCATCAGAGTTATCAACGCCTGACTCGGGGTCGCTCTGATCAATATGAGCGCGCACAGCTTTGGTACTTGCTTTATGTGTGTGATCATCACTTCAGTATAGCCTATGGACGACCACCTGTTATCCACGAAGACGTGGCCATTCGAAATTATGAAAGCTTTCTCAAATTGCCCATGGTGGTGTCGGGAGATGTACGATTGCTGGCCCAAGTCGCGCTCTTTATGATATTGACTGAAGCATATCGAATGTTTGGCAGTGACGCTGAGCAGGCTTTGACCGAAGAAGATTTCAGCGAGCTGCGAATACACAACGTAGCAGTTGACCAATGGCGGTTACTGTGGCAGCCTCGATCAGGTACATCCTTTCTTTGTCATATTCCTAGTAATTTCTGACTTATTCTGTTATAGCCGATAGCGCGTATGTACGAACATACCCATCAAAGGGAGTAGTTCTGCACTACCATTTTGCCAAATTCCAACTAAATTCACTCGCCCTCCGTGCGATTTCACCCTCAAACACACCATCTTTCTCAATGGACCGCAAAGAAGCAGCCAACATAGCCATCTCATCAGCAATGGCCTGTCTAAACATGGTACTAGAAGAGCCTGATATCCGAGATGCAATCGTCGGTGTCCCCATTTTCACCCATACAATGGTCACCTTCTCCGCAGTCTTTCTGTTAAAGGTCGCCATAAACTGGAACTCGGCCTATCTCATTATTAACGCGCGCCAGGTGCGACGACTCGTCGAGCGGGTGATTGATCTTATGAATTGTGTTTCAGCAGGCGAGCGACACTTGACACGGCACATTGCACGTGGCCTAGGGAAAATGTTAGAACGGTTCGACTCGTGGGAGGCTGCTTGGCAAATGGGTACTCAGCATGGTGATGCTGTAGACAGTCATGATGTGCCAGGGGGCGCAAATGCCATGGCTCAGGGTTTTCCGCCGCCTGATCTGATATATGGCATGGTTGGAACGTATGGATTTGGGCTTGATGAGAATCTACTAGACCCCAGCCTGGCTGATTTTGAGTTCTTGACACAATAGATGAAGGTAACTCTTGTGGGTAAGATTAGCTATATATCTGGATTTTATTGCAAGAAAAAGCGCCAAAAGTTATAGAAAAAGGAGCAAAAATTGTTGCACTCTCGAAGATTTCAACTAGGTAACGCCTTGCCTGTGATGGCTTAGGGCTCTTTGTCTTGGCTCCCTAGCTTCGAGCAAAGCTCTGATGAACCTTAACATCATAGTGTCGTCCTGTTCTCGAGCAGGAATTTTCTTTAGCTTATATTGCTGTCTTGTTTCCGAAACAAGCCCTAGTCGCAGTCAAATGCTCTGGGAAATAGAGGAACAATTATTCAACAATATCAGAGAGATACGGTTCTACGACGCAAAACGAGTGGCCAACCCCTTCAAGTTTCCTTTTGTATGATCAAGGACTTTACGATATAGAACTATAAATTGAGTATGAAATTTATACCCTTTTCTAATCATATTACTACTAGTGTATCCTTAACGCTAATTTGAGAACAAAGTAGAGTATCTATAATGTCAATCTGATTTAGCCGCTTGCTGTACATATCGCGGAGTTTGGCTAAAACGCACTTTGTCGCACCCAGACTCATTCACATATATTACATAGTATGATTGGAAGTCTGATAGATTATATAGATGATAGGCCTCTAAGTCGTCATTCTGCTCTCTGGCATAATGTTGGACAGTCTTTTTGTACCAACATTTAGCTGCCAGGGCTCTCCTGACACTAGAAATCGCAAAAAGTTCATGAAACCCATCGTAGAAGAAGATTACCATGACTTCCAAAGAATATGGTGGTTGGGGTTTGAGTGACACGGACCTAACTCGAACAGGCAATTCACAGGTACAGAATAAGGACCTGTGAAAATGACGCCGAAAATGACAGCTTCTGGCGCCAGAAAAGGCCGCCTTTCCACCCGTAACTTTAGACGACAAGAAGCCTCTTGATCGCCCACTGCTCCCTCGACCATCACCAGCCAAACAGCTTCATGCATCATGGTATGGCCCTGTGGAGTTGTTAAAACAGTACGTTTAGGTATGGGCATTGAGCGGGGGGGGGGGGGGGGGGGGGGGGGGGTTTAAACCAATAAATCAATGTTCTGCCTTGTGCCTTACGCTAAACCTCATTTCGATGCATAAACTGAAGAATCACCACTTTCTACTTCATGAAATCTCTTAAAACAACCTCAATATTTGACCTATTTGCCAGAATTCTAAAGGTCTAAAGGCCTCATAGACCATAGGTGTCACTTGTGAAGAGAAATATCTATTTAAAACAGCGTTGATCGAGATGGTGTCAGGTTGTAGACTCAGGCAGGAGTAAATAGTAAGAAGGAAAGCTAAACTACCGCAAACACTGCAACAAACATAATCAAAGGTCGACACCACGGATATCCGTAAAACTGCTCCGACCGCTCACTACTGAAATCACTAACACCATTTCACGCCCCAGAATTTGACAAGTCAAAGATCATGGCAGTGATCAATGTAATTTTTTGCACGAGCTGGGAAGCTCTTTTCCCACAATTCGGGGCTTTGGAAATAGTTGCCAACTTTCCTGCAACGCTCCGCAGTAACATAAGGGAGAAGACCGGGGGCCGCGCGAAGCTTAGCAACCCGACTGTACTGGTCGACACAGCTCATTGCTTCTTCCAACTCCGGCGAGTCTTGACAGCCGTGTGCTTTGTCAAACTTAGGACCACATTTTTTTCGCAGCTCCTGAAAAATGCTCTCCAGAAAGTCGACGAATGCTTCCTTGCCTTCGTCAATGTCTAACTGTGCGGCACCATCGTTTACTAGTTCACGCATGGTATCTTTGCCAAAGACGTCCCAATCGTCTGGCCGTGGCTGACATCCGAATTTGCAAGACTGACGTTGGACGTTTTCAATAAAGACCCGAGGGCTGATGTTATTGATAGCATTGACGCAGTCCGTGAGAACCATTGCGCTAGCCGCTTGGGCAAGGCAAAAACTGGTGACAACGATGGCTTTGGTGACACGCATCTTGGGCCTTCCGATTTATGAGGCAGCTATTTGTAGGGAGTAGGGCTGCCAAATGCTGAATTTGTAATTCTCAGCAGAAATGATATGTAGTCAGAGAGCCTCGATGAAATTATAGTCTCTTGGCTTAAGAACAAGGCAGGGGAAACAGATCAATTAATAGTAGGGCTATCATACCGTAAGGGGCAATCGGAATGTTAAAACCTCCTTCAAAGGATCATCCACCTGTATTCATATTCTCACTTAAGTCAGACTAAAGAAAGAAAACCAAGACATCTTTCTAAAAACCTGTTCAAGGGGATATTCTTAGGGAGTTGCTTCATAGCTCTTGGAGGCTATTAGGGCGATAAATAAACATACTTTAAAGGGATCTATGATAATAAAATGACGTAAAAGCATTCGCTACTGGTGTAGATCAAGAAGATTAGGCCATAAGATTAAGTTCGTGGACCTTACTATTTTTTTCAATGGCGGCATGCAGGAGTTCGATCTACATATGCAGATATTTTTTAATGGTCTGAGCCAATAGTCAAAGTCGCACTCCTTGCAGAAGCTGAGGATCAAAATGAGAACTTCGGGTAAGATCATCCTATCCATCATGCCAGAGATACTCGGGGACATTGAACTTCGTTTATGGAGGCGAGTCATTCACCTTCATATTGCATAGTGAATTGTCGTTAATCAGGAAATACCGCGGTCAATACTTAAATAGTGATACATCGTCTAGGAGGTTTAAGTACTAATACAACCTCTTGACAAAATTTCGTTCTATCTTTCCAATATTTATTTCAATTGTCAATTTGTTGTGACTTGACAGTCTGTACCTGAAAGATCTTGTCCGACATTCTAGTTTTCTATTTGATTTATCATGAGTGAATCACACTCCACCATAGCAACGCAACCCCCAGAGATCATCTCCCAAACAGATGATACTCAATGCAATGGGCTGCGCTCACTCTGCCAGGAAAAAGCCTACAACATTGGCTCGACCATATCATCCAACGAGGCGATGAATGTCAGTGAGCCTCTGATTGCCATCACAGGAATGGCTATGAGACTTCCTGGTGGTGTTCGAACTGCAGAAGACTTTTGGAATCTGTTGATGAAAGGAAAGGACGGCCATGGTAGGGTACCAAGTTCACGATACAACATAAGTGCGTACCATAGTCAATCAAAACCTCATTCCGTCCGGGCGGAAGGTGGTTACTTCCTGCAAGACGACATCACGAAATTTGATACCGGATTCTTCGGTGTACGACCACAACTCGCTGCCGCACTAGATCCTCAACAAAGGCTTCTTTCCGAGGTGGTGTGGGAGTGCTTCGAGAATGCCGGGGAGACAAAAATCGCTGGCAAAAGAATCGGATGCTTTGTTGGGGTCTTTGGGAATGATTGGCAGGAGCTCGCACTCCGAGACGAGCAGGATTATGATCGCAACCTTGTAGGTTGTACCCATGACTTTGTTCTGGCGAACCAGGTCTCGCAGTTGTTTGACTTGATGGGTCCTAGGTCAGTCACTTACGAAGGCGAGACAGGATCTAAGTGAGTTTATTAACCGATATGTTGCAGTGTTACAATCAGAACCGCTTGTTCGTCTTCAATGATTGCGTTACATACGGCCTGTGAAGCTATTAAAGCAGGCGAGTGCGACGCTGCGATTGTGGCCGGCACCAATTTGATATTGACACCTACAACATCCACCGTAATGTTTGACTACAAGGCCCTGTCACCAAGCGGTATTTGTAAGACATTCGATGCTGATGCAGATGGCTACGGGAGAGGTGAAGCGATCAATGCGGTTTTGATAAAGAAGCTAGACGATGCATTACAGAGAGATGATCCAGTTCGAGCAGTGATCCGGGCCACTGCCATTAACTCTGATGGTAAGGTAGCTATGGCTGGAGTCCCCCGCGCCGAAGGACAGGAACAAGTTATCAGATTAGCCTATACCAAAGCTGGCATAGATGATTTTTCACAGACTGGGCTCTTTGAATGTCATGGAACAGGAACCCAAAAGGGCGACGTGATTGAAACTTCGGTTGTTGCAAATGTCTTCAGAGATGGTATTCTCATGGGATCAGTCAGTGATTCCTCTAATTTTTCATAGGCCCAGCTAACTCCTTCCAGGTTAAGCCGAATGTTGGTCATTCAGAGGGAGCTTCTGGTCTCACCAGCCTCATTAAGGCTGTCCTTTGCCTTGAGAACCGACTTATTCCACCCAATATTCATTTCCACAGTCCGAACCCCAATAGTAAGTCCAAGCTTATTTTTATCACACATCTGAGTTGCACGTGTCTGATCGAGTAAAGTTCCTTTTGAAACTGCAAAGTTAGGAGTTCCTGTTGAACCAACTCCCTGGCCCAAGGACAGATCTGATCGGGTCAGTATCAATTGCTTTGGAGTGGGTGGCTCCAATGCTCATGTAAGATATCCGATACTACCAACGCAAACGTGAACTAAATTTCTTCAGGTGATTCTGGAGTCGAAGAGGTATTTCACAAAAGCCGATCCCGAAATAGGCCCCCATGACCGACTTGCACAGCATCAGCTCCTCGTGATCTCAGCCAAGTCAGAGGAATCTCTGAGCGGTTGCCAAGCCCAGATTCTTCGCTATATTGAGAGCCACCCAGATTCACAGCGAGACCTCGCCTACACACTTGGGAAGCGAAGGGAACATTTGCGTAACCGGGGCTTCTTGGTTACAGATGGTAAATCTGTGAGCCCTGGACGTACTCTACAATTACCCCAGGATGGCAATGTTGAAGCTGTGACCTTGATATTCTCAGGCCAAGGTGCTCAATGGCCAGGAATGGGTAGAGGTTTGATCGGTCGCTATGAAAATTTCCAGAACGACATTAGGAAAATGGACTATGCCTTGCAGTCCCTAAAAGATGCCCCGACCTGGAGAATCGAAGGTACCGACTCTCGTCATTTCAAAGTCACTGATCAAGTCAATTTAATGATCCTTTTTTCTCTGTGCAGATGTCCTTTATAATCCAAATTGTCCTGATCTCAATGATGCCGAGTTTGCACAGCCATTATGCACTGCACTTCAAATCGGATTGGTCAACTTACTCGCCTACTGGGGAATTCAACCAGACTCAGTGGCCGGACACTCCAGCGGAGAAATTGCCGCTGCATATGCAGCAGGTGCGATTCCGATGAGCATGGCGATCATACTCAGCTATTATCGTGGAAAAGTGACAAAGTTACAGAAAGAACCCGGAATGATGGCCTCAGTTGGCCTAGGCAGATCAGAGGTTAGCCCCTATCTCGAAAAAGGTGTTGTCGTGGCTTGCGAGAACAGCCCTCGAAATGTGACTCTATCTGGAATACGAGGTGTATTGGATCGGATTCTGTCACGCATATCCTCTGATCATCCAGATGTGTTTTGCAAGGCTCTACCAGTTGATGTTGCATACCATTCAGGTGAGGCCTTCCCATGCCAAGTAGAACTACGATAAATCCCCAAACATACTAAGATGCATCAACTCTCTAGAGCTGGTTTTGGAAGCCGCTCAAAAATATTCTCACCTCATTGAGCCTCACATACGTCCAAATGTCTCAATGATCCCGATGTTCTCATGCATTACCGGACAACCGATATCTTCTCCTAAAGATCTTGACGCTATGTACTGGCGCTGCACAATGGAGTCACCTGTGAACTTCAAGCGGTCCATCAGAAAGCTCATTCACAATAACGACCAAAACAGGATGTTTGTTGAAGTCGGCCCACAGTCCGTTTTGCTCAGCTCAATGAGGCAGATCTTTGAAGTTTGCAATGTTCAGTCAAAGCTGACATATGCTCCTACTCTTCTGAAAGGAAAGAACTCAATGGACTGTCTTCTGCGGACAGCAGGAGAGCTATATCTGCATGGAGTCCAATTAGATATGACGGCTATCAACGGCAATGGCAAAGTCCTGACTAATCTTCCACCATATGTTTGGCAGCATGGAAAACAGCTTTGGTACGAGTCTCGTATGTCTCATAATTGGAGGCAGTCTATGTTTGCCCACGACGAGCTCTTAGGTCGCCTTTCCCCTGAGTCATCAGTCATCGAACCCTTCTGGAGAAACAGGTTACAGGTAAAATTTATTCCCTGGCTTTTAGATCACAAGATTGGCTCCGACATCGTTTACCCTTGCGTCGGCTATGTGTTCATGATTGGTGAAGCAATTCGTCAGATCACGGGATCAAAATCTTTCTCAATCAAGCGGCTTTTCATGAATACTCCTATGGTATTGGGTGAGAATTCCACAACAGAGGTTTTAACGAATTTTCGCCCTATGAGATTGACAGACAGTACCAAATCAAGTTGGTACGATGTCACTATTTCTGCCTATGACGGCAAGCAATGGTCAATCCACTGTACTGCACAAGTCAAGGGTGGCAAAGAGGATCATCCCAGTGACTTTAGTTCTCAACATAAGAATTATGCACGTCGAGTCGATGCCGATGGATGGTACGAAACAGCTAGGAAGGGGGGCTGGACTTTGGTCCTTCTTTCCGCAGACTTAGAGCTATCACTGTCGATCCGACCAGCTACCATGCCTCCGCTACTATTGTTCAAACCGAGGAAGGGAACCAAAATGGCCAAAGCTGCGTTGAGCCCGTGGCAATTGACCAAGGCCTTCAGCTTCTTGGTATTGCCGCATGCAATGGACTTTCGCGTCGAATGTTTAACCTTGGGATTCCCATGTCAATCGATTATCTCCATATTGCAAATGAACACAAAATCACAGAATCAGAGGTTACTCTTCAGGCTGAGTTTCCAATTGGTGAAAACGGTACATTGAAAACCTCACTGGGAGGATGTGTGTCTGGAGTCTTGAATAAAAAGCTCTTGTTTACTCTCAAGGGAGTCAAGTTTTTTCCTTTACCTCAATCGGGAATCCATACGAACATCCCATTAAGTACACGACTTGAGTGGAAACCGGACATCGATTTTCTACCTGCAAAAGAATATTTGTTCAAGTCTATGCCGGACAACCCCTCTATGTTATTGCTAGCAAAACTGATGGTTATTGCTGTTATTGACCTATTTGACCAGTTAGGCATCAGACCATTGAGCTTTGATTCTGCCGCACAGTATCAAGACTGGACGACTACTAACCTTGGCCGACTTCACCAGATTCTGCAATTTTATTTTCCTGACTCTCTCGATTGGAGTTTGGATCCCGTATCACTCCAGTCTATGTTAATCAGAGATGTATCTGCTATTGTTGAGTCTACCGAGCCCTGGGTTCAGCCCATTCGTGACTATGTCACACAGATACTAGATGCTATTGATGATCAAGTCCCATTATCGGAGCTTCTTATGGACGAGCGGGGATTCAGATCTCTATACGAGTTTGCAGCAACCAATGTTGACCTTGGTCAGACATTCTCATTGCTTGGACACTCGAACCCATCATTGGCAGTCCTAGAAGTAAATCCAGGGACGTGTGGTACCACTTCCGGTGCCCTGGTCACTTTGAGATCTGGAGATGGAATTCGCTTATACTCAAAATATACTGTGGCTTCAGACTGCTCAAATCTGCGAACAGAGGCCATTGACCGGTTTGGAGAAACAGAAGGATTTTCCTGTGTCGCTCTGAACCCCAAAATCACCATCGGAGCACATGGCTTTGACTCCAAGAGCTACGATTTGATCATCATTCCCAATGACTTACCCTCGGTTTTTGAGACAAAGTCATTGTTAGCCGATCTTAGATCTCTACTTACCCCCGAGGGTCGACTTTTGATTCGTGAGGTAACTCCGCCTGTTCCCTTCATTGATTTCATGATGAGCATGCTCCCGGCCCCATTGTCCATCAGTAGCGACATACAGCTAGAAAGCTCTTACTCTTCAGATTTCTGGACAACAGAACTCACTGGAGCTGGGTTTTTAACCCCAGAGTTTCACTCTTTCAATTTGAACATCTATCCCTGGACTCTTAAACAAGCAATCATCTCTAAAGTCCCTCAGCCGGAGCCCGAGAAGCAAAATGTCTTCCTTCTGGGCTCAACACAAACCCATAAATGGGCTGAGACTGTGAGACAGCAATTAATTGAACAAGGGTATAACGTTGTTGATGCCACAATTGAAGAGCTTCCATCTGGAAAGGGGGACGTGATCTCTCTGTTAGATGTACCAACACCTTTTTTGAGCGATTTCTCTCCAGAAAAGCACGATGCACTGATGAAATTATGCTTGGAAGGAAGACTAACCATTTGGGCTACTAAGAGCTCACAAATGAAATGTGATAACCCATCATCCGGTCTGATAACTGGATTTGCGAGAACGATTCGACAGGAAACTAAGGCTGAGTTCGGAACCCTTGAGATCGACAATTTCAATCAACATGCAGCAACCACTCTCGTCAAAGTATACGAAAAACTGCGTCGACAGTCCCTAAGTAACAACTGGGCACCAGAGTATGAATTCGCCCTGCTTGATGGAGTTGTTCATGTCGGTCGGTTCCATTGGGTGCCACTGGAGAAGATTGCACCTCCTGCTCCAGAAGACTGTCATTTGACCCTGGAAGCTAGTGCACCGGGGATTGGAAAATCTGTGACATGGAAAGAGAGACCTACTTTGGACCTGAACGAGCAAGATGTGGAGGTTGATATGTGCTACGTGGGGGTGAATTTCCGGGTAAGTATTTATTTCATCTTACATTCAAGAATATAGCTGACCATGCAGGACATTATGGTGACAATGGGTATCATTGATCGAGAACATGGCTTGGGTCTAGAAGGGAGCGGAATAATCCACCGTGTCGGACCAGGCGTTATGCATCTACAACCTGGCCAGCGGGTCAGCTTTCTGGGTATAGGGCTTCTCGCTACAAGAGTTGTTATACCTAGTAATGCCTGCTTCCCACTGCCAGACGAAATATCCCTGGAGGATGCCGCTACTATCCCGGTTGCATATAGAACTGCCATATACTCGCTGCTCACCGTAGGGCAACTGGAACGTGGACAGGTATGTTTTCGCATATTCACATTTAATGAAATCTTGAAGCTGATCAAAGCAAGTCGGTTCTCATCCATTCTGCATGCGGCGCGGTGGGCCAAGCAGCGATTCGTATTGCACAAACGATGAAAGCCAAGGTAAGTATATTGCCGCTGAATAAAGGATCCTGTATAGCTTGCTAACTATTATAAAGATATATGCTACCGTGGGCACAGATCAGAAGGCTCAATATCTTCAGGAAATATTCGATATTCCTCGAGAAAACATTTTTGAATCTCGAAACGCTTCATTTGTAGATGGAATCAAGTCTGCGACGGGCGGACAAGGCGTTGATATCGTTCTCAACTCTTTATCGGAGAATTTACTCCACGCATCTTGGAGCTGCGTAGCAAAGTTTGGTAAGATGATAGAGCTCGGGAAACGCGACTTCCTGGGCCATGGAATGCTGGATATGGAGACTTTCGGAGCAAATCGTTCGTTCATTGGAGTCGACCTCCTGCAACTTGGGTTAGAGAGCCCAAGCCGAGCCCGAAGGTACAGTCACCAAGCTCCAAGAAGTAAAGCATGGCTAACCAGACTATGAATTCAGATTGTCAGAGCTATTTGCTCGGCTTGCTCAGAGGGGCAAAATCAAACCAATTCAGCCTGTCAAGATATTTAGCCCAGCAGATATTCCAGACGCTTTCGCGTACATGCAACGCGGGACACACATTGGGAAGATTCTGATCCACATGAACAGAGACACAGCCACGCAGAGCTTGAGTAAGAAAATTACTGTAGCTCCTCTCACCACATTCAAATCGGACGCTGCTTACTTGCTCGTGGGAGGCCTTGGTGGAATTGGACGAGCTGTGTCTAATTGGTTGGTCGAAAACGGTGCCCGGCATCTTATATACCTCTCACGATCTGGAAAATCGCCAAGCAATGAAGCCTTCATTCAGGAACTTCAGGCACAGGGCTGTCAGCCAGTTGTAATAAATGGAAGCGTGTCAAATATTGAGGATGTGGAACATGCAATTGCTGTAAGCCCTAAGCCGATATCTGGAGTGATCAATCTGGGCATGGTTCAAAAGGTAAGCCATTCCTCCCACGGTGATTATCGGTTTTCCTGGCTTACTAGTGTATCTTTGTGATAGCCCTCAGCCCTTTCTGAATCTTCATATGAGGACTGGGTTTCTGTTCAGGATCCAAAAGTCAAAGGGTCTTGGAATCTACACAAAGCGTTTAGTCTCGCCGCCCTAGACTTTTTCGTCGTAATAAGCTCGATTACGTCTCTATGCGGCAGCATTGGACAAGCAAGTTATGCATCAGCAAATGCCTATCTGGACGCACTAATTCGCCATCGTCGATCTCTGGGATTGCCTGGTGCTACACTGAACTTAGGCGGAGTTGGCGATATTGGCTGCTTCGCTCGGGAGCCTGAATGGATAACAGCAGCCAACTTTTGGAAACTCCGACTTCTTAACGAGGAGCAGGTCATTGAATCAGTCGAAGCAGCCATTCGTTTATCTCAGACTTCTTACGGTTCGCATGGTATACTTGCAACTGGTCAAGTCATCACTGGCATGAGCACCACTCGCACACAAGCGAATCCTGCATACCGTATCCCTTGGAAGGATGCGAGATATCGTCTCTATGCCAATGTCAGCGAAGCAAAAGGAGATGTTCAGCAGGAACGAATTGCTGATAAGTTCAAACACCTTCTCCGACAATCTCAGCAGAATCCGGTTCTTTTAAAGGAGCAACAAGGATGGAATATACTTCTCGAGTACATTGGGCTGCAGATGAATGAGAAAGCTGGAACAGATGCAGAACGGGCCCAACTTGCTACAATGGCCATCGATTCCATTCTACTCATTGAGGCTGTCGGGAATATTCGTCGAAATTTCGGACTTGAGCTGACTCTAACCAGCCTCGCGGGTGCAAATACTGTTGGTGATTTGAGCAGAGTCATCCTGGAGCGCCTTTACGAGAAAATGGCCGGGGATAAAAAGTTATGATATGCGATCGTCGCATATCCCTGACGAGGGAAAGTGGACGAGTCGCAACCGGCGATTGAATTTCAAGAGAATGTCTCATATACCGTTTGACCCAACGCAGATAAATGGGCGTACGAAATCAAGTTTGTACAACAGAAACATTAGGAGTAAAAATTGTCAATCCTTCCAGTGTCCAGATATACCACAACTAGCAACTAACCCATAGGACCCTGTAATAAGTGAACAGTCGGTGGTAGATGTATGAAAAGGGATAAATTTGTGTCATTCTCAAATACAAAATACCCAATAGATATAGTCTGTTTAGCTAGTACCCCAGTTTGTCACATGAAACAAGTCACATATCGACCATTGAAATCTAAATTTTGCATGGGGTTAATCGACTATTGTTCTCTCTATTAATCATGATGCATTTCCTCAGGTTTCGCGATAGATCGAGAGAAGCAATACCTGAAACTCCCGATGAATAGAGTATTGGTAAATAGGGGTAGCATTTGAAGCAGTTGAGATTTAGCAAAGTACCTCGGTACGCAAAGCTTATCTTGCTATGGTTACCCTAAAGTATCAGGTGCTTGGGTAATCGCGTACGGCGCTGAATGCATGGACAGTCTCTACCTATGAGATATTAGCAACTTCCCCAATATGAGATAGATACGCCAGGTATCTTATTGGTCAGTCGGTCATGGTACCATGGTCATGCAAACGAGCATGTTCGTACCACGGTACCTAGGTTGTGAATATTTATGTTGAAGAATTCTTGGTTCGAATGATTTAGAGGATAAAATGGGGCCGCTGTTAGTCTATTTGATCGCAAAGACTACTTCCTCTGACAAATATTCAACAGTAATCTCAGGAATTTGTCAAACGACCTGAGATGCTAGACCGGATAATTGGCTCACCAAAAGAAATTAAGCTCTCCATTTCATAATTACCAATCTATTACAGACCCGCGCTAACAAAGGGCCGTCCCGAGCCGGAATCCCGACGGTAAGGGCTGCGACTAACGGGCTTACTACCCTGGTTAATTTTTCTTCACATTCAAGCCCCAAATATGCCCAAAGCGAGGCATCAACCTCTCTTTCTGGTCCCAGTACCTAGGGCTAGCTAATACAAAAGAATTTTGTCTAAGAATTCATGTCAATAGAACAATGCCAGCCTGGATTTTCTGGCTGGAAAGGGTAGGGGTGAGATCCAAGATACTAACGGTCTCTTTGCTTGTTGAGGCAACCACCAATGAGGTTTATAAGATGCATAAACTATGACTTAGGCATATACTAAGCTAGAAACGGACCGAAGGTATAATGATTGATTCAATTGAGTCTACTGAGTCTCTTAGAAACTAAACTAGGGATAAAATGACATAAGCATGAAGACTGCCCAGGATGACATGTTTTAAATGTCATGTGATGTAATGTGGGAGACCATGATGACTCCACATTACTTTCCTCGCATTCTTGCCCACCTTCAATTGATCCTAACTTCCAGATCTGTTCGACATTCCACATTCAGTCATGCAGGTTCACAACACATATCTCAAGTACAAGCGGGACCAGGCAAATCTTATCTTTTGGATCATCCATACTTCTAACTCCATCAGCAAAAAGCTCTCGCCTGACGCTGGACTGGCCACCAACGCCAGCTCAATTTCCTTGACAAAGCTGAATGCCCTCTCGGCACTCATAGTAAAATATGTGGACCCGATCCCAGCTACCATCTTTCGCTTGTTTGAATCAGTCATTGATGCTAGGAGAGAAACCAGTTTTTTCTACTTAAACCGTGCCGCCTCTGATCCAGACCCAGACATCCAAAAAAGCAATGAGTCGCATAAGCATTGGATAAATGGATTGACTGAAGCTTTCAATACCCTGGGAGGAGAGAATTGGCAGTCAATGAGGAAGGGCGACCCGCTCAATGAAGATGAGACAGAAGCTATTTTTGCGAATCAGTTTTCGACGCTGAGCCTGGATAGCGAGAGAAAAGATGTAGACAATGAAGAAATTGATGGCGACAGGAGTGAAGAGGATACCGATATTGAAGAAGATACAACCCCTGCTGCCCCCAAACGGTCGAAACAGAAGTCTACCAAAAAAGGGAAGGGCAAGGGGAAGGGGAAAAGACGAGCACGCAAGCCGAAGACCAAAGGAAAGAAAGGTGATGCAGTCTCTACGCCTGACCTACGAGATGTTCCCCTGGAGAGTTATCGCATCATTGAGGATGAGACTGGCACGGTCACGGATTATTTGATGGCTATCTACTCCCTCACTCATCAGTTGATAGAGCTCCGTCATTACATACAGGGTATTTGGCGAGAAGTAGCCTATCAGAACTTAAACAGTGCTGTTGCTGCAAATCTATCAAATGTTGCAATCATGACGATCAAGGACACGCAATCCCAGATCTTTGTTGATTTCCCTGGCCATGACTCTTTTGATATCGTTATGAAAACTCTCACGCGCGGAAATCCTGAAAAGTCTCAAGGAATGTTTCACATGCAAGTTTGGGGAGGGGATCGACAGGCGCAACAGGACATTGACGTGAGAGAAGAGTTTCTACTGAACTGCCATCAGGACTTATCCGACTTTATTGCCGACTATCAAGCAACACGGAGCGGCAAACCTACCAAAGCGATGCTCAAAAGTATTCAGAATTGGGATCCCAAAATGGACCTTCAAAGAGCAAGCAAAGAGCAGCGCTTGAAGTGGCGCCGAGCGTACACAATCAACTGGCTATATGACTTAGTCAATGTCTTTTCCTCGATTGTTGTACAACGTCGGACACTCAAGGGACAGAAAATCTCTTTGGAATCGGTTAATTGGGCTAAAAATGGACCCTGGTCTGAGCATCGGCGACTATACGGCCTAAACGAATTTGCTGGTGACATCACTCACCTCGCCGTACAGAAGCCAGGGACGGATGTTCAATCTAAAATTCTTCCCCACCATGTCTTCCAGCTACAGTGTATTGTGGACTCGCTTACTGTGTCTCGCGGCTGGTCAGTTAGTATTTTAACCGGCCATGTCCTGAAAGCGCCTGCTGCTGCGTTTCGACCGAGGCGAGATGTCGATCTCTTCATGGATCGTGAGGGGAAACAACCCAATAAAGGGTTTTGCGGATCAGTGGATGTACTGGACTCATTATTCGACCACGATGCTATGCTTCATGGAGACCCCAACCGCAACGCTTCACTCAAAGTATTACTGGTTGAACTTCGACAAGACATGATCAATTGGCTTGGAGAAAGCAAGTATATGTACGGCCTGACCACCATCCCTCCGTCACGATTTTCAAACACAAACAGCAATGGCTTATGGGAATACTCTCCCTTCCTGTGTGGTTCAGGTCTTTCGGAAGCACTGGAAGAGGCATATGGCATGGGTATGCTCATCTGGGAAAAGGTTCCTGAACCGATGTGCATAATTCATTTACACAATATGCTGGTTCAAAAACGCCTAATTGCGCGGCCGGTGGGTCTATGGAGTACACTGGAGTTCGTGTTCCAGGACTCCTTTTTCTTCAATGGGAATAAACCCACTTCCCATTTCGTCGATGGCATGCTGAATCGCACCGTTAAGCGCAATACTCGTCAAGAGACTTTCCGGAATCGTGCAGGAAGACAACAGCTCGCTCGAAGTGCAGAGGACTTGAATGAACTGCTAGATCCCGGCTTCAATCGCTTTTTTAAAACTCGATCTTTACTCCAGGTTTATCGGCGTGCCGATTGGATGACTGATCGAATTCCAGACGAGGAAACAGCACTTCCCTCACTTCTCGGCTTCATAAAATTATCCAAGGCTAAGCGAAGCCGAAATACAGCCACAGGCCAAGTTACTTTAGCAGAAACTGACCTCGTCAGGCGTGCTAGACTTAAAATGAGCGATAAAGAGATCATCAATATGTCATCCAAGATCGCATCCACGTTAGATCAGACCGATGTCTCCGAGTTGGTGAAGACTGCTATACCTGAGGGATACACAATGACTCCAGCTCGTAAACCCGGTCCTAACGTTCCTGCATACTTGAACTTGATCAAGTATGACTTGACTGATGACATCTGTGGCGAGATTCGACCGCTGTCAAGCCTGAACTACATAATGGTCCTCTCGCGCTGCTATGTCGTATTTTGTGCGATAGAGGATAGGCTACGGGCCTGTCGGAACCCAAGCTGGGTTATGGCTTACGAGACAGAATCTGTATTGACGAATGAGAAGCGAGTGTCTCTTACCATGGCGGCTCTAAAGGGGAACGATCCTGAGTGCCTGGAGATCATTGCAGATGTATTTGAGGAGCAAAGAGGTGGATTCATGGACCATATCTACTGGAAAGATCTGGTAAGCCCGAGTAATGTTCTTGAGCAGGAAACCCGCAAGCCCAGCACTCCACTTGATCCAGACTCTTGCAGTATAATGTAAGGGTATGGGCATGACCAACAGATTGTCATTATCTGTTTGGAAGGATTGCCAATAACAATGCCACATTGATGTTATATCAGAGAATGTTCAATTTCGGTATTATTTTTTAGCTACCAAAAAATTAGTCATGAGAAATCCGAGTGGCGAGATTATTACATCGCTCTAGCCAGAACATTTAACTGAAGGATTCCTTGTTTTCATTGCCTGATAGCCCTCTTCCAAGGACAAGAGAAAATAAGAGTCAGTTATCAATATAATACCTACTTTCGGCTCAATTGGTGTGGAACAATTCAGTCTTATCAATATTATAACTTGTTTTGAATGGCAGGCCGTATATGAAAAGTTGCCATTTTTGTAAATAAGATTAGTTTTGCGTTCGAAATGAGTGCCTTTTACAAGGTTCTCTATGGTGTAGAGCAGGTCTTAGTACATAATGCAGATATAATGTTTATTAGGGTTATTGAGTTAAAACATTGTTTTTGTTCTTCTATTCAAAATGGTGAGGTAATACTGAGCATAGCATTATAGGAGGCTTCTGTTGCTATGAAATTTGTAAATGAATCAGTGTTCTAGTTAATCGAGATGGCGTTTACTTGATGTCCCGGTTATCTGTTATCTGCCCAGGTGTCCATTCCCCATCCTCCTACCTCATCTACAATTCCACTCCCAAATTAAATGATGGCTGACGAGGAGGAGCGAGCAGAGAAACTGGCTGCGGCCAAGAAAAGAGTACGTTTTTCAACATCGGACAATGATCTCTGCCTCTCTAACACACCCTGGTTTAGGTGGCCCAGCTCCAGAAACAAAAGAAGAAGGCAAACAAGAAGACCTCTAGTGCTACAGATACTCCTAAAGACTCTGAATCAACAAAAGATCTTGAACCCGAGTCTACTGAAAGTACCCCTGCTACAACAGAGGAGCCACCAGTAACAGACGGTACCAGCAACGAGAAGCCACAAGAGGACAACAACACAGCTACAGAGACCACCGACACAAAGCAAGCTATTAAACAAGAGTCAGAAGCAGAACAAGACAAGCACGATGAATCAGCTAGATCTCCCGTCGAGCCAATGCCTCCTGCCCCTACATCCCCTGGCCCGGACGTCGAGCCGCAAGCTGCTCTACTCGATAACCCTCGTGCCGGCCATACTCGCCAACCATCTCTTTCGATCCAATCGAAAATGCGCTCATCCTCATTCCGCAAGACCTCCGTTTCCAAAGGCAGCTCCTCTCCTTCCCCGTCGACCCTAAAGTCTCCGCAGTCACTACCGCCTCTGACCGGGGACGGCGAATCAGTCCACGAGGTGTTCCGCAAGCAATCAACGCGTATTGAGGAGCTGGAGAAGGACAAAAAGCATGTGGAGAAGGAACTTGGGGACGTCATGGTGCGCTGGCGCAAGACAGAAGAACAATTAGAAGACTTGCGCGAGGCAAGTGTCGACGGGGCGGAGCTGCGAGAGAAGCTTAAGAAAGCTGAAGAAAAGGCAGCAAGCATTGAATCATTAGTATGGCAAAGATGATCTTGGATATTATGAGACCCTGAACTGACCTCTCACTAGAAAGAAGAGATTGCCGCGCTACAACGGCAGAACTCACAGCTTCAGTCTCGCTCACATCGCAATAATTCTGCCCCTGGAACTTCAGAATCGCCAGTAGATCTTATTCGTCAACTTGAATCCAAGTCAGCTACAATTGAGGCTATGGAGCTGGATATCTCGAATCTACGCGCACAGCTCACTTCTGAATCTTCCTCGTCCGAAGCACATGCGGCCCAGATAGCCGCATTAGAAGAGAAAGCGTCACAGAGCCAGACCGCACTCGAGCGTGTGCAGCGCGATCTGACCGATACCAAAGAAGCATTGACGCGCGCCTCGGAGAAGGCACTCAAGGAAGGCGTAGACAAGACCTCTACCGACACCTTGATCAAGAATCTCCAGCGCGAGATCGAAGAAGTCAAGAGTGAGAAGAGCGAAGCCGACAAGAAAATTGATACCCTGGAAAAGAAACTGCAGGCACTGGGTAATTTACACAAAGAGTCCGAGACTCGACACCAGACCCGATTGAAGGAGACGGAGAAATTAGAGAAGGAGAATGCAGTACAGCTGAAGAGGCTCGCTAGCGTCGAGAACGAGAATCTTCGTCTCCGCGAGGAACAAGACCGCACGCGCAAGCGCGATGCAAGCGGCGCCGCCGACGACGAGCTCGAAGAGCTCGAAGACGAAGAGCGTCAGCGGTTGGAACGCCGTATCCGCGAATTAGAGGGTGAAGTCTTCGATCTGCGCCGCGGTGTCTGGCAAGAGAAGCGCCAGGAACTAGCCGACCATCAGCATAACATCGAAGGTAGCGAAGCTGGCGGGGATGCCGGAGCGAATGCCTTCGATGATGTTGATCTGATAGGCGGCCGGCCTGACCATAGTCGTCGTCGTAGCATGGCCATGCAGCAGCACTCTTCACTTTCGACGGTACTGTCTAGTGGTATTGCGGCCTTCACTGGTAGTGCCAATCGCCCTCGTGCTGGTTCTAACCAGCCTCAAGCTACCCGCGGCAGTCTTGAGCTCCTAGCCGAAGAGAATTTCGATGACGAGTTTGACGAAGCGGAGTTTGCTCGAGCCCAGGCTGAAGAGGAGGCTCGCAAGCGTGTTGAGTGGGTACGTGAGATCAAGCGTAAGCTGCGTGACTGGAATAGCTGGCGCTTAGATCTTGTTGATAGTCGCGCTGGCGCTGAGGGCTTCGGCGTGGGTATGGGCCAAATCTTTGAGGTATAGGTTCACTGTCTTGGATAATTTGATCCTGAATAATTGCCGTTTACTTTTCTTTGGTGGAGGTGGCGCATATGCTTGTTATCTTATACCACACGACCTTGTTTCCAATATGATTTTCTTTAGTACCGTACCCAGAATTGAAATCTCTTGTTTAACCATCTCTGCGGAATGAATTCATACCTACGATTGTACAGCAGAAAATAACACCCCGGAAATACAAAATTGAAAACAAAAATACATGTAAAGAAAAGAAAGTACAATTTGTCTAAAGAAATCAAGAACTCTAATCAATCCGAATAATGCTTGCCTGTCAATACACCCTCAGAGCGTCCCCTCCTACGTCTTCCAATAAACTCAGTCGCCCAGCCTGAAATCTGATAGATCCATCCACCAGTTACAAGCACACCGGAGACAGTATTGATCAAGCGAATCAACAATGCAAGGAAGCCAGTTCGCTCCTCGCTGATCAACAGTAGAACTGGTTCGATATTGTACTTGAAGAAAATGCCCGGGACCAAGTATGGTGTCTCAGGGATCGCGCCAGATTGGCTTGTTGCCGCATACTGGTTTGTGAAGATCGTGTTCCGGCCACTGCGAGATGCCGCAGCGCCTGGCGCTCGTGTGTAGGCGTCCAATGCACCCTTACCTTTTGTGTACAAGGTTGGCACGACTGAGAGGAAGTATTGGAATTTGTAATAGTGGCTTTCACTCTCGGCGATAGTCTTGTCTAGTGGATTGAGAAGGGATGGGTAGTGGGGGCCGAAAGAAAGCTCAGTAATCATATGCGAAAAGTTGAAAGCTGGTTGCAATGCGTAGGTTAGTTGAGGTATTCGACAGATATTCGTGGTAGGCCCATGTCAGGAAATAAAATAGAGCAATGTAAAGGGAAATATAGAGGTTGGAAGGCCCAAGACATACCGCTATGATCCAAATGGGGCGACATCTCATTATAGCCATGTCCACGCGCAGTGATATGGAAATCACCCTGCACCTTGTTTCCTTCCAGACTACCATAGATACGACAAGAATCAGGAGTGTCACCCCAGCGCATGCGTGGGCCCTTGGCAAACTTCCTTCTCGCGTTATGTCGCACTTCGCCGAGAACATGGTGCACATGCGCGTCTTTCTCCTGCGCGTCCAACCGATCCTCAGCCTCATGGCTGAGGGTCTGATACTCATGTTCGCCATGAGACTCGAAGTTCCGCTTCTGCATCCATAGATTCCAGTTTGTGGGATCACGTTTCAGCATCTCGCCTGCGAGGATTCGATCACCGGCTGCATCTTGGATGTTGACTCGGAGTGTATCGCAGGGCATATTGACCACAATATCGAGATTTAGTTGGAGCTGATGTGAGACGCCTTTCTCAACGCTGAAATGGTGCTGTTCTGTTCCTTTCCACCATGTTTTGAGCTCATGAAATCCAAAGACTGTGCATATAAGTAAGATTAGAACGGTCCATTGGCCGCCGCGGTGGGAGGGTGTTGTGTAGGAAGCTTTTGTTTTAGCTGTAATTGTATGTCATGTCAGCGATTCTGTTTATTCTTGGTCGTTTGGATTGTTCAATTGGTATGGTTATTCCAATGTTGTGCTGTTGTAGCTTTGGGGCGGAAAGGGCCGTGTTGTTTACTTACGGAAGGCATCAAATGTCTTCAGTCCTGATAGACTTGACTTTTCCCCAAAGGAATCCTCGTCGAGGTCCTTATTTTCGAAGCCGTTCATGATTGCAGATCAACATGAAGGGGAGTGCGCATCCAAAGTTATTGAAGGTGGAGAAAGCGATAAGAGGATGAGGCCAAGTAGCCCGATTGCAGACCCACTTTACAGTCAAGTTTCAGGTACAAATTTAGACAGCTTCATCTACATAGACTAGAAAATCCACGTATTTCGGGGAGCAAAAAAATTAGCAATATTAGCAAACTTAGCAAATAATGCATCAATTGTAAGTCTGAATGCTCTACATCAGTAACTAACACCATGAATCCTTTAAAGGATGCAAAAATTTAGAAAATGTACAATGGCAGGACCGAAAAGGCCCTTATGAAGAAAGTCATCAAAGTAAAGCAAAGAACGAGGGGCAAGAGCATAATAGCCCCTCACAAAATCATATCAGGGCTCAAATGCAAATGCTGTCAACGAACATGACGGGTATAGGATGAACCGTGGGTTCATATGCCGACATGACAAACCACCCGACACAAGGAAGAAAAGAAATGAAGTGAAAAAAAAAGCAAGGGAAAAGAACACATGAATTATGATTACAGAGATGAGAAGCGGACATCAAAAGCATGAGAAAGGGGGGATGGGATTCCGTTACTTCGTCCTCTGTGCGGTTGGTCAGCATTTCAAGTTCCCAGATCCCAGCGCTTTTTTGTACTCACTAAGCTTGTTGCAGCCGCCGCAGTTGCGAGGTCAGGTCTACCACTGATGCTCCTTGCTGAAGCACGAGGCAGCGCAGTCGCAGATGTGGTGGAATTGTTTGACGTTCGCTTAGCAGGGCTGGATGGAGGAAGACCGCTCATAGTCGAGACGCGCTTCCCTTTGACTGGAGAATGAGTCGACATCTCGCGATGGCGAAGGAATGGTCCAGGCTTCGAAGCGGGGGGTTCGGGAAGTGGCCGCGCAGTAGAGGAAATCGTGGCGCTGCGCTTACCCGGAGAGTTCGTTGCGGTGTACATCCGGGGTCGAGAGACTAACTTGACACCGGTGATGAATTCGTGCTTCAAAGCGTCGTGCGGAGTCAATCGTCGGGCCGGATCCCAGCGAAGACAGCGGGTAATGAAATCGAGGAAAGCGTCATCGTCACATTTAAGAACTTGGCGGAGTTCCTTGGTGCTGGGGCGGCGACGTCGTCCTTTGGAGGAGACAGTCAGTCGCGGCTTACCCAAGGAATCGAAGAAAAGCTTCTTGCGCGTGCTCTTCTCAATTAAGTGTTTCTCGGGAGGTCCAAAGACTTCCATAATGCAGGCCAGCTGCTCCTGTTCATTCTCGCCAGGGAAGATCGGATAACCGGTGAATAATTCAGCCATGATACAGCCAAGACTCCACATGTCAATGGGCATGCCGTAAGACATTCCAAGAATGACTTCAGGAGAACGGTAGAATCGACTCTGAATGTAGGTATAGACCTTTTCGTTCTCAAAACAGCTCGATCCGAAGTCAATAACACGAATCTCAGAACTCATCGGATGAACAAGAAGAACGTTCTCCGGCTTCAAATCGCAGTGAATGACCTTCTTTGCATGCAATAACACAAGACTGCTGAGCATTTGCTTCGTGAAACGGCGAATGAGCTTAAGATTGAAGCCACGGAAGTCGTGTGCCTTGATAAACTCATAAAGGTTGATGCCGAGTAGTTCAGTCGAGATGCAGAGATGACCACGGAAATAAAAATTTTCCACAAACTTCACCACGCTGTAGCGACCTTCAGGATCCCAGTCCTTCAACTTGCGGAGTAGGTTGACTTCGATCAAAGCCTGCTGGTGGAATCGCTTTTTGTTCCGGATGATCTTCACTGCAACGAGAGCACCAGTCTTATGGTCAACGCATCTTACGACTTGACCGAAGCTTCCCTTGCCCAAAAGATCAACAACCTCGTAACGGTATGCAAGATGATCGCCATTCACAATGTTATAGTCACCGCGATCATCGTCGTACCCAAAGTTGGCAGCACCGGAGTGGAGATCCCCTACATGTTTCCTTGCGTTTTGGGTGCCGCAGAAGAAAACATCTCTGTAGTCAATGATTTCACCACGCTCGAAGATATTCAGATTAGCCATCTTGAGGGCAGCAGCAGGACTGACTCGATCCTTCGGCCCGGCCTTGTGACGTAGCTCGTCCAACGATTTCGCTGCCTTTTCGAAATCCTTCCGCTTGGATCCTAGTCTCCTCATCTCATCATCTGCAACCACGATATCGGCATCCACACCACTACTGTCAGTCGTCGCCCGAGAAGAGGCGGCTGGACTAGAACGAGCAGTGCTAATCATCTTCTGAACCGAAGACACATACTTTGAAGCGGAACGCTTACTTGACTGATCGCTTCCGGTGGAATCGTTAGAAGGACTGGGTTTCAGGGTAATATTTTGTTCACTGCCAGTACTTGGCTTCTGTGAGGTGGTGACTGGCAGTGTGACACTCGAGGCTGATGACTTGCGTCGAGTATTGAGATGATGGGATTTGTGACTCGGGCTGCTTGATTTTCCAAGAGACAGATTGTTCCAGGTTGCAGAAGCGGGAATCTTAGGTGGCGGCATGCCGTTGTACTTTACCGACTCCGTATCGACTTCCAATGCCTGTTTCGGCTTAGAGTTGCTCCGGATTCGTGCCACATTCAAACGATCTCGAAGAGACGTGCTAGATACGGCGGGACTCTCTGGCTCGGATGGTGTTGAGATCTGACCAAGACTTTCCGTAGAGGGTGTGAAGATAGCACTCTGCGTTTGAGGTCGCGAAGCAGCCAGTTTCTGCGGATGAGGAGCACCAGGGGAGTAGTCTCCACTGGCCGCCTGTTGACGGAGAGTATTGAACTCGGGATTCTCCTTCGCTAAGGCGTACGACGCGTATGGGGAAATATTGCCGGTACCATTAAGCGTATCGAAGGGACTGCTGTTCGCTCGCAGTGTTGCTGTGGAGTTAGAGCTCATTGCGAAATGAGAGGTACTGCTCCGTAATTGATTGGCAGAAATCCTGCCGTCGTCGTCATCGTAAGCCCAGAAATTGGCTTTGGATGCGGTCATTGGTGTACTCGGAGTCTTCGATAGAAGATGATGCGGGGTGTAGGATTTTCGTTCATTGTCCCTATCCTTCAAGGCCTCGATCTTTGCGGCCATTGGAGTTCCCAGGGGCAGAAGATTCAAAGGTGGCAGCTTGAGAGGCTGTAAACCTTTGCGACCCAGAACCGTAGAGGTTCGCGTTCGTGCCTCTGGTGTTTTGGGAGTTTGGTGAGCCAGGTCATTATTGTCATCACCTGAGGTATTTGATAGGCTGTTATGTTCCGAATCTTGAGGTTGTGCAATACTCAGAAGACTAATATCAACTGGCAAACTGGGTTTTCTTTGTACAGAAGGAAACATAGGCCCCTCAAACTCGCCCTTGGGGGACTCATATGCTTTGGGAATGGCGGGAACAGGGGGGACCTCTTCTCCTGTATTATTTGCTGATTGATCTGTGCGAGGCTTGGGTGTAGGCAATCGTGAAGATGAAAAGTTCTGTGAAAGGCGCGGCTGAAGCGAGCTTCCAGAGTTTCGCACAGAGTTGTAGCTCGTATTTGACGACAAAGAAATACCGGAGCTGTATGATTTTCGGTTAGGGTCTGGGGTTGTTCTATTGGAGGAAGGTGTGACACTCTTTCTCGGTAGAAAGGAGGGAGATTGAGTGGTTGATAAAGTTTGGACCGGCAGGGGTTCCGTCTGAGTAGGTGGAGTTTGCGGTATAGGAGGCGCGGGAGGAGCAATTGACATCCGTTTCATACGTCGCGCGTCAGTTGGGCTAATTGTACGGGCGCCCAAGCCTGTTGCATGCGGCATAACAGACATGCGCTTGGAGTTGATCCCTGCTTCCCCTTGTGTGTCTTTACTAGGTGTGCGAACGGCATCTGTTGAGGAAGATCGAGCAAGATCGGTTGTTTCAGACGTAGTTAAATAGGGACCACGCGGTTGATGTGCAGTCGGCTGGAAAGATTTTGCCTTCTGACTTCTCACTGAAAAAGGGACTTTTGATTCATCTTTATTTGTCTCCAACGGCGGAACCCGCTGAAAAGGGAGGTTGGCTGAATCTCTTGAGGTTCTTGAAGTGTTTGAATCCTTAGAACCCGGTCGAATGTCAGTACTACCGACTTTATTACGCATACTCAAACTCGCGCGCCTGGCGGACGCATTGGTGTGAGCAAACGCGCCAGAGCTGATCGACTTTCGTGAGGAACCTCGCGGAACAGCACTAGTCCCACTCGAAGGCTGCGACTGAGCGAGACTTTGACGACGCGCTCGTGTATTGGAAGATGTGACTGATAGAGGCGGGTTCGCAGGATTTTGACCTATAGAGCGTGCAACCTCACTTTTGCGGCGAGATGTTCCTCGAGTGCGATCCGAGATTTGACTTTCATAGCTGTGGTTTGTCCAAGAGCTGTTCGTTGACAACCCCGAATCTCGATTTTCAGACCCCGCCCCGCCCTTTCCAGGCAGGGGAAAGTGGTTCAAGCTGGCTTCTGTCATGATGCTATTGTGAAAGTCATCAAAGTTGATAGGCGCAAGAAAGTCCAGATTCTCCGAGGAGGGTTGAGTGGGTGCTATCTTCGCCAGGTTTCCCATGCTAGTTGATCGGAGATTATAACTTTTGGTTGACCCGTTCGCTGAGTCGATAGACGAGTTTTGCGAGTGAAGATATGTGCTGCCGATTTGTTTGCTATGCAGAGATTATGGTTAGGTTTATGGACGTCCTTGGCCGAAGCAGCAATAGGGGGGCGAAAGAGGTATTGAAGTTCACTCACTTCCAGCGCGAAGCATCCTGTGGTGGACGGGGCCCCTGAGGAGGTTGTTGACCTCGAATGGACATCCTTCTCCGATTTGATAAACTGGGAGGTTGACCATTCGAGCTCGGATGTTCGGGATTGCTTGATGTATCCAAGGTATGAAAGGTTGTAGATGCGGACTTTTGGATACGTCTGCGGGATGGAGTTTCTGCTGTTATGAAGTGTGTCAAAACATGACGTCGGTAACGAGGGACCAAAATATAGGAAGCCTACCACCAGAGCCTGAATCATCGTTTTTTGAGGGGTTCGATGAACCGTTTTGACCCCTCCCCGGAGGCTGTGAGGATCTGGTCTGCATTATTCAAAATTCTAACCGCGGCTCCAAACAGCGGAGGACAGTGTACAAATTGACCTCCTTCTGATTGTCAGAACCTGAGGACTATCGTTTATCAATCGCAATGGCATTCAGGAGAACATATGGGGATCCAAACAAGGAAATGACCTAAAGTCGCGCGACCCGTGTCTAGTAGAACAGCTACCGGTCCATATCGGAGGATCGAAAAGAGGGAATGCCGTTCAAGGTGCCAGGAAGAGAAGAAAAAAACCTAGCGAAAGATCTTTGGGTACAGAGCAACTGGAGGACTAATTTTTGGGTAGAGCAAATAAGTGTTGCTGGGGCAAGTGGGCGGTCGCAATGGATACCCAGTTCAGGATCCACTAAACAAAGCACAAAGAGGGAAAAGGACAGAGAAGAGAGAAGAGGAAAAAGAAGAAAGGAAAGTACGACGAAGATAGTGGAGGGGAAAAAAAGGAAGTAGACAAATAGCTTCCCCTGATTGAGAGAATCTGCAAGCGTTTAAACGGTAGACTCTTATCCAACCCGAAGCGTATTGATTTTGCCGATCTTGATCCATACGCGGTACAGCCCTTTCCACCCAATTTTAGGTGCAATTCCGTAATTTAACGGGTATACTGATGTCTAAATGACACCTGACATCCCGTCCTCATCTTCCCTCTCTCAACAGCCACTTGAAAACAATCATGACATATTCATGAGCTTTAAGAACATTTGAACTTACAGTATGGAAGCCCCAGAATCCCCTAGTGGTCCAGCTATGGGTCCGAAGCCGAGACGTTCAAGTCAAGGATCGCTCGATAGTACGCATTCAAGAGCATCCTTTTCAAAGGCTTTTATCCAGGATAGGCTGTTTACCAAGTAAGTCAAGTCTACAATTCATCTGTCGCCTGATTTCATGTATGGCATCGCTGACGCCACTTAACTCAGGCTTCTCCAGCAAGTCATCCCCTCAGACAACGACGAGGATGAGAGAACTACGGGGAACAAGGCCTTTGAGACAACCACTAAGAAACCACCTTTCAGTCTTCCAACAATGGCAAATAACTTCCGCCGCTTCAATGCAAGGTGAGAAAAACAATATATGATTATTCTAAACCTCTCTAAAAAAATACATATATAGAATCGGCGTGGTCTTTTTGTTCCAGCAAGATGTGGAACTCTTACTAGCCTGGAATAAGCCAACTCATACTCTCTCATTTCTCTTTATCTACTCGTTCATTTGCTTGGATCCACAACTCTTATTGATCTTGCCACTAGTGGTTATACTACTCAAGATCATGGTTCCTGCTTTTGTGACTCGTCATCCACCTCCACCAGTCACTTCTACATCTAGTACAACTCCTTATTACTCTTATGGAGGACCGGCGCTGGCGCCGGCCCAAACAATTAAACCAGCTTCTGAGACTTCTAAGGATTTCCTTCGAAACATGAGGGATCTTCAGAACGTTATGGCAGACTTCTCAGATGTTCATGATGCGACAATTTCGGCGGTGGCCCCGTTGACAAACTTTTCTGATGAGAAACTATCATCGACTCTCTTCCTAGGATGTACAGTTGCTACAGCGGTTCTATTTTTGACAGCACATCTTCTCCCTCTCAGACTAATCATGCTCGTTGGTGGAAATGCAGCCCTGCTATTAAATAACCCTAAAATTCGACTCTTCTTTCAGGACTTCATGGAGGATGTTGGTGGAATGGACCAGTCTGCAATTGATGACAGTGACGAAAACAAAGAATTCTTCGGGAAAAATGTTCCTGCTAATCCATCTGCAGTAATGTCTGCCATGGAGCAGCTGGCGGAGATCATAGTGGATAGCGATCCGGAAGAGCGAGAAGTTGAGATTTTCGAGATCCAGCACCGGGCTCCGGGGTCTTCGGAGTCTGGGTGGGAGATTTTCTTGTTTAGTCCTCAGCCATACTACCCGCTGTCCCCGTCTCGCATTGCTGGGGATCGGCCTCGTGGGTGTCGATTCTTTGACGACGTGCAACCCCCATCTGGTTGGCAGTGGAAAAGCAAAAAGTGGGAGCTTGACCTCGATTGTCGGGAGTGGGTGATGGAGCGTATGATTACTGGCGTTGGATTTGAGGTCCCAGGCGAGACCTCAGATGGCAATTCCACTGTCGATGAGATTGGAGGTTGGGTATGGGATCTTCCATCTGATCCATCACCAGAGGATGAACAGATACCTATCATGGCTTACGGTGATCTAGCAATTGATGAAAAGCCTTCGTCTTCCGCTCAACATACAACTTCCAAGGACGATTCCTCCGGTCGCGATTGGGAAGAGGCCCCTGCATCATTCGGGGTAGGAGAATGGCGGCGTCGACGGTGGGCGCGAGTTGTACAACGCATGAACCTCCCTCCATCTGGCATCGTTACATACTCGACCCTCCAGAATAACTGATCACTTACGATACCACGATACCACGCATGATACAAAGTTCTTGATAACTCTTATATGTATTTGTTCAATTCCATGCCACTCAGCTGCGCAGGCACCCGACCTGTTACGAGCGTAGCCTAGTGATACATGACTGTAGTCACTGCTCATAAATTATCATGGAAAACTTTTATAAACATTTAAACGCCTCAATCGCCGGAACCAAATGCTCAAGGAATCCCACAACTTCTCTCATCACTCCTGAGTCTTCTTCCACTTGTTAATTCTCCTCCGCAAGTCACCCTCAGTCTGCTGCATGGGGTTCAGCTTGCGGTCACGAGTCATAGCAGAATAATTCTCCCCGTGCTTCTCAATCAGCCGCAAAACCCACTCTGTCTCGCGCTGGCTCTGGAAACGAGGCTTTTTGGCCTTGGCATCGACTCCCTCCAAGTCCGCCTGGCGCTCCAACTGCTTCACAACGTCTGTCTTGGGACCAGAGGTTTCAATATCCACTTCGTTGTCGGATAGATCGTTCAGAGGGTCATTGAGCGGGTTCGCGCGTCGTCGTTTCTGACCGGCCACTTCAATCTCGTCATCATCGTGAATCACTCGTAGAATATTGCCGGCTTCGTCACGCTCGACTCGTGTTTCACCCAAGTTGATCTGAGCTGCTGCCTTGCCACTGCCCTTAATGTGCATAGAGTGCGAGTCCACAGTGAGTTCTCCTTGTCCGGGAAGTCGTTCTTTACCACCGGCCGGGGCGTTTAATTTGTGTAGCAAACCAAGCCGATTGTAGTTTTGAGTGAGGGTGAGCTTCTTGTCCCTGTTTTGCATTGTTAGCGCATCATGTCCGAGTAATACAACAAGCATTTTTCTTTTCTGGAAGGCATACCAGTTTTCGGCGATGATGGCGTTACCGAGAACATTGATCTTCTTGTTACCGTTCTTCCGGCGGCTGTACTTAGCCCGGGCCTTGGTAAGGCCAGAGCGGTTCTTTCTCTTCTGCAGGATTTTACCCATTGTTTCTTTGTTGAGTAGTTTGGATGTTGCGTGAAGATTGGAATTATCGTTATCGAAACTTTTTTTGGAGTTTGCATGATAAGGCTTGGCATGTTTGCTCCAGAGACCGAGATAACGTGGCGATAAGAACGTTGTTTGTTCCACTCTGCAGTTGTACTGCCTGAGCTGTCCTTTATACCAGGCTTTAATTCCTACAATGGCAATTATGGCATCACGGTTCCTTCCATCACACAGCATGGGCCTTGCCCTTTTTGCTGGATGCTTTTTGTTTTCTGTTCTAGCCGCTGCTAATGTGAACCCCGAAGATCTGTCTGTCAGTGAGATTGAGGAGCAACTGCAGGTATGCCTAAATAGACCTCACAGGCTCTTCTCTCGATGGCTACTAATATTTTATAGAGCTGTGCCCTTGTGGAGTCTCTGAATGAATATAAACGCGCCACCACTCCCCAGACACCTAGCTTTACTGCCAAAATATTCTCCGTTCTCTTCCCAGGGAGCCCAGCTGTTAACGCGCTCTTGGCCACGGCTTATATCTCTGGTCCTCCCAGTATGCTAGAATTTGTCGTCTAGAATTCTCCCAATCCAATCTAACCAACTTTCTAGATTTTCTCCTAGCACTATGCCCTCCCAATATCGATCCCTCGTCGCTGTCGGTCATGGTTGCCTTCGCAGTGGGTGGACTATTGGGTGACACATTGTTCCACCTGCTCCCAGAGATTTTCTTGGGTGAAAGTTCTCCAGATCATGTCAGCTTTGTAATGGTCGAACCGAACAAGAATCTCCTCCTCGGTCTCGGCATCATGGTCGGCTTCTTCACTTTTGTTGCAATGGACAAGACCCTGCGCATCGCAACAGGGGGCGAGGGTGGCCATGACCACTCGCACAGCCATGCGCACGCCGACACAGCAACCGCATCTACAACTAGTGCTACTGTCAATCAATCCACTGGTGAGCTGAAGCAGCGCAAGAGAGCTCAACCTACCCAGGAAACTCTTACCTCAACGCCAGAGAAGGAGATCAATCCTAGCGTCAAGCTGGGCGGGTACTTGAACCTCATTGCTGACTTCACTCACAACATCACTGATGGCCTGGCCCTATCTTCGTCTTTCTATGCGTCGCCTACTATCGGCGCCACTACCACTGTCGCCGTGTTCTTCCACGAAATCCCCCATGAGGTTGGTGACTTCGCTCTGCTGATCCAGTCCGGGTTTTCGAAGAGAAAGGCCATGGGTGCGCAATTTGTTACTGCAATTGGTGCGTTCCTCGGTACTCTTATTGGAATTGCTGTCCAGGAGTTCGGCGGTAATGGGACCATGGTTGAAGACGGTGCTGCTTCCGGACTCTTGGGCACAAGCCTTACCTGGGGTGATATGCTCCTTCCCTTCACTGCAGGAACATTCCTGTATGTTGGCACTGTTGCTGTCATCCCGGAGTTGCTAGAGACTGGCAAAGATAAGGGTGCCGAGATTCGACAGACTATCACCCAGTTTTTGGCTGTTGCTGTCGGAGCAGGGATCATGCTTTTGTGAGTATCTCTATATATCTTTTCAGAATATTACTAACTCTATACTATTAGGATCTCTTGGGATTGAGCCCTTTTCCTGTTGGATTCAACTCGAGTTTTCGGTTTGTGAATTTATCGCAAGAACAAAAGTACAAGTCAAGTAGACCTGAGTAGACAAAAATCAAAATTTCTTCATGGAAGCTTGCGATTAGGAATTATATCAAGACTTCGATAGGTGCCATTGAATCTATGTATGTAGCTTATTGGCACTCTTGCTCAGGCAATGTGCAGTACCTAGCTATAAATGTCTACCTCATTTTTCCTACTTGCTCCTAGACAGCATAAGCTAACCTCGGGATACGACCTGACAGAGGTAGAAGATAAATATCCGAAGTGATTCAACAAGTATCATACACTGCTTCAAGCAGAAAGTTGTAGTAATATACAATTTTTTTTTCCAAAACAACTTTCTGAAAAAAAAAAAATAAAAATATGAAAAAAAATAAAACAAATCCAAGGAGAGTGTCCGTCCAAAATGCACAACCCCATAACTCCACGCTGGTAAAATTTAAAAAAAAAAAAAAACAACTGCTGAGAGGTATGCAGGTTATCATGTGTTGGACATGATAATCATAAAGTGGATGTTGTCGCTTATTCGTCGTCATTGAACAATGTCGTTCAACCACGTGTACTTCCAGGGACAACCGGTCCAAATGCCTCACGATCTCGTCGCATGTTCTCCAAAACACCGACGATTCCACCCTTGCGCAGTCGCTCCAGGACCACGTTCATTCCTTCCTTGCTCTTCATGACGGCATCCCGAGTTCTGCTGACTCCAATCAGCTCAATTGAGCGCTGAATACCAGCAGTGGAAAGAGCAGAGAAAAATCCCTTCTTCGGAGCCTCTTCTTCGACCTCATTTTGACCAGGAGTTGTATCGGTCTTTTTACGGCCAAGAAGTTTACCCTGACCGAGTCGGGATCGGAAGGTCACAGTTGTGCGTACGGTGGTCTGCTCAGCTCTCTTATCCATTGAGACGCTATCAACGGCGCGCATGTCAGATTCCGATGTGTGGCCCTGGTAGCGCTGCTTTTCAACAACACTAAGAATACCGGTCCATTCCATGTTACGTGAATCGGTCTCCATCCAGCCCTCTTTAGGATCAACCACAGTAGTTTCAAGAATATAGCTCTGGCCGGAATTGTCAGAGCCACCCATTCCTTTTGGTAGCAGCTTCAAAATTCCTGATGGGATCTTTGACTTTTTAAGATGGAGCCGAATGGTATGGAGACGCTGGGTCTTCGGGTCGATATAGCGATCAATGACATCGGTTGTAAGAACATGGCGAGAGTAAGGATTCGGGTAGCGTAAGAAGTAGGCTAGAGATACGGCGGGGAAGGAGTATTCATATGTGAATTTATTTTCGAAGAACTTCATTTTGGCACATCAATGTAAAGGTAAGGGGAAGTTGGAGACTGTCGAGTGATCGGCTACTTTTTGCGAGGGCAACGCTCCGGAGGTGGGGACGGATTAATTATATTCCGGGTATCTATCAACGGCGTGGGAAGCAGTGGCGTACGGAGCAGAGTTGACTGATTGGCTTCTTTAGGTCTTTTTTTTCTTGATTATACACTGCTTCAATTTCACATAACCAGGGTCCAGTATCTTGAAATAAATCAATCAACTCGAATAAACTCAAAAATTCAAACTTGGATGATTTATGATCCCTAAATGCTACTTTCACGTGAAGTATCTCACTACCCTCACAAGTACCCAGATTGCCTGATGTGATACTTCTAGTCCAACATGAATCACAACATCCATGGATGTACTCATTGTACGATATTTGCATATGATATCAGGATTCAGGATAGTCAGGTGTCATAATTGAAATTTCAAGATCAGGAGTCTGGCCATATCCAATATTGGGCCAGGGATTGGGCCTCTAACCAGATAGTTAATTGGATGCTGTCAAGGGACTCCGGGACGCCATAGCACCCCAACTCAGCCTGACAATGATATTTCATCTTTTCTGCTAGCTACACATATGAAGCCCAAATGTGACAAGATCAAATCAAATCTCATTTAGTGGCTAGATGTACCACCATCGTTACAAAGTGCGCTAGCTCCCGAGGAACTAGTATAACCTACCTATGTAGGTACAAACAACTCTGGGACAAAACTGAGGTAAGTATGGATGGACTCAAAAATGTTCTTGAATAACTAAATGGAGTCGAGTGTATTCAAACAATAAGACAAAGCTATACTTCCAAGATTATGTGAAGTCGTGTTTCATGAGAATTTGGCTTGATTGATACCTACATAACTGAGTACAGCTGAAGGTCACAACTAAATTCGTGGACGGGCATATTAAAATCGCTGAGGCAGAAGAAGAAAAACAGGGCATCATGACTATATTCCCATTGCAGCTCTTTATTCCAACGCCTGGGGTCACAACCTTGGAATCTTGCTTGGAACTATCATTGAAGATTAAATGATGTCTTGGTGTAGCCCCATTTGACTGTGTAAGCCATCTCTTTCTTCATCCTTTATTAGTTTTATAACACCACCTGGGCATTCTATGATCCAATCACCATGGAATATCACTTCCTGCAGTGCGCAGATGACGATGATGATCTTGACCAAACTATCAGAGGACAGAAGGTTCCCAAAACTGCACTCAAAGTGAACTGTAGACCAAAAACCCATTCTTCGGGGAATTCGGTAGCCGAGCTTCACGGTGCCCTAACAGTATCTATCGCGCATTGAATAATATGGACACAGAACACCTCGAAGAGCCCCAATACAGGACCTGGCACTGTGTCTTGCGTAAATCAACTCGTCATTGAGCATCTTTCAAGAGGGAGTTTAGTCTTTTATAAGTGTTCGCATGCATGTAATCTCCGGTCAAAAACCATATTGGAAAGAGGATCAAATGTACTGAGGAATAGATAGTTCTTGGAGATTCGGATTTGGGGACAGTTCCAATACTTTCCTTTCATAGAACTGACCGTTCATAGTGAAAGGACAAGGGCTATTTACATACTGTACATAGGCAGATTATATATAGACCAAAGACTCCAATTTATAACATTGAATAGTACCCGTGGACTGGAGCACAAACCCTTTGAAGGGAAGAACGTTTCGTCAAGCCTTTCATTCGAGCATATAACATAACACATAAAAACAATTTTCTATAAACAAGTGGATAAAAACATCAGGGGTATTCTCGGGGGGTATTCGTCTCGCACTTAAAGTTTCCAAAAAGCTTTGAATGACAGTAAACCACAGGGCGACGACAGATTAATAAAAGAGTAGAGATGTCCACACAGGCAGACATGGGATGGGAATCAGGGATGGGATGGGATGGGATGGGATTGAGATCAGCAAAACTAGCAAATGATGGTCACATTTACTCGGACTTGGCGAACTCAGCAGCAGCAGCAGGGAGAGAAAGAGTATCCTTGATATTCTTGTTCATGCCCTTCATCTCAGGGGAGGTTCGGCTGAAGTAGGTGTGGATGGAGCCGGTGGTCAGGGTATCGTCAATGTCATCGGCATCGAACTCGGGGTGCTCGTCAGCCTGGCCAGCCATGGTGACCTCCCACTCAGCGCGGAATTCAGCAACCTTCTGCTGGTAGTCAAGGTCGGCATCGTAGTACTTGCCCTTACCGGTCCAGCGCTCCCAGACAGACAAGTGCTTGCTGTGGACGGCAGGGCCGTGGTACTCGGCCTCGCGGCCCTCACGGATGAAGGTCCAGCGGCGCTCCTGCTCGCGGAGATCCAAGCCGGTGGTATCGGGGAGGAACAGCCAGGTGACAAGAGCACCGAACAGACCGAACCAGGGAACGATGTAGAACTGCTGTTGGGCGGTGGTGTAGGAACCGACGATGGCGATGACCAGGGCACCGAGCTTACCGAAGGCAGCGGCAATACCGTGAGCAGTACCACGGATGGGAGTGGGGAAGACCTCACCAGCGACAAGGAAGGTCAGGCAGTTAGGACCGAACTGGTTGAAGTACGAGCTCAGGAAGTACATGGCCTGGAAGGAGTGGATGTTGGCTGGTTGGATGTAGTAATCGTACTTGAAGCAGCAGACGGTGAAGAGGATGAAGCAAAGCAAGAAACCGACGATCTGCATCCACTTGCGGCCGTACAGCTTGCTGTCGACGAACCACATAGCAGAGTAGTAACCGGCAAGCTCGACACCAACGTTGGCGAGAGCCCAGAGCCAGCTAGTAATAACATTGTTCTTGGAGGCAGGGCTGATGACAGCGATGAACTTGCTCTGGAACAGCTTGTTACCGTAGAAGAAGACATCGTTAGCGAACCAACCACCGGCAGTGGCGATGAGGCGAGGAGTGAAGTATTTGAGAGTAAGCTTCAGTGACTGTGTATCGTAGCCGGTGACGGAGGCCTTCTTCTTCTGAGCGTCGAGCTGCTTGCTGGCGGCCTTCATGTGGTAGGCACGGTAGTAGATCAACCAGGCAGTACCGACAGCGGGAACGGCGAAAGACACACGGTAAGTCCACTGGGCAACGGTAGCGGAGATGGGAGGGGCACCAGAGCCGTGGTGGAAGATGAGGAGCAGCAGGATGAGGAGAGCCTGGTTGGCAAACTGACCCCAACCCTGCATGAGGAAAGCACCAACGACGGTACGGCCACGGTGCAGACGATCCTGGGAAGCGTTGAGCTTACCAGAGCCCACGCCGTTCTCCATACCAAGGGTGGCAGTCATGGGATATTCACCACCGACACCGATGGAGTAGAAGAAGAGAGACCAGGCGTAACAGATGACCCAACCATTCTCGGTAACACCCCAAGCAGCAGTAAGCATGAGCAGACCAACGAACATGATCACAGCATCCTGAATAAGACCCCATCGACGACCGATGCTAAAGACAGTGATTAGCTATTTCCCCAACTCAAGTTCAGCGTTGATGGAGACTACTCACGCATCACCCAAGTAACCAACGAGGATCTGGCCGACCATGATACCGACAATCTCCATGTAGTTGACGGCGGCAATCCAGCTAGCATCGCAAGTCTCGTGGGTACTCCAGCAGCTCTTGAAGGCATCCTTGAATAGAGTGGTGACGTTACTGATAGAGAACAGGACATAACTATTGAATTGAAAGGTCAGCTGTCAGTTGAACATTCTTGATAGAAGTGGTTGTCTGCGGACTTACCCCTCAAGACCTAGACCAGCACCGGGAAGGACATAGTTCTTGAAGTAATAGGAAATTGGCGACAGAGGATCATCCTTGAACATCTGGCACAGCCATTCCCACTCCTTCTTGGACTCAATGCGCTCCTGTGTCAAAGCAAAGTTGACACGTTGACCGACGGGGAGATCGGCCCAGTAGGTACCATCGGGAGTATAGCAATCGGCAGGGCGGATGATTTGATCGAATGCAGCCTTCTCGTGAACCTCCATATCATCAATGGAGGAATGGAGAGATTCCTTAGTGTGCTCCATGTCGAAGACAAGTGGATGTTGTCAGCCAAAGGCTTGATATAGACCCAATGTCCTAATTACTGATGTATTGGAGAGTTGGATCGCACTGAGGAAGAAAAAAGAAGCCTGACAGTGCAGATCCGATGCATTATTTATCTTAAGACCGACATGCCATGTGTGAGCAAGGCAGCCTATGGTCGGGGCAAATACTAAGCTAGACAAGCAGAACCAAGCTACCTGAGCAGGGCAACAAGTCGGTTGTCCTATAGAAAGTAAGCATGGAGGCACGATCCTTAATTTGGGTGGAGACTCGCTTTTCTAAACAGCAGGGGTTATGTCGGGCGAACCTGACCATCTGGGAATAGAGAGTACTATGCAATATTATGGCCAGACTCTACCGGACAATGGACCCGTTTTTGACTTGCTAAACTGGTCTGTGTTCCTGGATTCAACTGGATCAATGCAATAGGATGGGTCTTCTGCACGCGAACCACGAGAGAGAAGTGAGAAGTGTAATGTAACATGGGCTATTGAATTGTTCTGATTGGCTCTAGGTCTGTAATAATTGAGCCTTGAAACAGTATTATCTTTTCAGTATGCCCGTTGATTTTTGATATCATTCATAACCTTGGATACATCTCAGCCTTGCTGTAGCCAAGGGACTCGAAGAGTCTTGGCTATTGCTTGTGAATCCTTGGCTATTGCTTATGAAGCCTTGGCTATTGCTTGACATGCTTGTCTTCTTTTGTGTTTTATTCTGCATCAGTGATTACAGCCAAGACTGAGAAATAGTAATTCGTACAATAAGAGCTAAATGTAGTGTGACTGACCAATGAAAGGTCTCTATTTTACCCCGTGCTCCCCTGCTCAGATAAAGGTTGATAAGCATAGACCATGTATTCTCCACTTTAAATCCAAGGTCCCTCCACTCATAATGTGTGTTCTAACCACGTTGTTCAAACCTCAATTCAACCTCGATCAACTTCCACTCCGAGACACCATTGCTACACTAGTCGCCCAAAATGGAAATGTCCTCGAATCTCAGCTCTGGGCTTCGGAGGGCCCCGCTTCGACCCATTCCAGCCCCATTATATGCATACCGAACTACACTACTCACTCCCAGTTCTTGAGAGCACACGTGCATGACTTCTGGATAAAGCAACCTCGAGAGTCTCGAATCCACTTGCAAGCCATGCGATCGCTTGAGTGGATCTGGTCTGAATTATTTACTTTCTCGAGAAATGCACGAGCCCAGATCCAAAGACCTTGATTGGTTATGAGAAGCTACCATCAAGCTATGGAATCTAGCAAAAGCGTGCTCTTGTTCGTATGACAGCTTGGTTCGCTCGTAGCCGAAAAGCTTGGGCTTACAGAGTATGTTTACGTCTACACACTTGCTTTGATTCCATATTGTTGACCCATTGCTTTTACATAATTGCGCCGAACCAAGTGCATAACGCTGTGCCCGAAGGACACACACCGTAAGACGCGGAATTGCTATTATGGGACTACCAAGCCATACAGGAACGTGCCGCCTGATCCTTCTCACTGACTGGTAAATTGTGCCTTCCATGCCTTCTAGAATGAATACCCTGCATTTCCTCTATGAATCCTTCCGAAAAAGATTATCTCACATGATTATTTGTTTTGTTTTTTATTTCTCCACTCAGGCTAGTGCAGCACTATTGATTATACAAAGTACAGAAATTGGTCTTAGCCATATCATAGGGCTTACCATTTGAACTCGCCACCCGCTCTAATCCTTGCTCGGCCCAACTTGATTCGAATCATCTCATTTCGTGAGCAGATACCAATTTGAAAATTATAGAACGGTATAATGGATGGCAATTTGTTTAAAATATTTAAACAATATTTGACATTATATTTATGGCATCTAAGAGGCACACCTTGATCTCTTCCAAAGACAGTAAACCTTGATCGTGCTGGTTCCATCGACTGGGAAAATATCGAGCTGAAAAAACGTCCGAATAACGAGACACTGATCTCGGAGTCTTTATCAAACTCATCCACCATCCATCGATTTTCTGACAATACTGTCCACTCATCCGAGGATATGTACTCTTCCGAGCTTCTCAGTGAAATTTGAGCCACACAGGAAGAAGACACAATATGTACCTTGGAACCGTGAACTTCGATCAAGAATAAGCTTCTTGATTGAATTGTTTTTCTGGTGCCTTATCCAGCGCTCTACGATTGAAGCAGAGCCCGAAAAGATGATTGGATGGGGCCTCGGAAGGCAGAATGGAAATCGAGTCATGGCATTAGCCAGAGTCTGTTGTGAAATGTTGCCGCATTTACAGATGTTGATATTCGAGCAACTCAGGCGATGTCTTCTTTCTTAGTTTCCATTGAAAGTCTTTCAAGATATCCTCTCGTTGATAACTATTCAGATGAAACTGTTAACAAAAGGTGGCAAGTCCTTTCAAGCGACAAAGCTCACCCTGGCCTTCGATTTCTTCAGCATGGCTCTCGATTCCTTCAGCTCATCGATCAAATTTTCGACTATGTGAGTATTGCTGCATTCATGGATGAAGGCTTCCTCGCAGTAATTGGCGGTAGAATTGGTAGCAGCATCTTGCGCATGAAGCTCACTTCCGACATAGTGTATAGTCTGCTGGCCGGCTTTCTGGCTAATCTGATCAACAATCAGATGCTGTTAGCTGTTGGAGTTACTCATCTCCCTGCTTGGCTGGAGCACCGGAGATTGGGAAGCAATTTGTCGGCCACTTCCAAATTGTAGCTTCTAAGGATTTACATTGTTTTTTGCATCTGGTCTTGCGGGACACGTGAAATATTGCATTAAGAAGGGTCCAGCGAACTGAGTGGTCGACTTAGACCATAATCATAACCACACAGCTCAATTTTTCGGGGTGTCGAAATGACAAGGCTGCATTTCCTGCATCGTTAGGAACGTAGTACGCATATCCAGGTAAATTGTGTCCATGTGCTTTCCAGTCGAGGAGCAATTTGTCGATCACTTCCAAGTTGTAGCTTGTACCATGGCTTCGTATCAAACGCACGGCCTGTACTAACTAACAATTGCCCATGAAGAGGCGCTCATATTAGCAGATTGTGACCAGGTGCTTTCCAGTTAAGAGTTGATCGAATTCACCACGCCCAATGGAAACATATCAATTGCTGCTTTGGAAGCTTATCACTGCCTGGATGAATAAATGGAACAGTCTTGGACCTCCTGGGGAGGGGAAGGGGAGGATGATATAGGAGAAAGAAGTTGAGCAGGTAAGGGTATGATGTACAAAGAAAATGAAGAAAATGAAAGAGAGAGAGAGAGAGAGAGAGAGAGAGAAGTCTCGGTATATACCTTCTGGATTCAAGTAACACTTACTTTTTATATTCGCTACCTAGATACCTAAGTATCAAATGAAACTGAACGTTCGTTCTATGAAACAAAATGAAAGTGAAATGGAAGTAAGTGTGCATCAGATGAGGTGAAAACTTACCTTTGTACCATTTGACTCTCACTCTCACTTCTATTTCCCTTCTCAATATAATGAGGGTCTATCCATCCTGGCCCAATGCCACGAGTCTAGGCAGTACTTCAGTTGTTCCCACTTTGATTCTGTACTGGCCGAACTGAAGAGGGCTGATGGTCCCGGTCTTGATGTCTATGTAAAATTCTTTATAAACCTACTGTTCATGGTGAATCGGGACGGGTATCTTTTTGATGTGAAGGCCCAAGGGTATTGTCCACGGGGTTATATATTCTGCCGATAAAGATTTGGTTAGCTTAAAATTCAAGCATTTGATAGATATGTAGGAATAGGCCTATGGCAACCACAGCTAGGATGTTGGTAAAGTTGCTCATTTGATTGCTTGAAGTGGGCATGAATTTGCCATTTACTGATGTAGAGAGGGAAAAAAAGCGCCATCTCGATTTCGAACGCATAAGCATTCTCAATCGCGATTTTATTGTTTGATACAAAAATGGCAACGTCTTCATTTTGGCCTATCAAGAAGATAAGAAATTTATTTAGTTTCTCTTGGGTTGAGCGCATCACCCTTATGCAGGGGCCATGCTAAAGTTCTCTGTCGGGGGATACATGTTGACCCAAACATTGATTGATATCCTCTTACGTTCTGCTGGGTGACACCGCTTTGAGCACTACGGGACTCACCGATAAGAGATAACAGAAAAGCTGGTTAGAAAATGATTGGGATGAATGTTATTGTACTCGAACAGAGTAGGCTTGATAGTCCTCATTTGACAACCTTGGGATCAATTCCATTGCGATAATTGGAGGGGAAAGCTCCAGCTCCAACCTAATAGCGGCATCAGTAACCTCCAGGGCATATGACAACGGCTCCCTTCCCAGCACTACGATTTCGTCTAGGCAACTTCTGTTTCATGTTACATCCCATAACATCTAGCGTATGCTGCACACCATGATTAAGGTGCATTATGCAGCTTCCAAAGCTCTAAACTAATCAATGATCTACAAGGTAGGCCATCTGTAAGATAGCGGCGAACTTTTGAGGGTAGACCTAGCCAATAAGCTTAAATAGGAAGCTTCAGGTAGCAAACCTTTACGACGTAAGGAGATTTGACTAGGCTGTGGTAAATGCTCATTATATAGGAAAGACTAGATGCAATTTCATCGACGTCCATACTAATGCATTGATATCTCTTCCCTGCAATTTTTCCTGCTAGATATACCTTCATAATCCATGGTTGACTTCCTCTGAAGGATGGGTTGTCTTTGCCATCACAAGTAGTGTATCGCCTGGAAGTAGTCTCTTAGATAGTACTCAGGTTGATAGGGGAAATGGACTCCAAATAGAGTTTAAGAAAGACTCTATAGATGTAATGGGGGATGTGATCAAGCCACTTTGTTCGAGTATCGAAGTTACCCTGTGGAGCACCAGCAGTAGTGCCTGGTGGTTTGTGAAATAAGAGGTCCGTATCAATCGAATCGGGCTCACATCGACCCAACACTGTCTTTCAATAGGAGGACAAGACGATAGGCAGAGTTCCCGTTCAAATAATATCGGTGGAGTTGTTTGCTACGGAGAAAACCCAATCGCTCGTATATTTTCATCGCACCGGTGTTGGTACTTTCTGTTTCGAGGACGATCTAACATGGCAGGATCGGTATTAGCAAGTGGAGACATCATGAACCAGACAGACCCCTGGAATAGAAATTACCTCGTCTGCATCTCGATCGATCATTGCATCAATAGCCATTCGGACTAGTTTTGTCGCAATTCCACGACCTCGGTATTCTTCGCGCACGGCCAGCATGGCGATATAACCCCTCATGGGACCACCCCGGTGCGGCTCCAGCTTTGACACAACCACTCCAATCATCTCATCGTTCTCGCCCATTGCGAGAAAACAGAGGTCGCCCCATTCATATAAGAAGTATCGGTAGACATAGATGCTGTAGGGCTCGGACAAATCTTTGGAGATCAGTTGGCGCATAGCGGCGACGTACTCCTTCTCGCGCGAGCTCTCATACCGCACATAGCGGAGGGCAGAGGGGGCTTGGCTCATCACAGCTTCATCGAATGGGAGGAGATTGTGGTAAATGTTGGGGTTTGGACAGTGTTGGGATGTTGAGATCGTGAGATGTGATGTGGAAGTAGCGGGCGGGACAAGGACGCCTGATAAGCCATGTGACGCCGGACCATCCGTTAACGTTTGGACATTCCTTGTTTGATTTTTTTTTCGTTTGTTTTGTATTCTCCCTTGTCCTCTCTTTCTTCCTGTGACTCCCTTATATAATTCGATTGCTCTGGGTACCTCATCAACCCACTCTCCATTTGAGTCGCTATGTTGCGTCGCCGCACGCCCAAGGACGATGTCCCTTCTGACTCGTCCCGCGACGATGGCAACAAGCAGTCTCAAACAGACGAAGACAAGCTTAGGGCTGAGTTTGGCAATGCAAAAGTCAAGCAACTCGTCATACAGCCTCCAACACGAAGTAAACGTCGCAATGGGCTAATCTTTCTGTTGGGCGGCATTTTCGGCATCTTGATCGCCGTGGCCTTCGCGAATCATAACGACGTTATTAGCCTTGAGTCGCTATTGGAATTAAATATCGATTCTTTGATGGATGTTATTCCGCAAGGAATTGTGCGCGACGCAAAGGAATTCTCAGTGCGTTATTCTTACTCATCTACTATACAACCCATTCACCTACTAACCGCAATGGGACTACAGCAACATGAACGCGATGCTGTCAACTATGATTCCTTCTCCATCGGTTTACAGCTTCAAGCGCAAGGTATAGAAGCTAAACATCCTGTTATTATGATTCCTGGAGTTATATCGACCGGTCTTGAGAGCTGGGGAACGGGCGACAGTTCGCGCCAGTATTTCCGTAAGCGATTATGGGGCAGTTGGACTATGATGCGGGCGCTGGTACTTGATAAGGCAGAATGGAAGAATCACATCATGCTAGATCGTGAGACAGGTCTAGACCCACCCGGTATCAAGCTGCGTGCAGCTCAAGGGTTTGATGCGACAGACTTTTTTATCACTGGCTACTGGATTTGGAATAAGATTTTGGAGAATCTGGCTACAATAGGCTATGATCCAACGAATGCATATACTGCAGCATACGACTGGCGGCTCTCATATCCCGACCTTGAGGTCCGCGACAAGTATTTCAGCCGGCTCAAGTCCTACATCGAGACAGCAGTGGAGGTTGGTGGTGAAAAGGTCACTCTGACGTCTCACAGTATGGGCTCCCAGGTCGTGATGTATTTCTTCAAATGGGTTGAGAGTGAGGACCACGGAAAAGGTGGCAAGACCTGGGTCAATAAGCACATCGACTCGTGGATCAACATAAGTGGATGCATGCTCGGTGCTGTCAAGGGTTTGACCGCTGTGCTATCAGGGGAGATGCGCGATACGGCACAGTTGAACGCCTTTGCCGTTTATGGGCTTGAAAAGTTCCTCTCCAAAGAAGAGCGAGCGGAGATATTCCGCGCAATGCCCGGTATTTCCAGCATGCTACCTAAAGGCGGCGAGGCGATTTGGGGAAACTCAACCTGGGCACCAGATGATCAGCCAGGCCAGGATATGAGCTTTGGAAATATGCTCAACTTCCGTGAGACCAACTCTTCCTGGACAAAGCACAACCTGACTGCGGCCGAGAGTCTGAAGTACCTTTTGGATCAAAGTGATGACTGGTACAGCAACAAAGTACATAATAGCTACTCGCACGGCGTAGCACACACCACTCGAGAAGTCGAGGCTAACGAAAAGGACCCGCGCACCTGGCTCAATCCTCTCGAGGCTCGTCTACCCCTTGCTCCTGATATGAAAATATACTGCTTCTACGGAGTTGGAAAGCCCACAGAGCGCAGCTACTGGTACCAGGAAGATATCGATCCACTTGTTAAGCTTAACGTCAGTATCGACACCACAGTTACCCTGAACGAGGGTATTGATCGCGGTGTTGTCATGGGTGAGGGCGATGGTACTGTCAACCTACTCAGCACTGGATATATGTGTGCCAAAGGCTGGCATATCAAACGATACAATCCAGCTGGCACAAAGATCAAGGTCTTTGAGATGCCTCATGAACCCGACCGCTTCTCCCCTCGAGGTGGGCCTAATACCGGTATGGATACACTTTCTTAAAATTTCATCTCCATTTTTTCCGAAATCTAATCTGGCGCTTAGGTGACCATGTTGACATCCTTGGCCGCGCCTCACTGAACGATCTCATACTTCGTGTCGCCGGTGGTAGAGGCGAGGAGATTGAAGAGACCTTCGTCTCTAACATCCGTGAGTACGCAGAGCGTGTGCAGATTTTTGACGAATAGGTTTCCAATGAAAATGGGAGGGCGCTTGGGGGTTTTTTTAAATTTTTAGACGTTTTGATATAGATATCTGCATACACCGAAGACTTCCACTGGGCTAATTTACCCACAAGTGATGTTTTTATTGCTCATAGGAGGTGGTTTTTGTATATTTACTTCTTTCCAAGATTGCATGTCCAGATGTCCAGATGTCCAGAGGCATGAATGTCATGAATGTTTTTCCATCTCTCGCTCCAAGGCTAATCTATCCACCACTTGTACAATTAGCTGAAATTGGTAAAATGGTTAGAGGAAATATAACATTTGAAAGCTTGACTAAATCTCCAAATCTTAGAAGCACCTACTATAATGTTGGTGGTTCTGCACAAAGACTCATTCATTAAAGTGCGAAGAACCCATTAATCCCAAAGCTGTACATGGATGTCAATTCCAGTTAAAATTTTAATAGGCATTGCTCTACCTTGATATCTTAGTAGCCGTGGTAATGTTGGTTTTCCTTTAGCCCATACACTGGCCTACAATTGTCGCACACGTCTTCTCCTGCTTCCAAGTGTGCCTGCCTCTAGAGGCAAGGACTTGAGTGACTTTGCCAGAGAATCCGGACATCTGTGCCTCGGTAATTGGAAGAAGCATGACCTCGACTGGTTCTGGTTGCTGTTATCCATGGAGGTAGAATCAATAGATAGCCTTCCAATACTGAGGCCTATATGAACATGAAATATCATCGTTCGATCCTTAATGTTGATATTTGGAAGAGATAAAGGAGCCTTGAATTCCTCATGAGTTCCATGTAGGTACTTAGATACCCCTTCCTTTAAATATATTGAGATCTTTGACCCTTGCGGGCAATGGAGGTCCAGTAATGGTAGTATTTTACCTGAGTAATTCATGGATGAATTTGGCCCAGTTCAAAGACTCATAAAAATTCTCTCCCGGGGTCAGCAACACTTTTCATGTTTTTGTACATCTCTAATACTTTATCTTGTTTATATCTAAGGCATAGATCCAAGGATGGGTGTTTTAATGTATACAGATGCCTTTTACACATCCTGACTGTTTACTTTCCAAGGCTCAAAGGTTGGTTTGGGACATGTATTCTCATGAAGAGCAGCTCTAAATTGAAAACTTTTACCGATTTTAAGGGTATTCCCAATCATTCGGTTTTAATATATCCCTAGCTGAAACCATTCTTCTAAGATTTTCATACCCGTAGACCTGATACCTGAACTGGCTCTTTTCTCAACTCAGCCAGGGTTGATCGCACTCATATTCAACCATGGAAAATGCAGCATAATAGGATCTCGCTGGTATTGTTCGACCTTTGCGTATTTTGGGTATCTTTTATCTATTCCCAATTATCAAGACGAATAACTGAATACACGAAGCACGGACGTAACCAGATAATCGCCCATCCTACAGCTACATATTCATGGCTTGATTCATTTACCAATTTAAATAGCCTCCCACCGTCGATAAAAGACTAGGATCTCTGCAAGGAATGGGATCGGGATGCTTCACCAGAAGCTTTGGACGTCCCTGTAGATACTACAAGAGCAACAGAAACTTCTGCAACTATTTTTGGGTTTAAAGTCTCACAACTCTCAAACGGAGACTGTCATATCTGAAGAAGCGTCTCATATTAGGAAGGACACCTGGGAATAGACGTTTCGGCGCTGTGTTTGAAACCATAATCAGTCTCTGGAGACCGAGAGAATATATTTGGAAACCTTGGAACATTGTAATGTAGCCGTCAAGTTAGCACTTGAAGAGCTAGGCAACATAATCAACGGAGGTCACTTAGAGAAAACAGTCATCAACCCATGTATAGTTAAGATGCGTGACATTTTCTATGTTGAGAATAACCTGGAGGCATTCGCGATTATAGAGATGGCGAAAAATAGCGTCTCGTTTTCATTTACAATCAAATACGGTGTTTCTGAAGAGAACCTTCACAAAGATTTCAGATATGTATTGCTCGGTGTGAAACAATGCACGATAGAGGCATGATGCACCGCAACCTCAAGCTAGGCAATATCCTGATATTTGAAATTGTTAACAGAATCTCTGATTTCGATTTCTCGACATATGAAAAGGGCTCTGGGAAGTTCTCCATTGGAACAGCAGAATATTTAGCCCCTGGTAATTAACTTCCATTGCAGTCTGATCAACATTGAAACATTGGAAGTTGTTCCGGCTAACTGACGGTTTATTTGAAACTTAAGAAGTCATAAGACGGCAAAAACATGGCAAGAGAGTCGGCATGTGGAATAATGTAGATGGAGATTACCACAAATTCTCTCACGGAAAATTGGCCGCTTTGGAAAGATATCCTGGCCCCTAAAGATGACAATAGAAGGGTGTCTAAGCAGACAGGGTACCAAAGAGGGTTTCATCCAGACGTGTACCTATACCAAGCCAGATCTATTGTCGAAGGCTTTTTGTGAGCCCAACACGTGAATTGGTATTGACGAGTTTATTAGCGGGTTAAATGCACTTGGGACAAGTGCATATATTTGTGCCTAGGTAGAAACCTTGAAGAGACACAAGCAATGGGAAGATACGATCAGGTCTAGGATAATGCTGTCTAAACTACGTGGTGCTTCTAAATTACGACATCGGTGGTCATACAACATAGTAACTACTAAACCTATTTTGGATCTCAGAAAAGATATCTCTAGGGTTGTCAAATGCTACTCCTTAAAATTCTACTACACACCTCTATAGTTATGCCAGTGATTACTTCCAAGATCTGCGGACAGCTCCGCAGCATAAGAAGAGCTGCACATGTCGAGTTCAGTTTGGGCAAAATACGAATTGGAAAGAAAAGCTCAAGACCCTTCGATGCTCTTGATCCTGAAATTATACCACCAGCATCCGACTTGACTGTGACAGATATACAATTTTTGTATCCGTATATCAGATGGTCGGGAGCTTTCAGGGAGGACAAGCCATGGCGGGAGGCTCGGGAGGATATAGACCTCGCTCCTTCACTGAGTAAGTCCATTTTCCAACCTTAGACATTCTGAGCAGAGCTCAGAATTGTTCCAAGGTTTCCGGGTGTCCAGATGTTTCAATTTTCAAATATTGTTCAGCTCTAACTAGTTTTTATAGGGAGAGATATGGAGACGATCCATGCGGTTAAGAACGACTTCGGTTACTACACAAGAAGGACGCCTTTAGACTACCTTATCAGATACGTTCATTCTAAATTTGAACTAGAGAGCCCAGGCAAGCTGCATCTCAAGACGAGGTCCAAGTTTTTCGAGAGAATTGGAGGGGTTAGGGGTGGCTTCATGGGCGTGCCATACTATACACTCTGGCACGGAACAGAGGATGTCGCGACCAATTTCGTGGTTGTTCACACTGAAAAACCCGCATGGTATGATGCAACACATATCCTAGCTTATATGGGTATGTAAATCCACTGTATTCAATGACTACTAGCACCTTCTTACCGATGACTATCAGCAATGATCCATACCGAGAGGAGGCGTCGTCAAATGACAGACTGCACTATGTATGGTCTCTCAACCAATTCGAAAGAGTTCTGGTTCTATCAGCTTGACAATGAGAGCCGGGTAAGTCTTAATCAATCCATGAACGAACAAAGCTTATTCTTTGCATAGTGGTCATATTTAGTGCTGAAACCGGAAGAGGATTATTCTGGAGAAGTGGACTACGCGCAAGAAATCGCCGGTCTGCTCACCTTTATCTTCCACGAGGCAGTTGTATTATCTCAGGGTCAGAAAAAAAGAAAAGGCAAGGGAGAACTCAACGTTGTTGAGTTCGACTATCGAATTTGAAGATGCGGACAATGCCAAGCAACCCTAGTCATAGGTAGACTGTGCAGGAGGGGAGTTAAGAGGGGAGTTAAGTACTTACACCTCCTATCTGAGTGCATGACTACCTAGGTAGCAACTCGCATTGAGTATCCGTATGCACATCCATGGATGTGACCCCAAGCTCTGAATGTACCGATACGGATATCAGATTTTGGCCCGGTGGAATTTGAATTTCGTCATTTTACGTTCGTGACTTGCTAGTACCTGTATTTGATGTCCACTATTCCATTTAATTGTTTTCTACCATTCAATGTATGTTGCACGATGGCAGCTTTTAATATAAATTATCAAGTTTATGCCCGCGCCCCCTACGTCATTTGATATCACTCGAACATCCAAGGACCCATAGATAATCGATACCCTCGCTGTAGATGAATAGATTGTTATTCCATTCCATGAAGGTACTTTTCTTTGTTCGGGGGTTCATTCTATACAATCCTACAGAATTCTCCAGGCTACTTCCCAATGTCCTTTAACCCTGTCACCGGAAGCCTCGGCGCCGTAAACCAAGTTGGGACTACAGCGACCGGAAATGTCCAATCATTTGCTGATAAGCCAGTGGAACAACTAAATGAAACTACCAAACCCCTCCGAGACCCGATAATCCCGGGTCAGTTCCCGTCGAACGAAGCTCCTCAAAACGAGACACAAGCCGAGATCTCATTCGGATCGATCTGGACCACCATTTGTGCCTGGTTCTCCAGCCTAGCCCCACAGGCATTTGATGCCTTTGAATCTATCATTAAATGGCTCGTGAACTGGTTGCTGCCTCCACCAAGGCAGGCCCAGCTCTACGAGGCAGCACTGAAGCGGCCTATTGCATCTACTTTCATTGTCTGCCAGCTTATCTGCTGTGGGGTTCCAATGTTGGTCTTTTTGGCGGGTGTTTTCATCTTTGCGGTTGTGGCGGTTCTGCTTTGGGCTGTGTTGTCACTTTTGATCCTTGGCCCGATCTTGCTTGTGGCTAGCCTGATGGGTATTTCACTGTGGGGCTGGGGGTGGATCATATATGGGCTGGTGAAGTGGGTTGACCAGCGGTTCCTTGGTGGGTTGATTACTCGATTTTGGCTTCCTAGGCAGCCACAAAGTGAAGAAGTTGGAGCACAGGATGAGAAGAGAGACTGATATACAGGTGGGGAGGCTTCCGCGGTACCTAGGCACCTAAAAATGAGACATTTATTTCTCATGTAAATGTCGATAATAATCAAATTTCTTACAGAATACGAAGCACATACCTAAGCCACTATCTACGTACCATATTTTCTCTGCCGGGTGGGTAAATCCTGATATTTATTGATGGGAGGAAGGGAAGGGACTAGCGTGCTACATTTTATTAAGGTAATTACTCAGCTCGCTCAGTGAGCGAATCAGACTGCTCACTAGATGCTCACTGAGTGTCACCTAAAACTCAATGAGCAAAAACAGCGAAGGGGTCACTAATACAGAAGGGGAACGCCAAGAAGTGGTAGAGGTACCTGAGATGCAACCTGGAAGTAGTAAGCACCTCTATATTGATCAACAAGATAACGCCCGGGCCATAGTGTGGGAATCTAGCAGACCATGATAAAACTGGTTGTATTTCTAGGTTGGGACCTACCAACTCAGTAGCAATCATATCCTAATTACAACTGGGTAAGATAGGAAGAAATAGAGCATTGAAGGGATTTAGTCTATGTGCGGGGATGTAGATAAGCAACTCATGGCCATATTAATATCCATGAGCCCCAGACACATGTACTTGGGGCAAATCACATGGCGGCCCACACCTAAATTTCCAGGGCTAATCTAACTGCATGGAATCTTTAAAACAATCAAATGCAGACCCCGTCAGACAACTAGGTGTCATACAGCATGGTCCTCGCCAAATGGAATGCCAAATGCAAGGTTTGATAGTGTACAATTACACTTCAATAAGATTATACTACAGCACTCCAGGCCTGCAGAGGCTGATGATCGGTGTTTCGTTTGGGCAAAACCAGCTACATCACATACTATATCAGGACAAGCGCGTCTGATATTTTATTAGATGTATTTTTGAACACCTACCATGGCACTCTTATGGCATGTGTCGAAATATCCTTACTACTTTTGTACACTTGCATTGCCGATCCCAACTTCTCTAACACACGCCACAACATCTGCCCGTCATAGATTGCACCATACCCAGGTAGTGAAAATGCCAAACAAGGGGAACGGGAGTATTTACAGCTGCAACGGATCTGCAACAGCTCTGACGCGTTTCATGACTATTTAGTACAGTAATAGTGGGATGGGGATATATGGTCCGTGTGTCTTGATCAGCCGGAGACGGATATAGTCATAGTGAGGAAACATATGAAGAAGATACGGGTTGCATTCTATTGAGCCACCATGATAACCACAGCGGAGTGTATATCGGGTAGATGCATAGAATCTGGAACAGCAGAGAGACCAGGGGGATATCCCATATATGCTGCGTAAATAAAAGAGAGAGAAAGAGTTCATGCTTACGGGAAGAGAAACTCTCGAGACTTCCCGAGTCCCACTTAAGATCCACTCTCGTGCACATTTACCCCTGAGCAAAAGCACTGACCAAGAATGTCTGAATTGATACTCCGTAGAGGGGGAAATCATGGACACCCCACATCCCACATTCAAGCCTAGTACTATTTGTATAGCGTGAGCATAGAGCACCCAGAGGTCGAGGTGTCCAAGAACTAGCGGGAGATGACCATGCAATGTCTTCGTACTTTGTTCATACTCCAGGAATGTACTCCACAACCTTGAGAAGGAAAATTGAGAATGGAGAGGGAATTATAGTATTATCCGATCCGCACGATGCCAATGCCATGCATGTAGGTCACAATAGGTGCGTCTGAGACATCCGTTAATAGCGTTAAGCGATCCATGCAGGTGGTGCAGGTTCATCCTACAACTATGTTTGGCTGTAAAAGAAGTGGAGTTGAGTGGATGAGGTCAGAGAGTGTACTAAGGAAGTAGAATGATAAGCCATTCTTTGTTCGATCTGTACCATACCTAGCTAGGAATTAGTATCGGTCAGAATATCAAGTTTTAGTTCTTAGTGTATTTTCTAGTTGCCTATATACTCCGAGAAGGATCAAGAACCGAAAGTGCACGAACAGATGATATAATTATGTACAAAGAATCAGAGATCCAGATAAGGGGGAAGATCAAGTGGCGAGCAGAGTTTCTAAATCTAAATCTATACCTTGGGACTTGAGATTAGGACCTGAGATTGAGGGTTGTGGCAAAAACTGGAACGGTCCAGGGGTAATATTGATTTTACTATACAGTAAGAACAAGGGAATAAAGAATAAGAAATTAAAAAAGAGACAGATTATACGGATAGAGGCTTGTTTTCCCCTTGCATAAAGTAAAATTGACATGAATTATATGGATTAATAAAGTAATAAATTTAAAGGATGAAAGTAGATGATAACTAAAAGAGGCCATGTTTAGTCGCTCCACTTCTATCCACTATCCTCTCGTACTCTCTCACACTCTCTCACTCTCTCACTCTTCTTTCTCGTACTGTATCTTTTTTTCCCTCTCAGACCCTAATTGATCTTAATTAATCTTTTCCCCTCTTCCCCCCCCTCTCTTTATTTCTTCTTTCTTCCTTCTCCTAATAATTCCTACTTTCCCTAGTGATTTCAGCTTCCCCTTTCTCCCGCACAGTCTACTTTTGCCCCTGTGGGAAAGACAAGGAAAATTATTGAGAGGCTCATCTCAGCCCAACGCTGGGGATAGATATAAAGGTATGCTCTGTACTCTAGGGACTCCATCATCCCCTCATAAATATGAAAAAATCTAGACCGCTCACCATTTTTTCCTCCCTTTCTATAAGGCCTTCCGCGTGGTCTCGACATCACCACTGGTGTTCTTCCAGCCTTTTCGCCTAATCTCACAATGTCAGTTACGACCATGCTTCAACCCGCCTCGAGAATTTCTCGAGCATCCTCCTCTTCATCTTCTTCGTTTCAGCCCGTAGCACGACAGAACACCATGTCGTCCCACGATACTCGGTCGCTGCGGCAATCTAAGCGGATGTCGGTCACCGCACTCTACGTGTCCATGAACGCCAAGGACAGGGATTTGGAAATTTCAGATGATTTGGCGAGAGGTATGGCTAACCCCTGTGTTCATCCCTTCGTGTCACTGACAGTGAAACAGCACAAAAATACCTGCGAGAACTCAAGGCCAAGATCTCTTCTCAGTCTAAGAAGAATTTCGTATTAGAAAAGGACGTGCGATATTTGGACTCGCGGATTGCTCTGCTGATTCAGAACCGCATGGCACTAGAAGAGGTAAGAGCGACGGACTTTATGCGAAAGTGATACCTCTAACACAGGTCTATAGCAAAACGAAGTTGCCAGTCACCTCGATGACACGGCCGATCCTGCAGAAGGATTCTTTCCCAATGATGAGCGAACCCAGAAATACGGCAATCTTTTGTTCCTGCTGCAATCAGAGCCCCGCCACATTGCTCATCTCTGTCGACTCGTGTCAATGGCTGAAATCGACTCCCTACTGCAGACCGTCATGTTCACCATCTACGGAAACCAATACGAAAGCCGTGAAGAGCACTTGCTGCTCACTATGTTCCAGTCCGTCCTGACCTTCCAATTTGACAACACTCCCGAATACTCTTCTCTTCTACGTCAGAACACCCCGGTGTCTCGCATGATGACAACTTACACCAGGCGTGGTCCCGGTCAGAGTTATCTAAAGCAGGTTCTCGCAGAACGAATCAATTCATTGATTGAACTGCGTGAGGTTGATCTGGAAATTAACCCCTTGAAAGTCTACGAGAGTATGGTCAACCAGATTGAGGAAGAGACCGGCTCGCTGCCAGATTATCTACCCCGAGCAGTGACCGCAGAAGACGCTGCAGACAACAAGCAGGTGCAAGCAATCATCACACCGCGCTTGAAGATGCTGACTGATATTGCGAATGGATTCCTGACCACCATCATCGAGTCGGTGGATGAGGCTCCGTACGGTATTCGGTGGATCTGCAAGCAGATTCGCAGTCTGTCTCGCCGCAAGTACCCGGACGCCCAGGACCAGACAATCTGTACTTTGATCGGCGGCTTTTTCTTCCTCCGTTTCATTAATCCCGCTATTGTGACTCCTCGCTCCTACATGCTGATCGATTCAGTTCCCACCGACAAGCCCCGCCGTACCTTGACTCTGATTGCCAAGATGATTCAGAACCTGGCCAACAAGCCGACATACGCCAAGGAGCCATACATGGCCAGCCTGCAGCCTTTCATCGAGCAGAACAAGGAACGAGTCAACAAGTTCCTCCTGGATCTGTGTGAGGTTCAGGACTTCTACGAGAGTCTTGAGATGGACAACTACGTGGCTCTTTCTAAGCGCGATCTTGAGTTGCAAATAACCCTCAACGAAATGTACGCCACACACGCTCTGTTGGAGAAGCACAGCGAGGCATTGACCCAGGATCAACACTCGCATCTTGCTATGCTTTTGCAGGAGCTCGGCTCAGCCCCGACCCAGGTTCCCCGCAAGGAGAACCGAACTATCACAGTGCCCCTTTTCAGTCGATGGGAAACGGCCCTGGATGATCTGACGGCCGCCTTGGATATCACTCAAGAAGAAGTGTTTTTTATGGAGGCCAAGTCTACATTTGTACAGATCCTTCGTTCGCTGCCTCATAACTCCTCGGTCGCTCGTCGGCCTTTGCGGCTAGACCGCATCGCCGAGGCAGCTGCCACACTGAAGAAAGATGTTGTCATGGTCCGAAAGGGCATCCGCACCATGGAGCTCCTCAGTCAATTACAGGATATGGGCGTGATTGACCGATCTGACGAGTTTAGCTTGCTTCGAGATGAAGTAGAGCAGGAGTTGGTGCACCTCGGCTCCTTAAAGGAGAAGGTGTTGGAGGAAACACGACAACTTGAGGAGGTGTTTTCCACCATCCGCGACCACAATGCGTACCTCGTGGGCCAGTTGGACACCTACAAGTCCTACCTTCACAACGTGCGCAGTCAATCCGAGGGTAAGTCCCGGAAAACACAAAAGCACCAGGAACTGGGCCCCTACAAGTTCACCCACCAACAACTGGAGAAGGAGGGCGTTATTCACCGAAGCAATGTGCCCGAGAATCGCCGGGCGAACATTTACTTCATGTTCAAGAGCCCGCTTCCTGGAACCTTCGTGATCAGCTTGCACTACAAGGGGCGAGCCCGTGGCTTGCTGGAGCTTGACCTTAAGCTGGATGATCTCCTGGAGATGCAGAAGGACAACCTGGAAGACCTTGATCTGGAATATGTCCAGTTCAATGTCAGCAAGGTTCTGACACTGCTTAACAAGCGATTTGCCAGAAAAAAGGGATGGTAGGCGAGTGCATCTCGCAACGTCCCTTCTTTTGACACTCTTTATGACTTATATGAAACCGACTGGAAGAGCCGAGCCTTGGAACTAGCTCACGATGTCTCGGTTAATTGCGGGCGATACCCCAAATTAATACTTGACGATATGATGAACTTGGATACATATCTAGTTTATACATATACGACTGTTCATCTAGGAATTATGATGGATACCTAGGTGCTCTCTAGCATGACTTCCTGTCCATGCGACCCGGCTACAGGAAATTCCTGTGAATTTTGCCGATAAACGAACATACTTGACGAAGGATGATGAAGCATATCAATCTCGCTGGCTCGAGACTCGCTGCTGATCTTAGGATTTTTGTTCCCTTCTTCTGCCTTTTCTTTTTTATTTCCATTCCACTTCTATTTTCCATTATACGTGGCTTTTTACCTTTATACCCCGCGCTGAGTTACGATTGTTTTGTTTTATTTTGCCATTTTTGTTTGGGCTACGGTCCTATAATTTCTATTTCTAGTCTTGTTTCCATCACTACTGCGACCCTTGGTCTCCCTGCGATGTGTATAATACTCTTTGAGTTTGTGATAGGTGGTTTACTGCTGACTGTTGAATTGAGATTCCCCGTACTTGTTAATATTCACTAGTGACCCGTAGTGGAAATCTAGGGCTAATCTTGGATTATTAGCGTCACACCTAACTATATTCACACTACCCCATAATATTGCTCTCAAAAGGGGACAGGTATAAGGACAGGCTATACAATTTGCCGTCATAGCTCAAGTACCGCGGATGTTACCTCGTACCCCTCGTTCCTGTATGGCGTTTTCGTCATTAGTTATGGCTTGTAATTACTGGGAATAGCATAGATCCCGGGATCAGCATAGACTTTCAAGTCCATAAAATGGACAGAATGAAGAGTATCAAAATTCTAGGAGTCAGGGGAGCTCAGGAGTCTTCAGGAGTAGGATGGTGTCTTAGTCATTCTCAAGTCCGTACGAAACCATCCCTTATTCTAGATGTCCTATTCATTTTACAAATCACAGTTGCATTAATTCAAGTGATTCAAATCAAATCCTGCCGCTTGTTTCAACCTTGTTAAGTCTGATAAGATTGGTTAATCCCTAACTCAGCGGCGAATTTCAAGCTGGAAAGTGGCGGCCCACACCCCCTCCACCCTTTCTCTCTTCCTAACTCAACTTTCCTCCCCTTTCTCTCCCCACCCACAACTTTCTCCTTTACAATGGCTGAACAGAAGCTTCCCACTGATCCCAAGTACGATACGTACGACTTCCCTACCACCTCGCCAGAGTCCAAAGCTGGCCACCCTGGCCACACTACCCCCGAACAGGATGCCAAGGTCTTCCAGCTGCGTACCGTACTCGAGCAGGAGGGTTACACCGAGAGACTGGATACTCTGACGATACTGCGTTTCCTACGTGCTCGCCAGTTCGATGTTGAGAAATCCAAGCTGATGTATGTTTCCTTGCCTCCTATTTTCACCCGCGACATGCCTTCCAGAGCTTGTTGCCACATGTCAAGTGTTTGTCTAACGAATGCAACCACAGGTTTATTGAAACCGAGAAGTGGCGCAAGGAATTCGGAACAGACGACCTACCCCGTACCTTCGACTACACCGAGAAGGCCAAGGTCTTCGAGTACTACCCTCAATTCTACCACAAAACCGACAATGTAAGGCTCCAGACAAAAACAGAGAATCTAGAGAAATTGAAATCTAACCACCCATCTTCTAGGATGGCCGACCAGTCTATATTGAGAAGCTTGGTAAAATCAACCTCAATAAAATGCTGGAAATCACTACAGCCGAGCGTATGCTGCAGAACCTCGTTACTGAGTACGAGAAGCTATCGGACCCCCGGCTTCCCGCTTGCTCGCGCAAGTCCGGCAAGTTGCAGGAGACATGCTGCACCATTATGGACCTGAAGGGAATCAAGGTCATGTCGATTCCTTCCGCCTACAGCTACTTGAAGCAAGCCTCTGCCATCTCGCAGAACTACTACCCCGAGCGTCTGGGTAAGCTGTACCTGATTAACGCCCCATGGGGCTTCAGCTCAGCCTTCAGCATCATCAAGTCCTGGCTCGATCCCGTGACCCAAGAAAAGATCCACGTTCTCGGCAGTGACTACGCAAAGACCCTGTTGCAACAGGTCCCCGCTGAGAACCTGCCCGCTAACCTCGGTGGTTCTTGCAAGTGCGAGGGTGGCTGTGAGCTCTCTGACGATGGCCCATGGCAAGATTCGGAGTGGACCCGCACTCCCGCTTGGGCCACATCCCCAGAGGAGAAGGCTGTCGCCAAGGAGGTTGATGCCAAGGAGGTTGATGCCAAGGAGGGAGAGGCTGAGGCCAAGAAGGAAGAGACCAAGAAGGAAGAGACCGAGGCCGAGGCCGCTGTCATTACCAACGAAGACCCCGGCCCGGAGGTTGTACAGACCAGCGCTTAATTCGACGACAGACTAAATCCAGACGTTCGATACCCGCTATGTAAGGACACAGTCTCACTCCAAGCCTGAAATATTGGAGAAAAAGAACCAGAGAAGCCATACAGGAACTCTTCTCAGCGCAACAATCTACTATTTGTCTTTTCATATGTTGGTCGCCGGGGGTTACCGACCACTCTAACCACACTTCGTGGCGTACTCTTTTGCCTTATTTGTTGGTATTTCCAGTTTTGTCTTTTTTCAAATTTAGATATCATGAAGAGCTTCGTTTACCCCAAACGTATACCTTTTGCTAATTAATCCAAGAGCTCCGCAACACATTGAAGATTCCATGTTTCTTTGGTCTGGATCTATAGACGGGAGAGCACATAGTGGGACTGCGTCCTATTCTACGGCTTATCCCACAAGGAATGAATTATTTGTTCTTGACCCTAAGGTGTGAGTGCAGCTCCAGTATTTGTAAAATATCATATTTGGTGTAAATTCCAGACAGCGGCCTCAAGACATAGAGAAGTGGTATCATGATCCCCGGGAGACCTTGGCACCTAAACGCCTCGCACATAAAAACATAAACCCGAATAAACCCAAGAGAAACCCCATATTTCACGACTCAAAACAGAATGTTCACATATTCTCCACTACTTCAGCTGCCCGGCCTGCTCTTTCGGCCTTGCCCACAGTCGTTGCTAGCGCGTTACCCTCAGTGCTATCCTCGCCGCCCAAATCCGCCTCGCCCTGCAGCCGCTGCAAAGTCCGCAATGAATTCTCGTACACACCGGCAATGTCCCCACTCCGCCATCGCTCCGCCTCTTCATCTGTGCCAAATGGAATATGTAATTTCCACGCCGGATCAGGACGATTGCGCCGGCGCCGAGACCGTGTCGAGTATTCGGCCTGTGAAACATTCTTTTGTGTTGGCTTTGGATTTGCAGGCACATTCTCCGGATCGACATCCATAGCATCACCCTCATTATTATTCGGTTTCGCTAGCCCGGTCACATCTTCAGACTCATTCATTCCCTCGTCTGCATCGTCTTCGTCCCCATCTTCCCCTCCTTCCTCGTTGATCAACCTCAGTAGTTGTGCCCCATAGTTCTGAGCAGCCTTTTGTGGTGCCTCTCGTCTCAACTGTGCAACACTCGTCGTCAGTGACTCGAGTTGTGCGTACAATGCTGTGACACGCGATGCTAGCTCCGAGTCAAAGGGTTCGTATTCGACCGTCTCGGGCGCAGTGAATGAGGCTGGGAACGCAAATTGAGGAGAAGAAGAGTCGATTCCATTGATGCTGACTGAGGCGGAGGAAGATGTGAATGTTTTGTTTATGTACTATTGTTCTAAAGGTCAGTTTTATCTTGAACTATTGATTTTCGCTCCCTCGGAAGGCTCTTTCAATGCTAATATATACAAATGACATATTGTATCGAAAGTTCTTCTGAGTGTTTGTTCAGGTTGAGGAATCTCTCACCTCGTCCACTAACTCCTTCACGCGTTCGCGCATAGGATCTGGCGTGTCATCGCTCGTCGCTGAAGGGGGGAGGTGAAGATCAAGTTTTTGGCGAGAGAGTGTGACTGTGTTTGCATAGAGATATGTGTAATCGGCTGGAGCCTGTAGTTCTATTTTTCTGTAGTGTGCCATGGCTGTGTGAGGGGTGAGATGTGATAAATACAGATGCGGGTTTTTACCGCGTTGATTTGCGGGCTTGGCAGTCCCCGCAAAACGATGTCATCCTTCACGGGTCGACTACTCCGTTCTATGCCCTTATTCCTCACCTCTATTCATCCGCGTAATTCACTCTTTGTAATATCTTTCTTCTTTTTTAAATTTAACTCAATTTCCCTCTCTTATCTTCATTTTCTTTTGTTATTGATACCTTTCCGTATTCCCTATCTAGATCCGCTTCTGGTTGCAGACAGCAGTACAAGGATCACAAAATGCAGACCTCAACTAGCATTTCCCTCGTGGACAATACCATCCCCTCACAACAGCCTACAAGCCGAGAATCCTCACGACAGCCTTCCACCGATCGGCATGGAAGCCTAAAGAAACACCTAAGCCGCACATCTGTTTCCGGTCAACTCGCCAAGCGCAAGTATGCCAAATGGCAGCCCGAAAGACTGGGCCTAGCGACTGATGGAGAAACATCACCGAGTCGAGACTCCTCGCGCGCCCGAGGCTCAATCTCAGCAGAAAGCTCAAGCGCACAATTGCTCCTCCAGGAGACAGTAACCGATGCCTCGCGCGTTAGTACAACAGCTTCGGATCCATTCCGGGTTCAACCAAATGAGAATGGTCAATCTGCCGGACAAACCATAGCTGTCAATTCAGATGGCAGCACCAAGCCGCACTCAGAACTTGATATCCTCTACGAAAACCAGCGCGGCTCGTTCTTCTTCGGCGTGCCCCTTTACTCCCATAGCTCATTACTCAGCATTGACCCAGATGCCTGGATGACCCATGATCACCGTGACAGCCCTGTTAATATTACTAATGCTCAAGTGCCAGATCCCAGCTGGGAATGGTCGTGGCGAACATGGTATGTTGATATGTCCGGTGACGTGGATGAGCAGGGCTGGCAGTATGCATTTTCATTCGGTTCGTCGCAGTGGCACGGCACGCATCCGTGGTTTCACTCGTTTGCTCGAAGGCGCCGCTGGGTTCGGCTTCGAAACAAGATTTCACAAAGAAGACATCGGGGCCGCTCAGAATTCGAGAGGGGCCATATGCTTAACGAGGACTATTTCACTATTCATTCTTCAAATTCGAAGGCTCTGGGTCGTGCACAGAGTGTCACGGGGTTGTCGAGGGTTGAGTCTGGTTTCCTTAGTCTAATGAGCATGAAGGAAGAGGAGGAAATGCATTTGGATGAGATTGGAAACATTCCTTCTCTCATGGCTGCACTCAAGCAGGCTACAATTGACCGCGAGAGAATCGATGCATTAAAAAGGTTTGTCGAGGATGGAGGGGAGGAACTCTACTATTTGAATGACAAGGTAAACTAGTCTGTCTCCTATATCTTTATACGCCTATACTGACTTCCTTTCTCCGTCAGATCCCAGAGATAATGTCTATGTTCATGTTCCAAGCATCGCGCTGGCAATTCGTAACCCACCTCGTCGGTGTCATCCACCAGCTGAAAGACTCCACTGAATCAGATGACAAGGAGGCTGATAAGATCACGCGCAAAAGTGACAGTCTCACTCGTGCAGTCGAATCTGCTAGGTCTCATATCACTGGGCCGGATATTTTTACTGATAGCCAAGGAGAGTCGGTAACAGAACTACTTGACTTGACGCCTGTCAGCCGACATAACTCTTTATTATCAAGGCGCTCTAAAGCTACGGGTGAACCGCTACATGTCTTGAAAGTAAGGGAGATCAAGGGTATTCCCAAAGCAGCGCAGGTTGGCCGTGAAGCGCATATCTATTGATGTGGCTTTTCTATGAATAATAGAATGCTTTTCGATATTTCCGGAATTTTTACCTAATAACAGTTTTGCGTAATTTTTACAAATATCAACCATCTCATAATTCAACATCCAGATTCTATATTTATCTCTTCGTCCTCATTATCTATTTGTTGAATTCGATAATATTCTGCAGTGATCTAAGCTTCGATTTGCGGTCACCGCCTTCCGCGCCAATAATTTTCGGAGGCAAGATCGGACTCCCGAGAGTATACAGATTTGCCCTTTCAACTTCATAGCCGCGACAGCATTGTTCCATATGTTCTCGCGTGGCCGCCCGTGTCTAAGAAGCCGTCTGCCTGTCATCTTGGACACAATTGCGGCTGGCCCCGATGAACCTCTCTTATTCCTCTACCCTCGATGGGCCGCATCTGCCCTGCGTCAACGGCAGCCGATCACAACACTAACGCCATTTGCACCGGCAAGAGTTCGCCAGGTCCAAAATCGTTCTTTCCGTACAGCTCGGTCTACTGCTCAATCTTTGGGTAGACGATGGGTTTCTTCCGATGCCGCTAGCCAATCTCAACGTGGCTCCGATTCGGACCGGGCTTTGGGCGCGAAGGGCTTGGCTCCTCCCCATGGGGATAAGGAACAAAATGAGACAGTACATTCAAAAAATGGCTCTAACAGCGCATCTACCACGACACCGCCGCAACCGCGATTGCCTGTTCATATCCCCGCCGATATGGGACCAACCCGCCAATTAGACTCCGAAGTAGACAAATCACCCCGAGTTTTGTTCCCATCCACACATACGAAAAAGGACCGGCGAAGAAGAATGCAAACGTCAATGGCGACAAAAATGGATCGTCTTGACACCGAGGCCCCAGATTCTCAGAAGACGAAGAAAACCATGCTTGACGGAATGTCCGAGCGAGATAAAAGAAAAGTCCGACATGCAGTTTACATTGGCACAATGGATGATGGCAAGCCAACTCAATGGCAGAGCGGCAATTGGAAAAAGGCGAAGTACATGCTGCAGAGGATGCATATTGCTCGCCGCAGAGATGAGGTCACACAGGTTACCGCCAGAAAGGACGAGTTACGGATGAAAGAGTTACAGATTCCCGAAGAAACACTTGCCTGGCTGACTGGCACCACGGATAATGGGTCGAAAGAGAATATTCTGTTCCTCAAAGTGCATAATGGATGTCGGGTACACGTACTGCCACCTAACGAGGGCGACGGAGTTAACCGAAGAGTCATTATTTCAGGATCAGTGATTGTCATGGATCTTTTTGAAGCACGCATCAATAACGCCCGCAATCTCCAAAATAATGGTGACCCCTTTGTCGACATTCACAAGCCTCCTATCCCGATCCTCGCTTCACGTGAGACCATGAGCCGCAAGAACATCCCTATACCCATGATTCGGGGTGTCTGGGACTTCTCACAGGTATACGAAAGGCCAAAAAGCGTCGACGAGGTCTATGCCACTGGTCCGCCTTTAAAAACTGTGAAAGATTTCGCCGAGTACATCGAGGATTTGACGCACCCCAAGAACAGTACGGGCCGCCGACGGCTTAGACACTTGGACAATCGGTACAAGAATCAAGAAAAAATGCCTTACGCGCATAAGATTATAAGACACATTTTGTGGCTGTTTAGCCAGGAGTCAAATTATCAGCTCCTATCCACGGCAGCTTTAAATCACGCTCTGACTTTCATGTTCAAACATGAGCAAATATCTGCTGCGTGGACTGTTCTTGCAATAGGCCATCTCGTCAAAACAGCAGACACTTACAACATTCTTCTGAAGTATGCAGCGCTGCACCAGTGGGATAAGATGTTTCTGACCGTTTTGGAATCAATGCAAAAGGCCGAAATCCGCCCGAATCCATACACGTGGCTTGCATTGATGGAGGCCATGGTCACCCCAGCATCCAAAAACTCTCTCCTTACGCACATGGTACAGAAAGGCTACATATCGGGGACCACCATTCTTCGTAGTGCCCTCCATATGACAATCCAAGATGCGCTTTTTGTGCACTTGGAAAGCGGACAGACAATTGAAACCTTCTTCAGACATATGGTCAAAACAACGGGGACTGGTTGGTTTAGCTCAGCTATACTTGGTCAAATGTTTACTGTTTGTACTCGCATGCGTGACTTTACCGCTACGCGCAGTCTGCTCAACATCTGCCAAAAATTCCATCTTCCCATCGACTCCAACTGTCTCTTTCAGATCCTGCGAATGTGTCGTGGGGACACTTTCAAAGCCCTCGACTTCACGTACGATTTCTTGAATCGTCCCTTTAAACCCCGCTTCCAGCTGTCTGATTGGAATTTTGAGCGCCTGTTTCTCATAGCCTTCAAAAATCACCATTACAACATCGCCCGAGTGCTGTGGCGATACGCCTGCCTTCAAAAGTCAGTGACCTACGATATGAAGCAAGCAGTCTTGACCAGTCTCTCCCGCAATGTATCATTCAAGAAATCCAACAATATCATGCACGATATTTGGGCACTCTCTGCTGGCAAAGTGATTGTTGGAATCGATCTTGATCGCGAACAATACGATATCTCCCAATCAATGGTGCAGAAGCTGCCATCCGAATTCCACAACAACCCGCTTCTATACTTGACATCGGGGTTCAAAGACATGAAGGAAGACCGAGATCTTCAGTTGGAACTCGCTTCTTACCTTGTCGATCGTGATATTAAAAGCGCCTCAAAATACAGGCCTGCAAATAACCTGGCTATTATGCTTGAGTCGGCAGCTATCATCGACCGCCAATGGAAAGGAACACCAAGACCCTTGACTTGGATGATGCAGAACGCGATCCAAGTGCCTCTAAAACTCAAGCCGCAATTCGAAACGAGCCCCTCCTCACTCGACTCTTCATCAATTGATGATTCTGATTCTTCTCTTGATTCTCTACTTGATTCCTTACAAGATTCCTCATCACTCGAGTCTTCGTTGCCCGATTCCCCATCCCGTTGACCCACCCTCATTCTCCCTATCCTTTCTGCATCTGGTGCTAGCGTGTTGCATGAGATACCCATTGTTCGGGCTATATAAACTCATTTGTCCTGTATTATACACTTGTGACCTGCCACTAGATTTACTTATAATTCTGTACATTATCTCACGACAAAATAGCAATCTGTCAACTCAGTCCATCTGTCTCCAAACTTCATGTACCATCTCTTAGAATCAATACCCATCAGGGTTACCTAGGTAGCCCCCTCTGAGTAGGTGCCTAGGTAAGCAAAACCCTAGAAGTTTCATCTTATCTACATGTCCAACCCCTCTACTTATCTCAGAAACCCTTGGTTTAATGACGGTTCATGAATGGTTTCTGATAAACCGCAATCTAAATAGCCGCGCATACAGCGTGGTACATACACCCCACGTTTTGGAAAGTCGAAAGTACTTACTTACTAGGTACTCTCGATCGATGTCAGACTTAGAATGAGCTATTCAAATGCGATTATACATGGGTAATGTCCCCCACCTACGCACCATTTTAGCCGTTCTCTCGTATCTATGTATAAATAGAACATTCTGACAAGACAATTTTATAGACCACGTATGATTGCTACCAACCTCGATTCAACATGTAGAAGAGAAGTTAACATCATTTGGGAGACTTCAGCCACTAAGTGGGCAATGTAACCCCTTGCATGTGTAGAGGGTTACCTAGATTTGATCTAGCTTCCAAGGGGTGAGAGTATCCGTTTCAAGTGCCACTTTCAAGGGTTTGTAGCAGTACGCAGTACCAAATATGTATTCACTGGTAATACGGGAAAGGACAAAAGTACATAAGTACAGTGCACTAATGTAGGTGATCCTTGTATTTGCAAGTTGATACTACGAATGAGCGTGCGTAACTTTGGCGCCAAAGAGAGACGCTATGTTTCATGTGTTGTCAACGCAAATTCCGTCAAGAGCCGAGGTTTCAAATATTATGGTGTCAAAACAGGATAATTTAACGATCATGTTCAGTCATGCCACCCTTGTCTGGCGGTGAAGTATCGGAATTACCGTGTTTACAGAATACGGATGCGCAGGGAAGACAGGATATGTAGTAAGAATATTATTGTACAATTCTTCGTAAGTTCATCTAGGGATTAAAAATACTATCATCCAAAACAGTCCCTGCTAAGCAGAAGAGCCGGTCATATACATGCACACCATACCGAGGCAGAAAAGAAGAATAGGACACTAGGTAGTGAGGGGGTGTGGTAGTGCATGTTATGTTAGGTCACGCTTCAGTCCCAATCAAGCGATTATACCAGCTAAGGGAGCAAAGGTCTCCGTCGAATTCCATTACCCTCGCAGCAGTCTTGTTCAGGCTGGTCATCACCACCAGATCCAGCATCCACTCATTGCCGCTGATCATCACCATCCTGCGACGAAGACAATATACCAAGGGTTGGACCCTGTTGCATCCCCTCCTTATGTGCCAATGCAAAAAAAAAAAAAGAGCAAAAAGTTCCACAAAACTCCGAATATCCAATGTTCTAATGCACAGCGAGTGTAGTGCAAGCAAGGTGCCGAACCGTTTTTTGAAGTTCCGTAAAACCGTTCCCCCAAAGAACCCAGGCGCCAGTTCATAAGCGATCGACACGAATGATAAAAATATTTGTGCAGTTGCAGAAGCCAGAAGCGAAAAATGGGGCTGATGCAGTCGAAAAGGGTCAAGCGATAGGCATAGGTCGGGAGAGAAAATATAAATATGTGGATTATCCCCAAGGGAATAATTCCACGTCTGTACAAGCGAATGTTTCCATGTCGGTAGTGCCAAAGAGCACAGGCGAAACAAGACTCGCCACCGGAATTAATATTATAGACGGAGGAGTGTTACTCTCCCAAGAGGGAAAATGACAAGGCATGTACAGCCAGAAGGTGAAAAGAAACCATCGGTTCAAGTCGGGTGGAAAACTGTGCGAACCGGAGGTTTTACATGATTAAAACCTTAAGGTGTCGAGAATATGGCTCGATGCAGATAGTCGTCCAAAAATTTATCGTTAAAAAAAAAAGAAACGCCATTTCGAAAAGTAAATGCAATGGTCGGACACATTATATGCATAACGTAAGATTAGCGACCAGCCTCAACGTCATGGTTTGAGGTCAAGGTCTCGCTCTCCCAAGCGTAGTGGTCGTCAACAGGGCTCGTAGAGCCAGATGAGATCGAGGACGAAGAGCCCACAGTCCACTCATCACTGTCGAGGTTGAAGTCGCCATCGAGACTGGCAAGGTCGTAACCATCATGCAAGGAGTCACCAACCTCGATGTAGTCATAGTCCCAACGGAACATCTTGTCGAGCTGGGTGCGCGGGAGGAAGCGGGACTTGGCGAAGTAGAATGCCACGGTGGCAAGCAAACCACCACAAACCAGATCAACCGCGTAGTGATGCGAGAGGTACATGGTCGCCCACCACATCCAGAGGGTGTAAGTGACCCAAACGACCTTCATACGAGGGAAGACCGAGCTCATGAAGAGGGCGGCCAGAGTGGAATCCGCAGCGTGCAAAGACGGAAAGGCACCAAAAACCACGGGAGACTGCTTGAATCCGGAAGTGTACATATCGATGCCGAGCAGCTTGTCGATACGAGCGAGACCAGCTGGGTTTCCCTGCATCGAGTAGTCTGCGGGAGCAAGACCATACAGGTTCTCGTACCACGGGGGAGAGCAAGGAAACACCAACTGAATCACCACAGCGGTCATGCTAATGTATCCCAGAGTCCGAGCGTAGAGGGGAGTAGTACCGGGGGGTCCGAAGAAGAAGAGGATGAGGGAAACGACAAATGGGGCACCGTAATGACAAAGGCCATACGGAATCCAAGCCAAAATATCGAGAACCACATTTTGGTGGGCTGAGAGGATATTACTGATGTTGGCACCGTAAAGTATATTCTCCATAGCCGGCAGTACGCGGACGGAGATGGGAGGCCGCCAGTCGCTCGGGACGAATCTATTTTGGAAGTTTATTAGATTTACCTCTTGAGGCTACGACACCCATGCCACGCCGATCTCAGAATAATCGGAGATCGACCCCTGAGGTGTATCACGGGAAAAAGGCAAACTTACTGGCAAGCATAGAAAAAGATAAGCCACCCAGCAACAGGCAGAAAGGGGAGGAAGAACTGGCGGGTGATGGGCATAAGGAGAGAGAACAGGAGAAGCGTGGCGATGGCGGTCTTGCCCAGAGGACCAGGAGATTGGATGATCGTCAAAGAGAAGATGCCGATGATTAGAAGCAATAGATACTGGAAGTCGTACATGGTCCACCGGTGAGCCTGGAGGGAGCGGAGCGTGTCAACGGGCGAGAACGACGTCTGCAGCGTCGAGATGGATGATGCTGGTGACATGTGGCTCCGGAGCTTTGACCTAATCTTGCGGCGCATACGATGAGGAAGGAATGAGCGCCATGGGACCTGAATTTGAAGTTTTCCGAAATGGCTCTGGTTCTGCATCCGATCCTTCCACGTTGGAAAGGTACTCATATTGGCGGTGAGTCTCCTCCAGGAGACTCTGGATCACTCGAGAGAGAAAACGGGAAAGGTAGGGTGTCGAGGGATACCGCGATGAGATGGAAGAAAACAGCAGGGACTGGAATATCAGCGTGACCTGAAAGGCATGAGAATGAAAAAGAACAAGGTAAGCTGTTTGAACCCTGCGGAAAAAGTTGGAGGTCAGAGGGGGGAGGTAAGGATTAGATATGAAGGGGATGAAGGATATTCGGGGAAGATTTTCGTATGATTGATGTATCGTCGGTATTTGTATTACCGACGGTATTTTGGGTCTTGGCATTAAATGTATGGCGTCACTATGTAGACTAGTCCTATTATATAGTTCTAACGTCTATTTCATGACCATGGTTTCTTGGGTAGGATATCCTGAATGAGAATGTGAGTACTACGACCTATATTCATCTATTTCATACTGACATCTATTCATCAGTTGAAGATTGGTATCAAAATAGAGGACATTCGGGTTCGGGCGGATGTAGCGGCACGGAGGCTACGGAGGCCGAGCAGATGCACGAGAGATCACAATCAGCTCATAGAAAGGCTGGGGTAAGTAAGTAAGATAGTAATATAGCTTTGAATAGTACCTAGGTAATCTTGAATCATAGAATGAATGAAAGTTTCACTCTCCCTCTCTCTCTCTCTGGCCTGACGTCTTCTCTGACAGCAATAATCTACACCGTACGGAGTATAGAGTTAATACCTAGAATAGCTTACATAGGTAATATCAAATTATGCAATACACTAATACATAAATAACAGCCAAAACTGGGATGCAAATTTTCAATATAAGATCCATTATAAGACGCCGATTGGCTGATCGGATCCATTTAACTAATGACATCCAATTTCAAAAATTTCAACTAATTTCGGTTAATCCGTATCCCTCGTATTATTTACCTCAACAAAGACGGAAGACGGACTAACTACACGGAAGAGGACTGACCTGTTTACTCCGCCCTTATTGCTAATCAGATTCTTCAAAACCCGTTTTCTGACAAATAATCTTACAGTTTTCCATACTTTCAAATACCGGAATGAAAGAAGTAAACCTTATTGCTGTTTCATTTACACTTCGTCAGGGGATTCTTCTTTTGTCTTAGTAAGATTATATTACACAGGATTAGCAAGATCGTACGTGAGCGCGTCATGAATCCGATCGGAGTCTAGCTTATCGCCCCCAGTTTCAGAAGTGTCAGTGCCACACGGAGATCATGTCCACGCTCCCAAAGTGAGGATTTGTTTTTTTTTTCCGATTCGAGAATACCATCGGGACTGGCACGGATACACCCCTTTAAAACTACTATTCATAGAGATATACAATAATGTAGGGTTACCCACAGACCACGGCTTAGGAACCAAAAAAGTTGGTATAAACATCAGAAACTGCAGTGGGGGCGGGTTTAGACTAGTTTTTGCGATGCCGTTGCCGCCGCCGCCGGGTATATCGGCTTTAGTATAATAGAAGAGAGTGCCATCTGCAATCTAGCTAGGTAATACAAGTCGGATCCCGAAATACTCCTTTTGTCAATTCCTGAAGACTAGATTAGGTCATACGGAGTAGCCTTGGAAACATGGCCCGGGAAGGAGAGTAGAGTCGCCACCTTCGGGGCTGAATCGCTACCTATCAACATCTATGATCTATGGCAAACAATCTCGGGATCACTCACGACTGGTTAATATCAATTATCGTAGCTGTTTGAAGCTCAGAAGCTAATGCCTTGATGTATCATTAGAGTGGTGAATAATGACGACATTGTTTACCTATACTCGTTCAGCAATTCTACCTACTCGCAAGTTCATAACTAACAATGAATCTCCAATAGATTCTTGGATAGTCATAATCAGTATCAAAGTCCCAATATCCTCTATTCAATACATCTATAAACTTTCCGAGCACAAACTCTGAAATTTCCTTCAAACTTCTGCGAAGTTCCACACTAATAAATCTGTACTATTCGTCGATTGCCCCTTTATATTCGTGGTTGCCTGGAGCCAAGAGACTAGAGCATATATTCTAAGTGTTCGTTCACTAGATGACCACCTGTTCGCTAGTTATATCTAGATACAAACGCATGGCACTGTCCAGCCCCTATCCGCACAAGCCCTGCTGCGCCACATGTTGTGGGGACTAGGTAGTCGGTGATTATGATCAACGACGGAGTAACTACTAATAGTCATTTATTAGCCGCTAGCGCCAAATAGCCTGGACATTCTTGTAGGTTTTCAAGATGTTTTACGGAGTACGGACCTCGTAACTATTACTCGGAAATGATCCATGAATAGCTAGCAATATTGGTAATCTATTAAATACCCATAATCTTGGCTGTTGCCTTCACGATTATGCGCTCAGCCTCGCTGATTTGTTATAGTTTCTAGGTCATTTGAGAACTGGACTCTTGCACGGCTCCAGGGGCTCAACAATTCCAAAATTATAGCTCACCTTGGAATGTTTTTGGACGTCTTATTCCCAAAATCTTGACAGCTGGCACCTGGACGCATCATCATCGGTGCCAGATAATCAAGGAGGCCTACGTCGGCCTTACGTAGTGACGTTTTACTATGCAATGCAGTATGAACGTACTGTACAAGATTAGAAATGGAAGCATCGATGAACTGCGCTTGATAAAGATCCACTCTTCCAAGGATCTGCGCACAGGATATTGATTAAGGCCCCCAGTCGGGTAAGATTTTGTCTTTCATCTCATTAATTGTTTCAATTGAGACTATCTTCTAGAAGTTGGTTGGCTCTACCTAGTTGAAACTCCCCAGATACCTAGGCAATGTCAAAGCTTGGAAGCACTATTTACCTCCAGCTTCACCCTTCTACCAAGATACTATTACAATCTGCTCTATTCTAAGATCAATGATAGTTCCCAAAGACACATACCTAGGTAAGCCTTGGAATTTTGGAAGTGAACTACCCCTGGAAAATATCATTGGGGTCTGTTATGCACACATCACATTATCCTTCCAAGAGGATGCATCTTTCAAGTCATCGCTGTGCGTATGGACAAGTATTGCCGCTGACCAAGCTTCTATATCTCATGTAGAGAATCGAGGAATAAGCTGGTTGATGAAATTGGGACTCTTAGGCATGATATCTCGGCTGTCTTCACTTGGTCACCCTGAAACCCCAATCTTAGCCGCGCAAAGAAGCTTCATTGAAGTCCTGACTTATCCCATGATCATTCATCAATGATGAGACATGTACTAGATGATGTAAGTACCCAAAGAGATATTATTACATTTAGTCCGGCTTACGTTAGGTGCTAGTGACATTCCAAAAACTCCGCTTACTATTCTGATCTGATAATTAACATTAATTATCAATGCTACTTGTATCTATTAGAGGTATGTAGAATGTGGAGGTGCCTCAATTGAAGTATAATATAATGTGGAATTCGGAAGTTCTAACCAATAAAGTGCCTTCATAGTCTAGCGGTCATGACGTCGGTCTCATATATGTGACCTTTATATGATGTTTCTGGTAACAGGAATGCCATCCGAAAGCCCCAGTTCGACTCTGGGTGAGGGCAACTTTTTTTGTACTTTTTTTTGTTTTTTTTTAAAAAAAAAAACCCCCACACTACTCTTGACCGCTTTCAGATAACCCTATTATCTTTCTTTCATTTCCTTTGGCGCAATACTGCATCACCAGTCATCATAGCCTATTAGCATTTTGCTTTTCTACCTAGATAATAATTACAAGAAATGATGGACTGTATCCCAACTATCTCTGAAATTGGCTATTTAACCGATTTATCAGCCTTTCAATGGATCTAGTACTTCGAAAAATGCATATGGTCGCGTACTAGGAGGGCCTAGAGATTAATACTATGTGATAATTTTGGATTCCATCTTACTATAGAATTCCTGGAATTTTGCGAGAAATTCGAGATTTAGACCATTTTTTATCCCTTCGCAATCAAGCCATCTACTCTAGCCTTTAGATGTCGGTGTATTTAATGTCTATAAACACTAGGATTCGGGGGCTATTGAAGATGCGACGAAGTCTAGAACAATGAAATTTACCAAAGATGATTCCTTGGCTTTAGTCGCCAGGCGCGTCAGGACCTCTCATGTAAATATTCTCGTCGACCTTAAATCATTCTGTTTTCCGAGGTAAAAAGAATGAAGCGACTTCAACAGAAATTGGATGATAGAGAAGTTTGGAGAAGTTGAGACCACATTGGAAAGAAGTGATGCGTGAGCTTAAGATAGTATCTAGGCAGTAGGTTACGGTGCTGAACTTAGTATAAAGTTCTATTTGAATCATGAAATTTACCTTTTTCGATATTATCAATATAATATCTATAGTTATAGTTATTTATGGGTAATAAACTAAGATAGAAAGTTAGAGAACTAGAAAAATATTCATTTGCATAATTGGTAATTTACGAAGGAGACCGGTTATTTTATTATTGAAGTTCGGACCACTAGTAAACAATAAATTGAAACGGTTTATCGGTGCAACAAGTAAGCTTCGCCAATAGACAAGGTTTATTCTCTGGGGATTTAAATACAGAATGAAAAGTTTCAGTACAGACTGTATTAATCAGCCGGAAGTACAGCTGTATTGCGGCGTGATCCGAGGCTCCAAACTTTTCAAGCTTTAACTGCCGTTCCTTGAATCCTTGGCATTGAGAGGTTACTTGTTCTCCTTCTCATAGTACCTACTTTGTACCCTCCAGGGTTGCGTGAAATAACTAATTATCAATGTGATTAGGATATTGACAGCCTTGAGTATTATCCAGACGAATTATTTCATTTCAGATGCATTATTTACAGATCTCGTTAATTTCCCACATATACAAGTCCACCGTACTCCGTAAACCAGCCCACCTGGGCGCCCTCTGTTATAACTTATCTATCTCCTGGCCAATTTGAGAAGGCTATATTTACCGGAACTTGCCCCACGAAAGCATGAAACGAGCTTCACCAACAATATGTTGAAGATATACAAGATGAACATGAGAGCAATTGCTCCTCCAAGGAACCAAGTCCAGGGTCGGTCTCCAACCCACATGAAGGTTTTCGCATCTGCATGATGCCAACTGCTGCTCTCGAGGTCGGTGATGTACGGTGACAGCTCGGTTGCATTAATGACGCCCCAAGAGGGCAATGACTGTGCGTGTGTTGAGTACTCGCTCAGATAGTTCTTGACTGCCAAGGTCAGGAACATGGGCCCGGAAGCTGCCATGATGGCGGTGTATGGTTGCCATTTCGCCCATAACTTGGAAAATTCATTATAGGACGGCAGTTGGGTGATTACCGACTTATAAAGCGGATTGCGCGCCGAGGTTATCATGAAATCGTTTGTTACACCAGTCGGTTTTGTTGATTTGAAGAGGGCATGGTGAACGGATGTGTCGGGTTCTATATATTCAATAGGAAAGGTCGAGTTGCACCAGGTATCCATGTCGAGGTACATGCCGCCAAAGTGATACAGGACGAAATAGCGCAGAGAGTCCGCACGCTGAATGGGGTATGGGTAGCTGTCCCAGATATCGACGAACCAAGAGTATTCTTCGAGGAGGAAGGTACGAGTCGACTCATCAGTCCATAGCTAGAGTGTCGGAAGAGTTAGTAACTATTCATTTCAATAACCTGTGATGAGAGCCAAGCAATCCGTGCGCATTTAGATGTACCTTGTACTCAAAATCGGAATAAGTATTTATACAGCTTTGTTGCGATTTTTGCCATTTTTCGGGAATAACGTCCGTCGCAGCAGTCTGATGTAGAATTCGCGGTATCTGATTCACGCCGGCCGTTTGATTCTTCGCCAAAGGCGAGTAACGAGCACCATTCATAGCAACTCGTGGACCGAAGAGTTCGTCATTTCGAAGTAGTAGAGAGATGAGAGGTCTCAAAGTATGAATGATCATTAAGGTGACAATAATGTCTATGAAGAGCAAAACCTTTGTCTTATTCGATATGGACCATCTCGGGCGCGTTTCTTGCTTCCATTCAACACGTTCCTGGTCCCAATCACTGGCGCTGCTGGCTGAGGATCCACTAGAGGCTGAACGACTAAGTAACCACGGTGATTTCATGTTGAATAACAGGGCATGTCCCAAAAATTAACAGTATATATTGAGAGGGAAGGTAAAAAACAGTATGAGGGACACGGGCGAAGATGTGCAAAATACCGTTTCGAGTGGGTGTAATCCATTCAGTAATTTATCGGCGTGAATTAATTCCGAGCAGGAGAAAGAGATAATGAGGGTCTTGTGGGGTCAAACTACTTAGGGTTAAACGATTATTGGACATAATCTTGACCATGTGACTTTGGACCCGGTTACAGCTTATACTCCAATCCAATCAGGCTCTTAATTTCGTTTGAGCCTATGAATTATACACATAACTTTCTGATAACAATTATGTCGATCAATAACTAGTCACAAGTAATTCTGATTGTTTATGGGGAAAATATCGGGATATAGATATAGAATGCAAATAAGATAGGTCAGTTGATAGGAGCGGGGCTAAGAAGTAAGAAATACTCTGTAATAAATGACTCCATGATAAGTTTCCCTCCGGCTTTTGAATCCGTGGTTTAAATTCCGTGATGTTCGCTGGAGACAGAATAGAACCCCTGAAAATACCGCATAATTTCTCATAATTGATGGAGCTGCTTCAAGTACTATTTTGCTTCTGTTTTTTCCTTAAGTGGGGACTCGGCAACGAGCGGAGACTCGATTTTTATTATTTCCTACATTGGAATAGTCATCACGTGCCACCTCATGATCTTTAGGCGATTTGACCTACTTTGTTGCAATTTAGAAAGTTCTAGTTAGCTTACCCCATAATATTTCATCGAAAGTCTATCACATGTTAAGATGTTGTAGATATCGACTCTGAATGAGTTGATACTATTAGCAAAGAATGTATCAACCCGAGGTCACTTTCGTCACTTTCAAGTTACCCTTGATTAACTAATCACCTCAACAAATTGACGGACCAGTCAACGGCTGAACTTTGGAGTGGAGCCCACCAAAAAGTTTACTAAGTAGTTGTGCCCTGAACATGAAAATAACTAGTGTCTGAAGGATTGATCCAGGATTTACAGTAGTTGGGGAACAGTCTTGGAAGCAAATGCTAGAAAGTTAACCACTCTGTAACGTTAGTTGTACGGGCGTGATGACTCCGCGACATTGAGATGAGTTAGTTAACTAGTCAGTTAAATATTATTTACGTAGTTATCAGTCGGCATGATTCATCACTTTCAAATGTTCAACTTCCAGGGCTCACTAGCAAAATTGCACGTCATGCTGCAGAGTACTCCATAATTTGTTCTTACAATATAGATTCCTGATGCTCTTCCAAGGTTCCCAGTTGCTATCCCAAGAGTTATACGATACCTTATTTCAAGTCCTTGGGCAGTGAAAAACTCAGAATTGCACTCAGTGATGGATACCTAGCTACTCGGCAGAATCTTGGAAATCAAGAATCGGTCAAAAAAACTGGGAAGAAAGTTCATTATTCTCATCGAATCAACGAATTAACAACGAATTAAACTTGTAGTCTATATAATTTTATCAATTCCGGCCTATCTTGTAAAGGTTCGTTTCCAATATACGGTATTATCCGTGAACCAAGGGGGAAATCGTACAGTAGACCCTAGGTAGGGAAGATATAAAGAAATGTGGTTGAAGATAGATCAACGGCATATTGAAATCAATACAGTGATTAATCCTTGAAGGACTTCTCCGAGGTTCAATAACTAGCAAACACTTTATACCCGCGAAGACCACCTAGTCTCCTGACCGGGGGAACAGGAATAGAGTAATCTCGAGACGCCAGTTGCTTGTCGGGCAGGCCGAGCGGACAGTTAACAGACAACGTGAACTTCCACCATTCAGTAACTTTACCACCTGCTGATTGATTTACCGACACTCTCTTCCGCTGATCTTTATCAGTGTTCAGAAAGCCGAGATGTCGTTATCTTAAACAAAGGAGTCTGTGACCCCGTAAGTGCTCTCATAAGAGCCGGTCAATGGGTAGTCCAAGGGTTCCCCAGAATTATTCTGCAACTCAAGGCAGATCCCCTGACCCAGGACTACTGAGTTTTTCCCATGGTTGTCTTAGCAAGACTTCGTATCGTTCCAGAGGGAATCTCATTTCCAAATACTTATTCCATTGTACGTCTTCACATATCTGGTGACCCTGCACTTGAAGTTAGGCCCCCTGGGCCAGAAAATGCTTCCAAGGTTTTAGCTTCCGTTCATTACGATCATTGGCAGGCTGTCCCGCATATTATAAAGCGCTTTAATATTCCGTTCATCTTAGGACTAAGTTGGTTGGCACCACGCATGTAAATGCCTTCTAGGATAGTAAGCAGCAATGCACTCCATATCTTTATTTGTTGTTCCGTCGATCGTTAGTTCAAAGCGCCGAATCATCGTCGCAAAGGCGATGTGCATCTCAGCCCAGGCCAGATTCAGACCAAAACACATACGTGGTCCTCGGCTGAAAGAGACAAGCCGGTAGTCCAAGTCAATATTAGTTTCACTGCCTGTTTCCGATTTGTCCCCCTCCAGCCAACGTCCTGGTCGGAATTCAAGGGCATCTCTCCCCCAGACTTCGGCGGACTGGTGTACATGTAAGATTGCCATGCCCACTATTGTGCCGCCAAGTATCTCTTGGCCAGATATTACAGCTCCACCTATAGGTACGACACGTGTCAGTGAGACTCCTGATGGAATGAAGCTCAGGGCTTCCTTAATGGTTGCTGTGAGGAGGGAAAGGGTCTCGAGGTCTGTTAATAAGGGCTGTTTTGCGATAACTGGCCACACTGTCATAATTTCGCGTCTTAGTTCTGCCAATAAGATCTGATTCTGCATTAAATGCCAGTAGCCCATGAGCAGTGTATCAGCTACTGTATTGGATCCTGCAAAGATGAGGGTGAACCCTTCATCGTGCAAGGCTGTCAAGTCTAGGAGCTTTTTGCTCCGATAAGCCTGGGGGTCGAGCATGCGATAGAAGATAGTTTGATGGGGTAAAGTGTCAAGTTTAGAAGGGCATTTTAAAACGACGTGCAGCTGTTTCTAGATCAGATCTACGACCAAATATAGACGTGGAGCCAGTCGTTGAGCTTGAGGCATAAAACGTATGACTAGGGTTGGGGGAACGGCAAAAATCAGATCTGGATTAAGGGGGCAGCATGCAAAGGCTAGCATCCATGGCTAGGATTATTGGATCTTTGAATGCCGGTGCATTGAGTGAGTCTAGACAAGTGCCGAATGTGAATCACATGACTGTGTCTAGGGAGCGTAATGCGTAAAGTAGGTCGATAGAGCTTCTCGTCACGCTTGTCCTGGTGATGGAAGTTGCTAAGCGGGTTGTCTATTATTTGGGTGGGTAATGATTATATATCGAGTTTGCCCGAAGAAATGAATATACTCACATTACACCAGACAAGATGCTCTAGGCTATTGACGGCCTTTTGGAAAAAAATAGGAAGCACAGCCCCCTGTCGTTCCTTCGCTTGGGCATATATCAAAAGCACGAAAGTTCCACTCTTGATACCAGGTGTTCGATAGAAATCTTTATCCTTGTCCCATCGTTTGCCGCTATGGTAAACTTCATGGAAAGCGAATGGACTTTCAAAATGGAGCCATAGAAAGAAAAGTTAGAATATCGTCGTAAGGGATAATAGGAGATAGTTGGGTCCAGTAAAGGTAAAATAAGCTTATATTGACTTCGTCTGGAGCGATACGAACAATGTCACCTTTTTTCAACGTTAACGGGGTTCAGTTCGCGTTAAGTTCACCCACCATATTTTTTATGATGAGTAAAAGGCTCTTGGGCCAAGGTTTCTTGTTTTATAACTTCCTTGTATGCCCTCCAGCATGATGTCGCCCCGGCCATCCATGGCCCAGGGAATTTCCGCAATGGGTGGAAGAAAACATTGTATAGAATGCGATACAATCCACAAAAAGACAACACTGGCAATATTAATACGAAAAGTGACGCGGTACCCATTATAATTTGAGACTTTCACTTTTCCAAAGCCTCAAGAGGAAATGGAGATATTTATGCAGGTTATTTATAACCATGGAAATCCATGACCTCTAGGACTAGATAATGCCGAGGGACAATACGTCCATCAACAGTGAATTCCATCCCGTAAGCCATTACCAAGATTTGCTGACACTGCTCATCTTCAGATGAATACACCATAATTATAGGTCCGAGCCAATATTAGTGGCTGACAGGCGCGATGTTCCTTTTATCGGGGTGATATATTTGTCTTATAAGGACTCAGAACTAAGATTTATGAAAACGAATAATTACATTGTCACCTAAGTCGCAGCCTAGAACATTGAAAATATTTTGATTCAATTGCCAGCCTTGCCCAGTCTGAGGCTAGTATATATGTTTTTCTCTGTAATGCACTTCCCAGATGCAAGCCAGAAAGTTCCATAAATCTTGAGATCCATATTCTGGCAGTTCAAGAGATAATGACCCTGGGAAGCCTGAGCGGTGATGATGTTACCTTGGTATCAACTATGGCAATTATCCATAAATGCTCGGTCTATTCCAATGCGATGATACGTTGGTCAGCTCTCCCATCGGAATTTCCCCTTACTATTGACTGCATGAATGACGAAAAAAACAATATCCACAAATATGTCACCTTCCATCATTGTGGCTAAGGCAAAGGCAGTAGTGGTAGGCTCATTTCTCATAGGCAAGCAATAAAATGCTCTAGCAACGATCCACTCTAATGGCAAAAGGTGCCATGGTCTCTCTCGAGGGGGTTGTCGTCCCTGTCTTCCTCGATACCAACACCGATGCCGCGCACCTGCTACACCAATGAATATGCAAACTACTTTGCCCATATTTATATGCTTATTATTTATATTAAACCCATGAGCTATACAATTACATATCTCTGACCTGTTTCCAACGCCGGACTCACTCGCTGGCCTACCCTTGGACGTTTGCCATGATTCCATTGGATCTTTATAGCCCCAAACCACGGCAATATATTTCTTTAAAATGGACTGGATAGCCTCTCTGTTATTGAACTCGGATCGATACAGGATATTGTGACTAGATGGTCTTGTTTACATTTGTTTTTATGCCTATTCCTATGGCTGGTATCCTGCTGGGCTTCTCGGGGTTTTTGCAGGAGCTCGGTGTATAGATTTGAGGGAGAAAGCTGGAAATCTCTTGGAACGACGACAGACTCATAGAATTGCTTTTATGGGTTTTCTGTAGTTACTTGACCTGATTTGTCGACTTCTAGGGTTCTCTTCTTGTGCTTCGGCTTCTACTGGCATGATTTAGATAAATGAAAACTGTGACCACAGGAATGATACCTGCATGCCCAGGTGATGGTACAAGCCTTGGAACTCGGGGGTTGACTTGTGTTCTATGATCGTGGCGGTCCGATTCGTTGTCCACACCCAGGCTGTGATACAAATTGTCCAAATTCGAAATTGCCCCGAGAGTCCGATATGCTGTGGAATCGGCCCTGGTAAGGTGCAACCGGTTCGTAAGGTTCCCCCTTTATTAGTATTTTGGTATCTGTGATCTCGTAAGTTAGACATCTCCTCATCCCTCTTCAAGCTACTAATGGATCGATTTTTCAATTTTTCATGTGCTGTCGTGATATCTTTATCTATATTTTCAACTACAGTGTTCCAATTAAAGAAAATATTTACCCTAGAAGAGTTTATTCAATTAATTTCACTCGACTATCCCTGCTACATCCAGAAATTCCTATCCTGCAAACGTAAAAGGCTGATACTTGACTTCCAATGCAACTACCCCATACTTCCCGACCGATTTGACTTGATTTACCAACACTAGTCTTCCCTCTTCGTCGCTGGCTCCATTTAGCAAATTAATCATCTCGGATTTTCCCAGTTGGTGCTGTATCGCCAATTGCTGGAGAGATAAATCGCGGATTTGTGTTAACGTCACCCCTTCTCCAGAATCGGACAATGACGGTACAGTGATCACCAGTGTAGCGGAACGATTAAGCCTGAGGACTGGTAGATGAGCGCGCAGCTCGGCAGTTATTTGCGTTGCCATTGAGGCATATGGTGAGCCCGGGGTGGGGAATGGAAAATTGAGGATGTAGAACGCCGCATTCAGTATTGGTTGTGGTGATCCTGGCTGTCGGTGCGAGGTAGTTATCCGGGGATGCGGGTTGCGATTTTTGTCGTGTGTGGAGAATGGGAGTTGTAATGTGAAGTAGAGCGACGGATATTGGGCTGCGAGAGCGACTGCTCGCTCCGTGGATAGTGTGCCAACCTTCGTCAAGTTCTACATGAGTGACATATAGAGACACGTGGGACAAGGGGCAAAATACCTCTACCACAGTAGACTCGTTGGACATGCCGATCCCTTCCAGACAGGTCAAGACATCTGTAACTGTATCACACAAATGTCCTATTCCATATCTGAGATAGGCCTGCCTTTGCCGCTGCAGACGAGAAAATTCAGCTTCACTGATAGTGGCGAAGGCAGAAGAAGAAGGAGCACCATCCTTTCGCTCAGTAGTGTCACAATACTGCTTTATGGTCGTTGCCATGTCCAAGGCGGCTGAAACGGCTGTCTCAGCCAAGAAAATTGTTGCATCTAGATAAGATGGCTTGGTCACGAACGCTGCTGAGAGCTCGCTGTGGGATACATAGCCCTTTGAGGTTCTTGTAGAAAGCCCCCTGTCGTGGCCATTCTGATAATGCGACAGAGCTCACTTTCTGGAACACCAATAAGATTTGATAAGTCCTTTATCAGGGCTCTCCTATCCAAAGGAATGCAGGCTGGTACTTGGAAGTCTCCAAGACATTGTATACAGGCAAGCAATTGGGTCTATCTGTGAGCTGGGCTTCATATTAAAGGGAGAAAGACTGTACTGTACCTGCCAAGCCAAACTCTGAAGTAGATCCGTCGGTCCAGCCAGCATTACTTGCAATTTGTTCAGGCTCGCCAAAGCTGATTCTCTTGCACGGTGGGCCTCTGCCGGTGCTCCTATCGGTATTAGCTGCGGTGGCCGAGCATTTGAACCACCTTGGTTGTCTCTTCTATCTCTGTAATATGCAGTAAGTCTTTCGATTGCTGCTGAAAGATCACTCGAAGCTATCTCCAAGTGGGCTAGATCATCCATGGCGTTAGGAGGTAGATTGGAAATATATAAAGCTTGATTATCGAATACATACTCACAAATTTATGTTTACAGCTAGATTATAATTCTCCCGAAGTCCGCTTTCAATAATACGGGATATCTTTCGAGAACAAAATCAAATGACCTCATCTGACCAGGAGCTGCAATGAAAGTTTACAACGTGCAGAGAATATTGACAGACATGCAAATTTATCTGCCCGTTAACCTGGTACCCCCTTTTTAAGTTACGCGGAATTTCCAGGCTGGCAGTACACCGGACAATAAGCGATATAGTGCCTTTTCTCTTGAAACCGGTTGAAATAAGCAAATTCAATGCTTGTTATATCACCTACATTCCAGTTCCAAGGTTGTTTCCAGAATCCTCTAGAATCCTTCTAAACGTCCAAAGTTAGATAGAGTATAAAGACTCTGTGAAAGGCTTTATTTAGACCTTCAGAGTTGGTATTTATTCTAAATTAATGTAATTTGCATATAGGGGAGGAATCAGTCTGATGGACCGAGTTTTGACGCATGGATCAAGGGTGGAACTACGGAGTACACACACACACCACCTTTTGGCTAGATTACACCACAGATGCCTGAATCTTTGGTCATCGATGTTTTTCTTGACGACCGACTCACTCGCCCCTTTGAACATATTCCTACTTTTACCATATTCTGGTATATATCTATTAAATGCTCTATACTTGGAATATCCTAAATTTCGAAATCTGCTGTCTCACCTCTTCCATCCAAAGCAAAAGATAGTTGAAATTTTCCTCAGGTGAAGATATAAATCGAAATATGGCAGAAGATATGAGGCGGTTTGATGGTATAAGTGGCAGAAAATGAAGGTTTACAACTCAGGCATCCGTGTAACTAGCTCAGAAGTGGTATAGTCCTGTCCTAGACTCACAGGTGTCGACCCCAGGGCTTCCAAGATTGCAATTTGAGCCTACCTTGAGCCTTTACCTATGCGGTAGTTACCCTTCTTACCTGATAGAGCTCTAAGGTAGCAATGGTATAGAACATCAATCCTGTCGGTTCTTATCCGACGTATTGCAGTCTAGCAGCGTTAAAAAGATGACACCACGCTCTTATAGCACTCTCAGAATCAACTGCCCGGCGATTAAAACTCCATCCTCCACATTCATATCACCTCGGGACTTTTATCATTGTCGATTGCACATCCACGAGCCTCGCCTCCAGCCTCGGTCACACTGCGTAAGTCATGTGATTTGTGTGCTGTTACCTACCGAACTAGAATGATGGGGGTTCATAAAGTAGAATATATATTGCGTAGCTAAGAAGATGGCATTACACTCCTATCGTACCTGGGCACTCTCTACTTTCTGTTCGGCGATTGAAGCTCCCGGTTATCCTTCACGTTCTTATGATGACTTCATCATTGCCAACAGCAGATCCAAGAGCCTCAGCCAAGCTACGCAAGTCCTGTGATTTGTGTGCAGCTACCAAACTTGGATGCACAAAAGAGAAGCCGAGCTGTGCTCGCTGTGCCAAAAGACATCATCCTTGCGTGTATAGTGCCGCAAAGCGTGCAGGTCGTAAATCTGGTATAATCCAAAACAAAGCACGAAGAGATTTGGCGTTGAGAATAACAGCATCTCCAAGTCCGACATTTACATCTGCACCTACAAGTGATACCACCAATCCGTCTACGCCGAAAGGTAGTGAAATATATCCATCGCTAGATCTCAAGGGACAATTATGGAGAGAGCCTCATAGTTTAGGCTATGACCCAGGTTGTGGAGGATACCAATGGTTCTCCTCTATCCTCTCGTCACATCAACCGCATCCCGATATTTTCGGAGCTTTGAGGTCGCTAGACGAGAACTGCCCTGAATTTATGCCCGCCAATTCCTTCCCTGAACTGAACGATCTCTTTGCATCCAATGCATCGTCCATCTCACCTCCCTTAGATAACCAAGATGATGCGGCTGATTTTTTTGACTTCACCATTGAAGACAACCCTATATGCTTATTCCCTGCACCTAAACCCAGTACATTACCTACTCCTCCCACATCTACATTGCTGACTCACCTCAATGCATTCCCGTTGATTACTAGTGCAGCCTCTGATCCATGCCAATGCTTAGCTCGTGCTCTTGGCCTCTTAGCCGGACTCTCCCCGGGAAATCCAGGATGCAGAAACTGTTCCGGTTTATTAGGCCCGGATATGCCTACATTTGAGCGGGTTCTTGCTCAAAACGAAGAGACGAGTGAGACAGTTCGCACAATTCTGCAGTGTAGCTGCGCCAACGACAGTCATATCCTTATGATTCTGTCTCTTGTAGTCTTCCGAATTATTGCCTGGTACACTGCAGCTACAGGAGCGGCATTAGGCGACGACCCGTTAGAACCAGTCTTGCAGGGCCCATCAACGGAAGACTGTGAATACGAGGACGAAAAGCGCATTACTGTGCAGCGGATTCTCTCCAAGCTCGCCGGTGTGCAGGCATCCATCGATCTTCTCTCGCAGCGTCTACACAGAACATCTAAGTCCACTGGGGAACAGGTCGGTGACCCACCGTTACAGATGACCGGCTCCCTCGCAGGAGGAAAAAATGCATTTCTGGAGCCATTTTCGGTTGAAATGGGGAATGATCTGGAGACAGATTTGCGGAAGCGTCTTTGCAACCTGTCAAGAGCCATTGTGGAGCGACTACGGAAGCGATAATGAGGTCATGTCATAACATTCGAAGAGGCGATGCCACCAGAACAGTAAAGACTTCCAAGGTCCACTTCAGGTAATCAACTTGCGGATGCAGAACAGATGCAGTTGATTTTCATATCAAACCTTGGAAGCTCGAAACCGAATCCCAATCTTCAAACTCTTCAAAAAAGGGCAAACCCTTCTAGAGCAAATACCTCAAAGGCCGCCCCTCTGCGCCAGACGTATCCTTCCGGCGCCTCTTCGGCTACCATGAATCACACAGCGGTCACTTTGGGACTCAATATCCATGAGTTGGCGCAGGAGATAGACCTTACACACATTCTTTGCTCCAGATTCCAGCATGTCTACCTCTCAGATATCTCCGAGAACCTCGTTCTGGCCAAGGATAGACTCGGGCATAACGGCTTCACCTACCGCGCTGCTAGGGTGGAAGGGGGCGATGGTATTTCTCCCGGCAGCATAGATATGATCTTTGCTAGCTATGTGATGCATTCTGCGATCATTCTCTGGAGACGAGTGTGATTGCGAAACAGTTATATCCAAGTGGCGCATTAGCCTGTGTGACTTTTGGAGCGGCACTGCTTGAGGATTCACGCATCCAGGAAATTCACACGCGAGTTAATCATTCTGAGGGAGGGGGCGGAGTTTGATGAAGAGGGTAGATGATCCGCAAAAGCTACTCGCTGTCATAGCTCGGACACAAGGCAAGTATAATATTGCACCACTGGATGACTCTCTTTTTATCCCCGGGGCGCAGCGTATTCGCCTCCATGTTAAAAACAGAGGACTGCTCCTTTGCCACCGGAAGTGCAAGTAAATGAGCCTGTCAACACTGGGGTTGACGATATTGAACTGTTTGTGCAGGAGGGGTGGAGCTTTGTGACTGATATGGAAGGCGTAAAGGAGTATGTTCTCCTATTCTAGTCAGTGAGGTATGACCTAAGTTTCGAGAAGTTATAGTAGGAGATGGGGGAGGTTATTGTTGATGGTCTAGTTAAGGGCTCCTGGCCTGCAAAAATCATTTTTGCAACGATGCGTTAATTGTATAATGAAGCTATATCCAGGCCTGTCTTGGATGAGACTCTAAGATACGTTTCCCCCAAAGGTTTCACGGGTCCATTCCAATTTCCTATCAATGGATACCCCCACACTTAGGTACCTAAAATCAGATCCTTGGAACCGTTATGTCCAAATCCCTACGTGCACAGGTACTTTCCAGCCAACCCACCTACTCAAGTAGGTATCCCATCCCGTACCTAGGTATATGTCGGTTCTCAGGGATCTCGATGCACTATTACTACTACGTTGATACGTGGAGTAAGTGTGCGGTAAGATGTGTGTTCATTCTAAATTCCCGCGATGGAATCGGATATGCCCCGATTCCACTGGTTCTATTCACTTCCCGAGTCCAGTCACTGAAGTAAACCAGATTCCATTGGTTCCAACAGTATACCAGCCATCATGCCTACCCCTACTGAAACGCAAACGGCAACACTGAGCAAATCTATCGAAGGCTGGAAGGGTTGGAACTCAGATAGGTTCTTAGCTAGCTGCTCCGAGGTTTGTACCCAGGCGACAGCCCACCACTAGGCACTTCGAAGGAAGTGCAACTCTGAGACCCAATTTCAGAATCTGGCGAAAAGCACAGATGTCTCGAAAGATACCGTGAAGAAACTGGGAAAGAAATTGGTATAGTAACAGAAACCATAACAAAATACTCACTTATGGCACAGGGATTTATTCAAGATACAGAAGTCGCACGACTTTGACCTAACCCTATTTCACTGCCGATTAATGCTGGAAATGCAATCTCCACGAGCACACTTCTGTAGATTATGATAGAAAACTTTCAAAAAAGGTTCCACTGAGACTGGTAGGCTTGGTTTTTGGGTCTTAAGAAGGGGAAATAAGGAGCTATGATGAAGAGAGAGGACAGATATGTAAGGAAGGAGAAACAATCTCTTATAACTTGTGATTCAACCCGGACATTCCAAGGAAATATTTTATAAGGCTTTCGTAAAGAACCAAAAGAATCAAAGAAAGAGATAAATAAAGTAAACGTAAAATCAAAATCCCGAATCATTCTCGATCCAGCCAACAAGATTTCCACAAACTTCCATTTCTAGAGAAAACCATGAGGAAAAGATTGACTATGGTAATCAACCCTTGGAGGGGGGATAATTGTTACAGATAAAGAAGTTTGAAGTTGAAGTCCTCCAAATATACCCGCGGTCTCGTAGGGCTAGTATAAGAATAGTGACGAACATAAAATACCCCTGAGTCCTCCAAGAATCAGTCTTGGAACAGATTCAACATGTTTTTCACTATTATACAACATTACCATTCCAGTAAATCCCAACAAGTCTGATTCTACTAGGGATAAAATGCTCAGTCTGACACCATATGACCACTCACCCTAGTAATAATAACATATGACCAGGCTAATAGTAAGACATGAAGGTGTACCCAAAGGGACTTGGCCGACCCACTTCTATTCACAACACTGGGGTTTCACATTTCGTATCTCGCACCTTCAGTGCGCTGGAGGTTATCGATGAGAGCATTACCACAATTACTGGTGGCACCAATGACAGGCATAATGAATGGAAGTACCATCAACTGGCCTCTTCGACAATTGCATGAGCTTAATGATCAGATCTTCTTTCCAACTTGAGCTTCGGGTTTCGGGTTTCGGACATTGATAGAGTATACCATAGTCGGGACATAGCAGTCCACAGGGCTCAGGAACAGGGGTTCGGGTGCCAGCTTGGCTGCTTCTTTGTTCTTCTTGTGCTCGCATCATCGATAAGGGGAAATTCAGGAACCTTGGAAGGAAAATAGTCCGAATGCCCCTCGGGTAATAAAATTTCCCACCCATAACTGGGTCATCAAAAACAAATACGGAATAATCAACTATTGTTTTGTCAGTAGTAGAGAAATAAGGATCGGTCAAAGTCTTGTACTAATTACTCATCTGATTTTCTTGCATCCTCCGATTACTTCCCGGCTTTATGGAGCTATTTAGCTCTCGAGTAATGATATATTGACCTATTTTGGAACTTAATATCATCCCCATTTATTAAGCTTTTTCTTAAGTACACGGATCTACGCCCCATGTATATACTTCTGAATAGCTTCGTAAATTAGAAATTGGGAATCCAAGCCTTGAAATGGTAAAGGAAGACCTTGGTAAGAGATGAAGAGGTCTTTATGACTAGAAGGTGGTAGAAAGAGAGTGTTGGAAAGCTCATAGGCTCCAAAGTTCAGAAGGATAATTGATTGATGGGTAGAAAGAATACCAATCTGACAATTGGAGGCGCTGGTTTCTACTCCTGGTACGACAACTATATAGAGAGCTACGTTGATACACAGGATTGCCAACAGCGATTGGTGCTAGATTCAGGGGGCAATGAAGGCCTCTATGTATGGAACCTGACTGCCATTGGGGCAATGGAAATGATCAGTAATATCCATAAAAACAATATTATCCTGGCTGCCAACAACACTCAGGGAATATCGCATTCATACTAAAGCGCCCTGGCAGCTTAACAGCAGGTTCTCTTATGTGCTGATGATGACACCAGCTATGAGTGCTAGACGACCTGGAAGTGCGACTAGTCATAGCAGTATTCTATCATTGATGATCTCAGCGATGCATTGGCAAGTTACCCGGATTAGTGCATACCCCAATATGCTATCAATACTCTATCTCATATTAAGTGGCTCCCTTGCCAATTATACTGCCGCCAATACAAACTACGATAAGTGTTTCAAGTACTACGAGCAGTACTATAAGGAGATGATTTCTGAAGCTCTCAAAGGTTGTACGATGCCTTCCAATTTCACAAACCCGGGTGGAGGTGCAGGGAACAAGTATTTTGATTGTGCCCTCTAGGACAGAGTTGCTGATGCTGAAGCAAAAACCCAGACGTGTCCATGGAGCTATATTTCGTTACAGGATCTTATAGAGTACACTATGACATATACTTTCGTGGACTCAGATGGCTTTTACGATGAGTTTGAAAGTACCTATAGCATAAATAAGACCTAGGTCTACTTTGGTGACTACACTACTCACTCTAGCCAGACCAGACACAATGGTAATCACACTTTCGGGGTTTTGTGGAGCCACTCAAACACTTGCCGAGAGCATGACTACCGGGGCAATTTCATTTAAAGATTGATTAATAAGTGAATTGGTGAAAATAGAGAGTCCATGGCTACCTACTATGTAGGTAGCTCCAAGCCTGTATAATAATAATCTAAGGTCCAGGTTGCCCGAGTACATCTTGAATATATCCCCAAAAACACCGACTCCGAAAGCCCAGTCCCAATTTTGTTAAAAATCATGTTGTCACAAACGCCATCAGAAGCAATAGATAATAAGAAAATACTGTAACATTCTGACCATGCTCAATCATGCCCTTAGGAGTCAGGCCCTTGCGCCAGTAATTGGAATCCTTTGACTAGACCCATGGCTGAACCAGCAGCAAGACCACCCACGAGCACCATTTGAAGACCGCCAATAATTCCGCTGCGAATATTCCGACGACCTCGCCAGCCACTCACGAAACAGGTTTTGCCATAGCCAAACATGAAGAGAGCAACAATCATAGTTGCAATTGACCAACGCAGAGCGACGAATGCATCATGTGGTCCGACGAAGAAGTAAGGCAGCAGTGGAACAAATCCGCCAATGAAATAGCCAATGGCAATTGTCAAGGCGCACGTGACAGCTCGAGAGCCAGATGGTTCTGGTAGAGTGTGTTGAAAGTTCATGAGAAATGAAGGGAGCATAGGTGAACACGAGAGGTGACTGGTCAACTGGGACACTAGTTCGGACGGAAGTTCGTAGGGCTCGAAAATGTCAGAAATGGTGGTGGAGATAGAACCTGGGCTGGTTATGGTCTGTGATTTTGTTTCTTTGAGGGTGGCCTTGTATGACTCCCTAGGTCACTGTCAGTAAGAATTCATTGTTTCCATTTGATTTCAAACACTCACTCTTCACTTTTGGCTCCCAAATATCCACCGAGGCCCATAGAGATAGCACCCGCAATGAGCTCAGCCATACCACCAAAAACGACCACCTTCGTATCACCGAGGGCAGATAAGCCTGCAGTCAGGGCAAAAGGTACTGTCATACCATCAGACAGGCCGATAATTGCATCTGATACGGTACGCCCATCTATCCAATTCGACGTCTTTTCGCGAACAGGCTGTTTTTCACCGGCCTCCTCGTCGCCTCGTTGGAGAACTAGACTTTTCTCATCATCGGAGGAAGACGTACGTCCAGAAATAGGCGAGTAATTGGCCATGAAGCCGCTGATTGAGCTTATGGACATGATGATGAGATTATGAAAGGTATCCCTTGATTCAGTCGAATTCGGAGTAGGTACAAGCAAAGTACGAAAAAATGAAGGGGTTGAAAGATTAAAATGGACAGAATCATCAATAGAAAGTCACTCAGATATATTCGTATCTCAGCCTATAAAGGCAAAACGTGCCTCAATAATTACGTTGTCTGAACTTGATTGAAAATGACAACCTCAGCACGTGCATTGCTGATTCGAGGACGAAAGTCTTGTTTTTGGTGCTAAATTATATTAAAGTGGGGCCAGTGGATCTAGAATAGCTTATCCTCACGTTTTAGCCAATACAACCACTGCTATTGTCATACTTAGGGTGCCCCACTTTGGTCTACCCCACTTTACACCTGCTTATATAAACTAGAAGAGCCAATCTACGGCTCGGCAGGTACGGATCGATTGCGATCGAATTGAGCAGTCCATGTGTTTTCTACGGCTAATGCCGTAGTTATCGGACAGATTCAAACTTCTCGATTTTTCTCCAAATCCTTTTCAAATCCTTTTTTTTATCTGTTCTCCACCTGGGCACTTTACCCCTCAATGTATTGTTAAGAAGTCTAGAATCATTGCTACAAATGTACTAGCAATCAGGTGCCCTGGTGGACCGCGTTACATCCTTTTTTGCCACGGAACGTTCTTTTACTCGAAAGGGCTATGCCCTGAACAGGGCTCTCCGGGCGACTAGCGCCGGACTTAACTCCATCTTTTTCTTCTCTAACTTCAAAAATAGTATAAAGAAAAGATACGCGGGCCTCCGATCATCCAAGTTCAGTGATAATCATTCAATCGATGGCGAAAAAAAGAAGTGAGACCTCAAAATATATAGCAAGTCGCAATCATAAAGCCGAACTGGACTCCTGCAGTTTTGGCCGGTCTTGTCGCCACCGACAATTGATTTCGAAAATTAAATTTTGTCTCATTGTCAATTTTCTTCTTTCTCTCACTTTTAAATCAAACTAGACAATTTGAGAGAGTTATTGGAAATTTGTGCAGCTCTTGAGGATATGCCCTGCTCAATGATCCTGGCCATGACTCTGCCGGTGTCACTTACCAGATCTTCCGCAAGTTCAATGCCACTAAGGACGATGTTCCCAACATAGCCAGCTTTATTGGGCGCCAGTTTGAGTACAGGCAACTCCTGACGACTCTGCCTTTGATATTCGGGCCTACGATGAGAAGAAGACTGGCGTTCTGGCCGAACTAGCTAAGACATTTGGTTTTTCCGATACCTATGTATGTTACTTGTTCTAGATCTTGTACCGAGTAAGTGAAAGTGATATGGAAAATTCTTCGCATATCGAGCATTCCAGGCCAACAGATGTCAACGGTCAATTTGCGATAAGTGGTTTCTCTTGTGGTTTTGTCGACAACTTGAACCAGATTTCTGGAACGTCACCGGAACCACCTGCGCAACTTCAATCGTTGAATACTATGAAAAGTGGGGTTAAGACAACGCTATGGACAAGCTCGCCCACGCTGATGAGTTCTACCCTGACTTGGAAGAGGGTACCCCGCCCAGCTTCTAATACATCCTCCGGGGCATGACCGACGCCCGTGAAATCTATGAATGGTTTATGGAGAGTTTTTTACACGAAACTTCAACTCTTTTTTCTGGTTGAAACCGACCCTGGATGATGACCGTTTCGATGGTCTCCGCAAACGGTATATCAAAAGTACGTACTCACATAGAAACAAAGAATCTAACATATTTGAAAATTATAATGCAGTTAGGACAGGCATCAGAAGTAAGAGAGAATAGACCAGGGAGCCCGACCAGACCAAGAGTCTGGCAAGACCAGAGGGCCTGACTCTGGGCCATGGTCCAAGGTGGGAGATTATCAGCCGAAAATGAACCGCTATTCTTTCTTCTTCCAGGAACCATTGGTTTTTCGCCCTGGCAGATGGCTCTGTATCTCACGCCCTTGATGTCTCCGACTTAATCTTGCTCATGGAGTTATGTTACTGAAGATGAGCAGATGTATTCAGATTACTCCACTAGAGATTTTACTATAGAGATATATGTAATTGATTGACAAGTTTCACTATTTACGCAATTTGCTGTGAGCTACATAACATAATAATCAAAACAAGTGGACTTTCCTAAGAATTTCATCTTCGTTTCTCCGATCTCGAAGGTCGACAAAATCTCTTCCTAAGAAGACAAGGAAAATTTGGTGCAAATTCCTTATGGGCCTTCTCCAAATCTATCCGAAGTCCAAGGCGTGTCGCAAGTTTGACATCGAGGTTTAAGTACGGAGATATAGTTGCATTTATCGGATGAGTTCATTAGATTAGTTTATTCTATGCTTCAAAAGTTACATTTAGTAATGATCAGGACTTGAAATTCCACTTAAATAGGTAGTATCAATCTACCTAGATATGATTCTGAGATCATGTCTTTTGATATCTTAAGGTATTCAGAGTCCCTTTTTGTAAAGCGCTATCACTCATGAATCGTTCAAGCTACCTGGTCTTCAGGTCTCTGCCCAGGTTTTCAAGTGTGTGTATAATTTTCATCCTCTCCAGTTTTGGAAGGTTCTAAGGTTATATCATCGAAACGATTGTGAAACTGCCTGTTTGATTGAGGCGGCGAAGATTATTGTGGCAATGTTACTGGCTAAAGGATGTGTTACATCTTCAATGTAGAATGCAGCCTTGTAGATATTATGGTTGGTGGTAGTGGTGATGATGTGCGCCGGCAGCAGTGTTTAAGAGCACCTGAGCAATACTGTCAATACATAGAAAAATAAGGTCAGGTGATGAATATACTTTAAATCTTCAAGCTCAGTTTAGTTAAGAGAGCTTCCTACGTTACTCAGCCTGTGCCCCGCTCAAAAAAAACCCTCCCGAGCTTCCCCCACCATTATCACCATCTTCACCTTGACATTCTAATACAGAATCCGAAACAGAGATACTAAGATCTTAGCCAATTTGACTCAGTAGTCTCTAATCAGTTCCAAGAACCGAACAAGATTCCAGATGGTCCTCTAGAAACAACTACAGCATCAGTATCCGTACCTACCTAGGTAAAACGAGCATCAACCCCATCATAATGACCAACAAACCCTACGTTCTCGATGAACCCGCAGTCCTAGACAGTGTCCGTCTCCACAAAATTGAGCTTCCCCTCCCCGCAGCCCCAGAGGCCTGGCACCGACTTGGCAAATCTCAACCATGCACCGCAAGCCTGAAACTCTCCTACACCTCCGCCATTGCAGCCGCAGCTGCCGATAATGTCTCACTATCACTGGATTATGGCAAGCTATTCCGGCGCATAGAATCCGATGTCCGCGACATGGTGCATCATGTTTCTTCAGAAGAGCACCCACATCACCAAATGGTCAGTGTAGATGGCACCCGGTGCGACGAAATGAACCTCAGTGCTGCTGGCCAAGACCCACGTGTCACTGCCAGCATTATCACAAATTGCGGCCTGGGACTTTTGGATGCCACAGCGGCTCCCTTGCAGAAATTATTTGAAACTAAAGAGGCTCTACTTACGAACTACGCGAAATGCGAGGTATCTCTGCATTTGCCGAAGGCGCTTCTGCGCTCCGAGGAGGGTCTGCGATATCGCAGTGTGACGGTATGGGGTTACATGCAACGGCAGCCTGAAGTTGGCGAGCCAATTATATTGGCTGGTCGTGTTCCAGTAGTTGTGGAAGAGGAGTTCGCTATCAATGGGATCAGATGCCACTGCATTGTTGGGGTTAATCAGCACGAGCGGCTTGAAAAGCAGGCTGTGATTGTTTCCTTGACGTTCAACGGTCCTGGACAGTTAGCTTGGGCCTCCAAGTTTGTCGAGACTTATCAAAATGTGACTCGTGCTGTGGCAGAGGTATGTCAATCTCTATCTATTTAACGGGCTGTTCTAATGTTTTGGCATACAGAAAGTCGAAGAGACTTCCTTCCAGACTGTTGAGTCGTTGGCTACTTTTATCGCTCATATTGTGACTGTTGATTTTGGCAATGAGCGTGTCACTGTGCTGGTGGAGAAGCCTAGTGCTCTGCCTTTTGTACAGCGATCTGGTGTAGAGATTACTAGGACTCGGGAGTTCTTTGACACTCATGATGTACCGGTACCTCGTGCTGTATAGATTAACTCTTCATCCCTTTCTATAGTCTTATAGGTTGGAAAGTTGGACAGGATTTTTCCTCGTATAATTTTTTATCTCTAATCGAGTCTGCAAGTTTCTGCAAGTATCTGCAAAGATGCAAAGATGCAAAGATGCAAAGAAGGAATGTTACTGTTCTAGAGCCTGCTTCCAGATCAACACGTGAATTCCAGATTAGGCTTAGCGTCATGCCCCGGATTTGCATCTGGAAGCACTTTTGATTTCTTGGTTCTTTCCATTCAATAGTACTTCCACTTCTTCGTGGGAACCTGCTTTCGTCTATCACTTCTTCTAATTTATCTTACTTTACTTCTGGTCCTCTATGTACCTGTCTGCACCAACCCCTTTTCTCCCCCCTTCTTTGATCAGCTCTCTGATCAGCCTCAACTCAATTCTCCTCACCTCGATTTCACTCACAGGACCTTCTGATAATCCGGGTGTACACTCACCTACTGGAATCAAATTGCTTGCTGACCCTGTGAATTCTGTCGTTGGCGAGTTGCCTTGGGTAGGGGTCTCAGGTCCGTCCTGAGAAAGGGCGGACGGTAAAACTGCTCGAGAAAGACGCTTCAGTCCCAGGCAAGGGGAGATACTACCTTTCTTCCTTGGATTTGAGGTAAGCTAACCCTCTGATCTTTCTCAACTTCTCACTTTCTATGTATGCCGATGGTGGGGCCGCTAGATTGCTGCAAACTCTTCAATTTACCCCCGCCAATCGGTGAACAAGAAAAAGAAAAGAATCAAAAAGGAAGGAAATATGAAGCTAATTGAATGATATGAATGATTAGGCGCTCATAAAGAGACATCTCGAGTATTTGCCACTTTCCACCGCTGTGTGAGAAACCGCCAGCCATCACCGTCTCTCGCACGAAAGGGACTTTTCAAAGGTCCATAGTAAACCTGCACGCCTCGAAACTCTTCGACCTGTTCCTAAAAGCAAGCCGACACCATGGCTCCCATCGCGCATGAAGATATCTCGGTTGGAGACGTATTTGCCCCTCAAGCCGACACTGCGCATTACTCTATCGAAATGTCGGCCAATCAACACTCCCGGAAGTCCCACATGGGTGATACCCAAGCCAACGAAGGCGATAATATGCAGGCACCTGCTTTCTACCCAGATCTTCTGACTGGCAAGGCCCGTAAAAAGAAGAAGAAGAAGAATCTTCCCCAGGCAGACTGGGCACGTTCCACAGTGCACGGCTTCACCCCAATTGTCTCTGCCGATGAGGACTCAGACTTCTCGACCACCAGCTCCAGAGCTGCAGATTCACATCCCGCTACCCCGTGTGGGCAAGTCAATCACATTATTAATCGACATGGAGTAAGCGCATTGAAGCTCCAGCTCGACGCGCTTAACCTTGGGAAGTCAACTACTGGTACCAGTGGACTTTGTTCCGAAACTCCCAGCAATGCGAGTGTCGCCTCTGATAGTGATAATACCGAAATCCTGACCAGCTATGAAGTACCGCTGGAACATGATTTTGTCAGCGCAGATGCTGTGAACGAAGAAGTTTCATCTAGCATTGGCTCTGGAATTGCCGTCAGTGGTACAGATATGCGAAGCCAGCTCTGTCGTAAAATGTCTGCGCAAGACTTTGCACCTGTACTTTGCCTCGGAAAGGGCTCATTTGGAACTGTCCTGCTCGTCCGACATGTTGTTACTGGCAAACTTTATGCGCAGAAACAATTCAGAAAGGCGTCGCTCACTGTGCATAAGAAGCTCGTGGAGCAAACCAAGACGGAGCGGGTGATTTTGGAGAGTGTCAACCGCCATCCATTTGTGGTGAAGCTTTTCTATGCTTTCCAGGATCATGAAAAGCTGTATTTGATTCTCGAGTATGCCGAAGGTGGTGAGCTGTTCACACACCTTGCTATGGAACGCATGTTCCAGGAGGATGTAGCGGCTTTCTACATGGCAGAAATGGTTCTCGCACTCGAACATCTACACCAGAATGTCGGCGTTTTGTACCGTGATCTCAAGCCTGAGAACTGTCTATTGGACCGACAAGGCCACCTGCTTCTCACCGACTTCGGACTGAGCAAAATCGCCTTGAGTGATGACGACCGCTGCAATTCATCTCTCGGAACGATTGAATACATGGCCCCAGAGGTCATCCAGGGCAAACCGTACGGCAAGGCATGTGACTGGTGGTCACTGGGCGCACTCGGTTTCGATCTTCTCACTGGCTCCCCTCCCTTCAGTGCTGGAAACCACGCAAAGCTTCAGGAGAAGATAATCAAGCAGAAGCTCGTGATGCCGTATTTCCTCGGACCGGACGCCAAAGACCTTCTCACCCGTCTTATGCGAAAGGAGCCCTCCAAGCGCCTGGGCTATCATATGCCTAAGGACTTGGTAACCATCAAAAAGCATCGCTTCTTCCGCAAGATTGACTGGGCTGCCCTTGAACGCCGTGAGCTGGACGCTCCTATCCAGCCAATCGTGACAGACCCGGCTCTGGCAGAGAACTTTTCTGATGACTTCACCCATTTACCTCTAAGCCCTACGGTGGACAGCAAATTCGACGAGTTTTGCGGCTCAAAGTCTTCAGCATCCGGACTCGCTGGCTCGGCCGCGGGTGAAGCCAACCCCTTCGGTGGATTCAGCTTTGTGGCCTCGAGCAGCCTACTCGACCACGGCATAGGAATGACGAAGGGTTACTAGGAATTTTAGAATATCCCGAGTTTTCTCCTTGTGAGGAGAATTATGAGGGGGGGAAAAATCAGGGTTAAGATTCCCAAGGTTTCTGCTCTAAGCTAGAAAATAGCACTTTCCACTCATTTCATATGACCTTGAACCTCTTCTAGTAGATCTGTTCCGTGGTTCCATAAATACCTAGATATTTGTATATAAATTATCATGATGGGTTCAGTGTTATACATGTCTACCTAATATAGAATGAATGGATTTAATTTAAAAGGGTATCAATATTTCAAGTCTAAATCTCGCCCTCTTCAGATACTGAAGCCGTACGCGGACGTTTTGCCGGGCTCTCATCATCTGGCAGGGATTCTTCAGGCTCTCGGGAGCGTTTTCTATCATCTGGCAGAGACTCTAAAGGCTCTCTCGAGCTTTTCCTCGATTCATCGAAAGGAAATGGGTCGGAATGGAACAGACGAGTCGGATCGTTCGGATCAGAGTGATCAAAAGGAAAATCGGGGTACCCCTTGCTGAGATGCTGTTGGGCTCGCTCATAAACTTTGACGATCACTGTACAGGCTTTGATAAGGTCTTCAACACGTACATCTATCTGTTCCCACCAAGGTCGTTTTTCGCTATCATCTGGAAATGAGATCTTGCAATGACGAGCTGCTGCGTAAAGTGCTGCTGCAGCAATTACCCGTGCTGGAAACTGTAGGCAGAGAACGGTAAAGGTGGAGTCATTCAAAAATGCCCAAGTCGCGTGTCGGAGATTCCTGTTGCCGCTGACATTGAAGAACTCGGTGTATTCGAAGAGGATGCGGTAAGGTGATTCTAGCGACATGTCGAAGCAGATATGTTCAAGCAAAACACTTTCATTCTGGAGGATCAGATCACGCCACCTCCAGTAATCCTTCGATTGTTCATCGACGATAAGATCTGGCTTTTTCATCGCGATTCGGCAACAGGCGATAACAAAGTCTTTCATGCGGCGCGTACTCTCCTCCACCTTGGACGCGACGAATAGAGTCACTGCCGCAATAACTTTTGGGTGCATCAAGTCTGATGCTAGTTCAGGGTATTGCGCTCGAAGGGAGTAGCGCATAAGAAATCGGTGCATGAAGACGGTGGCAGTCATAGATGTCTGAGGTGGCAGCTTGAGCATTGTGCTCACCGACCAGATAAACTCGACAGATCGATGCCGGATGTAGTCCTCTTGTTGGCGATCAATCTTGTCCATACGGGAGGGTGTCCGCTCGAGCTCCTCCTCTGTGAAGTACCATTTTTTATTTGTCTCTTCGACCACTGGATTTGGGAGGCCGGGGATTCGCTGGTGTGACATAGAGAATGCTGAGATCCCACTACGGGGCGGGAAGGACAAGGGTGAGGTCAAAGTCGAGGTTGGTATGTGAGGAGGAATTTTTCAGAGAGAAAGAAGATGAAACGCACTTCAATGCGAGAGCCTCAGGGTTTCCTGCAGAAAGTCGAAATCAAAGTCACATGGGCGCTCGGCGCTGTGTAGCTAGCTCTATGATCTGTATGCAGACTTGCAGCTCATTCTGACGATAAGGTCAATGAGAAGTATTGCAGTTCACCACTTCAATTTGAAGAGAGAAGTAGAGTTATTCTTCAGTTATACCGCAGGATGTCAGCGCTCTTGTGAGCACGAAATAGGAAACAAGGCGCAAGTTCCGTTCTATGAAGTGAAAGCTTCTCGGAACGGAACAACCGGTGGCTCCGGAAGTCGAAGTATAAAACAACGACAAAATAAATTTGGAGAATTCTTCTTCATCAGGTGTGAATATGCTTCAAATTTTGGTTTTATTTTACCTGTATCTCAGATTCATTTACCTACCTTGCATCTTGATATCAAGTGGGATACGATCCTAGGGCTATATACGGTAAAGTATGTTTCTTTAATATTTCGGCTTATGATACCGCCTGCTCCATATAGATTCATGTTATTCAAAAAGAAAAAGCGCGCAGTCGGCTTCGAACGCATAACCTCGTATTTTCATCAAAATGGAATTACCTCATAACACCCTAATTAAGGCCGTTTAGTAAAAACAAAAAGGGTAGCTTCTCTTTGATTGAGCGCGTCATCCTTAGTGCAGGAGCCATGCTAATCTTCTCTGTATTTGCTCAACTATGTCCCCGAAGGAACATAAGTTCAATTGAAATTGGGGATTATATACACTCTTTTGACATTCTGCCCTACTAGTTTGAGACACCGGCGTCTAAGGGCAGAATAATCCCGAGATCTAAAGGCATAAATAGCCTCATCTTATATCCCTTCGTTGCGATGGTTTGAATCAGACCGTTCGATCAACTGAATATATATTAATGGAGGCGACAGACAGTTACACTGGAGTTCAAGCTCTAAAATGAAATTAGGATCTATAGAAAAAATACGTTCTCTTGCCTAGATCCAAAATGGTCCAACAAATAATATGATTTCACTGCAGAGATCTCTTGTGGTAAACATTTATCTACTTGGAACAATGGAATAAGAAAAGCACCTGCATACAAATGTAAAATAGTGTGCAGGTTTGGTATCTCTGGTCTTGTGCCCAAGCGCCACGCTGATGAAATGCAAAATCAAGAAAGTTGACAAGGGGAGAGGGCAACTATTAGAGAGACTTGAAGCCCTAGGTATACGGAGCAGAAGTAAAGTCTTACTCCTCTTCACTGACTTCACTCTCATCATCACTTGGGACATTGTAATGATTTTGACCATACTGCTGGTTCCTGGCCTGCTCCTCTTCCCGAGCACTCTCTTCAAAGGCTGCTTCCATCTCCGCAGCAAGTGCATCATCGTCTTCCACATCATCTGCTTCTAAAATTGGGGGTGGGGCCTTGTTATTTCCAGCAGGAGATGGGAGTCTGAATTCCTCAAGTTCCTCATCCCCATCATCTTCCTCTCTGTCATCTGGGGTATGGTTAGATGAGAAGTGGGCAGGGTTGACTCTGAAGGGTCTCGAAGGTGGTGGGGAGCCCATGTCAATAATAAGGTCTCCATCAATAATGATGTTTGAGCCAGGAGAAGAAATGCTCTTTTGAGAGGCACCTGCTGATGGAGAACGACGACGCTGCTCGAGCTCCAGTGGATCGGCGCGAACGGTGGGTTCAGCGGGTATCTCCGTAGTCGGCTTAGGTGGATCAGCTCTAGCTGGTGGCTTTGCCGGACGTTTTGTTTCTCGAAGTGGATTGGCCTGCTTCCTGGGTCGAGCTATGGGTTTTGTGGCTGGCTTTGTGGCTGGAATTATCGGCGTGTTGGCCTTGCTGGTGTACACCGGCTCCGGGGTGGAGTGGCCCGAGGCCGGCTTAACATCTTCCGCTCCCTCTTTGCGAAGGAAATGTCGGAAGTCGTATGGGTTGTTATCGTCAGCGGTACCCTCATCTTCGCTAGCACCGCTCACAGCATTGCGATCTTCGCCCGATGTATGTTCATACTCGTGTGTACCCAGACTGAGTTGCTCGTATTGTTCAATGACCTGTTTCTCGGTCTTCCCTGGTGCCGACCGCAAGTTGAAATTATATTTCGTAGACACAGTATCCAGAACAAAAACTTTCCGATCAGGGTCAAAGACCAGGATGTAATTACCTTCACTGGCTGGATCTTCGCACCCTTCGTAGGAATAAGCTAAGGTGTGATCGGCGTTTGGGGCCTTATCGGTGACGGAAAGATTGTAGAGATCGTGCGACGGGGAGGAGCGAGTGATGATTGAGCGTTGTCGCGACGTTGCAGATTTGGTCTTATAATTGTAGTTGACATTGACCAACCGACTGGAATCTGCCTTGGCCAGCCGTTCACCCAGGACGATAGGGTACTCGGCCTGCTTCGTCGGGTCAACCAGCGCGGGGGCGGTCATGGCTCCGCCACCAGATGTGATATTTCTGTAAGACTTGGAAGGTGAGGTATAGAAAGGGCGAGAAGGTAGACTGGAGAGAAAATGAGGAGAGGAAACAAAGACGAAGGGGAGTGAAAGAGAAGTAACACAGACCACAAACACGGGGAAAAAGCGGAGACCCACTTCGAGATTACATACATTTCACGACTTTACCTGTAAGGCGCCGCAGTTAGTTGCGAGTTCTATGTTTAGGAATGACTAGTAAGAATCTGAGGTTAAAGAATGTAGTATATTTAAATACAGGTTAGGGTGAAACTGATGGGACCTAATTAAAGCTTGGAAGTGAGTTCAAGTTGTAAGTGATTGCAGCGATACCTATAATAAGGGTAGCCCTGGAGGTATGTTGCGGGTTGAATATTGAAACTATTTAGAAAAGTATAATAAGTGTAAGGTTGAATTAATATAGTTCGGTAAAATAAGAACAACGCTAGTGATCAATGTGCAGCCACTCGACTGGTCAGCTGCTCTAGTCTCCCAGCTAAAGCCCGGTGTTTGCGCATCACTTCCTCCCATTCACATTCAATGTCCTCCTCCCCACTCAGCTCAGTTAAAACCATACCAAAGTCACCTCCCAAGCGTCCCAGACTGGCTGCACAGTACAGCAGTTGTGTCAGCAGGGACTCTCGCGAGCTCCGATCCCGGACATTGGGAAGATAGGTTCGCATAGTGTCGGTGAGAAGTTGCACTAAGTGCATTGGGAATGTCGCAAGAGCTGAGGGAAGTCTTTGGAATGAATCATGGGTTGGAGTCGATGCATCAGGTCCCTTCAAGCCTGGAATGGCAGGTTCGGGCTCAGACTGCTCCGAGACGAAGATATTCTTGTACAACGAAACTATGGCAAAGCTCTGCTCGCGGAAGATCTCAATGTATCTTTTTAGATAGCGGTCAGTCTGTTGACCACTAGCTAAATTGTCAGATTTGCCTTTATTGCTTGTTCTTCGTTGAGTTTCCTGGTCTGCAAGTTCGCGAAGTGGGTCCAATGCCTCGAGCGTTAAGACCAGATTTGACAGTCGACAGATCAGAAATATGGCGCCCAGCGCTCCTTCCCCAGATCCACTCGCGGCACCATCGGCTTGTAGCGTTTCCAGATCAGGGGCGACTCGTCGCAGCCAGCCTACGGTTCGCATACCAGCTGCTAGGCGTAGGTTCTGAGCGCGAAGCCCCGCAATTAGATTAGTTGTCATCTCTTTCATGGCATCCTCGGCCTGGGATGCCACATCTTGAATAAGTGGCGATTCTGGGTATAGGGTCTGTAATCTTTTGATGTGCGCATGTAGGTCGAGGGCGGATGAATATGTAGTCGACGCTGCGCCTGCGCCGGAGTTGGCAGATGCTGCCGACACGGCGGTGGACAATAGAGTGGGTAATTCTAGAATATCGGATAGTCGATCGACATTCCGTGCCAATTGCATGGCTTTCTTCCGTCGTCCGAGAGCAGCATTATCTGTGACCTTGCTGTATTTGGTGGAGAAGCTGACTGTCTCCTGGTCGAGTTTCGGGATGGCATCACGCAGCTCCTGGGCCTCTTTTGTTAACTTTGGAATCGATGTGCGAAGTGTAGATAGATTGTCGGATGAAGTAACGAAGGCCCTATGCGACCGATTGGATAGGGCCTGGAGGGAGAGGAGAGTTGAGTGGGAGGACTGGGCGAGAGACTGAAGTTCGGTAGTCTGGAGGGTTTGAAGAGACAGCGTGGATAAGCGATTGAGATATGATGATTTGACAGCATCAGAAGACTGAGATAACTCCGGAGGAACTAGTAGCTCTAACAACGAATCGGCCATGACGTGTGAACGAATATAAGGTGATTGAACAGTAAAGACCGCTCACTGAATGGAGCAGATGCGATGGTCCGTGCGGCGATGGAGTGTATTTTGCATCTTCGCGTGTACCGTTTTCTGCCTTTCGTCTCCATTCTGCGCTTCTTTTTGATTTAGCAGTTGCCTTTATTGAATGAATAATTACATATGGACTCATTTGACCTTTTCTTGTTGATCTTTCCTTACTTTGAAACATTTGCATATATCTTCGAACCGAAATTCCCCGCATTCCCAGTTTCTATGACCTTGCAGACATGGGGAAACCACGAGTAAGTAAACCAACTGTAAAGTGCAGGTTTGTGGTAACTGACTGAAACCTGCTCATAGATGATCATTCTCATCCGCCATGCGCAGTCCGAAGGCAATAAGAACCGCGATATCCATCAATCTACTCCTGATCATCGAGTGAAACTCACACCCGAAGGACATCGTCAAGCACTGGAAGCTGGTCGCCGGCTTCGTGAGCTCTTACGCCCGGATGATACCCTCCACTTCTTCACATCTCCCTATCGTCGGACGAGAGAGACTACCGCAGGTATTTTGGAATCTTTAACCTCGGACTCGCCCTCTCCCTCGCCATTTCCCCGACAAACTATCAAGATCTACGAGGAACCCCGACTACGAGAACAAGACTTCGGTAACTTCCAGCCATGCTCAGTGGAAATGGAGCGGATGTGGATGGAGCGAGCAGATTACGGGCATTTCTTCTATCGCATCCCCAACGGCGAGTCCGCAGCAGATGCGTACGACCGAGTGAGCGGATTCAACGAGTCTCTCTGGCGATTGTTTGGTGAAGACGACTTTCCAAGTGTGGCTGTCCTTGTCACGCACGGCCTCATGACCCGTGTCTTCCTGATGAAATGGTATCATTGGAGTGTGGAATACTTCGAGGATCTGCGAAACATCGACCATTGCGAGTTTGTAGTCATGACTCACAACTCTGACAACGGCAAATATAAACTCCAGAATAAGCTGCGCACATGGTCTGACTTGCGGAAGGAGAGAGATTCTGAGAAAAATCGTGAACGGGAGACGAAGGGCCTAGGCCCGGCGCCCGCTACGCCTACAGAGCAAGTCCCTATTCGGCGGAAATGGGGTGGCTGTCCTGATGGCTGTACGCATGGCTTCTCTGTAGATGGCAAAAAATCTGCTCGGTCTAAGATGATAGAATCGATGCGCTATGCTAACAACCCACCCACGCGAAAGACGGATGACAGCCTTGAACAACCAATATCGACCACTAGATCCCAACCCACGAATGAGAAACCCACATTATCAGAAGAGAACACATCAGCTCGACTTGTTACCGGCAGCCGGGATTCAAAGAGTGAATTACAGTCAAAACAACAATCGGCAATGGAGAAAGAGGATATCAGAACCGGAGATTCTAGCTCCGATACTCGAATCAGCACCAGTCCCCGTCTCACTCGACCTAGTCTCCGTGATTTCAGTCGACACAGTGAAGACCACTTGCTCCACCCACCAGTCTCATCGGGTTCCTCGGAATATATGAAACTCGCCCTCCTACATTTGGGAGGTCGCGATGGAGGCGGGTCCTTAAGTGGAGCGAATAGCCGTGCTCCATCCGAAGACGGAAACGAAGAATACCATGGTCACCACGCATCTCCCCTCGGCAAACCCATTGTTCACTCTCGTCAACACTTCCGATCGGCATCACAGGACCTTGAAGAAGATGGTGACGACGAACTGAGCGCCAATCAAACTAAAGAACTCAGCCGACCTCGGCCACACCATAATAATCATCACTCTGACACTCGCATCAAGACTCATTCCTATAACCGTACTACTCGTCACTTTGAAACGTCATCCACTTCACAGCAACAGGCCCGGAGAACCAATATCCTCGGCGACGGCGAGGATGTCGGAAATTACTCGGACAGCAACTCTGCAGAGACCGAGTCTCACTCTCATGCGCATGCACTCGGTAGTGACGGTGCTACTTCAGAAGAATTGTCTTTAGAGGATCAGCAGCGAGAAGATCAAAGTATACAGGGGAGTGTATACTAATATTGATTCGCGGCGATGAAAATACATTTGGCTCATGCAACGAGCTAGATCATTGGATGAGGAATGACTAGGATATAAATATTGTGATATTCATATTGGTATTGATTAAAGCGTTATGACTGCGACAATGACATGGATGAAATCGTCATGATTCAAGATTACTACCTACACATGTCAAGAGGGACTCTTTTCCGAGAGTGTTTCATTATTATTGAGTTTAAGAATGATACCTTATTACTATGCTATTCTTTCCATTCTACGTCAACTGAAACGGCGAAGTAAACCCGCTTGTCCTGATGGTCTATAGGAGTAATTCCAAGAGCGGGAGATAAATAGAGATAAATAGTAAAGAGAGAGATGCAGAGAAAGAGAAGTATCCATCAGAAGCCCTAGATGCATTGAGATGTAAAAAGATGTGGATATGATAGAGGTACCTATAGAGAGGGGCATTTTGATATCATCTCCAACAAACTACATAGACTATTAGTTCAGAAATCTAGACTAGAAATTTGGGACCAAGTGGTAGCTAGTTAAGAGTAAGCTAGATATCTTGGTGTCCACTTTTAAGCTCTCATCTTTTAAGGGATCAGCCCTCAAGTTTTGAAGTGAAACATAAGGACGGAGGGTATATTGTAGCTGCATAAGTCTATTGATATTTACAATGTACAAACTATCATGAGCTAGCTACAAAAGAACCAAGCAATCAGAGGCAAAGATAATAGTTTGCCACAATTTTTTTTCTTGTTTAGAATGATCTTGGTGTCATCAAGGACCAGAAGCTCAAGAGGAAAATGTAAACCAATAAGCCACTGGAAACAGCATTGAAATCTCCTAAAGGAGTTCTGGGGAATCGAAAAAAAAAGAATATGGTTAAAGCGATTAATCGGCGATTAACGCAGAATGGCTGGGGCCAACGAAGCCAAGAGGAGGTTGAATATTAACGCCTGACACTGATTGCAGCGTGGGGAATTGAAATGAAGTAAGAAGAATAATGTACCGACATCAAAAGGGGGAGAGCTGAGAATGTCAAGAAAGAAAGGGCTATCTATGTGTGAACACTGCGAGACGAGATGCCTTGAAGCGCGAAATGCTGAGCAAAAAGAGCACTCGAAAGAGAGAAAAAACCCGAATAAGAACCGAAGTCATAAAATAATAAGATAAACTGATGGGATTTTGGGGATTCGTTATGGTCGTGACTGCGGCCGCGGCCCTCCATCGGCAAAGGTCGGAAATAAACCGAAAAAGCCGAGTGAAGCATACACTCTCCGGATGAATAGGTATCGCGGGTAATAAGATATCGTGAGTGAATGTAGCCGGGGCGCGCCATTGTCGCTGCGTTGAGCTATTTTCCTCTTTTTTTTGTTGTTTTGAGTTTTTCGCTTGGCATCGAAGGAGCAGGCGCAGAACAAAAGTACTTTTCGGAATGAGTAAGGCGCTCATAGACGATGTTTGGTAAAAGATAATCGATATATCAATAGGCACAAACGTCGGTGCGAGCAAGAAAGTTAAGATAAAGTCGGTATCGTCGAATGAGAAATTGAATCCATGCGAAAAGGATCGACGTCGATTCAATAAAAAAGTCAAAAGAGTGGCACTTCCCTAGCCTGCCATCACAGGCTGCAGGGAAGGATAGGCTTGGTCGCACATGTAGTGCTCAAGGTGATTAAAACAGTAATGGCATCCGCACGAGGATCCATGACCAGTCCACACACTCGGGTATGATGGAGTGTGCGGCCACAACGGGGTGTGGGGGGTACGATGGAGGCTGCGAGCGAGGAACAGACTGTTGAGGCAGATAATGCGTCTGGGGCATCCAGGAATGCGAGTACGGGGGTGGCGGGTTCTGGTAGCTCAAAGCGGGATAGTAAACGGGAGTACTGGGGCCAGTGTAAGCGGCAGATGGGGGAGAATACTCGGATGCCGCTGGGTTGAGCCACGAGTTTTCGTTGCGCTGGTACTGGGGAGGAATAGGGCCTTCGCCTTCGGGGGACAAGGGCGCCTTGGAAACAACCGGGGCCTGGTGAGGTCGGACAAGATTAGTCTTGATAGGCGCGAGGGTCTGACGAGACTCCTGTGCCCGAAGGTTTGCCTTGGCACGCCAGCTCTCCCAGCGTCGGCGCCACGAGTTGTACCCATCATCCTCAGCATACATCCGGGTGTGGAGCTTCCAGTCGAAAGCGAAGAGCCACTCCAACTCCATCTTGTTTAGCTCCGCCACAGGGATGTTGCTGACTTCAGACCAAGACTTGTTCTGGAAGGTGTTATCATCCAAGAACTTACTTCCCAAGATAAGGGAGACAGTCAGCATGCGATAGATCTGGCTAGTGCCATTCTTGAATACACGCTGAGATGACAGCAAACGCATTCGGAGAGACAGGTAGAAAAGAGCCAGCAAAATAGTCGAGCTTGGCAGGCGGGTCGACGACAAGATCTGGTAGACGTACTTGCGGAACTGAGGGGGAGTAGAGGATCCTGGGGCGATGCTTCGCGCGAAGTCAATATCTGATAAGGTGATTTTGGTGTTGTATAGTGCATACATTCCCTGGGCCATTTCCGCGACGAAATCGGACATGCGTTCCATATCATAGTCAAGGTAGGTGGCAACACCTCCGGTGGCTTTCTCCTCCTTAGGCTGCTCTTGCTGCATCGGGGCAATATCCTGGCGACGGTACTGTTGTGGAATAGAGCTGCCCATCGGGGGCAACTGCACATTAGTCCGGATGGGTGGCAGAGAATTGGCATACATGCCATGTTCGATAGGAGGGTGGGGGTACAGCGGATTGGGCTTCAAAGACTGCGAGTATTGCTCAATGAATTCACATCCATTCTGGTGGTAGCGAGGAGGGAACGCGAAGAAGCCCGACTTGTAGTGCGCTTCATCGCCGTAAATTCTCTCAGGGGGGGTAGGAAGCCCGTGGCTTGGCAGGCCATAGCCTGGCGCATAGAAGGACGGCATTGCGGAGAGAATTGAGGAACAACCCAGACTTAGGGACGGGGGCTGTAGACACTATTTGTTGAAAGTCAGCACCAGGTTATGGGAAAATAAATTTGAAATTGGAACGCACCGTCTACTGCACCGCCAAACCCTAATGCTGGATGGGTTAAGAGGAGGGAGCGAACAAACGATCGCGTCGCTCTGCTCTTGAATCTGTTGAAGTGAACGTCTCTAGTTGATTGACATGAGGGAGTCGATTTTCAACCGAAGGAAGTAAAGAACAGAAATTGAAGGAGTGCAAAATTGGTAAGGCCTTCAAAAACTTCGAGTCACAGGATCTGGACAGATGTAGGATTGGAATTGGAAGTGCGCGTGTTAACCCCACTTAAATTTGAAATCAAATCCGAGATTGTTGAGGTCGTGCGCGCGTCTTCACTTCTGAATCGAAGATTGTTTTTTGGAGCGCGAATCAAACGAAGAACACCAAAAGGGTTGAGAGAAATTGATTTCCCTCAGGAAGAGGCAAACCTCACAAATAGTGAGATCAGCAACGACACTTAGCGAAAAGCTCGTTGGAACGGAAGAGAGTTGGGGGTTAGAGAAGGGAAGAAGAGAGAGAGGACGAAAGGAAGGAGAGGAAAAGGGGAGAAGGGTTAAAGGAAGTGAAATTGTGTGGAGTGAAGTCCCGTGACAATACGTAACCAAAGTTACCTAATAATTAAGAATTCTTTAGAATTCCATACGGGGTCTCGACCAACTACCGTCACAGAACCTATGATCCGAAACTTGTATTATTAATTCCATGACTCCTGATAACTAGATTTAAATAGATTAATACATGTTTCCTTAGTACAGAGTACCAGTATTGAATATTTAATATTTAATATTTATCCACATTATTGGACCATAAGCATGGGATCAGGCTAATACTAGTTGAACTATTCCTAACTATTCCTACTCCGTAGTAATCTCCGTTTAATAATACAGATGCAACACCATCAAGGAAGGGAAATAAAAAATTCAAAAAGTGAAAATTCTGAAAATCTAAATCGGGAAAGTCGAACATGTGCGGACTCCATATGACTAAGCCAAATTTGTATTTTTAACAAAAACAGGCCAAAGCGTGACTGCGTCGTAGGTATAGACATTCCACCCCCGTTGCTTGGTCTACTAAGATGACTTCTTCATCAATATGCTAGTTTCTAAGGTTAATAGTAGGCTAGTCTTTACATCTTGACTCCTTACAAGCTGAAACATAATACATAACAAGACAGCTACACTTACACTAGATATATCACCCCGTACAACTAAGCAAGGGCCAGCAAAGACTGATGACTTGTCACAGCCTCTCTGACTCACTAAAAGCCCCATGCTCTGGGCTGTGATACCTGCAGGCAGCAATACATAGCGTCATGCCGACAGATAGGCCGAGAGGGGCAAATTCATCACAGCCACTAAAATCATTGAGGCTGGGGCCATGCACCTGGGCAACTGATTAGCTATTTTATGTTTACCGCTTTCTGTTATCTGAGACTGTAATATTTACCTGCCATGTCTTGCCCTTCAACGTCATATATCCTGCCCAAATTCCAGCCATCCCAAGACATTTGAATATCGAATTAGGAGGAATACTGTAGTCTATAGATGTTTAAAATTCCATTAAAACATCTATTTGATTCTATCGCCAAGGGTTATGAAAGCGTTCTTCATCTTCTCAGTCTGGGGTCCAATCGATTCCTTACCGAAGATGTATCAAATTAGGGCTTATGACAGTAACAGCTACCAGCGGGGTGTTGGGTTTCTACGTGCGGGGTGCAATGCCCAGGACCCGGGGTGTCCGGGACCTCGGGAGCATGCTTTTTGCCCAGGTGACATCAGTGTAATATTTCTTTTCAATCAAACCCCGCATAAAGAACCTCGATCAGCTGAAGCTCATGGGTCCCAGCAGCTCATGGGCTATGTTGGAGGCCTTTCTGCTTAACTATTGAAGGAGACTGTTGCCCAGGTGATGCATAGGCAAGATTTTCAAGGTCATATGTCCAATTTCAAGGTTCAACAGCAACTGTAGGCGCCGGGGCAATATCCAATGTCTACTTGTAGAACACCAGGACTACTTTGGGTACGACCTAATCAATCTGTCTAAACACATGCCCAGGTGCCAGTGCAGCTTGCCAGGGTCGGAATGATCATTCAAACTCTAGAGGTGCACAAATGTGCTACCGCCATGACCAGAATTGAGCATTCTAGCGATTCCATCAGTCAAGTGTTGATACCTGGGCATGAGGCTCATTTTGACTGTGCATATATTACTCCAGCCAATCTCAACTCCAGGACTGATAGGATTAGATACGTGAAGTATTTCAAACCGAAAACTATCTAAAACCACGTATTCCAGCAGTGGGCCCAGGGGCTATCTATTTATCTACACCGACTAATAGTACCCACTCCAGCACTAGGCTAGATTCTACTCATAGTCAACCACAAGGCTTCACAAGACATGGCTGTATGATCTTTGCTCTCATAGAGCACCCCGGTTCCATCTTCTCCTGGTGCCAACTCCCATTCAAAGGTAGTGACCAACTTAGCGAGGGCTTGCTTCATCTCCATATAAGCAAAGACCTTTCCAACACAGCTGAACGGGCCTAGACTAAATGGGAAAAAAGCTTTCGGATTGTGATTCTCTGGAGGATTGATCCAGCGGTTTGGGTCCCAAGTGTGTGGGTCGGTGAAGTTTTCAGGATCTAAAGAGAATTAGTAACCTGTCAACATATACCTAGGTAAGAACCTTGGAATTGGATATAGGCAAGTCTTCACTTCCCCTTCAGAATTCATACTTACCACGCTGGATAGTCCAGGTTGGGCAGCTAACACTGACATTTCCAGGTATATAAGTCTCCCCAAGATAAATTCCCTCAGGAGGCGTAAGGCGTGGCAACCCAGATGGCACAGGAGGATGCATTCGTAGCGTCTCGTCAATAACGCCCGTCAACAACGGAAGCGCCTGAATATCCTCCCACTTCAAATTCACAACATCCGCATTGGCAGCCTTGATCTCCTCCCGAAGCGACCGCTGTATTTCGGGATTGATAGCAAGATAATACATGCTAAAGGTCAAAGCAGAAATAGTTGTGTCACCAGCAGCGAGAACTAGCATAATCATATCTTCAATTTCCTCCGCATAGCTCAAAGCGATTTTCCTCTTTTGGAATATATAAGATAGCACGTCTGGTGAGTTGATACCGGAAGCTTTCCGCTCGGCAAGAGTCTCTTCTGCAAAATCTATGAAAGCCTGCTGCGGATTCGGTAGACCCGGGAGACTAATTATGATTCTCATTAGCCATGGAAGTGCGGCTAGGGTCGTTCCTGCAGCCATAAATTTCTCAAAATCCGTAATTGCCGGGTGCAGTTTGCCCGATTCCAGACAGTTGTATGATTTGCTGTATCCTAGGGAGCCGACCGTGTCGAAAGCAAAGCCCTTGAGCCAGTGGTTTATTAGGACGCCTTTTTCGCCCTGTTCAGCTGCTTTGGCAATGCAGCTACTCATTAAATCGACATGGTGATACAGTTTTGGGAGATAATCCAGGCATTCTGTACATGATATGGATTGTTAGCCCTAGGTATCTGTAAAACTGGCCTGTCTCAGCACATACTCTTGGCGCTAAACGCCTTGTCCCATACCGGCCTGCGAACTCGATGTTTTACAATCGATTGCTCTAGCTGCAAGCTCTTTGCGTCGCGCAAACCGTAGAACGTGTTCGATTTCCCGCATTTAGTACCGGCTCCATAAAAAGCTGCCACGGCGTCTAAACTATTCATAGACAGGTAATTGGGTGCTATGTGTTCTCTTAGCTTTGAAATACTTAAAAAGGCTCCAAGATCAAGCGTCACACAGAAAAACACTTACCGATTCGTACTATCTGTCCATATTGACGATGTAGGTCATCATGAAGCTCGTATCGCTGTGAACCTGTCGTAAGCTTGTAAACTCCCCACCACGATGTCAGTCGCGCCAGGCTAGGGCCTGGGAATGATTTTATTGGATGGCGAAAGAAGCGATAGATAGAGATGCTAGTAAATAGCGAAGCGAAGAAGCTCGCATTGGCGAGTCCTATGAAAATGGCTGAATGCAAAACTCCGTCGTAGGTGGACAACCATAGCCAAAAGGCAAATTGAACGCAAATATACGGAAGAAATAATTTTCCTACTAGCCTGTCGACATCATGGTAGCGAATGAAGAACGCATGAGATGTGAGACCGAGGATAGCGAGGGGTACGATGATCTGGCTGTGTGTGGTGCTTTCTGTAAATGTAGTATCGGGCGTCGATAATGTGATATTGGTCATGCTGGCTTCTATTCCGGCTTTTCGACTGTTTCAGAGTCTCTAGTGGCTTTCCAATCAATATTGCAAGATGCCGTAGTGGAGAGAAATCCCTCAGGAGTTGTAGGAAATACCACGCATTTGTATTCTACCATCACCTCTTATGCAAACCCCTCCCCCTTACTTGTGATCTACGTCTGTCCAAAAAGTAATGTTTGGTACTTCTTGACCTACTAAAAGCTCAATTTTCTGTCGCTTTTTATAAACCGCTTATTATAATTAAACAACTTTCGTACATCATCTTCTTTGCAAGTAATAAAAACTTGGAATTGAAATTTCGGGTCAAAAACTTTAATTCTAACTAATATGTAATATGATCTAAAACTCCGATCCAAAATGACCCGAAATACGACCTATAATATAGAAACCATTCCTCTTTGAATAGAGTATAGCCTTTCAGAGACATAAAAGTTACCGGAGCCCTCTGTTATCGAGTTCGGATATAGGTAGCATTGCATTCCTCCCCAGGCTTAGATTCTTCGATTAAAAACAGAGATAAAAGGTGATTTATATCTCATCAGACCAGAATATCGTACCCCACTACTCCTGAGTCCAACTAACATACACCTGAGCCCATACCTAACGAACCTGCCGATTTGTTTTTGAAAGAGGAGGTTTCCGGAGGGTAATACAACAAGAATATCCCCTTTTTCGTAAGGCACGGAGAAGAGTCTTCTAGTCAACGTCATGGCTAGATATTGAACTAGCTCTTTCCAACTCATTCTTCGAGTAAGCTCAGAAGAAGTAATAAACTCTCCAATTATATCAAGCTCTCTAGAAGAGAGGATAGAGGTGCATCCAGAGCGTCGACGAGGTGTAGGTCGTGAGTCTATGAAAGCTAGTTGCACTTGCTGGGGACTGATTCCTACGCTCTTAGCAATCTGAAGATAGGTAAGGCCACCATCTCGTACAAGCTGAGCTTGAAGGCGTTCATCGCGAGTTGCATGAGTTTTGGCTTACGGTGAGGGCGGGGTAGAACAGCGGGTTCCGATGTATCAGAATAGGCACTAGCTTTAGAATGTGGGTAAGAATGTGGACAAGAATGGGTATCAAATCCCGCCTTGAAATAGCACCGTATTACGCTAATCTATATTAAGAAGCGTATAGGATTCCAGCGAACTCGATGTTACAGTCGATTTCTCTAGCTGCAGGCTTTTTGCATCGCGCATGCCGTAGAATGCGTTCGATTTCGCAATTGGTATCAGCGCCATGAAAAGCTGCTACGGCGTTTAGATTATTGATAGACAGGTAAACTAAATATACTTCAGAATCCATGCTTTGAAGTCTGAACTAGGGAATCTGAAGTATGCACACTCAGTATGCTTCAATCAGGTACACTACTACTATCTCTAATAATACGTTTTACATCTCTATCTCTCTACCTTTAAACTGGTTATTTGATATCTTTGTATTTGGCCCTATTACTATCTCTCACAACACGTTTGGTATCACTATTCCAGACTGCATGTTAGGCACTTGGGGCTCTACTATTAATCCAGCAATACTTCCTATATCTCTATCCTTAACTTGACTTGTGCTTTGGTCTATCGTAATCTCTATATCTACTTCGGAATCCCCTTATACCTACCTGTCACGGAGTTGATAATCTGGAAATCATGTGACCCTTATGTAATACCCACAACTACTTAACCGATCCGTACCCGGATCCCCCATGATTCTTTCAAGAATCAGTCTTGAAATGTTATCGAGTTCTTGTTCCCATCCTTGTCTTCTCTGTAAAATCCAGTAACCCTTACACTACCTTAGAACTGGATATATGGGTATGCCTTTACTCATCCATTAATCTGCACCTCGAAACTAGATAACTGGGCATCTCCGTCTCTGCCTTTAAGTTGAAGTACCTTCGGTTTTCTTGTTCTCTGTCGGGGGATTTTGAGTGGAGATTCAAAATATTCGCGGGCCCATCATACATAAGTGACCCCCTTTTCTGACGAGTTGAAAACATCTTCCTTTTTTCACTCATCTCACTGAAAATACACACAGGGCAAAGTGGAATAATATAGGCAGGCTGCATGGCACTTGGTCTACCTTTCAAGTTTCAAGAATGAAGAGTGAGAACGATTCTTTAAAGAGATAACATAGAGCTCTGATGGACGACCCACTTGGGAGCATTTCCTTGAAGATTTGGAAAAGCATGGCATGATAGGATATGATTCCCAGCATGTCTAGCTCAAATATATTGGGAAAGACATGCTAGAAAATCCGCCTCTATTGTCAAGATGAGGTTGCAGAAATCAATGAACAGGTTTTAAATGGAGAGGACGAGGACTTGTAGATATTTGTCGGTTGACGATGTTACTGAGAGATATTCTGTTATTTATCTTGTATCTCTCCTAACGCTCTTGTATTTCTTGCCTTATTTTTTTTAGGCTCTTATCATTTCTGCCAAAAAATCCTCTTTCCTTCTGAATTATATGCAGGTTTTTAGGCCTAGTAAACTGCGGAAATTGATAGAAAACGAGATATTTGACCGCCTATTGTACTGCCGGCATAACTTTCTAGCCCTCGTTGCATGCCACACTTACTAACATATGGCCAAACTCGCAGCATTTAGAGCATCTGCCTGGAGTTTTCTGCTTCTTTGGCACCACTAGTGCCATATCATTCCGGCCTGACACCGTCGGAGGCTGTGCAGGAAGCCGAGGCTCCAATAGTGGAAGGTATGCGTGGCCGAGAGATGAATATCAGTAAGTGGTATGGGGTGGTTTTGCTTGACCATATCATTGATTCGGTGAGCACATAGAAGGCCATATACAGGAGTAAATGCTCCAGTACAGACTAACAATGACGCCTCTTTTGTAGCCCTAATAGCTATCTAGTGCTGATTATTGACTAAAGTAAGCGAATATCGCGATCTCTGCTTCTCTTTTAACAAAAGAAGCGAAGATTTGTTCAGATGGAGGCAGTAGCTTAGACACATTCAGAGAGGTAAACATATCGATTCCCGTGAAATGTTCTCTTTTCACATAATCAGGATACCTACAAATCTCTATTAATAGCCAATATGATGCGTTTGGCCTGATTACTTAGCATCTATATGATCTCGCCGACGACTGCGTAGTATCTTCTTATCTCCGACTTTCCACCAATAAGGTGCCATTTGATAAGATCAGAGATCTTTACCATAGCTAAGCCTCTGTAGACATATGTTCCAAGATCGTTATACATCACATCATGGCTTAAATCGATCGCTATGCCGTGGATGCCTTCAATAGTGCGCAGTACAGCACATATCGAGAACTCGTATTTCCTACATGAAACGCCTAGCATGCAGGGTATTAAATTTGCTCCAATAGTAGCTGAATCTGATATCGCCAAGATGCGTCGCGAGGGGTTAGGCGCTGGCTATGAGCTCGGTTGGTAAGCGTCAAAGGAGTACCTAGCTTTATTTCCGGATCGGCATATGAGACAGCAACGCTCCAGGGCTACCATTAGGTAGCCTCAATTGATGAAAATATGGATATTCCAATGGATTGATTTTGATATTGCTTTTATTTAATTTTTGAAGGCTCACCCGAAAGACGTCGGGAGGCAGAAGAAAAGAGGTAGAAACCGCAGACTTGAAAGACCACGATCCAACCCTGGCAAAGTCGGTATCGAGAACCGAGAGCCATTGAGAAATGCAAAATATAAAGATGGAAGAAATCACAAAAATGGTCATGGGCGTTTTTTGCCGACCAAAAACAGAGGGATATCATTAAGATTCAACAAAAACCAGGGTCACAAACAAAAGACATAGAATCGTATACTCGATAAATCGTCAGGGATAACCCCAATCCCTATTCCATAGAACGCTTTCACAAAGAAAAGATCTGAAGGTATTCAACAAACCCTTTCATCTTGACTCCCATTCACACGAAAACTCGCATAAAAGGAAGAGACCTAAACCTGGAAGTGAATTAGAGGCTAGGAGTCTCTGAGATTTTCAACAAGATCTCTGAGAACTTTCATGATGACCGCTTCGTCCTCTGCACCTTGTGGGAATGAGCTTTCGGTGGCACCACCCAGCACTTGTGCGCGAGCACTGCGGAGAACCTCCTTGATGTAATTCTTATCAGTATAATCATCTACCAGCACGGCTTCAAAATCATCGATGGCCTTGTTCGCACGTTCAAGGAACGATGGCTCAGACTGTCTGGCATTATGATTTTGACCCTGGGAAAGTGGCTGGGGCTGAGAATTTCCGGGCCCGTGATGCCCTTGATGCAATTGATGTCCTTGATGCCCTTGATGAACTTGATGTTGGACAGACGAGTTCTGAGGTTCGTGATGCGATGGTGGCATATGCTGAGGCTGAGATGGGGCCGGTTGCTGTCGCGGTTGATGATTTTGATGTTGCTGAAACTGAGAAGGAGCAACGGGAGGAGGAAATGCTGGCTGCGAGGTGGTGTGCTGTTGAGACGAAGACACTGGGGCGTAGGGAGATTGGTGTTGGGCTGGCCCTGGACCAGATTGGGGTGTATTAGACTGCCGGATTTGAGGAATGTGTGTAGAGGGGTTGGGGGCAGCCTGAGACGGCTGCGAAGAGGCGTTGGAGGCGTAGGGAGAGGTGTAGGTCGAGGGAACGGTCCGAGCAAAGGCGGCCGGAAGATTGTTGCGGATAGTACTTGGGATGGGGAAAGATGCAGGAGTAGGAGCTGGAACTGGAACTGGAGCTGGAGCCTGAGCCTGTGAGGGGGCCGAGATTGCAGAGGGAGCCGAGAGAGGAACAGAAGATGGAGCAATGGATGGCGGGTAGGGACTAGAATGCTGAGGAGGAGCAATTGGTGCCGCTGAAAATGAAGGAGTTTGTATCGAAGAAGGGAATTGGAATTGCTGCTGGTGCTGATGCTGATTTTGGATTGGAGGAATACCAGCTGGGTTATAGGAGTGAGACATAGGTCCCATATAAACCTGGGGAGCAGATTGAGGCACCGGCTGTGGCGGAGGAGGTGAGGGTCGTCGTTTCTTTTCCTTTTCAACAGATGCACCCGGTTTGAGTTGCCATGACCAGCCCTTGCCATCTCGCTCGGCGTGCATGAACAAGTGGCTATTACCATTAAGATTATGTCGCACACTCGATGTCCAGCCTTCGGTCTCACATTTGAAACGGAAGTATGGATACTTCAATTTCAAAGCTCGATATATTTGCTTCAGCGTCATCGGAATGCCAGCTTCGGTAAGGGCATCGAATATGAGGACAGCGTAGTTGTAAGGAGGCTTGGCCAGATCTTCCTGCGTGTAAGCAGATTCTGGAGGGTAATTCGGGGACGGTGATCGAGATGGCTTTCGTTTCTTGACCGGCGGAGGCTTCACATACTCCTCAGCCCGATGCTCTGTAGAGAACGCACCACCTTCAGTCGAAGGCAGAGGGAAATCCACACCGTTTGCATCCTTCTTACGCTTGTTATACTTGCGCTTCGACTCGGCAGCTTTTGGCGTGGGTGACTCAACACCAACAGATTCTTTCGGGGCCTTCCCTGCCTTGGGCCAATTGGGCTGCGCTGGGGGCTGCGGCTGCTGTGATTGCTGCGGTTGCTGTTGTTGCTGCGGTTGTAGCTGTTGCGGCTGCTGTTGTTGCTGCTGCTGAGGCTGAGGCTGTGATGGAGGTAGAGGCGGTGCTGGTGGCGGCGTAACACCTCCATTAGCATCCTTCTTAGCGGCATTCTTCTGCTCTCGGGCAAGTTCAGCCCGCTCCCGTTTGGACATAATTCCATCCTTCGGTGGCCTCCCAGGTCCACGACGGCGTGCGGGCTGGCCATTTTCTCCGGAGTCGGCAGAGAGCGCCGGCTTGTCGAAATTGGTCTTGAGAATGATCTTCTTAGAAGGCTCCTTGCTGTCGACGCTATCGCTGAGGGGCTTATCCATATCATCAATCTCATGTTCGGCGTCCGGTGAATCATCCAACTCCTCGTCTTCTGCGAGCTCCTCCATCCGATCTGCGCCTGTCTCTCCAATAGGGACTTCGGGGAGCAAGAATCGAATTCTAACACCTCCAATTTGTATGTAGTCACCACTATGTAATGGACGAAGTTGGCCAGGTGAAAGCCAATCAGCTCCAATGAAAGCTCCGTTTCGACCCATCACTTCCATTTCGAAGAGGTTGCGGTCAAAATTGAATGCGATTTTAACATGGCGGCGTGATATACCACGATGGCCTGCAGCGCTGCCATCCATTGTTGTTGGTGGGTGAATAGGAATTGTGGGACATGAATCGGGAGATGGGAGCAAAGCAAGCGCATCGACGGGCTTGGCCTCTCCATTGCCATTTCCAGTGACATTGCCTTCTTGTAAAGATTCCAAAGCAAGCGCGTTGTAGTCTGTTGATGTTTGTAGTTCAGCGGGATTGGCATGCATGGGCATTGCCGATTCATCAAGTGGAGATTTCGAGGACCGGCGGCTGATATTCAAATTGGATGGAAGATGCGGGGGAACATCTGGATCAAAGCCCATTATACCTCCGCGGTCACTAACGACGCTGCCGATCATGGCAGCACTCCCCTCTCGCTTCATCCGGTTAGGAGTTTGCGAGACGTTGCCGCCACTTGAACTTTTTGCTCGAGAACTTCGCACGGCCTGCCGGTACTGGAGCTCTCGCTGATGCGCAGCGCGCGCCGCTCGGACATCTCGTCCGAGAATGAACGAGTATGTATTGCAATAAAAATGACCATCATCAAATTCCAGCTTTGCAAACGCCTGGATCCGTGGTTCACCGGCGGCTGAATTGAAGCTGTCTTGATATCCCAATGCAGATAAGTTAGAGTTTTGCGCGAGGAATGCGGCCGTGAGAAGCTCATTTTGGTGGAGAGCCTCGAATGGGTCCTGTGACAGTGCATTGAAATCAAATGCAGGCATCAGGGATGGTTGATCCGAAGTTGATTTTAAAGGGTCTTCAAGGCCGTCCACGTTCATAACATCCATTCCACCAGAAAATATATTCTCCGAGGAGAAAGCGCCATTATTTGTCATATCGATTCCTGGAAGTGAACTAGCACCGGGCAGGTTATCGTTTGAGATATTATGCGTGTCTCCCGATGTTGAAGGCTGATCTTGATAGGGATTCATATCCAACGACGTATCTTGACCCTCCAGACCTAGAAATTGAGAACCTGGCCCTTCCAATTTAACCTCAGGGTTTTCTATTTGCATATCGGTGGAGTTCGCTGGTGCAGGAGCAGAATTTGACGAAGGGTTTCCTAGCAACTGGGCAAGGAGTGCGCCGGCGGCAGATTGTGTGCTGATTTCCTTTTCCGCTTCAGTAGAGAAGGTGTGGTGATCCAATGGCTCTGTTTTAATTCCTATAGAGGGGGCTAAGTCCTTCGAGGCTGGGACCGAATGATGCATGTCGCAAATTGCGGAGTCGGTCCTGGAGTCATTCGGAAGGGAATCGACGTTCTGTGAGCGGCCATAGTCGTATATGGGTGATTCCTGACCTGTGTCAGGTGGACGATGACCCAGTGCTGGGGCCGTCATGGTCTGCGACGACATGGCTCTGCGGAAGCTAGGCAACGAAGTTGAAGATGAAGTTCTTAAAATCGGAAATCAGGCCGGGCGGTGAGGGGCGATTGCATTTCTGGTCGCTGTGGAAGGCTGTAATGGATGTTTCATGGGTAAAGTCAACTTCAGAGAGGTGTGAAGAGTTAAGAATAGTGAGGTTGTGGAAGATATCTATTTATCACTGGTAGATCAAGCTCTAGAGTCTAGCCCCAAGGAAACTGGGAGCCAACGAAGTGGAAGTAGAGGTAGATGAAGTTGGAATTTGCGGGCGGTGAGGCTAGGATGGGATACTGGATGCTAGTAATGAAGGTTTTCAACCTTGAAAGTACGGCATTAAAGTCATAGGCTATAAACTACTTCTCATGGCTATAAGTAATTACAAATTCTATTCAAATCAGACAGATCTGAGATCATGGGTCTAACTCATATATATAATTTCAGACATTCAATATTGACATTGGACATGAAGTCTGTCCCTGGCACTCAGATGATCTTCCGGGTTAAATTTTCTCTGCCGCCCCGCTCCAATCATCCGACAAGATCCACTAGAGTAGATACTACGCTTACTATGAGATGTTCTAGGGTTTTTATAATGCCATTTCTGGTGGTAGTTGTACACTAAAATGATGGCTATGGATCTACCTAGATAGCTGATCAGTTACGTCCATCATGGACCGCATCGTACAGGTAAGATATGATGTAACGGAAAAAGAAAAGATTTATGCTCCGAGTCAACCTTGGGTTATCGAAAGAAAAATATACGGCAGAATAAGGGTAGGGCGGTATACAAATGGGCCAATAGAGATTAGAATACATAGACCACTAACCCTAATAAGGAGATAATGGAGACTGCAAATTCTTCAGAGAAGACAGCTCAACCAATCATAATAGCCACAAAATACACGGCGAAAGGCCGAGATCAGTTACTTTCTACTAGGAACATCTTTCTATCTCTGTTACACGTAATTCCACAAGGTTGTCACCTTAATCTTTGATGGTATGTTCCACAATTGGCAAAGGTAAAAAGAGTAGAGACTTAATTGCCAGAATCCAACCCAGAGAAAAAGCGAAAAGAATAGGAGTTGGAAAGTTGGAAGTCTTGGTGAAATATAGTATTAGTCGAATACTAACTGTGGGGGGAAGCGGAGAATCTTATCATCTGCAATAAATACCCTCCGCATCAAACCAAGCTGTACTTCCCACCTGAAGCACCACCTACTTGATCCGACCATACGGAGTACTCACAGTTATCACTCCATTCAATCATGGCCAAATCAAAGAAAGCAGACTCAAAACCCCAATCAACAACAACAACCCAACCACCAAACTGGCCACCCCTCCGCCCCCTCCTTCCACCCCAAGACCTCACCTTGACACCCCTTCTTCCCTCCCAGATCTACCTAATCCGCAATTTTCTCCCCAGCACCCTATGCAAGACCTATGCTCAATTTTTAGCATCGCTCCCACTCACCACAACACCCGGCAAGCCGAAAAAGGGCGACGCCGTACGCGTCAATGACCGGTTCCAGGTCCAAGATGCGCGGTTTGCGGAGATGCTGTGGAGTGGGACTGCATTGAAAGAGCTTGTTACAGAGCGCTTTGTAGAAGATGGTTATGGGGAAGATGATGGTAGCAATAATGACAATAAGACTGTGGATCTTATGGCGAAAATGAAGAACGCTTGGGGTGGGGTGCCGTTAGGGGCTTAATCCGAATATACGAATCTATCGTTATTCGGCTGGTCAGTTTTTCGCGCAACATTGTAAGTTTCATGGATCGCTAGCTACTATTGTACAGAGCTGTATCATATCGTTCTTTCAATGCTTCTGGAAGCATCCCGTAAAAATGTGAAGTGAATGTATGATTGACTAGTGATTAGATGACGAATCAAATACCCTCAGCTTTCTCCCCACTTCCTCTACAAAGGCTCTGTCTGCTCGAACAACTTGGACGCTGCTGATTTACCTCACCGCGTGCACTGGTGGCGAAACAGTCTTCTATCCGGATCCGACGAGAGAAATTAGGAACCCGGCCCCGATATCCGTTGCCCCTGAAGTTGGGATGGCGCTTTTACATCGGCATGGGGATTATTGTATGTTGCATGAGGGGAAAGAAGTGATGGCTGGGGAGAAGTGGGTGCTGCGAAGTGACTTGGTTGTTGAGAGATAATGGCTGAGGATCTGCCGCATTACACAATGGAGGTTGAACGATCTAATCAATTTGCTTTGCCATACTTAAGATACAGAAAAGCATGAAAGCATAGAATAATATAACAAGGATGACAGTGATACCGCTGTCAGAGGATAAACGATTCGCAGCACAAAAGAGTGTTAGGGTCTGCCAGACCTTATACCGGGCTGGCAGATAAAAGTATGTCGTAAATTAGAAAACAAGAAGTATAAATGAGAGGGCAGGATTGAGAACCGAGTGTATAAAGAAGCTGAAATCAGTGCCTTATCATTACGCTGCACATCATCATTTCGAATACCCTTCGATTTCATCATGTCGTATGTACTCAGTCCGCCGCAAAATTTCCTCCACAGGCCCAAGCAGTCTCTTGAATCCGTCCCGGCCCAGGCGTGCTACCTTGGCTTCTGTTTTGGTGATAACACTGGCTGCACGGGGTTTATCGTCTAGCAGCGCTAGCTCACCGAAGTAGTCACCTCGGTGATATGTCTTGACGGAGACACCATTCAATATAGCCTCGGCCTCGCCCGATTCCAAAAGATAGAAAGCATCGCCAGGGTCACCTGCAGTAATGATAGTTGCATTGGCTGGGTACTTGATCGTGTCCAGGGCGTCTGCGACTTTGGATCGCTCGTATTGCTTTAGGGAAGATAGGACTGGGACCTCTTCCAAGAACTCCTCGTACATGCGGCGTCGCTGGAAGGCCGAGTCCATCAGGATGCGACGGAAAGTGATACGGTCCAGAGCCCAAAGAGTGCTCTTGGCGTCTATGGAGATGACAGTTGCAGCACGGGGAGAATTGTACATAAGGGCGAGCTCACCAAAGGAGCCACCCGGTCCAGTGGAGCCGACTTTATTGCCCATGCCATCGGGACCCGGCTGCACAGAGCCCAAGGGGTGGATATAGATGTCGAAGCTGCCGTGCTCCACAATGTAGAAATAATCACCCGCGTCTCCCTGCGAGATGACCTTGATACCCTTCGCAGGGATGGGCTTCTCCACAAGCGCATCCAAGACCGTTTTGAATTGCTCGTCCTCCAAATGAGCGAAGAGAAAGTTGCTGCTGACGGCGGTCTTCAGCCGTGCTAGTTGCTCGTCGGTTTTGGGGTGGTGCGGGGGTGCCCAGCTTTCCGAGCCCGCGGATGTCGGGTTCAAGGACTCGGCAGAAACAGAAGTTCGACGGCCCAAGGCATAGTTGCTCGGCATGCCTCCCTGTGCGGATTCTGGGTGGAGATGAGCGCCGAGCTCATCAACGCCATCGCTGCCTGCGCCTGATCCCGGTCCCTCATCAAAGGGACTCCGGCTGAACAACGACGATCCAGAAGCAGTCGAACCTGCGAGACTGAGTGTACTTCCTCCGAAGTTGGCCTTTCTTGCCGAATCGCCCGCGTTGGCAGCCCGGAAAGTCATATCAGTTGGTGACGTCACCTCAAATTCATCCTCCTCTGAGATCTTTTGGATACGGTGGGATTTTTCGAGATTGTCGGTACTAATAAAGGGGGATGTTTCCGCCATGATTGTGTGTATAGGCGCCAATAAGGTCGCCACGGCCTTCAATGAAGACGAGAGAAAGAGGAAAGGTTGGGAATTAGGAAGGTGGGGGATATGGAATCTGATCAATTAGAGCCGAGGTTAGTCAAAGGGGGATGAACTATATAGAAAAGTCAAGAGAGAAATAGGGATTGAGTAAGAAGAAGAGATCAGAGTCATGTGCTCAGAACCAAGCAGCGGATTGTTAGGCCAGGCCAGAGTGGAGATTGAACCAAAGAGTCTAATTGGAAGAATGTGGGATGTCGGCCACTTTCTTCCTCTGACTTAGGAAGGGGTTTTGGGAACGAGCAGATTACTCCTTTTTTAGTGAACAAATGATGACTTGACTTACCTATTAATTTGCCACAGAAAGCGTAGACTTTTAAGAATAGTTCAGGGGAAGGAAACCGAGTAGACAGGAGAGAGAAGGATGAAGGAGGGGTAGTGGAAAGAGTGAAGTCGGGGCGAGTTGGTCTAAGCTTCCTGTCGATCATCCCGTGAAGACATGATCGACGTCACCCAGTGCTAAGATAGCTGTAAATTTACTTGAATTAATAGAATAGAAGGATAGTAGTAGTTAACATTTAAGAATTAACATGTAGAAAAAATAATCCTATCTTATGTATTTCTTATCTCTTCGATCAAACAAAGGGATGGTATAAATTAAGAAAGGAGTAATAAATAGCTGTGATACTATGGCTAGTCTTATTCTAAGCGTCTTCTAGACTTCTAGAAGTGGAGCGTACATTGCCACTACGTACATTGGGACTTAGTGGGCTCTTTTGGTGGCGAAATTGTGTGCTGACATCAATCAGCACTGTCATGTCCGTTTTCAGTATAGAGTAGGTACCAGGCATGGTGTATATACTTAATTTCATTATTTCCCGATCATCAGACTCTTACTCCATAGATTGTTCATTCATAGTCATTCAGTTACCCAATTATTCAATTATAAGTCTCATCTAATATACTATGTACTAAATCGACAATGTCGGCCTTGATAGTTATATGTACGGACTAGACGGGATTCCATTTTCGGCATAGTCGACCGGAAATAGTTAAGTGTGAAATACTAGCTAGAAACTTATGTTACCTCGATTATCCTATAGCATCGAGTCAAGTAGCCTGAGAGCAACATGGACGCACAAATACCGGATTGGACAGAAACGGTCCCTTTCAGCTGTTAGTCAGCTATGGAGTACAGAACGGGTACCTAGCTAATGCAGACAATCATTCCGTACATTCAATGATATGTGATACATCAAGTCAAGTGTTCAACTATTGAATGTGATAAGGGGGCGTCTAGCTATGTGTCAGGTAATATCAGGTATCAGGTATCAAGTATCTGTGGTTCCTTGAGGACGGAAGCTGGTGGTCTGTGTAACCAATGCCCCCCCACCCAAAATCGAGCCTCGATGCACCATTCCCCATTTCTTTGAATCCTTTGATCTCTACTTTTCCAATCTTTTTATCTCCACTCTGACTTCTTTATTTCTGTGATGGGTACCTACACCTTCCATTGGTCAGTAGTTCCAAATTCCCTTCCTATTGCCTCTTGCGCCTTCTTGTCTCATGTTTCAGAGCTTTGGGAGTCTGGGACATGAGCGAGCTCAGACCCTGTGGTCCTATTTTTCAGTGCTGGGATTAGGTAGCTGACTGGTTTGTCATAGGCCTTACACGGCGAAAGAGGTGTTCGTAACAGGCACATTTGATGATTGGGGTAAGACGGTGAAACTGGACCGGGTGGGCAACATCTTCTCTAAGAAAGTGGATTTGCCTGAGGAGAAGGTGCAATACAAGGTAATTTATTATCCCGTGATCTCTAATTTGACACCGCCTCCCCTGACGTCACTCTTTGTCCCGCTTTTTGGGCAAAAGTATAAATGCTTTTCTCTTCGGAACCTTGTTTGTGAATTACGCTGACATTTTCTTTTCTTCCTCTTCAAGTTTGTTGTTGACGGAACTTGGACTACCGATAAAAGTGCTCGTGAGGAGAACGACGGAAAGGACAACATTAATAACGTTCTGTTGCCCGAGGAAATCATCCCCCATAACCATACTTTCTCTACCGCTGCTATGTCTGGCGTCACCCCTGAATCTACTACCGCAGCTCTGGCTGCTAATGTTGCTAAGGAGCCCAATGGTAACCTCCCGGGCACCTTCCCCGAAACCCCGCTAGAGTCCGAGCAAATTCTATCCGTGAATCCCATTCCTGCCTCGACCGGCCCCGGCAATCCTATCAAGCTGAACCCTGGCGAGAAAGTTCCAGACCTGAGTTCTATCCATGGCAACACTGTGGAGTCGACCGTCAAGCTCGACAAGGAATCTTATGAGAAGAGCGATAGTCTTCCCCTCGGCAGCACCAGTGCCTTGACCGATACTGCAGACTCCAGTGCCTTTGTCCTGCCTCCCATCTCTAGCAGCTCCCCTCTCATCCCCGAATCCAGCATCCCCATGGGTGGACCTGCTCAGCAAGCTGCTGCAGGTGAGCTGGAGTCTACCCTTATCGGCGGACCTGCTCAGCAGGCTGCCACGGCTGACCCTGGATACACCATCCAGTCAGCAGCCCCGACCTCCACTACCGCCGCTTTGGCCGCCGAGGTTCCTCTTGAGAAGGATATCAAGGCCAATGGCACTGTCCCTGCCACTGAGGTTCCAGAGGTTGTGAAGGAGTCACTGACCGAGGCTGGTCAGGCTCCCGAGGCCGCTGCGTACCAGGAGGCCGTGGACGACAAGAATGCAATGGAGAAGGAAATCCAGGAGAAGGTGGATCTGGTAGAGTCGGCCGGTGAGCCTGCACCCACTGTTACTGCGGCTACTACAGATACTGCCCCATCGGCTACCGCTACTACTGAGACTGCTCCCGCAGCCGCTACCACTGAGACTGAGACTGCCCCCTCAACTGCCGCTACGACTGAGACTGCTCCCGCAGCTGCTACCACTGAGACTGAGACTGAGACTGCCCCCTCAACTGCCGCTACTACTGAGACTGCTCCCGCAGATGCTACTGCTGAGACTGAGACTGCCCTCTCAACTGCCGTTGCCGCTCCTTCTACTGGCATTGAGTCGGAAGATATTTCCCCAAACGCGACCCCTCTTCCCCAAGGCGTTGCGGCTGCCTCTGCTTCCCCATCAGAGCCCCAAGCCACTGAATCGACTGGTCCCACAGTGACCAATGGAGTAGATTCGGTCCCAACTGCTGAAGTGTCCACTCCAGTCAAGCCTGCCGTAAACTTGAAGCCTCCTACCAAGGAGCAAAAGAAGAAGAACCGCCTGAGTGGCTTCTTTGAAAAGCTCAAGGAGAAGCTCAGGTAGACTAATTTTGTGATCCTTGATACTCGTCGCCCGATGAAGGACAAGGCAAAAAGAGTTTCATCATGAATACTGGGAATCGTCACTTGGAGGGTTATTTCTCTCTTTAATTTTTGTTTGTTTTGATCTGGATACCTCATTTGCACTGTACTGCCTGGATTGTACTCCAGCAAGCTGCTATTTTCAATAGTGCTTTTTTCTTCGTTCCATGACTCCTTCATGACTCTTTGATATCCGTCATGTACCTAATAGCTGAATTAATTTGTACCTCCCCAATTGAACAGAAATAAACTCATTTCGCTCTCTCATTCCATCATATGCATTGAGATTAGACTAGTTTAGAATGTAGTATGATCTAATCTCAGATCAGAACGGTATAGCATCACTGACTTGCCCATTCAGTTTAACAGGATATCCCAATACACTATTGAATGGTTAGTCACATATTTAATACCATACCACAGAGAGGGAAAACATACTCCTTCCCCGTCTGCGTACAGCAACAGCCACAGAAGAGAGAAGCAGGCCAGCAGATAACCTATATAATGATTAGTAGAGAGCAATAGCTCCGGGCAAAAAGTATCACCAACCGCGGCAACAATAGTACAGCAAAAGCCTAAGAATAATTAGCTTGAGTTAGGTTTAGGGCGTGATCCATCTGTGGGACCAGGACTGCCTACCTAGTGTGGGCCCGACTATTTTACATCGGCAGGGGTTTTGATCTGTACCGCATTGGATGCATATTGGGAAGAATGGTACATCACACATAGTTAGGATGATTGATGATAGTTAAAACTTGCCAGTAGGTAGTTGTGAGTTAGAATGAATAGAGAAGATATAAGTGAATTGAGTTGGGTATGATATCACGTTATGACGTAGATGAAATGTAGATCAATCAAGTTCTTAGTTAACTGGACCTCAGATTGAGCTGACTAAAGATAAGACTGATTAGGCAACTGTAAAAACACCCTAAGCCACTTTAGCACAGCCACAGTCTCTCATGTGGACCCCTGGATTCTTAGTTATTCTTGATTCATCCGTTTTCGTTTCTTTCATATCTTCCGACTATAGAAACTGTTCCCCAGTCACCCCCACATTCGATCAGCCTTATTGATCACACACGCCCACTCCTCCCACGGTGGAATCAAATTTATCACCTACACCAACCCCACCAACCCCACCAAGCTAACACAAGAAACATACACCACAATGCATCAAGTTATCTCTCTCGTCTTCCTCATTATTTTCGTCGGAGTCCTTGGTGCAATCAGCTTCGCAACCTACAGCGTTGTCAAAGGCGTCAGCAAGTCCACTTCCGAAAAGATGGAGCGCCATAATTTCTCTATCTCAAAGGAAGGCATGAAGGTTCATGTGCGGGAAATCCAGGATGAAGAGTACAGAGATCGGAACCAGAGGTAGGTTTTCTTTAGATTTTAGATCTACTCTGCGCAATCATATTGAACTTTTTACTGATTTGTGTAGTGTTCTTGTCAAAATGTGGAATAATACCTCTTTCCCCGCGTATAAGAGTCGTCTGTGGAATATGACTGGTCCTTCGGATCGCTGGACTAATGGTGCTGAGAAACGCAAGCCGTATGTGGAGACTCCTTGATCTTGATATTGTGTATCTTGTTATCTGTGCCCGAGAAACTGACATGCAAATAGATGCTAGGTTCACGAAGTAATGAATGCTTGCTCTCAGTATTTGCCATTGCTGCAAGCTGAAAATTTGACTTATTCATTACGGCCGCTTACTTTACGATTTGCTTTGATTTTATCTCGATGATTAATTCCTTATAGCTGTTTTTATATGCTTTTTGATTTTACGATTTATTAATTTTTCTTGATGAGCTCATGATTTCTAAGTGAAAATGTTGCATTGATATTTTGAAACTAAGAATATGCCTCTTCCATCGATTTTTACCTAGGTATAGATGCCAAAGATTGAGAGAAACTTGGAACCTTGGATTAATTCCAATCAAAGTGGACGAACCTGATGGAGCAGTATCGAAGATTAAGAATCCGAATCATGGACATCAAGGGTATCAAGCTAGAATGAGGCTTGGTAGATCCGATGGGTAATTTCCAAGGTTCCTTCTAATTTCAAACAAATGAGACTTGTTCCATCCAGCTTGGGATATGGATCTCAGCAGCCCTGTTACCAAAATACAGCCCGAGTAAAGGATAGACAGCACAATATATTTGTAATTGTCTCAGTGTATTAATAATTCAACGAGAGAAACTAGTGGTGAGCTCAGGATTTGCATCCTCGAAACCTTTCACGCATACTTATCAACTTCATCGTATCATTTTTGAAACCATTTGCCAATCACTCGGTGCTAGTCTGTTGTCCCGGTCACGAGGGTTCTAGCTCGAGCGTAATCTGAGTGAAAAAAAACTGTCTCGCGCCGATTTCTATGCGACCTATATTGCTGCAGGTAGCACGGGGCTGAAGATGACCGACAGCTCTGCCCTCGTTGGTAAACAAGGCAAAGCTGACTGTCCACAGCAAAAGTGGCAACTTCTCTGCTATCTTTGACTATTCGAAGCCAATTGTTAGACTTGCGACCCGTGGATAGTTTGATACATCTGGAATGTCGGGTATTGGTAAAAGGCCAGCAGGCCTGTGTGTTACCTCCGTGATCGATCCCTGTCTCTTCAGGCGCAATGATCGACTCGATTATTAGACGCCGAATATCAGCCCTTTTCTTCGTTAGAGCTCTTTTGAGGTTGAGTTTTGAATGGATGTCATTGGAAGGGGAAAATCTTGTCCAACATTATTCTATACAGGCTGAATCGCCGACCTCGGGACTTTATGCTCACATAGCATCCCTCGATCTGCATATGGGATTGTCATTGAAAAAGGAAGAGCATCCCAGAGTGTGGCTCTCTGGGTATTCCCAGTGTAGGCAACTAGCCTCTAAGCCGATACGGTTCTTGAAGAGTGGAATTAGCCTTAAACTCCCGGTTTTGCACTCAGTGATAGAGGAGATTTCCCATGTTCGCAATGGGCTTCGCTTGAAATTAATGACGAGACCCGCATTAATGAAATGGCCCCTTGTTAGTTGGACATCGTATCCTTTTCTCGACAGATGAGAACTGCTGCTCCCCGGTGGTAGGAGCTGAGATAGAATCGGTGATTGTATCTGGTCAATCTCAGACTCACGCTTGAGATTAAGAGTCAGGCCGACTTTGATCGGTGCCAATAAATAGTTATTCGTGATTTATTACTCAGCATTCTTGGTTCTGGGTCGGAGTGGATATAATCGAAGATTTCTATCTAGTATCATCCGATGACATTCAAAGAGAGATTATATTGTTTTCCTCGATGAAGTGGGATAATGTATCCTCCTTCTATTCAAGCAACAGGGCCGACATTAGCAGTTTCTCCAAATAGCCAGACAGGATTCCAAACGTCTTGAAGGTCTCGACCATGAAGAGAGACCTGAAGTGCTCCTTGGGTTCTTTTCGTTCCGTAGAACCCAAGCAGAACCATCAATGAAGTTCTTTAAGCACGCCAATTCTATGGAAACGGACGAAACCCCAAATTCGACGTGAATAATATCTTTATGTTGATTCCATAAGTTGAGATCTGTAAGGGTTACTGGATTTTACAGAGAAGACAAGGATGGGAACAAGAACTCGATAACATTTCAAGACTGATACTTGAAGGAATCATGGGGGATCCGGGTACGGATCGGTTAAGTAGTTGTGGGTATTACATAACGGTCACATGATTTCCAGATTATCAACTCCGTGACAAGATCAAATCGGCAAATATGCGAGCCGAACAAAGACACAAGACTGGTGGAGAGTGTTTTTCAGAAGAACTAGAAATATTTCATCCAATTTGAAGTCTTCATCTTAGCCACATGACCAATTATTAGCTGAAAGCGTAGATAGTCAAAGGAGCTATCCCTTAACAGGCCCCAAAAGCTTATAAAGGTTAGCTATTTAGTAGTTATATATTTAAAGTATTTCACCACTGAACGGGTCACACTACTGAACGGGTCAGTTTGACCCACTTATTTTTATGAATCCCAATAACTCCATTATTTACTATGTAATATAGTAAAAAAAAACTACTGAATGGGCCTACTAGGACAGGTTTCCCTCCTATGTCCAGGTGTCTTACATATCCCACACCGGCGTTGGGTTACAGGCGCCCTTACAGGCGCCTGGCCCTCTTGTAAATTGGCATCATTAAGTTTAGGGCCACCATTCGACGCGTCAACCAGGTCTAATCCCTCCTGAATTGTAAGACCCCCTACTACTGTTAATTGACGATTCGGACGTTCTTTTTGTTTTTTCTTTTTCTCATGGGCGGCGCGTAAATCTCTGTTTTCCAGGCGTAAGAGAGCATTCTCTTGATATAGGTAATTTGCACCCTTTACTATCTGGTCTAATGCTCTCTTAGATGGTGTTGGTGGCGTTCGAGATACAGTGTGTAACAGGCTGGTGCCTGCTTTAGCATTCATGCCTGTGCCACTCATGCTCGTCACGTGCCACCCGCACCCGCATCCCTTATATTGCCACATGTCCATAGCTAGTCTCTCTCTCTTCTCTTCAAGCTTAATAAAGACAGTTTGTCGGCATCACTAGTTCTGCATTCAAGATTAGTATTAGCCCTTCACATTTATTAAGCTTCCTTTTCGATTCGGTTCCGGTTCTTTTTCGAGAAGTACACGAACCGCCAGTTTTCCACGATGGACCAGACCAACCTTTTAGCTCTTGTGCAGCAGATGCAGCAGCAGCTTTCAGACCAGCAAAACCAGTTATTAGCGATCGCTTCGCAACAGAACCAGAACCAGCATTACCATCTTCCTGACCCACCCCGATTTGACGGCAAGCCCTTCACACTACGTACATGGCTCCCAGCAATACAAGCCAAGTTAGAGGCCGATGGCCTTACAGGACGACAAGCATTCAACTATATCTATAATCGCCTAGAACCACCTCAACAAGCATCAGTGTTACATCTTCAAGATAAAGCCAACCCCGATCAGATCTTCCAGTACTTTCAGCGTCTATGCTATAACCCCCGCGAGAAACAAGAGAATATTCTTCGATTCGCCAATATCCGGCAGAGAGATGATGAAAGTCTTATCGCCTATCTAGCTAGATTTGAACGCCTTTCGCATGAAGCAAGTATAGGTCTCGTGGACCAGGCGCTTTTCGCGATAACCACACTTCACCGTGGACTCCGTCGCCCTCTTCGCGAGACCCTCGAACAAGTTAGCGATTCGCTATTTAGCCTTTCGTATGAAGCTTATATCGAGTTTTTACAACGATACGACCGTCGCCAGCCAAGATTCCAGACCCAGCCAGAACCCAGAAATCAGCCAAATTTCCAGAAGAAACCCCAGAACCAGTCCCAGAACCAGTCCCAGAACCAGCCTACCTCTAGTCAATTCATAAACCAACTCGAACCAATGGACTTATCAGTCAACACTACTAAGACCCGCCCGATTTCACCAAGCAACCAAGTAAGGATAAGAACAGCTCAGATCCAACCATACATCGTCCCCGAGAGACAGGCCCAAGAACGTGCCCAAGTACGCCACGATACGCGACAGTTCCTAGGTCTATGTTATTATTGCGGTTCCGAAACACATTATATAAAGGATTGCCATTTAACTAGCCCACGATCCAGCCGTTCACCAACCCCAACCCGCTCTAGAACTCCAGCTTACATCGCCTCCGACGACGACGACCCATAGGAGGGGGCTATTGTAACAGGCTGGTGCCTGCTTTAGCATTCATGCCTGTGCCACTCATGCTCGTCACGTGCCACCCGCACCCGCATCCCTTATATTGCCACATGTCCATAGCTAGTCTCTCTCTCTTCTCTTCAAGCTTAATAAAGACAGTTTGTCGGCATCACTAGTTCTGCATTCAAGATTAGTATTAGCCCTTCACACAGTGCGTAATATAGCTTGGTGTTGACGTCGTAAATCTTTCTGCGTCCTAGGCGTCTTAGGTGTCCAATTTCGACTTGAATCGCTTCCTATAGAGGGTGGTGGTGGTGGTGTATCGACGCGCATAGTAAGCTTTTTTAACACCCTAGTAGGGTCAAGTGGCACGATTCCAGTTGCAGCAAACGCATTAGAAGCAGATGCAAATACTTCAATACGCGCAGTAGGATATATCTCTAGGAAATCTCCTTTACTAATGTGGGAAAAACCAAGCTCTACTCTAGACTCAACCAGCCGAGAATAAGAGCGTTTTAACACCGCAAAACACCCAACATCAAGAGGTTGAAGAAGATGAGACGCATGCGCAGGCATACATAATGGTATAATATCATGCTCCTGGCAGATTTTGTCGAAATCAGGTGTTAAATGGCTACCATGGCCATCTAAGATCAGAAGGCGATACCGTCCTTTAGTACGAGCAGTAGCAGGTATAAAGAGCTTTTCAAGCCAACGGAGCCCTATTTGATTTGATGTCCAGCCATTAGGACTAATCTCAAGACGCCAATTAGGTGGTAAACCTAGATCAGGAGCAAACCAGCTCTGCATCATCACCTTACCCTTAAAGATAATACAGGGTGGAGGTGCGTAACCAGACGCGCCTAAACACTCTATCACAGTAACCCATTCCCGGTTACCAGGCTGTTTTTTTGCGCGTTTACCATAATAACCAGCTCTAGTAACCACTCTCGCGGTCGCACATCGTCCCATCGCAAACCCAGTCTCGTCAAAATTATAGATATCGTCGGTGGTGATACCATATTTTGCGATCGTGTTTTCAACCAGTTTGAACCAATTATTGATCACATTATAGTCCTCTTGACGCGCACGTGTAAAATCGCGCGGTGTTGAATAGGTCGTCTTAAGTTCAGGTAAACGCGTCGCAAACCTAGTAACCCAGTTTTTACCGATCGTAAGAGGAGGGTTGGTTCCGCGGTCGGCGAGTAGGATATTAGCCATTCTACCAACATCTTTAGTTCTAGGAGCACAGCCGCGATCATCTAGAGAGACGACCCATTGAAGTAATGAATCCTCTTCAGATTCAGTCAGTTTAGACTGCGGTGGGTGTGTTTCAAGACGAAATTGGACACCAGAATGGCGGCGTTGGAGGGTTGAAAATGGTATATTAAACATAGCTGCAGCTTTACGCATTGATGATATATCGCCATTCTTGTAAGCTTGGTAAGCTAATAAGACCCTATTCTCCTGATCCTGTTTGTCTTGGACATATAGAGCATTTAGGGGGGGCATGGTGGGTAGTTGAAAATGGAAACACCAGACTGACGCGTAAAATTGGTGGGGTGACCCGTTCAGTAGTGTGACCCGTTCAGTGGTGAAATACTTTAGTTATTTAGTTATTTAACGTGTTTCCCGGATAACCCGTTATCATTATTAAGCCGTTACCCCACCAAAATTTCAAAAAATGCATCAATTTCAATTCCATATTTAAGCACAATAACATAACTAAATTGACTAAATAACACGATTCTGACACTTAGTAATGTTATGACCTTTCTTACGACACCCTGAGCATGTAATCTGACGTCGGACAGGGGGTAAAACTGGCAATTCAGTCTCAAGAGAATTGTCCTGAGCAGCTTCAACACCAGATATATATTTTTATTCAGCTTATCGAGCACTTCTGATGGTCTTAAGGCACTAAACCTATAGCTCTCAAGCTATTAATTATAGTATCTGCCTTAAAAGCTGTTGGAATATGGAACAAAGCAGTCATGTGATCAAATTGTTACTTTATAATAGATAGCAAACTAAGAATGAAAACCAGACTTTACAACCACTTCAAGAGGACACAAAGATATCATAGGGGCGTAAAGCGTTACCTGTGATAGGTGTCAGAAGTGGGCGTTAGCCTCATCACCTTTATCGAATAGCTATTCCACACTTGGTACAGGTGTACCGACAAAAGCTTTTCGATGTGCATCAGGGAAGATCTGAAGGAAAGTATCTTTATCGATCGAGTAGACATGTTCATTGGGTTGGGTATGGGTTTGAAGTGAAACCCACACCCAGCTGTCAAAGGAAGTGGGTTGGGACCCACTTTTAGGTGTGTATTTAAGCCATATTACGCCCTCGTTGGAAAATTCAGTTTCATTCATTTGTGGCATTTGAATGATTGGCCAGCCAGTCACAGTCTATTTGACACCAGCCATGAACCCATTTTTTTGCCAAGACCTTTATTTTACGTGATATTTATCGCCTACTTAGTACTAAATTGAGTCAAAATTCAGGCACCAAGGCACTAACTACCCTAATATAGTTTAGGTTGAGGCAAAATTCAGGCATTAAGGCATAAAAAAAATACCCATATGGGACCCATAACCCATACCCACGTTGGTTGGGTTGGGTATGGGTATGGGTTCACCTTACCCCTGATGGGTTGGGTATGGGTATGAATTTTGACCCATACCCAACCCATGCACATGTCTACGATCGAGTTGGTTCCATACCACATCAACTCTGCAACACGACCACCATAATATTTTTTGGGTCGTATTATTCGGACCCCCCTTGATTAATTGGACTCCCCCCTTTGATTAATTGGACTCCCCTGCCTTAAAATGCCTGAATTTCCCGGATTAATAGATATTCCGGAGCCACCATAATTCTGCCAATATTTCTGCCAGTATTATGGAATAGCTATTCAGCCGAAAAACTGGCCGGTTTTTAAAACTTAACTCCTAACTTCTCCTTTGGTCGCATCTGCCTAGTTTTACACCTCTGTATTCAGTTTGTTTTGCACTCTGGTTTGTTTACTTAATTTTATTTATTCCGGTATCAGTATACGTGTTTGTTTCGACGCGAATGCATTCAATTTTAACTAATAGTATTCCATGTCAGGATCCTCAACTCGCCATCGTGTCCGACGAGGTCTTGAGTTATCCTGAGTGGTGGCATCACTTAGGGTGCTTTCAATACCCCGTTTTTCGGCCACGCCGGCGCGACGAGCAGCATTTCGAGCAGCATTGATAGTTGGACTTAAGATATTATGAAGAAAGGCGGTCAAGCGGTAAGTAAAGCGGTAGGGAAAGTGGAGAAAATCTACTGTAATAACTATTAATCCGGTAGGGGGAGTCCACTCAAAGGGGAGTCCGAATAATACGACCTTATTTTTTAAGTAACCGGGAAACACGCTACAATAAAATACGATTATAGCCTTACATGCGGTGTAGAAGGCGGTCAAGGGGTTTGGTGGGGACCCGTCGCACTCCACTGAGCACTATACTTCTTTTGATCCACCATTAATCCATTTTCTTTTCTCCACCATTCACTCAGAGAGTGATCATGGCACAACCCTTTTCTGATGCGCTTCGCGGCGCAGCTAATGAGTTCGAAACATTATTCCCGGCACAGGCCCAGCCGCAGCAAGCCGCTAGTGCAGCCGACGTTGCCATCCAACGAGGACTTAATGCTCTGATGGCGGAAGTCGCGGCCATGCGAGTCGATCTCAGAGGGGACATTGCGGGCCTAGCCGCCCAAACGCAGGGCCTAGCCGCCCAAACTCAGGGCCTAAATACCCGAATGGACGACCTGAATACTCGAATGAGCGCAATGTGAGTATATTCTCAAGCTATTTAGCATCAAAATCTGACATCAATTATAACAGGGATCAAAACAACACTGCTCGGCTGCACAATAGTGTAGCAGTGACGCCAGAATTCCGGCTGTCACCCCTTTATAACCTCACCACCGGCATCCTCATCGCCGAGTGCCCTGAAACCCTTGCAGATCTCGCTGACCTTCCCCGTGAGTAGCATTTCTTTCTTTGATACATAATAGACAATTTTGCTGACAGCCATAATTAATAGGCATCACAAGCGCCCGCATCCTGCAGGAGTTGAACATCCAGGCACCACGTGGACGTGACGAGAGCCGAAAGACCGTGTCTCGTGCATTTGGTGTTCGCCTCGCTCTCACGCTCTAGTTTCGCAGTGGTTCTCTTACTTTTTTTGAGTCTTTGTATGATACCCTATATGGTAACCCTGTCTCTTGCGTTCAGGGTTCGCTCCGCCGTCACGCCCTAGTTTGGCGGCAGTTTTTTTCTTCTTGCTTTTTTCGAGGTCTTTGTATGATTATACCCTGTATGATAACTCTAAACGATGTCTTTTTTTCAAGCATGAACACCATTTTCCTAGAGAGGAACAGGCTCAAGTAAGTTTTTTTCGAGTAGACCAAACCATTCGTGAATCATTTTAGGATCCTCATTCTTTACTTTCTCGAAATTGTAACGTTCAAAAATCGAGTATTGATCTCAAAGGGTTCTTTCAATTAATACGAGTTTTCAAGGGGGTTCAGGTCGGCACCTACATGGAAAAAACGGTACATAGAGCCTACCTTGAAAACGGGAGTCTATGTCCTATAAACGGATGTTCTGCTATTACAGGACGACCACTCAGAGCAGCCAAACGCCCGAATTGTTATCAGTTTTCTACCTAAGTTCGTACAGTTATAATTCCCAAGGTCTACATCAAACATTAGCTAACTAGGTGATATATCAATAGAGAGCGATCCCTAGAACTTAGAATGTTCATCAATTGTATCTTCAGCAGCTTATGCCGTCACAGTTAAGTATTGCCCAAAGATAATTCTCTTTACCAGGAACACTATCAACCTTGGAAATTATCCTTCCTTTCGTGTTTTCGAGTAACCACTTCACACCATTAACAAATTCCCTGCAATAGCTACAGATTCCATATGACAATGTCCTCATCAAAGAGCATAGCGACAATGACCCGCAAGGCCCATCAGCTCGGACTCTTTCTGCACGAACACCAGTCACACATAATGTCCAACCAAGGAGCATATTACACCCGCTTGATTTGTGTCAATCACCTGTGCCCTCAATTAACCGAGACTTGGCTTTTTAACCCAAATTGGGCAATGGATGCTGCTGCTGAACTGCCGTCTACAGTTACCAATGTGTTCCAAAGTTATCAATCAGGCATTGTGTGCATAATCAAGCGCATGACAATATTATTCTAGGAGTGCATCATAATTAGATGATCTCTTGACAGTGTGATGTTATAATCTTTCATCTTTCTATATTCTTGTCAAGCCACGATACCTTAGATCGGAGATATCAAATCTATTAGGTACACGATAGGCTGAATGGTTTTTTTAACTAGCAACAACCTTGGAAAATTTTGAACGAACATAAACCTTCCAAGGTTGTATTAGAAGCCGTCCACTCTCTGGCCAATCAGCACTGGTGCAAGTTGATTGAGTGAATCTTCCAAAAGCCGTATAACTGGGCCAGTATTATGTCTCCATGCAATATCGACTGGGGTGATAACAACACCGTCCTCTTCAAAAGTAGCGGAAGCGGAGGCACCACTTTCCAGTAACAACCTCACAATTTCCTCGTCCCCTCTTCTTGCTGCAGCGTGATGAAGGGGTGTTTTGCCATCTTGGTCTATAGCTGCTACGGCAGCGCCATTTTGCAACAGCAACCTCACCACTTCTCCAATCCCAGCTCCAGCTGTGTTCCTTGATACTGCGTGGTGAAGGGGCGTCTTGCCCTCCTGGTCTTTAGCCATTACGATAGTGCCAGCGCCATTTTGCAACAGTAGCCTCACAACTTCTCCATTCCCAGCTCCAGCTGTGTTCCTTGATACTGCGTGATGAAGGGGTATCTTGCCCTTCCGATCCGGGACCAACATAGCAGCGCCAGCACCATTTTGCAACAGTAGCCTCACAACTTCTCCATTCCCACCTGTGTCCCTTAATACCGCGTGATGAAGAGGTGTCATGCCCTTCCGATCCGGGACCAACATAGCAGCGCCAGCGCCATTTTCTAATAGCAGCATTGTAACTTCTAACAGCCCGATCCGGACTGCTTGACTAAGGGGTGTCATACCCATATTAGGATCGCGGATCACCATAACAGCGCTAGCGCCATATTCCAACAGCAGCTTCACAAATGATTTAGTTCCGCTCTTGGTGCTTGACACACACAAATGAAGGCATGTTGGTGTCCCTATATCACTACTAGATCCGGCCATCACATCAGCACCATTTTCTAACAGCAGCCTTACAGCAGTTTCCATCCCGTTTGCCACGGCGCGATGAAGAGGTGTGCTGCCACAAAGGTCTAGGGCTGATACATTAGCGCCGTTGGCTAGTAGAAGCCTTATAATTGCGCCATTTGAAGGTACCGAATGAAGAGGTGTCCTACCGTAAGAATCAAGAGCCGATACATCAGCACCATTCTTCAGTAACAGGCTCACAAGTTCTTTATTCTCACGCATTACTGCGAGATGAAGGGGGGTTTGTTTCGTCACCGGTCTTCTGGCCATCATGTCAGCACCCTTATCTAAAAGAAGTCTTATGAATGGATAAGCAGGAGGATTAGGGCTTTTGATGTATGGCGCGCTCCGACTGAGAGAGCCATCGGGGTTGCATGCCTCCATAGCCAAAATGAGGGCATGGTCTTTCAGTTGAGAGGACGGTGCGTCATATTTGCTGTTTCTGAGGAGTTTGCGAATAGGCTCGAGCATAGCTCGTCTGACAAGCCATTCGAGAACAGATATTTTATCTGAACGGATATAGTTTTGAGCTTTTCGGTAAAGATATGGAGCAAGGATAATTGCCAGGGAATGACAGGTGCGTGAAAGTGCAGAAACATCACTTATGTTATCCAATTTACTGGCTACCATAAGGAGTAACTCGTTTGGAAGCATAAAAAAAGCCATCTGAACAGGATGAGCCAAGATAACTATCCATGGTTGCGGTGGAGAGTAAATAAAATGAGAAAAGGGAGTCGGTCACCTGACTCGGGGACCCTAATATCTCATCGCATAACTCTAATGGCAAAATATCATAGGCGGTCTGGTCTGGCAATCGGCTATTCAAGATCTTGAATCAGGGGTCTCCATGGATATGGCCAAAACATACTGTTCTAGGCGTCATTCCAAGGCTGGCTTACCATAGCTGAACGTTAAACCCTACAGGGCTCAACCTTGAACCTGTCTGAGAGTGGGGCACCATACCCCAGAAAAATTGGAAGAGTCCGAATTTTCTCTTTCTGATGTTCGATAGCTCACTGAGCTATAAATTCAATAACCTTGGAATTGAACATTGGAACCTCTCAGTAATAAATCGTTCAACAACCTCAAGAAGCTCTTCTAAGGTTCGATCTAGAGATTTTTCTTAAAGAAATACATCTCTCTTTTCTTCAAATTGATTGCCATCTTCCAAGGATAGACGACCAAGCCATGGTGACCCCTGCATCCAATCCAGACGCAGATGAAATAATGCGTCTAGCAGTAGACCGCTTCCGCACAAAAATGAAGTCATCAAGTCTTAAGTTCATCCAAGACCGAATCGACTCGATCGAAGCTATGGATTTACCAGCCGAAGATAAAATCAAAAAGCTGTCAGACTACCATATCGTGGAACCGGGTGATGTCTCTCGAATAGCCGATGTCAAACCCCTTTCTGAGCAATCGCCATACGGGGGCAGTATAACAAAGGGATACATAGATGGGATAATTCCACCAACGCTATCGGAACAAAGACGACAATTATTCATCGAGACTCTACACATCTTTTGTAACAAGCCGCAGGCTCAAATCCCAGTCTGTGGCGAGCTAGGCCTTTTTCTCAAGTACGCCAACGGCATTCAATACCCGGACTTTTCGTGCTCGAGAATGCCATCTTTCAACCCGGAAGGTTATCTCACGCTTGCTGAGATACCGGATCTTGATGTTATTACAGCACAGGACCTTATCAGGGATAGTTTTCAGGAAGCATTTTGGGTACAAGATGACCGGTTCATCGATACAGGGGATATGGACACTAAGCTTGGTTTTGTTTGGGGGACTAGCTGCCAGAACACTTATGGGCAGTATGCCCAATATTACCTGACGTATCTGTACTGCAGATACGATGATGGGTCGGACAAGTACAAGGACTGGGCTTGGCGGATCGTTATGGTTGATGGGGAGGATCATCATGGTTTTGAGCCGGTTTTTGGTCAGAGGCCTATATTCAACTCTATCCCTGAGTTTTTGGATTGGTATTGTAGCTGGTTTGAGCATACTAGTCAGAAACAACTTGAGCGGAATATTAGGACTTGGTGGGCCTGGGATTATGAGGAGAACGAAGAAAGTGACCTAGAGGAAGATAATGATTAAGAAGAACTAATTTGATTGCAACTTCTACTACAAGTCTCATAGGTTGCATCTAGTTTGTGATTTGACTCCGGGTGACTTATGCTTGTAGATGAGGGGATATACCTATGTGCTGGTTAGGTTGGCTCCAAGATTACATTCCTTCCGATCTACTAGCGAGTTTATGGAGAGCCATCTTTTTCGTAAGGCCTACGGGAAAACTGATTCATCCAGAGGCCAGAGACCTTGAATTTGTACCCAAGAGAGCAAGCAACCGCGGAACTTGAAGTTAGGTATATGTTTCTAAGAACTGTAAAACAAATGTCAAACTAGATTCATTACTGAGTTACAACCTACAGCCTCTATGTAGCAGCATGAATTAGAGCTATTCAACATTGGATCAAAAGTTGGAGGTTGTTATCCGGGAAATGATGGTGGAATAAGAGAAGAGGAAGAGGGGTGAGGAGGGAACAAAAAGAGAGGAGGTAATAGTCTGTCTGCTGGCGACTAAGGAAAAACAACACTCCGTAGTCAGCTCAGTTTATTCAGTTCTGTCGGCTCACAGGGATCTGGATGCACTATTGACTACTACGTTGTACGTGTAATAATTTGTGCGGTAAGACGTGTGTTCATTTTAAGTCCCCGCGATGGAATTGGATATGCCGCGATTCCACTAGTTCTATTCACATCCCGAGTCCATTCACTGCAGTAAACCGGACTCCATTGGTTCCAACAAGTTCAGTTTATTCATTTCAGCTTGCTCAGTTCAGTTTGCTCAGTTCGGTTTGTTCAGGTTTCTTTAGTCCTCTCAATTACTCCACGGGAATACCATGGCTTAGTGGTTCTAAATCATTCAGTATGATTATTCAATTTAGAGTAAAATCCCGGGTATCGAATTGCCATGTTAATATATAACCTAGAAGCATCACAACCTAAAGATAAAAAGGGCAATCGCCCACCGCACAAATGGTGACAAGGACGAGGCGTCTAGTTCGACTAGGACTAGGAATCTCGCTGTCTTAACAATCCAATGATCTGGGTCTCAACGTCTTTATTTATGGGGACACCGGTCTTAACCCAAACCTTGATCCAGTTATCGAACAGCTGCACCGCCTTATTCAGAGTCGAGGAGTTGACAGTGCTGTAACGCGATGTAGGCATCATTAGGCTGACGCGCCATTCTAAGGTTCCCCCCTCTATCTGGCGGGTCAATATCCTGTTAGCCCGTCGATTTTGTGCGACGGCCACAGAAACCCCGTACTTCTCTAGGAACTGGTTGGAGAAACCATCAATAGGGTTTGGATCGAGGTCAGGCGAAGACAACATCGCCATATCGAGACACAGAGCTCCGCCGTGGGCGAAGTTATTTCTCCGGTTCTGCTCATCCGAAGGTCTATGCTCTCCTGTCCATTCGTAGTAAACGGAGCATCGGAGAGAGATACCTAGTCTAATGCATGGCTACTGCACTAATCCTTGAATACTAAAAGATTATTACATAGTAACGTATTTCCAGATCTCACCACGGTCTAGCGATCAGCGATAAGATTTCAATGTTACGGATATTTACTGATAAGAGTCTCATGAAGAATCAGATTTCGCGCAAGCTTCTGAAGATCCAGATCGCATGCAGTTTTTTGGGTGTCGCAAGTATCACACTTCTTCGTTCCGACATAGAACCAGTCATAACGAATCTGCACTATGCTTACGCCAGGATTCTAATTGTGAGCCCTATCGATATGCATTTAAGACACGATATATACGTTACTGGAACAGGTGCGTTTCTCGTAGTCGTTAGCTAAGGGGTAGTGGGTGCTACCATTTAAGTTGTTTGTATCATATTTAAGGAATATTTTATTTAGAGCTTATTTATAGAGAAGGATGACGTTGGGCAGGTATTTAATCTTACCTTTGAATAGCTACACAAAAGGACCACCAGAATACTTTGGGAACTAGTATTGAGAAGAAAAGTAATATATGTATATAGAGAGTTTTGGAGGAAAGCTCCTTGAAAGATTTAAAGCTGTCTGATTAGAAATATTATATAAAATTAAAATGAAGAAATCTTGAAATACTGAAAAATGACCCAGGTGAAGAAGGTTTCTCTGAAGATAAGTCATGATTAAGAATCCAGGGGTACGCATACATGCGCCACTGGATAATCAAGCCATTTGTGATAATGTGACTCGAATGTAGAAGCCTACCCAGATGGATGAGTATATTTGCTGTTCATAACCAATCCCGGAGCCGTATGGCATGATAAAATGAAAGATGAAAAGAATGGATAATTGACGTGGCATATTAAGAATTTTTGTAGTTGTTCATCTCTATCCAGCCTTGTCCTTCGCCATCATGGGCCCTCACGGTTTTTTGAGCCTCTGAGTCAATGAGAGACTCAGTTGATGAGTCTGAGGCATGAACTCCAGTCGCTGGAGCTTTGTTCGTGGTAATAGCAATCGTAGTGGTCTCAAGAATAGTACCTTGTGCCCCTGTCGAGGCAAATTGGTTATAACCCTTGCTGGCATAAGCACCTGTAGGTGGATAAGTCTTGGAACCTTTGCTGAGGATGAATCTGTTGGCTATAGGGTAGAGCAATGGCCAGATAGGTGGGATTGACATGCAAATGAGCACGATCCATTCTTCGATCTCACCCCAGCAGAACAGGATACCAGATGCGTCTAATTCTTTTGTAAGTCAGGCTGTTACCAAGGAAAAGGAATATAATTAACTCACATGTAGCATCGGGCCCGATAAGACTATTGGCAGCATATGCGCGGACAATAGCTGCAGCTGCAGCAAAGACACCGACCCCCATCAAGAAACTCAGACCGATTTTCAATTTTAAGTCGAGCTTAAGTGGAATCAACATGGCAGCTGGAATTATGGCGAGATAAAGATCGGAAACTGCTGCCACTGCTCCAACAACGGAAAGATAGATCGTGCTTCGCTTTGCATTGCAGTCGCCCTGCCGAGTGGGGTCCCACAGTGACTGTGGGGGATTGCATTGAGTCCAAATTATGACTAGTTCTGGGAAACCGATAAGAACATTCAAGACACCGACAATAATTAGACTGAGACGAATCCTCGGATCTGTAAGAAAGAGAAATCAGATGCCAAAACTTGAAATGCGTATGATACACGACGCCAATTGCCAAGGATTCCAGAGCCCCCATTCGTCCATATTTCTATGGAAAGGCAAGCCAAAGATAGATAATAGGAAAGTGACTTACTTCCTTGACGATTCATTTCTATAAGGAAGGAGCATAGTGCGCACTTTCCAAGTGGAATCGCGATACTGAAAAAGAAGACCGCCAACCAACTGTATAGAAGGTAGTTTCTCATGTTGCCCTTAGATTCTACAATTTCCACGTGGTTTCCCAACCCATTAAATATAGCAATTGAAGCAAATGTTTGTGACGTGGTAGTGAATATCTATTAAGTGAGTCAGTAGAGGGTCTAAGTAAAAATGCCGGAAGGTGAGGCCTCATACATAAGCTGAAAGGAACCATATCAACGACGTAGTTCCGAATTTATTCACTCTCAGTCGAATGTAAATGCGCAACAACGCAAATATCGTAGTGATAGTTCCTAGGGCAATGCCTATTTGGAAATCACCTGGACCACGACCTCCATATGCAGGGTATTTCTCAGATAAACCCATGGCGAGTAGTGTAGTCCTTAGAAGCCCCCTAAATTTAACGAGAGTATGAATTTAGGGATGACCGGTCAGCAGCCTTAGGTAGATATTAAGTATTTGGAAGAGAGACGGCTAACTGATGTAGAACCATGGAAGCGTACGTTAGTAAATTAACTAAAGAATATTTGGGTTTACTCAGGTATCTACCAGTAGAATTTCATTTTAATTTATATGTGCATTTCTTTCCAACCTTGGTTAACGAAAGATACGAGATCTAAAATTCGGCCGATATACCGAAGGTCATTTTTTATCAATTTCACACATGTTGATCTATCATAAGATACATTTATTCAACTGCATATTTAGAATATAGATTTATACATAGACGGAAGAAAAGGAATAGTTAGGGGAAGTCCTAATAGAGCCACCAGGGTATAGAGTAGTAACTCCGGAGTTAACCCGCAAGGTGAGAATTAGTCCAGTTGAAGAAACTTCAAAGGTAATTTGTTGACCTATCATAGAGCTAATGAATACGAGATCCATATTTCCCTAAACTTGGGACCATTCAAATTCTGACATCAAATTTTCAAAGCGTTCGCCTCCCAATTTTTTCCCTGCAAAGAGTTTTGGAACCTTTTTCATAACTTTTTAACGTACCATATAAGATCTGCGCCTTCTCCCAGTCTCGCAAATTTCTTGGGACACAATTTCGATTCGAGAGCTTAGTCATACAAACTCCCCTTCTTTAAAAGAAACGAAAAAAAAAGCTGTGAAAACTGTGACAATGTAGCTAAATTTATTGATTTCGTAATGATGATATAACTACAGTGCAATAGCCTGTTTCATTGAGGTTTGAACAATGTTCCAAACTCAGGAGATCGATATCTCGAAGTCTACTCGTAATGCAAAAAGTCAAAGTATAAAAAAGAACGCTAAGTCCGTGTTAGGCAAACAGTACTTACTTCGGCCGGATAGCCCCCCCATCTGTGCGCTTTTTACTCCACACTATCCACTATTTCCAATACTATTAATGAGTTCTATTAGACATCTGAAAAGCAAGAGTATTAAAAGTGGTGATATTTTTACTTCTTTACTACCTGAAGTATTCATTTTGAAAATTTAATGTCATACGAAGTACAGCCCTTACACTGTAAAAAAATCTGTTTGTCGCGCAACTATCTGACTATGGAGCAAATCCTAGTACTATGAATTAAGCTAGTTGAAATTTCAAACTCAATTTCTCAATTATTATTCAAACACCTTCTTCTTTGGGACCCAAAGTCTCAACGACTGGGCCATTCTATTCCGAGTTTTGACTATATTATAAATGATACTTTAATGAGAGGCTTCAGACTTTTTCTTGTGATGAAATCTGGGGGGAAAGTGTCTGATTGACTAGCTATGCGATGGAAAGAGGAAAATGAAGGTGTGCTTTAAGGAAAGAAAAGGTCTTATCATTCTAGTATTCCAAGCCGCGCGAGAGTAGAGCTACAAGATATTACACTACGTTACTGCAGCCACATATGCCAAAGCCATAATGATGAGTGTTACGGTTGCCCTTCCTCGGCAGTATTCCCAGTAGCTGCTGAGCAGTAACTCTATAGTTCACTGGTTAGAAATTGGTTTCCTCCCTCTAATAGCACCGGTGTTGCCCCGGCTTAGAGGTTTTTTCTTTCTTGTGGTCTCGGCCGAAGACGGTCTTTCTCTTCTGCTGGAGCCCCTGGCCTATTGCCACGCTCCCATCACCCCGGTACCTCTATTTTCATACTCATTCATCTAGTAGTTGCGGAGTTCAATTTAGATTTGTCAGCCAGATCTGGATTAGTTACATTATTTTGCAGTGTTTGCAGTAGCTCTGTCTTCCTACTTAGTTTAAATTTCCATCTTTACTGAGCAGTCAATCACTCATTCACATTTCTAATTGGCCATCCAATCTCCATAAGAGTCAACAGTTATGAGTCTGGCACGCCATTAATAGACTAGTAAGTACTATTTACCGTCAAAATCGACGTTTTGTAGCCTATTTCACCCTCTAAATTCTACACCGACTTTCAAGAAGAGAAAAACGATTTGAGATCCTAGCAGCGATTTTGAATCGGAGTATCGATATAACATACGATTCGATCAACAAAATTCAACGAATGATTCCGCGATAAGTAGTGAAAAGCTCAAAGACTCAACCTAAAGGATGAAGTGGTTTGAAGGGGTCATTGCCCTGGCAGAAGAAAAGGGTGTTCTAAACTATATTGATATGAATATTACAGAAGATGAAGTTCAAAGGTTAGGACCAGAGCCAGAGGATGACGAAATCCAACCTAAACCAAGATGTATTGAAGGAGATGATGAGGAAACGCATTGTATGAACGAGCGTATTCGCAGGGAATGGAGAGATGATGTTGAAATGTTCAAGATGCGTCAGACCAAATAGGACAAGAAACATAAAGCTCTAGGGGAATTAAACCAGTATATTACCCTATAACTAGAACCAACACTTTGAGAACTGGTTTTAGGTCAACGGGGTTTATATGCGAAACTTATGTTTCTTCAGAAAAGCTTTGGCTCCTCGATATCAAATTATTCTAGCATCTTTGAAGAACAGGTAAGTGCTTTGCATAATCCACTAAAGAAGTGTTGAACTGAGGAGGTGTAGCAGTGCCTAAAACGTAAAGCAGGAGGTGCTCAAGCTCCACCGACTGCTGCCAGGGACGGGACGAATATAATGATCAGACCAAAGGATCTTGCTGGTCTGATAAAGGAAGAAGGACATCCATCCAAGGGATCAGATGAATAGAGAGATAGATATAAAACTTCTTGAGAGATACTTTCTTGACCAACTGTCTTCCCCAGAAGCAGTTGGTCCTTTAAATACATAGATTACTGCCGAAATAAAGAGTTTGGAGTATCAGATGAATCATAAGAATGAATTGGAACCCGAAAGAGAATAAGCTCGTGTAGATGAGCTTCAGGCATGTAAGACAGTCGGGATGAAGCATCCGAGATTAGATGAAATGCAGGTAAGACGAAAGACGGGAAAAATTCTGAAGATGAGATATTTCAAGCCCAGGGACCGTGATAGGATCTACTCACTCATGTGGGCGTATATCTGTTACGGGATGGATACAGGAATTGAACGCTGTAGTAATCCGATTTTGATGAAGAAGAATTAACTAAGAGTGTAAGATTTCCCTTTCTACCAATATATTGGCAGGGTATTAAAAAAAGTATGATCGGAGTGCAAGAAGTAGTATGAGATAAATATTATGAGATGGAGATTAACTAGATTAATCGCTGACCTTCGAAGGAAGCTGTCCGAATATGGGAAGTCGGAATCATCCTTTCTGATTGGATTATTCCACCAGCGACTCCCATTGGACGCAGCCTCCCAAATAAGTGGGGCAGAGGTCTTCTTTAGTTTCAGTTAGCAGTAATAGAATCTACACTTCACATCATCTCTACAACTGCAGTTCTTACGAATACACGTGTAAAGGAAGTCACCCATATCTTACGACAGAAGCCATATCACAATCATTTATAGCGCCCTATTTCAGGGCCCCTTCAGGTTCTTTTGGACCTTAAGCCTAGATTCGGTCGCAATATCTTCGCTCATCTTGACTTCTGCGCAGTATTGCAGTCAAATATGACCTACCCAGTGCAAGGAAATTTGCGTCGAAAGAAATCTTTGAAGCGGCGATGTTAGCGTACAAACTGCGCTGTGTTCACCATATTGGATGTAGTATAGAAAGATGGAATCCATAAAGAAGTCGCTCTGTACAGCGACCATCTATCTACTTTTCAACCTCCTCCATCCAAGACTAATAGCTTCAGAGATATTCTTTATTATGAAAGTAATAATATCTAATCGATAATATAATAGATCGGTTAAGGTATATCAGAAACAGAATCCACCTTTATTTTATACTAGATGTTTTAGAAGATCGCGTATCGCTACTCTCATCTCCTCTTTATTAAACTATTTTTTAGATTGTGGCTTTGTGATAGGTGAAGTTTGGGAGCTGCTCTAAACACTACGCACTTTACTAATAAGACTACACATATTACTACTAAGACTATAATGCCTTAGATTTCAGGCGACATTTTGTTTCTGTAGTGTAATTAGTAAAGTGTGTAGTCTTAAATATTAGTAAAGTTAAAAAACATATGTTAGTAGTAGCTCACCGCCTTTTTTGGGATACCGCCTTTACTCGGTCGGGAGTCGGGATCATATCTACGCACACTAGTGTATATCTCTTACTCCGGAAAACATACACTCTGTTCTGCCGTATACACCTCACCGCCTTCTTTATTAATGGGCCATTCCAATGCTGACTAAACCGCACTAAACTATAAATGGAATCGGGCCTTTGTCAGCTCATGATTATCACGTGACAGATCAGTGATGACCAATGAACGCTCACTGAGCACTCGGTGACTGCTCAGTGACTATTATTGGCTGATCCCTGATACCACTTTAGACCCACTTCTATACATGCTAGTTAGTAATCAGGTTTGACCAATCGGGGAGCTTTAAAAATAATGTTTATAAAGTGGTATTGACGGAGCAGCCTGGATAAATAAAGCCTGTGTTATGACGTAGTATACCGAATGATGTTACCGTATTTTAAGGTGGCGGAAAATAAATTGTTCGGTTATGCTGTTTCCAATCCTAGCATTCTTCAAGAGACCCTTTGGCCCCGCCTCCGCTACCATGGTGAAAGGAAAGAAGCGTATTGGAGATTTCTCGGACTTACCCCACGAAAATCGCCCAGAAAGCATCAGCCGGTAACCCCGAAGCGAGAGCTATCCCTAATGTCAACCGACATTGATCATGACTGGAGCACCCTCGAAGCCAGTGCCAAACTAAGGGTAGAAGCCTACAATCCAGCAAGCCGACCCTCTGAGGACAAATTGAAATCCAGCTTAATTGCTTTGATCAAATGGCTGCCCCAAGGTGGCAGAGATTCTCTGGCGCGCGATATCCTTGATTCGAAGACTGATGAAGAGCTGCACGCTGTCTTCTTCAACTTGCTCACCGGTCTCACAGCACTGAGTAAGTCCCAATATATTATTTAGAGTAAACTATGCATTGCTAATCATTATCTAGGAATAGTGAGAGCGAGGACTCGGGCCCCTACTGTTACATCATCGCCGATCCCTAAACGCCAGGATAATTTAGATGCGATAGACGGAAGTCTCGAAAATCAAAACCGGTCTGACACATTCCGAGATGCTTGCTTTCTCCGCGACGGGTATCGCTGTGTTTTGTCTAGGCAGATGGACAACGATTACTTCAATTCCATCAAAGATGACCCGGAGGTGGACCCAGACACCGATGATGCAGCCTGCATCGGTGCTCATGTAATCCCATTCTCCTATGCGCATTGGAAAGCTGGAGTAAATTATCATCCTTTTTGATATATTCATTCACTAATCAATATTAGGACGAAGAACCAAACAAACAGTGAGAGGTCCTTTTCCGATGTTTTCCGACTCTCCGGAAGACTTGCTTTACTTCTAAGTCCATTAATAGTACCTACAATGGTCTAACATTGACCCTCGCGATGCACAGAGAATTTGGTACTTTCCAAATCGCTTTTAAGCCCACAGTAAGTAACTAACAGTTAAGTAATTATACTATCATTTTGATAATTCCATATCCCATTAGGAGGATCCTGATGTCTATGAAATCAAAACGTACAGCAAATGCACTAATTCTTGCAAGAAGCAATTGCCCAAAGACCGCAGAGTGACCTTTACGCTTGATACCAACATCTCCCACCGAGAAATGTTGAAGTATGACTTGACTCTGCCTTCCCGGGACCTTTTGGAATGCCACTGGCGCCTTGCGGAAGTATTGAACATCTCCGCAATGGCGGAGGTTGTGGAGCTCTATTGGAAGGAGTGGGACAAGGCTAAGGTTACTGCACCCCGGGAATTGGACAAGTACGGAAGGACCAACATTGAAGATTTCCTGCAACGGGCTTTTTGGGAGCACCAAGTTTCTGGCTGATTGAATTTTATGCCTGATGATCAATGAATTTTTTTTATTATAGTTTTATACCCTTATGTCCTTTGCTGAATTTTGGGAATCGCATCCCATGCCTCATGACCAATTTTTCTTTACCTATTTTTATCAATGATAGATAATGTAATGATCTTACCATCGGTTGCCTAACAGCTCCTCAAAAGGTTTGTATGGCGGTGTTCCCGTGTGGATGATGAGTCTTCAGGGATCATTGGCGGTGACATCCGTCTGTAGTATTAAGGGTAGAGTATATTGTGCTCCTTTTGAACTTCGACCAGGTAGTCGGCATCGATGAACTTGTAGTCACATAAAACGGCGACTCTTGGTTTTCTTGCCATTGTGAATGTATGTGCAATATATGTCAACTCTTGAACTTTCGAATTGGCTAAGGAAAAAGGCTAAAAGGAAAAAGTTATTGAGGAGCAACAATATGAAGCATATTTATTTGGAAGCTAGGTATCATCGTGGAGATCCACCGGGAGCAGCCGATACCAGGCGAAGGTATGGAAGAAGGGATTATTCATATCGATTTCCAAGTCTGGTGTTATTATGCGGAACTCGAAATTCTTGGATCAATATCTGTAACAAAGAGTAGCTTCAAGATCATTCAATCTGTTCGTTGTTGGTCTTATATTTAAGACCCTTCTGAGCGGGCGACCAGGAGGATATTGACTTTTTTGGAGAAAGGATGGTTTCAAAGATTTATGTATGTATTTTTTAGTACATAAGGTAAAAAATTCTAGGGGTGCTAATCTCACCCATCCTCATCTAAGCTCACCTAAGCTTACCCATATCATCCTCACCCTAAGGAGAAATCTATTGCTGCTTTAGGGTGAGCTAAGTGCTAAGGGCTTTTGGTTTATTTTGCGCGTTCTATATGTGGCTTAAGAGCTGAAGCAAAAAATAGAAAACAAAAACATACAACAGTCAGGATTCGCATGTGGTCACCCACCATACTACTAACTGACCGGCGTGTGGCTTAAGTACGGCTGAGCGGACGGGAAGCCCTGTTCTCCACACCCTGTGGTCGTATGTGATAGAGATGCTGGGAAGGTGATATATAGAGCTGCAGCTAATATTCAGTTCAGAGAAATGATTTAGTGCTGCTTTAGCGTCGCGCGGCCAGGAGTAGGCAGGATCTATGCCGATGCATGAATACTGCACTATTCTTTGGTTTTTTGAAGACCACCAGTGTTTTTCTTCCTGAAATTGTGCTACCATTACAATATTTTTGGGTTATTAGTCTCAACATCTCTGTCCCGACGTGTAGTGATAATTAAGCTTTTCTAAAAGGATATGTCAATGTGTGTGATAACATAAAACTGAGATCCCTTACGAGGTCATAAAAAAGACTTCTATTTTCAGAAAAATTAAGAAATTCATAATCGCTATGATGATTAGCACCGACACTGATAATGGTTTCGCTGCTGAAAACTGTGATAATCTGTTGCTGTCGTAGTTGAAAATCCACTGAGAAGGGAGATTCCAAAATAGTTGCTCCGATCCGGCCATCCATCGACATAAGAAAAACCCTGACCAAAGGAAAAAAAAATTGGAGAAAAAAATCGAAGGAAGAAAAATGAAAAAGCGCTGTAGTCGAAAATGATAAACCGCTGTATATCTGAGTTCTGGAGGGCGAAATGAAACCGAAAACAACACCAGCAGCGACCAGTCTGAGCTGGAAACTCGGCAGATGGAAAAGATTCATGATACCATAAAAGGCTCAATAAGACAATGGTGGGTAATTGAGAGGAATGGAAACGCGATCATCGATATGCAGCGAGAATAACAATCTACCAGTAGCGAGGACGGTCATACGGGACATATTCGCCACGAGGAGGGGAGCGGGGACGGCCATATTGGCGCGACGCTAGATACGGATCATAGTCACGGTGCGGGGGAGGTGGGAAACGGGCATCATATTCATCATATGGACGACGCGGAGGTGGGTAGTCCTCCATTCTGGGTCGTGGGGGAGTGCGACGTCCATAGGCATCTCGGTCATAGTAGGCCCTGGGGATGGGTGACCGTTCACGGTAGTGATCCCGGGGACTGTTGTATCCACGGGGCATGGGGAATCTTCGGTCGTATTCATCCATGGGATAGGGTCGGCGTGGGGAACGAGACCGGTACGGGTCACCACGGTAAGGACGGTCTTCAACGCTTTGGATCTATACCACTATCAGAGGGGGTCCTCCTAGTCCGTGGGTTTGGGTCCTTACATCCGCAACGCAAGATACACGCGCGCCTTTGAACTCTCTCTGGTCAAGTTTCTCCACGGCCGTCTTCAGATCATTGGCGGTTTCAAATTCAACAAACCTTTTTTTATATCCGTTAATGCGTGTACGAGGGGAAATCATGTGACGGCCTTTAAGAACCTACCCTTTTCCTTGTTCACGGCCGGCTTCTGAGTAGACCACGTCTAGGCCAGACTGACGGGCGAAGTCTTTGAGGTCCTAAGAGAATGGTGAGTCCAGGTTCCAGGAAGATATGTATATCCGGAAGGTTCATGTGGGAATGATAATCTACGTCCAGGCAGGGGAAAGGCTTCCAAAATGGCCAGTGCATAAAATCTTCCCGGTCCTCGGCCAAAGGTCGCGCTTCGTTGCACTTGAGTCTTAAATCAAGATGCGAAAGTTTCCAAGGGGAGTGATGAGCATCACCAGGTCTTGAAGTGCAAAGGGTCCATGATTTCCAGAATACAAGAACAATATCCTAGCCGAGGACGACGAGAGAAAGGGTACGTAACCAAGGGAAAGGGAGTCCGGGGGGGTCCAGGGGATGAATTTGGGCTGCTAACCTGCCAACTTGTCTCTGGAAGACCGGATATCTGCATCCGGAATACGGTACGGCGTGGACGAGGTCCAATAGGGCGGTCCGGAGGACCAGGGAAGGGGAAGGGCTCCTTGCGCCGAGGACCACGAGCGAACTGCACGGTCAATCGCTCACCCTTGAAGTCACTTCCGTCTATACAAGTAAGTTGGTAAGTAATCATTCATTCTTTGTTGCCCAGTCAAGGCTGAAGTAGGAGTTGCATACGAAAGGCTGAATATATAGTTAGCAAGTGATTTTAGAAAACCAAAACAGATTGACAATGCTTACCGGGGACGACATCTCGAGCATCCATAGAATCCTCATACTCGATAAAGCCAAATCCGTTCATCAGCTTGATCTCGGTAATTTTACCGGAGCCATGGGTGCTGAAGTGCTCTTCGATATCCTGCTTGGTAACTACTCATCATATGGTGTCAGTTTAACTGTATAAAAAAAAAAAAGTGATCGTCAAACTCCTGCGGCTGAATGCATTCGATCCCCCTAACCCCTAATCACCACGCGGAAAGTGGGTCACAGGCTCTAAGCGGGGGAGAGAAATCCCTAAGGAAGCAGAATGATCCCCAACAGAAATGGGGTAAACACGTCAAAAAAAACGCCAGCATACCATTGCGGGGAAGGTTCCCGAGATAGAGTCGGGTGGAAGAGACTTCCGTCATGACTAGTTCAAGTTATGGATCCTGGAGAAGTAAAGAAAAGCCCAAGATAAGTGCCCAAGCGATCGAGAAAACAACGCGACCTAATCAGGCAACCCGATGGCGATGGCGTTGATGGCGGTGTAATCTGGATCCCCAACAGAGTATATCTGTATCAGAATCAGAATTCCAAATGCAGTGTTGTGCACAAAGATGAAAGAAAGAAGAAAGAAGAAAAACAGGCTTGCAGGTCACAGCAAAGAGGGTGGGGAGGAAGGGAAAAGAAATCAGATCTGGCGGTGGGAGATGAGCTATGGCCGCCTCACTTTTTTTCACAATGCACGTGTTCCCCCACCAAATTTGATTCCGGGCGCCAGATAAAACACGTAAATAAGGGGATTCGAATCTCTAGCTGTTGTCAGTGAGGAGAAAGTTAGAGTGAATTAAGCTTGATATTTTACTCCTGCCCTCGTGGGCCCCCTTCATTCCACGGTTCTGCCCGAGGGCCCCGTTAGCGGGGGTCTATCTATGAAAGATACAAGGGAGTCTTGATGTACAAAAGTACATCTTGTGGATTCCATCTTCTACTAATTACATGGTATCAAATCCAAAATACAGAATGCAGTTTCTTTTTATGGTATCTTCTATGTACAATCATACACTCCACTACTACGCTCATCCATTTTATTGGCCTCATGTCATGATATACTTGGGGCCCTCTCCACCTTGAGGGGTTTGCCAGTTGATATCCTGAGTAGGCACTTTAATGTCACAAGTCTTGCAGTGAATACAGCTGGGAGATGGTTAGCATAGCTACATGGTAAGTAATGAAAACACTTACTTTTGCGAGTTAATTTGGAACCGGACTCCATGCTCTTTGCTTGGATCTTCAACGTATTCGTACACGCCGGCAGGACAGAACCGGTTCTCTACACCCTTGTACACAGGCCATGCAAGATCTGTGTGTTTATCCCAGTCCTCCACCTGCAGATGCACTGGCTGGTCCTCTTCGTGGTTGGTACCGGTACGGCTGACACTGGTCAGGATGTCGAAGCTGATTTCGCCATCGGGCTTGGGATATTCAATCTTGGTATATTGGGATGCGGGCTTGGTGGCTTCGGCATCGGTACCGTGGTGACTAAGAGTCCATGGCACACGGCCACGGAGAATATAGGCTTCCAGTCCAGAATAGGCTAGTCCACCAAAGAATCCAAGGGGCCCATTGAATGAAGGCCTGATGTTGCGTACTTCATACAGCTCCTTCCAAATAGTCGAGTCCCGAAGAGCCTTTTCGTAATCGAACAAAAATACAGTACCCTGGTCTTCGCCCTGCAGTGCAGAGAAGGTAGCTTCTGCGGCCAACATGCCAGATTTCATGGCGGTGTGAGTACCCTTGATTTTAGGGACGTTCAAGAAGCCGGCCGTGTCACCAATCAGAGCACCGCCTGGGAACGCACACTTAGGAATGGACTGAAAGCCACCTTCATTCAATGCACGAGCACCGTAGGAGATACATTTGCCGCCCTCTAGTACGTCTTTGAAAATCGGGTGGTGCTTCATCTTCTGGAACTCTCCATACGGCGAGAGCCATGGATTAGGATAGTCCAATCCCACAACTAACCCAATGCTGACCATGTTGTCTCCGAAGTGGTACATCCAGGCACCCCCGTAGGTATCCAGCGGTAGCGGGTATCCCATAGAGTGCATAATCTCACCAGAACGGAAATTCTCGGGCTTGATCTCCCAAATCTCCTTAATTCCCAAGCCGTACGTTTGAGGCTGGCTGTCACGGCGCAAATCATACTTCTTAATAGCCTGCTTCGTCAAGCTTCCGTGGCAGCCCTCGGCGAGCAGGGTCACTCGAGCGTGGAACTCCATGCCCCTCTCAAATGTCTCCTTGGCCTTTCCTTGTCGGTCCAGACCAAGATCATTAGTGGCAACACCCTTCACTGAGCCATCAGACTTGTAAACAAGCTCACTTGCCGCAAAGCCGGGGTAGACTTCCACACCCACCTCCTCCGCACGCTCTGCCATCCACTTTGTCAACTCGTTCAAACTGATAATGTAATTGCCATGATTGTTCATCTGTGGCGGAGCAGGGAGCGGGAATGAGGAGTTCTTGGTGAGGAAGCGCATCTTGTCGGCCTTGGCTGGTGTTGCTCCCTCGAAGCGAGAGGGGTTATCTTCATCCAACCAGTCGGGAAAGAGCTCTTTCATGGCAGTGGGTTGGAACACGTTTCCAGACAAAATATGGGCGCCAATCTCACCAGCCTTTTCCAGCAGAATCACTCGGAAGTCCTCATTACCAGCTTCGTTGGCAAGCTGCTTTAACCGAATAGCGGCCGAGAGACCGGCAGGACCTATAGACAACCTCAATTAGATGGAACTGATGACTCGCCGTTGCATATAACATACCACCGCCAACAATACAAACATCCACATCGTCTGACTCGCGGTCTAATGCCCGAGGGTCAAAGTCGCCATTCTCATCGGTAAATAGCCGTGATATTGATTGTGAAAACGCGCGGGTCTGGACTGGGGGTGTGAATAAAGCAGTTCGATAGGCTATCCGTCGCGCGGGGATAACTTGAGGCGAAGTGCAGGCTGCAGAGGCCAGAAGTGAGGAAGGGCTAGATCGTAGAATTCGAGAGCGTATATCACGCCTCATCAGAGGCAAGACTGCTCTGGACGCCATTGAGATATACTGAAGAGAGCTGAAATAAAGATCAGTAGATAGTAGCCATAAACACAGTATAACTCCTTTTTATTGTAGATAGTAGAGACGAATGAAGTGAGTTGTCGAACTACTATGGTTTTCGAATGATTGAAACTAGAAAAAACACCGAAAATCGCCTACCCGCGGCTTAGTGAGGAGAGCCAGCCAATCAAAGGCTTGATTTAGGAATCATTTCTTTGCTTTCGGCTCACCGGATTCGAATTTCGCCGAGTTCTCCAGATTATTTAATAAATTGAAAAAATTATAAATTTTTATGTGGTTGGACTGCACTTTTATGCTATCATAGTAACTTCATCTAGGCCTTGAATAGTCGGAAATAAGCTTTGGTTTTGATCCTCTTGACATCATGGATTATGAGTCAATGAATAATTTATAAATTTATACTACTATGTACTAAGGTAAATAATGAGATGTGACGACAGTACGGTATGCTGAATACCATATTAAATGCCTGTCCTTTTACTAAGTCGAGTTGTCGATCATATGAGATTCAGTCTTGGCGGTGGATCAGAAATCCGCATGACCAGTCGAACCCTCAATTTCCTCTCAGGACACGCTGGCCTCAATTCCAAAACAGTCTCATACCATTTTTCTTTGAAGAGTAGTGACTCACGATATCCGAATCAAATCAGTCTAGAATGGAATTTCCGTTCTATTAGTTGAGATACGGGTACGGAGTAGTTGGGAGAGAGCTGTGTTTGTGTATGTGGGATGATGGAAGGAAGAAGTCAGTTAGGCAAAACCATTTTTGTTCATTTGCCATCCGTAAAAGCGGCGATGTGATAGCGCGTCGGACAAGGAGTGGACAACTATAAAGACAATGATTGGAAGATAGAAATGGGGGCAGATAGAGTAGGGCCAATTATAACGATAAAAGGGCGAAGTTGACTGCAACCATGAAAAAGGGAGGATAGAAAGCAAGGGAGAGGGATCCAATTATAATTGATGACTAAGTGGGGAACGGGAACCCCTTGTCACGAATAAGAGGACGGTATTGTCATTCTTGTATCCTATTGGTAAATACACCCTGTGTTTGAGCCGCTAATGGGGCTGTCTGCCATGGTTCGAAGGGTGACTTTCTCGCTGCTTTAACCGCCACCAACTCACCCCAGCCTCCCCTGACATACTGTGACTCAGCACTATATAAAGGTCCAACCTCCCACTCTCCTGATTCCTTTGCGATTTCTGTCTTGGTCTTGGCATCGTCTGGAACTTCATTTGCTTCCCCGCCCTCACCCTCCTTTTCCCTAAAACTAATCACATACTATTTATTTGATTTAATCTTCAAATAAATCCAAAGGGAAAAAAAAAAAAAAGAAATTCTTTTTTTTTTCCATATCAGAAGAATTATAACTTGGCTTGGCTTACCTAAACAGGAAGCTTAACCTAATCAAGTCTTCCCCGCCACTCTCTCAGATCGATCCAGATAGACAATCCAATTGAAAAACAAAAAAACGCAGAGAGAAATTCCCAATACTCGAAAAAAAAAGTTGCTTCACTCTCGCATAAATTGATTTCTCGAAAACACTTCAGTGTGCTTTTCTGTCCTCGCTGCCGATCAAGATTTACTTCTTTTGATCATCACTTCACTGTTACCTCGTCTAATCGTCGTTTCAGTGCTCAAGGGGGATACATTTATTTGTTCATCTCCCATTTATTACTTGGTAAGTTATATATATGAATGACTTTGCCATTTGATTCTGCCTTCCTCATCCTTCTTCCTTACCGCCCTCCACTTCCGTTTAGTACTGCTATTAGTTACCGCTTTCTTCTTTTGCCCTTCCCCCACCCCAATCCAATTCTTCATGTTACTTATTGAATCTTTCTCTTTTCCCAGATCCTCTTTACCTGATCCAAAAGTTTTGAAACTTCGATTACCAGGTATTAAGCATCATGGATTCCCTCACTACCCACCCCGTTAGCGCTGAGCAGGCACGTGCCTTTACTGCGCCGTCGTCGCTCTCTTACCCCGGTGGTGCTGGTGATTTGACTCCCCCATCCGAGAAGGATGCCAAGCTTGCCATGATGAACGGTCAAATGACTGGCATGCACATCAACGGTAATGGTGTTGTTCCCGCTACCCCCGCGACTCCCGTTGCGACTCCTGGGGCTACCACTGGTAGCAGTGGCATTGTTCCCACATTGCAGTGAGTACTACCTTTCTGGCTATCTTAGGTCAGAAATGCTGAACTTTAATCTAAGAAACATCGTGGCTACCGTCAACCTTGACTGCCGTTTGGATCTGAAGACTATTGCCCTGCACGCTCGCAATGCCGAGTACAACCCCAAGGTACTAATGAATCACATCTGACTTGATATTATTGAGGTAATAGTGACTGAACTGTTCTTTTCTGAATAGCGTTTCGCCGCCGTCATCATGCGTATCCGTGAACCCAAGACCACTGCTTTGATCTTCGCATCCGGCAAGATGGTCGTGACCGGTGCCAAGTCGGAGGACGATTCCAAGCTGGCCTCTCGCAAGTATGCGCGCATCATCCAGAAACTTGGCTTCAATGCCAAGTTCACCGATTTCAAGATCCAGAACATCGTGGGTTCTTGCGACATCAAGTTCCCCATTCGTCTCGAGGGTCTGGCTTCGCGCCATCACAACTTCAGCTCTTACGAGCCTGAACTCTTCCCCGGTCTGATCTACCGTATGATGAAGCCTAAGATCGTACTCTTGATTTTCGTCAGCGGCAAGATTGTCTTGACCGGCGCCAAAGTGCGCGAGGAGATTTACCAGGCTTTTGAGCTGATCTACCCTGTGCTTAATGGTGAGCTTCTGTCTAGCCATAGCTACGCTTTTATGTTTTACTAACAGCGATCATAGACTTCCGCAAGGTTTAATCGGATTGCCTTCAGAAAGCTCAATACGCGCCTCCTCCATTCCATCATCTTCACCATGTATTATCTATCAACTTTCCCTTCTATCTTGTTCGCTTCGGAAGACCGCATTCAGTCCTCCTTAACTTTTATCTTTCACCTTTTATCTTTTACCTCTCTTACCCTTGTTACGAGTGTTCATGCAAGCATTGTTCGGCGTTTTAGCGATTGGTTGATGGGTTTTGCTCCTTACTTCGACTTACTTTTAGATTGCTGCATACCGCAGTGAGGCGGTTTTTTCTGCTGGTCGATTGGCTGCCTCTTAATCATTCCTTGTTTTCGCACTTTTCATAGTGATGGAGCCTTCAGGGCCCAAAAAAATTCGATGCTAGATTCAGTCGTCGCAATTGCGCGCGGTTGACCGTTAGCTTGCAGCTTTCTGCAATGCTTCTCCAATGGAAATTTTTATGAATCATGTGTCTTGTAAACCCTAGGCTGCCCAGGGGATGTAGTTTCGATTTGTCCAAGATTCAACCTTGCTCAGGTGGGATTTATATACAGTTCCGTAGCAAATCACACTGTACACCAATGTTGATACAAAATACCATTAGATGTTCTTACAGGGCGCTTCCTCTGGCTGCCTTTCTCGTCTTGGCCAACTCGTCTTTCAAGATCGAGTTCCGTGCCCCGGAGCGACTTCCATCTCCATCAAATATATCCTCCGAATCCGTTGACGACACTTCCGTCCACTCCCACAGCTTCTGCAGCTCAGGCTCCAGCGAACCCTCAAGTGCGTCAACAATCTTATCCCCAATAACAGGGAAGAATTTGAATCCATGTCCACTTCCACCCGTAGCGACGAACAAACCTTCATACTCCGGATGATACGAGATAATGAAATCGCCATTAGGACTGCATTCAACGATTAGCCACAGGGATACTCCGTACAACAACAGTGAAAAAGTGTATACTTACGTGTCAGTGTACCAGCAAATCCTCGTTTGCGCAAACGGCCGATCCACAAACCTCGGCAGCAGCTGCTTCAGCGCCACTCGCAACGCCTCTTCGCCTTCAAGCGGGATCGGCATGCCTGTCTCCGGCAAACTAACCTGCATGACCTTCCCAGCCGCAGCAGGCCCGGGTACAGGCACAGGTATGGTAACAGGATTGCGATAACCAAAGGCATGACGGGCGATTTTGAGCAAGTTATCCCGAGGCGGAATGATAAAGATGCCCGTTGCGAAGTTGAGAATAGTCGGTAAATTCTCCAACTCGGCCTGCTCGGCATCTGAGATCTGGATATATGCAATAGCCTGTCCAGTCGCCACGGCCTTACCACGTAAATCAACCAATGCAGGCGTCCAAGCCCCCGTGGCAAGAATCACCAGGTCAGCTGTGACGGACGACCCATCGGCCAATTCAACACCTGTAGCACGGCGTTTCGACCCAACGTCGCAATCGCCATACATCACACGCGACACATCGCCCGTCAGGAACTTAACGCCCCCTTCTCTATCAAGCATCTTCTTCGCAAACAGCACACTACCGCCAGCATCTGCCCACCCAGACCCCCAATTCACATACCCGCCCGCAACATCGACATTATCATAAGGCGGCACGACACTCTGCACGTCTTCCTGTGTGTGCAAGAAGACGACCTGGTCCCTATCCTCCTCTACCTTGCGCACATTGTCGTAGCTCTTGCGCGCATACCCCTTTGCGCTGGCGCTGGAGGCTGGGTAGACTAGTAACAGGCCGTTTTGCGTATAGCGCCCCTCAGCGCCCCAGGGTGTGTGCCGCCATTTTTTGATCGCTGCTGCGGCTAGTTTTGTGTATGCGGCGTTTGCGTAGTCGGCTCGCACGATCCGGGAAGTGTCGACTGATGAGCCATGGGGGTTTGGGATCGTTAGAGAGGACTCTATCAGGGTTATATGTGAGGTTGGATGGCGCTTTCGGAGGGATAGGGCCGTGGATACTGATTATTACAATTTAGCAGGTTGTTCAATCTCAGAAGATCCGTTCACGAATTGATATGTAGGTTGCATGCATACATCCCAATGTTTAGTGTGTAGATATATATAGTGCACTTACATCCGAAGACTCCACCTCCAACAATTAGGATTTTAGGCGGCAATGCCATTGGAATCACTTCAACAGAAGTTGCAAGGTCTGCCAGACGAGTTTAATTGAAGTTTGGATTCTCCAGGGTAGCGTGGGTCAACGGTACCTTTATATTTACCGCGTCCGATAACGGACTTACAGATCGCGGCTCCGCTCCAACTTTCATTCGCTATCCTTCCGATTAAGTCGGGACTAATATTCAGCCTCAGTCCTTTTGATATATACGATTTGCGATTTCAATGATTAGAGAAGATTGAAATCATTCAGCCGCTATCTCTGATCCGTGATTTTCCCTGGACTACTATCCGCCTGTTCTGCTGCGCTTCAGAAATCTTCACTGCTCATATCGCTGCGGTATCTGGGAAATTGCAGGCTAGGACTTGGTCTATTGACGGTCTTCACTGCCTAGACAGAAAGAGACTTGCCTCCGTTACTTGGTTACTGTTCCCTCGTGACATATCCAAGTCGCTCCAGGATCCAGCCATCATGAACGCACCGTGGGGAAGAACGATCCTGCGGACTGTTCGGCCAACGACTCAAAGAGGAGTACAAACCATATCACCACGCACGATTCTACGAACGCGGTAAGTTCTCTCACTCGACAGGACACCAACCCCAGTAATTGAGACCGCGACAGCCGAGACCCCATCGCCAGGCCACGAAAACAAACCAAAACACGAACCGAACCACAACCGATGCCATCCATCGGCCTGTCTCCACGCATCATAACAATTATGGGAGTCTCCTTGTTAGGAATAACCACCTACTGCAGCTTCCTCTACGCCTCCTACCAGCGCGAGGTGTCCGCATCCAAATCCCTCAAAGTCCCAACAGACGTGTCAGACCGATACAACATGACAGCGCCGACCTTTGACGCTGAAGTCGAGCTATCCGAGAAAACAATGCGACTGGGCAAGAAACGCGCAGATCTGATTAGCCTCGCGCGTGGAAACGTGCTAGAAGTCAGTTGTGGTACGGGCCGCAATCTGGAATACTACGAGCTTGGCCAGCGGCGCGGCGCAGACAAGAACGGGCGCGCAGCGATACTGGGCTGTCGCTCTCTCACGCTTGTCGATCTCAGTCCGCAGATGGTTGAGATTGCAAGACAGAAGTTTGAAGCGCTGTATCCGGGGTATGACAAGGGAGCAGCTGTTGCGTTCCGGGCTCAAGATGCCGCATCTGTTTCTGTGGTGCTGCCTGCTTCGACTGATTATTCTCCGACTCCTTGTTATGATACTATTGTTCAGACGATGGGGCTATGCTCTATGCCTGATCCTGTTGGGACTTTACGCCATCTGGGCAGTATTACGGAGCCGTTGAACGGCCGTATCTTGTTGTTGGAGCATGGGCGCTCAAAATATGATTGGATTAATCGGATCTTGGATAATCTTGCGCCTGCACATGCGGATCGGCATGGGTGCTGGTGGAATAGGGATATCGGGGCGATTGTTCGCGAGAGTGGGTTAGAGATTGTGGAGGAGAATAGGTGGCATTTTGGAACAACTTGGAAGTATATTTTGCGGCCAAAACAGGAGGATAGTTCTTGATAGAGGGTTACGTCCGCGAGGGATGCTCACTTGTTGATAGACAGGCATTGAACTCAGTGTATGAGTGGATTTTATTATGAAACCTTAGAAATTGAACAAATTGGATGGAGCCCTAGAGGACTTTAGAAACTAGAATATGAGTTATTAGGGAAGTTCTACTAACTAGTTACTGGTAGTCTTATGATTATCAAAGTATACTTAAATCGTATGATGAGGTGCATTGTATAGTGTGGCCTGAGGCATGAATATCATTGATAGCCTGAGGTATCGAAATAAGCCATATTTGCGCCGTACCGTGTCGCACCCTACCTAAGTAAATTCTGACTTGTCGCAATGTGTTACAGGCGGCCCCCCTGAAACTGCCGTTGGACAATTAAGAAGCCGAGAAAAAGACTAAACCATTGAAAGTATACGTCCAGACTCAGCTGAGATCCATCAACTCCAACAGATGATATCAAACTAGAATCGACCAATCGGAAGCACGGTCTCAGCGCGAAACCTTGAATAGAGTGAGAAATGAAGGTAATGGAGGGGGTATATTGCATTTGACTGGCTGGGGGAATTTAGTGCGTTTCCGGGATGTGGATAGGAAACGCCTCCTAAATCTGGGTCGTAATATGCATGCAGATCTACATGCAGGGGTAGATGTCTTGTATTCGAAGTGTGGATTTGGATTTGACAGGGTCTAGGATCTAGCCCTGAAGTAGGCACCAGGTTGTTGTATGCATATGCATATCGGAAGTGCTTCAAATCTAAGACTTCGGGACCAGGTAAGGGTTGATACCTAGGTAGCCCTAAGTATTTGGTGTTTGATCGCTGGAAAGGATAGAGTTTCTTAGATCGCTGCCACTTCACATTTGATGGATTAGAATTCATGGTTTCATATGCACGTACCTTTGTTAAATTAGTACTATGTACAGTTACTGTATAGTTATTGAGATTACAGTGTTGGTCCAAGTCCCTAATTGCGGACCTCAGGGGTACTCCTGGGTAACTAGATAAGCTGAACCTTTATATGGGTATCTACAACACTTGCATCATGACTACATAATATGGCCGGGGAACGATCGCATTGCAGCCTACGGCGTAGAGACCCAGCGTTCCTGTGGTAATGCGGAGAATTCCAAATATGACTGCACCCGCATACATGGAGGAATACTGAGTAGGAGAGTATAGCGTGTTTCCTTTGACAAGTGAGAAGATAAATAGAGGTTAAGGAAAAGAAAAAAACAAACGTCAGGCAAGAATCAGATGCTCCCGAGGTCCCTTTGACCGAAAACAAACAATCAGAACGTGGCCGTGCTCCCTGTTCCATGGTTAGCACCGAGCTAACCTGATGAACGATGTCATCACTACTAGGTGCTACAGTTAAGGAATAGATAGCTCCGTATTGGAAGGGCGAATGGCGATCTACTCAACAAGAACAATGCTGGTACCCGGACCCTTACATACATTGTCAAGGCTAGACGAGGCTATGATGCACGGAGGCGATATGAATCTACTCAGCTACGTAGGATTGGAGCATCATACCGATGATCGGATGTAGTAGGAAATGATTTCCATATTTGATGGCATTTTGGATTGCAGAATTTCAGAATCCCCATATCTTTAGCATCATGACCATGACTTTCTAAGCGACAACAAACAGAAAGTAGAGATTAAAGAAGTAGCCTAGAGCTTGACCTCATGTGGCAAAGTGCATGATGATTACTAGCGGTAATTAAAGTATTAGACGAAAACGAAAGTGCCTGTCGATTCGGCCGGGGATCCACCATATAGTGGACTTGGTCCCAAACGGCGACGCGAGGGGTCTTTTTTGGGAATCGGTGTTTTCGCCCGGAGGTCTCGGGTTGATTTACACGGAAGCTCGGAGAGAATTAAATTTCTCCAAGATGGGTTAAGATTTGGGGTTTCTTACTTATGGGGTATTTACATACGGCATGTATTAAGTTTTGTGTCCTATCTACTATACGGAGTAGCTATGTACTTTCTTGTACTCTAGGTATATAGTACCTATATTCATGGATTCCTTCGAAGCAGCGGTCAGAGTCACCTAGCAACCCACATAGATCGAAATGTGTTATGCACCGTTCACTCATGCCTCCTTGCCACTGAGCCAATCGAACTTGCGGGTCATTTTTATTCAGGCCAAGGAGATATGGCTGACTAGGATGCAGATGGATCCTAGACTGGAGCCAATATGGATCCAATATGGATCAAATATGGATCAAATATGGAGCCATAATGAAAGTAGACCTAAAATGGATATGGGACACATGGCCGGTGGATTCCTCCACGTATTTCTCTATTTTTTGAGATTAGTCTCTCGCCAACGAGCTCTGATGTGTCTACCTTTGCTAGATAATAGATACCAGATACCAGATACTTGATACTAGGTAATAGATACTAGATACTTGATACTTGAATACTAGATAGAAAACTTAGGACTACTATAGTTGCCATGTAAAGTCAAGGTTAGGTTTGAATGTGGAAGGAAGAATACAGTACCATGGTTGGTAGCTGTGACATACCGTAATAGAAACTATTTCATATTTCCTGTCCAATCACAGTACTTGTTTTGCATGTTATTCACTCTGTAATATTACCGTATTTAAAAAAGAAAAAAAAAAGAGGAAAAAAAAGTAAGGGAATATCCTAGTGTTTCCCATCGAACAGATTCCTCAGGCGCAATCTTCGCCTTGACCATCTCTACTATTGCCTCGCTCTCTCTCTCTCCCTCTCTTTCCCCTTTACAATCTACTTGGGATCATTATTCTGTTTTATTATTATTTTTCTATAGTTCCTTTTTATTTCCTATAAGTTTCCTTTTATCATCAACCTCTTGGTTAACTTTGATTATACTTGGATTTACTCCTTTGTTCCTTCATCATGCCCTATAATACCCGTCGCAAGTCATTATCTCTCCCATCTCTAGGCATCCACCTCCCCAACTCATCTCGTCGCTCTCCCTCCATTTCAAAAGTATCTGGTCCAGCTTCGCATGAAGATGCGCATCCTACAAAAAAATTGAAGCGCTCCCACACTTCTTCATCGCCCGAGCCTTCAAGGAGGGAGTCTGCTGTGCGCGCTGGTCGACACGGGGTCTTCGAACACACCCCACCACCATCGCCGCTAGATGCTGGTGTTACGCCTAAGATTGACACGGAGGGTATTAATGATGACATTGTGGTGGCGGTGATCGACCAGCTGGAGAAGACTGGAAACCGCCCCCATCTAGTGAAGGAGCTGGCCGCAGTTTTGGTTACCCTAAACGTTACCGTCGCAAAGTATGTTAAATCCAATTTGATTCCTCATATGATCGCCAACTAACTCTATTCTTCGCATCAGTTCCGCAAATCCTGCCGCCCTCTTATCATCCAGGTTGGCTGCTTACATGAAGCGCTCATGGACAGCTCTTGCGCCGTGCCCGATGGCCAAGGAGCTTGTGCTTATTCACCCCCGCAAAGTCTACTATTACTTGACGACTTACCCTCGTCAACCTATTCCGGAACCCTCGGATGAATTCCTTCTTGTCGCCCATATCACCCCAAGCGTCTCAAGTCTTGACCAAGACGAACGTGACCTGATGGCGCGCGATCGGAGCCCTAGTCCAGAGGTGGACCTGTCTTCGCTTAACTACGAGGAAGATGTCGATCTTAATGGTTCCGCTGGCCGGGGGACTCCTTCCGACCAGTTTCCAGATCCTTCTAGCCATACGCGCTTGATGCACTCACACCGTGCTGCTTCGCCGCCTCTGGAGGGTGACGAGAAGGAATTCACTCAGACCGCTAGTGCTGTGCGCGAGCGCGCTTCAGAGGAAAAGGCCAGTCGTGATCTGTCCGGCCGGAGCATTTCTGTTCTCTCTGAGGGCCTCAGCTCTATGGACGAGGACATGGCTGATTCCATGGTGAAGGGTAGATCAATCTCACCATCTATCCAAGGAGATCGCATGTCTGAAGTAGAATTCAGCGATTACTTCTCCCACTTGAATTCTGTGGATCAAGGAGCCCACGATTTGGATGAGGCTGCAGCGGCAACCCTCTTCGGCACTTCCCCTTCTCCATCCCTCACTTCCGTCGCGTCGTCAGTCTCGTCTGGTACGAGCGATATTATCGATGCTGTGAGTAAGAGAGGCGACATGTTACCTCCCACTCCTCAGATCAGCCTTCCCGATGTCGCTCCTGTCTCGACTCTCAAGCGCTCCCTCGACATGTTGAATAGCGGTTTTGATGTGGATTTCAAAATGTCTGATCTTACCGAGTCCCACGAGAAGCTTAGTTTGGAACCTCGGGCCATGGTTCCCATGGATACAGAGTCTATATTCGACTCGTGGAGAGAGTTGCAGAATCCAGAAACTGTCGAGGTAGATGAACTTGACGAGATGTTTGGCGAAATCTAAATGATTCAAGCTTCCTTTGTCCTCTTCACCGACTGCCTCACTCTCTTCCACGCACACACACACACACACACACACACACACACACACTATCTCCACTCTCAGTCATAATTGAGAACCAGTCGTCATTGTCTTCCACCTTATACCTTTGTTTTCATGCGCTTCTATCTCTGTACATGACTCTATGGCCTGCGCGCAATGCTCCTTTATGGCAAGTTTTTCTTCCTGTACATATATATTGTTGGATTTTGGTTTATTTCACCCTGGATGGGCACTATGGAGAAATTGGGTTGGGAGGTTTTTATTGGATCAAAAGATGGGCAAAAAACGACTTCTTATTTGTATGTTAGTAGTATAACCACGGTTCTTGAATTCGTTATCAAATATCTTACATAAGCCTGCTTAATCTGGACATCGACCTAGACCTAAAGACCCCGCTACTTTTCCCTTTCAAGGTTTCCCATCCTTTACACCATCTCATTATTCGTGGGCCTCTTAATGTAGACCCTATCACTACCTAGGTCAGGCCTGGACCTCCAAGACTTATTTACTGCTCCTTGAAATACTCGTTTTTCTCTCGAAAGCCCGCCTTCGCTGGACACCGAGGATCCATCGGCATCACGGGCCGACGAATCGCGTTGCGCGATCCTATCATCAGGAAAATTATCTTGTCAGCAAATCATTCTTTTTTCCAAGAATACAAGAAAAATAAGCAAAACAAGGCTGAAGACCACCGCCATCATGACGATGGAAGAGCCTCCCCAAAATTCTCCGGGTGAGGGACTGGAGCCGCTCAACATCGACTCTCAACCTCCCCCGTCGGTTTCAGGAACTGCCTCAAGCCAACAAGCCCCCTCGACACAATTCCGACGAATAGATGCCCAAGCGAAATCTAGAGCGTCGACCCCAAATGGGAAAATCGCCATTCCCCGCAATCGAGGTGGTTTTGCCCCGCGCTTTAACCGTCGAGTCCCACGCGCCTGCGAAAGCTGTCGCGCTCGGAAAACTAAATGTAGCGGAGATACACCGGTGTGTAGACAGTGCCGTGAACTGCGCGTGTCTTGCAACTATCCCATTGGGTTCAGAGAGAAGACGAAGCGACAGGTGGATAAGCTGACGGATAAGGCGCAAGATTACGAGAATCTCCTGAAGGAGTTGGGGGGTATGGTTGAGGCTCGTGCCGGGGAGAAGATCAGGAGTTTGTTGGCCAGACATGAGAATGATGGGGAATACTCGTCCAATAGCGCCCCGTCTCATTCCGCCACCCCGCAAGACGAAGTCATTGAACCGGATGACATAACTTCACCCTCGTCAATTGGTTCGTTGGAGGCGATCGACAGGGTGGAAGAAGACTTGAATCGAGACGAAAAATCCAGGGCAACGGGTTTCATGGGTAAAAACTCAGAAGTGACTTGGATGCAGCGACTGCAGAGAGAGGCAGAACATCGCTCTCGAGGGTTGCCTGGATCCTTGGAACCAGGTCAGAGTAAGCGGCAAGATGACGACCTCGCTCTTAATGCTGTCAACTATCATCTGGATGATCTCGAAATTTCTGTGACTGAACCAGTAGATGTCTATGCCCTCCCACTTCGCTTTATGGCCGATAAACTCTTCGAGAGTTATCTCAAGACTGTGCACCCTTTCTTCCCCATCATTAACCGATCTCTCTTCTCCGCTCAGTACCGAACATTCTTTGAGAGCACCGCACGACCTGGAGATAGATGGCTGGCTATATTGAATATGGTCTTTGCGATTGGGGCCAAACATGCCCATCTGACTGAAGCCCCTTGGGCTGGAGATGAAAAGGACCATTTAACGTATCTGACTCGAGCAAGGATTCTCAGCATGAGTGGCAACGACTTGTTCAACCACCCTGATCTGCAACAAGTTCAAGTAGAAGGTTTGATCTCCTTCTATTTGCTGTCCACAGATCAGATTAACCGGTATGTTCCGATCACCCTGCTGTAGAATGTCTCACTAAATGTAAAATCTCTAGGGCGTGGAGAATTTCGGCTTTGGCTGTGCGATCCGCCATCACACTAGGAATCAACATGAAGAGTGCTAGTCCCTCAACCCCGAATATCGCTAAAGAAGCCCGCTATCGAGTTTGGTGGTGCCTCTATACATTTGAGCATCTGCTGGGTATCATGACTGGCAGAGCCACTTGTATCATGGATGGAATATGCACCACACCTCTGCCACTTCCATTTGAAGAAGAGCAGTTGTCCTCGCCGATTGCTGCTGAAGTTATCAATAATACAGTGCTTCGAGACGACCGTATCAACATGGTCATGGCGAGCGTCTGGGTTCGCCATATGCCACTCAACCCTAGTGGTGGTAAACATGCCACTCATCCGGAACGTGCTCGTGATAACTCTTGGGTGAGAAGTTTACCGATCAATTCTGGTCTCACTCACCTGTACTACTGTGATTTGGCGGTCATCGCTCAAGAGATCGTGAACAAAGTCTACTCAGTAGACTGTGTCATAGTACCATGGACTCATATCGAGAACCGAATGGCGGAACTAAGATCCCGAATCGACCTATGGTTCACAGGTCTCCCAACCGGCCTAGACTTCACCCGCAAGGAAGACGACGGCCCGGACCGACTACGAGGCAAACTAGTCCTCGCATTCCACTACTACAGCTCACGAATCACCCTCGGCCGCCCTTGTCTCTGCCGTCGAGATGCGAGGCAAAAGAACCCGGCAGACAAATCCTCCTTCAGCCACGACATGGCTGTACTAACCCTCGAGTCAGCAAATCGCATGCTAGACCTAATCCCTGACGAGCCAAACGCCACCCAGCTCTACGAGATTGCACCCTGGTGGTGCATCCTGCACTATCTAATGCAAGCAGCGACAGTTCTTCTTCTTGAACTAGCCTTCGGCTGCGTCCACATGCCAGACGACGAGCAGAATTTTATCCTCCTATCCAAAAAGTCTATCAGGTGGCTTTTCGCCATGTCAGAATACAGCGTCGCCTCTAGACGCGCATGGCAGCTTTGCGACATCAGCTTGCGCCGTCTAGCAATCGGCATGAAATTCGATGTTTCCGACGTCCCGTCATATTCCTACCAGTCTGCACCAACATCAACCATCTCGACCGAAGACGCTCAGGATAATGACCCGATTGGAACTGCAAATATCAGGATGGATGATAGTAATGGTCCTTGGGGTCCTTACATTGATGACTTGTCTCTGAACCCGCAGGATGTGCCCGTTGCCGACCAGTTCAACCCTATGAGTAACTTGAATTTCCCTTCTATGGATATGAACTCGATGTTGGCTGGAACCCAGTTGTCGGAGGACATGTATTTCCCTTATGATCCTATCAGTGGCGAGTTTATTCGATCTTTTTTCCCGAATTTCGGCGATGAGGAACAGTGAGATCAACAATGATTCCTATTGTCATTTTTACTATCATGTTTTTGAAAAGGACTGGAAAAACAAAAAGGGGCACTGGTGGCTTCTTTGATTAAATTAACGATTAAAAGTGGAGTTCTAGAGATATCCTTGATCGGTAGCGTTCATATTATACCAATATTTGTTTCGGCGAGATTTGATTATCCGTTTCTTTTTATCTTTCAAGGTCCAAAGTCATGTATACGTAGACCTAAGCATTGAATACACCTTCACTTGGTCAGATGTCTTCATTGGTACCTACGTAGGCAATAATCATTCAAAGGGGGTATTTGCAAGGAGAAATCTATATATATATATATTATACAAGCAAGACCGAAGTATGTGCAGTGCAGGTCTAGCAGATGCATACACTATAACCCAGAGCCAGTCGCCACGCGCTTTATCCAAGGATCATGCAAGGAATCCTTGAATGAATCTCTGCTATGCTTCCCCTGACCGGTGAAGACGCCTCGCCATCGTAGATAAGCCAAATAGCCCGGGACTTCGAGCTCGACGTCATGTTCAGGCATGCCTGAACTGAGGAACGTGGTAACGCAGAAATCAAGGACTTTCTCAACTTCTGTTTTTGGGGGGCGACCGCCCTTATGAGTTTGGTGTGGGTAGGTGAATTTGGAGAGGGGGAGTTTGTAGGAGGCAGATAAATTTGGAGATTTTGAGGAAGAAGAGGTGGTTTTAGTTGCTCTCTCCAAATCGTATTCCTTAATGGCGGCTCGTGAAATGATGCGGATTGTGTTCAAGTTTGGAACAATGGCCTTTTCTTGGATATGGGTATGCCACTTGACGTCGAAGTCCATCGTGTTCTCATAGCGGAGCTTAAGACGGGTTATACCTCCTTCTCGTTGGCGCTTGCGATCGGGACCCAGGGCTGTTCGACACCATCTCATCCAGACTTGCATGCCTGCCGTGCTGCCTTGAGTTTCCACGACGGCGGATAAGAGAGGGTGGAAGGCGACAGGGGGGATGTAGTGCAGTCTCTGGTGGCTCTTGTAGGTATGCTTGAGCTTTGCATCTGCAAGCAGTTCAGGCAGGACGCCAGGGATAGTCATAAACACGTTATATAATCGTTGAAGAACTTTTTGTTGGAAAACAGCCGCCCTTGGGAACTGGCCCCTGGATGAGTTGAATTCCTCATTGAAGAAACGGAGCATCGTGTTCTTGGCACGTGTCAAATTTGCAATATCATCTTTCACATCACCACCATGAGCCTGCTTGTGCTTAATGGCAGCATCTCGCACGATAATTTCTCTTGCAAGCACTGTAACATTACTGAACCCCCAGGACTTGGCTCTGTAGTCGCGCAAAAATTGGAGGGTCAAGACCGCACGTTCCCAGTCGTTGAACACAAAATAGACGTTGACCAGGGCTTTCAGCGTATTGACGGAGATCGGTGATTTGATCGATTGAACGATGAGCTTGTTGAGCTCGACATTATTTGTCGCAGAAGCAAAACGGAGAAGGGACGGTGCTAGGACTTGATCGCCGTAAGCACTCTCGGGAATGGTGGGGCCGTCAAGATCATCATTGAAGAGCAACCACTCTCCAAATTCATATGCCTGATTTGAAGTCGCCAGATCGAGCAAATCAGCCAGGGTAGCACGTGAGACTTGCGGGAGAGATGACTGGGATAATGGAGAGGCTTCTGAATCGAAGAATGGGACATTTAAGGGGTCGGATTGGCCAAGACATTCAAAAAATGCGCGGATGTGATGAGCCTTACTGGCATCGGCAATGCTTTGAAGCAAGGCGAATTGGGCAAAAGCGGGCTCAGATTGGCGCTCATAAGAAAAGGTTTTTATGCTGTATTCGATCAAACCAGCAATAGCCGCTGATTCGTCATACAGCTGTCCTCTCGTGAAGCTGTCCAGCTGTTTTAGCTCTGTTATGTCAGTTTCAGGCCAAGGTGGCACCATGTTTTGAGTGGACCTCAGTAAACGTGCAAAAGAGAGAGGATCTTTCTCGGGACGCAGACAGCCTGATCGCATGATTCGCGTAATATTCCAGTTGGTGTGCTTGCATGTTGGTCGAAGGTCGTCCTTGGGGCCCTGTCGTTCGAGCAGGCCACTCAAAGGAGCAGCCGCTTTGAGTAGATCCCGAGGTGTGGCGCCATAATTACCAAGTCCATTATAAGCTGCGTTGGAGAGGCCGTCTCGCAGACTGGAAACCACCTCCAAGCTGATGGTTCTATTACCAAGACCATGAAATGGAGGTTTGTCGCGCTTGGATGCCTTGGGTATATGATCATTACTCGAACGTCGCCAATACTGCTCAGTGCTGATATTGGTTCGGCGCACCACATCCAGATTATTGATCAAAGGTCTCCAGCTCTCAGCCGTCCATGCCTTATCCCCCTTTCGCTTCATCATCTCTTCTATTAGAGAGGCGCCGTATTTTGTAAAGCCGTGCTCGATGCAGCACCAAAGAATAAGCTCCATCCAGATTTCAGGGCCCAGCTCACGCACACCTACTTTGAAGGGGAGAAATAGTGGTTCCTCTCCTGCCTCGGTGGATGCAACTGTGATCGCGGACTGATGCTCCTGCCACGCTGCATCGGACAAGACAGCCATTATATGACCAGACAGCAAGTTCAGCGCAGGGGGATGGAAGATTATATCACTGGTGCGCTTCTCTGGGTATTGGTATATTCTGTCTGAGATCAGATCCAGATGGTGCAGACGAGCAAGGACACGATGAACATAGGACATGGCCATTTTGGACTCCTCCGTAGGACGATCTGCAGCTTCTAGTATCAATGACCCCAGATCCATGAAGACTTGGCCCAATAATCTGTTGGCAAAGAGTCGCGCGGCGGGTCGATGTGTCAAGATATCGAAACAAACATTATCTGGTGCAGATGCTTGAAAATTCACTTCAAGTTTGCCAAGCCTGTCACCCGATATCTCGTCCAGCGAAAGACCACTCGCATTCCAATCGAAACCTATTGAGGGATTCAGTGGGGTCATATGAGGAATGAGGAGCTCGTATGTGTCTATTGCATTGTTGAATATGGCGAGCACAGTAGACCATTGCTTCCGCTCGAAACCGATATGTATAGGAAGGACTAAATCTGCGGAAAGACGTGCCAGGTAGAGATATGAACTCAAGAGATAGCTCTGTTTGAGATCATCTTGGTGATCTAAAATCGAAGCGGCAGACTTGCGCCTATCCGCGACGTTCCCTTTTTCGGAATCCGCCTGCAAACATTCTTCCACTAATGTTATCCAGGCATCGGGCGATTTGCGAGAGAGCCCCTTCAGAGGAATTGGTGGAAGGCTGTCAAGTTTCAGTAACTTGTCGAATTCCTTGCCGGCCAGACTGTGTTTTGTCGAGATGGATTGGATATTATTGATGGGTCGAATCGGGGATCTGGAGAAGGGAGGAAAGGATAGGACGCGTGAGTTGATGGTACGACCGATTTGTAGAGGACGGCCGGAGCATAGGCAGCGCCTCATGGCACAGTGACAAGCCTTGCGAAAGGCGTCTGCGGAAGAATCACTACGTCGGAAGTCAAGCGGATGATGTGGTACATTTCGAGTTTATCAGGACGATTGCATGCTGAAAATGCTTTCCGATAAGTAGTATCAACACAGTATCGACAAGCCACAATCAAGTTACCAAATTTAATGAGTATGATGAGGTTAAACGAGAAAATGAATTCACAGGAAATTTGGTTTTACGATCGATATGGTTAGTCAGCATACAAGAGCATGTCGACCAATAAGAGGTTGGTTATCTACTTCAGTCTTCCGATCTAAAACAGATCACTACAAAAATAAGTAAGTATTTTACACTTATCGTATGTTTTGATTGGGGTATTTTACATAGATAAAATCAATTGACTTGTGGCCAAAAAAAAATCCGATCATCATTCATGAAAAGAAAAAAGCAACCTCACAATTCTTCCTCAAGTTCCATGTCGCCTCCAAGCTCCTGCTCCACTTCATCAACGACAAAGCTTTCGTAATCTTCGAGTCCCTTTTGAACGTGGACCTTGAATCGAATGACGTCGTTCAGCATAGTTTCCACATTAGTATGAAGCTCTTCTCGTAGTGCATTCGCCCGTAGTGTTAATTGCTCATACTCGATGTTGGTGTTCATCTCTCGCTGTTCCATCAATTGAACACTGTCACTCAGAGTGGCGCGCATCTTTGCAAGCTCTTTCTCCATCTTTTCGATCTGCGCATCAGATGCTAGCTTCTGAGTGGTTGTGATTTCCTTAGTACGTTCAAACTCCTCCTCTGCCGCTCGGCGCCGGTGCTCTAAGGCTTCAACTTCACTTCTCTTCTCATCCATTGCCTCCTTGATATTATCAAGTAGATTGCGGCGCTCGAGATCGTCATCAATGCCTTGCTTCCGTCGTTCATTGATATCTTTTCGAAGTGTTTGTAGACTATTGCGTACGAAGCCCCTAAGATCGAGATTAAGCAAATGTGCCGGGTGATATCCTGTGAAGGGTTCGGCCAAAAGGCGGTCACCTTCGGGGGAAATGCGATTTTGTGAGCCTCCAATCTGGCTGGCAGAGAAATTGTTCTCGTTCACCCTCAGTTCAAGCTCGAAGTCCTGACCATTGGCATTTTCGGCAGAGGCGGGAATCAGACTGGTCTGGTAGCCGAGAGTATTGTATGCTTTGACAATTTGTTCAAGATCTTCAAGCTTCTGGCTCGCTTCAGCCTCCTTCTCCATAACACGAGCATGGGTTTCTTCCAAGCGGGCCATGGCGTCTTCAAGACTCTTTTGAAGGCGCTCGCGCTCCGTGTTCATGCGGTCAATATCCTGGATGGTAATACCCTGCTGATCGACACTGGCTTGAAGATCGTTGCGCTCAGCTTCGGTCGCCTGAAGATCAACATCCGTTTTCTCGATTTCGGTGTCGAGAAATTTGATGCGAGTCTCGTATTTCTTGATCTTGCCTTTAACATTTTCGTTGTAATCCTCGAATTTTCTTTTATCGTCTTCAAGCATCCGGAAATGCTCGTCTATCTTGTTCATGTCCGGTGCATTCTTCTCCATCTTCTCGATCTGCTGACGGAGAGCTCTGTTCTCTTCCTCGAGGGCCTCCATCTCCTGAACATGCCGCTCATTGCCGCGGGCAAATTCTTGTGCCATGTTCTCAACGTGTGGGACCAATCTCTGTTCTGCCAATTCATCGTCCTCATCTTCACCACCTTGAAGCCAGTCGTGATAGGCACCAGTGAGAAAGGAGTAGATAATGCGATCTCCACTGACGTCCACCCCTACCTCGGCACAAGCCTCATCATACACACCCTGGCTAAAGCGATCCATCATTTGAGCCAATTGCATCAGCCAGTACAGCATTCCTAGAAAGGTCGACCAATTCTGGCCACCGACCGCTGCGATCTGAGACTTCGTAATGCCTTTTTCATATGGATAGCGCAACTGTTTGAGAATCGGGGGTACTTCAGCATCCATGGCTTTCTGAAATTTGTATCCGGGGTCAATGCGATGGTACAGCCATTGGAAAATGTAGTTGAAATCCTTTTGAGTTGGCGAGCGCAAAGTATTCTGGCCCAAAGTGTGCTTCATCTCTAGCTCGAATTTGTTGTTGGTTAGGTATTCTAGAAGCTCCTGCCCAATTCGCGCCTGAAAAGATCGATCCCGGAGTGGTCGTGGATCCCTGGGGACTCCAGCTACAGATGGGACCTGGTTAAAGAACGACTGATGGCCCATCGGACCAGCCATCGAGGGCCGGGAGAACACACTACTACGACGTTGTTGGCTGGGTGTAGGGGCCGGATTCGACGAAAGAGAACCTGGCGCATAGCTCTGTCGGCTCGCACTAGCACCATGAAACAAGTTGGCCGATACGGAGCGTCGCACTGACTGGAGGCCAGCTTCAACACCAAATGGACCAACGGATGAAACGCGCCCAAAATTTGGCTGTTGGGGTCTGTTCGTCGAATTCAATAGGGAGGTTCGGGTGTTTTGCGATGTGAATTGAGGATTGTTGTATCCAATAGAGCTAGTGCGCTTCAGAGCTGATGCAGGTTGGGGAATCGCCGAAAAGTTTTGGACACTCCCAAGCGTCTAGTTTCTACTATCAGCCAAACCTTTCATCTTGCGACGGCCAGGAAGGACTGCATACCTCGCGGGGACGCCTGACACTAAACAAACCAGTATCATGCGACATAATGATAATAAGGCCGCAGGGGCGGCGGATGGAGTTGAGATTTTCGATTAATCAGTAGGAGTGTCAAAAATTCAATATTTGAGAGTCTAAATTCAAGCGCGCATAAAATTCCTTGAGGAGGGGAACTTTGTTATCAGTTGGGCGGATGTAAACAAGCCTTACGATTTCCTTAAATGGTAGGCGGTGGGTAGCGGGAAAAAATAATTGTCACGTGTCACATAGTCTGGGGAAGGTCGAGTCTTGGCGCGCTGAGTTCCGAGGTCCAGCTGCTGATAACGGTACTCACTCTTTCTCCCTCATTATCCACAGGTCTCCTTAGCTGTAGCCATCGCTTCATCAAAATGGCTCCCAGAGAGGAGCTGATTGCTTCTGCTGTAAGTGCTCTACCTCTAATGTCCGCTTTCGATCGATAATTAACGTAGCTCTAGGTGACCTGTATGATTCCATGGCAATATCGCATGAGCTTTGCTAATATGAAATAGTCCTCCAAGACCCTTCAGTAGCGTCTTCACCAATCGAGAAACGAGTCGCATTCCTTCAATCTAAAAATCTAACCCAAGAAGAAGTCGATGTCGCTTTATCGCGTGCTGGCGAAGATCCATCGGCTGCTGCTGCCGCTTCGGGCAGTACGCCCTCTTCGCAGAATTATCAGTCACAACAGCTTGCCTATCAGCCTCAGGCTCAAGTTACCCAAGGATACGGCTATCCCCAATATAATCAATGGCAAGCTCCTCCAGAGTATGTGCAACTCCACTTGAAGAATTGCTCTCGGTATCTAAAAACTAATCGCGTAGCAGGCCACCGAGGCGGGATTGGCGGGACTGGTTCATCATGGCGACAGTGGTTGGTGGTGTAGGGTATGGATTATATACTGTCACTAAGGTATGATATACATCTCTTGGTTCCTTGAGTTCTTACATACTCACCTGCCAATCCAGCGTTATATCTCCCCATTGATTGCCCCGCCAACACCTCCTCAACTAGAGCAGGACAAGGAAAATATTGATGAGCAGTTTTCTCGTGCGTTTGCATTAATTGACCAGCTCTCGACTGATACCGCGGCATTGAAGGCCGCTGAAGATGCTCGTACAGAGCGCTTGGATTCCGCTCTTAAAGATGTCGAGGGTCTTGTCACAGATCTGAAGATATCATCCCGCCGGAGAGACGATGAAACCCGCCGAATTAGCGATGAAGTTAAGTCACTGAAGGATGCGATCCCTAAGGCGCTTGAGGGTGCTCGGGAGGGTAATGAGAACCGTTTGAAAGAACTTGGCACTGAATTGAAGAGCCTGAAGGTCTTGCTGGGAAACCGACTTGGTAGCGGTGGCACCACTACTCCCGTTGGCGGTAGAACGGTTGGAAGCTCAACTCCAGTTCCATCCATCAATCCTGTGGCTCCCTCTACACCGGCAGCTAGTGGCTTGCAAGCGTCTGTTTCTTCCCCAGATCTAGAATCACAGTCGTCGCCAGCCATCCCTGCGGTTAGCGCTCAGGTCCCAAGCAGGCCACTTTCCCAACTCAACCGATCTGCATCTATTCCTGCATGGCAGATGGCGGCTGCCAATCGGTCTACGAGCTCGCAAGCATCGTCGGTTCCGGCTACCTCTGATAAGCCGGATAGCAACAGTGAGCAGAGTGTTCCAGCCAGCTAAGTTCAAGATCTGTAAAATTAAACAATTTTGTAAATCTTGCCGCTTAATGTATTTACCCTAACAAAGGGACTACTTCCACCTGTTGATTCAAATACGGACAGCAGCAACAGAATTCAAATATGCTCGCCCATATTATTGGAAATAATCATACCTGCCTATACAGATTTAAGAGGAAAAATTATGAGTCAAAAAGTGTCGTTATTAATGGTCATTCACTGTTGAGTGACACCTCACTGTCCCATATTGTTCTTAGTCGTTTAACCATGCCCACGTCTCAAAGAGTCCACTATGTGCCAGCTAGTCAATATGACAAAATATTGGCTAAGTCGTTCTAGCACATTATCGCCGTTCCACATGAAAAGGTCTCGGGTACAAACCACTGGTGCTTCTACCTTTTGACCTCCTCAACAACCTCAATGCAACTTGAATGTCAGCCAAGCTACACTATTTCAAGCTCTATCCTCGAGGAAGGCTCTAAAGCCAACCTGTTTAATTCAGATGTCCCCCATAAAACTCTGCCCGATTCAATCTAAATTCAATATTGACGTTGAATCTGGGGTATCACTTGGCCGAAGTTGGGAGGAAGTAACCCATCAAGGACACCACAAATATGAGTTCGATTCCATTGGAATTGGTTGCAGATGGTGGGTTACAGAGAAGATCCAGCTCCTACATCAACTGGGAATTATTATCAATGCATCACAGGTCGTGAAACCCAAAGCTAGGATCAAAAAGCTATGGGTAAATACCACTTCCCTTCAACTAGGGTGCTTCTCAGGGATGATGAGTCAGGATGTTGAGATGGGTTTGATATTCCGAACTCGATTTAGCTCAAGTCTCATGAGACGGAAAGGCTGAAGTTCAGGTATGGAATGAACAATCGGAAATCCTGATAACCAGTGAACATCAATATGATCAATGATATTAGTCAGAAGCATTCTGCCCGTAAATTATAGTACCATTTTTACTCTGCATCTAAAAAATCAAGTGCGTAGCTCCTTTTCGAGCACCATTCATTTTCAAGAGTGATGGAGTACGAAGCGCATAATTCTGTCGTATCATACCGCTTTGATATAAGTGGGACTTGCCGATAAGAGATAAGGGGCGCAAAGTGATATCAAAGTCATACTGTTTTTCGTCTCACTCAACAACATGTCGTCTTCTAATCCTCACCGCCGATCAGCTTCACCACCTGCACGGAGCTCAGACCGGCACCATCGTAGCCATTATTCACATTCTAATCGCCTACGACACCGAGATAGCTCCCGTTCGCGTTCTCCACACCGATCCAAAAGACACGACTCAGGTCGCCACCGTCACCATGACAGAGAACGAGATCGTCATGAATCTAAAAGGGCAGCTTCTCCAGCAAAACATGTGGTTCTTCCACTGAATGCGCGGGAGCTTTCCAGACGTGATCTGGAGGTATTCGAGCCCATGTTCGCCATGTACCTAGATATACAAAAAGGGAAATATATTGACGAGCTACCCGAGGAGGAAGTGAAAGGTCGATGGAAAAGCTTCATAAGAAAGTGGTAAGTTCAGGTGCTTAATATCTCGTATTGCCATGTTTGCTAATTTGCACAGGAACCGTGGAGAACTCGCTGAAGGCTGGTACGATCCAACTACCCTTGAAAAGGCTCGCAAAAATGTAGATTACCAGCCAGGTGAAAAATACCACGGAAGAGACTCGCCAGAATATGGAAACGAGCAATCGGAACCTCGGGAGGTGCAAGCACCAACGGATGAAGATGATGAAGACGACGAGTACGGACCGACCCTCCCTCAAGGCTCGGCAAGGATCGTGCACTCCGGACCGACGATACCAAATATGCAAGACCTTGAGCTCAAAAGAGAACTTGCAATTGAAGATGCCATCAACATGCGCGGGGAATCCCGAGAACAATACCGTAATGAGATCCGCTCTCACAAGACCGCTATGCGCAACCTACAAGACGAGATAGCCCCTCGCGCGGAACCCGGAACCAGAGAAAGACAGCTTGAGAAGCGACGGGAAGCAGCCGCCTCGAACCGCTTGTTTGCAGCAGCGCGTGGCGGCTCGCCGGAGGCTGCACCTGAGGAGCAACTCATGGGCTCTGGAGACAATGATTTGGTGGCTCTGAAACGGGAAAAAGAGATGGATCAGCGGAAGAAGAACGATAGAGAGATTCGACGCGAGGAGATTCTTCGGGCTCGTGCTGCGGAGCGAGAAGAACGGATCCAGAAGTATCAGGAGAAGGAGAAGGAGACTATGGGGTGGTTGAAAATCCTAGCAAAGGAGAGGTTTGGCTGAAGATACATGTTAGGTAGAACTAACCCTGGAGATTCAGTGGCTACCAGAGCTTCGTCAACCTTCTATTTTTATTATTTGATGATAGCACTAACCTATTTCCCTTGCATAGATAGGGTTTCTTCCCTTGAAATGAGATCCGAATCTACTCTAGCGAAAAAGCCTGATGTGATAGTATACCTCGGCGGAAAGACCTCGCCTTGGAAGGTTTCAATTTGTCTTTCACTTGCCTTTTTCTTGTAGATGGGAATATCACTCTCACCGCGTACAGTTGGAAGCTCAAGGCATCGACGAGTACCAGATCTGTTCCCTCACTCTATAAGACTATGACTCTTTCGTATAACGCTTTCGTCTGACGAAGTGCCAGGGGAACGTGAGGGCTTGACGTACAAAATCTATGACGAGGTCATTTCAGCTTGGCTGAAGGATTACCATACAGAATATTTTCATTTTAACGTGACAGCACGTTAAAATGTCCAACGAACGTTCAACAGCAACGGTAGAAGCAACAGAAAGAGGAAAAACCACAACATAGTACTCCACAGAAAATACAGTAAAAGCTCACTTACAGTACAAACCGCTTTCAATTCGGGAAATCTAAGAGTGCATTTTACAATTTATAATGGGCATTACTGACACCAATGGAAACAATAGAACATGATTGAGAGATTCATGTGCAACGTTTTTATAGAGGTGATCTGGATGAGAGGAGCTACCATGGCCGGACATGGTGCAATTGTTATTGCGATTTGGAAGACCAGCTCCTGACAGAAATAGTTGATGATCCATTGCGACAGATACCCCCATAGATATCAAGCTTCCAGAACACACAGATGCAGAGACATCCGATGCCGAATCCTCATTAAATGAAGAACGAAAGCACATACTCCTCACTTTGTCGAAATTGAAAGATAACAGAGAACTCAACACAGAAATCGGTTTGAGTCGGCCTACTACTTGTGTGTGAGATATTCTATGAATTTTGATACGCCAGTTGAAAGATTCAGGCCAGACTCTAGGAGTCAGCAGGACTCCTGAGATTTTGGAAGTTGGAGGAGCCCTGGGAGCAATTTTGGAGACTCGATAATGCTACCAAGGACTTGGCTTGTCACTAAGTTCTTGGCACCTTAGCCCACGACCTCGCACAGAGATGGCGTGCGCTCAAAGCCAGGAGGAATCAAAGCTGGCAGTCTTTATAGGTGCCTCAAGAAAGCCCTCATTTCACCTTATCTTCAGAGCTCTCCATCTCTTGCTGCTGTATTTTTATTTTATCGTTGGATTCCTATTTGAAACTAAATTCTAACCATCATCACGAATGAACCAAATGATATTCCACCAACGGGGAACCAAGGCTGCATCTTGTCTTTCATTCATGCGTTGTGCCTGATAAAACCATCGATCATATACCTATATAGTACCTAGGTAGGTTGGAAGGCATCACTTATTCCCGATGTCTGCTCCTCCAATTTAGGTATCTACCCTGGTAGGTGCCATTCATTGCATTCTATAAACCAAACACTAGGTATCCTGTTATGAAAACCTTAGAAATGGATACCAAAGACATGTATATATGGATCTATAAGCAAACTCAAGCCCGAAACGAAGCAAGCGACTGACGTTGTCGCCCCTGATCATCAAAGTTGGCAGGATCAAGCCAAGATTCGTAAGCCTTTCTGAAAGCCGGCCACTCCGAGTCAATCATAGAGTACCAAACCGTATCGCGATTCCGACCTTTAACAATCATATGCTGACGAAAGACGCCTTCACGCGTAAAGCCATAGCGAGCAGCAGCACGTTTAGACGACTCATTCGTATCACAGCACTTCCACTCAAAGCGGCGGAAGCCCAGATCATCAAAGACTGTCTTAGAAAGTAGATACAAGGCTTCAGTGGCCGCTGTTGTGCGTTGCAAGAGTGGGGAGAAGATGATGCCGACCTCGACAGAGCGGTTCTTTAGGTCGAGATGCATGAGCATTAGGACCCCGAGTGCTTTCTTGGTCGGTTGATCAATTAGCGCGTAGATGAAGACGCCTTCAGCTTGGGAGGCTGCTGCGATGAAATGGTGGAATGAGTCCTTGTCGTTGAAGGGTCCATCTGGCACGAAGGTCCACAGTTCTGCGTTTGATCCTATACTTTCGTAGAGGTCTGTGATGTGTGATGGGTTCAGTGGCTCTAAATGGACTGAGCGACCTGGTCGTGAGACATCATTTGGTGCTTTGGCTTGTGTATTCATGCTGGGAATGAATGATTTGGATCAAGTGAATTGTCGATAATCTTAAAACGCATGTTTGAGGAGTGGGCCAATCACGGCGGGTCCGCTTTTTCCTTTCTAGCTATACCTTATCGGGTAATACTTATTTAGATCATACAATCTATGCATACTGTATTGTCTATATAATTCTTGACTTGCTTGTCTATATCCAGAACACCTGAAAAAAAAAATCACTTTTAGCCCAGCCTGTAGGATTCACCCATAGAGCATCGTTCATGCATGTCTACCCAGATCTAAATCCTTCACCAACTTCAGATCACCATTCCCACCAGCTTGCAGCCCAAAGAACGGCTTCACAGCAACATCAACAGTCTCCTCAAACAATCTTCCGACAGCGACATCCCTCAGGTTTTCACCGGTCTGTCCAAAATCAGGGAACGCATTAAATTCCAATAACCACGAATTGCCGGAAGCATCGACCAAAAAGTCAACCCCAAATAACTCAAACGCATTAGGCAGTGTCTGGAAATGCACCATCATGCCTCGGGCCGCAGCTTCAAACACCTCACCTGTTACAGCACAAATTTGGTCGAAGATCTTCTCCTTCCAGTCTACCGCGAGACCGGGGACGTGATGATCTAGGTCCCAGAAACGACGGACACTGCCCTCGTTTGAGCTTCCACCTTCCTGGAAACAGGTGTTGGTTAGGTGGCGGGCTAGATCTTTTACTTCGTCTTCTTCTTCGTTGGGTGGGCAGTAGGGCTTTGCGGCGAAGAGAGCCAGCATCTCCTTGAAGACGTATACTTTGAGCGAACCGGTTGCTAGAACGTATGTCCGGATGTGGAACTTGCGGTTTGATGATGAAGGGAGCAAAAGTGGAGGGTCGATGTAGGGCTGTGCAAGGAAATGGCGGAGTTGGGACGTGACTACGCCGTCGTCGTGGGCGGGTTTCTGATCGCTGTCTGCATTCTCGGAGCAATCATCTTCTTCCTCATCACTGTCTTCATCCCATTCCTCGAAGATCTCGCGTAGTTGGTCTTCGCTGTTGAAGAGACGGATTCCTTGGCCCCGGTCACTCATGCCGGGTTTAAGGATCCACCATTCTCTTTCAGACTCGGACAGCTCTTCGTTCTTCTCTAGGCTTTCACGCAGCTCATAGGCTTCCAGTAGAGCTTCATCAAGGAATTCGGAATAGTCTAGCTCGAAGTCAACGGCGGGCTTGAAGTGGTTGCGGAGGATGCTGTCTGGGTGTTTGGCAATCCAGTTAGCCACAGTGTTTGAGAGGTAATGTTTGCGAATCAGGGCCTTGCGGATGATGTAGGCGTTGGAAAGGGAGGTCGACGGCCTGGTCATGACATGTTCAAAGTCAATGCGCTCGTATTCGCGATACTGAAACAAAGGCGCAGATGAATCCGGTAGCTCGGATACATATGAGATGCGCTTGGAAGAAGCATTTCCGAGGCGACGGGTCAATGCTTGATCAACCAGATGCTGCACATATGGATCGTCACAGTCGACTATCGAGTATATAGTGGGGTTTTTGGTGGAACTACAGCAAAATCCATCAGAATCGATTCAAGTAACTGGACAAAACAGGAATCAAATGATAAAAAATTGTTGGGAATAAGTGGTCATGATGTTTATCAGCTAAGCCACATATCTGAATATCCGAATCATAACATAACCTTCGTAGCCATTATGCTAATAGTCTCTACTCACAGCTTAATCTCCCCAGATAAACCAGGTACATTCATAAAGCTTGCCTTCAGAGGCGTGACACTAACAACAGATGATTAGCATTCCAAAGTTTTTTCGTTAATGGGCAATGGAACTAACCTAGTCATTTGTTCCTTAACAACCCAGCCGTCATTTCCAGGAGGATTCTCCTCGACGCTGCGATAAACGTCCTGCAGGCTCGGAGCCCACCTGAAGTGCTTGTGCTGGAATCCTTTAAGGTTTTCGTTATTAGTCACTTCGGTCTTCTGAGAGCTAGTAGTCTCGCTAGCAATGCGCGAACGCTGCTCCTCAAGCTCAGGTTCACCACCTTCAGCAGGGTCGGTAGATTCAAAACAGCCACCAGACTTCCACTTATTGATCAGCATATCGGTATAGAGAACCTTATTCTCGCTCATACCCGGCTCGAGTGGAACATTGACGCTGTAGAGGTCGACACCGTCGACCCAGTTAGTGTAAAGGTACTCAATCAACTTTACGGAATGCTGCGATGCCTCTGCAATAATGATAGGGTCGTGATTACGAGAGCTGAAGGCATAAGACAGTGCAATAGAGCGTTTTCCACAGACTGCACCCTCCATTGCGGCGCCAATAGTTCCGCTGGACAGAGCGAACAGAGCTGTGGTGTTGCGTCCATAGTTCGGGCCCGAAACTACCAGGTCAATTGGACCTCTATCCTCAAAGTAATGATGGAGACCAATCTGGACACAGCTTGCTGGAGTTGAGTCGATCAGAATCCATTCGTCACCGCCGTCATCGGGCTCGCCGGTACTGCCCCGGGGCAGGTGGTGGACTGTCCCATCTTCATGGTGAAGAGTGCCTGGCCGGAAGTAAGTTGGCTTTACGGATGCACCGACCAAGTGCGCCTTGCCGATCCATGATCGCTGCTGGTGGGGGAGGATGACGGAAACTGTGTGGCCGGCAGACTGGAGCGAATGCACGAGGGAATGAACGTACGGCGAAGATTGGTTCGACGGGGGGCCGTCGTCGTTGGTGACCTAGCAGCTACAATTAATTATAATTTCAGAAGGAATGAGCTGGTCAGTTGAGCCTCACCAGAATATGCATGGCGTCAATTCCAAAGAAGTGCAGGGTGAAGGGGAGTGTCGAAGTAAAGAAATTGGAGATTTGACGCGGGGCTACTTTTATCGGGACTCGGCGAAATCAAATCAAATTAGGCTATTTGGGTAGATATTGCGTTATTGGGTATAGCAGAACATTTCAATACAACCAGCTCTCCTGAATCGTGAATTTTGAATTAATTTCAATAATCGTCTTCTAATCGGCTTCTTCGTCTCTGAAGGCCACGCTCTTCCGCACTCTGAAGTGCTGAGCCGAGGCCTTCGTCGTCGCCGGGATAGTTAGATAGCAAGCTGCTACTGCTATCTGACTCGGGTTCTTCCTTCTTAATCTTGACAGTGTCAGCGTAGGAAAGACCATCTTCAGCTTCAGATTCTTCTTTCACAAAGTCACGCGACTCTTCCTTGACTTTCTTGATGTCACTAATCTGGTTTGGTTCATTCTCAGGCCGCAACCCCTTCAGAACGAACCACGTAAAGCTAGCAGATATCATAGAGATAGTCCAGAACATGGAGCTAAAGACGGCAAAGGAAGTCAGCTTCCAGCGGTACATAATCCAGCTATTCTCAAATTAGCAAGTTGCTGCAGGGTCGCAATAGTAATAACAGCAGCAGTAGTAGTCCATACCGAAGCCCGCTAAATCTAGCACGGAATTCCACTCGCGCCGAGTATATCTGCATCTTTCCATGACTGTGAATCTGCAAACGCAAGCTCTTTGGTAGATTCTGCACGCCACGAGGAAACTCAACTTTCTCCATCATCGGCACCTCCAACGTCTCGGCTTCTCTATCCCAGCCCACCACGTAAAGTGGCAAGCGTGCCAGTATTCTAGCCATATCTACGAGAGGTGACGTATAAGTCAGGAGCGCAGGTCGACGAGAGTGCGCGATCGGGAGCGAGGCATTGCTGGCCGGGATGCGAACAGCGTCGGATGGGTGCGAGTAGAGGGCCAGGTCGATCATGAAGTTGCCGATATCTAGATTAGAGGGGGTGCGAGGTAATTCAAGGGTCACGGCGACATCGTAGGGTTGAGAGGATACAAATTCTGATTCAAATGAGGCTATTCCCCACGGATCGAAAAGACTGTTCATCTCTGAGTTAGTATAGTCTGCAAAAAGCCACTGCAATCATGGGCGTTTGTTTGTACCCGAATTGGAGGTGGACTTCTCGATCGACCCCGACAGTGGGTATGAAATTCAGGTAGAAGATTCCATATGCAACTCCGGATATTGCCAGTAAAACGAAAGTAGCGCTGGTGAAGAGGAGTATATTGAGGTATATGCGAAGTGCGCTCTTGGAGAACAGTACGCGGAACGGCGTGAGGAGTGCATTCTGTTGATGTCAGTTCAATGTTGCGAGAAAATAACATTAGAGATTAGAGAAGACACTAACTATGACAACCTCCTGGATGGATGAACTGTCAAATTCCGTTCCATCGTCTGTGTAATCTGAATGCGCCATCGCGGATAGCTGTAGGGAGGAAGTCGAAGTTGGTCGGGGTTATTACTGCTTATCGGAGCTCTCACAACCAAGCTCCGCACTCATACCACCGCCACATCATCACACAGCCCCAACGCTGGGTACATCTATGTAGTTGAGACCCTCTCCCATGCCACATAGCTTCCCTGTCTCCATTACTCCTTTTATGACTGAGTAAATTTTAGCCCGGGCTTAGACTTGGTGAGCTGGTCTGGTCAGTTCCATCACGTGACTGGAGATCCTACTAGAAGGCATCTTAGATATGAGAAGGTCCACGTTCAGTCTAAACCTGAAGAGGCAGCTGTTTATCTTGTAATTTTTAATGAAGTTTTCTATTTACATGTTCCCACTTAAAAAGTCAAAATACCGCGTCGGGTAAGATGACGAAGAAATAGAAGCTGCTCATGCAGAGAGAGCTCACATAAATTAGGGCTAATTCCAATCTATAGATCACACCCATAGTTTGCCTTCACTCTCTCCTTCAGTATTCACTTCCAAGGCTAGTCATGGATAGGAAAGACATGCTTTCTCCATGCCTACGTATTGGTCTATATTTACATTGAACACACCCAGCCTGGTTCAGCAGTCGCCCCAAGAGCGTGCAGCTGTACTTTAGCACACTGGTAGTTCTAATTCTACTGCTCACTCATCGACTACTTCGGACTCTACAGCGACTTATACTAGAGGTACTGCTGGTGCTATTCGTATTCTGTACGTTGCTCTTGCGCTGTAAATCCATGGATGCTGAATATCATAATATGGATACAAGATGGATCGAAATCAGCTCCATCAGTTTGCTCTCAAAAAATATCTGTGGAACTAGATTTCTGACTTAGCCTAGTTTATAAGTTTAAATATTGAATCGTTCTGAATGTATCAAATGCAAGATAGAAAACAGTCCTGGAGGGTGACCAATTGAAAAGGTTGTGTGTGTATGTGTGTTCTCATAAGCTAGGTACTTACCTTCGTAGTATATTGCATCCATATCGGCATGAGCAGTCTACATTTCAAGGTTATTACGAAGATACATTGGAAATAATTTAAACATGACAGATCGCATTAAAACCCCAGCCGTAATGCAGAGAACCATCAACTCCAGCTTTTACGATCTAATCATTACATGTCGCGTTCCAGGCTTACGCGAATAAGAAGGGAAAAATAAGATAAATCATGGTCTCTCAGCTCATGCGGAAATCGTAAAACGAATAGGAAAGATATGCATACCATCCCCTGAATAAAATCCCGACCGGTAATGTGAGGCATAAAAAGTAACGTGGAAGCAATAGACCCCAGGAAGAATACAATGGAAGAGTGGAGAGCCAGCATGGGGATACCGACTGTGTGAATTGGTCGAAGAAGTTTCGATAGGAGTAGGAGGAAGCCTATGAAATTGGTCGAGGGCTTTGCTGTTGGATGTGCTGGAGGAGAGCGTCAAACAGGCGACCGATCTGTGTGCAAATTATGTTGGTTAATGTTTACGTTTGGAGAGAACCCCCGTTTGTTTCAGATGAATCGTACCTCGGGAGCCGCCTGGATGAAGGGAAGACGGAAGAAAGAGTAGCTGCGGTTCTGGAGAAGCTCTTGCAGCGTGATGATGAGGCCCCATGGGTGGGGTCGGTGGACGATGAGTCGCTCAAGCAGAACACGAATGATTTGTTGGCGAATGTCAGAATCATCAAGTTCCGAATAATCCACACCGAACAATCGCAAGATGGTGAAACTAAAGAAGTAGGTGTGGCTATTAGGGTAGCGCAACTGGTTCGCCATTGCGCTCAGAAGATAGTACCGAGCTTCGGGCTGCATAGTCTGTGCAATCTTATCTAGAAGAATGGCTTGGGTCGAGTTCTCAAAGACACTGCGAGTGTTGCTCTTTGACGCATGCTCCACCACTGCTTGCTGGCCAATATACAATACCAGCGCATTCAAAAGAACGACGTTCACATTAATTGGTGCGTAGAAAAGTGCGGTCTCCCTAGCCCCGTCGGGATAGGTAACAGCCTCACAGATCCGCTGAACCATGGCATCGGAGACATCATCACTCTGAATGGCAGCATCGACGATTTCCTTTATGCGGTGCTGCTCGAGAGGCGCAACAATATCGCCGGCAATCTTGGGGATTTCCCGCATCTCTTCAATACGCTCGACCTTGAGGCCCTCACGGAAAGGATCCGGGAGCTTTTGGAAGGAGGATGGGTAGGCACTGAGAACTAGGTTTCGAAGTTGGGCGCAGTGAGCCGGGATCACATTGCAAAATTGGAAATGGTTCTCAGCAACAAACTCCGGGAAGTCATGGTGCAGAATCAGCAAGATGCGAAGAACGCCCTTGTACAAATCCTTGGCGACATACGAGATGTTAGCCGCCTTGAGCTGCTCGCCAATGTAGGAAAGCAAGGCTTGCATAATCTCACAGTAGGGCGCCCAACCGGCACGCTCTGGCATGTTGAGCATGCTAGACATGAACACGCGGTGGGAGACCAAAGCGAACCATCCATAGACAAAAGCGGGCACGAAACGAGGCTGCAATGACAAGATCTTGTCTGCCACTGCAAAGATCATACCCTTGTGCTCGGGATGGTTCTGGAGACCAGCTAGGGTGTACTCGCAAAGGAGGCTAGAGAACAGACGGAAGAAGACTCGTTGGTTGAAACCTTCTCCCCGCATAACCTGGTGGTGGTTAAGGACCAGGACCAAGGAAGAGAGGATGGAGCTGAAATATGCAGGTTTCTGGGTCTTCACAGCGCCCGTGTTCTCACCCTGGAATTTGACCAAGAGAATGATAAGTTTCGCGAGTGCGTCAGTGTGGATGAAGGCTTCGTCTAGGCTTCCGTTGGGGTTCTGGTACTCGTGCTCGTACATGGTGACGGACACGTCGATACTGAGACGGAAGAACAGAGCAGAGTCTTCAACGGTGTTCATAACCTGACGGTTGTGCATATCCTGGAGGAAGGAATGATATGTACGGTCAGTAGCACCGGAAGCTTTGTAAACACCAAGCCATTCTGAGAAGATGTACTCCATCTGGTCTCGCTTAGATCGGGACTGGTCGGTGAGAAGTGTGTTTATAACTTCGGGGATACCGCAATCGCGCAGCTTGCGAATAATCTCCAGAGCCGGAGCTAGATTTCCATCTTCTGTAAGCCACTGGCTCATTGCTTCAAGGCTGCCAGAAAAGTCAGATCGGAGAGCCGAGGGTTCGTCACTGAATAGAACCCGGTCCATTAACTTGTCAAGCAATTCAAGGGCGCTGACATTCTTCTGCAGGATGAGACGAGTCAAAACCATGTCGACCCGACGAATGTCGAGAAGGCCAGTGTTGATGAGAGCTACGGTAACAGGCACGTTGAACATATGCTCGTCATCAATCTCCGCAAGAAGCGCCCAAGTGTACCGAGCGATCAGCGTAGACATTTCACAGATCTTTGCCAGAAGATAAACTAAAACCTCGAGTTCCAAGGGTTGAGGAAACTGAGAGTAAAGAGTAGTGCAGACTTTCAACGAGGTCAGCCGTGCCATCTCCTCGCCGTTGGGAGAGGTCAAGATGATGCGCAAAGCCTGGTTGTACTCCTGAAGAACAGGGCTGTCTCTGGGAAGGTCCTGCATATGCTCCTCACTGGAACTGCGAGCGGATTGCTGCAGGTCGGAGATGATAGACTCAACTCGCTCACGAGGGTTTTGAGAGTCAATGAAGCCGTTAGTCTGGATACCCATTTGTGATGCTGCGTGTTGTGCCTGAGGTGTTCTATGAGGCACGGCAGGCTGCTCAGCAGGAGTCGAGAGGTTCGGAATCGTCGGGTACGACTCTTGGAGAACATCTGGAAGCTGACGGCCAGAATCAGTCGGAACATTCTGAGGGAGAACAGCTCCAGGACCTCGCAACTGGCGGGCGAACTCATCGTATATGGCCAGCTGTTTTTCGTTCAGACCGCCAGTGGTTTGACGGTAAGGATCGGGGATGAACAGGCCCCATCGGTTCATTGTTGGGTCAACGAAAGGCTCATTGGGTCGAGTAGCGAGGTGACGACGGCGTGCCTCCAGCTGTGGCTCAATCATCTTTTCAATTTCTGGCAGAGACTTATCCTCAGCGGCCTTCTCAACTATGCCGCAAGCGCCATCCAAATTGTCATTGACACACATGATAATCAAGCCCTCTGGAATAGGTGACTCGGAGAACTCTTGCTGAATCATCCGGATGTAGTTGGTCATGCTGACCTTGAGTGGCTCCTTGCAAGTGACTAAAGCGAGGCTACCAGCAAGTTGTCTGGCCATGATGCCAGCAGCATGTCGCACCTTCTCCTCATCAGGCTCCATGCCAAAGTCCTTTGTAACCAGCTGGACAGTGGAGATGGAGGCAATGGTAACAGAGCGCTCCACAACCGGTGTGATGATTTCGGCAATTGCACGCTCCATAGAGGCCAGGATAATCTGTCGCAGAATGTTGGCATCCACCATGCCGCTTGCAGAAGGAGGCAAAACGAGAATCTTGTCGAGACTAGGCAGGCTTGAAATGATAGCAGATGGCGACAATCGCTCATTGCGGATACCCTGAGTAATTGAGGTAAGTGTCATGTCTTCAAAGGCATCTAGGCCCTCTGGAATGTTGGCTGCCGAAACATTTTGTTCGCCAGTAGCAGAGGCAGAGAGGTCACGAATGATAAAGGCAGGTTCAATCGTCTTGTGATCAAGATCAAGGTCTTTGCAGAGCACTTCGATCTCAAACTTAAGATTGAGCTTCAACTCAGCGAAATGATAAAGCTCCAGCAAAAGACTCAGGACATCCATAAGCCAAGGGTTAGGGGATTTGAACACCGTCGACGATGTAGCTTGAACAAGAACTTTGCACGTAAATGGAATTGCAACCGTCAGCCGAGACGTACGATGACCTTCCAAGAGCAAGCCCTTGAAATAAATGTTTTTGTGCTTGATAGGCTTGTCCTTGGCAATTGTCAACGAGCCAAGCCAGGAGCCCAGATTCTTGAGGTGGCCTCGATCGGTGGACGAGCTCAAAGTAGCTTCGGAGTTTAAGATCTTGGCAATACTGACGTATGTCTCTCTCAGGACCTCATCCCAAAGGATCTTATCATCGATCCGACCAAGAAGATCGAGATACAGCTGCTGGAAGTTGGGTTGCAGCTTTGCACGCTCTTCAACTAAGTAGGCTGCAAACCATTGATGGTGTTTGTCACGAAGAACCTCACGCAAGTCCGCCAGTTTCTCATCAAGATTCTGCTCCGAGACGTTGTTGAGCACGAATAGAATCTTATCCTGGCTGTCCTCATCTGGATCCTGGTAAAGATCCGTCCGAGTGGGGGGATCCGCATGTACAGAGCGGAATTTTCGTGAAGGTGACGTGCCGTCGGCTGTCAAATCTTCAACGTTGCCGGAGTTACCATTGGAAATCTTCGGCGAGGGAATTTCGAAATTTTCAGCTCCCTTGTCACCAACTGGGTTTCCTTGTTCTTGTAAAACTTCCTCTGCTTTCTGCGAAATGGGTGTACCCTGGAGGTTTGGAATCTGAAGAAGTAGATGGCAGAAGCCAGCCCACTCAGAAAGGCGGTTGATAAGCTGCTCGATAGCTTCCACGCCAAATTTGAACATTGGATCGTGGACATCGTGATCTCTGACAGCTTCCAGGATCATTCCCAGGCCGACCTTGAGTGTGATGCCGTCTACCAGGCCAAAGTTAATAATGCCACCGAACATAACGGCGGTTTTCGTTAAAGCTTCAAGTGGGTACTCATGGTAGCAGTGATATTCGTCAATGAGGCCATGCACCATACACGCAAAAAGGTCCTGTTCTTCGGGGTTTTGGGATGACTTGTACTGCCGCATCAACTCCAACATTTCTCTGAGCGACAGTTCTTCGTGATACATCTTGCCGAAAAGCTCCTGCATCTGCTTGTCAACTGCATCGGGTAAGGCGTTGCCATTATGACCGTTGGCATCGATGATATCATCAAATTTGTCACCGTAGTTGATCAAACGAGGGTAAGTCTGAATGCAGATGCGCTGAAGGGGTGTAAGATTTTCACGATCACCCAACAATTCCTCCAGAGCGGTCAAAAGAATGTAAACAACTTTAATAGTGAGAGTGATTCGCTGAGGGGCAGGATGCTCCTTTCGCTGTACGTGGAGCTCGTCCTCTGCTTTGTATTTCAAATATTTGGATATGTCCAAGGGACCCCTCTGAGCAGCTTCCCGAATCCACTGCTCAAGATCAAATGGACCCCTCATAAAGGAGTAACAGGCAAGCTCGAGTGAGAGCGGGTTGGTGATAGAGAGCAGATCGTCCATCCAACCGAAAACACAGGCTTGTTCATAGATCCTTGGGGTGAACAAGGGTTGCTTATCGAGGGCAGCATCCATCGCCTCTACAGTCCACTGCGGTTGCTGTTGCCATGCTCCCCACAGCGCAATTTGATTTCCTTCCTCTGATTGTTCAAGGAACATAACCAACGTCCGGCGCAGGAAGTTTATTTGAATATCGGTCCATGGCTGTGGGATAGCAAGGGACGAAATCAGGAATGTGGGCAGGTCTTCTTGGACCACTGCTTTGATCATAGCTTGGCTTTCCGGTGAAGCCCAAGAGGCATGGGAAAAGAGTGCCAGTTCGAAGATTGCTCTTATAGCATCCAAAGATCGGAGCGGTGACCGATTTGCACGATCAACGTGAACTTTAACAGATGCCGGGGCGCCTTCAAAAAGGTCGGTAGTGAAAGATGCACGAAGGTTAGGAATTTGAGTTGGATCTGTTTGGGCAGAGACATAGGCGGTCACAAATGAAATCTGAGTTTCACGGTGCTCCCAATCTCCTCCCCAAATCTTCTGGACATCCAAAGAAGGATCTTTGGCAGCAGTGGCAAGAAGTGCATGATACAGTTTTTCGAACTGTTTTGCGTCGACTCTCAGTCCGTCGCGGTCGAATAGTCGAAGAACCACGGACCAGTTGGGTTGCTTCTCAACATACACACTCAGGAAGGTCTCCAATGAGAACTGTGGGAGGTATTGCGAGTATATCATGAAGATAAGAGCACTGGCAAGATGCTGCTCGTTCCAACACTCCGGGCCAGCAGCGTTGACCACTTCGGTAACGGTATCTGTGTTCGCTGTTGCCCGCGGTCCTTTTGAGTGCAGCTGTCGCACAAGAGTAAATTGAGGGTTAAGAAAATTGAACATCTGCAGAGCCGAAGAGATCTCAACTGGAGTATCCAACCCTAACTTCGAGTATCGCAGACTCGATGCGTAGACTAACTTGGCCTTGGCCTCATCGGTGAAATTGCGTGGGGGGAAAAGGATCAATCTTTCGATTGTGAGGGCGAGAAAAACAGTTGGAAGGTCCTTGTTTGATTCCGTAATATTTGCCAAGCTTTGTAGGAAAGCTGAGAGGGAGCTGGAGATGATCGCATCGGCTAAAAGAATATGTTAATAATAACCCCAACAGAATTTGAAAACATTTGAGTGATTACCTTTAGCGCGGAGATCTGCTTTGTTTGTCAGTTTGAAAGCCATAGCAAGTGAGACCTTGACAATTGGGTCAAGTCGGAAATGATCAAGGAAGGTAGAGAGATCGAAATCGCGGAATATGTCTCCTTCAGATGTATCTACCGTCTCTGCAATCTTCTGGGCTTGGTCAATATCCGACGAGACTTTCTGAATCTCCTGGACTAGAAGTGGGTAGTTTCCTGCATTTTCGACGGGCTTGTTGATTCCGGGGAAAATCTGTGACGCGTTGCCCGTGAGAAGGCGGCGAAAGTATTTTGAAAAGACCTCCATGCCGTTAGACGTTACAAGCTAGATATTATTAATGTCAGCTTAAAAATTAAGGTAATTCAAACCCAGATGTGGAAACGTACTTTGTGTATCTGAGCAGCTTTTGTCTCCCACTTTTCTTTCCCCTCTTTCTCTGTGATAGAATCTAGAAGTAAGAAGACCTGTGCTATCGAGATCTTGGCGAGGGAAGATTGACTAGAAATAGCAGTTGATGAGCCTGGTTTGTCAGAAGCAAACCCTGTAGGAGAATTCACAGTTGTGCCGGACGACAGTGGTGAAAATGCGACACCTCTTGAAGATCCCGGCCCACCGCCTCCACTGGTACCTCCACCACCCTGAATAGAACTTGTTGCAGAGGCGAAGTGAGACCCTGCGGATGGAGTATGAGATCGGAATTTGGGGGAGGAGAGTGACTGGGATTGCTGCGAGCTAGCAAGAAGTGACGCAAATGGCGAGGGCTTGGGGCTGCCCCCTGAAATACCCCTGGTGGAGCTCAGAATTGCAGAGAAAGAAGATGGTGTTGAGACCCCAGGACCTGCGTCCAAGCCCCGGGAAGGTGCAAATGGACCGGTGGAGGGAAGGTTGGTCGCGAGAGGAGTCAACCCACGACGAATGCCGGATTGTGATGTAGACCGACCCCAGGCACCAATCTCAGGCCTGGCGGAGGAAGATTTATCGGTGCCAGAAGCAATCGACGATTGGGCGGAGTGGTGAGGAGACGGGAAGGTCATCTAGGAGAATGCGATCATTGATCTGGGTGGTCCAAAGACGGATTTTGAAACGTGGCGCAATGAACGAGTCACGGTGGATTCAATCGATATCAAATAACCTCATGCGAGTAAAGTGAATCAGAGAGCGGGGAGAGGAAAAAAGGATGGGAGGGGGAGGAAGGATAAATGGCGGAGAGGGCAGATGGAGGAGAGGTTGGCAAGGTGCGTGTGTCGGAAGTATTGCTGCCTTAGGTATAAGGCGCTAAGAGAGCTGTACTAATGATCACGTGCTATACTTAGTCATCTATCTCACCTGTCAACCGAACTAAATATTTAAATAAATATTTAGTTATTTATCTACTAAATATCTAGATAAATATCGACTATTTACTAAGAGTACTCCAAAGCTTTGAAGTATCAGACTTATAATCAGCTTGGACAGTTAAGCAGATATTAAAGGTTTCTTGAAAATGAGGTGACTTGCTTGTAGATAGTTCAAATGAAAGGCATCCATGGATGTATTGTGTAATTGCCATATGGATGCTCATGTAGATAATTTTTGATCCAATGGCCGAAGAGGGAAACATATGTGAAAAAAAAAAAAAAAAAAAAAAGACAGACAAGCTTGATTGATGTAGCTTCACCATTCTCCAGCAAACGCCGTTTAAGAGACCATATTTAAACCAGTAAGAGAAGAGAATCGTGTCAAGTCAAGTTAAAGTTAGGACAACGAAAGGTAAAGTTGAAAGATGGTGTGGGATGGGGTAGGAGTAATAAACCATCTCACACAAGATCGATATTTTGAGATCGAAAGAAAGATACAGACCCACACAACGGGGGAGGAAGACAGTCATGTGCACATAACGCGATATTGAATCCAAAGGCTCATCGAACGCCAACGCCAGAGTTCCCGGACCAAAAAACCATAATGAAGAACAAGGTACACGCTCAAAATGTTCAGGAAAATTAAACTAATCATCAGTCGAAGACAAGCAGTAACATGGTGACGCGTACTGTGCCTTGGCTGTGTAAGTTTGGCTAGAACCATCAGCACTGACGCCATAGGTAGTTGTCGCAACAGGTTCAACCTCCTTGATGGTGATGACTGAATTGACAATGGTTTTGAGCTGACCACTCGATTCCACCAACATCTGTTGGCAATAGGGGGCCTCGGCTCCTGAGTAGTCACGTCGCTCTTCAATTTTGATATTTCGTGGGTAGTTGAAAATGCTGCTACGACGATTCTTATACTGGGCTTCCGAAGTAGCTGTACTAGTTGACATGCTATCATCATGAGAAGCAGTGGAAGATGTGGTATCTGAAGTCGACTGGTTGATGTACAAGAAAAACTCCATCATTGTACTGTTCCACCAGCAGAACCACGGTTCTTCACCGGGTTTTGAGACTTCCTTGCGTTCCATCATACCTGCCATGAGTTCGTCTGAGAATGATCGCGACGAGAGTGAGCTGGATGAGAATGTATCTTGTGGAAGGATGATGAGCTTGTCAAATAGGGTATAGAAAAATAGAGCAGGCCCCAAGCCGGTGTTGCTGGTGTCATAAGCCAGACTCAAATTTTGGGTAGGTGTGGGAAGAAAAGGTGACTGGGCTCCATAAGTAAAGGTTGAAGTTGGACCATCAGACCCTAAAACAGCGTAGTGGCCACTGCCGGAATTTCCAAGGTACATTTCAAAATCACTGGCTTTTTCTTGACAGGCCCAACCCGCCTTGAAGTCATGATCCTCAACACAGAACCCAGACTGGTTTTGCAAGACAGCGGGAATAAGGTAGTAGCCCGTGGGGATGGACTTGAGATTCGTTGGGGTGCTTGTGATTTCTGAAAAGCCCATAGCAGGTGTTGCAGTGACCGTTACAATGTGTGGACCACGACTGGGGGGATCTTCAGTATTTCGCGAGTCTTCTGCAGCTCTTTTTGTGCCCAGGATTCCACCAATCACACCTCCAATACACCCTCCAATTAACATAACGGTGGCAATGAGAACGAGAGTCCAGACTGGTAGTCCACAGCATACCCTTTTTTTCCCTTTCTGTTTGAGTTTCTCCTCGAAGGCCATCACACCCGACAAGGGCACCGCCCTGAGCGGTTCATTGTGCTCACTATGCTCATTGTCTCCCGAAGTTTCAGTAATCAGTGCTCTCGAGGAGGATTCAGAGATTGGCGGCTCTCTTGAAAGTGAATGTAACTCCTGGTCTTCCGGTAGGATATTGACATCAGACGTTGTTGTCTCTGCGCCCGGTGGCTTTGGTACTACACCTGTTGGATAACGTGAATAAGGAGGCAGTGGCTCTGCATGTCCGTCTGGCCCAATTATATCCCCCACGTCGTCAAGTCGCCGGCCAAGCGGCTGTTGATATGGTTGGTTGTGGGCGGCGAACCCAACGGGAATCACGTTGTCGCTAGCATCTTCTTCAACGACGTTTTGAGAATACATTCCGTAGGGATGTTGAGGACCGGATGTTTCTCCCAGGGGGCGGTCGATTGGGCGGATAGTTGAAACGCTGGCAATACTTCCAGAGCGACTCACACCGACTTGCGAGTACATGCCATATGGGTGACTTGGACCGGTCGCCCCGGTGTATGGGCTCATGGCGCGCGGTATGGAGAAACGAGAGGAAACGCTTTGATTGCGTTGAAATGCAAATTGGCCATTGTTGGAAGAGCTTACGGAGTCGCGATTGCTAGCAAATCCGAGGCCGAGGCCTTTCTGGGGCAGGCTTGACCGACGAGATCCATCCTGAGAAAGCCGAGGACCATCAGCAAATGGGTCCTCATTATCAGCGATTGTTGACTCTTGTACATGTTGAGTTGAGTGAAGGGGGGCAGAGGCGGAGGTGGAGGCCGAAGCGGGACTAGGGACCCGGTTGATTTCGGTGTCAATCGGTTCTAATGCGTACTCGTCGGAGAAGATATTTGGGTTAGAGACATGCGAAAGGCGACTAGAGGCGCGACGGGCAAGCGGTTCAGAGATCTGAGGCTGTGACAAACGTGGAGTCTGAGATGACAGCGACGCAGCGCGAGAAAGGTCAGAGTTGTGTCCAGACATGTCCCCTTGCTACGGCAGCCCTATTGGGCCACCTATTGAATCGTTGCAATGCTATTTCCACTAAGGCCCTGAAAAAAAGGGAAGATGAAAAGGAGTGACGGGAAATGAAGGTTGAGAATTGTATGTACGGAGTATGAGATGGAGGTGTTGAAGAGTGGAGGTGTGAGAGTTGGGGGGGAAAGTTGAGTTTCAGGGAATGGACTGAATTTGAAAGTGTTACGGCGGTAATACACAATCGGAGGGGGCGCAGCGTTTGGGTCTGTTCCTTTTAAACAAACCAACTCTACTTCAACCATTTTTAAAATCTATCAAATTCTATCCTTCTGTGTTCATCATCATTCCACTTTTCCTATATTCTAAAACCAGGCTTTTCAGATTCAGACCCTTTGACTCCTCCGTGTACGCTACAGCCACTAGTTAGAGTGGCCAGACCGGTTACGCTTAGTGGGTCTAGATATTTTGCGACTCCTTACTATGTTGATTTTATATGTTTTAGTTCTGCAGCAGGAACGAAAGTTAATCTATGTTGAATTCTCAAAATCTAACTTTTCATCTATTCTTTACCAAGTAAAAATGGGAAAGTCGAATACTGGATCAATCATCCAAAGTACACTTAAAGTATTCTTGAGTTAATCTACTAATGGCGGATCTCTCGGATCGTCATTTTGAAACTTACCGTACGGATAATTGTTTTGCGCCGTTCAAAAGATGGAACCTCGAATAACATTACCCGGTTCAAAGAGGTCTAGAATCCATCTTCTATATAACTTCTTTTCATGTAGAACCATGGAATATCTGATACCTTCTTTATGTCAGTATCTCAGTATCTCAGCATTTCAATCTCAGTATCTCAGTGGTATCTCGTACCCCTAATACATAAATACATAATATTTCAATATCGATCTATTTTTATACCAGTGCTGTAAGTGGTCACATGAATCCATCTCTAATCCAATAATAGACGAGTTACTGCTTATCATTTTCTGTTCTATATATTTCGGCTTCATGGTCAAGAGTCCAATCTTGGAAGGTACTTAAAAGTCCCGAAGACCCGTTGACTATTCAGCCCTACTGTGTACTTCCCAAGGTCGGTACCGAATACACTCCACCACCGGATCCTTATTGTATAAATCCATCTCCATGCCTAGAATTTTCCTATGTACCACTTCCAAGGTTCAACTGCTCCATAGCATCAGTCCATTCTAACCTTGAAAGGGTTCAGCTTAGTCGACAATATGTACCGGATTTCCTATGCCAGTTCTTGGCGTGCTCCCCTCGCCGCTTTTGCTCACTGAGTAGAACTGAGCATGTATCTGAGCATTATAAGCTCCTTGATCTGCTCACACTCAGCACTCGGTGAGTAGTTACTCAGTGAGTGGTCTGATTCGATCACCGAGTGAAATCTGAGCGAACTGAGTAAGTACCTCAATAAAATGTAACACGCTAGCCCCGTCCCTTCCTTGGTTATATATACACAGTGTCTGTACAGGCTTCCCTGCCTGAAAGATGACCTTCCTGACGTTGGGATAACTAGTGGCAATAGCTCTGGCTCTTAACGTCCCTGGTCATCGTCTGCTGCAGCGGGTTAGATGCGTCGTTTTCCGTAAATTACTTGCGTTCGAAGGTCTTTACCAGCATTCGTGTTGGTTCGGACCGGGTGTATGATCTATGTTACGGAATTTATGCGATTTTATCTAGCTTGTTGTAGCCGCAGAAGCCCGGGGGCCCTTTGGTCTCCGGCACCGCTGGGGTCTGAGGTTGTTTACGTCATTCCATCAATAAATTTTAGATTTCACTAGAATGGTCGTTCATCATAGGAGCCACACTCCTGTTCAAGAGGTAATCTTACTACGTATTTTATTTAATTGGTCTATTAATTCTAATATCAGAATGTAAGCTCCTAGGAAGAATTTTGTACACAGTTTGAGACTAACTAGTTCTGAATATAAGATTAATTTTAGCCCTTCATTTTTAACCTAGTAAATAATTTAGTATTAGAATTCGCGAGAAGATTTGATAGGATGATATGATGACATAATCTCAAATTAGGACCCTAATAAAAATTGGCGTGTCTTTTTAATTCCTTATAATCACTCATGTTGCCAACCTGCAAGATGAAAGAGAGCCTTAGTCTCTGCCAAACTCTTAAAGAGCATGGTGATTCGGTTAGTTTGATTTCCTGGTCACCATGTGGAACACGACTCGCATTAGCAACCGATGATAAGACAGTTAAGATCTGGGATCCGGCCACTGGCCAGAGTGTGTCCACATTTGATAAGCATAGTCAAGATATCAGCTCGATTGCATGGTCGCCAGATGGAACCCAACTCGCATCAACGTCTATTGATCAAACAGTTAGGATATGGGATCCGGCCACCGGCTAGAGTGTATCTATTCTTAAGAGGCATAATAGTTGGGTAAGGTCGATTGCCTGGTCACCCGATGGAACCAGACTCGCATTAGTATCTACTGATAATACGAGAGTCAAGATCTGGGAATTAGACAGGGATTCGGACACTTGCCAGAGTGTGTCTACTCTAAAGGGGCATAAGTTCTGGGTCAGTTCGATTGACTGGTCACCAGATGGAAACCGACTCGCATCAGCGTCCTATGATAACACAGTTATAATCTGGGATATGGTCACCTATCAAGATTATCCACCCTCGAGGGACATAATGATGAGGTCAGGTCAATCACCTGGTCACCAGATGGAACCCGACTCGCATCAGCGTCTGATCAGACAGTTAGGATCTGGGATCTAGCCGGCTAGAGCAAACCTGTAAACCTACAGACTTGGATAATGGACACCATAATCCATCACTGGGCTTCAGCCCGTTACAGACAGAAGCACAAGCTGATGCTGGCCCATTTACCATGGCTGTTCTCTTTGAATATATAATGAGCTTTTTTATATATTGTGTAGCATTAAATCATGCAAGATGTAGTGAATTGTTAACCCTAAGGCTATTCTCAAACTCAGCTGTCAAGACATCCGTAAGCCTTCCATTGAAATTGTGCCCATCATAGTTTCCAGTTTTTTCCATAAATTAGTTATGAATTCTAGAGCTAACCTTCTTGCAGGCTTTTGGATTGCTCATGAAGACGCGGCTGTGCCGCCGATATCCCTGAAAAGCCTAGAGAATCGACTTTCTGGCACTGATAAGGAATATTTTCTCCATTTCCTTAGTTCCATGCTTAAGTGGCTACTGGAAGAGCGAAGGACCGCGAGGCAGCTGCTTGACGATCCTTGGCTGCTCTGATCCCAGCCAATCTTGTATGAATAGTTGTCCAAATTTGCAACGAGTATCTGAAACAGGTACAGATACAAATAATACATTCTAGATGATCAACATAAAACCTGTACGTACGCATTTGATTTGGCGCTTATACTCTAATGTGAACGACTCTCAGCGAGACGCTCGAATGTTTCAGTTGGAGCCTATTGGTCAGAATAGTGGCAAGTTCAGTCTTGCAACTTGCCAGCTGCTTTTACAGGATAAAGATGCCGTGTAAATTAAAAAGCGCTGGTCCCACTTCGATTATTAAAAGCAGACCACTCAGCTTCCCATCCCAAAACTTCCTGTGCATAAAATCCAAAATTCTTCCACGATGTAGAACGTTGTCCGCCTCTTCATTTCCTATGTTGGTAAGTTAGAACTGAACGACTTAAAGATCCGAGTCATATGGCCCTAGTTGATAAGTATTGCGGCAATGAGGAAAAGCGTGTCAGTCAATTTTGACACGTTGACAGAAGGCCGTTTTGGTATGGATACATGTGCATCACGTATTGACCTTTGATAGTTGTAACAGTAGTAAAATTCGAACATCGTAGATAAATCCTCCACTTATCATACTTAATAGATGCCCTATTTAAGCCATCAGTGAGCGATCAGTGAGCAGCTAATCACGATCACTAAGGACTTATTCGATATGATGGTGATAAGCTACTCCGTGAGCCTGAGCCTAGACTAAATTATACTTAGTGAGCCTGACCCTAAGCGCCCTCATAAAAGCGGCGGCAGCTGAAATAGGAAAGCCCCACCCGTCATAAAAAAACGGTACGTAAAGCTACCTAGGCCTAGTTTACCACGTATGCCCATGCCACGTCTCAATATCTCAGGTCCTTCCCCTGAACCTTGAAACCTTGAAACCTTGAAATTTGATAATTAGGTTGTTCATAAGCCCGCCTTTTAGCTGATAAGTCCACTGATTCTGGCATGATATATACATAACTACCTAGGATTTAGCCAGGGCTTCAAAAATTAGGTACATACCTAGCTCCTGGATGTAAATATCCGTATAATTTAGCGGTTATGAGATACAGTCTTTGTTCAACGCTTAGTCCATCGGTTTCATGGCAGTTGAATTCATGGATACCCAGGGCTGGACCAGGGCTGGATGTAAACTCCAGAGAAAGACGAGATGGACAAGATTTCAAGGTTGGAAAGATCTTATATGCCATTTGGCACTATTCTAGTGGTTGAGCTTTCCTCGGACTATCGGTGCATGAGGTTCCGAGCGAGAAACGGTCTGTCATGGGATGGCAAATAAGAGCAGGCTTCCCATACCTACCTAGATGCCCAAGTAGGTACAGAAACACAGAATCAATGGTTAGGTCCGTAAATTGATTACCTAGGTAGTTATGGATATCTAGGCAACTGAGGGGCAACAAGTCTACCAATATGCGTACCCATTTAGTTGATTAAAGCCTGATCAAATAGAGAAACTGAGGCCTCCAGGTTGAAGAATGTGGGGAAACTGGAGAAGTGGAGATAGATATGCAGTCAAGCCTTTCCCCCACCCAACCTCCCAGACATCTAGGTATAGATTGAATATCAGGGACTACCACCTCATATGGTAATTCTTATGGTGCTGAAGCTATTGGAAATGTGTTTGCTCATATCCCACGCTCCATTCCCTCCATTCATATTGAATGGGCCTGGCCTTCCAAAGTTGAACACTACTACTACTTGACACCGCATTGACATCAGCTGACTAGGAAGCAATCCTACCCTCGCTGTACATTAACCCGTAACCGAAACCCGCGTAGTATTTGCGGGGATGTGGAGAGTCTGGGGAATTATGTATAAGGTAGCAGGGATCACCAATGGTCCATACATATGCACTATTTCATATAATTTGGATCGTTGATATTGAGCTCATTAGCTTACATCTAACACAAACGACCGATTCAAAATGGGTTTTCGATATAAGCGGAATATCACTATCGAAGACAATGCTATTACACCTGCAGTTCACTTGACATTGCGACAGTCTTTACTACCAAATGCATTAGGTACCCAGGTCTAGCCGTCTATAAGTTAGCCGATGGTCTGACATTTCATCCTTTCTTAGTTACTATCCTGTTCTTCCTTTGGGGTTTTGGCTATGGTCTGCTAGACACTTTGAATTCTCACTTTCAAGCAACCCTCGGTATCACTGCTAGTAAGTCTAGCTCTTTGCAGGCTTCGTACTTTGCTGCCTACTTCATCTGCCCCTTGACTATCTCGGGTTGGATTGTTCGCAGATATGGATTCAGAGTGACTTTCATGACGGGTAAGTATGGTCGATTCTGTGGCGAGGCCATCATCTGACCATATGGAACTGAACCAGGTCTTGCCGTACTCGCGGTCGGGTGTCTGCTTTTCTGGCCCAGTGGTGTGAAGAGGTCATTTGGGGGCTTCTGTGGTAGTATGTTTGTAAGTAAACCCTCTCTCAAAATATTTCTAAGGGCTTCACACCCTAACTGCCTTCACAGGTTGTCGGAGCCGGATTGTCTACACTGGAGACAGCGGCAGACCCGTAAGTCTTGACACCGATAGTTGCTCGATGAAACATTCATTAACCAAACTGGATGACAGATTCCTCGCAATATGTGGTCCACCCAAGTATAGCGAGATTCGACTTAATCTGGGACAAGCCGTGCAAGGCGTAGGGACCTTCATCGCGCCCCTCTTAGCCTCTCGTGTCTTCTTCGCCAATACGGTCGACACAAATGCAGGATTAAAGAACGTCCAATGGACATACCTGGGAGTAGCATGCTTTGTATTTCTGCTCATCATCCTCTTCTGGCTCGCTCCGTTCCCTGAGATTACCGATGCCGACCAAGAAGCGTTAGAAGGGCAGATAGGTGACCAGCATGAGGACATAGGCCCGTTCCGAAAGCAATATACTCTATTTTTGGGTGTCATGAGCCAGTTCTGCTATGTGGGAGCACAGGCCGCTGTTGCTGGGTACTTCATCAACTTCTGCGAGGAGACTGGTCGTGACTCATCTACAAGTTGTAAGTACATCATGGACTGATCGCACTTGGCTTGACCGTTCTCTGACGAAAACGCATTTTAGCCGATATGCTTTCTACAGCGCAAGGTCTTTACGCCTTCATGCGTTTTGTTGCGAGTTGCTTGATGTTGATGAAAGCATTCAAGCCTCGAATAATGTTGACCGTTTTCTTGATAGGCTGCTTTGTTTTCTCAGTGGCTGCCATGACAACGACAGGTACCACATCCGTTGCAATGATCATTCTCGTCCTGTGCTTTGAGTCCGTAAGTAGATCTTGTGCTATGAATTCAGCTGGAAAGACCCCCAAATAACATATTTGTCTTTACCTAGCTCTGCTTTGCAACTATATTCACCTTGGCCCTTCGTGGCCTTGGACGCCATACTAAGCGTGGTGGCTCCATGCTGGTCGCAGCCATCTCTGGTGGCATGGTGTTTCCACCCATGATGGGTGCTGTTGTGGTAAGTTCGAGCCTTTCTAGGTTTGAATTAAAGTGAGAGTATCGGTACTAAATTATTTGCTCTTCAGACCAAGAAAGATGCCCACACTGCTATGGCTATCCCTATGATGGGATATGTGCTCGCTTTGATCTTCCCAATCTATGTCAATATATATAAGAGAGATATCATGGACTTACATCGAAGTACTGAAGTCAATGTGACAGTCCCAGTGAGCAAGGATGTAGCTCTAGAGGAAGGGTATCCCGAGAATCGAGACAAACCTACCTCCTCGAACATCGAGACCATTGAGAAAGTCACAGAAGACAGGGAAGATCTCGGGGGCAGCGAGGTCAGGCAGCGAGGGGAAATTTGAATGAGAAACAAAACTAATAATGAATGAGTCAAGCCAGAAGTATGACCGCAGGTATTTTTTCGATTACCAATGAGAAGAATTTTGTGAATAAGAAATATTTCTGTTGTGCGTCAAGAATATTTCCAATGATTAAGTATGTCTGATATCTAGCTTATTCACCTGGCCTTTTTCGTAGCCCTGCACCCCGGGATTTCAACTTTGAAGCAAAATAAGTCCCAATTCATATGTAGTTACAGCCTTGGCGTGTTCGCACATGAGAATTCGTCGAGCGTCTGCAGTGATTTCATGCAAGTATATGCGCTGCAATATGAGGCAGCATCCGGCACCCGCCGTTAACTCCTTTCCATGACAATTTCATTCTAAAACCTGAAGGGAAAATAGTGAGCAATTTTGGAAAACAGAGACCTTGGGAAGAAGTGGATGCTAAGAGCCCCGAGGTCTGTTTTTATATGGTAGAAATAGTTTGCAACCCTAGAGACGTCAATAAACTTCCAAGGTCCTGGTATTTAATATTTATCTACCTAGGTATCCATGGATATAGTAGAATATTGACCTAAGCATCTAAGTCCAACAAGACTTTTAAGTTTTAACAATCTCTACCTAGGTATGTGATAGTGAACTGTTATGCGAAGATATCGCAATGTTCCGGGGTCGTTATTGATATATTTTATAAGGTTCACAGCTAAGTAGCTTCAACAGTGGCTTCATCTTATGGCAAGAATTCAGTAGTTGTTTCGCACCTACAGGATATTTATGGAAGATTCAAAGACGAGAAGAAAAGGATGAAAATAAGATGACTTTCCCAAGTTTGTTCAATGAATTGATAGATGCAAACGGAGCCCCTGAAAAACTAGGTGTCGATATTTTCCCCGATAAGCTGACACCGCCAACCAGGATTCTGCCTGATAAGAGAGTGATATCCAAGGCTGTTTGTCCCCAGACATCTTTCCTGTGTCGACACATTGGCTTACCACAATATTCAACACACTTACACTGACCGCCCTAACCTCAAGTAACAATAATATCCTCCGGTAACTTCACAGCATGGATGATAGGCAGGCCAAGCGTGCCAAGCCCTCTGCGCCCAAGAAGTCGGTGTTCGAGCGACATAAAGATGAGGTTGAAGCTAAACGCGCCCGAGACCAGGCAGACGCTGACGCCGCTCTTGATGATTTTGCCAAGTATTTTGATGTCGACACACCGAAAGATGCTCCCCAGTCCTTTGGAGGTAATACTCGTCCACCACGCCCAAATGTCCCAGGACAGCGCCATTTCGCGAACAACGCTTTTCGTAGTAGTGGCCCGGGTACACTACAACAATCGTCGTCGGAATATTCATCTCGAAAGCGGAATCATGAAGGCTTTGTGCCCCAACATTCGCGACACTCTGCACCGGAGCAGCACAAACCATCTCTGTTGATGACGTCGCTTCCTCCTGGTACATCAACCTCTTTTGTCAAGTCGTTGATTCCTTCTTTGCGCGTGGATAATGTGAAGATATTTCCTCCAGAAAGGTCACACCCAACGGACAAAAAATCAGTGTCTGCGATAGTATCTCTTGCCAGTGATTCGTCCACCGCCGATCTGGACAGCGCATCGAGCGCGCTCCAGAATAAATATCTTGGCCGAGGCTATCATCTATCTGTCTCAAGACACCTCTCTTCCACTTCAATCAAATCAACACTAGATTTGCACTCTACTCCCTCGCTCCCTTTCGGAGCCAAGGAAACCCAATCGGGTTATGGAGCGAGCCGAGTACCTACACGACATGGGGGATTTGCACCTCCAGCCTCCTATGGACCAAACTTGACCAGACGCGGTCCATCTTCACAAGTGGACGTCAAAATTCCCGAAGATATCAAACAGGTTCAAATCATTCACAAGACAATTGAGAATGTCCTTAAATATGGAGCTGAGTTCGAAGCTTTGTTGATGAGTCGGTCGGAAATTAAGACAAATGAGAAGTGGGCATGGCTATATGATGCCCGGAGTGCCGAGGGTGTCTACTATCGTTGGAGGCTACACCAGACTGTTACTAATTCTGGAGCCCACTTTAGTCGGGCGAGAGGTCGGACTTCGTCTACCATATTTGCTGGCGAAGCAGATTGGCTATCCCCTGAGAATTATCTCGAGTACGAGTTTACCACTGATATTGCAGAATTCATTTCTGACAAGGATTATGACTCCTCTGATGAGGACGACTTGGATGGCGAAGAAAGTAGGCCAAAGTTCGGAGGGGCTCCCCAAAAAGGAGATGGAGCAAATGAGCACAACCAATGGATTGGCCCTCTTGGAAAGGCAAAGCTCACCCATCTACTTGCTCGATTGCCGACTTCTCAAGCACGGCTTCGACGAGGTGATGTTGCTCGCATCACGGCTTTCGCCATTGAGCACGCTCAATATGGTGCAGCCGAAATCGTTAACATGATTTTGTTGAATTTACGAAGCCCGTTGGCTTTTACTAGCGCTAATCCCAACCGTGCGGAGAAAAGCGACAATGACAGCGTGAAAGATATTTCTCCAGCTAAATTAGTTGGTCTCTATGTCATTTCTGATATTATTTCATCATGTGCGACGAGCGGCATTCGTCACGCATGGAGGTATCGCACACTGTTTGAAGCTGCTATCCGAGAAAACAAGGTTTTTGAGCATCTTGGTCGACTCTCAAAAGATCTCAAGTGGGGAAGGTTGAAGTCAGAGAACTGGAAACGCAGTGTGCAGGGCATTCTCCGCATGTGGGATGATAGTTCTGCATTTACTCATATCAACCATGAGTATTTCGTCCAAACGTTTAACAAACCACCTCTCACTGAAGAAGAGCTACACGAGTTGGAAGAGGCGAAGAAAGCGGCAGCACTGGATAAGTCACTATCTAATACCAAGGGCCGGTGGATCACCAGTGGCTTCAAGCCTGCAACCGGTCGGTTAGCTATCGTTCATGCTGGTGTGAGCTACAACGGTGGCCTCTTAATTGAGGGTAGTGATGGGATTTCGGTTTCAACCCAGGATATTGGCATTGATCTCGACTGCGCACCTTGCTGAGGTGGCGAGCGAGAGTACGGCCGCAGGTATGGACTGCTCATCTGACCATTTATGAAATATCAGTGCTAACTCATTTGTAGACTTACCAACTCTCTCAACTCCAGGATGGATCATATATATGATAGCTTTTTCTTCTTCTCCATATCTCTTTACCTGGTGTTTTTCTCCTGGTGCATTTCTCCTGGTGTATCTCTTTATCTGGTGTGTTTCCTTGTTTCTTTACTCTCCACCTGGAGTGTTTATTACCTAGGTATTCTCTTATCTTCAATATCCACACTCGCGGTAGGCTATACAGCCTTGAACGTATGATTTTCTTTCTGTTTTTTTATGTCCCCTCGGTGCATGGATTGCATTTACCTGTGGAGTACCTAGGCCAACGAAGTGCTCCTCCCATTCTGACCCCCTCCCGACACTCTTCAGGGCTCACTCTCATTTCTTCTATTCTCCTATCATGTGCATCACTAGGCCTCGGGATAAACGCAAAGATGCAACTATGTGAAGTGGTTTCCCACGGGTACATGAATGTTCTTCTCTTCCACACTTTTCCATCAACCTTGGAACTCATCAATGGATGGTCAGGGTATGTTGCATCGCCAATTTAGGAAATGGCATACCTCACTAGGCCAGTACCTGATGCTTTATTCTATAGACACGCTGTACTTGAAAAGAAAGTATGATTGGCGCCATTTGGATACTTGAAGGTTGGGAATGAAGATACAAACGCAATCGTTCCAAGGTTCTCCAAGGATAATCAAAAAATTCATGAACCGCAATCTGAACTCCAGCCTAATGGGTTGGAAAAATAGAAGAAATAGTTTGTTGTTCAACCTCTATTTGTTGTAGTCTACTAGACTGGGCACCAACTGCCAACTGGGAATTGTGTATACGCTAGCAAAAGCCACGTCCTAAAGGAGGCTTCGGGGATATGTTTGGGTTGGAGTCATAGAGTAGGTCTTGATAGCAGAAAGGAAACCAATGGCATATAATTTATAACATAATTTAGTCCATCACTTCTGGTAAAAGACTTAATGACTCATGATCAATACCCAAGTCGATTTGTAATTTGGGCTAAAGTGAGGCATAATCTTCATCTCGAAAGCGGTCAGAGGCAGAATTCGCAACCCCTCGTCAACAAATACCCTCCCCCCTCCCTTTTCCGATCCATATCATCGCATCTTTCTCACACTCCACCCTTTCTCTCAAAATGTCTGGTAAGTCACCCAATTGCGAACATTCTTTCAGACATTGTTGCCAAGTGGTTCCCATATATCCCAAGATGTTGTGGTAGACGACGCACTTGCGAGAAAACAGCTGGAACCGACCAATGATCGGAGCAATATGAAAATGATATACTAAGAAGACATTTTGTTATAGACTACAACAACATTGCCCGTATGTTTCCCCTTCGACTGGTCCTCAATCCTTCCGGCGTCGATACATATGCCCCACACCAGCCAAACCACCCAGATTCAAAGAGAATGACTTTTTAACTCGTTGGTGCTTTATTGTACAGAACAATTTGTTGGATTTTACTACAACACCTTCGATACCAACCGTGGTGGTCTCTCCAATCTCTACGTACGTTGACCCCGTCCTCTCATGCGCTGCGAGTAATCTTGAAAAGGATGAATCAAACTGACCTATTTTTACATAGCGCGATGACTCCATGCTCACCTTTGAGACTGCCTCCAACCTGGGCGCTGCCTCGATCACTGAGAAGCTGACTGTACGTCAACCCTCCTTTTTGCACTGTCAACGGCGCCATATACAGCCTTGGGCAACGTAAGTGCAAACGCTAATACTCATATTCAACTCAATAGAGCTTGCCCTTCAGCCAGGTCCAGCACCAGCTTGCTACCCTGGACGCCCAGCCCTCCCCCGATGGCTCCATCATCGTCCTGGTTACCGGTGCTCTGAAGGTACGTAGCAGCATTGTACATGGCTTTTGAAAAGCCCTCAAAGAGACCTGATGTCAACTAACATCTCTCCGTGAAAATAGGTCGATGACCAGCCCCAGCCTATGAACTACACCCAGACCTTCGTCCTGAAGCCTGATGGAGCCGGCAGCTACTACGTGCACCACGACATCTTCCGCATCATCTATCCCGCTTAAATTGATCAATTGCCACGACGCGATGATAGGGGTATGATATTCGTTTGAAGGGAGTGAGACTAGTGTTCCTGGGATAAGCAACATGCCTCCCAGTGTTAGTTTGAGAGATACAAACTAAATGAAATAACTTTACAACTATTATCACAGCAAAATTCTCAACTGTTCATAACTTTGAGGAATCTTGGAATTCTTATATTGGATGCTCTTGCGACATCCTGTAACTGTATATCTACCATCACCAACTATGTAGTGTGAAGTAATGGTGTCTCCTCGGACAGGACATGTCGCGGCTCTTCCCCAGAGACATCCAGCCCCGGCGCATTTCCATTCGACGTCTCATCCGGTCCATCCTGCCCATCTTTCTGCTTACTGCTAGGCCCAAAGTATTCAAAGTAGATTGCCATCACCAACAATGTACCCTGCAGACTGGCAGTGACCAGCAACACACCCCAAACACTCCAACCCTGTATACCCTCTCGCGCAGCTAAGCTCGCAGCCCAAATCAGACTGCCTGGTGTCTGGATGCACATCATGGGGATACTTAAGCTACCAACACGGCGCAAGAGGAGGGTAGTGTAGATCTGAGGAAAGTATTGAACAGACGCGAGGATGGCGGAGAGAATACCAAGGAAGTTAGCCCAGGCTGAGAGGGCTTCAGGGCGGCGGATGGCAAACGCCGCGGAGATTATGACCGTGATAACGGCATGGAGGATACAAATTGCAGCGATGACTAGTGCAGTGCGGTAAGTTGGGCCGATGGGGGCTGATGAGACGGGGGAACTAGGGTCAGTGGGCGAAGTTGCTCGAGGGAAGTAGATGACGAAGAGCAGTAGGCTGTTTTGGTTTATGAGTCATTGGACGATGAACTTGCGACTCTTCTTTCAACTCACATAGAAAAGAAGCATAGCCATTGCATTCCTACTTGGAATACACCTAGCATGCCCGAGAAGCAGGCCAGACCGCTAATCTCTTGACAACAGGAGACATCTTGCGCGGTCTTCGGAAACGTGAGGATATTAGCGAAAGCTGATGTCCCCGAAGTTGTACCTAGCAGGATGAAGTACGGTGAGATCCCAAAGGAACTTCTTAGGGAGATGATGCGAAGGTGCTGCGGCAAGTAGGAGACAAGGATGCCGATAATGATCAAGCTGTCATTCTGTTAGTTGGAGACCCGTGGACTAGAAGTAAATTTGGGTGAATCATACACAGAGAGGGTAGGCTGGAACCAGCCTGGCGAGGCTAGCTCTTGACAGTACTCCATGAAGGGGGTGTTGATGTTCGCTGGTTGAGATCGGCAATGACGTTGTAGCTCAGGTGGTGTAGTTACTCAGGTCTTAGTAATAAACAGAGTGACCCTAATTTGGTTACTCGCGGGGAGGCTGGGGTATCAGCCCTGGAGTGATCTCGGATTAATGATATGATCAAAGGAATATATGGAAAATGTTCCAACAAATTGTAAGTTTGGGGTCAATGATCCCTGACGATGCCAGCCCCCGCGATAAGCATTGGGTACCTGCACTAGACTCTTTTTGGACTATTTACGTCGTAAGTTATGGAGATCTAGATGCTAACCTAGGTGTCTAGTATGAATGTAATAAGTTGCAATTCCTCAAGCTACAGGTATACTCATTTGATTTTTATGCAGCCGAGAAATAGCACCAAGAATGAGATACTTACTTGTACGGCGAGTGCACGTCTCGCTACAATCAACCGTAACTTCACTCAGTGACCATATACCACTGGGTACTATCTTTTCAACTCATTATCCTGACTACTTGTGCTATAATCCTCAGAATCGGATTCTTCATCCTCCGAATAGATGCTGACCGCGATGATTTTCGCGATACTGTTGTATCCTAACTCGCTGGAATAGCCCGAAACGAGATATATTGACTCAATGGCATTTAGAGTGTGAGACGCAGCAAAAAAGTCGCAGCTTCCTGTGGCAGCATTGCAGCCCTTCTCATTGACAGGAGTCTCCAATGCAGACGGTGTCCAAGTCGTGTTTTTTTTCGTTGTTGGAAAGGAAAAACATTGTGTATGATGGCCCACGGCAATGGCCATTTCTTTCAGAACATCTCGATTGTCCTCGTTCATGAAATTGCCTCGGGTGATGTACCTCAACTTGTCGTTCTGAGCCGGGCACGCAACTGTCTACATTATCCATATTATATCTGGCCATCTATACCGAGAACGGCTGCGCGTTGTCTTTTCAAGGTAGTTAAGTTCGTTGATCAAGATGCCATTGTTGCAGTAAAAAGCGGCCTTTATCTTGAACGATAAATCTGCCCACTCATTCGAGTACACCTCTTAGAAATTCAAGCTCTTAACTACGGGGAAGACGTGTTTGAAACCGTCTTTCGGTTCATCAGCCATGTCAAACTCGAATTTCCAGTACCTCCATCCTTCCTTGTAAAACTGCCACAAAGCGTTCATTTCTACTTACTTTCTTCCAGCCAGTTCCAGTATGAACAGCATCTGGGTCCAATGGAACTTTAACATCCGCTTCGTGCCACTGATAGCGAAGCTTGGTATTTCTCCTAGACTTTCGCACCATTAATCGCTTCATCCATGAAGGCCTTAGGAGAGAACTGACTAGGTATATGCTCATCGACCCAATGGGACGACAACCTCAAAACAGAGACTTCTATCGAAATCATGAAGGCTGTCAATACATAAGCACTATTATCTGAATCAAGGCTAAGACCCTTTTATAATGTATTGAACGGATCTCCAGGGCTGTTGGCTGAGATTTCTGACCTCTAGAATATGAAAGGGATTCTCCATATAGTTCTGGCCCATTCGGCAATTTAAGAGGAATCAAATATGAGAACAAGGCTGAAACTTGAAAGAGATCGATAAAATATCACATAATCTCAAGGTCCTTGGGCCTTGATCTACAACTCAATCCAACAAGCTCGAGCATATATGTTGCCCAGGTTCTGGCCCTAGGGGATCTCCAAGGATGGGGTCCATACATCCATCCATATCCACATTTTCTTCCATCGTTCTAGAAGTGCTCATTTTGATATTTGCTTACCTATTGTTTGACTAGCTAGTACTGTGGACTCTTAGCCCTTTGCTTATCATAAGGAATGTAAGTAATAACTGCTTGAGACGATGAAAGACATCATCACTGGAATGATCTGACCTATCAGGCTGCACGCCTTGATTAGATCCAAGTCTTGCCATTTGAACCCAACCATACAGGTAGTTGCATAGTAACATTGTGAAATGTTACTATACCTAGGTACTTTTTGATTTCATCTGAGTTGGTACTTAGGTAGGTAGTGCCTACCTGGGAGGTACATTGAGATTTAATATATATATATATACAACCTTGGAACCTTGAAATAATTACCTAGGCCCAGACGTATCACTTCCCGTTTTGATCTCCTCGAATGATTAAAGTGTTGGCCATGGATATTCCCAGTTTCATCAATGATGCAAGTTGTATCAGTTGTATCGAAAGCGGCAACATCGGAATCTATTTTTGGCAACAGATTCAGTATGCCAAGCAGACAAGCAATTGGATCTGCAGCCTCTACCAAATCCATGGTTCAGTAATACACAAAAAGAGAGGACAAGGCAAATCAAATGAGAAGTAAGCGCTCCCACTAGAATGTTTCACCAATAGTATTGTAGCGAAATGACCCAAAGATGGTTGGTCACTGTTTCACTTTGGGCAGCAGTGCTAAATAGATTTGGTCTCACGGTGACACAGCTCATCTAGATACGAAACGCAGTAAGTAGAAGTCTAAGCCGAGCCAGGCCAGTTGCACAGTGAAACAAAGTCTAAAGAAAAAAGTGGTAATATTGCTGATCAGTGATGAGTATGAAATAAGCCACTCAATAGGGTATATCGTATAATATCGTAAAATCAATCCCCACAGGTTGGTTTCAACTCCAACCTGCTTTCCGGGGAATCCAATCCAATGTCTAATCATGCTAAAAAAAAAAAAGTGAAAATAAACCGAGAAGCAAATGTCCCCCCCCCCCCCCCCCCCCCATTTCCCACGGCTCATTAAGCAAAACTCCGTAAAACGTGTTCCTGCCCATTTCGATTCATAAGATGTTGTGCATGCCGTGGCATGGTTCTTTTCAGTCGTGCCACCCAATGTAATATCAAAACTTCCAATAACGATAAACAAGAGAAATAAAAATATAACTGGAAGGAAAATAAAAAAAAAGTTGATCGCTGTCCTCCATAAGGCATAAATATTAAAACAATAGAATCAGAGCTGGCTGTGCCATGATGGGCATGGCCAGGGGGATATAGAAAAGGTATAATTTTCCCAGGATGCAAATCCAAAAGCCGGTGGACAACTTGTAAAGATAGCAACGGTCGGTGAACCTGAACCTGGTATACTTGATATGATCCAGTAAGGAGATATCTGCATAAAGAAGCAAGGATGGGGGAAAAAAAGCAAAAAGCAGGCGGCCTGGTTCGGGATTATCCTGCAGACTCCAGCAATTCTTTTCTGACGACTTTTTGGAGGAAGGTAAATATCCGGAAAAAAAGAACTCCTGGGAAACTCCATTGAATCCCAAGGGTAAAAAGATATATATAAAAAAAATGTAAACGTTCATCACTCGTGGAGGTTGGTGTTATAAATTAGAATGGGCAAAAGGTTACCAGCACCTTAACAGACTGGAAGAGGGGTCCCCGCAAAGAGATCCATGGAATGGGGGAAAACCACCTTGCAGTCCGGTACTTGGTCAAACATGACAGGTGACATGCAGTTGATGTCGGAGTAGTCCTCGGTGATAGCTGAGGTATCAGATGTGGCTGACTCGGAATAATCTGAGTAGTGCGAAGAATCTGAAGAGGAACCTGAAGATTGAGCGTGTAGGGAATCCACGGGAATGAAAGGCTGGACTAGGTAGTCGGCCTGCGGACTCTGGTCCTGTACCCAAGGCGCGGGTGCGGGTGTTTCGGTGAAACGGGAACACTCCACGATCATGTGGCGCAACTCCGGGATGGTTATCCTCTTGGATGGGTCACGCTCAAAGACGCGGCTTAGGATACAGACCATCTCCGGGGATAGGGGCAAGATGGACTTGAGAAAGTATGGGTCCTTTAGATAAGCCCGGAATGTGGAATCCTCGATTGAGGCGCGCTTCCATGGGTTGCGACCGCAGGTAAGGTTAACCAGAATCACACCTAGGCTCCAGACGTCATTTGCCGCGGAGGCGTAGCAGGACATAGGAGGAGGATTGGTTTGCTGACATTCTATGTTTCAACTATATTAGATGGTTGCCCGAGTATGGGGTATGCCTGTGCGCAAGTAATTTCCGGCACTTACCGGGAGACATGTAGAAGGTGGAGCCGCATCCAAAGTCCGTGGTAAAGTACTCTGTAGTAGCAAGGCCAAAGTCGGCGAGTTTGACAGTCATTCCGTGGTCGGTGACCAAGACATTCTCTGGCTTCAGATCCCTATGGTAGATTCCCAATGTATGGCAGAACTGTACGGCATCCAATAGTTGTAGAAACACGCGCTTGACCAAGAGATCATTGCCGACAAAGTTACCCTTGTCCGTGATGCTGGTGAATAGATCACCCTCGGGGCAGAACTCCATTACGACGTAGGTACAATCCACGGAATCCATGATGCGGACGAGCGAAACCACATTTGAGTGTTGACTAGCCAAGTGGTGCAAACGGATCTCACGTTGTTGATATTTGAGTTGCCTTGGGTCCAGCCCTGTTTTGTTGAGAGCCTTCACGGCATAGGAGACGTTGGTGTGAATATCCACGGCAGTATAAACCACACCATAGGCACCGACACCCAAGATACCAGTGAGTTCCAGCCGGTTGGCTAAGATAAATCCTAATCGGTCCTCAGGGGTATAGCAAGGTGAAGAAGGGGGAGTTGGAAGATACATGATCAATCCTATAGAAAGTGGTTGGGAAGAGAAATCCAAGGTGTGTATAAAAAGGCGGAAGGGGTTTTTTTTATCCTCGAGTGGTGGCAGAATTATTAAGTCCAAACAGAATACAGAATCCGGGATGAAGTCAAGAACAAGAATCCATTCCAGGGCAAGGTCCAAGATTTTATGAAGAGAGAAGAAAGAGATAATATAAGAAATAATCCTGGGATGGGAAGCCTGGAATATAATCAAAGAGGAGAAGGAAGAGGGGAAATGATGTTTGATAAAGATAGAAAAAAAATAAAATATAATTTTAAATGAATAACAAGTAGATCAGGAAGGGGGGAAGGAGGGCGATAAAAATAATCGATGATGCATCGAGTTGTAGAGAGTAAGGTGCGTGGTAATAACATAGTTAGTACCAACAAGTGAGACCAGGCCCTTATAGTGGCTGTACAGTAAAGCGGTGTAAGAGACTGCATCTGAATGACCAATCATTACTTGTTATGGCTATATTACAGACGCCACACTGCAAGTGTTGATTGGATAATAATAAGTGAGTACACTACTTTTTACCCCCCTGACTCTCGCCCCCATACATACAGTTACCATTGTATTGTGGCAATATCAATCTCCCTCTTTCTACACAGTACATCCAATAGTCCTAGTATCCACCCCCCTAAACACTATTGACCTTACACCCGCCACTTCATACCTGAATCTAGCCCATGTGTCCACGCATGTCCATGTCCACGTCCCCCAGCCCCGCACCGCACGCGCATGGCATGTAATGTCATGTCAGTTTCATGGTTCCAGGGGTTGAGAGATGAAGGTATACCCAATATATCTGTACCAAAAGTCTGCAACGAACTCCATCAATCATCAACACACCGTCTTTTTCTGTGTATTTTGATTTCCCCCACTTGAACAGATTGTGGAGTTCTCCACTTCTCATAAACACAAGGCGTTGAAGCCCGGGAAGTGAGGCGAAGAGAACAGGGGGCGCTCTGACCAACCATTTCGGGGGTGTTCGTTTTTTCGAGAACGTAGTGGATCTTCCTGGTCTCGGTAGCACGGGTCAGTTGGCAGACCTAACAGACCCTGGTCAATGAGCACGGCCTTCTTGTCCATGCGCGCCACCTAACTCGTCTTGTGCAACCTACTCCCGGCGCCTAGAAGTGGAGAAGGAGAGACAACAGGACGGAATGGACTGAGCCAGAATGATTTCAACCCCCTATTCCAGAGTCACATGATCGTTATCCTTTTAGTCGACCTGCACCCCAGAATTGGTACTGCGTGCATGCATTCTCTGGCTTCATCCTCACCGCTACTACCGAGCTACCAACTTAAGTCTAGTGAACTAATATTCAGTGGGTGCATTATGCAATACGGAAAATCCCATGTCCGAGATCTGGCCCTGCAGGTGGCGGATTGCGGATTGCGGATTGCGGATTACGGATTACGGATTGCTGAATACTAATGCTGATGTTTGAATCCTGATGTTGGAGTCATTGTCCCCCAGTGACCCACAAAATAGACACGTTTCTACATCATCACAATTTAACATTTATTTCCCCTCGCTAGGATCGGAATCCTTTGCCTCTGGTACTATTTTGCCACTATTTAAAGTAGTGGCAAAGGTGCTGGCCTTTCGAGAAGCCTGACCGGCTCCACAGATCCACCAGAGTCCACACCGTCTACACGAACTACGAATGAAGGTATTTTCTCACTAGTATGCCTGATACATAATCAACCAACCGGGTTAGGCCGCACAGGTCTTGCTTGAATTTGTAGACATTAGACATCAGACATCACTGGCCACGTAACTTAATAAACCCAATACACCCAATCGGCAGCCATCCAGCCCAATATCTGCTCTAGACCCAATGATAACAAAGCCAAAAGACTAAAAACCTGATATTTCATGTTCCCCTCTTTCTTTTCCCGGTCAAAAAGGTTAACGTTTTTGTGATAGATCAACGGGGGGCGGGACTGTGATGATTACAACATAGGTTATCGATGTCAGCAATCTAGAATTTAGAGCCTAGGCTATAATTCCATAACTTGAATCAGGAGATCTTGATTGAGTCGTGTAATTATCAACTCCCAGTCCCACACGATATTACTGGGCTGAGATACTATTCTAAGCCCTTATTGGATGATAATGAATCTCATCCAGGTTTCCTTCAGCCTTTCGGACCCGGGCTGATCCAACTTTTAAAGAGTACAACATTGCAGATTACAGATCTGAGGTTCGCGCCCGAGCTAAGGATTCTGACTGAAAGGAACAAGGAAGTACATATTATGTTGAAGTACTAAAATATCTCTACGCCTTGCGCCTTGCAGATCAAATTGGGGTCATAATCAACATAATCTACATAATCTACCTAGCTACATACGGAGTACGACATAATTATGGATGTATCATTTTACTCTTGAAACCATGTGGCAGGGGCCACGGGTTAGTCGGACTAAATGACATGTCATGCATCTGAAGATAGAATAGCTCCAAGGATATCTCATAACCTTTATCCAAGGTTCATACATCTTTGGACCAAACAAACCCATGGCTTTGAGCTGTTAATATTTCCACTTCCATTGAGTTTGGGGATCTGGATCGTAGTTCAACTGTTGCAACCGAGAGTTATACATATGTGATGTATAGTCTATCCAGCCACTAATCTACTAGCCACCTCCTATCCATGGTTCCTAGCGGTTTCAACCAAGGAAGGATTGTAATTAGTTTTTAAATGACTCATGAGGCATTTATCGCGATAGCTAGATCTGTCAAACAGAATTAGAACTTTGCCTTGACCTGCAGACTTGGCAAATAACGGACATAACCCAATCATGATGTAACTATAGCAGCAGCGATTCGGCCTCCAAGTAACTTGGAAAGTTCCCATCCAGTTACTTCTTCGTATAGCACATGAAGCCGCCCTCACAATGAATATAACTGGTGGGGGACATATGACGCTGCGGTGAACTGGGAATACGAGGTTTCCTAAAATTCCTTCATACTGTCTACCATCCTGCTGTACAGCCGCGGTCATGATCATTTCTCGCCTTTCCATTAGAAAGAAACTTCATTTCGGATCACCAGATTTTCCCGGTTAATATTTGGCGTTGCGCGACGCATCAATATATAGCTGCTTTTTGAGTTTCGACCTATGTGCTGGTTTCCAATAGCTTATGAAGCTTCTCTGGTGCTCTATTTTTCGCCTTTTTGCGACCAGACATACGCCACCGTATCTACGAACAGTCTTAATTACTCTATGCTTACCAAGTCCTAGAGCTAGTAGACTGCTCAGCTTCTCATAGTGCTGGTTCTGGTTCGACTCTCTTGGACTTGGCGAGCTGACTCTGCGAAAGACTGTTGGAAACCTCCACTAGGGCTATCAAATAGGCTCCGAGTTCTTGAACAGTCATTCTGATCATTCTTTTTCTCATTTCGTAGAAATTTGTGACGATCCTGCCGGACTCGTTGACTAGAAAAATGAAAGCAAAACCAGCCTGCATCTAAGACTTGTAGCCTTTGAGTCTGTTTCTGGAAGGAAACTTCCAGTTGAGTTAAACAACATGCTCATGCACATTCATCTCACTTTCACTTTACTTAAAAAGCGCGCGTTTAAATAAAGTGAAATCAACATAGCGCGTTTTCACTTCACTTGGAGCCTTAGATAGAAGCTAGGAAGTGTGAAGAGGCGGCGGTGCGATATCATCAAACAAGCTCGCATTAGTATCGCCCTGCGCAAGAAGGTCATCAAGCTCATCCATAGGAAGGTGCCCTCGGCTTTCGTAGAAAGCTCGGTTTTCAATTTTCTCCTAAGTCCCTCTCCATATCTTTTTTTAATTCCAATGACGCTCAATTTCTCTAAGTCCAACTATTATAAATAAACTCCTAGTGGATGCTCGTGTTTTCGCCAGGTCTTGGGCATCGTCCGTATATTCTGAACAGCTTTAGCTTCATCAACTAGCTTCTGGGCTTGAGCCCTTTCGCTTTTAGTATACTGAAGCCACTTCCCTGTGAAACACTCCCCTTGATCATTGACCATTAAATCAGTATCAGAATGGAGTTGGCGCCAAGATACTAACTGAGCTTTAATATCCTCCTCCTCTTCCTCCTCACTATCTGATTCTAAAAAGGTTTCACTCTCGTAATCTGGTAGTGGAGTAGGCTTTTTATTACTGCGTTTGAACTCTGGTTTAAGTTCTGATTGCTTATCCCGCCAGAAAGGACAAGTATTATGGCGGGAAAAGTAGTAAAGAATTGAGGATTCAAAGTCGTCTCAAAACAATGGGCTTACAGCATAAAAACCGACTAAGTAAGAAGGCTGGACAGGCACAAATCCACTGATGAGGATCCGTATGATACTGTTTCATCTGTCTATATGAATGGTTATTCTTATATCCTCCTCCCATTGCCTCTTAAAAAGACTCTCTCCATCGGCCTTCAAATATCCTCTGCTCTCCACCTAATATAGCCTTCATCTGATAGATCATCTCTCGAATACGAATGACCGATCAGCACGTAAGTCAATCAGATCAATTTCCTGTCATTCTAGGATAAACAGACTTATTTGATTAATTGCAAGGCCACATGTTTGCATGCAAATCCTGCTAGTGCTCGTTCTCAGCCAAACCGACAAACTCGCTTTTAAAATGTTCATTCAACTTGACGACTCGTTCGTAATACTTGGGCCGTATCATACCCAACGGAATAAGCCCCGTATCTTGGAGCTGGTGAACAGTGTCCGATATACCTTCTAAAAGATTCATTTCGTCTTGATGTATGAATAACTCCTCCTCTCCAAAATCAACGGGACACAACTTTGGCTCATGCTTGATATCAGTCCAGTGCGCGATAACATTGATCAAGGAATTGCGAAGAGAAAAAAGCTCTTCCCGTTCCCAATATGCAGGTACTAAAGAAATGTTGTTTAATTTCAGCTCGTGGAGTGAATCATTGAGAATTTGCCTTCTTGCAGAATCGCTTTTTTTATGGCATCGTAGTAATGCCCCAAAAGAATTTCTTATGAGCAGAACATGGGGAGGCTGATAGCTCAAGCATCTGCGGATAAGAGCGCTGAAGAAATGCCGGGGATACAGCAGCCTGCTGCGAGTCTATAATGCTGATAATACGATAGTCCACTGGGTCGACGAATATATTGTCAAGGTGCAGGCCTGGATGCGATATCCTGGTCAGTTGCTCAGCACTTGCAGGGACTAGAAACGGAGTAAGGGCTATATATTTCTTGAAAAGAGCGATGTAATCGCCTGGCGTTTCTGGGCATTCCATAGATTGGTGGTAGTTCATCCTCGGCCGGCAATGAGAATCAGCCCATTGAATCTCATTTTTTCCGATAGCTTCAGCATGGTCTGTGATAGAGTCTCCTAAACCATGATTAGCTACTTAAACAGCGTTGTGGCTTTTGAAACATCATACATGGCCCTCTATCCAAGTTCATTTTAGCTCTCTGCTTAACCCAAAATAGAGGACTGGCCGAAGGTCCGACTACGAAAGATGGCAGTGAGTCACTTCTACCCGCCGTAGGATAATTTGGTTGCGTCGTAATCAATTCATAGTCGCAAAATTTTAAATCAAGATCCGATGCGTAATATATGCACCCGTGTCTCGAAAACGTCATCGATGCTAGTCTTTTTTTCGATGCCCACAATCTGGTCGAGCTATGATTTCGCAGCCGTTGCTCATAGTCAACAGGAATGCTTTGTTAAACTGCCCCTCAACACATTTAAGTAACTTAACACCTGTTTAAAAAATTAACATGAAGTTGTTCGTAGTTTACCACATACATGTCGTTTCAGTATTTCCGACAAGTTTGATGGAGATATCCAAGAGAGCCTGCAAGTTAAATTTGCGATAGCGTGTTGGCTCCTGAAGAACTTAGGTTGACAATATCAATCCGTACTTCGGCGAAAAATATAGCCAGCGATATCTCTGGTATCGGAATAGGTCTTCTTCCACAATAGGTTTTTCTGGTAGAAGATTTAGCTAACGAGCTGGACACCCTTTAAGAAAAGAAAAATATTACCTGTTCCGTCCTCCAGTGCTCTGCAAAGAGGTATCGTGGTTGCTTGCGTCATCTGGGCTCTCGCTACTAAGCGACTGAAAAGACCTGTGCATTGAAAATTCCTGGCTGAAGTGTGTTCTCGTATCAATGAACCCATCTTTGCACGAGGTGTTGAAGGCGTCAAGTGGAATTTAAAGATTTAAAGTATTTCGGGCCGGAAAAAACGCATATATTGGCCACCGAGAGCCAATCAAATTTTGAGAGATTGAAACACAAAGAAGTCACGCTTAAAGGCATGCATTATGAGGTCAAGCAAAGCCACAAATGACCTGTCTCACCGAATAGTCAGTCACACTCTCTTCTTACCTGCTATCTAGATTTAGAGAGCATATGTTTCAACTAGGTTCTTGGCTCCTTGGAATAAACAATAATTGAGCCCTCTATCTAGTATTTAATATAATTGGATAGCTGTGATGACTGTGATGTGGGTGCATTAGCGTGCTGTGAGATCGTGATGGGCCCCACATATTCTTCTGGCAGAATGGGACCCACTCATTTATCAGTAGGCGTCGTCAGAATATCGTTTTATATATGTTATCGGTTTTAAAAGTTCAACGGCAGGCTACAAAGACAAATTTAATGCTTAGAGCATACGATAAAAGTAAAATTGTACCTAGTAGATTCTTGAATCAAGTATGAGAGGTAACAAGATAATATTGAACCAACGGAAGCACTGTATAAATAATGTATTGATCAGTCATAGCTCCCACATTCGCGAATAGATCGTGGGAAAAGTTAGGAGGAAGATAGACTGAGAGATATGGGACCGGGTATTCTATTTTGGGCCTCTTTGCTCCACACCTACTCATATACAGGAGACCTTGGAAAGACGAAGACATCTTTTAGCCTTCAAGTGTTATAATATTTTTTTTTTGAATACCTAAATGTAGACTCCTTTCACCTTCACTGTTTCCAGTCCAGCATTCACCATTAAAGAAAGCCCTCAGTCTGCTCCATATCTGGTCCATATAGACAGTTTCACGACTTTATTGATACCCATATAGTTGGATAAAGATCGGAAGCCGCTAATATCTGCAAGGTTCGAGCACTAGAGAGCCTTGAATTTACTCAAGACTAAACAGAAGCAAAGGGTTAACTATCAAATACTATTCAAAACAGGGTCCTTTGTGAATACATACGGGTGGCATGGGCCAGTTCTGCCTGGGTGGTAGCCTGCACATGAAGACTAATATCCTCAAACGACCGGTAGAGATGATCCTTGTTGGTCGTGGTGTAGGTCTTTTCATGGGTGCTGGCTGCCTCAGGGACCCTAGTGAGATTAAAAAATGAGTAAAATATCAGAATATGGTGGAGATAAAGACAACGTACCAGGTAATGAAGACTAGCTTATGTCGCTGCTTGTCACCAGCAAAGTCATACTTCAAGTCAACGACAGCATATCGGGGAGTGTCATCTTTGAAGTGAGTGAGGAATTCAGCATAGTCTTTGTATTTGCCAGACTCAGCGACAGTGATCTTCTTGTCATGTGAGTTGGCTTCGTAGATGACATAGTTGAGGTTGTCAGTCTCTTTGACCTCATCAAAGACGACTTCACAGTCGGGAGCAATGGTTGCAAATCCTCGAGTCATGATTATAAAATTGAAGAATTGAGAATTGGGTAGTTGTAAACAGGAAGAATTGGAAGAAAAAATGGGAAGATGTAGGATGGGGAGATGTGAAAGAGGGGGAATGAAGTCATTTGATCGTGTGGTGTCAGGAGTGGATTCTACCCCGGTATTTCTGTTATACTTGATTATATAATTATGCGGGGAAATGATCTGCATAATTTAGGTTCTAACTAATGGAAGAATTGTAACCATATTTAGTAGTGTATTTTAATAAGTTACTTAAGTCATACTTGAGTACATTTGAAGCTTCTATAATTCCGAGGTTCTATCTTAGAGAAAAGAAAGAAAAAGAAGGAAATCAGACCTATGACATAGTTTGTATTTTGAGTACTTCAAATATTTCAAGCTGTAGGTATCACAATCAATTGATTGCCGATGTACCTACTATAATATCCTCCAGAACTGTAAATCCTACCTTGAGGTTTGTTCAGATCATGATTATTGTAGAGAATGACAGTATAGTTCGCTTCAAATACCTGTCCACAGCTTTAGAATGAGTATTCACCAGGCAACCTTGGAAATCAGTTGCTACCTAGGTAGTTGATTTCGAGTGGCCTAAGACTTCCGAAGCTGAATGGGGTTAAGAAGAGTGTATATTTAAAATGCCGCAAGGCATATTTTCAGCCTCATACCCAAAAACTGAGTTAACACCGAACCCCGAACCCGGGCTTTGACTTTTTGCAACTGTACACACCTGAGCAGTATAATAAGTACCCTTGTTAAAAATAGGCACAATGTCTGACCTCAAGTTTAGCCCTTCTTCAATGTGGCACCTATAAGCACTAGCCTCGGACAGCATTGTTTATTAGTCATCAGAATGGGCTCATGACTAGTTAGTCAACTCATTCAACTTGTCCACTGGAAAGGCTTCGTAAGTCGTCTTTATACCCAAGTACCCCTAGAGATAATTGGATAAAAGAGAATTCGTATAAGACATATCATTTTATTCAGGTCGCATTTGTAAAATGTATTTCAAATTGGACTCGCACGGGCTGAATAAGGGGCTGGTGCTTACCATCGTATTCATGCATGCTGATGCAGGGGCACAGCCCAACCTTGGAAGTATGGATACGTGGACGCATACGTGGTTTCGAAGTACCCGATTCCATCGACAACGGTTAACCACCCTTCATAGTACAGTATTGCGGTATAATCAATACTCTTAATGTTGGAGATGATAAGGTTAAGATAATGGGAATGTTCTGAATGTGATAAATAGAAGAATACCCATGGACGGAACCGAGTCCGTCGGATCATAGGGCGGTCTTGGCACAGATATCCTCCAATCAAAACAAACTATCTGTCTAATGCTCCAATGTTTGATTGGACCCTGAGATCTACCTAACTTAGCCTTGTTTTTGTCGATCCGCCTAAAATTGCCTCTTCGTCAAGAATAATACTTATAAACCTGCTCCTTCCTTCTCAATTCTGTTTATCCTTTCTCTCTGACATCGATTCCTCCCTCTTTTTCGTCGTTGTTCCTCTCATTATTCATCATGCGCTCATCAACAGTATCAACACTTGCTCTCTTCTTCGCTACAACGGCCCTAGCTGCCCCAGCAGAGACTCTGAGTGCTGACGACTACGTGGTCACCGATGATACCGGCTACATCTACACCGTCCCTGCTGCTCTCGAGTCTGTCTTCGAGACCGCCATCCCAGAATCATGGGAGTCCTCTCTCATCTATAACACCGCATTTGCAAGCTCTGTCCTCGAAGCAGAAAAGTCTGGCATCTTGCCAGACTGGTACAGCAGCCTTCCTGAGAGCGCAAAGCAATTTTACAGTACTCTGGTAGATGGTGAAGATGCCTACCTTTCTGGAACTGTATCCGATGCTACAGCTACGGGCACAGCTACAGGCAAAGCCACAGCTACCTCCGGCGCTATCGTCACTAGCAGCTCGCACGCTATAACTAGCACCCCGTTGACTGCTACTAAGACTCGCACCACAAGCACCACTAGCTCTGATTCCACTTCTACCTCTACCGATTCTGAGACTACTACCTCTGATTCAGACTCTTCATCCACCTCGTCGGCCTCTACTAGCACTTCTACTGGTGGTGCCCCTGCTGCTACTGGCAGCGTTGCCGTCGGTATTGCTGGTGCCTTTGGTATTCTGGGTCTTGCCCTTGCCTTGTAAAAATAATGAGACAGGCATATCATTATCATGGGCTTAACGAAATCTTTCTGTTGGAGGAAATGGCGGTTGTATTTTCATATGAACATTATTATGGATCATTAGTTTAGGTACTGAGTTAATATGATTACCGCCTTAGGTATATGCTCACCCACAATTCATTGATGCTATCTTACAAGGTTGAGGCGGTCCATTCCATGTGGTATAATGCCACTGGGTACTAGCTCACATTAAGAGCAGTGGCTTATATCCATACATACATTGTATTGCCGCTGGGGAAATTTTTGTGACAGAGATTCAGTTCGTCAAACCCATCAGTGCGGGTACAGGGTCTTAGTATTTCCCGCTCGTCCCTGTAGCACCGAGTGGCAAGCGAAGCAACTCAACGCTAAAAGTTCATTCTAGAGACATTTACAAGACACCTGGAAGTAGTTCTAAACCTTACGCCCAGTCCGTCTACATCCCATGCATTAGACCGCCGCATGTTTTAGCATCAGGTGACTTGGATCGCCTGAGAAACATGTTTTATATCATCTGATGTATATCTGCTGATGAACAGTAAATACATTTTTCATTTCCTCAAATGCTCATCTCCATGGATGTTTTTTGAAGCTGCCAAACGATCTAGGTAAATTTAACTGTTCGCATGCAGTTGGAACCTTGAAATAAGCTCCCGCACTGGATACCAACTGACCCACACTAGACATAGCCTGGAATGAAGTGGTAGAATGAGGGTGAACCTTGAAACTCAAGATCGTAATATGAAGGAAAGTGTAAATCTATTTGATAGTCCAGTCATGGCCTTTGCGAGCATTCGCAGCTTTGATCTCTAGCTCTAAGTAGCTCAGGAGATATTATTCCCAGAGGACTAACTTAGGCATCATTTGGGCATCATTTTGGGCTCGGGTAAGGAATCAACTTCCATTGTTTTTTCCAGACTCCACCATCCATTTTAGTGCTCATCTCATGTGGCTTTCACGGCTTGTGGCTGGCTGATCAGGTGGGCTCTGAGACGAGGCTCTGACGAGGGCCGAGATGACCCGGTACTTCGGTACGATGAGTAGCAGTATGAAGTATCAAGAATTGAAATTCTACCCTATTTACCGCTTCGATCTATATCAACATAAAATAAAAGGTAAAGCGCGCAGTCGGTTTCAAATGCATAAACCATCATGGTTTACTAGGATGGCAACTTTTTAGATAAGGACCATAAGGTCTGTTAGTAAAACAAGACTAGTTGTGATTGAGAGTGTAGTCCCTAGACAACTTTGATAGATGTATAGACACAAGAAAGCCGAATTTAGCACATCTAGTGTTCTGCCTTGTCATACCGCCTTAACTGTACGATAAAGGTTGTTTAGAGCTAGTACATATCAAGAAGGCGGTCAATGATATTCACCCCCTCATATCGATAGCGTGAGATATTTTTTCTTTTTGCCATCAGTTCCCCTCCACACTCCAATCTCCAATACCCAAACCCTAAACAATCAACCCTGATATCAAAATGGGTGGTGCCAGCAGAGAAGGTACGTTATTCACCATCAAATATCTGAATCCCAGACTAATTCTTACATACAGGTGGCAAGGCTAAGCCTCTGAAGGCCACCAAGAAAGAAAAGAAGGAGCTTGATGAGGACGAGCTTGCTTTCCGTGAGAAGCAGAAGGCCGGTATGTGGATCTTGATTCTTTGCTACCTCTCGTGTCTGTTTATTTACTTATAACTTCAACCCCAATGCAGATCTCAAGGCTAAGAAGGAAATGGCCGACCAGGCCAAGGGCAAGAAGGGTCCTCTGAACACTGGCCAGCAGGGCATCAAGAAGTCTGGAAAGAAATAAGTGATCGAAACTGAATGTGAGGTGCTGCATCAGCATCGGGACTCAGCTCAGTCCACTTTACGATCAAAACGATATCCAATCAGAGCGGAATGCATTCTAATTCTTCATGTACAATGACTACACCTCGCATCTTGTGCTTATTCTAACATCGCCTCAATGTACCTATGAATTGAATTCTCTTTCATAGAGTTTGATCTTCATTTTTCTGAAGTAAGACCTCAAAGACATGGTAGCTATTTGATACATCCTTAAAGATGTAAAATCTCGGATTTTGGAACTTCAACGCTTGAGGTACTGGGACAAGCAAGGCAACCGGGTATCAAAACAGGCGCTCGAGGTGAACATAAAACAATGTGAGGTAAAAGATAAACGCCGCAGTCAACACATCAGTCCTTCGATTAATAATCAAGACGCCACTCTCACTACTTCAACTCATAATCGTATCATATTTCCCACAACTTAATTGGTAACACGCTTCACCCAAAGGTTGCTACCATCGCCATTGTTCTGCCGCTCATCTAAGCGTCTCCAGGCCCGAGCGACCTTCATGCCAAGTTCATGTTCCTCTTTCTTGATTTCAGCAACATCATTCTCAATGCTGCGAATACTCTTCTGCACCTCTGCCTTAGCAGATAAATCATAGGTCATACTGCCAGGTTGGAGTGTCTTGTTCAATCCATCAATGACAGTTTCCAGGTTAACTCTGCGCTTTGCCAGCTCATCTTTCTTCTTCTCCAAAGCCTGAATTTTGCTCTCGGGGTCCTGAGGCTCAGGGGAAGGAGCGGCTCTGCCGGAAACTTCCGAAGGAGTTGGCTTTCGCATTACTTTATTAGAGATGGGCTTGGTCGCGAGAGCCACAGCGTTGGAGATGGGTCGACGGCGAGACATGATAGAAGTCAGATCATCTGTGGATTGAGTAGGAGATGCAATGTTCAGGCTGTCACGAGGGCTGTCATTGATGCTTCCGAGTGGACTGTCGAAGTCCAAAGCTGTCCAAATAGATGTCATAGTAGAGCAGCGATCAACAACTGGTTCAGTGTGCTTGTTGAAAACTGAATCAAATGTCGACTGTATTGGGCTATAAGTGATTCCACTAGTCGTCGCCGGTCGGTTCATCTGTTTCTCAGGAAGCATCATGCTGGTGATCACTTCGTCGAACTTCGAGTCTGGGGGCAGTGGAAGCAGATTTTGGTATCCTTGAGAAGTAGATGATCGCACAGGCGGGCTCTTGTAGGTGTTATCAGGATCCGACCGCACTGGCTGAGTGTTGTAGACATGGTTTGTGTCGGATCGCGCAGGAGGTTTCTTATAAGTTTCTGTGTGTGATTGCAATGGCTGTGTTTTAGAGAAGTTGTCTGTGGCAGGTCGAATAGGAGGGCTCCGATAGGTGAACTCTGGATGTCTCGATCGACCTCCAACGGTGTGTGGTAGTGGAAGTGGCTTTCGTCCAGCGGCAATAGTCGTAACAACGCCGGAGGTATAACCAAAACCCGACTCATAGAACCGTGAGCTACCATCTGAAGCTGCACGTTTATTCAAATGCTCAGCTAGCGAGCGCCCACGCATGTCAGGTCCGTCATTAATTTCCTTTGGTGCCGCAAGTTCATTCTTTGCTGAACTTTTGGTGCGGCTGCGGGCCTTCGTAGATTGAAGTTGGTCGCGGCCCCAGCTTAAAAGGCTTGATGTATGTGAGGTGCTTAGCTTGTGAAAAATTTCTTTCTTAGGATGTGCTGTCTTAGTATTAGTTTTAGGAAGTGCGACCGGTATGTTAGGACGGATTTTCTCATCGCTGCCGGCAAGTTTTGCAAATTTGTGTGAGGCCTTTGGAGCCTCGTGCGACAGACTAGACTCATTAACAGACTCTTCAGACATAGCAGCAGATGCTGATGTCTGATATGGGGTGCTCTCATCGTCAGAGTGGCCATTCTCAACGATTGGAGAGACACAAAAGCCGCTCCCATTGTCCAAGTGCTCAGAGTAATCAGATTCACTCATTGCTGATACATCTGAGAGTCTCTTATGTCCGTCTTGCTGTGTCCAAGGAGGTGCAAGCTGGGTCGAGGAATCGTGCGCAGAGTCTGGTACACTATACATAACATGAGAAGGGAATTGCTCAACAGTTATAGCGGGGGGCCTACACTGATTGAGTATGGCGATGGCCCATTTGCGCCTCATGTGATAGTGACATGTCCTCCGGTACAATGGATGTGGGGTGACCGATTGACAGTCGCGAACGATTGAATGGTTTCTTAGACCACATCCCAAGGTGTGGAGTAAAGTATTGCTGTCCAAGTTTTGAATGTCGAAGTGATGAGAAGGGAGAGAGAAATAGAGTTGAGTCTGATAGATGGGAAGGTTGAGTAGATCCTCGGACGAGGTAAACAAAGGAATGCGTTGATAGGAAAAGGAGAAAAGATGGTGGTGTTTGCAGGGAGAGAGAGAGCCTGACACGAGGCAAGAAAACAGGGCATCAATCCTAAGGCGGTAAATAATTTAAAAATAAATTGGGGCGGTTCTTTAGTGGAGAATAATAACTGAACTATAAGGCTTTTTAGAGAATTGGGGGGTGGTTTCATATTGTGGTGCTTTGGACCGTGCTCTGTACTTACTGAATTAATTGTAAATTGGGGGTAAAAGGGTTGAAATCAATAGTACTTGATCTAAAAATAGCAAATATGGTAGGGAGATACTCCGAGATAAATAAGTAGTCATGTACATGATAGGGAAGTATATAAAAACAAGAATAAGAATAAAGCATGGCATCACGTGGCGTCAGGCGGGGGATGTGTCATCGGCTCTCTTGTTTCCGAGCTCTTTCTACCTGACATCACCGAGCTTCAACTTAAACCTCCCTATCTCCTAAAATGGCTGCCGCTGGTAAGTGAAACCTCAAATTCTGTCAACTAAAATCCGAATATTTTGCTTACATATCATTAGAGAGTTCTGCGCAACAGGCCGAAGTGTTCGTAACAACTAGCATGAATAGCCTCGGTAAATTGCTAATCTACTACAGCATGTCAATCGCATCTCCTATCAACCTCATCCTCATCTCCCTATTTGCCGTACTGGTGTACTTCCACCTTCGCCCTAAAGCGCCCATCGATCTTCCGCAAGGCCCACCCCCCGTCGTATTCCGTACTTATACCCCCAACACTTTGGTGGAGTTCAATGGTCAGGACGGAAAGCCAATCTATTTTGCCGTGCGGGGTCGTGTATTTGACGTCTCACCTGGCAGAAACTTCTATGGACCGGTATGTGAATTGATGCGACACAGGTGTCGGGCATTGGGCGGTAATGGGCTAATAACTAGCAGGGTGGCCCTTACGAGAATTTTGCCGGCCGTGACGCATCCCGCGGATTGGCCCACCAGAGCTTTGATGCTGAGATGTTGACGGAGGATTTGAATGGCCCTCTGGATGATCTTAAGGACCTGGATGCTGAGCAGTTAGAGAACCTGCAGTCGTGGGAAGACCGCTTCTTGGAGAAGTATCTCGTTGTTGGCAAATTGGTTGCCGAGGGTGATCTCGAAGCCACAAAGTCGTGATTATGTACGACAATGGAGTTTGCGAGAAAGCACACAAAAATTATGTTGATAAGTGATTGTGGAGCTTGTCACATTTTTGCACCATGTCCAATTTCGGGTGTCCAATTTCGGGGTTAACTGATTCCATTTCGGATTAATGTAAGGCTCATTGCTATTTAGAATTACTGTAAAACTGTCTGGGCCAATCCGAGGAAACAAAAACATCAAAAAGAATAAAACTCAGTCGTCAATTAATTCTATACTAATGTGTCAAAAATTTCACATTTGCGATGTTATAGATACTAAGAAGTGAATTCCATTTTACAGCTACCTATGAAAGAATCGCGACAGAAGTCCTAGAAAGAAAATAAAACTCCAATGTCATAATTATCGTGACTGAGTAATTGGCCTTGCAGAGCATGGCTTATCTGCTTTTTCGCAACGATTTCAAAAAAAAAAAAAAAAAAAAATACCGAGAAACTCGAATGTGTATGGTTCACTGTTTAAAGCTCACTGTGCAACTTCTCGGCCTTGTCACGGACCTGATCGGTGGCCTTCTCAGCAGCCTCTTGGCCCTGTGCCCGACCGCTGGAAGCTCCGACCTTCAACTGATCCAAAGCCCAGTACAAAGTAGACAGGAGCTTAGAGATGGTATCCTGCGGGTTGTTGGTGCCATACTTCCAGTAAGTCGCCTGACGCCGGGCTGTAGCGCGAAGCTCGTTGATATTCGAGCCTTGATAGCTAGGAATTCCATACGAATCGAGGTACTTCTTGATATCGGACTGCGACCATGTCTCGAAGGTAGTATCCTTGACGGATCCGGTGACCTGGGCGAGAGATGCGGAAGCTGATGCGAGGTGTTCACCGCCATCCTTCGAAGCCTTGGCGTAAGAGTCTTTGGCCTCCTTGACAAGCTCCTGGCGAGTGGCATCGGCCTTATTAGCCACCTTAGAGTTCACGGCAGACAAGTATTTCCTATGAAAATTAGACGATGCTATAGATTAAAAAGGAGCCGAATGCCCTTACTTGAGGTGTTCCAAATCCCAGGTATCAAAGTTGTCCTGATTCCATCCAGTGGCGGCCTTGTGGGCATTTGCGCGGACCGCAGCAATGAGCTCGTCACGCTTGCCATTCTGGGGAACCGGAACGCTTCGAGCATCCAGGAAGGCTTTAAGACGGGAGTCAGACCATGCCTGGATTGCAGTGTTAAACTGATCATCGATCTTCATCTGGGCATCTTCAGTCGCCTTCGCGTACTCGTTTCCAGCCTGAGTAGTGGCAGCACCAAACGCAGAGGAAGCAGCGGATGATGCGCTAGAAGCCTTCACGAGGAGATAATGGCGGTTCTTTCGTGCAAGCGCGATAAGCTCGTTACGCTTGGAACCCTGAGGAACCTTAACATCGTGCGAGTCGAGGAATTCCTTCAACTTGGAGTCGGACCAAGCGTTGAAGACCTCTTCGCTCAATGTGTCCTTTGCAGATTCAGCAGCAGCCATAGCTGATGCAGTAATGCTTTTCGCCTGGAGGCTAGCGAGTCGAGAGTGGCGACGCACAGACGCGATGAGATTGTCACGGTTGGTCGGCTGGGGAACTGGCCATCCACGCTCATCAAGCCATCCCTTGAGATCTGATTCGGACCACTGACTATACAGCCAATCTCCGGGGTACGCGGTGGTCTCCCCAATTTTGGTCGCTACAGCGTCATAGCTTTCGCGGGCTGTCTTAACAAGGACATCACGTTGGCGGGGTTGAGGGGCGGGAATGCCGTGGTAATCAAGGAATGCCTTCAACTGGGAATCCGACCAACTAGCAAACAGTTAGAGTTTCGTTTCAAAAGAGAGAATATATGGTACTTACCTATCAAAAATCCAATCCTTGGCAGATTGGAGGTCGTCGGTGACCTGCTCGGCAGCATAGCCGAGAGGCTTCTGCACCTTGGAATCCCAGTTGGTCTTGACGAGGCCTTCGAGGTCGCGGCGGTCGGCGGGTGAGGGGAAGGGAATACCTGATTAGATATTAGTCTGGAACTCAGATCTTCATTGATAACTATCCCTTACCATGATCAGAGAGCCATCGCTCAAGCTCAGTTTCATGCCACTTGTTGTAAACTGTGGGGAAAGCGTTAGCGCGATCGTGGAAGCTAACCCCGGAATTTGAAACGAACCAGCCTTGCTCCACCAGCTCGAAGCCCCCACAGCTTCAGCGGTCGCGAGCACAAACAACAGGCCCAGGGCCAGATGTAACTTCATTTTGATTAGAGTATCAAGTGTTAGGTTGGAGATTGAGATGTCAACACGGTTGATGAGGAAGAGAGATCGAGATGATTTAAAGAAGTGAAGTAAAGCAAGGATGACAAGATTCCCATTCCAACTACGTCACAAATTTCATGAGGTCATCATAGGATAATATGAAGTATTAAATACAGTATTTATTATACGAAGAACTTGTAAAATAATCGTAAAGTATCCATATAAAAATAAAGAAAAAAATAAAAAATCGATCGGAAAGTATTAAATATTTGAATAAGAGCTTCCAAGTTTGTGCTCACCATTAACCTAGAAATAAAAACAGATGATAACAGCCTTGATGCCACCCAAGCTTTGTAAAGTAACCTCGACACTGTTCACTCAATCTGGTACTAGGATAAAGTCTGGATTGTCCAACATTACCGTCTGGTGAAAAAGGCTTATCTGCTAACATCTAATATAGGAAAGTATGACTCTGCACTGGGGTCTTAAAATATAAGGGCATGAAAACCCAGGAACCTACCCTTAGGACTACGTGCTACACTGCTCTTTGATCAACACAGTTGTTATCGTTCTAAATGGAAATTCAGACTAAGAGGGCCAAGCTGAATATATTGAGTATTTTCAAGGGGTTGAGAGATTCTATGAACGTGAAATTCCGGGCGAACTACAGAACTAGAGCAGAGTGTTTTAGGGAAAGCAGAACTAGTAGAGATCAATAGATCGAGCAGCGTCAGGAGCGACGACAAGCAGCTCATAGCCATTAAGAGAATGAACTATAGACAGACCTTATTTTGATAGATAGCTTATAGAAGACGGCCCTCCTACTCAGTCAGTTTTGTGAATTTTCCGTAAGTTTTCGTTGGTTGTTGTTAAAACAGTGGGTTGCTACGGGGGTAGTATTTTGGTTGCCCGAGTGGCAGTGACGTTAAATAGGGACAGAGAGAAACAGTAGATAGCTCTGATAGCTATTCTATTGAGTCATTATCCAGCCCTTTTTCCATGACTTCCCAAACATGATAGTGGCTGGATCAGCTGATATCGATGTCTCTCCGTCGAATTATAAGCAAGGTGAACCCCCTGTGACAATTTACGCCCTAGACGCAATCGATTCTAAGGCATCACAATATACGGACATATACGGAATCGAGTATGCTAGTGGCACGGATACATCTGGCACCGTATGTGAGAAGGGCACCTCTTTCGCTGCCCCGACTATTGCAGGGTTTTCTGAATATCTGATATCGATTGATTTGAGCTTACAGGAAGTGGAAACAGTGGCCAAAAACGTAAAAGCCAAGATTGTGGAGCTAAGAGATATACGTTGGTGGTATGCGTTTTATTTGGAATGGTATGGACGGATCAGGCTGCTAGATACTGCCACTGTCTCATCCAGGGCTAGAACGAAAAGCTCAATCTCTATTTGATACTTTAACCTTTTTCAATAAATATAAAACATCCATTGGGCCCATGTCATAAATACCTAGGTACTTTATACATATATACACTCCCAAGCCTCTAACCGCCGTAAGAGAAGCCGCCATCTACCGCAATCACCTGTTTCGATCAGACAAACTGAGAAATCTTAACATGTCAACGGGAAGAATCTCACCTTGTTAGTCAGGTAAGCAGTCTTAACCATCCAGACCACCGTGTTGGCCATTTCCTCTGGCCGCCCAAATCGTCCGACAGGAATCTCTATAGCAAGGACTCAGGTATCAGCAAACAAACCAAATCTTCGTTTTGATGAAACTCTCCCACGTACTCTTGGCAAGCTCATCTCCACCAACAGGCAACATGGCCGTGTCTTCGACCAATGCCGGTGCAAGTGCATTGACAGTGATACCCTTTTTGGCAACCACCCCAGCCAACCAGTGCACCAAGCCATGCAGGGCGGCCTTGCTGCTCGCATAATGGCCTCCGATAACACCACCATTGATGCCAGCCACTGAGCTGTTGAAAATAATTCTACCCCACTGCACCTTTTCCATGGCCGGCAAGCATAGCTGCGTCAGTAAAAACGGTGACGCGGTGTTGATCCGCCACGTCTGCTCAAATATTTCCGGCGTAATGTCCGAGATGTGAGACACGCTGTTCAGACCGGCGGTAGATCCAGCATTAAGGAATACCACAGCTGGATCACCCATGCTGGAGACGACATCCTTATGTAGACGCTTGACGGCCTCGAGGTCGCCGAGGTTGGCTTGGAAGGCCTTGAAGACTTGCTGGCCCTCGTTGGACGAGGATGATGCCGCACTCTTGACGCCATCAAGGAGTTCTTTTACGCTTGATTCAGGAGCCGCGTTGTAGTGGAGAGCCACGGAGAAGCCTTCCTTTGCCAGGGCATAAGAAGTTGCTTTGCCTATGCCTCCGGTAGCTCCGGTGATGAGAGCGATTTTTGCAGTGCTGGACATGACTGCTATGAAAGAAGACGGCTTGCTGTGGATATTGGTGTCAATGGACTTGATACAATGACAAGTTTGAGAATTTGTACGCAAGAATCATGAGACAAGATAGTATGAATAACTCGGAGATCAGAGTTACAAGTCGGAGTGGGTCAACTCGATTACCTCTACAACAGGTTTTGGAATCAGGCTAGTGCCAGTCTGTTTGCTTGGTTTGCAGGTAAATAATTTTAAGGCATAATGGTCTTGACAACTATGATGCATAGCTATTTCCAAGCGATTATTTATTACCGTATTGAGATACTGCCAAGGGTGTCATAGGTAAATAGTGGAGTCATGTTCCGTTCCCCGCGGTTCTGAACCTCTCTTCAATTGACCACTTTCAACCTTGGTTTGGAAATAAACAAAAACATGAACCGCGGAAAATCCCACTGTGGGATTCTCCACGAATACGTAAGACTTGCTCTCATTTACTCAATCTATCAAGCCAATCTGATCACAGTTTCCCCGCATACAGGCTCCTAGGCTGGTGACCTTCGAGTTCACGTCTCCAGAATCTCCCAGTAACAAGCCAAACAGTTTGATCTTTGTTGGCGGACTAACAGATGGATTATGCACTGTTCCCTACGTATCTGAGATAGCCAAGGCCCTAGAACCAACCTCGTGGTCTCTCTTCTCCGTACTGCTTTCCTCATCATACAATGGATTCGGAGTCAGCAGCCTCGATCTAGACATAGAAGAGATTGGACGATGTGTACAATTCATCCGCGATCTCAAAGCTAATCGTCTTCCTGGGGCACCTTCGGACAATGGCAAGATTGTACTTATGGGGCACTCCACCGGTAGCCAGGATGTTCTCCATTATCTCTACGCGCCGAACCCTCTACTCAAGGACCCAAAATTCGATGTGGGACTTCAGTATCTGCATCGACCTGAGCTTGATGGAGCCATCATGCAAGCTCCGGCGTCAGACCGCGAGGCTATCTTGTACCTCGTAAAGCAGGCCGAGGAATCCGCCGCGGCACAAAGTGCCTATGATCAGCTTATAAAGGCTGCGAAAGAACGCACATTGACCGAGGAAAACACAGATGTGATTCTTTCGATGGATTTGACTGCGAAGCTTGGCCTTCCTGGTAATGCACCTCTTAGTGCTCGCAGATTCCTAAGCCTGGCAAGTCCAGACAGTCCCCAGAATCCGGCACAGGACGATGTGTTCAGTTCAGATCTAAACGATAAACGGCTCCAGGAGACCTTTGGTCAGATAGGTTCTCGGGGTCTGCTGAAATCAAAGCTAGTGGGGTTAATTTCCGGTTGTGATGAATACTGCCCGCCTTATGTGGACAAGGAGAAGCTACTGGAGAGATGGCAGGCGGCCACTGAGGCCGGTGGTGCATTGTGGGATGCGGAGACTAGCGGTATCATTCCTGGAGCTAGTCATAATGTGCAGGATGAAGGCCAAGAGTGGATGATTGAGCGCATCGTTCGGTACTTGAAGAGCATCTAAGCACAGAATGAATGTAATTTTCGGAGACAGACACCCAAATGAAGCATTACTAGTTAAAAGATTTGATTTTGTATGGACAGACTATGAGAAACACGGAAACAACCTCCAGGATTAAAGGAAAGGATTCGGAAATAGAAGATAAAATGGACAAGGGATCAAAGTGGGTATCGAAGTGCGGGACCGTTAAGTGTGATAGATTGATGATACGTGTAGCATCGCAAAACGTCTTAAACCTTCAGCCACAGGGTCAGAACACCCTTGAGATACTCCACAATCTCAGATCCACCCAACTTGCTCTCACCGTAGAGACGGTCAACAAAGGTAATGGGGCACTCGTCAACCTTGTAACCCATTGCCTTGGCACGAACCATCATCTCCATCTGGAAGCTGTAGCCCTTGCTTTGAGTGCTAGTGATGACTTTCTGCAGAACCGATCTCTTATACAAGCGGAAGCTACCAGTCAAGTCGCTAACACCAGGCATCAACATGACGTCCGCAATCAGATTGGCAGTGCGCGAGGTGAACTTGCGGAACAGGTCCCAGCCGTAGACACCACCCTTGATGTCCCCGCGATTCGCATAACGGGTACCGGTGACGATGTCGGCATCGTTCTCCTTCTGAATGCGGATCATCTCGGGGATGAACTTGGGGTGGTGGCTGAAGTCGGCGTCCATGATGATGATGAAGTTACCAGTAGCATATTGCAGACCGTGAACATAGGCGGTGCCTAGACCGAGCTTGCCCTGGCGGGGCTTGAGAATGATGTGTTCGGGGCCGTACAGCTTCTGCAGCTGCTTTGCGATTTCGAGGGTTCCGTCAGGGGAGCCGTCGTCAACAACGATGACCTCCCAATCCAAGTTGCTGTTGCAGGTAAGAAATATCAGAGGGGAGTATATTATATAAAAGTTGCGCTTCCTACTTCTCTTTGAAAGTTCTCTGGATCAGCCAGATAATAATTGGGAGGTTTCTCCGTTCATTGTAGGTCGGCAGAATGACCGAGTACTTGTTCTTAGTGGTACTCATCTTTTTTTAAAAAAAAAAAAATGGTTGATATGTCGGATGTCAATGGTTGTCACCAGGACGAAAGCGATGAAGTTGAACGAAAGAAAAAAGAAAGTAGAGAGCGAATGGCAGCGAGCTTGTTACATCGACGAACAGTACCTCGTGCCAACTCTGGCCAGATCCGGCCATACACCGCCTTAAATTCTGCCATACTCTTATCGCTCCGCAGCTTCGTGAATAGATCAAGACGAACTCCAAACTTGCGATTTATATTCAGCATTTGACGGAGCCATGGCTTCACCAGTAGGTCATCAACGCAATACCTCTCGTGGTAAGAAATTCCCCTTTTGCTCGATGTCATGACATTGTTTCAATTTTGAAATAATCAATGCTAATCGGCTCCTTACAGGTCTAGCACTACGGCCCCGCAGCTCAACGCGAGGTCCTTTAGATGAATTAGACGAGTGAGCAATACCTGTGATTACAACATTTTATTCGTGCTAATATGGTACAGCCCTCTTGCGCCGTCGACATGGTCAACTTCACCAACTCCGAGCAAAATCACGGGAAGCAACAAATTCTCCGGCGAGTCTTTTCACGAATTAGACCCGTTGGCACCACACGATCCGCCAGAGACATTGGGCAAAGACCTCTCATTCCTTCTTCGACATAACATCTTCCATCCCCTAACTCAAATTGACATCCCTTCTCCCTTACGCTCCGAATTTATCGTCCTCAACCCCGGCGAGCCTCTCTCTTCTTCTCTCGGCACTCTGGAGAAATTGCTAGCGGAGGGTCGCTTTCTCGTTGCCGCTCATTTCGTGGGATCTATACTGACATCCTCGCTCGTAAACTCGACGGATGTAAGAATGATATTCTCCTTGTTCTATACCCGATTGGCATGCTTGGAGCTGTCTGGGAATCTAGCTCTTGCTGGCCAGGAGTCAAAGGCATTAGAGGATCTGAGTTCGGCATTTTATTACATCGATTCTACCTCACATTCCCCCGAAACAGACGAACCTGAAAACAATGAATCTCGTGATCGCCTCCCCCGTCATATCGTGCCGTGGCCATTGCGTGTGCTTGCTGTGAGGCTTCAGAGTATTGGATTCGGTGATTCCCGCCGGAGCATTAACGGTTTATATGAGATTGGCCTCGAAGCTCGGAGAGAGGTCATTAAAAAAGAAAATGGCGAAACCGAACGAAAAATCTGGAGAGAACGATTGGCAGACCTTGGAATTAGGACTGTTAATGCGCTGATAGAAATGGGCGATCTCGATGCCGCGAAGCGATCATTGGAAAGTCTACGCTCATCTGAGCCTGAAACTGATACCACAAAATTAAGAAAAGCTCTTCTATTTTTACGAGTTGGTGATGTTGATGCTGCGGAACGTGTTTTCGGCGACTCTCGCGAGTCGAAGGAGGCCGCTCTCTTGCAACCACTTCTGAGAATGGCAGAAGGTGACTATGTTGACGCTGTATCCAAGTGGCGTACACTCGAACAAGACAAATCACGCACGGATGGGCCTCTAATAGCACAAAATCTGGCCGTATGTCTTTTGTATGCCGGGCAATTAGAAGAGGTTTGTTATTCTCAGTCTGATCATTTATGATACCCCAGTCCACTAATCGACGTATAGGCACGACAACTATTAGAGTCACAGACCCTAGCCCATAACTCGTTTGGAAGTCTCATTTTCAACCTCTCAACGGTTTACGAGCTCTGTTCTGATAAAGCAAGACAGGCAAAGGCGCAGCTAGCGGTTACGATATCAAATCAGCCCGTTTCTGGACAAACCAATCTGGATCGCCCAAATACGGACTTCAAGCTATGACACCAAAATCAATTGAAAATGTGATCGCAAATTGTCTTCATTGAATGTAATCTCCTGTGTAAAAATAGAAAGTCAATGGGAGGTCATTTGTCTAAACCAGCCTCCATGAAACGAAACCCACTCCATAAGAATATGCCCAACCCCAATCTAACGCCATTTAGTTATCCACAACACCATCTAATGCATTGGAAAGAGTAAGCCAGTCTTTTTCTGGTCACGGTTCACACTGTTCACTAATCTGTTCCAGCTCTTGCAATTGTGGCTTAGGTCTCCGGGGCCGCCTGATGATGATTCTGTCATCGTCGTCGTTCTTTTCCCTTTCCCATTTAAGATTCTCTGCCGCAGCCAGTTTCTCCCAAGTCCAGCTCTCATCATCTCCAGTGCATCCACCCAGGACCCAATCGATAGGAACGCTGAGGTATGCGCTGCCCACTGATTTGAGAGCGTTCCGCCTAACTCGATCCACTGCCCATTTCATGATCGCGTGTAGATACGAGTCAACTTTCTTGCACACTTTCCAGAACATGATCCAGTTTCCGTGAATCAATGCTAGCAACACACGATCGATGTTCTGTGATTGAAATCCATACTCTTGTCGTGCCCGTGCCCGCAGCCGGAAGGCCGCTGCCATGTCGTCTTGGCGACATGCATAGTCCAGAATCAAGTAGGAGTACATCTCTTTGATTTCAGAGTGAGCGAATGGATGCGAGGCTGAGTGCAGTTGATCAAGACAATGACGTAAGGACGGAAAATAAGACGGTGGGTGATGCGCGAGAATCGACAGACGGATGGAGAAGTAGTGAACACGCTGGGAGAATTCTATTGGCGTTGTTACAGCTGAAGCCGTGATCCCCTCTCGCAATTTCCGGAGAGAAAGAAGCAGTGTGGACAGCTCCATTGATGGTGGTACGCTTTTCGTTGCGGGACCCGATGTTTCTGTTGATGCTTCTTTTGACTTGGCCGCGGGTGGGTTTGAGGTTGCATCCGTCGAAGAACTCAAAGGGAGTGATGCGAGTGCATCATCAAGATGCTTGTTGTGGTCAGAACAGAAGCGTAGCCAACGCTCCACAATAGTATGGAAGTATTCCTTCTGCGCATGATGTTCAAGTAGCCTGCAAGGACTATCAGTGATGATATACTTGAACAGGATCATCTGTATTTAAGTATACACACGTTTTGTCGCCTTTGGAAGCATAACCGACGATGACCAGAGGATCACCGACTGGTCGTAATCGACCGTCACGATTTCGAGTGGACTGCATTGCTGAGGCATGAGCGATTGGCCCCCGTGTTATACTAATATGTCAGATCATGTGACTTTGAAAACGTATTCACTTATCTTATCAGGCCAAAATCAGGCCAAAATATTATCTAATCAGGCTAGGAGACTCCCAACTATTTACTCAACACCCCATTCAATATCCAAGTTGAATTGTTTTTCCTTTTTTCTTTTAATTGAATTCTATTTTAATAAAGAAACTGACTTTCATAAGCCGTTGAAACGCTTACATGCTGTGCATATTCTGTTGCTGATTCGAATTCTAAACATTTTACTGCATCTGACTTGCATGTGACATGGCTCGTCAGCGTCATCAGGAAAAACAAGACAGCCAAGCTGCTACTCTGGCAAAGTCTATGATCGAATCTCCCGCAAATACTGTGAAGGGACTTGTGCATTGGGACGATCTTCCACTTTGGCAGCGTGACAACCAACATATCCATACAGGATACCGGCCAGCCTCGGGTTCGTTTCTAGTATCGTTCCAGTCGCTAGGCTACGTCCATAATGAGACCGTCAACATTTATACACACCTTTTGCCGGCCATTTTGGCCGTTCCCGCTGCATACAAGCTCTACCAGGCTCTTGCACCACGCTACCAGTCTGCCACAGACTCGGATATAGCCGCCTTCTGTTGCTTTTTTGCTGGGGCCGCTTTCTGCCTCGGCATGTCTGCAACCTACCACACCATATCAAACCATTCGCATTCAGTAGCCCGCATTGGTAATGCATTTGACTATATCGGCATTGTGGGATTGATTGTAGGTAGCTTCATCCCCAGCGTCTTCTACGGGTTTTATTGCGTTCCTGAACTTCAACGACGATACTGGACTATGATATGTACTATTGGGCTTGGCTGCGTATGCGTATCTATCCTTCCGCAGTTCCGGACTCCCCGTTGGAGACCCTTTCGGGCAGCTATGTTTGTTGGGATGGGCCTGTCTGCCGTCTTTCCCGTACTCCATGGCCTCCAAATGTTCGGGTCAGACCGCATGCGAGAACAAATTGGTCTTGAGTGGCTTCTCCTTCAGGGCTTCCTTTATATCCTAGGAGCTGGTCTCTATGCAGCGCGTGTACCTGAGAGAATACTTCCAGGGAGGTTTGACATCATTGGAAGCTCGCATCAGATCTTCCATGTGTTGGTGGTTTGTGCGGCTGTAGCTCATTTAACGGGACTCCTGAAAGCCTTTGATTATCGGCATGGCGGCACTGCCGAGACTTGCCAAATTCCACGCGGTTGAATCGTGACCTTGAAATGGGAGGGTGGGGATTGATGTTAAACCACATCCACATAACTTGCTCATGGCAATTTAGGGGTAGCATGGAATGAAACATACACATCGTGTGGCGAAAAAGGGTATTTCTGTTCTCAACAACAAAGAAAACCCTGCTGACGAGAACCCGGTTCATGATGTGCAACGATGACCACGGTCAGAGCGACGAAGCGGTGAAGCCTAGAAGAAATGCCATGGCTTGATTCGTCCAGCAGAGTTGATTCTTTCTTCATTTCACATGGCCACGCATCCTTTTTCATTTAAAGACCTCGTAGATGGGAGTATCATTGGATAGTGCAAGCGGGTCCAGCCGACAACAGACCCAGATTGCCCTTGTCAGCAGCGGTTTCCCAAGAAAGCAATGAAAACTTTACTAGGGCTTTTACGATGTTGCATTACTGTGTGTGACTTTGAAGACCCCTATGTGGTTCTATGACGGGACTTGCCTTCTGCCTATTCCTATCACGAGCGATGCTCCAATATAGCAACGGCTACTCCAACAAGTTTTCCAATCAGGGGAGGGATCAGACCCATCCAACAAGAACCCTTTCTCGATGTGCCAGTTGCCATCCCATGCGAGGTTGATCAGATGGAAGCATTCTGGGGTTTCACAGCGGCTGACTTCTTGATGCGGCTGCCGTCGGTACAAGAATCCGAATGCGAGTGTGACATTTCTTTTTCTTGTCTTGTTTTCTTGGAGCTTGAGCTTCTTTTGCTTTATATATATGTGAGAGAGGTCGGAAAGAGGGATGTGAAGGAGGGGAGCCCTGACGTATCTTATTGGGTGTGTGCTTTGCACCGGCAATTTCGATAATTTTTTTGTGTGATACATACCCTTGACTACTCTAGACGTCATAAATAGAGGTCAACATTACTGCCAACAGACAATAAAACCTTCATCAACGTCCTTCTTTGCCCTCATCATCCTCGATGCTTGCCGAGTCCAATAACAGTCCGTATGCCGGGGGCGACACCCCAAAACTTCGAACCGCATGCGAGAACTGTAGACAGTCGAAAGTGAAGTGCAACTTGTCTGGGAAGAACGTCTGCACCAGGTGCTTGCGCCACGGACTGCAGTGTCAGTACGGCTTTGCCAATCGATCAGGGAAGCCAAAGGGTAGTAAGAACAAAGCTACACTCAGGAAGTTAGGACAGCTGCAAAAAGAGAAGCCACCAATGCGCGGGTTTCGAGCTTCTCGGATTGTGCCTCCTCTACCCGATCGAGAGTCCAGGGGTGTCGGCGACCCAGGGAATATGACTGATCCAATGATGGATGACGACGTAAGACTTCTCTCTGCCTTCCTCTCACTAGCCATTCTGACCTTATCTTTCTATTAGGTATGCTTGATACCAGTGCCGCCTGTAGTTTGGGAGAGCCCACGGAGCTTTCATAGCACCACAGTGATGGAGACTCCAATTTGTCATTCACAAATAACGGGAGTTGATGGCTCCCCTTTCACTGATTTGGTGGATCCTTGTCCTTCTCTCCCCATGGGTTTCGGATATCCTCGCACGCCCGTGACGCCGACATTTCTTCCGTCAGATTCCTTAGGAGACGGGAGAGCAAGTCCACCGTTCGCTGGCTCTGTATCTTCGTCGTACACAACCGCACATTGCGAATGTGTGGATATGCAACTGTTCAACATGAACCAGATGAACCACCTGCTTACAGAATCGATCCCTCTTCGTTTCGACCACAGCCTCCAAGCCATCAAAGCAACATTCTGTGCAGGTCGAATGTTCCTACAGTGTGGGAAGTGTGCAAAGGATAGTGCAAATCTGCTGCTGTTAGTATCTGTGATCAACCTCACATTACAGCTCTTCGAATACTGGATATCACGTGAGACTTCACGCGTTCTCCGGGCAGAACATGGAGTTGATATTCGATACGGATATTACGAGGTGTGCCAGGAAGAGAACTGGCAAATCCGCATTTTTCTTCTGCGAGGGCTACTGCTTCAATCTCGAGAGATCTTATCTATGTTGACTACGTCTGTCAACAGTGTGTTTTTCGATATTGCAAAGCTTGTGGATGAAGAAGGCTCTATTAAGCCTTCTTCGCCACTTAAGCAGCCACATTTACAATACTGGGACCTTTTGGATCATCACATCGGCGCGACAATACCCAGTTTGGATACAGAGTCGCTAAGCGCTAATCCCGGGAGTAACTGTCTTCTGTCAATCATTGCCGGCTACGAAGTTACTGTAGACGCATTTCTGCAGTCTGTTTCATCGAATGAATGCATCTGTGGATCCAAATATGTCAAACAGGAGTCATCTTTGTGAGCCCTGAGTGAGTATATGTCGAAAACACTAAATGGGCGCACGCGCGCGGGGAGGTTTTTTGCAATTTTTTATAAACGTATGTACTCCGTACTTCAGAGGCTTTCCTGTGTAGATAGGCCCCTGAGAATTCCCTCAAGCTTGAGATCAACATTTCTTGGGGGCACAGCTTGACTAGGTGGGGATCTCTTGGAATTCATAAATGATCAACTCAAGTCATCAAAATTCTATTTATTCTGATTTTCTACATGCCTAGGTAGGTAGCTGAAGCGTGCGATACATACTAAGTCTTATGCACAGTAGCTAAATACCTAGTTATTTTCAATCCAATCGGAGAATTGAGCTTGTTATCGGTACCTAGGTGATCAAGCCATGGCATTATTAATCTCAGGCGAAGAAACATGAACCTTGGAGCATTCCAATGTTGTTCATGTGGAATATATCTAGGCACTAGTCACATGCAGTCGATTAATCTTGCTTTTGAAGACGTTTTACATGGACTTACTGCAGGATAACACATCCGTCCACGCGGAACCTTGGAACGTTACCGATTTGGTCTTCTGTCCAAGCAAACCAAATATATGGTTGGTAATAGACATTGTCACCGCCTGATAGAGTTCCACAGGTGCTACATAGTCTGTACGTAAGCCAACTGAGATAGAAGCAGCACACCAAGTGGCAAGTTCCCCAGAAAAATAAAAATCAAGAAAAGGCATTTATAGGCTGATTTTGAGTAGAAGAACGACATGTTACGTCCTCCGTTAACCCGAATTGTGTCCACATTGACATAAGAGAAGTGTGGGCTTGCCACACCCATAATCGAACGTGCTGTCTCTTCAGGACTGGCAGGTCGCCCCAATGGAATATCCGGATAGGACTGCTGGGCTTATCAGTGCCTACCTTACTAGCAAATTGTTTGCCAGGAATGCCAGAGCGACTTTCTCGCCTCGATACTGCCGAGTGGGGCTTTCCTATTTCATGTGCTGCCGCTTTTATCCTACCTCAAAGCTAGCTTCCGGTGAGGATCGGATACATGATCTTGTGACTCGAGGTTATCTGGCTCAGTCCCGCCTTCTAGATCTGTATGGAAGTGTTCTATGACCCGGCACAATAGCTGTTCAGACTCATTCCATTCCTGCGATTCCGCCATGGCAGTCTCTCGTTCTTCATCGCTGAACACTCCTGGGCAAGCTGCCGAGGAGATACCGCTCTATACCGATGGAGCGGTGATGCCTACTAATGCAGCACGTAAGTTGATTGCATCCGCGTCCCAGGGATACCCTGTCTGGCGAAGGAGATACTGCTACGTTCTGAGATAAGGAAGTCTCAACGTTCCATGTGTTTAGCATTATGTACGCCTGTCGCGGCTGTGTAATAGAGATTGGCCTCCTCTAGGCTGTATTATATCTGCTGTTCGATTCCCATCTCATCGAAAGCATTGAGAAGAGACGGAATATGCATACTTTAAGGTTAAATCGTGTTCACAGAATGCAGGATAACCTGCTTATATAAAGCGGGGGAATATCATAGAATTCTGCTAATCGATAATACTGATGATTTTGGTCGAACCAGGTGCCAACATAATGTTGCTTAGACTTAAATCGGGATGTCTTAGCGTCGGAACACTATATGAATACAGTGGGACTAAATAACGCGCTACCCATAAGAATTGCGAAAGTAGCGAAGTGTGCTTAGACGGAAGGATATCATAGTTGGTCGGTAAAAGAAAAGTCTGGCGAGGCTGAGCTTTAGTGTAGTGCTGAATGATAGCCACCCCTCGGCGAGCCGCGGATATAATATAGTCCTCGGGTGAAAGCCCTAATAATTATTAGTCTTGGTAATGGGTTTATTTTTCTAAAAACAAACTAGGGAGACATGAGGGGGAACGGTAGGAACCTATAGGGTCCATAGTCGATTTCCATTTTTCTTCGTTCGCCATGCCAAAACTGCCGAGCAGACACAGGGCTGAGACAGATATCCTCCAAGATTAGTATCTGGGTTTCCCTGTCAAGGTCTTTCTTGTGATATAAGCTTCCATACGCAGGAAAAGGGAACTTAAAATCATCATCTTAATATCTGCGATTTGTGTCATGATGTCTTTCATCTTGTTAGTAGTGAGAGATAACCACTGTGAAGAAAGACTTTCCCATTACACTCGTTCCATCAAAATATACGCTGCTCCGACGGGATTGTCCAATGAAGTTGAATATGCCAAGACCTCTAGTATTGGAAGTTTGAGGACGGCTCGCAAAAAGTCCATGGTAGCCACCTCACTGGAGGTTGTATGATGAGGAGGTCCAGCAATGGGAGTTGGGATTCGCGCAATCACTTCGCGGCCATTCCTTGCTTGCAGAAGAAACACTTTGTTGAAGCCTCCCTCTGCAATCTTACTAATATCAGAGCAATAGTCTCGTTGTACTGCTTCACCGGCGATCCGTTGGAGCTCCGTTGGCTGAAACTTGACATATTTTTCGCTTAGACGATCTGTCTCGTTGAATCTAGCTGAAATTCAGTAATCACGATCAAAGTATTATTAGAGTTCACATACTTCCATCGTCGTGATGTATTTCGAAACAATTCCTCACGGAATGCTAGTGGACTAGTTGATAAGTGATGGTGGGAAGAAACAGATATGGCAGGCTGCCTGGAACAGACCAACGGTTTCCGCAAGCAAAGAGCGGATGATAGACTTCTAGTAATGGCGAGTCTTTGGGAAAAACCACCATTGTTCAAAAACACTAGAAGAAAATTATTTAGTCACGAATATGTTGTTGCGAGTTCACTTATCAGTTAACGACCGAAGGAGTAGCTACGAATTGTCGAGGTAAGCTCCATGACAACCATATTTACGTGATATCTAATACTCATGCGCCTGTATATTACAATATTGTATCAGTAACCTACTCAACAACACATATACAGTGGTGTAACAAAAGTATTTGACCTCCGGTATTTCGAGATTCACATTTTGCCTGACTGTCTATTATACAGCCTACGCACGCTTAACTCGCGTTTTCACGCGCTATAACAGGTACACCCTATTTCAACGCGTTGAAGATGTCCTAGATATCGAAATATTTAACACCTAGTATAAATTATGCCTCACAGGGTAGCTAATGTTATTACGCATAAGGATTGGCATACTAGCTCTTGAATTGGATTGTATGTTGAAGGGCCCTGCCTGGCAGTATTTGAAAGTCCTCCTCGTCAATCTTCTCCTAGTAAAACATCGTCTCTGCTATAAATGCAGAGAGTATGGGCATATGATTAATGACTGACCTACGTTCAATCTATGATCTATCGTCAACTTCCTCGTTAATCTCCTCCTCAATCTCCCCTCGCAATCAGAAGCGCTCTCGGTCTCCTGCCCCTCACCAGCTCTTCACTAGACAAGTTAGTGTGGCTACTAGCTTCCCTAAGGCTTATAGCACTAAGATAGATGAGCAGCCTGCTCTGGCTACCCCCCGGTTGACTCTTACTATCAGCAACAAGCGAAAGGAGCAGGCTACTCCCACTCTCGATGACATTGATACAGTCTTAGGTAAGGACTAGCAGCGAGATCGGCGGATGAATTCCTAGACTAGCCTTCAGGCTATCTTTAATCTTCTTTCTAAAGATTTCCGATTATCATGAACTATTGGTCTCTTGTTATATATAGCAGTAGCGAAAAATATACGTAAACACTCATTAAATTTTTTCTTCACGAGTAGAATATCTTTAGGTTCTTCAGCTGGCCTAATGGAATCGGTCCATTTGGATGGTCATACTAGGCTAAGTCGTCCATACCTGGGCTTTATTGATACCAAAAATGGCAAAATGCTTAAGAGCAAGGCTATACTGAGTTCTCAGTGAGTCTAACCCTGAGAGCCCTCATAAAAGCGGCGGCACCTGAAATAGAAAAGCCCTACCTGGCATAAAGCTACGTGCCTAGGTACTTTATACATATAGACATATATACATACGTATTGACTTCAAATGCTATCAAGTTGATGAATATATATTCATACACTTCCAAAGCTAAAGTTAAAGTATTCATAATTAGTTTCATCATTCATAAGCAGGTGGCTGCTCCATTGACTCAAATTCAGACATAGAAATATCATAACCTAGGTGTCGCTTGAGTAACTCATGAGTGACAAACCGTTCTGGAGTGTTGCCCTGGGCATCCACAAATGAAACATGGTGGTTGATTTCACTAATTCTCTGCAGTTCGTTGGCATGGCGATGGTGGTGTGGACATCCATCAACACCAATCAAGAAGATTGTAACATGCACCCAAGAGAGACTGAGGAGATCAAGTTCAAATTCATCCATATCACTTGCTTCACCATCAAGTAACAGTAGAAGTCTCAGAATAGGAGTTTGGGGGCCAGCTTGCCATCCATATACCGGATGGTATGTCGCCGACTCGGAGTGTTTCTGGAAGTGTAGGTTCTTCACCAATTGCCAGCCTGTCATGACTCGTGTTCTTCCTCCAAAGTGAATGGCTCTCCATGTTTTCTCAAAATTTGCGTGATTGACAAAACCAATGTACTCGGCTCAATCGGAAAAGGTAACGAGTTGGTAGCCGCCGGAGTTGTGGTCGTGATTTATCATAGCATCTGTGAAGCGGCGGATGATGGCCTTGGAGACATCTATTGAAGAGACCAATTAGTTTGGGAACAATTGATACGATGAAATATACCATGTTGCCTTTATTCTTTGGCTGAGTGGACTTGGAATACCCGGTGATGAGGTACTGGTCGTAATTTGGACGAACGGGTTCAAAATCCATCGAACCAGAGACGTCCAAGATGATCATTGTATTATCAGCAGGTGATTGAAGGCCATCAAATGGTCTAAATGGAGATGGCATCACTTGTCTCTAGTAGCCTTTTGACTTATGTTGAAGATGGCAGGTATCATCGATTGAAAAATATGTAGGAGGTGGTTCAACAGCAGAGGCCATTCTAGAGAGAGCCATGTTCATTGCGGAGATAATATCAGGCTTCATTCTCTGCCCCGTGGGGCTTTGCCTATGATTCAGAACCCAGTACAGCCTTTCCTCGGCAGTATCCTCAAATCCCCGCCAGGCTGGCGTTATTCCTCTCCATCCAGCTGCAGAGTCAATGGTGAATTTAAGAGGATTTGAAGCATTGTCTGCCCATGCTACTGGAATTGGTTCAAAATAACCTGCTCTCAGGAGATGAAGGTATTGGATGGGTTGACGGGCGCGAAGTTCAGCAATATTCTGTGTAATGCCTACTTTCGCTTGATGAGTGGCCACAATCTGTCGCCATTCTGCATCTGGCCACCGGCTGCTTTCCTCAGTCAGGATTGCACTTCGTAGCTCAATTCTTTGAGAGGCTGCCTTTGTTGCTTTGGCGGCTGCTCTAGCCTCAGGTGACATAATAGATAATGTTTTCTTTAAGCCCGAGAATCTGGACGATTTAGCATTTTTGATACTGCTAGCTGGTGCCTCCAAATCTCTTGAGCTTGATGATGTGGCGTCCACCTTCATGCCTGCAGGTTTTGGTTCCTCTGGCCATATGTTCATTGCAGGTTCAATGGCATCAATGGCAGCCTGTGCATCTGAGTTCAATTTTGCATTCAAGGAGATTGTTCGTCGGAGAGCCCCAGTATAGCAAGTCGCATCAGGACGTGATATGGAATTATAACTAGTGGAACCCGGGGCATAGGATGATCCAATCCATCTGTAGGGGTTGTTATGGAAGAGGGCAGCCTGATAGCAGTCGTGGTATGCTTTCTCCCCTATCCAGCATGTCATTAAAGAACCAAGGATTTAATTGGACCTGACTGACCTGGAAACATGACAGCTCTAGTCCACATCTCCTGAACTGGGAGCCGTTTGATCTTTTCTCTCAAATAAACGTGAATCACACAGCTGCAGTAAAAGCCACCAACTTTATGCTCTGGCTCGATATCAGTGTTATAAATGCCATTTCTCAATTGAGCAGTCAGTAGCATATTCTGCATTTGTTGCTGATAAATATATCAGCTATCCATCCTTCAAGTGAGAGTGAAGTCACTGAAGTACTTACTTCATCCCGAGCACGAATGTTGCCTGCTTTGATGACAGCATTTGTGTGAATTGAACGTGAATGTTTATTCATTGTAGCCGAATAGGATGGTGGTAATCCGTCCGACATGTTTAGATTAGCTTCTTCTTGGCACTGCCCTGATCGTCTGGGCCACGATCTTCAGTGGGGTTCAAAGAAGGTTCAGGGGATAGAGAAGTGTTCAGGTGCACTCTTGGCACTACTATCGCTAATCAAGTTTAAGACGATGTCATCCGCACCTTCGGAAAAGCCACCAAGCAAAAAGTGCGCGCAGTGCCATACCATGAAGGATTTATCAGATTCCCAGAAAGGCACACGGATCCTCATAACTTGTAATGACTCTACTGAGAGTGACTTGCGAGCCGCAAGCAGCCCTCTAAGGATTATGTATAAACTAGAGTTTAAGCATCTCGGGAGCTAGACTAAAGCCTATCTAGGTAGAGGCTGAACCGGGGCATTCCGTACCTAGAACCATGAGGTATATAGTTATCTAGAAAGTTAACCTATGATTAGGTAAATTGCGAATAGCCCAACTCAGGTATATAGTAAAAAAGCAAAGAAGGTAGGTAGTGAGTAAGGAGAACGGGTGTATTTTCATATTATTTATGATTGTAAGCCATTAAAAGATGAGCACCTATATTAGCTATCCACAGAATACTTGATAGTGTGGAAACAGAAAATGAGTGTAGGGCAGAAAGAAAAAGGGGGAAAAAAATGAATCGCTCCCAGAGGGGCTCGAACCCTCGACATTGCGGTTAAAAGCCGCACGCTCTACCGACTGAGCTATGAGAGCTTTAATATGCCATCTGTGCCAAAATATGTTGCTATACCTCTACTATTATATTCATTTTTTAAAGCTCGCCGGCTACTTCCTAATTGGAAAATTTCGAAGTAGAAGTTGACCCAATTAGTCCCAAGGGTTGAAAGTAAATGGGTCAAGGCTTAGATAAAACTTAAAAGATAAGACGGGCCGAGATAATCTCTGAATCTTCCCAACTCCATCAACCCATATTTGCAACAACATTCCATCGCTGTCAACCTTTCCCCTGCCATCCTTCTCTCGTTAGAAGAATGGCTTCTCGCAGATCAGGTCGTGCCAAGCCCCCTGCATCAGCATACACCAATGATCCGTTTGCTTCCATCCTGAGCGATGATGAATCCACCAAGAAAACCAAAGCAAAAGGGCGCAAGAGAAAAAATGATGATCCCGCATTCGGCGAATCTACAGCTCGTTCAACTCCGGGGCCATCTACTAATTCCTCTACCGAAAAGCTAAAAGAAAGTAAGGGTGAGGAGGGATCACCATCACCATCCAAGAAGAACAGACACCTTGTATGGAAGGCACGCAAGGACGGTATGATCGAGCTTGCAGACACCGACGAGCATATCCGCGGTATCATTGACCCCAAGGACCATGTATCTAAATGGATGCATTACATTTTGACATATGGCTCTGATGTGCGAGACATGTCCGCCGTGGTTCACCAGCGAGGCAGATGGCGCTGGGCTAGAGATGCCACATTCCCGACGCGTAAAACCTTGAACATGACCGAAGGTGATTCTGATATGCTACTTGGTCCAACATTCGGCGTTGATCTGGCCGATGTCGAGAGGGAGCAAACGTCTGGATGGGACTGGTATGATCAAGATGTTGGTGCAAAGCTTCGTAATACCCAGCACATCGATACAGATATCAACCCACTGGATGCTCGAAAACACTATTTGCCGCGTCCAAAAAAGGGGAAGCATACTTTAATCACGGGTCCTGTCCACGACCAAAAGGCTACCACGCTTGGTCACCATGAGTATTTCGACTTCGGTGAAACGTGGGAGAAGAATTCAAAGGGTTCGTCGGCTACGACCAGACTGCGTGAAGGTTGGATGATCAACATTGGACACAGAATGTCTTGTATCGCATGGATGCCGCATCAAAATGGACTTGACCAGTACTTGGCAGTGACTGCGCCAATTACAGATCAGCAGAAGGCAGAATATCACAATTCGAAGATCGATCCACCCACGGCCTTTTCCCCTCAACCTTCTTACCCAACGGCTATTCAGATTTGGAAATTCCAAAGCAAGGAGACTGGTTTTCAAACTCACGATCTCGACATTAAATCCAACCCGGAACTCCGGCTGGTTGTGTGTACTGACTGGGGCGACTTACGGCACATGGCTTGGTGCCCAAACGATCGAGCAGAGCGAGACGTAGATTCTAACAGCGATACAAAGGGTCTTGGATTATTGGCAGGAATTTGGGGTGACGGGAAGTTGCGAGTCTTGGACATCAAGATAAAGACAAATCAGAACCGGAAAAAAGCAACAGAGTTTGGTAAGTTTCAAGATTTCACTTTAGTATTTTCTGGTTTCTAACTATTAGATTCAGTCAAAATAACTTCACCTGTCTTTGAAGGAGAAATATCTTCGACTGTCTGCACATGTTTGACTTGGGTTTCGCCAAGTGACATTGCTGTGGGCTGTGCCAACGGCTACGTTGCTGTATGGAGCATCATCCCTTCAACTCCGCGCGCGTCTCGGCCTTGGTTTTACTATCAGATTCATGCCACCTATGTGCTTGAAATCACTTCTGCCTATCCCGCCTACCCTCACCTTGTTTCAACAGCTGGTATGGATGGTGAGACTCGGCTTTGGTCAATGATCGACACCCAGGCTGAAAGCACTGCTTCGGTTCGCATGCGATCGGTATCTGCTGTTCTCTCCTACTCTCCCATTCTCCAGGCTGTCTGCTCCAGCGATGATCTAGAATATGGCCGCCTGATGCCAATTCGTCGGTTTTTCGCAACCAATGGAACGGCCAAATGCCCCAGTACAATCACATGTATCGCACCATGCAACGTTTGGCATCCAACAATATTGTATGGTGGAACCGGAGGAGAGGTCTCAGTCACGAATCCTTTTCGTCGAAACATCTACAATAAGGAGCAAACATGGCAACAGCTATGGTTCTCACACGACTGGGCTCAGGGCTCCGACCCAGACAGTACAGGCAACAGTCGGTTTTATGAGGGATATGCAGCAGAAACTGGAAGTGCTGCACGAGACCGACTTAACGATTCTAGGCCCACTGGTGTGACCCTGACAACCGTCTATGATGAGGGAACCCATATTACTGCCCTGGGGTGGAACCCCAACCGTCATTGTGCAGCCTGGGCTTCTGCTGCTCTAGGGTGTGGGCTCCTCAGAGTCGAAGATCTTTCCATTAAGGATACATAGCCACCTACAAAGTAATAATAATCTTTCCACAGGCTCGAACGGGATCTTGTGTCTAGTTTCCGATAAGTGGAGAAAAGTGGATCACCAGCCACGTTGATTGCTTAGTTATGGGACCCTGTCCAATCAGCATTATTTCTTTATTTGTGACGTTTTCATGTGGGTCACTCTACAACAAACATCGTGGCTGGCACTTAAGCTAAAATTACTATTGATCCCCCAGCCTCTGTCGATCCCAGCCTACCTATTTTTGGCCCAATAGATTACCTGCTGAGGCTCCGCTTTGCGTCTTGGTATACTCAATCCTGAAAACTAGTGGCGATGGAGATCGAGTTTTCAACCACTTTTAAATCTTCTCTTCCTCTTCTCTTCCTCTAGTTCATTCAAATCGAACCTTACCATCCCTAAAACCAGCTGTTATTCCAATTGGTCTCGAGCTCAAGTGAACTTTGAATCGACAAGATTTCTCGCTGTTTACATTCTCACTGCCATCTAAAAACCAACAACATCCTCTCCATCATGCGTTTCTCCGCTGCGACTCTTCTTGCCCTCTCCAGCGTCGCCTACGCTGCGCCATTTGCCATCCATGAGAACGAAGTCGTCCGTCGCAAGGTTGACTACCAGATCGTGAATGTTGATGGCGACTCCAGCACTACTACTGCCCCTCAGACTCATACTCAAACCGTGATCAAGACCGAGACTGTCGAGTCTTCTATTATTGCATCGGCTTCTTCAACTGTACCCAAGACTGTGACTATCACTGCTACCCCTTCCAGCGTACCTCACTTGTCTTTATCGTCAGGCTCAACTCCAAGCCCTACTCCTATCCCCCACAACGCGCCTCCTGCTGGAGGATCATTCTTCTCACCCTCGGCATCAGGCTTTCTTCGCCGTGACCTGAACTCTACCGAACGCCTTTCTCTCAATGCCCGCAGCTATGTCTCTTCTTCCTATGCTCATGAAGCCTCTGCCACTCCACTTGTTGCCCGACAGTGGGGTACATCAAGTGTGCCTGTCTCTTCTTCCTATGCCCATGAAGCCTTTGCCACTCCACTTGTTGCCCGACAGTGGGTTACATCAAGTGTGCCTGTCTCTTCTTCTTATGCTCATGAAGCCTCTGCCACTCCACTTGTTGCCCGACAGTGGGGTACATCAAGTGTGCTTGTCTCTTCCACTCGCATTGTTGCTCGAGACTTTGCTGCTTCTCCTAGCGCTAGCGTTACTGTGACTCCCACTCCACTCGTGGCCCGTCATTTCAGCCACCTGAATGTTCCGAGCTCAGCTACCCCTAGTGCTACTTTCTCACCATCCATTCCTACCATTCCCATGATTAATTAGAGTACATGCTATGATGACTTTTCATCATGAATATTTTGATGACTTGGACGCCGAGACAATTTTTACGACCGGATCGATACGAAGACGACCCTTGAGATGATATTTGATAGACAGTGTTTGCACTTTTTCTTTTCCTTGACTTTGACTTACAACTATGATGGGCAGGAATTTCTGGCGTTTTTTGGAATCAACAATTGGCTAAACCTTTCACGTGTATCTTTTACTGTTTACTTTTTTTATGATGGCTCGGAGACTGCTCTACTTTTAGTTCGGGGATTAGAAAGCTGAAACTTGAAATTGTATTGGGAATTGGAAAAACGAAGCTATAATCAAATAGGAATAAAAATAGCAATTCAATTGCTAAAATGCAACACCTTAAAAGTCTAGTTAGTTAACTAGACTGGATTATGTAAGGCGGTGAAAGGCCGGTTGCCCTGAGTGACGGCACCGTAAACACTGGAAAGCTAGGTCGCTCGGTTCATCTTGACACTCAGTGACGGCAGGGTTTCCGCGGTTTCATTACTTTCAAAGTTGTTTACTATTTTCAAGTTTTTGATTACTTGATTCTTCTGACATCACACCTTTTTCATCCCCCCCCCATTTTTTTACGAGCAAAGGCTGGCCGAGGCTCAACATTAAGCAACAATGCCTGGAATGGTAGACGGACCGTCGGTCTCCATGTCCTGTAAGTAAAAACCAAGTTGAAGCTTTATTGATGTAATGATTTTATGACAACTTACACAGTTTTTAGTTGCAAACAACTTCTGGGGAAGAGAAGATGCAGGACTGCAGCCTATGCTGGACCGTATGCACGGGTCGAAAGTCACAAGCGATGAATTAAAGGTTTTCTACGGTGGTATGTTATTCTCCGATAATCGATGCATGATTTCCCAACCAGCTTCTGATTTCATATCGCCTTCAGTTCGAGCTGCGATCGAAGATGAATATGCACGAAAGTTAAACGCCCTCTGTCGCAAGCCTCTCGGATCATGCGAAATGGGATCCCTTCAAGGCTCACTAGAAACTGTCCGCAGTGAGACTGAAGCTATTGCCAAGGCACACTCAGCAATTGCAGCCCAGATGAAGACTGAACTCGAAGAGCCTTTGGCGGCTTTCACCAGCGGTTTGAAAGAACGACGCAAGATTATTCAGAATGGCATCGAGCGTTTACACAAGACTAAAATGCAACAAACTGGAGTAGTGAATAAAGTTGGTTCTCTAAATGGCAGACACAAAGGGAATGAGAAGCTGACTCCTTCTAGACTCGGGATCGCTTTGAGCAAGACTGTCTCCGAATTAAGGGTTATCTTGCCCAAGGACATATGGTTATGGGCCAAGAAGAGCGCAAGAATAAGGCGAAGCTTGAGAAGACTCAGATTCAGATGGCTGCGAGCAGCACCGAATATGAGGCTGCAGTCAAGACTCTTGAGGACACAACTGGCCGGTGGAACAAAGAGTGGAAGTCTGCTTGCGATGTATGTGAGCCTTGAAGATATACGTGGTGCGTCTACTAACAGTCGTATAGAAATTCCAAGATTTGGAAGAAGAACGCCTGGACTTTACCAAGAGCAGTCTTTGGACTTACGCGAACATCGCATCGACAGTTTGCGTCAGTGACGACGGGGTATGTTGTCCCTGCTCCTTTTTTTATTTATTTATTTCACTGGACACTAACATCCAGTATAGTCTTGTGAGAAGATCCGACTGTCGCTGGAGAACTGCGAAGTGGAAAAGGATATTGTTCACTTTATTAAAGAAAGAGGAACTGGCCAGGAAATCCCAGATCCTCCTCGCTTCATTAATTTCTGCAAGGAAGACGCCGAGGACACAGCATCTGACGTTGATACCGGAGATAATTATTCCGTCGCTCAATTCCAACGAACTATGAATCCTGCATTCCGCACATCCTCTCCGCAGCCATCGACTTTTGAGTCTCATCATGACCCACAGTCTGATCTTGCGGCTCAAATGGGTCATCCGGCACCCCAAGCTCCTCCGCCAAACATTCAGCAAACACAGCCACCGATGCCCTCACAGCAGCAGCCATTGCCACATCAAGCACCCCCGCCCCAAGCGCAGCAGCCAGCGCCTCTGGACCTTCGCCGAGGAGGCTACCTGCCACCTAACTATGACCCTGAGCAACATGGTCAGATCAATGCCATTCCTCATAACGCATACCCCACTGACGGAATGACTATGTTCTGTCGTCCCGGTCCTCCTTCGGAACGGAGCTCAGTGAATAGCGCATACCGACCATCCAGCCGCGACTCACAAAGCGAGGTATCTAATCATAATTCTATGTCTAGCGTCGAGCCTGCGATCTCTCCGGTGAAATCCTCACCTTCTAAACCGATCAATAACGCACCATCGCCAAGTTCCCAAGACGATACGTCTGTTCAGAAAAAGAAGAGTGCCTTCTTCAGCAATAGTCCCTTCCGACGCAAGAGCCGTCACGAAAAGGAGCGACCCACCTTCACTGCAAGAAGCCCCTGGACATCTCCGACGAAGAAGGCTTCACCTTCCCGACCCCAGCCTGAGCACCGTACCGCCAGCCCTGAACCAGTTGATCCTCGAGCTAACTTCCAACTCAATGTTGGTAACAACGTTTTTGATGTTGCTTCCCCGGATAAAATCTCGGCAAAGGCAGGATCACAGCAAGTGAATGGCGATGATGATATGGACCCTATCGCACGGGCTCTAGCCGATTTGAAGACAGTTGGTGGCAAGCAATCCAGTCTCCGAGTGTCCGCCGATAACTGGCACGGCATCCAGACACCTAACCCTTCTGCTCCTCCATCTGCTTATGGGGGAAGCACTTCAGGAGCCCCACCAGCTTATGATCCATCAGTGAAAAGGCTGGATGCTCCCGAACCAGCATTTACATCCAAACAGATGCAAAAGACTACCCAGCGATACACGGGCCAAGCTCAGAGCATGATGCGAGGTGGAAGCAACAACCCATCCAGGGATGCACCTAAGTCCCAGGAAGTTCCTCGTGACCGCTCTCCAGCCCCTGCTAGACGTAGTGCTAGTCCAAGAGTTGATGGATATGGTAGCAGAGGAGCTAGCCCCAGCCCAGCGGCGGCGCATCAGTCCAGTAGCATGCGAAGCCGTTATAGCAAGTCTCCTACGCCACGTCAAGACCACCCACCGTACTCGCCTAATGACTACGTGAGACGGGCCTCCCCAGCTACCAGCCATCGTGCAGTGTCTCCTCAGCCTCAGTTCAGACAGCAGGTCCGACCTTCTAGTGCCGGCATGGAGCTGCAGCTTTCAAATGGTTCGAACGAGCAATATGGCGGTAGTCAGCAGCCTGGCTATGGTTCCACTCGGCGCGATGGTGGTCGACCCACGTCTTTCTATGATGCTGGCGGTACTCCACCTGTGGGCCGATCCCGAAGCCGTACTCTTGCCGTTGCGGACCCAGGCCGAAAGTTCAGCCGTGATGGACGCCCTATCTTGCATTTCGGTAAGAATCCATTGCTCTTATTCATTGTTTGGCATTTTTACTAAATTCTTTCTTTCATAGCTCGCGCAATGTACAGCTACGCCGCGGCTATCCCTGTGGAGCTCGGTTTCTCCAAGGGCGATGTCCTCGCTGTTATCCGTCTCCAAGACGATGGATGGTGGGAAGCAGAAGTTACCAACGCCCGCGGTCACCCCGGCTTGGTGCCCAGCAACTATTTGCAGATCTTCTAGATCTCACAAGCCCCAGTTTTCTCTTACGACCTGTCATGAACACCAAGACCCTGTTGTCCTGACGGATATTCCTTTATTGCCCTTGCCCACACTCACGTCGATATCACGCATCTCTTACTTCAACAACCTCTCTTGAACCTGCTTTTTTTTACTCTTCAATTCTGATCTTAGCGCTTTGCGCAATTATTTTGCAGAAACAGCCTACTCAATATCCCTCTTGTTTCTTGCAGCTATTTTCTTTCGGGAGGGCGAGCGTGCCGTTTGTTTTTGACATGATATTCTTCATATTTCACCTTCGTCTTTTATCCGTTTATCTTTGGGTAATTTTCTTTTAATCGATTGAAGAGTGCTTCATTCAAATAACGATATGAGGGATTGTCTTACATCAACATCTAATCCTTGGATTCCATGGTAGGATTTTCTCATCCTCTTGATGGCCCTTTTTCGCTTGAATCCTGTCTCCCATTTCTCCCACCTTCTGGCGATTCCAATGTTCTTAATCTTATTACCTTGAGAAATTACCCCATTGCTTGAAAGTTCTCACCATATTGATTTCTGTTACTTGCTTAGCTTAGTTATCCATTGAGTTTTTATCTCTGTTTACTTCACCTATCAATGAACCACCCACGTCAGGTTATGGCCAATACTTGTACGTGATTTAGGGTTTTTCTATTTTCAGTAGGAAGGCCATCAGTAGTACCTATGTACATTCAATATTTAGGGGCTATTTCTACCCTAATAAAGGTATCTCTCAACTGCTTTAACTTAGATAACGAAATAAAAACCGTATATTTCACCTTACCGGATCCTTCTCCCACCACCATCATTAAACAACTCCCCAAGCTCTCCCTTCCCGCTACCAGGTAGGATCTCAAGCGAGCCGTGCATTATATATGTACTTGGATGCATCGAAGGTTCCCTTTCCCTCTGACATGAAGCTGCCAGCTTTTCCATGGAAATCCTTCGACTCCACGAGATCCGTGAAGATGAAGGTGGCGGATCTATATTTTTCACGGTCACCTCTAGCAGGTAGGTAGACCATTTGGTAGCTGGTGGTGACCTCTGCGTTTAGCTCACCCAAACTCACTTTGACAGTTGCGGCGAGAAAGCGTGGATTGGGAACGGTCCTCATCCCATGAGACAATACTGGCGGAGGATGTAAAGACTTGAGACAAGGTGCCGAGCGTTTTCTGTAGTTCCAGGCGGTTAGTATAGTTACTCCCACCCAGCAGGTACAGAAGCTATGAAGAAAGAGACATGCTACATACTAAAAGGCTTCAACGGAACCTTCTAGATGTCCAAAGTCATGAATTCATTCATCTAACAGTTCTTTGAACTCCGAATCTATTTCTTTTTCTAATGACTAGTTTTTGTCCTAGCTGAAATGGGAATAGTTCGGCCTTGAAGAGCGACATCTTACTACTCAGGTTCGAGAAATAACCTTGGGGTATACCAGGCGTCGATGTGAGATCTCGGACCAGTCCCGGGGTCAGTCCATTCATGTCACCTAGATAAGAGTCTTCTTGATAGGTCATGATCTTATGTAGAATCCCACCCTGCTGCCTCGTGGGCTTGGGACCAGGGTTGAGCTCGGCAGATATCTTCAGATAAAGTAAGCATGATACGCCACATCGTCTTAAGCGGGGCGCGAAGAAATAAAGCCGATATATTTATTCCAAGCTCATCTTAGATGTACCTTCCATTTATTGGCCATGCCCTGCATGGACGGTGGACCACCGGAGTTGAGCCTTGTCGCAGTTAGATGCAGGAAGCCCTGGAAACAGCCTACCTCGGAGACACAAAGTGACCTATCAACTTCCATCTTCGCGCTAGTGCGCTGCAACATCCCGTAGCTCCATTCTTTCGGCTTTGTCTTCGGAGATTTTACGACGAATAAGACCTCTACTTTGGCACACACGAGCCAGTCACTCTTCCAAAGCATGTCTTTAAACAAAGGAAAATCATCATTTGAAAATATCAACAGGTCATTGAGCAAATTATTAAATCAACTCCAAATCAACCCGCCAAATTATGGAGAGGCAAGGCATTGATAACTGAGCAGGGGTATATGGGGAAACAAACATGCTCCGCACAACAATAGAACTTCAAGTCAAGGCAAGGCCCAAGGACTTCAAAAAATGATCGCGCTTATTCGTTATCAACAAAAGAGTTGGCCAAATTGCCAATGTAGGGAACTTCGAAGTGGTCAAGAGTGTCGACTTCAGAAGAAAACATTAGTGATTTGAACGGGGTACATCCATATAGAATGGCGCTCTTACCATCTTTGTATGCCCTCATTGCGAGGAAGCCAATTAGAAGAAGGTCAACCAGGAAGAGAGTCCAGGAAAGTAAAGAGGACCAGCATAGAATGAGATGGAGAACCTTGTGTTGTTAGATAAGTTCCGTCAGAAGGCTCGTTGAAACTTACAAAGATGACGGTAAAAAGCATGCTGGACTGCCAGGCATGGAATCTTTGAATCAATATTAGTTGAGCTTCCAGCAATAATTCAGGTCTTCCTAGTGACCTACCGCACGTAATCGCTCTTGTGCTCAAACAACAATAGCAAGACTCCCCCGGCAGGAGGCAGAAGCAAATACGCCAACATGGCCTCGACGTCCATGCGGATAGGGAGGCTCGTCTCAAATGTTCCAAAACTTAAGTGACCACCCTCGATATCCCGTCCAAATCCAGTGTTGGTAGTGTTGGCACGGCTGATGAAGTTGCTCGGAGATGGGAGGTCGGTTGATACCCGAGGTGACCGAAAGTTGGGGGACCTGACATGGATGTCTGGATAAGGAGGAGAAAATGCCCGCTCGGTCTCTGGCGACTGGTCCTGGTAAGGAGCGAAGTTCATTATGTCAATGGTTAGGAGTCAAACCAAAAGTAATTACTGGGAATTGGAGGATTTAAGCTTCTTATCGCTATCGCGTGTACGCGTCGGCCTCAGGCATAAACATTCAATCGGGTATCATGTATTTCATGGGGCGCGTTTTTCAATGGAAGATCCACGGAAGAAAAAAAAAAAAAAAAAAAGAAGCTTTATCACACAAAAATAACTATTATTTTCCAATCAAGGCTTACCACGACCACGGGCGATTCCAGTGCCAGTTGCACTCCCACGACCTAAAGCCCCACTGATCGGCCGGCGAGTTGTTGTTGTGGAGGACCCCCGGGTAGTTCCCGTTGCTCCCGTTCGGCTTGTACTCACACTGGGTGTTCGCCCAAGACCAGTGCTGCGAACTGTACCTCGACTGGATCCGCGAGTGCCCCTGGTACTCACAGCACGCCGTCTTTCTTCCTCTTCGGCTTTCCGAGCGGCAGCTTCTCTCTGCTGCCGAATTGCTTGTTCCCTCCGTTCGGCTGCTTGTTGTTTCTGAATTGTTTCCTGCTCCATATCTGCGACATCTTGAGTGGCGCCCTTCCATTCAGGGTTTAGAATCAGGCGCTGGTTGTGTTCGGTTTGAGAGAGAATTCGAGTCCATGTATTCAAGAGTGTCGATGCCGATGTAACTGTTTGGGATACGGTCTATCAAAGGGTTAATTATACGAGTGCTTTATTACCTGATCAATGCATTTAATTGAAAACTAACCTCCATGTTGCCTTTGGCACTGTCAATGCTGCTCAGCAGTCCTTCAATGACCTCATTTATTTTCCGCACAGTTTGCAGCTCTTGGTGTAATGCATCCTCTCGTGCCTCCTGTCGAGCAAACAGGGTATCTCCGTCATCATCAGACTGTCGCGGTTCTGGAGCTGGACTCTCATCTGTCGGTCTATTTGTGATTTTTTTATGAGTCGTTCTCTTCGAGGGAGAGTTCCAAAGATCTTCAGTATCTTCATCTGAGAGTTGAAGCCTCTCCATCTCTTCAGCGGTGCTTCGCATGATGGCTAGAGCGTGTGTCGAGTATCAATACAAGAGAAAAACTTCTCGATTCAGTTTCAGAAGTTCGGAACTGAAACAGAACTAAAAGTTTTAAAATTGAATGAACGATTTCGAAATGGAGTTGATATGATCAGTTAAGGGGACAAATTTCGTGATTCAATCTCAAAAACTCGAATGTGAAAGTGAGTTAAATTGATAATTTTAGTAACTGAACGATTCAGAGCATGCACCGATATCAGTTCGGTCTTGTCAAGTTGAAAAGACGTCAACACGGATCAAGACAATCGCGGGGAGATTTATTATTACCTACTAGGCGGTGACTTTATGCCGGGCGGTGGGGCGTGACAAAACGCGGTGGCTGGGAAGCGGTAAACATATGCTGCCGCCCTTGAACCCGCCCTTTCTTCCTTCACCTTCACCTTCATCGATAATTCCGCTCTTGTATATCGTGACTTTGCATGTGTAAATTCGTCTCGACAACTCGATATCTTGACCCCATTACTGATCGTACTCGATCACTTCCGAGTACGAGAATTACCACTACCTGGGTCCACGTCAATCTCACAAATCGATTTCTTCTTTCTCACCACCCAACAACTCTCTACTTTTCATATCCGGAACTGCGTGAAAATGTCGCAAAATCTTTCCACTCCCCCGCCGCCCTCACCCAGCAAACTGAGGGTTCCAAGAGCGCCGCGACATGGCCATGGTTATGAAGACTCAGAGCCGTACCCAACCCGTCATTCCGCCAGAATAGCCAGTCGGCGCGCATTGCAGGCTGCTGATCGGGGTTCGCCTCAACCTCGCGATTTCTCTCCAGATGAGGACAAGAACGTTTTTCTGGTTGAGGCTCTGCCGACTCCTACCAAAACTCCAGCTAAGAAGGTATCGGCACCGTCAGAATGGTCAATTGGTCCATCGATCGACCGCTCATTGTTCCGTTCAGAGAAGCGGATGGCGCTTGCCCGAGGCAGTGAGAAACTGGAGATATTCACCGACTCGCGCGACCGTATCCCGGAGGTCTCGTTGGATGCACGAAACCCATTCGCAAAAACTGGCCGTCCATCTGATGGAGAAGCATCGACGGTTTCTCGCCAAACCCGCTCGACTGTCCGAGGCAAAGACTCTTCCTTTCAGGATGATGATGATGATGTTAAGTACATGTTGTAAGTGCTCTGACTATTCTATCACATGTAATATTCCATACTAATCTTCAATCTTTAGCCGAGGCAAGCAAGTCAGGCGTCCAGCCCAGCTGTCTGATTATGACAGTGACGAAGATGAGGATGACGATGAGGAATATCTAGGCCTGTTTGCAAGCCGACGCGATCTCCTGCCTGACCTAGCCAAATCTAAGTGGAAAGGTCTTCGCCGCCGTGATGTCAAGCCAAAGATGCTATGGCCACAGGACCCATCTCAGAAGGATACCAATGATGACTCATTGTTTACCCCTAAGAGTTCGAGTAAGGATGAAGCTAGAAAGAAAATTGTGGATGAATCGGAGCAATCCGCCACTCGTGCTCATAGTGTTACTCGCCGTGGCACCCGTGGTACAGAGATGGACACAGTGATTGAGGATAAAGGCTCAGATATCCAATCCCGCAATCCTCCCAATGCTGAGGCTAGTTCCTCCCGCTCTCTTCGTCCGAACCGTGGCTCAAAGGGTGATTCCCATGATCGCCAGCAAATGGATGGCGCAGGAGACTTGCCTCCAGACTCCCCAATTCACAGCACCCAAGGTCACTCCAAAATTGATGGCGCAGGCGACTCCCCACCTGGCCCCATCCGCAGTAGCCCATTCAAAAAATGGTTGCGCAAGAAGAACGGGTCAAAGGAAATGGCCACAACTTCCCTGAAGCGGGCTGCATCGGGTGAAGATGGTGTCCCTACCAAACGAACCCGGGCTACCCGGAAGGATCTTTAGGCCTTAACCTCTTCTCACGAGTTTACGTCTTATTACTTTGTCTTATCGAGCTGGTATGCTCAAGTCTATTTTATTTTGTTTCGTCTCATGTTTATTCTGCGGGGATAGGGATATCAAAGGAACATTACCAGGAGTTCTGCTTTCAGGGCGTTAAGATCTACTATGTGCAAGAGTCTTATTCATTTCTTATCTACAAACTATTAGCTAGTATCCATCAATAAAGTTTTTCTCTTAATGCTGCCCACTTGTCAATCATAAATTCAGCTAAATGTACCTGGTATACAGCTCGCTGACCATCTTATTTGGTGAAGGCGAAGTAGATGTGGAGAAAGGCAGTCAAATTAGCCGTAAGGGCTAAATTAACTCTATTATCAGACCCACTTTATTATTCTGCCAACAGAAAGCTTAAAATTCAAGATCAGATCTTTGATTACATCCTACGCTTGGAATGAAAGGGGGAAAAATAATGAGATTTAAATTACCAAACTGCTGAGCAGATTATTATTCAGTTCTAATTATCCAGTCATCATATTGTTAATTTACCGTTACAGCGAGTGAATGTCTGGTTTATATTAGGCGGTCAAAACGGCGGTCGTGGTTCGGAGTTTTGCTAGTTGATTGATAGCTTATTCGATGATGTTTTTAGTTCCAGGTGCAGACGGGGACTAACTTGGATCCATATGAGCCTCGGAACCTGGAAATATGGAATTTAAGGATCAGTTTCTCTCATTTTTTATCTGGAACGACGCTAAATCAGCCTAACCGCTAAGCCTTCGATCTAATGGTACATGTATGCCCAAAGCATATCAGACGAATTCTAGTTCATCATCATCGTCATCATCTGATAATATTCGTCGATGTTTGATTGCTCCAGGGCCACCCAAGCTCTCACGACCAGCCTCTCTGATACCCTTGGGTGTGATAAAGCGAGTTTTCTTAACACCACTTTCATGTAGCCTGTCGCCATCATGGGCACGCTTCATGGGTGGTCCAAGTTGTACATTCTGCGCTCTACCGAAGCTGGCAAGGTTCATCCCATTGCCGTCTGGAAATCGACTCTTTGGTGTGCCAGGTTGCTTGTCTTTATTCTCAACTCTAAGTGGCGTTACATTCGATGCGCGTGCTCGAAGATAATCGGCACCAACACCGCCAGAATCCCCAGAGACGAGCTTCGTTGTGATATCTCTTTCTCGCTGTTGATTGGCGAGACGTCTGCGTAGCCGCTCTTCTTTATTTTCCATACCACGACCCATCAATCCGGCCGCAATGAAGGGATCCTCGTCAAGTAAACTTGCTGACCCTCCGTGTGGATTATAAGATGGACGACCGGCGCCACGGGCTTTGGGAGCCGGTGCAAGGTACACCGTTGATTGAGAGGCATAATCGAACGTTCCGCTTTTTGGTCTCAACTCTTTCCTCTGCGTAGGATTTTTGTGGACGCTTTCCTTTCTCTGCCAGGGATTTCCCTCGTAATGTCCCGTTCGCGATCCGCCGGGGCCGAACATGCCGGTACCTTTGTTAATCCCTGCGCGTGCACCTTGAGATTGCCGCACCTGGATATCGACATGATAGTCACAGAACTCGGTCTTTCGACCATCTAGCCAAGATCTGCAGGTAATGCCACTTTTCTTGATACTCTTGCAAAATCCAATGTCCTGAGATTTCCCAATCTCGAGAATCTTGTCATCTGATGACGAGAGAGCCAAGCTGAACTTTTGAGTATCCAGTTTGTGTTTTTGAGGTGGCATGAGAGTAGGATTCAAAATGGCAACTAGTGTGCCCTCAGTCATTCGGTAGTAACGGGGGAAGGCAGTATCGAAAAGCAGTAGTTCAATAGTCCACTTGAGATCAGTCAAAGTCATCACCATATATTGATTGGTGTTGTTGAGACCATCATCGAAAGGATCCACTGTCTTTTTTGAGGTATTCCCTGACTCTTTCTTTTGCCGTGGAGCAGATTTGGATGCGATAATTCCAAAAACAACAAAGTCTTCTATATCCTCTGGCAGCTCAAAATCAGGGGATTTGACTTTTTGCAGAAGATCAGGTATGCGGAGGATAGTTTTGTTAGCCAAATTTCGGCTCAAGAAGGAATGAGGTAGGATGCGAGTCGACAGATTTTGAGCTGAATAAGATTCAAACTTGGATGAGTCTGCGCCATCCGCGTTTTCGATAGTTTCTCCATCCTGATCACCAGTTTTCTTGGCTTTCGACGTTTTTTGACTGCCCTGTAAACTAGTGGATCGATGTTGGCCAAGCGATTTCATGATGTCGTCTCGATTGAACCTCATTTCTTGTGGCTCCCGGCTCATAGGTGATTGTGACTGGTCATTTTCATTCGCTGCAGCGGTCTTAAAAGACTCGATCTCTTTGTGGTCCAGTTGGAATGCCGAACTGCGATTTGCCTTAATTTTCTCTGCCCTCCCTGCCCTTTCAATTCGAGATTTCTCGACTGATCGGCCCTCGGCCATTCGTTGGCTGAAACTCTTAATTCTTGTCAAATCTTCACCCCGGGTTGAAGTTTGATGCCTGGGTGAAAAAATATCACTTGAATGGGATATAGCGCCACTCCGACTTCCAAGCTGGCTGCTTGGCCGGGCGTCTGTTCGCAAGCTTGGAGGTCGCTTTAGCGACACATCGATAGCTCTCCAGCCTTTATCGATGCCCATCTTATACCGGCTAGGAGACCATGGCTCGTGAAAAGAGACAGGACGTCTAGTGGGTGACACTGGGACTTGTACTTCATCAGAGTGTTGCCTCCTTGTGGGGCTTCTTGGAATGGTATGCTTCCGGGGACTTAGAGATGGTGCAAGGCCAAAGCTTCTGCTCTTAACAGGAGAGGCTGCATTTTCCGATCGATTTTGGCTCTTCTGCAGCTGTTTCAATTTAAGACGGGCTTGAATTTCAGCAAGCTTCAGTTGCAGCGTTTCCTCGTCATCCTCTGTATCTCCATTATCTGGATCCTCATTCAAGATCTGACTGGCTTTCGACCGAAAAGTAGGGGTAGTATTAGAGCGCTTCAAGGGCGACGAAAGAACATCTCGGCGGTGTTGCATTTCTGTGTACTTCCTTCGGCCACCTGGGGAGCTGAGTAGAGCTGCCCGGGGTGATTTTGGCGGCCATGCAGTGTCAGTCACTTGAACAATGTAACGTTAGTAACCCTTAAAGCAGCGGGTTCATAGAACTCACTTTTAGTTCTGAATCAAGGGGAAAGCGAAGTGGTCAAGAGTTGGGGTCAGTCATTCCCCGCTTTAGCCAGCAACTGGCTTCAGATTCGGAATAACAAAGCAGAAAGTTGTAGAAGACTGAAAAGTTCAAGATCAAGGGACATGAAGATAAATAAACAAATGAGGCGCAACGACAACAGCGTAATATTTGTGTGCCGAACAGATAAAAGTGCAAGGGATCGGGATGAAAGTGATGGATTATCCTTGCATATGCGACCGCACATGATTGGCCCGTGATCCGTCGCGTCGCGATTTCCCGTTTCAATTTACGCCGCTTCTTCTTACTACATCTACACTCGCTCTTTATCTCTCTATAATGCCTCGCACAACTCGATCTGCGCCTGCTGAGCAGAAGGCACAGCCTGAGATTGATCAACAAAAGACTCTTATACCTGCAGAAAAGCCCAATCGGACATTCATCTTGCCTGCTTCGGCCAGCAAAGACGCGCGTGTGTTATCACTTCCAGATCCTCGCTCTGGCAATTTGGCGCAATACTTCTTCTGTTCAGAACTTGGAGTATATGAATTCACGGCAATTACAGCGCCTTCCCATGTTGCTCGTAGTATCTTTGCTACTCCTAGCGCTTCAAGCGCGTCAGACGATAAGAATGCGCCGTCTTTAATGATCAAGAAGGGCGATCTATTAGTAGCAACCCCAATTGACCCAATCTTTATTCTGATACCCTTGCTTTTACCTTCATCCAATTCCGGGCCTTCACTCTTCCAGCCTTTGGACGATATTATTGACTCGCACGACGATCTACATCCTCATCTTCGATCTGTCTTGTTCAACGAAAAGTTCAGAACCACTCTCCTTGCGCGTGCGGAAGCTATATGTGATACTGTGGAAGCCGGAGATGAAAGAATGCTTCGGCTGAGCGAGACTAAGCTTCTGAAGGAGCTGGTCTCGAAGTCGGAAATCTTGGCAAAACAAGGTCTGCCGGCGAGCTTGGAGCAACGATTTATTCGTCAAGCATTGGCTGCTCCGTTGATGTCTGTTAAGCGAAATGATATACAAACTAGTCAGCTGTCTAATGACAGTGAAACAACCGCCCAATCGCAAGAAAGGCAAGACTCGCCATCCATAAGTGCCACTACTGTGATACCATCTATATCAACACCTGTGGGAGAGACTATACCCGCGCCTCAGTTGGATGTAGTAGCTTCCTCAGATCCTGTTCGTTTGTTACAAATTTCCACGGCCTTATCTTTCATCAAGGAGTCCTATCTGTCGCCGGCCTTGTGCTCTCGACTCGATGAACTCCTTACTTCCCCGGAGAGTCCCTTGGACCTGACTCCTTTGACAAATCGTCTGAAAGAACTTGCTGATCTCCGCGCTGAAGCACTTGCGACGCGGAAGATGTCTGACTTTACCCTCAAACGTAGCCTGGACGACGAGGAAGTGGAGGCCCGGGCAGAGAAGAAACGTCGCAAGGAAGAGGAAGAGAAGAAGAGCAAGGCCGAGTCTCGAGGAGTTCGCGATTTGAAAAAAGTAAACACTACTGGTATGAAGAAGATGAGTGATTTCTTCTCAAAGGCCGCCTCGAAGAAGAAATCTTGAATTGCCAACAAATATACGGCAGCCAATCTACATTCAATTCCTGCTATCTTAGTCGAGCGAGGGACTAAAAATTAAACAACCTCTCAGTTCGGCCAATCGAGCCTTGGTGGTTTGGGTCGTGCTGCGCTCCAAGGCAAGTGCAGCATACACTGCAACGCATATTCAATCTACCTGGTCTTGTTCAAAATCATTCCTGGTCACGACATATAATCCAAGTCTCACAAACTTGACTGCAAGGAATATCTGTTCACATATTGAAAGATCATCAGAACGATCTCGAGAGTATGATAGAGCTTGGACATGATTTGATTGGATATCTCTCATTTTCAGAACAATTAATATTGGCATTGGCATGGCATTGGCGCTATTAAGTTTTAAGAGGGGCATTGCCAATAGCGGCTCCAGTAATCCTGTAGCCATGTTAGCAGATTCAGACTCTATAATGCAGGAGGTAAGACAAACAAGAATGAGCCGTTCGACGGCTTACTGATGACCATAGCCTGCTCGAGCTTCTCTGCAGTGATATCAGGGAATTTCTTCAAGTAATATTCATCCCGCAAAGCTTGGGTCACTGCCGCAACCTTATCCTGGGGCAACATGTGCACAGTGCATCCACCCCATCCGGCACCAGTCAAACGGCTACCCCAAGTACCCGCCCGACGAGCAATATCACAGATGTCATCCACTTCAGGAGCACTGCACTCGTAGGAGTTACGGCACGACTCCTGCGACTCATTCAGAAGTTGACCGAGATACTCGATGCGCCTAGAGTCCAACTGCGAAGCATTGAGGAGACATGCTGAAAAATCGAGCACACGGCGAGACTCCTTGAAACAGTGGAGCGCACGCTGGCGCAGGCGGAACCGCTCTGCCTGCACAGGGAACGAAGACAAGAACTTCGACTCCAAATCAGGTACAGTGATATCCAGCAACTGTGCCATTTCTTCACGTGTGTACCCCTCCTCCTTTGTGAACAGATTCGAGGTTGCCTGGATGACTGAGTCAATTTGGGATTCCAGCGGATCTTGCAAGCGGCCTTCCTTGGTCATCAGTTCGTTTTGGAAGGTGCGCAGGCTATATCCAAGCGAGCTGCTGTCTTTTGGCAGAGTCAGATCGTATTTCTTGGCCAGGATTACGGCGGCGAGGGTGCACTCTGCTACACGCAGGTTGTAGTGGCGAGGTGCTGTCTCGGCCTTGTTCGATGTGACGAAGCTCTGCGCCATGAGGAAGGTGATTTCGTTTTCTGCGGTAGGAATGGGGATTTGCTGGACCTTGAATTCTGGGAAAAATTGGGTATACAGTAGGAATCCGCGCTTCGAGAAGATGGATGCAGCCTGATCCATACTGTTCATTTCACTAGCGTTAGAGATCTAGTTCGCAAATACGGGTAATTTCTGTCCCAACTTACCCGCCAGAGTATACACCGACAGCACGCTCCGACACGACAGCTAAGTCTAGCAGATCCTGCTTCGACACGTCGTGATCGTTGGCTTTCATGACGGCTAGTGCACTCGCGCAGACGAACGCAGCGCTGCTAGAAATGCCACCACCCGGAGGAACATTACCATCGACTAGGATTTCCAAGCTAGCAGGAACCAGCGAGCCTTCAGCCTTCTGCTTGCGCAAGAACTTTAATGCGCCAAGTAGGCCAGCCTTGAAGTAGCTTACCCATTCGTGCTTCTTGGGGTCAATCTCGATATCGGTCTCGCGGGGAACGGTGAACTCGCGTGCGGGGAACTTCCCCGGCGACACATTGGAAATCTTGACGGTTGTTTCAAACGCAGTAGCAGGAACGACCTTGACGGCCATTATCACGTCCACACTAACAGCGGTCGGCAAGACATCGTAAAGGGAGTAGTCAATGTGCTCGCCAATGATGTTCACACGGCCGGGACTGCGCGACACGAAGTCAGGGCGGTGGTTGTATTGTGCGTTGAACTTGGAGATGAGGTTATTGAATCGTTTCTGGTGTTCAGGGTCAACTGATCTCGCTGAGACATCGTCTGTGGCGTAGACCTCCGCAATAGATTCTGTTTGCGGGACAAGCTCTGGTGGGGAAGCCATGGCGGGGTAGGTGGTACTTATGTCCTATGAGACGAAAAGGTATAGAAAGGAATAAGGATAGTTATGAGGGAGAGGGAGAGAGAGAGAGAGAAAGAGAGAGAGAGGAAATAAAATCAGACAAAGATTTAACCGTTCCACGTCTCATAAGGACAAATGGCTGATCTCCCCTTCCTGGATAAATTGATGTTACTATAATAGTGGGGTCCCTCATTCAATTCTGATGTTTGGTCACTTAATTTCTATTGCGGGGGATCCCTTCTCATTGGTCGTACTTTTAAACCAGAAAACGAATAATATAAAGTAATAAAATTCAAAATTCAGTGGGCCTGCTCCGTGTTCGTCGCTATAGTTGTACATAGATACCGGTTAATATCACCATGCCATAGAATTATTAAGAGTGGCATGATTGTTATGTTTACCCCTTATGATGTTTACTACTGCTGTCATATTAAATCTAGTCCAATCTACATATGTACTCTACGATGTATGTAATGATCCCGGCCTCGGTGCGGAATCGGCATGCATGGGACTCGGAAAAAGATTAAACAATCATCCCGTATCTTAAATCCCGTAAATACGTATTACTCCAGGTTTCTTCTTTCTGCCGTAGTACTAGTTGGGACTAGTACTTTAAGATCGATCAATCCTTTCAAGGGATCTGGACCAACCTTAGAGCAGAATTGAAGACTCCATGTAGAAATCAGAAGAATAACTTAACACATCCATTCAGTAAAGTATTTCACCACTGAACGGGTCACACTACTGAACGGGTCAGTTTGACCCACTTATTTTTATGAATCCCAATAACTCCATTATTTACTATGTAATATAGTAAAAAAAAACTACTGAATGGGCCTACTAGGACAGGTTTCCCTCCTATGTCCAGGTGTCTTACATATCCCACACCGGCGTTGGGTTACAGGCGCCCTTACAGGCGCCTGGCCCTCTTGTAAATTGGCATCATTAAGTTTAGGGCCACCATTCGACGCGTCAACCAGGCCTAATCCCTCCTGAATTGTAAGACCCCCTACTACTGTTAATTGACGATTCGGACGTTCTTTTTGTTTTTTCTTTTTCTCATGGGCGGCGCGTAAATCTCTGTTTTCCAGGCGTAAGAGAGCATTCTCTTGATATAGGTAATTTGCACCCTTTACTATCTGGTCTAATGCTCTCTTAGATGGTGTTGGTGGCGTTCGAGATACAGTGCGTAATATAGCTTGGTGTTGACGTCGTAAATCTTTCTGCGTCCTAGGCGTCTTAGGTGTCCAATTTCGACTTGAATCGCTTCCTATAGAGGGTGGTGGTGGTGGTGTATCGACGCGCATAGTAAGCTTTTTTAACACCCTAGTAGGGTCAAGTGGCACGATTCCAGTTGCAGCAAACGCATTAGAAGCAGATGCAAATGCTTCAATACGCGCAGTAGGATATATCTCTAGGAAATCTCCTTTACTAATGTGGGAAAAACCAAGCTCTACTCTAGACTCAACCAGCCGAGAATAAGAGCGTTTTAACACCGCAAAACACCCAACATCAAGAGGTTGAAGAAGATGAGACGCATGCGCAGGCATACATAATGGTATAATATCATGCTCCTGGCAGATTTTGTCGAAATCAGGTGTTAAATGGCTACCATGGCCATCTAAGATCAGAAGGCGATACCGTCCTTTAGTACGAGCAGTAGCAGGTATAAAGAGCTTTTCAAGCCAACGGAGCCCTATTTGATTTGATGTCCAGCCATTAGGACTAATCTCAAGACGCCAATTAGGTGGTAAACCTAGATCAGGAGCAAACCAGCTCTGCATCATCACCTTACCCTTAAAGATAATACAGGGTGGAGGTGCGTAACTAGACGCGCCTAAACACTCTATCACAGTAACCCATTCCCGGTTACCAGGCTGTTTTTTTGCGCGTTTACCATAATAACCAGCTCTAGTAACCACTCTCGCGGTCGCACATCGTCCCATCGCAAACCCAGTCTCGTCAAAATTATAGATATCGTCGGTGGTGATACCATATTTTGCGATCGTGTTTTCAACCAGTTTGAACCAATTATTGATCACATTATAGTCCTCTTGACGCGCACGTGTAAAATCGCGCGGTGTTGAATAGGTCGTCTTAAGTTCAGGTAAACGCGTCGCAAACCTAGTAACCCAGTTTTTACCGATCGTAAGAGGAGGGTTGGTTCCGCGGTCGGCGAGTAGGATATTAGCCATTCTACCAACATCTTTAGTTCTAGGAGCACAGCCGCGATCATCTAGAGAGACGACCCATTGAAGTAATGAATCCTCTTCAGATTCAGTCAGTTTAGACTGCGGTGGGTGTGTTTCAAGACGAAATTGGACACCAGAATGGCGGCGTTGGAGGGTTGAAAATGGTATATTAAACATAGCTGCAGCTTTACGCATTGATGATATATCGCCATTCTTGTAAGCTTGGTAAGCTAATAAGACCCTATTCTCCTGATCCTGTTTGTCTTGGACATATAGAGCATTTAGGGGGGGCATGGTGGGTAGTTGAAAATGGAAACACCAGACTGACGCGTAAAATTGGTGGGGTGACCCGTTCAGTAGTGTGACCCGTTCAGTGGTGAAATACTTTACTCTAATATTCTTAATTTATGCATATTAATTATTTTCCTGAGGCTTGAACATCACATGACTAGAGAGCCTTCCACGTGACCTCTCCGAGGTCGGAGTTACTGGAGGCGGTGAAAGCCAATCAGCGACTAGGAATTTGAGTCAGAGCGGTCGGTGGTTCTGGGTTAAGGCGGTTTTTCTCCCCAGAAAAGAAGTCCACGGCAAAAGCATATTTTCTTTTCATTGCACTCTGTTCTTAGGCCAGGTTGTCGTCACACAAGATGATGCCTTTAAGACCATCAAAAAGCGCTCTGCGCTCCATCCACCTTCGGCAACTCGCTGGACGTAGGCCCTTCTCGACCTCGTTTGTGGCCGCTGCCTCGCCTCTTCGCTCTTCTGCCCAGAAGCGTACCCAGAGTACTGCTGCTGCTACTTCGTGAGTCATTCTAGTCATATCAAGATCTCAAGTCTGACTATTTTTTTTTTCTTCTATCTGTAGTTCAAGAGCTGTTCCCAGTCCTGCTTTCAACCAAGAACCTCGCCGGAATGAGGTTTCGCCCCTACACAACCGCCAGGCCGCTGAGCTCGATGACTCGTACGTTCCATTGTTTCTTGATACGGTGAACTACAAATAGATGAGAACTAATAAACAAGAATAGAATGGTTGGTATGAGCGGTGGTGAGATTTTCCACGAGATGATGCTTCGTCTCGGTGTGAAACAGATCTGTGAGTGATCCTGCTTCTCCCTCGTTTCAAACTCGATCTATTGCTAATAAAAGAATTAACAGTTGGTTATCCTGGTGGTGCCATTCTTCCCGTTTACGATGCTATTTACAACTCAAAACACTTCGACTTCGTTCTGCCCAAGCACGAACAAGGTGCCGGTCACATGGCTCAGGGCTACGCTCGTGCGTCTGGCAAGCCCGGTGTCGTTCTTGTTACCTCCGGTCCTGGAGCTACCAACGTTATTACTCCCATGCAAGATGCTATGTCAGATGGTACCCCCATGGTTGTTTTCACCGGTCAGGTCACTACCGGTGCCATTGGAACTGACGCCTTCCAAGAGGCCGATGTCATTGGCATCTCCCGCGCGTGTACTAAGTGGAATGTGATGGTCAAGTCTGTCGCTGAGCTTCCTCGTCGTATCCAGGAGGCTTTTGAAATCGCTACTAGCGGCCGTCCCGGCCCCGTCCTGGTTGATCTGCCCAAGGATGTCACTGCTGGTATTCTCCGCAACCCAATTCCCATGCAGAGCACTATCCCCTCTCTCCCAAGTGCTGCATCCATGGCTGCCCGTGAGATGGGCAAGAAATCTCTCCAGGCTACCATTGGCCGCGTTGCTCGTCTTGTCAACATGGCTGAGAAGCCCATCCTTTACGTCGGCCAGGGTCTCCTTGCCCACCCCGATGGTCCTGCCATTCTCAAGGAATTCGCCGACAAGGCTTGCATTCCCGTCACCACTACCCTCCAGGGTCTTGGTGGATTTGATGAGTTGGACCCCAAGTCCCTGCATATGCTTGGTATGCACGGCTCTGCTTACGCCAACATGGCTATGCAAGAGGCCGATCTTATCATCGCCGTTGGTGCTCGTTTCGATGACCGTGTAACCCTCAGCGTCCCCAAGTTCGCCCCTCAGGCTAAGCAAGCTGCCGCTGAAGGCCGCGGAGGTATCGTGCACTTTGAGATTATGCCCAAGAACATCAACAAGGTTGTTCAGGCTAACGAGGCTGTCGAGGGTGACTGCTCCGAGAACCTGCGTCTTCTCATGCCTCATGTCCAAGCCGTTGCTGAGCGACCCGAGTGGTTCGAGCAGATCAACGACTGGAAGGCTCGTTTCCCTCTCTCCCTCTACGATCGTCAGACTCCCGAGAGCCCCATCAAGCCTCAGTCTGTCATCGAGAAGCTCAGTGAGCTCACCGCCGACATTAAGGACAAGACCATCATCACCACTGGTGTTGGTCAGCACCAGATGTGGGCTGCCCAGCACTTCCGCTGGCGTCATCCTCGTACCATGATCACCTCTGGTGGTCTTGGTACCATGGGTTTCGGTCTGCCCTCCGCCATTGGTGCCAAGGTTGCCCGCCCAGACTGCCTTGTCATTGATATCGATGGTGATGCTTCTTTCAACATGACCCTTACTGAGCTCTCCACCGCTGCTCAGTTCAATATTGGTGTCAAGGTTCTCTTGATGAACAACGAGGAGCAGGGAATGGTTACACAATGGCAAAACCTGTTCTACGAGGATCGTTACTCTCACACCCACCAGCAGAACCCCGACTTCGTTCCCCTTGCCCGAGCTATGCGCGTTGCTGCCGAGCGCGTCAGCAACCCTGCCGATCTCGAAGCTAAGCTGAAATGGCTTATCGAGCACGACGGCCCTGCCCTTCTGGAGGTTATCACTGACCGCAAGGTTCCCGTTCTTCCCATGGTCCCTGCCGGCAGTGGTCTCCACGAGTTCTTGGTCTACGATGAAGCCAAGGAGGTTGAGCGCAAGGCTCTGATGAAGTCGCGCAATGCCCCCACCGAGGTTAACCGCCGCGATTAAAAACACATGTTAAAGCAGGGACGGGTGTAGTACCATAACCTACAGAATGACCCGTTTATACTAACCGTCATTTCTCTTTACCGTTGATATCCATGGCGTTTTCTTGGCAGTTCACCAAAAGCGATTAGGCGATCACAGTCGACCTAATCATTTCCCACAAGACATACTAGCACTTGATCTTGAGCATACTCTGACATTTCTTCCATGGGTTGCTCATTGAATTGAGATCATTCTTCATTGAATTGTGGGTATGTAATAGGTCGTGATCTCTCTTGTCTATGTTGTCTTCAACGTGTTTGTATATAATGCATGTATTTCATGCCAAAAGATCTAGTTAGATCCAGGGTATTTTATTGAGAACCTTCGATTCATTTTCCCGCAATGACCACCACCTAACCCAGTCTCGGTACCTTTGTATGCGTGGGACTTATTTGCTAAACTTGTGAGGTTATCAAACAAGTCAATGACAACTAGATGTTCGAATGACTATGCATTTCACAATAGCCCTTGACTCATGATAGTGGGGTTCTGATCCTCTGCATCCGCATCCATCCATGTATGTGCAATGGTCTCCATAATAGCATGTGGCAGAGGGGAGCTTTCGTTATTGTTTTCTAGAAGGTCAACCATCTGCCACTGAATTGGCAAATCTTCCGACGTCTGGAAATAGTCCTTCTTGAAGTAACATGTAGAGAAGAGCCAAGGGGTCATCCTTGACAATGAGCACCAACCTCATAATTAATATAGTGCTGTATGTCGCGGCCACGAGCACTCCAATAGTCTTCAGCTGATGCCACCATGTCCCTGCCATACGCATCTTTTGCAAATTTCAGAGGGTCTTTCAAAGGTGGATTCTCTTTAAGGAGCTGTATTAGGATTGAGTCTAAATCTGGAAGCTCTTGTGGGCTAGTAGTCTTTTCATCCAGGGCAGTATCAAGCGGGTATTTGTCAAGGACTAGGACTTTCTCTGGGTTAGCCCAGAAAAAGGATGGGAAAAATGATAGCCTAGATTGATATCCAAATATTACTGCCGATTGGAGAGCATGGATTATGAAAGCACAAAGATCTTTTTCGGAGTCATTGACGTGGGGGTATCTGTATCCTAGCTTAGAAGACAGAAGCTTTCGTCAATGAGTCCAGCAATTTTATTGGAATCCACTGGGATGGGTCGTTAATGACATTGATTGCCAAGTATTCATTGCAGTTGCTAGAGATCTCTTTGTAGCTGAGCATGATTTCGAGGTGCGAGAAGTCGATATGTCGCGTCGGCTCCACGGTGGGCATTGATCACCTTCCAAGGTTTGCTGTTGTTTTCTTGATAGAAATACAGGATCAAGAATCTTGAGGCAAAATGTATTTCAAATTTTAAGAATTGTGATATTCATTATCACTTGAAACTCCATTGAGTTAGTAATTGGTTAGTTGAAATTTGAATAGCTGATGTGATGGCGGTAAGCCACGTCAATAAGTAAGCCCCAGGCAGACAATCGGTGGTCAGTGACGTCCCGAGGAACCAGCCCTCATCATCCAATTAGCTATTCTTCCCCAACTGACCTCCTTCAGCTTTTTACCCAAGTTTGCTTGAATTGGGTGATTACTCTGAAGTATCTCACAGTCCATTAGTCTTTGAAGCGCAGGGATCTTGCGCCTGCCCTCCTTCCTAGCTCCCCCTCACTCTCCACAATGGCCAGCCCACCACCGCCTGTCCCCGAGGACCAAACCCGCCTCCTTGAGGAGGCATTGGGTGTTGTGAGGCAACAGTCTGCGATGATGCGCAAATGTCTAGAGACTCCTGGAAAGCTTATGGATGCGCTAAAATGCGGGTGAGATCTATTGACCCCCAGGCAACAACGGTCGGCCGCACGTTGAAGCAACATGCTGACCTCCTACGTTCTTGAACGTGACTTGATAGATCTACTCTTGTCTCTGAATTGCGAACCCCCAGTCTTGGTCCGAAGCAGTATTATGAACTGTACATGGCTGTCTTTGATGCGCTGCGACACTTATCTGTTTACCTCAAGGAGAACCACCCGGTTAATCACCTAGCCGACCTGTACGAGCTAGTTCAATACGCCGGCAACATTGTCCCCCGCTTATACCTCATGATTACGGTGGGTACTGTTTACATGTCAGTCGAGGATGCGCCCGTCAAGGAGATCATGAAAGATATGATGGAGATGAGCCGGGGTATTCAGCACCCGATCCGCGGCCTGTTCCTACGATACTATCTTTCCGGCCAAGCGCGCGACTTTCTTCCATCTGGTACCAGCGATGGGCCCGAGGGAAATTTGCAGGATTCCGTCAATTTCGTTTTGACCAACTTCGTGGAAATGAACAAGCTTTGGGTTCGACTGCAACACCAAGGCCCTTCACGAGAGCGAGAAAGACGGATACAGGAGCGACGCGAACTTGAGCTACTTGTGGGTAGTAATGTTGTTCGTCTTAGCCAGCTCGTAGATCTCGAAACGTACAAGTCCGGCATTCTTCAGGCGCTTCTGGAGCAGGTTGTGCAATGTCGGGACGTTTTGGCGCAAGAATATCTTCTGGAAGGTAAGAATAGCTTGCATTGCTTGCATTTTAGAGGACTATAGCTAATATTCTTAACAGTGATCACGAAGGTATTCCCAGATGAGTTTCATCTTCATACTCTCGACCTCATGTTGTCCGCCATTGCGCGACTCCACCCGTCTGTCGACCTGAAGAAGATCGTGATCGGACTGATGGACCGCCTATCCACATATGCAGCGAAAGAAGCAGAATCAACATCTGAGCCAGAATCGAGGAAAAAGAGCGAGGAAGATGCGGTCACACGACTATTGCAGAAACTCGAGCTTGATAAGGAGTCCAAAAAGGAGGAATCAACTGACTCTGCAAACGAAGCTAAGGCTGAAGATAATGGAACTGATGGAGCTGAAGGAACCGAGGAACCTAACAAGCCAGAGGATTCTTCTGAACCCGAACCAGCAAAGAATGAAGAAGCAGCCTCTGCGGCAGTTGAAGATGAAAATGCTATTGTCCCAGCAGAAGCAAAGCTGTATGATATCTTCTACGAGCAAGTGGTCAACTTGATCAAGACTCGTGCTTTGCCGATTCAAGATACCATGGCGCTCTTGGTATCTCTCGTTAACCTTGCACTCAATATCTATCCTGACCGATTGGAATATGTCGATCAGATACTCAATTTTGCGACTTCTAAGACTGCCGAATATACAGATCATGCTGATCTGCACTCCGCGCCGACCCAGCAGCATCTTCTTCACCTTCTCAACGCTCCTCTTACATCTTATGTCTCGATATTTACGGCATTGGCCTTGCCGCACTATCTGCCACTTCTTACAGCGCAGTCATACCCCACCCGGCGATCTGTTGCAGGTGAGATCATTCGCAGTCTCCTCAAAAATAATATTCATATCACGAATACCGAAAACCTGGAAAGCGTGCTGCAAGCCGTGAAGGTCTTGATTAAGGAGGGCATGCAACAGTCTGTGGGATATCCAGGGGTGCAGTCTCAGCGTCGCGGAGGAGAAACAGAGGAAACTATTGAAGAGCAAGGATGGCTCGCAAGACTGGTTCACCTGCTTCGCGGGTCCGACAACGATATTCAGCTCAAGGTAAGGCTAATGTCTAAAACTATTTCACAACATTAGGCTAACCTGAAGTTTTTAAGCTTCTCCAAGCGACACGCAAGGCATATGCAGAGGGTAACGAGCGTATTCGTTACACCACACCTGCCATTGTTACTGTTTCGATTCGTCTAGCCAGGAAACTCAAGACACGCGAGCACTTGGATGACAATTGGCAATCGCAATCTTCAACACTTTACCGATTCCTTCACCAGTGTATCAACAGTCTTTACCAACGGGTCAACCCAGGCTGTGCAGATTTGGCGCTTCGCCTGTTCGTGATGTGCGGTGAAGTTGCCGATCAGACCGGCTTCGAGGAAGTCAGCTATGAGTTCTTCGCGCAGGCTTTTACCATCTACGAGGACGCTATTAGCGACTCACGGGCTCAATTCCAAGCAGTCTGCATCATTGCCGGTGCTCTGCACGGTACTCGTAGTTTCTCGAAGGAGAATTATGATACACTGATCACCAAGGCTGCTCTACATGGAAGCAAACTTCTCAAGAAGCCTGATCAGTGTCGTGCGGTCTATCTTGCAAGTCACCTCTGGTGGGTTGTGGAAAACCCCCAACGTGGCGAAGAAGACCCTAAGGGTGTAAGTCCCTATTGCCTCACTCTTCCCTACTTCAGAAATATGTACTTACATGTAACAACAGCTTTACCGAGATGGCAAACGCGTGCTTGAGTGCCTGCAGCGTGCACTCCGCGTTGCCGACGCCTGCATGGATACCGCAGTATCTGTTGAGCTCTTCGTCGAGATCCTGAACCGCTACGTATACTACTTCGACCAGCAAAACGAAACTGTCACGACAAAGTATCTCAACGGACTGATCGAACTCATCCACTCTAACCTACAATCCAACGAAGACGAGCCAAACCCGAGTATTGAAGGGCCGAAGCGCCATTTCGAGCGTACTCTGGACTACATCCGGACCCGAGACTATGAGGGTGTCGTGACAGAGCGACAGTAGACTCCGTTTACGATTTGAACCTTTGTTGAATCGAAAGTTATTGATATGCTTAGGAGGGTTTGTGTACGAGATGCCCACCTTGTTCAGGATCGTTCCCTAGAGTAGCCATCCGTGATCATAATTTCCTTAGTTCACATCTCTTGTTTTTTACTCTTCTGGAAGCCAGCCTTTATTGTGATGCTCTTTTTCCCCCTCTTTATTTCCGCCTTTCGTTTTCGAGTAAATAAGTGTACCATTGTCTTCTGGATATCACCCATACCCAATAACGCAAAATTCTAAGCCATATATATTCCAAGTCTCATTGTTCTCGATACTCAATAGTAAGATAACCTTGGAAATTGGGTTGTTGAACAGCGACGACCTACGACATTTGATATTATACAATGACAACCTAGGTACTACATAGTAGGCCAACTTTGCAACTTTGGAAGTAGAAAAGAAACGAAGAAAACCTTCGTTCATATTGAAACATTGAAAAATACTGAACAGAGAGGGAGATTATCCCAAGTCTCCACGGATATCGCTGCATGATAACATAAGACAGAATAACCCGTACACATCACACAAATACAAGAGATCAAACCCGGATGCCCCAGATTCAAGTCCAATTTGACTTGAACACGTAAAATAAGAACAAAAAAGAGAGATACACCGACCACACAAACCCCACAAACCCCCACATTGAAGATAAAGAGGATAAGAGATGCAAAGTTAAGAGATATGTTGTAAAGAGGCGTTGTTAAGAGATGCTGTTAAGAGTTGATGAGGGAAAAGGTGATGAGGGATTAGGAAGTCCCACCGTACAACCCAGCTGCAGGAGAGTTGTACTGTTGGAAGTTAGAGTACTTGGCAAATCCGGCAAAGGGGTCTGGGTGGCTGTTTCCAGGAATTGGGCTGCCGATGTCACCTGGAACGCTGCTCCGATGACCAGGTGCAGCACTGACAGTATCCGGGTCGAATCTGACAAAATGGTCTCCACCCTCCTCTTTGATGGAGAAGGATCCGCCGCCATTATGAGGGCTGCCTTCTGTGTCGCAGATGTCGAGCACTTCATCCAGTCTGATGTGCGGTTCCGTCGCAAGTCGCAACATTTGAGCGTGGTTCAATACTTCTCGCACATTGTGATAACCGTCAGACAGAAGCTGTGGGCTTATGAAGTGAACACCATTGCGACCCTTTGGGTTAAGTGCGTCCATTTCCTTGCAGGCTCGAATAATTAGAAGACGAATAGTCACAGGGCGGGCCGAATTTCCACGATGGTGGGTACTCGGTGCAAAAACGTTCGAATGTGTCCAACCATTCCCCAAAGCACTGCTAGTTGTCGATGATCCCCATGTAGCTGAGGAACCAGCAAGAGTGGTTCCAAATGGTCGACTCCACCCAGCAGGATTAGCCGGAAAGGCTGACTGCTGAGACCCAAAAGGTTCGGCAAAGAACGAGGATCCCTGGAAACTAGCACGCGAAGGTACTGGGAAAGTTCCTAGGCCGGTGGCACCGGGCAAAGACTGAGATAACTTTGAGGAATTAGCACCCTCGATGGCATCATTCAGTGCGCTGCTGCCCAGTTGAGTGCTAAGGTCATCCACTTCACGCTGTGAGGATCCGCGACGAGCATCCTGTAGATCCTGCGCAACACTTGGAGGACGATTGAGAGGATTGAACCGCCCATATGCTCCATGATGCAAGCCGAGTTCGTAGCCAGGTTCAAATGAGGGCGGTCTAAACGTATTGGAACGCAACCCGTTCATCCCAGGGGGAATGGAGATCCCACTGGGGGCGTTGAACCCACGAAGAGGGTTCATCATAGGCGAACTGGGGGAATACATATGCAGGTCAGATGGAAGAGGACGACCAGCCGTGCCGGGGAGACCTGGGGGGTTAGAAGACAGGCCGCTCAGGACTGGGAAGCCAGGTGGGCCTGATCGACCCAATGGAGAGAGTGGCGCGGAGGGCTGAGGGTGGTGTAGAGGTGGTTGTTGCTGGTGGCTAGGTCTGCCAAACACTCCCGACTGCGGTTGCGCGAAAGAGCGCGGGGAAATAGAAGGCTGAAGAGGGTAATCAGAAGATGCTGATTGCGAGTAAGGCGAGGAGGTGTGAGAAGAGCTCTGCTGCGAAGGTTGGCGTGGTCTGACGGGGGTCGAGACCTTAGGTGCAACAGGAGTAGTAGCAGGGTAAGGTTGGGATTGGACCAAAGGCAGGAGTGTCTGCATCTGAAGGCCCGGGATCGAGAAAGACGCAGGTTTTGCCATTCTTGCTTGCTTAGCAGCACGTTCTTTGGCTTCCTGCTCTGCTCGGGCAGCAGTCTCGCGAGCTTTCTTCGCTTGTTCCTCACGAACCTTGCGCTCATGTTCCTCCTTAGCCCTCTTGTCACGTTCCAGTTTTTCCTTGCGCTTCGCTTCTTCACGCTTCTTATTTTCTTCTTTCAGCTCCCGCTGCTTACGTTCAGCGTCAGCATGTCGGTCTCGCTCGTCTCTGAGGCGCTTTTGCTTCTCTGCCTCCTTGCGTGCACGCTCATCTTCCAATGTCTTTCGCTCCGCGTCGCGCTTCTTCCGCTGCTCTTCACGTTTCAATCTCTGTTCCTGCAGTTTCTGGTCATGGGCCGCTTTGGCGGCGGCCTCCTCGGCAGCTTTCGCTGCGTCTCTGCGAGCTTTTTCTTCGTCCTTCAGCTGCTTTTGCATCTTTTTCTTATCTTTCTTTTGTTGGGCGTTTCGTGCCTTCTTGGCATTCCGCTCCTCAAGCTGATTCTTCTCTTCCATGAGCTCTTCAATGAGGCGGTTCTGTCGTTGTTCGGCGACTCTTTCGCGATACGCAGTCATTACTCGCTGTTCAAACATTCGAGCAGCAAAAATCTGGAACATTCGTCGGCCTTCTTGCATTCGTTGTTCATCCGTCATTTCGGTCTTGGGATAACGATGATAGTAAGCATTCCTTCTTGGGACTTTGCAGGGGTCAGGAGGTACCATTTCATCCACATCATATTCTTCCTCGTCTTGGCTATCGTAGTCTTCCTCCTCCTCGTCGTAATCATCATCGTCAAGGGTACGAGGAGGGTGGTGATGTTGATTGGGGTCGAAGGGCTGGTGGGCGGCTTCTTCGATGCTGATATGATGATCATCCTCTCGCTGCATGCGACGCTCAGCCAATTGCTCCATCATGTCGATGAAGTGTCTGCCGTCGTTTTTAAGGAGATCATCGGCTACAGTAAGAATACCATCTAGATCAAATGCGGGGTCAGACCAGATTCCTCCAGGGTAAGTTAAACTTCTGAGGAGCTCACCCTTGACGGTCAGACTATTACCAAAGGCAAAGAAATCGGAGCGTGAATCTGGGACGTCATCGTCATAGAATTCATCACCGCTGTCCAACTCACCGTCTTCCTCGTCGTCTTCCTCATACTCTTCATCGAGGTCATCTTCATCCTCATCCTCGAGTTCTTCGACTCGCTCTCGTGAAGGGTGAAATTGTGTGTGCGTACGAGTGTGGTGACCGGGGGATCGTAGGGGTTGTTGATACAAACGGGGTGGAGGGATGATGGGAGCACCCTCGTCAAAGGAAGCCTCGTTGTTGCCAATAGCATATTGCTCAAGCTCTTCGTAGTAAGCGTCGTAGAGAACCTCTAGCTCCTCTTCGATTGCGGTTCGTTTTCGGCCGCAGACCGTGCAGCTGCACGAGTGCTTTTGCTGCTCTTTCATCTTTTTGAGCACAGCATCCTTTTCGACTTTCACAAGCTGACGTCTGTCCTCTTCCCCCAGCTCAAACCAGAAGGCTCGAATGTTCTCGCGCTCTTCCACCGACGATTGGTTCCAAAGTTCACTCTTTTTCTTGCGGGACTTGGACGGTTGTGAGTGAGTCGCGGACGGAGTAGAAAGCGGGGTCGAGCTTCCATCGGCGCATGTGTGCGGTTCAGAGTTGTCCTTTTTCTCTTTGTTCTTGAAATGGCGAGTGGATCCCGGGGGTTGATCTTCAGGGTTGTTAGACATCGAGAGACCATGAAATTCAGCATCACTAGGGTCATTCGAGAATGTTTGTGCTGGCCAGTCCGTAGTATCGGAAGTGTGAGCATGAGATTGTTCGGCGGCTAAACGGGCAGCTTGCTGCTTCTGTCGGCGTTTTTGTTTTTTGCGATTCATAGTGGATGCTGGTGCAGACGTGGTACTGCTGGCTGAGGCATTACTCAAAGGTCCCCGCGCGTCACCGTTGGTCGATGTCGGGGCTGTTGGAGTTGCCATGTTGAATATGCTGGAGCCCTCAGCAGGAGACTAGAACGATGCGCAACCCCGTTAGATATGGTGGGTGAAAAAAGATAAGTGTGGGATGAAAAGAGAAGGTAGGATTCAAGAGAGAAAAGGAAAGCGTGCGAAAAGTGTAGAGTGAAAAACAGAGAGAGAGGGTCGAAAAGCGAAAAGCGAGAGGATAAAGCGGAGAGCGGAGAACGACAGAACTTACCAACAAAGCTCCGGGCAATCCAATGCAAGACCAAGTCAATAAAAGAGAAGAAAATTTTAAGTGGAGACGGGGATTGAATGATTATTTGCCTTTGACACTCTTGTTGAAGAGCTCCGAGGGTTAAAGAATCGAGATATGGGAATCCAGGTATGAGAGGGGTTTGAAAGACAATAATGTCGGCGGGTCAAGACGTGGATGGTAAATAGAGAAGATGAGATCGGGTGTAGGGAGGTTTGCGCGTAGAAATAGGTAAAAGGGAGAGTTGGGGTGGAATAAATCCAAGCGCTGAATTCGCGGGGCAATGAAAGAGAGCGAGATCTTAGACCGACGATGATGGATGGGAGCGATGGGCCTTTTCTGCGTTCTGGCTGGTTCTCTTGCCGCCGCAACGGGATAGCCGCAGTAAGCGATATGGTGCCTGTTAAATTAGGCAAATAATGTAGAAATTCGAGTGTGCTGCTTGCGTTGAGTATTTTTTAGTAAATATGCTACTTAGATGTACGCTCAATTTGATCTTACTTGAACCCTACTTTATTTGAAAGAGAAAGACACTTCGATCTCTGGTTCAGTGGGCTTGTACTTCATCACTGTTTCTCAGCTTCCGAGGCTGACTTTACAATCATGTGACCTATGGTAATATACCGCCTTTATACTGCCTATTATATTTCAATAGCGGTGTATAACTTGTAATATCACGTGATAAATGTCATGAGTAGCGTTTGCTCCACTCAGTGTTAAAGTTGTTTGTAAATATAGTGTTTATTGTGAAGAAAGGAAACCAAATTCTTCTTTTACTCAGGTCAAATTAAGTCTTAGTCAAGAGATAAAATAAATTGCCCAAAAAGTGTTGAATATTATGTAATCATGTAATTTTGGAAGGTACCTCGTATACAGGTGTACTCCTAATGACTTTTCTCAAGTCCCTTAATTTCCGTAAACTTTTCCTAACTGTACTCTTTCCATCATCCTCGTCATCTTACCTTTCCAGCAAATCAGATCTTGAAACCCTCGCTTACTTGGACCTCCATCTCTCGTTTCAACTTTCATTAATTTGAACCAGTGGATCGTGATCGGATCATCAGTGATCGTCGTTTGTTTCTGGTCCTTGGTTCCAAATCTTCAGCCCCATCTAATACCTAATCCTTTTCCCCAATACCTAAACTTCACCCCCCACCCCCCGAGACCGCCTTAAACCCCAAACTCGGACCCCGTCACGTCACTGTTTTTTGTGCATCTTTAGGCCTTCCATCAGCCCCTCCTCTCCTTCAGCCGCTATTGGGTGGAAGCAGTGGAATTAGTGGAAAGAGTGGAAATACCATCTGCGCAGGGTTCACCTCCCCATACCCCTGCTACTTTTCGTGTCGCAGTTATTTTTGAACTTCGACACCCCTCTGTCTTCTGCATTCCATCCTCCTTCTCCTCCTTCCTAGAGCAGTGCTCCCTTGATCATTGATCATGGCACAGCAACAAGCTGATAATGTGATGCGAAGGTACGCCCACTGTTTTGATTCTGCGTCTGCGTCTTGTTATACTCCCCCCCTCAGTGTTTTTCAATTGTACCTTGTCTTCTTCGGAACTGAGCCCCAGATCCCTCTGTTAGACAAACTTCATCAAGAGAACTGATATTTATCTATCTATCTACTATTCTGGTTATGATGATCCTTACTAATTCAATCTAAATAGGAAGCTTGTGATCATCGGAGATGGCGCCTGTGGGAAAACTAGTTTACTCAGCGTCTTCACCCTCGGCTACTTTCCTACTGTAGGTTTAATATTCTTACACTCCATAGCCTTGAAATGATGTGTCTGGCTAACCTATCTACTTCTTACAGCACTACGTTCGTTATCGGCCCATTCCCGGCTGCCTAGAAGTGATTTATTGACATAGCATAGGTGCCCACGGTATTCGAAAACTATGTGACCGATTGTCGAGTCGATGGTCGATCAGTACAACTGGCTCTTTGGGATACCGCAGGACAAGAAGACTACGAGCGACTGCGACCACTGGCATATTCGAAAGCACATGTTCTTCTGATCGGTTTCTCAGTAGACACGCCGGATTCGCTGGAGAACGTTAAACACAAGGTACGCTCGGAGATATTCGGACCAAACATTCAAGGGTTAACCATATGGAATCATAGTGGATCGAAGAAGCGAACGAACGCTGTCCCAACGTGCCTATCATCCTAGTTGGGCTCAAGAAGGATTTGCGCGATGATCCATTAGCCGTCGAAGAAATGCGCAAAAAGTCACTCAAGTTCGTGACATCCAAAGAAGGAAACGAGACGGGCGCCCAGATCGGAGCCCGCAAATACCTCGAATGCTCATCCTTGACGGGTGAGGGTGTTGATGATGTCTTCGAGGCAGCCACTCGTGCCGCCCTCTTGACTTTTGACAATCGCAAAAATTCCTGCTGTGTGGTTCTATGACGAATTAATTCTGTATGAACGTGCGACATTGTAACTTGCTTTCTCTGCCAGCGTTCGGTTCTATCTCGACTTGGAAATATGCGATGGCTTTGCTTTGCCGCAGTTTGGTCAATGCTTTCCGTTCCGTTGTATCATGCATCATTGGTGTTTGGGGTTTGGGAGGTTTTAGTGCTCTCGCTTGGTTGATTGGTCTGGGCACGATTATTGCTTTTTTTTCCCGTCCCTATCTTTTCAGGCTCTTTTCTGGCTGTGTCTATTCTCTCGGAGTACATTCTTCTTACCCCTCATACCTTCTTCCTGATCAATCTCTTTTTATTACCTCATATGATACTCGTACAAACTCCGGACTCCCTTCTTTTTTACGCCAATTCCCCCGAAGTGCATTGCGATAGCCATTCCTTTCAATCCATTTTGATTTCTTGTAACAATCCCTGCCAACGTATCGCTCCTTCGATAAATTGTACTCACTACAAGGTTCTCACTTGAAACTTTGGAAGTAGATAATGAAAGGTAGCTAAGTTTTGCGTAATCAGCGTGATCAATTCAAGCCCGAACTGAGATCTATTCAGTGAGCCCGCATCTGAGTGCCCCAGTGGCAGCCCTAATAAGAACAAAATATAAGTGCATATAGTACAAAGCGCCAAATGGTACATAAGATCGCCTCTCCCAACATATTCATCCCCGTGTTTACATCTCATTTTTTGAGGCCGCCTATTTCTTCTCTGGTCGCTTCCAGTCATGGTTCCACCCCTCAGCAGGTGGGTAGTCTGTCTGCATACGCCCATACTCAATAGGAATGAGGTCTGTAAAGATACCCTTCTTGTTCATCGAGACACGGAACAGCTTGCCACCATCACCGGCACCAGTGCGCAATTCTTCACAAGCAGCCTGCATGCTCTGAAACTGGCGCTGTAGCTCAAGTTCCTGGTTCTTGCGCTGATTAGACTGGAATAGTTGCCAAGCACGGTGGATGGTCCAATGGCGGAGGTAGCGGTTACGAGAGAAACGGAGAGGGCGGGGTGTAAGGGGGTGGTGGAGGAAGTATCGGATGAGAGCTTGAGGGTTCTGTTAGCATTGAGGCATTCGATGGAGACTTCGGAGACGCAATTGAGGTTCTCGGAAGGATGCTAGGTGTTGGCCAAACGTACTGATTCGCTTATCCACTCCTGGGCCTCCGCCTTTTCGCTTGGCTAGAGAGCTAGAGGAGGAGAATGAGGCCGATTGTACGGACGCGGTGATCGGGCTGGCTTGTGGCGTCGGTCTTTGAGCCAGGGTTTCGCGGCATATGCTTGATATGGTCGGGCGTACGGGTACCATTGACATGGGGATGCGGAAGGCATTTGCGAGAGACGCAAGGGCTGGTGATAGAGACCGCATTGTGATGGGTATATTGATAGTTGAGTCCACGGGAGTTGCAATTGAAGTTCAGGAACGAGTAATTCCCTGACGGCAGAATTGCGACCGCCCATATTTACTACGTCACGTGCCTGTATGGCAAAATGGTACCTCATTTCCTTTTGACTTCATTCAGCTTTACTCTTTTGTGATTGATCGGAATTTTTGCTCATTGGTAATCAGAAATTGTTTTGGAACTGTCATCATAGTCAACCGGTACCCTACTGCTACCTAACCAGGTGTTTGTTCATACCGTAGGGACAGCTGGATGATAGATCATTATACCTGATATCAATCTTCTAAATGCTGGAACATCCATGGAGGAACTTCATCAGTTGATCACTGTCGACCTCACTTGCGACTCACGAATCATTAGGTAATTTCAAGGCTGAGCCCTGAATATCATCATACACTGCCAGTTAAGGGTCTCCTTGGAACATTCCAAGGCTATGGTCACTCTCCACCTAAGTACACCACCTCCAGATATTCAGCAACACTTTGGCACAAAACTGATAGATACTAGAAGCTACATCGCCAACATATTAGTCAACCCTTTACTTCCACGCCTATTTAATTCTGAGACTGTTGTTCGGGTCCGTATTGATGCCCATCTAACAAATTCAATGATGCAAAATCTTCGCTATGATCGCGCCCACGGCATATCCCCTCAGTAGCCGAGTCCAATTACAATTCTGGATTTCAAAGTGCTACCTTGCCCAGACCCATGATTGGTTCTTAGGCAGAAGCAATCACAACGGGCCCAGAGCGCTCTTTATTAAAGTTAGGTAGTGAAATGGGGAACGCTCTAGGCAGCACGGTCGGAACGTGCAGGTCGATTCAGCTGAGAAGAACCAACAACAACCGCGAGGGAAGCTCAGTGAAAGCAGGGAGTCAAGAAGTGAAGAGGTGTGTAAAGGTGTTCATTCTGTAACTGTCATAACTTCTAGATAAATGGTACTAGATGGTTCTGCCGTCGCAGACCGCTTTCTCCTTCATACTATAGGGCTCCCTACTACTCCGTACAGTAGATAGCTTAGAGCAGATATCGCTTTTTATATCTTTTTAGAGTTGGTTTTGCTGAATTTTCAAGCCATTTCAAGTCTGTCAATTCACTTGAGTAGTTTATAGGCCTTTGCCGGCACTGGTCAAAATATTTGGTGGACATTCAGGGTGAAAATTCAGAGGCAACACTTAGTCTTGTTCGTGTTATCTGGACTATTGCCTTGCAGGGAAGAAAATTCACTTTCCCCGAGATCAAGTGCTCACCGCATGTAGCCTCAAAGAGACCACTCAGGCTCATATTTCCTGCGTCACTTTCATCCAACGAGTCTGGCAGAACGCCAATGAAAGTCTTCAATCAGGATTGCCACATCACTTTATCGCCTTGAGCAAAAAACCCCCAAAGGCTCGCCCCACTCACACTTGATCAGCCTCCTGGCATCTGTGTGGTGAGATGGCAGCACCAAGGAAAATCCGATATCGGAATCGCTGCATCGCTGAATGACTTGAGGATAATACTCCAAAGGTCCCACCAAACCCACAGACCATACTTTAAGGGCTATCTAAGTATGAGGTAATATGGTGGAGACCAGTTATCTATGATGTCGGCGTCGGGGTTGTCTTCTTTGGCCGAAAGATGATCAAAGGGTATCCAGGAATGGAAATGAAGAAGTGATTGGCTATCCAAATAGGTACAGCAATCAACTCCTGAAGTCAGATCCAACTGATGGTATATACTCCTATACCTCCGCAGAATCACATGTCAGGGGGTGTTGTGGGACTTCCTTTAGCTATCCTTAATTATTTAAGGGTTAGATAGATATTAATAATTATCCACCTCATCTGGGTGGTTGGTATACGGAGTAGCCGTTTCTATCTGGCTTGCAGGCAGGTGGTGAGAGGGCGATCAATATACAGCGAGATAGAGGTTCGTGACTCTAAATGGCAGAACCGTGACCGCCAATTTAGCCGCGCGCTTAATATACTAACTTCGTGAGCTAATATACTTTTTAGAACAATTCTAGAAGCTTAGTGTCTTGTCAAATAATTTCAAGGGACGTAACGTTTGAAGGTCCAAGAGAACAAATTTTAAAATTTCTATCAATTGAGAGTGTTGAAATGACCGATCATAGTGCTGAGTGGTATTTTGACGGTCATAAGAGACATAAAGTTGTAAGAGCGACTAGGAATATATGATTAAGCCGTCGAGGCAGAATCCCATAAATAACACCATAGAATGCGAAAAATTTGTGCTGTGCTGAGGTATCAAAAAAGAAAAGCGACTGGATACTTGGAGGTGAAAATGGTTCAACTGCGGCGCTTTGCACCACGCTTTTTCGTGCGGTCATAGTTCAGCACCTTGCGTCGTCGGTGGTTTTGAGCCAGTTTCCACCGGCAATATAGAAGAATTGCGTCTTTCAGCAATACAAAGGCACAGCCACCGACAACACTGCGGCCCCAGCGGGTCTGCAAGAGACCAGGGCGACTCCGATCTAGAACTGAGGATGGAGTAGTCCATGAATTGGGAAGAAAGTATTTCAAAATCCCACCCATGGAAGCCGAAATTGCGGGGAATACAAGTGCGCTAAGTATAGTGTCTGCGATATTACCAGTATCATGGATAATTGCGTTTGGTCGTCGCCCTAGGCCAAAGGCTCCGTCATTCTGCCCTTGTACTTGTCCATCCTGAGCCGCTTCGTCAGCGTCGTTTTCGTTGTCGCCGGCAGGAAGAGCTTGAGCAGCTGGTAACTGGTCGTCATTGCCCATTCCTACCTGTACTTCAAGATCGATCTCCATGAGAAGTTGACCATTCATATTTTCACCAAATCGGTTAAGTCCCTCCGCTTGGTCCTGTCGCAGTACTTCGTCTATTTCTTCTGTAGTACGAGGCTGTACCTCCGCGATCCACTTTTTCTCTAACTTGCCGAAAATGCGGTCGTAGAGTGCGCTGTAGAAGCTCTTAGCATATGGCAGAGCGGCGAATGTCATTGCAGGAGCTGGGGGCCAAAGATCGGCCTCCTGGATGGGGTTGTGCGTCGCGGCAAAAAATAAAACAGGAATGACTGGGAGGAGGCCCTCGGCGAAACGCGTACGAGAGAATATTAAGACTAGCGGAATGAGAGGCAGACCGAGGTTCAAGCCAGGTGCCTGGCCATCGATACTATCCTCTAAAATGCGCTTGGCGTGCTCTGGGCCAAACACGAGGTACATGGAGTAAGCTCCATGCGCACAGCAACCAGCCCATACCGTACCAGCCACGGTGAAAACTATTCCAGGAAGAACCATTCGACCCGTTACCCTCTGCATTAAGCTCAAAATATCAACAATATAGTTTCTCGGTCGATTCACGATGATTTCTGACTTGCACTGCGGGCACTGCATCTTTGCGACGCTGCCGTTACTCTTGCGTGACCGAGGATTCTCCAAATCTGCCAACCAGTCAAGCAGACATGCCTCATGCGCTGTCAAAGCGCATGGACATGGAGATCGCCATTCTGAATTGAGTGGTGAGTCCTCACTCTCATCGGTGTAGCAAATCCAACACTTGCGCAGGTCTTCTTCACTTGTGGCAACAGGGTTTGAGGGTCCGATGGCTTTGTCGGTAACATCTGCCGCCGTCATAGTGGAAGTGCCGTTATTCAGAACGGCCTCTGCGTCTTCTATTGACTCTACCGGGGTTTCAGAGGCTGCGGTGGGGGTGGTGGATGGAACAGCATCAGACGATCTTGTTCGCCCGGTGGAGAAGCTACCTGAGAGGGACTCCATTATGAAGTAAGTAATGGAATGTGGAAATGTGAGAGAGGAGAGGAGGGAAACTGAGACAAGATTAGGGGTTGAGTGAATGAACGCTCGTGTTCAGCATCTTCTAAGGTTGGAATTGATAAGAAGTCCATGGGAGAAAGAAGCGCCGCTGAAAGGTGGAGAAAAAGGTATTTCGGCTTCGATCCGCGGCTGTCGGTATGTCACGTGACTACCACGTCACAATCATGGGGGGGTACTGGGCTCCTGAAAAATGTCGCACACGTGATATTTTTATCAGGCTTAGCGTCTTGGCGTAAATGTTTACAATCGCGTCTAGGTGTTCATCCCTATCTATACACGCGTCATTAAAAATTACCCTGCACCATGGATACCACTACCTTTTTTTGCTCGAAATGCCGTAATCCCCGTCCGACCGAGGATTTTGATCTTAATAAGCAAGGGAAGCGAAAAAGCCTTTGTAATCGTCATACGAAGAAGCGTTCTCTTCAGCGCGATGATTGGGATGAATTTACTATGCTTCTCTCCCAGCCTCAGCCTCTTAATCATGACTTTGAATTTGATCTTGATGCTTTGCCTATCAAATTTGGCTCTGAGTTTGATAAAGAGGAGATGGGAATAGCAATGCATAGTCTTTCAGATTTGATCTGGCAGGAAGGTGGATTCCGATTCCGCCATACCTCAACTGATTCCCAATATCATCGGTATAGATATCATTGCTCTCAGGATGAAGCGCATACCCGAAGCTATCAATCTAAGGTAGAAGTTGAAAAACAGAGAGATGGCCGCCGTATAGAGCGATTTCCTTGTGGAAGTAAGCTTATTATACAGCCATCCTTACTTGATCGGACCCTCCGTCTTTCTATTCAACATCACTGGCACCCGCCTTATAAAGATCTTCAAGTTCCGCAAGTCATACACGATCTTATTGACTCCCTTGTCTTGACCCATGCTCCTGCAGAGATTTCCCGCCAGGTTAGGGAGCATCCTAAAGGAAAGGAAGTGTCAAGGCACCAGGTCTATTATATCTGGCATAAGGCAAACTCAAAGAACTGGCGACGCCATGATGATCCTCTTACCTCAGCTCAAATGCTTCTAAATGAGGCAGATTTCCAGAATGGAAGGTATCAGGCCCACCAAGAGATCTTTCAAGCAGGCAACTTATCAGCATTAGGTAAGAGCAATATTCTTTTCAGCCACTAGCTTAGCTACTAGCTTAGTATTAGCTTCGGTATTGGTATTAGTATTAGTATATTAGTTTATATATTCACTGATATCGATATACTTTAGCCTTCTACCTCCCGGAGACTATTAAACCACGTCTTAATTGGGCTGAACAGGTTAACTCACAGCCTCAATTAGCCATAGATTCTACTTATGGCACAAATAATAGTGGGATGGAGCTATTTACTGTGTTAGCTGAGCTTGATGGCACTGGTATACCACTTGCCTATTGTTTAGTTGATAAGCAGAATGTTCAGCCTGATACTTATCAGAGAAGAAGAGCTGATCCAGGCGCAATGTTGTTTATCCTTTATGAGTTTCTTATAAAGCTTAAGGGGTTTGGGTTTGATCCCAGCTTTATTGCGACTGATAAAGATCCAGCAGAGATTGGAGCAGTCAGACTAGTCTGGCCAGAGGCTAAGCATCAGCTTTGTTACTGGCACGCGAAGCGCGCTATTAGTATGAAGTTGAAGGATTCTACTAAGACAGCGACGCTCAATCAGTATGATCCAGAGGCAGCTGCAAAGGTGGTTGGGAAGGATCATCTTGAGATTTGCTGGGGATCAATTCCACATAAACGGCCAAAGGAGCATAAATTTGATGGTAAGTTGGTTTCTTTACTCTAATTATATTGGCTCTAGCTAGCTTGATTGTGAAGGGCTAATACTAATCTTGAATGCAGAACTAGTGATGCCGACAAACTGTCTTTATTAAGCTTGAAGAGAAGAGAGAGAGACTAGCTATGGACATGTGGCAATATAAGGGATGCGGGTGCGGGTGGCACGTGACGAGCATGAGTGGCACAGGCATGAATGCTAAAGCAGGCACCAGCCTGTTACATTGATTTCCAGATTATATATTTACTAAGATATTTATAGGCTCCGGTCAATGTCAGTGTCTCTCTCGTGGCGTCAGGCCTGTTGAAAGCCGAAGGCTTGAGCCAACTAAAGAGGAACGGGATATTATTTTAGGCATATTCTGCCGACATTTCAATATCCACCCTCTGTTTCCTGATATCAATGGCACTCGATTTAAGCAGAATCTCCACCAGGAATGTGCCCGAGAAATGTATGATTGGTGCCGATCTCGCGATTATTACCATCTCTGGGCTTACCTCTTTGTCAACTGGTATAGAGATGATCAATGGATTCTCTGGGCTCGGGCAGCTAATCCTGAGAAGATCCCTATCCTGAAAACAACGATGATTGTAGAATCGCATTGGCGAAAGCTAAAGCATGATTATCTTCATCGTTTTAATCGGCCTAGAGTTGACCTAGTGGTATGGGTTCTACTAAGTCGTCTCGTCCCTGATATGGTCTATCAAATGAAGGCTATATTAGGTAGAGAGCAGCGGATCTTTAAAGGACGATGGAGAGAAGCCTTTAAAAGGCAATGGAAAAAGGATGCAAGAAAAACTGTTTGTCTAGATCAGATAAAACAGCATCATACAGATCCTTATCAATGGGTTTGTGCCTGTCCTGCCTTCTTACTTAGTCGATTCTTATGCTGTAAGCATATTATCTACTGTTTTAAGACGCCACCCCCTCAATTCTTTAATACTGTTTCCCGCCATGATACTTGTCCTTTTTGGCGGGATGAGCGATTAGAACTTAAACCAGAGTTCAAACGCAGTGGTAAAGAGCCTACTCCACTACCAGATTATGAAAGCGATACCTCTTCAGCATCAGATAGTGAGGAAGAAATAGAGGAGGATGAGGAAGAGGAGGAGGATATTCAAGCTCAATTAATAGCTTGGCGCCAATTCCAATTTGATACTATATCAATGGTTGATGATCAAGGAGAAAGGTTTGCAAAGAAGTGGCTTCAGTATATCAAAGGCCAAAGGGCTCAAACCCAGAAGCTGATTAATGAAGCTAAAACTATTCGGAGCATGCGGACGATGCCCAAAACTTGGCGGAAGCACGATCATCCACTAGGGGTTTATTTACAGTAGTTAGAATCGGACTTAGAAGAATTGAACTTGATTTGAATTAGTAATGCTATTGAGATTAGTAAGGCTTGGCAAATATCACGTGTGCGACAGTTTTTCGGCTGCCCATTACGCACACTTGTCACAATCCTCCAGACAACGTGCTCCTTCCTTCTCTATATAAACTGTCACTAAAATACGCCCGGGCGTACAGATGATAAATCCTTCTTTTTCTAATTATTCAAGTGGGTTAGATGACTTCTGAGTAATTTTGACAGATTTTTACGTCCTTCGATCACCTTTCTAACTGTCATAAAGTTGTTTAGCCTGGGTTCACATCACGTGATCTCAGCCTCATTGATCCGTAGATCACTTTTCTGATACAACTGGCCAATCATTCAAATGCTACAAATGAATGAAAACTGTATTTGTAAGTACACACCCATGGTCATACAAACAAAACAAAAATAGCCCTAGTCCGTACAGCAAACATGTAGAAGTCTATGTAAAGCTACCAAGATCCAGCGGTCCTGGAGCCCTGTATTGTGTAAACAAAGCTTCCCTTGTTTTTACTAATATCTAGAGTTAAGGGTTGTTCCCTTAAATTTTTTTTAATAATGGGATCTGCCTTTTTGTTCAAAAGATTCTCCGAACAGATTCATATTAGATATGATAATTAATAATAGTTCTTCTTAACAATCCCTGGCACCATCGAGATTCGATCTTTTAGCTTTCGAAGTCTCATGCAATCGAAGATGGGAGTAAAATATCAAACCCCCAATGGAATTCACAGTATTTCATGCAAACGCTAAAAGTTAGATAACGCTATGACAATAGTTCATGTAAGTGGAGATATGCAGACGCTAAGAAATGAAATAAAGAAACAGGAAAGGAGGGATTAAGGATTGGAGTAACAGTGGGGTGAGGGATAGGATAAATGATCTGGTCGAGGAAAGGACTGGAGGATAAGATGCTAGGTATCAGCCAAATCGAACACCAAGACCACCATAGCCTGATCTTTCTGGCGAACTGGTGCTTCGTGGTCGCCGCTCTAAAGCTGGAGCAGTCGTGTAGACAAGTTCGCTATCTTGGACGAAAGAACCTTCCAATCCCTGCTGGTATACTTCATAACCAGGATAAAGGCGGGGATCAACTTCATTGAGACGATCGCGGGCACCTTGAACATCAATGCGATGTCCACCGAAGGTCAAGAGATGTGTGGGCCGGGTTTCTGGGTTCTGGTTTGGATTGATGCTTTGCAATCGCTCATCCAGTGAGCCCAGTCGCTGGCGGACGGGCGGAGCAAGATAGACCGTTTCGGTCTGGACGGCACTGCCCATTACGGAGTTTGTTGGAAGTATTTCCACATTCCAGCTTCCACTTGCGGCTTGTGTCGGGATAATTTGAGTCACAGTTCGAATGACATCCGTCGGCGGCTGGTACATCCGAGGGTTCCAGATCTGTTCCGGAGCCGCGCGGGATAATGGATCTGGAGCTGGCTGTTCCCTAGACCGATACCTCGGCACTTCAGGCACCGATTGGATATGGGGAAGACCGCCGGGCATAATGGCGGATGGGTGGGCCCGCTTGACAAATTCCGGGGCCGAGGCAGGAAACTGACCAAGATCTTTGATTGAAGGACGTAGGCGGGTCCGATTAATTACCACAGCGTCGCCCCATGATGCGTTATGTTGTTGTGGTACGAGGGAGGGCGTACTGGCAGATAGATCCCGTACGGGCACCAGGCCGACTGCCAGGGACTGACGCCTGGACCCAGGAGCCGTATGGAGATTTAAATCTCTGAGCTGAAGTTCGTTATCAGGTTCACTGTACGTAGATCTTGTTAATGGGTCTACCATAACCTCTTGTGATTGTAGCTCCTGTGGCAACGACATGGATATCGCTTGTACTGTCTCCATGGACGAACTCATCTGGGGCTGATGAAAATCGTAGGGCATGATAAATTGTTGATGGCTTGGCACATCTGTGCTTCGGGCTGCGATAGTGCTCCTGGCTGCGATATTGGCCCATGTCGGCGAAGTTCTTATGCTGGCTGACATCAATGTTGGTGGCGGCTTCACGTTTTCGCGCTTTGAGTGACTAGAGATAGTCCGACGAGCTGCGACTAACTCCTGTCGCACCCTTTCTCCGGAAGACAATTCATAGCACGATCCTTCGCCTTGAACCGAGGAAAGCTTGACCAGTGGTGCGACGGGCTTGATCAAGCTTGGTGGATTTCCCCGTCTGCTCTTTTTGGACGAACCCAAGACTACCTGCCAGTCCTTGTCATCGGATGAAACTGGGAAGTCTGACTGTGCTAGAGAACTTGATGACAAGGTCGCTGGCAATGGCTTGAGAGTGGCCTGACTCATGTGGGAAGGCGACGGGGACATGTCCACTGCGCTCTTGGTTTCCTTAGTTTCTCGGTCGGATTCATTTCCCGACTGATAGCCCTTGCTCCCCTCTCTGAATACATGCGGAGGAAATACATCCAGTCGAAATTGATGAGTGGGCTTCACGTTTTCAGGCGATTCAACCGCTGGCGAGCTTTGTTCCGTCTCCGTCCAGTCCCAGGTTAACCTACGCACGACACCGGGTGATTCCTCATCAGTTGACGACGGCGAGAACTCTGAAGAGCTACTCGACTGATCGAAAACCGACTTTTGGTTGCGAGCCTCTTGCTGAGAAGACTCTGGAGACAGTCGATCAATCTCTTCGCTTATGTTTTTCAGCACCCGTTTCAGGTTATCTCGTGCTTCGCGGAGTGCTGTTGACGAAGCAGTAGTAGCAGCAGTAGCAGTTATCCTTTTGGGGAAATGAGCAAGAAGCGCTGATACATGTGTTTCGTACTCTCGATAATCGCGAACGATACCGCAGTCATTGTAGTGGGCAATTTTCTCTTGAGCAACAGCATAAGAAGTACACAGAAATCGAGTGATGGTAATGAGCCACATTTCTTGATAAGTGAGATCGTATACCAGTCCTTCACTAGTATTCTCCTCGTCTTTAATGCGAAGCTCATCACGACAGAATCCTTGTAGCACACTATGAATCTTGACGACGTCCACTGCACTGGTACCGCGATATATTGAGAAGAATCCTTCTTGGCTGGTCTCGGTCAGTGAAGTGGTCAGCTCTGGAACTGGTTTGACGTTGTTGTCATCGGAATCCGAGGGTTGCTTTGGACCGATTTGTGCCGCAGAGAACTGATCGGCGTCAATGCTTCGCTCAATCAGGCCATGTCGAATTAGAATGCCAAGTGTAGTATCCAGATCTGGCTCTTCTCCAATTCGAACACTGGTCAATATATCTGCACCTCCATCGGCAATTGCATGCTTTCCAAAATTAAGAAGTGCCACGGGGACATGGTGACCCAAAAATGATAGGAGGTTCACAAGATAGAGAGCCGGCTTTTGCTCCAAGCGACACAGATCGTTCATAATACTAAGATACGGCTCTGCAAGCTTTGCATCCGTCATTTGCCGTTTAATACGGTACTTCTCAATTGGTTTGCCCATCGCACTGAGACGGTGACCAATTGCGTGAATGGCTAATGGCAAGCATTCAAAGTAGTCGACAACCTCTCTTGCCTTGGCGGCCTGTTCAGACGTTGGATTCTTGATTCCAAGGTCCTTGAAAAGGAGCCGGCAGGCGTCTTCGACCCCAAGGGGAGAAATGTTCAAACAAAATGGCTCGAATAGGCGTTGCTTTCTGCGCAGGGTTTTGTCAACAGATGTGTAAAGGATGCTGCAGCGCTGACCCCATGGCAGAAAGGATTTGAAGAGATTGAGGGCTTCATCGCTCTCAAAACTAATACCGTCAAAGACCAGAAGCCACTCCTCGCGTTTCTGGAGCCATTTGCGCACTGAGTTTACATAAGAGCCAGTTTGCTGGAACTCATGATCCTCTGCTTCCTTGTCATCAATGACTGGCACTGCTTGTGCAATCTCCCAGAACCCTTTGAACACAGATTCTCGAGACCTACTATCAATCCAGAATATTCCGCCCGGATACGACTGGCGGTGCATGAAAACGTACTGGCGAGCAAGGTGAGTTTTCCCAGAACCTGGGGTTCCCGTGATAAGAACTGCTATCAGTTGATGAGCACGACGCTTAGCCTTGAACAAGCGGTTGTGAAGAGATTCGAGCTCCTTAGCCATGCCGAAAAATACTCTGTTTGGATGAAAACCGGGAGGTGCAACGAAAAACTGTGTCTCCTTCGTTGAATATTGAGAGACTTGCATAAAACCGCTGTTCTCCATATCGGAGACAGGGGAACTACGTCCTTCGGTGGCGGGTGCTCGGGGCAGTTTGCGCACTACTAAGTATGAAAGTCAGCATATGATCTGACTTTGGCACAATGGTTGATAATAAGAAAACAGTTGCATTGGGGCCCAGATGAGAAGCCCTGCATAATCATTGCATAGCAAGCTAAGATACATGAGTCAAGTTCAGCGAATAGCATCAACATGATATTCAAGTAACGAAGACGGCATATCAGACAGTGAAATAGCAGATAACGAAATGAGCACTAAGGGTACTTCGTAAAACATAAGATCTTAGTTGGAACGCGCATTAAATCAAAACTTGGGCTCCTCAATCTCATAGGGGGTCAGGGTGATTGTGATGGAAGTGTGTTCGGGGGTGTGTTCGGGGAAAGGGAAAGGGAGTGGAGTTGTTCTCATACCAGCAGTGTTCAAATCAGGCATACTGCGCCCTATCGCCGCATCACTTTCTGCAATCGTCAGCACAGTTCTGTTATGTAAATGGGGTTATACTAACCATTATCGTAAATCTCTCGGGCCTTTGCGCGCTTCTCCTGGGAACGCATATCCTCCTCATCGTGCCAGCGTACGCGGATCAAAGTGGGAGCTTGTCGAGAGTATCGGAGAATGGCTTCTGCCACGACCTCATATCCTGGAGCATCGGCGTCCTCGAACTTGCACATGTGGCTATGATCGGCTTCGATACCCATTCGTTCCGCCCCATCGATGTAAGGGGCCGCCGACATCTCGTCAACGACCTTCTGTCGGGTTCCCTTCAAATCGGTAGATTGAGTCTCGTGGAAGAAATAGATGCGGTACCGTCCCATGATGTCAGAGAAAAGGCCGTTGATGTTCTGAAGGACCTCGCTATTGGTACGAAGAGACTGGATCAGCTGAGGTGACCCTTCCATGAACTTTTTGGGCAGAACAGCTGTGAATATGTTGTGCAGCAAGAGGCCCCATTTGGCGATGTCAGAGCCGTTATGGGGTGTTCCCAAAAAGAGGATACCGAAAGTTGAAACATAAAGAGCACGCCCATGCTCAGTCTTCTCGCTGGACAAGCTGCGACTGTGAATAAGAGCACGTTTGACAACCAGACCACCGAGGGAGTGGCAAACCCAGATAATTGGGCACTTAGGGTTTCCGCGGATCTATAAAACGTAACCAATCAGTCAAAGAGAATTATATAACGTTCTTATAAAGAAGTCATAAGAGGGCATGGAATTAGTCAGGTGAGCTTGCTTCACTTACATTGCGGTTAGCACCAAGAGTAGACACTAGAGTCTCTGCATGGCTGACGATCGAGTCGTTTGAGGTACCATCCGTGAAGGAAATGACATTGGAATTGTAACCGTAAGTCAAGATGCGAGGATGAATAGGAGCGAGCATTCGAGGCAACAATTCTGAGGGCCAGAAGCATTTGTTTGACTTGCTGGTCCAAGTATCGTGAGCGTTTCCATTCAAACCATGGACAAAAACAATGTCAACGGTATGGGCACCGCTTGGAGGGCGATAAACTTCAGACAGACCATAAGGCCTGATAATGTGAGAAACCATTTGCAATCAAAGGTCCATTGACTACTGAATGCAAAAGAAAATAGAAGAAAAAGTGCAAACCAGAGTAAAAGGAGAATGGTTTTTAAGGAACCTGAGGCTGCAGGTGATAGGGCTGTAGGGTGACCTAAGCAGATGACCCGGTGGATCTTTGTGGGGCGGCGGGTGTTCAAATTAGCGTGATGCACGGGTGCTTAGTCCTCCCGTGCAGTATCAGACTGAAGAAATTCAATTTTCACCTCAATCTGAGATGGATCATGCAGGAATGGAAGTTGAATGTGGTTGTTGGGGGAAGGAGGAGGTTGAAGAAGGGAAGTGACAAGTGACTCAGTGAGAGGATATTTAATCCCATGACTAAGGACTTTGCCAGGTGCCTTCCTTGAAAATACCGTATATTATACGAAATGGAGTTCAGCCTGCTGTTACTCTCTTACAAGATTCAGGAACAATCTATAGATCGTAATTTTGCTGAGTCGTATAACAGGAATGCGCATTTCTGAAGATACCCATGGATCGATACCTAGAAATCCTTTACTATCTTGCCCCTCCAAGGTTATTCTGTGTCAAATCATTAAGGGTCCTCGGTCATTCAAGCATATCCAGTGAGGTAGGAACATGGGATAAAAATGGATATACTTGCCCTTTTGCCTTATGCAGGTTTAATGCAGCCACCCGAGGATACGAGTCTGAGAACAAGTAGCGAATAGGAAACATAGAAAGCCACCTGAGTCTTGGGCAGTCACTGTGGACTCTGTGGAAACAATAAAAACATTGAATTAGAATGTGAATACTCATGAACCGTGGGTACAGACCTCACGCCCATGGTTCAATTTATATAGAATTTGTTTCATTTTGCTAAAAATTTAGGTAAACATTAGGCAACAGAGCTGATTCATACCTTGGGTACCTCTTGTATCCAGTTCCAGCTCAACGGCCTCGGAAAACAGGCTTGCGCTTTTCCACGAAAGCGCGCAATGCTTCATACCGATCTTCTGTTTCGACCACGCCCTCATACGCCCGATTCTCTGCCAGCTCGCCGAGTGGCGACCCCTCAACTGCTAGCAAAGCCTGCTTGATAGCGATAGGTCCACCCTCACAAATTTCTAGCGCCAGGTTGATACTCTCGCGTAGAACTCGCTCGCGTGCCACGCCTTCCTGGGGCCCTTCCTCGGGAAGAATTTCAACTAGCCGGTCACAGAGTCCCAGGAAGTAGGCCTCTGGACCAGACACCCGGCGCCCGGTCAGAATGAGGTCGCGCGCGCGATTCATTCCGATGAGCGCGGGCAGGCGGTAAGTACCTCCTGCGCCCGGGATGATAGCCAGGCGGGTTTCGGGAAGACCGACGAGACTTGTAGAGCCGAAGACGCGAAGGTGAGTGCACAGAGCCAACTCAAGACCGCCACCCAGGGCCATGGAGGAGATAGCAGAGATGGTAGGGATTTGAAGGGCGGATAATTCTTTGAAGGCGGTGCGCAGATTCAAGAGGAAGTCTTCGGTTCTGTTCAATCGCATCTGGGTTAGCCTGACGTTTGGATGTTTGGTCTCACATAATCTCACTGAGCTTGTGTCATTTTGGCGCGCTCTTTCAGATCTGCGCCTGAACAGAATGCGGAGTCAATATTGCTCGCTACCACTAGAGCCCGGGTAGGCCCATTGCCTTCCTCCGCGGCGATGGACTTGATGTTCTTGGATAGGGTTTCGAGCAGGTGACGCGAGATTGCATTGCGGGCTTGAGGCCTATTCAGCTGCAGCACACGCACATGACCGGACCCTGGGGCAGGGATCTGCTGGATCTTAATTACATCATCTTCCGTACTAGTGCTGTATCGCGAGACAAAAACCCGGTATACTGCAGCTGGGCGAGAAGTCCTGGCAAGGGGAGTAAGAACAAGTCGGGGAGAAAGGAAGAAAGCCATCGTTCAGGTCACTTGGGTAGATCGAGGAATACTCGATCATGGGTTCAAGAGTTGAGAAGGTGGGGTGGTGAGTCGTGAAGTATGTAGAATTCAGAAGTTGTGGATCTCGCAGGTGTGGGGAAAGCTCATTTGGCCGAAGATTGCCGAACATCGCAGTGGTATTTACGAAAAAATTAAGGTCAAGGGGTATCACAGTTTTTTTTTTTAGCATTAACGCTATAGCTATAGTATATTTACAAACGATATTCTTCAACCTCTTCATCACTGGGCCACTCCCAGCCGTTTGTCCGGCTGACAATGTCTTCTGCCTCTTGTATTTTAGAGTTTGACCGGCCTTCCACTGACTCTTCCATCTCTTCCAAGTACACCCGGAGGGCTGTCAGGGTCCGGCGCATCATGATGTCACCATTCAAGCGTTCCTCGGCTATCTCGTTTAGTGTGGCAGCCGATTGGCTCATCCTTTGTAGTAGGTTCAGCAGGCCATCTCCATCTCCTGCTCTCCCAAGAGCCCGGACAAAGTTGTGGAGTGTTGAGAACGAAGGGACATGGAGCATCGCAGGTAATTGGATGTTTAAAGATGTTTCTGATATAGGTACACCTCGCTTAGCCACATTCGATATCTTCGCAGCCGGGAGGATGATGCGGTCAAACTCGGACTTCAGAATCGAGAGTCCGTTCTCAACCATACTGTCGAATGAGTCACTTCCGTCAATTTCCATGGGAACGCTGCTGATAGAAAGTCCCTGATACCACTCAAGAGCTACACCGACAGATTCCGGGTGGCTCATGCCGGCATCAACAGCTTTGCTAAATGCCAAACACAATACACTGAAACCATGCGGTCCGAGTTCGACGCCTCGTTCTCGCATCCAGCTCAGCACCACAAGAGTCGCATGCCATACAATTAACCTGTGATGGGAACGTGCGTGGGTTCGAGTAAATTGAATCTTGAGGGATGCATTTCCCAGAGCAAAAAGCAGGTGAGACCAGGCCGCTCGGCAAGGCGGTTGTCTCCCTTTTACCAATTGAATCGCATGCCACAAAGCTAAAGGATGATGTGTGTTTCTTCCCAAGTCGAACAGATCCGTACCCAGCGCTGTTCCAGTCGAGGGATCTAGATTTTGTAAGTCGTTTGATCTCGAAATTATGTTCATGAGACTGCCAGCGCTCAGGTCTGAGATTGTACAGAGAAATTTGATGAAGGAGGCGAAAGTGAAGTCGCGTAGCCTCTCAAGTGCTTTGAGATGGAGCTTTGGATAGTCTGATGGTCGATTTGATATAGTGCACAGCGCCATGATCTGATGCGGTGTCAAATTACTATTGCGTAGGTCAAACAAACCTGCCGCTAAGCTAGGGGCAGTATCAAGAAGGAGCGCCAAGAATCTTCCGGAGAATCGGACTTTCTGCGACACCATCTCCTCGAGGAATTCTGCCAAGGTGGGTGGTTCGGTTTGTACATAAATTAAGTCGCGCGCCGAAGATGGCTCTGAGTAAACTTCGGGGCCGTCCCCAGGTAAAGCAGAACTTGATTCCTCAAAGGCAGTCTTCTTCGCTTTTCCGCGATATATCAATTTCTCGGCCATCGCAACAGAGATGGCAGCCTTGGGGGCAAGGCCTTGATCCCGGTAAGATAAAAAGCAAGCCCACGCTTCGCGCACAGTCCGAGTGGCACGTATTCGTGCAACCCACACAGAATAATGATCGGGCCTACGATCAAGTGAAAAAGATAAAGCCTGTGGCCGCGGCACCAGACTTCTGGTTTGTATCGTTGGGCTGCCGTCGGTATCCCAGCCAGCCAGAATAGCACACATTTCCTCCCACAACTGGTGGGAGTAACCAGCCTCTTTCATTTGAGAAAAAACACTCATTGCACGACTGTACATGCCTTCATTGCCACGGTGGGCATCAATTCCCATTTTTTCTTCTTTCCAAGGAGGCCATGAAGGAGCCTTCAGATCGGCAGACTGCCGCTCAGCTGCCGTTTTCTTATGAGCCACTTGAAGAGCAGCGACTGCTCGGTAGCCTTGTCGTGTGATATGAAGCACCGGCTCGTGCATGGCCATAGCTTTCAAGAGCTCAAACTGTGCCTGCTGTTGGATGAAAACGTTTCGATATGGTTGGGTATTTGTGGGTAGTGAAAGCAGCCAGAGACAAGTATTGTACATCTTGGCTTTCCAGCGATCGCCTTTCAGCTTTTGTAAGACCGATTGTGGCTCGTCACTTGTACCGATGGTGGTTGAGAATGCTGAGAATGCACGCGCGATGATGGGAAAAGCCTCAGGCCACACCACCCGTGCCTGCCGAATCAATCTAGCAACCATCGTCATGCATGTGTCCCGATCAACTTGGGGGCTGATGTCTCCTGTAGGTACTTTAATACCTGTCGAGACGTTTGCCAGGTGTTCGATGCATGTCAGCGGTTGGCCAGTCATAAGATGTAGAGAATGAATGAGTAGTAGTCTGAAGGTATTAGAATCCAAAAACTCTTCTTTCAAAAGCATTAGAGTGATAAACGGAGGGATACGTGGTTTATCGGTGCCATATCGATTTGTACAATCGGCTTCAAATGTGAACATCCGATAAGCCGCCTGGGAGGGATTCTTGCTTGTCAGTATCCAAGCCCATGCCACTATATCTTCCACATCATAGCCTCGCGCGGTCAGATACTTGTAATTGCTCGCATCAAAGACATCGAGTAGTCCCGTATCCAAAGATTCCCTCTCATTTTCAGATTGTCGCAATAGAGATGAATCCTTGAGTCTTATGTATGCCCCAAGAATTGTCTGAAGAGACTGCCGTACATGGGCCTGTTTTCTTTCCATTTTCCAAAGCACGTATCTCGAGACAACCCGGTCAAACTTGAATTTAGTGGTAGGTGTGCCCTTGGAAGGCTGTAAATTGGTTCCCAGTGGATAACCAGCAGACTGGAGACATTTTGCAAGGTACTCGGAAGGTGTGGGAGGTGTGGGGAGTGCGTTTCCGTCTTGTAAAGGAATCGGAACCGTCATCTTCTTCTAAACTTTGCAGTAATAAGTTATATCGGTTTCCCTCCGAATCCAATTGCTCAATGCGATTTGGATTGGCACCTAAGCTGTGTAAGGAGGCTATTGATTCGAGGCTGTCGAGAGAGGGTCGAGAGCGGAAATGACGAAGTCCCAGGGTTTTCCCACGAAAATAGTTCCACTTGAACTCATAGAAGCGGTCATACTGTCCCTGAATGTGAATGTCAATTGAAGATCAATTAAGCCATTTATACAGAAAGTAAGTACCTTGCAGCCGTAATATCTGAACAGATGAGTTGCTCTTATGGTCCCCGTGAGGCCTCGAACATGATTGAGAACTGATGACATCCATCAATATAATCATAGAGATACCTATTCCAGAGTGGTCGCTCTAGCCAGGCAATCCCAGAATGTAGATTGTATATTTATTAAAATAAGAAAAAGACCGGAAGCTTGACGGCAGAAAATGGTGCCGTCACGTGATTATGGGCGTCACTTTTTCGGGAAAGCGCGCATTCTGAGTCTCACCAAACGGTATGCCCTCGCCCTCAAATTCCCTTGAAACAGCTTCAACTTCCACAAAGTCTAGATGGTGGTAATATCCATTGTCCCCTCTTTGGATACTTGATACGATTTTTGAACCCCCGCCTTTATCTTAATCCCCACAAGTACCCCTCACTACTTCGACCGTGTTTTTCTTCTATTGTCGCGATCTCCATCCTTTATTGAGCCTGTCTCGGACCTCATTAAAACTGCTCGGATACCAGTTCCTCCTGGGACCACGGGCCACTTTCAGCCCCAATTTCTTATCAAACTTTAACCTTGTGATCGCATTCTCTCAGGATTTGGTGTAAGCATTTCCACATTCCAGTGTTATTCGAAACAAAGTCTGCTTGCGGGGAACGCGTCAGATACACTCCTACCGATCTCGCTACCATCGCAAGTGCCCAAAATGAGTGGCGAAGAATCTGGAGATAATAATTCAATGCCTCCGACAAATGGCAATGCCCATCCGGACTTGACTGCTGCTGCGACTCAAGGAAAGAGGAAACGTTCGGTCCAGGAAGAGAAAGCAGGGCCTGACTCTTCATCCATGTCGCAAGAGAAGGCAAATCTCCATGAGCATCTGCGCAACCTCGTTGACCTTCTTGTCAAGTACGTCTAAACAGCGCCTACAAAGCTCATGTAGCAAGAGCACTAACAATATACAGGCATGATACCGATCTCAAGCTCCTTTCTTGCCCTTTTCCAGCGTCGAATGCCAAGCCTCGGACGAAGCGCGCCAAAACTTCTAGTGACCATGAGACATGCAACATTCAAACTCGCGTTGAATCCGGCCGTTACAATACATTGCAGGATTTCTTGGCAGACATTGAAAGGGCATCTGCCGCTGTGATCGAGCGCAATCAAACTCAGTTACATGGCACAAGTACTGGGCCTGCCGACGGGGCACCCTTGACTGAGCTTGTCAGCCGCATTGCTGCTTTCAAGAAGCACATGAACAGCTTGATTGGACAGGCCTTCATGAACCTGATTGACATCAAAGCTGAGGCAACCGAAGATGATGCCGAGGAACATGAAGATCCCCTCACAGTATCGATTGTTAGTGCTCGTGAAGACAAACAAGCTTTGACAATGCTTGGTGGAAGCCAATCAAACCCAAGACAGCTCTTCTCAAGCCTGCAGAAACCGGTGAAAGTACAACTGCAGTCTTCAGAGTCTGGCGTGGAGAAGTTCGTCGAGGTACAAGAGGAATTGCGTGAAACTGCCCTTCCCAGAGGCATCTCAGCCACCAGGGTTGTTCCTTTCAATCTGAGCGCTACCCCAAAGGTTGAAAAGACGCTGGGTGAGGTTTTCCCTCCTCGTGCTGGCGTACCCCAGTTGGAACCACCTCGTAAACGCATCAATCAAAGCAACACAGTCCCGTGGATTGATCCGTTCGATCTGGTTCTGGACACGAAAAACTTCTTGGGCGATCGCAATAACTATCACCTTGCGCCCCTCCCTTCCGGGCAATGGCTACAATACGGCAGTGTCACGCCCTCTCCATCTTATTGGGCTCGGGTAGACAAGTACTACGCAGAGGCAGATTTTTACCACACTCATGGAGACTCTACTCTCTCGGCTAGCCAAGATACATCCACCCTTCAGGGAGTCTTCTCATCGTTTGCACCATCCTTTGACAGCTCTGGAGCTGTCATTCAGGACGATTCAAAAAACCTGGTCTGGTGGGGCCAGCGAGGTGCCAAACGCCTACGCACCTTTCTATCTTCTCCATACCAAGAAGAAGTCATTCCAGAGGCAAATGCCATCACAGAGCAGCCTAACAGCATCGCTGATCTCGACGAAAAGACTCTCGACGAGTTGGCGCAATCTTTCAACCCAGAAGATTTTGAGAACGCAGGCTATCATGACCCTGAAAACGAGACTCCAAGCAACGACGATCCGGAATCGAGAGATATCGATGAAATACTTGCAGAGATATCTGGCTTGCTGGAAACTTTGACATCCTATCAAAAGATTCGCTTTCTTGATCTTCCAACTCCTACCGGGGATAATTCTCAGTCGGATGAGTCGACACCCGCACCTGAACAGGTCGATGCGGGAACCCCATCAGCTGCCGAGCGAGCTGTTTACGAATCCCTTAAATCAAACCTTTTCGCTGTCATAAGCAATCTACCTCCATATGCAATTGCAAAGTTGAATGGTGACCAGTTGGGGGAGTTGAAAGTCAGTACGAAAATCATTATTGAAAATCCAGACTGGAGCGGCACTATGGAGAGGGATGATTACACGATGCATCAGGAGCGTGCAGCTGCAATTGCCGCACAAGCTAATACTGCAAACCGAGTCTCAACGCCATCAGTCTCCCGACCTGGGAATTTCCAAACACCCCATGCTGGCATACCCTTCAATCAGCGTAGCGGCTACACTGGCAATGCTCAAACTCCTCAATCGCAAAATAGATTCCAAGCCCCCATTCAGGGACGGCAGCCGTCCACAGGTAGTGCATTCACCCCTGCCACTGCAGGTCGTCCACCAGGCACTCCCTCTCAGCGCCCGTTGCAATATTCGCAAGCAACTTCCCAATTCAGCCAGGCGAATAACATCCCGCAATTTCAGCGGTCTACTTCCAACGGTCATACACCTGCACAGTCTTACACACCGCGACCTGGTCAAACAGGTCCATTCAACGCCACGGCACAAGGACGTACCCCGTTCCAGGCTCCACGGGCTCAGTACGCTCAGACCCCGTCCCAAGCTCTTCCATACGCTCGCAGTGCCGTGGAACAAGCGGCATTAATAGACCGGAATAAGGCACAACTGGCAGCGCAGAGCCGCCAAAGCTCAACACCTCAGCCATCGAGTTTTGATGCACGTCGGTCTCAAGAGGGAAGTCTGACACCAGGAAGCAAGCCGAATGGCACTCCAGTTCAGTCATAGAAAACATTTTCTTTTCCTCTGACTATTTGAGCGCATGCCGTCTTGCTGGACATGAAATAATATCTCGCACTTTCTCTTTCTCTTCGATATTTCCTCCAAGGAACAAACTTCTATCTTCCTGGTCAACCCCTGCCTTTCTGTTTTTCTCTTCTATACTTTTCCCTTGATCCAGCCCCATTATCCTACTATGATATTGGGCCTCTGCTGCCTGTTTGTTTATCTTATTTGCTTTGTTGGTGTTGTCGCATCAAAACAGCGACTGGCGCGTGGGTGATTTTCAATAAGGTTTGGCCTAGGTGGTCTAGGCCACTGTTTTATCAGCTTAAGTACTTATTCGGTTTAGAGGATGGGCATTCGCCTTTTACACAATTTTAATCGATGTGTCCCAATCTACATGTTACCTAATAGCCCTACAACCAATGCCCTGAAGTACGCCTAGATATGCACTCCTCTCCATCAAACAAGTTCAAGCGAGCAATCAGTGAGTGTGAATGGTCTCATTAAAATTTTCATAATTCTCATAGATGATACAACCCAACGAAATAATCTCACAACTTCCGGGCCTGTCCTAATCCGCCACGCCGATATATTCCATTCAGATGCTCAAGCCCAGAATCCAAGCGCTATTCTCCTTGCCTGTCCTGTGCTTTTTTTTGTATTTCCACAATGGCAGAGTCGTAACAGTCGGACATGAAACGCAGACACAAGCCAAAGTCCAACGAAGTTAACAGTTAAATAGATCAAAAGAGATTTCATCAGTCAGTATTCTATTCCCAGTGCCCATATATATGAGCTAGGGAATGAACATAGCAGCAACAGTCATGAAGCCGAAATATCTAAGTTCATATCAGTATTATTGTGGAAAGCAGAAGATGAATGACATACAGAGTAGCACACCTCCAACCATCCTTGGAATCAACGAGTGTCTCAATCCCTGTGGGGTAATTGGCAGCAATAGCAGCAGCCGCACCGCTAGTGACTGTTACGACGACCAGACGGCCAGAGAACTCGGCAAGCATACTGAATGCGAGCAGCGGTAGTAAAATGGCGCCGGATGCGATTATTATCGCTATGTAGATTGGTGATGTAGCAGTAGCAGCAGCGGACGCGGACACGGCCGGCCGAGGTGCCAAAGAAACGAGGTCAGTATCCTGATACAGGAAGCGAGTTTCGGCTGCAGTGATGGGATTATTTTTTTTCATCCAGGAGCGGTAGTTTTGAACGTCATCTTCCGATGCGCGGGGAAGAGTCTGGAGGACCTTGCTATATGCACTGAGCGCAGTGTCTATTGGCGATCAACACTCGGGTCTGTACGTCATTGAAGGGAGTAGGTAGCTTACTATATTGTTCGGTCTTTTGAATCAAAGCTGCCATCAGGTCCATGCGACGATAATGCAGCGATGAATATCCCTGGGTTTGGGCGTCCATGCGACGGGAAGCGGGCTGGAGTTCTCTTCCTTCTTGCTCGGCTTCAGCTACACGATGCATCTCTTCATATTCGTCTAGTGCTTGAAGGTCTTCCTCCATCTGCGAGATCTCATCTTGGAGATGCAGCAGGACGCGGTGGTTCATACTCTCAAAGCGACGATATAAGGGTGGAAATGTGGCCTTTTCCTCATCCGCTGAGTGAGTGAGTTGAGATGCGACGAGGCCATAGCCTGAGGAGACCTGCGACGCACTGGGGTTTCTTCTCGTTACTGCTCCGCGATGAAAGCGGTCTTCTGGGCTTCTGGGAGGAGATGGTGGAAGTGATTGCCTATGGAGAGCGGTTTCCTTGACTTGTAATTGGCGTTTGAATGGGACTGGAGGTGACTCCGGCCTCGATGAATCATAATCTTCTGGCGCAGATGGTTTTTGTCTCGGTGGGCCTTTGTGAGCGATGTGCAATTTTGCCTCTCGCGGAGGTGCTGGAGCTGGTGGCGGGCGCGAGTCGACCCCGCCATATGAGCGTCTTGTCGCTTTTTGAGATGGTTTCGTTTCCGCCAACATCGCATGTGATACAGAACTAGCTCGTGGCTTTGGTGCTTGGATCTTAGCGATCGCTTGCGCCTGAATGGCAGGCACTGGCTCGTCCTCGGACGAGTCTGAAGACGACGATTCATTGCTGCTGTCAAGAAATTGGAATACATCGACTACTTGAGTCAGTACTGGCTTCGGGGACTCAGAATCCGCCTGCGGTTTCAGAGCTTGTTTTGAGCCGGCGTCATTTAGTGATGAGAAATTCTTATAGTTCTCGATAGGGTCATGTTTAGGATTTGAAGTAGAGGATGTCCTTGTTCTCCCATCCTTCTTTGTTTTTCTAGAGCGCAAACTATGAGAGGCGGTATAGAGTGGCATGGCGTTCGGAATAGATCGGAAACCAAATCTCCGTCATCGCTAGACGAACAATATCCTGGATAGCTGGACTTAAATCAGCGTTGAAGTATGGCCCAAGGGAGGGGCCGTCGATCAGATGTACAAGTAAAAATCCGAGCACGGAATGCAGGGTCGACTGTGATGTACTAGAGGGTAAATTCAAGTGACAAGACTCGAATGTCGATGTCTCAAAACTCCTCTTTCTCTGACATTCCTTGATAAGAGAGGTATGTATAAGTTGTTGAATGTTCAGGCCGCAAAATGCGCAGCGCAGTCTCACCAGATGTAATCCAGGAACCCTAGACAAGCTTAAACACTTGGGGTCGGAATATGCCTCACTGTGTATGAAGTACTCGGTATATTGTATTGAATACAAGGGAAAATGATTCAATCGGGGAATGAACAACAGAAGAAAGCGGAGTAGAAGATGAACAAATCAACATATATGGAGTACATGCCTTGCATATTCAACGCCGGTCTAGCGCCCTAAATTTAATCATTAAGCCATTTTTACTAGTAAGTAAATAGATAAAATATGTACTTCTTCATTATCTGGCTCCTCTGATCTTTTGTAAAAAGATAAAATAAAATAAAATAAAAATACTTCAATTAAGAAGTACTCTATCTATGTTAGCCAAATGAGTTATCCTGTCATACTATGCTGTGGTCGATAACTCCGATTAGATTCCGCGCTGATCTTGACTTCAACACTCCAATCTCTATGCTTCGGCGACCTACCAGCGGCGCAGTCCGCTTATTCGCTCGACTCAATCGACATTTGATTATATCATCTTCCCCACGCTACTCTTCTTCTCTCCAAACAGATCAAGCTGATCGTGCTGATCGCGTTCCGCTCCGCAAGCAACTCAAGCAGGATGCCAAGGCCCTCAAACTCCAAAAGAAACAGCGAAAAGAGAACGAGGAGGAATCCAGACAGACATGGGAGTTGACAGTCGGTGTAGAAATACACGCGCAATTGAACACTGCTGCAAAATTGTTCTCTCGTACGTCGAGCTCGGTCTCTCTGGATTCTGGACTGGTATTGACCCCAACTTCTTCAATAGGTGCTGCTACCTCTACAAGTGATACCCCAAACGCGAATGTCGCCCTATTCGATCTAGCCTTCCCAGGGAGTCAGCCAGTGCGTTACAAGGACATCGTCACACAAATATTATCGCTCATACACTTCAGGAATTCCAAGCGGCCACCCTCCTCCCGGCGCTCCGAGCGGCAATCGCCCTGAACTGTGAAATTCAAACTGTTAGCCGGTTTGACCGCAAGCATTACTTCTATCAAGATCAACCGGCTGGATATCAAATCACCCAATACTATGGTTGGTGTTGTACATCGATTCACAGAACCAGAAACTAAATCAACTTCCAGAACCGTTCGCTCGAAATGGATATGTCGATCTATACGATTACGATGGCATCGCGCCGGAAGATGGTGACCGGGTCCGAATTGATATCAAACAGGTGCAGTTAGAGCAGGACACCGCTAAATCACAGGAATACCCGCCTTCGACGCAACTCCTAGACTTTAACCGTGTCTCACATCCTCTCGTCGAGATCATTACCATGCCGCAAATTCACACTCCTGCCACAGCCGCGGCTTGCGTTCGAAAACTCCAATCAATCCTGCAAGCGTGCGGGGCCGTGACGACGGGAATGGAATTAGGCGGACTGCGAGCCGATGTCAATGTCTCAATTCGACGCCGAGGCGATGCACCGGGACAACATCAGTATGATGGAATTAGTGGTCTGGGTCAGCGCACGGAGATCAAGAATCTCAGCAGCTTCAAGGCCGTGGAGGATGCCATTATTGCGGAGAAGAACCGCCAGATTAGGTTACTTGAGAGTGGTGGAGTGGTTGAAGGCGAGACGCGTGGGTGGACTATTGGCAGTACGGAGACTCGCCTCCTCCGAGGCAAGGAAGGTGCTGTTGATTACCGCTACATGCCGGATCCCGACATCCCACCACTGGTCATTGGTGAAGACTTGATCTCCAGTCTCCAAGGCAACCTGCCCACGTTGCCAGATGCGCTGGTCTCACAACTGATCGGATCGGAGTATGGTCTCTCGATCGAGGATGCCAAGCCACTGATAGAGCTGGACGATGGCGCTCGTTTAGAGTATTATCAAGACGTGGTGGACATCCTTTACTCCCGTCATGGTGATCAAAACGATCAAACGCGTGCGACCCTCGCTCGAATGGCGGGCAATTGGGTCCTGCACGAGCTCGGAGGCCTCTTGGCTAAATCAGACCAGAGCTGGGATCCCGAAGTTGTCCCGGCACAGTCCCTTGCCGACCTGGTCGACTATCTTCACCAGAAGCGCATCACTGGACCCACGGCCAAGCAGGTTCTGGCGGCAGTCTTCGACGGAGAGCGTCGACCAGTGCCTCAGATACTAGATGAAGACAACCTTCTCTTCCGGCCACTATCTCGCGAGGAGTATCTGGCTCTGGCTGAGTCTGCCCTCGCACAAAACCCGCAAATGGTTGAGCAGATCCGTCAAAAGAAGCAGCTAGGGAAATTGGGCTGGTTTGTGGGACAGATGATGCGCACGGGTGAGAAAGGCCGTGTTGAAGCGACCAAGGCCGAGGAGATTCTCCGGGAACTGATCCTGTAGTGTATGACTATTTATGTATATATCTTTGAACTTGGCACTGATACCCGTGGAGTCTGTACACTATACTCGGTACCCTTGATAGCTGTACAAAGAACTCCTAACTCATAATTTCCCAAATAGATCAGCTACATATACCATTACGAGATTACCCGGACTTTGCGTCACTTTTTCTACCGTGAAAATGGACGGTGGGACAGTGTTATGGGCCAAAACGGGGCACCTCTCCTCAACCTGTACTTAAGGGAAATGATGGAGAACCCGTGATCGCTAAAAGCAGTTTTTAGCGAAAGTCAACGAAAAGGCGGAACAACCAACGGCCCCCGGAGGGAATATTAATATGATAGGGGATCAAGCTTATAAACTCCTTATCTTCCTCATCTTTTTCTTCTTTCTTTCATATTCATCCTCCTTTCTTTTCTCTCCGTTTGCGGGTCATCTCTGCTTTCCCCATCCTTATCCCCACCTTTTACTATCTTATCGTTGATAAGATCAAAAGTGACTTCATCTCGACTCTCTTGATATACTCAACACTCCATTCAAAATGACAGCTCCTCCTACAATTCTCTCGCGCTTCCTCTCCAATCCTAACCAGCTGGGTGTGGTAGCTGTCGGCTTCAATGGTGGACAAGTAAGCCAAAATAGTGGAACCGTGAACAGCTACGTCATGAATACTAACCATATCTAGGGCAAGAAAGGTGTAGAGGCAGCACCGATGGCACTCATTGAAAACGGTCTACTCACTCAACTGCGCGAAGACCTTGACTACGAGGTCCACCACGATGATGTGGTTCATTACTACGAGAACGACATTCCCGCCGACGATCCCGATCACCGGGGCATGAAGAAACCCCGCGCTGTTAGCGCCGTCACTGAGCGTCTAAGCTCCCAGGTCTACGAACATGCCAAGGACGGCAAGCTTGTTCTCACCCTCGGCGGCGACCACTCCATCGCCATCGGCAGTGTCTCCGGTACTGCCAAGGCTATTCGTGAGCGATTGGGCCGCGAGATAGCTGTTATTTGGGTTGATGCTCATGCCGACATTAACCGGCCTGAAGATAGCCCTAGTGGTAACATCCACGGTATGCCCGTGGCCTTCTTGACCCGGCTGGCCCGGGAAGAGAAGCGTGATGTCTTTGGCTGGCTCGAGGATGACCACATCATCAGCACTCGCAAGTTGGTATACATTGGTCTACGTGATGTTGACCGTGGCGAGAAGAAGCTTCTGAAGGAGCATGGCATCAAGGCGTTTAGCATGCACGACGTTGACCGGTGAGATCTTGTTCTTTAGTCTTTGTTTATCAACATGTCGCTGACCACTTTTTTCCCTATACAGTCATGGAATTGGACGTGTTGTCGACATGGCTCTCGCTCACATCGGCAACGATACTCCTATCCACCTCTCGTTCGATGTTGATGCTTTGGATCCCCAGTGGGCTCCTAGCACTGGTACCCCAGTGCGAGGAGGACTCACCCTGCGCGAGGGTGATTTCATCTGCGAGGCTGTACACGAGACTGGCAATTTAGTAGCCATGGATCTGGTCGAGGTGAACCCCAGCTTGGACACTGTCGGCGCCAACGAGACCATCCGCGCCGGATGCTCATTAGTCCGCAGTGCTCTGGGCGATACCCTCCTTTAAGTTAGAGCTGTGAATATTTCTGTTCCTATTTTAGATTAGATTGGGATAAAAAGGAAAGCAGTGAAAGACGGGTTTCGAATGTTCAATGATTTTTGCGCATATCTATAAAAAGTACCACGACCCGTCAACCCGTAGTCAAATCCCCCGCCACCTGAATTTCCAAAATAGCCCCCCCTTACAGGTTACTTTTCTTTTATTTTATTTTTCCGACCTACGCATTTTCCCTGACGCATCAAGCAGCTGCAACTTAGCTCCATTTCCATTTCTATTTCTGCAGCGGCGCCCAATGCGCTGTCTGTCCACGTCCAGATCCTTATCGCCCGCCTCACCCAACATTGCGCTCGACGAATTCACAGCCTCGTAACAGCCCTAAATCACAAAAGCAGAACCCAGACAGACGCGCGCACACCTTGATTCAAGTCCTCTATGACCAGAGCTTCAAGGACCAAGTTAAATCGGCCGCAGTAGCAACCTCCAACACCTTGTATACGATCCGACTACCACAACAACAAAATGCCAACGGTAGAACGGCGCGTCGAAAGACGCTTAAAACAGCGCATACACCAAAGCTACCACTGGCCTGAAATCCAGCTGAATGTCTGGTTGATAGTCGTCCTAGCAGGCTCAGCAACATGTCTCGGGATCTTTGCCTGGTTTATGGTTGTGCAAACACAAATGAACCTAGGTATCATATGGTGAGTGTCAACAAATAGTTCCTATAAACATCAATACAGCTTACACTAACAATCCTACCGCTAGGCTCTTCCCATTCATGGTCGTGACAAGTGCTCTGGGCGTCTTCTTCGTCTTCCTAGTCCTAACCCTAATCGCGCGCCACTTCCTTCTACCAGGCATTCTGATTCTGGGCAGCTTCATTCTCTTTGTGCTATGGTTGACCGGTCTTATTGAGACTGCATTGCAACTCTATAGTATCAAGGGCAATGTCAATGATAATTGCCAGATCTATGTTGTGGAGAATGTATCGCGGGGGAATAATATCGATACGTTGGCTTGGTTGACGCAGAGCACAATCTGTAAGTTGGTGAACTTTCAATAGCTCAATGTCTACTCTTTGAGTCTCTAACTAATTATATCTTGTTGCAGGTAATTGCTGGAAAACTGCATTCGCTTTTGAGATTCTCAATACAGTCTTTTATGTTTGGATGATGGTTATGTCTTGGCAGGTTCATCGGGACTTTTATCATTGATTTTTATGAATTATTTGACTGTTTACGATTTACTGGTTTCTATTTCTTATTTGTTTTGTTTTTATTTTTGGTTTTGTTTTTATTTTTGCGTATACCACTACTTGTTTGGCATGGGATGTGCGTTGATGTACTGATTTGGCAGCGAGTTGGATATCAATGTTTTAGATGGAATTGAAGCACTACAAGGAGGCTATCAACATTGGAACCTCCATCTACAAAAAAGGAGAGCTTTATTTTTCTTTAATTTTTGATTTGATTTGATTTTTAAAGATATCTTGTAAGAATACCTCAAGCACGCCTAATGCGTGGAAATAAAATTGAAACGGAAGCAACGTCAACCAAATTCCAATGGCTCTTCAAAAAGATACCGACAAACTCCGTCGCTGTATGCCAAGATAGAATGAACCTCGTGAAATGGCCAAATAGGAGAGAGAATGGTTAAAAGAGAAGGAAGAGGGGCTTGTTAATAACCACTCTCTTCATCTCCATCCCCTTGTTCATCCTCACCCTCATTAGATCCACCCTCGGCAGTCCTAGTTCCACCCTCATCGGATCCACCGCCGTCCTCGAATGCTGCGAGCATCTCTCGTTCTAATTCGTCCTCGTCATCAACATCGTAGTTGACTGCGCCTGTCATATCAGTTTCAGAGTCCATATCAGCTTGCGATGTCGCGGCAGATTCATCAAACGACTGGGCGGTTCCGGCACTGTTGGCTGAAGCGACTTCTCGAAGACTTGTGCTGCGCTCGTATGATCGCTTGATCCGCTGTGAAAGTCGCGAGCCCATATCTTCGTCATCAGGGTCATATTCAGCTGAACCATCGCCATTAGAGGTTGCACCGCGCTTACGCTTCTTTGTCTCCTCGTCTGGGTCGATCGTGCTCTCATTGTCACTCTCGCTTTCGTCGTCACTTCCGAGGAAGTCTTTCAGCTCATCGTGAACCTCCGCTTGCTCTTTAGCATCGTATCCGATAGGTGACGTCGCATCAAGACCAGCATCATCGAACAAAGCGTCTGACTCCGTATCGCCCTCTTCAGAAGATGACAGGTAAGAGCTTTCCATGTTTACTTGGGATGGGGAAATGGGCTCACCGCGGTCGTCGGGGTGTACGGTGAGCAGGTATGGTTCTTCGTCCATGAGACGCCAGTTTGTGAGAGAGTCTAGAAGCCACTGGGTAGTGACGATCTTGAGATTCGGATACCTGGTAGCTTCGCGCACCTTAGCGGTTCGGTTCCGTCCAGCCACCAGGTGAGTGGTTCGGGTACTGATCTTCGAAGCAATAGTCGCACCGAAACTTTTCGCCCACAGCGAGATGTCGGCATTCTGGGTATCTGTGCCCAGAGGAAGAACACCCGAGAAGATCAAGACCACCTTGCCGAGAACTTCACGCTTGATTGCAGGCATAATGTCCTTGACATCGGGCACAAACTTCAAATCAACGTCTCGATCTTTAGACGCCTTTTCGCCGCGCAAGGTTGCCACACGACCGCCGATCTTGCGGCTTTGTTGGTCGTATTGGTCAAAAAATTGACTGTGCACATTCTCAAGTCGTTCGCGCAGGTGGTAGAGTTCTCGGTCATTATCTTCAAGGAGGTGGTGACGGTTTTTGGAGGGTTCAAACTCTTCAATGCTGTCAGTTGAATCACTAGTTGAGGCCAATGCGTCATCTTCTGCATCCAAAAGCTTCTGCTTCTGAAGCAATGGACGGTCTTCTACCTGCTGCATAATCTTTTCCTCTTGCGCGCTGGTCTGTTCCAGAAGTAGTTTCGGGTTGTCACCACCGCCCATGGTCACAAGTTGCTCCAGTGCTGAAACTTCGGAGCCTGTTTCTTTCTTTTGAGGCTTGTCGGGTTTCTGGTCCTTTTCCTTCTTTGTAACATCGTCTGCGCTAGGCAATTCTTGCTTCTCGGGCAAAAAACTGGAATTGATATCTCCGATTCCAACGAAGAAGTCGTATGGGGTGACTTTAATGAGATTGGCATTCCACCGCCACACGTCACCGCGATCATCCATGATAACCACCATCTTGGTGTCGACTGGGAATAGTCGTTGCAGATTCTTGGCGGTCAGACTGCCACTCTCATCGCGACTGAGAATGCGATCTCCAAAGAGCTCCCGGGTTGGATCAATGATATCGGCAATGTTCTGAGCGTAGGCTCGGGTACCCATAGTGTAGATGTGTAGTTCATAAAGCTGCGCCACCTCGCGTAAGAATTCCTCCAATCCAGGTCGCAGCTTAATGTAGTACCAGCACCCGTGCATTCCAGGTCCATCGTCAATGAGTTGGAACTGTCGGACATCGCGAAGAGCCTCATAGTTAGGATTTTCCTTGTCCTCCTTCCATTCACCAACAGTCGGGTCAACGGTAGCATGAATAATGGTCTGATCGAGATCCACCACAAGTGATAGGCGCCGAGATGCCAGGAGACGGCGCTTGGCATCCTCCTCCACTCTGGAAGCTTCCTTTGCGCTGACTGTGAGTGTAGTGTTGTCGTGGGACATTTGAATCGGGGCGCGCATAGCATCTTGGATTTGCGTATTGTAGGTAAAGCTATAGAAAAAACGTGTCAGCATTTGATATTCGCCATGATCGTGGTCGAGTTCGTAGTGGTCTTACCCAGTCATATCCTTGCCACATTCGGCACACATTCCGCCAAATTGCACCTCGTGTGAACATGGCTCAGTGATCTCCACAAGATCGACACTGTATTAATTGTTAGCGAAAAAGATACCCCCTAATAGCAACAAGGTAACACATACGGTCCTGTGATAACGTCCCACCTGGAGACTTTCCATTCCTCGATTATTCCATCGACAGGCGATTCAAAACGAGCTGGATACTTGCGCTCCACATCAACTCTGTTTCCTAGCCCATCAATCTCGTCGGTAGTTGAACGGTAACTGTACCAGAAGATAGCCTCATTCTGCGAAACCTCATCACCCGCACTCTTGATAAAGGACGTGACGGTGATCGGGTAATGAAGGCCGTGCGGCAAACGGAGAAGCATGACTGATCCCAGATCGCCCACTGGCGATAAAACCCTCACCCCGAGTGAAATAGGTGTTTAATTCCAATCTCGTGTTGGCTACCTCCGATCTGAGCGACAGCAAGAGCAGGGTAGAATTTATCGCGACTATCGTGCCATGCCCGGACACGAGCGCGTGACTGAATGGACTTGGAGGGTGGGGGTTTGAAGAGGTGGAAGTTAGGGTAAAAAGACAAGATTTCTTTTAAGAAAGAAAGACTCAATGCACTCGAGTTGTGTGAAATGAGAAATGAGAGAGTTGAAGCTTGTCTGGTGATTTGAATTGCCACGGCGGTGGGGATAAAAGAAAATGCGGGAATTGGAATAGGAGTGGCGAAGTCAGTAAATTGTAGCTTGAATGCACATGTCAGGTACTGAGGTTTGGTTTGAGAGCAATGAAGTGTTTTGAAAGGTTGTAGGTTGTGATGAAGATATAGTAAGTTCGTCAAATTTGAGCGGGGAGGTTCACTTGGAGCTTGCCTACACTCACTCACCGCCTTTCTGGGTAAACTTGGAAGTATTACTCTGACATTCAACGAAAGTACCTCTGAAGGATATATTACTTTGTCCACTGGCTAGTACAATTTTGAAGTTTGACTTGGAAGTTGGAAGTTGAAATGTTGCGTACAGTAAGTAGCAAGCTAAGCTATCCATTGATGCTCCAACCAGTATAAATTCCTTGCAGGGAATCAGCCATGATTGGCTTGATCGGATCCATAGAAGCTTTTCAGCCAATTAGCTAACTATACAAGGTGCTTCAAGTATCCGTATATGCTGTGACATGCAGGGCAAATGCTTCTCCTATGTAGTACTTTAATACGCCTCGATATTCGTATCATTTAGATCTTGCGCAATGAGCGCACACCCAAGCCAAAAAAAAAAAAAAAAAAAAAGTAAGAGACACAAATTGATTTCAGCCTCAACTAAATAAGTAAATACATACACAAGTAGTTTGCAATACAATCAGCAAGCTAGTCCTGAGGAAATTAACCTCAAACATTTAATCAATGGTAGTATGGATTGGGCATTAGCAGAAAAAAAGGAAAGCAAAAGAGTACCCGCCAATCCGCATGTGCGAAACCTTTCCTAATCTCGGAATTCCAGCTTGGTGGTAGCTTTACCAAGAAACAACTGGGCCTGATTACAAACTTATTTCGCCTTGGCCAGGCCAACGGCGTTGTTGCCGAGGTCGTAGACACTGTACCACTTTCGGAGGAACGCGTCACCGAGGATGGCAAGGGGGCCAGTAGGCTCAGGGAAGTCCATACCCATAAAGCTGCTGATGCACGATCCCTGAGCTTCAAGGATGTAGTCATGGGGGCCGATGGTGAAGTTGTAACCGCTAAGGGTCAAGGTAAGATCGGGGAGACTGTCAAGGGTAGCACAGTCCACAGTGTACTGGCCGGTCCAGCCCTTGGTAGCGCCGATCTCCTTGTTGAGCAACTCAGCAAGGGTGGAGGGAAGGGCAATAAGAGAGGTGCCGGTGTCAAGAATGACACCGGTGTTCTCGAGCTCAGCAACGTTGTCACCAAGAGCGATAGCGTTGAATTCAACCTCCCAGTAGGCCTTGCGACGGAGGGGAATCTTGATAAGCTCGCCGGTGTAGTGACTCTTATCAATGCCACCAAAGGTAGCCTCGGAGTTATCACCCTCTTTGTTAGCATCGCCGAGGTAGAAAGCAAACACAGGCTCATCCAGCAGGCCCTGGTTGAGCATGTTGTAAAAGGGGGGAACGATGTTGTTAACGGAGATTGTGTCGTATCCAAGACCCAGGATACCATCGAAACGACCGAAGGCAAAGGCCAGACCAGGCTCGTTAGTGGCCTCGGCAAAGTCCTGCTTCTTAATTTCGAGGTCGCCAATGGTGACGGTGTCCTGAGAGACAAAGCCGCTCAGGCTACCCGAACCATACTGGATCGCGAACTCAGTGCCGTTCTCCTTGAAGGAGCTGGATGCGGATGAATCGAACTTGCTGTGGAGGTAGCAAGCGATGGAGGTACAGCCAGAGCTGGGAACCCACAAGTTAGAGCTCCCTGTGTCAAGGACGACCTTGAAGGTCTGAGGAGGGGAACCGATGGTGATTTCGGAGAAGTCTGAAAGGATCAGTAACGTTACTCCATTACTGAGAGGGATTCGAAATACTTACATTGGGCGTTCAAGAAGTTGTCCACGAGGACGTCATGAGCCAAGGTAGACTTGAAAGTAGTATCTTGAAATTCACTCTCATGCTGAGTACCCATGTACTTCTGACCGAGAGCTTGGATGTGTGATTGAATGTCGTTGATATCCTGCGATCGAAAATGGTTAGAGGGGACCTGATGGCTGGGGTTGGGGAATCACTTACAAGGCGTTCATGGGCGGGAACCTTCTTTAACTTGAGTTTGTGGACCTCAGCAGAGGCAGAGGACAGCAGCAGGGCTGTCAGAAGAGTGAAGGACTTCATTGTGTGATGAAGTACGGGTGGGGAAAGGTGGTGTAGAGGGATGAAGGAAGAAGAAGGAAGATAAGACAAGAACTGGGGGCGGAGCCTGGCGATCGGCATAACGTGACGGGAGTGCGTCATTACCGGAATCAGCTGGGCCGGCGGTGTGTTACGCTTCCAAACATTCCCCCGTTTTCCTTACCCTTTCAATATAGCATGTTTATGATTTAGAAGCTTCAAATATTTGTGTACTATCAAATTGTTTTTATAAATTATCTACTCTACTCAGTATTCTGGAATTTGGGTCTCAGTGTACTGAATGCAGGTGGTTGCCTTGGCGCTCACTAGCGCAAAACAGCTGTACTAGGCAGATGCAGGAGATAAACAAGGTGGCAAGGCCCTTTTCTTGGTTTACCGTCGTCCTAGGTATGTGGAATTTTAAGTATCACAATTCACCATCTAACGGAATATTCCGACTGAATAGCTTTTGATATTACACAGTACGGTAAAGCGGTAACCCCGAAAACATGAAACTTGGAATCGCGAACCATAAATAGTTACTTTGTACTCCGTACCTTTCCAAGGTTTGATTACCAAGCGGAAACATGTCCATCTTAGCTACTCGACATTTAGGAGTTTTACGTGGTATAATATGAGGCACGTCTTGCATTGTTATCCACGTCAAATTGATCATCTATGATACTCAAGTTTCACAGAGTATTGATCGTACAACGAAGAGGCCACCCACGAAAACCCAAAAACCAATAGAGGTGCTTTACCTGTAGAAGTCGAGTCTGTTGAAAAGTAAACGAGTCAGTAACATGCATATGAAATTAATTAGGAGGAAAAATGAGACATACCTGTCATCCTCGTGGCCACTCTTCACCTGAGCAGCATAGGCATCCTCGAGGTCGGACTGGATGATGTTATATCGGTTCTTACGGACGGCTCGCAGACCCGCCTCTTGCATGATCGCAGCAATTACCGCACCCGACAACGGGTCGTTGCGCACAATCAAAGAATCAAGGTCCACTTCAGGGGACAGCGACATCTTCGATGCAATAGTACTGAAGATCAGACGGCGCTCGCGTCGATCCTTCAGATTAGGGAACTCAATCTTACGATCCAGACGACCAGGACGCAGCAGAGCTGGATCCAAAGTGTCTGCACGGTTAGTGGCCATGATGACCTTGACGTTGCTAGTCTGCTCGAAACCATCCATCTGATTCAGCAGCTCCAGCAGAATACGCTGGACTTCGCGGTCAGCACCGGTCTGGGCGTCGAAACGCTTGGTGGCGATTGCGTCAATCTCGTCAATGAAAATGATCGCAGGAGAGTTCTCGCGTGCCATCCGGAACACGTCACGAACCATGCGAGGACCTTCACCCAAGTACTTTTGCACAAACTCTGAGCCGTTCACGCGGATGAAGCTGGCGGTTGTGCTGTTGGCCACGGCCTTGACCAACATGGTCTTACCGGTTCCAGGGGGACCGTAGAGCAAGACGCCACGGGGAGGGTCAATACCTACTTGAGATTAGCACTAGTACGAGGGAGAAAGAAAATTCGTGGACGCACCGATCTGTCTGTAGAGGTCAAAATGCGTCAATGGCAGCTCAACCGCTTCCCGAATCTCCTGCTTCTGCATGTCCAATCCACCGACATCAGCATAGGTCACATCTGGCTTCTCATTGTCGGCCAGCATGGCAATGGAGGAGTCAGCCTCTGGGGGAAGAATGTCGACCAGGGCATTAGAGTGTCTGTGAAGGGCAACGGAGGATGATGGCTTCAGCTTCTCGCGATCGAGTGTCGACAAGACACGGACAACGTAATTCGATCCGGTCGAGCTTTGTACGATACCAGTACTAGACTAAGTTAGCCAGAGCTCTCTCTATTCCACAACTCAAAGCATTTAGATCTCACTTCTGATCGATGGCCTCCATGAACTGCCCAATAACGAGTGGCACACTCTGTATCCGCTTGATCTCCTCTTGTGCCCGAACCAGCTCTCTCTTCAAGCTCCTACATCGATCCCAATAATTAGTAACTCAAGTCTATGGATACTGGGGATGTTATGAATGTACCTTTGCTCATCCTTGATGTATTCTTCCTGCAGCTGGATATATCTAGGAGGCATTAGTCGCTGCTCTTGGTCATTTCTAGATTGACGTACTCTAGGTGTCTCTGTAACCGCTTGAGGGTAGCATATTCATCATTGTCATCAGCACCAGTTCCTTCCACAGAGTCAAGATTGGTGATGGCGTCCAGAGCGTTGTGCTTGGAAAGAGGCGTGACGATGTTGGCCGGGCTCTCCACGGCGACGTCTGCCATATTGAGAGCTGGTGGTGATCAAGAGAGAATGATAATCAGAGAGGAAGATGGTAATATGCTTCGATGGATGTTCGTGGAAGAAATTGGTAAGGCGAAGTTGTTCGGGAATGTGGTCATTAGAGAGCTCTGGAATCGGGGAAGTGAGAGCTTACATGGTCACGTGATGTGTGCAACCGCGCTAAGGCACTTCAATGTTTACCGTACTCGACTACTCTGTAGTTAAAGAAAAGTCGTAGATATCTAATAGTTGTCAAAAGCTGTATGTAGCCCTGGGATGATTCTGAAATACCCATGATATTATATGTCAACCTTGGAATTTCTTCATGATAAATTGTGCTGAAACTTCCACGGTTGTAAACAGACACCACATAGTAGCTCCACTTCGTGCCAAGCAGGAAGGACAAAATTTACAGCCCTGGAGTACTCTGTACTCTTTGGTCGATTTGGAAACTCCATATTACGGTTTATAACTTCAGGTATTCAGCGAATTAGCCTCAGTTAGGCTCATCTGGGCAGGTCAAGTCGTCACAATGAGGCTGTTCCTAATTAGGCACTGGATAGTTAGCTAGCTGCCCAGGTGGCAGTTAACTAGTCTCCAGGGCCAGACCTATGGCTTACGACGAAGTAAATACCAGTTCAGACAATCTGCATACTTAAAAGATGATTTTTATTCCCGCCTTGGACTCGAACTTCCCAAGTTCGGCACCAATCATGGCAGTGGATCAGACCGCGGCTAGGTGGGACAGGTACAGAATCATCGAGTCGGATCCTTGCACAAGACGAACATCTTCCTGTCATCATGTCAGGTTCAGCCCTTTTTTTCTTTCCTTTTTTCTTTCTGGTGGTTTCGTTGATTGGGCGTCATATCAGACACTAGCCTGGGTTTTATATAAGGAACTCCAAACACCCATCATGTCGGATCCTGGGTCTTTTTCCCATTTTTTCCCATTTTCCCATTTTCCCATTTTTCATTATTCCCATATTTTTCTCTTTTCTCTCCGCTCTTATGAGCTTCAGTATATTATTCTGCTTTGTATTCATGGGATTGAAATCGTGCGCCCACCTAGACACTGTGCCCACTATCCGGGAGTATATAGACTAACCAGACTAGGCGAAGACCGTTGGAATGGATCTTCGCCTTTAATGTCGAACTAAAGGGTCCTCTTTTTTTTTCTTTCTCTTTCTTCCTTTTTATCTCTCCACTCATCAAAACAATTTCAACTCCCAAAGTTCTCATGTTTTTTTTTTTGTCTCAAAGTCTCTCCTTTAATGGTGGTTGAAGAGAGAGAGCCCCGCAAAGCCGAGACCCGCGACACTAAATATGGCTAATCTCGAACCCCGGACATCCAACAAAACTGGAATTTGGAAAAAAAAAAATCAAAGAAAAAAAGAATAACAAGAAAGAATTTACTTATTTTACATACCTTCTAAATGAAAGAGGAAAAGAAAAGGAATGGTTGATGTATGAAAAAACATGTGGTACTGAGACGGAAACAGAACACAAGGCTGAAATTCTCAGCCTTCAGTATTTTTCCTCCTTACCATTTTACCATTCTTTGCCTCCACTTCCACTTCCAACCAAAGCTCTCTACTTTGTCCATATGTAAGTATCATTTTGCTTTTGCTTTGCTTTTTTTATACCTTGGTTTTCTTTTATCCTTGAACTCTGGCTACCCACCTACGTTTCCTTTTCCCCCTCGGGAGTCCACACCTTACGCACTTCCCCCCTACAGTCCCTTTTTTATCTCCTTATGGTTTTTCGGGCCGAAGTCATCTTGACTTAGATCAGCAGTCCCTTTTTACGCCCTGTGATTTGTTCTTACCCTTTCCTGCCACACTCTTTCCATACACTCCCCCACATCTTTCTATCTCTCTCCCCTTCCAACCTTTGGTGGCCTCAGGCCATACACACGTGACCACCCACACGTCTCCTTAACCTCGTTCTTCGATCCCCCCAGCTAATTCCGGAACCCGGCCTTAGTTATCCGTTCGCACGGAATTCAGGTTAATCCAGCCTTCTTGGTATGTATACTTTTGTCATCGCGTCCATACATTTTGTTTCCCTTTTTTGTTTTATTTCTATTTTTTGTTGGTGTGGTCTCTCTACCCTTCTTCTGAGATCCCCCTCAAAACATGTCGCGACCAAGCGCGCTATAAAAAGCTCCACCCTACGCGTTCGCAAACAAACCCATTGGACCTTATGGAAGACTATCTTTAGGGTTGATCTCAGATTCAGACTGCAATCGCGTTGATGACGCGCCACAGAGATGGATCGTGGCTGACCAAATTTCTCACAGCAGATGGGCTGGTAAGAATCTTACGACATGAACGCCTGGCTCACCGACGCCTCGAGCCTCCCTGGCCAGGATAATGGGGCTTTCAATCCATCAACTATCGACCCCTCTAGTGCTTTCTTGCACACCTCTCCTACCCCCCAGGATCCCAACCAATTCCAGCGCATGTTCAATGGAATGCCGCGGAATGCCTCGCCAGGATTTCACAATTCTAACTCAGTGATCCCATCCAAGCGTGCTCGTCCAGAAGATGGCATGCCCATGTCACCGCGGCCTGCACCTGGCGGCATGCCGGGATCACGATCTCAAACCCCTCAGATGCCTTTCCCTGGTTATCAAGGTCCGTCGAATGGGACGCCACAGTTCTCTCAACACCCCACTCCATATCAGCATCTCCAACAAGGAGCATCACCAAATGTAACTCAGTCGCCTATTATGAACGAATTCGACCAACAGAGCGTTCGCATGGGTACCGCGTCCCCGAGTCCTTTCTCTCCTCAAGTTGGTGGCCACATGTCGCCTTCCCAATCAGATCACAGTAGCCGCGTGAATACCCCACAGAACAACAACTTCATGCCAGGCCAGGGCTTTCCCCAGGGTATGGGCGCCCAGTTCCAGCCGGGTCACTCAGGTCTCCAGCATGTCATTGGGATTTCATCGGCAGCCCAGCAACCATCCATGCAGGCGCAGTTCAATGGACAGCAACAACAAGTAACCCCGGCGTATCATCAGGCCCTAGCAGCTCAACAGCAGAGACTACATGCAATGCAAGTACAGCAAAACCAAAACCGACAAATGAATGTCAACGGGCAAATGGCTGGACGACCGGTTGCCGGTATGAACTCTATGGCCAACCCTCAACAGATGGCTGCGATCCGCCAGATGCAAGCGAACATGGCGAAGCCTAGCAATCCGGACGGCTTCGTGCGCTCACTGCAAAAATTCATGATGGCGCGTAATCTTCCATTGGATCTGAATCCGATTGTCTGCGGCCGCCCGATCAATTTGATCCAATTATATGGTTCCGTGATAAAGATGGGAGGCTCGAAGAAAGTCACGGCATCGAATCTGTGGCCGGCAGTCGCACAACAACTCCAGTTTGCCCAGGTGCAATTTCCAATGGCAGCTCAAGAGCTTCGAGAACACCACCAACGGAATCTGGGTCCATATGAGCAGGCATTCATTTCGTCTCAACAGAAGCAAATGGCCGAGATGCAGCAGCAGCAGCAACAGCAACAGCAGCAACAGCAGCAACAGCAACAGCAACAGCAACAGCAACAACAACAACAACAGCAACAACAGCAACAACAGCAACAACAGCAACAACAGCAACAACAACAACAACAACAAGGTGGAATTTCGCGCCAGCCAAGCGACCCATCTCTCCTCCAGTACCAGTCGCCATCCGTAAAACCCGGTCAAAATTTTGAACAACCTCAACCGCTCGCCCTTTCTCCTCAGAACAACGTTTCTGTCCCTAATCAGTCTCACCCCGCTCAACTAAACGGATTTGCAACACCCACACAAGTCCGAAGCCAGAGCAGACCTCCCCAGCCCGTACATCGTTTGAGTGTCTCTCGCCAATCACAGCCTTCGGTACCGCCAACCGACCTCTCAGGGCAATTTGCAGCACCTTCACCACAAGTGAAGCCGATCACTGCACCCCCCGTCCAGCAACCAGGCACCATTGAACAAAAGGTTGAGCGATTTGTGAAGAAACCTATTGAGGACCCATTCACACCCATGGTACTCTCAGAGCCACGTCCACATGGTCCCATACTGGTAGATGAAATGTTCCAGCTTGGAGAGGATATCACACGATTGAAACCATCTGTACCGAGTTTCGGAGAGCTGGGTGTGATAGATATTCACGCACTCACAATGGGCCTCAAGTCTGGAATTCAGGGTGAAATTCGGGTTGCGCTGGATACTCTCACCACTCTCTCCGTTGAGCCGGCTGTACAGCTTTCACTCGAGAACTGCGATGACCTGGTGGAAAGCTTGGTTGATTGCGCCCAGGACCAGACCGATTATCTCATGGAGCATATTCCGGTGGTGTCTGATGTCATGCAATTGCAGACATATGAGGAAGTAACGCGGGGCTGTCAGGCTGAGTTCACATCTCTTGTCGACGTTCATGAATTTGCGAGTGTGGCCTACAATCTTGACCGAGCCGTCGATCGATTGATATGCATCACAACTATTCTTCGGAACTTTTCATTTAGTGAGGCAAACTTCCCTATCCTGGGAATTTCACCAGTGACCCAGATGTTTGCCGATGTCTTCCGCTGTATTGGAACGCGCGACAGGTTCCTGCGCACGAATCAAAATACGCTGGATTTCATGAAGGATGCAGTGGTCTTTATGGGAAATCTGGCCCATCTCATGCAAATACCCGGCAAGGAGGAAGCATTGAGTCTATTGAATTTCCTGCTTGCATTCGCTCCGATGCCTGGGCCCATCTTGAAGCCGGACCAAGTGATGTTTACTATGTATAATCCCGCAGTTCATCGATACACGCCGTCTGCCGCAGACGGTCTCGCCAAGTTGCTGGCGAGAGATGACCCGAACCGGATTTACCTTAGTGCTATCTTCTCCGGAGATGGATCTGCTCCTCCCCAACCTGATCTACTCACCCGCGCGTTCGGTCTTGCCATCTGCTGTGTCCCTGAAAGAAAACAACTGGCAGTCACCGATGCGCGAAAAGTCTTCCTCATGCAGGGCTTGCTTGCCGCTGACGTTCTGACTACGTTTGCAGACGGTCATCTGGCAAAGTTGTGGCTAGGGTCTGTTGATGGATTTGCCATCCATCTTCTTCGACTCTCTTGTCTGTTGTGCACTGAGCGCATCCCACAAATCAATCAGATGCGCCAACGGTCACAGGCCGAGGCCGAAGCCCTCGCGTACGGCTCAATCATCCATCGTGGACTGGCCATCCTGCGTCGACTCGCCGAGAAATCCAAGCAAGTCGACAACATCTCTCCTCTTCGCCTTCCTTCCGGAATTGTTCCTCGCAAAGAGAGCCTGCTTGGCGCTTTACTGCTTCCGAATATGGATCCAAACATCATTCGCCAGCTTATTACCTATGCGCGTCTCGCTGAGTAGGTTGACGACGAGGTTTTCATTTTCGTATGCTTCATATCGGCCATCAGTATCTTTACGATCTCATTGGATTATGCCGCTCGGCACGCAGATATGACCGTCCTGATTCCCGTCACGCCATTTTTCCTCATTTTCCAGACAATGGTCATGTCTACTATTCTCGGGCGCCGGTGGAAATGGTGTTTTTTTACTCTTTCTCTTATTTTATCCAGTTTACTTTCAAGGTTCTCTATTAACCCTTCCAGACAAGCGTGTGTTGCGTGCTTTATTCAGTGTACAATGCTCAAAATACCCTCGACTAAATCGAGATCATATGATCACTACTCTCACCTCTGTATTCCCCGCGTAAATTACCCCGGAGTAATCTTTAGTGCGGTGGTACCACATAAGTTAGGGGCCCTCGAGGGGATAATCTTATGGCATGATTATTATTTATGTGAATGAAACCAAGTACAAATAGGTGGAAAGTGGGTATGATAATGCATGGAACCGTTCAATTAGAAAAGAGCTATACAAGCACCGAGTTATTTAAAATATACACGGAGTGGAATGGCTATGAGGACGGAGTAAACTCAAGTGGAATCAAAAGCAGGCGCCGCAAAACAGACAGCTGAAAAAGTCACTAACACCAGCATTCAAAAGACGAAATAACCCCCCGATAACTGAGATTTAACAAGGAATAAGACGCAGAATATGGGAATTGGAACGAGAAAAGGGACTTTGCTACCCAGGACGTTTCAGCCCACCAGCACCATATCATGACATATCGGTGTTGGCTTCCTCCTTCACACATGCTGTGGTTCTCCTTCTCTCTTCAAGTTTTAATCCCTCGCTTAGGCGGGATTATTCCAACAATGCTTTTTTTTGGAATCATTCATACACAGCGGATGATATTTGCGATGTGAATGAAAGATTATGAGAGGAAGTTTAGAAGTTTCGCTCTTTCAAGAAATCAACGATTTCAGGTTTGCGCCAGCCCTGTTGTATAGATGTTAGGTTGATATTCAATATAGTCGACAGCCACAGAAAAGAGTCTAAACATACTTTGACAATGATGTGGCCAGTCAAGCGGTTGACGCTCACGTCAGAGCTCCGTACGTCCACACCCAGAGTCAGTGCGAGGTCATTGCGTAGCGCATCCAGATCACCCTCGGTCTTTTGGATCTTAGTGAGTTGCTTAGTACCGCCGGCTTTTGTGACAACGTAGACGGGTAGCTGGTTGGAGCCGGTGCGGCGAACAAAGTAGGGGAGGTTTGTGAGTTGCAGAGCTGGTTGGGACTTTGCGCCCTTCGGAAGAGTAGAGGTCGAGCGTGTGATGGGTGGCTCTCGGAACGCCTGTGCTTGACGACGGACATGCGTCAGGAACATACGAGCTTGATTCATGGTGGATGGAGATTTCAATTGGAGAATGGAGACTGTAGAAGAGAAAATACCCGTCGTCAGTTATAAATCTTGATATCAGTTGGCATCGTAAGATGCTTCTTGGGCTTGGGTATTTAAGCATGTACTTTTACTGCAAATTTCCTCGAATTTTGTCGAAAATTGACACCAAAGAGTCCCGAGCTTAAGTAGTGGTGAGTGGAATGTAGAACTTACAAGATGCATATCGTGTCGGGGAAAATAATGAGACCGGTCTACATGTCTGCACGGAAGCCACGGATTGTGCTAGAGGACGAGAGTTCGCAGTCTGTTTACACACGGCCGAGGCGACCGAGGACGAGTGTCTGATAGACGCCATTGAGCGTCAAGATGGGGGAGCAGATCAAGGTGGAAGGAAGCTAAATTTGACAGAAACCCTGATTCGGAGGTCAACAATAGCGAAAGAGCCAATGCAGGTTTCTCTCTCAAGTATTCTGCCACCGCCCCACCACGCTCACCCAAAAAAGTTTAGCGCACTCACCCTCCCGCACACAAATTCAAAGCGACGATTGTGTCTTTGAAGAACCCAACCCACATCTGCATCCACCATGGCAGCCAACGCCACTCCTTCGGGCGCTCAGCCTACTGACACTGAGAACCAGTACGACCTTTTGCCGCGACTGATCCCCTACCTGGACCGCCACCTTGTTTTCCCGCTCCTCGAATACTGCGCTGGTAACGATGAGGACGACACAGAGATCACCCGGGCCAAGTACGAGCTCCTGAAGCACACCAACATGACCGACTACGTTGCCAATCTGTGGAAGGAAATCAACAACTCCGAGACCATTCCCGATGAGTTTGTCAAGAAGCGCGAGGAGGTTCTGGCCCAACTGGAGCACTTCCAGGACCAGAGCGAGAAGATCACCGAACTTTTGCAGGATGAGGAAGTAGTAGGCAACTTGCGCAGTGACAAGGCTGCCAACTTGCGTTTCCTTGAGGAGCAACACGGTGTCACCACCGAGATGGTCAACACCCTCTTCGACTACGGCCGACTCCAGTACAGCTGTGGCAGTTACGGTAACGCTGCTGAGCTGCTTTACCAGTTCCGTGTGCTTTCGACCGACAACGATAAGGTTGCCGCTGCCACCTGGGGTAAGTTGGCTTCTGAGATCCTCACCACCAACTGGGAGGCTGCTATGGAGGAGGTGCAGAAGGCCAAGGATTCGATCGAAACTCGCCTGTTCAACAACCCGCTGGCCCAGCTTACCAACCGATCTTGGCTCATTCACTGGTCTCTGTTCCCCTTCTTCAACTACGACCCCGCCCGCGATGTCCTGACCGACCTCTTCTTCTCCCCTGCCTACATCAACACTATCCAAACCAGCTGCCCGTGGGTTCTGCGTTACCTCGCTGCTGCCGTCATCACCAACCGCAGCCGTCCCCACAAGCACACCGGTGCCTACCAGAAGCAACTGAAGGATCTTATCCGTGTTGTGCGCCAGGAGGGCTACGAATACACCGACCCCATCACCGACTTTGTCAAGGCCCTCTACGTCGACTTTGACTTCGAGGAGGCTCAGAAGAAGCTAGGTGAGGCCGAGGAGGTGCTCCGCAGTGACTTCTTCCTTGTTTCTGCCGCCGATGCTTTCGTTGAGGCTGCCCGTCACCTCATCTCTGAGAGCTACTGCAAGATCCACCAGCGGATCGACATCAAGTGAGTTTATACTAGACTCTTGATTTCCCTGGATTTCTAATCTAACTCATACTTCTTTAGGGATCTTTCTACTCGTCTCGGTCTGAGCCAGGACGATGGTGAGAAGTGGATCGTCAACCTCATCCGCGACACCCGTGTTGATGCCAAGATTGACTACAAGGAGGGCACCGTGATCATGAACCACCCGCCCCAGTCTGTTTACCAGCAGGTGATTGAGAAGACTAAGGGTGCATTCTTCCGGACACAAGTCTTGAGTTCGGCCGTTGCCAAATGATGAATCCATGCATGTGATGCCAAAAAAACCGATTCTTTCTTATTGTTATTTTTTTCAAACCATGTGTTCTGCCTGCCCATCACAACTGATATTCCCCGTGTATGTCACAACACGGTTTTCTTTGAGGGATGAAGATGAGGACTCCGAGCAGTGTGGCATCCGGCTGGCGTTCTTAGGTGGTCCACCATTTTTGATGTTTCTTTTTTACCTCTTTAGTTTCCAGTCTCTCTTCCATTTCTCCCTATATTCTCCCTTCTCTGTCCACCCTCCCCCAGATAGATTACACTTGGTTCTTCTCTATTTTTTCTCTTCTCTTATTTTCTTGCTTAGTCTTTTTTGTGTTAATGCACCAAAGGCTTCTGGCCCTGGAGGTTTTTGCAGAGAAGGGAAGAGGAATGGTATATAAAAAGAAGCCGTTAGAGAAGGGAGCTTTGTGATTTCTGAGCGTCCTGGCTGCCGGAGAAATTGCGATGGGGTGCATGTAGCAGACTTTACTTTTGAATGAAGTCTGATGGATCTACGCTGTCTACGGGTTACGATGGTCTATAGATGAGTGAAAATTATTGCTGAGAATATTCGGTCCTTCCAACCCAAATAAACCCCATAACGACCTCCAAGGTCCACTAGTTCTAACCTGCAGGGTTTGGAAGATGACAAACACCTATGTATCACTACCTAAAACACTGGAGCAGTCCAAGTCTTATTACCTTGGAAGCATTGATACCTAGGTATCCTGGGCGAAAGAGATACCCAGGTGAAAACAATAGCCAAGCCTCTCAGCGTTCGCGTGAATCAGACTCCGGTCGTCTACGAGAACGAGAACGATCCACTAAGATGAGCTGGTTGATATAAGGCTCAGACAGTAACCGTGACCCATCAAGGCTGCCATTCTGGCTCATGCGTACAGCTTCATGTTCCTCATATTCCCGTGACATGGCGGCGAGATCTTCAATCTGCTCCTGGATTCAAAAATACCATTAGCCTCATCTGATCTCTGGCCAACTACAAAGTAGAGATGACAGACCCGTGTAAGAGGCACGCCAACAATCATATAACCTTCTCGGCCCTTGGAAGGAATCTCCATTAGAACGGGGTTATCTCAGGGTGTGGTGAACTACTGGTGGCCCGATGTACCTGGTAACTATAGGGCCTGACGGAGGCAGACGGTCCGAGGAAGTAGTGGATGTGTCCGAGGACGATATGCCTGGATAGACCCCAGCCAGGCAGCCAGTATTGTAGCTCTTGTGACATGGTATTGGATTATGGCAGGCTGCCAGGCTGCTTTCATGGAGTGTCACAGGCGGAGTTGAAAGGAGTAGGTCATTCGGTGTCTTCCTATTCTTTTTTTTTTGTTATTTTCTGATCATTTTCAGGTATAAGTACTACAGGCGTCGATCTTTCCTTTTCTTTCTTTCCTCTCAATCAACCTTGGAAACAGGACAGTCCTTGACCTATAGAAGGGCCATAGGTCATAGTCTCGGCTGCAGCGCTTGTTAAAATTTACAAATGCCAACAGCCGCTGTTGTGGTAAACAGCCAATGAGCCTTTCCATAAGACACCTAGTCTAGAGAGCAACAGATCCATCCACCGGGCCTCAGCCAGACCTCAGGACTTCCCGAATCAAGAGATATGGAAGGCTCACGATGGGGGCATGCAAAAAGAAAAACAAAACAGCAGAGCAAACTAAGAGTGCATGATCCTAGGTCCCATACCTGGGCCAGCCTCCAGGAACAATGATTCAATTTGAAAGTGCCGGTAGCAAACGCATAAGGACCAAAACGGATGTGGTTGCTTGTCCGCCTCACTTTGCTTGACCTCAAAGTCCAGTCTTTCGGACTGTTTGATCTGGTCTACTTAGTTTTTCCTGCAAGTTTGGCCAACGTTCAATGACACTCGAGGCCAGTTTCAAAGTGAGGCTTGGGCCCTCCTTTTTGTCTTGTCTTGATATCGTGGCACTACGACTTCTCGAGACTTGCTAGGCCTGAGCTTAATGCATTCACACCTTTTCTGTTTATTTTGCCTTTTGGCTCGACTGATACGTGGCAGACATTCCAAGGTTTGGTTCAAATGTTCACTTTACCCTCATTTCACTCTAACGCACATTTACCTCTTTCACTTTACACTTAGTTCACTTCAGGCGCCCTTATACAGAAGATTGTCTCCAGAACTTGCTAACATATACTATTCTATATCACATCAGCCATCCCAGACTTCCTAGGTTTCCAAGGTTAGTATTGATTTGCTCTTTCACTCTATTGTACTCATGCTGTTGAGCTCATTCAAAGTATACGTCAATTTCGTGTATTGTGCTATAACACAAAACAGACATTAACATGATCCAGATGTTTTAACTTGATTTATTCTTCAATTACCGCCACAATGGTAGAAAACCTCGTTCAGTCCCTTCTAGGGCAGGTGAGAAAGAAGATTGAGCAAGAAGTCAAGAATGTTCATCTCCAAAAGGCCAAAAGGAACTAATCACCTTTACCAAAAGCTTTGAGCTCACAGAACTTCCAATACTGGCAGTTGGATTCCTCAGTCTCGAGATTGAGCCAATCTGCGGCCTCACAGAGACTGCGACTGATATCGAAATGACACAATTTCGGACTCAATGCCTAATGGATGAGATATTTTGTAAATAATTCAACAAGTTTTTAACAAGATATCAATATAACTCACAAATTTAGTGAAATTACTAGACTGCGCAAATTTCAAGTCTAGGATGGTACGACAATGTTAGCACTATCGCTAAGATCCTTCTCCAGAAGATATTGTGAGAAGATCCTGCTCATGAAGTGTCACCAGTTCCTTTTCCAGCCCATGTCACGGCGAGATTTTGATATTTCTCCAGAAACTCTCGAAATCCACTGTGGTGCATCTCAGGACGTCAGTCAAGTTCGGCAGGTCAACATCACCTCCAACCTTCTACCATTTCAGGAGATCCGACGCATAAATGAATAAGCAGGACTCCCCTCTGATAGTTTGCGTGCCTGTAGATTTTTCCTCTGGACTTCATCTTCGGATGGGAAATTGGGGCTACAGAGGCTGTCAGAGAGGTCTTCTTTTCTGGAGATAGATGAGCTCAGTCGAGACTGTTCGAACCTTTAATCTGCACACGGCTCTATGATTGAGGCATCCATCTCTGGAGGTAGGCTTAGTACCGACTTTTACATAATTTCGAGTGATTAGATGTCCAGTTTTGTGGTTGATTGGAGGACATCTCCACGAGTACATACCGCATTTGCTTAGCCCAGTGATACCAGAACATCAATAGATTATACAAACAACTGCAAAGCCTCGAGTCAAATAAGAATCAACATGCATGTATTACCTAGGTATTCTCTAGTTTCATTATTCATCCTGATACCTTGCGTACATATTTTATTTCAACCTATACCCTCACTGCGGAGGGATATAAGGCTGTACGAGCATCTCACTAAACTTTTCCAACTTCTCCTTTCCGCGCACCTCCTCCACCAACAATGGCATACGAACGACGTTGAAGTCCTCATACAGCTCCTCAATCTGCTCGAGGTACTTCTTCTGCATCTTCCGTCGTGCATTGCACTGCTCACAGCCACTTCCCTCCTTGGGGAACAGCAGCTGATTCACAACGATGGAGTGAGTGTCGATACCGTAGCTCGTCAATTCCTGGATCATACGTTCGGTCTCGTACAGCGACAGGAACTCTGCAATGCACACACACACGAACGTGGTCATGTCCGCATTCTTGAACTGTGTGTTCACCTCGCTGATAGTCTCGCGCAGCGATTCCATCTTCTGCAAAAGCTCATCCATGTTTTGTCCACCGGGCAGACCGCCACGCGCACCAAGGATAGAGTTCAGCATTGGGCCGAATTGCGACGATAGCTGCGAGAGCTTGGCCAGTGCCTTCTCCAGTACGGTGGGGAACTGTAAGAAGCGGAGGGTGTGGCCGGTCGGCGCGGTGTCGAATACGATGACTTCGTATGAGAGTGACTTGACTTGCTTTAGGACTTCGGCAAAGGACATGGCTTCGTCAACACCGGGGATCTGTGTGATGCATCTGGTTAGCGACCTGGAAGCACAGATTTGAGATATAAATCCCACTCACGCTAAATGCAAGATCTTGCATCATGTTTCCCATTCCCAACCCAGCCATCGGGTCATCCTGTCCATCTCCGCTAGCCAGCAGATCTTGGATACTTCCGTTGGGGTCGATCTCCATAGCGCTGAGGTTTGTGTAGCCATCGATAAGACGGGCCTCCTTGCCGAACTTCTGGCCGAAAGCATCACTCAGATTGTGGGCAGGGTCGGTGGAGATGAGAAGGACGGATTTGCGGACTTTGGCGAGCTGAATGGCGAGTGAGCAGGAGGTGGTTGTTTTACCCACTCCACCTTTGCCTCCGACGAAGATCCAGCGGAGGGTTTTTTGGCTCAAGACCGATTGGAGTGTCGGCTCCATGTCAAGGTCATCGCCATGTACGACAGCGGAAGACATAGCTAGTTGTGGGGAGAAAGTTGAAAGATGCGTAGAGGGGAAGGAGGCGTGTTCAAATCCAATAATGTTGCCCCGCAAAGCGATCGAACGTTCCGGAAGATGGTCTACACAACGACTTAGTTAGGTAATTTGAGTGATAGGAAATGGTCATTGATTTGAGATTTGAAATTTGAAATTTGAAGATGCCTTTACTGTCTGAATTCTTGAATTTAATACGCTAATCTGCCAGGTTGATCGCTTGAATACGGTCAATGATTCACAAGTAATAAATTGCTGATACTTCCAGGTTCCTCTTTCGTTTTATAGAATTGGTAAGATTACAATGTATCAAAATCAATCTCACTCAATAGCTTAATCTCGAGTTAAATCGGCACCTGGGTGAGCTCATGGCAACCTCCGCATCTATCGGTGCCCTCCGATACTACGATAGATATATAGTCAAATTCCCCATCTGATTCCCTCAATTTTCTCAATCCATACATATCAACCATAACTCTTTGCTATCTTCCATTGTTCATCTGAATGGACTCTCCTCAATCTCAGAGTCGCACCATAAACCGTCTCGCTCTCTACCAACAGCAACTCCAAACCCCTGCCTCTATAACTCCAACAACTCCAACTCCAAGCCAACAACCAACCATGGCCGCCCGTGATCCTATAACCTGTCACTGCCTCAATACTCTCACTGGAACTCCAGCCGCCAACCTCCCCGTCATATTGACGTTGTTATCTGCACCCGCATCGCCCTCTAGCCCCGTCACATTCCACGCAGTCACAAATGCCGACGGTCGTGTTGCAAAGTGGACATCCGCAACATCATCTGATAGTGTTCCTGAGATCCTGTCTGCACTACCTTCAGCAGAGAGCAAGACCAGTTGGTCTGTTCGCTTTGAGGTTGGACCCTGGTACGAGTCCCAGGGTGTTGAGAGCTTCTGGCCTGAGGTGGAGGTTAAATTCACTGTGAAAGGCCGTGGCCGTGAAGGAGAGGAGGACTGGCGGCACTACCATGTGCCTGTTTTGCTGGGTCCCTGGAACTATTCGACCTACCGAGGATCATGAGCATTGATTCCAATACAGATAAAAGGTGCATTACAATGGGAATGAATTGGCCTCGCTCTTGACGCTCTGCTAGGCTCGTCTACCTTGTTCAAAACCTGTAAAAATCCGAGTTCCATGCCCAGGTGCATTCTAGAGGTATCCTAACCGTGAAGCTAACATTGGAACCTTATTGAAAGATATAATTAATTTGGAAGTTTTGGATGTTTGGATCTTCAATTTTGGCAATCTGAGAAGTAATCATGTGCACAGTTGACCTTGTAACTGTCTGAAGAAGATTTTGATAATCTTAGCATTCAAAATATCTCGTTAAAAATTGAAATGTACCCCTGTTGAGCTGACTACCTAATAGGCTAATATGATCATATGTTTAGCGTTCGTATATAATGTCAAAATTCTCCAAAAAATCACATCAATTGGCAAGATGGCCGAGTTGGTCTAAGGCGCACGGTTCAGGCGATCACCTGATCCACACTTCCGTGTCTCGAAAGGGGCGTGGGTTCAAATCCCACTCTTGTCATATTTTTTTCCCCCCTCTTCATTGTTGTCCCAGCGGGTTTGTTAGAGTGGTACTTACTCCTTTTACCGCTTTATCTAGACTAGAATTTTATAGTTTTTAGATATTACAGCTCTGTATTAGGTGTGTAAAAATCATTTTAAATACTATAGGCGGTATTTAAAAATGGCAGAAAAATGGGGCTAGAAAGTACTGTTTTAACAAACCCACTGGGACACACCATAGTATGATCAATTCAAGCAAATATGAGTATTTTTGGATTTTTTTTTTTGAATATCTAGCTACGGAAATCACAATGGGCGGTTGAAAAAGTTATATATACCTAAGAAGGTACCTGGGAAAATAGTATATAAAAAGTGATTCCCTCAGTCTTCCAATGTTACCTAGGTAGCTCAAAGCTGACCTCCAGCCGCATTTCTGTTCCTGTTAGATACAACCAAATTAGTGCTGATCTTGGCGTTTGGGTTAGTCTTGTTGATAGATCATCAGAGCACCAATCACTGATAATAGCGCGTTTTCCCCTCGTCTCCAAGATTCCAATTTTCTTCTCCCTTTGACATGTTCTTAAAACACCCTGGGATTTATTCCTCGTTCTACCTAAGTACTGTTTGAAAAAAAGGCTCTCCAGGCTTTGGATTCGCATCTATGACACGCTCGTGCTACTACCCCGACGGTTCTATATCATCCGGGAGCGTGCCATGCAGTTCTGATGAGACTACCTCGTGTTGCGGACCATCCAACATCTGTCTATCAAATGGACTATGTCTAGATGCTACTCAGCCATTTGTTTTGTCCCGAGGTGCATGTACAAGCCGAAACTGGGGATCAGGCTGTCCGACCGAGTGCCGTTAGTTTCAATCTCTGCTCTCAACCCCACATGTTTCTAACTCGATATGACAGAGGATGTGTCCACAAACGAAGGTACATCTATCATCAATTTATCCTTCATCGACGGCGTATCTCTATACTGCTGTGGCACACCGATAATCAACGGATCAAAAATTGTATGTCCATACGGTGATAGTTTTGAGATTGACGACGGGACTATTCTGGCAGGGTATGCGGCACTTGCAAATGTCACCTCTTTAGATGCAGTATCGACTTCATCCAACCTTTCATCAAGCTCAAATTCAACGTTCTCATATTCAACCTGCTCAGATTTGTCTTCCTGTCACGACGTGGCTATTGGGGCTGGAGTCGGAGTGCCATTGGGTATCATTGCACTCGCAGCGTGTGCATGGGCATTCTACGAGAGATCACGGGCCAATCTGATGTTTTTTGACAAGAATAAAACGAAGACGCAGGAGCACGAAATGGCTGGTTCTGTATCATATTCGGCTATCAAAACTTCCACACCTGGGCTCACGGAGTTGGACACTGGTGGTCAACATACACCAGAACTGATGGCTAGAGAGTGATGGACTGGAGATACCCAAACTTTACCCAGAAAAATGTTTCTTGCTGTATCCCATCCATATCATCTCCCGCGAGATATGAAAAACAGTTCGATCATAAGGTAGACATCTGTATTCCAGAGGTCCTCCCTCGGATTTGAGTACGTCATGGATATCTGTATTTCAGAACAGCCTGTGCACCATTAGGAGGGGGACTAACAGATTGCTTTTTCACAACGATACAAGATGCTGGGCATATGTGTCCAGCCATAACCAGTCACAAAAACTCGGTAGCGCGATATTCAGCTTGACCAGATCATGGAAGCTCATCATATACGCGGATTTGCCCTGAAAGATTTCCTTTATCGCGAAACGTTGTATAGGACTAATTAGTACCTTGGTATTATCTGCCCAGGTGTTTTTGCTACCTATTCCAATTATAATTTTCTCCAATTTGTGCCGAAAATTGGTCCTAAAGCCTTCCAGGAATGTTGAAACTTCGACTTTAAACTTAAAACCTGAGATGAGCATTGAAGTGGTTCGTTATGAAAGTGGGTACAAGCTCTTAAGTCCAAGCTCCTGAGGTCTAAGGTTAACGACGTACTCGTACTCGTACCCGCAATGAGTCTAATGGATATTAGTAAGTTGTAACGAAGAAGAATGTATGTCAAAAAGAACCTTGGAAATGTCAAACTAAAACCTGTATACAGTAGCATGATCATGTGTCGACGTCAACGGCTATGACGTCGTTCAATCTGAAAGTATAAGAACCTCCGCATTCAACTACTTACACCCTTCACACAACCCTATTCCATCTTTCTCAATTATTTTACATCCTCAATTAAAACCACAATGTCTACTGTCCGATTTACTGCCATTGCAAAGTCCCGTGTGGCAACCACCCCCGCTTTATTGCAGCTCGGTCTATCTCATCTACCCCGAACTACCAGAAGGGTCCTATCGATGTGGGAAAGGACACTTTGAAGAAGGCCGATGAGCTAGCCGCTAAGGCTGCAATTAAGGGCATTGACGTTGGAGGTAAGTTCTACCTATCCCCATTTAACCCAATTCATGTCAATTGGAAGGGATGCTAACGTGGCTTGACTACAGAAAAAGCTGCAGGCAAGATTAAGGAAACTATCGGCTCCAACAAGGGCGAGGTCAAGGGAAAGGCCAATGAGGCCGCTGGTGAAGTAAAGGGAAAGGCACATGAAGTCGCTGGTAAGGCTAAGGAGGCCGCCGGTGAAGTCAAGGGAAAGGCTAAGGAGGCTAAGCATGAACACCTCGATTAATTTGTTGGATTCTACGCTGAAGAGCGAGTGGGGCTACTTGTATGATAATCATAAGGCATAGATATGCTCAGATACCGACAAGGTACTAAAATCAAATGATCCATGATTCCATGATATGCAACCGCCTAGATATGCTAGCTAAAATAACACCGAAGAAAACACGTAAGAGCTCAATCAAGCTCCTCTAAGCCCATGCCTTCCATACCACCAAGGTCATCCCAGAAGCTACTGAAATCGACCTTCTCTTCCTCAAACATCTTTTTGACCTGAAGCATGGCAGATCTTTGCCTCTCCGGGGTAAATCCACCAGGTTGTGAGCTTTCCCATTGAACCAACTCAACCCAACGGAAAAAAAGACTCTCCTTCCCCATATCAGTCAACTTATCCTTGAAAGCAAGGATCTGATCCCGCTGCGCAGATCTTTGGAGAGCAGCCGGTGTGTTATCGTCTCCGACTCGCCAGATCAACCAGCCATCTGAGTCGGTATGTACCAATACAGCGGTGCGGAACTCATCCAGCTGCACACCATCACCCTTGCGGGTTCGGTCAACCAACTTCTGTGCATGGGTCATCGCATCATAGTCTAGATTCCAGTCATCGTCCACAAGCAGATATCCAGTCTTTCCAATACGCTCAGGGGTAACGGCAGCCACAATCTTGTCGCGCATCGCCTCGTCATCGCGCATCCACGTGTTGCGTACAAGCTGACTACTCCAGCTGGAAGCACTGCGGCGAACAATAACTTCGCGGTCCCGGAATCCTATTGCGCGACGCCAGCGGACAGGGCCCAGGATGAAGTTGATCGGCCAGGCTAGGAACACGGTCACGAGGAAGTAGTCGATGAAGAGTCCACCCGTCCTCCGAATGATGAGTTGAGCGATATCAAACCATGACGTTGTCGATAAGTTGACACTAAGGCTGCTTTCAAGTCCAATAACGATCGCGATCAGCGCGGGGTACGTGCTGATTCCCATGTACACTCGTAGTAGAATGACGGCGGCAATTACAGCGTTGACCAGCGATGGTACGAGAAAGGCTTGCCATTTGAGGTCTGCCCCTGTTGTATCGATATGAACCAGATATATCTCTCCTGATAACAACGGCTCGACGAAGGGTTTCAAAATGTCCGGGACTTTCGTGAAGGGTGGGATGGGACCTAAGGATGCGGAGCTTGGAGTAGAAGACCCCGACGAGGCCGGTGTCTTTTTCCGGCGAGAAGATTTGGAAGATTTGGAGGGTTTAGCCATGGTTCGTAGGTATAGTAGTGGTTCTGCGATCGAATATGTGTAGGTGGCGAGAGCTCGATGTTTTATCGGGTTATGGAGATCGCTATGCAGTTCAAATGATCAGAGTTGACGAGCGGGTCATATGAGATATTGAAAACGATGGTCTCATGATTTGGCAAGTCAGACGAGGATGGAAAGGACAACATATGGAAACTAAAGGGAATTAAAGGTGTTGGCTCTAATCCCGATCGGGCGATGCGGGTCCTGTTTACTTACGAGTAAAAGTACCTCGTCATGCGGCTAGAATTCCACTGCTCCTTCCCACCTCGCGCAAGGGGGTTTTTAATTGATCGCCATGTCAACACACAAGAGCGATCTGGTCTCTCTAGCGCGTCACCATTATCCACCCTCCCCGTTTGGGCGCGCGAGAGATATCAACTACGAATTCGATCTAGATACCTCGAACTTCCCGACGCCCTCAAAACAGCATGGGACGCGTCCACACGGCTATCGAACCAGTACATTAGCAGGTGCTTATCAAGCTGCATCGCGTGTATCAATGGCAGACGGTATGGGTATCCAGATGCCAGCGTCCCCTAGTCCTCGACGCGCGCGAGATATGCCCGAAGCGCTCTCTCCTTCACCCCAACGATCGATCCCGCCCGATGAATTTGCGCATAACTACGGGAGGTTTGCCGAGGATGGAACCATGGAAAATCATGGGCACTTGGACGATTGGGATGGAACGCGCTCAGTTAGTCGCTTGAGTCAATCGTCATGGCAAGCTAGGGAAAGAGACATTGATGTAGGGTCGCAAAACGGCCTCGCATACTCTGAAACCAGCTTTCTGGACTTTACAGGGGCGTATTCCCCACGAAAAAGGAATGTTGATTATACAAAGGATGAGCAGCGCCTCCGACGCGTTACCGGGAGGGATTCTGCAGTTTTTAGCAAAGCCAAAGTTGGTCGAGCAGCTCTGACAGCGGAGAACCTGCAACGGCGCGAGGTGGAGGCGGAAGAGGATAAATCAGGACGAGGTCAACAGCAGAACCAGCAGCAAGTAATAGAAGATGATGGAGAGCATGGCCCTATCTTGAATGTACCGACCAACTGGGCTTCTCGAACAAGGACACGGCAAGATTGGACCAGAAACATTGATCAGCACAGACCAGAAGAAGATCAGCCGGAGCCAATACATGAAAATGGTATGCCTTCGTTGAGGATGGAAATTGACCCAGAGCCCAAACCTATTCGACTCTCTCCGCGTTCCCTTGCACGAAGTCGAATTCCACCTCGAAATACCCTCGAGAACCGGGTGAATGATCTCCGTCCGCGCCATGTACCGAAATCGCATAGCTACGATGAAGAGACCCTTGAACAAGAACGACATGCGTTGAGTGACGGCCAACCTATCCCCAACACACCGATCGTGGTTTATAAAAATTCAACCTTTATCAAGCCAACCCCGACAAAAAGAGACTCCCAAGATTTGTTACGCAGATTATCGAGAGCCGAAAGTCCAACCGTCGATCAACTTCAAACTCCAGAGCCGCCAAAGTTGTTTGAGAAACAAATCTACGATAAGACGCCTAAAGTCACAGTGGGCGGATGGGTTGATACTCCAATGCCCGAACGAGTGACTGAAAGAGTGACTGAAATTCCCGAATCGACCAAAGTTCCTACTCCTCCGTCGACACCTCCAAGAGAACGAGAAATTCATACACGGCAACCTGAACCGCCAACTGAGGCCCAGCCCATATGGAAGAATCAAAAATATGAATCCAACAATTCCAATGAATTGCACCAAGAAGAACCAAAGACAAGGAGGACAAGGCCTCCTTTGATCAGACCAAAACTTCCCAAAAGTGCTCTGGCAACACTTATAGAAGAAGTGAGCTCCGGCAAGGAGACGCTAGAGGGACTAGCAGTGGGTGACGATACTTTGGAATCTCTGCAAGAATTGATGAATGATCCGACGAGTCTGAAAACAGAGGAAGAGGTTGCGGCTTTTGAGAAAAAGGTTCTTGCCGAAATTCAACAAGTTGCCAGTTCGAATGAACACCAAAAAGTCGACGCCGATAAGCCGAACGATCAGGTGCATCGCTTGAATGGTGATAAACCGGAGGACTCAGTCGAGAAATCAGTTGAAAAACCAGTTGAAAAACCAGTGGAGCAATCAGTCAAGCCTGATGGAATTGAAAACACGTTGAAACCAGATCAAACGCTTGAATTACTCCAGAAGACGGTTGAAGAACTCAGGAATGGTATCAAAACCTTGGAGAAGAAAGTGACAACTACTACTCGGCCGAGCTCGCTCAAAAAGAGCCAGGAAATTGGCCATTCACATTCTCCCAGTGGAACTTGCGAGAAATGCTTTTCTTCTGATGGTCGTTTGTACGCTGCCATTCCTCTCCCTCGCCTATGGAAGCGAATGCCGCAGACTGGACGTCGTCAGGTGACCAAACTTGGCTGGTTCACAATAATATCATTAACCTGGTATGTCATCGAATGCCTGATGGTCGAGCAATACTCTCACCCGTTTGTCTCCAACACCTGCTCGGGCTATTGCCTCCGCCCTGATGCACCTCACTTTCCAGTCGTGACTGTGACCATGCTCTGGCGCTGGTCTCATCTTTCTTCTATACTCGCCCCTGCCTTTTCCATATTCGTGGCCTTTCTCCGACTCATGGCGCAGCTGCTCGGGTTATGGGATGGCTACGTGGATGAACCACCACGCTTGGGAAATCTCATGGGTGAAATTCGTATCAATGGTACTCCGGTAGCCTTTCCCTGGCTGTCATCGCCTTCAGCACAGTCAACACAAAGCAGGGTGCCCCCGCCACAACAGCCTGTCTGGACTGTACAACCCGAAGCCTCAGTAAAGTGGGAGCACGACCAACCCTCAATGGATGATGATGAGGTTCTCTGATGGAGTTTTTATTAGCATGGGATGGTGTGCAATTTTAGCGTAGGACAAATAGCGTTGATTTGGCAAAACTTACTTATTGGTTACTAATTGTGTTGAGTACAAAGTATTATTAACTAGAGCATACCCATCAATTCATAAATCAGGGCTTCTTAAGGTTGCTTGGTTTTGAATCCGGCAAAAGATACCTAGGTATCTGAGTTTGACAGTTTGCATGGGCATTTAAAGCACTCACCAAGTCATGATCTGTTTACTTTAAACTATTGTCTTGTATCCATTGATACCAGACCACCTTCCATGTAGATACACTACCTAGGTATAGATAGGTAAACCTCTTGAAGGTTGATAATTCCTTTTTGAGCCTTTCCTTACATATCAGCTATTAGAATCGAAACATAAGTGTTTCCCATCGATAGTGGAGATTTCAGTTGAAATCATCAAATAGTAATAGGTAAAAGCTTCTGTAAGTTCAAATAACAACACATTCAAAAGAAAAGACAAATGTAGAGCGAGTCTGGGGCCACGATGTACGATGTGTACAAAAACCAGCTGTGAGCTCTGGTATCCAGGGTCAAGGAGGATTTGACAGAATGGAAAGCGAAAAGGCGTGAGAGTGCGATAGTTGTTGAACGTACGTCGAATTATTCGCTCTTAAGTTGGTTGGTAGTGACCAGCCACGATTTCTGGTATCCAAGATCCTCCTTAGTCTTTCGCACCTTCTGGTTGGTCTCCTCCTTTCAGGCCTTCCGCTTGACCTCCATCAATACCTCTTCAGCCAAGATAGATTATGTTACGGTCTTGATGCTGAAGTGACATTATAGTGAGGTTGACGTGAACGTGAGTTGCATGACTTGCACATCTGACAAGCTCAGATCCAAGGAAGCTCGTAGTTTTAGACTGCTGCCTATTTTAAATGGCATTTACTCAATGCCTCGGACTTGGCCTTCAATGTGTACTCCTTAAACTTGTCCATGGCAGTAACGGTGAGTGATCAAAAGGAACGATTGTATCATGAAATCCATAACATCTCTAGGAAGATAGAAGATGCGGTTCCCAGGGATTGATGCACATAAGCCAAATCAGTCGATGTCGTTGAAATAGGGGCGCGTCAGCAATGATGGCCAGCCATAGCCTTGGTAGCAAAGCTTCAACTTGTATTAACAAGTATGGTGGAGCGATAGCAATGGTTTTCATGCCATGAGCCAAGAATCCTGGTATCAGAGATGAATGAGGATTCAGTCACCAGCAGACACCCTCTATAATGCATCTCTCTGCGTTTGGCCTCTCTTGGTTACATCACTTTTATATTCTTATCACAATCTCAAAGATGGTGAAAGTGAGAGCAACGCACGTTCAAGTTCCCCTCTCTTTCATGTCATTTCGGCATCAAGGTGAGAAGGTGAGTAGACTGATTTGATAGAGTCAAGAGAGCGTATGGAGCACTAAATGCTACTCCAAGAGAAACAAAACAGAGTGCACGACAGCGGCAGTAAACCTTAAAAGCGTCATGATAGGTAGGTATGCCGGATTGGATAATCATTACCATGATGAAGGCATAGTTGATTAAGGTTAAGAAGATGAAAGATATAAGAAGGATGAAAGGAGTAGTAGAGAGAAAAGAGATGTTAGTCGATAATCAGGATGGTTGAAGTGACGTGACAACCATAGAATAAAACGAGAGTAATGTAAAGTGGTACGCTAACTGAGACAGGGAGAAATGCCGAGCATATTAGAAAGATTCTGTTGGTATGGGGAGCAAAAGAGACGGATTTGATTGAGAGAATGTAGGGAGCACTCGCTGGGGAGCATTCGTTGTCATTCCAAGAAAATCAGGACGGACCAGGCTCTGATACGGCAGCGACAACAAGCTTAAAAAGCACCATAACATATAGGTATGATTGGATAAGGGTCAAAATGAAGGTGAAGCAAAAAGAAGGGAAGTATCAAGGTTTAGAAGGTGAAGGATAATGGGAGGAGAAGGGTTTAGGAGAAAAACTGATAAGTGAAGGAAGATTGGCATATGTAAAGCAGCAAGGAAGTGTCTCACTGTCTGATTGATTTATCGACAAGTCATAACTTTTCGAGGTCATCAGTATAGATCACTGTGCCTAGTCATAAGTGATCAAAGAGATGAAGAAGGGCCTGAGTGGATCATGATGACTTCAAGTAGTTTAAAATAACCTTGAAAAAATCAATGAGCTGGAGGGTTTCAGAGGAGAGTAAAAGCGCAAGAAGTTGTCAATTATTGGTAAGGTTCCTAAATATGAATTTTCAAGAAATAATCTTGTAATGGGGACCTCTGGAGAGCCCTACAAGAAGAGTAGTGGTTCGTAATGGGTAGGTCTTTATTTTTTGATAGAAGATCATGGCTCTTGTTTATAAGGTAGTGGATTCTCAAGAGTAGTGAGCAAGAGGGCATTCCTCCAATCCTCCAAAATACTACCCTTGACCTCTGAAATTGAATAGTGTGGGTATCGTACAAAAGAATATGACCAATACATATCTATGGATATTAAATCCTACAACTGTGACTGCTCAGGCGAAGCCATCTGCAATTCCTTCTCACAATGCACCCTAAACTCCACTGCTCTCTGCATCAGCACCTCAACCTGCTCATCACTGACCTCACAGGCCTCCTCCAGTGGAATCTCCCGTGTCTCCCGTAACTTGAATCCCAGCCAAGTGAGGGTCCCAGTTGGTGTAACACGGCCAGCGGCAGCATCCCGACAAAAGCCAGATATGCTCTCGAAAAACTGCTTTCCTGTCGGTGATTCTAGCATAATCATTCCATGACAGTGTGGCATACCTTCAAACTGTTCTGCAACGACCAATGATCCTGCCTGGTGGATGCGCCGAGCTAGAATCAACCCTTCATCTGCGAGTGACTCTTCACCGACGGAGACAAATACAGGTGGGGAATCCTTCCAGTGCTCGGGACGAGCGGCGAGTGGTGAGACAAGTGGGTGGTTAGTTGTTGGAGCGTTGACGTACATATCCACACGCTGCGGGGATACTGGCCACGCCGCATCTGGTGGGAAGGGAATTGGCTTGAATGGAGTTGGGTCATCAAATGACTGGACGGGCATACTGATGTAGTCGAGTTTGGCATTGTGCACGACGGATGGCATAGAGCGTGAGATATCACACCATGGAGAGATAGTTGCTACTCCGGCGGGTAGTTCGATGGATACATCCTTACTATGGAAGCGAATCGAGCGTGATGTGCGTCGAAGAGTGAGGAGCGTCTGCAGCAGGACCAGCGATAGGTTGCCGCCGGCGGAGTCACCTGCTATGACGATCTTGTTTGGTGGGACTGGGTCGTGCAGTGCTCCTGGAGGAGGATGAATTAATGAGAGGTAAGCTGTCAGGGCATCGACCAGCGCTGCTGGGAATGGGTTTTGCGGTGCTAGTCTGTATCGGACCGAGAAGACGGGTGCGCCTGTCAATCGAGACAAACGTGCAACAGGCACACGGTGAGTACAGGGGTCCATCATACTGGATTAAGGTCAGATATCAAAAACTCAATTATATCCCAATAGAGAGACCTACAAGTATGCGCCGCCGTGGAAATAGAGTATGGTCATATCAGACGATACCTCCTTTCGCATCTCGTGGTACTTCTGCTCCTCCGAGATATCAGGTAGGGGTGCGTTCTTATCCACGCCAGATCGGTAACCTGTCCACTCAGCTTCTACATCAGCGATAGCTGGAATATCAAACGTCACGTCGCCGGTCTTGAGATCCTCAATGGCTTGGAGAACGGCATCGCGCACGTCAAATTCAGGATGTGGCATGGTGACCTTGGATACCCACATGGGACCCTTGATCCCTGGGTCGCGCATGCTATCTTGCTGGGTCTTAATGACCGGAGATGAGAAGGTCAGGAATGAGCGGATTATTGTGACGAGTAACTCAGTGCGCAGGCTCTGCTTCCCTGTTCCAGGGGACATGCGAATGCTATGGAGCAGGAGGGTTTTTAGGATCAATGGTATCCGCATAAAAAGCTCCTGAACCTTGGAGAGTGTATCCATTTTGAAGGGTCGAGCCTTAAATCCCTTGATCAGAACTTGAGATGGTACTGTGAGTGTTGTCAGAATCAACTTCGTTGTCGAGGGAAAGTGCCGAGGTTCGAATTTAGTAAACCCACGTTCCAAAATAAACTTGGAACGTTTCAATACTAAATACGTCACATCACAGCTTAGTTCAACTCCGTTCAATAGCTACCCACCAAAGTAGATTTTATAGATTTCAAAGAATCGATTGAACTTCATTTAAAATGCATACTACCAAGCATTGAACTAATTATACAACCGGATACATAGATACTAGATTTGATCCGGATTGGTCAGAATTGGAAGTAATTATTCTAAGCTATACACATGAGCAGTATGATCGATCATATTCATATAGAACTTGATATCTCTACAGATTTGCCGCATGTTCGGCCCTCTTCAGCGCTTCGACAGCCTCGTGGAAATCCGGGATTTCGCTCGCCCTCGAGCAAGCTCCTCCCCATCGCACAATGCCTTCAGCATCCACGGCGAAGCTCCCAGCAGTCTGCCATCGGCTACCACTTTCAGTGGGTCGGTTCCAGATGCCCTCATCTCGACCTAGCTGGTAAACCTCCCACAGACCTGCGGGGTTCAACACGTGCCATAGCGATGACACACCGAGTCCCCACTGTGCGAAAAGGTTACGCTTTGCATCGACAATAACCTGGACGGAATCTCCAGCGCCGCCGACAGCTTCGAGCCATCGTTCGGTGGAGGCCTGGTCGCTGTGAGAGACTGCAACAAACCGAATACTGGGTGTCTCTGCTGCGATAGTTCGGAGGGCTATGAATGTCTTTTCGGCGACTGGAGAGAAATATTAGCGATTGAGTAAGATGATATCTGATATATGGATATACGGACATGGGCAGCCACAGTGCCGCAAGAATGTTACTATAATTGGGCGCCCATCTACGTCAGGAACGAGGAGGCGTTCGGAAGAGTGCGCCTTTGAACCAATCACAGGTACTGGCTTAGTTGCTTTGGCTTCCGGGGTTCGCCAAGAGGCCAATTCTTGCAGGAAAGTCATTTTAGTGGGATCTTGCACGATGTAGAGAGTGTAAACGGCGGACCTGTGAATTGCCTTTTCTAGGTAGTTTTGCCCTTTTAGGGTTAGTGCCATAATACGCTGTTTTGTATCTCCAGTGATAGTGCGCGATTACAATCAAAGCGCCACACAGGGTGATAATCCCGAATGGTCCACACCAGATGGATAGTTATGTCATTGACTAGGAAGGCGACACGTTTGAGTTTTATGCCAGTGGTTATTCAGATATTCTTGTACATGATCGACAGTGGCGTTCGATACGGCTACATCTGCACGGGGAGACTCTGTTTTTCTCCATATTCTGAAGGATGATCCCAAAGTTGATCAATATTTCCTGTGTATCCCGAATCAAGACGTGCAGCTAAACCATGAGTGACGCCTCTACCGGATAGCCATTGGTCAGGTGCTTGCGTTCACCCTTAAGTGCTGGCCGCCAAAGCTCCGTCTTAAGAGTGGCATGGTGCGGCACAGGGCAAGCTAAAGACCTGGGAGGTCGAATACCTGGACGTGTTGAGATAAAATTCCCGAAACTCTCTGTAAAGACCCGCCGGCCTCCAATTATCGACCTTCACACTGGAAATTAGAGCCGAAAACACACAATACACGATCCCGTGCTCGCTGCCAACCAGACATGTCTACTACGAAGCACTAGCCGACAACGGCAGTGATGAAGAATTGCATTCGCCATCCACTGCAGCAGCGGGGGGGGGGGGGGGGACAAAAAAAGACCTCTCAAAAAGATGGGCAATCTTCACGACCCTACTATACCATTACCTGCATCCGCGGCATGGTCAACCGAGACCCTCTGGATAAAGAATGACCCAACTGGAAACTCCACGGTGGACATAAGACACTCCATGGGACCGCAGGAGTTTGCACGCCGTATTCCCGCCAAATTGCCTGAAACCGAAACCATTGGGTTTAAACAACTCCGCATCTGTGGTTTGACGGGTTACCTTGTCAAAGCTAGGTAGCCATTTGATTGATATTGACTTGGAGGAAGTGAAATGGTTGAAGTACCCTCGTGCCTTTAAACCAATGTCTGGAAATGCACGGCTTGGTCATCGCGCGAAGGTGGGAAAATCCGGGGAAAATGCTCTTGTCCAGCCCAACCGCTGTTTGTACATGACACCCCTAGGCCCATGGCTACGCCTCATTTGAGGCGATTCATGTTCTCGCCTTTCGATAACGAGGCGGAAGGAAATTTTGATGAGCGACCGCACGTTCTGCTACTGGCCATAAAAACAATTTGTGCCGATTGTGGAAGGTGTTCTCAAGATATGTGATGAAAGATCTGGAAGGTGATTATTTGGCGCCTTCAAACATATATTCCCTTGATACGGCTTTCTCGACCAATTTCCTCCTAAGGATCTCACTTTTCAGTTGTCCCCGGTTCCCTTTTTCCCTCCCTTCTCCTCGATACTTTGCTTTGATGAGATCCCTCAAAATATTTGTATTAAGACCAATAGAAGAGATATAGAGGTTTTCTCGGTGCTCTTTGACCACACAGTGAAGGATAAGCAAAAACCCTTATACCAGAAAAGAAATGATCCATCCCAAGGAGAAGAGGTCAACGGCTTTTTCTTTGTCGAACCTGAGTTGTTTGCCCGCTATAGAGATATTACATGAGCAATCAATCAGTGGAAATTATGGACAAATCCATGGATGGTTGGTCAGCTATCCAATCAACTAGCATATCATATGCCTCGAACTATTTAACTATCGATTCAACCTCAGGTCTTCAACTGATTACTACTTAGTATTTAGAAGCACAAAGCCTAACAGGCTAATCATATATTGCCAGCCGTATATGAAAAACCTATTCAGGACCTGATCTGATCTGCACATGAATCTATTGAACCCTAGAAAAACAAACGGATTTAGGGTTCAAGGCACGTGGGTGATTGTGGCCTTAGATGTGAGGTGCTTATGATGTCAGTCTATAGATGACGATAACAATTTGAACAATTTGATCCTCCTATTAAATCTGCTACAAAACTAAAGAGCACAGACAATCCCAGATAGCCTACGTATCTGTTGATATCCGTTTCAATGTTACTCTGGAACTGGATATTATAGACTCCCAAAATGATTGGTTTGCCACGAGGTAAGCCGTTTATGGTTTATCCAATTATACAGTACAATATGGGTCCAGGAACGAAGGTTCCAGTCTCTTACGTGTTGACATCCACTTGACAAAAATGACAAAAAAAAGCCTGAAAGCCTGAAAGCCGCTAGTTTATGATTAAAGATCGGCAAAGATCCAATTCTAATAATAAATCTAGGCGGAATCCACTTTCTTTCATTCCCGTGATTTTCCTTTGGGCCCTTTTTTTCCCTTCTTCTCTCATGTTGGACCCTTAATATCTCTTCGGTTTCCTGAATGCCGATTACTCATTCGTTCAATTTGTGACTTTCCCATCCCTTTGGGTCCTTGGGGTCGCGATGAATCCAAGTCAGACCCTGCAGCTCCGCGAAACTGATACCTCTGGTACTGATAAATTTCTAAAACTCATCGCGAGTCCCTTTGAGTCAGAGGTAAGTGCGGTGTGTGATCAACAATGTCAATTATTAACTCAATGGGATATAGTTCACAGTTAGTGCTGTCTGGGCCTCACTAGGTACTTCCGTCGGCGTCTCCGTCCTTTTCACCCTCCTCTTCTCCCTTTTTCGACCTCATCACACTCTTGTCTATGCCCCTAAGATCAAACATGCCGATCCTAAGCATACACCACCAGCGGTGGGTAAGGGGATATTCTCTTGGATCAAACCGGTTATCCATACCCGGGAACCCGAACTCCTTGAGACTATCGGATTAGACGCTACTATCTTTCTACGCTTCACCAAGATGTGTCGCAACATCTTCATCATTATGAGTATCATCGGATGCGCGATTATGATACCGGTCAACGTCATTGAGAGCCGTAGCAATAGCTTTACTGAATCTCTGTCAGCGTTCAGCACGATGACACCCTTGTATGTGACCAGCACAACCGCCATTTGGAGCCAGGTAGCATGCGCTTGGGTTTTCGACATTATAATCTCCTTCTTCCTTTTCAGGACCTACCAGGCCGTGCGAAAAATGCGACGACAGTATTTTCAAAGCTCCGACTATCAACGGAGTATGCACGCGCGAACGCTGATGATCACTGATATCCCACCCTCCGATCGCTCCGATGAGGGTATCCTGCAAATTACCGATGAGGTTAATCACACAGCCTCCCTTCCCCGTGCCGCTATTGGCCGTAACGTCAGAGACCTGCCTAAACTCATCAAGGAACATGAGGAACATGTAAGGAAACTGGAGTCGGTATTGGCGAAGTACCTGAAGCGCCCCGACCAACTGCCCGCGAAGCGGCCCCGTATGCGCCCTCCCCGAAGTTATCGTAAAAAGAACTCCGACGGTAAGGTGGATACGATCGACTTCCTTACAATACGCATTCGTGTACTCGAGGAAGAGATCAAGCACGGACGAACGTCAATTGATCGCCGAAATGCTATGCCATTTGGATTTGCTAGTTGGGAAAATATTGAACATGCACATTCGGTAGCATGGAATGCCCGCCGAAAACATCCCATGGGCACCACTGTTCGACTTGCTCCGCGACCAAACGATCTAATTTGGGAGAATTTACCTCTTTCAAAGCCCGCGCGTAAGTGGAAGCGATTTGCAAATTTCATCTGGGTCACTGCATTGACTGTTGTGTGGATTGTGCCCAACGCTCTGATTGCTGTTTTCTTATCCGACTTTTCCCATCTGGGTTACGTTTGGGAAGACTTCGACAATTTGATTAAGGCCCAACCGAAAGTCTGGGCTGCCATTCAAGGTATTGCATCTCCAGCTGTTACCTCACTTGCCTATTTGGTGCTTCCGATCATCTTTCGACGCCTCTCTATTCAAGGTGGCAGCAAGACGAAGACTTCTCGCGAGCGACACGTCCTTGGCCAACTTTATGCCTTCTTTGTTTTCAACAACTTGATAGTGTTCTCGCTCTTTTCCGCGGCGTGGACTTTCGTGTCAACGGTGATAGATAAGAAAAATGATGAGAGTACCTGGAAGGCCATGGTGGATGGACAGCTCTATTACAAGATGATCAGTGCCTTGTGTAATGTGTCTCCATTCTGGGTAACCTGGCTTCTGCAGCGCAACCTGGGCGCCACCATTGATCTCGCACAGATGATCACTGTCGCGTGGGTATGGTTTTCTAAAACGTTCTTGTCACCCACACCTCGCCAGGCAATTGAGTGGACGGCACCCCAACCCTTTGACTACGCTACCCACTACAACTACTTCCTGTTCTATTCTACAGTCGCCATGTGCTTCGCCACTCTGCAACCAATTGTCTTGCCAATAACCGCATTGTACTTTGGTCTTGACGCCTTGTTGAAGAAGTACCTGCTCCTGTACGTTTTCGTGACCAAGAATGAGTCCGCCGGTGCGTATTGGCGTCCCTTGTTCAATCGTATGGTGTTTGCAACCATCTTGTCCAATATCATTATTGCCATGGTCACCAAGGTCAAGGGCACTTGGACTATGGTCTTTTGCGTGATCCCGCTGCCATTCTTAATGATAGGCTTCAAGGTTTACTGCAGTCGGGTTTTTGATGCAGACATCAAGTACTACCGCCGCGGTAATCTGACTGATGCTGAGGCTCTGGCCCCTGGTAAACCCGGCTTCAGCAAGAAGGCAGCCGAAAAGCTTAACGCCAAGTTCGGCCATCCAGCTCTTTTCAAACCGCTCATCACTCCCATGGTCCACGCTAGGGCAGCCGAGGTGCTTAAAGATATCTACGCAGGCCGTCTAGAGTCTGGTGAAATGGCTGGCGAGTATTCAGACATTGCCATGAATCCAATGCTTCCAAATGAGCCCGGCAAGATTGACGAGGCAGCACCCTTCGAAGTCGTTCCCGAGAACCATCTAGACTTCTCATACTTCAAGGATCGCTACGAGTTCCAAGAAGAGTTCGGCGGAGGCATCTACGGCAGACCAGAAGATTTGATGACAGAACGCTCGCACACCCCACGCCCAACATTGGGAGCTGAGTGGTCACCCACGTCATCGCGTGCTTCTTCTCCCGCCCCATCACATGAAGGCCGTCAATCTCCCCATCCAGCCTTCCATACACCGCTATCACAGTTATATAACGCCGACCCAGTTGACGAAAGCGAGTCTAGACTCCTCAATCATGCACAGGCCCCTGGGCAGGTAGAGTCGGCCTCTCCACTTGACCGATGGCGGTCTGGTGGCTACGGCCCCGTGTACCAGCAAGACGAGGAAACCGAGGACACATCGTATGATGCGTACCGACAGGGCAATCGCTAATCTTGATAAAAGCATGTACATACATTTGTTGTTTCTTTATTTCATCCAGCACATTTCCTTGTGGTGTAGGGTGGTTGTACAGTTTTTTACTTTCTGTTGCATACGATACCATGATTTTTATGTTTTTGTATTGATCAGTGGATGGAAGGACCCATATCGAGCTATGTAAAAATTATAATTCATCTGTTAAGCCATTATCTACTCGCTAGGAGCTACTCCTAGCTTCCACTGTGGTAGGATTCGTAGCAGAAGAAATCCACATAGGTATTTTTCTCGCGGACTCATCGACTTTAGAGATTGTGGTGGAAACAAGCTTGGACTAATATGAGATCTTGAATATGTGATTTTTTGAAATTTCAATTTAAACTTATCAAACAAGACACATCCTGCTGCTCGTTATAACCGCATTTCCTATCATTACAACTCATGAGATTCATTAGACTGAACAAATTTCCTCGCTCTTGACAACGGGACCTTTTGAATCCATATCATACTCTTTCTCAGCGGGCAGGCCATCAACCTGCTGCCCATATGGAAGGCGCTTAGCCACCTTGACAACATCAAAGATGCCTTCCGAAAGTGCAAAAATTCTGTCCATCTCTTCAAGGCTGCGACCAGATGTTTCAGGAAAGAGATAATAAATCAGAGGTACCATGACCGCATTTAACGCGGCAAAGATAACAAAGTACCCTTGGTGCATGTAGGTCAGCGCAATCGGAGTAATGCTGGTGACAAGGATACTCAGAGCCCAAGACACGCTGATGCTAATACTGCTGATGATTGTGCGTAAATGCAAGGGTGCAACCTCGGATACATAAAGGTATGGAATTCCGCCGAACCCAATGATATAGGAGAAATGGAAGAGGAATATGAAGACTACCGCTCCGTGCATGGCCATTGTGTTGTTAGTCTGTGAGCCTAGACTGGCGACGAGGGCTAAGCAGATTGCGTTGCCGATTGTACTCGCGAGCAGCAGTTTTCGTCGACCGAAGCTTTCAATGCTTGCCACGCATACTACGCCACCAATCGGACCTACTAGCTGGAAGACTCCGGCGAGAAGTAAGGATGTGGATTGGTCGAGGAGTAGATCTTCCTCGAAGATTTCGCTTACTATAACACAGAAATTTAGAGCTTATTCAATCGGTACCCTGTCCAGGGGGTAAAAACTTACTATAGAAGGTCACCACTGAGACGCCGCATGCTTGAAGGAAAGCCATGGCACCAATCCCAAGCATGGCTCGGTGGAATGTTCTTTGAGGACCCATGCTGAAAAAGCTTTTGAAGGATGTGGCTCCGGCCATCTGGAGTGAGTTCAGTACATCGTTTATCTTTTTCTCGATAGACTCGTCCCCAGTATCTGCGTCTTCCAGAGCAGCCAAGATATAACGAGCCTCAGCCACTCTATCCTTTCGAATGAGCCATCTAGGCGATTCAGGAAGCAGAGTGATGAACCCAAAAACCGTCATCGAAAGCAAGATTGTCAAGGCAGATGGAAGCCTCCACGCCACACTACCCTTGACGAAAGACATTCCATAGTCTAGAAAGAGTGACATGGCACATCCAAGTCCACTGAACACACCCTTGGTGACAACGTGAGCACCACGCTTATTAGCAGGGGAGATTTCGGACTGCCAGAGGGGAATAGTGGCAAGCAAAAACCCAGTCCCCACGCCCAGAAATAATCGACCCACCACAAGTTGAACAAGAGTGGTTGCACTGGCTAAGAGAACAGATGCTAGAATCTGCACAAGAGAGCCTGTCATGATAGTTCGTCGACGACCAAGCTTATCACCGAGCCATATACATGACAAGGATCCTAAAAATCCGCCAATTGTGTACACAGCCACCACAACACCCTGAAGTGTGGATGCTTTGGACGGATTTCTAGAATGGGCGATGTCGATCTGGGGAAATTCGTCTTCGAAAGGAGTCATTGTAAGCATCCCGCCGAACAGGGCAGCATTGTAGCCAACAGACAGAATTCCAGGCATTAATACACCTAGAATGGCGGCTATTTGCAGCTTATTGCCGCGCAGGCCGAGGAAAGGTGCCATGGCGAAGAGTGCGTGCAGAAAATCGGTCTAGCCACGAGTTATAGGTCAAATACGATCGGGATCACCCTTGTTGTAAAGACGGATGAGCACCATCTTTATGTGAAATGACACCTAGTCACTATCTTGATTTCTCATCGTTTCTTTCGGCATGACCGTAGGATTTCGGAAAACTCGGAGTCTAGATTGTTGGCGGCATGGCGCATTCCATTCTTCGAGTGTTGCATGGCGCATTTCAAGTATTCCAAGTGGCGAACTAAAACGAGGGACCCTGACATGAATCAGAGATATTTCCTGGAAGAGGAGAGAGATGAGGCTATGCCTGTCAGTCGATGCTAAAAAATCCAGTTTGCCGGAGATCATACAGCTGAAGCATGTACATGTGAATAGTATAGACACTGTGGATCTTATATTGGCTAATTGTGTATTACATACTTAAGTGCGGAACTCTAAAAAGCCTGTGAAATAGCTAGGTAACGTTTAGAGGGGCCAATAGGATGACTTGTGACCTTGACAGGCTGTCTAAGAGTGGTATCTTCCCTTATGGTTTATGATATAGACTCTGGTCATTTGTTTCAAGGTTTGCCCCTTGGCTCTATAGCTGTACATAGGTACCGAGGTCAAGGGATGGTGCTTGTTAAGCCTAGCTACTCTTTATTTATATAGTTAAGTTATGCTTTAGGACTCTTGAAGTATGACAAATACAGATTGTAAGACCTTGAAACAAAGATGCCGATACTTCTCGGCATCCGATCTCAGCATGATTTCTAGAGCGCATAACAGCCACGAAAGATCGATTGCTGCTTCCACATATGGAATCTATCCTTCATAAAGTTAAAGAATGCTCGATGATATGCATATTCTTCATTATTGGCTGGTAACCTCCGATGAATCCTTTCACTATGAAGTGGCTAGTACATATTAGTGGAACTCATGCAGAGCCACTGGGTATTAATTGCCCCCTCCTATCATAATGCTTTGGAATTTCAGATATGCACCTCCAGTTTCTCACGGGTAGACGGCTTCTGTACCTCCTTCGTGTAAGGAGCTTGAACCTTGCAGAATATGAAGAATGCCAATTCGGCAATCACTAGTTCCGATGTCTCACATTTATCTTCATCAGTACATAAATGGTTTCTCATGAGCATAATCCTTCCTGCCGTGACATAATCTTGAGCTTTCAATCCCCTTACATGTCACGGAAGTTTTCCGAGCTGAGCATTGAGCTTTATGAGCTTCAATTCTGCGGGCTTTTGATGCCTTGCACCGATTATGGTCGTGTCATGTGTCTATTTTTCGGTTTATCATTCCTTTCAACATGATTCTTAGGTTTCTTGGTATGTATCATCTCACATGAATCTTATTATGTATATAGACTAATTTAGAATTTAGGGGTCCACGGGTGGAAGTACCTATGTATTTAGTCATTATTTACCTAGATAGGTAAGTGTGTTGCATCCCGGCTGATCAACCTGTGAAGTCACAGACCTGTCTTTAGTTTAAAGGGATCGAAGCTCTTCATCCACCGCTGACTATCAAGTTATTTAGGTCGTTTATGTCATTTATTGAAGGATTTGGAGGAATCTGGTGATCAGGTGGTAAATCCACTCTCAATCTATGAATCAAAAGTCACTCGGACTAATTTAGCCCTAAAATCGGAATTAAATGTAAACTTCTGTAGAAAACTCGTCAATTGACAATAACTATGCTCCTTTTAGTAAGTTACAATGGAATTTTAATATCTCTTACAATATTCGCGGCTCTCCAGGGATTGAAAGGACACATTGGAGAAAGTGGGTAAATAACATTTATGTATAGATTCCGGAGCTGCCGAAGTCTCAAGGGCTGTGACCACAGGCTCAGGTTGCTATATAAGATTTATGTACGATATACTGTATACCTATGTAGTTCCAAAGTTTATACTCGCCTATGTATCAGGTATTCAAAATAGAACGGTTTGCAAATAAAACATGACTCTATTCTCGATATCACTAGATGTCTACGGGTTGGTCATTGATACTTTGAAAATTGGCATATACTATACCTACTACTTCACTTTTGTATTTTCATCCAGGGCTTCTGGGTACCTAGGTAGGTATTTATGTGCCAAACCATGAGAATAGTGATTCCCCCAGACCATGCTCTAAAGACTCACCTGCTAATTCTTCCCAGATGTAGCGCTAAGTGAACATTTCAAGATGGTTGAAGTTGTTCCGAAGTCTTCAATTCGTCATAGTACTAGAGATAAAACATGAGAAAGCAAGATAACTTCCAAGATAGTGTCATACTAGGGTCCGGTCGAACAGCCTGAACAGGATAAAGAGCCTTGGAAGACCAACCGAAGTTCCTATGTACCTAGGTACCTAGGTAGGTACATATGTACGTCAAGTTCTAGCCCTAAAGTCGATGTTTGCTAGTATTATGGGGATAGCATGTGACAGACCCACCTGGGCAGCACTTGATTCTGTATTGAAATAAATTCAAGTAGAGAATGAGAGATGCAAATTAGAGATTTAAAGGTGAGGAAATTGCAGATCTTATCTGTATTGTGATACTGGATTATCAGATTGATTAAATTGATTAAAAACAAACTTTGATAGTTGATGTTCCTGCCTCGGTCTTCGTGCTTAGCTCCAGCTCCACAGCATCACTGGATACTAAACCTCCGAGCCCATATTAATATCTGACATTCGATTCCCGCTCCTCTCTAAAATCAATTCCCACTAAAATCACAATCGACGCCCTCAGCTCCGACACCCGCCGCTTTTTGTCCCCGCATCCCACCCTATAACCGGAGCTGTACGGGACCGACGCGCTCTTCCGATCCTATATCCTGCTGGCTGCACCGCTATCGCTTTCTACCTAGGTACTCTGTACACTGTTGGTTCACCGGACACGTCAGCCTGTGCTTCCAGACCCTTCCTCCCGGGTCATGGGGGAGGAATCACGCAATAGAGCAACAACTCGATCTGGAGATCGATACCCCGTCATAGCTTAGGACTCGGGAATCCGGATAACATCCAGGACTAGTGATAACCCTCTCCAAGACGAACGCGAAAAAGAGAAATAGAACAGAGTTCCCAGCTATGCCGTGGTATTCTATCCTTCCGCCGCAGCTTATCCAAATTGAGATCTGGCTGGTCCGGATCTTTGTACGTTTACTCTATGTATTCGTCACTGTTCCTTCCAATGCGCTAACTATCGCGTCACTATAAGTTATTTCTAGGTCTCTTTACGATCTTCCCATGGGCAGCACTCATTGTCTTCGACGCCGGGCTTTATGTGTATCGAATGGTTCTGTGGAACTTTCCCCGGTTCGGAGGACGCGCAAGTGGCAGACAACGACCCCGCGCACCGAGTTTGAATGAGCGGCCCAATGGACAGCTGCGCACATTTGGGCTGCGTGGTGTAGAGATAGAGACTGATACTGATACTGGGAAGGGAGGACATAAGTCGTTACCTTGCGAAGCAGTCACAGACACAATCCATGAGCAGGCTGGGCTGGTAGGGAAAGAGAATGTGTCTCCTACTGCAAATTGGCGAGCGCATTCCAATGCGGGAGGTGACCTAAAGCATAGGCCATCTACGCGAACATGAATGGCTCAATTACTTGAATATTATTATCTTAGTTATTTCCTCTTATTGGCGTCCGCTTTTATGTTTATGATGTTGACTCGAACTACATGATACCCCGTAACCGTCGTGTTTGTGCAATCAGGGTTGATTGCTGGTGGTTTCATTATATCTATATTACAAGTATTTCTAGAAATATTTTATACTGCGGCCCTTTAACGAGGCCGCAATGAAACAAATCTAATATTTTGTTCTTGACATTGTCGTTAATATCTACTTTTAAGGTATGTCGCTTTACAGGCGCTCAATGACCTTGATCAGATCAGCAGTGACACCCATAGCAGTGACATCACCACCAGCTCCAGCACCCTGCACAATGAGGGGATTGGCACCATAGCGCTTAGTGTAGAAGCTAATGATGTTGTCGCTACCCTTAAGACCGGCGATAGCGCTGTCCTTGTCAAAGTACTGCAGACCAACCTTGACAGCCTTGGTCGCAACATCAATGCTACCGACATATCGCACGACCTTGCCCTGCTTCTCAGCAGTGTCCTTGACCTTAGCCATCTGGGCGTCGAACTCTGGCAAACGGGTCATGAACTGCGTAATGCCATCGGCGGACGAAGGCAGAGCGGCGAGCTCGTCGGGAATGAGAGACTCAATGGGGAAAGAGTCAGGGCGAGAAACCTCGAGACCAGCCAGGCGGGCAAGGATGGTCAGCTTGCGAGCGACATCCATGCCATTCAGGTCGTCACGGGGATCAGGCTCGGTGTAGCCCAATTCTTTGGCCTGGGCAACGACAGCACTCCATTGAGCGTCGGATGAGCCAGAGGCGGGAGCAAAGTTGTTGAAGAGGAAAGAGAGAGTGCCGGAGAACACACCCTCAATACGGGTAACTTCGTCGCCGGTTGCGACAAGGTCCTTTAGGGTCGACAGGACGGGGAGGCCGGCACCGACAGTGCTCTCGTGGTACACAAGAGCCTTGCCCTCTGTAGCAGAGGCAAAAATGTCCTTCCACAGAGATATATCGTCGGAGAATCCCTTCTTGTTGGGGGTAACTACAGAGATGCCCTTCTTCAGGAATGTGGGGTACTGGCGGGCCAGGTTAATGTCGGAGGTGTTGTCAACAAGAATAGCCCGTCCAGGAGCAGCAGCCAGGTAGTTGGCAATCTCATTGGCTGATAGAGCACCGGCAATGGTCAGCGAAGGAGCTGCGGAGGCAGTTGCCCAGGGAGCAGCTGGGATGGCCGGAGAATAGGCCGGTGTCGGAGCAAGAAGAGTCTGCGAGGAGCGGGCGAGAAGAATGAGTTGAGGCGGGCTGGGGAGGCGAGCAAGCTGGGAGAGGAAAGCAGTACCAACACCACCCACACCTAGTCAATTTTGTTAGTTTCAATTGACCCTAATTGCCATTGCTGAGGAGGGGCATGTGTACCAACAACGCCGAGATAGATAGGGCTTGAAGACATTATAGCAGGGTCAATTGAGATGATTCTGATACAACTTTTGCAATTTCTCTAGTTTATGATAAAATAACAGCTCGTGGAATGTATAAAAAACCAGAAGCTAAGGTTTCTTGAGAAAATAATCAAAGAAGCTAAATGGTGATGCCGTCGATCATTCGCGGGGCATAAGGCTCGGCAGGTGAGTCAGCTATATTGAACCGGTGTACATGGGCAGAATAATTTAAGCTCTACTAAAGCGGTATAATAAGGCAGAATCATGAATAATACACCAGTATAACTTCAACATAATTAACTACGGATCTACCGGTCTTGAGTTATGGCTCCCGATCAGTCTCAGCTCTACGGGAAACGTGTTGAAAAGTCACAAAAAACAACAGCAGCCACGTTCGTTTCCAGCAATGCCTTCTCCGCCCAGCTGTCCTCTCTTATATCTCAGGGCTCCCAGTCAACCTCCCGCGGTCGTCCTCGTCCATCCAAAGGTGCCAAATCCGATCTCTTCGCCAGATCAAATAAAGGCTCGGAGAAGCGTGCAGCTGCTGATCTTGTAGAGGATGACCACAGTTCTGGCAAGCAAGTCCATAAACGCAGCAGAGACCTCGGGGATGTCGATGATGCCATGTTAGACCGGTCTAAGCGCAAGATGGCTGAGAAGGTACAGTTGTACAATGAGATAAAGAAAGGGGCACACCTTGCTGGCGACAGCAGTGATGATGAGGATGCATATCGACGACCAGCTGGTAAAGAAGATCACATGGCACGGCTCCGACGAAAAGAAAAAGATTCTCTGGTGGACTTTGATCGCAAATGGGCGGATGAGGAACGGGCGAAACAGGAAAACCCTAGAAACTACAAAGAATCTGATGAAGAGATCGACGACAATGCGTCGATAATTTCTTACGAAGATGAATTTGGTCGCTCTCGACGTGGAACGAGAGCAGAGGCTGCTATCGCCGCTCGTGAAAAGGAGGAGGCGGAGAACCCTGGAATGGTACAGCAATCGTGGCAGCCAGCTCGACCAGATAACCTGATTTACGGTGACACTATTCAACACGAGGCGTTTAATCCGGATGATGATATTGCGGCGAGGATGGCTTATATTGCCTCCCGGAGAGACCGATCTGTCACCCCACCAGAGCTGCTGCACTACGATGCTTCTGGTGAGAACCGGAGTCGAGGTACGGGATTCTACACGTTCTCTCGCGATGAGGAGGAACGTCAAAAGCAGATGGCGGAGCTGAAAAAGGCGCGAGATGAGACTGAGCGGCATCGACTGCAAAAGGCTCGCTCTGCAGCTAATTATGAGGAATTTAGAGCCCGCTCTATTCAAGGACTGGCAGATCTTCGAGTTGAGCGCACAATGGTAGAACTTGAAGAAATACTTACCGATAGAGAACAACGGCAAAGTATGCAGAGCGACGCGCCAATGAGTGAACAGGCAACGGCCGAGAATACATCAGCTGGGCAGACGGTCCAGCAGGCGGCCGAGCAGACAACATCCAACCAGTGAAAGTCTGGTCTTTAGAATTATATTGATACCCCTTATGTACGAATAATGTCTCTTACAGGAAACCATGATGGATGAGATGAGAGTCATATTTCCAATAAGCACCGCAGAAGATAAGCAACAAAGAACCCAATAAAAATGGCAGATGAATATCAAGACCGAGCACTCCATCTCGTTCAAAGGGCAGCTGATCAAGTTCCAAAGTCCAAAGAATTTCCAAACTTGATTGACTCAGCCTCGGTATACCACTTACTATGTCAGTCCAACTTTTAGTCGTCATCAGAATCGTATCAGCGTAATTCATCAGTCATAACAAGGCTACGCCATAAGTGTGTCCAACACCATATTTCAATGAATACTGCGCGCGGTTTTCTCCATTGTCTCCAAGAAGCTGTCGGCATCTATATACACAGTAAATATCAGTTTGACTAGGCTGGAAGTGAAGTACCTACCGCTACGGGTTTTGAATTTCAAGATCCACTCGCCACGATTGGTCAATGGTGGGTTGTAGTAGTCTGGTGACATTAAAATGATTGGCTTCAGGGTGCGCACCAGCACTGTTCGTGAATCGTATTCCTTTAGCCAGCCACGGGTACCGAGATACTGCGTGATGAATGCCGTCCAGACGGGGGTACTATATCATCGATGAGCTTAGATTTTGCTAAGGGTTTGCAGCTGTACTTACCGTTCCATCTCCCCTTTGTATATTGATGCCTGCATTCTGACAGCTCCTGTTCCATTATCTTGATAAACGCGCAGGGCGTGTGTGTAGTCATCGTCGAGTATGAGACTATACAAATTAGCGATGTGAGGAAAGATCACTACAAAGTAACTCACCCGCCATAAAGCTCTTCTTCACCTTCTAGCTCATAGTCTCGAATATCTTCTACTGGATGGCCGGCATCCTGGGAACGGAGCGCCAGGAAAGAAGAGAAGAATGAAACTTGATCTGCTTCAAGTCAGAATACAAAACGAAATACCGAGTCAGTTTAATACTTACTTTCGATGGTAGCAAATTTCAGACTAGCCCATAAGACTAGCTCAGTCCCAGAGCGTCGCCTTCGACACAGGCGAAGGATACAGCCGTTTCGGTCTCTCACAACCTCCAACATATTGAGTGGCAGGCAAAAGTATTCGCTGGATCGGCCCCGACGGGGAAATTTGAGGACAATTCTCACGCGATGATCCCGTTCTCTCAAGTAGAAGTAGACGGTCAAATTCGCCTCGTCATTGAATTCTCTGTATATTCTTAGTTTCGGGAAATATAGCCAAGTTTAAAGTACCCCAGTACGTACAATTGGAGTAGTTGTTCGAAACCTTGCTCTTGAAGCCATTGTTTGATTCCTGGGTGAGGATCGCCAAAGCATGCCGCTCTGCAATTGCGTTAGTACAAGGTACATGAAAACCTAAGAATCCCCAGTTTCCGGTTCTTACTTTTCCGACACAGTTGCAAGCTCCAATGGGTCTGGCTGAGGGCGGGTGAAGATCTCTTTTATCCAGTGGTACTCAATAGCTTCGTGAGTCGATTGGGTGGTAGTGGTTGTAGTCGCAGACGTGGACTCGGTCAATGGCGAGCTGGGAGCCTCAGGTGCAACGGGCGGAACGTCCGAGAAACCGCCAGATGAAGGAGATAGGGGCGATAAGGGAGATGTCTGGTGCTTAGGACGAGGTCTTTCATAGGATCGCCGACGTCGTGGCCGATCATCAACTGGACTAACGGGCTCCGGCCCATATCTATCACCCGAGGATGGATTGCGACCCAAGGGCGTGCGTGAAAAGCGTGGCGCGAGGCGTTTCTCCTGAACTGCATCTAAATTCCGGAGGTTTTCCCGATATATAGCAAGATCCGGGTTATGATGGGTTTTCCTACAAACAATTCGTAGATTAGCACTTTACTTTTTCTTCCAAGCCAGGCAGTTGACCGACTTTTGTAATATGTCTCTCAAATCTCTCAGCACGGTCTTATATGTCGCCAGTCGGGCTGATAGAGACTGTCGGGGTCGGGCTTCATCCCAGAAAAATCGGCTCATCAACACCCAGGCAGTCCTATACTCCTCCGGCGCGGTCCTGCCATTGAGATTGTTGAAGTAGACAAGAATATCCTTGATTGTATATCTCAGACTGGACAGCACCAATTCCAGATCAGAATGAATGAGAGGCCAGTTGCGACGGAGACTAGACTCTTTGGATAAGTCGTCGAGACTAGTCAGAGAGGCGCTGATGGCATAAAGGTCGGAGATAAGGCCAGTGATCTCGGTCTTGTACTCGGGCAGAGGGGCACGAAAGGTGTTGAACCCTGCCGCCACGTCCTCGACCTGCTCAACAGACGCGCGCAGGTCCATGTGTCAGGCCATATGGGATTAAAGGATGGCGTAGTGGAGAGGAAGCTCGGAGGGAGAAAAAGGCGGGAGCTCTCCTCATGCGGCTCTTTGCCCTTTTGACGTGGTCGGGCGGAACTGGCGGTGGGAACAGAACCCCTCATCTGTACATACACTATTTTGTTTCTAACCATGTCCATTATAGTCCAATAATTTAGGGCTTTGAGATCTCTCATGTCTTATGATCTATTATTCTAACTAGCAACTCTCGTTCGAAGAAGTTTCCATGTTTTTTTGAACAATATGTCCATGGTTGTGGGGTGCATATAGTTACACATTGTACGAAACAAGAATTATATGACTGTTGAGGCGGCAAAGCATGCGACATCAGTTTCTTGGCTACTGGGATTTTATCAATCTTCGATGGTTTAACTCTTCGTTGATCTTAACCTCTATTCCAAGAAGGGGTCTTTCCCTCATAATTAGTTATGAGAACATATCTACTTCAAATCTAAACTATGCATAACCAGGTGTATTCAAGGGATTGGGCGAATGCCACCTGTCAGAGTCTGAAATGTCTGTGTGTCGGTAGAATTTAACCCATGTGGGCCTTCAATTGCATGCAATTGCATACTCTGCGCTTTCCCCTGTGGAATTCAGCAACATCGACAGCATACGCCAGAGTCAAGGTGCGTCTCCCCCATGAGGCCGGTTGAGGCTTGGTAACTGTAAAGCTTACATAGGTAGTCGCCTTGCCAGTGAAGATCGAGTCATCGTCGTTGACACCACGGTGAGCTTGTTAACGGCGTCCTATCTCGGTGCAGCCGCTCAGCTGGATCTTGGAAGTGATCCGTATATCACAGGGCCGATATATGAGTAAATCTTTATTCAAATAGATGTTAGAGAAGGAAGATCTTCTCAGAAAATGTTTGTTCTTCCAACTTTGGAACCTCGGGAGGTTCTCTCCCAAAGTGTTCCAGGCTCTTGAATTATTCGTATCCATAGATGATGTATGTATTGCCCTCGTAACTAGCCTTATGTTGAAGCACTTCTGGGCGGGCATGAACCCCTGCAATTCTTGCTTCTTCGGGCTCGCAGCATCGACCTAGATCTGCAGCAACTGATGTGTCATGCATTTAATCAAGTCTTCCAAGCTTGTGATATAGGTTCAACTGACGTGTACGGAGCACATGAGTAGTGGGTCGAGCATCACAGCTGGGCCCAGACTTGTTTCCATAGGCATAAAATTGAATTAAATGAAATGTGGGGTGGTGGAGATGAGAGTGGGAGAATGCCAATGGAAAGAACGGTCAAGGATCATGGATGGAGAATACTGAAAACTTCCAGTTCTTTTGATTTCGAATGGAGATAGAGAACATCAGGTGTAACTTTCAATTGACAATAGTAGAAGACTGTTCCAAGGTTGTTACCTTGATAATATACTTAACTACTTACCTAAGCCTAGTATACTTAGGAAAGGCTTCCTTCGTACTTTTAAACACTTCCTCCGCGGAGTAATTTTCCGAAAGTGAAAATAATATCAATTGCAACAACGCTAACATACGGAGATATACAGATTCAGTTAGCAGTTTTCAAGTCAAGCCAAGACCTCGTACTTTTAGTCGGGCTCAAACAAAAAGACTTATCACATGATTTGCAAGCGATCTTAACACAAATAAACTCGAAGTGACACCTCAACTCCCCGCATATGCCCCTGTCAGCTTTTCCTCTGCAAATCAATATAACAATGCCCACCCAGAAGTATTCGGACCCAATTGATGTCGTAAGAAGAGTTCCTTCAACTTCTGGTAGAGCTTCCATTGACATTGAGACAGGATCCCGACTTTTACACATTAGAAAAATCATATGATAATGGTGACTGGCAATCGTGAGTGAGTCCCATGGGAGATTTGCAATTCATGCTCATATATAATCAACCAGAGACACCACTTCCATCGCGACAGAGATCGCCAAAGGCCGCATGGAAAATGGCCGAAGGTACGTATCATTGTTCATGTCGCCAGAACACATTGACTAATCAATGAGCTAGATACCAAGCCCTAAAGTCGGAGGATTATTGGTAAATCACCACAAAAGCACTCTCATTGACTGCTATACTAATATCTAAACAGGAGTCCATCCGATGAGCAGCAATTTGAAGCCTACGAAACCGGGTAAGAGATCCCATCACGACCGGCTTCGTCGTGATTGCGATTGTCCCATGGCCCTTCTAACCGGTTATTACAGTCATTTAGTAGCTCTTGTGCTTGATTATCATCAACCCAACCTTCTGCATCACGCTCCCATCGGTGATTCCCCAAAAGTAAGAGCTTGTCACCATGCTGCAACTTTACTTGCTAACAACCCGGTTTAGCAAATTCTCGACGTCGGAACTGGTAAAGGAAGCTGGGCTATGTAAGAATATCAATTACACGAAGGACCTCTAGAATTCACTGCTAATAGATTTCTAGTGATGCCGCTGATATGTACCCAACTGGTAAGGCCTGTTATTCGTCCTAACTCGTGCACCCACTGACCAAGACCAGCGACGGTCCATGGTGTAGATCTGTTCCCCCCTCCCGTGACCTGGATGCCCCCAAACTGTGTATTCGAGGTAGATGACCTTCTCCGGCCATGGACATGGACTGAAAAGTTTGATTTTGTCTACATGCGCCACATGCTCGGGTCTTTCGACGTCGAAGGGTGGGAAACCCTGTACAAACGATGCTACGAGTGAGTCCCAGCTCTGATTCGACATCCCTGCCACTCTAACCCCTTTCACCAGCAATATCCAACCTGGAGGTTGGATCGAAGAGCTCGAGTTCGATATTGAGGTGAGGACCGACGACAACTCTCTACCAAAGGACAGTATCCTAGGCCAGTGGGCCGAAGTCTTCGGTGGAGCCTCTGAACGAGCCGGCCGTTCATTAATGGTGCAAGACAAGATGCGTGGAAGAATTGAAAAAGCTGGCTTCATCGATGTCCACGAGCATGTCTATAAGGTGCCTATTGGACCCTGGCCCAAGGACAAGGTGCTGAAGGATGCTGGTAACCTGAACCTGGCTCATTGGCTTACTGGAATGGAGGGCTATGGTATGTGGCTGCTCACTAAGTTTGGTGCACCGCACCCCTGGACCAAGGAAGAGGTGCAGGTCTTCCTGGCAAAGGCTCGGGTGGAATTGAAAAACCCTCACATTCACGGCTATGAAATCGGGTGAGATATTCTTGTCTGATGGCGTGCTGATTCTAGTTTGCTGATGGTTTTCTATTTAGCCGACGTGTTTGGGCAAGGAAGCCTTTCGACCATGAATTGAAGAAGAATCCTGCCGAGAAGGAGAGTGGGAAAGAGACCACTGAGAAAGAGACCGCTGAGAAAGAGACTGTTGTGGATACTGTTGAGAGGGATGTTGCTGTCAAGGCTGAGCCTGCATCGCCATGAGAGCTCTCTTCAAAGCTCTCCATATCGTGATATGAGATTGGCGGACGAAGCGAAGTAGAAAACGATTCACAACCATGATTTATTTCAATTGTAAATTCTCAAATTCATTTCAGGATCATGATTAGGTGATTAGGTAGTTCCATAGCAGAATCTGAAAATTACTCTTATGATATGAGTCGAGTATGCGCGCCTCACAAACCAGGCACCAACACCGACTGGGGTAAAAGCTTGCCGCGGGGAGCTTGGACCAGGTCCAGAGCTTTGGGTCATCAAACCATACAGAGTAAATAAGTAATTTAGGAAGCAGTTTGATTGATGAAACTAGTAAAGATGAATGCAATAAGGGGAACCTGCAAGATCATGGGATCAATCCATTCTCCAAAGCAATGAGAATGTCAATAAAAAACTGTCCTTCAATGAGACAAGTACTCAAAATATTGGGCTTTCCAAAATCCCATCATTGAAAAAGAAAATAAAGAAAAACCACCCTGAGCCCATTCCCTTAACCTGAGTGAAAACGCAAAGGAAAATAACAATGAGGATCAGAGGAACCTCGAAGATAAACGCCGACTACGCAAATCTTGTTTGCGAGAAGTCTAGGACGACTCCTCCTCCTCCTCTTCGTCGCCCTCCTGTGAGGAAATTGTTAGTCTAGTCTGTTCATCATTTGGGAAGTAGCTGTGGGAACATACAGCCTTGTACTTGGCCTTCTCATCCTCGTAACGCTTCTTGTCGTCAGCGGCCTTCTGGTCATAAGGCTTGCGCTCGGAGGGCGAGAGAGCCTTCCAGCGCTCACCAAGGGTCTTGCCGACCTGGCCTGCATGGGAAGTTAGATGAGATCAATGGAATTGAAGGATCTAGATGGGATGAATCTCACCAAAGGAAATGCCAGGGTTCTCCTCGCGAACCTTGTCGCGGTTGTCATTGGCAAAGAACATGTATGCCGAGAGACCACGCTTGGGAGCATTGGGGTCTGTGGATCACAGGTTAGGACCATTAGAAAACCAAGATTAGAGACGAGAGAAACATACCCTTCTTGCGACGTTGGACGCGCTCCTTGGCGGCCTTGCGGGGAGGAGCCTTATCCTTAGGCATGATGACTTTGGTAAATGTTAGAAAGAAACAAAGATGGTTGAGATGAAATTTGGAGGAAACAGAATGGAAGGAATAGATGTAAAGGATGGGAGGAATTGAAAGTGGGAGTTGAAAAGGTGGACATTAAGTAGTGAATGGCGGCCTTAGAATAACCAAGGCCAACACAAGAGGTCGCGCGCAAACGAACGCGACTTTTAACGCGAACAATAAAATACTAACGAGGAATAAACTCACTAATAAAATTGACTTGGAAAAGTCAAGGTATTTCAGAGAAATAGAAAAGGAGCCTATTTAAATGAGAATTAGTTAGTTGGTATTGCTGTAAACATAGCATTAAACGCGGTCGCGGTCGCGACACTTCGCGACGATTGGAAAAAAAGGATTGCGAGGTTGAAAAAGAGAATAAAGACCAAAATAATTAAGAAAAAAAAAAGAGGTGGATGGGGTGGTGTTGAGAAATTGGGTAGTGAGGCGGTGATATAGATCGGAGTGGGATTATGCAGTACCTGAGATTTGTATGGTGGGAGAATAGTATGAGAGAATGGTAGTGTAGGAGAGAGAAGAGTGAGAGGGGGGAGAGCAGTAGTAGTAGGGAAAGTGCAAAGAGGGGGGGCAAGGACTGTTTGCTTACTGGGCCAAGGGAATGTAACGGGTTGCGTGGTAGGTAATCTATTGTAATTGCAAGAACTCCTCTTTTTCTCAATTTTTTGATTGAAAGGTGGGAAAAATTGTATACATTTCTTTTTCTTTTTCTCCATTCTGGATTCTTTCCCTCTCAAGTTTAACCTCTTCTCTCCTACTTATTCCATCTAAAAAGGGCTGAATTTGATCTCTTACTTGAGTACAGTGTATTAGACGGTAACATACTTGGCTCAACTCTTAGTGGAGCAACTCGACTGTTAACCCGTGTGGTGGTACCAAATACAGCGGTACCTCATAGTAAAGTGACCTCAAAGGCAAGTACCTAGTACCACTCCAATACCACTTGTACTGTATCCTATACTTTCTCCCTCAAATCCCCCACAACACTAAACACACTAATAATAGTACAACTTCAAATGTCATCTCCAAATATAGAAGTTCTGCAGTATAGTATATGATAGCAATAGACATCTACTGACAGCAAGACTTGGATATGATTGCACATTCATGGATGTCGGGAGAACATCCCTCAAACTCAAAGCGCTAACTTATACTTATTTCTATTCCCATGCAATTGACGGCTGTTTGATAGAGGTTGTGCAAAGGTCAAGTGCAAGTTTTCCAATCACGTAAGTCCATATTCATCTACATAGGTACCTAGGTAAGCAAAAGTCCGAGAAGGAGATGAAACCGCTTATGGAAGAAGTATCCATGTCCCGAAGCACTTGGGCAAATTTGAAGCCTAATCAACTCGGCATTGGAAGCCCAGGTGGGAGATACCTCGAAGTACATAGTATAGAATAAGCCCTATAGTATAGACTACCTTGACGCTTTAGCCCCCAGAAAAAAGAAAAGGAAAAAAGCTTGGAAAGAGCACCGGCAATAACCATGTCTGATCGAATGAGCGCGAGGCAAGGGTCTAGAGTCAAAACCACAGGGCTATGGTAGCTATGTTTACAGTACAGCACACACTGATCTTATCATCTCTTTTGTGTGTGGTGGCTGGCTGCATACTCCGCACATTGGCCCATTTATTAGAAGCTAGGAATTAGGATGATGGGAGGCTAGGGAAATTACTGTGGACTAAGTACTGCTAAGTACTGCAATTCCCTTGCAGAAAATGGAAGATCATTGATTATCAGATAGATAAAATAGATGTGTCCCTCACTCCTGATTTCCAGTATCTGTATGATACATATACTACTGGACTAAAGCTTTGTTTATGTTTCATGTTACACCCTCGTACACACTTCTCCAACCATGCTGTATACTGTATACTGTATCAACGGGTTGTGTAATTTTACCCTTCCATCTCTTCCGTTTTCCGTCATAGAGTCTGTATTATTGTGTAATATGCTTTCGTCTAATGCTCTCTTATTTCTGCTGTGTATTCTTATCTCCTACTTTTATTAGTATGTTTCAGCTGGTTTGCTAAATCTAGATTGGCCTAATATGTATGTATTTTGAGTACGGCTACCTATCGAGTCAACATCAGCGAACGCGTGAAATATTGCCCATCTTTGCCCATCATTGCGCACTCGCAGATGGTGTTGGCGTGGGTCGAGGTCTTTAAACCTCAATTATTACTAATTTCTTATTGATGTTACTACTAACTAGTTGAAGCTCAAGAATCAAGTGACATAAGCTCCTTCATAAGCTCCTTATTTGCTCTATGGAATTTCTTGGGTATCACCACTTGCAACGCCTGAATCGCACCTGAAGATATCAATCGCTTTCATCTAGACTCTCGTCCAGAACCAAGTCACGAAGCGTGTCATTATCAGCCCAGTTGAGTCCACTGCCAACCACCATAGCGCTGGCAACATGCTTCATAGTCTCCCATTTCGCTCTATTGGCCTTGAGCTCGATCGCCAGACTAGAAAGTTGAGAAGTCAGTTTCTCATCCTTGAGCTTCTCCTCCCACGAAGAGTCTTGTCTAACAAGATCTTGGAGCTCGCGCACGAGCTCTTGATTCTCGTGGTTAATCTGCAGATTTTCAAGTTCTGTATCTGAAAGCTTTTTCAATACTTCGTCATGAGTTGTAGCGAGGTTCTCATGTGCGAGTGCAAGCACATCCCGGCGGTTGATAAGACGGAAAAGCGCCCTAATTAATATGCCATTAGACATAGTGTTAGAAAGATAAGTTAGGGAGCACATGCCGTTCGGGCGGAGTTGTGGCATTCAGATGAACCGCCTTGAGGATAGGATCAGTCATGAGGATTGTTGTAGCGGCCTTCTTTCTGACTGTGTAGGTAGCTCGCGCCTCTAGATACTCACGCTCGGAGGCTTCGAATTGCTCTTGCGCATTTTCACCGGACAATGACTCCAATTCTGTGTAAGTAATCAGCAAGAATTAAGTAAGAATGAAATGAATTTCGAAAAAAATGAAGACCCTCAATTTTATACCTACTTTGTTCCAGAAACGCCTTCTCCAGCCGTTGTTCCTGGATGCCGTTCATGAGTCGCAGAATCATCTGCTCTTTATCCGAAAAAGTCACGACATCACGCGAGTCATCTGAAGCGAGGTTAAGAAGAGTCACTTCAGCTGGACGTAAATGTGGCAACCGGCCATGTTTTTCAGCCATGTTTGGAGCATGAGGGAAGATCGGGTGGATCACAATGTGCCTTGTGATATGGTCGGAGGCGGTGGAGATTACGATCACTTGGAGAGCCTCACGTCCCCATTGCTCCCAGCTTAACTCACTCTCCCCTCCTACTTCATTGAAATTACTCGAGCCTTTAAGCTCGGTAATGAGGAGGGGGAAATCACTAAATGTCTTTGCATATCTTTATCGCTCACTCCGGTGAGCATATACTGGCTGATCCAGTAAACTTCGCATCGTACGTATCTCCGATATTGTTCGCTTGCGGATACCCTTACGTCCCTAACTTATGCGACATGTAAGCTGATGCAGCATTTCATCCACAGTCCTGAATCACTGAAATTATGGATCGTCCGCAATACGTCAATACCTCCTGGGAGGCAAATATTGATGACTGCCCGGGGGAAGAACGTCAAGACCCAAACGCTTGCCGCTGAGGTATGGAGCTACCACCACAAGACATCATCACTGTACTTGAGATCCAACTGTGTTAATATGAATTCTTTAACAGACAGAAATATTTGTATATGATCGACAATACATTAGCGAACCCGGCGACATCGAGCTCCCAGACCTACCTACCCCAGAACCCTTTCGGCCCAGCAGTCCACCGGCGTCCCTTTCAGACCAGAATGATCTACAAGCATGGCGGAATCTATTCATGGCAAGACGGAGCTGGGCCTTGGATCTATCTGCCCGCTGTGGAACGACTGAGAAGATCACTCGTGAGCATAATGAGCGGACTGATGTCATCAATCGGGCTGTAGGTGTCGCGATGGAGAACCTCAAGTCTCACGTGGGTAACTTAGAGCATCGGTTTCAAGAAGCTCAGACATGGGCGAATAATCTACTGGAGGAGCAGCAAGCTGCTCTAAACGGCTGGCAACGCGCTCTAGCGGTACTGGAGACCATCCCAGCACGGAAGGATTTTCCTATTCTCGGCCGGCCCTCTACGCCAAAGGTGGATAATAATCGCCTTACTGGGTCTCTCCGCGAATTTGTCGATGTGGGCGAGGTTCTACAAGCTGGCGCTGACGCGGCGGTTGTATCCCCGCGCTTTGCGGGTCAGGTTCACGACATCGAAAAAACAATTGGTGATCTTGCCTCCGATACGCAACACCTTGTAGGCGATGTACTTCTTTCGCCTATCGAAGAAGACGACGGTATGCTTACAGAGGTGGAAACTATCGCGAAGAAAATCGGATCCGACTATGAACACGTCCTCAGCCTGCCTAATAACCAGAAGATGTTGGCAAATGTCTCAAGACTTGCCCTCAATCATACCCAGAACCTTCTTCCAAGTCTGCTCGAGCTTGGCGGGGACATTCAGCACGCCCTCGAGCAAGCTGTACGTCGCCGCAGTGCCGCCGAGAAGACTGCCCTTCAACATATGCGCACGATCTCGTTTATTGAATCCCGGCTGGCTGACGCCCATGCTCAACTTGTCAATCTTGATGTCAAAAGCAACGCATTTGATATCCTTTACTCTGTTTTCCAGATGCCAATGACATACGGATCCATTCTCATCGAGTGTGTTCGGAGGCGGGAATGGGGTGTGAAGATCAAGGCAGATTCTTTAAGTTTGGCGGAGGAGATGGCTATCTTGAGAGACGAGGAGCAGAACCGGCGGAAGAAGTGGTTGAAGAACATGGGCGACTACGTCTCCTTTGGAGACTCTGCAACCCCAGGTATCGAAGTCAACCTTCAAGGGCAAGATGAAGAATGGCCCGAAGTCAACCGGAAAGAAATTGAGATATATATCGAAGAGTTACGGTCTAAAAACTCGCTCACAAATATTGTGAATGATTTATCCCAAAGGTTCAAAGACTTGGATGCTCCCAGTCGCCAGCAAAGACGACGAGCTAAGGCAGCATTCAAGAATGGCAGTGTGTTTGACCTCGGTCGAAGTTCCATGTTGCTCCGTGGTGATGATATGGTTCAAAGCCTGCAACAAGATAAGACGAAACTAGAGGAGAGGTTGAAAGGGTCCGAAAGTCGTATTCGAAAATTAGAGGACCTGCTTCATCGCCAAAGCCACTTCAGTCGTCCTTCTAGTGGCAATTTTGGACCAGATTTTCCTAGTTCGCCGGCATCGCCATATCCCGATACTCTTTCAAGGCGTTCTTCCGTATCCTCGCGGCGGGTATCTATGACACAGTCCCCGGAAGATAGGGCACTTGTTCAACGTATAGTAGCTCTCGAGGCTGAGCTCGCCGTGGAAAGAGAGACAGTTCAGAGACTTCACAAAGACGCACAGGCCGAGCGCCAAACCAATTCAGATAAGTATCAAGAAGCCCAATCCACCAAGCAAGACCTCATTGGAAATCTCGAAGCACGCCAACGCGAATTTGAAGATGAGCGGAAATACTTGGAAACAGAGATGAAGAAGTTGAGGCTACGTGCGGAGGAGGTCGAGGAGGAATTGGATAGGCTGTCTGATAGCCGCGATAATGGGAAACAGGATCTTGAAGATCGTGTCCACCAGCTTGAGATCGAATTGCAGACTGCCCATGCCAACTTTGACGAGCAAACCCTAAAGACTCATGATCTGAATGAACAGGTCGAGGCTCTGCAAGACATGGAGAAAGTTCTTCAGTCAAAGCTTGAAGACCTTGAGCGCCAGCAGACTGAATATAGTGAAAAGGATCAAGAAAACTACCACGCTCTCGAGGCCGTTTTCATGAACTTGTCTTCAGGAGGCGCCGTTCCTCTTGGGCTCCCTGGAATTATCAAGGCCGTTGAAGTGCTTTCCGAGGGATTATCTATTCATTCCCGAAGCGCCGAAGACAGCGCGTCGAAGGCCATGGCCGAGAACAAGTCCCTTGGAGAGACAATCGCGCAGCTTGAATCCGATCTAGCCGAGCGCGCTAAAGTCTCCGATGAGCGTGATGCGGAACTAGTCAAATTGAGAGCAGAACTTTCGCAGACAAGAGCCAAATTGGAAGAGACCAAGACGGAACTCAACCAGGAACGATCAAACCTGGCCTCCCTGCAATCTCAAGTGGCAGAAGATAATGGTGCTGATGCACTGCGTGAAAGGCTTGCTGAAACGGAGCGGAAGCAAGCTGAAATCGCCGAGCAGCTGGCCGCTGCAGAGTCCCAAGCTTTGGAGTTCAAAACTAAAGAAACAGAGTGGGACGAAAAATTAAAGACTGCCTCCACGGCAGAGAAAGAGGCTGTGGCCCGTTACGAGGCTCGGGGTGCCAAGTCGCATGATCTTTCTGCGCAGCTTTACTCGCAAGTCGAAAAGTTTGGGCAAATGCTTGAACAGCTAGGCTTTGCGATGATCCAGCAGGATGGCAAACTCCTTATCCAACGAGCTTCAAAACTCAATGCTTCTTTAACTCAAATTGGGGAGAGCAACATCCAGTCTAGCATTCTATCTGCGAAACCGGATACCACTCTTTTGGAGTGGATGCAAGACGATAGCCCTGAGGATGAAGACGTCAAGTTTGCTACTTTCATGGAAAGCCTAGCTCGCTTCGATGTCTCTATATTCGGGGACGTGGTCGTGAAACGGGTGAAAGATATTGAGCTGCTCGCTCGTAAGTGGCAAAAGGAATCTCGTGGCTACCGTGAGAAGTACCACCGGTTCCAAAAAGATTCCCATGACAAGATCGCCTACCGCTCTTTCAAGGAAGGGGATCTTGCCCTGTTTCTACCCACTCGTAACCAAGCTATACGTTCCTGGGCTGCCTTCAATGTTGGTGCTCCACACTACTTCCTACGCGAGCAGGACTCTCACAAGCTCAAGTCCCGGGATTGGCTCCTCGCTCGCATTTCAAAGATTGACGAGCGCGTTGTGGATCTCTCCAAATCATTGAATGGCGTCACACCGGACCAACGCTCGCTAGGGAATGTCAGTGATGGCGCCTCTTTTGACGATGAGAATCCGTTTGAACTATCAGATGGTCTACGCTGGTACCTCCTTGAGGCCAACGAGGAAAAGCCAGGTGCACCCGCTACTCCTGGAATATCTAAGAGTACTGTCGCTTCTGCAAATGTCGACGTCAAGGGTAGTATCCGCCTGAAGCGCCCGACTGAAGAGAGCTCCGTCGCCCAAACCCTCTCGAAAAGCCTAGACAGCCGACGGGGAAGCTCCACCTCAAAACGGGGCACCCCTACTCCCTCGCACAAAGATAATGAGTCCGTAGTCGATCTTGTCCGACCCGCCGACGTAGATGCCAGCTCTAAACCTCGAGAGACACATCCGATATTCGACGAGGTTCGCCGCGACCTGCTCCTCGGCCCGTGAAAAGTAGGAAAAAAATACCTTCCAATCTTTTTGCGGGTCACCATCCTTATCTTGAATATTCCAGCTAACCTCTTCATTGCTTATAGGATGATAATCCATCGCGGGTTCTGGCATCATCTACACAACAACTACATGCAGGGTCCCCAACTTCTCCCTCACGGTCGACAACTGACCGACGGCCAGCAGGAAGATCTCGGCCGTGGGAGAAGTTATGGTCTTTGGACTATTATCTGTGAAGATCGTTCAAATTAGGAATATTTTCTCCTTTTTCCACGCTTCGATCTGACATCCAATCTTTTTTTTTTTTTCTGATCGTTATTTGATCTCTATTTGCTTTTTAATTGCTCTCTGGATACCGACGCATAGCGTGGATGATCCAAATATACGTTTAGATACCCGACTTGACAAAACAAAACATTATATTATAAGTTCTTTCTATATGTAGCAGAAGATTGAATACAAGCTCTTTAGCAAAGCCCCTCGCCTTCGGATTATATTACTACCATGATTTTAAGGCTCAACATCGGAATATATAAAGTCACCTGGTTTTTCAGGCTCCATAGGACGATTATCTAAACGTCGCATGACCTCCAACTCCAACATCTGATCTATGTTCCTCCGTAGATCCGAATACCGATTAATCCGAATAATCAGAGCTCCACAGCCCTCATATTCTACTTCAACCAGAATGTAACAATGTTGAAAAAGCCCAGGTTTCTCAGCTACAGCAGCAAACTACTAAGCTCGCCCACAATTATCACAACCAGGAGCTATGCAACAACATCACAATCAAAAAACGAATATTCATGGCCAGCAACACCATCCTTCACTCCATACGACGTTTTAAACATCCCCCGCAACGCGCCCTACATCAAAACCCAATATTACGACCTAGTAAAGCTCTACCACCCAGACCGTCCACACAGCAGCGACCTAATCATAACGCCTGAAGTCCGACTCCAGCGCTACAAGATCATAGTAGCGGCACATGAGATCCTCTCAGACCCAGCCAAGCGCACAGCATATGACATCTCCGGCACAGGATGGAAGCATAATCGCCACCCCTCATTCAACCATGGCGGCTCAGGTATCTACGGCAACGCGACGTGGGAGGACTGGGAACGCTGGAATAACCGGCACAACGGCAATCAGGCGAACATTGTTGACTCGCGCACATTTACGAGGCTGTTGGTTCTGCTTGTGCTGCTTGGGGGCGCTATGCAGTTTACTTGGATTGGTCAGTTGAGTATTGGGCATGAGGATCGCATGCGTGATGTTAGTTCGGACTCTATGCGGGTTTTGGCGGAGCGGAGGAGCAGTACTGTTGGTCAGATGCCGTCTCAGGATGCTAGGGTGCAGAGTTTCCTTATTCGTAGGGATCCGACTGGTTCGGGACTCAAGGATGAGGAGGAAGGGGTTTATCAGAGGGAACTTCATCCTAGGAGAGGTGCGGCTGATCTGTCGACGAAAAAAAGTGAGAAATAGGAGATCGGATTTTGGTCTTCTAGACTGTGTACCGAGATGGGTTGATAACCTTGGATGGTATAGAGGGGTGTTTGGTAGGAGTTTCATGTTCTTGAATCCTGGGAGTCTACTGCTTAAAATTTAACAAATGATCTCAGTGTAGGTAAACAATTATCGGTGTGTTCAGTACTTGAACCCATGGACACTATGAGATATTCTCGAGTGGAATCTATCAAAGACTCTCGACAGCCATGGACGGCTACAATGGTTATGTACGGAGTGCCTAGCTAGATCACTACATGGACCTTGCATGTTGGAAAATGCATCATCCTCTACCGAAGATAACCCTAAGGCGAATGATCTTTCACGGGTGATGGGCCAGAGGTCTTGCCCTGGTTCCTTCCTCTACCTATACAGCTACAAAATAAGACGGTTGCCTCAACAATCTAGGCCTTGAAAGAACCTTGACTGGATTGATTTCGAACTATCTGGTTCAAGTGCGTACATAACTTCATACTTTTTTCGAAGGCTCAGTTAACATGAGCATTGTCCATCACGATCTACCTCTACTATGAGCAGTGATTGCTCAAGGCAAAGGTTAGAAGGTTTGAAAAAAAAGGGACAGAAACATAACCCCCCGTTTTCATAGAATGACGCACCAGACCCGAATTGACACCGTGGGCTAGGAGTTAAAGATGTAACAGAAGAAAACAACAGAGAGAGATGGGGTGAAACCGCGGAAAATTGGTGGATGTAATACAAGATAGCGTTGACCGGGGAAAGCGGTATTAGCAAGTGAAAACGAGAAAAAAGGGAAGGAGGTAAAAGCATATGGAAGGAGACCAGCCAAGCTCCTAGAAGGAGTAGAAAGAAGTAGAAGAGATTACACAAGTCAAAAAAAGCATGAGCTGAAAATCATGGGGATCCTTTTTTTTAGAGTCTTCTTTAACAAGACATCAATCCGTCCCTGGTTACATGGATCGAAAAAACAAATCCCCCCCCCCCCCCCCCCCCATTTCCTAGTCCCCAATACATCAACGCCTGGTGTTATGGCATAGACAAAACAAGGTACTCAGTTCAATTCTCCGCATCTAGTGGCCGTAGTTGTTGCCCCAACCACCACGTCCACTGTTGCCATAGTAGTTACCGAATCCGGCACCATAGTTCGCGTAGCCAGTCTGAGAGGCTCCGCCCTGGTGGCCACTGAGACCACCTAGGCTACCACTGCCGTATTGGGGGTTCAAGTGGCCGTAGCCACCGAATCCCTGCTGGCCCTGCTGACCTTGCTGTCCCTGCAGAGGGGGAAGGCCGGTCTGAGCCTGGGGCTGGCCAGGACCGCTGTTGGTAGCGGAACCGGGGCGGTTAGCCTGAGCAAGGGAAGGGCTGGGTCCACCAGTCTTGGGGGCCTCGAAGCCCTTGGTCTCATCAGCGGTCACAGGAGGCTGCTGGGTGACAGGGGGGTTCTGGCCAAAGCCAGCCTGGGAACGGCCGAAAACATCCGACATGCCAGAGCCAAAGGCAGTGGCGCCTGCAGCTGACGGCTGAGTGTCCGAGGGCTGGGTCGAGCTGGTGCGGCCATAAACAGAGTCACGACCGCCAGGAGTGAAGCTAGCAGCAGCGTTTCCGGGAGAAGAAGTGTGGTCGTAAGAGAAGGTGTTGGGCTGACCATACATACCACCAGCCTTACCACCATAGGGACCACCATACTGGCTACCATAACCGTACTGGTTAGCCTGGGGCATGCCGTAGTGGCCCTGTTGAGCCTGTCCCTGCTGCTGGTGCTGTTGCTGGATCTGCTGCTGCTGCTCATCGTACCGGCGAACATCGTCGTACGCAGGACGGTTACGTCCATACGAGTGCTGCTGAGCCGCGTTAACCTGCTGCATGTAGCTAGCGTATTGAGGGTTGTTGTAGTAAGGGTTGTAGGGGTAGCCATATCCAGCATTCTGACCCTGCATGTGCTGGGTGGCAGGAGTCTGGGTGGCACCCGGGAGGGTGGGGTTGGGAGTATTGTGACCGCTATTAGTGGTATCAACAGGTCCGTAGCGGCTGGGAGCTTGGCCAGTGGGGAGAGGCTGGGCTTCAGCACCAGACACGCCGAATCCAGGAGCAGCCCGAGGAGCGCCAGCGTCCTGAGACTGTCCGTAGCCTCCGTAGTAGTTGTAGGGGAAGCGTTGTTGATCAGCAGCATAGAAAGGAGGGTATTCGCTGCCAGTGGAGGCAACAGACTGAGCAGGAGCCTGGTTGGCAAAGGGTTCCTGAATCTGGGCTTGGAGCTGGCTAGCCTGGGGGTTGAACGGATCATAGGGTTTCTGAGCCTCTGAATAGCGAGAGTAGTCAGAGAAGGACTCATTGGCAGATGGCTGGGGAACTGGGGGCAAGCCGGGGGCAGGGCGTGCGCCAGCGGCCTCTGCAGCCACCTGGCTGGGAGGAAGAGCAGCTCGGGGTGCAACAGGGGAGTGCTGAGGAGGTTGAGCACGAGTCTCGGCCTCCTCACGGTTCTCGTCGATATCCACGGAGTCACCGTTCAGTCCCATACTACCAAATTGGACCGCGGCACGGTCCACGGCATGGTTTCCTGGCATAACCACAGCCTGTTGCTGCTCCATCACGCGACGGAAACCACCAACACGGGTTCCCTGTCGGTATGCGCTTCCGGGGAGACCAGACTGGGCAACACGCGAAGGAGTCGACACCGCTGCGGGGTCAATAACACTTCCGATAGTGCTTGCCGCAGTTGCAGTGGGTGCAGGAGCGGACATGTCGGGAATTTGATCGAGATTAGTCTGGGTCAAATCATCTTTCGGTGTGCTAGCGATGGGAACGGCAGGAATAGGAACGGCCGGGGTCACGACGGGAGTCTTCTGAACAACAGGCTCGGGGACGGGCTCGGGTTCCTTGACCTCCACTGGCAACTCAATAGGTTTCTCAATAGGCTCCTCAGTAGGTTTCTCAACAGGGACCGGGACGGGGGCGGCGACGGGAGCTTTCTTCTGGGGAGGAGGAGCCGGGGGTGCGGCGAAGAGGCTTGCCCATCCCTTCTTTGTACCCTCGGGGATCACACTGCTCTTGGGCTCGGTAGACTCTGACGCATCTTCGGTCACAGGCTCGGAAGCAGCTTCTGTTGGCCATTCAGACTTAGACGGAGTGGATTCAGTTGCAGCGCCCCAGGCGTCTGTGGTGCTAGATACGGTACGAGTTCCGTTAGCTTGGGCACCTGCGCGGCCACCTCGACCGCCACGACCCCGGTCTCCACGGGCGCGACCACGACCCTCAAATCCACCGCGACCACGACCTCCACGAATGGAGGATGTAGTCGATTCGGCCGGGATGCTCTGGGCTTCCTTGGCCTTGGTGCGAGCTCGGTCTCGGTCTGCTGCGGTCTTCTTCTTGACCTCACCCCACTGCGACACATTGCCTAAAGAGAAGTTAGCGGGAACGAATCAGTCGTGATACGAAGTGATAATCAAGCTAGTCACAGCATATTAAGGAACTGGGAGGAATAATAAATGTATACAAAGGTAGATACAAACGTAAACTGTTCGGGGAAGTAGTCAGACGAGCCATACCTTCAGTGATGCGCTCAATTGCATCTTCGAGCGAGCCATTCGAGTCTTCAAGTGCAAACACAAGATCCTCGTCTTTCCAGTCCGAAAACAACTCTCGAAGAGTAGGAAGAGCATCGGCGTATTTTTTTTTCATTTGACCGAGTTCACTATCATCGAAGGATGTGAGCTCTGAGCTATCGGTATTTCCAGCGCGACCAACTCGACCACCTCGGGAGCTGTGTCCACCACGGCCACCGCGGGCAGATACCCGGCCACGTGCCGATTGGCGACTCTGAGAATCAGACATTGTGTAAAATTGGAGTGTAGAGGATGGAAGGATGGGGTAGGATGAGGAGTTGACGGGAATGTCGCAAGGTTGGAGGATTAGGAAGGAAAGCCGGATGTACCCTCGCAAAAGAGGAACAGCCTAGGACCACAGGCTCAGGGGCCAAATAGTAATCCAAAAGAAAAAGAGGTTCAAAAGGGTTTGAGGGGGAGGAGAGACTGGAAGGTGAATGGGGAAGACGAAAGAAGCTAAGGCTCTGATGTGTTGCTCCCAGTCGCTGAGTCTTGGCACTTCCGGCCTGGCTTTTAGCGAGTGGCGCTTATTGGTGCTTCTGCCCATCAATCAACCTTCACCTGCACTCCCCCGGTTTTCACATTTCCACTTTCTCTTATAGTATGGGGGAATCTGGAAAATTCGTGTGATTCTCTTCTCCTACTGTTCCTCTACTATTATATCCTCTTCTCTTCCTCAATTCATCCTGATATTATTTCTCCCCTTTCTCCTCACCGCCCACCTTCGCGGCGATCTTCCTGTCAGGCCGTGCAGAGACGAATTCGGACACATCGATTACCCCTTCGAACCACGAGAACGTCCAATGGATTCAATTCAGTTATATTGCCAATACCATACTCATCTGGTCCCTTTGCCGTTAGTTCATTATAAATAGTCACCTCTGTGACAAGATAGCGATGGCCTTGCAATATCTACGTATCGCTTCATACACATCGATACTTGATCCCAATTTACCATATACTGTTCCATAGGCTCCTGGGTCCACTTGGCGTACCAGGTCTCTTCTTCAGACTTGTGGACCAGCATCGTACTTATACTGTACGGAGTACCTGAGGGTCGAACTATACGCGGCATGTACCTACATGTATATATATATATATATATATATTTCGCGTCGGTAGGTAGCTAACTACAGCCAACTGTTAGCAATAGAACATTAGAAGACTCTATGGCAGTAGTAAAATGAACTTGAGGAAGTATAAATTCTAAGTGTTTAGACAGCAATTGCCGAGGTAGAACATCTTGAAGAGTTAAAGTAATTAAGGTTGATAAGTACTAGTATGGAACCTTGAGTGTCACAAACTCAGAATGTCTTAATATCTTCCCTTCAGATGCCTCCTAGAGACCGACATCGGGACTACCTACGTAGGTATATCCAGTGACTTCCATGGTAGCCTGTCAATTCCTTTTGACGATTGACAGATCGTGGGGCGATTGAGTCTCCATGAGGAAACAAATACAAATCCCAATACATGGCACGAAGTCCTCTGGTTTTTTTTGGAGATATGACAACAAGTTGAATGAGAGGACACTATATTATCCACAAGAGTTGCATCTGGGAATCCCCAGAATCTTTCTTTCTCCGCACGAACCTTCGGTCCACTCCCCTCCTCCTCTCCTGCCCGGACTTACCCGTCAAATCTTTCCGGTGATTGGGATAGAGCCCTTCTTTCGGCTTCAAATTTCATCGTTGTAAACCTCAACCCTCTCTAAATCTCAATATCCGAGCCCCGCACCCTGCCACCTCCAATCTGACGATGGGGCGATGATTCCGTGGAGATAACTTTTTTCGACTCCTCCACTTCTCGAACTCGCCGATTTATCCCCTCCCTTTGAAGATTCCATATAACAGTCTTGATGCAGGAGAAGCCTACTACAGTGGCCGCATATGCAGCTGGGGCTTCCCTCGCCGCTATTGCGCTCTTCTACGTCTTCGGTCCGAACTACACAATCGATGGAGACGATTCCAATGACAGCAATCGCAAGAAAAGCATCGTGGGCCTCTCGAACCTCGCCAATGACTGCTTCATAAATTCGGTACTACAGGCTCTTGCTGGTCTGGGAGACCTCCGAGTTTACTTGATCCGGGAGCTACATCGCCGCGCGCTGGACGGGCCAGAAATATATGGTGCCATATCCAGGCCAGATGAATTACCGCAGGAGGAGCGGTCGGACAAGCTGCGGGAACTACAACAGGGTGTGATTACACGGGCATTGAAGGAGATGCTGGATCGATTGAACGAGCGACCCATCTACAAAAAGACCATCTCAGCCCGCGGGTTCATTCAAGCTCTGGAACTCGCATTCCGGACACGCATCAGCCGGAATCAACAGGATGCGCAGGAATTCCTACAGATTGTTCTAGAGCGACTCTGTGATGAGCACCATGCTGGTGTCCGCGCTCGAAATCGGGCCCTGGGAACCATCGGTATGCCTATTGGTTCAGAGACAGCGGCAGTGCCCGAGTCCAGCACTCTGGAATCTTCGGCCGAGGTGGAGGTGCGGATTGACGATGGATCACCCCATGGATTACCCGCACTAATCGAAACTAAGCTGAAAGAGATTGACGGTGAATCTGGGTTCCCATTTGAGGGCAAAATGGAATCGCAGATTGAGTGCCAATTCTGCCACTACCATTACAAGCCCAACCAGACGGCATTCGTCAATCTCACACTGCAAGTGCCGCAGAAGAGCTCAACAACACTCAACGCTTGTTTTGACGGTCTTCTCAAGACTGAGTACATTGAAGACTTCCGCTGTGATCATTGTCGCCTGCAGCATGCCGTGGAGTACAAAACAGCGGAGAGGGCTCGCCTGCGCTCACCAGTCGAACAGGAGCGCCTAGACCGGGAGATTGTGCTAATCCGAGAAGCATTGGAAAAGGACCCCGAGGTCGAACTGGAGGGCATTGAATTGCCACCATCCGACCTCGCACCGAAGCGACGAATTGCTCGACACATGCGTATCACGAAATGCCCCAAGGTGATTGCAATCCACTTGTCCCGGTCAATTTATGACCACAGCAGCTCGACCAAGAATGTTGCCAAAGTCTCCTTCCCCGAGCGATTACCCTTAGGAGGTATCCTGACCCAGAAAATGTACAAGCTACTTGCCATTGTTTGCCACAAGGGCAGCCACCAGAGCGGCCACTACGAGTCCTTCCGGCGCAATTACCTCTATGCGCCTTTCTCAACGCCAGAAACCTTCAGCTCATTTGCCCAGAGTCGCGTCGCAAGCGAGAACCCGTCAGCGGCACAAAGTCCACGACTGGCCCCAAAAAGCAGTCCTGATTCTGGTAAAAGCATTTCCTCCGCAACCTCGTCGACCTCGCTCTCTGGCGCATCGCCGTCACAGCACTCCCAACTCAGTCCTTCATTGCCTCGTCCCACATCCCCAGTTTCGCGCCGTTCATTCCAGAGCAACATCTCCCGAACAACCTCAAAACATACTAGTTCGGAGGATACCAATAGCTCATCCACCAAACAGGGTCGATTTAGCTTCTCTTCTGCCACACGATCCTCTCGAACAGTCCATCGCTCGTCTACGGAAACCACCGCCACGGGAATCAGTTCACGGATGCGACGGCGTCGAAAGTCGGACGATCGCTGGTGGCGTATTTCCGACGAGAAGATCAAAGAATGCAAAACTTCAGATGTATTGGGGATGCAGAAAGATGTATATCTTTTGTTTTATGAGATGGAAAAACCCAGTTCACGCAGGGGTACGGAGGGCTGATCTATCATGGAACCTTGTAATAATTTCTCATTTCGGACATAAACCATATATATTTTCAGAAATAGAGAAATAGAACAGACTATCATCTAATCATGGTGTGGTGGAAATCCAGATAATTAATGGTCTGATGTACATGTACTACATAGTATGATGTCAGGCTATGCGGCTAGTATAAGATCCACCATAACCGGTCCAACCGGATTTTGACTCTAGAGCTCGGGTTGGAATTAGAGCCCATATTAGTAGGAACTTAGTTGAAACGAGAATTGAATTCCTCGGTTGTTAGTTCACGAACAAATTACGGGTACTCCGTAGTCTCAGATCGGAATCCTCCTACTACGAAACAGTTGGTGCATATATGATAGAAGACTATAGAATTAGATAGAACCAGGTAATTTTAATTGATCTGTCTGAGACTGTCTAATACTGGTACTGATCGAGAGGTCAAAAATAAATAATAACTTTCTGTATAATGCTCGGAGTATAAAGGTTATAGGTGAAAAAGCCATCGGGCCATTGCGGAGCCAAAAACGATATATAAGAATGTTACCCGACATTAGCTTATTATATCATATTAGGAATATCATACTGAGGTCAGAAGAAGAGAACCCTGAGGTAAACTAGATCCACTAACCGGTGAGTTCTCGATGACGATTCTGCCCCATAACTTGCCCCTCCATTTATTTCAACCCGCTTTTGTCTCTCGGTAAAGCTGTGAACCTTACGATTTCCTCTTCTGACTCTCTTAAAGTCTCCCTTCCCCCCCAAACAGATTCTTCCTTTCCTGTACATTTATACACAATATCCTTCAAAATGGGTGTCATCGAAGTTCTCTCGCGCAAGTCCGGTGTTATCGTCGGTGACGACGTTCTCCGTCTCTTCGAGTACGCCAAGGAGAAGCAGTTCGCTATCCCCGCCATCGTTAGTGACCCTCATAACAATTCACAATTTGAACCGAACTGACCCCCTATTATAGAACGTCACCTCTTCCTCCACCGTTGTTGCCGCCCTCGAGGCTGCCCGTGATGCTAAGTCCCCCATCATCCTGCAGACTTCTCAGGGTGGTGCTGCCTACTTCGCTGGAAAGGTATGCAGAACTATGTCGTCATCTTCTATGGCTAAGTATTAACTTGAAAATCATAGGGTGTGAGCAACGACGACCAGGCCGCTTCCATTGCCGGTGCCATTGCCGCCGCTCACTACATCCGTGCCGTTGCCCCCGCCTACGGTATCCCCGTTGTTCTCCACACCGACCACTGCGCCAAGAAGCTCTTGCCCTGGTTGGACGGCATGATCGAGGAGGATGAGCGTCACTTCAAGCTCCACGGAGAGCCCCTCTTCTCCTCCCACATGATTGACTTGTCTGAGGAGCCCGTCCAGTGGAACATTGACACCACCGCTGCCTACCTCAAGCGTGTTGCCCCCATGAAGCAGTGGATCGAGATGGTAAGTTTGATATCTATTCTTTAACTATCATTACATATCTTAACCCATCAACAGGAGATCGGTATCACCGGTGGTGAGGAGGATGGTGTCAACAACGAGGATGTTGACAACAACTCCCTCTACACCCAACCCGAGGACATCCTCGCCATCCACAACGCCCTGCGCAAAATCAGCCCCTACTTCTCCATTGCCGCTGGCTTCGGTAACGTCCACGGTGTCTACAAGCCCGGTAACGTCAAGCTGCACCCCGAGTTGCTGTCCAAGCACCAGGCATACGTCAAGGAGCAGACCAAGGCCGACTCCGACAAGCCCGTCTTCTTCGTCTTCCACGGTGGTTCCGGCTCTTCCAAGGAGGAGTACAAGGAGGCTATCACCTACGGTGTCGTCAAGGTCAACGTCGACACTGACATGCAATTCGCCTACCTCCAGGGTATCCGTGACTACGTCCTGAACAAGAAGGACTACCTCATGACCATGGTCGGTAACCCCGACGGTGCTGACAAGCCTAACAAGAAGGCTTTCGACCCCCGTGTCTGGGTCCGCGAGGGTGAGAAGACCATGTCTGCTCGTACCAAGGTTGCCCTTGAGGACTTCAACACTGTTGGCCAGTTGTAAAAACTTTACACATCTCCAGATGTGGTGTAGTAGACGATTGATGCTGGTCTCTTAACGATCTCACGGTTTTTTCTCTTTGTCCTTACATACATCGAAAACTAATGTCAGCCAGTCGTGACTGGTAATATGACTTGTTCAAAGCTTTAATAATTCTCGTAGCAATTCCCGGTAAACAAGAAAACAAGAACACCAGAACAGAATCAACCTTGGAAAGTAACTCCACCAGCCAAATTTCTAATTTCTAAACTGATAGCACTTGAAGATAGCACTTGAAGAAAGAGCGGCATGTTTCCATCATCACCATATTGTCGCGATATCGGCTATGAATCGAATTGACCTATGCAGTATCCGTGGCACACTCTTTTCAAGCCCACCAAAGGGCGAGCATGTCTACCGGTGTTGAATGGGCTCTATATCAACTTATTCTCTTAGAAGTCGTATTCCATCTCCATAGATAGCCTGGTTACCCCGAGCTGTCAGTGCCTCTCAAGTTGAATTAGATTTCCATCTTATTTTTCCTCACAACATCGCCGAAGTCAACAAATAGCTTCTAGTGTCGGCAACAGGGTTATCCCATGGCTCTGGCCCATCTTTATTTCTTCTTATCTGGCACATTGAAGAAAGCTACCTGTACAGTAATATCATCGCGTACATTTCGAGAGGATGGGGCGCTGAAGGCAAGCCGGCCGGCTATCATCTCGTGATGGTTGCCACCCAGAGCATTACGCACCAAATGCACCGCAGCATTGTCATCTTGCACTGTAGTTCTCTCCTTCACGAACCTCGAATAGACAGGGGGATCATCCCAACATTGACTAAAGTCAAATGGCTTGTATGTTGACTCTAGGTTGCTATTCGTCTTCTTCTCTGACTCCAACCAATCTCCGACTAGATCGACGGCCTGCCCATTGTAGAGCAGGTCCCATAAACCATCTGTTGCCATGATCAGAAAGGAAGGCTTCGTAGGATCGATCTTGACGCTAGTCACAACTGGTCGAGCCGTCAAATATGGGGGCGTTTTAATTTCGTATCTGGGCGTCAGAGGTGCTGGACCAAAAAATCGTCGCTTCACATCCTCCTGGAATTCCAGAGGCCACTTCCACCTAGCATCGCCGAAGGCTCGCGAGACCATAATTCCTAGCACTCGTCCATGTTTGACAATGTTATCTTCACCAGGATGCTCCTTTTGCAGTCTGGCAATTTCTTCGTAGTTTGAGCCATTCTGGTCTTCTGACAGTAGTATCACTTCCCATTTGCCGTCTGACCCTTTCTGTCCCAAAACAGCTCTTGAATCTCCAGTACAGGCTACATGCAGCCAGCTTGAGATAGGATCGTACATGGAAAGCAAAGCACACGAACCGGCATGGGCGGGTGCTAGTCTCTTCACTTTCTCTTGCAAAGATAATCCACTCTGAGCCGTATCAACGGCTGTTTTGATGATTGAATCGTCGAGTTTCACAAACCCATCCATAATAGCACGCTGTACTGACTCCACTGGCAAAGAATCTTCGTCTAAGGATGGCTTGACTTGATTCAGGCTGTGTCGGACAAAAGGCAGAAGCTGCTCCTTTAGTAATTCTGCCGTTTGACAGCCTGAATGACCGTCAAAAACACCCCAGGCCATCCACTGATTACCTTCGATGGACGGTGATGGAAATTTGCCATGGGTGAAACGGTCCTCGCACGGGCTATTGGAAGCCAATTGAGCACCATCGTATCTGCTGACGCCGACGACGTTTCCGATCGGAAATGAGTATGCTCCCTGCGATATGATGCGTGTGACATCGTTTTTGGAAGAGCTTGGCTCAATGCCACAGTGTTCAGTAGGAGGGCTATCAAGAAGTGGCACATCGTGAAGTGGCACATTGTCGTGGGAAGTTAGCAGCCACCAAAGACTTGGTGCACCGACTACAACAGCAACCGTAAAATTCCTTGCCGGATTTGAAGACGGGCCTGAGCCTGAGCCCTTGATCGAATATTTTTTGATCCGAGTTTTTAAGATTGAGGTTGTGTTCATGCGTAGTCGCGTTCGAGCGACACCTAACAACAGCATTGTTGCTAATGTGCGAGTGAAAAGAGATAGGGAAAAAAGGTCTGTTGGAGTGAGTTGCAATGCAAAATCAACAAATTTGCCGGCGTAGTTTGCCCAGGTGGGAGATCGAGTTTTCGACTGTGATGGTAGGGGAGACTGAATCTCCATGGTGATGCCCCCTTCCGAGGTTGGCTCGGCGCGTAACCGCTGTTCGAATCTGATATGTTGAAATGAAGATGTAAGAAGCGGCGATAATTTGTTTTCAATAGTGTAGATGAAATTTGTTGTAGTCGAAAAAAGCTCAAAGTTCAAATACCTGTGTTGTTATCGACCTTACAAAATATCACTTCCAAAACTTCTACGCTTTTCAAGTCATATCTGGGTAGCTATAGTAAGTGACTTATTGACTCCATTTAAAATGACAATAACAGAATAAAGGTCAGGAACAGGTGTCTGACTAATTAGATGCGCAGTTGTAAACATGAACTATATACAGTCAGGATGTAACAGGATATGAATCTCCATAGCACAAGATATCACAAGGTCAACTCTATTGAAAACAGATATCAAGGGTGAGCGTCAGTAGCCAAAAGGTCAGTCCTCAGCCCCTTTGATTCAAAGAAAAAGCAGAGAAAAGACAGATCAAAATAAGCAATTCTATTGTGAACAGACCGTCTATTCGGTAAGACCCAGTCCCTCAGGACCAACCTTGTGGTATGGTGGCTTGGCATCAGCAGCACGTTCAGCATCGAAGCGCCAGATTCCACCGGTCTTGTCGCCATCAAGGTTTGCGGCGAGATCTAGCTGGCGAGCGAGAGCATGGATTTCAACATTATCGCTACTCTCGTCGTGGCGGTTGAAGAAGCGTCGTTCCCATTCACGACCCTCGGCCTTTTCAGCCTTGCGCAGCTCGCGCTGGGCGACCTCAATCCGCGTCTTGAAAGCCGAGACAGCATCCATATCACCTTTCTGGATGTTGGAGGCAACATCATACCAAGCGCGGCGGCTCTCATAGTGGTCCTGCTCCTCGAGAGGGGTCACGGTGAGTGGGGTAGTCTTGTTCTCGCTGACAGACCAGAGATCGACAACCTCCTTGTTCGGGGTTTTAATGGTAAATTTACCATTCCACTGTCCATCTACAATGTACAGGGGCTTCTTTTCGCCCTCGCTGGTCTTGAACAGACTGGCAGAGAAAGTGTTTTTCTTACCGCTCAACCATCCCTTTCCGGAGAAGTCGATCTTGGCGGTGTAGCCACTGCTGCTAGCAATTTTGGTAGACTTTTCAAGCTCGACGAAGGGTGTACCGTAGATAAGGGACTCGATGTGCATATTAGGGAGCGTAATCAGGTAATACTCCTTCGCATCGGAACCGGGAGGGGTGAGAGTGTAGAGAGCATGGCCAATCTGCTTAACTTGAATAGTGCTAGAGAAGGAGGCCTTTTGGGCGTTGTATCCTTGAAGCTAAACTCATATAGTTACCCTGTTAGGCCACCACTTTTTTTTGTGTCATAGGGGGGTATGTCGCGATCCACTTACCTCGACACCGTGCTTTTTATTCTGAATCGCATAGGCGGTAGCAGGCGGGTGGTGGCTGTAGTATCAATCATTTGGTTAAATACTCCTTAATAGAATACTTATAGCTATGCGCGGTCATTTACCTGACTTGTTCACTGATCAATTCGGTCTCGCCTACATCCGAGTTGGCGTCTGCCTGCCACTTGCCGATGAACAGCTCACCAAGGAAAGGGTTCAAGGGCTTCTTCTCGCTACCTAGTTTCTCACTTCGGCTGCAATATTGCTGGTGCAGGGTAGTGAGGAACCATTTGAGAACCAGGAGAGCACGCTTCTCAGGGTCCGCCTCCTTAGCGGGGGCCACGAAGACGGCGGGGTGTTCAGCCCAGTAGGCGGAGTACTCGGTGAGAGAGGTAGAGGACAAGATAAAAGGAGGAGCAGTCAGGGAGGAAAGATCTCCATTGAAAGACGCGATCGACTGAATAAGTGGTGAGCTCAAGCAAAATGTTATTTGGCACTTGGTGTGCCCACCTTGAGGAAACTTGTCCACGAGCCCTTACTGGCGGGGGGAACAGCGCTCTGGGGCTCCTTCTTGGAAGACATGATTTTATTAAGGTGGGACAGATGCAGGTAAATATCAGACAGGAATTGAGGTAAAAAAAATCCGATGTTTTGGAGGCCAAGTGGGGAGGGAAAGTTACGATGTTTGGCGGTCAAAGAAATACGTCATGGACGGGACTGGGATCTTCTTCAAAGTCACGCGTGATTTCACTCTTAGTATTCATCTATGGCAAATGAACTGCTTAATTGCTATGACCTCTGTTATCATTAGCAATGTCATATACCCGATCTCTGTACTTCCATCGTCCAACTGGGTGGGACCACGGATACTCGGGATCCAGGTTTAGTGTTTGGTTGGCCGCTGTTGGCTACTTATACTCAGGTATATGCAGAGATGGAAGGTATCAAGGGTCTGGACTGATCCGTATCTCAGATGCAAACCAGCTGCCAATATGATAGCTTCTTTATCGCTTTATCGCGCTATCAATTAGGTTGTGGCGTGTTTTTCAATGCTCGGATTCTTTTCCGTTTTTGCTCGGATTTGGCACCGATATTCCCACAAAACCCCAGATTATTGGGTTACATTCCTGTATCGGGATCCTTCACCTTTGAATAGAACGCTTCTTCGCCCTATGAATGGCTTTATCTGACACTATGAACCTAATTTATACTCAGGGTGTGAATCCACACGCCGATCCTCGGGGCCCGATAACCATCATCGAGAGCGCTATTTTGTTGCATTTTTTTTTCCCCTGCATGACTCACTAGTACAATTCATTTAATAGGGCTGTCTGCTCTTTCTGCAGACCGAATTGAACTGGGACTGCAGCGTTTCTCTTGAATATCCGGACAAGTATATGAGCCGTCCATTGACCTCAAAAAGTCACTGAAAATCAAATTGCCTGTGTGATTAGTGAGAAAATCATAAGTCTAGCAAATGCAGATCAACTGTGGTTTCATTATACTAGAAAAGAAACTACCGTGATGTCTGCAGATTCGAGATCTAGTACGGAAGAAACCTCGCCTCCAATGGAAGAGATACGCCATATAAGATCGAAATATCAGCAATCACCTGAAGCTACAGATGATCTCCATCATGTACAAAGCCATTACTCAAATCATGACATGCCCGCTACAACTGATGAATTTCACGAGGTTGATGCCGATCAATATCTTCGATTCTCGCCGGCACAAAAGAGGCTTATCGTCGCTGTATTGTCATTCTGCTCATTCCTGGCTCCCATCTCTTCAACTTCTATTTTATCAGCTATACCAGAAGTGGCAGAGACCTTTCAAACCACTGGAAGTATAATCAATGCAAGCAACGCTCTCTATCTGGCATTTATGGGTATTGCGGCTCCATTCTGGGGCCCGTTTAGTCAAGTATGGGGACGCAGACCGGTGAGCAAACATAAGAAATCGATAGTTCTCTATAATCGTGTTCTATTATGCTGATCATCAGTCCCCAGATCTTCTTGACGAGTGCCTTTCTCTTCTTTTGTTTCAGCATCGGCACAGCGCTATCGCCGAATCTTCCAGCATACTTCATTTTCCGTATTCTCACGGCCTTCCAAGGAACATCATTCTTGGTGGTAGGTAGCTCTGCCATAGGTGATGTCTATGAACCGAGAGCTCGCGGAACAGCACTAGCATCGTTCTTATCCGGCACTCTCGTCGGGCCAGCCTTGGGCCCCTTCATCGGTGTATGTATCGCTAATATCTACCGCCATGCCCAGAACGAAAGAAGCTTACCAGGAATATTTAGGGAGTGATTGTTAACTTCCGCTCATGGCGAGTAATTTTCTGGCTTCAAAGCGCACTAGGCGGCGTAGGCACGATCCTAGTATTCTTTCTTTTCCCAGAAACGTTTCCAAATCTGGACAAGTCGGAACGTATCCAGGAAACAAAGAGACAGAAAGCAAAGTTCCTCTGGGCTAGAATCAACCCATTCCGCGTCGGTATTCTCCTCCTTTCAAACCCAAACCTCTCCTTCGCAGGTCTTGCAGCTGGCGCCCTGGTCTGGAACCAATACTCGTTGCTCACGCCTATTCGGTACGTGCTCAATCCACGATTCCACCTCACTAGTCCCATCCTCTCGGGTCTGTTCTACATCGCACCAGGATGCGGATATCTCGTGGGCACATTCATGGGCGGGCGTTGGGCAGACCACACTGTTAAGAAATGGATCCGTAAGCGTGGTGGCGTGCGCATACCTGAGGATAGACTGAAGTCGTGTCTAGTCTTTCTCGGAATCGCTATTCCGGGATGTGTCCTCGTTTATGGATGGACGGTCGAGAAAGCCGTTGGTGGTATCCCAGTCCCTGTGCTCGCTATGTTCTTGCAGGGTGTGGCCCAGCTCTTCTGCTTCCCCAGTCTGAATACTTATTGTCTGGATGTCATGCAAGCCAAAGGCCGCAGTGCTGAAGTTGTTGCTGGAAACTATATGTGCCGATATTTCTTTGCTGCCCTTGGATCCGGTGTTGTACTTCCCGCCATAGAGGTTATCGGTGTGGGTTGGTTCAGTACTTTGAGTGCATTCTTCTTGATTGTTTCTGGAATTTGCGTTTGGGCTACTACTATCTTTGGAAGTGCTTGGCGTGAGAAGGTTGATGCTAAGGACCAGCGCAAGGAGACAGAAAAGACCCAGGAGATTCCTGCTCCATTGAATAGCGAGAAAAGCGAGGTTTAAATACCTACGTACTTTCCAAAGCTGCCTAGTAACGAGCTATGACCAAAATTTTGACTACAAGTTATAGAGCTTGACTTGTTCACAGCATAGAAGCGTTGCGTTTGGCTATAAATCGACCATTTTTGAATTACTGCTAGTTCATATCATTCAATTAATATTCATTCCTCATCATCATCAGCAGAGCCACTACCGATCGTTGCCGCTGCGTTCTTCCCTTTGGCAGGTACAGTAGAGTTTCTTCCCTCTGTAACGACTCGACCGATTTTCCGTTGCTCTGTGAATCTTTTGCAGTCCTCTCGACCTTTCTCGATGTTAACTAATCCAACAACCATCATGGCAGCGGTGCAGATAGCAAAGAGGAACGGAAATCCCATCCAGTTGTTCCGTGTATTGTTGATGATCGCCTGGATAACGTTTGGGCCGATGATGGAAGACTTAAGGCCGTTAGTATTTGAAACAGCCCGAGTGAAAAATAGAGCTTACGGCGCGGTTAGTGATTCCAAAAAGAGCGAAAAACATATTGTCGTAGCCCTGTGGTATAAGCTCACTTATCATCGTTTGGGCGTACTGTGATTGAGGTAATCAGTAAGCCTCCGCGTAGTTGAATATGAACAAAGCTCACTGCGTAGTATGGAGCCTGGAAAAGTCCAAAAATGACATTGTAAAAGTAGAATTCCCACTGGGATCCAGTCAACTTGGTTTAATAGTCAAACAAATGGGGGATAAATGCATACTGTGTTGTGATACCCAATTCTAGTGGTCCAAAGTCCTATCATTCCCCAAAGTGGAATGAAGATGGTGAAGAAATTGGTGAACAGGAACATGGTCTTCGTTTGGAATTTGAAATATCGTTGGATGTACCAAAATCCAAATGTCGAAATAATTGAGCAAGTGGCCTGCGTAATGCCGAGGTAGGTGATCTGTAGAAAGGAGAAGGAAACATTGTCATTCTGAATGATACTCACGAGTGTTCCTTTCCTTCCATGTGAGCATGAACACATCTTGCATGATGAGGAGGTAACTTACCTGTTGTATTCAGACCGTCTGCGAGCAGAAAGTATGCCCAAAAATAAAGAAAGGTCTGAGGCAGAGACCTGATCTCTCGAATGGCTAACCATATCTGTTTGAGACCGATGGTAGCGAAATTGGAGCCTTGGGGCACGTTTGGACCAAGTCGCTTTTGCTGGAATAGGAACCACCAAATACCCAAAACAACCCAGTCTATGGGAATGTCAGTATCTGCATACCAATAAAAAAAAAATCAAAGGACTAGCTACATGAATTAGTCAAGCAAAGAGCCAGATTGTTTGAGTAGGCGTTGCTCTGCATAGGGAGCAGGACACTCAAATTGAGAACCAGCGTGAGAAGGTAGCCGATGTTGCTATGCGCCGTTGAGATATTACTGTATTCATCGTCAGAAGAGAGGTTAAGGGCAGACTGAGCTAGCTTTACCTAATGTGATTCCTCTCAAGAGATTCAATCGCATCGTACTCTTTCTGGCTTATCTTTCTATCTGACAGTTCATCGCGAGCCTTGCGAACGTGTGGCATGCAGCGCGCCAGCTGAGGAAATACAGCAGCGATGAAGACAAGGGTTGCGCCATAAGCAATATAAGAAGCGACGTACAAGCCCATCGCCAAGGGCCACTGGCTGGGATGGCGGAGGGCCATCATACCGTACTGAAATGCCCAGCAGACAACTGTGAGTACTAGAAGCAGCCATCTGCCGAATGAACCATAGTCGGCGGCACTTCCCAGCCAGAAAAAGATGATTGTCATGAAAGTGAAACATAGACCGTTGGCAATCAAAACCACCGAGGAAGTAGATCTGGTACCTCCCACCCAAGGGACAACACACGCTGAGGAAGAAGTGCATGCCTTTGGCGGGTTAGTCTCAGGTTGAAACCCCGCGCCATTGAGAGCCCATTGGAACCTTGGCACATATTTCCATTAGCTTCATTAGTTTGGACATCCGATATGGGAGGTAAATACAGAGTTTGACTGTAAGAGCCAGGGCCGACACCATTATCCCCTATGAGTCGATAGATAGTTAAAGTCGGAACATTCACACAGTGCACTTGATGTCTTACCGTTGGCGTAAAGATAATAGGACCAAAGCTCTCTTCTGGTGGTGATAGGCTGCTCAAATTGGTTGTCAACTGTAAATAAGCGCTCATATTCCTGCAAAACTGGAGGCCCTGGATCAGTTACGGCAATCACACTAGCTGCATCGTCCTTGGATTGCTCTTTGGTTGTATGGATATGGTCCGCCATAGTTCGCTGTAGAGGAGAAAGATGTGTTTGGTGGTATATTATTCCAGAATGTAACTCCAGGATATTCAAGAATTAATACCCCGCAAAGTCACCTGTCATCTCTTATCTTTCTTTTGTATTATCAGGGAAAGAGCGAGAGATGCTTGATATTGAGTGGAGCCTTAGGGAATCAAAGCCCCAATAATAAGACTCCACTTACCGATTCAGTTTCCCGTTCCCCCCACCACAACACTCGATGTCAACTAACATACCTATACCTTGCATAATGACAGATCTGCAGAAGCAAGTCGGTCAGGTATGTACTGTCTCTAAAGTCTTCTGGTCAGAAATATTTGCCGGAGAATGTCGCGCTAAGGAATTTAACAGCTGTTTGCGGTCGGTTTCCATGGCCAGACCCCCAGTGCGGAGATCAAGATACTGATCCATGACTATCATGTTGGAGGCATTGTTCTCTTCTCTCGTAATTTTAAGAATGCCCAGCAGCTTCGAGTGAGCTACTTTCTAAGACTACTATCTTGAAAAAATATTAATAATCGGGTCATAGGCATTGACTCTCGCTCTGCAACATGAGGCTCGCATGGCAGGCCACCAACGACCTTTATTCATCGGAATTGACCAAGAGAATGGACTAGTCACCCGGATTTCTCCTCCAATTGCTACTCAGATCCCTGGCCCAATGGCTCTAGGAGCTACTCATGACCCGAAGCATGCCTTTCAAGCGGGACAAGCCACTGGAGAGATTCTTAGTTTCTTTGGCATCAATATGAACTATGCACCGGTTTGTGATATCAACTCAGAGCCCCTAAACCCAGTCATTGGAGTCCGCAGCCCGGGTGATAACCCAGAGTTTGTGGGACGATTTGCAAGCGCAACTGCGCGGGGTCTTCGAGACCAGAAGATCATCCCTAGTGTGAAGCACTTTCCTGGTCACGGCGCCACTACCGTTGACTCACACTATGGACTCCCAGTGATTTCAAAGACGCTGGATCAACTGGAACGGTGCGAACTGATTCCATTCCGCCGAGCAGTGGCTGAAGACATTGAGACAGTCATGACTGCCCATATCTCACTGCCTAGCATTGATGACAAGCTGCCCGCAACGCTGTCACCAAAAGTGCTTGGTATACTGCGCAAAGACATGGCATATGACGGTATGATTATTACTGACTGTTTGGAAATGGATGGCATCCGATCAACAATAGGCACTAAACAGGGGTCGGTTCTTGCCATTCAAGCCGGTAGTGACAGTGTCATGATCTGCCATACATTTGACGTGCAGATTTCCTCTATCAAGGGTGTATGCAAAGCTGTCGAAACTGGAAACATCCAGCTTTCTCAACTAGCGGATGCCTCTCGTCGAGTTGCTCATGTTAAGGACAAATTCCTGAACTGGGACACCGCATGTCAACAACAAAATCTAGCAATTCTTGATGCGCTGAATGAACGAATCTCTATTTTTTGTAAAGATGCATATGAGCGTTCTGTTACGCTTGTTCGCGATCAAAATAAGATTCTTCCATTATTGAAAACTTCGAATATTGTCTTTCTCTTCCCAGGTGACAAGACTCCCGCAGGCGGTGCAGTTGATGGAGAGGGTATGGGTCGAAAAGGCTCTTACAGCGCTACTGTTTATCTTGATGCCCTTCGACTTCATAATCACTCCATCACTGAAATCAGATATGGAGAGAGCGGCCTATCAACAGAGGAACTGGATCTTATCAAGGCTGCTGATGCTGTTATTTTTGTCTCAATAAATGCGCGCGAATCTCCATATCAGGAAATTCTTGGCCATGAGCTCCCTCGGCTGACTAAATCTTTGGTAGCGATTGCCGCATGCAGTCCTTATGACTTTCTCGAAGTCCCCAAAATTCAAACTTATATTGCCACTTATGAACCAACAATCGAAAGCTTTTCTGTGGCCGCCAGAATCATCTTTGGAGATTCCAAACCAAAGGGCTCTCTTCCAATCGGCCCAAGTGTGTCCTCAAAATCAAATGGCACCATACTACCATTTGATGCGGGAAAAGACCTTGACGAGATGATATCGACGTGGGAAGCAGCATTGCCGACCTATCTCATTCCTGCTGAGGACCTACGGTCGTTAATTGCCCAACCTAACGCACATCATTTCGTTGCTCGTACCGGACTAGAACTGACCGGATTCTGTCTTGCCTTTTTAAATGCTCACGGTCCACCCGAAACTGTCCATATTGCAGCCCTGGTCGTGTCTCCAAAGTATCAAGGTCAAGGAATCGGAACATCTCTCTTAGCCGAGACTCGCTCTTATTTCAGAACCCAGTTCCGATTGAACTCTTTGAAGCTAGGCAGTTCTTTCCCACGCTTTTGGCCCGGGATACCTCGTGATCTTCCGGAGTCCGTCCAAGATTTCTTCACTCACCGTGGCTTTCGACTCAGTCGGCCGGGCTCCAGATCCGTTGATTTATACCAGGATATCCGGAATTTCCAATCACCTGAGAAGTATATGGACCGAGCACGGGAGAGGGGTTTCCGCTTTGCAGCATTGCAACCCGAAGATTATGAGGCGTGTATCATCGGGCAGACGAAGAACTTTTCTGATAAAGCGGTACGTCTATCGCAAGCTCAATTTTGCATCATGTGAGTGTATAAAAAAGCTAATGTGTTATTTAGGGCTGGGTCGAAGGGTATATAAAATTACACCCAAGCGAATATCCCGACTGCATCATGACTGCTTTCGATTCTCAGAACCAACAAGTTGGATGGACATTTATGCTCCCCCCATCGCCTGTCGTAAACAAAATTTGGGCATTCCCCCAAACTTGTGGCCCAAAGACTGGTTTGATCGGTGCTGTTGGTGTTGATGCTGACCACCGAAAATCTGGAATTGGATTGGCAATGCTATGCCATGCCATTGAGAATATGAAGCAGCGAGGGATAGAGGGGGTATTTGTGGACTGGGTTGCTCTTGATGGCTGGTATGAGCAGATCGGTTTTGAGACTTGGAGAAGTTACCGTCCTGGAGAAATCTGAGGATGGTGATATCTACTATGTACAGTTGCTTGAAGCCTATGTAGCAAACACTTAATAGCCTTGGAGCTCCCATATTCGACGTTTATTTGTGCTTTCATTCGAAGATAAGAGGGCTGTACTATCATACCTCATGTATGTAGGTATCAGGTAACTTTTGAATGTGTAGGATTTCTTACAAACTCTCGATAATATCATGCTATTTGATGTAAATTCCCAAATTTCATGAACTGTCAATATTTTTCAAGCTTGTTTAATGCTTATCAGTGTTGGTCATTCCATCAATCTTAGCACGAGCGCCTTTAAAGAATTCGGCCATCTGCTCTGGTGTCCGGCCGATATCAGGAACATTAACACCCTTCTTCACTGCATCGCGCTTACCGATCTCGTCGACCCATTTATTCAAGGCAGGGAACTCGGCCAGATCGATTTCCAGCGAATTGGCACTACGGACCCAAGAGTAGTTGGCAATATCAGCAATAGTGTACTTGCTACCGGCGAGATATCGGCTCTCGTTCAGACGAATCTCAAGGACAGAGTAGAGACGCTCGGTCTCTTCGACGTAGCGGTTAATTCCGTAGTCGGATCGAACACCAGCAAAGAGGCGGAAGTGGTTTGCTTGGCCTGCATAGGAAACAATTCAATTAGATAAAAGTTGTATCGTGATTTGAGAATAGAAAGCTTACCTTGCATAGGGCCGAGGCCACCCATCTGGAACATCAACCAGGACAGCTGCTCGATATGCTCGGGCGTGCCGGGCGCGTAACTGATCTTCCGGTCGGTATCGTATTTATCTGTCAGGTAGATCATAATGGCACCGCTTTCGAAGATACGCTGCTTGCCATCGAGTAGTGCGGGGATACGGCCATTAGGATTAATCTTCAGGAACCAACTGTTGACACGATCAGTATAGTCTTATTTCTCGTTTGTTGATCTTGAGGGAATTGACGTACTCTTCTTTCTGGACGTTGGTGGAGATGTTGATACCCTCAGTCTTGTAGGGTATATTTAGTTCCTCAAGAGTAATAGAGGCCTTGATGCCGTTTGGGGTAGGCCAGGTGTATAGAGTGATATCAGACATGGTGGAGAAGGGACGGAATGTGGAAGATAGAAGACTGAGTCGTGAAGTTGCTTTGAAGGAGCTAGTGAGAGTGCGGTGAAGCATTGCCGAGAGTAGGTGCAGACGTGCACTGCTTATATAGACCTAATGGCATAATCATGCACTCTAAATATTTTAAATAAACTATTTACCTAGTTAAGGTTTGTCAGCCTTTATCATCCCTACACTGCTGACAAATGTGATATATATTAGCCTTATTAGGTTAGCCTAAGTTGTTGCAGTGATCAATGTCATCATAGCTACGTATTCCAAGTGAGACTAGGAGTATAGAAGCTTAATAGTTTACTCGAGACATTTTTATTTATTTATTGAATACAGACAGGGAATTTTGCTCCATCATTGAGCCATATAATGTCGGACGATAGTATTTCGCCCGTTAATATAAACTTCGCGTCCAACGGTACTTAAGTGCTTGGCTATGTTTGTTTAGCAACAATCTATCCATATTCTCCATTTACATGCTCATTTCGACCATATAAACAACTTCCCTACGATTCCGAATCCAGGCCAAATTCAAATGACGGAGATACCATATAGAATTAATTACTAATTAGTAGGCAACAAATGGGCTCTTTTGGATTATGCAAGATCACACTACAGGTCGGGGATCAGGAAGTTTGAGACCGTGCATGTATCTGATTACGAGAGCTACTTGCCAAGGTTAATTAGTAACTCATAAACTGCCCAGATACCTTAATGTACTAGTACTAGCTACTTGCTAGTGGTCAAAACGCCGCGTTTCGGTATCCATTCTTCGAGACAGACTGAACAAGTCATTCTTAGAGTTTTTTTTCTTTTTCTTTTTCTTCCGGCTCCCTTATTTTTTGGGGTGTATTGGTGGAACAAAGTTGGAAACCCCTGAAATATAGTGGAGTTGAAAACTACTCGATTTCTTCAAGACTGACTCCAGGGCTATAGCCGAAAGCGGCTAGAGAAAATATTAGATTCTACACGAACGTTACCATCCAACTCTGAGAATTATGATTTATCTTAACACTTTGATTCTTAAATCAGTTGAAGTGGAATGTATTTCTTGACTATACATGTAGGCGTCATGACTATAACAATTAAAGATTGGGGTACATCGCCGCATGAGGCAGGGTGAATGATGATCTCCACATGGCGTGCACGAGCTAAGCTTCGATCCACAAGCGGCTAAATCGATCAGCCCAGGCCCGGGAAGCTCCCAGCCTTCACTATGCCTGTTATACTTAATATAGCAGGTTGAGGGGTTGCTAGCCAGTGCTAGATCAACAGACTGGAGCTGGGAATTGAAATCTTGCCCAGATAATTCTTTGTAGCTTTAGATTATACCTCGAGTGACTGTACTAGCTTAATTAGCAGCGTCTTCCAACCTTTCAAGGTTCTTAGGGAAGTCATTTTACTGGGACTTTTGTCAAGTGGATCTGACGCTTTCAGACATCATCAGATTATCCCCAGATTATCCCCACTCTCCACAATGAATCTGGGGAAATCGGAAATCGTATCCATTTGAAAGGTTCGGTCTGAGTTGCATTGAACCTCTTGATTTTATTGAACTCTGGAGCTTGAAGCTTCTTCAAAGGGAAACCCCTGGAGCCTTCGTGGATCATCGAGGGGTACCGGTGATAGAGATGACATGTAGTGGTCAATTCTAATGGAAATCAGTCGCATGATCTATCACCCTTAATTGATTCCCGGATCCTCTCAAAACGGTAATTGCTTACCTTTCTTCCTGGCCATTGACACGGAGGAGACTATCCCAAATGCGGCGATGAAAGGACAAAACTCTGTATAATCGTAGCTCGTGTGATTTCCACAACTATTGAACTCAGGAATCCCAAGTTCAGAAGAGATGAGTCATTGGTGGTATAGGACAGGAAGCAGAGACCGATCCAAGGTTGATGACAATGACGGGTAAATGAGAAAATCGATCTGACAACGGTTAGTCCCCATTTCCAAGGTTAGCTTCAAATGCGTATTTCCCCATGGGCCATTTCAGATACCCCAGATGACCTGCTTCTGTAAATAAGATGTAGCCATGGTTCATCGAATGCTACTCTAGTGATAATGGAAGCTTTGTACGCCAGTCAAATTGGAAATGAAATAATTCATAAGAGAGAAAAAAGCATAAAGGGAGAGCTGTCTGCGTTTAGAAAGCTTTCCATTTTTTCCCTTCCCATCTCCCCCACTAAGCTGCAATTCTCTTTGCTTCTCTCTGGGTTCCCCCAAATAATCAATATGCCTGAGAAAGAAACCATTACGCATGTAGATGCTGCTCCGCAGCGGTATGTCTTATTTGTCCTTCATCTTGATTGAATATTTTCAGCTAATTCACAAAAGCATCAGCAAGGAAAGCGATGGCGATGTTGATGTTGCTGAGAAGGGTCATTTTGAGCGAGTCAATCTGAGCAACAACATTTCCGCAAAGTATGTACTCACATATCTGGATCCCTTAATGTAGTAGCTGATTCAAATTTAGGATCAAGAATCCCCTTATCGATCTGAGCAAAGCCCAAGTGATTCGTGATGTGGAGGAATTTGCTCAGCAATACAATGTCTTGGACATCTTGCCGAATCTCAAGAAAGGTGCCCTTGTCGCTCGTGATCCGACTGCATTCGAGTCAGTCGCAGATCTTACCGAGCCTGAAATCACGTCTTTGCGTGATGAGGTTCTTCACAAATGGCGCCAGCCCAAGGCACTCTATTTCACCATCATTTTGTGCTCCATTGGAGCAGCGGTCCAGTACGTCATTTTACCTATCCTTTCCGAGCGAAACTGCTAATACGTAATACAGAGGATGGGATCAGACTGGCTCCAACGGCGCTAATCTGTCTTTTCCCGATGCTTTTGGCATTCCTGAGAAAGGAAATGAGAGAAATCAATGGATTGTCGGCGTTGTGAATGCCGCCCCATATATTGCAAGTGCTGTGCTCGGATGTTGGTTATCGGACCCTTGCAACCGCCTTCTTGGTCGTCGCGGTACTATCTTTATCGCTGCTATTTTCTGTGTACTCTCTCCTATTGGATCTGCCGTCACACAGAACTGGCCTCAACTGTTCGTCACTCGGCTATTGCTTGGTATCGGAATGGGGCTCAAGGCCTCGACCATCCCGATCTTCTGCGCTGAGAACACTCCTGCTGTGATCCGTGGTGGCCTTGTCATGTGCTGGCAGCTTTGGACAGCCTTTGGAATATTCCTTGGTTTTAGTGCTAATCTAGCTGTCAAGGATACCGGTGCTCTGTCCTGGCGTCTTCAGCTTGGCTCTGCTTTCATCCCCGCGGTCCCCCTCCTTATCGGTGTCTTCTTTTGCCCTGAGTCTCCTCGTTGGTATATCCGAAGAGGCCAGATGGATAAAGCTTATCAGTCGCTTTGCCGTCTTCGTAACACTCCGTTGCAGGCTGCTCGTGATCTTTACTACATCCATGCCCAGATCCAAATTGAGCAGAGCCTCATCGACGAGAGCAACTACTTGTCTCGCTTCGTGGAGCTCTTTACTATCCCTCGAGTTCGTCGTGCTACTCTTGCATCCTTTGTAGTGATGATTAGCCAACAACTATGCGGAAGTAGGTTGGCCATTTAACGCTTCGAATTGTAAGGTTTGCTAATTGTTCTCCTCTAGTCAACATCATTGCATTCTACAGCTCAACTGTGTTTCGCAATGCCGGTGCAAGTGATACGACCGCTCTTTTTGCTTCTTGGGGATTTGGCTTGGTGAACTTCCTGTTTGCTTTCCCCGCCATTTGGACCATCGACACGTGGGGTCGACGAGCATTGCTCCTCTTCACCTTTCCCCAGATGGCCTGGACCTTGCTCGCAGCTGGCTTTTGCTTCTATGTTCCAGGAACTGGGGGTGCTCACCTCGGGAGCATTGCCCTCTTCATCTTCCTGTTTGCTGCTTTCTATTCACCTGGCGAGGGCCCAGTTCCATTCACCTATTCTGCGGAAGTCTTTCCCCTTTCTCACAGAGGTATGCCATATTATGTCCTTGCTATATAATTCCAAATTAACTTTCTCCATCAGAGGTCGGTATGTCATGGGCTGTGGCAACCTGTCTTGGATGGGCCGCCGTGCTTTCCATTACGTTCCCTCGCATGTTGGATGCAATGACCGCCACTGGAGCGTTCGGATTCTATGCGTAAGTATTCTCTTCATTCTAGAATCAAAATCAATCAGCTGACATATCTCTAGCGGCCTGAATGTGACTGCCTTAGTGATGATCTTCCTCTGGGTTCCTGAGACTAAGCAGCGGACCCTTGAAGAGCTTGACTACATTTTTGCAGTTCCCACTCGCGTTCACATGCACTATCAGGTCACTAAGGTTTTGCCCTGGTGGATCAATCGGTACATCTTCCGTCGCAAAGTCGAACTGGAGCCTCTGTACAAGCTAGATCACATAGTTACTGGCGAGGTAACAACGGATGACGTGGAAGTGTAGTGAAGTGGGTGATGTTTATCTTCACTCCACTCTCATCTTGCAAGTTGTCTGTTCTGTCAACTGAATTCTAATCTTAGTCGTTTCAAGATACGAATATCAATGATTGTGTTAACAAAGCGGGCCCTGATTGTAGTCGATCCATGGTCGTGGTCAGGTGATGTGGGGGACTTGAGGGGATGACGAGATTGATAGATCCTGGATCTGGGATCTTTCGAGGCAGACTGTAGAGGTGAGGGGCCTTGGGCAGTGGATAGAATTCAGTAGACCCTAGGGACCAAAGGTTATATGGCTGAGATGCTTCAAAGAATGACATAGTAAGATGTCGATAGTCACAACTTAAAGTGCATCACGTGGGGTTCGGATATGTTTTGGTCCACTTCCGCCCCCCTCTTCATCTGCCCAAGATTGCGATGCTCTGAAGTATGCACTTGGAACTTCATACTGCCTTGGATTTGTGAACTATACTGTAAACTACGAGGACTAACAATTCACCCACGTTCAGTTATATCCCCACAAATAAGCATCACCGAGATTCACCAACAACTATCAACCGTGTGGAGTCCAGACTTAGTGGGTTTCTAGGTGCTTCAAACCAGTCTAAACACGTTGTTCTGACCGCCTCGATTCCTAAAGCCCAACTCACCTCATCGATCTCAGAAGAAGGAAAAAAAAAATAAGAACCTTTACTGTCTATCACCCCGCCTGTTTCAGGTGTAAGCCCTCCTTTTTTCCATACCAGGATTAACCCGCCCTCTTGTGCCCGCGGGGCAATCCCTCCTTCAGGGCCACTTCTTAACTCCTTCGACAATCCCCCCTCCATACCACAATAAGCTTTTGACAACCCCCCTACCTCTCCGCGAGGCGCCGTCATGCCCTGTTTTAAGGGACTTGCTGTGAGCATCCATACTCCGGATGGCCCTATCTCTGAGTACTCCATTCAGCGCCAATTGCGATCCTCTCGCATAGCTTGCTTTATTCCTGTTCCCCCGCCGAAAGTCCCCGATTCTTCAAATGGCAAGGCCGAGCAGTCTACTTTCGCCATCTCCATAACTCTTCTCAATTCCGGACAGGATGTCCCTTACTCCACTCCGAAACCAACGTCAGAATGCCCCTACCCAAAGCCGAAAATTGTGGGAGGAACGCCGAGCTCCACCGCGGTTATGCCATATCAAGCAATGACCAATTCTCCGAACGAGACTGTAGCTGCCTACATCTATTTTGATGGCCGACAGAAGGAGGAAGTGGCTACATTATTGCGGAGGGGAGAGGAGACATGGGTGAATTCGCGTTGGGTCACCGCCGAGGGTGGAGGTATCGCCGAACGCGAGTTTCTCTTCCGTGAGGTTGGCCTAGAGCGTTGGCTCAATGGTCTAGACTTGGAGGGCAAGGACGCAGCCGCTAAGATTGAACGGCGGCGGCAAAAGATGGAGAAGCGCCGTGAAAAGCGACAGAGTCACATGGATATGAACTCCCCATCCAAGCCGAAGAGCATCATGCGCTATGGCAATGATGAGAAAGATCCGCTGATATCTGTATCTGATGACGACTTGTCCGATTCTGATGATGACCCAATTCCTGAAACAACCGGCCAGATCAAGGTAGCCTTGTTTCGAGTACTGGCATCAGGTGAAATCAAACGCGGTGAATATTCGCCGCAATTTGATGCGAAGGATGATGACGAGGGAGCTCAAGACAATGGTACTGGAGGAGATGCCGATGTTGATCACACCACGAGCTTCGCAAAGCCTAAGACGCTGGACCCGAAGACTATCAGCACACAAACAGTCACGGGCATTGACCCAACGGACAAGCCTTATGCCACTTTCACTTTTATGTATCGTGGCGAACGTAAGTAACCCATTGATCATCTCGCCTCTGAACACCGTTAACATTCAATCCAGGACAATTACAGAAGATGGGCATCTATAAGGATGCTAAAGTGCCAGAAACCCCGGCGGCGGCGAAGCGGAAGTCATTACAAGATTTTGCTAACCTTGGCCCTATCAAGCCTGGTGGAACTGTTGGTTTCGTGGGTTTCCGCGATGATTCCACACGAAAGGGCAAGAACGGCGATGATATGGACAGTGACGAAGATGATACCGACAACCCGATTCTGGGCAATGCCGATGACGAGGAAGCTAAAGACGACGACCGTTTTCTGTCTCCTGATGACATTCGACGCCAAGGAGAGCTAGCGGAAGGTGTCCGCAAAATTCGGGTAAGTCCCTTTCCTGTCTAAAAATCTTTAAACCCACTGACCTTTTCATAGCTCAAGCGCCAGCACTCTGCTGAGCCGACTAGTATCAATGTGGGAAACTCTACCGGGATTTTCAATACTGGCACGAGTCCTACGACCACTGAACGATCCGTCTCTCCAACGAAGCCCGCCCCTGCTGCTGGTCCATCCGAGTCGCCCCAACCTCCTGTCACCCTGGACGATACATTCATCGGAAGTCCATTGAAGAAGCAGCGACCGAGCGTCTCCGCTGCAGATGAGAACTCGCTGCGGCGTCGAATTGCCGATACTTCTGGTTCCATTGATGGAGTCCTGAAGACAGATTCCAATGAGATCAAGAGCACCAGTGCTCCGTTGTTTGGTAACACGCAAGGTTTCAACTCGCAACAAGCTGCTGCTGCACTGGAGGATGAGGAGTTGTGATAACGTCATCTATTGCTTAGGCTCGAGGTTGGGATAGATACCCTCGTTTTATTTTCTGCATGATGAAATATTTTGAAGCAACATGCTGTGTTCAATGCATGCTTTTTGCTGACCATTTAAGTTGGCTATTTTCTATCATTACGCCGTCACGTCCAAACTACAATACAGGAAACATCCATCTTGGAAAAGAGAAATGCATTCGCTTTGTCGCTTATGGGCGACCTGTTCATAACTAGGGACGGTTTCAAGTAATAAATTCCTGTTTCTGTATGTCGCGTTATGAAGACTTGTAGGACTTCCTCATCAAATTTCCATTTCTCCTCGTCATCTTCTCAATGCTCGTACGAACTCGAATTTGCGCAATCCCACTCAGTTTATGCAATAGAATTCGGGTTCAGTCTGCCTCTTTTTCCTATTTTCCTATTTTCCTATTTTCCCCACCAGGTCGAACATTTCTGCCCTATCCAATCCGCGACTCTTTTCTATCCCTACAGCTCGTTAACAACCCATCCAGACACACAGGACCAAGACCACAACCACAATCACAATGCCACTAGAACCCTCAAAGGACCCCTTGGTCTGGATCGACTGTGAGGTATGTACTATATAATATCCATCCAAGGGCTCCACAGCTCACCAAACACAGATGACAGGTCTAGACCCAGAGAAAGACGTGATCCTCCAGATTTGTTGCTTTATAACCGATGCTCAGTTGCAATTACTAGAGCCCGACGGCTTTGAAACTGTCATTCATCATTCAGACTCAACCCTGGACAACATGTCGCAATGGTGTATTGACGTCCACGGCCGCACGGGCCTCACCGCCGCTGTTCGTGCTTCGAGCACAACTCCATCTGCCGCTGCCGACTCGCTCCTTGCCTACATCAAACGCCACATCCCCACTCCACGTTCTGGTCTGTTGGCTGGCAACAGTGTTCACGCTGACAAGGCCTTCCTCGTGTGTGAGCCCTATGCTCAGATCATGGAGCATCTGCACTACCGCATTCTAGACGTGAGTACTTTCAAGGAGGCGGCGCGTCGCTGGGGAAGCGATGAGTTACTTGCGCAGGTTCCTCCTAAACGATTGGTTCATCTGGCCCGAGATGATATTCTTGAAAGTATCGAGGAGATGCGATTCTACAAGGAAAAGCTATTTGGTTGAATTGGAATTTGGAATTTGAAATTCGACAATCCGGAGTTTTCTTAGAAATGGAAATATGGAGACGGTGTTGGGAACTGCCCCGCCTAAGGGGATGAACAATAGTTGGCAACTCGGAATAAAGGGAATTAATTATACAAAGTAGCTCAGGGGATTATCCCGGAATAAATTGAAAGAAGATAAATCCCCAATTGACTTCGTTAATGTCTCGGAACAGGGGGGGGCTTGTTAAACTAGTGCACGTAAACAACCTTCTCTGCCCCTCATTCCTCCGTTGCTTCTCTACCTCCTCAACTCTCCAATTATCCTCAAAATGTCGGTTCAGACTGTTTCTATTAAGCCCTTCACAGACCAGAAGCCGGGCACGTATGTTCCATCTTCTCTCTCTTGTTCTATTTATAACCCTAACATTCTTCTAGTTCGGGTCTCCGTAAGAAGGTGAAGGTCTTCCAGCAGGACCACTACTCCGAGTCCTTCATCACCAGTATTCTCCTGTCCATCCCTGAGGGTGCTGAGGGTGCTTTCCTCGTTATTGGAGGTGATGGTCGCTATTACAACACTGAGGTGATCTCTAAGATCGCCAAGATTAGTGCTGCCTATGGTGTCAAGAAGCTCCTAGTCGGTCAGAATGGTATCATGAGTACCCCCGCTGCGAGTAACTTGATCCGTGTGCGTGGTGCTACTGGTGGTATTTTGCTCACTGCCAGTCACAACCCCGGTGGTAAGTAGGCCATTTTATTCCCTCTCTTTTGCTTTCTTCTACTACGAGTCTGGTGGCTAACAACTACTTGAACAGGTCCCGAGAATGACTTCGGTATCAAGTACAACCTCGCTAACGGTGCTCCCGCCCCCGAGACCGTGACTGACAAGATCTACGCCACCTCCAAATCTCTCACCTCCTACAACTACGTCGATGTCCCCGCTGTCGACACCACTACCATCGGCACCAAGACCTACGGTCCCCTCGAGGTTGAGATCGTCCACTCGACCACCGACTACTTGACCATGATGAAGGAGATCTTCGACTTCGACCTGATCAAGGAGTTCCTTACCTCTCACAAGGACTTCAAGGTTCTCTTCGATGGTATGCACGGTGTCACCGGTCCCTACGGCGAGGACATCTTCGTCAAGGAGCTCGGTCTGCCCGCCAGCAGCATCATGAACTGCGTGCCCAAGGAGGACTTCGGCGGCGGTCACCCCGACCCCAACCTCGTGTACGCACACGAGCTTGTCGAGGCCGTTGACAAGAACGGCGTGCACCTGGGTGCCGCCAGTGATGGTGATGGTGACCGTAACATGATCTACGGTGCCAACACCTTCGTCTCACCCGGTGACAGCTTGGCAATCATTGCACACCACGCCAAGCTCATCCCCTGGTTCCAGAAGCAGGGCGTCTACGGTCTTGCCCGCTCGATGCCCACTTCTGGCGCCGTTGACCGCGTGGCCAAGGCCCAGGGTCTGGAGAGCTACGAGGTTCCCACCGGCTGGAAGTTCTTCTGCAACCTATTTGACAACAAGAAGATCTCCATCTGCGGCGAAGAGAGCTTCGGCACTGGCAGCAACCACATCCGTGAGAAGGATGGTCTGTGGGCCATCGTGGCCTGGCTGAACATCATTGCCGGTGTCTCCAAGCAGAAGCCCGAGGAGACTCCCAGCATCGCCTCTATCCAGAACGACTTCTGGCAGACCTACGGCCGCACCTTCTTCACTCGCTATGACTACGAGAACGTCGACAGCGAAGGCGCAAACAAGGTTGTCGGCATCCTCTCCGACCTGATCGCCAGCGGCTCTTTCATCGGCTCTTCCGTCTCCTCCCGCAAGGTCGTGGATGCCGGTAACTTCTCCTACACCGACCTTGACGGCAGTGTGTCCAAGAACCAGGGTCTGTACGCCAAGTTCGACGATGGCAGCCGCATTGTCGTGCGTCTGTCCGGCACTGGCAGCAGCGGTGCTACCATCCGCTTGTACGTTGAGCGCTACGAGGATGACAAGTCCAAATTCGGTCTCAATGCTCAGGAGTACCTGAGCGAGAACATTTCTCTGGCTCTGTCTCTGCTCAAGTTCAAGGAGTATGTCGGCCGTGAGGAGCCCGATGTCAAGACTTAAAAGAGTGGATTATATTTTTCAAGTGTGTCCCGCTGGATGGGAGTCACAGCCTTTCCTACCGACCGCAGAATCAATGCGTGATATAGGAATGGTGATTTTTTTATTTATTTATTCCATAGTAATGTTAGCAATCAGGCCTAAGACACAACCGTCTTCCAAGGTCCCAGAATTCAAGAAGTTGTCGTAATATAATCCTAGATATGTCGATATCCCCATCTAGAAATGACCTCGAGACTCAGTATGAAGACTGATAGACAATCTTTTGAACGAGAGATGTTAGCATTTGCGCGTACAGTCTACACCATATTGCACAATGCTATCTCTTCTCTAATCCAGAGTGGAATTGGCGCATATTGTGAATCTCAAGCCATAAGCTTCGTTTACCTATAGAAGAATCATCTCAAGCAGTGAATAGTGGCGGGTGAATACAAATAGTGAATGGTAAGAATATGGAACTAGGCTCGGAATAAGCAAGCTTGTTGAATATCAAGTGAACGGTGTTTACTACTTGTGAAGCCTACTTTTTCAGGCCAATGATTCTGTATCCACAAAATTATTGAAATGGGACTAGCGCCATTTCCGATCTCTCATTCTGGTGTATCAGGGCAGAATGTCAAAGTATATAATTTACAAATTCGAGTCCACTTATGTCCCTTCGGGGACATAGTCAGATGAGCAGATACAGCCCCTGTACTGAGGATGACACGCTCAACCAAAGAGAACTCACCAATTTTTTTTACTAAATGGCCTCAATTAGGGCTTATTTCCATTTTGATGAATATGTAAGGTTAGGCCTTCGAAACTGACTGCGCTTTCTTATTTTCTATTTTGAAATATGCAGGGCTATTTTCAAGCAGTCCACATGTTTACTCTGGCAATACAAGACCCTAGGTGAGTTCAAGGCTATTCCTGAATATTGCTTTTCGACTATTGCTTTTCAGTACAAGGTTTCGATCAAGCATTCCAGTCCATTATATGTGTCAGATTAACTTTAGCTTTACGCCGGGACAAGGTCGTAAATCAAATATCATCAAGTCATGTCAAAGGGCTCCTATCAATATCAAGAAATGGAAGCTCTTAGCTTCTCGTCCCACCATGTCCCCCATTTCACAACCTTCTCCTCACGTCTAGCCTCCTCAGTCGCAAATACAATCGCATGGCTCCGAACCGCCTCTTCCAACGTACAGCCCACAAAACGCGCTTGTGCCGTTTCAACATCTAACCCACCGTTGACTACGGCATCAACAGCCCGAACATACTGTCCTGCCAGGCCGTAATCACCACCACCATGCGACTCTGCTCTCTCAGGCGGTGGACGAGGCACATCTATGACAGACGTCTTTGCCGAAGCAAAGTCATAGATAGAGATGGTTTGGCTATCATATTCAATCTCACCAGTCGTTCCATAGACACGTCCCCGGCGCTCACATTGCTTCTCTGTAGGTGCAATCATATGGAACGAGGCCGTCTTGGCGAGTCGATTTGGCGGTTCGTTCTCGTCATCCCAGGCAAAAGTGACGACCTGGTCGTCACATACGTTATTATCAGCCTCGTATACACACCGTCCGTACCAGGGCCGCGCAGCAATATCCACATCAGGATCCGTGTCCTGATTATAATCCTCACTCAAGCGCGAAAGTAGATATGATTCAGCCGCAGCCTCACCCTCTGTCGTATAAACATCTTCGATATCCGGACAAACGATATCAACCGGCCACTTCAGGTGGCCCTTTGCGAAGTGTCGATCCTTATAGATCCGCAAGGCACTATAGCTACAGTCGCGCTCGGCAGGACACGAAAGGCAATTAGTAGCATCCTTTGCGGCGGCGGGTTTGCGCGCACGGCGGAACTGTGTCAGCGAGCCTGTAGATGAAATGGAGCGCGGAAAATGCGGCTTGTGGCCAGATTCACGCGCTGTCTCAAGAGAAGGCGGCGAGCAGAGAAGCCAGAGGATGAAATCGATGTCGTGGCAGGACTTTGTGAGTAAGGAACCGTCTCCGGTTGGTGTTGCCCGCCGCCAATTGCCGCGGACGTAGCTGTGGGAAAAGTGCCACCAGCCTACGGGCTCACAGTGTTCTAGCGAGACTATGTCGCCAATTACCCGGTCTGTGAGGAGCAGCTTGCGCAAGAGCATATTGTGTGGGCTGTAGCGTAAGACATGGCCGATCGAGAAGATATTCGTAGGTGCTCTGGGTCTTTGGGCGTCGCCCTCAGGAGGCTGCAGGGTTCGGTAGACGGTCAGGCAATCTTCCAGTGAGAGAGCTAGAGGCTTTTCACAAAGAACATGCAACTTTAGTGGAGAGATGGCCTTCAAGACTTCTATGTGAGTTTCGTCTAGAGTGCACACAAAGACCCCGTCCACGCCGACAGGGCCTTCATCTTTACCTTTGAGACTAGCGTTTTCGCGACGCCTTTTCTCCCATTGCACCCACTCGCGCCAATCGCTGAACTCTTGGCCTTCAAATGGAGAGCCTTTGCTGCCCCATATGTAGTTTTGGCCAAATTCTCGGCGCTTGAATGGGTGTGGCTCGGCAACGGCATGGATGGAGCCTTTTGTAGTTGTTGTAACGGCACGCGCATATGCGTTTCCACGAGATCCAGCTCCAATTACAAGAAAGCGTAGTGGCTTTTCAGTGGGGTGGTGGACTGGTGCATCGAGAATATCTGGCGGAGGGGGCTGGGGTTCTTTCATCGTTGTTGGGAGATTACTGTCGGCTTAAGTACAGATTGCAGTTCCAAGGTTAGTTTTGAACAATTGCACTGTGCAGCCGATCTCAAGGAGAATCGCGCAGGTTAAATTAAACAAAGACGCATTCTAGTGAAGAAGTAATCTGTCGAGGTTGAAGGACGTTGCAATTACATTGCGGGGAAGCTAGACATCATGTGATTGGCCATGGGGTAACTATAAAATTGGGGCTTTAGAAATACGGAATTCAATGACAATATGAACTACCAATGATAAAATTCAAATACCTGAAGGCCTACATTCTAGCTCACTCACTTTCTGAATCTAGCGATGCATACCGATTTCCCAGTCCACAGAACCACTCACACTGCTTCCCAATCCCTCTATCCTTCTCCAGTATCTCCTCTAGACTCCATACAATACGCTCCGCTCCAAGCCTGGCACCCTCAAGATTAGGAGCTCCAGGTCCTAGACGTAGTGCCGCCATTCGTCCAGTCATGTAAAGAGGAACATCCTCTCTCCACATAAGATCATCGGTTAGACACGGCAGTCCTTCTTGTACTTCAATCGGGTACTTTTCTGTGATCTGACTTAACAATGGCATCTCGCGTACATCTGCGCGGGCTCCCGTTGCAAAGTAGATGTAGTCTATTGGAGGGAGGTCAGGAATTGGCGGATCGGTTGTTAGGGTCCAGGTATGAGTTTCTGGATTATATGCATGGGACTCTATCACGGTGCGTGGGTGAATAGAGGCTCTGTGATTTGCGGCGTGGCTTTTGAGTATTCGGACATAGCGAGGTGTAATACTTCCACCATTTCGTGCAGCCTTTATCATTCCAAGACGTTCTAAAAGCAAAAGGTCAGGTCTCTTCTTCTTCAGAGTCAAAAATGCTTACCTTGGTCTGTATCGGCGGACCAGAAGGCTGCTTTCTCCCAGTTTTTATACTTTCCCATCCAAGGTAGACTAATATCAAAATGCTTGACTATGTATTATCAGCATAGGGATCGGTAACTAACGGTTCATAAGACAACTTACCCTTAAGGTCAGAGCGCATCAAAAGCCAAACTCTAGTGACTCCCTTTCGCACAACCATATCAACAATCTGTGCCGAAGACAGCCCACCTCCAACAACGACCACGTTGGTTTGCTCTCGGTATTGGATCTTTCTGCGTAAGTTGGAACCGGGAAAGGGGAATAACTTGATATCCATACTATGGCAGCAAGCCTCCGAACCTTCCTCTTTGCTCAATGGTCTCCAAGGAAACACTTTCTTTATATCCGTCCCACCGACTCCAATAGCGAGAACAACAGCTCTACTGTAAAACTTCTGGCCTGTTGAAGTGGTCACAGTGAATATTTTTGAGTCGAGGGAATCGGACAAAAAGTCATACTCGATATTCGTGACCTCCTGTCTTAAGATTTGACCTGGTTGATTGAGACCATAACGCTCGACAATGGATGAACAATAATCTTTGAAAAGGTCCGGCGAAGGGGAGAAGTAGTCTTTTCTATCTCGTTCATCAATTTCGACCCCAATCGCCCTGTTATTCAATTAGTGTTCATCGCAAAAGCAAATTCTTTGGTTTCTAATTGACTCACTGAGACTTTCCACTTTGTCTTCTCTTTTTTCGCTTATGTTTGCTCATCTCTTTACCCACACACCCGGGTATCTCCCATAGTTCATCCTCCCGTCCCATTTCCTGCGTATAACCCAAAAGGCCATCCCGATCTCCGGGGTCAACATGAAAGAACATGGGACTACGAAGCTGCTTGATTTCCAATGCACGAAAAGCATCATTCCACCTCTTCATCCATTTATCATCCGAGCCATCCAGGACTAGGGTAGAGTATGACGCTGCAGAAGAGGTAGACAACAAGGATGAAAGAGAAGGCTCTGATGATGTTGAGTCTATCGATCTTCGACGCTCCTTGTATGCAGCATTTTCTTCCCTGAAACAAGAACAGTTTTTCTGTTGTCCAAAGTTCCATTTCTCTGCGGGTGCCCCGTTCATCTTACTTCCACGTGCCTGGATGAGCTTCATCCGTCCCGCGTGCTTCTTTATCCAGTGATAGCGCTGGTGTTCTTCATCTGTGAACATTGCCGACGGTGTTTCTTCGTGCAAACGAGCTGCGACGCCTAAGCCACAAGGCCCTGCTCCGATGATTATGACATCGTGGAGATCAGCATCTCTTTCTTGGGATGGAGATGTTTGCATCTTGTTTATGATAGCTGGGATGTGACTTATGTGGTGTAGAAGTGGAATGATGATAATTAAGTTCCATTTGAATGGATGGAGAAGATTGATTATTGATCCCTTTTATACCCATACCGCGTACTGCAATGTCTCATCTGGCTATCGAGGTACCCTCCTCCAAGGTACTCAGGACTAGATCAGTACCGTATTGGGATATAGTATTAGAAATTCCCCACAGCTCTAGTTGCGTTATGACAATCGAGAACGGGGCATGACTTCAGACTTTTGGGGACCTTGGGAATTCGATTCCAGCTTCACTTTCTCTCTGATTCAACACAGTACAGTAAAAACATTAGTCTGTTATTAACATAGTAAAACTTCGAATATTGAAAAAAGAAAATGATCCACCAAATAATCAAATCAGTAACAAAAGAGAACCTGACACCAGATGACCATTTATTGAACTTTCAATTGACAAGGAAATATAGAGCCTGAAAATAAAGGTGTCAATATATTCAAAGACTAGCTATCAAGTAGAAAAAACTTCAAGGGGGAATAAACAGAGAAAACAACAATCATGAAAAAAGCTCTGTCAAATGCAAACAGATTAAAAGGATATTCGAAAATCATTACTCAGATAAATCATACAGCTTCAAAAACAACAATAGAAAGAAAAAGCCCATACATACATATCCGAAACTAGATATGAGATCAATACTTATCTATGCCACTTCTTCGCTTTGATCTCCGCATTTGTGGTTGTTCGGACGCCACCGCCTTCACGCCTGTGCCATGAATCCTGTGGCCAAACCCATCCACGAACACGTTTAGCGTCCCGCCGTTCACCAATCTGTGGTTCGGGAATCCACTTGTCCTTGGTTTCTGGCAGTATACGCTGTCGTGAGAGGGCGCCTGGTCCACCAACGTTGAGGTGAGAGGACGGTTGAGAAGGAAGAGGCACAGACTTAGACAGCATGAGCAGAAAGTATAAAGCCAAGCTTGCCGTCATGGGGGTAGCCGCGAAGCTATCATTGGCTGTATCTGACTCTGAGGCTGGAGAGTCAGACTCAGGACGGGAATTTGAGCTTGAATGTGAATGTGAAGAGCCATGGGAAGATGAAGAGAAAGAGCGTGTGCTGATGGGCGTTGCGAGAGCAGGTGCGTCTCCTGCTTGTGTGGCAGCGGTTTTAAGAGGAATAGCAGCGGCTATTTCCAGAAATCCAAAGTATGGGACGTCGTTGCCTTCGTCGCACCCAGCTCGAACGCAGACTAGCTCTATCTCTGTGATTATGAAGCCGTAGCGGCAGGAGTGCTCGCGCATGCATCTCTGTAGGTGTGCCAGTCCATTTAGATACTCGACGCGGCGGTGGGGAGCCTCGTTGCGCATGCCGGAATTCCAGCGATCGAAGCTCTTCACGATGCCGACCAAACGTCCTCGGGGAAGCCCATTACCCGTACAGTCTGTGTCTGTGGCATAGTTGGCGAGGAAGTGTGGGTGGCCGTGGTTTTTATGCCCTGTATGACGCATATCAGGTGCTGCGTAGAGTTGAATATGCTCCTGACCTTGGGATATAGCTACTGCTGCGTTTACCCGTGGTGCATAGAGGTCACCGATCAAATTAACTAGCCCAGGCTCTGATTCTGGTGCCAGACGCGAAGATGAGACTGCAACTGGCGGGGCGAGAGATTCTGGGATCTCCGTTTTTAATAGTTTGGTGAGCCCGTGGATCGAATCAAAGGTGGCGAGCGAGAATGATGACCAGTTTCGAAGGTTGCGAATGTCCCACCAGAAATAGTCGTGCATGCCCCTGGTAGGAATCACGCTCACGTTGCGGACAAGATTAATTGATTGAGTTGTCGTAGTCAAATAAGAAAATAGGTTTGTTGATGAGGGAGCTTCATGAGGACTTAGCAGATGTACTGGTGATTTCTGTGGTGTAGGCACTTGGCAGTAGTATCGAGGAGTTGGAACTGTCAATGGGCGTTGAGGGCGCACAGGACCAATGTGGGGGACTTTCATCGATGTTTCCAGTTGTGGCTGATGAACTACAATATTCGGGGTCACTGGAGTCACCGGTGTAGTCGGTGTTGTTTGCGCTTGCATATTGGGCACATATTTTGGAAGTTGCCGGTATGTAGGATACCCATATCGACTCAAGGTGGCCTCGTCAATATTAGATGTTGACATCGAGCGAGAGTGACCAGCAGATTTACGCTGACGGGTATGAACAATGGTCACTGGCGATGCCAAGGCAAATGAGCTGTCATTGCTTATCGTGGCAACTGGGGAAATGGGAGAGGCCAGGCTCATATAATCACCCGCATCCACTTCATTCCGCCGAGTACGAGGCCTACTGAGGGTATAAGGGGCGAAGCCTGGCGGGTTCCTTAAAGTTGACGAAATCCGACTTTGGCGACGAGGACCACCGGCAGATACTGGTTCAATCACCACATCTTGAGGCCGGGTCTTTGGTAAAAGTGCCGGGCCATGATGGTGTCGAATTGGAGACAGGCCGGGACTGGTGTTGCCTGTCACAGTGGACCATGGCGATGATGCATCTGAATATAGTGATGCATTTGACAGGTTTCGACTATGATTCAAGCCAACATAGTCCTCAAGAGGAAGAGCCGGTGGCGTTGTTGGTTGATAATGAATGTGTTGAGTAGACATGATAGAGTAGTGTTGGACTGATCCTGTTTTGTAGGAAGGGAGCCTTGGAAGATCTATAAGGGAAACTTCTTGATCAAGGACAGTATAAAAAACGAATGTAGGTCAATGTAAAGACCAGCGAAGGACAGGACGTCGTTCAAGTGGAAGCCCTTTTCTTGTGAACCTTGGAGTAAGAAAGACGCGATACAGGAGAATATCTTGGATATTAAATGGTAGTAGACAGGCTCAAACAATCATGCAGAAATGTCATACTGTGCATAGAAAAGGGCCCACTGACGAACTATAGTGGATCTGAGCAATCTGAAACATGGAGAAGGGGCTCCATCGTGACGCCTCCGAGGCTCCAAATCTTTTTTTGGTCTTTAAGAGCAGGACTTTCACGCGATGAAACGCGAAACTGCCGACAATTGAGCTTAATGTTGCGCGACAGGGGGTACTGAAACTCTAGTATGGGGCCTTTGTCTGAGCATAGTGCAGTTTCAGTGGACAGTCGCGCGTCAAGTGTTGCTATATTCAGCATCTGCTTCAGTATCAGTCTTCAGATTCCTTGTTAGGTTTAGTTTGTATGCAAAGTGATCGAGGACTTCTCAATTCAGCAACAATTAGGTCGCAATCTCAAGGTAATTAGCGGCATCATGAGAGCAGGGAATACCCTTTAGGGGTGAGAGCGCCATGCCTCAGGAATCGCCAAAGTGGGCGGTTAAGTAGTCAAGTGTCCGAGAATCTGTGATAAAAATAGCACATGGATGAGTATTGTGACAAAGAACCTTGAAAATGGGTAAGAGTCAAGGGAAAGAGATTTGATCTGAGTGTGATGGAAGTTGAGGTTCGGCGGCTACAGATGTCAGAATGTACGCGCTGGGGGTGATTCACCATCACAGTTTCTGAGACTGAAAAAGACCCATAATTAGCAATTTATTGTTACTAGATGTGCCAATGATTGGATCTAGTGCGCTAAGCAAATTGAATAGTATGTTATGTCATTATTTGGCTAAGTAGTTCCAATGTTAAGTTAGCCCTAATAACCCGAAGCACTGGAATTATCCAGCTTATCTCATCACATTCATTTTGCCATTAAGGGCAAAGGTAATAAACGAAAATCAGACCCAAAAAAAAATTAGCAAGGACTTTGCCTTGCATAGTCTATTCTGATGCAAACAAATAACGCTGAAGAATGGGGAATCTTTTTTCTGCACCGTCTCTAAAATTGGTCATGGCCAACGGCAAAAAGAAAGGGGGTATCGAAAGGCTTCTTAAGCCTTGACTTCGTACTTGCGGCGGAACATCTCATCAACCTCGGCGAGGTAGTAGGTTCCAGGCTGGAGAGTCTCGGTCTTTCCAGTAGGCTGGAAGTTCTTCTTCAGGTGGGCATGTTCGCGCAGCTTGCACATGGCATCATACTCAACAGGAGCGAGGACGGTACGGGACTCAAGGCGGTTCTTCAGGTCCAACTTCTCAACAATCTTCGAGACATCACCAACGATGTTGGCGCTGAACATAGAGGCAGCCAGACCACTACCGTAGGAGAAGAGAGCAATGCGCTTAGGCTCGCTAGGGGAGAAGGTAACATAGCTCAGCAAGCTAGCAATACCACCGTAGACAGTAGCAGTGTACATGTTACCACAGAGAGTGGCAACCTGGAGGCCAGGGTTCACACGCTCCGCGAAGCGCTTCTTGGTCAGAGCCATGAAGGTCTTCTCAACGGCCTTGTCGGTCAGAGAAGCCTCGTAGTCGATGGCACGAAGCTCGGGAGCTACCTCGGCAAAGGCAGGGTGTGTGGGGTTTGCGAGGAAGTCATTGTAGAGCATACGAGCAAAGGATTTTTGAACCAGCTTGCAGGTGGGGGCGTGATAAAGGATGTAGTCAAAGCGGTCCAGAGCAGTCTCAGCCTCCTCGGTCTTGCTAGCAACCTTGAGAGTCTCCTCACGGGCAGCATATGCCTTGTAGCAGGCATCGACGGCCTCGGTGTAGCAGCGGAGAGAGAAGTGGCCGTCAACAACGGGGTACTCGCTGGTGAGATCGGGTTTGTAGAAGTCGTAGGCGTGGGTAACGTAAGAACCGCGCAGACCGGGCTCGAAGACAATAGGAGCATCGGGACCAATGAGCAAGGCAACGCAACCAGCACCACCGGTGGGGCGAGCAGCACCAGCAGCGTACAAAGCGATATCACCGCACACAACAACAGCATCACGACCGTCCCAAGCAGAAGACTCGAGCCAGTTAATGCTGTTGAATACGGCGTTGGTACCGCCGTAGCAAGCATTGACAGTGTCAACGCCCTCAACGTTGAAGTTTCCAGAAGCAGCAAACAGCTGCATCAGGACGGACTTGACAGACTTGGACTTGTCCAGGAGGGTCTCAGTGCCAACCTCGAGGCGGCCAATTGACTTAGGATCAATTTCATACTTCTTGAAGAGGGATGAAAGAGTAGTCAAGCACATGGAGTAGATGTCTGAAGGTTGCATTATCGTTAATCCAAATTCACAATGTTCTCTCCTTTCTTAGGAGTTCAATTGTAAGAAAGCATACCTTCCCGGTCATCACAGAAGCTCATCTTAGTCTGACCAAGACCAATGGTGTACTTGCCAGCACTGACACCATCGTGCTTCTCAAGCTCGACCTGGTCAACACATTGAGAAGGGAAGTAGACCTCGATGGCCTTGATACCGATGTTTTGGGGGCGGGCAGACATAGTGAAGGTATGTGAAAGAGATGGGAATGAAGAGAAACAACAAGAGGAATTGAATGGAAAAGAGAGAGAATAAGTAGGCAACAAAGAAAAAGGAGGACGGTTGTGTACTCATATGTACAGTGTATGTTCGGTCACTCCTAATTTTTGTTTGGTTGAAAAAAAGTGGGTATTTTGATAGTTAAAGATAGAGATTGGGTACATTTAGATCTGTTCCCTTGATCCGAACACAATTCTAATGTGAATGTACTTTATATTTCAGGCACCAGGGGTCTATGGTGTACAGTAAAAATCCCCCGTACTCTTAACTGCGGGTAGTATCAAGTATGATCCTCTTTACTCCGTACTTTCTACCCCTATTAGCCCAATATTATCCCTTGAATACTTTAAGTTCTCGATGAATCTCAAATTCCTCTGCCCTGATAGTTACCGTGTAAAATAGAGTATACCTGGTGACCATCCAATTTACATCAACAACGTAGTTCCCCCTTTAAGGCGGTGTAGATTCCACGTGCAGTGTTTAGGCCTTAAATATAAGGTGTCCATCTATATAGAGTTGAACAATTCAGAGCCTGAAAAACAAGGGTTTGACATACATCAAAAGTGTTGGAGAGTATTACTCCGTACAGAAGGTGGATATAATAGATACCTTGGTTGTGCTAATTGGTATTTATAACTAGATCTACGAGATATCCGCCTCTAGGGCTTTCTAGTCCATCGCGATCTATGAAACACCATTTTGTACTGGCTTAAGAAAATAGGTTTTACATGTAACTAACTAATTCGTGCATGAAATTTATATAATCAATTGAGTCAGTCAAATCTCTCATAGTTATTGGTCTCTTGTAATGACTATAAGCGTGTTATGGAGTAGATAGGTGGGTCGCGCCACACTTAGATCATTGATAGGCCAACTATCACCTCCTCTCTCCATCAATCTTACCCCCAATCTCGCCTGCCAAAATCTGGAGATAATGTCTACTCGCCTTTACTAATTCTTCAGACCATGATATTACGGATCGCTATTTCCGTACCCTCCTCTTATCAACGCTCCTGGGAGCCTTCCCCATAACACCATGGGCGACGATAAGTACGATTACCAAGCCCTCCCCATTCCCTCCTATGAGGAGGCTACCGCCCAGGCTTCTTCTTCTCGCTCCGACCTGGGCGAAAGTGACGGCAACGATGTCGAACGTCAGGGGCTCCTCAGTCATGATACCTCCCACTACCAACCACCGACAGTTGAATCAACACGTACAAGTCTTGATGATCTCGCCTCGTCCGTATCGGGCTCGGCCCGGGGATCTACGGAGGAGTTGCGGAGAGAAATAGACCAGATGGATATTGATGACTCTGAACAAGGATCTTCAAATAGTACACGATCTCGACTTCGATCTAGTTTTTACAAAGGCTTCTCAAGTCTGACACGGACGCTGTCGGCCATCCAACGACCCCTGCAACGATACCTCCCGAACCTACCGAGCACCTTTAACCTCGATTATGCCCGATCGCACTGGAAAGATAATGCGCCCATTGTGTTGCTCCGACTATTTGCCATGCTGCTGGTTATTGCATTGGTCTACGTATTCTTCATCGGAGACGTCTTCAATCTCAACCAGCGCATGATTTTAGGCAATACGTATAGTTCGGCCTCCGTCGAAAACTTTTTACAGGGACACATCAATGAGTCCAATATTGCCGAAGATCTGAAGAGAATAACCTCCTTTCCACACGTCGCCGGCACAGAAGGCAGCTTTTTCGTGGCTGAGTGGGTAGAACAGGCGTTTAAAAAGGCGCAATTCGACGAAGTCACCCGGGAGGAATTTCAGGTATACCTGAATTATCCCCGCGAAGGTGGCCGCAAGGTGGCCATCATTGATCCACCCCATCTGGTTTGGGAGGCCACTTTAGAGGAAAATAGCGATCGGGTTCCCGTATTCCACGGGCACTCCAAGTCCGGAAATGTGACAGGACCTCTTGTCTACGCTAATTATGGAGCTCGTGAAGACTTTCAACTACTCGCCGACCGTGGAATTTCACTCGAAGGCTCGATTGCTCTTGTCCGCTACTATGGAACCGAACCAGATCGTGCCTTGAAGATCAAAGCCGCCGAGCTGGCTGGGGCGGTGGGTTGCATCATATACTCCGATCCTTCCCAGGATGGTTTTGTCAAAGGCCCAGTCTTTCCAAAAGGCCGATATATGCCATTTGATGGTGTCCAAAGAGGCGGTGTCAGCTTAATGTCCCAGGTGGTCGGAGACGTCCTCAGTCCCGGGTTCGCATCCACTCCAGAGGAGAAGAAGAGGCTGTCTCCGCAGGACAGCCCTGGTTTAGTGCAGATTCCAAGTCTTCCGATTGCCTGGCGTGATGCGCAGCGACTTTTGCAATCTCTTGCAGGTCATGGCTCCAAGGTTCCAAATGAATGGGTTGGTGGAGTACCAAAAGTCTCGGAATGGTGGACAGGAGATCAAAGCTCGCCTATTGTTCATTTGATGAATCTGCAGGATGAAGTGGAAAGAATGCCCATTTACAACATTCACGGGACTATTCTCGGACTAGAGGAACAGAAGAAAAAGGTCATTATTGGCAATCATCGAGACTCGTGGTGTTTGGGGAGTGTCGACCCTGGCAGTGGAACTGCCGTCTTTTTAGAAGTTGTGCGAGCCTTTGGTGAGCTTCTCACCTATGGGTGGCGGCCACTCCGTACCATTGAGTTCGTTAGTTGGGATGGAGAGGAGTACAACCTCATCGGCTCGACAGAGTATGTTGAGAAGGAGGTGGAAGCCCTCCGAGCCAATGCATATGCTTACCTGAATGTTGACGTGGGTGTTTCCGGCTCGGGATTTCGCGCTTCAGGATCTCCGGTCTTTGAGCGCTCAGTGATCCAAATCTTAGGCCGTCTCTCCGATCCTTATGCCAACAAGACGCTGAAGGAAATTTGGCTGGAGAACGGCCAAAAGCTTGAGCCTCTCGGGGCTGGTAGTGATTACGTTGCTTTCCAGGATATTGCTGGTACCTCTAGTATTGATTTCGGTTTCAAGGGCGATGGATTCCCATATCACAGCTGCTACGAATCTTACGAGTGGATGGAGAAGTTCGGCGACCCTGGATTCCAGTACCACAAACTTCTTGCCGAGTTCTGGTCACTTTTAATCCTAGACCTAACTGAGAACCCCATGCTGCCATTTGATATTACAGCATATGCTTCACATATCGCCGGTTGGGTGCAAGACTTGGATAACTATGCAAAGTCCAAGAATGCTAAAGTCAACATGCAACCAATGTTCACATCCGCAAGTGAACTTCTAGCCAACGCGGAGAAGTTCGAGTCGTGGAACCAAAATTGGCATGATACTGTCTGGGGCTCCGGCGGATATGAAAGTAACGTCATGGCAAATCAACGTTTGCTACACAACACTCGCATGGCTGGCCTTGACACGGCTCTCCTGGATCTCGAAAGTGGAGGCGGCGTAAGAAAATCATCTCATGCTAATTGCAATATCATGTTGGCTTACATTAAATTTTCCAGATTCCCAACCGCACTCAATTCCGCCATGTCGTCTTTGGACCTGAATTGTGGTCTGGCTACGATGCCTCCATTTTCCCTGCTATTCGTGACAGTATTAACACAGGAGACTGGTCACTCACTCAACACTGGATCGACCGGATAGCGAACGTGATTCACCGCGCGAGCGATTCTCTCCTGGCATAATTGTATTCTACTGTACTTCACTTGTCCCTTGTCTTTTTTTTCTGCCCATTCAAATTATGCATACCCCACACGCTTGGCATATCCTTCATTCAACTTGGGCGCTGTACAGCCTCGCCCTCCTTGGATTTCTACAGTATTCACACCTTCCTGTCTATGTCTTAGCATATTTGGACCGATTTTCGTTCGTACATATACCAGTCGGGTAAATGGGTATTCGCTACCCAGGTATCAACTCCAGGATGCCCAAGTGAGAGACGATATCAATACATATATATATATATATACTATGTAGCCCAATTTCATTGTTTTGTTCGTATGTTTTGCCTAGATCATGTCGCAAGTCACTCTCTACTAGGTAAATGAAGTGGAATTTCTGATTTCCACGGATCAGCTGTCAACTAGTATCTTGAATAATACCTTTACAATCGAGATAGAAATTCAATGTGATAGTTCCAAGGCTGTGGGCATGCTAGTAGCTTAGGGGGTGGAAGGGTGAAAGGGATGTGAGTTCTAAAGTAGATAGTAGGGAAAAGTGAAGGGTGAACCAATTGACCACCTTACCGGAGCCAGAATGATAGTGACTTAAGGATGCCTTAAAAGAAACAGGGCAACTTCCTGGTGCGATTTCACGATGTTATGAGCTTTAAGGACCTTTTATTCCACTATGGCCTGTCTATGATAATATTTATGATTCACATCATGGTAATTTCTCGGTCACGAATTTACTGACTTTTTACATCAACTCTAGAACATCTACTCTTGGAATTCACGTTCTTACTGAAGGCAGCCATATCTATTATACTACGGGTCTAGGGCAATTGGAAAGCCTAACAGCCATATTTCCACTAGATGTTTCTGAATCTGTTAGCGATAGGATTTTCGCTGATGGAGGCGTTCATTATTATAATAGGCTGGGAATTCAGTAGGGGATCAAATCCCAGCATCTGGAGTTATAACTAGCTCCCAACTGAATTAATCATGAGACTAATGCAAAATTATAACGGTTGCCAGCAGGTCAAGGTCTTAGATTAGTACCGCATCTTTAATAAAGGTTTAGTTCTGTTATTTAACGGACGTCTTTGTAACTAATTTGAGAGGCTCAGTGGGGCAAAATGCGACTCATGCCGTTCACGAAGGAAATATGCTCTTATGGATCCGTATTCATGTAGAAATTGGAAAAACAGTACAGAGCAGCAGGTAGGCACCTAGACAATTCTCACTTATGACCTTGGAACTTTTTGGACTTTTTAAAGCTAATGACCATCGGCTCAGTAGTCCTATAACTCATACACATATATATCATTATCTAGTTATCAGGAATTATAGAAGCTGCTCAGAATGATGAATGGGATCGGAATGGGTCGAGGCGCCTGTTTTCGTACATTTAAATAGAGTCGCCAGACGATAATTAAAATTATTCAGCCCTAAAACAGGTAGCACAGATAACTGTCCCCGTATGAAGCCATTTTCTCTACGCAGTAGAGCATCTCGCTGATCAAGATTCAGAAAGTTCTAAAATTAGAGATCTCATAACACTTCTGTTCAAAAGAAGCGCTAAACAGGGAGTGGAGTCGACCAAGATGACTTCGATGAATCTATAATCAATCAAACTAGTTTGCTTTCTGCATAGCCGGCTGTTTCAAATGTAGACAATCCTTGGAATCATTATTCCAAAGAAGATAAACGCACTATACAGTCTATTAATTAATTCCAGCTTCTAGAGTATGTCGTCTTTTGATATTAGCCAAGGCTTTATATCTTAGAGCACACAAGACGGCGAAATCTCGGCCTGCATCATGTGATACTTTCGGCGTTTAGAATCTCAACGGATGCATAAACACCAACCATCCTTGTTACCGCCAAGAAAATAGCTTAACCTCTTTTCTTATAGGACGCTCACTCCCGACTTTTGAATACTATTATTAGGAGACCTGTAGGTGCATGAGGTATTGTTCAAGGTCTATATCCCTGTCTCTGTGTTGTACCTACATACGACAAAGAATTCTCCACTAAAGTTCAACCTGTGAGGAAATAGAGAGGCTTGGAATGCACATGGAAGTCACCGATATATCTGCAATCAGCTTTTATGAAAGTGCGCTTCGAAAGTCTTCAAAGGTACCATATGCACAAACCTCGGCTCCAGGCCTTAGCCTTTTATGATCATTGCCGATTCAACTCCGGGGAATCCGATCCGAGATAGGAAGGCTTCAGGTTAAGAACATACGGAAATGTGAATTTTCAAAGGATCTGTCTGATCATATTGGCTCAGCTGAGTTCATGCTAATTAGATAGTGAGCCTTGGAAAGAACCAGGCCTTACCTTGTCATACAACAATACGATATGTATTTTGTGCCCGGGTGGTCAGTGAGCCAGATTCTCACTAGTCCTCAGCACTAAACACTGATCTCAGCAGGATATACACATCCAAAGTGTGGAATTACGGACCTAAGTCCGTATCTTACTGACAGCCCCCACTTGATTGAGACCCTTTTAGGATTAAGTACTTAATTAACTAGCCATCAATCGGACATAAACCTCAACAAGTGCAATACCATGTATGAGCGATCGATGACTAGACTGTATTCGTACATGTGGGGAAACGGTACATCCTTTATGTACACAGTAAACATAAGCTGAAAAACATTATTAACGACTGGAGACATCAGGGTTACATCCAGCCCTGAAATGCAACAAGATCCATAGTCCAAGATAAGTTAGTTTACATACTCTGTAAATAGGTACCAGGCTATTTTATCCCTCGAGATCTCGGATGTACTCTTTTACCCAGTTGCGGAATACCGGCACTTGTCCATGCATGCCAGCATCGGAATCCTTCCAAGATTCCATACTTTGACATTTCAGCCACATCGGAAATCGATATTCCTACCAATTTATATGGATGTACGGCCCGAGTGAGGTTATCCTTGCAATTTCTATTTGACCTTCGTTTGGTTCATAAAAGCTATTACAACATTACCATGTCTATCTCGAACTATAACCTCGGGAGTTTGTTTTTATAGCCTCATTGAAATCTGATACCTACAGGAATAATTTATGTATAACATTCAATGATTAAATTAATGGAAGGCCTAGAAAGGATCTAGCCCGGCACATCATCGCACTAGGGAGTGAGATAGACCTGATAATCTGGAGGTGGTCTGTCAGAACTGGCGCAGCCTAGTTTCGGAGCCCTCATTCCCTTCCGTCTTGCTATATCTCACGTTAATATTCGACTTAAAACAATTATTGTCTGATTATAGACTTTCGGGGCAATATAATGTACTTCGCTCTGCTATCTCTGCTTGATACATCGAGTTCTGTTTTATAAACTTAAACTTTTAAAATGGCCCAATAGAATGGTGCAAATAAGCCTTAAATTTAAAGATTTGGAGTGAAACGTGCCCCCTAATTGTCAGAAGTGTCAACTATTCCTAGTACATGCTAATACGCAGTCAGTGCGGTACTAGTACCCTAGTGGAACCGACCACCCGTTTTCTGTCAGAGGAACTTAGGCCCATTTTTCTTGGATACATCCATTTTTCCTCTTTCATGAATCATGATAGCCTTTTTGGCGTCTAAGACTTTAGCCCGGCATTACTAGTCAAGAAAGGAAAGTTTTATGAGAGGACAATTAGTATTGCGTGGCTGATACTTCTCAAGTAATTTTAACCTGTCACGAACCTTGGAACTCTCTGAAAATAATAATCACTGAAAATTGGAAATGCAAGGTATATAGTATAGAGGTTGTTTTGTAACAAAAACTGCTTATAATTGAAAATTCTGTTTATTATATAGGCTATTAAGATAGAATTGATTGATTCACAGGTCGAACTTAGTTATCTGTTACTCTGTATTGTATAAGATAAGTTTGACTTGAATTAGTCTGTCAATTCAGCTAATCCATTTTAAAGATGCAAACTCTTCTATGTCAGGGTTTAACGTGTCATGGTTCGACGCTAGAGCAAGACTAGTGGAATCAGCTTTTTTTTCTTTCGGCCGGTGGATAAATCACTAAACTTCAAGGCCATTTTTCAGCCTAAACTACATTCTTCGAAACCATTGGTTTATTGATTGTCTTATAGATCACACGGAGTGGATGCCAAAGTACCTACGCCGTAGGCACAGGGCCCAACACCGTTGACTAATGAATTAAAAGCCTTTCATTCTAATTGTCTAGGTGCTTATTTATCAGGAGATTGTCTAGATCTAGAAAAATATACATATTATCTTGCCCACTTGAATAGAGCCTTGGAATTTCAATCTTGGAATGTTCTTTCATTTTTTCCCAACTTGAAACCTTAGCCTTAAAACTCCATGTACACGCATTACATTACCCAGCACTTCATCTGAGACTTCTATTTCGCCTTTCGGTGATTTCCAGTATGGGCTACTACGGAGGTGAAGGGCCTATGGTCAATGGGGTCCTTGCAATGATGCTTGTCATAGTCATTGTTTGCGTAGGGCTAAGGCTCTATACTCGAAAAATCCTTTTAAATGCTCTCGGTGCAGACGATATTTTTGTTATTATCGCAGTGGTGAGCTTCAATCCTGCTTAGTATCGCTGTCATAAGCTAATCTTAAATGAACAACGTCTAGATTGCTCAATTAGTGAACAATATATTCATCGGCATATCATCCCACTACGGTCTAGGGCAACATTATGAAGCTATAGGTAGTCCAGTGATTTATATCGAAGCCGTCAAGTGGGAGTTGTTTAGCCATGCCACTGAGATCTTCTCCAACGGAGCTGCCAAGTGTGCCGTCGGGGTTTTCCTTCTTCGAATTTTGCGAACTAAGTGGCATATCTGGTTTGTCTGGATCAATCTTTTCATCACAGCATTTTTTGCAATTTTCGGAACTATCACTTGCATAATACATTGTTTACCAGTACAAAAGTCTTGGAACACAACACTGCCAGGAAAGTGCTGGATGAACTTTTCCACATTTGGTTACTTTGTTGCGTGTGAGTACCTCCAGACAATCTTGGAAGTTTCCATCCATGCTGACTTTCTTTTTCCTAGCATGGTACACAATCAGCGACTTTGCTTTTGCAATTCTTCCGTGGTTTGTTATTTGGAATTTGAACATGAAGAAGAGCGATAAGATGGTGGTTGCTGGCGGCCTCAGTCTTGGAATCCTTGCTGGAATATGTGGAATTGTGGGAATTGTGGGAATTATTCGCCAGACAACTGCTGCAGACTTCGCTTCCGTTAATTATCTATGTACGCTCCAATTTTTCAGTATCCTTGATCTCTACAACAAAACTGACACGGTTCTAGATTCCTCAACATCACTGCTTGTCTGGTCCTCGACGGAAACCGCCCTCACAGTGATGTGCGCATGCATTCCGATGTTACGACCTCTATGGAATCACACCCGATATGGACCGGATAGAACGAGCAACGCAATTTCTCCCAATTCTTCTTACAAAATGCGCAAGTACGCCAAGCAGTCCAGTCAGTATACCAAAGACACTGGCACCTCTAGATTTTCCCAAGACGGTCAGAAGTACGGCATTGTGTATCCCGAAGAGGCTCTGGAAAAAGGCAGTCCATATCAGAAGAATGGGAATTACAGTGCAAGCCACAACAGTGATGAAATCATGTTGCGAGGCGTTGCAGTCATTGAGAGGACGGACGAGGTTGAGGTCTGCTATGAACATGTTGGCATGGCAGTCTAATAAACACGTTTACTACACTTACGATATCTTTATGTTAATTCAAAATATAAACCAGAATAACAGCATATGAGCCAGATTCTGTCAAATGCCAGTTGCAGGCCAGGTCCCATAGAAAACCTTGAACTAGTTCAGCAAATTTGTTCAATAATATTTCCTTTGGATCTGCTTTGATGGGGCTTGCCGTGTTTAAATCGAATGAGTCCAAAACCGATGGTTCGGGTCACCTTGTCTCACGATTCTCGAAGTCTGCAACAACCTCGGGCCCTAGCATACTTCAAGTTAGTTCCTGCCCAGGCATAGGGTCTTCATGCGGGGCACGTTCATTATGTTTTTAGGGATGATGTTTCAGCAAGCTCTGAAACCCGAAAGTCAAAGGAGCCGTACTTCTTTTTTGGAATACGCTGGGTATAGGTCTGACATCTGGTCTATCATATTAGCCCTTTGTTTATACCCTATGCCCTAGTTGGCTGTGTAGTTTCGACTACGTACTACTTCATAGCCCAATTATCGAACCCCTCTCTAGGAGTAATAGGCAACGTATTCATCAATCAACTGCTCCTCGTTTGGCAGTCGGGAATTCAAGGTTCCTTTTTGTACCTATAAAACCACTTCTTTGAGCTCTCAGTCCCTCAACTGTCTCCTTTGGTATCAATAGTTCCCAACATCCAAAGTGAGTCAACTCATGAACATTGATCTGACTACTTCAATCTAGCATTTGACGACCAGGTGGCCATCAAAGTGTCGTACGCTAAAATTCTCTGTTCATGGTTACATGACTATTGTCAGCGCACGCGGTGACTGTCCAGGGTCCGCAAAAGGATTTTGCCATCACCTCTCATATTTCGATACTGTCTTTTTTGAAAAAGTGGTTCAAAGAAGGAGGCCTGAGTGGAATCAGACGGTGACATCCCATGCAGCCATTCCAGCATTATCTCCGCATTCCACTTGGCGGCAGAATTGTCGCCAGCATCTCCCACTGGCCTTGCCACTTCTGGATTTCTTTACTCACATTTTCCAGCAGTGTCGAGTTTATATAGTCTTGGAGAAACTCTGAAAGGCTTTGGTCTGTGCTAGGTGGAATGACTTCACTTTGGTAATTCAAAGCACTCGATTCCAGACCAGAATACTTCCCACAACTCCAGGTAAGGATGATCATATATCAACAAAAAGAAGCCAAGTTCTTCAAAGAGACAGCAGGCGATGACCCAAAATCATTGCGATACCATCTGATCACCTAGGGTATCTCTCTCAGGGTAAAATATCAATATCAGTCAGTATGTCCAAAGCATGTCTCGACAAAGTGCCACCAAAGAAAGAACATCCAAGTCTCAACTTACTTGCTTAAACTACTACTTGATAATGAAAGATGCCAAGGTCTAGAGAGCGCGTCAATGTCGAAAAAGCCGTTCCTTATCTTAACCCAATACATGTGCCTGGTCCAGTGACTATCACTACGTTTTTGAAGTAAAGCAGCAAGAATTCCACAATGCTTGCTCTGAGAAGCTCAAATACTACCAAGATGTTCACAGGCAAGCTATTTTAAGGTCATCTATAACACTCTCGAATATTTGCTTCATTTACCGATCAAACTAAAAATCCAAGTTTGATACTAGATTTGCAATTTGTTTCAATTTTAAATCTTACCTCCAGAGCTCCATCGTGAACTTACCTCTAGCATCGATCAATGCTATAACCTGAACTTCGACCCTAGGGCATTCTTATCCTCTTTATCAGATATCAAATTGACGTCTTTTCCGCCCTTTTAGCCACACTCCCGGAAATATGACCACGTACCCGTTGACCTAATATCAAGGTCTTCAGAAATACTGTGAGATTGATCAAATTCAAAATGCCGAATTGGGTCCATTTCACCTCAAAGCTGCATTATAGCTGCCCATAATAAGCTTTCTAACATGACTGTCTTACAAAAGGAACCTTAGGATTTGACACTGCTTTCAAAGGTCGGAATAGATGGGTACAATAAAGCGGATCTTCGGCTAGCAACGGCCAATCGGCGATAAGATAGGAAACAAGCGGGGAAATCCACGTATAAAGAAAGGAAACACCATCTAAACTTCCCAATATCTTCAAACCCCCCGTACTTTCTATGAAATCCGCGTAAAAATGGCCGATACAATCAAGTTAGCCGACTACCTACTCACCCGCCTCCAACAACTCGGCGTCCAATCCATCTTCGGCGTCCCAGGAGATTACAATCTCCGTCTACTAGACTACATCGTCCCAGCCGGTCTACACTGGGTAGGAAACTGCAACGAGTTGAACGCAGCCTACGCAGCAGATGGCTACTCCCGTATAAATGGCCTATCAGCTATCATAACCACTTTCGGCGTCGGCGAGCTCTCAGCTGCGAATGGTATTGCTGGCGCTTATGCCGAGAGGTCTCCCGTTGTTCATATTGTCGGTACCCCGCCGCGGCTGCAGCAGAGTTCGCGCGCATTGATGCATCATACCTTTTCTGATGGTGAGTATGGGCGCTTCGCGGCTATGTCTACGCATATTACTGCTGCGCAGACTAAACTTGTTGATGCGACTACGGCACCTGAAAGGATCGATTGGATTCTGCTACAGGCGCTCGTTCATAGCCGGCCTGTTTACATCGAGTTGCCGGATGATATGCCAGGTGTTCTTGTCTCTGCTGCGAGTCTCAATTCGCCTATCCGTGTACCTGAAGTACCTAGTCCTATTCATGAGCCTCAGGTTGTAAACCGCATTCTAGAGCGAGTGTACAGCGCAAAACGTCCACTCATCTACGTGGACGGTGAGAGCAAAGCTCTCGGAATAATCGAGCAGATTGAAAGCCTTATTGATAAAACAAGCTGGCCAACTTGGACGACCATTTTCGGCAAGGGCCTCATCAACGAGGATACTCCGAATGTATACGGGCTGTATTCGGCTGCATTTGGAGACAAGCCCGCTCAGGAATATTTTGAATCTGCAGATTTAGTCTTGACATTTGGTCCACACTACAGCGACACGAATAGTTTCTTCTTCACCGCCGTCCCCAAGAACGCTGCAGCTATCACTTTCAAGGATAGTACTGTCCAGATCGAAGACGAGGTCTACCGCGATCTATCACCGAAAACTGTCCTGACAAAGGTCCTGACAGCCCTCGACTCTTCCCGCACAGTCGAAGCTATCGGGCCCGAAAAAGCAGTAGTTTCAATAAGCGATATCAAGAGCAGCGATCCAATCGCCCAGAACAACTTCTTCCGCCTGGTGAACCCGTTATTCCGCGAAGGCGATATCATCCTCACAGAAACAGGTACAGCAGCCTACGGCGGCCGAGGTTTCAAACTCCCACCAAAAACCCAACTCTTTGGCGCCGTAACCTGGCTTTCGATAGGCTTCATGCTACCAGCAACTCTAGGCGCAGCTCTCGCGCGACGAGAACAAAACAAGACTACCGGCGCAACTGGTCGTACAGTGTTGATAATCGGAGATGGGAGCTTGCAGATGACCGCGCAGGAAATTAGCGTGATGGTTAAGGAGAAGCTGGATATTCTTATTATTATTATCAATAATGAGGGCTATACTATCGAGCGAGTCATTCATGGTCGCAAACAGGCGTATAACGATGTCCCCTTTTGGCGGCACTTGCAGGCTTTGAGTTATTTTGGGGCTGATGAGGATCATGCTGCTAAGAGTACTTTCTCGGCCAAGACTTGTGGTGAACTGCAGAAGATCTTGGAAGATGAGCATGTGCATAGTGGGCGTGGAGTGCGGATGGTTGAGGTTTCTATGGGACGAGAGGATGTTCAGGGGGTTTTGGAGTGGGTTTTGAACAAGCAGCTGGATGAAGAAAGGATTGCCGAGAAAAGAGAAACATTATAAGTAATGTACTTGATGTGATCTAAATGAATGTTTTATGGATTTCACCAGTGTAATGCGCAAGTCCAGACTTCGGGACTCTCGAGAAGGTTGAAGAAAGATTTTCAACATTTGATTCTGGTATCTGAATGTGCCTATTACCAGTGCATCTTACTCCAATACAAATTAGAAGAAATAAAGAAAAGAAAAGAGATAGAGTCGTGCTAGACGACCGGCCAATGTTGTAGTATATCAGAGGTAAACGCCGGTACCCATATGCCCCAAAGTCCGTGATGCACACGATGCTGTGAAGTAGAAGAGAAAAAAGAGACATAACTGCCAAAAAGAAGAGAAAAGAAAAAATTACCACCTCCCAGCCTTGGAAGGGTATTGGGAAGTCTATATGCAATGATCAACATGAGCGAGACAGAAGTAGAGGTGAAATGTTTCTTATTTGCGGAAGCTTTCGACGCCCAGTGATGGGGTTTCCACTGCGCGATCCGAAGGCACACCTTCGTCGCGACGGCGGGCGAAGAAGCTATCGCATTCGGAAACAATATGAGTCCACTCTGCCAGAGCACGGCCAGCGTATTTGCTTGTCACAACGTACTCCGTTGTTGGTTGTGCAGGCAACTCTGGAAGAAGAGAATCTTTGTTGGTCAAAGGCCACTCAGTTTCGGGAGTCATTTGTGTTGGAGGGTCATCATGGTCTGGTTCTCCAGTTACTGCCTCCTCAAATACAGTTTCGCCGCCAATTGTCTTTGCCGAGATCGATCCTTTTTCTGAAGTGGTGTCAGACTCAATGAGCTTCTCGGGGACGCATCGATGCTGCACATGCAGTTCAGAGGCGACAGGGAGACAAGGGGTGAATAGACGTTTGTTCTTAGTGAGCCATTGTGGCCTGTCTATCCATTCTAGTGAAAATTTGAAGAAGAAGGGTTGGTGTAGTGGGAGATGGAACTGCTCTCCACTATTTCTCGGGGGTTTCTCATGCTCTTCCACACATTTTGATTTCTCGTCGGGCATGGCGCCACTATTAGACGTATCTGTGGGAACACCTTCTACGCCATCGGCCTTACCGAACATAGATTTGAGCAAATTCCATCTTCGCTTGGAATTCGGATTGTCTAGACCCGTAAAGTCCGCGGAGTTGGATTTTCGATGTCCCACGGGTTGGTCTGAAGAACCGGGAGGAATGACGCGGTCAAATGAGACGAACAGGTCCACTGGAGACAGCTGATTGTCACATCGAATGATGATAATCCTCCGCCCTGGAGCTGGTGTACAAGGAGCAGATGACAATGGTGCTATGAGCCCTTCTTCCGCCTTGGTTTGATACCCAACATAATACTCCCAGACACGCATGAGTCGATTAGAGAGGGTCACTAGTACGGTTGAATCAACAGAAGAAGGTTCCCCGTTGAACCGACCCACTCTCCAGCACAGGAGACGGTGGTAGTAGGCGCGGACCATCGGACTCCAGTGATTAAAGTAATGGTAGAAGATAGACTCATCTAGCAGGAAATCCAGGCATAGCGCAGACTTTCTCTCTTCTGACGCAATCCAGGTCCCCCACACACTAAATATGAAGGAGAAGACTCGGACTTCAGTAAGCGAATTATGACTTTGCATCATCTGGCGACAGACCCCCAACCAGAATGACCAGTCAAACAACTCTGTCTCAATTGAGTGGGCATATCGTGTGATAATCGGCATAACCTCCTCGGCGAAGTCACATATCAAGAAGCATGCATTGTGGTCAAAGAGAGAGATTCCCTGAGCGGCAATCTTGAAAATGCCACAGAAGCTCTCAGCGTACAAAAGTCGGGAGCGATTTGGCTCCGCGGAGGAGTCAGAGAGAAAGTCCCGCAAAAGAATTACTAGCCGGTTCTCTGCCATTGACCGATGACTGTTTCGGCCACCTCCCAAAGGGTGCGCATTAGCCGAAGCATCAGGCGACTCAAGCAAGTCGTCGAACGTGATGACAGATGCCGAATTACCCAGATCTGTCGTTTGGGATGTAGATTGCTTATATATAGTCTCCTCCAGTACGACCAGAAGTTGCGCATGTATGAGAAGCAGACCGGGCGCCAGTATGCGCTTGGCCTTCTCGGTCTTCGCAGGCAAATATTCAGCGTACAAAATGTGTACGTATTTCATGAAGACGAAGAACAGATCCGTATCACGACCACACCAGCGAGCCTTCCATGGACCATGCCAGGGGATGTTAGTTGTGTTCAGAGGCGCCTCGGGTTTAAGTCGCAAATATCGCAATAATGGCGCAGATGATGGGAATGCAAGAGGTCGCAGAGCCGCAGGGAAACTCATTGAAAGCTCCTGAGTAAATGGCCGCATATTCCCAACTCTGGAGGATGCAGATTCGGCGAGAATTCGCCGATATAAGGCAGGAGGTGTGTTCCACAGACGGACTAAGATATCTGGTACTCCAGGGCAGAAAAAGAAGGCATACGCACAAGCCTTTCCACAAAATGCCACTAGACTGGCGGGCGTGTGTCTCATCGACATTCGTTCCACGACAAACAACATCTGCGACAGAAGATTTTGGACAAAGATATTGCGAATATTATGATGGATCGATTCAACCAGAAAATCAGATCCCGATGAGCCAGATCCTTCTGAGGTTTCTGAGACGGATGTAGATGCATATTGCAGCGAGTCTGTTAGTCCGTCACCTTGTTGTGCAGTAGGAAATGGGATGCGCCATTCTGGACGACTCATGATTCCCACGACTGCTTCAAGATAGACGGGTCTGTCAGTCCCTGTAATGGATTGGTTATTTTTCCCATTAAGCATCTCTAGCATCCCCATCCACCACTTATTCAAAATATTCACCCGACGATCCAAGTCTTCCGGTCTAAGGCACTTGCATGAAGCGTGGAGATGATGGCGGCCAAGAAATGGGAGAAGGGAGCTACGGATGACATTGGCCTTTAAGGCACTTGATTTGGATTGAAATCTACTCCACGGTCAGCAATTGTAAAGAACTAGTTCTTTGGCATCACATACTTTTGGTAATCAGCTTCAAGGCCACGGAATACCCCCCAAAGTTCATCCTTCTTCCGTGAAGAAGTCTCGTTGACAGTATGTTGGAACGAAGCAGCTGTTGCTGCAGCACCTTTTGGCATGGGTGGTAGAACAGGAGTTGTAACAGAAAGAGAGGCGGAGAACCTCTCGAGTGATGCTCGGTTTCGCAGCTTGCCTGACGGACTGCTGGGCGACTCTGGGGAGTCTTCAATTCCCTTTGCTACCACTGCAGACACGGGTCGTCTTGGTCGCTTATATAATATAGTTCGTTTACGCATAGGTGGCGGTGCCGACTCCGGATTTGGTGCATCTTTGGAACTCTCTGATTTCTGGTGTCCCAATTGAGTTGGAGATGGGTCTTCCAGTCGTTGTTGTTTTGACCTCTTGGCAGACGGAGACGGAGATCGTGAGGACGAGCCCCATGGCTTCCGTGCAAGACTTACTATGCGACCTGACATAGAACGACTCTTGGAGGGCCGAACAGCAGGCTCCGGTGCCCTTGTCTCTGGAATCTTTGTTTCCACATTTGTAGTTGGAACAGTTGTAGTTTCAATAGTTGTAGTTGTAGTTGTTTTCACTGAAGCCTCTACGGGTACTTCCGTGTCCCTTAGATCCTCTGTAGATGATAATGTAAAATGGGAGACAGTCGGGGGTTTGTCTTTAGTGCGTAGGGATGTCCGTCGCAGAATGGCCTTTCCAGCAGCCACAGATTCCTTTGTCGGTGAGTACGCCTGGGCGGGGACCTTGTAATCGGAGAAATTTCGTCTCAAATCGGGCGGGCCAGATTCCGATGGGCTGTGGAGATCAGTGTAGCTGGCAGCTCTGGAGAGCAAGGCATCCCCACCTTCGTAGTTTGTAATTTCAGGGGAAACAGACATGGTCATGTTGGAAGCGGTCAAGGGGATTGTAGTTGACGACTGGACATTTCCCTGAGGGGAAAAAGTGACGAGAATGCGATGATGTCGAAGAAGACCAGCTCCTTCCTGCATACACCCGGAATATTATCCCGTTATCCTGAATCTTTCAAACACGCATTGCAAGATAAGAAGGGCGAACAAGGCAAGATCAGCAACAGCAAGCTCTCTTCTTCCCTTTTTATTTGTTTTTTTTCTTTTCTTTTCTGTCCAATATTTTATGATCAGTCACACGACTAAAAGCTTCTCGAAAGTCCAAAGCTCATCAATGCCGACAAGAAGGCGCCCACAGGTTCTTGGAGCTGGATGGGCCTTGGATAGATCGAAAATGCACTAATGGCGTGACCGATCGAGCAAGAGATCGGCGTTCCTCCAACGGTTTGCGGTGTACAATAATGGAACCAGGGTCTGGGGAAGCGTCGAGGTGGGGAAATGGAAGACCGAAAGCGATATGGAAGTGAGGGAGGAGGGAATATCAAAATAGACAGGTAATAATTGAAGTGGAGAAATGTAAAGGGGGAGGTTAGAGTAGGTAAGGTAGAGAGGGGAAACTATCTCTAAGCTTGACCTGCAGTGAAAAGTCGGAACCAAAATAAACAAAATATAAAAATATGAAAATAAATAGATTAAAAAAGGGGAAAAGGTAAAAAGGTAAAATAAATTCAGAGGAAAATGGAAACGAGTGAAATATATCATAATAATCACTACTACAGTGAGACACGCTGTTCATTCTCCACTTAAACTACAGAGTACTTTGTAGATGTTTAGCTTCCCACTGAGATTCATCCTCTTTCCATCTGATCCTGGAGAGGCTGAGTTTACTGTGCCACCCTTTCCCACCCTTTTGCCCTCTCATCCTCTCTGCATGAACGAGAATTGATTTTTGACCGTCTCGATTACAATGGGGGCCACGGCGCCAATTGAAACTGCTCCGGAAGTTTATAGAAATTACTACTTTAAGCCCGATCCGCTTACATCCGGTACCTGTTACAGAAAGATCAACTTGATAGGAAGCACTGCTGTTCATTCTAGCATTCCAAAATGTAAGGAATGCCGCCTATTTCATGTCCTAAGGAGAAGAGAAGGAGATTTAATGACATAACATCCCACATTCCAACCCACTACGGAAGGTACGTCGTACGTAAGGAAAACACTAGTCAATAAATTACCTAAGTGCCTAGTCAAGATCAAGATCAATGCTCAAAATGGGGTAATACTGATCGGAACTGAACCTGAACCTGAACCTGAACCTGAACCTGAACCTGAACCTGAACCTGAATCTGAATCTGAATCTGAATCTAAACCTGAACCTGAACCCTTTGCCCCAGTCTTCAATCCTAGATCATTTAGTTTCCTAGTTACGGAGTACGGAGTATAAAGTATGGAGCACTGGTTACTATTTAGTTACCTGTGTAATATTAATCCAAGTTTCAACCCATCCACTAGACCCTTGAATCTTGTAAAATGGATATTATGGAGTCATCATATCTCAAGCCACCTTCTTGGCAATCCCCGCTTGGATACGAATAAGGAAAAGTAATTCAACCTTGTAGCCTCAATATCATCAAGCAAAGATAAGGGAGAAAAAGAAAACATGAAGACAGCGGGCATTAAACGGGGTTAAGAGTATTAAAGCGACAAGGCAACTTCCACAATCTACTCAGCTGTAAATAAGCTCAATCACTATTCCCATTTCCGAACCATGCGGACCCATGCGGGCGAACTGCAGGGGTGAGAAGGAAGATTGTATCATATCAATTATTCACTTCTACTTTATATAATTAACTATTTAGATTTCTTATATCGAATTGGCAAGATGGCCGAGTTGGTCTAAGGCGTCAGGTTAAGGTCCTGATCTACATTGTAGGCGTGGGTTCAAATCCCACTCTTGTCATTTTTTTTTAATTTATTTCTATCATTGAGTTCTTAATTTTCTATCATTGAGTTCTTAATTTTCTATCAATACATGCACCATAGATATTGTAGCTTGTGTTTTCTTTTTGTGATCATTATACAGCTATTTAACATTTCCAATAAAACCTAGAGCTGCATTATGACATTGAATTTTTTATGTACTAGGTAGTTGATGTTTGCCAACCCTTCGAATACATCAAATGTGTACATATTATTACAATAGCGCGCTTAATGTATGGGTTAATTTTGGGCTTTACCCGGGGACTTTACATAGGTCTACGGTAAATTTGAGATGGTCTTCAGGGCTCTTTAGATACAAATCTGCATAGCTAATTAGATCTTGAATATACTCTAAGGAATATTCATACAGATGCTGCCCTATGTCAATGATCACTCCGTAGATAGATATACCAGACTGTCGCTATATACCCCGGCTTTTCCGGTATACTCAAGACTACCATAGGTACACTCCAGAGCTGGACTGGGATATGGCGATTTGAGAATAATAAAAAGGCTTCAACATTTCACAGGTAGTCTAATTTACAAGCTCGAAGACTCGCGCGGCCAACTGTTTATGCCAACGGCATGTATACTGCCGTCGTCTCTCCAGACCCTACCAATATAAAGAAAGGGCATTTGCATTTAGTGGGCAGCAGCAACCTCCTCCTCATCCTCCTCAAACCAAGACTCCTCGACGGGGGCGGCCTCACCAGCGGCGGCCTGGCCCTCAACCTCAACCTCCTGGCTCTGGTAGGCGGACAACTCGCTGGCAAGGTTGGCCTCCTCGGGAGAGGGGGAGCCTGAGGAATGGCGAACTTCTGAACGTGGGCATCGGCGTCACCAGCCTTGAGAGGAGTGGGCTTGAAGGCCTTCAGTTCCTTAAGGTACAGGTCCTGGACAGGGTCGGCTTCACGGAGAGTATATCAAGTCAGCGACAGCACAATCAATTGGTAATGAGCAAGTTCCGTTGATATATGCTCAATGGTTCTGGATGCTTAAAACATACCGCGGCGGACAGCGGAGGTCAGGAAGGTGCGAGCGACCGGGACCTGTTGCCGAGAGGCACGGGCGAAGATGGAGCGCTAAATAGGCCAGTCAGCACCACAATCAGATAGCGCATACCATGGAAACTTACCGAAGCCCGGAGAGACATGGACATCATCGTGATGGGTAGAGAGGAGTGAAGAGAGGAGGGATATGAATCTATGGTATCGTTCCGTGCTGTTGAGGGATCAAATCGACTTCTGTCGGAACATCGGCTTGGCGCTGATTCATCAGTACTCATGTCACGTGACCAAACTTCCCCCCCATTCACTTCACATCACTTCCCACCTTCGTCCTTCTCTCCATCTCGACTTCGGTTCCTGATCATCCATCACCCTTTTCAGCTGGGCTTTGGAATTGACGCTTCACGTTGCTTCACTTGCTGGCATGTTTTACTCTTCCATCTAAACGCTGTAAATGCTGGGATGTGACTGAGCTAACATGATTGAGTAAGTAGCGGCGCGCATTTCAGCTGATCGCATTTCCTCGGCCTCCTAGTTCGTGGTACAGTCGCCAAACTGTATTCACCACTTTTCCTTCGTTATCACCGAGTCAAGCACAACCTCCCGATTACAGCAAAGGGGATCGCAAAAAGACAGACCCAGCGCTTCGAAGCTACCCGGGTAGCAGATAAACTAGCCATGTCGACTTCCATCTCCAGCCCGGAGATTCCGTGGAAGAAGAACCTCTCTGCCACTATTATATGCCCCGAGTGCAAAGAGGTGCCCCCCAACCTGGAATTTCCCGACTCCCACGAGACAGTCTGCGGATCATGTGGCCTGGTTCTTGCCGATCGTGAGATTGATATGCACTCCGAATGGCGCACGTTCTCCAACGATGACCAGAACAACGACGACCCGTCTCGTGTTGGAGACGCTTCGAACCCTCTGCTCAATGGAGCTCAGCTGGAGACCTCCATTGCCAGCGGCGCAACTGGCCGTTCTCGCGACCTCTACCGTGCTCAGAGCAAACAGTCAAACGAAAAGGCGAATAAGGCCCTCCTCGCAGCCTACAAGGAGATCGGTGCTCTTTGCGACGGCTTCAACATCCAGAAGAATGTGGCCGACACCGCTAAGTACCTCTTTAAGATTGTGGAGGATGCCAAGGCGTTTAAGGGCAAGTCTCAGGACGTTATCATCGCTGGTTGCATCTTCATTGCATGCCGCCAGTGCAAGGTTCCCCGTACTTTCACCGAGATCTTTGCCGTGACCAAGGTTTCTCGAAAGGAGATCGGCCGTATCTACAAGTCCCTTGAAAAGTTTTTTACCGCTCAGAACATCGAGCGCAATAATGCCGTTGTGTCGAGTGGTGGCACCATTGATCCCAACGATACATACACCGCAACTGCATCTACCAAGCCCAGTGATCTTTGCAACCGTTTCTGCAATCTTCTTGGTTTGCCATTCCAGGTTACCAGTGTCGGTGTTGCGCTCTCTGATAAGGTCAGCAATGACGGAGACCTGGCCGGCCGTTCTCCTCTTTCCGTTGTCGCAGCATGCATCTACATGGCATCCCACCTCATGGGTCAGGGAAAATCCGCCAAGGAGATCTCTGCTGTGGCGCACGTCAGTGATGGAACCATCCGGGGTGCGTACAAGCAACTGTACAATGAACGCGCACGGCTGATTCAAGAGGAGTGGATCAAGGACGGTAAGGGTGATATGTCCAAACTTCCCACGAGTTAAGTTTGGGGACGAAATCTGGCAAAGTGAAATCAGAAATGCTTGACTGCTATTTCTTTTCCAGTTGCTTTTCGATTGCCCAGTCTCTTTTTATCTCAAAAATGATACCAGAATGCACAACTTCATACAAAGTCTGAACATTGAATTACGTTACTCAATAACGCTGGATACAGATGGCTGATAATAAACACATTCAAAAAATGAAACAGTTCTTTTGAACGTACTTTGTGGTTTCATGAATATATATCATAGGCTCCTGTAGACAAACTTCTTGTTAAGTGGGCCTCCATTGTCTAGTTAATGCAGTAATCCCAATAACTTTGACAATTATAGATTCTTCATAGAATGGAATACAACCACTTTACAACATTCCAACCTCATACTCATAGTAGTACTACGTAATACCTCTGAGACATGAGAAGGGGGAAGTCATCGTCATATTCAGTTATATTAGCTATTAGATTGTTGCCCAGGTATTTTTTGAGATTAATGTGGACGGACGCTGAACTATGTTCTTAATGTTCTGTTGACCTTGCTTCGATTTGTGAGTGGACTACTGCTGCTAATACCAGTTTGCCCTGCCGTGTGTGGCTGTCCGCGAAGCAAGAATCATTAATCATGGGATCATAGCAAGAATGGAAAGAGAAATAGACACAGAGACGCCTATGAAACCAACACCTAGAATAGTTGGTGAACGATGTCCCGGAAATCTTGCACATCCAGCACAACATCTGTCTCCCCCAACCCTGGCAACGGGGGCCGGTCGTACAGGGCTTCAAACGGCAGCACCATGGGGCCATACAGCACGTTCTGTGTCGTCACCTGCACTTCGCAGTGGGAGTAAGGCTGCTGGTTGACTGCAAGTTGCTGAACAGTTGGAGCCAATGTTGAGTATACAGGCGGCGGGGTGGCAGGGTCGACCCCGCCACCCTACCACCCGACGAACTTTTCGTCTTATCGGCCAATAAAAACTCTGTATTTCATTTTTTGTGGGTAATATGATACATCATAATAAGTTTGTCGGGGAGCTAAAAAAAAAAGGTCGTCGGGTAGTGGTAAATAGCCATCTTATGTGGTAATATGCAAGATTTGACTTACGGTGCTTCAACCCTACCACCCCGCCACCTAGCTTCAATTTTCGATAATTTACCAGGAATTTGTAAAATGTTTCTTCCTTCATTCAACAATAAAACAGTCAACTCAATTCAGATTTTGATAATATAGATATAATTATTAAAGGAATTCCTAAGAATAATACTTTGGAACTGGTTTTAGGAACTTATTATCATTTTTTGAAGTTTTCATCTAAAATTATAAAATTTCATAACAATATATCTATATCTGTATATATATCTGTAGACTGTATCTATTTACATCTCAGTCCTTGCAAATCGATTCCTATCTTTTACCATCTTTTACTGATCCTTACCATTATTTACTAGATTTTATGATTTCTTGAAACATATCAACTATTATCTTTCCAAATTAAATGTAATATCTTTATAAATCTTAATTTTAAGGATATCTGTATAAAAATAAACATCTTAAATAGTCTTTTCTTAAATCACTTGATATCAAAAACCTTAAAATTAAAATATTAAGCACTAAGCACTAATCACTAAGCACCATTACACTACTATTTATCATTCTCCTGCTTCCTCGGATCCTAGATCATCCTCATCATCCTCAATAATTTCAGCAGCTTCTTTAGCAGCCTTTTCAGCAGCCTTTTTCTTTACCTCTTCAGCAGCTATTTTCTTCGCCCCTTCTTTATCCGTTTTTTCAAGTTCTGCTTGTGCACGAGCAATCGCCTTCTCTCTTTCTTTCTTCTTAGCTTCTCTTTTCCTATCCTCTTCCATATCCACTCTAATAGATGCTTCATCTATCAACTCATCAAGTCTATCTTCAAGTTCTGGTATATGAAGTTCAGGTCGCTTCAGAAAATCCCAAATCCCCCCAGAACTTTTACCATCTTTCGTCCGCGACTCTAACCAACGAACAAAGCTATCACACTCAGCTTCTGAAGGGAGCTCAATGTCAGCTTTCTCTTTACCTTTTCTTTCCTTCGTGACAGAACTTGAAGATATGCTCTTAGATTTAGGATTCTTAGCATCAGCTAGTTCCTTTTCTCTCTTCTTCTTTTGAGCTTGAATCTTAGCCATTTGTTCTTCAAATTCTTTTTGTTCTTTTTCTTCTTGTTCTTTTGCATTCTGAAGTCGATCTTCTCGTTCTTGTCGCTTCCGTCTTTTATTTCTGTCTTGCTGTCGCCGGTCTCTTGCTGATTCAGATGGACTATCATCGTCGGAATCGGTGTCATCTTTATAGAATCTTGATTTTCTTTTTCGTTTTTTCGTTTTTGCAAGTTGTAAGACATTTTCTTCCTCCTCGTCACTTTCTTGGCCTACACCAGCAGTTTCTTCATCTTCGACCTTTTTATGGCTGCGTTCTTTTCTAGAAAATTGATATATATATTAGTAAGTAATGGTAAAAGATGGTAAGGAGTGGTAAGGGATGGTAAGGGATGGTAAAGGGCTTCGATAATCAATTCTCACCTTCTTGCAGTTTTCCGACCGTCTAGGACATGAAGTCCCTTCCATTTACCTCCATGGTTTGGTTTCTAATAGATATTAGATTGAGTTATGTTAGTAATATCAAATTTAACTCACAATATGTGACATTTTAATATGTTTTCGGATTGGTGCTGCTACACACCCAGTACTTATTGGTGTATAAGAGCAATAAGGACATCGTTGAACACAACCATGAATCTCGATTATTGCGTTTTGACAAGGCCATCTTTGTGCTGGATGTTCTGGACATTTACAAACTTTAACAGGGTTCCTAAAATAAGAGATAGATTAGTACTATTCTATCTTGATAGTCAGGAATCAATATTAAGACTTATACTTACACAAAGCTTCCTGGTATCCCATCTATCCTACTATACCACCAATGACCACTAGGGGTATCTATGGGAATATCGTCAGGATCATTTGGGTTAACTATTATGTTGGCCATAATAAGCTTGATAGAGAATAAAAAATATCGAAAAAGATAATGAGGACTTAGGGGAAACTTCATAGATTAAGTAGCTCAAAATGACCTTATTGTCGAAAAAGTAATTTCTAGAATAATTGAATATTTTCTAGGAAAATCTTTAGATCAATAAATCGGTTAAAGACCTATCTAGGTAGAATCAAAGACAAACATCAGATCATATGATTAAAATTTCTTTTCTTTATTAAAGCCTAAAGAAAATAGGATTTTTAGGATAATACAAAAACAAATACAAAGAACAACAACTTCAAGTCTCTTTTTCATTTTCCAGCAGTTTTCAGGTTTCATTCAGGTTCCTCAGAGATCTGGTGGAAGTAATTCGCTTTTTCAAAGGCCTCTTTATTATCTCCCTCAATATACCAAAAATAGGATTTTGAAACAGTGTTAGAAACAGTGTAGAGTCCAGCAAACCGTTTATCAACCTAAATTTATTAATCTTAATCAATATAAATAATTAAGTAATAAGATATTATATGACTTACAGTATGGATATTTTCAATATGCTTTCGAATTGTAGAAGCCTAGTATTTTCTTATCTGTCCAGTCTTTTTGTTAATACCTTCTGGTGAGTAACAACAATATGGGCAATTAGTTGCGCAACTTGGAATCGCCTAAAGAAATTAGTAATAGTATTAAGAAAAGGAAGTTAAGCTCACAATAGGACCAGTAAAATTCCAGATATTATATCGAGTATCATGTGTATGCTCCTGACACTTGCAGACTTTAAAGGACCTGATTCTTGACTGGTTTTCTTGAATCAATTCTGGATATAATTCCTTTTGTCCTCTAACTCTTTCCTCTTGTGAGATTTCACCACGTTCTTTTGCGACCAAAGAAATAGTATTGCTTGGTGGGCCAAGATCTGGGAGACCAATAATTGGTTTAAATCGGGGTTGTGATTCTTTGAGAGGCCATGATCTAGCTTGGGGTGCTTTAGTTTGGTTGGTCGGCTGCTGGAGTGCTTTTGTCTGATCGGTCGGCTGCTGGATCACTTCATCCTGATCGGTTGGTTGCTGGATCACTTTAGCCTGATCGGTCAGCTGCTGGGGTACCTCGGTCTGGTCGGTCGGCTGCCGGAGTACTTCAGTCTGGTCGGTTGGTTGCTGGATTACTTCAGCCTGATCAGTGAGCTGTTGGGATATCTCAGTCCCATCGGTCGGTTGAAGTGATGATTTCAGAGGAGTTTTTGTTGTTTTTGTTCGTTTTGGTGGAGGTTTTGTTATTCTCGTTCGTTTTGGGGGAGGTTTTGTTGTTTTCGTTTGTTTTTGAAGAGGCTTTACTACTTTAGTTTTTTTTATAGTAGGTCTTGTTGCTTTAGTTTGTTGAAGAGGAGGTTTAATTGATTTCGTTCGTCTTGGGGTAGATATAGTCGTTTTCGATATACCCCTTGTCTGAAGTCGTGGTTGTTTCTGCGGTTTTATAGGAGGGGCTTCATCATCAGGATGATTGGCGTTAGTCCTGGATCTCGTAGAATATGGCATGATGAGAGAATCCAATGATATGGTAAAAGATAGAAATAATTAAGGGGGAAAGTCAGATAAAACCAGAATTGCGAGGAAATAAATTTTCTTAAAAAGAAATGTGATTGATCATATCTTACCAACTCTTACTGATTTCGACTAATTTCGACTAATTTCGACTGATTCTGACTGACTTTAATTGATAAATATTGATCCTAACTATCCTTCTCCTTTACTGCTTCACCCATCATCTCTTCAAACTTGTCAATACGAGCATTATTGCGTTCGACGGTATGCTCCAATTTCTGTAGAACATTCATCATTTGTGGTATTCTGTTCACGAATTGTACTAGTAAATCTTGATGAGATGTTCCAGCTAATTCAGTTGTAGGTTCATGATGAAGAGGTGGTTGTTGTAATATAGCTGATGATAATGGAGGTGATGAAGTGAGATCGATATGATCTAAATTGAGCTGCCGGATAGGTGTTGGTGTCTCTAGGAAAGATCCAGGGCGCTTTCTGTGGAAATGACTACCAAAAGTCCGAGATCTTTGTGTTGGATTGACTCCATAACGACTTTTTCGGGCAATATCATCAAGTGGGCGTGTATCTCGAGCTTGCGATTCCTTGAGAGCTGGGAGTAGTTGCAATTGGATACCTCCACGATTGCTACCAGCATGACTACTCTCGACCAGATTGGTGTGCTTAACAAATGCACGGAAATGCTCTTTTTTCATCTTAGTCATTGACTCATTCAGTCCAGAGATTAACCAACGACAAGAAATCTTCTTAACCCAGTCACGAACACGTTTCGACTGTGAAGACTTAAGGGTAGTAATAAGACTTTCACAAGCGCTCCTAGGTGTTATATTCTCGAGCCGTTGCATCATAGGGTACTCAATCTCATTTTGATATCTTGCAAGGTTCCGATGGTAATGAACCTTACAATATATAAACATATGTTGAATATGTTCTTGCCAAGTGTAACTGCCATCAACTGAATGTAGATATTGACCAAACCCACTAGATTGTTTCCCACACATATCAACCATCACAGCGATGATGCCTTTCCGATGAATATGGAACCAATCAATCTTTTTACCGTTAATCGTCTCAAGTATGTTAAACAGACTTTGAAAAAGAAATTGGTAGGATTCGGTTGAGTCACTACTAACAAGGACTCTTGCCAGGTAGACAGTTTGCTCTAAGTCAGGATCTTTTGTGACGAATACAACTTCGTTCAAGATCCCTGCAACTCTTTTAAAAGTCATATCGACCTAAAAGTATTCAATGGTTGTCCAAAAGCGAGCTTAGGCATCGGTAAGACACACAATCCGGAGATTTATACCATCATTATACATCTCGCGAATATAGAGGTCTTCCTTAGGTCCTGATTGCTGCTTACAATGCTCAAGTAAAGCACCTAATAGTAATTAGTATAAAATAACTAAATACAATACGGATCGGTAAGGATCGGTAAGGATTGGTTAAATCAAGATTAGACTATAGGATAAATAATATATAACATACCTATCCAGTTTTGTCCAAGCGGACAGGAAATCACTCTTTGCTTCTTAATCCAAGAAGCAATGAGATCTCTATTACCAAGAGATGGGTGAAGTTCAGGGAGTGATGCAACACCTTGTGCTTGCAAAAACTCAGTCACAACAGAACTGCGGATGAATCGACTATATGATAATGAATGATGATCGGTCCTTTGAATCAGTTGAGTCATATCCTTTATGATGTTGGACGGCGTCTTGCTCATTGGTGGAGGTGGATGTGTATGGGTGCCCCAAGATGCCAAGATTATAAATGGGCAGTTCTTAGTCTCCTTTGGAATCACTGAGATAAAGATAGTATTACATGGGACATAATGGAGATTCATGTCCACATGGTACTGGCACTTTGAAGTCCTTGATTTTGCTGGTACCATCGTTGCGCACGCGAGAGAGTTCACGGTAATATCGCGGCTAGCATGGCCTTCCACAAGTTCTCTGAGATAGACTAAATCATAGCCTTCGAGAACCGGAAACCTATGGAAGTAGTGCTTACCAGATTCATCTTCTGGCTTCCATGCACTACACCCAAGATAATACTGATTTGTTTCAAACGCACTTGAGGAGAACCTCTTCAAAATCATTCGGGAATAATCTCCATGTGTTTTCCCACATTTTCGATCCCATTGTTGACGGCATTTATGATAAAATGCGTAAGTACGTGCGTTCGCTCGGTCATCTCCAAACTTGGTCTGAAAGTAGTTATTGACTTCGATTTTTCTATTTTCAAGATGATCCCAAAGATCAGCAGTGACTTCAGAATGACCAAATTCAGAGGTGAAATCATTTGCGAGTTTCGGACAAGATTTGATACCAGAGCATGACTTCTTAGTAAAGGTGCAAGTGACATTCCCAAGTAGTGGTGATTTCTTATCCCCATGCCAGCGCTTATGCTGGTTTTCACGACCTCCAGCTCCATACTGCATATCTTTGATCATATCTGAAGGATCTAGACCAGTAATCGGCATAAGATATGCAAATCCGTCTAGATGCGTCTGAGGGTACTCAGGTAGACATGCGGCGTATTGTAGGAATCTGACTTTATTATATCCACCAGATATTGGAACAGAGGAAAGTTGGAAGCCGTGAGGGTTCTCCTGAGTAAGAGTAGGTAGGTCGGTAGGGGATTGAGAGAAGGTTTCTAGGCTTTCCCTTTCGTCATTAAGATTCAAGAAATGATCAGGATCATAGAGTTCATCAAATGGAATTGATCGATTTTTCTTCCAAGATAAAATCATAGCAGAAGCCATAATTATAAAGATTCTTAAGAAAGTGAAGGCAAACAGAAATGAAAAAAAAGAGAAATCTGTACAAATAGAAGGGAATTTGTGGGTTCATAAATTGAATTATGAGAGATCATATTCTTAGAAATTAAACGATATATATAGAGAAGTATAAATAGACAAAAAAAGCAAATACCTAAATCTTCAGTCTAGTAAATAATGGTAAGGATCAGTAAAAGATGGTAAAAGATAGGAATCGATTTGCAAGGACTGAGATGTAAATAGATACAGTCTACAGATATATATACAGATATAGATATATTGTTATGAAATTTTATAATTTTAGATGAAAACTTCAAAAAATGATAATAAGTTCCTAAAACCAGTTCCAAAGTATTATTCTTAGGAATTCCTTTAATAATTATATCTATATTATCAAAATCTGAATTGAGTTGACTGTTTTATTGTTGAATGAAGGAAGAAACATTTTACAAATTCCTGGTAAATTATCGAAAATTGAAGCTAGGTGGCGGGGTGGTAGGGTTGAAGCACCGTAAGTCAAATCTTGCATATTACCACATAAGATGGCTATTTACCACTACCCGACGACCTTTTTTTTTAGCTCCCCGACAAACTTATTATGATGTATCATATTACCCACAAAAAATGAAATACAGAGTTTTTATTGGCCGATAAGACGAAAAGTTCGTCGGGTGGTAGGGTGGCGGGGTCGACCCTGCCACCCCGCCGCCTGTATACTCGGCAATGTTGCAGGCAATGTTGCAGGCAATGTTGCAGGCTTGTTACGCAGCGTCTCGATGTATCGACGAGTCAACGGATGAGGAGCGTTTGGGGGGGCGAGCTGCCATAGCTCGAAGTCCACAACAGTGGTATTGATTGAAATGACCATTACCATTCGAACCCAGCCCTCGGACTGATTCAGCCACCAGGCAGCTGCTGACCGAAGCTTTCCAATTCCTTGCGAGAGACCCGTTTCGACAACGAAAGTAGGCCAGTTGGGAGGTGTTCTAGGGGCATTGAGTCGTGCCGGGGGCAAGAAGATCTGATCACCTTCTTTTCCTGCGGTGAGTTGAGCTGGCTTGTACAAGGTGGTTGTCCCCCAAGCTCGCTCAGTGCGACCAATACCCATTCCGCTCAGCTGCTCGCCAACAATCTCTCTGACCATGTCAGTGGCCAATTCATGTCCACTGCTAGGGACCACTTTAACTAGGGCTGAGGATCCGTCAAATTGGATACGGTAGTTCACACCAAGTTTGGCTTCTCGTGTAGCCAATTTTTCCATGATTGTAGGAGATAATCCAAAGAGGATGAGAAACTGGTTTGTACCTCCGTCATTGAGCAGTCGGAGGATATTCTGCACGTCATTCTCGACGTGCTTGAGGCGGGTAAAGGTCCGAAAAATATAGTTTGAGGGCAAACCATCCATTAATCCAGAGGTGGGGAGGCAGAGGTACTCATCACCTCGTCCTGCAGCGCTGACAACAAGCTTGACTTGCGCCATCGGAATAGAGTCTGAATCAGTCACTAAGGACATAATGACGGTCAGAAGTGTTAAGAAAATTTGAGGTCATCGTGGTAAAGAACAAAATGGGCACCTACTTGGATTTTGGAGGGGAAATATTTGGATAGGAAGGAACCATGATGGTTTGAAAATAACCAAACCACGTCATTATAAAATCAATTATCAACATTCATCTCTGATCAATTTTTATACTTACGGGTCAAAAGTCTAGCAAGTTGTATTTATTTACATCTGAATGGACAGAAGTGATCAATTTTGTTTCAAAATATTCATATAGAAATGAATTTTGTAAATAATTGCCTAGATGTTACGCTGGAGATGCTTGAGTGGTAGAAGATGATCTTGTTAGGGTTGCCTCATTTGTGTTATTTCCAAAGGCTTTTTGGATCTTCGCAAAATCACCAGCTAATAAATTGAATTAGATTCACTCCTTCTTACTTTTTTGTAAGGACTCACCATCGACATCCGAGACTTGAACATGTTCGACAACATCGAACCCAGAAGCATATATTGTGTACCGCAAACCTAGGATCTTATAGATATCATCAAATTTGAGGTATATCATTAACAGGGCGGGCAACTTAGTCTGCTGGTTCTTTACACCGTCACTAATGAATCAAACTCATCGAGGGTCATTTTTCCACTTTTGACATTATCCCAACCGTCTACCATCAAGTGCCAGCTTTTCTCCTTCTTGTGGGGAGCTGGCATAGTGAGTTCAATGAGTAATAGCTTGAAAAGTGGAAGCAAGATTCTAGAAAGAAAGAAAAGTGGAGGGGCGTAATGATGAAACCAGAGACAAGAGGTAAATCAAAAGCGCGACTGTTATTGATTATACTTATGATGCTAGCCGTGAATGGCCTAGTAATATTACCGTAATTAGATCTAGCTCTGCCATTAATGCCTCAGACCTCAATTTCGATTTTATTGATCTACCCGCACTAGTCTTAATTTAGTAGGCGGTATGGCGCGTGGGGGTAATCAATCTGATGATTGATTGATCCTATTCGGTCACATATGGATAAAGATAAGGTATCAAGGAACCAAAAAATATCTTCGGGTCCCATATGGGACAAGATTTTGTCCCATTCCCGTCCCATGTACATATCTAACCTTATCAAAAAGTCGCGAGATATTTTAATCTACCATAACCCAACCACCACATGACCCATTGAAATCCGAAGTATATTCCACTATCAATTATAACATCTGAAAATATGAACCTCGTACGAGCCCAAAAAGTCACTGGGATGCACTCAAGACTGACTGCTAGGATACACTCATGACCCCAACTTTTTCTATACTTCTAATTCGCTAGAATCGTATCCACTGGGATGCAGATGGGTTAGAACCAGCTTTCAATTTGCTTCAAATGGTAGACTTAGAAGAAACAAACATCTTTACATTATCTTTTTTGACACTCTGCGATAATAGTCATCGGTACGAAGGCCTCTGTCATCCCTATCCCTATATACCAATACTTACTGATCGAGAGATCGGTACTCAGACATTCTCTTAGGTATCTTCCAGAGTTAAATACGTGTCCATGGATCTATCTATATCTTTGAATAATCCACCACCATAAGCAAAATTAAACCTGAGAGTAAAACCCACTTATCATATATCCAAGACGTTACAATATGCTCGACCGCCTCCTTCTGGTCAGCTAGACACATATGTCCAGCATCTTTTACTGTCACGAAAGCAGTTTGTTTATGCCCTTCATCTTTGCGCCACGTTTCTTTTTTCTGTTTTCGAAAGAGTTATATCGGTGGAGTTATAATACCAATCAAGAAACTCGGTAGCACGATACTCAGCTTGACCAGAACAAGCAATTGCGTCGTAGACACGGATCTGCCCTGGGGTGTTTCTTTCATTGCGAAAAGTTAGTGTTGTTCAACTTATATGAGGATACCAGACTTGACCTACATTACAACATCTAGCTCTCCATTAAGATCGAGTGTATTAACTATTTATCTCGCCCTCATAAGTATCCCGAGGTCATGCAAAGTCCTCTGCAGCGACAGTTTTGCTGACAGCATACTGGCCCATGAAGCTGGGATTGGCGCTAATTTCCTCGCGGACCTCAAATTAAGGATAAGTGATGATGTTGCAGAATTAAAACATATCGGAGAACTTACGATATCTAATCCACCAACCAGCTCACCGTCGACCCATAATTGGGGAAATGTTGGCCAGTCGCCAAACTCCTTAAGACCCTCTCGAACGTTCTCATCGCCCAAGACATTAAAATAATTATAGTCGATGCCGTGCTCACGCAGAATCCGAACCAATCGTCGACTAAAACGGCACATGGGCGAATCGGGAGTTCCCTTCAAGAACAACATGACAGGGGCAGCCTTGACTAACTTCGTCAGACGCGCATTGAGTGCATCGTTCGACTCCTTGGATTTAAGAGCCGGGATAGTGAGGACAGTGGTCACATTGACGCCAGCATGGCGATTAAGAGCATCACACACTTTTGTGGGGTCAGAGCCTCTAATTAATTCCAGAACCTGGTCACTACGCAGGCAAACAACGGAAGGGGCTTTGGATACGCCGTGCTCCTTTGCGATATCAAGCAGCTCTTTGGCGTTGATGCTGATAAATGAGATGGTGGGTGGGTCACTAGCTGGGTACTGCAAGGCGATAGTAGACATAGTAGCGCTCATTTGTGTGCAGAAAGCAGTCCATGGAGTATAGAAATAAAGGACAAGAAGTGCGGAGGGCGAGAGTGTGGCTAAGTGCGACGAGAATTCGGCCTTAGAGGTGATTTCAATGAGCTTCGACATTGTAACAAGGTGACGGTGAGCTGAAACTAAAGCTATTACACCAAAGCTGATATAGAGAATCTTTAATAAAATGGTTTTGGGTGGAGTGCTCGGGACTTAGACGTTTAAATAAAAAGCTCTTGTACCCAATTCACTATGATGAAGATGGAGTGATTGTCAATTTGTCAGATGGTCGCTATAATCAGAGGTGTTTAAGTCACGTTCCAAATGGGATGGTTTGGGGGGGATGCTAGGGTGTTAGGAGTTGCACTGACAATTGGCCATAGCCATCGTCGCATCATCTTTAACTAGACTATCCTATATTCCTATATGTGAGAAATCCCATGCATCCTTCTGATTTCCTGTTTCTACCTACGAAGTTAGAAGAGTAGATTTGGCAGTCCCACTCTTTCTCCGAGTGTAGAAACCGAAGAATATCAAGGCATCATTTTTGTAGTTATACACTATTTTTTTTTTTAAATCATGCCTAGAATTTCTCGTCTACCTGTTCTCTCTGGCTATTCTTGAGTCTCATCGGATTCAAATAGGATAACGATACTAGAACTGAAGGTGTTATTATTATAAAAATCAGGGCAAACTATCCGGGTGCCCAGGAACTTATTTGATAGGCTGATTCATAGATCTCTGGCTCCCAGTCAATCTGATATATCATATATCAGTGTGGCGCTTTCTGCACATTCCCTGTCGTATATCCATCGAATTATAGAAATGACTTGTTTTATTGCCCTTGGAAAAACTGCCCCTAGCGCCAAGCTTTCGAAGCACAATCCACTAAGTCTCAAGATAATTTATGAAATATATGCCGGGACGAAGTACAATGGCCACTAAATTACCTAGTTAGTAGAAATTTGACCAATTATAACCCTAGAGTTATTTTTTTAAAACGCTACAAACTTCGCAAAGCCTTGGAAGGTCTATCCAAATCAGAAAATGTCGAACTTCCAGAGCCCCCACTGTGACCACATACAGGTATTGCTCCAAATCTGCACGGCACTACAGCTAATGCAGTATTAGTCCAAATCAACGAAGCGTCACGACGTACTATTAGATACTTACATCTTAGAGCTGTAGGTACTTACATGTCTTCGGCATAATTACCGTATGCCATGCCATTATTGCAACTTTAGATGATGTGAAATGAGCGAGCCTCTTGCAGAAGTTTTCGTGGATGATCCTGATTAAATCTTTTCACTGTACTGCCTAGTTAAGTCAACGATCATCCTGTCTGAATCGAGCTCACCTCGGTTCTACTTGGCTGGTGGATGTTAGGTCGCCGAATCTCGGAGTCAAGACTCGACAAAAAGCATTAAGGTCCACTTCCTTGGCAAATGTCCTAGCTTCTTTCTGTAGATACCTACAAAATAAGGTCACAATTTCTCACAGTCCCGCCTAAGAGTATAAACAACGGCTCAATCCCCACCCTTACCTCACATATTATCTTCCGCAGTACACACTGAGAATCCATCCTTCAGTCCAAGTCACCTAGTCTCGTTTTATTTTCATCATGGCCGTTTTTACCGTCACATTGCAAAATTCCGGCGAGGGCCTCGATTCCAGCTTTCAGTGTGCCGATGATACATATATACTAGATGCGGCTGAGGAACAGGGCTTCGACTTGCCTTATTCCTGTCGTGCCGGCGCATGTTCTACCTGTGCTGGAAAGCTGGTTTCTGGTACAGTTGATCAGGATGATCAATCCTTTTTAGATGATGACCAGATCGAGGCTGGATACGTCCTACTTTGCGTCGCCTATCCAACGAGCGACTGCGTTATTACCACACACAAAGAAGAGGAATTATATTGATAGTCTGGGGTGTCGTCATCGGAAAGGTGCTGCTCTTTTGTCAACCTTTCAGGGACAGTGGAGAACACTGTATATTGTCACTGAAATAACTATGGCAAGCCTTGTGTGTATCACGGCTATCTGAGAAAATTTCAACACTAAAGACGCCTTTATACATGACCACTCAAGCAACAACCGATACACCAGCACTACATTAGGAGCGAAGAACAAAGCAAGTTACGCATTTACCCTCCTAAATTTATTCTAGTCAATTTTTCCCATGTGTCAAATACACTCCTATAATGCTTTTCACTCTGTGTAACTGGTCGATACCCGATGATATGCCCAGTCTCTGGAGCATCCGGTCCCCAGGACTCCTTTTTCCCTCCTTAGTTAATTCTTCTTTTTTTAACAATCGGATCTTTACAGCGTACAAATTCCTGCATTTATCCCGTAACATTAGAATTAACTCAACCTTTTTATCCGGCGCCCTTGATCCCCACGCGCGGATCGGACATCATACGACGAAGTAGAAGCGGGACATATACGGTAATCTCACATCCTAGAAGCGAATGGCTCTAGCTTATACCACCACATCTGATTTGGTTTTAGATGTAATCGTAAAGCCTCTTGAGTAACAGCCTCAGGGTCAGGGTTAGAAACATGGAAACAGCTTAATTTTTTGAAAACGACCTAATCCCAGATATCTTCAAGGCAATGGGAATGGTGGTGTTGTTGACCAATACATCTCCGTTTGTGGAGCTTGATACCCATTTATATCCAAATTGCAATAAATAGCTTCATCTCAGAGAGTGTAGTATCAGACCAAAGCTTACCAAAAGACCAAGCACCCTTTAGATTCGCATATTTATTAGTATTCAGAGATAGTAGGTACCAGACTATATGTAAACTCGGTGAAAGTGAAGATGACATCCCGATGCCGGAAAGAAGAATCTCCGGAGGCCCAGTGAAACCCACCGTGTTCATAGCTAGGTAGTCATATGTTATCAAGAGAATTAGAGGCCCTGGACCCGCCTGAGGACGACACTGTAAACACAGAAGGAGAAGAAGAATAGGCCTGAATTTTGCCAAATCGATCATACTATGATTTACGATACCCATCATAATATCTGACCGTCTGTTACAGATTTAGAGACAAATCAAATATTCCTCGATGTGCCCGTGGATCTAGAAAAAAATTGAACGACTATGAGCTTGATTCATCGGCCTTCAACGAATTGAGCTATGAGCAAATAGACATGCCTGTAAATAAATTATGGGTTAGAGATTCATTGTGTTTCTTCTAATTTGTTCAGACCTGAATTCGTTCTTTGTTGCTACTAATCCGATAGCAGTCACGATGTGTTTTTTCAGATATCAACTACAGCTACGTAATACTACTTGGCAGTTCATGAGCTCCCAATTTATTCTCATTTTTAAAATAGAAATCCGCATCTAAGTGGATGCCAAAGTCTGAATTGATGAAGAGTTATGGGCCGATGAACAAAACAGCCCCTTTGTAAACAGCGAATATTTCAAAGGATTGATTGATTGTAAAGGCTGAAGAGTTACTTGGATCTTGTCAGTGCGATCGCAACTATAGATCAGAACGATATTTAATTCGTCAGATACTCAAATGAAGGTAAGGTATGAAATACATAAAAGCGAGAAGAAACAGAAACATCAAACTAAGAGGACTCTGTGTTTTCTTCCGACAGCTTCTTCTCGTGAGCTGCAGCGGAGAGATCTTCAAGAGCGTCTTCAAACTTAGTAGAAGAGCTTCCTGTTGGCGTAGCTTCGGTGGAAAGTGCCTCAGATGAGGGTTTCTCGGTCTCCTCTTCCTCCTCTGTGGAAGGAATCTCAACAGTAGGAGCGGTAACTTCTGGTTCTGGAGCCTTGATCGAGGCTGGGTTCGGAATTTCATCGACTTCTGTGGCTGCAGGAACGGCTTCAGGTGCAGCAGCAGATGTGGGAACTGGGTCGACGGGCTCGCCGGCTATATTCTTGGCAATCTCAGGAGCCCTGGAGGTCTCTGCGACAGAAGGTTTAACGTGCTTGTCGCTGCCGACAACAAGGTTACCGTAACCGATTTGCCAAACATCCCAGGTCTCTGCGATTTTGACCTCCGGAATGGATGGGAGAGTGACGTTTGCATTTTCTGTGGCAGGTTTTCGGCGGGTCGGACCACGAGCTCGGCCCTTGCGAGCATCGCTAAGCGGCTGTTTCTCTTCTGGCTCCTCTGGCTCCTTTTCCTTGGGCTTCTGCTGCTGAGGGCCTAGCTGGAGACGCGAGTTGAGGTCAGTAAGAAAACCGGCCTTGAGCGCTGCGATTTTGCTGCCACCCGGACGAGCTGGTACAATGGGCTTCGTTTTATGTGCAGCGGAATCATCTGTCGAGACCTCCTTGTTGGTTGAGCCAGCATTATCTGTTGAGCTCTGCGGGCTAGACTTGACTGGTCGAGAAGGGATCTGAGGCTTAGGTCGGCCAGGAATCAACGGAGGTGCACGCTTCTCTGTCGGTGACGTTGCCTGGGTTTGCTTCTGCGGGCGGGGTGGAATAAATGGAATGGTCGGTTTGGAGGGAACTTCGGGGCTCTTTATCTCGTCTGCGGCAGGTCCAACGGTGGTCACTAATTGTTGACTATCAGGAACATCTTCCCAGATATCACGACTAGGGAATCGCTGCTTCAGGTAATCCGGACGCTTAAATCCCTTGTTGCTCTCTCCGGCAAGAATATGGCTAGCGACATGATGCTGATCAATCGCAGGTGCTTGCACTATCCGTGCAGCCTCCTGTTCGGGAGTTTCGAACACGGAAGCAGAGTCACGCTTGGGAATATCAGGAGTGTTCACAGTAGCGTGAAGCTGCGCACTGTTAGGAGCATCTTCCCAAATATCCTCGCTAGGGAATCGGTGCTTGGACATGTCTGGGCGTTTCTTGAAGCGTTCTGACGCTGAAATAGATTGCTCCTTCGTTGACTCTTCATCGGGAAATAGTGGCTCGTATTCCACAACATCCTCGAGAGGAGTATGTGATTCGTCGTGTGAGTCAAACCGATTCAGCACGGGGACACTTTGCCCACCGGATCTGCTGTTAGAGCGGCTATGCGAGCTGCCGGGTGTCCGGCTATGGTATTCTCCATCCTCAAAGTTTCCTCGGGTAGGTGAAATTACAGGATGCTGATATGCCGATTCGGGGCGCACTTCATCGGCGGCCAGAATGGGCGTCTGATCGTCTTCATAACTTTCTTCAAGTATATTTGACTTCTCTTCAGATGGGGTGGGGGCAAACCCATCTGGGTGGTGCAAAGGGTGCTTGAGATCATCAACATGAATCACATCGTTATCCATTTGAGAGCCAGATCGGTTATGACGCAGCGAGGAACGGGAATTCTCCTTATCCGAGGCAGGGAAACTCATTTTCCGAAGGGGAGATTCAACGGATGGCTGGTTGTTATTCCGGGAGTCGGGTGGAGGAGACGCTATGCGTTGCATGTATTCATCAGAGGCCAGGAAACCAACTTCCTCTTCAGGTGTTCCAATCATAGCAGGTGAGGTGCCTAAGAACAAGGTAAGTCTTCAACACAGATCTCGTACATAAGAAAAGACTTACCAATTCCAGATCCAGATGAGGCTGAGCTTCGCACGATCTTGTTCAGATCCTCGCTACTCAGCGCCCAGTCAGGGCGGGGCGTACCCACACCAGGGCCATACTGGCCCTCTTCCTTGACGAACTCATCTGGGTGCTTTTCGTACCAAGCTTTATCAAACTTATCGTTAGGCACTCCATGTCCGTGCAGGCCGTAACTACCTGGAGGTAGAGATGCATCCCGAGCACTACGAGAACGGTGATGATTACGACCCTGGCGCTGGTTGCCTGCTTCCAAATACGGGCTCGGAGATGGTGCCTGTACATCACCCGCGTTAGGGTACATAGGAACCCTGATGCCATTTTCCTCTCCGAGTTGTGCAGAGAAACGACGAGTGGATGACGCATCGGACTCGGCCCGCGAGCCACTTGTCTGGGGATATAACGAGCGACTGTTACGATCCGGATCTTCGCGTGTTTGGGAGCTTGCACGGCCTACGCCCGCCGCCGCAGCTTGCCGGGAATCTGTGCGGGTTACCGCTTCCACCTTTGCTTTGGCACTTGAGATAGGTAAGGAGGGTCTTGGAGCATGAATCTTCAGTTCAGGGCCCACGTTGCGAGTCTCTGCCGGAGTCGTGTTGAGATCAGCATATTCAATTCCTTCCTCGCCTAGGGAGGGTATTGTGACGCTCGGCGGCCGTGGAGGTAGGTCGTTCGAGGTAGTCCGGTTGAGAGATGGACCACTCCATTCATTGAATGGAGAGGGAGCATAGCTGTCTCGCATTGGGGACGGGGATCGATCCAAGCGACGGTTCGTCGGGCGTGGGGGGATCTTAGGCAGATCTAGAGATGATTCCGGCTGAGGGGATCGAGCCGGTCGAGGAGGGATGGCCGGGACATTTTGGGAAGACATGGTCAAGGTATTTGTGAAGCTGGCAGATCCATAACATCATTAGCTTAGGTTGAGCATTGGCAGCCTGATAAGCGCCACGTGTTGAGGTATTGGCCAAGGCTATGCTCTAGATTCCCTGGAAACCCCATTGGAGTTGGAAGTACCCAGTTCAGATACAGCAAGTAATGTTGTGGAGTCAACAGGCCACAGGTGACCTGTATGGGGACCAAAGCAGGGCAAAAGACGGAGTATACGATTGTACATGGTAGCCAAGGGGAGGGGTATGCAGGTGATAAGGAAATAGTCAGATGAAGCTTACCCGGATTTTACCAATAAAACGGTCTAAGGACCAATTGAGTTGGAACAAAAGTGATGATCAAGAATGTGAAGAAGATCTAAGAAATTGAATACAGAGAAGTAAAGAAGGATGACATCTTGTTCTGCCACGACCCACCGAAGCGCGTGACGTGCTCTGTCTACAGTCAAGTCTCAATTTTTAGATTACCATTAATTACTGTATTATTACGACTTGAATTCAACTTTAATCCAATCTCTAATAAACAAACTCTATCATCAATGGGTTTTATTTTTCTAAAAAGAGCGCAATGCCACGTCTTTGCGGCATTTAGTGACCAGATTTCAAATGCCTCATATTAGGTTGGGCAATGACTTGCTGTGTATCTAACTAACCTCCGGCATGGCTTGCAGCTCATGGTGATCACTATTCCAACCCTATGGGGATAGTGGGACTGGTAATCATTTTGGCCAGACCTAGGATATTAATAGTGGTGTCTCGGGTACCTCTTGTACTCCGTACTATCAGTGGCTGTGCTCGGCCTCTAAATTGAGATTCAACTGCTATACAAGGTATGTCCCAAGGTTATACAAGCACGTTCAGAGTACTCAGTACTTGATTTTAGGTCTAACATAAGAAGCCAAACTTGTGTTGGCGCCAAATATCCTATCTCTTAGGATTGGTTATCTTAACCGATGCGGTAAACCTGCAACATTTCTCCACATTGCATCATCATACAACCTCCCACATCCACGAGTCTTCTGGCTATGATTCATCATATGACTAGCTAGAGAAATCTTGTATTGGTTTACCTTGCAGTGAACATATATTAATTCATGTACAGAGTACATTAGCTATCGAATAGCTTTGAAACCAATACAAGGGTCCACTCTCAACCGATAGTCTTACGGAGTACAGAAGTTTCAAAAAGTACGGAGAATTGCCACTGAATGTCTACATCAACACTAGTCCTGCATTTCAAATGTTGTTCCTGGCTATCAGGGTCAGCTGTTCAGTATATCTCTGGACATTCGAACCCCTGGAACCTAATATTCAGAATTTCCACCTCGTTATGACTGGCAAATTTTAGGATGCCGATCAATCCATTAATAAGTTGAAACTCATGGACTAGCATTATTTAGTTACTACATTAGTTTAGCGCCAGTGTTGTATTGCATTAGGTTGTCGAAGAATTCTGCACATTTTTGGCCACCTGGACGTCATTCAGTGTGACATCAATAGAGAGAACTTCAAAACAATGCAAAAAATGGTGATATTTCACTTTCCTATTATCTATACAATTAAAAAAAAAGATATACTTTGAAATTGTTGAGGAAACGAAAAAATGACAAGAGTGGGATTTGAACCCACGCCTACAATGTAGATCAGGACCTTAACCTGACGCCTTAGACCAACTCGGCCATCTTGCCAATTGGGTATAATGATCGAGGATTTTTGCATTTATTTGGCTATTTTGAACATTTCAACATTCATGGTCGAAAATAAGGGGGCTACCTATCCTGAGGTCTTTCCTCCATAACCTGAGAGGGGTTTCTTCTAGCACCAACTAGTTAGTGGCTAAAGGTAAAATAGTGGCGAAAGGTAGTGAAGAACGGGAAAGCAGAACGATAAAAAAAATATGTCGCCTACCTTGGTAGGTTTGGAGATATATATGGAGGTCCAGATGCGATCAAATCACTCCAATCTCACTAGTCATAGCTTGAACCATATCCACAGGTATTTTATTCTATGTATGAACAGGGTAAAGTGGCAGATGCGAGACCTCCAGGGTTATCCAAGCTTCCAAATAAGGACAGACCCAATTCATCATCCGTACCTGTAGATAATACCGACACCTAGTAAATATACATAGATAGCCCCCAGGTGCCATTGAATGTGTTTCTTTGTTCCCGAACTGCCATTGATCTGACTCATATTTATTGTTAGATGAAACCTATGTACTTGTGTATCTATGCACCAAGCTAGTAGTTTGAACAAACCTGACTAACCTTGGAACTGTCTGATATGGCTCAACTGCCTGAGCTATATAGGGGACTGGGGCCAATGTCGCCTCTAAAGTGATGTAAACAGAATTATACCCGAAAGCTGGCATTTAACTACCGAAGTATCTGACTCTGTCCCGATGCCATACAGAGATTAATGAGGTACTTTGACATTCAGCCCCCAACACCAATGTGATATTGTTATGCCGGCCTCGCAAAGTTCGATAGCTTCTAGGGTTACATGAACATTATGACCGGGGCCATAGAGCATGAACTAATAGTGGAGTATAATCGAGTCCATACGTGAATTCAAAGTAAGATATAAGAGCGTTGGTCTCCCACTTCCAAGGCTGTAAACATTTTTCAATTATAAGCATCTTCTATAATTGTTCATACTCAAGCCTGAATCATGAGATTGACTGACCTTGCTCTTGTGCTTTATTCCATGCCACAATCAGTCTTCGCTTATATGTGGACAGCTTGGGAAGGTTCGGAATTGGATTGGGCATATAGAACCGAATTCAGTTATCCGTCATTCCACTTTGAAGTCGCAAATAGAACTAGAGGAGATGATGATATCAACTATCACGAGGCTTGGTTGAACCAGGGTGATTGTTTTATAAACAAGAATGGCAAACTTATTGCCCAGAACTAGTGAGTCCCAGATTATTCCTTCACTTGGACCAATTGCAAATAAACTTACTAACTTGCTCTATAAAGTGGAGGGGCTGAGTGTTCCCGATGTAATACTGATGTAGGTGGACTCACAGGCATCGTTACTTGTGAATGTGAAAATGAAGCTGGCGAGGAGAAAGACAATGTGATTTTCTGGAGTAAGTGGATGGTTCGAAATGGTACTGGAGGATCCTTGTTACTTACACATTACTAGAAGAACATTTTTCAACAATCTCGAATACCATGTTTGCTTGTGGTACTGTTACTGTGACTGCTACTCCGACCACCAGTGGTTGGGAAACAGCAGCTCCTAGGACAACCAGAACTCCTATCACGACCAGTATTACCACTCCGTCCAGCACCATCACTCCGTCCAGGACTCCCAGGACTCCCACTATGTCCAGGGCTTCTTCTCCGTCTAGCATTCGCATCACATTCAGTGCGTGATACACCCGTCCAGGTAGAGATAAAGTGCTCTCTTTCTTCAATTTGTTATTGCAGTCAGCCAAGCATTGGAACATTAGAGCATAAACGAATAATCATTTTATATAGATTTCAAGATTTCCAAAGAGGGCGACATGTTGTCTACAACCTAGTTAGCTACATGTGTATCAACTACCTAGGCAGTTGATCACTAGACATGGATGAATATTTTCTTATATATCAATACATCACTGGGCAATCAAAGGTTGTCCAGTAATTCTCGACTATGGAACAGGTAAATACATCTATATTGACCTCGGGATTAATCACCTGGGCAGGTGCCGAATGACAGCATGCGTGGACTTGGGGTATTTTCATCCATGAACCCATATCTCAGTAGATTGAATTTCTCGATGTTAATCACCTGCTTACTTGGAACAGTTACTATCATATAACATCCATACCTACGCATCTGAGCAGACAGAGCGCTTCGGGCAAAAGCAGGATAGACAAAACCGATATGTCTACTATAGAGGAAGACCTAGAGATCTACCATAGGGGCTATATTAGAGAATCGGACGCGAGGAGAAGCCCGATAAGACATAAAAGTACACAAGAACACCAAACTGAGAAGGTCATAGCGCATTCCAATGCATACTGCCCAAAGGCATTTTTGAGGGGATATACCTAACCCTTCCACTCAGGGTTGACCACTGAATTATCTCCAAATGCGCATCAAATTCATATCAAGAGAAAACAAAAGAAGATTAGGTTGATAGCATAGATCAAACAATCATCTGCACGACTCCATGGCCACCCAAAGTCTTGCTGCCGGTGAACTCCTGGCTCTTGAGGCCTGCAAGTGCATAGAAGCATGCTGCTATGAGGAGGAAGACAGCGGCAGCGATCAAGCTGCAAGCTCCCTTGACAAGACTGACCCATTGGATAGCACTCAGACCGAGGTACAAGGCAGCTCGCATCCAGTTGGTCGTGAAGGTACGGATGAACGCATCAAATTTGGCAGATGTAGGGCAGAATCGGAGGAGAAGAGGCACTTCTATGAAGAAGATGACGAATGCCGAGGCACTTTTCTCTGGGTTAGGAGGGATCCAGTGTTATTTTGTTTGAGATGGGGTCCAAACCTACAGGCATAGGCATGAGAAGATGATATGTACGATATTGGTTGTGAAAAGGTTGGCGATGCCGAGGGCAAGACAAAGGAGGACACACAGGATTCCAGTCCTAATGCGACGTTGTTAGAGCTTGAGTCTGTAAAGCGGAATAATAGGTGGAGGCGACAGAAAGTTGCGATAGATCCAGGATATGGGAAACTTCTACAGTGCATATGCAGATGCAGATGCAGAATCGGAAGACAGCGACCGAGATTGAGGTACTAACCATTGTCCATAGATACCTAGATGAGCGCAACGTTAGCAACAGCTCCAAACTCGACTCCTCAAAACGACTCTGATCGGCGCATCATCCGAGGTAGTACGTACTGAAGTTTCTTGAGCGGAACTCCTCGGCTATCGTCATGATGGGCAGAGTATATCAAATCAATGAAGCCAAGATAGAGTAATGATCACAGGCTCCGGGGTGACGAAAGATTTAAGAATCGGGATGGCCTAAAGAGAGTACACGCGGCTAGTTAGAGGGAGCTAGGGCGGTCAATCGAACCCAACCAAAACAAAGCGGTACCTTAAACTGTGAGCTTTGTCGATCACAACCTTAGAATACTTCGTTCTGCAGTTAATATCAAATATGGTTGATGGCCATGGATTTGAAGATTCAAGAATCAGAAACTGAGAAGATGATATTCCTCATACCAGAGGTCGTCTTAGGCCTTTTGTTCTCTAGGCAGACGCAAAACAACAAACTTTCTCTTGGAATCATCGACAAGGCTGCAACATATAGAGCTATCTGTTAGATCTTTTCCACTTGACTGAATACTCTAAATTTTTGATATGAATTATTGAATCACGTTATTCATGACCGCAATGACGGCTTTTGAGATTCTACGAGATAAGTGTCCATGGACTTTGGATGGAAGACCCATCACCCCTGTTAGCAGGTAGAATTTGGTCAAAATTCACTCTTTAACCTGGCAATATCAATTACTATGAAAACAGAGGCGGTTGATCCATTAAGTGCAGGCGAATGATCGGCATTCTAATATGCAAAGATGCCACAGGGATCTCAAATTTAAATTGAACTCCAACAAGTACAGAAAAATGAGAGACTGGGGAACTATGTGACCTTCTACCTATTCAAACTCTTTTAGCACTTCAGTCGGACTATAAGAAAGCCTCAGAAATGAGACCAATACCTTCAAAGCTTATCGGTAACTAGGAGTTTAATCTCTGCATAAAGCATGCATGTGGGGCTAAATACAAATTTGCAACACTTGGGCATAGAAGGTGAACATTTGCATAAGATAATAGAAGATATTCCATATTTAAAGTTATGATATAGAAACAAAAATTGAAAAAAGTATGACAAGAGTGGGATTTGAACCCACGCCCCTTGCGAGACACGGAAGTGTGGATCAGGTGATCGCCTGAACCGTGCGCCTTAGACCAACTCGGCCATCTTGCCAGTTGTTATATCGATTGCAGGAACTTTGATATTATAATGAATGAAAGAATTTAACACTTTCGGTTAGGGTATACATTCATAGTAAAGCCCTAGAATCCACATATAACTTAAGGTAGAGTGATCAGCTAGGAGGCCTCATTCTCCCGAGGTCTGCTCCACGCAATATTAAATTTAAAGCAATAAAAAATAACCCGTTTTTATGGCTAGCTGAATATCAAAAAAAGGGCTAAAAAGATATCTCTCCCTCGGGGAATCGAACCCCGGTCTCCCGCGCTTATCAGTGTTAATGACAAGCGGAAATCATGACCACTAGACCAAGGAAGATAAGATAGTCCAGTTCCACTGGGCCACTTGGTGCTGGTTGATGTGATCATCCGCTGAGCTTTACTATGTAAGGATTCAAGAATTACTTTTGAAACAACCCACCCAACGACGTTGAGATTCTTGAGACCTGTCCTGTCGGTTTAAGGTACTATAGTACTAACAGTACTTATCAAAGTCCAACTAGAGATAATTCACCTACTTAGATAGGCAGTAGAACATATCAGCTGGGTATCTGCAGTATGAGAACTGCTATCCATGAATACCTAGGTAAAATTCATATCATCGCGGTAAAATGATAAACAATTCCAAGAACACATGTAGGGTAATACACTAGCTATCATTTAAGCAGCTAAATATGCCTCGTGGTCTAGGTACTATGGAGTAACGTTGCCAGGTCCAAGCTCCGCTCTTATACTCTGTAAACCTCCTGGGCTTGACGCTAAGCAAAGGCTAAATGGACGCACGCCAATGACATCCAGGGATATCCTTCATCACAGATCAGTATAGGGAGTAGATACTTTGTAATACTGAGATTCAACTCCTAGGGCTCCAAAATCACTATTGAGCAGGTAAGTATAGAAAACTAAAATTGATATTGATGGAACCATTATAGACTCATCACATCAAAGTGTACTAAGATTAAGAATGTTCTGTGTAGATGATGGAAGCCAGTTCACAGACCACACGTCATCCCGTATATTGAATACTGGATCACGTGCTGCGTCATTTACCGGATTCCTTCACGCACCGACAATTCCTAGAGCGTCGTCCCATGTCTTTGATATATAATTGGCTTATTTTCTTACCCCTCGACCCACTCGGATCCCAAAGCACCCGAGAATTCCTGTTGTCGTCATCATGAAATCATTCATACCATATGAATTGATCTCTTCTATTTTGGAATTAGATCGGAATATTAGCATTTAGATTTAATAGAGAGTGCTTTCTTATCTCTTTTCAATCTGGGGTTTTGAGGGGTAAAACCTCTCTGGGGAAATAAGTCTCTGCTTTCTACATAACGTACGATTGGTTGATTGATATCAATGATCCACTTCTTCTCCATGTTCAACCTCGAGATGGTGGTCGGCCTTTCTGATTTTTTTTCTTTTTTTTTTTTTTTTTTTTTCTTTCGCTTTCCATTGGGAAGTTGTTACTGGTATGTATTTGATTATCTGTGGTTAGAAGATTTGATTACTGTATAGTCAAAGAATAGAGCAAGAAAAGAAAGTATAAAATTCGGTACTTTTAGAAGGTCTTTTTTAGCAGCCTGTTTAAAGAAAGTAGCCCGTGTTCAGGAGTTACATTCATATTAGTAATTACAATACCCATCCTTGGTTAAGAATCTGTATTGTCCAGTAATCCGTAGTAGGAGAAAAGTTGATCTCGCGTGGCAGTCGTACTGTAACATTACATCAGCCGTAACTTTTGTACTTAATGTTTTCTTCCCCTAAAATTGTCGTCATCCCCTCTACGTCACTTTTTTTTCTTCCCATCTCTCCTTCCTCTCTGCAAGCCACGGGCTTATACACAGTACTAGCACCATACAAAAAATAAGTGCATACTATTATGTCTATTGCAGTCGCTTCTAGCTTGTCAAACATTGCGACTTTGACCTCCATGGATTCGAAGATCAAGAAAGAAGGTTTGTGGAATGCCATCATATAGAGCGCGTTTTCCTTAGTTCCAACATCCCTACCCATCTATCGCACAATAGTATTACCCTTTGTTGTTCTTGTGTTTGTCTCTGTTTGACTAAATACTCGGGATTGGTAATACGCCACTCGCGTTTCTCCCAATACTTTCAACCCCCTCTGCCGTTTTGATGATCTCACAACTGGCGTCATCGATATCCCACACACAATTCCATCATGAGCGGCCCTCGCTTTCGGAAGCCTTTTGGTACCTTTTTGCGCGCTTCTAAGCAATACTGCCGGTCGCATACTAATTTGAGCCTCAATAGACTCGGCTTCAGACATCAAAGACCGAAAATCGGACCAAACCTCGTTGGCGCCACCACGTCCTGGCGCAACTGCTAGTGATACCCCGGACTACTTTAATTCCGTCCACAACCCTTTCTCGTTGGAGCCCAATCCGTTTGAGCAGTCCTTCGGAGGAAACCCAGGTGACACTCCAGGAAAGTCACTACTACCATCCGTTGCTGCTCTCACATCGCCAGCTCTGCCTGGCCCCAGTTCCGGTGCTGCATATAACTGGTCCAACTCCCTGCGATCAGGGCCCTTGAGCCCAGCCATGCTTCCCGGTCCCACCGGGTCCAATGACTACTTCGACAGCATCGGTCGAGGCTTCCCCACGCCGAATGAGTCCTCCCTTCGCACTGGACTGACCCCCGGCGGTGGTGGTTCCATGTTCCCTGCCCCGAGCCCTAACTCACAGGCTTTGCTACAGCAGCTTCAGAATGGCGGTGCAACCCCATCAACCATCGAATTTCACCGCACTGCTCTCAATGCGAAGAAGAATAGCGTCGGTGGCCCTACCTCCAATCCCAATGACACAGAATTGATTGTTCCGAATACAACCATGGATCCAAAGGCATCTCAGGCCGCGGCTGACTTAACTCAGCATGACGCTGCGGATGCCGCCAATGGCTTATTCATGTTGGCCAAGGGTGGTCAGCCCAACAACATTCAGATGCACCAGGCAACGGCCATTCAGAACGAGACCCGTGCCGCCGCCGCCGCCGCTCGGCGTGTATCGCGAAACACTAATGGCAATGTTCATGAAATGGAAGGTGAAATCTCCGAACAAGAATATGCTAAGCCTACCAAGGGAAAGGGCAAGAAGAACGCCCCCAAGGCCAATAACCGACGCAAGGCAGATGACATCGGTAAAGCCTCTAATAAGAAGATGAAGATGAGCGACTCGCCTTCAGAAATGGAATCTGACGACGAAGATATGCACAACATGCATGGCGGCGATCCTAAGAAAATGACTGACGAAGAAAAGCGACGCAACTTTTTGGAGCGGAACCGGTACGTCACTTGATCTCTCCTTATATCACGACTTACAAATGACTGACTTGAGATGCAGTGTTGCGGCATTGAAATGTCGTCAGCGAAAGAAGCAATGGCTTGCTAATCTCCAGGCTAAGGTGGAGCTCTTTTCCACTGAAAATGATGCCTTGACCGCTACAGTAGCCCAGCTCCGAGAGGAGATTGTGAATCTTAAGACATTGTTGCTGGCCCACAAGGACTGCCCCGTCTCCCAGGCTCAAGGTCTTGGCCCGCTTATGATGAACGGAATGTCGACCGGCTTCGACCCCCATGGTTACGGTATGAGCCAAATGGGTATGCCGGGTTCTCAAATCCCCGCCCAGATGCGCCGGGCATGAGGATCAGCGATAACTTCGCTTCTCAAGCCAGGTTGAAAGTTCCTTTGCTTAGCTGCATGATGCAATAGGAGATTCTTAAGTCTTTGCCTAGACACTGCTGCGGTTTGCTCTCTTTGGGCTGCTTTTCCCGATATATCTTTTCTTTCCCATTCGGCAATGACTCCGAACCTTTTGGCATGGGCAGGTGTTAATGATCCACATGATTCAAAACTTGGATAGGGCTGATTCCAGTGGTTCTGGAACGGATGAATTTTGTTTTGTCTTAACAAAAGACGAGTCAATTTTGGCGTCTTGAAGGTTGTTCCTTTATTTATTTTTATGGCTCACGTTTCCTCCTTTCCCTCCAATGTACTTTTTGCGATCCCCCATTCCCCTCCTCATCCAATTTCTTTTCTGTTGAAATCTCTCTTGATGGTTACGAGAGATATTTTGTCTGGTTTTTTCTTTCGCTTGTTCAATAATTGGAGGGGGTTTGTGGATTTCTTTCGATTCGGATTGCTTTTTTGATGAATGCTGGATGGCTGGCGTCGGGGTGGCTTTTTAACTTCCATTTCACTAGTTTCCTTAAATGGAATACTTGAAGAAAATTGATTTCGTAGAACTGTATATCATTCAATGTACGACGAGTTCTAGCCCTAATATCAGTTGAGGGCACGGACGATAGTTGATAAGGAACGCGCTACTGCCAAGCAACCCAAACATCTCAAACACCAAACCAGAACTCCATTTGGACTTTGACTGCAATTGTCTGATTAATTGCGATAGGAGTATAGACACTCGTTATATTGTTCCTGAATGATATGAACCTTTCAGAAACCCTATGACTTGCGGTCTCGCCCAAACGTGTCAAACACCTGAACGCGAACCAACGACGACGCCCCAGTCCTAAACATCAAAAAATAGCCCATTCGGCGGGGGAAAGGGCAGCGTCATGTCGACCTCGACCCGGCAGCCTGTACGCAACCGCCGCATCGACGATGCCCTCTCACAATTAATCGATTCCCTGACCCCGCCGCTCCCAATCTCCGCCCTACAAGACGAAGACTACTCGGACCCGGAAGAAGCGCTTGCCACACTCGAGGAGCACCGCCACCATGCTCAAATCGACCGCGTCTGGCGCATCCTGGACGCACACTCCAATTCCGCTGCTGCAACCCCAGCTTCACCATCTGGCGTGGGTAGCCGCCGTGGCAGCATAGCGGGGACGGACAATGTCAATAATGCGGCGGATCTAATCAAGCGCAAACTTCGACGTGAGAATGCTAGCCCAGAGCTTGCTGTTCGGTTCTCCAATATGTACACTAAGCTTTTGACGCAGCCAGTGCTCTCTCAGAAATGGGGCATTCTGTACCTGTTGTATAAGCTATCAGAAGACAACGAAACTATGAACGACGACGGAGAGAGGAGTCGCAGTCCTCTCATGGATGATGGCCAGCAGAATCTCGCTGGGCGTGGGGCTCCGATTTCACGACGAAACACGATTTCGCGTATGGATTCGGAAGATGACGAGGGTCCTGCTGTGGGATCTTCTGTGTCGCAGCGGCCCGCGCAGGTAGCGAAGCCGGAGAGGCAGAGCACGCTGCGCCAGGATTGGGATCCTGATAGTATGGACCAGGCCGAGCGTGTTTATCGGCAAGGAGGACGGAGTCGTGCTGCCAGTAACGTTGATGCCGTCATGACTGATCGTTCGGGTGATGAGCGTGCAGATGCTCCTGCTTCACGATCACGGCCATCAACTGCAACGCCGATGTCATCGAACCGCTCAGCAGAATTTATTGAATATGGACTATTGCGTGACTTGCCGTTTAACCTGCAGGGGTTATCTTCAACAAATTTGCAGTTTCAATCTTCTACGGTCTTGAAACTACCTTCCAACTTACCGTCTCCAATAGTCTCTCTTCTCAATTCCCTAGCTGAGCCATGTCTTCTCTATAAGGAACTGGCTGAGTTTGTGGAGAGCTCAGATGGTGGACTTATGAATCAGAGCTTACGGGCAGCCATTGGTGACGAGTTGCGATCGTATCTCAGCTTGGTTGCTACTCTGGAAGCAGAAATTAGACAGGCATTGACTGCAATTGGAGACGGGAAAGAACACAAGGCTGTCCGCAAGGGTAGTGTTACGTTAAAAAGATGTATGGTCTGGACAAGAGATGCCACTATGGCACTCCGATTGATGTGTTTGATCGTTGAAGAAGCTCAAAGTGAGTGCTTTGGAATTTGCCTTCTCCTTCTTACCTACTAACGTCAGATGCAGATAAAAAAGGAGGCCAGTTAATATCCTTAATACATGGGTTCTCCTCGTCACATGGAGATCCCTTTGTAGGCGCCTTTGCTGAGAAGCTTCTTGTCCATGTGACTCGTCCATTCTACGATATGCTTCGGTTATGGATCTATGATGGCGAGCTTTCCGATCCGTACAAAGAATTCTTCGTGACCGAGCCAGTGGCAGAGGTTGAACCCAACGCTGATCCAAGGCGCATTGCAACGAGTGTCTGGGAGAGAAAGTATAAGTTAGATGATGAACTGGTGCCTTCAATCATCACCCATGATTTTGCAAAGAAGATATTTCTGATTGGAAAGTCTCTCAACTTTATTCGATACGGCTGTAAAGACTCTGCATGGGTGGAGGCTTACTCCAAGGAAGCATCAAAAGATCTACGGTATGGTGATACCGCGACCTTGGAAACTTCCATTGATGAGGCCTACAAAACCACCATGGCACGATTGATTCATCTCATGGATGAGAAGTTTAAGCTATTTGATCACTTGCGCGCATTGAAGAAGTATCTTCTGCTAGGCCAGGGAGATTTCATTGCTCTACTCATGGAGTCCCTCGCTTCAGCCCTGGACCGCCCTGCAGGCTCACAGTACCGACACACTCTCACTGCACAACTGGAGCATGCCATCCGTGCCTCAAATGCACAGTACGACTCCCCAGATGTGCTCCGCCGGCTGGATGCACGTATGCTCGAACTGAGTCACGGTGAGATTGGCTGGGACTGTTTCACACTGGAATACAAGGTGGATGCCCCCGTCGACGTGGTTATTACTCAGTATGCATCGACCCAATACCTGAAAGTCTTCAACTTCCTATGGCGTGTGAAACGCGTTGAATTCTTCTTGGGCAGCACCTGGCGTCGATGTATGACTGGTGCACGAGGTGTGATAGGGAATGTGGAGGACAAACTCGGAGCAGACTGGAAGCTCGCACGATGTGTTATTGCTGAAATGATACATTTTGTCTGCCAACTACAATTCTACATTCTTTTCGAAGTGATCGAGTCTAGTTGGGATCAACTTCAGCAGGCTATTTCAAAACCCGGCTGCACTCTTGACGACCTCATCGAAGCACACAAAATCTACCTCGAGTCCATCACCCACAAGGGCCTTCTTGGCTCCGTCTCTTCCTCGCGTTACGGTGCCTCCAAACCACCGGAAGAAAGCTTTCTCAGCCAACTTCACCACATCTTGAAAATTATGCTCGCTTACAAGGACGCCGTCGATGGTCTATACTCCTTTTCTGTCGCAGAATTTACCCGCCGTCAGGAACTCAGCGCCGGAATCGATTCCCGCACAGCTCAGGGCCGCTGGGGTACAGAGCGCGATATCCTCTCACGCCGAGCTAACAGTCGATCTACGGCCTCAACACCAGATATTAGACCTGAAAGTTCTGGCCCAGACAGCGACGTCCCATCCCTATCAGCGCGGGACCTCGCAGCTGATGACCAAATGCTCGCTACCTTGCGTGTCAGGCTACGGGACCTCTCTTCCGAATTCCGTTCACGCTTGTGTTTCTTCCTGGGCGACCTGGCAAGTCAGTCAGATGCTGACATGCGCTTCCTCGGCACCGTGATGAACTTTAACGATGTATACACACCTGTACGCCGACGACGAACGACTCGTCCCAGCTCACGCGATAAAGAGAAGGAGAAGGAGCGGGCGAAGCATAGGGCTACGGCTAGAGGTACATCTACCACGACTGCCACTGGTATAGAAAGTCTAACGGAGAAGATGCGTCAGCGAAGAGATACAAACGAACATAATAGCAGTGAAGCTCAATAGTAAAGATCTCTACTTAGAGATTCTTGTCTAGTTTACTGTACCAAGGTGGTAGCGACTCTGTATGTCATATGATAACCTAATGCGAGACGAATGCACGATTCAGTTGTGTATAATTCATTATGACACAACTCGAAATCACAAATTACTCAAGCTCGTATTTATTTAGTCGTTATACATATAGAATATAAGGTCCTGTGAAAATGGCCTTTGTAGTAATTCCCCTTCGCTTGGTGATTCATATATCAAATTTCGAAAATAACATAAGAAAATAGGTATGGTATATAATCTAAAGAGGACTATATCAAATGCCTAAACTTGGAGGATTCATCGTTTTATACTGATTTCTTCAATTATATGTCCAGATCTCACGAATGAAGCTACTTTAATCATATGATAAAAACTGGAATTGTATTTATTGATACTTAGGTCTATTCGCGCGCTGATATGTTAGCGGTATAAAGTCCATAAATAGATGCGATAAGTATATATGCATCCTTAGATCTTATAAGTGGCAAGTAGGCTTATTTGTATTAACTATGGCCTTCAATCTATCTAGGCAGAGATTATTTACTACGTAGGTAACCGCCACCAGTTCGATTTCAGACGACTAACTAGTTTTCTCAGGGCAGGTAGATCGGGTCCATAATTGAATTTGACACTCTCGCTATTTCTATCTCATCCTGTTTTCATTGATAAATTTGTATTGTACGTAATTTTCAGATGTATGCAAATTTCAAATTGCTTAAGCCTGTTCATTGTTTATTTGCTAAAAGTACTCTGGACGAATCGATGCCTATCCATAAAAACATGTAGAGACAACTTATTGATCCCAGTGTGATCTATTCTCTGAATATTCCGGTACTATCCATCCGCCTTTATTCTTATTCGAGCATTTTGCCACAAGATCGGGGATCCGAAGAAAGCAGATCAGCCAGCCGATAAAATGGATAATTGCGACGCCCCATTGCGTGTCCGGGATAGCTAAACGTATCAGGGATAAATTGAAATTCTGAATCTCATCCACAAATGGTCGCAAGGTCTCATCATACTTGGCAAATGCGTGAGATAGATTGTCCGGGTTGCGACTGATCTCGCCAGCCAAGATATAGGCTCCGACAAGGCTGCCCGTAGCACCCATGCCGCTAAATGGTGAGGCGCAGTGTGCTGCATCTTCAAGAAGCACTACACGGCCCTTATGCCATACGCTTGTCTGCACTTGAACCACCTCTTGGCAATACCAATTCTCCGTAGTCTTCATGCCTTCTAGGAACCGATCGGTTTCCCACCCTGCATCCCGGAACCGTGAAGCCCAGAACTCCTTCTGCAGCTCCGTTGGTGCTCTATGGATACTGCATAATTCCGGGGAATTATCCCGGAGGAAAAAGTAGACCTGTGACTCCGTTGGGTTGTGGCTTCTGCGCATGATCATTCGACCTTTGGGGCTGATGTACGTCCTACGGATATTGGTATCGGTCTCAATGCGCGGAATAAACCAGTAAGCGATGTGAATACCCAGCCGCCGGTATGGTTCTGGAGAATCTGGGGGAAGGATTGCTTTCCGAATGCGCGATCCCTGGCCGTCTGCTCCCACTAGGAGATCAAAGGTGTCCACCGAGCCATCAGAGAAATGAGTGATTACTTGATTCTCGTCTTGCTCAAAGTGCTCAACGGTCTTACCAAAGATATACCGCACGTTGTCTTTAGTTGCATCGTAGAGGATGCGCACAAGGTCTCCACGCATTATCTCAAACTCTGACGTGAAAGACTGAGCACCTTTACCAGTCCTGTTGGCCATTATAGTTGCTTTGATAGCACCTTGCGAGTCGACCAAAGCCACGCCATCTTCATCGACGAGAGAATTGCGGATTTTATCAAGGAGCCCCATTCGCCTGGCCACTTCAATCCCTTGACCACGTAGATCAATTTGTGCACCAGTGGCCCTGAGTGCTGGAAAGCGTTCGACGATGGTGACTTGATGACCGCTTCGGGCAAGCCAAAATGCCAGAGCCGGTCCTGCACAACCGCCACCACAGATAAGGATTTTAAGAGGGGCCATCAAGAACAGTTGGATTTTCAGCTGTAGGTGGTACGGTGTTCAATTCAAAATAACCGAACTGAAGAAGAAAAAAGGAAAGAGGAAAAAGGCTGGTCTGTGGAAAGAAGATGAAAAATATATGATCTGGAATCTGAGATCTGTGGAATATTAGAAGTGGAAAAAAGAACCCAAGTATTTAAAGGATGGTCCTGTTATTCAATGGAGTATTCAACGGAGGAACGGAGGGTGAACGGACAACGGACAACGGACTGACTCCCTTCACTTCGTCTAACTCCGTTTCCATAACTCTACTGTACATGAAATTGGCTTTTTATATGGTGACACTACCGAATGGATCAAATGATCAACTTGGAAGCCTTGGAATTTATGAGATGGTGTCGTGAGATGGTGTCACAGTGCAGGCTGCGCGGGCGGATAGATATTATGAGTCGTAGGCAGGTTTTGGATAAACAGTAGACGATAATATTTAGTTCTGACTCGCAGGCCAGGAGGTCAGGCGATTAACAAGAGGTAGCTTCATGAAGCTACAGTCGCCAGGTACCTAAGCCACGATAGAATACGGCAGGAGTGATAACCAGGACATACGCAAGAGAATGGGTTACACATATATGATATGAGGTACTAGAACTTCAACTAACATAGTCGAAAGACTACATTATCAAATCGAGGACTATCTCACGAAGTAGAATAGCCAATGTTTGGAGACATCATGATCTTATCGCAGCTCCGCCTTCACGTGGATACGGCAGAAAAAAAAAAGTCAGATTCCGCCCTTTGACTGAACCGTCGTAGCAGCACAACACACAAGATTAAGGAATTGCTGAAGAAGTAATCCTTTCAATTAGTCCCATATAATCTGTGCGGGCTACTTTGTTTAAAACTCGCTGCTTTTATAAACCACACAACATGGCCAAAGGCGTCTCTACGTCTGTTGCAGCAGAAAAGCAGACGAAACGGAAGACCAGAGACGATGAAACCTCTACCACTATCGAGAAGAGTTCGAAGAAGGAATCTGTTGATAAAAAAAATAAGCGAAAGAAGTCAACCAGCGACCAGGTAGAGGATGACGACGAATTGAGCAAGAAAAAGAAGCGTCGGGTTTCTTTCGGACCGGGCACAAAGACCAAAGATGGCAGTGATAGCGACAGCGACAGTGATGTCGACGCCGACGCCGACGCCGACGCCGAATTCGAAGACGACAGCAGTGAGACTGTGACAGGCGAAGAAACAGAAGCCCAAAAAGCCGAAAAGGCGCTCGACGAAATGCGAACACGCAAGCGCGAAAAGAAAAAGGAGAGGAAGAACAAGAATGATTCCGGCTTTGGTGCTTCGGCCTCGACTACTGAGAGGATTCACGAGACGCCTATCCTTTCATACCTGAGCCACTATTATCGTGACCGTGCGACGTGGAAGTTCCAGAAGAATCGCGAAACAAACATCTTCAAGCACCTTTACTCGCTTGAGCATCTGCCCGCGCAGTACAACATCATGATCCTGGCATATCTTCAGGGATTGAAGGGAGATGGTGCGAAATCGAGGTTGAGTGGAGCTGCTGGGGAGGTTATCAGGGATGATATCAAGATTGAGGAGAAGAAGGGTGGCGACAATGCGAATAGCGACTATCAACAGGCTGTTGATAGCTTCAGGGCTTCTCTGGTTGCCGAGTCAGAGGACTTGAGTGGTGCTGGGTCTGGAGAGTCGCTGGATGCAGCGGCAAAGAAGCGTCTCCAGAAGAGGCTGCGGGCTGAGCTTGTATTCTTTGCTCTGACCACTGAGACGTTCTCGCTTGAGAAGCTGGAGCAAGAGAAAGTGAAGGTGAAGCCGAAGGAGATGCTGGAGGAGAAGTCTGAACCGCAGAACAAGAAGAGGAAAAACAGAACTGTCGTTGTTGATGACTCAAGCAGTGAGAGCGAAAGTGACAACACTAGCTCCAGTGGCAGCTCCAGTGATGATAGTGATGAGGACAGCGACAGCGACAGCGACAGCACCAGCAGCAGTGGCAGCCCCGACGATGATACTTCAAGCAGCGGCAGTGTTAGTGATAGTGAGAGCGACGACGATGCTCCCACCCCGGCAAAGAAATCAGTCGCCGCGCCTGCACCTACACCCACACCAGTGAGCACCAAGAAGGCCCGCTTGCCCAAGAAGAAAGTGCCAAAGCAGAAAAAGGAGGTTGCTCCAGGCAAGAACAAGAAGAAGCAGAAGCGGAAAATGAGGACTGCTCAGATTGATATTTCGAGCAGCGAGGACAGTGACTAGGTGTCCACTCCAATAGCTATTTTGTATTTACAAGGGGCGTTTTTTCTTCAAAATTTGCATATATCACTACATATACCAATGTTATGAAATGGGTGCATGTATTATGATGCCCTAAATTACGTAGTGGCTTGAATATGGAAAAAATAAATGACAAATTACAAAAACGTAGCTCTCCATTCTCTTCAGCAGCCCTTTCTAACTCACTTGAATCTTGGACCAACATATGAAGACCTCGGGAGATGCTATCCTCTCGGGCTGCCAAACCTGTGCTAATCAGCACCTCTTCTTTTCTGAACTGGAAATACGTTACCATTTTAACCCTGCAAGAGAAAGTGGAACCCTACTTTGGATTAGGCCTGCACTGAAAGGTTTGTTTTATACCTGAGTTCTATTTAGTGCACTTTTTGCATCTACACAACTACCAACCTCTCTACTATTCTGTGGTGGCATCTATAGATGTTAGAATAGAAATATTAGGAGAATTTGGTGGTAAATACTTTTCATGATATTAAAAATGTAAAAATAGTTCTCAATTTTTGATTCAGACGGAATGAAGAGCTGGGGTGAACGCTTTGAATCTGAGGAGTTGAAATTCTTCAAAGGACTATTTAAAAAGTCCAGCACAGTGAACTTCCTTATTCTACCTACCTAGATACTTCCACTTCCGCTTTCACTTCTACTAATTTAATTAGTACTATGTCATCTATGAGTGGAGAGATGGATCTCTTATTAGATCCAAAGTACCAACCCTATTCTTTTCATTTAACAGGGTGTCCAGGTATAAACCTTGGAAGTTGGCCAGCTCTGGAAACAATCTACTTCTCAGGTTCCTCGCTAGATGCTTGTAAATATCGAATGAACTTTCCAAGGTTGGTGACTTCATTTAAACATCGAGTGTTATCTACTTGGTGTATCGTCTCTGATATCCACTCTCAGTTTGAATGAATTCTGCAGCGTGGAAGGCCACGGGGCGATCTAAAGAGGAACTCTGGTGGACTAAAATGGAATGTGTTATCATATTTATTCCATCATAAGTTAGAATACACGATAGTGTGATAACCAGGTCTTTTGAACTTACTGTAATCCTGCCATGAATCGTGCTCCTCAAAGATATCATACTCTCCTCTCCCTTTCTTTTAAAAGAGAGAACGATAACAGAATTGAAGAAACACGATGACATCCTCTGCTCTTAGATAGTCCCGACGAGCTTGAGATTTAGATGGACGGTCATATATTTCGAGAAAGTTGTGGTAGGTGCTATCATCGTCATTAGGCTCGAGGGTGAACTTTTTGAACTCGTCCAGTGGGAAAGGCTGAAAAACAGAAATTTGACTCAGTGAAACTTGAGTCAATTAGGTCGACAAATTCAAGACTAATACCAAGGCTAGCCAGGTCATCGCTAGTGTAGGTAGTTTCTGGCTTAGACTCAAGTACTTTCAGTGGTTCTGATACTGCTCCTTTGAAATTGTCTCTCAAAAGGATTCGATCCTTCATTTGATCATCCTCTCCGAGAGTATTCATTACGGGGTCCATGTTGAGATTCTGTATGACAAATATATGTCGAGACGTTGGAGGAGAAAAGTAGTAACTAATAGACATGTACAGGCATGCCATTGGCTGATGATGTGTAGATACAAATTGCTTACCAGCGAAAAACAAAAGAAAAAAACATACAGCAGCCAGGATTTGCATAATTTCAATACATGTAAGGCTTTATAGATAGCCTGTTTTAAAAGGTCTGGAAGCGAACATCTTCTGAGCTCTACAGATTCATGCCAAGCTATGCTGTCTGATAGTCTATGGGTATTCATTTTGTTTACTGTTTATCACTTTTCTTCGCTCCACTTATATAGACTTGATAGAAAATAGATGATACTTAGGTCATTTCACCTACAAGCACTGGTGTTACGTGTACATATGCTCCGCTTTATTTGAATTCCAACGCTGAAAATGCTCAATTTTGAACTCAGATCAGAGCACCGATTCTACTCTGTTACTTAATCATCTGCCTTCAAATGTTGGATTTGACGGAGCATTAGAAGCTCCTGGAAATGAGGGAATTCCTCATACTAAAAGATTCTAACCTTGGAAAATTCCCACAAATCAGCCACCGTAATGAACATAAGGGATCAAGTGTAGCGGTTTCTTCTCTGGCTCATCATCTAATAAACCGTCTCTGTTATCAGTCAAGCTCTTCAAAATAGCATGAACTGTCTCGCTAATCTTCCAGTATTCTCGGAGTGCCCTCATGGCATGGTGAAGTCCATTGCTGATATGTTAATCATTGATTCCATTGTCATGCAGTTATTCATATCATTCGAGCCATATCAACGGGCAGGCTATCGCTAACACTCCATAGCATACCTATGACATGACGAAAGCCGGTAAGCTGATAAGCGCTAGAATTATAGATACTTTCACCGGTAGAGCTCTTCTTAAGGATTGAGCTTATGGAGCATGCTAAGAGTTATATATATATATATATAAGGAATGGCGGGTTTGAGGTAAGTTTCTTCTCTAGGAGACTGCTCACTGTAAGTGGCTCGGTCTCCTAGTCTTAAAGCAGTGATTGACTATGCTGCGGCTCTCTAGTATTTGCGCCACTAAGGAATACAAGATGGAAAATTGAGCAGCCTTTCAAGGCTTGTGGTTGAAGTAAACCCCATCGCGAATCCTGTCTCATCAAAGTTATAAACATCATCTGAATCGATGCTATTTTTATGTCGGGATTAGCTCCAATCGACCTGTCAGTACAGGCACGAGACCGTTCTAAATACAGCTATGGTATAACTCAGATATGGCAGGAAATAAAGATATATTATGATAATCAGACACGGGATGGGTCAGCATATAATAGCTTAAATGTTGCTCACTCGTCCTCATCCCCGAGTTCAACCATGCTCATCCAAATCACCTACCCTCACCCTAAGAATGGTTCTGTCGCTGCTTTAGGGCGAGCTGGGTGCTAAAGACTCACCCAAGTATTGCCTGCGTTCTACTGTTCTCCACACCTGGTCGTATGTGAAGAAAAACAGTTAAAAGGCGAAAAACAAATATCTCCTTGAATGTATCTCACGGGGTAACAGCGAATTATTCCTCTGGATTAGATTTAGGCACTAGTATTGAGGACAGGGTTCTGGATTTATACACATTCGATAGTGAGCAGTATCACTTGGTATTCTAAGGTTTTGAGTGTAGATACTCAGGGCAATTCAAGGCGGTGAGTCCCTCACCTCAACCTAGCTCCAGACAGCTTAGGCATCCCCAGCAACGCGTCACAGCCGATTCTCCTCTTTTCATCCTGTAATCAGCATTTACCTTCCTGCAACCATTTTCTCCTGTTCATCTGTCATTAACGGAATTCAAACTTCGCCATCATGTCTGGTAAGAATCCTCGTTGCTCGTTGCTCGTTACTCGTGGCCCCGTGATCCCAGCTTCGACTAACTTCCATCTTCTCCACATTAGGAAGCGCAGGCTACGATAGACATATCACCATCTTCTCTGACCAGGGTAGATTGTACCAAGTCGGTACGTACTTCAAGTTCACCCCAGGTGGCCGCCTCCGCGGTCATCATGACTCCAGCTAGCCATCACGATCACTGACAGCCAATTTGCGTATCAGAATATGCTTTTAAGGCTATCACTTCCGCAAACATCACCTCCATTGGTGTGAGGGGGAAAGACTGTGCCGTGGTACTCTCCCAGAAAAAAGTCGCTGTAAGTGTGAACATCCAAATCACGCGAATGCATCAAACTGACCCGCTGTCACCCAGGACAAACTCATCGACCCCTCCTCCGTTTCACATGTCTTCCAACTCTCGCCATCTGTTGGCTGCGTCATGACAGGTTCTATAGCAGATGCCCGTGCCTACGTCGACCGAGCCCGCGGAGAGGCAGCTGAATTCCGGTACAAGTTTGGCTACGAGATGCCATGTGATGTTCTGTCGAAACGATTGGCGAATATCAACCAAGTCTACACACAACGAGTATGTTTCTCCTTAACAAATTCACTTTGTCCAATAAACCATGATGAATGCTGACTTGTTCATCTAGGCCTACATGCGGCCACTTGGAGTGGCTATGACCCTTGTCTCCGTTGACGATGAGAATGGCCCTCAGCTCTACAAGTGTGACCCGGCTGGTTACTACGTTGGATACAAGGCCACAGCCTCTGGCCCCAAGCAACAGGAGGCGTTGAATTACCTTGAGAAGAAACTGAAGAACAAGGATGCCGCACCGGGCAGCTGGGAGGAAGTTGTGGAGCTGGGTATTACCGCCATGAGCAATGTGCTGAGCGTTGACTTTAAGAAACATGAGCTGGAGATTGGAATTGTTGGTGGCCCTCGACTGGACGGTGAAGGCACTACTACATCATTCCGGGCTTTGACAGAGGAGGAGATTGATGAACGGTTGCAGGCCATTGCGGAGAAGGACTAAACGTAGTCTGGATCTTGTAGAGATGCAAGTGATAGGCCGCATTGGTCTAGCATTGATTTAAGTCTATGAGTGATACTTTCTCAGAAGCTGAGAATGAGGAATGATTGAAAGCATGTTTTTTTTTTTTTTGAATAAAAAAAAAACCACAATAATTTTGATACATATCCAGTACTTCAGGTACCCCAAATCCTGCGCTGTAACGTTCAACAGCTATGCGCTTGGCGCATTTGGCCAGGACTTGGAATCTTCAGTTCATTAGTTGGGAAGGAACTTCAATTCAGCGGAGTATGTGGGGCATCAATATCGCCACAGTATCGTCATGTAGATGAATCACAGTAAATTTTATAATGACTTCTATATGCGAGGTGATGCGCTTTCACTCAGCTTGTGTGGAAGCGCCACATATGTGGCTCAGCCCGAAAAGTGGCTAGAGCGTATATTCTCACCGTCGGAGCGTCGGAAGCTGAAATAACATAAAATTATGCTATCTTGTCTTAGCATATCTTTAACTTAAGCTAATACCTTTCTCGGTAACACTAGGCGCATACTTCGTCATACCAATAATCAATAAGCTAAATGATATTATGATACCACAGCTCAACTCGGGGAAGCCGCTTCTCGCTTATGCAGGTTCTTTAATTCGATCTCTGCAACTGACGTGACAGCCCCTGGGGTTTCCACGAGCGTTAGGAGTTCGAACTTTGCCCAAACCAGCCACAATTCGTAATCCTTCAAGCCGAGAAAAATGCTGGCTTGAACCCACCAAATTGGTTCTGAATCTAATCTCGTGATTTCTCCACTGAGTCCACTCCTTCTCCATTTTTAAGGTGCCAATTAAGATACCCCGTACTAGGTACCTTTTTTTTTGGCCTGTTGTATTGCAGGGATAGCCCTAGCCTTCCCATATCTACCTTTTTTTTTCAAGAGATCGTGTTGGCAAAAGACCCACGCGTATTGCATTTCCAGCTGTCCTTGACAATTGGACTCTCGGACGTTCCTGACTTCTTTTTTCTTTTTTCTTTTCTTCTTTTTTTGGAGCGTTTTTAGCCCGTTCATTGGTGCTTAGTCCATGTGCCTTTCCGCTGGGAATAATTCCTTTTTTAATTATCCTTCGATTTCCAATCATCTTATGTTGACTCTTTCTGTTTTCGGAATTCGATCCTATTGAAGACTTCCTTTTTGGCTATGTATGGAGTAAGGTGTCTGTGTCTCCGGAGTAGACTAGACCATCTCGGTTCCCCTTATAAAACACCTACAACCCTCGTCTTTCTTTCTGAACATCAACTCTTCGGCCCGTCTACCCTTTTGTTATCCAGTGGGACCTGCAATTCCTTTCCTTTACTTCCTTTCATTGGTCTCCTTGGATATTATTTTCCTTTTTTTGACTTTCCTTCCAACGCCTCTAAATCCATATTGCCGCTTTTATATCTAATATTTTACTACCTTCAATGGCAGACGGACGTAAGCAGTCATGAACTCGACTCAATTGACCTGTTATGCCAACCGTACTGATTGAAATTGGGGAGAATGAACAGTCAACCAAGCCCGCGCAGTTCGAGTGGCCGAGCTTATGAACGACTACCGAACCCTCCTGCTACACATCTCCCAGCAGAGTGCCACTGCGTCCGCAGATGAATATAATGAGGAAGGCTTCGTCTTGCTACGCGAATGCCATGCTTCTGCTCAGCGTCTCGCATCTACCAACTACCGCAATTGCCCGTTAACGGGGCAGCGTAATGCCAGTACAGAAAAAACAGAACTACAAAGGTGAATGATGAACATATCTCGATTTTCACCCATAGAAGGCCATTGACTCATCTTTCCGCTTTTTTTTTCATTACAGAGTTATTGTCGATAGCAGCGCTCGCCGGTTCCAGGCACATAAGATCTACTTGCGGGCAGCAGCAGCACATCGATGGGTGATTTCCCGAGCAAACATTCTCCGTAGCCAACGAGGATCGCCTCGTATTGAAATTGCCTTGAAAGGCATTGATACGACACTTCATCAGGAATTGGCACGCATCACAGATCAGCATGTCGTTGCTGACCTTCGAAATGCTGACCTGCGGGCAGGTTATTGGCTTGATGATGACCCTTCTTTGGATGTGATCCGTCATTGGATTCAGAGATGGTGATTCGAACTATATGTATTTTGGTTTCTCGTGGTCTACTTTTTTCTGAGCTTGGCATGATGGCTGTACTGTGTGTATAATTTCCAGGGATCTATTTCCTCTCTTCATATTTTCTTATTTACTCATTGGAGGGCTTATTTAGCTATGCGGGGCATTTTGACGGCGCGGGTCGCTGTATCTTGCCTCTTACGAGACGTGAAAGAGAGAAAATTGGATTTAATTTGTTGAGCTGAGCATGAAGACTGTATCCCCTGACTTTTCATGTGGTTAATGTGTATTTCTTAATTCCAAGAAACGTTATATTTGTGGGTGTTCTGTTATTTCCCTGGAAGTATACGGAGTACAATTATTAGGTGACATTTGAACAAACCATAGGTAACCATGGAATGTACCTAGGTATTCTTAGCCTACGGAACTCCTCAGGAAACTTTAGCTTGATCATTAAAGAAATGAAGGAATAATACCTTAATTCGATAAACTTAGGTGGGGGCATTGGATCTCGCATTGTGGACCCTGTGCTAAGACTTTAGTTCGCTGAGTGACATACCAATAATCATTCAGATCGGCCCTTCGGTTCAAGTCCAGCTGATGTCTGTCGGATCCTTTGCAGAGTTCCCCAATTTTTTCTTTAAGCTGACGTTTCATTTTCCTGTGGAGACTAGCAGCTAAGACTAGCATTCGGGTCTCTCGGTTTCAACATTTTACCTAGATATGCAGGTTTCAGCTTGCTTCTGCCTTAGGTCTTGCGATCGGCATTCAACAACGGCATAATGCTGTGGGTCCTGTGCTTATTTTTAACCTGTACCTCATAGCCTTCTAGGTATTGACTACCTAAAAAATCCACGGATTCACCTTGATGTATCTGAGTCATGATATTGGAATAAATATGTCATCGGCCAACCTTATTTTCCTTCTCCAGGATCTGATCTGATTTACCTCACACGTATAATCAATCAAACATGTCATTTTCTTCATATTCACCTCCAATTGCTCGATCATCTTTGCAATTTAAATAAGTGCTTATCGCCTGACTGATCTATCTACATGGGAAATAGATTAAACCTTGGAGCTCTGGAAATCTTGTTTCAAGATTGGAATCGTTATTCATTGCGTAGAGGTTATCGAAGCTCAAATATTTGTCACCTGAGAGTATCCAAGTTATTTGCTGAATCCTGAACCACTCAGTGCCTTGATAGGTTCCCGAGGTCTCCTGTTGACGTTCCTATACTTCTAAGGTTACAAGAAACTCTGCTTCGGCAAATGGTTCCGCTTGAGACTATCAATGATAAGCCCCGATGTTGTCACAAGTCAATAGTCACTTTTTCCATACATCCGTTTGTCGTAATATTATACGGGAAGCTAGCACTTAGAAGCTAGTCGATGTAAATAATAGATGGCAGCATGACAGCCTTGGAAAGTGAGGTCGTACGAAGACCCTGCGCAGGTGGAGGTGTCACGTAGTATAAGGCATGGGATTTGATAGTTGTTCTAATTTGCCAATCTCTATAAATCTGGACTCCTAAGGTACGGTAGAGATTACAATCACCAGTCCATTTCTCAATTTCATCTACAACAGAAAGTACAATCTTGGAAAATATCTCCGAAGTTAGGCGAGATCTATATTTAGCCACAGGTACGTACCAGCCACAAACACAGCCACGATCTTGGCCAATGACGTCGGTTTTATTTATACAAACAGGCAATCATTTTTAAGGTACTCCACCTCATCGACATTTATCCTCTTTATTGACTTGGGCACGAAATATTCAGTGCTCACTCACCTCAATTGTGGCATTTCGATTTTCAGCTGTCTTGTTAACTCTGGTTGTATTGTTAGCCGTCCTTGTGCAATATTTTTTCGTTGGTCCCACCCCTGTAAACACCGACAAGTCCGTCGAAATGAGATCTGTGGCTTACTTCGTCAATTGGGTATGTAGTACAAGATCCTTACCATGTCACACAAGTGACGATTGCCTTACTTGTCTTTCAAGGTTGATTCACTGCTGCTGCAATGTTATCATATATACCTACCTCATCCTGTTCTTCGAGTCGGCCATATATGCTAACCGCTTCTCACAGGCCATCTATGGTCGCGGCTACAACCCTCAAGACCTACCTGCTGACAAACTTACGCATGTTCTCTATGCATTTGCCAATATCCGTCCCGAGACTGGCGAGGTGTAAGTACCACCAATCCCGGTTTCCCCGCGGATCATACAAATAAATTGACAATTACTAGGTATTTGACCGACAGTTGGTCCGATGTTGAGAAGCATTATCCTGGGGACAGCTGGAATGACAGTGGCAGCAATGTCTACGGATGTATCAAGCAGCTTGCTCTTCTCAAGAGAAAGAACCGCAAGATGAAGCTCCTGCTTTCTATTGGTGGCTGGACTTACTCATCCAACTTTGCTGCACCCTGCAGCAGACCTGAGGGTCGGGCTGCATTTGCAGCATCAGCGACGAGGCTGATACTTGACTTGGGATTCGATGGTATGTTAGAACGATGACTGAAAGAAAAAAAAAAAAAAAAAAAAAAAACCAAGACTGACAGTTATGGAAGGAATTGATATTGATTGGGAGTATCCCCAGGGTAAGCAGTCTGACGTGAATACATGACCATGCAGAAGCAAGAGCTGACGGAATTTCCAGATGCGGGCCAAGCTCAGAACTTAGTTGAATTACTCCAGGCTTGCCGAGAGGTAGGAAATCCATTTTTTTTTACTTCAGTTCCATTTGGACCATGACACTAACGATACTTTAGAGCCTCGATCGAGCCGCTGGACCAAATCGTCATTTCTATCTGACAATTGCCTGCCCCGCAGGATCAAACAACTATACCAAATTACTTCTGCCGCAGATGACTCCTCTCCTGGATTTCTATAACCTGATGTCCTACGATTTCGCAGGTAGCTGGGATGCCACCTCTGGTCACCAGGCCAATATCTTCCCAAACTCCGCAAACACTTCTTCGACTCCGTTCTCCATCGACGCAGCTCTGAACCATTACATCAATGTTGGCGGAGTGCCTCCATCGAAGATAGTCGTAGGCATGCCGTTGTACGGACGTGCATTCCAAAACACTGAAGGTCCCGGCCACACGTACTCTGGCGTTGGCGAGGGTAGTTGGGAGAATGGCGTTTGGGACTACAAGGCGCTGCCTCGACCTGGAGCTAATGAGTTCTTTGACGACTCTATTGGTGCTTCGTGGAGCTATGATAAAGCCTCACGCACCATGATCTCATACGATACTGTTGCGGCTGGCAGAGAGAAGGCCAACTTCATCAGGCGTCGTGGGCTTGGTGGAGGTATGTGGTGGGAGGCTAGTGGTGACAAGGGTGGCCCGACAGGTAACATAAGCGAGGGAAGTCTGATTGGAAACTTTGTCGATGTTATTGGCGGGGTCGATGTGTTGGATCAGACGGCGAATGCTGTTGACTACCCCGAGAGCAGATACGAGAATATTCGGTCGATAAACCTCGCCTAAATGTGAGTTGAAGGGATTTGTATTCTATTGTACTTAGCTACATAGGTACTAGGCGATGAGATTCCCAGATTGAGACCGAGAATAAGCACTTATGTGCCTGAATATATATTTGTGCTATCTTATGCCTACGCATGGGTGCACCCGTGGACCCCATATACAAGAATTTATATCTTAAAAGCTACGCGGTAGATGAAACGAAAGTTGGAGGAGCCAAAGTTTTAGAAGATTTCTTTTTATACCATGAGATATCATAAATCCGATTCTAGCAAACAATTACACTGGAATACTGATAAATGAGTCTCCCGCAGCCACACCTTGTCCATTTACTTGGACTCGTCAAAGACGTAGGTGAGGTGGCACTTTCCGCAGTACTGGCGGTTGTGCATAGCGGCCATGAAGATACCAGCACCACACTAGAGTAAAATTAGTCATACCGTTCAGTATTGGCGGGGAATGTAAAACGCATATCATACCTCGGGAGCGGGGCACTCGCGGCGGAGACGCTCAATCTTGCCATCACCGTCAACCTTGTAGTACTTCAGGATAGCAAGCTTGGTCTTCTTGTTCTTGTGCTTGATCTTCTTGGGGGTGGTGTAGACCTTCTTCTTGCGCTTCTTGCCACCACCACGCAGGCGGAGCACGAGGTGAAGAGTGGACTCCTTCTGGATGTTGTAGTCGGAGAGGGTACGGCCATCCTCGAGCTGCTTTCCAGCGAAGATCAGACGCTGCTGGTCAGGGGGAATACCCTCCTTGTCTGAAGTTGGAAAATCGTCAGTCTCCTGAGCGAATGGTGACATCGAGGTCTGGGAGTTTGCGCTTACCCTGGATCTTGGACTTGACGTTGTCGATAGTATCGGACGACTCCACCTCGAGGGTGATAGTCTTACCCGTAAGGGTCTTGACGAAGATCTGCATCTTGATGAAGGCCTGGTGAGGAGCGTGAGTTAGTGGATAATTCCGGTTTTTTGGAGTATAAAGATTGTCTAGCCAGTCGCCTCAAGTACGCGCAGTTGTCACATCTTGATTTGAAGACCGCTATTCTTTATGGAGAATAGGAAAAAACTGACCTCGACAAGTTGTCTTCCTTAACCTTGCAAGACAGAAGAAATTGTCTGTGGGTGGAACTCGGTAGTGCAATTAAAAGTTCTTGTGCGTCACGTGCTGTCACATGATCTAAGCCAGATAGGGCTGCGGAATTACTAAGTTCCAGACAATCCTTATCAAGGCTCTTATCAGCCAGATTATCGATATGAATAAAGCACGTGATTTACTGTCCCTTGATGCCTTAGGCCAAAAATGATGACATTCACCGTAACCAAACAACCGGCCCATATTTAATGAGAAGGACCTTGAGATCCAGGAGATCGACCCCACTGTTTCCTGAACAGGAGTATCTCCATGGCGACGATCTAGGGGGCTGAAGCCTCCTCACAAGGGAGATGGATCTTCTTTTACTCCTAGCAGAACACCTCTGAACCCTTGCAGTCGAGGAAAACAGAAAGTCAGGGAGCTACGGATGTGTGAAAAGTATAGAATTTTATGTGGGTAAGATCTCGAAATAACGAAAACCATAGATTGATCTGCCCCATTGAAGAGTGGGCCCATCCGCGTCACAGGTGGTTTCCCAGACTCCCGGCATGAGACGTTGCCATGCCAACCTGCCTTGTTGATATGAACCATGGGCTCGATTGATAGATCGCCCAAGTGCCTTGGTCCTGGCCCGCTTCAAGGTCTGCTCTTATTGAAGTTTTATTCCCATTCTTTTGGGCTACGTTTTCTTAAAGATACCCGGATCCTTATTGTGTTACCTATCACCGTCTACTCGGTTGTTTCACATCGCTCTGATCTAAGAACAAAAGAGCCCTACATATCTATTCGAAGCTAGCTTCCTCAGGCTCTAGTTACTTTCTTTCGTTTTCTGCTTTTTGATCGCGTTTATTATATCGCGTTCACATACTGACAACGTGTGACAGGGACGTGAATATCGAGCGGCCGGACCAGCCATGATCTCCCCCTCGTCGACACTATCCCACGGTCACCATCGCCGTCAAATTTCAGCACCATTCGAAGCTGTGCAAACACCAGACATGAGTCGCATTCCGCCTTACCGAGCACACCGTCGCGGAGAGACCATGGACTATAGCAGCTTTGGTCCACAGGTCCTATCCGTCGATCGTCAGATTGCGCCGAACAAGGTCACGCAGCTTCGAGACTACTTTAACGAAAAAGCAGGTTACCAGCAGCAAACAACCGCTGCGCAGCAGTTTGAACCATCTTTCTATCAAGATCAGCAGGCTTTCAACACATCTGGACACCCTTTGCAGCCTCAGCATTATCAGAGCAATTACCCATGGAGCCTGGATGAGGTACAAGAAATGTATCCCGTATCTGGGAATCCAGTCAACCTTAATGCCTCCATTGCCCCAGCACTGGCGAGATCTGCCAGTGAGAATTCGAGTCCCAACGTCACCATGAAGGGCGCCCTGCGGAATATGCGGGAACCCCGTGATTCAAGACGTTGGCAACCATTTCCCCACCAAGCTCGTCCTGTGTTTCAAAAAGGACGGGCCAATGGCTATGCTCAATCTATGGAGCATTTCTCTGTTCAACCAGAAGTCATTTCTTCCAAGATGAATGCCTACCTTTCTTGTGAGACCCTCTGTTCCGAGCAATATTGATAATGGCCTATGCTAATGATTGAGATAGACACTTCCCCATTAACCCCTGATCCTACCCCCATGAAGCACACTTTTGATTTTTCTACGTACAATAATGACCATACCCCTACCAAGTCCCAGAGTTTTTCCCTTCCCCGTATGCCGGCATGTGAGATGCAGAGAGCGCATTCCTTACAAGCAGTGCACGAGTCAAGTCCTTTGCAGCTTCCCCAGCAGATGCCATCTCCTGCCATTTCTTCTATGGATTCATTCGCCGAGCTTGCCGCTATGCCTTCCCCCGGTTCTTGTGGAGTTTCGCCCCAAAAGTCCAGCGTGCCACCTACTCCGTCTATGAGAAATCGTCGCCAGCGCGCCGAATCTTCTGCTTCGTCAATTTCACAGCTATTTGACGATGTAAAAGGCGAGACTGTCGACGAGTTTGACCTTGATGCTCGCGTTAAGGCATCGGTAAAGAACAGCAGCGTTTCCAGTGATGAGATTGCGAAGTATATCTCTGGCCCCGATCCCGAAGATAACAAGTGGGTTTGCCTTTTTGCCGGCTGCAACTGTCGTTTTGGTCGAAAAGAAAATATCAAGTCCCACGTTCAGACCCACTTGAATGATCGCCAGTATGTTTGTGATCGTTGCGGAAAGGACTTTGTTCGCGGCCATGACCTCAAACGCCACCTCAAGACTCATTCCGGCAGCAAGCCATTTGCTTGTGCCTGTGGTGCCAGTTTTGCCCGACAGGATGCCCTCACTCGTCACCGTCAACGTGATATGTGCGTCGGAGGTTTCACCGGCTTTGTCCCAAAGACTACCAAGCGTGGCCGCCCTCCGAAGAAAACCCGCCCAGATATGGAAACCCGTCAAACAAAGTCTGCTCGCACTCGCCAGCGTGTAGCCGAAAAGGCCACATCTGTTTCTCCTGTCAAAAGTGAAAGCTATGTCCTCCAAGAAGCCCCAGTCTTTGTATCGCCCAAATATACACCGTCTAGCGCTATGTCATCCATCACCCCGCCTGCATCCCCCGGTGCTGTAATGGACAATGCTCAGTCCCCTACTCAATCTGGATTTTCTCTCAACTCTCAACAATTTGAAGATGATATGCTTCCTTTGCCGCTTTCGCCTCCTCAATTGGCTCACAACCGGTATGCCCGGGCTATGGAAGGATTTAATGCCAAAGTCTCAGTCGAGTGTCCACAACAGGGTTCATTCTATAGCGAAAATGCCGTTTCCTCCTATGACGTCTCCTCACCACATTCCGCGCCGACACTCGCGGGCTCTTCTGTGGGCTCCGAGATTGATGTGTTTATGAGCCAGGATTCTTCTAATCAGCTTCAAGAAGAAATTGACAGCCTTGCTAGTCAGACCTTTTCCACTCTACCGACCAGTTACGCGTCGTATGTCGATTCTTCCGATTTCGGACTGGGCTCGTCAATATACCCTGATGATGCCAAGGTTTTCTCGCTTCCTTCTTTCGATATGGAGTCCTACTCGGACCAGATCGATTCTCTCTCGAGCGAGTTTCTTGTTGATCCCTGAATTTCGAACATCAAAATCGCCTGTATCACCAACGTGACCAATCATCCTTCTTTTCGACTAGCGTTCCTGCGTTCTGTACCTTTATGAAAAGCACGATATAGACCGTGTGCAACGACTTTCCTTTTTCACTTCACGCTGTCACGAAACGCAACGAGCATTAATGGATATACGACACAACGACGATGACGACGTATGGCTTTTACTTCTCATTCTCACTTTGGCGCGAGCACACCTGCTATTTTCCTGGACAAAAATCTGCCCTCCTTTAACGCACATGACGACTACCCGAACAGGTCTATTCTCGGGAACACATACTTGGTATGGCACTTTGGCCATCATTTTCTCATTTCCTCTTTGTATTCCATGTTTTTCCTTTCTTGTCCCTTTTCAATCCTTATTCTCAATCTTTTGTCACCAACCTATTGGTGCCTTGATTGATTGATATATATTATGTGCTATGTTACTATGTTGTCTTTTGCCATTCCACTGTGCCTCCTTGACCTACTCTAGGATTGGGATCACAGTGCGTTTTGTACCCCTTCTCGGCGAATCCCCTTAATTCACCTTCACTCTACCCATATCCCCTTAACAGATTCATCTGTACTCTCTATGGAATCATATATAGCCACTTGTAATCATCCAAGACTTTCTCCTGTATATAGGGTTGAAAGGCTCTTAACATTATTGGGTATAGGCATCGTACTTATCGTTATCAACCCGGATGGTCTTGAGGTCTGTTTAACTGCCTACCTGAGAGGGCGAGTGCTTGGGTGGGAAAGAAAGTCCTTGATTTGCTGAATATATGCAGTAATTTCAAGTCAATGAAGACGTCTATGTTTAGCCTGTTATCACTATGTAAATGCCATGAAAAGACGAAAAATCCGGTCAACAGATGTAGGGACGAGTTTATGCCCAGTCTCGCGACTTCCACGTAATCTCCAACTCAATTGGATGCTCCTCCTGCGCAACGAAAATAGTGCTCTGCACTAGGCCTTTGGGGGCGTTCTCGGCGTAGAAGGTCGTATTGCCTTCATAGGCGAGCTTATCGTCCTTGACCTGGAAGAAAGTAACTATCAGCAACCAGACAAGGCAACTCAGATTTAAAATAGAATACGAGTAGCCCATTGAACATACCGTGAATTCGCTAGGGGTTTCTATATGATCCCCACAGCTGAAAGCATCCTCTTCAATAGCACAAAGTCCTTTGCTTGATTTAAGAGTGAATGCGTCACCTGGAAATAAAGATACAAAATCAGTACTGATCAAATGGTTTTAGGTGTGCACTTTGCAACATACCTGATGTCTTCTCTGCCCGAAAAGAGGCACATGTTCCAGACGAGAACCACGTTCCATAGCTGATGATGCAGCCACGTCTCTGGTTGAGGGTCGATACTATCATGTTTCCCCTACCCGAAAATGGCGCACCAGTTGCAGTGGGCGCTGAGCCATGGGTGGTTGTTCTGGTCGGCTCATGATGGGCTCTCTTAGGAACATAGCGAATGCCACTGGCGGGGCAATTTGAGATTTGGCCATCTGCAAAAATAGTTAAAATCAATTCTAGAATAGGAACATATCAATATACACATACCTGGAGCCGAAGGAATGAAATTTCCAGTCTGCAGGCTTCCTGCGATGTTGTAATAATACCAGATCTCGCTCAAGACACCATTGCGGCAATGGAAGGTCACTGGATAGCCATGAGCAGCTTCAAGTGCAGCCTCGATATCTGCACGTTTGTATGTTTGGTGGGAGGATGGTACAATGCCAGCCTTGGCCAGAAACTGTAAATCAGTTAGCAATTAATCTAGCCGTATATATTTACGCAATTTAGAATCATTATTCTGACCTCGTAGGAAGGGAGTTGCTGGAAGATCTCAACAGTTTTGTTGAAGTAGTCTACTACTTCTTGCTGCGGCAAGTAATCTGTATAGCATTCAGTCTCGAGGGTGCTGACACAGGTACCGTGCTTGTTCCATTCGTGTTCCCACAGATTGGGATCGTCGCCACGGAAATCTTTCCAATAGGCGCCCATATAATCAAGCAGGTCTGCGCGGCCAGCATCAACCAAAATCAGTGAAATGTTGCTATATTTCCGTTTGGAGTCGCAGTATTGATCAAATCCACCACCACAATGATCAGGCCTGAAGAATGTTAGAGCCAGTTAATGTGTAGATCATCTAGATCACGGAGAGAAGCTTACCAAAGTCCATGAATGGTCCAGGAGTCATCAGGGCCAACAGCGGGATCGAAGTCCCAGAACTGGGTCAGCATGAATTGGCCACCCGGGTAGTTGAAGCAGCAGGTATCTTGACCATCATATTTGACTTGACAGCTGACATCCGTAAGAGGACACGATGAAGAAACTCCAGGGGCTGGTCTTTCATCTGTTGCCTGCGAGGCTAGCCACAGCGAGCCTAGTGATTTGATGAGCTTTTGAGGCCCAGGGACACTGAAGACCTGTTGTGATAAATCCCACATTATATGAGATGGAATGGAGCTTCAATGACTTTAAGCAGCAGATTTATGTAGATGAGAGAGATCACTTGTTTCTAAAAGGAGTAGTTAGTTATAAGTTGGGGTTGGGGTTTAGGCTTCTTATCGCCCCCGTGCGGGGATGACTAAGGCGATCATCTGACCCCAGCCTTCTCCACATGAAACAATCACGGGGGCAACTCAAGCTTCAAGATGGTATTGAGAGTGAAGGGTATCATTGTTCTATGTTCCGTAGTTTATAAAATATTTTGTACATTCCAATTCAGAATTCTCAGACAACCGAAGCATCACTCTGGTGGGCATTCTTCTCTTTCTCATGCATTCTCTCTTTCCACTGTCTCATAAGCTCAAAGCCAACCTCAACAGCGATGAGAAGAATGATGATCCACTCAAGCCGAAGACCGTGAGTTTCACTGAGTCGTTCACGCAGTACACTAGCGATCTCTTGTGCGTAATCCATTTTCTCATTCAGAAGCTTGATGCGGATACCCACATCCAATGCTCGACCCACTTGTTCATAGTACCCTTCCAGACCAAGCTCATGTCGACTGTCCCAGAAGAGATCTGGAAGAGAGTCGGTGAGTTCTGAGTAGAGATTGAGCTGGGCGCGCACACAAAGCAGCTGTCCTGTCTTTCGGAGGATGAAGTCTCGTGTAAAGGGGAGACGAGATCCTTGTGATAGCATAGTGGGGATAGGGCGGGTCGATTCAAAATAATTCGATAGCAGGGTCTCTAGAACAGCGAGCTTTGTGCTTCGAGCTAAGCCTGACGAGAATGCAACTTTAGCCAAGACAGTATCGATAGACTCTCTCGCTACGAGATGGGTGTTCGGGTTTTCGTTCACTGATTTAGTACCCAGAATAATTGTATCGCCCTTGATAGTGCTGTTTTCACGGTTTGGATCTTCAACATAGTCAAGATCTTCGGTTTCCAGCTCATCCACATGGGCACCCTCGGCTGCCGGGAGGAGAGTCCTTGTCGCTAAGAAAGATGTAAATCCCTCTGGAAGAGACCATGCCACCACAGTGCCTGAAGGGAAGACGAATAAATCACCAACTTTGTCAGATGATAGATCTTCTGTTGATGGGTTTCCAACTCGGCGTATTGAATCCATAGGGACCTGGACATGAACAACTTGTGGATACAGCCCTGTTTCCAGCGGATCCGGTTCATACCCTTTCTCTTGTAATATGTCACGCACTTTTCGTATGTCAAATTTCTCAGCAACCGTATAGGCAGTCACTGTCTGTGATCCAGAGGACTCCAATTTAGTAAGACTGAACGTTAAAAAAGCTCAGGGATATCACCTTAGTCTGAATGCCCTGCTCTCGGAGCATAGCTTTTGAGAGAATTCCATCTTTTGATCTTTGTGCTTCCACTGCAACTCTTCGCAGGGAAGTGGATGCTGCTGGAGTTCTAGTGCCGCGCCTGCGCTGTTTTTGGGATTCTACTTGCTCGGGGGAGCCCACGTTCTGGTTACCTTTTTGGTAGAGGTAGGCATTGGATGAGAAAAAGTTACGACGGCGTGGGAGCTCCAATACCCGTGAGGCATGAAGGTCTTGATTTTGTGACCATCGGAATGGTCGCAGAGCATATTGCCGCTTGCAAGTGAAGCAGATAGGGGCTCTTGCGAACATAGTAACTATTAGAATTTCTCAAAAATGGGCGATGTCATCACATTGAAGATCGGCCCAGGAAATACTGCTTAGTCATTGATGGAGCAGGCCCAATCCCAGCTCCTTCCACGACGAAGTCAAACCCCGATTACTAGTCGCGTCGTGATTCAAATCCTAAGGGAAGCTCTGGGTGCTACGAGGGATTCGCCATGGAAGCGCCCGGCGCGACAACGGCGAATGGAGGTGCTGATAATGGCACCTCGGAGCACGAAACGCCCATCGCGCGCAGCCGATCACCTTCGGACACAAGCCATGACGAACACGACCAATGCCAATCGGGCACCGGCAAATCTGATCACACTGACGGCGGAAATGAAACAGATGAAGATGAGGAGTCTGATGAGGAGGACGAGGAACCTCATCTCAAATATGCATACCTCACGAAACACCTGGGGTCGGTATATCGGAATGGAGACGCTACAAGCACATTTCTCGTTGCCGCAAACAAGATGGTGCGTCTATACATTAGATTGACACTCAAGTATCCCGGCTAATTTGGTTTACAGATCATCGGAACGCATAATGGAGTCATTGTAAGTAACCCAATAACCTCCGCAGCCATAGGGGTGGACTGACCTTCCCCAGAATGTTCTATCGTTACCCGCTATGCAGCCATTACGTGTATATCATGGTCATTCAGCAAGTGTAACATGCATATCTATATCCCCGTACCCCCCTCCTCTGCCGAATCCCAAGCTCGACTTTCCTGCACGGCAGATTGGAGACGACCTCCGCTCTCCAACGCGAAGCCCCACCAGCTCTGGAAGCATTCGGGGCCAGAGATCGGGCCAAGCGTCCATTGCATCTACCCCATCAAACTCAATCCACATTGCATCGGCTTCTATCGACGGCAACGTGTGCATATCATCTTTGGTAGACCCTAAGGATATTCTGAAACGAAACTTTGGTCGGCCTGTTCAGGCAGTTGCTCTGTCTCCAGACTACAAGAATGATAGGACATTCATCTCTGGCGGTCGAGCTGGTGAATTGATTTTAACGTCAGGAGGTCGCATTGGGGTCAGCTCAAATGCAACTACAATGGGAGGCGCAACTGCTGCGGCATCAAGCTGGCTAGGATCAATGGGATTAGGTGGCGGTAGTGGGAAAGACACAATTCTCCACAGTGGCGAGGGTGCCATTAGCACGATTCGATGGTCTTTGTCTGGCAAATATGTTGCCTGGGTCAATGAGGAGGGTATCAAGATCATGCGTTCTAATCTGCACCTGGAGAGTTCACAGTTGGAAATTGCATGGAAGCGTATCAGCCACATCGATCGCCCAACCGGACCAGGCTGGGATGATATGGCTAGCGTTTGGAAAGCGCGCGCTGAATGGATTGACCAATCTGCCTTGGATGATATGGACAAACTTGACCCCCATGATGATATGACACAACACGCGACACCTCCGGTAGTGTCAACCCCTCAGGCCGAGAAACTTCTTGTGGGCTGGGGAGGTACCGTGTGGGTAATTGACGTATACCCTGACCGGGCATGTAAGTCTTCAAAAGGCGAGAAATACGGCTCTGCAGAGGTATCCACAATGTAAGTTGTTTTAAGATTCAAGGTTTATCATATGGTCATACTTACTCTTGAATATTGCAGCTTACGAACGGATTGCCTAATATCTGGAATATCGTTATACACACGTCGTCTCCTTGTTATACTCGCGTGCATCGAGGCAGACGACGACGCCAGCGAAAGCTCTGAAAAGGTCTCGGGGGTTCACCATCGCCAGAAGGGCTTGGAGCCTGAACTTCGAATCATTGATCTCGAAACCAAGGAAGAGCTTAGTGCCGATACGCTCTCCGTCACTCGTTTTGAAAGTCTCACTGCTTCAGACTACCATCTAAATGTTTTACCCCCATGGAAAACCCCTGAGGGTCAAGTTGCTCAGCGCGGAGCCTTCGGTGCAATTGGATTTGGTCTTCTGGATGCTACAATGTACCCAGCACGGTTATTTAGCTCTGGCGCCAGTATTCGCAGCACAGCAAGCAGTGGAGACAAGATATCGGGTAGAGTTCCATCGTCCTTCATTTCCAAACATTTATCCCCCGAAGATGCTGTTCCAAAAGAAGTTCAAGATGTTGCAGCAGCTCCCGGTGCAAAGATTTTCGTCCACAGTCCCTTCGACTGCGTTGTTGCTGTCAAGAGAGATCTCACAGATCGGTTGGCTTGGTTGGACTCACGTGGCAAGTATGAAGAGGCATGGACACTCGTAGATGAACACCCTGAAGCTGCAGGCTCGACATATGATACTGAAGAAGTTCCCTCCGGATCTCTTAGGTCGCAATCAAGTCTAGGAGACTTTTTTTCTGACGACCGTTCATCTGTTCTAACCGTTGGTCAAAAAGGACACCACGAGCTGATCAAGAAAAGGCTCGTCTCGGTGAACTTTGGATTCAACAGCTTGTGAGCAACGAAAAGTGGAGCGAAGCTGCAGAGGTTTGCAGCAAAGTCCTCCATAATGCCCCCCGCTGGGAGCACTGGGCATGGGTATTCATCAAACAAGATAGGCATGATGAGATCATCCCATATATCCCAACAGGCTTGCATCCTGCATTAACTGCAGTCATTTACGAGGTTCTGCTAAGTCACTACGTGTCTCGAGATCTGAACAGATTCCGAGACTTGGTGGAGACATGGCCATCTGACCTGTTCGACCCTGATGTCGTGATTATGGCTATTGAAGAACAGCTGAAGTCCAATTCCATACGCAATGAGTCCGAGGAGTGGCGCATATTGACAGACTGTCGTGCTAAATTGTTCGTTGCTGGCGGGCATTACCGCGAAGCTCTGCATTGCTATATTCGACTGCAAGATGCAGATGCAGCCATGGTCTTGATTCGCACACACCGCTTGGTAGATGCACTAATTGACGATATATCTGCTTTCATTTTGATCCGCATCTCGAGAAAGCGGCTGAAGTCAGCTCCCAAATCTGAGCTGGAAGAGATGTCTGCGGAGCCAATCCAGCTACTTGTCCGTGAAGCTTACACTGGTATTGTCCCCCCCGAGACGGTTGTACAGCAACTTACTGCCGCGAAACACTTTTTGTTTCTTTATTTCTATCTTCGGGCTCTATGGCGCGGTGAATCTCTTCCGCAGTCATCATCAAAACCTCAACGAGGGCGGGGAGCCCACACCTTGGATGCAGCAACCAAACTAGCTGCAGATGAAGGAAAAGCTCTGATAGATAGCTTTGCTGATACGGCTGTAGAGGTATTTGCAGATTATGACCGACCACTGCTGATGGACTTTCTCCAAACGAGTATCTCTTATACATTTGAGACTGCCACATCGATATGTGAAAAACGTCACTTTACGCCAGAACTGATTTATCTGTTATCAAAAATGGGCCAGACCAAGCGAGCCTTGAATCTGATACTGGCAGACTTGAAGGATGTATCACAGGCCATCTCGTTTGCTAAGTCCCAAGATGATCCTGATCTCTGGGAGGACCTTCTCGATTACTCTATGGATAAGCCAAAGTTCATACACGGTCTTCTTGTCGAGGCTGGGACTTCTATCGACCCCATCAAGCTTGTACGCCGTATTCCCAGTGGACTGGAGATCGAGGGCTTGCGGGAGGGTCTTTCGAGATTGATTCGTGAGCATGATCTACAGGCTAGTATCAGCCAGGGTGCAGCACGAGTCATGCAAAGTGAAGTGGCTCTGGGTATGGACACACTTCGCAGGGGCCAACGGCGAGGAATAAAATTCAACATTACCGATGGCACCGTTGCCAATGGCAAAGATTCGAATATGACACCGACCTTGAAGGTTGACGATGTCACAATCTCGAAGAACCTAGCTAATCCTGCAATTTCTGTACAAGGAAAATGCAGTGGTTGCCAGGCTCCGTTCCAACTAAAAGGTACAAAATCTCTCCAACTCCGATTTTCTTTATCAGCACTAATGCATGCAATTTTTATAGAGCGAGAAATACTCATCGGCTTTGCCTGTGGGCACGTCTTCCACTTATCCCATCTTCATTCCGAACAATCACAGCCTTCAACCACAAGTAGCCCAGTAGATGGAACACCCCGACCCTTATCTCCATCTGACGATTCATTTTCTTCTACGGCCTCTCGTACCGTTGGTCCAAAGGTCACAACAGCACGACTTCTGCGGGACAAGGTGGGTGATGGCTGTCGGATATGTGCATTAACCAGGAAGATCGATTCCATTGGCAACGAAGCTGATATATAAGCTTGTCATCGTTGGGACACAGGGTGCCTTAATATCCACTCGTCTACCATTTCATACACAAGCTTGCCCTCATGTATATCCGTTGTTTCCTTGCGATACCCAAATATCTTGGACAATCTTCCTACTTCAAGAGCTCAGTCATATTATTGTAATTATTGTCTGCGCTTTCCAGCTAAGATCCTGCAATGAAGCGTTCAAACTAGGGATTTTTCACATTTTATCTGAATGGATGGCTGAAGAGATGGACTATTCTGGCGTTTTGATATGGGGCCTTGTGTTGCTTTATGTACTTTACTCGCGATACATGAAATGAAGTCGAAATAACCCCGAAGAAAATTGTTTACCCACCTCCTGAAGAACTCTCATTGGTTGATTCTGTTGAAAGCAGCCCCTACTCTTATACCAAGGTTGGCCCACTTATAAGCGAGGGTGGGTTCAATCGGTGAAGTAGGTCGTGCAATGGTCCATACGTAGTAATACTTATCTACATAGTTAAGACCAGTGAGACTTTATATGAAAAAAAAGATATTTAACTCCCAATCTTCCCAGATCTGAGAAATGGACAGGGCCTCTCGCCAAGTTCGAATTCGGTGGCTAAGCCGCGAGCCTTAGAAGAGAATAATTCTAGAGATACAGAGGGAATATAGAGAAGTGAGGCAAACTTTTAACTGATACAGATGAAAGGATTCAGTCAAAATGCTATAAATTGGCCTTGTGTCCATGCAATTCAACAGCAGAATTCTGGCCCAGTATTCGTGATGGGTTGACAAGCAAAAGTTCAGTGCCACTTGTGAACTTTGTTCCATCTAGTTGCACACTGCCTGCGGTTGTTGTCATTTGAAACGTCTTTAAAATGAAGAAGCGTGGGGTCAGATAAAGATCGGCCTTGGGGTTAATATCCGCATATCTGGCACCTTCTACGAGATACCGTAGCCAAGCACAAGTGGGTTGTCTGGGTGACGATAACCGGTCATACTTTGATATTATTCCGTGTTAGCTGGGCGTGAAGCTAGCCAATGAAGAAATTTGACTTGTTCTGTAAAATACTTGGACATGAGGGGCATGAAATCTCCCTCCACAGTGTCTTTGGTGGGATTGACGTCCCCATCGTCATTAGTCTGTTTTTCGTAGAGTAGCCTCAGCTGTCTGTTAATCACCTCTTTGGAAACCGAGAGTACGATATCAAATTCTGCAATGGTTCCGGAAGTCATGGACATCTCAAAAAACAAGAAAATCAAGTAACAAGTATACTAGTGTCGGTTTTTTGGAATATTGCAGAGTGCAAACTTGGAAGAAGCTCAATAAAAAATAACCTTGGAAAGTCTATGTGCAAGAGAAATCTCGATACTTATAGAATATAAGTATGGATATCTAGGTACTATGGCCTAGGTTGTTTACTCAGAGGCTTTGGACCAAGCTAGCAACAAAATGCAGACCAGATGGATACCTTTTGTTGTCAGTGAAAATAATTAAATTTAAACTAACCGTTAATAATATTACTAATAATATTATAGAATTTAATATCAACTCATAACTAATTAATTCGACAGCAACTCAGTGAGTCCCTAGAGATAGGAAATTAATATAGAATGAGAGTGAGAGTGGAAATCTGATACCATGCTTGCTTGAACAATATTCTCACTTCTCAGCCCTGCCCTTGTCCTGCTCCATTTTGGTGGAGATAACCTCGAACTTTGTAGGCCGTGCGCGAATTTGCTGTAGATTTGTGATAGTGGACCATTTGTCTAAGGTGGCGGTGTGAAGGATGAGAACGGTCTCCCATCAGAAATAGCAGTGACTGATAGGAGTAGAGTTGAATAAGAGTGATAAATCGGCGGTAAGAATTCCCGATTCGTCTAGACCAATCTTGTGGATCGGGGACGCTAAACCTAATGAGGTAATAGTATCTACTAGTTTTCTGCCACTTTTAAATACCGCGTATTGTATTTAAACACTAATATTACACATAATATAATAAATTACATACTATTCTATTCAATTCAACACCGTTTATTCAATTCAACACCATTTATTCAATTCAACACCATTTATTCAATTCAACTTAACTACCCTAGAACTAGAACTAGAACTTGGTATGTCCACCATGAGCTGCGATAACAGCTTCACACCTCTCCTTCATCAGACCAATCTGACGCTCTAGGAACGCCTCTGGCACCGCCTCCCATGCCTCCTTTACCACCTCACGCAGTTTATCATATGTCAGTTTTATGTCGGTTTGGAGGTAGTGGTCTCCAATCCAGTCCTTCATCCAGTTCCATATCTGTTCGATAGGGTTTAGATCAGGAGGAAATGCTGGCCACTTCAATAAGCGAACTCCGCGGCCACGGAGTTCGTTTACTGTCGCTATAGCCTTATGACCAGGAGCGTTATCATGCATGAAAGAAAGATCAATCCCATCCATACTAGCCAACTTTACCATATCATCTATAAGAGGCACAATCCTCTCACAGTATCTCGCAGCATCAATCGTACCCCATTCTTTCTCCCAAAACACACAAGGTCCCTTTTTAGAGCCATAAAAGGATCCCCAGAACAACCATCCTGGTGCCCGTTGATGTCGTACTCGGAGACAGGAGTCATCCAATTCCTCTCCAGGCCTCCTTGTAACCCAGATTCGCCTATGAAACACTGCTGTAACCCAGATTTCATCGGACCATAAGACCTCCTTCCATTGCTCAGGGGTCCAGTGTAGATGCTCTAGAGCCCATTCAAGTCGAGCTCGGCGAGTAGGTTCGGAAAGAGGAGGCTTCCGGAGTGCTACACATCTAGTATAGCCTCTTTTTTTCATGGAATACCGGAGGGTAGTCCAGTGGACATCAAGGGATAGATGACGAACAAGCTCTTTCCAGGTCATCCGTCTTGCTAATGCAGAAGAACAGATGAAGGACTCAATATCATCTAACTCCGCATCAGACAGCTTAGGAAGCTGTCCACGACGTCGACGGAGAGTCGGACGGGAGTCATTACAGGCTAGCTGCACCTGACGATAGGTGATACCTATCTGATCAGAGATCTCTGCATAGCTATAGCCTTGTTGACGTAATAACCGCGCATTGAGACGCTCATCGCGGGAGGCAGGAGCCTGAGCTCTTGGAGTAGAAGGTGGCGACGGCGACGGTGTGTCTAATGGTGGTGTTGGCGTCTCAGGGATTTCAGAGATAATGCTCCCGATATCATCATCATGCCGTGGCTGAGGGGTAGCTGGAACACTCTCCATTGGCCCACAGTACACAAGTCAGCCGCATTTCTAACGTCGAACTAAAGCTATGAAACCTTTACTAATACTTAGCTAGATAATTTACGAGGAAACTGATGGGAAATTTTCATTGTGTAATTTTGTTAAACATATTGCCGCGACATAGCTAAACATACAATCACAACTTAACCTAACCCTTCCAGTTTTTTAAAAGCATGGAAGGCTTAGCCCCGATATCAAACCAGCACTATGATAGTGTTGGGGAATTAGGAGCTGTACTCCTGGTGTTCACAGAATAGTTGTTAGGAGGAATACCAAAGCAAGAGCACCAAACATAGTAGAAACCCTGCAGCTCTCCATGACTGCCATGCTCGGGACTAGAGTCATAAAAGGCGAGGCCGGCTCAGTGACGATAGAGGTCGAAACGTGATGTCCACTGGTAGATATTGGGATACTGACGGTGCCATTGCCAGTAGAAGTAGCCTGATGAGAAATAGGGATACCGGTAGCTGAAAGAGTAGACTGGATGTGGATAACGGTGTGGCTCGGAAAAGGAGCACACTTCGAAGAGCCATGGCAGATAACAGTCTCGGTGGCAGCCGAAGGAGGGGCGGGCGCACATTGGGGAGAGTCAGGGCATGTAACGGTGACAATGGGTGCACCAATTCCAGTGCCAGTGGCCTGAGCGGGGACAGTGCCGTTGGATGATGGATAGGGAGCCTGAGTAACAGCCGGGGTCTCGGTGTGAACAACAGGAATATTCACATCTGTAGTGCACGGAATAACGACAGTGCTGGTACTCTCAATACACTCAGGGCCCGAGCAGCCTCCAGCCGAGGAGGTAGCCTCGCCAAAGGTAGTATCGCCGGTGACGATGGGACCGATAGTAATTACGATGGGAGTAGTCATGATGCCAGGGGTAATGACAGCAATGGGGATCGAGGTTTGCTGAGTGCAGCCAGGGATGGAAGACTCAGGGTGGCACCAAGTGATAGTTTCAACTAGAGTAAAGAAAGTGGTGTGGGTGGCTTGAGAGTGTTAGTAAATACATGATAAGGTGATTTTCTTATTGATCTAACCGCGAGCATGGACTTCGTTGGGCTCACCTGCAATTGGGTCAGTTCTAATGTCATAACAAGATACATGGTGATGAGAAGAGTGACTTACGAGCAAAGGCAAGGAAACCATCCATAGCCTGACGACGCTTGTCCTGCAACTCAAACATGTTGCCGCCTAAATAAAGAAATAAATATTAAAGGCATAGGCAGCGGGGGTAAGCAAAGGCCATATTGGTACAACTTACCGGTAGCAAGTCCAAGGGTGATAAAAATCACCACGAGGTAAACCATAGCAACACGGAACTGCTGGAGGGAAGCCATTGCAAGAATGACAGAAGATAAAACGAGTGAATTTAACGAACGGGTTGAAGGGGACGAACAAGGAAAGTTATGGAAAGAGAAATGAGAGGAGTGTGGTAGGAAAGAGGAATTGAGAGATTGGAAGGTGGAAAGTGGAAGTAAACATCCTGCTACTGCGGGTGATTCATACACAAAGTGCAGTTGTTGAGAATCAGGTGACACATTAAAAGGTCACAGTATTCCCCCAGCTGAGAAGGCGCTCTCACTTCGAGCTCTAGATGTCTCTTCGAATGATATCAAAGGCAATACTTAGTATCTTTAGAGATCCAGAAAGCTGTTTTAAAGATGTGTCATAGATATCAGTTAATATCAACTCATTCACTGTTCATTTTCTGATATAGTGGTACTTGAATACTAGGCTCGACAATTAGTTGCAGTTTACCGTGTATATACATACTCAAGATCCTCAACAGTGAGAGAGTTTGCTCCAAAATTAAAACTTTTCTTGATATCGGATCTTTATTAAAAGCACGTTTTTCTAAATGCAAGGTTTCAGTATCTGCCCTCTGTCTGTACATAATTATTTATAAGCCTTAGCATATAACACTGAAAGGAGCTTAATAGACACTAACCAAGGTCCAGTTTTCATATCTGCGAATCAAGTATATACCGTGACTCAACATTGGTACATCCTGATAATACCCAATCACGATATATGCGTAAATGTTTGTATTTAAGTAGATGAGAGATTCACGACTGTAAGATGATGATTATAATATGGCAAGGACAGCACTTCCATCGCTAGAGTACCACAAGGTATTTTACTCGACTACCTTCACTGTAATCTACAGCCTCTACTGTAGCATATTGAACAAAATCAGTTAGATGAGGAATATCTACCACCTTAATTGTCAAGAAAGTAGAAAAGGATGCCTGAAAATCCGAAGATTACTAATTGCGTCACTAGATCATTGTACCCAGGTCGAGGCTTTATAGATCAGAACCTGTTCCTTGTGCTATGAAGAGAGTGTCTTGTTAGATGGATCATTTCTATAGCCTCATCCCAATCGCCATGTTGTCAAGAACTTATTGCAGTATACCTCCACCCCCTTTGCTTAAAAGATCTGTGAGTGAAACTGGTAAGGATTCAAGTTCTTGCAGAAGCAAGTTTCGTTCGTCGTATTTCCGAGCCGCATCGAAATCGACCAAAATAGCCTACGAAGCACGAACGAGAAGATTGAATCAACCCACATCTCCGTGACGTATTCCCAGATTATACAGATATCGCGAATGGGACAGTTCTTCGCAACAGAACCAGTCTGATCACGACATTTCGGTATGAGCGAAGCCTTGGGCTTTGGAACGGACGTAGTGTTCGAAGGAAGAATATAGGACTAAAGTTCAAGAATATCAACGGTTATAGAGCCAAGACTCTTGATCTAGATGTTCGAGCTGATAAATTCGCTTATTAGTCATGTAACGTAGCTCTTCTGTCAACTGTTTTATGGTAGCAAAATCGGGTAAAAGTCACGAAACATGAGGGTAGAATTAGGGATCTTTGTTAGATACATGATTCAAGTGGGGCTTGTAAACAGTCTAAATACCCTTATTTCAACTAGCCGTATGTTTAATATCTTCATCAACAAATCACGCTTCCTTCCAGCTCACCAGATCTCATGCTAACAGCTAAATAAGAAACTCTTTCTGGCACTGTTTCTCAGCTGTACAGACGGCAGGTAGATCATCTATCCAAGGTGCTCTCAGTCTACTCTATCTTTCCACCATCCATTACAGCCTGAACCCGATTTACAATGACACGGTCAGTGCCTATCATGGAACCAGAATTTTATTCTGGCATGAAAATACTGGGCATAGTGGATTCTGATCAAAGTCTTTGACGTTGTGAAGGGACAGTATTCAGAGTTGACGCCTTTCAGTGATCCGTACCCCTAGGCTACAAATACTATTTTCACTTTAATTTGCTGAAAAATGAACAGTCCCTTCTATGATTATTTGGCCAATGGCCGCATAATCATATCATGGAAGCTATTGATACTGATCATACCAAGGGCATGACGACACAGCTACTTAAACTTGGTAGCATCGTGCTAACACCAACGCTCTTTATCACATTCAGATTACTCAAAAAGATCTATAGACGGACATTACCCTCTTCGATACCAAGGGCTCTGCTAGTTTTGTGATATCAGTACCACTAGTGTTACGCTGAGAGGTGTGGTGGTGGAAGATGAACTTGTCTGGTTAACCAAATCTGGTTATATTGGATCTTCTAATTTTGAACAACAAGCTTCTGACATTATATGAAACGCTTGGTTTGACCACCATACTATCACTTCCAAGATACTCGATGAGACTTTTATTCACTCAACAACTACACATCTTGTCCAAGGTTTTTGATGTTACGTAATCACCTGAAGAGCCCATTCTTTACTAAGAGAGCAAAGCAGGATATGGACAGGTGCAAGGGCGACATCGACAAACAGTTGCCCATGACTTGACAGCTAGGTCCTAGGTAAGTATCGGTTCCTGCTGAAATGATGTATATAGCCCTGGAAGCTATTTTCTTGATGGTATCAGTGCTACATACAGCGGCCAAGCTATCAGATCAAAAGAGATCTTCGCAGAAAAGTGTGGCTGAAATCGACGATTCCAGATAAAAGTGGGGGGTTCGAAGCTAATATTTTACAGCTAGCCGTTGTTAAAAAATCCTTGAAAAACACGTACAGACAAAACATACCAATTACTACTTAGCCTCTATAATCAGATCCTGATCTGAACGGGTCGTTCCGCTGGAGTAAAATAGTGTGGGGATCGTTTCAGGTTAGTAACCCCGCTTCCAAGGAACATATACAGAATGACATAATTGCCCGCTTCTGTGGGGTCTAGCAGGTTAAGTAGTGACTTATTAGGGGAGGGGCCCTTGGCTAGTACTGTGTCTAGCGTGTTACACTCATAATTACGAGCTGGGCACGGGGCGCAAAGATATCCTGAAGTTTGGTCTGGATCGGTCGATCTCGAGAGCTAGAGGGAGCCAGGAGCCTTCTAAGGTTCCAAAAGTTCAGTTGGAGGAAGGCGAGCCGCTATTAGGTTGATACATGTCCAATCGGAACTGGTACCTGACAGCATCTCAATCCTGTGGATCTCCTACTCCCGTTCAGTGACGTACTTAGCCCTAAGCCGAGTTCCGGCTAAAACCATGAACCGAGCGGCCAGCCACCAATCATATATTCTATTATCTATCTTGTCGATTCCTACCCGCGTAAAACTAACCCGGGGCAGTGGTTTCACTTCAACAGCCCTACTCGTGTTACCAGGCTGTTGGGCCCGGAGATCCCGCCGGCCCAAGGACCTGTGCTTTTTAATTTTTTTTTAAGAAAAAAAGTTTCGGAGGCTGTAGTAAAAACCATGGAACATCAAGTATACACGAGCGGTATAAAATTAGTTTTTACTTGGCAGATCCATTATACTATGCTTTTTCAGGAGTAGATTAGCATCAATACGGAGCGGACTAGCAACAATACGATGGGAGACCGAGAGACGGAAGGAAATAGCATCAGATAGTATTGTCATATTACGCACCTGAGCAACGAGTAAATATACATATGCGAAACCTGTACTCATGGTGAATACTATCTGTGAAGTAAACAATCAAACCGTAAATATATTAAAAAGTAGACAACCGAAGTCAACCGCTGAATGGGAAATGATGCAGGGCAGAGAGAGTCAGCTATAGCAGATCCGAATCGAGCATTAAAGGTAACAGACTTCGTAAATAGTAATGAAATTGGGATATCAACTTCGTGTTCGTCAATCCTAGAACCAGATTGAGATGAAAAGAAGATAAAAGTCATCGGCAAACATGAGCAATAACGACAATATGTTTATGAACAGTTTGCACCGTATCCCAGTCGAATCCGATGCAGATAACAAATGCCAACGCCTTAAGATAGAGGCCCTAAACAGAAGCAAGAAGCGAGAAGGAAAAACTGGAGAATAGCATTAGAGCTATATAGTACAGGGTATCATTGTCCGGAGACGCGTGTATAATCTCCGTGCCCAACGCCCTGGAAATGATAATTGAAATAAAGATTCGCTGCCAACCCAATGACGAGAGCAAGAATCCCCGACGGGGGATGAACAAGAACGCAGAATGCATGACATGTTCCATTGCATATCATTAGGTGATCCCGGAGACAGAGCTGATCTCACAGAGAGTGCCGGTCAAAGGATAATGGAAAGATACAGTTGTCGATCGAGAAAAAGGAGCAAAGGAGAGAGTGCCTTGAGAAGTATCGAGAATTTTCGAAGCCTAGGGACCTAGGGAATGGGGGATATATCGTGATATGATCAGTATGTCAACTTGATCTCGACTGGAGAACCAGGTACGTTGCTGCTGCTCATCAGAGGAGATTCTTGAATGTCAACAATCATGTCTTGGCCCTCTGGAAGTTCGCGAACGACATCGTCGTCTACCATGATTCGCAAGCCAGCTTGGTTGACATGGAGAATGCGGACGATGCGGTCCGGGTTAATTTGGTGCTTCTCGGAGATTTTTGTCATCAGATCCCGGACAGTTCGTTCGGTAAGGTAGATGGCCCGGTAGTACTCTTGTGGGTGTTGTTCGTTTCCGGAGAATCGAACATAGAAGCATGCGACTGTGTCATGGTTAGCAAAGGGCGAGGAATAGTGTACCCAGAAGAAACCTACTTGGTTTGGGGGGTCGCTCCGCAGGAGGACGGTAGGTTGGGTCGATGTCCACAGCTTCAATGTAGCCCGTTGATATGTTTTCTCTCGGTATAACCGTGGATTGTTTTTCTCTCATACCAAAATGACCCGCGTGCATATGCGGTGAGTTGTTCAAAGAAACATGACTGCTGGTCGGAGAAGGAATCAAAGACGCAGATGAGAGACCCGTACTCTGACGACGGAGGGGTTCAACCTTGACGAATTCGCCCTCGGTTGGTAGTTGAATAGGATACATATCCGGGTCATCTTGAGGATCACCACGTAAAGCAAGGGAGCTCATAGAGCGAGTTGACGAAAACATATCCTGCATCATGACTAGCTTCGCCTGAAGATCATCCTCTACTGACATTTTATCAGAGAGAGCCTCTTGTGAGCTTACAGACCAAGTGCGCTTGTGTTTTATAGACTTTTCCGACTTCACGCCGGTAACATTGTTACCACGCTTACGTTTGCCGAAACCACCGCCCATCTCCGCCTGTGCGATTTGCTGCTTTAACTTATCGATTGACTTCTTCACGTGTGCAACGTCATTGGACAGCTTCCGTTCTGCGCCATGGTCTCGGAACAGCTTGACCTTGCAATAGCAGACTTCGTGCTGTCGCGAAGCGCCAGAATCAATCGATGACAAGAGTTCGGTCTTTGCGCACAGTCGGACTGGAATACCCTTCACGCCCTTTGAGTGGCTAAAATCGGTAGATAGGAAGTTGAATCGCACGGGGATGGTGCAATCAGAGACTCCACCAGTTGGGCTGGCAGTCCATGTGATGCAGAATCCGTCGAAGGACATCTGTTCAATCTGGATTTGACGATTTTTATGGTCATCACCATTGCTTTGCAATGGGTCCACGTATTCAACAGCCAAAAGCTTTCCCCCACGCTGGTGCGCCTCGCTCGTTCCACGACCTTCTTTCCATAACTGCCAACAGGCAGCCGGTCTCGACCTCTGTTCTTCGTCTTCGAATGAGACACGAACAAAAGTTCTGTATCGAAGCTGTTCCGAAGTATTTGGGGGAGTAGAGTCCAAGACCGTCAAGTTATATGCTTGGCCTTTGTTAAGATATGAGATTGGGATCTCCTTTTTAGATTTGACCATTGCGGTTGGAGCACGCAGGGTAACATTATAACGGAAGCTAAAAAAAATAAAAAAAAGGTTAGAAAAGGCAAACGTCTTCGAAAAAAAAAAAAGGGTTATCTTACTTTTCACCTACAGAGTAGGTCACAGCCGTACTCGGGTTCGAGTAATCAGAAGTTGTTACATTTGAAACTTGGTCCATTGGAATCCCGTTCCCATCGACTGATAGACCATCTCCAGATTCGTCCATAGGGTCGTAGGAATCGCGATGCATGAAAGCACTAGGCGCAAATGAAGCTGGTTGCTGGATATAAGAATTCATATCGGGCATCTGCTGTGAAAGGTACTGATGATTGAAGTGGTGGTCCATTTCGTGATGTTGAGGGCCTTGTATCGTGTTTGAGAGGGAGAGTGGAGTCATCATGTTCAATCCCATCGTTGGCGTATGCAGGTCACCTGCTTGGTTATGGAAGATTGTACCAAGGCCGGTGGAGTTGGGTGTGTAGAATCCAGTAGGCTGATTGGCAATAGACATCATATGCATTGGATTGTGATCTATCCACGATGGCGAGAAGTTGAGGTCTTGTAGATTACGCGGTGTCCGTTGGTTGGAGAATTTGACGCTGGCCTCCTCCTGCATTTTCTGATCATTGCTCATTGGTCTATTTCCATGATTGGGCGTGTCAGTTTGGAATCCCCAGAAGCCTGGAGTGCTATTCTTGTACCTTCCCGACATCATGGGATCGCCTTCTTGACTGCCGTCGCTGTCTCGGCGAGGAACGACGTCTGAGAAAGTTTGCTGGAAGCGACTGATGAAGTCATCATCAGGCTTCTGAGCGTTGTTTCTAATAAGCGTTAGCTACTATATATTTAAAATTCAACATTCAACAATTCCACTGGGTACCTACCGGTTGCGGAACATGGCGAATATACTGGCTCGACAGTATAAAGAGGTGGAGAGTTGGGTTGTGAGGGAGGAGAGACAAAGTTTCACTCTATATTGTAACCATCTGTTATGCAAAGCAATCAGATGGCCCGATGTTGAGGGCCGTGTAGACGTGTGTTGGACAAGGGGAGTTTTCGGCAATTCGGATGCGCGACTTTCGCTTCGAAACGGATAGATCGGGCCCACAGGGTCAGGTTGAAGAGATTGAGTGTATGTAGCAGCTCAACAGGTCACTTTTTGTATCAATTTAGGCTGATTTGAAGAATGATGAAGGTCGAATACGTTCTTTAGGATCGAAGATTAAAGGTCAAAGAGAATTGACGATCGAGCGTATGAAGGAAGCGGAGACTCGATTACAACGGAATATCGCGGGACTTCAGGTCCAAATGAGTCGAAACAAAAGAATTTGGAAGAATTAAAGTGATGAGGCCCCCTTTTTGATCAGAAGGGAAAATGTTCGGGGCGAGGGGTGGAAAAAAGAGGAGGGGGTGGATGCAGCGTATGACGAAAGTGCTTTGGAAGGGGAAAGAAAAAGAGTATATAGTGGAAAAGATAAAAAAAATAAAATAAGACGGTACGGCTAAAGAAGCCCTCCAATAGTGATATAAAACAGAGGCCTTAGGTAAGAACAGATAATTCATCCATTCAAACTGAGCCACAGAGTCCCAGGGGTGAAAGAAAGGTGGTTTGCTTCGGAAGATTTAGTTGCCACAAATGTACTTCTTAGTCCGTACCGATAACATTGAGAGCGAGAACGAGGGACGGCAGGTAGATCGACTTTTGGGGTGGGGTGTTTCCAATTTCTTTTCTTTTCTTTTCTTTTCTTTTTTTTTTTTTTTTTTTTTTTTTTTTTCCCTTTCCTTTTTATTTTTCTTGTGAATTTAAGGAATGGAATTGATTGGTGAAGTATGGAGAACTGAAAACTATTAATTTATTTATGTAAATTATTTCTTTTGTGTACGGTAACTATGTATCGAGTACTATATTGGTCATTCCCAAGATCCCCCTGTGGATCTTTCATTTAGTACTCCGTAGTTCTGCACCTATCCAGTACGTCATAGCAGTCTTTGTTTCTATTCTATACTATAGTAATTTTGTGACTTTGGAAGTCGATCCACCTATCGATAGAGAGTATATGGATAGTTACCATAGCTCTGGGCCTCCCCACAATCAGCCACACTTTCTTTTACCTTTTGATATTGCTTTTGGCACCTTACTCGCCTCTATCAAATTCATTCTATTTGATCATCCATAATTGGACTAGCATATGTCGGCGTTTCTTGTGGCTTAAGTGGCGGTGACTATAGTCTATTCATGTGCGAACATCGGATAAGCATTTTTAGATAATGACTTGTTGTATTGTACTCCGTACGTACCTATGTATTATATAGGATCCATAATCGTATTCCCATGCTCTGCATACGCCCAGGTGTGGCTAGAAGTGATTTCCATGGATCGGAGCTGTGGCAGTTGTTCCTGTAACCTCTTTAATTGATCTGATAGGTGGTTCGTCGGACCGTTACAACAATCACCGAGTCCAAATTCCAAATCGTCGACCGTGGTATAGATACTGCTAGTTCAGAATCAGAATCAGAATCAGAATCAGAATCAGAACTTCACTCAGTTCTCCGTATTGTGATGAGCACGTTGCAAGCAATGATCCCATAATAAATAGGATAAGCGTGCTCCGTACTGAGCTGACGATAGAACTTCTGTCGATGAGATCGAAAATCCATCGACTTAGCACATTGCTCTTCTGTAATGTGATACGACAAAGGGCTGAAATATAAATTAAGATCTTCGAGAAGATCGTCAGTGGATGTGTGATGTATATTACGCGTACTTTGAAAGCTGGATGGCGATCTTAGTCCCAGTGCGGAAGCTCGGAGTTTATTATTCCGAGCTCGCTATTGCTGGCACCTCAGCCCGCCAATCAGAGAACGACAGATCTTTATCCGATCCGATTGGTGCACGGACCTGGCTATCTACGTCAGAGGCTTTTTCCATCATTGGCTTACTATAACTACTTTAAGTACGATATAACTAAACCCAATCTGGTATCATCGGCAGTAACCGTGTTGTATCCACACGGGTTACGCTTAAGCTATCTATGAAACAAGCCTTCAGATTGAAAGGCCCGTGTAAAAATCTCAGAGCTATCAGCTCCTGGACCTGTTCTTTATCTGTCTGCCTAGATAAGTAGACTTAACAGAGACTCATCTATTGATACAAAAATTAAAACAACCTAAGCGTTACACTACCATGGTTGCACCGACACAAGGAACACGAAACTATCAACCTCGCTAAGAATTTCAGCCACGTCCCTTTGTTCCTTTTTGCGTTCAAGGTACAAGACGCCACCAGAGTAAGCCATTCTCAACAACTTCGATCAAGGGGACACAAAAAATGTCGAAGCTGTATCAATTTATAAATTTGATATAAGATATGTACGTCGCATTCGCACTCGCTACGCATATAACCCGAGGGATAACCCTTGGAAGAAATGACCAGGATGTCCTAAGTGAATGGGGGACCCATGACGAAGCAAAAGAAAGCTATCAATCATGCGGTACACGGATCGGATTAACCTTATTCGTTCATCGAAGCTGTCAACTTTTCTGTTTGTTTTCATTTCCGCATAGCATCGGGGCCACGCTTTTCGTATTTGCGGATCTGGAGGTCCAGAGTCCAATCCACGGGGAGATAGTGCACCACAGTCTAGTTGCCACAGTCCTAGTTGGGTGTTCAACACAGATGTGTATGCGTCTATATGCTCGCAGTATAATAATCTTTCGAGTTATGGAGTACTAACAATACTAGATACTAGATACTCCGCATTTGAAACAATCACGTTGTCAAGTGGCGTCTTTAAAAAGCAATATGGGAATCCATAGTCCATATTCCGTACTCCGTATTAGTAGTCCATTCCACCACGTAGACTACATGCACGTGAATTATGCCGAGGTCGAAATATAAATAGAAAATAGAAAATATACAATATAAAAAAACTCAAAAAATAGAGCTGCCTTTCTTGGCCTATTATCTATTACTTAGGTACCTAACCACCTAAGCGATTGAAGACCCACTTAAATTGTAGCAGTATGTACTCATTTCCTCCACAAAAGTGGAATTTGCCACTGTCTGAGGTCAACTAGTAAAGACATGGATACAAAGCAACGGCAATGGCAGTCTAGTTGAGACTGACGAATGAAAAGAGAAGGCTAAGGAGTGTGGCGAAATTCAGTCAAAAGTTAGTGGGGAATTGTCAATCCTGCATTACATCCGAGATGTACACCAACTCCTAGTTACTTAGTACTTAGTAAGCACCAAAGTCATGTTTTAATTAGGATATTCCCATTTGAAGCTCACACATCAGTTCACCTATTATGATTTGTCTAGATTTTCATCTACTGTAGCTTCATAATTATTTTATGCATTATTCATAGTGATGATCTTCCGATGTTTAGGCGCCATCCGCCGCGAGTGGAAGCTTTTCCGATCTTTAGATCATAGCTATATAATACCTATTCGAGATACTCTGATTTTTGTATCAGTACAAGGACGACACGTAAGACGTATCATTCTTCGTTGCATTCTCTATTACATATTAGATTACATAGTAGGATTCCAGTCGATCTTAGTCCTTCTGAGATGAAGTCGGTGAACAAAGTCTTCAATACGGATCTAGCATCTAATTGTCTGTAATCCTCTGCTTTATTGTAATTCATTGCCCGTTTAGTACGTATGTACGTAGGTGGGGGTAACAAAGCTCTGTGGGCTGTGAACTTTGTTAATATGATGTCAGTCAAGAAATTGTACGTGCTTCCTCTCCAGGGCTGTTCTTAGGTAATGTAATGTGTAGTTCGAGATGAATGTTTCAAGACTCTATCTGTAACAGATGATCCATACCTAGGTATGTAACTATGTTCTCGGTATTCTACTTCGAGGTCGATCTGCAGTCATCATATACGCTGAAGTAAGTACGGCTTAGAGCCATTGATATTATCCATCTATAAAGTTGCCCAATACCAAATATGAATGTCCGTTATGCAAGATGTCCAAGTGCCGCACGAAACAAAAGTCATCTCGTCCGAAATGCGTGTCAACAAGCTAGAGAGGAAGGAAATGACAGGGGAAAAGAAAATGGTATAATGATGAAATGCTGCCACATCATCACTTACTCGCTCTCAAGAATGAGAATGAGAAGAAAATGAAAATATTAACAAAAAGCGTTCTGTCTCAACAGGACTGTATATGTACTGAATGACCATTGGCCAGGTTCTGCGCTTTGGCGAAGGTAAAAAGAGAGAGAAAAATAAAAAGCAAGAAAGAGTGAATATCAACAAGCATAACAATATCAAGAATCTCAATGTTGAATGATGAGGGAAAATCCATCAATCCAGGATGCAGAAGAACCACAAACTCCGGCAATCCTATATCCGAGAGGAGGGATCAATGTGTGTCTGTCAAGAAGTTAATATCAAATCGTGTAGGCCTCGATTCACAAGAAAACTCACCCTGATCCACCTGTCGCATTTCCATAGACACCTGACTTTCTCCCCAGACTGGTGAGAATCTCGATTCCATCGATCCAAAGTCCAGCTCGTACGTAGAATCCAAGAATAATCTCCCCACGCCGGATGTCAAGTACAAACTCATCACCGCCGGGTTTACCGCCACGTTTTCCAAAGAGTTGGCTCGTCAGGTCCTCGTAGAAGAACTCCAGGCCATCCACCGCAGATCCATGGTAGATTTTGACTGACATCAAGAGCTTTGATGAGAAAGCACAATCAAGCAAAACTTGCTCTGGCACACTGCCTTCCATGCTAGATTGGCCTAGCAACCCACTTTTGTAGCCAGACTGGCCCTTGGGTAGCTTCACCACGGAATTCTTCGGCTTCAATGAACCAACGTCCTCCACGGTGTAGCTGCCCATAGCGCCGGAGAAGACTACCACCTTGATCTTCTTCTTCTTCTCCCTCTCGGATCCAAAGAGCTTTTGGCGGAGTTCGCCCTCGGTCACGGACACTTGCTTCGGTAGGCCGTTGCTACTGGACTCGACGTTCAAATATTCGATGGAGGTGTGGCACAAGTCATCGCCTTCTGCATAGAGCTCCATAAAGGCAATGCCGGAGGTCGCTGTGAAGAGAATCTTTCCATTCTCTACAGGCCACACTTGCACACTGCCATCTAAGCTCGCCGACGCATCACTGGGAAGGCGGAAGCAAGGGTGGAATCGGAAGCGCAGTGCATCGAGGCGGTGCCAGCCACACTCATCATTCGGTAAGCAAACTTTCAACCCTTGGGCCTTGGTGCGAGTTGAAAAAGGCTCCTTGGTCAAGAATGTACGGTTCAGCTGCACATAATCACGAAGCATTACACCAGATTCCTGGTGCGGAGACCCGAAGAGATGTCCCACTTCATGCATATGCGCTCCGATACCTATGTTGGCTGCTTCCCAGTTAGATCCCGCATCGCCACAATCGTTAGCGACATAGTTAGTGTCGGTCCGTGTGCAGTCTGAAAATGCATCCACGACCTCATCAAGCGAGGATGGGTAGCTTTGAAGGCAATGGGATCCAAACATGGCCATCTTGATATCACCTCCGGACGATCCAAGTGCGGCGTGACCAGTAATGGTCTGCGCTGTCGTATCCCAGTGCGAGTCGAGGAGGAGAACCGAGATGTACTGCTCCTGACCAGGTTGGGGGTTGAAATGCTTCCGTACCGCGTTCTTGGCAATGTTGAACAGCTCATCTTTGTTCTGAGCGCTACCGTTCTGTTGCGCAATGTCGAGATCCCGTAGCTCTGCGACTGTCTTCTCCGAGCGCACAATGTGAATTTTGGCCTCGTTGCGCATTTGACCATTCTCCCAATCGCGACGACTCAGACTGCCCTTCTGCCATTCCTCCTCAAAGCGGAAGCAGCGTCGTCCAAAATTATTCCGGAACATCTGCTCTCCCGTAAATGCTTGCCAGAGATACGCCGCTGTTCGGTATTTACGGATCGCGGTCTCCAACCCATTCCCTTCGCGCTCAATTCTTTTAGGCACGGCATCGTAGGTACCGTCAGAGTCCTTTCCTAGCAAGATCACCAGTTGTAGTGGGGGTGCATTGATCAAAGGGAGGTAGTTGATGCAAATCCACGACGAATGCGCCACGGGAGTGGTACTTCCTGACGAGAGCTTGGGAGAGTGGAAATCAAATCGGAGACGGTTGGGTCCTGGAACCAGATGAACGAGTGCCTTGAAGTGTGATGCCGTGACAGGCCAGCTTGTCGACGGGAAATTATCTTGGTGGTGGAATACGGTTATGTTCCCGTCCAGCGGGTGAGTTCGCGGGTCACCGATCTGGCCGTATACGAGTAGGACTTTTTGGTGAACCTAGAAAGTAAGATAGGTTAGGACTGGTGGAAGGGGGATCATTGGAAGGTTGTGAGAATGTGCGGAGTACAAACCCAGGAGTTATCGGTGATCGATATGATCCTTGGCGCATAAGGAGAGCCCGAAGTAAGCGAGCGATAAGATGTGGTAGGTGAACGACCAATTCCATTGACGGAGGTAGTGGAGCTAACCTGCGGAGTAAGATTAATGACATAGTCTAGAGAATTGCACTCCGTACTCGGGATCTACATACAATCATGCTGTTGCGTTGTGAATTGGGCCGGTAAGGTCCTGGTCGCAGGCGCAATTGCGGTAGTGGACTACTGACAATACTGGCAGCGCTGCCTTCATTGGAGTCTGATTCAACCAGGGAGGGTAAATTTGGAGAAGATTGAGTAGGTTTGATGGATGCAGGAGGTGTTATTGAAGTATGAGAAGTATCGACGGAGGTATCGATTGTGGAGGAAGAAGTTCCAGAGACAACTTCAACCTTTGCGGTCGCATCTTTACCATCTTGGGTGCTTGCCTTTGAACGGCGCCGAAGAGACTTGAAAAACATGCTGAGAGATCTAGTCTCTAGATGATCTAGAGCTCTAGAACCTGGTCGTTAAAAAAAGGTATGTAACTGTAGCTGCCTTGGTGGGGGGAATTTAGACAGGAACAGGAGAGCGCGACTGTTTGCGGACAATACAACATGGAAGATGAAGAGGAAGAAAAGGAGGAAGAAGAGGGAGAGAGAGAGAGAGAGAGAGAGAAAGAGAGAGAGAGAGAGAGAGAGAGGAAAGAGGAAAGAGAGTAAAAGAGAGTAAAAGAGAGAACAGGCAAAATAAGCCCCGAAAGCCCTAAATTCTAAAAAGTCAAAAGAGCAGAGAACAGTTCACAGTAAATAGTACCCCTAAACAATGATAGAAAGGTATATAGAATTACGTACGCCTGCTTAAAGCCACTTGGAGTAATCAGGAGGCCTGTTTCACCGGTGGATCTATTAATGATCTTTCTAATTAGTACTATAGTAACTTAGTTCAGATCTAGCGTTGGATTAGTGCCTCATTAAGGGGGCCCGTGGAGTTGATTTGATAGCTTTCCATATTTCCTTCCCTCTTTTCTCCCCGACTGAAACATTAGATCCACTGATCCTTGGTTTGGAACTGCAATGATTCAAGGAATGATAAGCCATTGCATCAGATCAGCATTAGCCCTGAGCCTTTGCTATTTTCAGTTATCCGATATCAGATATCAGTATTTTCCGAAGACTCCCAAGGCTGCCACGTAACCCAGGGAACGTGCATTATGTCTTCAGCAAACTACGCAATTATAGGAGTTCGGAGTCCGGAGAACTCATTGGAGGGATTTGGCATTATTATATTTATTATACATTATATATCACGTAAAGGCCGAACCCCCACTTCAGAAGCCTTGGAAGTGTGAGACATTACCACGATATCTGGGATATATGATATATATGATATATATGATATATAAAGTAGTACTAGATATAGGTGGACATTGATAGAAAAAGGGTCATGGATGTCCTATTGTTCATGGCCTGGGTGGATCATGATTCCTTGAGGAATGTTGGAGGTTCCCTTCAAATAGTGCTCTGTAGAGAAAGAGAGTAGAGAAAGAGAGAGACCTAAGACTAAAAGGGGGAAGCGTTGAAGCTTAGCAGCAGTGGGGGCTGGATATGTACAAGAGTAGAGTCCAATAAGGCCCACTCGTTACTGCATCATCTTCATTCTTCCTAGCAGATGAGTTGTCGAGCTGAAGGAGTTACTAGTACGTAGTACATCTAGTAAGTACTCTTATAGTGCGGAAACGAAACACGGATCGCGTAAAATGTAAAATTGGACGCGTTTTCTCTTTCTCTTTTCTCTTTCACAAGCCCATTCCTCACTTCACTCATTTTAATTATATGAATTTATGTACTAAAATCTATCACGCTTTTCCGTTTTCATTTGGTATTTTCCATTAAATTTCTCCAGTCTTGACGTCCTCGGTTAAGTGGCTCCACCAACCTTCACCAATGGCTATCCCTTCCCAGCCGCCCTTACCTTTACTGGAAAGACCAGTCTTTCTTTCTTCATCTACATCCATCATGACCTTGCCATCGTCAGATTCTGAGAAGACTATTCGCAAGTTTGACATTGCTCAGGTGAGATCATGAATAGAAGAGTCTATTCCTTCCTTTTCTCCCTTAAAAGAAAAAAACACAAAAACAAAAACCTAGGCGTCTTCAATCCAGGAATTCATCTATACTCTATAGCTCTGTAGCTTTTGTACCACTCATCTCTGAACTTACGACTGACATTTCTTCTATTTCTAGGTTTCTTACTGTCTTCAAGATCGTTTGGGCCTCGCAAAGCTCAAGTTACAACATGGGGATCTTCATGGATTGAAGTTGAGGGACAACAAAGCTGGTCCCTCGGACAACGAGAAACCTTCCGACTCCTCCTCCACTTTCTCGCGCAGCCGTTGCGAGACCCCGGCAACCTCACCTCCCATCCAAAATGCTACATACTCAAGAGAGCTCCTCCGATCAGCCCGGAGTAAGCATGCTGTCATGTTCGACAAGCGGGTGCTCACTGCCACCCAGCCCATGTTGACCGGGAAGCGAACCCGATCAGACTCCCTCTCGGAACGCCCAGCAAAGGTGCAACGGGTGTCGTGGAAGAGCAACCATCGTCTGCCTCAGTCTTCACCAGGTCACCAGACCTTACCATCCCACAGACGCACGCGCATGCCCTTTATGTCAGAGGCTCCAATTGCGGAGCTATCCTCGCCAGCATTCCACAATCCTTCCGATGAAGAGAACGACCCGGACCTGCCATTGCACAGCTTCCAAACTGTAAGCTCCATGGCGGGCTCATCGCCCCCGCGAACTCCGCAACCGAGACATGCTAGGCTACCGCGAGCGGATCATCCCTTCGATCGTGAGAATGGAGCGGACCTCTTGATGTACCTGGCCAATTCACCCACTCCCGCTCGAGTTGCTGCTGGCTCCCATCTGTTCCCTCCGTCTACACCCCCGAGCCAACACATTGGTCTCCCGCACATGACCCCCAATATGGGAACTCCAGGTCAGCCATTGAACTTTGCCGATTTTGTCAACGTTACACCGAGCCCGGCCCAGCCTCCCTGGCCGGCTTCCCGCACTCCTTTGTTCTCGAAGGAGGCCCGCAAGAAGTTGGACTTTGATGCAATGCACCCTCCACCTGCCTCTCCCCGAGCTGGCCTTGCACTCTCTCCTCGAGTTGGTCTTGCTCTAATCCCTGCCTCTCCTCGGGCTGGCCTTGCTTTGAAATTTCAACTCGGTGGCGAGCTTAAACGTTAATGGCCGATGTGACTATTTTCTGTTACTGTTCAGTTTAATTTCTTTCTGTTTACACGTCTTACCCCCTATGCCCGTTATTCTTACGCCCTTATGATTTTCCACTACCCCTTTCCACGAGGACTTGGTCTCCAAGTATCACTTGTGATCCCACTTCCATCATTGCATCTATGGCGTTTACACCATCCCTTTCCCTCTCCTTATATTCTTTCCCTTTGTATCTGCATAGCCCTGCCCATCTCCCCCTGACCGCCAGCCACTGCTGTGTTTGGTCTTTGTTTTAGCAAACTCGCCTTGTTATCATACATTATTAGGCTACATAATACTTTACCTGCTCCTCTAGCCAGGAGAAGAGGGATTCTTGATGAAAGGCGGAGTCAGATACTACTGGTATCTCGCTCACTTTGTGCCTCGCTCTCATTGAGCTAATAAGCTACCATTCAGGTGAAGAATATATGGTGCCTATCTCTGGTTTCAAGTTCTGCTCTAGCTCTAAGCCCATATTCATAATCAAATTCCAACCAATGATACGGTATCGAAGAAAAAACACTTCAGTCTATTTCATCCCAATGCCTAAATTAAAGTCGTATCATCAAACACCATCCTCAATCCCTTCCTTCCCACTCTCAACCCCTGCCCGCTCGGCCTGCTTCCTCCACAAAAGCGCCAAATAATCCGAAGAAGTAGCCTCATCAATAGACTTGTCCTCACGAACCTTCACAAATCTCGGGAATCGTAAACTCAATCCCCTAGCCTCACTAACTAACCCAATAGCAGCAGTATATGTAGGACTTAGCGTGATATCCGCAAAAGCCACCTCCCAAACCTCCTGCGGCTCAAACCACACATCCGGCTCCCCATAGTACTCAACATAGCCAGGGCGAGAAATGACATTTGGACTACCGGCCACATACTTTTCCTTGTTGGATGCGTAAAATTTGTCCGTGAAGCCTGATATACATTTTGTCACGGCTTCAAGGGCGCCGGATTCGGGATTGCGCACTGCTAAGAGGATTGGGGACCACCATTTCGATTTTCGGCCGCTGCCGTGCCATCCGGCTATTGGGATTAGGTCGAGTGTTTCTGACGAGGTGCTGTAGTCTTTTTTGACTTTTAGCCAGGATTCTAGTCGTTTGTCTGGTTCGTAGGTTGATATAAGGGCTTTACGCCGGCCTTTTTCTTTTTCTTTGGGCTTGGACTTGGGGTCGTCGGCTTTTATAGACTGGATGTTTGTCTCTTTGATGGTAGGATTCAAAGTCGTAGCTGTGTCTTGATTATTGAATTTGATCGTGTTGTCCAGCACTTTGACCATGATTCCTTCGCATTTCGTATCTGTCGCACTTTTGAAAAAATCCAATATATTCTCTGAATCAGTAGATGCCGCATCCAAGCTCTTGACCCAGGTGAATTGGCGAGGGATTTCCACAAAGAGACTGCGGAGTAGTTCGCGACGCTCGCGGAATGGTCGATCCAACAACGGCTCCCCGTTGAGATACATCAGGTCAAATGCGAAGAGACACACATTAACCGCAATGGTTCCTATCTCGACATTTTTCTTTGCTCGGTTGGTGAGTGTCTGGAATGGTTGCAAATCACCATTCTTGCGGTCAACAGCAACAACCTCCCCTTCCAGAATGAAGCTGGACACACCTTCTCCTCGGATTTGAGGAACTAGGGATACGAGATCGGGGTATTTCTCTGTCATGAGCTCGAGGTGGCGAGAGAAAATGGATACTTTGCCCTGGTCGTCACAATGCACTTGGGCTCGTTGTCCGTCGTATTTATATTCGCAGCTAAACTCTCGCCCTTGTAGCTTTGTCAACATGTCTGAGAGGTCGCGCGTGATGCTTCCCAGCATTGGTCTTAATGGGATATGTAGCACTAGGCCACATCTGATGAGAAGCTCTTCTGAGACTCCGAATTCAATAAGACATGGCACTAGATCGTTGTAGTTTGGATGTCGAGCATAAGAGGCCTTTACAATATCTTCCGCGTTGCTGTAAATTTCGGCAAGTTCTTCTTTCTTTAGCCGTGCGAATTCGCTCTGGGGTCGGACTGTGAACTCCGCCCCGGTTGGCTTAGAGTAGAGGAATGCGCGCGCTAGAGCGATGAGCATAGTGGTTTTGACCGCGCCAATCCGCAGATTCTGAACGAGAGTTCGCACAATGTAGCGGCTCTCCTCAGCGCCGCGAGTATCCTGCAGTAGTTTTTCCACTGTTTGCTGCTTGATTTCTTGGCTGCCAGATCCTTTGCTTGTAGCTATTTTCTGAAGTGACTGAAAAACGCCCTTGATCTTGAGCGGCTTCGGCTTCACCAGCGTAAAGGTCTGTCGCTTCTTAGCCTCGAACGCAACATCTCCTGCATCGCCATGTCTATCGTAGAGAGTTTTGAGACCCTGGTTATCCAGGCCATATATCTTCTTCAAAGCTTTCGAGATGGCAGAGCCGCCTAGTCCTAATTCAAGTTCCTCGTACGGTGGCGAGATGGAATTGGTTGCTAGCCAGACTGCCGGAAGGAGGCTCCCTGGATCTCCTTCAATCAGAACTCGAAGAAAGTTAACCAGTGTATCGACTATTTTGATGCGGCTCGTCGTTGAATTTGCAAGAACGAAAGCTCTCGTTAGTAATGCATATGTAGCGTCGCCTCCTTCGGCTATCCAATGTGATTGTAATTCGGCGGCATATTTGCTCGCGTCAAACATCTGTGGATTCTGATCAAATGGAATAGTAGCAGACACTGTATCCTCTATTCCGGACGAAGACTGGAGAGAAAGAGTGTTCTTCTTGATGGTAGCGAATGCTATTGAAGGTATATCCGCAGGTATTGATGGCATTGATGGAACTGTATTAATCTCAGGCTCCACCTTTGGAATTTGGCCAATATCGGTATTGACAGGTTGAGAATCCTCTTCTTGGTCCCATTCTGCTTGAATTTTGCGCGCCAGAGCCTCATCCGAGAGCGTTTGCTCCGTGACCACAGGCTGTATCCTAGGCTGTATCCCAAGCTCTACTTCAGGCTCAGGTGCTTGCTTGAGTTCATTTTTGGGTCCATTAAAGAATGATTCAATACTGCGCATTTTTGGTGGTAATTCGCCATTTCGCTTGCGTTTTTTAGCTGGGCTGGGCATATTTCAATGTATAGGTGTTTAAGGTGCCTGTCATCGAGCTCTGCGGAAAGACGTCAGCGGAAGGCGGAGATCAAAGGTCGCGACACCGTTGCGCTTAACGTTGTTCCATCCCTCAACAATGGCACCACCCACGTCCCTGTCATCGCACGAGAGGACACGGGTGGAAGATTATTTCAATGACAAGATCCAAGTCTCTGCTGACCTTGAGAGCCTGGACTCGCTGTTATCCACCCTTCGCGCGCAACAGGACCTCCAGCGGAAGCAGGTACTGATCCCCTCCTTGCCCGCAAAGTCCATGTCTCGAAATGCGCACCACCCACTAACTCAACTTCTACAGCTAACAGAAGCTCAAGAGGCCCTTTCTAATGCTACAAAAGCATCTAATGACCACGCCGAAGCTACTCGAAAGCGTGCCGAGGCATTCGCGGAGGAACAAGCGGACATCGATCGACGGCTAAAGGCAATTACAAAATCGGAGACCAGCGATGAAGCGGTTCGACGTCTGGAAAGTAGTATGCAGAGGCTACAAAGACTGGATATTTCCAAGGGATACGTGGAGTTGCTGAAGGAAGCCGAAGAGTTGAGGTATGCTCCCAACACTTGAAGGCAAATTGAAGATACTAAGAAGTGCAATTTTAGTAAGGATGCTTTGTCGAAAATCACCTCGGAACCCCGTGCCGCATTGAAGCCCTACTCTCGACTTCGCGCAATCGTCTTGTTGCTTCAGGAAGCCCAGCCCGCCGCTGAAGGGGCTGCGCCTCACCTTGTTATCTATACGGAGAGACTAGCAACCGCGTTGAGACAGCAGTTGAAGGACTTCTTTGGTGGTCGTCTACAGAAGACTCTTGAATCCATGAAATGGCCGACTCGGGAGCTGAAAATTACAGATAATCATCTGAATTCGTGGCGACAGGATGTTGAGCTCCTGATAGACTTGCAGATACCGTAAGTTAAACTCTCTCGGTGAACTTCTTTATCTGATTAATTTTCTCCCAGTGAACTTCAAGGTCGCGATGCATTGGCTGTGGGCCAGAACCTTGAGCCTCGGGTTCTGTTTCCATTGGAGGTCATGGTGCATGCTCTTGATCTCCGATTCAAGTATCATTTCAGTGGCGATAAGCCGACTAATAGGCTTGACAAGGTAAGCAAGGCCTCCTCTAATCTAGGTAATGAACTTAGTCTGATCAAACTCCCTAGCCCGAATATTATCTGTCGCATATAGTGGATCTCATCAGCCAATTCGGAGGTTTTTTTACTTCTTATCTCCAGCCGATTTTTGATGAAAAGGCACAGTCGATCGACCAATCTCTGGAATGGAACTTCTACGACGCATTGCATGCATTAATAACTGCGGTCTTGCCAATGCTACGAGAGAAGATTGAATCGTTCCTGCCTCAGATCGCGGACCATCCTCAATTACTCAGCCATTTCATTCATGAGCTGATGAATTTCGACAACGAGATCAGAGAATCATGGAACTATCTGCCAGACCCCTACTCGGATGGAAACTGGAAAGGAATGACCTGGGAGGTCCTTACCAAGCAGGGGTGGTATGATCGCTGGCTCCAGGTGGAGAAGGAGTTCGCATTGGCTCGATACAAGAACATTATCGACACTGTCGACAGTGGGCATATCGACTATGATGGGGTTGAAATTACTGCTACCAAGCCGACTAAGGCCGCGATTCGCGTGAACGACCTACTTGAGACCATCAGCGAACGCTATAAGCCACTGACCTCGTTCAGTCAGAAGCTAAGATTCTTGATTGACATTCAAATTACAATTTTCGACCAATTTCACGAGCGCCTTCACTCTGCCTTGGAGGCATATCTTGCACTGACCTCCGCTCTGGGTCGCACAGTGCAGGGAGCAGACGGACAAGCGAGCGTGGAAGGCGTTGCAGGTCTTGAGAGACTTTGCAGGGTCTTTGGAAGCGCCGAGTACTTAGAGAAAAAGATGGATGATTGGAGTAACGACATTTTCTTCCTTGAGCTCTGGTCCGATCTTCAAGAACAGGTTCGCAAGAACCGTAATGGCGGCCTCAACGTCGCAGGAACTATGTCCATCGCGGAAGTTGCATCACGCACCTCTCCAGCTGTTACCAATACTGGTTCATCCAACGACGGTACCCCATCAGATGGTGCTCTGTTCGATGAGACTGCTTCGGCATACCGTCGGCTTCGACTACGGTCCGAGTCCATCATTACCTCTACTCTGGCCTCGAACATTAACACAGCTCTGAAGCCCTATTCGCGCGTGTCAACCTGGACAACGCTTTCCTCGCCTTTGGATGGTGCCATTCCATCCCATCTCTCCCTATCCCCTGATCTGGCGCCTACAATACGCTCTTTAGCAACACAGCTCTCCTTCCTCTCTAAAGCACTGGGTATGGCACCATTACGACGAGTCTCCCGACAGCTTCTTCTCTCAATTCAGAATTACATCTGGGATCATGTTTTGACTAGAAACACATTTTCTGCAACTGGAGCCGCCCAAATTGCTAGTGATATCGAGCAACTGTCTACTGCGATTGACAATTCGCTCGCTGTAACTGGCCATGCGGGTGATTCGTTGCAGATCATGAAGAAGCTTAATGAAGGATTGCGTCTGCTCAATCTGAGCACCGACTCAGAAGCACGTAATGCGGATGAGACCGGTGCTGATCTCTGGAGTGTTGAGAAGAGACTCTTCAGAGATAATGAGAGTGCACGGGCTATGCTTGCGGAACTGGAGATTGATAGCTTAACTGAGGCTGAGGCACGCTCAATCTTGAAGCGTAGAGTGGAGGTTGTCAGCTAGGTGAAATCATAAAACCATAGGGTTTGATAACTCTACGTCGCTTGAATTTTATGAGATCTTGTGTAAAATTTATAATGCAAGTGCACAGGTGGCACTGACCTGAGGTGGTTGCCCAAGCCAAGTATGTACAAATCACGATGTAAAAAAATGACAAAAGTAAATATAATCAGTCAATCATCAAGCGCAACATGTCAAGCTGAAAGTTAGATTCCATTCAAGCCTGGTGAACAACTGGCCCATGTCCTCTTTCACCAGGTCGTTTCTGAGGAACAACCTGTGCCTTCAACTTCAAAGACTCGATTATGCTAGGACCGACTTCCTCAATAGCTTGTATAAGAGACTCCACAGTCTTCTTGCTCGTCGACACATTTACTACACAGCGGAAGAACTTGCCATTGCCAGTAGCATCATCATCGCTACTTGGAGGCGCGAAGTCAACCATGAAACCCTTGGAAACAATAGCATGCGTGATCTGCTCGGTGACCTTGCTGTTATTCTTCGCCCGCTGGGTCTCATTCGACACAACGCCGCGCTTGTAAGCCATTTCCTTTCCAGGAGCATAGTAGAAGCAGACCTGCAGACAAGGCGGTGCATTCTCGCTAATGAGAACGAAGTTCGGGCTCTGAGTGATGAGATTGGCCAGGTACTCTGCGGTATCGCACGCGGAATTTATCTGATTCTCGTAACCTTCGGTTCCGTAGTAGGTCCAGCCCAAAAAGAGTTTGAGAGAATCGGCCCGTCGACCACATTGGAGAGTCAGATCGGCCAGATCCCACACTTCAGGAGAGTCGGCTTCGGTCTCTGGATCTTGTACACCGTCTGAACTTGGTTCTGGGTCTTCATTGTGGAAAAGGTAGCCTGCAGGAAGGGTGTTCGCGCGGTGGAATTTGCGCAGGTCCGAGGCCAAGAGGAACGAGCATGTTACCGGCACGCCGAGCATCTTGTGTGGGTTGATTGCAATACTGTCTGCTTTCTCTGCGCCGGACAGCTTGTGTTTCTGTTGTCGAGAGAAGACGAAAGAGCCACCCCAGGATCCATCGACATGGAACCACAGGTTGTACTTTTTGCAAATAGCAGAAATCTCATGGTAAGGGTCGAAGGATCCCAAGACTGTTGTTCCAGCGGTGGCGTTCACGTAGAATGGAGTGTGGCCTTCACTCTGGGCTTTCTGTACCAGCTTCTCCAGTTCAGACGGAATCATTCGACCCTGTTTATCAACTGGCACTGGCCAGACAGCACTGCTTCCGAATCCAAGCATTTGAGCCGCTTTCTCCACACTATAGTGGCCATGGGCACTAGAGAACAGCACGAACTTGTAGCCGCCATTACCATCCACCTTTGTGCTTGGGTAGAGATTGTTGCGTGCGATGACAATCGACGTTGTATTCGATGCGGAGCCACCCTGAACCGAAATTCCACCTGCTCGAGGTCCGTTTAATCCGAAAAGATTCGCTAGCCGCTGTCCAGTATATTTCTCAATGACGGTCAACGCAGGCGAGACTTGGTATACGTGCACATTGGTATTCAATGTTGCCAGAATGAGCTCTGCGGCTACACCTGGAGCATTGGTAGATGCGTAGAGCTTGTCCAGGAAACCCTGGTGCCAGGTGTTGACGGAGTACTTAAGGACACTCTGGAGAACCTCAATCAGGCCTTCTTGGCGTCTACCCTGCTCTGGGATCTCCAGCTGCAGGATATCGCGCAGCTCTTCTGGCTTTCTATATTCCACGAGTGATGATGCTGTCTGTCCATTGGCACTGTTCTTCTGTACGGTGGCTGTGGGCTCGTCTGCAGATCGAATGAATGGGATAAGAAGGTCTTCTACTGCTTTCAAGAGCTATATTTTCCAAGTCGTTAGTGGCATTCTTGTCCATGACTGCATCTGTAAAGAGCATGAAGTATGACTATGGTCATAAAGCTGGTGACTCACGCTTTGCACCTCATCGGCGCGGCTCGGAATGTCCGACATTGTGATCTCTCGATATGTAGTAATACAATATAGTACTTATGTTCAAAGAGGATGTGCAAACTTCACAAGAAATCAATGACTTCGAACCCTTGAAGAGTTGAGCTGATCCACACCCGGGCACTCAACAATTGCGTAAGAGAAAAAAAAGATTTGCCATGGAGTCTGCCGGAGATGGCGACATCTCCGACTTCGGTACTATAACCTGACATAATCAAGCCAGTCTTTGTCCTTCCAAAGTTGCCGGTATACAAGTACTATACTGTCTATTCATCTCAATCATCTTGTATTCTGAGCTTTCGGCATTAGCAGCTCTGTGGTGGGCCCAGAATGAAATAAATTACACCATTTTAATTAGTTCGTTATCTTATCGCATCCTTCAAGATACTCCATATGAAAGCTGGCCAATCGGGGATTAAATCAAAGTATAGATCGGAAGTTGAAATCTGATTAGATTGGTTTCTTATATTGACTCGTCTCTTCGTCAATCGGCAGTCACAACCTCAACGTTCACAACAGGCTGTTTACTAGCTTCTTTGGCCGCAAAACGCTCTCGAGCCTGCTCAAGTTTCGACTTGGGCCGTTCCAAGCTTTCAGTGTTGATGCCCTTGGCAATACCTGTCCATTCGCCCCGTCGACGCTTGTAAAGGTCCATTGACCAATTCCTCCATACTGCTCGGCCGATAAAAGAATCACGCAAGGTCATTTCGTTTGCCGCAATTTCCTGCGCCATGCGCTCCTTCACGAAGTAGATATCCTTGGTACCCGTCCATAGAGCATCCACGACACGAGATCCATTATTGTTCTGGACAAGTTCTACCAGATGTCCGAGGAATCGTGTTGTGAATTGTCGGCGGAACTGGGTTGTGGAAGTTGGGAGAGTCAGCGCTTGTTGTACCACATGGGAGGAGGTGGGTGCTTGTGCGAGCTGCAGTATCGATTTAGATGACTGGGCGAGGAGGCTGCTGTAAACAAGCTCACTCAGTGGCCCAGGAACAGCTAACATCGCCTGTGTTAGTAAAGAGCCATGCAGCTTCTCTGCGTTGGAAGAGCCACCAGATTGTGGCTTGTCCTGTCTACCCTCATCATCTGCATCTCTCATCTCTTCGTCTTCAAATTCTGTCGCTGCTGATCCGTCTAACCGGAGCATCTGGCGAAGCCGAATTTCGGGGTCAACATCGTAAGCTTCCTTCAGTGCTTTGGCGAATGGCTCCAGGTCGATGCTCCGAACCACGCAACGCTCAATCAACACCCGGGGAACCATGAGTCGCCCCCTCTCAATCAGTCCTCGAAGTTCGGGGATAATGTTATCCATGGCATCCTTCAGGTCATCCTTTCCGAGTCTCTCTAATGTACGCAGAACCACGTAACCAGCTGTGTTGTTTCGGGCAAGGGAACCCATGCGATCGCGCAAATTGTTCTTGTAGAGATTCTTGAACACCTTACCGGGCATATAACGCACCATTGTCTCCACTAAGCGGGAACCAACGGCATCGTAGAGCAAGCCGCGGATAAAAGTCGCACTTTCCGTTCCTTCTTCGAAAGTCTCGTCTGGGACAAGTCTCCGCAAGGTCGATTTCGGGTCCTTAGCGCTGGATTTGCCGAAGTGGGAGAGTTCGAGGAACAGCATAACCTGCAGGACTGGGTTACCCACAGGCTGGGTAGCCAAGGCACGAAGATAAGTGTCGTCCAATCCCGAGACCATGTCGTTCATGATCTTCTTGAGTGCCGGCTCAAACGATTCCGGAACACCCCGTTTTTTAGGCTGCTCAGGTTTTTCAGTCAAAATTTTCTCCTCTTGTGTACCAGGAGCTGCAAGACCCAATCGTTCCTTCTTTCGGCTTGAGACAATAGAATCGTTTGAATCAACATCAACGGGCTCTCCTGCAAGGACCAAAAGCAGTACTCGGATAGTGTGCGACGCGAACCGCTCGGTCAAAAGAAAACCCCAATTTCCTTCCAATTCCTGGATGACACACAGAAACATACCAGCCAGTGACAGTTCTGGTTCCCCTTCCCCACCCTCCTCCTCAGCCTTTTTCGCTTGTGATTTGGATGTCTTTTGCATCACTGCCGGTGCAGCATGAATGAACAGTGTTTCACAGCAGTGACTTGCGAACCGGTGCTGCACAAGATGAAGGAAGTGACCAATGAATTTGCTGAAGATGCGCCGGATCTGGCGAATATCTGACATGGAGATCAATTTTTCCATAAGTCTCGAGCACCCTTGACTACAAGCAATCTTAAGCTCCTTGCCACTGGCCTCTTGGTAGACACTTTCAATAAACAAATTCTTTTCTTCGGCATCCTGGAATTGGTTTGCTTCGAGCATCTCATTGGCGCGCGAGAAGTACTCTTGTTCGTCGGTGTCGAGCAGACCATAGAATGGCATGTCGCCATCTTCGTTATTGACATCTTGCTGATGATCTTGTTCGAGGGGAATGAAGTCTGTGTTCTGTTCGAAGGGATTTTCGTGGCTAGCGTCGGCGTGGGCCTCGACGTGGATGTCGTATGCTTTTAGACGCTTTTGGACGGGGTCTTCGAACTCTTCGCCGCGCTTGCGCTTAGTTTCGTCATTTTGGGCCTTTGCCTCCGCCCGGCGACCTCTCTTTTGCTTTTCACGGGGCATGGTGACTTTATTGAAGTAGAAGAATAAGGTGCTGGATTTTTTTTTGGAATTTTTTGGATAAGCGGTGGTCCAAGCGTCTTATCGCTGTTTGTCCAGTTTGCAACCACGATAAGCCTATAAGCCTGGACTCCATAAGTTCTGATACAATCTTTGCATAGAAATGTGGTTTTACTTAGGACTAAAGATAATATACGGGAAATGCATAGGCTGTGTTTATGATCCTAGCATAAATTTTGAATTAACCAGTGTACTTCTCCGTACTTCCCACATAGTATACATCGCTTTCTGCTAACTTCTTATACGGCAGAGTAGATTGCAGAGACATGTCGCCCACACTCAATTCTCTGCTCCATGCTGATCGTCCGATTTCCAACTTTGCCTTTGTGTCTGGGCATTATTTGAAGACGGGCCTCAGGCTCCGGATTCTTTATGGATTGGGAGGGAGCTTTGATATAGGTCGGTCGAGGCTGATTGCTTCGCTTTCCAGTACCCAATTGGAAGTGCTCGTTGCCACCCCACCAGAAAGCTTCGTAGCCCCAGTCATTTGTTTTGTGGAGCGAGTCAGAAGTTTTTGTGGTGAGGTTTGTCTTATTTTCCAACACAGCAGAAGCATGGTTGGTTCCGACAGACATAGTGTGGAGGCGAATCGGGACTAAGCGTTTCGATTTCTCGTCATACTCGCCCAAGCCGCTCAAATCCTTGATCTTCATGGGCGAGTCCTGGATATGAGCCCATCGGCCAGTTCCTAAGGTTCCCCAGATACCTCGACCACAAGACCATGTATCAGCAGTCACATTGCCCAAATCACGGACATTGGCAGTCTCTTCTTGGGGCCCCAGAATCCTTTTCGCATCAACTGAGAAGAAGGTAGTGGCTCCACCAGCAGCAATGCTGGTAACTGTTGATGAGTGTGTTCGACCATAAAGTCTGTTCACGGGAAGGGCAAAGGGGGTGTCCTGGTAAGGCAGCTCTGGCTCAAATTCCACTGCTAGTTGTCCGTAAGAGTTGTTGCCCCAGCCAAACAAGCGGCCATCTTTCGTCAATGCGAGAGCATGATAGTCACCAGATTCAATTTGGGTGACTTTAGAGCCCTTCAAAGCGGTCACTTCATGACATGTATCCACAGCCCCGCTAGGTCGGGTGGACCAAGTCAGTCCAGATACACCGAGTTGGCCTAACGAGGGATAGCTCTCGGTAGATGCGGCGGCTGTGAACACACGCCCGGAACTTGTGAGCAGAACAACATGTTCTTGTCCGCCTTTGATGGAGATGACCTTTTCACCAAGCCCCAAAGACGGCTTCAAAATGCGATAGCTCAGCATGGACTGGCCACCCAAATAAGGAACCCAGGAGCTCTCCCGAGCTTTCGGCCCAGTGGTCTGGTCCTTCTGGGAAATGGGCAGGGAGTAGACGCTTCCATCCGAAGACAGCGCAATAATTCGGCTCTCGGATAGAGAAAGTGAGACCAGGTTTTTGCCCGTGAGGGTCTTAGTCGGCTTGAAATCTGTTTCTGAATATCCTTTGCCCCATTGAACAAGATCACCATTCTCTGTGATGGCAGCACCAGTCTTTTCATCAACCTTGAAATCCCGCAGCACCTGGCCGTTGAAGTATTTAAAACGTTTAGGCGTTTTAATATCCTTTTCTTTGGACCCCGGATCCGCCACTCGGTATTCATTTGAGCCCCACGTGTAAACTGCTGGACTCCTTAGACTTCTTTTCTCCTGGATAAACTGGGCGCGAAGATCGTTGACATCAATGACTTCTTTCGTAATTTGGTTGTTAGGCCAAAACCCTTGCAAATCACCATTGATATAGGAGTAGCCTAGAAATGCCGCAGTACCGGCAAATCCGAATCCAAGGGAGTTCCGTAGCCAGTGGGCAGATTGTGGCTTCGATTTGCTGCTGGCCAGTCGTCGCCATGGCGCATTAAGAGGTTGGCGAGTTGCAGCATTAGAAGGGCGGATAAGATGTGCGAACTGTGTCGCAGACCGACGAGTCCTGTTTGAAAGCATATTTAGGCGTGTCGGTAAACTCTTCAATGCATTTTCATGAGCTTCGAGGAACCAGAAAATAAGGATGCCGCCGGGGAAGCTCAATCATTTGCGCAGGCGGAATCCAATGGCAGAAACATTGCGGCAGAATTGCGGCGGCAGCACCTCCGTGCACATGTTATCTGTCCCCGCTATACATCTTTCTAGTCCTTTCATCATTTCTCTCTCATTTTCCCCCTTTTTAGTTTTCGCTTACCTTGAGATATGAACCAGAAAGTGATCTTGCATTAGAATCCTGGGCTTCAATTGCACCATGGCTTCAACAAAGAAGCAGCGGGCACGCCGCCAGACAGCGCCATCAGGCCCACCGAGGGTACCAACCGAAAACGAGACCAAGCCAATGCTCGAGTCGACGGCCGAAATTCCACCCGAACCTACTACCATACTTAAGTTCCAACTTCCCGAGTGGAATAACGAGCTTGAATTCTCACAGTGGATTAATGACGTCAAAGATGATTTAATTGAGGAGAGCTACGCTTCATACCAGTACGTTAAGCTAGACGCTGTGAAGATTCAGACCAATACTAACATTCTGCCTACTTAGGAACTACCTGGATGAGCTCCGACAAACAAGAGATGACCTCGATAGACTTATATTGGTGAACTGTTCGCTAGTTGACACCCTGTCTCGCACGTCTGAGGAATTCAAAGCCGTGGACCAGCAGACTTCGAAGCTCGAGAAACAATGCGAAGGACTACAGTCTGCCCAGGAGCGAGACACAAAGCTTGTGAAAGGAATTCAGAACAATCTCCCTTACTACGACTTGTTGGACCCTGCATCTCGCAGACTCAATGCTCCCGGTGCGGGAAATACTGTCCGCGATAAGGAGTTTTCTAGTATGCTGAGGCAATTAGACGTGTGCTTGGATTACATGGAAACACACGTATGTACCGGTGCACTTTTCATTCTGCTTGCTCATTTCTAATGTTTATATCCCATAGCCTGAGCAAAAGGAAGCAGAGACCTATCGTGCCAGATACCGGCTTCTATTGACACGCGCCCTCACCCTGATCCGTGGCAACTTTGTGACTGCACTTCGAGAAATCTATCAGAGCGTCTCGAAGCAAATTTCAGATCAATCTTTGAATGATACAGCTCTTTCAGGCTTGCTTTACGCCAAATTTCGAGTCGGAGCACCGGAATTGAAATTGATCGGAATTGAAATCCAAAAGAGAGCCGTCCCTCCGGTCAACCCGAATCAGAACAACGAAGCAGAGTATCAAAGTTTGATGAATGAGCTGCATAACAATTACGCAGCCACTCGCACACGACTCATTATTCCGCTTGCCCGCAAAAAACTTAATGAGATCATGCAAACACCCAGTTCGTCGAAAAGCCTGTTATCGTTTGCTCAGGCCAGCATCAGCTACATCCGCGGAATCTGCTTGGACGAATACGACCTGTGGGGTGAATGGTTCCATGGGAATGGTGGATTGTATGATTTCCTTGAAACAATTTGCGAGCCACTATATGACCATCTTCGCCCCCGCATTATTCATGAGACCGATATTGTCAGTCTCTGCCAACTGTGCACACTACTTCAAACACGGTACTTCGTGGATCCTGAAGATGAATCCGAACAAACAGATGCAGCCCACCTCGACTTCTCCACCTTAATTCAACCTGCTCTGCAAGATGTCCAAACTCGGTTGGTCTTCCGCGCCCAAGCGGTCCTACGTGATGAGATCGAACAATACAAGCCCCGTCCAGAAGACATAGATTACCCTATGCATAGTCACCAGGTATCATTGAATGTGACTGACACTCGAATCACAAGTCAAAAAAACACCACAACAGAATCTACGGTTGACTCGACCAAAACTGCCAAGGAGGGTGACGAAGTCACCCAAGAGAAGGATGTGAAATGGGATTTCGAGACCCAAACAGTGCTGAAAGGGTGGTATCCAACCTTGCGGAAAGCTATTTGGCTTCTCAGTCGGATTTACCGCCTTGTAAATGTAAGATAGTATGGGCCTTCGTATTTTTGCAGATTTCCCGCTGACATATATATCCCCGATTTAGTCCACTGTGTTCGACGATCTCGCGCACCAGATCGTCCATCAGACCACATTGTCTCTCCACAATGCTAGCAACTTGATCGCTGGCAAATCTAACCCTGACGATGGCAAACTCTTCCTGATGAGTCACCTCCTCATTCTCAAGCAACAGATTGTCGCATTTGACATTGAATATGTCGCTCCAGAAGTCTCATTGGACTTTTCCGGTGTGACCAACACGTTTTGGGAACTGCGGGAACGTGGAGGCCTCTTTAACCCTCGGAATTTGATGCGCCTCGTCGGTCATGGTCTCCTCCCGCGTGTAGTGGAGAACATGCTCGACGCCAAAGTGGAACTGGATGGCCGCTTGCGAACGGTTATCAACGATTTCATTAACTCATTTGCCGCTCGCATGACGGCATCATTGCCTACTAAATTTGTCGATAGCAGAAATTTGCGACCTGGAGAACTTATTCATCCTTCATGCCATACCATTGAAAAGGAAGTTCCAAATCTTCGAAAGAAATTGAACGAATACATTGATGACACTCGTATGAAAGAGACGCTTGTCGGTGCGGTACAAGATCGCACTATCCAGATCTACGAGGATTTCTTCGAAAAGTACACCTCATCGGAGAAAGGAAAGCGTCCTCATAACATGAAGAATAACAAGGGCCGTGATGATGCCCTCTGGGATATTCAGACTTTTGCCGACTGGTGTGAGGGTGTTTTCCGAGTTGGTGTGGCAGGTTATCAGTCCGAACAGGTTGATCTAGCCGAGGAGGAAGATGATCTTTCGAGCACACGCTCTTAGGTCCATTATCCTCATATTTTTTTTATGTATTACTTATAATTCTATTTAGCCAACCCGAGCATAGATACCACGCGGAGCGCAATCATGCACACCATGAAAGAGAAATATTTATTATTGTACCTTTATCACGTTGTCTAGGTGTCTTCTCGTTTTACACATTATTCTCAGATACCTCTTTATGTAGGAAGTAGTTGAGAACAATATTGGATGTTTCTTACTTGCCTACCTCTGGGTATATTGAACCGTGTATCTGTCAAGACTGAAGGAGACTAGGAACCTAGGTATATAGCCTACCCTACTTGCAATGGGGGTTTGCCATGGTGATAGAGTTGCCAAGAATACGAATCAATTAATTAAGTTTTATAAACAATAGCGAAGATAGTATTACAAAATGCCAACCTCTCCTGTCCTGCGAGCAATGGGAACGATATCGGAAACAGCAACAGGGATTGGCTGCACATCAGGGTTCAACAGATCACCTCGCAAGATACACAGGTCGTCTGCCAGCTTTCCAAATTCTTCCTGGAGGCCCTCTTTCTGGATTTGAGACCACTTCCCATAACCTCGCTCTGCATCTTCAGTCGGTGTCTTTAAATTAGCTTGACCGTTTTCAAAGATCATGATATTTTCATTCTTGCCGAATTTCGGCCAAGGATCCTGGCCCTGACCAAATTTTAGCCACAGTGCTGCCATCCTCTTTGATTGCTCTTGTTGAGAAGGTGGCAGTGTGTGTCGTAAAACACTCCAGATAAAGATGTTTTCAAAACTATGATGCGCCAGACCACCCCACTCATTGTCGTACGGTGAAGGCTCATCGAAATGGTATGCAAAACACTCAGGGGCTGCGCGCATAGCATCATAATTAATAGCCAGATACATTCCGTCTGTGGTGAACTTCTCAATAGCATAGAACGTCTCAGTAGGGGACATTGTTGGTGTGATGTTGTAGATATCAAGCAGTTTCTGTGCAGTCTCCAGTCCTACCACGGATTCACACCGTGAGAGAAGATTGGAGGATGGAATATCTCGGTATGCCTTGTTCCAAATAATGCATTCATTCTTGGCGTCTCCAATCATGATTCTTTTGCACCATGAAGGAGTCTTAAAATTACCGAAATCGCTCCAGGATGGCATGGGACCATTGATCAAGAAATGATCGTCGCAAGGTGCAAGAGTCACCACGGGGGTCATAAAAACATCAACCATGGAAGCAGTTATACGGGACTCGTCAACCTTGAGCAGTTGCTCGAGTCTTTCTTTGGGTGGAAGGTCTGACGAAATACCCAAGACTTGTAGTGTCTTCTCGTAGATGACCTGGTACTGTTCCACAGTCATGATACCGCACAGTGGAAGTAGTCCAGACTGCAAGATAGCTCCTGAGAATAGAGGCTCGTCCCGAAGAAGATGAATATTAGTTGCCACTAAGAAATAGTTAGCCGGCTTGTTCTTCTCAATGCTGGCTTGAGCCAGGATTGCTTACCTCCACCGGCACTCTGGCCAAAGAGGGTCACTCGGTCAGGGTCGCCACCGAAAGCACTAATATGTTTCTGAATCCACCGCAGGGCCTCCACCTGGTCCCAGAGGCCATAGTTTCCAACCCCATCTTCTCCGTGACTCTTGTTGTACTCTCTGATCTCTTCGCTTGCAAGAAACCCTAAAACACCCAATCGGTAATTGAGGGTTACGATTATAGTTGGAGTCTTCTCATCATCACGCGAGATATCAGCCAAGACTCTCCCATCGTACATTCCAGCGGATCCAGCAGCATAAGTGAAAGCACCTCCGTGTAGGAAAACCATAACCGGAAGCTTCTTTTCCAGGTCAGGAGAGTCTGGCGGAAAAGGAACACTAATGTTGAGGTTCAAGCATTCAGTTTCCGAAATCGGTGGAGATTCAACCCATGGTCGTTCGGGTACAGGAATAGGATAAAAGTCTCGAGGGGGCTGAGGATGGAATGGCCTATACGAGGTTAATTTTCCATATTCAACGGTCTTCATACAGATTGACTGACCCAAATTTTGTACCATCCCAACGACGCTCTGGCCATGGCGATGGTGCTGATTGAGGCCGTCTGAAACGTCCTGGAATTTGAGCATATGGAATTCCTATATATTGGCTTGTATTTCCATCGAAGCATCGGCCATCAATTGTGCCTAAGGCTGGGACCTCAAGGGAGACTGGAGTGCATACTATGGACTTGACGTCTTTAGACATGGTGAATATATTTTTGATGATGTGAGTCAAGACAGAGAGAGGAAGAGAGGAGACTTAAAGACATTCAATCTCAAGAAATGATACACGATAAGTATGAAATAACGTGAAGCTGTAATAAAAAATATTATCTGATAAGATAACCCGGGTCTCGGGTTTCGAGTTTCGCAAAAGATGTTCGCTCGGTCCCAATTAATAAAGATCGAGCACCGGCACTTCTTTATCTTTTAGTGTGGGCCTTTATCTCTTAGTGGACCTTTAATCTTTAGTGGAGTATTCCAAACTATAGGTCGTTCAAGTTTGAAGGAATACCTTCTATATAATTTAATTGTTCACGAACTTTTGTAAAGACTCAGAAAGAGACATTAGGTTGCATTACAATTTACCATCCATTGTTCAAGCGTATTCGTCTTGTCAATATTGGATCTCGGGAACCTCTAATATTCCAAGATAGGTAAAGGCTCTATCAAATGGTGAAAGTCGACAAGGAATATAATTATACCAATCCCTCTGCCACCGCAGATGTCGAGGCATTAGATATAAAGTACATCGACAAACATGCAGACATTGGACTGCAATTCCTCGCACAGTCTGAGAAGATCGAATACACTGAAGAGGAAGCTCGAAGAGTGAAACACAAGACAGATTTATATCTTTTACCGATCCTCTCTCTAACTTATGGCCTCCAATATCTCGATAAGGTAATTATCTTTTACTTCATCATACTACTCGACCAAGTTAGCCTTGGAATTAATAATTGAATACAGGTTACAACTTCATATGCAGCTGTATATGGAATGCGTACAGACCTTGGTCTCAAGGGCCAGGAATACTCCTGGATTACCTCAATTTTCTACCTTGGATTCCTAGTGGCTCAGGTATGTGACTTAATTTGTCTTCCAAAGATTTTCATGGACTTAAAGCTAACACCGGAACTCTTTAGGGTCCATCCTCCTATCTCCTCACTAAATTTTCTATTGGCAAATATGCTGCTGTCAATGTCTTTCTCTGGGGCACAATGGTATGCTTGTGTGCTTGCACCAAGAACTTTGCCGGCATTGCAGTCCTTCGCTTTTTCATGGGAGTTTTCGAAAGTGCTATTGGCCCATGCTGGGTCTCTCTCATGGCCACCTTCTACAAAAAGGAAGAGCAAGGTTCCCGTGTCACGTAAGTTGTTCTATTGATTATTCCCATATCAATCTAGTTGTAAAGACTAAGACTCATTTATAGAACTTGGTATGGATGCGTTGGTCTAGCAGCAATTATTGGTGGCCTATTATCCTACGGCGTCGGCCAGACACATTCAGGATTAGCAGAGTGGCAGCTGATCTTCTTGATTTGCGGAGGCTTCACTGTTGTCTGGTCCATCGTTATTCTCTTATTCCTCCCGTCTGATCCGACAACCGCCAAATTTCTCACTCCCCGGGAAAAGCTGATTGCGGTTGAGCGTCTTCGTAACAACCGAACAGGTTTGAGATCATCTGTGTTCAAGTGGTCCCAGGCTTTAGAGGCATTAAGAGACCCTCAATGTTGGATGATTGCCGCCTGGGCTGGTATCAGCAATATCACAAACATCGCCGGTTCTTTCCTGCCTCTTATCATTAAGGACATGGGATTTACTGACCTGATGACCGTTCTGCTCACTCTACCAGTGGGAGGTGTTGAAATAATTGCCATGTTGTTTGCAGGTCTTGCCTCTAGCCAAATAAAAAATGGCCGAACCATTATTATATTTGTGGTCGCTTGCCCAACCTTGGCTGGAATTGTCATGCTGGATGTCCTTCCTGAAACCTCTACTTGGGCCCGAACGGCGGGTGTGTGGCTCGTTCTCTGTGTGCCTGCAGGCTACGCCATCCTTCTGAGTCTGATCAGTAGTAATGTGGCAGGTTTCTCTAAGAAACTTATGACAACTTCAATGTGCTTCGTGTCGTCTTGTGTTGCCAACATTGTGAGCCCTCAGCTTTTCATCTCAACTGAAGCTCCTCGTTATGCTACTGGACTCAGAGCTATGCTCGTCTCCATTTGCCTTTGTCTATTCCTTTGCTTTGTCATGGGGTAAGTCTTTCTCTAGTTCACGTAGAACCTCTTTAACTTGCTAACGCCCCCTCTTAGCGTTTACTATAACTATGAAAACCGTCGACGTGACCGTGAATGTGCTAATTTACCTGAAGGACACGAGGCGTCGATCACTATTGAGTACGAGGAATTTTTAGATCGAACAGATAAGGAGGACTGGGTCAAATTCCGATATAGTTGGTAATCTTTTAAGTTGAAGTATAGCTAGAGCTCCTGGAAGAGTTTCAGAGCCTATTTATTATTTCAATCCCACTTTTTAAATGTTTAATAGTGAACTCATTGATATCTTTTAATACGAGAAATTCCAAGGAAGTTGAGCGCGCGACAGCATCTATAAACTAGGTTACCTCTCGCGAGTTTGGTCTTACTACTCATTAATTTGCTGTCCGCTGTGAGCATTCAATATATCATCGACAAAGATCCTCAGCGCCACGATGGAAAATCGTCCCCTCATCCAGCCGTCCTTCCAAATCATCTTATATAGATAAGCGTTATATTTTGATTTCAATTAAACGAGATCCCTTTATTAGATATCGAGATATTCTCGCGCGATGCAGAATCACTGCTTGAGATACTACTCTTATTGAATAATTGAAGGAGAGTGAATGTAGCTGTTGGAATATGGAACAAAGCAGTCATGTGATCAAATTGTTACTTTATAATAGATAGCAAACTAAGAATGAAAACCAGACTTTACAACCACTTCAAAGGACACACAGATATCATAGGGGCGTAAAGCGTTACCTGTGATAGGTGTCAGAAGTGGGCGTTAGCCTCTCATCACCTCTATCGAATAGCTATTCCACACTTGATACAGGTGTACCGACAGTAGCCATTGGAAAGCTGGAAGAAGACCTTACATACCTAAATGAAGAAAGGGCCAAACCCTATCTAAAGTAGGCTTTAGTATATAAGGATTGTATATGGGATGAGTGGAAACCATGTTATGTTATTTAGTCATATATGTTCTATTGAATTAGCAAAAGGAGAGGGTGACTGCTATATCTTCCGAATGAACCGACCAGGTGAAAAGGAGAAATATAGACATATAGAGCCTTACTCTAGGAATAAAACTGTTCCAATAATGACTTAGGGGGCTATTTGTGTGGTCATAAATCGAGATGAGGCCTCAAAAAAACAGAGGTTATATATAAACCTCTTGTTTAGAAGGGTTGGAAGATCATAACTAGCTTGTTGGGATATCGGACAAACGACACATCACGAATCCCTGTTCAGATTGTATCGCAATCGACAACCCTGAACATTATACATATAACTGTGATGTCCCGTCTTTACCGGCTATTCTGTCTTAGACGATGGAACACATTCGTCTCAGACAGAAGAGCAACTTGTAGGACAAATAGCTAGTCCTCATCATGAATGAAGAACCAGATTTTACAACCACTTCAAGAGAACACGAAGATATTATTGTTGCGACAGCCGAGAAACAAGGCCATCAACAGACGGAAAGTATTTCGGCCGAAAAAGCTTCTGCCAAGACAGTGACTCTGGAACCAGATTAGTATATCACGGCATCCTTGAACGATATGCATTCATCGCAAACGATACCCTTGAGCGATGTGCATTCGTGCCAGTAATATCCCGTCTTCACCGTCTCTTCTGTCTCGGACGAATGTTGACATTCGTCCAGGGCAGAGGGGCGCCCATATACTATAAGTAGCTAGTTCTTTCATCAATGAAAAAGCAGACTTCACAACAATCGCAGTATTCAGCATCGTAGCATCCACTACACTTGGTGGATTTTCTACGGTGTTGAGTAGCGGTTTGTTGGAGCTCACAACGTTTACTATTCTCAGTATAATATTCGAATATCGCCCTTTCGAGCGACAATTATAGGGGCGTAAAGCGCAACCTGTAATAGGTGTTAGAAGTGGGCGTTAGCCTTGCTATACCCACCGGTGTACCGACATAGCTATTGTGTGAGATAATGCCGGGGTCCATTGCTCTATATACCGACAAGTTTTTAGGTGTTGTTGCGTACCCAGGTAGTTTAGGTAAAAGTAGTTGATAGATATAGATATAGTAGGGTGAAAATGATGGGTACTTCGCGCGTTCGACTATACTTCGCTAAATTTTTCCTGCTACACAAGTTGACGGCAACCTTGGAATGAACAGGTTACCCGGATACCAATGTAGATCTACGCGAACTGTTCACCTGTTCAATATTTGACGTCGAATTTATACGAGAATTAGGAACAATATGCATTGATTTAGATAAATAAAGTAAAATTCTATAGATTAAACTTCTTCACCGTCATCGTATATGCCGCTGCTAAGATCTTGACGATGTTCTCAAGCTGGTCCTGATTCACTGTGTAAGGGGGAGCAATGATGATGTGATCGCCTTTCACGCCGTCAATTGTTCCATGTCCAGGATAAACGGCAACTCCTAAATCAAGGGATTGTTTCTGCAAAGCATAGCCAAAGTTGAGTGTAGTGTCAATGGGTTCCTTGCTCTCGCGGTCTTGCACAAACTCGACTGCATAAAACAGACCACGACCTCGGATATCCCCAACATGTTTCTGACCTCCAAGGTATTCCCTGAGAAGTCCTTCCAGAACCTGGCCCATTTTATCACAGTTTTCCACTAGCTTTTCTCGGTGGACAATTTTCTGGACTGCCAGAGCAGTGGCACAGCTAACGGGATGGGCCTGGTAGGTGTGGCCATGATTGAAAGCACCGGTACCGCGATCCAGGACTTCAATGACTTTCTTGTTCACAATTATAGCCGCGATAGGCGCGTAGCCACCGCCTAATCCTTTTCCGAGAGTCATGATATCCGGGGATACTTGGTTCCCTTCTGCGTCTTTTTCTTGTTGCCAGGCGAATGTGGAGCCAGTCCGCCCCATTCCACACATAATTTCATCAAGAATGTACAAGGCACCGTGCTTCCAGCAAACATCGCGCATTGCTGCGTGATAGCCTGGCTCGGCAGTGATGCAGCCACTTGTAGCGCCACCAACCGTTTCCGCAACGAAGGCGATGACATTGCCTGGGCCGACGCGCTGGAACTCAGCATCAAGCTCGGCAGCAAGGCGGGCGACATACTCGACGCTGGATTCACCTTCTTTTCGGAACTGGTATTCATAACACGGGCTCACATGGCTCACATTAGGGAGTAATACGTCCTTGTATGGAAGCAGCCGTGATACATTATTGGAAAGAGACATGCTGCCAAATGTATTGCCGTGGTAGCCTTGTCTTCTTGCAATGAAGTGTGTTCTCTGAGTTTCTCCCTTCTCGAAGAAGAACTGCCGTGCCAACTTCATGGCGCCGTCATTTGCTTCGCTTCCGCTACCAACGAAAAAGGCCTTAATGAGACCTCCTGGTGCATCGCCAACGAGTAAGTCGGCAAGTTCCTCTGACGACGTTGTCGTATATGCCAGGGTATGAACGTATGAAACCTGCTTCATTTGCTGGAAAGTAGCTTCGATGACTTCCATGTTTCCGTGACCAAGAATGGCCACAGCTGCTCCACCGCAGGCGTCGATTACTCGCGAGCCATTATGAAGAGTGATCTCGTGCCCAGAGGCTGAAACAGCAACGAGGGGCTTCTGATGAAGTGATCGGTGGAGCAAAGATGGCTCTGGGTTCTCGTCCCAATATCCTTTGCTAGATTCTGAATTTGGGAGTTGGCCCAGTTCGTCGCTTGCGACGCTTGGGGTATCTTGCACAAGAACACTGGGAGCCATGATGATTGTTCCAGTAAGATGGGATATCTTGAATCAAAGCAGATATTAGACAGGGACTGGGGAATAGGGAGAAAAATAAGATAGAATGAAGGCTTAAATCAAATACGCTGTCGTGCTCGCTTTATCAGATAACCAAAGCCAGCACTTAATAAGCATAAGTCCAGAATCAACCAATCAGGCATGATGTAGATAGCAATTAAAGCCCCACAATTCATTACGATAAGCATCAAATCCTATCAACCCCGAGTCAGACCCGAACCGGCTTTGATGCTTATCTTGACTAAGTCTATCTCGCAATTCGCAATTCGCAACTCACACCTAGGTACTTTCCCGACCCCTAGTCTACTTTTCCTCCACCAAATTATGAGAACCACTCTTGCATGCCAGTGGTGTCGGTATGCGAATTCAGGTACTATGATTTAGTTTTCAGCTTACTGAGTTTGTGGGGCTTAGAAAGTCCAAGGTCAAGTGCCATCATGATGGATCACCTCCTTGCAAGGCATGCTCGTCCCACTCTGATCGTGAATGTGTGTTGACCACGCCACATGTCACACGCAAGCAGAGTCAACAAAGTACTAGTGCAGATCCACAGTATCCCTACTCGATAAATCTGGGGAATACCATTGCTAGGAGACGAGCTAACGTCGACATTGAGCGACCTTTTGAACATCAACCAAGCCTAGCATCTTCAAAACCCAACAATAATATCTCACTGCACTCAAAAAATCCCATTATTGAAGTTGATATCCAACTCGTCCGTCGTGCCGGTCAAATATTCATGCAGCAGTTTCCCGAATTTGGGTTCCTGCATAAGCCTACATTCTTAGAATATGACTACAACGATGAGCTTTCTTCCCTGAAGCTATGTGCTGTAATGGCCTTGTGTGCTCGCTACATGCCAGAGACGGTTAGCCTCTATGGAAGCCCATTGGCAGCCTCGAATCACTTTGCAGGATATGTTCGGAAAGAAGTGATGGAGCATGTGGCCGTTCATGCCGATATTGAGATTATACAAACCCTGGTCCTACTAGGTCTTCACGACTGGGGCTGCTGTAACGGTTTCAGTGCATGGATTTATATTGGTAAGACTGTTTTGTGCACTCTTCCCCAGAACATTTGATTTTGATATCCCATAGGCATGGCTATTCGCACCGGACAGATGCTTCAAGCTCGGCTAGAAGAAATTGGAAAATCTCAAAAGGAGCAACCAAATACTGTGCTTCGAGAGACTATCCATCGGACTATCTGGGCATGTTTTGTGATCGACTGCATGCTTGGCTGCGGAAAGCACCGTGTACGAACTTTCGAGGCAGAAAAAGTCAAAATCCCTTTGCCCATCAATGATGAAGACTATGTTTTTGGCAATGATTCTTCACCCAACCCAACCTACCTAACTAAACTGGTCTTTGAAGGATATGCCCAGTCGCTGCAATCCCCATCACAGAAATTAGGGGTTGAATATTGCCTATCTTTGACTATTCAGGGGTTTGATATCTGGTCAAAACTTTCACAGTGGATCTGTACTGGAGGCAGAGGAGGGGATCTCCCAAGTTCACACGACCCCCCTTGGAAAGAGACTACTTTTTGGTACCGCACTATGACATCACTTGAAAACTGGCGGGCGAGCCTCTCTCCTCGTTTACTCTACTCATCGGGAGGACATAATCTCCTGGCTCACATCGCCCGCAACCAGGGAGAAAGCTTCGCCACCATCAACCTTCTTTACTATCTCATGGTCATCTTCTTGAACAGAGAGTATATCCCATTTTTCCCCCATCGGATAAAATCACCCTGCGGGCCAACCGACCCCCCGTTACTGAAAGAGCAGGCCCCTCCTGGATGGTGGGATCGAGGCTCAATTGAGCTTTTTGGGGCTGCGTCATCAATAATTAAACTCCTCCAAAGCCTTCAACAACATGGAATCCAGCTTCAGACACCATTCACGAGCTTTTGTGTCTTTAGTGCGGCTACCACCCTCTCTTACGCAAATGCTTGGCCGCATATGGCACCAGGATTTCAAAATGCAGGAGAATTATATACTTGGGGGTTGAAATGGCTCATTGAGTCTAGTGAGCTGTGGAAAATTGCCGAAGGATGGTGCGATACACTCACCAGTGTATCGCAACTATACATACGCATTAAGAAGGATACATCCAGGTTTTGTGATGTCGGACGCGAGCCGTTTATCGACCTTGAGGATAGTATCCAAAGGTTTGCAGAAACTGAGTCAGGGCGGATACCTGCAGCAAATATCCTTGTTTCTCTGTCTCGAAAGGCACCGCAAGCAACAAAGGATAAAGAAAAAACGAGCGCTTCACGGGTATCACATGAAACTAGGCTGTGTGATGTGTCTCCCGGCACGATCGAAACCCAAGAAGTTGAAGAGAGTAGGGACGAATCTTTACGCAGTAATGAAGGGACACCATTTGCACAAAGTACTCATTCTGAGTATATCAGTGAGGAATTTGCGGATAGTCAGGATATCATTGCAAGTATGATGGGTGAAGGAGCGGGCCTCAATTGGTTTCATGACTTATCTTGGTAGGACGTTACATTTTACTTTTAATCAAACTCTTCTATACACAACTTTCAACTTCAATATTTCGTGATTTCAGGGGTCCGTTATTCAGTCACCTCTTGAAATCGAAACCATGGATGTAGATATTATCATAATAATCTTCCTCTATAATTTAGGGATGGTAACGGATTGGCGGATTGGCGGATTGAATCCGTCAATCCGTCTCTATTTCGCGTTATCCGTACTCGAGGACTCCTATTAGGGTTTTGTTTACATGCCGCTATCCCTAATCACAAAATGATAGACTCACGCGACAGTTTGAAACTACCCTGAGCACCCTTATAAAAGTGGCGGCACCCGAAATAAGGAAAACCAAGCCCGTCATAGAAAAAAAGGTACGTAAAGCTACCTGGTGAAATGGGGAACGGGAACGCCGTGGTGTATTGGTCTACAAGCCAGATACTCCCCAAACGGGCGCAGGGATCGGATGGGTAGTGGGAGACGAAGAAGGAGACCTAGAAGAAGCTCATAGAGGAGAAACACATTCTGCTTAGTCAGGCCACATTGCTACATTAACTAGTTATCATATATCTGTGGGGCGAAGCTAACGATATTATTTAAAGTTATCTAGATAGAACTCAGCAATCTTCGGGCTTCGCATTTCGGGTTTCAAAATTGATAAGGGTTTGAATCCTTTCCGATCTCGGGGGCTATGTCAACCAATTTCAGCAAGCTCCACCGATAGCTATAATATAAGGTAGTTTACCCTTGTAAAATTTAATTACATGTTAAGAAGCGTTTGTAAACAACAAAATGACATCAGCTCAGACCTTTGACAAGATCATTGAAGAAATTCTCGCTCTTCCAAGGCAAGATGCATCAGCAGAGCCCATATGGTACTGCATAGCGGTAAGTTCAATTGCAATTCTCAATCGCAGTGATTTTTTTTTTCTCATAGCCATGTGAACTCAGGCCTCCGCATACACTTCTGCCAACGCGAGTCCGCTCGTGGTAGAAGTGTACAAAGCTGCCATAAAAGATGTGACTTCGCCCATGGAGCGACGGCGGATATTACAGCGAATCCTGGAGACTATGATCAAAGGCACATTGCTTTACGGCATTCCTCGACTACTCAACGCGTTCTATCCACTTGTGTCATATGTGGAAGCAGAAGGCCTTCTTGAAGGTAGTGGCTCTGGACCGGTCCTCGATGCTCGAAAGGATATGGTAAATCCGTTCGATTTGGCAACTCGGGGCTTGGAGTACTTCCGCAATATCTACCGTGATGAAACTGAGAATATATTTGCTCCTATGTACAAGTTCTCGCCAGATATTCGTAAGTCTCTTTGGACCATCACTGGAGAATTATCATGCTAATCAGTTGGGGGTGATCTAGATCAAGCATCAGTGCTTCTCGAATACGGCCCGTATCTATCGGAAACCTCTATTCTGAATCCTATCGAAACTTCTCAGATTACAATTGCGGCATTGTTGCCTTTGGATGTAGCTAAGCAGGTCAAATGGCATATGAGAGGACTGATACGGAATGAAGGCACGGAGTTGCAGGCCAAATATGCCCTTGATATTACAAAAATTATCTGTGAGGCTGAAGATGTGCGGCTGAAAGGTGGCGTCCCGGATCTATCTGTTTGCAGGGAAAAGGTGCTTTTCTGATCCAGATCAGGTGTCCTAGCATCTCCACTGGGCACGGAACTGTAGACACCCGTGGAGCGATCATGTTCCAATGTTTAATGGATGGATTCATTGTTGCGAGAGTACTTGAAACTTTGTAATGTTTACATAGCCCCTAAATAAGAAACTTTTTAATTGAAAACACCGATTACGCACGCAATCACAAGATCTTGTGGCATCAGCTTATCACTCTCGGGCTTTTGTCCTCTAGTCCGCTCCGAGTTCCACGGCTACGATGACAAACAGTATATGGAATCATTTCATTAAAACAATCTTAAACCTTAGTTTTATACTTGAAGCCAGCTATCAAGTAATATCGACATCTTATATTGGTGAATATTATAAGTTCATTCTTCTCCGTTACACTGTCCTTGAGGTTATCGTTATAGACCAATTGTAGCACCTCCAAATACCCAAATACCTATTACCCCACCCGCCATGAAAGTTGCTCTCGACCACATCAACTTCAAAAGAGGATGGCCCACGCCGCGAATAATTCCAGCCCAAGCTCTGAACGCTGCGGCAGCCAAAGTTTTTGGGCAAGAGGGTATAGAGAATGATCTCGAATACGGACCAGGACATGGCATCCAGCCCCTGCGCGAAAACATTGCCAATTGGCTTTCTCAAGCCTACATACCAGCAGCAGGAAAGATCAACGAAGATCGAATTCTCGTCACAAACGGAGCCTCTAATGGCTTAGCGATGCTTTTGCAGAAAATTGCTGATCCGGTCTTTACCCGTGCTGTGTGGTTGATTGAGCCTACCTATTTCCTAGCGTGTCCTATCTTCCGTGACGCAGGAATGGGAGGTCGGATTCGAGGTGTTCCTGAGACTGAGGATGGTGTTGATCTTGAATTTCTGGCGAAGGCTTTGAGTGAAGTAGATCGCGATGGGCACTTCGAGACGCCTGCACCTAAGAAGACTCCCGAACTGAACTACCCAAAAATATACCGTCACATCATCTACTTGATCCCGACGTTTTCCAATCCGAGTGGGAAGACAATGGAGCTCAGGAGTCGGGAAGCTTTGGTGCGCCTGGCCCGAAAACACGATGCTCTAGTGATCTCTGATGATGTCTACGACTTTTTGAAATGGCCAGCTCTGGAGCGCGATCGGAACAAAGACGTTGGAGCCTGTCCCCCTCGTCTTGTCGACGTCGATCATAACTTAGATGGATGTTTGCCTTATGGAAATTGCGTAAGTAACGGATCTTTCTCAAAGATTGTTGCGCCGGGAGTACGGGTTGGGTGGCTTGAGGGTAGCACTAAACTGATGTCAGTCATGGGCACTGTGTAGGTCGAACGGACCCTTCCTACCTGATAGAATTTGAAGTACTAACTTCTTAACTTTCAGTGGTGCGACAGCTTCTGGTGGATGCCAAAGTCATATGGCATCTCTGTTGATAAATGAATTGTTGGCCAATGGCACTATTCAGGACCACATTGAGAAAGTTCTGATCCCCACCTACAAAGCACGATACTACAGTTTGATGGGGGCCATTGAGAAATATCTTGTGCCCCTTGGCGTGACGGTAGGATCAGGTACAGACTATGATTCACGGGGCATGGCTGGAGGCTTTTTCACCTACATTTCTTTTGAGAAGTGCGGCATCAATACAGACATCATTGCGCCTATCGCTCTCCATGCATATAATCTTCAGATTGCGCCAGGGCATATATTCGCTGTTCCCGATGATCCTTCCAGTAAGGAAAGGACTATCAAGTCCTATGGAAAAGGTGCGAGACTGTGTTGGGCTTGGCATGAGGAAGAGAAGTTAGTAGAAGGCATTCTACGCCTGGCAACTGTTATCAAATCACTGAAGACCATTTGAATCTTGATCTGCCCAGGAGGATCTCAGTGTCCTTTGCAACCAAGAATTTACACTGTCCGACGCTTTAAATTCCCTAGGTATCGAGCTCTTTGAAATAGCATTGAATGAAGCGTTTTTGTTGTCGACCAGGGAAAGAAACGTTTACCCCATATATCCATGGATACTCAGTAGTAGTCAGTACCCTGAAATAATCTAGTAAAATGAAATAAAAGACTTGGACAATTCGTAGTGGGATGTAATACAAGTGGAAGCAAAGTGTAATCAGTGCAAAAAATGCAAAAAAATGCCTCCACGCGGAATTGAACCGCGGATCTTTTGCTTACGAGGCAAACGCGTTACCACTGCGCCACAAAGGCATTCAATGGCAATATTGCCCTTATACTTATAGATATTCAAAATGACTGATCTATCATTCGAAAATAGATCTAAATGCTGAAATAAAATAGTCAATTATCATGATCAAGGGGCTACTTTGATGTAGCTAAGTGACTGAGAGCGGAAAATAAGAAAAAGCAAGGTTTTCTGTTATGCTTGATACTAGGATGGAGGACTCAGTGCCCCAATACTGGAAGGTTGATAGCCATCCCCTGCCAGCTAAGTATAGTTCGGCGCCGAAATCAACATTCTATGGTTGGATGAAAACACTACACAATGCCCACCTTGGAGAGGTGGATGCATGAATATTCTTCTTCCTTCAGATGGTTTCCTGCACTGATATGAATTGATAGAGAGTAACTATATGATGCATATAATAACTACCTTATATGGGTTTCAGATCAACCCTCCTCATAAGCCGAAGTTCGAACTTTGGAAGTTGCAACCCAACCTCTTGATGCTCTCGAGTTCGTAAGAACATAACACAGTCTGTATATACAAACAAACCAATAGACACCGAGTCGTCAAGTAAACGAATTCATCTGCGCCAGTTCTCGCTTAACATAAAACAGGAACAGTAGAAATGGGGTATGTATATAGAAAATGCAAAAATGAAGAACAGAGCAGCATTCGCTACGCACACAAACACGAACCAGTAAGGCAAGATTTTTATGGGACATAAGGAGCCAAGGAAGAGAAGGAGAAACGAACTTATCGGATCTTTGCGTACAGCTCCGTGTCAAGGAAGTTGTATGTTGGATCCGGTGTGCAGAAGGGGTGACGTGTAAGAAGGGTGCCAGCTGTGGGACGTTCAGCAGAATTACTGTATTAACGTTAGTTTTTTTTCCTTTTTCGAGATGATGTAGATGAACTGAGACTTACACTGTGAAGCAGTCCCACATAAAGGCGAGAGCTGCTGGGCTGATGTTCATGGAAACATCTTCGGGAATAGGCGGAGCCTGGCCTAAGCTTCCTAGCTTGAATATGGCTCCAATGGCCTCTTCCTTGCTCCATGGTCGGCGACCTGCAAACATCTCTAGTACTACACAGCCAAGGGACCAAATATCGACCTTGGCACTGTAGCCTTGGCCCTGAGACTGGATGACCTCTGGAGCCATCCAGAAAACGGAGCCCTGCATGGAGTTGGAGGAGTCGTTGCCATAGATATCATCTGTCTTCTTAGAAATTCCAAAGTCGGAAATTTTGCATGTACCATCCACATCCAGCAGAATGTTGTCGGCTTTGAGATCTCGATGCAGAATCCCCATATCATGTAAGTAAGCCAACCCGCCAAGAGTCTGATGAGTCAATGACTGCACAACGCTTTCCTGGAACTTGCCATGCTTGCGCAGGCAGCTTCCAACCGAGCCACCGGAGATATACTCCAAGTAGATGGATATCGATAATTCACCGCGCTCACAACCGAGGTACTGAACAATGTTAGGATGTTCCAGATGTTGCATGGTATCGATTTCGATATCTAAAGCAGCCACCATCTCTTTGATACGATCCCTGTCCGTTCCGGCAATGCGAGGGTTGATTTCGACTTGCTTCACAGCCAAAACTTCACCATTGTCCGCATTCATGCCCAGATAAACGCGACCAAAGGTTCCTTTACCGATAAGTTGACCACGGATGATACGGAAAGTAGGCTGTCGCTGCGGTACAGATGATCCAGACTGTGGGACATTCTGCGGTATAGGTTCAAGCTGGCTTAATCGACTGCCGGGCCGGGGTCTGATCTGCATAATCTTGGCACCAAACATCTTGGTACTCTTGCGGCGTAACAGGTCTCCTGACCGCTGCGGACCTACGGGCCCGTTAACGCTCTTGGTCCGATGTGCCGCGCCCCTGGCAACTTCTCGAATAGACTTCTTCCGTGAAAGGCCACCACCGCTACGATCAATCATGTGGCGGGCAACAACACCAGCTCCTTCATGGGGCCTTGTAGTACCGGCGTCTGTTCCATAAATGGCCGATGGATCGAAGCCCGGTTTGGAAAAGGGGTACGAAGCTTCTGCCTTGAACTTGAGAGGTGCAACATCCTTGCTGATCGGTGATGGTGGTTCATCAAGATAAGGAGCATCAAGATCAACATCTGGGAAGAAACTATCCAGATTGTCGATGACTCCTTCTACGGGGGGTCTACTGGCCCAGACATCCGCGTTGACGAAGGACTTTCTCTTAGATGTTCGGTCATCTTTGGGAGAAATTGGGGAATCAGAAGCCTCTGCAGGACTATAAGGTGACTGTGCAGAGAAGCCCTCGTGTACAGTGCGAATTGGAGATTCAAAATTCACAGTACGACGTTTGCGGTTTCTGTCGTTTGTGTTCACGGATATTTGAGGCTTCTCTTTCTCTGCCTTAGTCTGAGATGTGGAATCGGGTGTTTGAGCCTGTTTATTAGCCAATGGCATTGCAAAAAGGCCGTCGTCAGAAGATTCGCCATCAGAGTCATCCGCTGGCTGTAAATTTCTCTCGAATGAAACTTGATTCTCTTCAAAATCAAATTCCGGGCCGTATGACTTGCGCGATTGCAAAGATGGTTTCTGGAAAGGCGCCGAGTCCGTCGCGGAATTTGGAGTAGCAGACCATGCTGGCGATTTGGTACTACCCTGTATGTCTGGATTAGGAGAGTCTGCTGTCGTTTTGCTGAAAACTGTGAGAGCGGAACCCATGGTATTGTTGGTGCGTTCAGAGTCCGACCCGTGATCTTCTTGAGTGATAGTTGAAGAGGGCATAGAAGGAACCTGTACGGAAGGAGCGGGTGCGCCAATTGCGCTTGAGATCCGACCGACACTAGCAAGAACTGCCCCTAGACCATGAGTCTGGGCCACGGATGGCAACTGTGGGGCATGTCGATCCGCTCGATGGCCTGTGGATTTTCGAAGTGAGTTGACCTTTGTCAGTGTGTTGGATTCATTGGGTGCAGCAGGCGGCTTTCTTAGAGGAACTAGTGCCTCTGGCTTCTTCTCTTCATATGGTGATATGCGGGGTGAATCAAAATCAATCACTCCTTCACGTCTATATCCGGTCTCGCCATAGTCCTTCCGATTTTGTTGTGTTGTCGGAGGAATTCGGGTAATGCCATTCTCCCTTTGCTTCCGTTCAATGTCACGCAAATGAGCCTCATGGCGTAGAACAAGGTCTGTTTTTTCCAAATCCATAGGTTGGTCAAAGTCTTGAATATTGTCTGAGAGTAGCTTTGGAGTTGGAACCTTGAAATTTGGCTGCCACGAGCTCAAAAGTGGGGATCCAGGCTTAGTTTGAGTCTGTGGAGATATTCGACTGAGGGCATCCTCATCTAATGGCTTTCGATGGATAGGAGTATGTGTTGACGTTGGAGATGGCGCCAGCTTCTCTGTAGGCATCGAAAGCCCGAGGCCATCAACCTTTGAAAGTTGGAGCCGCAAGGGACGAATGGGGGTCGCTTGGACGAAAAATTTCAAGGAACCATAAGCATCGGATCTTCGTCGTCGGCAAAGTTCCAGGTTTGTGTCATTCAAAGGGTCTTCATGATTTGTCAGTCCAGGCTCTGTGAGGAATATTTGAGCATTGGTCCAGTCAGACAAGCCAAGTGCTTTGCAGATCCCTACGCGAAGAGTCTCCACATTGTCCATATCTGTGATATCGATCAGGCGGTAGTTCAAGCCATCCATGGTTGTAAAAACCCATTTTTTCGGTTTCGTAGCGGAAGACGAAGATGGGCGCTCGCCTAGAGATAAGTCACTGGAGTTGAAGCCCGGTTTTATGTACGGCAAGTACTGGCCATGGTTGCGAGACTCAGGGCTAGGTGGTGAGTCTGGATCTTCTGGTGAGTAGTGGTTTAAATCATTTGCCTTGGTCTTCTTCTTCCAGAAACCAAGAAGCCCCTTGCTGTGATCTTTGGAGTATGATGAATTCTCCCCACTCCATGGCCGACCATGAATATTATCTTGCGGCGAGGGACGAACTCCCTCCGGCCCTTGTCTGCGGTTATCATAGTACCGGGGTGTATAACCGCGGCCAATGCCAGGAATGGAATCAGTGCTGTTCCCTCGGGAATGGTCTTGTCGCAATGTCAAATCACCGGTAGAAGAGGAGGTGAGTCCTACGTAAGAGGATGACGCATATTGTAAAGCTGGGCTCCCACTCTTAGGACTATCCTGTGGGCGAAGAGATGAGCCAGCCATATTGACACCAGATTCACTGGACATGGAAGGACTTTGACGGCGGTACTCAATAGATGCAAAGGCATTCCGCGAATAGTCTGATCGAAGCCAAGTTGGGGATTCTCGCGAAGGGGAGTCATAAGATGAGTCTCGGTCTGTATGGACTGCATTCACAGGCATGGTAACGGAACGCATCTGTGAATTTTGATTTTGACCAGAGGACTGTAACAAGGACAGCTGATCTGCGGTGAGATCAGTCTGACCGGTGTAAGGGCCAGCCGAGCGGGGTTCAAGAATTTGGTTCGAGTAAGGGCCTGTGCTTGTGCCTGTGCCTGTTTCGCTGGGCATCAGATTTGGTGGCTCTCCGCGCATCGGCGTGGATATGTTGGAGTCAAATGCGCTGTCGTGAAATTGGCGTATCAATTTGCGCAGTCTTAAGCCTTCCTCGCGCTCGCGTGCTGAATCAAAAGCAGTACCGTTCTGGGCACACTCTTTGGCTAACTGAGGATATACGACCTTGTGGATTTTGCCAAGGTTTCCTCGTCCACCAGACGCGAGGCCGAGCTCAAGGAAATCGGAGCCCTGAAGTTCCAATGATTTGAAAGTTTCCTGCCAATCCCTTGAAAATCCGTTTCTTGCAAGCCAAAGCAGGACTCGATCAAGAGGCCATTGAATTGCCGCTTCGCTCGGTGATAACCCACCCAGTGATGCACCACTGGGATTATGACGATGGCTCTGGGCCTTTGTGAGATCTGTAGTTTGACTCGCAGCCTGCTGCGGCGGGTGATCATTGCTCACTAGCTCGTGGATATTGTTGTGAAGAGCAAGTGAAGGAGGATTCCGTCCCGATGGAGTTTGCGGGTTGTAATTGCCATCCGTACCACGGTGTTCATATGTCTGGCTTCCGAGAGTGGCTGTGTGAGAGTCATATGATGGAAAGCCATCAAGAGTATCTGCACCGGGGATATACGTTGGACCGACCATAGACTGAGACTGAGGCTCACGAGGGGGAACAATCGATAACTGCCCGGGTCGGTAATGGAGATGTTGAGGTTGAGGAAATGGAGGGGGAGGAGGATAGCCAGCGGGTGTCATATTCTGTCGGAGCCAGTTCTGCTGCCATCCTGGCTGGACGCCATAGCCTGATGCTCCTGGTGGTGGCCCTGGAGGCGGCGGCGGTACAACAGACTGGAGCTGTGTCGGCGGGTGTCGTGGAGGAGGCGGGGGTAGAGTTGGGGGTCCCGGGATATATTGCTGTCTTTGTCCATCCATTATGGGTGAATGTAAAGCTCGTGTCGCAAAAGCCTATCTAGCGCGTTATCTGCGATGTTGGACGACTGGAATGTTACCGTCAACACCATCCACATCACAATATACTGGCCCAGCGTCGCAGGGAGAAAAAGTGAAGCTGGTACGTAGATGATTGACTACTCGTCGTTAAAGGGCTTCTGCAATATCGCTGGCGAAAAAAAAAAAGACAGGTTCAAGTTGGTGAGTTTAACCGAACATCGTCAATAAACACATCCTCAAAGCTATCGTAGCGTTAAGTTACACAAGACGCGCCTCAAACGATGAGGCTAGACGAAAGGGAAGGAAAAATTTAGAAGACAGCAGCCCACTGGGACTGGGATCGAACCTGGACAAGTCACTATAGTCAGCGGTCTGGACAACTGCGAGGTCGATCCCCCTCAGTAAAACCCGAGCAAGTGCAAGCGACGGGATATTCTAGCCACACACTCCCTTGCTTCGGGTATTTATCTCTCACAGCATTCAATATGACACTTACAATGCAGGGATGAAAGATATTGTTCAGGAGAAAAATAGAACAAATAAAAAACGGGGTACGGGATATTCACTATCAAAAGCTTTGATGTTGGAGAGCATCACGTGGGGCCGCCTTAAAGTGGAGTTTGACAACTTGACAAGTCGAATATACTTAAGTACAACATCCATGGTGATATAAGTGTATGTTTATTCTTCTGATCAGGTGCACCGTTTAACCAATCCTAGCGCTTATATACTGGTCCCCGTCGCTATTTCGGAGTATATTGCAGTACTGGCATTCTAGTTGATGAATATCGACCATGTCTCTTCTCTTCTACCATGAAACTCGCTAAAGCCCGATCTGCCACTACTTAGTGCCCAGGTAGATATGAATACACATTCCACCATCTGACCTCTCATATTACCTTGGTGGCTACCTGACAGGTGAAACATTCCTCTACTAGTAGATAGCAACTGTGGCGCTCAGGGGCTACAATGGAAGGACTCCGCTTTGTACTTGGTACATAATGAAGGTTAGTCTAGTACGTAGATAGTTAGCTCTTGTCAGTGACTTTTTATGAGCCTATCTATTCCATACTCCGTATGGGACCCTATAATTAGTTGGCTTAGAACGGGGTATAGCGATCAAAAAAAAGTAATTGTAAGAACAGTTAATGAATTCATTTTTTTAAGCAAAATTCTAATAGAAATCTGAAGAAAGGACTAAGAAAAAAATAAAAACATCTTAAAAAGAGATCCAGAAAGTCATTAATATGCAGGCCATGTGGGGGGACTTGTTAGTCCCCAGCTGGTTTGAAACAATCGCCGATGAAAGAGAATAGCAACTGAAATGCACCAGAGCTCCGTTGAAGATGCTAGAACATCATGCGAGTCACTTATTGGGAGGCGTTCCGCTCGGCGGCAGCTGAGGCAGTCAACTGCAAAGCCTTGGGAGCATCATCCCGGGGCATGTACAGCTCGACCAGTTGAAGCTTGGAAGCAGAGTTGAACTCCTCGTTGGCGAACAATGTGTTAAGCTCCTCGCGGGTCTTGATGCGGTATCCCTTGTAGTTGTCATCGGTGGCACCGAAAACCTTCGGGATACCGTGGAAGTCCCAGGGCTGGATGTCGTTGTAGACAGAGTCCCAACCGTGAATCCATCGCTCAATAGTGTATCCGTCGTTGCAGATGACGAAAATGATGGGGTTGAGCTTGCCCTTGATCATTGTGCTGATCTCTTGGACGGTCAATTGAGTGGAACCGTCACCAATGAAGAGGATAGTGCGGCGGCCTTGCTCCTTTCCGGCCAAAGCAGCACCCTGGGTAGAACCAAGGGCGTAACCAATGGAACCCCAAAGAACCTGGCTGATCGCAGTGACACCAGCGGGGAAGCGAGTCTCCCAGATTCCGAAGTTGGCGGTACCAGTCTCAGTGAGAATAATGTCCTTTTCCTTCATCCATTGGCCAACAGAGGGCCACAGCCAAGCGTGTGTAATCTCTTGGTTGGTGGAGTTCAGCTCCTCCTCGGGGAGAGCGTTGGTGAGCTTAGGGGTGGGGGTAATGTTAAGTTTGCCGAGTTTCTTGACAAGCTTGCGGAGAACACCCTTCATGTTGATGCCGGGGTATTCTGAATAGCGGACGCGGACGTAGTTGCTGTGGAAGTCGATGGTGTTTAGCTGACCAATACGGTAGGTGAAACCAGTTGTGTTGAAGTCAGACTTGATGGCACCGATGCTGAGGATAAGGTCGGAGGACTCGACAACCTCACGGACTCCGGCGTTAGAACCGTCACCAGCGTAGACACCGCCGTAGTTGCGGTGGGTCTCATCAACGGCACCCTTACCCATGGGGGCAACAAATGTAGGGAGGCCAGAGGCCTCGATCAGATGGCGGGTCTCATCAAGGGCACGGTGACGGATGGCACAAGCGTCAACAAGGATGACGGGGTGCTTGGCAGCGTGGAGAGACTTGAGGACAACGTCAACAACGTAGTCCTCCTTCTCAGAGTCGTTGTCGGGCTCGTCCAAGTCGAGGGGAGTGAGCAGACGGTCACCATCGACCTTGGCTTCAACAATATCAGTGGGGAGACCAATGTAGACGGGACGACTTTGCAGGTAGCATTCGCGGATAGCACTGTCGATGAGGGTGGCAGCGTTAAGAGGGTCGTTAAGCAAGGCCACGTAGCAGGAGACTTCCTTGCTCATCTTGGCGAAGACACCGAAGTCGCCGTTTCCGAGAGTGTGGTGGAGCAAAAGTCCACTCTTTTGAGATGCGGTGGTGGGCATACCGACAATATGGACAACTGGGACAAACTCAGAGTAGGCACCGGCGAGGGCGTTGATGGCAGACAGCTCTCCGACACCGAAAGTGGTGACAATGGCACCCATTCCGTTCACACGAGCGTAACCATCAGCGGCGTAACCTATCAAGCAAAGAACTGTTAGTTTTGAATCCGTTAATGATGCAAGTGTATAGACATACCGGCATTGAGCTCATTGCAGTTACCAACCCAGTCGAGGTCGCACTTGGGGAGGTAGTCAAGAGCGACGAGGTTGAAGTCACCAGGGACACCGTGTATAGCCTTGATACCGACCTCGCGGAGACGCTTGAAAAGGTACTCAGCGACATCGATAGGGTTCTTCAGCTCTCGAGTAGCAATATCAGTAGACGACATGATGAATTTGTTAATTCTGATGTTGAGAATGGAGAAACAAAATAGACCGAGATGTCGTTACTTTTAAATAGGAAGATGGAGAGGTGGTAAGATACGGACGCTTGTACAGAAAGGTATCACGGTCAGAACAAAAAATAAACCTAGACCGGGAACGATCCGTTAGCGCTCTGGATATCATGAAATGAGGCCACGGCGAACCCGGTCGACGCTCGGTGAACGTAGTACGTCATGAAAGGCGGGCCCATTGATGTCATGCCACGCTATGATAAGATCGTATAGGAAATTTAAAAATATCAGACGGAAAACATCGGAAGAGAAGGTATGATTATTACACCATTCAAATTTCACAATTAAGAACAACAGCTTCCTAGGTTTATATTTTTCATGTCCTAACATCTAAGTACCCAAGCTTATACCGAATATACCTTGTCAAATATTTGAAGATATGGAATTTGTGATCCACTGATTTACCGCTAAGCCTAATCCAGTCATATACTGCATTTACAAAATAGTACACAAGCAGATCATAATTGCTTTCCAGCCCCACTGCCAAGCCCCTAGTGCGATTAAAAAATTGGGCTAGATTTTGTACGCCATAATTTCGAATGTAAACCCGTTGAACTGAAATCCATCACACTAGATCTGAAGGAAAACAGCTCTCTCCTCACAATTGCTCTGCAGACTAATTTTGATCATTTAGAGAAAGCCCGCAACTAGATCGACCATCTAATAGATCTCATAGAAACTAAGTGTGACTGGGTCCTTGCGAATTAGGTAAATAAGTTACTAAAACCTCTGCTCTTAGGAACAATATAGTAAGCTGATTATAAATTCTCTAAAAAAGGATTTCTTGCTTAAATAGGAACATCAAGAAACGCCTTAACATGTTGCTAACGCATAAAGAGAAGAGACTAGTCACCTTCAATCAGCAAATGACAATACGCCAATAATAATGATAGCGCTCAAAAACTGAAATGTAAGTGAATATCAAAAAGTAAGAAGAAAGAAAGAGAAGCAAAAACTTGCGAGGATGAGTTACCGAGTCTTCAAATAGACATTTTTGCCTTTAATTAGACCTCAGGTGTTTTGTTTTTATCCTGAAGGGTTTAGTCAGCTCTGTGCGTAGGTTGTTCAGGTCAAGGTGTAGTCTAGTATTGGGGTTCTGGCCCGCCCAAACATAGGCTGGGCCGAATATGTCGGCACGGGAGAGGGTCAGCGGTTGAAGCAGTGGGATTGGAAAAATAATTCGCATGTCCGAAAAAAATGGTGTGCCAGTATTGTCCAGTCTCCAAATCTCCAGACGACTACCGATTCCGTTGACTCGATTGAAGTTTTTCAGCACCATGGCGAGAGAGAGAGTGTTGGTGCCCCACCGATCAAGAAGTCGCTCGCCTTCTCGATAAGGCTTGCATATGTCTGGCTCCACCCAGTCTCAATGATAATGTTTGGAAGTCTGATATGATTCCCCTTAGGATCGGGTCCCACGCTTGGAATCCATTTGGTGAAAATGCACCCGTCCGGTTCTTTAGTAATCCATTGAACTGGTGGTGCTCCGTCTCTAGGGACAGGATTCGGCAAAGAAATACGGGGGCTTCCCATGAATTGAAGATCGAGATCTTCAATCGGTATTGTGAGTCCCGAAGCTAACCAGTCTCCCTTGCAATCTATTAGCCACGAGTAGAAAACTTCATGTACTGTGGTTGGTATTTTCAGAGTCAGGATCCCCTCTGTGAGAGAGAGGTCTTTTCTGATTTTGGGATAGCTTCGGTCGAGGAGATTGCATAGGGACCGACAGAGACGGGAGGTCAGTCCGTTGAGAATTATGAATTCTTTATCAGAAAAGCACAGATCTTCTAGAATTTTGAGAGTTGTGGCAGCAGAATGGACCTTCTCTAGGGAGAGTTGGAAGTCAGCCTCGCGTTCTCCGTCTTCTGGCATCATGTTATCTGTTTTTTTAAAAGGTGAGCATGCGCTTGCTTCGGAAATCATAACTTCGGTATTGGGGGGAATTATGCTTTCTAGAGGATCCAACGAATTCGTGATAGGAGCAACTGGATATTTAGTCAAGAAGGCTAAAAGATTTGAATCTGGAAGAAAAGAAAGCCAATGTCGAAGTCTTAATCGAAGAAGAAGTTTGGGGCAACTACTCCGTAATGGTGTACTTCCTAGCCCCACTAAAAGCTCATTTTGTCAAATGGAGGTCGACTACCAAGGAATAGTGGATTCTAGTGGGCAAATGAGAACGCAGTATGCGTACCAAAGTGTGTATGTGTATCTATTGTAGAATGGAGGAATCCCATTGTGGGATTCCAATGCTGACTAAAATAGACTAACTGTAAATGGAATCGGGCCTTTGACACATTTTCGCTACCACGTGACTTTGTTAGTGGTACTTCACGATACAACAGAACTGGATACTAGTCGTACAAACAGGCTCCAGTATGGAGTTGGAATAGACGTGGTTGAAGTGCTGTGAAGTGGGTTTATTGGTACTTTGTACAGATCAGAGTGGGCTATAAAATGTTATCTCACTAGCGCAATACAGCGCATTTTGCGACCCTCGGGTATTTTCATCTCATTATTCTATATGATACTAAAAAGGCCACAAAAGAAGCGGCAAATGACCCTTGTTTTCAAGCAGCTACAGTATGCTGCAAGTAGGGTCCCATGACATACAGGGAAAATGCCAACTAGCTACCATTATTGGACAATACAAAGAACCTTAGGGTCGAGTCGGAAATTAGAAGCGCTTAATATGAGGTTAGGATATCTGGATTTACTACATTCTCAGCTAACATATCAACACTAGTAATATGTCTTTCACGGAAGACGCCCGAAACAACATACATTCTGACTGAGAATCAAACAACTACCCGTCAAGGAAGGTCAAGAAAAGGGCAACCTTTTGGGTCCGCGTAGAAAGTTCCTCCTAGCCTTTCAATCACCAAACAACGCTCCTCCATGGTACGGGCATTTTGCAGCTTTGCTCCACCTTTCTCACTCGCGCCCTCTTTGTTGTCTTCCAAACCCACGCCACACCATCCCTGGTGCCGCGTATTGTTAAATGGGTCCAATTCCAGGAATATTATCTCCACTCAACTAGAGACATCAAGCGTATAGATTCCGCCTTGGGAGGGCCATCCTTGGACTGTCGTGCCAGGTCCAGACGAATAAAATGCCCAGAACTGTGGCTGTCGTGGAAAACAATATTGAGGGGTAGTATGGTAACTGCTCACTTCCTGGGCCATGGGTGGAGTTTGAGGGGCGGAACTCTCTGGCTTAGTTTGATAGCCTAGCTAGCCAGCTGTTACTGATATAAGTAGTGAGATCAAAGTCCACCAGCCCATCATTTTCCAGTTTCAGAGACAGATAAGTCAGAGGGGACAATATCAGAGATCGGGAATATAGAGAGACGTGTGCCCTCAACCAAGAAGAAGCGTCAGGTTTAGGCAAAGATAATTGCAGCTTCTCAGTGATTCACAAGGCAACAAACAAGTCAGTAGGCTCCGTTAAGATGCATCTACGGTTTGATGTTAACGAGATATGGTGTTCAATGAAACGTGCGATACTGTAAATGCCGGTCTCATCGTATTTGGTCCGTTAATCTTGGCCCTTTATAAGGTACTTTAGCTCTCATTCAAATACTTAAGCGTTTTAAGCGATCATTAAAGTAAAATTTCGCACCTAATTTGTAATTAAGACCTTTCAATCAAAGCCCCCTCAGTTCAAATGACATTTACATGAGGACTATTAATGAATGATGCACAACTTGGTCAAAGTAGGTACTCTGACAGTATCTAAATATAGATCCTCAAATGAGTTATTAAGACAATTTATTCAGAATTTCATAACATGCTAGTCAGTTATTTCGCTACCATGAAGATTAATAAGGCACTCAAGTTAATATTTACATAAATTTAATACATCTTATAATTCACGTTTTATATTTCAAGAGAATTACAGCTGTCCTCATAAATGCGGTCAGCTCAATAATATTTTCACGCTAAGTTCTTGGCGGTGAGGCTAAAAAATAATGTGTCAGACCGGTTTTGAGAGTGGCTGTAGTCAATCCCGAGCCACGGCCCGAGCTTCAAACCTCACCCTTAAGTTTTAACTTAATTAGGAATCCGACAGCTCATATAATCGGTTTATTCCGAATATCACGAAACATAGTGGAATATGGGAAATCAGAAGTTGTGAAATCTCAAGAGGCAAACAGAAATACTCGGCATGCCGAAAAGTCGGCCGTTGTCTGACAACTGCCCATACGAACTATATGATACATTCAACCTTGGAAACGCATGACCCTTGTCGCCGAATTTCGGAAGACCGTCTACCTAATGTGGATCTAGATATCTGAAACACCTCAACCACTAGTGTGTCGCCTGAATTACTCAATGCTTTATATAAATCTAGATAGGTCGTGCTACAAGATGTAAGAATTATGATATTAGCTGGGAATAAATCCAGAATTTAAGATACATAATCGGCATGGGTAGTCTACATAATGAAAAGAATATGGCGTTGGCACATTTTGTTGTCCTAGAAGTAGAAGCATTAAGCTTAGTACTACTTGACTATCGCTCATTCGGTTAGCCCTTAATTTAGGTAGCACCCTGAGACGGATCTGATGAAAGGAAGGGTATGTTGTTTCTAATAATTGTATTTGCTCTCTTAGCCATTTTATGAAATCAAAAATGACTAAACGAATTTCAGATCTTTTAAGGAAAGCAACCAGTCTGTAATGATAATTGGAAGAGCCTGAATTTCCCAGATGAGGAAATTGGAGAAGTTGCGATCAATGAGTTACTGTCGGGATACTCAGGTCGTGAGTATCTACAATAGCTTGCTATTGGACTTCAGCTTACGCCGCAAGCGGTCTACTTTTACGTGTAGTACGTGCGGTAGTTGTAAGTTGTAAGAAGTGGTTGATTATCATGAAACTGCTGCTATGGATATGGTACCTGGAAGTCACATGATAAGCATGAGATGATAGTACCAACAGTTACGAATGGTATGCCAATTCTCACTTTATTTATGTTGACTTTCTAACGTGATACGTCACATCAAGGTTATACCTGTGTTCGAGTACTTGAACAGCCAATTTGTCAATCGCCACCTTGTTGAAACGTATGGTGCCGCTCAATATGAATTGAATTTGTTCCAGTCGGCAGTTAACGGCGCTTCTGGGAATAGAGACTTTAGCGCTCCTGTGCTATTCAGAACTTTTATTGTCAATTTCATATCACGAATGGCTCAATGGGTCTCGACTTGGGTTAATGCGCGTATTGATGACCTTCTGGACAAATGACCGAACTCGGATGCACTGGCTATAGCACACAATTACATTGGTCAACCTGAGCAACTCAAAGAGAAAGTTCGAGAAAGTGTTTCATTCGATGATTGGATCTTCGTTTTTATGCAGAGGCCGAACTACTAGCTACTCGATTATTGATCAGCTCATGCCGGAGTTTTTGTTTCAAAGATGTATATTGATATTTAGGCGTACTTTGCCATTTCACTTACACAAGGAGAATTGGAATAATGATAGTTATATACCAATGAATGGAAGAGAAACAATATGTAAGAGTTATAGTAGGTACTGAACAGAGTGTGAAGTTTATCACGATACCTTTAGTCAGACAATATTTACGGCTACAGAAAGAGGACGAGGCGAGAAGTTACCCGACCGAAAGCCTCACAATTTGTTTCGACGACATTAATTGTAAGGCCACACAGGCTTATCAAGGTGTGGAAGGAACCAAGCAGTTGGCTCCTGCCAAGAGCTTGGGTATAGCTTACTAGAATTGACAAAATGAAAATCCCGCCAAATATCTTTGAGTGAGAATTCCGTGGACATGAATTCGTGGAACCGGTAGAAGACTTGGGTTACATGGATTTTGAGTCGGCCATCGTACCCATCTTCATCAGGTCCCGGCAATGAAAAGTCCGGATTCATCGCCCAGATATATCCATAAAACTGATCCGGGCCATATGTGCCGTAAGATAAACAAGCATCATCTGTTAACAAGAAGAACACGTTCTTGAGAACACCGGATTTTAGATGGCCTCTCTCGCGGCGACTCCGAAAGTCCCTAGTCCTTGTTGTAATAATGCCCTTTAATAGCAAATAGGAATATCACTTACTGCTATAAATAGGGAGCCGCTGTAGCCACTACACCTTTCAACTACTTATCACTACAATTCTTACTAATTCCACTACAGTGCCTTAGATTTCAGGCATTTATTGGAATTTCTCTTTTCTGTAGTGGTTTAGTAAAATTGAAAAAGGCATATAAGAGCAGTAACTACACCGCTTTATTAATTTTAGGGTAGGGATAGGTTCAAACAAACATACATGTGAAACAATCATGGAACGCTAAAGCGATAAGAAATCACGGGAGCGGGGGCTCATGCCTAATGTCGTCAGATTTCAACCCAGACTCCACCACCTTTTTACCTTCACTCATAGTCAGCCTCATATTCAGCCACCACCGTATACCGGGATATGGCTCATTTTCTAAGAGGAAAGCAGGCTGGAATCCAGAAGGACCTGTCTGAGGGCTTGTCCGCCGACCTATTCCAGCTCGACGACGTACATCTTGGCATTCCAGGCATCCTTTTTGTGATATGAACTGACCTTGTTTCCATAGCTTGCTCGATGCGGTGTCAACTCCCAGATCAGTGTGATTGCCTATGATCCAATTCAGTCCCTCCTCGCCGTCGGCACCAACGATACCCAGTTCGGAAGCGGCCAGATCTATGTATTTGGACAAAGACGTGTTTTGGTGGTTTTTAAGTTTCCGCGCAAGGCATCAGCCAAGTACCTTCAGTTTTGCTCCAACAAGCTGATCAGTATTGATTCTAAAAATGAGATCACAATCTACTCTCTTGAAACCCGAGCAGTCCTCACTTCGTATGCTCCTCCAGGTCATGCGACGGCACTCGCAACAGACCCAAGCCTGGACTACGCATTCATTGGACTTTCGAACGGTGTGTTATACTAGTGCTAAGATGTGAGATGATACATGTGACTAACACTATACTTCTAGGTGATGTGATTGCATACGATCTTGACCGTGAATCGTTGACACAATATAAAATCTCAAACCTATGGCAGTCCCAGAACTCGCGGTCACGAGTTTGCCCTGTAGTATCAATTGCATTCTCCACCAGAGACATTGGTAAGATTCTAGTTGGCTACCCGGAAGGTGCAGCGACATTCACTTTCAAACAAAATCTCGCCCAAAAGTATTTTGTCTACGAGGTTCCTGCTGGTGCTCCAGGTGGTGACCCCGAACAGCTCTCGAGTAGTGTGCGCAGGCCCAGACTTACGGATGCTATTTGGCACCCGAACGGAATATTTGCGTTGACTGTTCATGAGGATGGAAGTCTAGTTTTGTGGGATACAAAGGACGGACGCAGGCTTCATGCCAGGACACTGGAAGCTACCAACGTTGACCAAGTGGGTGGAGGCAGATCTGATCCAGCTGCTGGTGTATTTTCTGGAGCTAAAATGCCCATCACCAAGGTAGTCTGGTGTGCTAAGGATAATCCTGACGATACCGGTCTTCTTGTTGCTGGCGGAAAGAGCTCAGGTGACCCTAAGAAGGGCATGACCTTCTTGGATATGGGCCCGACCCCCAATTACGCGACATCTTCATGGCAGATTCTATCAACATATCTTGAGAGGCCACGTCGCCATATGAGCCTTCCAATTCCACCCGGTGCCACCGCTAGCACCTTCTGTCCCATCCCTCGCTCCTCACCTTATTTTGCAGGCGCCCATGATCCAATTGCCTTGCTCGCTGTTCTCACCTCAGGAGAATTAATCACAATGAGCTTCCCTAGTGGCCATGCAATTACGCCATCCAACATGCTTCATCCTTATCTCTCCTTTGTCCACCCATTTGTCAATAAGGCTACGCTCACACCAGTCCAACGAGAGGTTTGGCTGGGACTGAGAGAGCGCAGAATGCAGGGGCCTAAATTCGTGACTGGGGGTGCAGAAGCAAGTAATCCCCTCAAGCGCTTTGAAAGTAGAAATATAATTACCACTGCACATGCGGATGGAACTATCCGCATTTGGGATGCTGGCCATGATGATGAAATTGAAAATGGCGAGGTTGTCCAAGTGGATCTTGCTAGAGCCGTTGGACGAGTTGGCAATGTTGAAGTGACCGAGATGTCTCTCGCGAGCGGAACAGGTGAATTATCGGTTGGCCTTAGAAGCGGAGAGCTTGTTGTCTTCAGATGGGGGAACAATGCCAACTCAGGAGCTGAGGAACCAGCCGGCACTAACTTAGGTCCTGGAAACCTGACAGGTATCACTCATCGAATTGATCCCGGTTTGAGGACCGGCATGTTGCCGCTGACCCTCTTGGATATGCAGCAGGGACCCGTGACAGCAGTGAAGCACAGTCCTGTGGGCTTTGTTGCTGCCGGATTTGAGGGTGGTAGCTTAACCATTATTGACTTGCGAGGCCCTGCAATTATCCATACTGCACATCTTTCAGACTTCACCAAAGCTTCAAAACGGGGCAGCTTCCGGAAATCCAACCCATCCGAACAGGCTCGCACCGAATGGCCTACTGTGATTGAATTCGGTGTGCTTACTCTGGAAGGCGAAGACTACTCGAGTATTTGCTGCTTTGTCGGTACAAACACAGGAAATGTCGCCACATTCAAGATCCTCCCTGGAGCAAATGGGACCTACACAGCCTCATATGTGGGCGTCAACTCAGTTGATGACAAAGTAATTAAGCTCATTCCCATCAATGCAGACTCTGGTATGCAGGCTTTTGCTACGCCAAGTGCTGTCAGTAGCCTGAGAAACGGCATCAAGACCAATGGCGTTGTCATTGCAGTCACAGTCTCTGGTTGCCGCGTCTTCAAACCCCCGACTGCTAAAGGTGCACACAAAACATGGGATGATTATCTCTGTGACTCGGCACAGGTCGTGATATCACCCCGGAGCACAGGCTGTAGCTTGGTTGGACTATTTGGTGATGGAAATGTTCGAGCATTTTCCATTCCTGCGCTGAAAGAAATTGGCTGTCGCAGGATCAATCATATTGCTGACATGCGGCGATTGACGAACGCATGCATTACACCAAGTGGTAGTGTGATGACGTGGGTTGGCCCATCGGAATTGGGGCTCTTCAACGTTTGGGGATCTGGAACTGAATTGTACATCGCCCATTCCAATCAGCAAGAGCAACATACTAAATTTTACATAGGAGCCCTTCAGAAGATCGACTTTATGATCCCACCAAAACGACACCAACACGCCCTACAATCACTAATGTCCAATGGATCTCTGGCACTCAATATGTGTCTCCGGCAGATATGGACTTGCTAAGTAAGTGCCAATCACTCCTTGATTACAGTTTTCTTCTTTGATAACTAACATTGAGAACAGTCGGAGGTCCAGACCGCCCACCGTCCAAGCTAATGGTCGAACAAATGAGGTTGGATGAAGAAGAGCGCCGCAAAGCACTTCGAGAAGGCCGTGCGCCGCCCCCAGATCAAAGTCGTGACGAAGAGGGTTATTGGTCTTACATGTCGCGTCAAATGCAAGAGCGCACGGAGCGTCTCGGTCTTGTCGGCGACTCAATGGATCGACTGGAAGAGAACAGCAGCAATTTCGCTAACGATGTTGGGAAATTCGTCTCATCTCAAAAGAAAAAGGCAGTTTTTGGCGGTGAGTTCACAAGGACTTGACTCCCTTATCACCTCCCTTGCATATGGTAGCGAATGGCACTAACCGATGTTTTATAGTCCTGGGCTCCAAATTTGGATTCTAGATCTTGAACGAGCCTTGTTACGGTACGGAGTATAAAGATTGTATTAATTCTAAACACATTTCTAAACCATTGCCCTTCTTTGGATGAAATTATGGTAAGTTGCTTTGGAGACTTGAAGATCTGTTGTTGTATACACTCTGTACCGTAGAGTGTCAACAAATCCAATCATCAATCGTGGATGAAAATTAAGCAACAAAAATGCTGACTCATTTATTTTTCTTGTTTCATTCATTAGCTACACAAGTATAGGTAGGGGGATGTGCGTAAGTTGGACACTGAATGCGTTGATTTTACTTGCACGTCGAAACATTCCACCCTGATCAGCGTCATGGATGCAAAATCTGGTCAATCGCCATTAAGGCTTCAAGGACATATCCTACGTACGCATGGAGGGTAGATATATGAAGAGGTATTATCTAAATTGAGGGGTTTTTTTTTGAAAATAAATTCTTTTTAGGAGTGAAACTAAAAAATTTCGTAAATGGGACTTCGGTTAACGCTATGTTGAAGGGTATCAACTTGCCCAAATGGGGAAATCTAAGAAAACTGTCGTGAACGTCGCATGCTCGTTGTCGTGCTGAAGCATCGAGGCAGAAAAATGAAAAAAAAAAATGAAAAAAACAAACGCAGGGGAGGCACAGCGGGCCTCGGGTAATTCGCGTCAAGGCCAAATATTTAGTGGACCATGACCTCAGGTTGAGGCTGGGGGGCTTTCTGCTCCGAGTCGTCGCCCATCTCCACATCTTCGTCGCCCTCTCCGCCCTCGTCATCCTCGTCCTCCTCATCGTCATCAGAATCCTCTCCAAGATCCTCACTGCCGGCGTCAGAAACGTCATCGTCATCGTCGTTTCCAGCGGTGCCTTCTCCACCATCCATCTCAAGGTCCTCACCCTCCTCTGGCTTGTTCGAGGATTCAAGTTCCTTAATCAGAGCGGCTTCAAGTTCAACCTCCTCGGCACCGTAGACATTGCTGTCATCTTCAACTTGATCGGCTTCAGGCTGGTCAGGAGGAAACTCTGCAGGAGCAGACTCATCCGTATCCCTGGGAATCAAATCAGTAAATTTTCCTTCATTCATGTAATTATGGTGATCTGACCACTTGATGGCGAAGCGAGTGACACGGGGCTTCTCAGCAAGGACATTGCGGTAGATACGCTCAATAATGGGCTTGGCAGGAGGCTCGTCAGCCAGTTCCTCAGAGTCGTACTCGTTGTTCACATAGTAACCGACACGCACGAACTCACGACCGTCGTAGCTGCAGGTTAGGAGAATGACGGTAACGCCGAGAATCTCGGATGGGGGGATGCGCTTTAGGTCGGGAGCATCGGCCTCAAAGATGAACTTGTTCACGCCCACCGGAATGGGCCCGACAAAGAGGGAGTCGAGTTCCTGATCATATTCGGAGCTGGATTCAAGTCAATAAATGAGAATTCAGTCGGTGGCAAGGAATTTGGATTGCACATACGAAGTGGCAGAGCCGACGTAGGTCAGCTTCCACTCGAGATCTAGAGATGAGAGTTAATAAGTGGGATCAGAGCAATTGAAAACTTAGACCAACAAACCTTTCTGAAGTTGTTCGAGGCACTCAAAAGTAATCTCGAATTGGTAAGGCGCAGTGAAGGCAGCAGGGTTACTGAGATTTTTAACTCCCAGAAGGGAGACGACGGACATTTTGAAGGGTTTGATGAAAAATATTGGGTGGTGGGTAGATGGGGACAGTGGAATGGGATTTGAGGATGCGCTCGATTTATAGGCAAATGGGCAAAGATTGGGAGAAAGCGTGATAGAAACAAACAGATCAAGAATGTCAAAGGTCGAGGCCGCCAAATGTCCCCCTCGCATAATAGATCTCGACGCGCGAGGCGGTAGGCGCGACGCGACCGCCCACGTGATCTGAAGATTGGATTTTGTCTCTTTGACTTCCAGTCCTGGTTGCTTTGGTATTACGTCCACTTCCAGTTTATGATCAACTGACCATCCTTTTTCGACAACATAACCTTCTACTTTTCCTTTTTCAACTCCACTCACTTAACTTAATCCAATCAACAATTTACCTAACTGATATCTCCCATCAATTCTTAGCTCATCACAGCGCACGCATCATCCATCATGATGGACGATGAAGCTGAGGAAGCTGTTTTTCGGGATGACATCGTGAAATCAGACTCAGAGCAAATAATTTCAACTCAGGTGCAAGATTCGGATTATGACGAGGAAGAAGAATACGACCCTTCACGCACAGTGGATGAATACCAACATGCGCCCGAATTCGATCAAACCGAGGAGGAACCTGCCGTGGAAACTATTGAAGCTGTACTTGACATGCCTTCAGCCTCGGACATGAATATTGCTGAAATTGATGATACCCAAGAGCCTTCCCTGAGCTCACAAAGCGCTAATTCCCGCACATCTACACCGATTGCACCCTCTACCGCTACGACACAACCCAAGGCCAAGACGATTTGTGGATTTGAGGTTGAGGACGATGAGGATGAGGATGACAAAGATGAAGCAGACTATGAACCACCGGCTGCACTGGGGATTGAGGACATAAATTCAATGCCCGTGACTATCTCTGGAGAATCAGGAAATGCAATTCAAATCACTTCCCCCGATGTTTCATCACACTCTGGTGCCCAGGGCTTTGATCCCATGTCAAATGCTGTCAATAGTTCTTATTCTACTGCTCTCGTTTCTAATAACGATGGTCCTGCTTCTGATCAAGTTCAGTCGGCTTCCTATGATGCCAGCCTTCAGAATAGTACTGTCCCTATTCTTCTACCTGATTCTCCTTCGGTTTCCACAGGCCGCTTGGCCCATGATCGTCTGGGAATCTTGCAAGATCGAGTTGACGAGGACCCCCGTGGAGACATACCAGCATGGTTGGAATTGATTGCTGAGCACAGAGGTCGTAACCGTCTCGACAGCGCACGAGATGTTTATGAGAAATTCTTGAAGATTTTCCCCATGGCGGTACGTAATTTTTAGTATTCGATATTGACATTTACTGATTACGAACTACTCCAGGCTGATCAATGGGTGGCTTACGCCACAATGGAATCCGAGCTTCATGAATTTTTCCGACTGGAGCAGATCTTTAACCGAACACTTCTCACAATACCTAGTGTTCAACTTTGGTCTGTCTACCTTGATTACGTCCGTCGCCGGAACCCCTTGACAACGGACAACGCTGGAGAAGCACGACGCGTCATTTCCTCGGCATATGAGATGGCTCTCCAATATGTAGGCATGGACAAAGACTGCGGAAATATCTGGACCGACTATTTGGACTTCATTCGTTCTGGTCCAGGTATTGCTGGAGGCGCTGGCTGGCAGGATCAGCAAAAGATGGACATTCTGCGCAAGGCATACCAGAAAGCCATTTCCATGCCGACGCAAGTTGTCAATACTCTCTGGAAGGAGTACGATCAGTTCGAAATGGGCTTGAACAAACTCACGGTAACTATTATTCTCAATTCACTCCACTTTGAATTCGAATTTCACTGACTTTTTCATTAGGGTCGCAAATTTCTACAAGAACACTCACCGTCGTACATGACAGCACGTAGCTCATATACCGAGCTTCAGAACTTCACTCGTGACCTGATTCGTACCTCGCTCCCAAGATTACCTCCTTTCCCAGGAGCCGAGGGCGATGTTGAATTTGCTCACCAACTTGATATCTGGAAGCATTGGATCACCTGGGAGAAAGAGGACCCTCTGGTATTGAAGGATGAAGATGCTGCAGCCTTCAAGAGCAGAGTACTTTATGTCTATAAGCAGGCCCTCATGGCCCTGAGATTCCTACCCGAAATCTGGTTTGAGGCCGCGGAGTTTTGCTTTTTGAACGATCTGGAGAAAGAGGGCGCCGAGTTCCTTAAGCAAGGTATTGAGGCTAACCCGGAGAGCTGTCTACTGGCCTTCAAGCGCGCCGATCGACTGGAGGTCACTTCCGATTCCGAGCATGATTCATCCAAACGAGCAGCCAAAGTCAGGGAGCCGTATGATGCATTACTTGAAGGTCTTTACAGCTTGATCGACAAGGCGAAGACTCAAGAGTCCCAGGATGTTTTGCGCATCGAGGAAACATTTGCGCAGCAACATCCAGAGAGTCACACCACCCAGAAAGATGATGATGAGGATGTTCCCAGTGAATCTAGGGAGATCGAAGCCCGCAAGAAAGCACAGATTGATGCCGTCTGCAAGGCTCACTCTTTTCAGATCAACATCCTTTCTAAGACAATTTCTTTTGCTTGGATTTCTCTCATGCGGTCCATGCGTCGTCTGCAGGGCAAGGGAAAGCCGGGAGAATTAGCTGGCTCTCGTCAAATATTTGCGGAGGCTCGTAAGAGGGGTCGCATCACTAGTGATGTATACATTGCCAGTGCCCTCATGGAGTATCATTGCTACAAGGATCCTGCCGCCACAAAGATCTTTGAGCGCGGTGCGAAATTATTCCCCGAAGATGAAAATTTCGCACTTGAATACCTGAAGCATTTGATCGATATTAACGACATCATCAGTAAGTCACATATAATCTACCTCTTATATTTGAAATCTACTAATGTCTGTTTGAAGATGCCAGAGCTGTGTTTGAGACGGCTGTCCGAAGATTGGCCTCTAATCCAGAGAACGTTCACAAAGCTAAACCTATTTTTTCTTTCCTTCACGAATATGAATCTCGGTACGGCGATCTTATCCAGGTGATTAACCTGGAAAATCGCATGCGTGAGCTCTACCCAGAAGATCCCACATTGGATCAGTTTTCACACCGTTATGCAACCCCTACCTTCGATCCAATGTCTGTGCGTCCCATATTGTCTCCTTCGCAGACTCGACCGAAGACTGTGCATGCTGCGGTCCCATTGGAAGCTGGCAATGCGCCTTCACCGCGACTCAACGATGTTTCATTCAGCTCGCCAAAACGACCTTACCCCACTGACGATGTGGACTATGACTCTGATCGTCCACGCAAATTTGTCCGTGCTGAGTCTCCTTTGAAGGTGGATCAAGGCCGCCGTATGGACCAACAAAAGCGGGTTCAGCAGTTGAATGGACAGGCGACTTCATCATACAAACCTCAAGGATCCCCCGCCTCTCTTCCGCGGGATGTGGTCCATCTTCTCAGCATCATTCCTCCTGCATCATCCTACAACATTTCTCGTCTTTCTCCCGAGAAGATGGTTGATCTCCTCCGCCAGACGGACATCCCCACATCTACTTCCCTTATCCCACTTCCGGCAAACGCTCGCGGGCTTGGATCAGGCCAAAATCAGTATGGCAGTAAGTATAAATCTTTGCCTTAGCCTTGGGTGTCAAACTAATATCCGTACCAGGCAATTATCGCTAAAGCTCCTGTCAGCGTTCGCTGGATTTCTCGAATCACGTTTCTATGAAAAGACTCAATTATTCCGTAATCTAATCTTTGACTGCCTGCAATTTTGGTGACACTGTCACACCAACATCCTCGCAACTTCTTGATGAAGTTTGCCTCTTTAACATTCCATTTTTCATCTTTTTATTTAGGGTATGGTGGGGACTTGCGTGAGTCTTGAGATCCGTTGCATCTATTGGCGTCGATTTGATTGGCATGTTTTGATCAGGCATGGATAGCCCTTCGTTTTATGCTTGTATCTCCAAGGTTTTTGATTGGAAACTTAGCCTTTTTTCTCTTTGCTTCCATACCCGTACAGTCTTAGGCAAATGGTGAAAAAAGTCTTCAAAATTAAAATTCATGCTTTCTGCTGATCATCCTTAATTCCTGGTTTATTCCAAACTTATTAAAAAATTCATTTCCTTGGGTTTCCAACTCAACGACAACCTTGTAATCAGATCTGATTCAATTCGATATTTAATGGTAGCTTAAATTCTATTTAACTGCATTACTGCCGTCAAAAATCTGGTAGAATCCATACTCACCTGGACATAATTGATAATATTTCCAAAATGTTTGGGCCTCCCCTTTTAAGGATGTCTGAATAGAGGGAAATCTGAGATCAAGTATCCTCAAGGTTCCTGAGTTGCCTCAGTTTGTAGAAGATATTTAGTAAACTAATAAGGTGTTTGTTTTGCCCCAATAATAAGAGGCGTTCTGAACTTTATATTAGGCGGTGTGAAAAGTTGTTATGAGCTTAAAGCGACATCAAGCTTTTGATATCCAATTATATCGATGGATACTGCCCCACTTTGTACTATGAAATCTTCAATTTAATTAGCCCTAAGAGTAAGAGACTGGAAACCCCTTATTTTGCAAATTGAGACTAAATTGAAAGTTTTTACAGTGCAAAATATCTATAAGATACCTTCACAATGACTTCGGAATTACCTTCAAATCTAATCTCACTTCATTCACTTTTCAAGTTACAATATTTTGCGCATTCACTGAATCCTTTCCTATAAGAATCACTCTTATTCGATTTCTATTCTTCTTTTCTCATCCTCCTTCTTCTTCATCACCTCTCATACCTTGGAAAATCTAGAATACTTCAAAGTTCTAAGACCCCCGTTCAACCACCAAGGTAAATCTAGTCCACACACAACTTTATCCTTCCCTTCCGTATTCTTACATTTCTTCCTCTACTCATTTATTTCTCTTACTTTTATCCTGACTACCTCTTATAGCAACTAGTAAGCGATTGTATACACTCTTCCCTTACCACAAGTCTGCAATAAACTCCCTCAAGCACCTCGCTTCAGATCATCTCCCTTTCATTTCTTTTAATGATCATGCCTTGATTTAAGGGATTTTCTCATTGCATTTGACTGCCGACTTCAAGCTTGCTAACATCTGACAAAAAGAGCGATCCCTAAACCCCAACAAAAAAAAGAAAAAGAAAAAAAAAGGAGAAAGCCATCGAACAGCATCACCAAGATGCCTCCTTACGTGCGGAAAACCTGCACGAAGGAGGAATGGGGAGCGGGCAATATTGATAATTATGCACGCACCTGCCCGAACCTCAATGTCGAATCTTTGTCCGAGCGGGCTAGTTCGTCTGCTCCTAGTGGCAAAGGCCATATTAGCAAGGACTTGATTGACCAGGTGAAAGACCTTGAGACTACCTATAGGAACCTGCGACTTTTTGATCCCAAAGAACTCCCCTCTATCGACACTCTATTTGCCAAAAATGGCGAGGGTGTAAGTTACCTTCAACTTATTTTTATCCCTTCTCAGCTTCATAATTTCTTTTGACGCAGCCTGTCCTGCTCTTGCAATTATCTTTTATTTGTGCTAACAACATTAAAGGGCAAGCATGTGCGACCTATTCCTCGCCGTGGCCACAACACCAGCGGAAAAGAAGTCGAGCTCATCATGAATGCATACAAAATTTCCAAGTTTCCAACCACCCCAGTCCACCAGTATCAAGTCAGTGAATCCAAACATTATACTCACCCTTGAAACTAACAAGAAAACAGGTCACCATGTACATGAATGGAAAGGTCCTAGATGATAAGCCCCGCATGGTTCGCCGAGCCTGGGCTGCGTGGACGGCAGAGCAAAACATTCTGCGCGATATCATCTTCGACGGCTCGCACACTGCCTGGTAAGTCCAATTGGGTTTTAAATGATTTCGGTGTGCCTAATGTGGCTGATATTGTAGGTCTATGTTTGAGCGCCGCACCTGCACAGGCCTTGTTAAGCTTGAAGTCGGTTACACTGAGCCCTCTGATTTGGTTGATGTGACCGTCGAAATCATCCATCGCCGTAAGATCTTCCTCGCCCCGGTCAACGAGTGGCTTACACAGCAGCGTGCTGTCGATGAACGTGTCATCGAAGCTTTAAGTAAGTTACTATCAATTGAAACCATTCTGAGATATCTTATCTGACTTTCTTAGTTTTCCTTGACCATCTGGTCCGTGCCTGGCCTTCCGCGACCTTCACACCATACAAGCACGCCTATTACTTTCATGACAAGTACCTAGCACGAGACGCCGGGAGAGACCCGATGTGGCACAAGATTGGAAAGGGTGCCAGTGTCTATCGCGGAATCTTCCAGATGATCCGTCCCTCGATGGTAAGTCTCTAAATTTACTTACATGTATGTGAGTTTATAGCTAACACATCTACTAGTGTGGTCTTGTCCTCAATGTCGATGCGGCACATGCTGTATTCTGGAGCCGAGACCGACTGATAGAGACTGCTCGCCAACTGCTTGCATGCCGTACGGTAGAGCAGGCTTTTAAACTTCTTCTACCTAGCAAAAATGGCCCTTCTCGGGAATTCCACGCACTGAACAAGCATATCAAAGGCGTGCGTGTTTTCCCCATCTACAAGAATTGCCCCTTCGTGAAACAAAAAAACTTCAACATCAAGGAACTGAGTGTGTACTTTGCGGACACACACATTATCGAAGTCGTGGATAAGGCTACCGGTAAGGCAGAACTGATGACTGTCGAGAAGTACTTCAAAAAGAAATACGATGTGACCTTGGTATACCCCAAGACTCCCCTAGTCCTGATGACCCGCGGCGAAAAGATTTTCTATCCGATGGAACTTGTCACCCACACAGACCTTGGGCGTTATAACCACAAACTTGATGACGTCCAACTTGGTGAAATGATCAAGTTCACGGCAAAGCGCCCTGCTCTTCGATATGATCACATCCTGAAATATAAGAAGCTGCTTTGCCATGACACAGATCCCAACCTGGAGAGCTACGGTCTTCAGGTTGACCCGAACATGCTCAAGGTCAAAGCTCGTCTTCTTCCTAACCCTGAGATCCAGTTCGCCGGAAACGCTAAGATCAACCCGGGTGTCAAGGGACGCTGGGATCTTCGGGGCAAGAAGTTCCTTCGCCCCAACAAGGTTCCTCTCAAGCACTGGGCAATCGGACACTTCAGTGGCCATCGCAACTCTTTGAACAAAGAGCAGATTGACTACTTTGTCACGATGTTCACTCAAATCTACAAGGGACATGGTGGCACCATTCAGGACCGCCCACTGATCATGGAACTCAAGGATGATGTTGGAGCAGCTGTCCGCATTCTGCACGACTCTCTCGGAAAAGCCAACAAGGCTGATCCTCAGCTTATGATTTTCATCGTTCCTACTAAGGATATGTTCGTTTATCACCGCATTAAGAAGAACTGTGACTGCCGTTTCGGAGTTCCCTCGCAAGTTCTGCAGTCCACCAATGTGATCCAAAACAACCCTATCTTTATCTCCAACTTTTTAATGAAGGTCAACGCCAAACTGGGCGGAATTACCAACCGAGTTCTCCCAACTCGTACAGGTACAGGTCTGCGCCCTTTCAGCTTGATAATCGGTGCTGATGTTACGCACGCGGCTGTTGGTGTCTGGACCCCATCCCTGGCAGCTATGTGCGTGTCTGCCGATCAGCACGGAATCAGCTACATGGGTGGCGCTGAATGCAACGGTGAACATCAGGAGACTATTTATATCGCCAACGTTCGCTGCATCCTATTCCCTCTTGTCCGCGAATGGATCAAGACTGTTGGAAAGGGTAACAAGCCAAAATTCGTCTATTACCTCCGCGACGGTGTCTCTGAATCTGAGTACTCAAACATCCTGAACAAGGAAGTTCCTGATATCCGCAAAGTTATTGGCGAAGCCTGCGGTGGTGACGGATGGAAGGGCAAGTTGACCGTTATCACTGCCAATAAGCGCCATCATATTCGCGCATTCCCTAACCCCAAGGATAAGCGTGCTGCTGACAACAATGGCAACCCACTTCCCGGAACTTTGATCGATCGTGATATTGTGAGCCCTCATGGCTGGGATTTCCTCCTTTATTCACACACTGCTATCCAGGGTACTGCTCGCCCGGTTCACTACAAGGTCCTTTTGGATGAGATGGTTCACAAGCCCGACGACCTTGTGAACATGATCTATGAGCACAGCTACCAGTATGTTCGTTCAACTACCTCGGTCTCGATCCACCCGGCCATTTACTATGCGCACTTGATATCCGTCCGTGCCCGTCAGCACGAAGATGTCAAGTCTATTCATGGTCCCCAACATGGCAAGCGAGTGGAGAACCGCGATCCTGCCACCAAGCCTGGTTATACTGATCCTATGTTCCCGGCTGATCTTCTTTTGGACATGAAGGTCAATTCCAACCGCCTTGACAAGAGCATGTGGTGGATCTAACTGGAATGCCGTTAACTGCACTATTGAGCTTTCGAGCTCTCTAGTGATGGAATACCCTTTTTGTGATTTTTTTTGCTGCCTTTTTCATTCGAAGTTGAAATGCTATAGATTTCTATGCTTCTACAAGGAGTTCCTGAGTAGGGCGCTCAGGCCATTGCGACTAGGAAATACGAAATGCCCTGCGAGTTTTCGATCTCCGCAAGTTTTTTTTGAGTACGGTTACTCGGAATTTATGGTTTTTGGAATATAGTTTATTTTTTTGACGCTGTATAATATAGCGTTAAAAGGGATAATAAAAAAGAGCTTTCGAGCCACAATTGCTACTGAAAAAACTGTAGACTACGGGACTTCCCATAATAGAACTATATCTAGTAGGTTGGCTACTGAAGCCTAGAGGTTCTAAGGCTGCGCTGTGTATGCAGGTAGGTACATATGAAGCTGGCTATTTGTACCCAGGTATTTAGGTATTGAATATCTCTACGCAGACGAAGAGAAGACATCAAGACCAGAACAAATAAATGACCGACTAATAAGATCGGATGGGTAAAAGTAGAAATAATGAGATAGCAAAAATGATCATAGTCGGCTGGAATTAAGAGGCTGTGATGCATGTGAAGAATGATGGCAGGACTGAGCCTTGGAATACATTGTTACGGATGCTTGATGACCCAGTTTAGGAAGAGACATTATAAACAACACAGGGAATACTAGGGTCATTGACATGAGGCACTGCGTGGTTTCAATTAGATTAACTCTACCATTTAGAACATCATAGCCAAGTTATATTGATCTGCTGAAATCACCTAGTCTTCCGAATCAGATTTTAGAATTCTGGCTTTCTTCATGGATCATATCATTCGTCGCCGAAGTTGATGACTTATTTTCCTTACGCATTACAGCGTATGAGAGAGGAGGTAAAAGAATGAATTTTGGAAAAGAGATATTAGACGTAAAGAAGGACGGCCTACCATGCAACAGGACTCGAACAGTATCTACAACTTCCTGATACTCTGAGTTCGTTAGGCTGTAGTCCCGTTTGTCATGGTGCCATTGACGTGGTCTTGTTGGGAATCAGCCGCGGCATCAGGATTGGGATGAGCGTCGAGCGTGCCGTCGACGGGCTGCTCGGCATCTCCATCAATATTAAAATTGGAAATTTCATTTACCAAGCCGTTGGTCTTCTTGGATTTTTTCTTGTTTGGCTCTGTAGTTCCTGATTTCAATGCCGCAGTGTTCGATGGAGCAGGGCGTTTCTGGGGGGTCGATGTAGGTCCTGCTACGCCAGGCAGCGATGGGATCTTACCAGATGCCGGAAGACGTGGTTTGATAGCCATGGGTCTTTGTTTAGGTGGAAGTTCAAGATCTTCCACAAGAGGCTCATCGCGATTGGCGTCCAATTTACCTTTGAAGAATGTTCGTACCAATCCAATCTGGTTAGGCAAAGTCTCGACGGAGATTCGAGAGTACGGAGGTGGTTGCTGGAAGACATCCACAGATTGAGCAGCACTAGGACAGTACAGTTAGTAACTTTAGCAACTAAGATATACGTCAAATGATATTGAACTGACCTGGTGCTCTGTGGGTTTGCCGCGCTATACATCCTGTTTTGCAGCAAGTGGAGCGGCACGCTGAGAGAAGCGAGGCCAAACTCGCGGTCCAAGCCTAATTCCTTGAATCCAAAGAAATCTTCGTCGATATCCTCTGCGAAATCACCCCCAACAAACTGCTCACTGCCATCGGCAAAGGCGTTAGAGCCATCCTCACCACCTTCTGCAAGTGCAGGTCGGAGAAGCTCAGTGAGCAGATACTTGAGGCGATCATGGGCTGTAGTCAGTTTTGTTCCGAGCCGCTCAACATCGTCTTTGATGTAAGACTCGAGCTCTTCGATATCGATACCAACGGCCGAGAGTGTATGGAGGACAACCTCTGGCTCTGTGTAGGCGCGTTTCCACTCCACCGCAGACGTTGCAGATTCCAGAAACTCGGTCGTCGGGACTTTGGGAGCTTCCATGTAGGACTTGACTGTCCGGCCAATCTTTTGGAAGAAATCAGAGGCGATATCTGTGACCACCTCCAGAGCCGATGGCTGGTACTCTTCGAACCCAGTGTGGTAGAAGATTTTCGCGACAGAGCGCTGCAGGGCTGCACGGCAAGTTCCTGGTGCAATAACTGGACCGCTGTCATTCATGACATGGGGCGAAACGTCCTGCTCCACGAAAGGCTCAGGCTGGTACTTCTGGAATTGGTTTTGATACATCTGAGATTGGAGCTGCATCTGCTTCACGATGCCAATTTTCGAGCAAATCTTGCGGGTTTCCTGCAACTGTCGCATGTTCGAATCCAGCTTGCGAGTTAGCTTGCTCTCGGGTTGCTTGAAAGAACCCTGCGGGAGCATTCTGAGAAATTCCTCCGAGGCATCGACGACGTTTCCTTCCGCGTCTTCCTTCCAAAGGAGGCGCTCTGGTAGATCGGGAATACCGTTCATGACATCGTAGTAATACGGAATCATTCTTTCTTCTTCGCCTTCAATGCCCTCCGCCAGAGTCTCACTAGCTGGCTCCATTGCGTGGGAACTAGTATTGTCGGTCTTGCCACCCTCAAAGGCTGCTTGCTTGTCGTGTCGAAGCCATCGACGCATGCCGGCTTTTGTTCGAAGCAGGGCTGGCTCATCGAGATTGAGCTTGTCGCCCTTGAGCAAACGATGTCGCTCCGCAGCGATAAGTGCCCGGTCCTTCTTTGTCAATTGCCTCCATACCTTGAATTCAACATCCTCCAAGTCCACCCCAGGCACTGACAGGGCACTCAACGCAGTGGTCAATGTAGTTGGTCCGTCAATATCCATTGCTTCGTCATCTTGGCTGGTTGCAGCACCTGCTGCCGGTCCTAGAGGGTCCGAGGGGGTATTCGATCCAGGAGGGGGTGTAGTGAACCCATTTTGACTTGCCTCCATCGCGGTATCTGAATCTGAACGAGCAGCCACTGGAGGCTGACTGGTTGAAACACCTGGGGGACCTTCAGAACCACTGGGGGTTTGGCGAGCGGGGGCAGTGCCCTTGGCAGACTTTTTACCCGGGGCTTTCCTTCCCCGCGAGGACATGATAGGCTCATCGTCGCTTTCCTCGGCGCCATCAAGCTCTGCCATTTGTATTCGCCTCTCTTCAGCTTCGACTTCGGCTCGATCCCGAATCACGATTTCCGGAATGAGTGGAACAAGTTTCTCGGTCTCCTTCCGCATGTACAGAGCGTGTTTGCGTAACGGATGTTCCAGATTAGTGTTGTACCTTAGACAATTGGCCCAAATGAGGTTTAGGTCATCCACAAAATCCTGCTTCGAGCGATATTGTAGACCCTTGAGCTTCTTGGTCATTGATCCGAGGTCCATTGGCTGTCGAATGATTGTGTGATAATCAGGGGCATCACGCCGGTTGACCCTGGTGAGGAAGGCAGACGAGTGCTCAGTCATGGCCTTCAGTTCGCTTAGCACCTTTTCAGCAGCTTCATAGAGTTCCTCCTGTCCAATCTTGTCTTCGCTAGCCCACTTGCTGCGATTTTTGCGAACCTCACTTAAAAGACTTCGAAGCTCGGCATCGGAAGCTTGGACCATATCACGCTTCTTGTCAATTCGTGCAATGAGGTTTTTCAAGGTCAGGCTTGAGGCTCCAAGGTTAGTGTTACTGAGTGTGCTGTAGCCGTTCGAGCCGCTGGTGGGGTTGTTACCACCGGAGTGGGATTGGCCAGAGATCTCTGCCTCTACCTGACGTTCTGACTCTTCCAATCGTTGTTGATCTAGCATGGCATCTCGGTCATTTTCAAGGGTGTAAAACATGGTATGGAAGCTCCGCTTGACAGCTTCTTCCGTGGCTTTTTTGTCCTCTTCGAGTTGCTTCCGAATATCTTCCAATGTTTCCTTTTTTGAGTCTTTGGTCCCATCCGCACTGTTGGAAGCAGAGGTACCGGGACGTTGGACTGGTGGGGTGGTGGCACTAGGGTCCTGCGAAGGGGGTACCGATTTAGCTTTTAGAGTCGATTCAACTGAATCAGCCATATCCACGTCGTCGTCCTCATCGTAATCATCGTAGTCGTCGTCCATTTTGCGAGTGGATTTTGTGGGTGCCGTCGAGGTAGGTTCCGGCGCATCGACGCGTTCAGCTTTAGACTCGGGCGGCTCGAGCTCCGCGACCACGGCGCCGGGGAAATCATCGGCAGAATAGGAGTTAGAAAAAAGCGCATTGATTTTAGCATCACTGCGCCGAAACAATTCGCGAAATTGAGCTATGCGCGGGTCTTCCTCGACCGCGGTGTCGGGCTCAGATCTCATACTACCCGGGTTCGGTCCCTCGGCGCTGACAGAACCGCGTATTTGGGGAGTTCGCGACCCCGACAACGTCTTCACCAAGCCATTGACAGGGCGCAGTGAGTCATTGTGATCATCAGGGGGACGAATATTGCCAGGGGGCCAGGCGTTTTGACCGAGCGACATGGTCGCTCCAAAACCCCGGTTCTGGGGCGGGCCAGAGTCGATACTCCAGGGTTGAGAAGGCAGGCCTTTGAGTTCACGACGAAGGCGGTTGGTAGGGAGAAAAATGCATAGAGATACGCCGCGTTGTCAGCCTAAGAGGTGGGCAATTTGAGAAATTCAAAAAACGATGGAATAAAGGCGAGGTTTGATGAAAAAGATGAGGGAAGTTTCTCATGAACGGGGATGAAGTTACGGCAGGGGAAAAGGCGGAGAGTAAGTTCTGCCAGTTGTAGCCGATGGCAGTCAAGATGACCTTAACTTCAACTTGCTTCTCAATTGGAAATACATAAAAGCTTTACTTCACTTAAGGTGGTACATCTGACTTCATTTATTATGTATTGAATTTCTATTCCATCTCATAATTCACCGCCCATATCGACTTCTGATCTTCTCCACATATGACGCGTAAGGCAACAGCTGGGACCATCTGATCTTATCACCAAACCTCAACCAAAAGCTGAAGACTGTAATCTCGGCAACACCACTCTGATCGATTCAGAATTTAAATGTTTGCTCTTCTCCAACTGAGCAACATGAAGATCCGCTACCCTTTTGCAGGTTTGTTATCCGATGGCGCGTACTTCCAACGATTTACTGACCCGCATTAGGAGGGTTCGCTTTGCTACTCGTAATAGCGGCTTATATTGGACTACTTCCACATAGCACCGACAGCAACATTCCGCCAGGACTCCAACCCAATGATAAATTTCTCCACCTTGTCACCTTCTTTCTCCTGTCGGTTGCCTTCTACTGGATTTTAGATACCACCCGTCGGCGAACCCTCCACCTGACATTACTCGTTTGTACACTTGGTCTTGGCATCGGCTCCGAGATCGTCCAAGCTCTTTTGCCTAACGACAGACCATTCGATCTATTCGATATCGTTGCAAATGTAGTTGGCAGTCTCGGAGCTGTAGGTCTGTGTAGTTGGTACCATCGTCGCATGCTGGAACGTCGCCGAAAGAACCGCTTCGGGGTGGCGGAGGGTACAACCGACGATGTTGAGCTCGGCGTTGGTATTGGCAGCATTCACGACGACGGACTCAGTCCCCAAGAAACTGGCGTGACTTCCCTGGAGCATGAAGTGGACAATTGGGATGAGAACGCTGTTGATAATTGGGACACCGATGATGGCCCAGGGCCTTCTGAGGTGTCACCATCTCCTCCAAGCTATCAAGATGCCAATGGTGGCTCTGCTCTAGACGATGCTGCAGCGAAACGCAAGGATTAATGGTTTCAATGAGCCATGATATCCTTGGGTCGAAATATCTGCACAGCCAGGCCAACACATGGCTTGAACTTGGCTTAATACGCCACAAGTCTCAGTCTTATGATTTGATGTACTGATCGATCTCATTTTGGTACGATACCAGTCATTTAGTTCCAATATTGTATTTCGAAAGCGCCTTTGTTTCTTTTTTTGTTTACGCTCTACGGCATTTCCTATAGAAGTTGGGCATGATGATTCCTGAGGTCATATTGTTGCCAAGTCCATCTCAGTTTATATGACTGCAATATATATCTCTTAGAGAATCAGGTCCAGAGTTCGCTCTTCTTGAAGAACTGTACAGTTTAATCAACATCTATGAAAACTTTTGCAAGTTTACTCAACCAGGACTATTACAATTGCTATCACGACAGAAGCAGACTTGTGTTCAAATCTCAGTGCCACTAATGAAGCTCTTAATCACCTAGGTTCCACGGTTGATTTTTGATCATCGATTGAATTTGACCAAGAGTTGATAGAGGACTATCCAGTCTGAGGCGCGTTCTACCTAGCCATCGCAGCCATAATGAGAACATCATCAACGCACCTTTTTGGCCAGGTAAAGAATTTTTGAACCCTAATCAAATTCATCTTTAAAGATACAATTAGTACTGTTCAGTTCCAAATAAGAGCGTGAAATGTGGCTGGCCCTCAAGGCAGCCTAGAAATCTGCACCATAAGGCGGCAAATCAAAGTGATCAAACATGACAAGAATAATGTCGCGATCCATATCCATCCGCTTGGTGTCAGGCAAGTTGTGACGATCACGAAGTTGTTTCTGCCCAACCTGGCGACGAAGGGCAGTTGCGCGAATAATCATTGTGGTGCGACGCTCTCCCCAGGTGATTAGGCGCAATGTGTTGTAATACCGGAGCCAAAGCTCGTGGGGAACTCCAACTAAGCTATACCATGAAACGATCAGCAACTCTTGAAGATAGGGAAGAGAATAAATAGCAACCTGCCAGGTTGTATGTGCTCGGTGATTTCGGACTTCACCTGACGAAGTGTCTCGTTCAAGGTCACTCGCTGTATCTTGGCTTGCTCCTATAAGTTGTAATTCATGAGTAATCTTTCAACATAGAGCTGAGTGAGAACTCTTACCAGGAACATTTCCTCAATTGTGACAGCCAGTTGGAGTTGGGACAGTCGAGTCATGATGCCACGGGATAGGAAGGAGGGACGTGAGTGATTGCGCATGCAGAGTGTCATTGATCAAGCACCTGGGCACGTGCGGATGTTTGAAGGAGGGAATATAGAAGGATAGAAATCTAAGAGGTGATGTTTGTTTGTACACTAGGCTGCTATTATGATTATGTCGGCGATGATATAATGCGTTCGAATTTCATCAATCCGCCTACGAGGTATCAGTTATCGTGATATACGTAGGCATAAATGATGTTACCACAAACTATATGAATGAACTAGATACACGCATATTGATACTGGGTTGAAAGACAAATACAAATACTTAAGAAAGAGCTGATAAAATGGATCAAAGCAAATCGCAAAGAGTAGCCTCACTTATGAAAACCTCGTGAATAGCTTATTTTCAAGGCAATACTTCTGTTGCTGATATAAAGGATCAAGAGTTACAGATACTATTCAGACATCTGTTAATATGTATTGGTTCGAAGGTAATTTCACGTAGAGAGTATCGAGCTACATATGTTGAAAAATGCATCAAGAGTGAGAATAGGAAGCCGTGGGTATCCAATAGGACATATAGCCAACTTGGGAATTAATAAGAGAAGAATGAAACCCGTATAAGCAGTTGCTTGGGGAATAGAAACAATATGATTCAACACCGCTTGCCATGATATGATGCAGGAAAAGGAGATCGAGGAGTGAAAAGTCATGATCACATCACACGAGTAAGTTAATGGAAAGAGAGGAAAACCCCAATACCAAAGCCATCGGTTGATATGGAATTGTAAAGAAGCAGACCAAGCATGGAGTATTCACTTTTCGTTGCCGGAGACCTCAGGTGTCCCAGGTTCGCTTCGCACCGGAGTTACAATTTCATCTGGGATAGACTCCAGCTCGGGCTTAAAGGCAGGTAGATAGTTTTCATTGCTGCTCAGTTTGGCCAACTTTGCAGACCGGGGCTCTTCACCCTGAGATTCTGATGAGTCTTGTTCTTGATTTTGAGTTGGAGTCTTGCCGAGCTTCGCATCAGTCTGTTCACGAAGAACCTCGTAAATGAACTGTATCTGCATCTCGTTGTAGACCATCATCATTCGCTGTTCACGCATCTCGTTCACTGTTTTAAATACCGGGTCAATTTGTGGATCGGATACTTGGAGCAGTTGGCCCGAGTCGAGCTCCTGCAAAAGATGGTCAAGCGCGATGAAGGTTCCTGTCCGACCAACCCCTGCGCTGCAGTGAACAACGCGCGGGTTTTCTGGGCTGCATTTAGAAGCTGTTTGCTTGATCAAATCGAGAAGCGCGTCACGATCTTCCGCTTCTGGTTTAGAGTAGTCGGCCCAGCCTGCGAAAAGGAAATGCCACACAATCTTCGACTTCGACCCTACAGTCAACTCAAGCTTTCGAATCTCAGATTGCGATTTGGTATCAAAGGTCGATTCCAACAATGTGACTATTCCAAAAACTGCGGGCTCTCTCTCTGGGGTCTCGTCATTTTCGGTAGGATCCGATTCCTCCACAAAGAGCGTCGTAGAAGGTTGCTCAGGGCCCAAGGGGAAGTATTGCGCGCACTTCTCCCGGCCTGCTTCAAAGGTCCGAGTGAGCATGACAATCACGCCTACTTCTTTACTTTCGTCAAATACCATCTGCCAAAAATGCGAGAATTGACCAAGCTTGGGTCCCTATTGATTGTTTAGCCAGGCTCACCACGTCATGAGGTAAGGAAGGGAAGGTTGGGAGGCGAACCTGAGTTGCAATGTACCGCCTCTTTTGTTGAGTAAACGAGTCCTTTAATACAATTGGAGAAGCATTGATGAAGTCACACTGGCCATCCGGCACCCGCAGGTGAATCCGGCAGTTGGCCCATGCTTGCACGTTAATATACCGATTCCGTGCCTTGACTCTGGGATCGATCTCAAGAGCAAATGGGTGATTTGGGTCATTAGAAAGCATCCCCTCGGCCAATCGCGTCCTCTGTATCCATTCCAGATCTTCAAACTTGTCATGAATCTCTGCATGATCAAAGCGGTCAGTCAAATAGTCTCGCACGTGCAGTAGGTATTCTCCGAGGGGCGCATGCGCCCTCTCCTCACTCACCCGACACTGATTGACATAGGAACGGCGGTACATCTTCAGTGTTTCCAGCATCCAGTCGGGGATTTTCCTGTTCTACGGCTAGCACATCGAGCCCACCCTCGCCTTCGTTTTCTAATCCGCGCTTGGTGGGTGGTACGCTTGTGTCGATTTTGATGGAGGGATGCGCCATTTTGGCAGCAGCGATCTTCCGGAATGCGCGAACCTTGCCGATTACGCCGCGCGCCTTCTTGGAGACCGTCTGACGACTGGAGCGCTTTTTAACGAGCGGGGCAGGTTGGTACAACGAAGGTGAGGTGGTGAGTTCGACACCGAAATCGGCAGAATTAGGGGAGGGTTGGTTGATCCGCAGTGATGACAGATCGGGACAGCTACGAAAGCTGTCCCGGGAAGGTGTGGCCAGGGCCAGATTTTTGAAGATCGCGGGGGTTTGGGCGTCGAACGAGTAAGGAGCGAGCGTTGCAATAGCAGATGGTGTGACCACGTATAACCGTATTGCTTCGACCGACGTATGAACCAGTGGGGTCCCAGCCAACTTCTTGAATCTCCGAATAAACAATTTGAAAGTATTAGTTATGTGGGATGAGTTTTTGGAGGGGCGTGAAAAGGGAGTTTTTGGAACCACGGAGGCCGCGGCTCGTTTCCTTTTAAGATTTTGGTCAAAGAAGGATTTTAACCGCGAGAAACAAAAGAAAAAAACACAATGTGATCTAGAACTTATGAAGCAGATATCATCAAATTTCCATATTGTAGTATTGCCTAACTTAATTGGTCTGTTGGCTGCAGCCAACTCTTGAAACGCTGCTTGCGGTTCCCCTATTTCCTATTCCCAATTTTGGAGGATTTTACATTCTATATCCAGCTTCATGTTTCAGGGAGACATTACCTAGATGTTTCTTGGAGTTCTTTTTTTATATAATGAAAGGAGAGGTTCCAATATTGATATAGATAGTTGATACTTGCCAGTCATACAATGTGGAGGACTATGTACCATGATCGGTCTTATAACCTTGAAAAATGGCCTAGGCTCATAGAAAATGGAATATCAAACTCGGTTTGGAACTTCTCAGCGTTTCCAGTTCACTCCAGGCTGTGTACATACCATTCCCTACCTAAGTAGATACAAGTGTAAGTAAATAGTGGCGGCGAAGAATAGTTAGAGTAATACGTACATATGAATGGAAAGTCCCCACACGGGCGCTAACTACACAGTAGGTACCTGACCCTAACTAAAAGCCTAGGCAAATACCTAATCCCACCAAGGTTCAATCTATTTTAAAAGTAATTCGTAGTCGTACTGCCCCGAGCTCGTCTCTTTGAAGGGCGTTCATCCGCTAGCAAATAAGCAAGCTCAATTATCCAAGGCCCATAGTAGCAATCGTGTCGGTCCAAATCAAGGAGAGTTTGTGAATATCAAAACAAGACTTCAGCCTCATGATCAAGAAGAGTTGATCAAAAGAGACTCTAAGTGGAGTGGACACGTGATGGCCCGTGTTGCTTACTGTGTATTAATGTTCTCCGTACCTGAGTCCCCTCTATTATTATCATTTCCAAGTTTTGTACCTAAACTCGGTGAGTGTGTTAGGGTTAAGAAAACAAGAATTGTAAAAAAGAGTCAAAATCATACCATATGGCATATGACATCTAGATATACGAAATAATCAACTTAAATCCAAAACTGATACAGATCTTATACGTACCTATTCAAACTGTATATATGTACTTGCTGCGCTAAACCCTTTTTATCATTGTCACCAGAGAGACTAGACACACTCAATCTATGAACTTGGCGGCATTCTTTAACCATCGCGCAGTATTCCATCCACAAATCACGACCCCTTCAAAACCTTCATCTCGCCCTATGTACATCCACGGATGACGGATCCCCGATCCCCTTTGGTGCCGACGGGGTGTTAGTCACCGGCGCATACTCGTTTCCACGCGTCGCATTCATCTCTCCACAAAATGGTTTCCCAAGCGCAGATTGTTGATCGCACTGCCCCGAACAATAGTACCCCGTCTGCAGTGTCGCGCCCTTCTCTTTCAGGCCGACGACATCGGTCGGGTCGTTCACAGCATGGCGGCTCCGTACATGCCTCGTCGAACGATTTCCCTATTTTCGCGTACACCGGCGACACGGAGATTGCTATTCGCGTCGGGTCGCAAGAACAGCGCTACCTCCTCCATCGACTTATATTGGTGCAGTGCTCGGGGTTCTTCGAGGCGAGCACAAGCGAGGAATGGTCTCAGAATACATCCCCCTCAAAACCCGACATGTCTCGGGTGAGCGAGGATGGTTCGCTCTCAAACGGATCCACGTTAGCTCAATCTGACAGTGGTAGACTCTCTGCGCAGAAAGGAGAAAGTCGGCACTGGAGATATGAACTCGACTGGACCAATCTTGCAGCGGACGAAGAACCGATTCTAGTGCAAAAGGTTGGTGGACTTGCACGTTGCACTAGCGCAACAATGGCTAATTCTCTTTCTGAACAGCAACCTTCATATGCGCCCATCTTCAGTGGCGACCAAACAGCTTATCCTCCCACAATGACGAAACCATCAAATTCACAAGCCGTTTTCTTTAGGTCTATGGCTAATTTGACGGGAATGCAATCTGAAGCGCAAACCCCGAGTGATCCACTGATTCGCGATTACGATAACCTCTTTCGCATTTTTTATAATTACCCACCGATTTTAAACAGCGTCAACATTGCTTCCGCTTATACAGAATGCAAGTCTCTTCTTGCATTGGCAGATATGTACGACGCGCTGCCCGTTACAGGCCCTCGGGTAGACCACCACCTATTAGGCTTCGGTTCGCGGCTATTTAAGCAGATATCCAAGTATCCACCCAGCTATCTCAAGCTCGGATATTTAGCCCGGAGCCGAGTCATCTTCTCAGAAGCCTTGATCCATGTCGTGGGTCAGTGGCCTGCCGCATTACCAAATTTGCGGAACGGCTCATATGCTCCGGTGCCCGAAGTCGTACGGGATCTTATTGAAGACAAATTCGAAGACCTTGAAGATCTCAAAATGCGCGTCATGTCCAAGCTCCTTCGCTTGTCTCTGACTACCTCGAGAGGCGAGCGTGTCGGCCCCAACAATGCCTATCTGGACTGGCTCGCTGTTTCGTTGTTTCGCCAATGGCTAATCGAGAGCACAACTGCTCCTCCTGCGCCAATTCTCAAGAATTCCAGTACTCCTGTGCCATCAAACGGAGCGCGTAGTCAAGCAACCTCTTCAAGGCCACCAACAATACCTGACCAGACTGCCCGCGTGTATAGATTGATCGGATCCACCTCTACACAGGCATACCTACCCCATGATGAGCTCAAGCGCTTTCTAAAGCTACATCCCACCCCCTCATCTGATGCTCCCTATACACGCGAGACTATGAAGCGATTTGAACGGAAAATGGATGAAATCAAGCGACTAGCCCATCAAATTGTGAAACCAGTATTGCGTTCTGGATTGCAGGAGAGCGAGAGCTCTGCTTTGGGGTTGCCTTATTTGACCTGCACCCGCATTGCAGAGGCTGATCTACCGTGGAGCGGATAGAACAAAATACAGTGTTTATGTGTGCTTGTCCTATTTCAGGAATTACTCTTACTGGAAGGTTTTGCTTGGAGATGATCAATTTGTTTTTATTTTCCCTTGGGCTGATGTCCTGTCCGAGGAATACATGACTGTATACCCATTTACGTTTTTATGGTGATGATTTGATGTGCGCTTTATGTCTGGCTTGGCTTTTCTGTGTTATTTAATGATTTACGATGGCATGATGGCTCCACGCTTTCACTGTCTTTTTATTCCTATCATTCCCAAGGCTGATATTCGGCATTTAGTAGACATAATGTTGGAAAAATGACTTTCAATAGGCAGCAATGATCAGAGCCGTTCACTCCCAAGGATTTCAGTGCAAAACCAAGAGAGCCAAGTCACTCACAGCCCCAACTTGTGCTTCTTGATCCGTGCACCCACTCCAGCCAAAACGATGATGAGAGCGATAACGACTGGCCAAGTAGGAATATGGATAGTAGCTTTATTAAATGACGTCTGGGTGGCAGCCACGACAACGACAGACTCCAATAGCAGAAGGGCATATCCGGACCAACGATGATATTTATAGATAGTTTTGCCGGCGTCGACACTGCCGAGGATAGTGACGGGCAAAAAGTATTGGACCACTCCAACAAGAGACTGTAGGACAATGAAGATGACGGTGATCAAGCCGAGAATACCGTGCGGAGAAGTGAAGTGTGCATGGCTGCCCTTGTTGACTTCGATGACTACGAATGCGGAAAGAAAGCCGATTATGCTGACCAGTTGGATTATGTAGTGGATTCGAGTGCCGAGGAGCTTCTGTTCGGGGCTTGTAGTTGGCTGTAGAATTAGGGCTGCCTGGACTTGTAGAAGAAGTGCGGAGATGGCGAGGAGCTATGACACAATGACAGAATGACAGGTTAGGTTGAATTTATGTAAGTTGAAGATGTAAGCTTACTGGATGGGCCGTAAACAAGATTGGTGGTTGCATTAGGACCCTTGACCAAACAAGGGCAGCCAGCTAGACATGTCATTAGACCATGAACTCGTTTGAAATTGTATTATGATTAGGCGGGATATCATCACTCATTACTTACAATCCAAATGGCAACTTGAGCAACACCCGCAGAGCCTGCACAAGAGTGAGTCGTGAGTCTTTAAATATGAGGGGTTCAGCTCACCTGTGATGAGATTGCGGGCAATCTTTTCACTTGATGTCTGAGTGACATCTCCAGAACGGCCTAGTAGAGGCTCATTTTCCGGAGCAATTGGCCTGGGGGAAATGAGAGTTGGAGTCTCCGATGCCATAACTAAAGATTGAATATCGTTTAATAACAGTTTGTGTAGACTGTGCTTTTTTCATTATTCAGACGGGGATGTTGCGATTAATAAAGGTTCAGCCTGGTCTAAGAAGCAATAAGCAATATTATGCAAGAGCTTCCTTGCATTTCGTATTCAAATGATGCATAAAGCATTGAAAAGCAAAGGCGTTGATTTGTCCTTGATTTGGCTATTTTCGTCTTGAATGACGCAGTTATGCTTATCGATAAGATACACCAGCTTATATAATCATGAAATGGGCAATAACTAAGTTGGTTAACCAACTTCTCCGTAGTCAGTTAAATACATAAATAGAAAACCGAAAAGGTAATTAATTACCCGCCGATTATTTTTTATCGAAATTGAAGTTGAAGTCTTGAGATTCTGACAACCTATACCCATAATACTAGTTTTGGTTCTACAGTTTGCTCAATTCTTTTGAAGATTCAGATTCTTTCATCATGAATATCAATGAGTCGTCCATATTATCCGAGTTCGACAAGCTTGTCAACTCTGGCATTGTCCAATACAATGACCAGCAAGAAACGATTGATTACGTTGATGGAGATCTTAAGGTACAGAATACCGAAATTTCTCTGCTTTATCTGCCTAATAACCTCGTTAGTTTCAATTTTGTCTCACAACTGCTCTCATAAAAAAGCCAACCCTTCAGTCAAAATCAGAGAAGGAGCACGATGAACAGAGACGAGATGGAAGCGATATCAGCACTGTAGGCTTTGAGATTGGCGAAATCAACGGCACGCACGTTCTGATAGCAAACAAATTCTGCTATGCCAGACCGCATCTCATGCTCGTAACTTCTGATGGACATCAGAGGCAATATGAAGCTCTAGATCTGAATGATCTGAGCTCAGCGTGGCTTATCATATCCACAATGGATAGAGATTATGTCGGCTTTTTCAACTGTGGCCAGGATGGAGGCTGCAGTCGACTGCATAAACACTTGCAATTTATCCCAACGCCACAAAACCTTTTTGCATCCTTTTTGGACTCTAATGACCCGGAACCCAAAGTGCCCTTCCACTGGTTCTATCGCCGCTTGGATGCTCAGACTACGCCAGAAACTTTGCTGAAGATATATACCGAGCTTCTTGAGCAATCTACTAAGATATGGGAAGGTTGCACTACACATAATGCGGCTGTTAGCCCCAACGCTGCATGCCCCCATAACTTTATCATCACAAAGCGTTGGGTGGTTGTGCTGCCGAGGCAACGCGCTGCAATAAATGGAGAGGCCGGTGTCAATGCGATTGGCATGCTGGGTTACATTGTCGTTTCTACTCAAAAGGAGATTGATAACTGGATACGGATTGGGTTGACAGACTCACTGAAGGTAGTTGGCGTGCCCAAATGGGAGGTCTGCAAGCAGTAATTATGGTTCCTGGAGTTTTCGGAAATATGCCTTTGATTTGATTCTCTTCAATCAACCTTTCGAAGTTAGAATGCCATAGAAACTCTAGATCTGATACAATGCACTCATAATAGGGTTTCAATAATTTACATCCATTTCCAAAGTCATTGCGGGTGAGATGATTCAGGCCCATGGCAATTTCAAGACTGGTCCTTCCTCCTCAGTTCCCGGGCGACCAAATACTACCTCAGCACCAAGGTTGTCCGGATCCAAGTTCATCACAATATTGAACAGAGTACGCGTTGGCATGGGGCGGGCCCCATCCTCTCGGCAGCATATTGACTGAGGATCATTGTATGTGTCCGAGAAGATGCGCTCACGTAGCAAGGCGGCTTTGATCCCATCGCCATTCACCCCATTTGAAATCAATTCCTGTGCCAACTGCTTCACTCTTTTCAATCTGATAGGGGAACCAGATAACCATTGTGTTTCATCCACATAGCGGTTCTCAAGGAAGTGATTCGTGTGCCCGATGAGACCAAACGAGTCCTCGACAAGATACTTGTTACCCACTGGCGACAGCTCGAGTCCCAAGGCCGACTTACTATCAGAGATGAGGATGTGTTGAGCCGAAGAGACACCACCAAGAGTCTCGAGAGTCTTCACAGCGTTTTCGACCGATGAACTTTCCAGGCACAGTCGTAGCGCGATATGGATGGGCAGTTTGCTGCTGATCATCGGCTTTGCACGAATTGCATTCAAACAGGTCCCAACTCCAGCAGAGTTGAATCCAATCTTACCAACAATACCGGCCTTTGTAATATTTCAATGTTAGTATGACTATCATGCCACATGAGGCAAATAACTCACCTCCGTGACCATATAAATGGTAGGTTTCCCAGTCTGCTCAATAGTGACCAGGGCCAGATTCTTCGACACATCTCCAGTCCAGTCCCAATTCTGTGCCAGGATTCGTGCAGTGTTACTCTTCTTCCAGGATAATGATGTGCAGCCGTCGGAAAATTTCCCGAGGGCAATCTCGCTGCGACAATTAAGGGCAATCACATCGAGCACATCTAAACCGGCCCCTTCGGAGATTCCTTCAATCTCGGCATATATATGAGGAACTAGTTTCTCAAGAGCAGGTTTGAACTCCTTCGCTATTTCGCGGACATCAGGCCAGCCAAGCTTCGAAGTGGATTGGAACATGGCATCGTATATGCTGATTTGGCTATGAATCTGCTCTCGCAGTGACCGGCCATGTTCAACGCCAATCTTAAAGTAGGTCAGTCGCAGTTGTTCACTCATAAAGTTGTCTAGAAAAGAAAGCCATACCTCTCGAGGACTACCTTTCAGTGTTAGTTTGATCCGCTCTTCAGCCATGATGTTAAGTCGAACCGCGTGACAGCTTGAGAGATCAAGAATCGAAGTGTTCCATCGATTCCCCTCAGTTGGCGTGGACTGCGGGGACTGATAAGAAGATCGCAATGGTCTACTTAAATGGTATCACTGTGGCACCTTGAAGAGAAAAGGACATCATATGTTGACAGTTATTGACTTTAGTTTCCTACCACTCCATCCGAGTTTATTGAGCCTTCAAATCTCAATCCTGCCATATTTTTCACTTACCTGGTATGAAAAGTAATCGAGGCAGCGCTGGAAACCTTGGACGAGAAATTGCCGAAGTTTGGCCGAAAACGACACATGGAGCCAGAGAAGCCATTATTCTTCCAAGATTGAAACTAAGATTGATTTTAGCTATTTACCCTATAAGATGTTAACAATTCAATTTTACTATCGTCGACTAATTGATATTCCCCGATGTCATCCCGCGCCTACGCTTACAGCCTTCTCTACACTAAAAATAGGGTTAATGGGCTATAGCGAAGGTCCTTCGCTAAGTATTTAGTGTACCCCCAGGCCAGATTCTCGGGTATCCGTCATATCAATTGATGAACCCTTCTCTTGAAATCCTTTTTTTTTTACAGCTATGGACCTCTTGATTCTATGGTAAAATTTTCGATGGAAAAAAAATGCAGGTCTTCTCATGTGAATCCATCAAGCTGCATTCATCCTAACTTCAAAGATTGATTGATTGATCTATAAATAGATATGTACTTTTATGTATCCCAAGGTCTCTGACAGTACCTCCTTAGGTATAGGTATCCATGAATAGGGGTGCCTTGGTAGCTATCTACCTAGCTAATCTATAAATACTTTCTTATGAAGGTTAACAAATTGTCCTTGCCACTTTCAAATGTTATTTAGATGAATATTCTGGCAATATGAAACAGCGTTGGCCTAGACGCATCATGCAGACGTGCTAGCCCGTCGGGGACATGCTTGTTCTGTTGCACCATTTCCGTCTTCTATTTTCTGATTTAGCGCAGAAATGAGAAAAATCGGAAGATTGATCGCCAATATTTATACATTTTTCTCTGTAAAGAATGACTTGGAATAACACTCTCGATTTATCCTGTACCATTCTTCTAGTATTCAGATTCTTCTCAGCCCTGATCTATCCACATCTCTTATTTCAGCCGCATAACGAAGACTTCTACTTACCTAGGAAGGCGTCAATTCTACGAAAAAAAGTTTTCCTTTCTCCGAACAGCCCCATTACTAGACCTAATTTCAATCAAATCTTAGAACCTGCCCAGAGAGGTAGAAGTCATTGTTACACGAATGCTTCGGGTATTGTTTTCAATTGCTAGGTTAGTCATCCTTTCAGTGGCTCATACATTGACCCATGCAGTCTCCTTGATTTGAAATCTGTTGTTCTATCTGATAAAGGAGATTTCTTATTTCGAGTTTTGATCATGCGTGCCTGAGAAGAATGAAGATATGGTCATGAACTTCTTGCATAAATAGTGTTACAGATGGCACGATACACTGCAGGCTTGATCGGGTGTTTAGTTATTTAAGGAAGCACCCTTGATACGGCAAGTTTGATGACTTTGGAGGTATGGGTTGAGTTAGTGTTATACAGCACGATGTTAGATCCGGAGTCTCCAGGGCTTCCATCACCAAAGTAGATTTATCTGTGGAGAGAATCTTGGAATTTGACTCTAAGGGAGATCTCAGCATTTCAGCCGGGTAGGTATTTAGACTTGAATAGCTGTCTTTTATCCGTAGAGTATTCTAGTGTTTGATAGGTATGGTTTACTTTTTTTTGAGTGTCCTTGCATTTGATGTTGTTCTTAGATATGATCCTAGATACGATACTCCCGAGGTCCTGTCCAAGCTTTCCATGCAGAGATCGAAAGTTCCTTAATGCCACCTACGTAAAAAAGGCCAAGTTTGATAGGTAATGCTTACCTGAATAAAGCAGTGTAGAGACAAATGTGAGACAGCGGGTATGCTCGATGACTGGCAGACTACATCAACTCTATTTGTGTAATACATGAGAGATCAGAAGTCTACTTGAGACCTAAGTCATGTTTTCTCCTCGTGGGAAATTATGACAAGGCCATCCCAGCTAGAATAGAGAGCCATTCTTATTCCTACATAGATTCGTAGGGAGCCTCTGTCATCAGCATAATCAGCCTCAAAACGGCTCACCTTAATTCTCAGAGTCTTGGGAGGTGGTATCATTAACCCTGACGCACGGACAAGGCTATGCCAACGCAACCGTACAGACCAAGACGGGAATTTTGCTACCGACATGCCTCTTGATCCAGCAGAATCTGCCCATGGATGTCCGGTTGTGCGGATTGTAGAGGCAGAGCTGTGTTACCATTAAACTACCAATGAGAAAGTTAGATAGCGCCTCAGTCAAGTCAATTGGCTCGCATCACGAGACAGATGACACCTTTATGATTCCTTCATCAAAACAAACAGCATGTTATGATATTGCTCAGCCTGATCGAGTCATGTTGCAGTCGCATATAGGGAGGTTAAATGATGGAATTTGAAAAAAGGTTGCCCCAACGAACGATATCTAGAAGTACCCGTTGACCTAGGCTTGATATTTTTCGACCTGATTTTTTTTCGGGATGGATTGGTCCTGCCTATCATTCTCTGCGCTGCACCGTTGAGGGGTGTTTCGTAGTCTCCTTTTCCCCTCCCCTTGGTATCACCCTAATGTGGCCTAATGTTGCTGGATGGCAAACCCAGATTGTTTCTTCTTCACAGGCCAAGATGTTCAAAAAGCTTGATACAATATAATTAAGGACATTCAAACCCACATTCCTCTTCATCTGCTCTTTCGACGGTCATTTCCATTATTTGATATCCAGTTGACTTTCCGAAGTCGTGATTTTGATTTTTGCTTGCTCCAAGAGCAGTCCATTCCTGCGAGTCCTCATTTGTCGCCCCAGATGTTATATAAATACGCGTATCCGTGAATATACGAGGTTCACCCTTTTAAACACACTCTCCCGTCCACTGCCACCCATCCAGAGAACAACACTCTGTTAGAAATCGCCACCCAAGCCGTTTCATCTCCCGCTATGCCTCCCAAGGGATTTCAAGACACAACAATACCTGAAGCACAAGGTGTCACTTACGACGAGTCCGAGATGGCCTACTTCCATGCAAAACTACTATATCAAGCCACGTTCGACGAACGTACATCTTCGCACGACAATAACCTGGCTTCGGTCTCTGATGCTCAGGGTAAGCTTCTCAAACGCTGGGGAATGCTTAGAGATACCCAGAAGGAAATTGTGGATAAGGGAGAAACCCTGTCTGCGTTTGATAGAAGACAAATTACGCAATGTGCGTGGCGGTATCAGGAGCTAGAGAAGCTTGCAACGAAGTCTGAGAGATAAATTGACCGAGCCTTCCAAGCTTGGAAACAAAAGTGCTTTTCGTTGCTGGCTTTTGCCTACATTCATATAGCAAGGCGATATAAAAGACATTGCAGGAGTTTTGGACCAAGAGATTTTAGCGATGGATGTTTTTATTTTAATTCGTTTAGCTGAAAGCTGTGTTGCTTGTTGGATTCTTCTTTTTGGAATGATATGGATGTCTTCGTTTGCTAAAGCTTCAGGGTTGAAACCTTTCCTTGCAAGATTCATTCTGTTCATACTTCGAATGGGTACAACGTTCACCACTCTTTCCATGCCAGACAATATCTCATTTTAGTATAGACCTGTGTTAGCCTATGTCCTTCAATCCCTTCGTTTATTCCGATGCTTCCACGGATGCTTCCAAAATTCTCAGCAGTTGGCTGGACTCGAATGTGGTTCCGCTTGTTGTTGCACAAGCAGTCCTCCATGGACCTCGGGATACTATCTATGGAATGTGTCACATAATTGACTTTTTATCAGACCATCAAGCACCACCTGGGCAAACCAAAATCGTATCATCACTGCCCAGGTTGTTTTTGAGAAGCGACTTTTCATAGCTTTCACAATCTTGGATAATTGACCTTACCTAAGAATCAAATATTGCAGTATTGGCCATACAGTAACCTCATATTAAGGTCATGACCAATGTGGCGGTATAAGGTGGGTATTATGGCGATACTGTTTCGATTGACCCAATCTCGAGAGGATTGATCAATGATAGTTGTGCTATTTGTATCAGCTGCTTCTTGAGTACTCCGTACAGGGCACTGCAATACTGTATCTGCAACTCACTGGATCTATGTCAATAGAGTAGATGTGGAAGATCGGAAAACTGCGATAATCGGAGACCTCCGATAGTTGTGGGGCAGCGCTTGAGCTCCGAAAAGAACTCCGGCCTCTCGTATTATCGGTGTTCACCACCGGACTTCCATAATGCGACTCGGTGGAACCCGGAAAATTATAATGACTGTAATAGATTCTATTGGCTCTGGTATAGTTATTATAATGGATCAAGATAACAGTTATATGGGGGCCCCGAGGAGTACATACTGCTAGTAATAGATACTCTTATCAATAAACTCCACTGATTTAAGTATTGGAGTCATCCCCTTCCTTGGACCTTCATTTTCTTTCACTCTACAATCTTGATCTATATACTCTACCTATAATTCAATATGGAACAAGTCCCCTCAGCTGATATCGACAAGGTGTTCGCTCACACAACCAATCTAGCCTCATGCAACCTCAACACAAAAGTTCTAGCATGTTCAAATGACTTCTTCGCCTCAGCCGATAACCTCCTCACCCCCACACCAGCCATCTCTCGTCCGGGCGTATTCATCCACACCGGCGCCTGGTACGACGGCTGGGAAACCCGTCGTCACAACCAAGACCCCTACGACTGGGTAGTAATCAAGCTAGGCGTAACGGGATCAATTCAAGGAGTCGAAGTAGACACGGCATTCTTCACTGGAAACTACGGCGAGAAGGCCGAGCTGCAGGCCATTTACGCACCAGAAGGCAGCGGAATCACAGATGACCAGATCGCAAGCCCGAGCTTTAATGGATGGAACACTGTTCTCCCTGTGTCAGAATGCGGCCCGTCACAGCGCCGTGCTTGGAAGATTCCCTATGATGCTCAGAACCCGGCCCCCTATACCCATGTCCGGTTGCTGATGTACCCTGATGGTGGATTTGCCCGTCTTCGTTTGTACGGCCATGCTGTTCCACCTCCTCCCCCTAATACACAATCCGACACCGTTGAGGAGCTTTCGTCTGCTCTTATGGGTGGTTTGGTTCTAGATGCTTCGGACCAGCACTACACACCCGCTTCTAATATTATTTTACCTGGTCGTGGTAAGGATATGGGAGATGGGTGGGAGACTGCTCGCTCGCGTGGTGCTGGCCATGTTGACTGGGCTATTATCCAGCTTGGTGTTCCTGGATCCGTGTCCAACGTTGTTGTCGATACCAAGGACTTTCGTGGTAATTTCCCGCACGCTGTCCGCGTTCACGGCCTTGTTGCTGGTAACGGTGCCCCTACTTTTGAGAACCCGGGCTGGGTTGAAATTATTAAGGGCGATAAGTCTTGTCAGGCTGATACCGAGCATACATTTGATGCTGAGAACTCTCAGGTCTTTACCTACGTCAAGCTGACCCTTGTGCCGGATGGTGGTGTCAAGCGCTTCCGTGTCTTTGGCCGCCGCGCTTAAATAACTGGAGTTGACAGATGAGAGTAGTAGACCTGTAAATGGTTGGTATGATGCTTCATGACATAGAATGCACAAAATATGATTACTTCGAGTAAATTACATCATTGGATGAAATTAAGTCTCAAGTACGTTTTTCTGGACGAAGTGTTTATAACATTTGAAAGCTGTGGTGAAAGAGCCCTGGGTACGATACAATACATAAAGATGGGGGAATATAAGAAAATAAATCCATGCTGAGGCTCAATGCCTGCATGTACAGATAATAAAAACTCCAACTCCATCATGAAACTCGTGAATCAGGTAGATTCCATCGCGATGAAACCAAACAAAAGAATTGTGAAGCCAATGAGAAACTTAGAACTCCGACAATCCCAAATTCCCCAGGGTGATTCCAAACAAAAAAAAAAAAAAAAAAAAAAATACAAACGTGAAAACGTAACCTAAGTATCAAGTTCACAGAACAAGATTCAAGGTGACGCCTCTCATTCTAATTAGGAGCAACTTTGTAGGGTATCATCTGGAATAATGTAAAATCATTTTGTCTCGGACTTTGGGGTTGGAGGAAATTTTGCTTCGTCTGACCCTATTGAAGAAAGGCTGGTTGGCGTACCTGTATCGCGGGCAGTATTTCCTCTAGATGCTTTCTCTCTGATCGCCATGCGCGTTCGTGGGTGGGATGGTACCGGTGCGAGGTAATTGTCCAGCAACTCACTCAAAATTGGCGATCGTACCGGCTTAGGGAGATAGTTGTTCATGCCGGCTTCGAGGCATTTCTCCCGATCGCCTTCAATAGCACTGGCAGTCATAGCGATTACCAGTACCTCGTTGACATTTGGATCTGTATCTCGACGGATCTCGCGCGTTGCGTTGTATCCGTCGAGTGTGGGCATCATGACGTCCATCAGGACAACATGGAATGGGTTGCCCTCTTTAGATTTTGCTCGCAACGCATCTACCGCTAATTGTCCATCGCTGTAGGCCTCACACTGGAGACCAAGACCAGTCACAAATTTGACCGCGATCTTCTGGTTGATTGGATTGTCTTCGGCTATACACACTCGGATCTGATCACGGGGAATCTGGGTCAGATCACGAGCTGTAGCTCGAGGAGCTGCCTTGCTCTCTGCGTGCTTTAGGTCCTGAGACCACGGGGTCTTGACAGCTGTCTTTTTGGGCGCTTTGTTGAAGACCAGGTGGAATGTCACCGTGGTACCAACTCCGGCAGTCGACTCAAGCCAGATAGCACCGCCAAGGACATCTTCAATGATTGCCTTGCAGATACTAAGACCCAATCCACTACCGCCATATGATCTTTCTGTTGATGGATCAGCCTGGGAAAAAGGCCGGAAAAGTCGTGCTTTCTGTTCTTCGGGAATACCAATGCCAGTATCGGATACAGAGCATTCCAGGCGAACACGCCCTTTACCCTCGCGTCCAACCTTTGCCCTAACTGTGACAGACCCCTTAGGTGTGAATTTGTAGCTGTTGCTGAGGAGGTTCATGAAAATCTGGTGCAAACGAACAGGATCGCCAAGAACGACTAGCTCTGGAGGGACACGTTCCAGATCCTCAATTGTGTCCAAACCTCTCTCTCGGTGGGTGTATCGGAGAGCGCGGGTGACCTCTGATATTGTCTCTTTCAGATTAAGCGGCACTATAGACATTTTCATTTTGCCAGCCTCCAGCTTGGAGAAATCAAGAATGTCATTGATAAGTGTGAGCAGTGTGTCAGCACAGACACGGATGGACTCGACATATTCATCTTGCTCCTTGTCCAGCCTGGTGCCTTTCAATAGCTCCGAGAGACCAATCACTCCGTTCATTGGTGTGCGAAGGTCATGAGAAATGTTTGCAAGGAAGATGGATTTGGCACGTGCAGCATCTTCTTTGAGTTTCACGTTGTGTTTGGCCTCCGCCTCTGCCACCTTCGCCTTTTGCTCTGATTCTCGTGCTTGTGCCAAAGCTCGCTTCTGCGTTTCGATCATTGAAGCATTCTTGGCGCTGACCTTGCGGATCTCACGGAACAGCAAGGCATTCGAGAGAGAAATTCCGACCTGGTTGCAAAGCAAGTGCAGTACTACAACATTGCGCTGCGTGAACCAGTTCGGCTTTCCTTCCAAGTGGATGACTCCAAGAAGATTATTGGCCTGGACGATGGGCAGCGCGATGACAGACCGGCCCAGCGGAAAACTTTCCTGGTAGGCCTCGCTCACGTTGGAGAACCGCTCATCTTCAAGCACGTTATGAACGAGGACCTCTTCCTTTGTACGCATGACATAGTGTGAAATCTCTTGGGCCATTCGGCTGTCAAACTCCGCGAATGGAAGACCTTCCGCATACGACATCTGGCCCTTATCAGCATCCGCCGCCGCTGCAATTGCAAACCCTTGCTCGTCAAAGTGAGTGGCGATGACTGCAAAGTCAGAACCATTGCATGACTCTAGGATGATTTCGAGCATCTTCGTGAAGAGGTTGTCAATTTGAAGCTCAGAGGACATGACCTGACTAGACTCAAGAATACTAGATAGGTCAATGATATCTAGACCAACACCTGAAATATCCATGGACCTTTCGCCTGCTGTGACGCCATTCTGTTCGATCCATCGCTGTCTTCTCTCGTCCTCGAGTTGTGAAGGAAGAGCAATTTCCTCTTGCGCGGCAACATCATGACTGATCTCAAGCAGTGAGTCAGTAGTTTGGCATCCAGTGTCGACCATTTTGGATGATATCGCTGTTTTGATTAACCATTCGTGTTTCTCTTGAAGCATTGCCGCTTTTCCAGATGCGCTAATGGAACTCCATGCAGTAATGGCGTCCTGCATCATAGAACGTGCTGCCCGTTTCGCCCCACGTCTGATCAGAAACTCGGCTTGCAACTCGAGCGCCAGCGCCTCTTCTAGAGGCCATCCATGAAGCTGACAATGGTCAAGAGCAGCCTCAAATGCCTGCGTTGCGGTGCCATGGTCATTTCGAGCTTCAGCGATAAGGGCTTCGAGTAGCAAGGACCACATGCCGTAGTTTGCATCAGAGCACCTTCGAGCAAAATCGATTTCGGACTTATACTGGAGAATCATCTTCATTTTCCCCTCCAAGTGACCTCGATCAGGATAGTCACTGTGCAGAGTGAGGATAGAGATTGATAAGTAGAAGTAGATGACGTACTTCACACGAACAGACCAGAGCCTGGGCGCCGTCTCAAGTATATATGTGCCAACCTCAATCGCTTTGCAATGGTGGCCAAACAGTGTCAAAGGAATCATGGCGAGGCCGTAGTAAATATCGCGAGGCCTGTCGACATTACTGGCATTGGCGTCCAAGTAGGCCAGATAGGAGCTTGTCCTGTGTTCTTCATCAGACATGACATTTTCGGCTGATCGAATTTCTGTTTTGCCTTGGAGAGCTCGTGCAACCTGCCGCACTGCCAGTAGGCTGGCACCCCCACGAGTATCATGTAGCCAGTTTGGGATATCATCAGGAGTTTCCGCACAAAATGATTCTATCTGAGCCAAGTCGTGACCCAGGTAAAGCCTAGTCATGGCCATAGATGAGATGCCGATCAGCGTAATATAGGGGTCACCCATGATGAAAGAAAGCTCAAGTGAGGCATCTAGGGTAGGTAACGTCGTAGCAATAGGAAGGCGGAGGTGGCTAACGTAAAGGCTGTGAACAATGGACCCTCTACTCTGAGTCCACAGCTCCGAGCAGCGCTCTAGTAGGGCGAGAGAGAAGTCGCTCAGCTTTGCGCCATATTCAAGGTCCTTGAAGCGACTCAATGATATCATGGCAAGGTGGGAGCAGCCTATTGAGATTTGGGTGAACCCGCCCCTGAAGATATGAATGTGCATCATCTCAATTGCCATTCGATAAAATGTCAGTGCATCGTCCCAATAAGTGACAGACATCGCCTCGGCCATAACAGCACCGATGGTGATTAGATTGGGATCCTTGCTGATAGGCTGATGAGCAATAGCTTCCAAGTCCGTCGACTCGAGATATACTTTCAACTTGAGATACGCGGTATCGCATTGTTCAAAAGAAGTAGGAACACGAAGATGAACACCAAGCTCGTCAAGACAAGTGAGTAGCGCCTCCATTGATCGATGATGGTCACCCATTTGGGCAAATATTTTAGCTTTGATGATCCAGGCCTTTGATTTGGAGACCGCATCTTTGCCATGAGTGAAAACAGCCTCGATCAACTCAAGAGCATCATCATTTTGACCTTGCGACCAAGACATTTCGGCGGAGGCAATGAAAATGCGCATGGTTTCATCGTGATAGACATCCTCTTGGTAGTCATCCCAAGGGTTGTCTTGGAGCAGTGCAATGCAGTGGCGGAAGTACCACAGAGCTGTAGGCCGGGCACCGGACTGAGCAGCAGTCTGTCCCGCATCCCATAAGATTCTTCGGTAATCGACTCTTCGAAGAACATGGGTCTTAATTGTGCGAGAAGCGAGGGCAACATGTTGGGCCATCGAATAGCGACTTCGGTGGTCATGATAGTATTTCATCAGGACCTGTGAAAGAACGTAATGCATCTTCTCTATATTTTGGCTCTCGCTCAAACACATGGCAGCTGACGCGAGCCGATCATTTCCAAACTTGAATTCATCATCAGTCTTCCCAGGAACCAAGAGGTTTGCCTGAACCAAATGCTGTAACCCAACAACAATCTCTTCGTCTGATAGCCTGATCAATGTGACATTTTTCGGGGACTTGAGATCGAAGTCCATGTCATCGTCATCCATTGAAAAGAGGAATTCACTTGTCAAAAGCTTTTGAACCAAGGAGAACGAGAATGGGCTTCCTAGAAGAGCGCCCCAAACAAGGATTGATCGCGCAGCCGCTGGTATTTCCTGTAGACGCTTGGTAAGGAAGCCAAGACCCAAGCCCTCACCATATACAGGAGCCACAAACTCAGTAAAAATCCGATCGAGATCGAACAGCCACTTTGAATCCTTCCATGAATACCAGATACAGTTCTTGCGGTAACAGGTTTCTAGCATCACCCGCACATAGAAGGGATTACCATGACTCTTTTCCTGGATGACAGCAGCGAGTGGAGTCAATGTAGTATTTTGCTCCTGATGCATTGCCGCAGCCACAAATTTCACGATATCATCTTCATTCAGTGGTGCAAGCTCGATGCGAGTAATGTTGGAATGATTCAATTCAAACAGTGTCTTTATGTTCTCAGAGGGGATCTCTTCCTTGCGACTTGTGAGTATGAGCACGCATGGCAATTTCGCTCGGATGATGTTTAAAACCAGCTCTAAAGTCTCATCATCTGCGAATTCAAGGTCGTCCAAGCACACAGTAATCAACTTGAGCTGGCATAAAGTTCTCAAAATCTCAACGAAAATATCCATCAAGCGCATGTTATTTGAGGCTGCGTTTGAAAGGAAGAAATCGGCAGACGACTGACCTTTGTCCATCCAGGGAATGCGAAGGCGCTTACCACGATCAAAATCAGGAACGTCTTGCTTCAGTATGTGCTGAGCAACTGAAGGCCTAGGTGAGGACGGTTTGTATTTTGCACCCGGCGCCATCAATTGTTCAGGGAGGTCCAGCACCTTGTGCAGCGTGGGCCACATTGATCGCAGCGCGACTCGAATACTGTTGTGATAGTCCGTGTTGACATCACGTTCGGAAAATATTTGGCGTAGGAGACTAGCTACAATCTTCGCAAAAGGCTCAAATGGAACCCGCTTGGCGCGATCAAGGCGCGTAATTGCTATATATCCAGCTTTCCGAATGACAGGTTGTACTCGGTTTAGAAGATCTGTCTTTCCTATACCAGCAGCACCGCTGATCGTAATTACCTCGCAACGACCGTTACGGCGAGACTTTGCTCCGGTCTTGTGTTTACCAAGAGAGCTCAACGTTTCTGACTGGACAAAAGGATATGATGACGGTTGACTAGGGTTGGAAGGGTCGATATTTGTGGATCCTCGAGAATTTGAAGGGCTTTTTACTCTGCTAGCGATCGGTACCGACGTTGGGGTCGGCATTCCCTGACTTCTTGAAGTGTCGCTACTCGCTATTGAATCTTGAGTGCTGACGTGTGAGAGGTGATAGTTGGCGGCATTTGAATTTGTCCTGGGTGGGAGTTGGAAGGATCCTGAGTCACTGGAAGCAGAAGCAAGCTCAAAACTGTCCACACGTCCATCCGAGATGGATGATGAAGAAGCTAGAGCATGCGCTGTGCTGGGGCTATGAGATAAAGATCGTGCAGAGACTGCCGTATGTCGTTTCTTCACTTTTTCAACCACGTTCATGATTACATCATACTCATCTTGCCGGCCAAACATTTGAGAGGGGAGGGTGAAAAATGAAGACACATCTCGTTTCGCAACTTGGAAATTGTTAAGGGATTCAATGTCACCGTCACCCAGCAGTTGGGCTATTTGTGTCAAGTCTCTCTTAACGGAAGAAATTGTGTGGTAACGGTCATGGACGACCTTTTGCGTCATTTTATGAACCACGGCAGAGAGGGCATCCGGGACATCCAATCTTTTTGACGTGATAGGTGGTAGTTTCTTGCTGAGAACATTCTGAACAACTTCAACGGGATCAGCTCCCGCAAAGGGCAACCTTCCAACCAACATAGACCAGAAGAAAAGTCCCAGAGCATAGATATCTGTGCGACTATCTGGTTCGGTCGGCATTCTTCCAGTCTGCTCGGGTGCAATAAATTGCAGCTTATACTTAGCGCCGAGTTCTCGGGAAACTGAAGACCAGCCTTCGCTCAAGACATTGTCAAAAGACCTCGCGCCATTACCAATATTGGAGAGTTTGACTGTCCCATTTTCGGAGAAGTGAAATGCGTCTCCACGAATCTCTCCGTGCACTGTTTTCATACCATAATGCATGATTTCTAGACAGTCACAGGCGCCAATTGCAAAGTCCAAAAACTCTGATAGTGCAACCTGCTCGTTTGGAGTCATGTTGTTATCGCCCTTGGCTCCAGCCACGAATGACGCCGGGCCAAATGTAACTAAATCTCGCAGCTTATCATGGCCAGGTGATTCGAAGATGGCCACTAAGAGGGTTCCCACATCTCCGGGATCGGGAGGAAGTCGCACTAAATCAATCGGTCGCACAGTGTAATTGCAGTCTGGATCTGAGGATTGCACGATCGACCGAAGCATATGAAATTCACGTTCCAGTCTAACAACATGAGTTGAGACTCGGGCAACAACTGGGACCCAAACCTGTTCCTGTTCCTGGTCGGGTCTAGAGAATGAAAGTTCGCTACTTGTATCACTAGGTCTTCGGTTCTGTGTACGAGTTGCCGGACGTAGTTCTGCGCGGGGCGAAGTTCGGGTGATGCTTGACGGACCGGACGAGTGATGGCCGTATGAGGCTGCGACAGGTGTTGACAGATCTAATTCGATTCCATGTCGATACCCATGAATATGCCAGTGATTATAAGTAGAGTGAAATGGCTCGGTTGACTGATCCCAAGTATAGCCAGGCAACTGGCCTAATCGTTCATAAAGACGAGCCGGTGGAAGGGGCAAGTCATCGCCGAGAAGAATACTCTCCTCCATGACTATAGATATCTATCTGTATACCTTGACTGTGCGGCCACACCTTGAAATTTCAGGCGGGGTTGGACACTAACGGGAAGAACATGAAGGACGGAAGCGGCGCTGGAGATATCGAGAAAAGCGGAAATTAATCAGACCCCCAATTCAAGAGACGGAGTTGTTGCCAGAAACGAAGGATTAAAAAGAGATCGAGATACCCATGCAGGGCTGATCACGAGCACAAGAATTCCCGGTGCATGAGACAAACTACGGAAAATCTATTTCTACGAGGGCTTACATTGCCTTTTCAGACCGGTATTGCATTATGTAAGCGTGCTTTAAAGATTTGACAGGGCGGTGAATATCTAGATTGTATCAATTTCAAATTTCAAATTTCAAATTTCAGTTTTCAGTTTTCAGCTTTCAGTTTTCAGTTTCAATTTGCAAATTTCAAATTTTCACTCCAGGGCTGATCAGTCGCCCTTATCTAGGTAGTTACTAGTTATACCCGATCATTGATGATCCACCCGAATCGAATGTCGGTGGGGTTTAGTTTTTAATAAGTATCTCCCGCCCTGAAGATCTGTGCCTGCCAGAATCAAAACCTTGGAAGTATGTGGGTACCTTCTGCTTAGGTGGAATCTTTAATTTCTCTTACACAGTATATTCCCCAAATCTCCAAAATATCTATTTTATTTGACTTCCAATGGAACATACAAAAATCTTCCTTTCTGTCTTGACTTCTCATTAATGATCTCTTGTTCACAACACCTGGGTTCAGGGGTTTTCTCGCATCTCTTATAGCACTCATTATCCAGAACGGCCTGCGGTGCTGCATTAATCTTGGTACGCTCAGCTCTATATGATTTCATGGACTTGAAATCGCTCCGCAGATTAGATGAAACATATCTAAGCTAGCTTAGTCACAGATTCACAGCGAGAAAAATGACACCGAGGAAGAGAAGATTACCAAGCTTTCCAAATGCATATCGTAGCCTTGGCTCCAGCTTTGTTGTATTGAATCTAATTCCTGCGTCAAACCAAAGTGCCCAGAACCCAGGACGCTGAATGAGATGGTGCCCTGTTTTCACTGCTCAATTGCGCGAAAAGACTACATAGCCTGTTAGCTAAAAATTTCATCCTTGAAGAGTTGATCTGTGGACTCCACAATCCACGCCTGGCAATTGGGACACTGGCAGATTTTCTTAAAATTTCTAGACGACACAATCATGCGGAGTTCCACGTGCGGTTTGTGTCATTAATTGCTCGCAACCAGGGGATGTCAACTCACCTGAAGTGTCCCAAAGATGTGAGCAAATCTCCAAGGCTCCCGAGGTCGTGAGCGGGTACTTAGTCCTCAGGAACCATCCAGATGGTTGTAAAACCCTTGAGCATCCTAGGTCTCACAATATTTTGATTTTGAATCATAATTTCACCTGGGCAGTTATTACATCGGTACTGTATTTAGTTGTATATCTGATGTAGGTAATTTTATGATCCACATGGCAGATTCCAAGGTTTTCATCCCGAGTTGGTTTTTCCCGGTCGACGGTTATATAAATAGAGGATTGCCATAGTTACATAAAGTGTGTGGATACTTTCTACTTAGGTAAAATCTTTAAAATTGCTTATCTACCTAACTATTATTTCCGAAGTTCTTGCCTATGCCCAAATATCTATTCATTTTCATTTTCACTACACAAGGGTTACGTACGGAGTACTGTACTTGGAGAATCCTTCAGTTAAACTCCCAAGACCCACTAATTTTTGATCATTTGGAACAACCTCTGATAGAAATAGGCAAATGTCATATCAGGTAGAGTTACCTAGAAAGAAATGAAGATGCCGAGGGAACGGTGTCAAATAGCCCTGGGGCCTGGAGTTGAGCATTTACTATCCAGGTATGTCCACTTAGCCACGAGCCATGACGTACATTTTTGTTCGTAGCCCTAGGCAATCACTATATAATCGTCTTTGTTTCCCCACCGTTCATCCTTATAAACTAATCTTGGAACATTTAGGTATCAAAACTCTTAAATTGACTAAATACTTAGGAGGTAGCCTAGATGATCGACAAGAAGCCCTACTCCGCATCCCGTATTTATTCTTTTCAGAAAGGGGGCAAGTGTCATCTTCAATCCCTTCCACCGTTGATCACTTCTCCTTTTCATAGACCATCATCGTCAGCGGTTCTTCTAGAACAACCACCAATGCGCCCTCTTCTCAGCTGGTATTTGTATATCCCAAGAGATCTAGACCCAGGAACCTGATGCCAAGGATTATTTTTCATTCCTGATTTTCGCCCCTCTCCTCCTGGCATTACCTAGCTAGAGGTGGATATAGGGAATTAGGAAACGCGGTAATCTTGGAACCAAAATATAACCATCTGTCAAATCAATAGTCCCATATTTCCAAACTTGGAAGGCGATCCGTCTCACTACTTCATACCCCGTAGACCTCACTACCTAGGTACCTAAGTAGGTATGCAATATTAGTTGTGATGACCCACCCCGTTGGTTTTTTTTTTTTTGGGCCTTACCCTATTGGATTTGTTGCCCCGAAAGTGATCAACAATCTTGGAATTCAAAGGTACGATGAAATACTTGGTCATAATATTTGCCTAATCAGTTAATGGATGATTTGTAAATCTGGTCAGCCTTGAATTGGTTTTGTCTCAGTGGCCAGTGGCTAAATTAGACGATACATCACGGGCAGGAACAATTGGAAGGAGTTATAAATACGAAAGGCAAATTTCTCAGCTTTATATTCCTAACTAACTAGGTAAAGAATCGGCTGATTCCAAGAAAATGATCTGTACGCACGTTCCAGGTGGTCTGACTCGCGAATGAGAAGGAAGGTATAGGCATACTCAGAGGGGGAAATAGGTAAAGTGGCCCAGACAAGTTCAAGTACGGTAAGTACCGAGTCAAGAGACGATGTGTTTGGAGTTGTTTCATGAAGGTCTTATACTAGTGAAGTAGTTAATATAATACTATACTGTATTTCAATACGTAATAATAAACGAGTAACTCTATTCTGCCCACTACGTCATACCCTTGAATCCACTTTTAATTATTTATTCATCCACTTAACAAGTCGATCACGGGTACTGACGCCAGTTTCCATAGAACGCTTGTTCCTCCGATTCCGAAAAACCCACCCCTCAACCTACTTTCCAAACAAAATACATTGCACTCCTATCCTTCTTGAACCTTGAACCTTGAATCTGGATCTTCAATCTTGATTTTATTCTATTTCAGCCTCTCTATCTTCCTCTATTCATCTTGTTTCCTTTCTCCCTTTCTCCCACCCCCCTCATCGATTCTTACTCCCTTGAAGAACGACCGTTGTGGCCGAGACATGATCGACTCATCCTGACTTGCGATACTGACATCGCCCAGGAGTAATAGATTCCCCATCGAGCAGTGGTGGAGGAGCGAGAACATGGGGGACGTGCATAGCAGGAGGAGCCCTCCATTTCCTTCGCCGACCGAATCTGTATCACAGCCTTACAATATTCATCCCCGATCGCCGCAATTTGTCGAAAATGCTCGCCGGTCTTCCTTGGATGCTTTCATGGGAGTAGAGGCTTCGGCAAAATTTGGAGTTCGGATGCCTCATTTTTCACGTGGAGACTCTGTCGAGCATATTATGGGACTGGCATCGGCTGCAGAAGATTCGCGATCGGGGAGCGAACGGCAAGAAGAGCAGGGAAAAACTTCGCAAACCTTACAGGAACTTCGTAGGCAGATGGAGGAACTGTTAGTTTATCAGCAAATGCAACAAAACCAGCACCATACGTCACTACCTCAATCGGCCAGCAACGTCAACGATCCCCCCAGAAAAAGACGCTTATCCTCTGCATCCACTGCAGATTCTGCGAAATCTGCATCTTCGATTGAGCCAACCCCAAAGGCCGACCCCATAACTTCTACGGGAACGATCAAGGCCGACGAGACCAACGATCAAATGAACCCCGTCCAGCCAACACCTTCTTATCCATTTCCAAGAGTGACGCATCATCCGAATCCCAGTCCTGAGCAAACAGCACGCCAGGCTCAGTTCCGGTTAAAACTTCCTTCGGATAAAGACAAATCGCCAGAATTCCATTCAGCCAAGGACCCGAGTATTTCTGCGACGGAGCCTTTGGGTTTAAAAGCTGCATTTTCGCCACCGACAAAGGATATTTTTGAAGAATTCCCGAGCCCTGACATCTACAATTTAGTACTGAAATTAAATGCGGATGCGGGACTGGATAGATGGTGGTCTAATCTCGTGGATATCTTGCGTACTGACTACGGCACAGAGCGCGCATCACTTGCTGTTCCAGGTGATGCGACAGACCTAGAGAACGTGCCATGGGGACAGAAAGCGACTTTTAATCCACGCGCCAGCTGTTCCACAGAGAGCGATCATCTATACACCATGGACAACGGAACTGCACCAGAAACCCCGAGCGGGCCCAGCGGGCGCAAATTGAGCGACGAATGGAACCAGAAGCAGAACGGAGCACCGGCCGCGCAATCTAGACCTCAGGGTGCCACTCCAGTCCGACCGTCTTTCTCATCACGCCACTCCTTTGCAGGCTTCGGCCATGTCAGAGGTCAGGTAGATCAAGATCGCCATAGCCTTCTTAAGTCGGCCACAGGAAGGCTCGAAAAGAAACATGCTCGTATCGTCGAAACACCAAGTGCGGAGGCACCTTTGTCAAGCACCGAAAAAACCCCGAAGGCTCATGCCCAAGCGAAAGAACACCAACACAAGTACATGGGCATGATGCAACTGACAGTCTTTCCAACATTGAGGCAGCTAGAAGTAGAACCAGACCCCCTTATCAAACGAACCGGCGTCGTTAGTTTGTTCGGACGGAGCGGTCCAGTGGTACTTACTCGTGACTACGAAGAGTCAATGCAAAACCCGCAACATTCGGTTATGAGCCCATTAGACACGGTCCAAGTTACTCCGACTGCCGAAGAGATTGAGTCTGGCTTCAAGGGAACTGGGGACATGAATATGTTTTGCGTGCCTTCAATACGGCGGTATGATGAATACGAGCAGATTCCTCAATCACCTTGGTCTCAGTCTCCTGCGCCTTCACCAGCTCCACGGTCATATGCAGATCAAAATCCCTTTTTCCTGAGCCATGCTGTGGATGAGGGTGCCTTCGAACAGAATCCGCCTGAACATGACTACGCAAATACACTTCCGTTGGAGGCAATTGGAATTGATCATTCAAAGACAATTATTCACATCCCGCTCTTGTACAGCGATCACTCTGGTGAAAGCGCTTCTCCAACCCTGAGGTTCCCGGTCGCTGTAATATCTCTACTCTCATCCATTGTACCTTATCCACCCAACCTTCGACAGTCCCTTGCCCAACTCATGCCACATCTCACGACTTCATTCCGCCTAGCCCAGCAATACAGCCAACTCGAACGACAATTAAATTGTAAGGTCGAGCTACCCCGATATGGCAATCTCCTAGGTTTGGGTGGCACCTTTTCAGATGCGAGCAGCGAAATGGAGCTTGTTGCAGGGCTGAGTGGGCATATGAACTACTCTGTCGGTGATGATAACTCTATGTCAGCGCGAGCCAGTCTTGCTAGCCCTAGTGATAACTCATCCATGAAATTCAGCCCTGCTTTGTCAAGCTATGCAACGCCGTATGAACATGGCCACTTTGGATTTGGCTCGGCGACCCAATCTCCGGGCCTTAACCCCCGCTCTGGGGATGGGACAGACGGTTATTTCAATGTTCAACATCCTAAGCCTCCCACACAGCATCGTCATCGCCTTTCTAAATCTCGAGTGAACCTTGCGTCATCCACGCCCACGTCTCCTGGACCCCGGATGACTGCCGAAGACAGTGCAAATGACCCTAGTTTGACTGCTGCATCCCCATTACATGAAATGCGGTCATCTACTGTTCTATCGTCGGCCCCGCAGCCGTCGCGTCAGGCCTCGACAGGATCTTATTATTCCCAGCTACAACGGGAGCTCCCTCGGCCATTCTCCGACACTATAGCGCAACTGATGTTGAATTCTATTCCTCTACACCTCTGTCTGGCCAAACCACAGGGCGGCGAAGTGATATGGACCAATGCCAAATTTGATGCTTACAGAAGGAGCAAACCGCAGGAGCAAAAGTCGCGAGACATTTGGCAGAACATCCACAGCAACGAGCGCGAAATCATGTCCAACAAGTGGGCTATCGCGCTACGCACTGGCTCGCAGTTCACGGAAAGAGTGCGTGTGAGACGTTACAACGATGAAAATGCGTACCGCTGGTTTATCTTTCGAGCGAATCCTCTACTATCCGCAGCCGGAGAGGTCCTTTACTGGATTGGTTCCTTCCTTGACATTCACGAACAGCATATTGCGGAACTGAAAGCAACCCAAGAGAGGGAGAAGTTTGCCACAGATGCAAAATACAGGGCATTCTCAAACTCAATCCCTCAAATAGTCTTTGAAGCTACAGAGCAACGCGGCTTGATATTTGTCAACGAGCAATGGAACTTGTATACAGGACAGAGGCTTGAGGATGCCGCAGATCTCGGATTTACCAAACACGTTCATCCGGATGACTTGGAGAAATGCGGTGGTCTATGTCTCAAAAAGCAGCGTCAAACAAGTCCCAGCAATAGCCAATCAGCCCAAAGAGATAATGCACAACCCCAATCTTTCGCTGAAATATATGCCGTCTCAGATGCATTGAACGACCTTGTGAAGCGTGGGGTGGCCTCTTTACAAAAGGATGAGAATGGCCGCGTCTTCTACTCCACAGAAATTCGCCTTCGTTCAAGAGGGGGTGACTTCAGATGGCACTTGGTCCGCTTAGTCTGCGTTGAGATAGGTAGCTTTGGTAGCGAAGAAGCCTCTTGGTACGGCACCTGCACTGACATCAACGACCGCAAGAACCTCGAGCGAGATCTCAATAAAGCAATGCGCCAGCTCAACAACCAAATGGAATCCAAGACAAAGTTCTTTAGCAACATGTCGCATGAGATCAGAACTCCCCTCAACGGAATTCTTGGTACAATTCCATTTATTCTTGACACACAAGTTGACAGTGACCAGCGACGAATGCTTGACACCATCCAGAACAGTTCTACTAATCTCCGTGAACTGGTGGATAACATTCTGGACGTCTCTCGAGTCGAAGCAGGCAAGATGTCCCTGGTAATCTCCTGGTTCCATGTTCGGTCCATGATCGAAGATGTCATTGACACCGTTGCATCCCGAGCGATTGACAAGGGTCTCGAGATCAATTACTTAATGGATGCAGATGTACCATCAATGGTCATTGGAGATAGATTCCGGATTCGCCAAATATTGATCAATCTTGTTGGAAATGCCGTGAAATTCACTGCACGAGGTGAAATCTACATCCGCTGCAGTCTCTATCACGGCGAAACTGCGTCCGCAAAGACTAAAGAGACCGAAATTTTCCTCAACTTCCAAGTGGTGGATACTGGCAAGGGCTTCAACTCACAGGATGCAGAACTTCTTATGCAAAGGTTTAGTCAAGTGGGAGAAACTGTCTCGCAACAACATGCAGGCAGTGGTTTGGGCCTATTTTTATCCAAACAGCTAGTGGAGATGCATGGAGGTATGCTCAAAGCTAGCGCCCAAGAGGGCCAAGGTGCCAAGTTCTCTTTCAACGTTAAGCTTGATGCTCCTCAGCCTCCGTCTCCTTCAGAATCACCTCAAGTTTTTCGTCAATCTTCAACTTCTTCCAGGAGACCAGGACTCTCCAGACTGGCGTCTTACGAACAGCAAACTTTGGGGCCATTACGACCCTTTGACGGAAGGTTCTCAGACCCATCAACTATCTCTCCTGGACTTGATTCCATCGCATCCCAGTCCCCAATGCTTAGTGAAGCATCAGCTGTCTCCATACCGAAGAGTTCGCTTCCATTATCTATGGCGTCAGCTGCTCTACCGACTCCAGATATCGTACCTGCGCCTTTGCCACCAGCACTAGACCAGAGCAACTTTCATACAGTATCTCAGAAAACTGCAAACGTAGTTCCTGATGTCAATTCCGTCGTTGATGCGCCGATTCGCCCTGCGCCAATTCAGGCCGCAGCATCTCCCAGCAAATTTTTGGGTCCGGCCATCATTCCCCCTTCTCAAGGACCTTTCTCCATTTACATTTTGTGTACACTCAAGAACACACGCACAGCCACAAAGCAGCATATTGAACAAGTCGTGCCGCATGAGATCCCATTCAAGATCACAACTTTGCCGGATGTCGATGAGTGGAAGGACATGATGCAAAGTGGTACTAACGCAGATTGCACTCACCTGGTTCTCAACTTACCTGCAACGGATGATATACTCGATGTCATCCAAAACATGTCGGCATCCGATCCCAGAACTGCTCCTGTCGTTGTCATAATCTCAGACTTGTACCAGAAACGCCAAATCAGCCCTCAAGTCAAGGCATTGGCGGCTACTGGCAAACAAGTTTTTATTGTACCAAAGCCTGTTAAGCCCTCGGCTTTCTCTACAATTTTCGACCCCGAAAGCAAGCGAGAACTGAGCAAGGATCGCAATCAAGACATGGCACGAGAAATCAACAACAATTTCAAGACTATGTCCAAAATGGTCAAAGAACAACTTGGGAATAAAGGATACCGAATCTTGCTTGTGGAAGATGACGAGACTAATCGCGGTGTATGTAACTCAGAACATTTCCTTCAAGCCTTTTATGGTCTGCTAACGTATAAATAGGTCATGTTGAAATATCTGGACAAGATCAAATTGATGTCCGAGACAGCATCCAATGGAAAAGAGTGTACCGACATGGTCTTCTCCAAAGAGCCGGGCTACTACTCTCTCATTATTGTACGTTTGATATGTCGCTTTCATTGTTTCACTTATACTGATACTTCCACAGTGCGATATTCAAATGCCCATCAAGAACGGTTATGATACATGTCGGGATATCCGTGCCTGGGAATTGAAAAACCATTACCCGCAGATTCCTATCATGGCTCTATCCGCAAATGCAATGACCGATCAGATTGAGCACGCTGCCCGAGCAGGCTTTAATGACTACGTCACCAAGCCCATCAAGCATAATGAATTGGGTCAAATGATGATGGGACTACTTGACACCAACCGACCTCTCTTACTTCTTCGAGATCGTCTCAACTCAGGTAGTGAGAATCCCCTTTCTACCCGGCGTTAAAGTAATTTCTTGCATCCTACATCATATTCTGCATTTTATTTCCCAGCTCACAGCCACCACTGTGACTTTTATCTTTTTTGCTTCACATAATATCCTTTTTCACGAACTATCTCCATTGCAGCCCATTGCTCTATGGCACATATTTGAGCGGGTTTTCAGTTCTGGGCGAAATTACATTTTACGATCCATGGTGCATCTTGATCATTTTCCTTCTCAACAGGATCGGGGACAGGAAAGAGCCGGCCGGCGGGACTTGGAACTTCGGGGGAAAGGGGGTGCATTCATCTAGCGACTAAGAGCACAACACCATTTGATTTGCTCACCACAATCCCGCATTTTTATTGCATTGCAACTCAAGGAACGCATCTTCTGCATCTCTGCAGTGGGCCTTGACTGGTGCATATCATCTTTGTCATGTCAAAGCGCTTACCTTCTCTCTGTATTACTTATCTACTTGCCCGGTTCTGATCTGGCCTTTGGTCCTTTGGCGTCAGTGGAATTGGCTCTTCTCTCTGTTTAATAGGCTCTTCATAATTTTCTCTTCTATCAGCCCTGTGGTTCTTTTTCTTGTGATACCAGGTTACGAGCGCACAACGACAATTGATTAGTTATTTTCACTTCTTGATTTGTATTTTCAACAGTATCAACTCTTGATCTAATTTCCGTTCAATATATACATAGGTAGACAGTCCCGACCCATCACAATTTATGTTCCTTTTTTGGTAATCTTGATACCATTACCTAGCCTTTGAATCTTGTTACAGTCGAAGCAGAGCATTAATCTGAGTTGGAGCCTGCACAGCGTCGCTAGGAGCACCAGACACTGCCTGATTCGCTAAGAATGGTGCTGGCAAAAGGTTGCGACTAGCTTTCCAATGTTCAAATGAAAATACCCAGCAGTAAGCACATGAACTGTCCATAGAACAAGCAGTCAAGGCAGTCTAGCCCATTCTAACGCAACCGTAAACACATATAGTTCTGTTGGTTCGCGTCCAAAGATTCAGATGGTGGGCTAGCTATGTGAATTGTGTGCTTGCTGAACTAGTTTTATTCACTGGATCATTCCCGTCTGCAGAATCTATGCATCATATTCAGTACCGGAACGCCAGCGTAATGTGATTCGTGACAATTTGTAGATGAGGCGGCAGTTTTGCTTATTTTATTGCTTGCTTGCCCATTGGAGGTGATCTACTCGGGCCAAAAACCTTCTTCGCCGCGCAGGACTAGCTTGTCGAAATATAACAGCTTTCAGATTAGCTCCTGATTTGGTAGGGTTGATCTCCTGGTGCAAAGCCGAAAAGTCTGCACGATTATAAGGTGAGTCACAGTCCTAGAAGATCTGAAATGGAGATCTAGCCATTCTCCCTCTAGTCCGGGTCGAGCAGCTTGACGCTCTTGAAATGATTTTTTTCGAATGACTGTAAACGCCTTTGTGACTTCAGGCTTTCCCTGATACGATTGACTATCTATGTGCCTGGTACTGGTTAGTGATAGACGGTGGAATAGGGAGACCCGTTATAAAGAAGCAGAAAGTTACTAAAAGGACATTTCTAGCCTAATATGATATATTTGTTATTTTAGTGGTCGTACCATTCCATATTTAGGAATTATAAGATGTATTACAGAAGATCAAAGAAGCGAAACTTGCTTCTTTTAGTGTCTAAGTCTTTCCGTAAGTAATTTGTTTGGTGCATGATAATCATCATTCTGGTTGTTGCTGTGCTTAGCCGCCGTCATCCAATGGCGAAAATATCTCAGAATCCCTGTTAGTATGATTAGCTCAAGGCGTGGCTACATTTCAAACAACCTATGCAGGCGCGTAGATTGACTAATGATCTAGACCTGTTGGATGTGGCTTTGCGACACGATGACGTACCGCCACATGGATCTCTACGGGGCTGCTAATCATAGGCCATTGATGTATCTCCATAAACCGTGTATGAATGCCTCACAATTACCTGTCTGTAGCTAACCAAATGGAAGGCGTTCATATATTTTCAGCCTTGTCACGTATACTGAGACTTGTAACATGACCTCAAAATGTACTTTACTTTTGCACCATAGTACTCTTGTTCCAACCCCCAGGGCCTGTAGATTACCCTAATTCATGTCAGCTGATTGCATTTATAGGCTCTCAAGCTTTCTTGTAAACTATCCATAAATTCTCGCGAGTACCTATGTATGCTTCTAATACCTATGCCATCGCTGTGATAAGGAATCACGAGGCGGATTTGATTGCTGCAGATGGCTCACCTAGCCAACAACAACAACCCGTTATCACTGGAGGCTATTAGCAGGCTTTCAGCAAGCTTCTGGCGGTCTATCCAATTATGAGTTGTTTCAGAAGTACAAGGCACAATGTCATCTCTTTTTTTGAAAGAAGATGCCTGCTTGGCGTATCTTAGAATATTTATATAGTACTGAGGTTTTCTCTTCTTCCGACAACCTCCTACTTTTTCAGCGAGAATCATACATCCATCCAAGGCTGTAACCTTTTGAACTCGAAAGATCTAGACCTTCTACAGCTAAGTTGCCTTCTATCATCTCTCATAATGGCTCATCGCGGAAATTGGCGATCTCGGGGCAATATGGGCAACCGAGGAGGATCCAACAACTTCAGAAAGTGCAATCAGCCAGAAAAACTCTGTACTTTCTTTCAGCGTGGCAAGTGCTATTACGGTGAGAGGTGTAAATACTCGCACGATGTGAATATGGCTGCCGACTTAAAGTCAAAATCAGCTGCATACCATTCCACAGCCGATGATCTGGATGCTCGGAATGAATATTTTGACTGGAAGAGACTTCTTAGAAATAATATCTTAGGATCTGGATATCCCCAAATGGAACATGAGGAGATACTTCAATTTTGGAATGGGGCTCTCGAAATCCTTGAAAGCGACAGCAGAGAGAATCATCAATCACTGGCCAAAGATATTGTGGATGATAACCTTCATGGCCATAGATTTATCCTGGCAACTGTGGATTCAGACAGTCCAGAAGGATTGCGGCTTATTTCAGCTTATGATGAGCCGTTTCTCAAAGTCATTACCCATCCTTCTCTCTTAAACTGTCTTTCTGTCGATTCATTTGTTGGCACTCTTTACACATCCTTCAGTGGCACAAATGGAGATCGAGCAATCAGATATCTGAGAAGTGTTTGTCAGAACCTGATGAGGAAGTTTGAAGACAGCAACAATAATGCATCAGTCATCTCTCTGGATATGGTAAAGTTGTTGTTGAATACCCTTCGTCAGCTTTTGTCAAGGGTCCGACACGCTCGATTCCACGATGAACTTCCCGCACTACTCGACCTAACCCGCGAACTGGGCTCCAAAATGACTGAAACATGCTTGAGAGCAGACCTTGATGGAATTGAAAACAAAATAGAAGTCATACAGAGCCTGATCAATAGCTCAAATCGAAATCTTGTTACCTCTACGGCCCATGAGAAAAATTCACGGAAGACTGGGCTACTGTCGTCTTTTCCAATGGATGTGGAAGTACCTGGAGAAAGACACGACAACGACCTTACAGAGATATCTCAAGTTCAGATTCTTCCTACCTATGGGGAGATTGTCAGCAGCAATTCTGAATATCTACCGTCTACCAACTTTCTTCAGCCGCACTTTCTCGACGACCCTTTGGAAAGATACATTGACTCAACATTCCGACTCCTGCGCTATGATATCTTCAGCTCAGCCAAAGATGTCCTTCGAGATCTCCTGCAGCAGATTGATATTACACGAAGTCCTTATCTCCCAAGACAGGATAACAGGGCGCATGTTTTTCTGGGAGCACAAGTCAAGCAAATATTTATCAATGAGAAAAAGGAGCTCGAAGCGACTGTATCCTTTTCTACTCCACCACAACTACGCAAAAAAACCTCCAGCGAGCAATGCAGATGGTGGCAAGACTCTAGTAGACTAGAGGAAGGAAGCCTAGTGTGCTTCTTGACGTCTCAAGGAACTCACCGAAGGCATATTTTCCTCGAGGTCACTGTTAAAAATGCTTCCAAAGCCCGAGAACACGACAACATGAGTAATCTTGTCTCTGATATGTTTCCCCCTAGTATTACGGTCAAGCTTGCAGCATGCATGCAACAAGAACTTATCTTACTAGGTCAGCTTTACAGCGAGAAACTCACAGGTATTTTGGTTGACTTTCACGGTTTGATCCCTGCCACGTTCGTCTCTATCTTGAAAAACCTTCAGCGGGTTCAACGTGAAGGGTATTTGGCATTTCGAAAATGGGTTTTGCCAGGCCACAAGGATGATGAACATGGTCACAGCATACCACCACCAGCATACGCGCGCAAACCAGGATTTATCTTTCCTCTGGCTTCGATCACAAACGTTGGAGCTGATACTGTTGCATTGGACCCGAGTACCCCTGAGTCTATTGACACCTTGAAGCTACAAACTCAAACCGGGCTTGATCATGGCCAGTGCCAGGGACTTATCGCAGCTCTTACACGCGAGTATGCCCTCATCCAAGGCCCACCGGGTACCGGGAAGTCCTATTTAGGTGTCAAGCTTGTTCAAGTTCTCCTTGAAATCAAGGCGAAGGCAAATCTAGGCCCGATTATTGTGATGTAAGTTTTGATTTCCAAAAGTCCATGTCCTCACTGGGAAGGCCTTTACATGTGCTGACAAAATGACAGCTGTTATACCAACCATGCCTTGGACCAATTCTTAAAGCACCTTCTTGACGTTGGTATTCAGAAAATTATACGCATGGGCGGCCGCAGTAAGGCCACTGAGCTTGAAGGCAAAAACCTTCGCGTTGTCAGCAAAGACATTGGGAAGACGAGGGTAGAGACGCAAACCCTCGGCATTTCCTACGGAAAACTTGACAAATGTATGGAAAAAGCTAAACACGCAATGAAATTTCTGCACCAGTCTCGAAAAGGCATGTCTTGGGCCGCGATAGAGCATTTCGTGAACCGCAAATGGCCCACTATACATACACAGCTGAATAAAAAAGATCTGGAAGGATACACAACTGTCGGATCAGGCGATGATAAATTACTCAACTGGCTTGGAGTCCAAACGATGAAAACCCGCAAAGACCAGAGCGAGAATGAAGCTGACAATGTGAGCTTGGAAGGCCTCACTCGCGCTGCCGAGGAAGACATTCATAGTCTCTCAATACCTGAACGTCGGATTCTTGCAATAAGCTGGTTCAAGCGGTGGCAGGAATTAGAAACTGCCTCTCTTTTTGAGGCTCTTGATCACACTTCAAATCTCCGCGAGGATATCAATGCAGTACATGATGAGATCAACCGGCGAGCTCTGATTCAAGCAGATGTGGTAGGAATCACGACCACAGCTTATGCACGTCATATAGAGACACTGCGCCGCATAGGAGCAAAAATAATAATATGCGAGGAAGCAGCTGAGGTGATGGAAGCCCATGTCATCTCAGCCCTCATGCCAGGCGTTGAACACTTCATTCAGATTGGGGATCATCAACAGTTGCGACCACAGATTCAAACCCATTCACTCAGTCTTGAATCGTCCACAGGAAAGAAATGGAAGCTAGATCGAAGTCAGTTTGAGAGACGCGCTGTTGGTGAGCCAGGTCTCAAGCCTGCCCCTGTTGCACAGCTCAATGTACAGCGAAGAATGAGACCTGAGATATCACAGCTTATCAGGAGTATATACCCAAAACTTGAGGATCATGAAAGTGTTATGACTCTACCGAATGTTGTTGGAATGCAAAAAAACCTCTTCTGGTTGGACCATCGAATTTACGAAGACTCAATAGATGACGGCAGCCGTGTAAAGTCTCATAGTAATCAGTGGGAGGTCGAAATGGTTACTGCTCTTGTTCGACATCTTGTTCGACAGGGAGAGTACAAGAGCACGGATATTGCCCTCTTGACCCCTTATACCGGGCAGCTGCGGAAGCTCAGGGCATCGCTCAGCAATGATTTTGAGATTTGTCTCAGCGAGCGAGACTTGGAAACCTTGGCTGCGGATGGGTTTGAGAATGTTGAAGATGAGAATATTGAGTCAAATGGTCAGAAGACGATAGAGAAGAAGTCGTTACTCCAGACGCTCCGCCTGGCTACCGTCGACAACTTCCAAGGCGAAGAGGCAAAAGTGATCGTTGTATCCCTAGTTCGCAGCAACTCTAACAGCAAAGTTGGCTTCCTACGCACTGAAAATCGCATCAACGTGCTCCTTAGCCGAGCTCAGCACGGTATGTATCTCGTTGGAAATACTGAAACGTATCTCAATGTTCCAATGTGGGCCAATGTCCACTCTCATCTCGCTCTTGCGAATGCAGTCGGCACGGAATTAGCTCTCTGTTGCCCTCGCCACCCAAATACGCCTATTCTCTGTTCTGAACCTCACGACTTTGAAAGGAAGAGTCCTGAAGGTGGATGCAGTCTCCCATGTACTCGTCGACTCGAGCCATGTGGCCATCAATGCCAGGCTAAGTGTCATTCAGCGGTCTTGCACGACGGCTTTGCATGTGGAAAACCATGCCCACGTATCCGATCAACCTGTGAGCACGAATGTCCCAAGCTTTGTGGTGAAGCTTGTGGCCCTTGCATGACAAAGATTCGAGATGTGGAGCTTCCTTGTGGCCATATCAAGGGATTTATCTTTTGTCACCAGATGCTTAACTTGGAAGGCATTAATTGTGACGTCGAGATCGAAAAGACTGTTCCTAAGTGTGGCCATAAAATTCAGGTTCGCTGCTTCAAGGACGTCACGCTCCCGGACTTCCGTTGCCCTGAGCCATGCGTTGAAATTCTTAGATGTGGCCACAATTGCAGTGATTACTGTGGAAAATGTCTCAAGGAGATATATGGCGACGTAAAAATATTTCAGCACCCGGAGTGCAAGAAAAAGTGTGACCGTTCATATGGTGTTTGCAACCATCGGTGTCCCAAAACATGTCATGATGGGGAGAGCTGCGGTTACTGCGAGGCAAATTGCGAGGTAAGACTCACTGAAATCCATCGTTTGTCCAGAATATTGGAGATACTAATCAATGTATACAGGTCCGATGCTCACACTCAGCATGCGACTTAATCTGCGGAAAGCCATGTGCTCCATGCATCGAGAGATGCACCTGGTCCTGCACCCACCAAGGCTCATGCGCAATGCCTTGCGCGGCGCCATGCAATCGACTTCCTTGTGATGAGCGATGCACAAAGATTCTCAAATGCGGCCATCAATGCCCGAGCCTCTGTGGTGAAGACTGTCCAAACAATCTGTGTCAAAAGTGCGGCGACAAGGGAGATGCCCGTGTTGACTTCCTCGAATGGAAAACCTATTCCGAAATTAACCTCGATGAAACGCCAATCATTGTTCTTGGATGCGGCCATTTCTTCACAAGTGAATCAGTTGATAGCTTGGTTGGTCTGGATGAGGTATACACGAGAGAAAAAGATGGGAAATTCGACGGCCTCCGGGATGTCTCTTCCTCTCTTGCCAGTGCCATACCCTCGTGCCCGGACTGTAAACAGCCCATTCGCCAGTTTGTAACAAAACGTTACAATCGTGTTATCAACCGTGCTGTTGCGGATGAGACTTGTAAGCGGTTCCTTACCAAGGGTCATACCGACCTTGATTGCCTTCAATCGCGTCTGAATGACATTGAGAATGACCTCAAATCTAAGCCGGCGTTGGTGTTAGAGAATGTTGGTAAATCCCAGCGGTATACGCCCTGTAAACGTATTGAGATAGAGGCTTCGATTCTCAGCAAAAATATGGAGACCGAGAATCAGCCGATGAAACGGCTCACGGATGCAGTTGCCATCTACCAGAACTCTTCAACTGACAATATAGCCTCTCTCTCAGCAAGAATGGAGGCTATGAACATAGCAACACGAAAACCAGACAACCAAATCACCATCAGCGCACGGCTAGTTAACATCAAAGCCCGAGAAATCGTGTTGAGCGATATCTTCAGAGTGATAGATTCAAGGGGAAGATATGCAGCACCACCACGACTAAAAATTACCTTGACTAAAGCGTTGAAGGATTGCCGAGACTTGATAACCCAAGCCAATGAAGGAAATCTCTCTCGTATCGTCATCACGGCAACCATCTCATTCGCCAAGATCGCCCAGTTCGACGCGTGGTATCAGCGTACTCATCCAGGAGAAGTTACAACTGATCTGCATCTTAAAGAAAAGTACAAGGGTCTAGAAAAGCTTGAAGAGACCATTGAATCAACCCGTGATCTCCTTGCCGCTGCGTTGAAACTGTGTGATAGACTGGGGAACTGCCCTGAGCTCCAAGAAAATATCCAAGAGATGGTCCAGCTCTACGAGGGACCGCGGTACGAGACGGTGACTTTAGAAGAACTTCAATCAATCAAGACGGCCATGGTCAGTGGGCGAGGAGGAATTGCGACTCACTCTGGGCACTGGTACAATTGCGTCAATGGACATCCGGTGAGTAGATTTCCCCATTCCTCAAACTGTCTCAAGTTACCCCAGATCTGAACAGGCCAGATAAGCTAAATATTCATTTGTATAGTTTGCTATTGGAGAGTGTGGTATGCCGATGGAGCAAGCTAGATGTCCTGAATGTGGAGCCCCTATTGGAGGTCAAAATCATAGGGCTGTTGAGGGCGTATCTCGAGCGCAGGAGATGGAGTAGGTAGATAGAAGCCATATTGTTCTTCGATTATGCTAGTATAATAAATATTTTCTTTTTTTCCCCCCGAGAACAGTGGTGCTGAGCACTAACATGGTAGGAGCAAAGGAAATGTACTCTGTGCCTACTTATGTAGCTCTGAATATTCCAGTCCCGAAGTCATCGATACCCGGACCTAGATACTTGGATAGTATGTATTCTTTCGATGTTCAAATACTAAATAGTTTCCATGTAGTTAGTTCATGTCCAAAACAAGGTTGATATGCATTTATTGCGCGAAATGTCATCGGTATCCGAATGAAGTAGACACGTTCAGCGAGACATAATGCAGATAGAAACGATAAATCCCCGAAAGGTGCAGTCCGGAAGTGGAAAAGGCAGTGGTGAGTTGGCCGTGACAACCATGCGCCATGGCTGCATGTGGCGGTGAGGGAAGTAAAAGAAAAAAGAAAAAAAGAAAACAAAAAACCCCGCCCTTAACCCCACTCTGCGACGAATTAGCTAACTTGAGGATGATAATTTTCATTCTTCAAAGTAATTTTGATGTTGAGTCATCAATAATAATAATCCAAGGGTTGAGCTTAGGCAAATAAATCACCCATGACTTAGAATGGAGTCGTAGACGGAAAGATCCAAGACTTATTATCTCGGACTCAAGCGGCCTCGTGTAACGCATGCAAGTCTGGGCCGCTGACAATGTTGTTGACAGCTGTTAAAAAGGTTGAGCTGCAGTTACATGGAGTAAACGAGAGAACATGGACTGAAGAGCGATCCGGGGTCCGGGATAGCATAGTAAAGGCAGTGGCGTATCAACGAGAAAATGGATATAGAAGGTTGGACCTAAATTGAACCCAAGATGACGGGTGGACAGTGGGAACAAGTTTTCATTTGCACAGAGAACTGCTGGTATGTGCTGCGCGTCATTGACTATGCTGCCCGATACTATTAGTCCGAGAGATTGGGCGTGTGTTGGCAGTTGTACCCCTGCTACCCTTTTTCCCTTGAGAGTTAAAAGTGGTGTGGGTGGTTTCACTGTGTAATTGTCATTCGTTATATTGCTCCTCATTAGGCTGTAAGGCAGAAGCGCCAATTAAGGCTACAATGCATCATGGAGGGAGCCTTGGAAGGATAACGGTTCCCTATGGCTGCCCAGCGGTAGGGCTTTTTGGGACTTTTTGGTTTAGGATTGTATCCTGCATGCTCTTCATGTCAGCTTTTAATCGAAAACTAATGGAAGATGACTGAGCCAAGAAGAGCTTTTCTTTTGAATTGCATTCCCGACGGAACTGTAAAGGTAGTTCCAATAGTTGGTTCTCTTTCCATCTCAAAGAGCAGGTCATGATTGCGTATTGTGGGGGTGGACTGGTTATTCCCCTCGCGTCTAGAGCGCTTGTCCATGTACTTGCACCCATTTCGTCGATTTTCCAGCATATTTTGAGCCGGTGGATGACTTTTTCTCGGGCGAAATAAACAGCCGCATCTCAACAGTCAAACGGAGGAACAAGGATCAGCATGCTCAGACCTGGGTTTTTATTTATTTTTTTGCAACATGAAAGAGCTGAATTGATCCAGCCTTGGTCGCACAATATTGGCTTTTGCTTTGTTGCTCCCAGGATAATTCTAGCTTGAGATCTGCACCTGAAAGCTGGAGTATGGGGCCACCGCCAGGATTCCCGTTCGATTGATTGCCGGTTTCTCCACGGTTCGTCGGGACATGCAGTGATGTCCAATGTCCATGATCATCCTATGTGATATTGTCAGCTTCGACGATCTCTGGCAGCAATCTTCTTTTAACTTTTGGGAATTCTAAATGATCTCACACGGTTAATTGGCTCCAGCCAAATATTATGTTCTTTTCAAGGGCTGAAGGAGCTTTCGGTATGGAGCTCCCGTCCTTGAAGAAATTGGTACTGATCCGAAGGATCCCCACAGCAAGACATGAATATTTGCTACAGACAATTCATGCAACAGAGTGAGCAGAACATATCTTTGGTTAATATCAAACTAGTACTTGGAATAGAGTAAGGGTCGCAGTTTGTGGGGTCAAGTTCTTTTTATGTCATAACAGTTCGTGTGTAGTTCCCAGCTCGACTCGATCAAGCAGTTGATCGTAATTCTCGAGGAACCACATCCTCAGCCATTCACGAAGAAAAATTTCCAGCGAAGGTATGTCAGATGAAGAAAGAAACGAGGAAAGCGCTAAAAGAAAAATGAAGAAAGGGGAAAAAGCAAAAGAGAGAGTTGGAAAGTCAATTGGCCCCATTTTATACTCTCCTTTCTCACCTCCACCTTCGACCCACGGCAAAACCAGCATCCCCCCGCTCAGACTCAATACTTCCGTAATATTCCATCATCCAGAGAAGATAAAGGACGCAAAATCTGGCCATACAGAAAAGCATGGATGTCATGACCGATGATCTTTGGGAAACGCCACGGCAAGACGGAAGCCCTAAGTGGAGGGATTGGCTTGCGCCTTGGGCCAGACCTATGTTTTCCACTCCGGAGCGGGGTTAGGGCGGTCCAAGAGGCGAATCGGCGGGAGAATACGGAGTAGGAGGTGCAGCCGAAGGTAGCGGATTGGGAGATACACAGGAGGGGTTGTGAGTCCATGTCCCTCCGATGGTCCAATGGCTCTGGGCCGGGTCCTCCCATCCTTGCCTCGTCTCCTCCCCAAGAAGTTCCCGCCGGAAGGAAGACTCTCCGGCGAAGACTATATAAAGTCTCATCTCATTCAGGTGTCCCCATCCTCCTCCTGCTTCCCTTTTAATTCTTCCAAGCTTCGTCCGTTTGCAATCCCAGCTCCAATCACCTTCCGCCATTTTTTTATATTGCTGTCCCCACACTTCAACAAGGACTATACATAGTGATTACCTCATTGTTTTTCCATTGAGACACCTCATCGTCGTTCAGAGCATCTTTTTCTTCAAAAGATTTATCTTATATTTTCGTCATGGCTGCTCAGCGTCAATACTATCAGCCTTCAGCGATGGCCATTAATATGCCATCCAAAGCCCCAGCACCGGCCAATATGTATCCAATTTCCCGGGTACCGGGTTCGCCATCGGCTTATTCTGATGCGAGCACCACTGCCGGCAGTCGCTCCTCTGGTGGACTCACCTTTAGTTCTGCTGGTATTAGCGGCGATTACGAAAGCTCAGCAGGATATTCCGGCGTTGATGTCGTTGATGTCCTCAGCAGTCGCATGCAAAACGCATTCGATCCGACACCACTGGACAGAAGTTTGGCACACCAGGCACAAGCGTGAGTTACCCATATCGCATCCCCACAAACCAGCACACTCTATAACTCTTGCGCAAACGCCCAATTGAAACCCGTGGCCCTGCTATCACTTTGGCTAGAAGCGAAAAATTCGAGTGTTTCAAGCTGACATGAATGAAATAGCTCCGGCCAGCTCCACGCAAAGCAACAAGAGTTGCTGGAACTACAAGCAATGGCCGAGCGACGTCTAAAGGGCCTGCGCTCGAACTTCAACGAAGGGCTGAAGACAGCAAGAGAAACAAAGCGAGATCTAGAGTGGACTCAGAAACGCGTGAGGTAAGCAAAAACTCAACTTCCAAAATCCAACCCCAACCCACGAGCATGGACGTTGCATATTCCGCCCCGCTCCGTGAACAGGGTCTGTAGCCTCCGCTCCGCCGTAACGCTTGGCACGTGCGCTGGATCGGCGGCAGATTTGCGGCGCATGCGTGTTCTAGAAGGCTGACGAAGGCACATAGCGCGCTCAAGAACAAGGCCGAGAAGGCCCATCCGGATGAATACCGTCGGGCCGCAAAGAAGTATACCTACGACTACTGATTCGGGCGTTTTCTGCGTGCGCCCTTACTTTATGCTTATTCTGACGACTATAATGACCTACTTTGCACAAAATCGAGACCTCCGGGATCGGATACTACTTGTGCTTTTTTTTGGTGGTTCTGATCTAGCCTGTTACTTATTTCTGATTATTTTATCCCTTTGTATATCTTTATGTATCGTTTTCTTATGCTTTTGTGCGAGTTAAGGGGGTGGTGGATGCTTGGAATCGTACTCGTTTTACCAGTTTCATTGTACCCCAAATGGCTTAGCTTAGTCCATAGGTCGAGTCCTTAGTATTAGACACAGCTTTGGGAATTTGAGTTCTTTACCCCGTACTCCATATTGTATTAATGTATGTTTAGAGGAGGGGGTGAACTGGTGGATGACTGAGTTGGGGCCTAAGTTTGACGTATACCTAAAATTGAGGCTGCGTGGTAGCCAATAGGGGGATGCGACCACTAAATTTTTCAGCCCCATAGTCGCAGGCTAGACTTGATTTGAATAATGAAACACTGTAATTTCCTGGTTCTCTTTATAGACTAGACCTATCAAGCGGAGGCTGAAACATAGTAGGTCTAACTGATGGACCCCTAGGTGCTTTTACTATTTAATATGGATTTAGGTATATACGTCTTTAATATTTAATAGTGAATATATGGCTTCCAACAAAGGCACTATCTATCTATACATTCAAGTGAAGGTCCGTTCATCCTCGATAGCCCGATTGATCACGCGAATAAAGCGGCCGACCTTATCGACGTCCTGCTTGGCAGTTTCGATACCCAAGAGGACCTTCTTGATACCCACGCTAAGACGGCCATCATCTGCCAGGCCACCGATCCCTTCCAGAGCCCGTGCAATCTCCTGAGCATCAAAGGCGCCAGATTTCTCCATGACGAACCGCAGTTCGCCGAAGGACTGTACGTTGGGCACCATGATGTCTGAGTTGAACGAGTTGTAGATATCCAGCTGCTTCATAAGAGCCCGCTCAGTAGTTGTAGCCAGTACCAACAAGCGGCGCCCATGAGTGGGTTGTTTCCGCAGGAAAACCATGAGAGCCTGCAGAACACTGTTGCTAAAACGAGGGCCGATTGGAACCCAGTCAATGATACGCTCGATATTATCAACGACAACGATACTGGTTGCTGACTTGTAGGCCGCATCGAAGATTCGGCTGATGTGCTGAATCTTGGCAGCCTCGCTGAATCCGACCATATCCTCGGGACTGATCAGTTTGATGAAGGGGAAGCCGGAGTCAATTGCGATGCGTGCTGCCAAAGCAGTCTTTCCACTTGCAGTAGGTCCGTGAAGCAACACCGAGAAGAGAGGCGTGGACTGGGCTTGACCGACCTGCTTGACAAATAATTGACCTTCCCTGAGAATTTCATCAATGGCCTCAGAGTAGTTGAGTATGCCGTATTGGATACGACTAGAAAGCTCCTCCTCTGAGACACCGAAAGCTGGTTTAACTTCATCCAATGCATGATGGAAGTCAGATCGGTTGACCTTCATGTTCACCACATCATCGGTGATGCTAGCCATTGTGCCAACCTTGACATGACGAGAGAAAGCAAAGGACGAAGCTGATTTGACGAGACCGGCGATCTCGGCACCCGAAAAGTTCTTCGTCAGACCTGCGAGCTCCGCCAGGTCAACGTCGGTGTCCATTACATTGTTAGTACGCATCTTCTCGGTGTGAATCTTGAGAATTTGGCTTCGGCCCGTCTCATCGGGAAGCGAGATTTCCATGTGAACCTCCAAACGACCAGGACGCAGCAAAGCCTCATCAATCATATCCATACGATTGGTCATACCAATCAATAGGATGTTGTTGAGCTCGTCGACACCGTCAAGCTTTGATAGAAGCTGGTTGACAACGCTGTCGCCCACACCGGTGCCACCACCTGCACCGCTTCCACGCTGCTTGCAAACGGCATCTAACTCGTCGAAAATAATAATGTGAAGACCACTTTCATCGCCCTTTTCTTTGTACTCCTTTTCGGCATCTGCGAACATCTTTCGGATGTTCTCCTCGGATTGACCAACATACTTATTCAGTACCTCCGGACCGTTGATAATCTTCGGCTCTCTGGCATTGAGCATTTTTCCAATTTGTCGCGCAATCAAGGTCTTACCAGTACCAGGGGGTCCATATAGCAAAAGACCCTTGACGTGATGGATGCCGAGCTTCTCAACAAGACCAGGCGGGAAAATACGAGAGGCAAAGGCACGACGGAAGATAGTACTGAATTCAGAGTCAAGACCACCAATGCCCATATCCTCGAATTTAAATCCAGGTTGGATGATCGAGTTAGCAGCAGGACGATGATTTGAAGCCTTGACGTTGATACCAGTCTGGGAATCCTTGAAGAAATTGAGCTGGGTATGCCGGGTGATTATTCCTCGAGCAGTAGGAGCGGTCTCAACTTGTCCAGACGAAAGGTCGGCCTTTTCAGCGGTCAGATCTACTCGCTGAACAGTTTTAACTTGCAACAGAAGCGGGATGCTTTTGTGGTCCATTAAGATTCGCTGGCCAGGGGCGAGCAATTGGTTTTCAAAATTCTGCTGAAGTGAGTAGCTGCACGTTGGGAATGTAATACAGCTTTACAAGAGTTATCTCACCTTGATCACAGCACTCGACAGAACATCCTGATCATATGGCGCCTCCACGCGCTTCTTAACGGAGGCAAAGCTAACCTCAATATCCGCAGATCCCAGATAAGCTTGGCCACCATCGCTGAACGGGTCATAAAGTTGCACTTTGATGGCATCTCTGAGTCCAATGTTTGCCCATGTACGTTGGGGGTCCGACATGCTGATCAGCCCGGGGGGAAACCCATCGAGAGGGCGGGCCGAGAACACATATAGGTCATTGATGAGGAGAAGGACGTCAGTGCCATCGCGAGACGGGGGGATATCTTGTGGGGAGACAGCGACACTACGCAAAGTCAATCAGTATCCGGAGACCAGGTAGATAGAAAGGAATGATCATACAGATTGCCAAAGGTGTAGTTGTCATTGGGACTCTTGCTGGGATGGAGCGTCCATGTCTGTCCTTGCCCTCCAGATGGGCGACTCGGCATGGGCTGTGACGGACGTCCCGGCTGCTGCTGCGGAGTACCATATCCTCTTAATTGTACACCATCATTAGTCATAAGCACATCGGAATCGGGGGAATGCCCTGCGCTAGGCATGTGAGCGGGGCTATTGTCATACCGTGGCGGTCCCTGGTTGGGGTTCGAATAGCCCTGCGGCGATGGCCGTCCGGGATCTTGCCTAGACCCAAAGGGATTGGGAATGGATGGCATGTCTTTACGATTGAACATGTCGGATCGTAGCTGATATCGTAGCTGAATTTGTGGGTGAAATCAAAGGAGTGAGTGAGGGAGCGCCACTCTGTTATTACAGAGATAGGTAGAAGCGTTGATCAACCCCGTTAAGGCCTTTAAAGTGTCACTGTCTCGGTTCAGATAGAATAGTGATCCGGAGGTTGACAAATCAAAAACCTCAAATTTGTAGGAGAAATGAGGCAAGTTGGTTAAGCTTGAAAGTGAAAGTGAAAGTGAAAGAGACCTGGGGAACTCAGCCACCGCCGGGAACGTTGGGCCGTGGGGTGCTTTATCGATAAGGTAGTTTATTCGGCAACGAACTGCGCCCCGTCATTCTGTCCTTACCTTAGCCTTCACTATGCCACTGTAAGTGCTCTATATTATTGCGCAAACATCGGTTACAACTAACATGTATTTAGCCATCTGCTTGGGAAAAAATCTTGGAATGTCTACAACCAGGATAATATCGAGCGCGTCAAGCGGGACGAGGCGCAGGCGAAAGCCCTCGAAGAAGAAGAGGAACGTCGCATGCAAGAGATAGACGCCGAACGCAGGATCCAGTTATTACGAGGAGAGCGACCGGCAAATACACCTCCGCCGCCGCCCCAAGTTTTGGATCGAACCGACCGAAATCGGACATCTGATGCTGGGAGGGACCGTAAAAAGCGGCGTATACACGGAGAGGACGATACAGATAGAGACATAAGACTTGCTCGAGAAGATGCGGCACACTATATTTCTATGCGTGAAGAATCAACTATCTTATCTCATCGGGGCGATAAAGATTATCAAGCACCATTGGTCGACAGTGCAGGTCATATCAATCTCTTCCCGGCCCAAGGAGCACCAAAGAAGGCAGAGAAGAATGCTGAAGCTGAGGCTGATGCGGAGAAAAAGCGAAAAAGCCATGAAGATCAATACACCATGCGCTTTTCTAACGCAGCAGGCTTCAAACAGATCGCTGGCAGCCAGCCATGGTATTCATCTGGGTCTCGGACTGCAGAAGCACCAGAGTCTATGCCAGAAAAGAACGTATGGGGAAATGATGACCCAATGCGCAAAGAAAGAGTGAAGTTTCGCATGGATGCCAGCGATCCGCTTGCACTCATAAAAAGAGGTGTCAGACAGTTGAAAGCAACAGAACAGCAGCGTAAACTACGGAACGAGCAAGAGCATCAAAATCAGCTTGAAGTATCGAAGACTCAGGAGCGTGATCGTTCTAAGCATAAACGAAGAAGGCGTTCAAGGTCGATTGATAGCTTAGAGGGCTTCAATCTCGATACGCCGGACCGCGATGACAAAAACAACAGTAGTCGTCACCATAGTCGTCACCATAGTCGCCGCCATAGTCGCCATCATCGGGACCGGAGTAGCGATCTAAACCGCGAGCAATCGGACCGGCGGCACTCATCAGATCATCATCGCTATCGACATCGTCGTCGAGACCAAAGTGGAGATGGAACCCGCGAGGTTTCAGATCGATGCCATTCCTCAGACCATCGACATCATCGTGAAATTCGCGACGATGACAGGCGTTCTCGGAAACCAGAGCTGGGTACAGCTTACGACAAGGATAAACGTTGATTACCCCAGATTCTATGAAGTAATACATGATACCTGGCCCAAATTCTATCAGTAGAAGTACTAACCATAGAATGAATTCATTTGGGTATTGCCTATCATCTAAACATATATGTCTTTTTGAACTAGAGATCAACTTTTGAGGGGCATGTTACTCAGTCAAGGGCCCACTTTTGGTTTCCTGAGATGGACTGGCTTTCCCAACCGATGGTTTGGCTCTCCCAGCCAATACCGATGTTCAGTCCACGAGATCCCTCCTCAAACTTCTGGTAGCCAATTCTTCCAGTGATGACCGCTCCTGCCTTCATTGGCTTCGGGGTGTTGTTTCCATAATCAATGAGACAGATGGCCTGTTGCCAGTGGGTCTCGGGACCATGTGGACCAGTTGTGAATTTCACGACGTCCTTCTTAGAGTCCAAGTTTCTAGAAGGTGAGAAGAAAATGTCAAACCAGATGGCCCAGCCATCCAGTGCATCAATATCCGTCTTCAAAGTAACCTGGAAGTTTTTCAAGAATACTAATTCACTCCGGGTGATGGTGTGCAGCGGCAGTTCCAAGAATTCGGCTGATTCTGAAGGGATGGAGTCGTGTGGGACTTGGCGAATTAAGGCCTCATCGTGGATTTTCAAGAGCATGCTGTCCATCTTGAATCCGTAGACATCCTTCCAGAAGGTGACATTCGAGTGAACGAATTCGGGGTCTGCGAAAGGAGCAATGTGGAGAGAGGCATGTGAGGGAACCATTAGACCATCGTCAGCGAGGTAGCGGTCACGAGCGTAGATGACAGAGTCAAACATGGCCTCAAAGAGAAGAGCGTAACCCATCCACTCAGAGATAATGATATCAACTTTCTCAACCGGCAGAGTGACTTCTTCGATCTTACCACGGATACAACTATTATGAAATTGTGAGCGATTAAATGAGTCTTTTGAGAAAAAAGAAAGAAAAAGACTTACGTGATCACATCGCCGAGCTGATTGTCATAAACGATCTCTTTAGCGCGGTCGATGATGTTCGAGTTATCAACCGAGATGACCTGCTTTGCACCAGCCTTGGCGCAAAACATGGACAAGATTCCAGTTCCACACCCCACATCTAGAACAACCTTGTCCTTGAAGAGGTGCTTGTGTCCGTAGACGAAATCACGGTAGGCATCCGTGCGAATAGCATCTTTCAGCATAGATTCATGGATTCCTTCTCGCGACCATTATTATTAGAAAGAAGATATAGAAGAAAAGATAAGATAGGCAAACTTACCATTATAGGCGTAAGAAGCAAAGTAGTCCTCATCAGCCTCCGAGATTCTGTTTGCGTTGGCAAACTTCGACACAGTCGCATTCTTGGGATCGAGTTTATCATCATCCTCCTTGTTCAGTTGGTCCTCCATTGACTTTTGGACAGCGGTTCTATACTCAGAGAATTGGAGCTGCAATCTCTCCAAATCCTCTTGCAGCTCAACAACTTTCCGCTCTGCCTCACTGGTAGGTGCTGCACTCTCAGCCTGCTCCTCGGTGACATCGTCCAAGCTGTACAAAAGAGCATCATCCTCCAGGACAGGCTTCAGATAGACATCATCGTCAAAGTTAGACTTGGACGACACATCCGGAATCTTTCCATCTTTTACCGCAGTTCGGATGTAGTTGACCAATTTAATGGTGTCGAAAAAGTCAAGATCTAAAGATTAACAAAGTGTCAGTTTAGCGACAGAAAAAAAAAAAGCTCAAGTCAACGTACTCAGATCTTTTCTGACCTTCAACAGGTCAAAGTTGTGTGTTGCCTTGCATTCCTTCAGCATGGAACGCACGTCAGGGAAGACTTGGCTTGAGAACAGGTCAATGACAGGCTGTGTCTCATCATCGGGTTCAACATCCTCCCAGCCCTCCTCATTGCTGGACTCGGACGAACCTGACACCGAGCGTGTATCGACATCGTCGACGGGGGGTTCGTTAGCAAGGCTAGAGGACGCCATTGCTAGATTTCGACGTGCGATAGAGAAAGATGAATAGGGTAAAGATACTGTAAAGAGATAGTAGAGAGAAAAGTGACTGCTGTCTTGGAGGGGTAGATAAAATAGCATAAATTAAAAAAAAAAAAAAAAATCGTTATCGTGATTGGCCTGAGGCCATAAAATCAGTTGCCCCGCTCCCGTTTGTTTATTCCGAATGTGATCAGTCTCTCCCCCAGGTTCCCCAAAGTGCATCATCGATCCTTGTTACTTTTTCCCCTTTCCTTTTGCTCTTTACCCTAGATTATGGCGTTCTTTTTCAACCGTGGCCGGTCACGGCAGCCTGCCGATGTTGCTCACGCAACCAAGGAATTGCTTCTGAGAATCCAGGAGACTCCCAGCTCCCCAAAGGTCCCACAGCCCCCGAGATGATCCGCCCTAGAAGACCGCTGACGTATATATAGGCAGAAGAAGAGCTGGCAAAGCAGCTCAGTCACATGAAAGTGATTGTACAAGGAACACAAGGTGGGTTTATTATTGATAATGCGACAATGCTCATTTATCCTACTTGGAATTTCTAGGCTGAATCAGAATGAGGCTGACTTGGGACTTTGAATAGAGATTAGCACATCCCCAGAGATCATCCATTCCCTCGTCCAAGCCATCCTTCAAGAAGATCTACTCTATGATTTATCGCGAACGATTCACCTGCTACCATTTGAGGCTAGAAAAGACACCCAGACTATCTTCTCTCATATCCTACGCTTTCGACCCCTTAACTATGCGGCTGATAAAGATCCTCCTGTGATTTCATATATTGTCCACCATCGACCGGAAATTCTGATTGAGCTATGTCGCGGGTATTCAGAGAATCAAAGCGTCATGCCCTGTGGCGTGATATTGAGGGAAGCTCTCAAGTTTGATGTTGTCGCCGCAGTAATTCTATATGATCAGTCCCAACAGGGCGAACCGGCAGTCCGAATCACAGAACTGAAGCCTAATCAAACACAAAAAGGTGACGGGGTGTTCTGGAACTTCTTCGAATGGATTGACAAGAGCAACTTCGAAGTGAGCGCCGACGCATTCACCACATTCCGGGTATGATCCAAAGAATCTAGAGTTGGAGAGTCAAAGGTTGAACGAGAAAACTAATACTTTTTACAGGAAATCTTGACGCGGCATAAAAGTCTCATCACGGCATACCTTGCAACCAACTTCTCTATGTTCTTTGGACGATTTAACGAAATCTTGGTGCAGTCCGACTCATATGTTACCAAACGGCAAAGCATCAAACTCCTTGGGGAAATTCTCTTGGACCGTGCGAACTACAATGTGATGATGGCATATGTGGACAGTGGGGAGAATCTCAAGCTATGTATGAAGCTCCTGCGAGACGACCGCAAGATGGTTCAGTACGAGGGATTCCATGTTTTCAAGGTATGCTCATTGGTCATCTCAAAGGAAGAGGAGAACTAGCAGGGCACTAACGAGGTATAGGTATTTGTGGCCAACCCGAACAAATCGGTGGCTGTACAACGGATTCTCATCAACAATCGAGATCGATTATTAAGATTCTTACCCAAGTTTCTAGAAGATAGAACTGATGACGACCAATTCACCGACGAGAAGAGCTTTCTGGTGCGACAGATTGAACTATTGCCCAAGGAGCCTGTTGAACCACAGGGAGCACCCAACCCGATTCTAGCCTGATATTCTTACTCTTTTATCATTGTACGCCTTTCTAATGATGGGGATCATTCATTCCCCTTTTGCATATGCTGTTGGGTTCTTAACCCCTTCGGCTAACTGGAGTCGCGTTTTTGTGTTTTCTCACTGTACATGTTCTGGCTTGACCAAAAATTGATACTTTTCAATCTCCTTGCATGAAGTCCGCGCATCTCCGCATTTTTAAGTATAGAAGAATATTACATTTTAATTCTTTATATTCAAGAGTATAAGATATAATCTGACAATAATCCCTTCAATACTTTAGTATTCATAATATCTTCTAATACCCCGTGAGCTCCACATCTAGTCAGTGCTGCGCGGCCTCATACTAGCGTGAGACGCCGAATGCCCCTAGAATCTCTCCTTGAACTTTACTCACCTCTTTTCTTCTTCAATCGAGTTTTCATTCTTTTACATTTGGGCTGTGAAAGGGGGAATTTTCAAAAGTTCTATTTCTGGCCAACTTAATTTCCCAGGAAAACATTACACTCACTCCTTTCTCCCCTCCTGAACGCAGTACTTCTGTTCTCGTATTCGCGCCTCCCAAGTCATGCTAAAAAATGGAGGACGCAGCTCCTGCATTATCGCCTCTAAGATCGGGACCACTCCCAATGAAAACCGCATTGAATACTGTCACCCAGCGCCCTATCGCCCCTCGATCGGTCTCGTTACCTACTGATGCGCCACACTCGGACGGCCAATTCCTCCACGCCAACGCCGCGTCCTCTAACCTCGACAATCGTCCATCATCTGCGCGCTCAGTGCGCTCAGTGCACTCGGCGCGAAAAGTGACAAAGCAGGAGGAAGTGAGTCCAGTGGAAGATGATAACCGAACAATACGCTCGCTAGATGACCGTTCATTATGGGCGAAGGCCTCTTCCTTGCGCAGTGTTCCCAACATCACGGTCAATGAAAACCGTCCAAGAACAAGCTCTCGACCAAGATCTGCCTGGTCGGAGCGCAAATGGACAGGTCTCAGAAAGAAATCTACCGACATGGAACGGCCTAGCATAGACGAACCTCCACCAGTGCCCCCGATCGAACCAGCATTCAGTAGAATCAGCATGGATATACCAGCGGCAACTCTAGAAGGACTAGGATCTACTATGAAGTTCTCTCACCGTGGAAGTCTCATCAAGAACCATGCGACGAGGCCCCATTTTATAAAGCCAGATGCGCAATCTGACCAGCTTCCTGAAGAAGCTTCGGAGCAACAATCCATTCTGCAACCTGCAGAGCCGGAGAAGAAGCAAGAGCAGGAAGAGGATACGGAAACAACGCCCGAAAGCTCTCCCTCGATCGGCAATACCGACACAAGCAACGAAATACCGAAGGCGACCCCACGACTCAATTCACAGCGCACCCTTCGCCCACGAAGCAGTATCACGACAAGAGCTATCTCTGCCGACGATGATATGCTGTCTCGACGAGTCCGCCTTATGTATGAGATGGGTAATGAGAATGTCACGGACTCCGATATCGCCAAGTCAATTGCATCTGAAAATGGTGTTCTGTGGGAAGAGCCTGCGACTTCTGACATAGAGACTGCCTCAACACCAGGACTCAGTCTGAACAGAGCAGAATCAAATATCAGGGCCTCTGTCGAAGTGGATCGCAAAAGAATAAAGAGAGAGACCATGGAACTTGGAGGGGGCATTGAAGATTGGCGCAATATTGGCTCCGGGCAAGTTGATCGATATGGGTTCATTCACACCCCAGCAAACAATGGTGACTCAGAGCCTCGACCTATCCAACGAGTCACAACAAGTCTTCAGCTCGCCTCTGAGGCACCAAGACGCAAGCGCTCAATTCGACCACCGTCTGCTAGAGCCAGTGTCCGCTCCAGTCATGGTCTACAGCGCAATCCATCCTTTAACTCTACATTCAATCGCCCATCTACCTCCGCAAGCACAGCTAGTGTCCCAATACGTCGCTCATCTCGTCTGCGCTCCGCAACTAACCATCTTCCTCAAAACCGGGACCGAAAGGTCACAGATGAGGCCGGTGACATGCTTACTCTTCCGTGGGACGATTGTGGTGAAGGGAAAGACACACCGGCGGCGCGTGCAAGGCGAAAGAAGGAGTGGCAGCGTGAAGATAAATGGACCAACATGGCAAAGCTGAAAAAAAATAGCCATTATGGGGGTGGTGGAATGAACTTTGAGTTCGATACTCGTAGCCCAAAGCTGATCGAGCGTACATGGAAGGGCATTCCGGATCGATGGCGCGCAACAGCATGGTATTCCTTCCTGGAATCTAGCGCGAAGCAACACGAAGATAGTCCTTCTGAAGTGGAACTCATCGAGGCCTATCACGAGTTCCAGTACATTTCCTCGCCGGATGACGTTCAGATTGATATTGACGTTCCCCGCACTATCTCGAGCCATATTATGTTTCGTCGACGATATCGTGGTGGGCAAAGGTTGCTCTTCCGCGTACTCCATGCCATGTCTCTGTATTACCCCGACAATGGCTATGTGCAAGGAATGGCGGCTCTTGCAGCCACTTTGCTGGCATATTATGATGAGGAGCATTCGTTTGTGATGCTTACTCGATTGTGGAAGCTACGTGGTCTGGAAGACCTCTACAAGTCCGGCTTTGCTGGACTCATGGAGGCCCTTGGATGATTTTGAACGTGAATGGTTGGCTGGTGGGGAAGTGGCTGCGAAATTGGTGAGATCAATTGTCTTTTTCTTCATGTTTTTATTTTTTATTATTTTTTGATATGATGACTGATAGAATGCTCTACAGAACGAAGTCGGAATCCCACCAACTGCCTATGGTACTCGTTGGTATTTGACGCTCTTCAACTACTCAATCCCCTTCCCTGCCCAGCTCCGCGTGTGGGACGTCTTTATGCTCCTCGGGGATGCAGAAGACAAGACTTCTATCTCCAGGCCCGCAGGCAAAGCTGGTGTCCCAACACGCGCAGGCACATTTGGTCAAGGTCTCGATGTCATCCATGCCACTTCCGCAGCTCTTATTGACGGAATGCGCGAAATTATTCTCGATTCTGACTTTGAGAATGCTATGAAAGTACTGACGAGCTGGGTGCCCATCAAGGACACCGAACTCTTCATGCGCGTTGCTAAGGCTGAGTGGAAGGTCCATCGCAAAAAGCACTACTAACTCCCTTCTTTTTATTACCCTTTTATATATTTCCTTTGTTTATCCCTCCCGCCTTAATATCTACACTAACGGCTGTTTTCATACCCTGTGATCCGATCAACCCCGAGAATCACATTTGATGTCTAATTCACATTATACCCCAACCTTCTTGTCTTTTTATGAACATGGTACCTTTGGAGTGCCATGGGAGAACGCCTTTCCACCCTTGCTGTAATTTTTAGTGTTGTGTCTTTTATCTTCTACTTCTCTTTCTGCCTCTGCTTCACTCTTTGAATACATCTTTCTTTCCAGTCCAGCTCATACCTTTTCTTATCTCTAATACTACTCACCTTCATTCGGAGACCTATTCATGCTCCCTACCTCTTTGTCTTTTTATTTTCTTCTTGAGACATTTGGCTACCTTACCGTCTTGCAAGATATCGCTTGACTCTTTGCCCTAGTCAAAATTCCACCCAAGTAATTCAAACCCAAGCGGTCCTTCGAATGATTGGGCTAATACTCGTCTAGTCTCTCTTATTACAAGTTTTAACCTTGGAACATGGTGAGAGATTCCAAGGTTCTAGATTTGGGCTCTGAGGGCTTTACTGAAAATCTTTTCTTTGACCTTTTTTTTTTTCTCAGGAATATGGTTTCATACAATCAATAGAAGTACCTAGATACCTGTTTCATTTAATGTATGCGTGATTTGCATCTCAAGTATTCTTCAAGGACTATTGGCTGGATGTCTACAATAGGGCGTATCACACCACCGGAGTTGATGAGGTACCTTTGGGTATAAAAAGGATAAAACAACTGAACTTTACCACCCCCTCAAACATTCAGGTCAGCCCTGGAACAACGATTCTTCCAGAAAATCATGACAAAAGACAACCTCAATTTCCGTATCGCAACTCTAGACGATGCGGAGAAAATCCAGCAACTTGTGCAAGAGGCCTTTCGCGCCGAAGATAGCAGGCAAGACTGGACTGGAAACGTGGAACTCGCACGGGCCTTTACAGTCAAAGTCGAAGACATCATAACCACAATGGCTAAACCAAACAATGAATTCCTGTTGGCTACCGAGGAAAATAACACCCCTATATGCTGCGTTGGTGCTTCCGAGCGCGAAAACAGCCATGCCAGGCTATTCATGCTGGCCGTTGACGATCGTTACCAACGCCAAGGTCTGGGACGTCAAGTCATTACCTATGCTGAGGGATACTGCCAACGGACTTGGAACTCTGAGGTCATCGAGCTAGATGCTCTTTCCACCCGCCCGCAATTGATTCGTTGGTACATGCGCTGTGGCTATCAACAGACGGGCGAGACGAAACCGTTCCCACGTGCCATTTTCAAGGAGCTGGAACTGCCACAGGATTTGTGTTTTATTGAATTGGAGAAAAGATTAGATACAAAGCCGATAGATTGAGAAATTGAGTTTCAATCTCGGAGTTGAGTTCTCGGAATAAGTAGAGGGCAGACGGAATCAAGGATGATGTCGAGAATTCACTTTGGACAACTCTAGCCCTGGATCACTTATACCGAGTCTATAAATACCTAGGCAGTTGCCTATTCCTATAACCAACTCATATATACCTAGGAATAACTCACTGCTGCTTTCTCAAAAATCTCCTTGAACGTTATACGGAATAAGAGCTCGGCAAATGTCGACTAAAATCAAAAATATGGCCCTTGCCGGGGTAAGAAAGGGACACAATCCAAACAAAACTTGGTCTTAATTAACAACATGCTGTTAGGCTAGTGGAAATATCTGATCTCGAGCCCTCAGTCATATAATTGATCTTGGGTTCAATGTAGTAGTGCTGAGTCGCACCTCTAAGCCCTTCCCGACGACTGCTCACGTTGAAGTTGTTGACTTCACCTTGGTGGATTCACTATCTGCTACTCTCACTGGATGGGACGCATTGATTGGCACTACTTTTTCACATGGGGTTAAACCCCCACTCGGTCTGATTGATGCGGCCGTCGCGAGTAGAGTGTATCGCTTGTATGGGAGCCTTTTAATTTTATATAGCGAATGAGCCTAGTTAATAGCGTATCTAGTATCACCAGCGACTTTGGACTCGATCCTGATCTATCGGGCGTTCGTGGCCTGCCTATTTTTGGCCGGAAGAAAGCCTCTTATGAGGCCGTGAAGAAATACGCGGTTGACAATCGCTTGACCTATACATTGGTAGCTAATGGCGCTTTTCTTGACTGGTGCCTCTCCACCGGCTTCCTTGGTCTTGACTTTCAAGAAAAGGAAGTTTGCATCTTTAGCAATGGAAACAACGTTGCCCCATAGACAGCCTGAGATGATGTTGGCGAAGCAACTGCCAATATGCTTTTGCATCCGCAAGAAACCCTGAATCATCCAGTCTATATCCACTCTGTGTACCTGTCACAAAACGAAATACTCAACTTATCGAAGGATTTTTTGGGGATGACGGGTGGAAGATCACGTATCATGGCATGAAGCCTTTTTTTGAAAAGGAAATGATGGATATAGAGACTGACGATATAATCCTCTCCTTGGCCTGAAAGTGTTTGAATTTAGAATGTGAAAATGCTGATTCAGGCGATCGCCCACAGAGCAGTTTGAAGTTAAAATTATAGCGTCTACGAATGTCATAATGTTCACTTGGGAGAGAAAAGGTTGCCAGTTGCTCAATGCTCACAAACCAATGAATTTACTATCAAACCCATATTCGCATTAGACTATATGAAGATAGAGATGGGTCAATTAAAAGACTTTTTAAAAATCTAAAGTAGAAAGAATCTAAGTGGGCAGAATGAGGAAAGTGGGACCAACTTCTGCATAATATGCATAACAAACTCTACGACAATTGAATTACGTGATTACCTCCAGGGAGATGGATTGCTGTTGCATAATATTCCCTTTATTCCTTACAAAAATGATGGCTTCGGCGCTATGATGGCCTGCTTTGGCGAACGTAGTATGCCAAGCTTCAAAACGCGGGCACAACTGTCCTCAGGAATCAGAATGAATTCTTAAAATACCATTCGGTACTAGTGGTACTCACTAGCTACATAGTGAGAATACAAATATCCGACCTTGAGAAGTATGGATCCTGCTTCGAACAGTTCCATGGATCGATAGTGACTGGAAGCCCGACGGCTACTGTCATTCATCAGACCCATATGTTGACAGTGGCTGCAGCCAGACGACCACTGGATATTCTCCCTCTTCAGCTTGCGGTGTGAGGAGTCTATGATACCGAGAGATGATGGTCAGGCGGACACGAATCCTGGCAGAATTCTATTCTACAATGTTGCAAAGAGATATAGGCTCAAATTGATCCTTCAACCCTTAAAAGACATTACACGAGTAGATAAGTGTTAATAAGTAACAGGTTCACATCATGAAGTGAGACATTCTTCCAACTCTCTGACGTATCAGCCTCGAACTTTTCAGTTCCATTGCACTACTGCATTATCAATCACCTCCCACTGTCCTTTTCTCTTCGCGCTCAGCCTAGTTTAGTAGTACCGTATGAATATGTGAACTATACAAATCACACGGTACAATGCCACCCTTCTGAGCCCTTGGAGAAGGGCGATATAGTCCATCACAGGTGTCAGGTAATAGGGTCCTATCACTGCTTCGTGCATATCAATTACAACCAACATTAAAGAGAGCAGTGAACAACTTTAGTTTTCTGAATCTACCAATGACCTTAGGAAGCTTTATTTACTGGAGAAATGGGATCAAGTCACCCTCAGTCTTCTTCTCCAATTCAGTGATCAGATCTGCTCCTTTGATATGAATGATATGAATGATATGACTTTCTCTGCTATCCGTAGGGAGTGTATTGAAAGGCTGAGCTAAGAATTCTATCGGGGTTTGAATCCGGATACCCGGAGTAATATGGTGGAAGCTGACGCGGCGGGCGAGTGAGTCTGTTTGCGTAAATAAATGATCGTAAATGATATCAGCCACCGGTAATAAGTATCGAAGGAATTACCCCTGGAAATTATTAAATACTAGGCATCGGCTTTGCGGCTTGTACCTATGTTTGCGTACCTATGTCTTCGTTGGTGTCTTCTAGGATTCCGTTTTCCCACGTGGGGAGTCTTTTGACCTGCTGCTCCCCACATCATACTCACTAGACCCATTATACTGCCGATTGCGATTGGGCGGTACTTGTGTCTGGCTCGGTTCACTGCGCAGAAATGCATCGTGCAGTGCAGTAACTTCTTTTGTATTTCTGTGTTTTTATAGTCGAAAAATTAACACTCAAGATAAGAAAAGAACCTTGCGAAAAAATGACAATGAATTGAGCCCATTGTGGCCAAAGTGCAGTCGGTCTTTCAAGTTAATGCTACGATGGTTGAATAGTACTACTAGTACTCAAGTAAAGTAAATGTGGCGTGGTGTAGGCCTCGACTCAATCTATTTGATTCTTCAATTTCTGGCTAATCAGTCTTAACTCCGCATTTAATAATTTTAATTAATTTAATAATTTATCTCTTACATTCAAACTGACACCCCCAAATTACGGGACTTGACAGTTGACCTGCATCCCCATACAAACTATTCTCTCTTTCGTCTGTCTGCATATGTCCATTTTAGCGCCTTGGCAATAGAGATAACGACACGCCTATTGATCATTATTACCACACACTGATCTATATGGTATTTGGATACTCCGTACTTTTCGCCCAAAGGCTGCCACACTAAATGGAAACTCAACACCTATTATGAAGCCTACATAGGTACCCCCAAGAAACATATCGGCCAGATGTAACCATCATAATGTAGATCTGTTTTTTGTGATAGGGGGGCTTCTCTAGGTAGTGATATAGGAGAAGAGATAGAAGATAGAGCCACAGAGGAGCTAAATAATAAATACATGCTCATATAGAGAGGTAAGATGATGAGTCGCGATGTGCAGAGAGTGTGGAGATGTGACCTCGGTGCGTATCATTTAGCGAAGTTTTATAAGTAGGACTAAGTAAACGAATCATAGCTTTCTATTCTGCCAAGGCGCTAAAACATACATGTGCAGAACGGGGGATAGAACGACAGCTGTCTAAGAAGAACCCTTGGACTAGGAAGGTATGGTGGATCCTATTTGAAATTATTGAAACGGCACTTTTTAATCAATCAGAAGAATATCCCCACTTAGCCAATTGCGTGTGGGGTTCATTGGTAACGGTGAAACCGCCAACAGCCGGATCTAACCTGAGAAGCTCTAGTTTCGACCCCTTCTTGCAAGGACAAATTGAAAATGGATATCCCAAGACACAAGCGTTCTCACCAATTTCTTCAGCACGTCGGAGACTACCGGAGGACCGACGGATATTCTTCGGTGCTAAGGGATTCTCCACGTTCATCGCAGAATTGACTACTTCTAGCAAATAGCGCCGATAAACAGGTTAGCGTAATGGGTTGGGGAAGTTCGCATAAAAGGAGAGCTTATGCCTTGAAAGAAAAAGCATCCACTCTTTTCATTCATTCCAGCCTTTATACAATATTTTGTTCAATTTCATTTCAATGCCCAAATTCTTTCATTACCTGGCACTGGCTGCCCTAACTGCTTCTGCCGCAGCCTTCCCTGCAGGACCGGCTATCACTGAAGCCCCAAGTCTGGAGAAGAGATCGAGCTGTACCTTCTCTGGCTCCAAGGGTGCTTCATCGGCCAGCAAGTCGCAGGCGTCTTGCTCTACCATCATCCTGTCTGATGTGGCCGTGCCTTCAGGAACAACCCTGGATTTGAGTGACTTGGAGGATGGAACCACGGTAAGAGCCAGCAAATTTGAGTTCAACTCCTCTTATGCATTGCTAATCATCTATGCTCGCAGGTCATCTTCGAGGGTGAAACCACCTGGGGTTACAAGGAGTGGGATGGTCCTCTTCTCCAGATCAAGGGAACCGACATCACCATCAAGGGTGCTAGCGGTGCTAAGCTGAACGGTGGCGGCTCCAGCTGGTGGGACAGCAAGGGAAGCAACGGTGGCAAGACCAAGCCTAAGTTCTTCTACGCTCACAGCCTGAAGTCATCCACCATTACCGATCTGTACATTGAGAATACCCCGGTGCAGGCTGTTAGTATCAATGGATGTGACGGCCTGACTATCACCGATATGACCATCAACAACAAGGCTGGTGACTCCGGTGGCGGTCACAATACCGATGGCTTTGATATTAGTGATAGTACCGATGTGGTGATTACCGGTGCCAAGGTTTACAATCAAGACGATTGCGTTGCTGTTAACTCTGGAACTGTATGTTACCATGTCCTGGCTGTATACAAGTTTCATAAGGCTAACATGATTCCAGGATATCACTTTCAGTGGTGGTGTCTGCTCCGGTGGTCACGGCCTGTCTATTGGTAGTGTGGGTGGCCGTTCTGACAACACCGTCAATACTGTCACCTTCAAGAGCTCTACAGTCGAGGACTCCACTAACGGTACGGAATAGGGCAAGAACCCTAATATTAGTAGAGGTGGAAGCTAACATACATTAGGTATCCGTATCAAGGCCACTGAGGGAAAGACTGGCACTATCAAGGGTGTCACCTACGAGGACATCACCCTCTCGTCTATCAGCGAGTGAGTCGAACGAGACCCGAAACCAGTATACCCCATTCGCGCTTTACTGACAGTATTTGACACAGCTATGGCATCCTTATCGAGCAGAACTACAAGGGTGGTGACCTGAAAGGCGACCCTACCACCGGTATCCCCATCACCGACCTCACTATCAAGAGCATCTCCGGCGCCGATGCTGTTGATTCTGACGGTTATAACATCGCTATCGTTTGCGGTGATGATGCCTGCTCTGATTGGACATGGAGTGATGTCAATATTTCCGGCGGTGACACCTATGGCAGCTGCAAGAACGTTCCTAGCGTGGCTAGCTGTTCAGATTAGGTATTCCGAGTATCCAGCTTTGATATCTGCACTTGTTAAGGAGACTATCCCACGGATCGATTCGCTAAACTCCCGCTCTCTAAGTTTTGTGAAGATATTCCGAAGTTTCATTTGAGACACTTGGACTGTATTCAAATTATTTTTTTTTTAAATCATATTGAGAAAATAGCAAGTTCCTTTCAAGTTTGCTTTCCTTCAGGTTATCCGCATTTTTGATAGACTCCTGCGGACAGGAGATGACTTGTTAGCTGCCACTCTCCCTTTAATAGGGTGTATCAACCACACCTTGATAATAGAGTTTAAGACTAACTTGGACACTTGATAAAGGACATCTGCTTTCTGTGACCTAGACTTTTGTCCAGGTGTATTTTGCCTGCGTTTTGTAGAAATGGATTGCCGATTTACTAGGTTCCCGACATCGCTCATCATCTGTAAGTCGCCTGGGTAGTTCTTGAAATTGCTGAGCCAAAGACAATTTGGGCACCTGCCTTGTCCTTCGATGTCTGCGTAATCTTTTGAATCCTCTTCAACGGAGTTCTCGCGCTTCTTCGATCTGTTTCCTTGCGAGAAAGACGCTTAATCATCATCCTCCGAATCCTCCCACGTACTATTCTCATCAAAAAAGTCGACCTCGAAGGTGTTTTCCAAAGAATCCGGACCATCTGGATCATCCGCTACCAGGAGACGCAGATATGCAGCCATATCGCTCAAGTTATTGCGCCATTCGGTCGGCAAGAATGACGCAGGAATCCCAGGCAGATTATGAGCAAGTTTAACCACGCGAATACATTTCAGCGGAGATACTTCACGGTGTCTTCCTTCCTCGTTGAACTGGCAATTAATCGTACGGTCCTGATTGCCGAGCGTCTATGGGTTTCAAACAAAGAATTAGCCATTTTCTGTAAAATGCAGCGTGTTGCGAAAGATTTACAGTGTAAGTTGTAAAGATAGCATCGTCACATAGTTCCATATAGCTGATTGGTACGTTGAGTTGGCTTGCAGAGCTGGGGAGGAGTGAGTAAGAGGCACGAGCCGGACATTCGACTTTTTGAAACTTGTTATCGTCATCAAGCGCAACAACGTAGATGCGGCCCTGAGCCTCGAACATGAAACGGTGGTTGCGCACCGCTAGCCAGCCGCCGATGTCGAAAGTCACTCCATCATTGTAGCATTCAAGAATGGAACTGTTAGCTGCGAGGCTTGTAGGGTCTCGAAGGGATTTGCGCCAATCTGAACACACAAAAACATTTCCATTACGAGAGATACCAACGAAAAGGTCCCCATCTACCTTTCCCGATCCCCAATCTTCAAATTCCAATCTACTAGCGAGGAGTTTCGGCCGGGGCAGAGGTCCTCTTCTAAGCCGAATCGGAGTCAAGGGGTCTCCGTCTGGTCCACAAAAGTCGTATTTGGGTATTGGGGGTGCACGGATATGGTACCGATCCGTACACGGTGATGGATCCAGCACACCGAGAAGCTCACCAGATGTCTTGTCGTAAGCATAGTAACCTCGTTCTCCCATGGCGTAGATCACAACATCCTCAGATTGGTCTAAGTGACCACCGGCATCTTTCTCAATCTTGAGACGATTGGTCAACTTGGGAGGGTTTTTGGTCATGTCCCAGACAAAACCCGTCTCTTCACAAGACACAACACAGAGCGTCCAGTAAGAAAGTTGAAAGCCTCGAACTTGGCGATCGTGTTCTAGAATAGCAATTCGCTTGAATTGTCCACGCTTTGTATTTTCCAGATCAGTCTGCCAGACTTGCAAAGAATCTCCCTCACCATCAAAGACCATCATTCCATCCTGGTACTCTAGATGTGCATATCGGCGTGTCACCCTTTCAGGAAGTTCCCATAGGATCTCATACGAGTCCATATCGATCACAGTCAATCCACCAACATGATGAGTAAGAACAAAGTATCGACGTGTGAAATCAGAATGGAATCGCCAGACATCTTTCCCGGCGTGAATCAGGGATTCTTGGCTAATTGGGTGTGATTTGTCCCAGTTGCACGCGAGCACTGTCTGCCGCTTACATGCTTCCTTCCATGATTCTATTTCCTCGAAGTGATTAAAGCCTCCAAAATACTGGGAAAAGGATTTGCCGTCTTTGAGGAATGAAAGATCGGTAATATCGCGGTGACCAGTTGGTTTTGCGGTTTGCGAACTGTAAATGGCGTCTTGATGTGTGACGTCAATAAAGTCGTGCCAACGTTTAGAAACGCTTTTTAGAGCCCCAATGGCTGAGATGGGAGAAAATTCTAAAATTTTCAGAGTGACTTCAGGAGGCAAGAGCTGTAGGGGATCTGTGGACATCATCATTTTGAGAGCAATTGAATTGTTGTTCGATGAAACACAAAACACGATCGAACTCCATACTCCCGCTATTATTAATACTATATTCTGCCGTAGAATAATCTACACCGCCCTCCAGGGTTGTTATCGATAACCAGGCATATGCCAGAAATCAACTGCGCATATTAAAGTAATCTCCCCTCACCTGAGCAGATCTACATCCATTATGGCTGCTAATTACTGGACCTCGAGTCAACGCCAGTTCTGGCTCTTCTCACGTGAGAAGCTAGCTGATGTACGCGAGGCACTGCGCGAACGCGACAAAGCCACTCATGCGCAGTTCCCGCTGCCAGACCAACGCCTGCTTAATATCTACTTCAACCAACAGTTTATCAAGCTAGGAAAGCGCATGTCCACCCGACAACAAGCAATTGCCACAGCCCAAGTCTACCTGAAGCGGTTTTACACCAAGAATGAGATCCGTCATACGAACCCATATCTTGTCCTCACAACAGCATTCTATCTCGCCTGCAAAATGGAAGAATGCCCACAACATATCCGTTTTGTAGTAGGCGAGGCTCGTGGCTTATGGCCGGAGTTCATCACTCCCGATGTAGCTAAACTTGGAGAGTGTGAATTCGCCTTGATCTCTGAGATGAGCTCACAGATGATTGTGCATCATCCCTACCGGACTCTATCAGAGCTTCAACCTAAGCTGTCGCTTACTTCAGACGAGGTTGCACTAGCTTGGTCAGTGATCAATGACCATTATCTCACAGATCTCCCATTGCTACATCCACCACATATCATTGCTATTATGGCTATCATTATTGCTGTTGTCTTTAAGCCAGCCCACCTGAACAACTTTGGTAACTCGGCACAGTCAGCTTTAGCTGGCTCCATGCGCGAGGGAGGAGCTTTAGCTGGTACTTTGCGGGATGGAGGGGGGATGAGCATGCTTACAGCACTATCAGACAAGAGTGGTGGGCCTCGAATCCAGAATCTGGTCCAGTGGCTTGCAGAGTCTGAAGTTGACATCAAAGCTGTGATTGAGTGCACTCAGGAGGTTCTCTCCTTATATGAAGTCTGGGAACAGTATAGTGAGAAGCATTGTAAGGAGTTGATCAGCCGAATGGTCAAGGGAAAGCCTCAAGGCCCCGTATAAATCATAGTTTACATATTTGCACTCATCTACACGGAGTTCGGTCGTTTTCGGGAATTTGGGATGATTTTCTTGCATAATGTCAGCGATATGGCGCCGGGCTGTAATTTTGGCGAACAACTCAGCTGGATTTAGTACTTGGAGGAATATATCGAGGCTTGTATGTAATAACCCTAGCATCTTTTTATATACTCCATCTTTCATCGCCCGGGTGTCCATCTGGCCAGGTCGTGCCTCTACATGTAAATATATTGTTTTAATTCCCCTGGGTCTTGGAAATCCCCATGCCTGCTGGCACAGCACAGCTCGAGTCTATCTAAACATGTTGGATGTACCTAGGTAGCTTATTTGAATACAGGCCAAAATGAAGATAAGATTAATCCCTAGCTGCCAATAGCCGGGTTGGCAACCAACTGAAAGCTGGGGCATTGAAAACATTATATACTAAAACAAGAATGCACATCCACGATCGTCAAATATAAAAGCCAAGAGCGCAAAGGGGTATCGCTCCTCCGTTTCCATTGCCGATGCCGAAAACCCACAAAGTTCATACAAGCGCAGCTAAATACCAATATCTGAGCTAGAAGACAAGGTAGAATAAAAGCTAAGAACAGAAGAGCAAAAAAAAAGATATTAAAGCTTTTCTAGTCGCCACGGTCAAATCGACTAAGCACTTCTGGTGGAACTGTCGGTATATACTTGCGGGCTCGTTCGCGGTTCGTCCCGCCGAGTCCGGCTCCATAGCTGATGAGCATGTCTGTGCTTGTTGGCAGAGAGAATGGAAGGAAAAGTGTCGTGTCGAGGAAGACGCTGTTATTATGTGGACGGTCATCGTTCAGTGTAAACATGCTCGCGGGTATAGACGGCGCTGGTGATTTCTGTCCGGGATCGTCCGCACTTGCTTGGGACTGGTTGATAGGTGTCTTGGGACGGTCTTCGGAATTAGATCCCGGTACAGGAGTCGTCTTATTTTTCGCGTCTTCGATCTTCTGCTGTTCTCGGAACAGAATTTCGGGATCACGTTGCATTTCGAGGAGGAATTTCATGGCTTGCTTTGTTAAACCTTTCTCGCCGACTTCGGGCCGGTATGATTTGACAGCGTGTAGAAGCTGGATAGGGACTAGTTGTTGTAGCTGGAGCAATGTGTCAACGAGGGACTCGTGGTCGTCTCCTAGTGAGGAGAAGCATTGTAGCCATTGTAGTAGTTGAATCACGGGGGCTAGATGGCGACGAGCAGAATCAACAGTCGTCTCTCCGGTGCTTGTCATAGATCCATTTTCATAGTGTTCCGGTTGCCGATTGTTAGTACGGGCCCAGTCTTCTAATGTGGAAACATTCATGCGAATCTGCATTGCCTTCGTCCGCGCCAAGTAACGCTTCGTGGACATGATGCGATTAAAAAGCTCTGCGCCAAGCCAGTAGAGGAGCTGAGAGAGGATTTGAGTGGTGATCACGGAGTGAACGTCATAGAGATCGAGGACGAAGAGGGTCGACGAGAGTAAGGAGGTGATATTTCGTGGAGAGATCTGAGCTCGCCGCCGGGGTGATGGCGGCCGGAAGCGCTTCTCTGCAGGCTCGGGGGCCTCTGACTTCTTCTTGCGGAAGATGTTCCATTCATTTTGGAAGGCGATATCCTCTAGTCCAGGGATGGTTTCATGGTCCAGCATTGCCGCATCCAGGACTTTGTTCATCCGTCGCTCTGCATCGCGAATGATAAGAACGAAAATCTCGTTGATCAGCTCTGCCAGATGAAGCTGGAACTCCACTGTTGCTTCTGTCAGCCCAGTGTCCTTCTTCAGGTAATGAACTAGCAGAGTGGCATTGGACAGCCAGAAAGCCTGCATAGTCATATCCCACTGGTAACGTTCGACCACATCGTTGATCTTTTCCGTCGCGGAGGTAAGCAGGATTGCCAATAGTTCGGGGCTGGCATGGTAGTGCGCATATCGAGCACTGAGAAAGAGAAGATTGGCTGGCACTGGCTTTTGAGACGGAGACCGTTGGGGGGTCATGTTGGTAATGATGATATCCAAAATACGTTCCAGTTCATGGTCTTGGAATACAAACATCTGATCATTCAAGCACTTGTCCCAAACGAAATCCTGTTGCTCCTGTTCCAGCTCCTCGTCATCCAATGACTGTATCTCGATCAGCAAAACGGTTCCTGCTAGTTTCTGCGCTTGTACTTACGTCAAATTTTTCATCTAAACCAAGACTAGACAAATCAACCTCCAGATTTATCGCACTCTCTTCCATCATCATTCGGCGTTTCATTTCATTTTCAGCAAGTGCTTCCTCAAAATGACCATGTGCCAGACCGGCATCATAGAAATCATCCTCAATAACACTAGGTCCAAAACTATACCCATTCTCGTGCAAGTAATCGGAGATTTCGCTACCGGGCTGCGCGAAGTCGAATGCCGTACCACCAGAAGACGACTTTATATCCGGCGAAGCACCATGATCGAGAAGAATCTTTGCAATAGTCTTGTGTCGATTGGTCATAGCCCACATCAACGCGCTCCACTGATTGCGATCCTGCTGGTCAACAAATGCACCGGCATCGAGAAGAGCCGAAACAACCTCTTGATGTCCCTACAATTTCCTACGTCAGCATTTCCAACCTTCATCTATCGCGGCGTATCCCTAGCGCATAGGGTTACCCGCAGTAAGGGAGAGAGAAAGAGACGACCCACAAAACAGCTAGCATAGATCAAAGGCACCGTGCCCTCCTCGTCTTTCATATTGACATCGACATAGCTTTTAGCTGGGCCGCCAAGTAGCTTGTTTACGCGCTCGACGTCGCCATTGCTCGCCGCCATGTTTAGGCTCTTCTGAAGGATATCTCGTTTCTCGGCCGTCGTCAATTTCTCGTCGGCCGCAATGCTCTCCTCGTCGGCACCGAGTGAGTCGACTTCGCGGTGGGCGGCCTGCGCTGCAAGCATCTCCATTAAACGGGCATCGTTGTCTTCGAGGTCCAGACCGTATTCGTCCGTATCGGGGAAGTGCGAGTGGTCATCGAGGGCAAGGCTAAAGGTCAAGGGCTTTGCGGCGACGGTAGGAGTCAGGAATTGGGATTGGCCTGTTGAATTTGATCGAGATTCATTAGTCACAGGTTGCGGAGTAGGGACTGGGCTGGTATGTTCCCCTCCAGATCGTCGACGGGACGGGGCGGGGAGAACAACAGACGTACCCTGCCATGCATCGTACATCTCAGTCTCTTGAAAGACAGGAACCGAACGGCGATCGTCCAGCGATTTGGGCAGGTCATCGGGGAGTTCTTGGGCTCCTGCAGACACAGGACTGTGATCGATCTCCTCCGAAGCCCTGTGCCCTGGCTCTATCGTGTCCATCGTGGCGGGCCTACAGTTGAGGAGAGCAGAGGCAGGACATGAAAGCAGAAAATGGAGGATTTCAAAAGCGATAAGAATCAAAACCAGAAGAGATTAAGAAGCCATCGACGGTTGGAATTGGGGGGTTGCGAAATAGGAACGGCTAAAATGGACACTAACTTGGGAGTAGATCAACGCACGACCTTCGGGAGAGAAACTGTGCTCTATGACGCAGGCATTGGTATTATGAGGTTTCAAGTTGAGATTAGTACCCAATTACTGGCTTAAATGCTTAAAAATTGTAGGTCACTTGGGTTTAAAATAGATTTGGTATAAATTCATAAATGGGTTCAAATGTTTTGCTAAATCTTTGGTATAGTAATAATCCCATCCACATTAGACCGTGATATCTTCCTTCCCAACTCAGATGCAAATGCTTCGCTTTCAACGCCGAATGATAATAAAACAAAAGGGAACATGGGTAAAATTCACGTATAGATACAGTAAAACATGGCAGAACATGGCAGAACATGGCAGAAAAAAATGAAGTTTCTGCAGCAAAAGGGGTATGGAGTCCAGTCATCAAAAATACAAGATAAAAATAGAAATTCGTGGCTCTCAGTGATGAGAAATGTGCAGGATTGTTCAGGCTTCAGGCTTCAAGCTTCTTGCTAAGAACTTGAATCTCATCCTCCGGGAGAGATGCAATCCACAGGCAACGTTCGATAATACCAGGCACGGGCTCAAATCGGTATTTGGTGCTAGCGTCAATCAGACGGAGCAAGCCCTTGACAATCCGAGCTGATGTACGGTATCGCTCGAAGTTGACCAGCATTCCACCGTCGGCATTGGCGATTTGGGCTGGCTTCTGTGAGTTGTAGGTGAGATCGTGTACGTATAGACCGATAAATGGAATGCAGCCTTCTTGTAAGTTGGCTGTCTCCATCTCGTAACGAAGCTCATAGAAGTTTCTCACGGGCTGAATCAAACACTCCATATCTTTCAACATCCGCTTGTCTTCCAGGGGAACCAGATCCCACGTCTTCTGTAGACGTGAACAATCCGAAGATGATAAGGCAATCGCGATTTGAAGCATGGTGGCATAGTTGCAGATTCGACGTGCATGGGCAGCTGTATGAATGTACTTGATGACAGTGTGTGCTCGCTCGTGGATGTCACTGGTCAGAACAATCTCGGAAACAACCCATTTGACCATGAGATTGAAGCGCCCCACGACGAGATCAATGCCTTTGCGCTTCTCGGAAAGAAATTGGACCCAGCTCACAACATTGTGAGAACTACTGTTCCATTTCATTTCTACCAGGTCCCGCCAATCCACCTCGCTCAGTGCAGCCATCTCAACCAAAGTCAGTTGCTGGGCTAGTATTTGAGATTCGCATGCGAGAATGAAAGGAACATGGTCAGGGCCATTATGGTGGAGAAGACCCTGACTTTTGTGATCCTTCTCAGAGTTGGAGAGGATGTCTCTCGATAATTGCGGTACATGTCGAGCTTGGTGAAACCGATCCACCTCTGGCCGCAGAGGAGATGTATCGGGAGTGAGTGGCTGTGCCTGGAAGAACGCTTTATTTGCGGGTAAAGAATCGGAGCCAAAAGAGGGCGGGTGTTGTATGGTCATGGGGGGAGAAGGAGGTTGTCCTAGAGGATGAGGCGGGATATCAATATCAACAGCTGACGAGGTAAAGCTGTGTCTGTTTAGGGTGTGACCTTCAACGGCTTCATGTGAACCTATAATGTCCATAGACATGACTGAAGATGGAAGCGAAAGATGTTTGGGAGTAATCGGTGCCACATTGAGGAAAGAAGAATCGGGAGCTGTTGAGCCAGGCGGGATACGTTGAATGCTTTCGGTTTCATGGATAATTTGGATCGACGGATGAGACGATACCAGCTCGGAGTCCCGACTGGAGATGAGGCTGAGCGGTGTATGATTTTCGAAAGTAGGAGCAAGTGGTCGCCTCACGGAATCATCTGCTAATCCTCTTTCGAGTAGAGGAACGGAATTGTATGACTCTTCCGACTCGGCCACAGAGTCAGAGTAGGGTCTAGGTGGCGCCAGTCGCCCTCCAACCGTAGAATATGTGGATTTATCTGTTTGTCGCCGACGTAAGAGTCCGTCACTCACAGCCTTGTCCTTTTTATCTTCGGGGTCAGAGTATTTGACTTTTTCAAATCCAGCCTCCTGATCTGCCGGTGGTGAGCTGGGCCACTTGCCCTCAAGCTTCAACAAGGTCGACTCAATACCTCCATCGTCATCATCAGGAATCTGGGCAAATCGAGCAAGTGCTGCCTCGAATGATCGTCTTATTCTGCGGGCTGGAGAGGCGTGAACTAGTGAAAATCGATTGGGACTAGGAAAAATCAAGGCTGTCGGAGGCCTTGAAGGGTCTTGTTCAGCTTTTGGCGCTTCCGCTACTGAATCATTGGAAGAATAAGTCGACAAGACTGATTCACGTCCAGGAAGTTGTTCAAGGTCACCCGCATGCTGGACGCGACGCAGATTCCCGCCAGGCCGTCTGCGGAGGACAGGATTAGATGGCATCTTTTCTTGATCTCGCATATCATTCTGGCTAGAAGCTGCTTTTAATTTATCGCTTCCTGTTGGTATGCGGTGTCTAGATATACTCTGGAAGGACGCATATTTGCGAAGCCGAAGCGAGAATGACATTTTCTTGCGGGTGATCGAAGGGGTTTCGCTGGTAAATGACTTTCGATATGAAAGAGAGTTCTCTGGTTCATCTCTCAATGAAGCCGTACACGACAAACGTGATGAAGACGCGTTATAACTTTGAAGTGGCAGACTTGGATCATATTTGGCATCTCGCACAGCTCCCGACATGGCGGGGATTTCAAGGGCAGATTCGTTAATCATGACAAGTGAGTCAGTCTCTGTTGTGAGTTCACTGCTCGTTTTCAGGTCGCCTTTCAGGTCACTTTTCAGATCGCCAGTCTCGGGAACTTCGGGGGCTTTAAGAGAGGAAAAAGATTCCGTATTGTCCGAAGGACTCTGTGCCGTGATCTGCAACTCCGGCGCAACCGATATTGGCTGGATATTTTTAGCATCATTATGCCCCATAGACTCAATATATTCTTTCAAAACATGTTCGCAAAGAACATCAACCCGCATAGGGTGTTTGGGAGCAGCAGCCATCTTCCGCTCTCGGTAGTATTCCGACCCTAACGCAATATGATTGGGCATGTGGGACGTCCGGCCGCGAGACGGCGTGGTGAGAAACTCCGAGGCACTTGCCAGCCGTCCAGAGAAGCTATGACCACCGTTCCTAGTATGGAGCACCCGCCTGATTGAACCAATAATGGTTCTTACACCCGAAGTCGGCTGTGCGTTTTTCGGGCCCCCATCCAACATGCTTCTGCGGTCCAAGCTAGAGGATGCAGACGGGACAGGTAGAGGGGGCGACTCTGGCGCCATCATTGTCATGTAAGATTCTGCAGGGGGGTACAGGACACCTCGGATGAAACCGACAGGGTCCGATATTTCCTTGGGCGCAGAACCGTTTGAACCGATTTCCATGCCAAAGATGGGCATTCTATCATCTCGTGCCGAGTCTGAGAAGCTCCCACTTCGTTTGTGTACATGGTTGCGGAATGGGTGTCTGGAAAGCATGGGCGACGACACCGGGTGGTCATGCGAGGAACCAGGGTTGACCAAACCCACAGGCACGGGTCGAGGTGCCGTGCTTCTCGGGTGAGAGGGATGTGGAAGTTTAGGAGGCAGTGAACAAGAGAGCGCCAACATGCTCTGTTCGCTCTTGGCGGAGAAGGGGATACTCTGTTGTGTGGCAGCAGAGTTGTTTCGGTCATGTTGGGGAGTGGCAAGGCTCTGGCGGAAATTATTATGGCGAGAAGCAACTAGTGATTGAGCTAGTGAAGGATGTGAAACAGACTGTGGGGCAGCATCGCCGTCAAGCGGATCAATCTGGCCACTGCCAGGCACAATGGGACTGTCCGGATCAATTAATGCGCGGGAAAAATCAGAGCCTCCCCAGTAGACCTGACACTTCCCGTTCCAACACCTTTTGAGATCAATGAGAATCTTCAAATCGCTTGTGCCGCCATTTCTGCGAGATTTGACGTCTAAATATAAGGTGTTGATCGTTTCACAAAAGTGGGTCCGAAGATCTGAGATCGCGACAAAGTCATCGACAAAGTAGTTCAGAATCCAGTGGCGAAGTGCAGCAAAAGTACGAATGCGAATAATTCGCCCATCGTCTTGCAAACGGTGAATAGCCCATTGCAGACGAGCAAGCAGAAGAGCCAACAGGTGGCTGGGGGACAAATACGATCGAAATGTGAGGAAGAAGTCTGACACGAGCTCATAGTCCATAAATGACTCGGAAGATATCTGTGCCACAATACGAGCAGGTGTGGCGGCGCTGACGTCTTTCGTCCCGGGAAAGTAACGTACAACCGCTTCATCATCCATGTCAGATACCAGAGTCTCGTAAATCGAAGGTTCCACGGGGCCATTCAACTCATACACCATGGAGTTCCTCGGGACTGGCGTGCTCCGACTGAGGTCGATTGCAGCTGTGCCAGAAAAGATCGAGAGGGTAAACGATGCACGATTGTAAGAAAAAGAATCCCTCCCATATGGGCTGCGGAGCAGCGTGGGCAACGGATCCGCCATACCACCGAACAAAGTCGAGTTTCCAAAGCTATCGGACATTGGAGTCTGTGTGTATGCGGAACTCTGCATCATCGCACTACCTTCGGCGCTGAATCGTGGGGACCCGAGTCGATAATGGGGGATTGGCACCTTCAAGGTCTGGGCCCGCGACTTTTCATATGTCGTTCTGGGCCGGTCTTCAGATCGATCTATAACGATTCGCAGCTCTCCACGTTTCCCAGCACCTCGCACGGATTGTTTTTCGGGTATTGTTGAAAAAGAAGTCGCTCTCTTACGGGAAAACAGCGTAGAGCCCGGGTTCGCCGCTTTCGAGGAGAAAACCGACTCGTTGTCTTCGACAGGCACTTCCTCCGGATATGATTCCGAGAGCTGCGAGTTCGACCATCGTGCATGATCACGTCGGACATGGGCGAACGTTCGCGGCTGTGACTGCGGCTGAAGACTATTGGTAGTCACTTGGTCAATTGATGAATATGGGACTATTGAGATGTCGGTCTGCGACGGATTTGCAATCGGCCTGAATCAAAGCGTCCAAGGTCAGCTAGCTACCTTGCATAAAGTGTACGACAAGACTGTCGCGATCGAGATGAGATCGTACCTGAGAAATATCTTGCCATTTTGACCAACACTTCCAACTGTAAAATGACCAGCTTTCCGTCCGGCTGGGCCTGCTGTCGGTTGGGCCCGGTGCGTATGTGATCGTTGCAACGACTGTAACGAGTGTTTCCGTAGTGGTTCCTGGTTGTCCTTGGCACGAATCCCCGTTGAATTTGTTCTTCCTCTTCTTGCCTTTAGTTCTTTGAGTTCCAAGATCCTGCTGATATCACCTCCTTGGGCCACGGTATTTGCACGTCGAACCTTGGCCAAGTTCTGTTGAATTTCCCTACTGCGTGCTTGATAGAGTGGCAGATCAGTGGTTCGCGTTTCCTGTGTTTTGGTGTGTCCGGGTGAATCGGTGGCAGGGAACGGTTCCATTGCGGGCGCGCGAGAAGCGTTTCCCCCCGGACAGCTCTCTGCAACGAACCGCAGTAGAGAAATAGATTTGAAGATCAACTAGAAATATGCATCAGGCCTTATCCCAGATCGAGAAAGGGGGGAGGGGAAAGTGTTTTTCTTCCCAAGTGGAGAATGGAGGAAGAAGGAACCTTGGAATGGTCCCGACACTGCGGAACCAAAAGGGCGAACGCTTGGTACTTTGATCACTTAATCACTTACACTGATTTTTGAGCTCGATGGATATTTGACCCATTTATTAACATTTATGTCTGTGTCAAATTTGATGAGTACACTTTTACATGCTTCAGGATAAAGTCTGTAGTTTGGCCACTGTATGTGTCTCTTCTACTTAGTATAGATTAAAACTAAATAGATGAACCCCCTGTTCTACAACCATGTCAGCTCATTTAGTGTGACCATATATTAGTACTGCGTTCCATTCATGACTAGTTAGTTTCTCCGTAAATTGGGTTAATTAAACTAAAAAACTCTTAGCGTCAGAATAGGAAATATCCCTTCCATCAGAGTCTTCGTCACTTATCTCAAGCCTATCTCAAGATCCATCGAAGTGCAAAAGATCGGTGAATCTATAGAACTGGATTATATGGTTGAATTCAGCTCAATCTAGCAAGGTCAGACCGCTCATTCGGTGATCTGCAGAGGGGGAATATCTGAAGCTGGGCCCCGGCGGAGCCTAAAAATGGGGCTATATTACCAAGCCTGAAGATTCCGAGGTCTGGGCATATTTAGTCAACCAAGGAACTTTGGAATATGATGAACTATGATATAGATCAAATGAGGATAGCTTATAATTTCAATCACACAAAATACTCATCAACCCTCACCTAGGTAGGGGAGGATTGATTTATGGGAATAGCTACTCCGCTTACTATCTAGGTATAGTAAGACTGCACTACCAGAGCTTGCAGACAGGCTTTTTATCCGGGCATTGGAACGCTTCCTTGAACTCTCGAGAGTTGGCCATGGTTGCCTAAAATCATAATTAGCCAACTGACAGCCCTGCAGATGAAATGTGATCAATACTTACAATGATCCGCGCCCGCTTAGGTGCGTGTGGGTCATTATATATGCCTCTTTCCGCTGCCTGGAGGCTGTTCTTTCCGCACCACCAGTTCGCATACGAGATGAAAAACAACTTCTCCTTCGAAAAGTCAAGCAGACCTGGAAGATTGGCATCGTCGGTGCCACGCTTCTGCCATGCATGGTAGGAAGCACTCAGACCGCCAGCATCGGCAAGATTCTCACCCAGTGTCAGTCGTCCATTGACATGAAGGACCTTACCACCTGGACCTTCCACTGTGATTTTGGAGTATTGGTCGACAAAGCACTGTGCACGCTCTTCAAAGGCATCGACAGTCTTGGAGTCCCACCAGTTGGTAAAGTTTCCGACTGAGACCACAGTTAGATGGGTGAATCAATCAAGCGGGGCAACTAAACACATACCTTCGTCATAATGGCGGCCGGTTGAGTCAAATGCTGGAAAGTTCTTAGTAAATACTCGCCGCGTAGTCATATCGAATTCCCATATGTAATTCACTTACCGTGTGACAGCTCATGCCCAGCAACGGCACCAAATGCACCATAGGCCAGATATAATGGGGCCGTAGGTCCATAAAACGTTGGAGGTTGCATGATCCCGGCAGGGAAGACGATCTCATTGCCCGGAGGATTATAGTAGGCATTAACTGTAGGGGCAGTCATATCCCATTCATCGCGGTCCGTGGGCTTTCCTAGCTTTGACCACTCGTTGCGAAGATCAAACTTGGCCACATTGAGTTCATTCTCAAAGAAAGTGCCGTTAGACACCTTCAGATCCTGATAATACTTCTCTACATCCTTTGCGTCGAGGACATTAGGGCTGTTGGTCGGATACCCGATCTTTTGGACAATGTTGGCCACTTTCTGTATAGCCAGCTTTCGAACATCTGGCGACATCCACTCAGTTTGGTCAAGCGTAAAAATGAAACGTTCCTTGATATCAGACACGATCTGATCTCCGAGCTGCTTGGATTCCTCGGAGAAAGAATCCAACACGTAGAACCGACTCAGACTCCAGCCTTGACCACCATCTAGCAAATTAATGCACGTGCGCCAGCGCTCTTCCTTCGCTTGAGGATCCTTACCTCCAAGCTCATTTTCGAATTGGCGAAGGGGTTCAACTGTCTTATCCTCAATGGTGTCTGAGTACCGCTGAATCAACTTCCACTGCAGGAAGAAAGACACCGTCTCACGAGAGGTATTCTTCAAAATGTCCGACAATGCTTTCATGTACGAAGGTGATGCGACAATCAGACGGTCGCCTTTAAAGTCATGCGGCGCTAATTCAGAGATAATATCGGTAAAAGAAATCTCTGGAAGCAGCGACTCAGTCTCCTTAATGCTGAATGGGTTATAGTATTTCGTGACGTCCTCTGAAGTTTCTGTATCTGGAGACGCATCTGCAAGCTTTTTCTCAAATGCTACAACGTCCTCAGCGATTCTATCGTAATGGCTAACATCGAATCCTTGGAATATCTGCTTCAAGACTGCAGTGTACTTGGCAACAGTCTCTGTATTGTTGTAATACTCTCGTGCCGGCAGTCCGATGCCTCCAGGTGGCGAAACAAAGATGGCAACATTGTCAGGGTCTCTATCATCAGCCTAATACTGTCAGGTGTGATCCATGTATAGCTAATATTAGGAAGTTTCGGGTGTACTTACCGAAACTCCTGGGGAAACCAATGCTTCGACACCAGATTTTATGAGATAAAGGATTGCACTGGTAAGATGGTCAAGAGTTCCTGAAACAATACCTTTCTCGGCAGGGTATACCTTCTTCAGTTCCGCCAAAATATGAACCAAGGGCTCGCTGCCGCGTTGCCTAATAGTGAACTCGTCCAAGCAAGCATCGTATGCATCTTTGAGCTTCTTGAAGTTCTCGGTATCAGACTGCTCAGAAGGCTCTGAGCGCTCGACAATGTGACGTAGACGAGTTTGGGAGTTCTCTTCCATGATAGTGCCAGCAAATATCGATCCTATAATAAATTTAGCCTTAGATTAGGAGTTGCTTTTGGGACGATCACGGGTTAACGAACCTTGATCAGATCGCATATCGTGAATCTCTCTCCAGCCACCGCAAACATACTGGTCGAAATCGGTGCAAGGATCAATACTCTTATAGTTTGGATCTAAGTTGTACAGAATTTCGGACGCAGCGTGGATACATTCTGGCGTCTGGCAGACTGCAGGCGCCACCTCTGGTTCCGGGAGTGGGGGCCGTGGTGCTGGAGTAACAACCTCAATCAGTATGAATATCGACTAAGGATAGGATCTTGGAAATGAATACATACTCCTAGTCAATCTTATCAAGATATAGATCAGGAAGTAGAAGGCGCCAATTTTAGCCAAGGTGTTCCATAGTTGGGCTCTTTTTTTACAGGGGCCTTTTTTCAAATTGCCTTCGAAATCATCATTACTGAGAAGGCTCTGTTTCTGTTCGGTCTCGTATTTATCTGGACAGATAAAACCCCGGTCATCACTAGAGGACTGTTAGTAGAGCTTTCCCGTAGATAGTTACATCATAACACTGACCTGGGTAGTGGCTGAACCATATTGCGCGAATGGCAAATGACAGCAGTATAAAGCCACTGGACAGCTCAGGTCTAAGTACAAGCATAGAATGAATAGCACAATTGAATTGTAATAGTTCTGCGCCTTGAGAACGAAGCACTAAACCTCTCGGGGTCTTCTGACCTCGGGAAGCTGGGGAAAGACGTCACATGTCCTTGGATGAGTCAGCGATCGTCGTCAATCTCACACAGCGAGCTATTCATCTGAATTTTGAATTTTTGTTACAACTAGCATGCCCGTGGTAAACCCATAGATACGAGATGCGGCGGACTTAGGATGAGAATCACCGAACTGTCAAGTGCTGTTCGGTGCACAGCCTCGTACATTTGTAGAACAATGTAGGAAGGATAGGTATGTAAGTGGAATGATTTGAAGTAAGACTAACTCTTGAAAGGTTATTTACCTACAACTCCGTAGCTTGGAACTTTGAGTGGATTATTGTTGGATGGATTGATAATCAACGAGATCTTCCAAACTCGGATGTTCTAAAGAGGGGTGTACGGCACAGCTTCTCCATCGTCGTGTTTCAGCACTCCATAGCCTTCGAAGTCATCTCCGAGCCTTTTTTCACATACTCCACACGCCTTACAAGGAATCGACTCAATTGAGAAGAATTATCCTAATGTTTCGTAGTCACGCCGTACGTACAAAGTAGTAGACCGAAAACGTTAGAATACTCCACTCGCCAGATTGGGTTTAGTGCTAAAATAGAGATACCAACTGGCTAGGCCCCCAGGCTGTATGGATTAATACAATCGTGTTAGTGAGCAAGGGATTAATTATGCCATCTCCAATTGATACAAACAACGTCAATCGATCACAGTAGGTTTCAGCCTGCAGCTCGTGGGCCCGAGTAAGTGATACTGCACAATCACAGCAAGTCTTCAGTATACTCTTCGTACTCCTAAATGAAGTTGTCAAAACTGAACTGATTCTCTAATTCCCTTTCTGTCGGAATAATTTTCCCTGTCTGTAAATATTCCTTAATTTCCAAACAGAGCCAGTGTCCTGAGATAATAAGGAGTAAAAACTGGTTATCACAAAGTATCATAGCTGCTTTGAAAGCCTGGTACACAACTTCCGGCTTCTCTAGGAGATCAACTACATCGCACTGGCAGAATTCAATGAGGAAAATTTCAATAACTCGATGTTGTAAGCAGTAAAATACGAGTATGTTAACTTTTTCACTCTGTGCTGAATGTTGGTGGGGCAATTTGACAGCTGGACTCATCCAAAATGGGAAATCGTGGCGGGATTGAGACATATCAGATGTACTAATGTAAAAGTCAGGCATAATAATACGAAAGGTCAACGTCCATGCCCTGTGCTTATTTTTTCTCGCATCAGAAATCATCTGGCTACTGGAATGAAGGCATCATGGATAGAACATATATGTGCTTTCTTTGGAAATATTATACCACGGGTTGTCACTTGCCCAGTGCTCAATTTCTATTCGAGACTGCGGAAGACAGGGGAATACCTTCTCTATGCTACTGTAAACATAGCATAATATCTTGTATAACTATAATAGGTTCAAATGAGATATTGAGTTTACGCCCGATGCAGGAAGTATGAGCTAGTACTATCTTCCAAGTCGTGAGGTGTGTAGCTTCAAACAAAGTTCCGAGCTGAGAATGATATCCATACCTATGTAGGGTTCATGCACGAAATCAAGTAGAGGACACAGACCACAGCATAAGTAGGCAACTGCAAGGGTGAACCTTGCTGGAAATGGACAAGCCCTGAAAGTTATGTAGAAAAAGCGAACTAAACACAATGCAATGATTTCCATTGCATAGTATTTTTTTTTTTTTGTTTGCGGAACTCCCTGAAGAGTGGGATCTGCTGTCAAACTGGTGATCATCAATGCATAAATTACGTACTAAGTTGCACCGGGCAATAAAGCCGTAATGATCCGCTGGTTTTCACTAGCTCAACGTGACGGGGACGGAGATGGAATTATTTTGAGTTAGGTACTCCGCCATCTGCCAATATAGTAGATGCAATTTCAAATGTTGGTTATGATTATTCCGAGATTAGAGAAAGGCTGGTCAGGATTCCAGTGTTGGCACATCAATTGAACTGGTATAAGACTTACCTAAAAAAAAAAAAGTACCTAGGTAGACCCTGTAGATTTACATACTTTTTATTTTGTCGGCCGTGGAGATTCCAGTGAGAGTGAGATCAGGAGATAGGTAAGTACTAGTTATTATATAACGGGTACTGCCGAACCAGCTCCAAAGGATGGATCAATTTTGGGACCGGGACCACATGGCCGCTAAGCTAGCTAGAAACTAAGCGAAAGGGGGGTCAATGGAATCTCGATTCAGTGATTGGGAGTGATCGAGGATACAGTTCAGTTGTGCGGCACAGCATAATGTTTAAAATACGCCACGTTGCGTGGAACGACTTGCTACTGTCAAAAGTACCTATGTCAAGGGCAAAATGGATCTGAATGCATGAAGATGTATATGTACGGAACCTTGGAAATGACCAGGAGGATTACACTGCAGCCTTGGAATAAGAAGTACGGAGAATCCATATTAAACTAAATTATAAAGAGTCTAGGGACTAGTATAAGTGGACCGGGATAGAATTCCGCCGACGTTTCGGGTTTTTCCATCTTGATGGCACCATTGCTAGGGTATAATGTTTAGTATTTTTGTCCCAGAGTTGAGTATGACTCGTGTATCTCCTAGTAGCTTCACTATATGCATTGAACAATTCCATGGTACCTTTAAAGAAAATAGTGGAGTTAAGAAGTTAGGAGCTCTAAAAGTGGAAGGGAAGAAAACTGATTATAAACAATGTAAAGCCCACCATTTGAAACTAAGAATGATTCCGACCTTTGATCATTGTCCAAGCTCGGGTATCAGCTGGACAACTCAGGCCCAATCAATGGCCCCATTTGGTGGATCGGCGTGAAAAGCCCTGGTATTAGAGTACTACTCTATATGAAAGGAAGGGGCCGAAATACCACTCCCTAACGAGAGTACTTTTATAGTACGTATATTGCTACCTAGGTATAAATCAAAGGATGAATAGTCAAGTTTGTGACAAATATGGAATGGAAGATGTAAATACAAAAAATATTAGAAAATGTGGAAATATAAAATAGAAAATATAAATTATAAATTATATAATATCAAAATATCAAAATATCAAGATATTTAAGGAATTCAGTATGCCGATCATCGGAAGTGAACCTTGGGAAGGTACGGAGTAAACCCCCATCGAACGCAAGAGTCTAGCCTAATTCTACTACTCCGTATCCTCCGCTTGTGGACTCGACTCTTTCTTGTGGGACGGCAGAGATGTGCTGCCGATAATATACACCTTTACTTCTTTTGCCCCTTCCTTTTTCATTCTTAATATCCCCCTAACGGCTTTTTTCCAAAAATACCTTTGATCTTCAATTCTCTTTTCGTCATTATTGTTCCCGTATTCCCCTCTTTCCCTCTTTCTTTCTCTTTGGGAAAGCTATAGGTTCTGGAAACCTTGCTCGTATAAGTCTAAATCTACATTGAAGTGTCCGATCTCCGGGAAACCCTCCGCCTAAAGTCTGGAACTCCCGGTATCGACATCTGCCACACGGTCTCGGCTACCAACATCTTCCTCCCCCCCCCCCTTCGACCTTCGAGTTGCTTCGTCCAAAGCGCATTACCTGCCACAGTATCTGGTCGTCCTTGTCTCGGAGGATAACCTAGTCCAATTGGGAACGCAACCGAATTACCAACGGACCGTAGCAGATCCTGCGGGGAAAGAACCGATCGAATCTCCTCCGCACGGCAACATCTCAGATACGACATCTCATTCGCCCGCGAGGTATATAAAGCTGAATAAGGGGCCGGTCTGTTTGGTAGGTCAACACCTATCATGTTTGCTCGGGGCAAATCATGCCGGATTCGAGTTCGCTTGACTCTCGAGGGTCTCGGTCTCGGGCGGGAGAGTGGCGCATTGCTCTGCGACATGCCTGGTTCAGGTCATATCTCTAGTGCGCCTGGATTTGCTCCGAGTTGAACCTTGGAAGTCGCAACAAGGTCTTTTGCTAACTTAATCACTTTTACTCCAGATATACATTTCCTTGCTTCTGCTTTCGTCCCTATATCATGGGTTGCGTAGGCTCAAAACCTGCCGAGGAGGACAAGGAGGCGCTCCAGCGGAATGCTCGCATCGATCGATCCATTAAAAGTGACAAGAAGAATATGGACCGGACGATCAAGATTCTGCTACTAGGTAAGTCGCCTTCGGAGCATTGCTGTAATCTTTTATTCTAAACTTTAATAGGAGCCGGAGAGTCTGGAAAGTCCACTATCATCAAGCAAATGCGCATCATTCACAGTGGTGGATTTCCCGACGAAGAACGCCATCAAACACGCGCTGTCATCTACTCCAACACTGTCATTGCCTTCAAGGTTTTGCTAGACATCATGAATGCCGAGAACATTGAATTTGAGCGCGAAGATTCACGGGTAATTTCCTTTCATGCCAAATATGTAGTTCATGACTGACGTTTTAAAAGATCGCAAGCACAATATTAGACAATGAGGATCCCGATGTTGGGTCGGATGAGGCATTTTCGAATCTGAAGATCCGCGATGCGATGCACACTATGTGGCTTGATCCAGGCGTACAAAAGGCTGTCGTGCGCGGCCATGAGTTTGCCCTACATGATAATCTCAGCTAGTGAGTTGATCTTCTCTGCTTAGAATTTTCAAACTGCTCACAACCTTCAGCTTCTATGAGTCCTTGGAGCGTATCTTCTCTCCCGGCTGGCTACCTGATAATCAGGACATGCTGCAGGCTCGTCTCCGAACAACAGGTATTACGGAGACACTGTTTGAGCTTGGTCAGATGAACTTCCGGATGATGGACGTCGGTGGACAGCGATCAGAACGGAAGAAGTGGATCCATTGCTTTGAGGGAGTGCAATGTTTATTGTTCATGGTTGCCCTATCTGGCTACGATCAGTGCCTTGTAGAAGACCAGAATGCGGTGAGTACACAGACTTCGCATGCCACTTGATTGACAACATACTGATCCGATGCGCTCCACAGAACCAAATGCACGAAGCTATGATGTTGTTTGAGTCTCTCGTCAACGGCGAGTGGTTCAAGCGTAAGCCTATCATCCTTTTCCTGAACAAAATCGATCTCTTCAAAGGAAAACTCGCCATATCAACCATCTCCAACCATTTCCCAGACTACACAGGGTCAAACACAGACTTTGATGCCGCAGCACGATATTTCGCCGATCGCTTCCGTGGCATCAACCGGATTCCAGACCGTGAAATCTACATCCACTACACCAATGCAACGGATACAACGTTGTTGAAGGCTACCATGGACTCGGTACAAGACATGATTATTCAGAAGAATCTTCATACCTTGATACTATAAGGTAGAGACGATTTTCCTTACTTTACGAAATCCCCACTGTTGGCCTTTATTTGATGACCGTCTTCCTTTTCCACGACGTTTACTTCTCACTTTCTTTCAAGCTTGTCTAGCCTTCTTTTCCCTCTTGTTGCATTACCCGGTGGCTTCCCTTTCGTCTGTCTCCTGCAAAGATCTTATCTCTTCTTTACATTCACTTCCATATTCTTCACGAGGCATCTTGTTAGAGGAGCCGTTGGCTCTTTGCTGCATTCAAAAGCCCGTTATTAACGCCACTCTTCGGTCTCGGCGTTACTTTGTTGTTATCTTTACTTTGTTTTGTTTTTGATATTGCAGGATGATACCACTTTTGTTCAATGTTTTCTCCACGCTCCATACTTGTTGTACCTCATGACTGTGCCTTTGTATAATCAAAACTGTCTATATTCGACAATCTTAATCCGCTTGAATTAGATCGAAACCAAATATAATCCCTATCCCTATCAATGTAATTGTAACAAATGGAGCTCCTTGCTATCCCCACTTTCAATTAAATCGACTTTCAAGTGTGGAACATGATTCGGATGATAAGTCACTTGACAGGTTTCAGCCGCTTATATTGACACCTGAGGCATATAATTATGTAATAACCCGCATGATCAGAGACGCCGAGTTCCGACCCGACGATTTCGCCTTCGGTTCAAAGACTCACCCTAACCGTCTTCCCAGCTCTTGGGTCTTGTCAATCATGTTGTCAACATCTTTGCGCCGGGCCGCATGGGTGCCTCTATCTGGCGTCCAGCATGTCCCTTCTACTGGTTTTCTCACCACGGCTCGTCATATACACCAGCGCCGATACTCCTCATCCTCCAAGCCTCCGTTCCCTCCCAGCGATGGCCCTCGCCGGATAGATGCTACTCCGACGAAGGGAGTGAACTCCTCCAGTAGCAAAGCTACACGCCGCCGAGGTAAGGATAGCGCTACCCGCAACGCTTCGTCGAAGTCTAGCCAGCATGCGGCATTTTCCAAGCTGCCGAGCGTGCCCTCGACACAGCACCGACAACCGCATGGTCAGTTTTCTGAGCTGCTACTTCCTTATTCCATAGTGTATTCGCAATTACTAACTACCTACTCCTATCAGACGTGCATGTTGCCTCATTCTTCTCCATTCACCGCCCGATCTCCGTAACCACCACGGTTCCCCCAACCTCGACCTTCGAAGCCTTTGATGCCATCTTCTCCTCAAAGAAGATTCTGAAGAATGAGCCCGAGGATGTCATCTTCACTCTGTCATCAACTGTCCAGTCTATGGAGAACAACGCCATGTCTGAGTCAGAAGACCAGTTCGGCCAGATCCACCGAAGCTTCAGCGAAGCTGACGGGGAACTGCGCATGCTCGACGGACCAGAGCGCATGTCTGTAGAGGATTACGTTCGTACTCTCCGACCATTCCACCCTCCCCCGCCTCCAACCCCCATGGATATGTCCGCCGAGACCGAAGCCATGGAATCGCAAGAAGCCGAGACCAGCTACTCGACCGTTCTGACGATTCGGGAATCCCGCAACGCCGATGGTAGCAAGAGCTACGAGGCACACACGGGTCCCTTCGTTCGCGACGAGATCGAGGCTCCGGGCATGCACGATGAGATGACCATCGACATGCCCTCAACATCGGGCATGACCTATGTCGAGCGCCTGCGCAACAACCGTACCATGCACGCTATTAGCACCAAGCGGCGGCGCAAGGCTAAGATGAAGAAGCACAAGTTCAAGAAGCTGATGCGGAGAACGCGTACTCTTAGACGGAAGCTCGATAAGACTTAAGTTTAGAGGTTCTTTTTTTTTTTGCTTATTCCTTGTTCGGTTTTCGTCGGATGCATCTTTGGCCTGTCTGCACCTTTCTGAGTAGGGAATAGCGTCTTGGTTTCAGGGCACTTATATTCCTTGCTAGATCGTAAGCTGCAACTCTTATCTCCATCATACTTCTCTCCTAAACTATCAAATATCCAATCATCTACATTAACATCTTTTCTCTGATATCATTGCTTGCATACATCATGACCCCGGAAATTCATCAATGTAGCAATCCTGTTTCCTGTAGACTCCCTAATAGGATGAACCTGGTTCATCAGAGCGTTCGCCCGCAATAGTAAGTCGTAAGTCGAAAATCCATTCTGTTTTACCTCGGAAGAATTTTGATTCTTGTGGATATAAGAGCCCAATTGACAAAATTCGATACAATACGTATGACGAAAGCAAGAATAATTCACAAATCGGGGTTACCATATCGTACCAAATACAAAAGCCCGACAAAACAAAAAAATAAAAGGACAAAAATAGGCAAAAACCGAGAGGAAGAAATACACGCAAGAATCGATCAAACTGACAATGAAACAGTCCAGTTCTCACTGATAATGCGAGATCCATAAAGTACAGTATCCAGCACACGTTCATGCAATATAAGCCAGTCCCATATCTCCTCACACCCAGTCGACCAGGGTCGAGTTCGAAATGAAAACGTGGTTCCTGATTCTACATACCATAAAAAACAAGAAAGATTCCTTTCACAAGTCAAATAAATTTATCTTATCCGAAATATTTTCGTTTCTTTGCACACACTCGTCCTCTCAACGAGACATAATGGGACTGAAGTTGATATGTCAAATATAAGAGGTCGCAACAAAAAAGCACGTCGAACCGCGGGTTTGTACGAAAACACCGCAGTGCCCGAGAGTCGATGGAGATGGCCGACCCTCGGATGCAACGAGATGCATTTTGTCTAGCAAGAGGCTTTAGAGCGGGAGTTCATGAGAAGAGCGACAATCAATCCGTAAAGACCTATTCGAGGGAATTGATTAGAACAAAATTTCCTGGGGTGTAAAATAAGACTCGACTCACCCAAGACTTCAGCGAAAATGAGAATCAAAATCATTCCGACGTAGAGACGAGGTTGCTGAGCAGTTCCACGAACACCAGCGTCGCCGACAATACCAATAGCAAAACTGTACCAAGTATAAATGTCAGTGGCAAACATCATATGGGTTTCGGAAACTTAGGAATCAAACGTACCCAGCAGCCAGACCAGCCAGACCGACAGAGAGACCGGCACCCAACTGAATGAAACCAGTGTACAGGGGCAGTGCCTGCTTCAGGTCGTTGGCGACCAAGACCGACACGACAAGACCGTAGATACCAATGATACCAGCCATGACAATGGGGACAATGTCTGCGAGTCTAGATTAGCAAACCGCGACCGGGAAAAAGCGGGGACCACATTCAGTAGTGGTCGTTAGGCCTTGAAGCTTCACATACTCTTAACGATCAGGTCGGGGCGGAGGACAGCCATGCTGCAAACTCCGACACCAGCCTTAGCGGTACCATAGGCAGCTCCGAAGCAGGTAAAAACAATAGCGGACGTGCAGCCCAGCGCACCAAAGAAGGGCTAAAGAATAAATATCAGCTTTCCGATCGATGTAGTTTGAAGGATGATATGGCGGTTGAAATGGCAGGAGATAACCTCATGAGACGGCAATCTCGGGAATGGGACTAACCGCATAGACGGGGCTATTAAGAATATTAGATTAGTAAAGCAATTATTTAAACGATCTGACAAGCTCATGAGATTGAAGCTGTTGGATTGGCGATTCATAGCTGTCAAGCACCCAGGGGGGCTGAGGCACGAAGACGACAACTTACCAGAGTTCTGTCGCCATTTTTGATGTTAAATGACTCGATTGGTCTCTCAAGAGAACTTTAGAGCTTGAAATGGATGAAATAAGACCCGAGGAGTGCAGGATCTGGCCGATGATGGGGAAGATGCGGTCGGAAAGGATGGAGAGAGGTTGGCGACTCAACCACGCTAGTGCTATGGTCACGTGAATCTTGGCACCTCGATTTCACCCTTCTACATGTCAACCTTGGAAATTGATTTGTACTCATGAATGAATACCTCCAAAGTTCGACAAGACGTTACACCTTACGCACAGAAAATATGGCAGAAAATATTGAAATTATGTCGAAGACCCGATATCAATGGTAAGATCAATGCTCATTCGGGTAGCTGCCAGCGATCAGTTATCGCCCATTCATTCATCAATTTTAAAGATTCATTGGCTTTCACCATTGATCACCCAGCTAGCTACTTAGGTAGGTATAGATCTATAACTGAATATGATTATTAGAGATAATCGCGGCCTTGGAAGCAATAGTACACTTAGTATTGTTAACAAGTACGAACATTGAAGCTAAAATATGTCCTATATATTGATATCCTGATGTACTTCAGGGTAGAATCTCGAAGACCTTCGCTGTGTACCTCGACTACCTGTCAGAATCCCCCCACCAGCAGCCTCTTTCCTTCTAGAGTCAAAGTGGCTCCGGACTTTGTTTTGACGGGGCTTGGATTGGATCGAGCAGCCATAACTCGATCAGCTTCAGCAAGTGCAAGGTGGAAAGCTACCAGCAGAGCATATTTATCTTCCATTCCAACTGAAACTCGAACAATAGATTCATGAAGCCCACAATTACCAGCCCACTCTATCTGGTTGTGGAAGACAGTTTGAACATATGGCTGGGCAAGCGTGACCGGGGCTCCCAGTGATGGTCCCTTGTGAACATTCAAACAGTTGAAGAAGACTTTCGCGAGCTCTACATCTTCAAATTGCATGGTGAAGAGGCCTCCATATCCTGGTTTGAAGTATTTAGTCTCTTTACGCATTTGAGCTCGATAATTCTCTGGACGTGGATCCAGTTCGGGGTGGTAGAGCTTTGTGAGGACGCATGTTGAGTCATTGACCAGTGGCTTCAGAGATCGCATAATATAGCTAGCTGTGTCGTTGATTCGTGCTGTGCGATCTAAAAAATCTCGACTGTTCATTTCTAGCTTGATTGCGTCCGCGCTGAAAAGATGGTTTTGATAACTCTTCTCGATGATTCTTTTCAAGTCCGAATAAAAGGGCGAGGCAGGGTTCAAAACCAAACTATTGAAATCAGGTCAGCGAGGGTTCTTTGGACCTGCAATTATGGTCTTTATTCCTACCTTCCAGCCATAACATCAGCTTTACCACTGAAGCTCTTCGTCAACGAGGTCACGAGGATATCCGCAACGCCGAGAAGATCGACGTTCGCAAACCCGCCAACCGTATCATCAACCACTACTGCAGCGCCGTATTGATCCGCCAATTTACGGATGTGGCGCAGATTTGGTGTTCGGAGAAGTGGATTAGATGGACACTCGCACCAAATAGCCTGAACAGGAGATCCAACACGGGCCTGTTCTACCAGATGTTCCTCCAGCTGATCAAGATCGCTCTCCTTGCCAAACGGAAGAAAGCAAACTGACCGGCTGTAAGTCTCGATCAATTTGAGCGTCAAGTCATATGGAACCCCAAATACAACAGATTGAGTATCGCGCCACTTAGATAGCAGCTGCTGTGCTTGGTAAATGGCTGTCATCCCCGTGGGATATAAGTACACATCATTTGGGGAAACGAGCTCTCTCTGACGGGCACACGCTGGAGCTCTCTCAAGTAAAGTCGCAATGCGCTGGCATAGTTTACGATGAGGAAATCCACTCATCCGTCTTTGAATAAGTGGGTGCAGCGTGTCAGGCTTCCCAGTTACGTCGGAAATAGAGCGCATGTAATCCATGCAATGTTGAGCTAAACGGGATGAGATACCGGCTCCGACTAGTCTCCAGAACTCTTTCACTGGCTTTGTAATATCCGCTGGACAAAATACAGCATGGAGCATCATGAGATCAGGTTGATCTTTGCCAGATGCCTCGAGCTCTATTTTGAGGGATCGGATGGAAAGAAGATGGTCTGCTATCGCATCTTCCTGGTGAATAGCAGACGAGGTCGCAAACTGTACACATCCATTCGCATAATCAATTGAGGGGAATAGAAAGCAGGCTGCCGAGTCGTTGGCAAATTCGTCGATGCAGACTTGATGCAGCTAGCAGTGGTTAGATTGGACTTCTCTGAGTGCCAGCGGACCTTACCTTCTTCACATCTTCATGGATGAATGATCTTGGATACCCTGCCATTTGAACATCTTGCATTCTTTTGGCTCCTGTGAATATTTCTTTAATGTCATCCCAAGTGGGTAGCTGAACCGAGACGGCATGATGCGAGCTCGGAACAGGCTGTCCCAGGGCAGGGGGCTGTGGAAGAGAGACCATAGGGTCAAATTCTATATGCATGTTTTCTCAATAAAAGCAAGAGGATTGAATTACCGTTCAAGTGTGGAATTGATGATCATTTTATCTCTGCTAGGCCTCATACTACGCTCATGTCGGTCTAATTCGAATACCATCGCTTCAGTAATAAGATCGCCAGGATTCCGAAGATCTTTGTCTGAATACATGACTCTTGTACTGTTTGTTGCCTCTCGAATTCTTGGAAACGTATTGGGTCCTGGATGCAGGTCAATATCAGTTTGTAGATCATGCTCGGTGCACCCGGCTATTTCCGCATTCGGAAGGCCATCAACAGATATCAGATATGATCAACTAACAACTTTATTGTAGGGATTCTATTGAATGCTACCTATAAAACAGGAGCTGTATAGGTACATAACTAGGTAGCCCTGTATAGTTGTTTTAAAGTTGAAGTGAAGTCTATCAGGTGTATCTCTTGGAATTGCTTAACAGTCAGTTCCCGTCCCGAGGTCCCAACCTTGGAACCTTGGTATATTTCCGAATTTATGTGCAATCAATTTCGGGTACATGATTATAAATTATCCTGTCTTCCATGGGCCATGGCTTCCAATGTTGATTTCTTGTCAAGAGACGACTTTGCGACTAAGTTGGTACAATAGTGCAAAACACATTTGCCCACCCAAGTGACATTTTCAAATTGCAAACAGTCCATATATCTTCATAGACTTAAAACTTAAAAGTATCGAGTGTGTTCCAAGGTTGATTGTGCATGACTAAACAGTGACCCTAAATTGACTGAGCAATACCTCCGAGTAACGTAACTAGGCATCTCTGAAAGACAAATAACTTCCATGATCTAAAAATATACGTTTGTATTTCTGGCCCACTGACTCCGTGTAACTATGATCTGTTGTCCCAGGTGAGTTGTCGTTGAGATGACTGAGTAGGCTTAGTTCAAGGTAGTTGCGTCAGGGGCTTTTGATTTATCCTGCCGGTTCAGCCACTTTGCCTGCACACGAGTTGCGCCAGCTCAACCCGAGTGGAGTGCCACCTTCGCCAATGAGAAGATCGGGGCAGTGGTGGCTTGGCAAGTGGGGTTTCATAGGGCTGGAGCGTTGGGCGCGGCTTAGAATCGGTGACGATGTCAAGTCTCTTCCTTGCTTATCTATCCTGTTGGAGCCATCGCCGGATGTACACCTTGGTTACACAGGCTGATCAAAGCCAAGAGTTCCAGGCAACAGCCAAATCACTGCAAATTAGGCGAAATTGAAGGGATGAATCAAAATGAAGCACTGACTTGTAACGAGTAAAAATAAAAGCAAGGAAGCAGAACATAATAAAGCCACAGGAAAGAAGGCTAAGGCCAATCAGGGACGTGATCGACACATCAGCCACAGTTGATCAATGATGTCATATTTTTCCCCTTTTACCTTTAAGAAGAAAACTCACTCCACACTTCCGGCTTTTTACAATCTTCATTCTTCGTCCATCCCACTATTTTCGAAATCTGCCCAAAATGCCTCTTACTGCTTCGTAAGTTATCGATTCACCGCCCCGATACTTTATAACTATCCCATTGACTTTGTCACAACTGGGACGAGATGGAAACTGACTGGAATTTTATAGTGACATCTGCAAGGTCATCTTTGCCATCATCCTTCCCCCTCTGGGTGTCTTCCTAGAGCGTGGATGTGGTGCCGATATCTTGATCAACATCTGTTTGACCATCCTTGGTTGGTTGCCTGGTGTTATTCACGCCTTGTACGTTGACCATAAGCTCCTACCCCCTTGAAACTGCCCGCTAATCTTATTTTCTTCTCTAGCTACATCATATTCAAATATTAGACTTAAGTCTACGTCCCTCCAGCTTCTTTTACCCTGAGCCTCAACAAAGAATAAGCATCGCTATCAAGACCGTACTTCTTCCATTCCCGCCCGCTATCTCGTATGGAGAAGCAATTCTCGATGTGTTCTGAGCTCCGGGATCAATGAGATCCGGTTCTGGATTGGTCGAGCCTTACCCCGATGCGGCCCCACTTCTTGGCATCTACGAGATGTTAATAATATTCCTTAATATTGGCCCTTTTTGATGCTTATCATGCGTTTCTTTTGTTCTGCTCGATCTTGCAGGGGTTCCCTTGCTTTGATGTCTTTTTTGTTCCCAGATACCAGCTCATGGAATGATTCATGGGCGTGTTTTCGGCCGTGGTTAACTCTTAGCAACGATGACGGCAATGCAATATATTCAAATCCCAACTGATACTTCCAAAGCTCACGAAGTACAGTCTAGTTATTTGTAGGATACCGGGTAATCATAACGGAACCACTAAAATCTTTTATTATCTAGGTCGAGACTTTCTGCTGAGTGGGGAGTGGCTATATATAAAGTAATTCCACAATCAATCTACATTCCAGGGCTGCTTAATTCAAACTCAATAATCTAGATTGCACCTGGACTGACTACCTCGGCACAGAGTAACTCATGCAGGCGGGTTTCAAAGTCCTTTCAGAAGTCTTCTAAATACTTGGTAAGCCTCGTTATCTCGACATTAGTTAACTCTGCAAATTAAATAACCCTCATCTCGGCAAACAAGCAACATCGAAAAAATCAAGATTCAAGACAACATAACCAGATAGCCCGAGTGAAGAGTCCGATAATCGTGAAACACTCAGCTCCTTGACTGGAAATGCACTGCAGATGCAAGCGCTCACCTTTCGCCGGCGCGTACTGCAGGCGCGTACTGCAGGCGCTAGCTCCGCAGCCACCCAACCACATCACGGGATTAGCAAAGAAGGCGCTTTAATGCCTAGCCTATTCCTTTGCCTCATATGTACCTGGATTGAATATGTCATCTTGTTTCGTGATGGCGCTTACATGGGCAGCGCTCTGAAGGAAGCGTTTCAAGTCCGGGTGGAGCTCGATTTGTTTGGTCCGTAGAATAGATCGTAGTATACGGACGAAGCATTCGCGCCTAAACTTGCAATGCATTCAATGTTTCGTGTTCAGTTAAGGCTTGAGCCTTTCCCTTCTTCCATGGCTTATGTTGGAATGTTTTTGATTTCCTTTCATATACTCCTATCTCTTTATGCCCTTTCCCTCGTCCCAGGTTGAATCAGGGAATACATTGCTTTCGCCAGAATTATACTCGCGATTATCAATGATGATAACCTCATAGATCATATGGCTTCCAGGGTAATCATTCAGAGTCGCACCACAGAATGCGTCTCTTTTCAATCCATCGCATTCTCGCTACGGTCCTTCCGTTAGTCCTATGTCAAGCTAGCACGTCAGCCGCCTCCAGCAATGAAACAAGCTCTGCTCTGTGGGAAATGGTTCCAAAATGCGCCAGAATCTGTCTCGAAAACTTCATCAAGACCGAGTATTCGTCTGAGGAATGTACCGAGCAATCCAATATTAGGTGTCTATGTCGGACTAAATCGGCTGGTGGTCTTACCATTGGCGAGGCAGGGTTGAGCTGTGCATATGCTCTTTGCTCGACAGAGGTCTTCAAGAGCTCCGAGGTTTACAATATCTGTGAATCAGTCCCAGATGCTCTTGCGGAGACACATGCTACTATTACCGCTACGACATTTGCCGCTCCGTCATCTACTGCAACAGATACAATAATATCAAGTCCCAAAATAACATTAAAGACAACCTCGGCGACTACCGCGGAGTTGACGGCGACATCGACCTTTACATCGATACTAACAACACTTAGTAGTACTGTGGCGATTACTGTTTTCCACTCTACATCGACGGAAATGACGACGACAAGGTCTGAGGTGGTGTCCATAACTTCAAGCACTGAAACCTCATCGACATCTTCCATCACAGCGCTCACTACTTCAAATTCAAGTTCAAATTCTACTGCTTCAACGCAAAAGAAGCATGTTGTCAGCCCGGGCACAGTCATTGGGGTCTCCGTCACATCAGGTGTTGCAAGCTCCTTCTTGATAGGAGTTGCGGTATTTTACTGCTGCAAGAAATGGAAGAAGAAGAAGCAGTCAGATACGGAAAAGAATGACTTTGAAATTGGGGGGACCATGTCTGAGCCTCCCGGCTTCTCAGCGCCATCCTCGCGGCATGGATCACCAAGGCCAGGCCCAGGACCAGGCTCAGGTCTAGGCCTGTCTACATTAGAGGAAAATAACCTATCACGCACTTTCCATCTGCCATCGCAATACTCTCAAACACATGCTGCATTTTTAAGTTCTAAAAATCCACACACTTCAAGAGGAGAGGACAGAATAGGGTTTGCAATTACCTCGGAATCAGACGGAGAAGCCTCACCTCATACAGCCTCCTCGCAGCGTACTCTCTCACGCCTATTACCAACGGGACTTTATCCTAAACCACTGAAATGGAGCCATCGACCATCAAGTGGGGAAACGGTTTTTGAAGAGGATGAACTTCAATCAGGCCTAGAGAAGAAGCCGCGGGTGCCTCAAAAGTCAAGCCCTCTCAACCCAATGGCAGGATTACCAGCAAATCCTCGGGCTCTGAAGAATGGATTTCCAGCACAGAAGTACCAACGAGTCCAAAATCCGCAATCACCTCCCGGCCAAAGTCCTCGCGTTGCACCGGCTGGCCCGCGTAGTGCACCAAAACCAGGACTATCTTTTGCTGAGCGCGCACTTCAACCAACAAATCAAAATACCAGCAACCTTGCGCCCAATAACAGCACCATGTCATCACAACGAACATCTATCCGACTCCTCACCCCTCCGACATTCTATCCAGACCTAGAACCTCGTACAAATGATACCTCGCCCAAAAAACCGGGATCACCCAAGCCAATCCCACCTCCCAAGCCTATGAATTCCGGGAAAGTCATACCCCAGCCTCGTCTGATTCGTGGCGATGATATCAAGCGTGTTGAGATCAGAAAAAGCCCCCGTCCTCCGCCAAGCGAGGTTGTCGCTGCTTACAGCCCTGAAGACTTTTGGCTTCAACGGAGTCGTCCACTCCCGCCTACTCCAGATAATCTTCCCTATCCATCAGAGTCGTATCCAACGACTGTAATATACCCACCTACCCATGATCAACCGCCTCAAGGTGATAAAAAGAGAATCTCACCAACAAGTCGCAAAGTCACTCCTTCTCGACGAGGTGATGATTTGATATTGAGTGTGGATTAGATCGGTTCTTCTCCCCGATTACATACCGGGGAAACTTTCATTTGCACTTTCCTTTTCCCGGTTGCTGAAAGCAAGGCCATTCTTGTAAATAATCGTTAGTACTTTTGATGTATAAAGTGATCCCCATGCTCTCTGGCTTTGGATGAACCATGATTTTCCAATGGTAGATAAATTTCAATAAATATTTTTACTATTGTCTTTGCTCTAGTGCGAACCACGAAACTCTTTTTTTTTTTAAAAAAAAAAAATTGGAATACAAATTTACAAGATACTAGCTAATCTCAGGATTGTGGTCGGAACGTCTCCGTAGCACAGCCACTCACATGAAGGGAAAAAGAACGATCATCAGGTTACGCACTGTATGACAACATTAAACAAGTCTTCAAATAAGAATTCCTGCTCCGTTGAATTCAATTCAACAAGTCGCCACCTGCATGTATTGTCTAATCCATTCTCTTTGCTCTAGGTATATTGACAGGGGCTGTAAGTATGACAACTCACTACTACGGATGATAGAAGCCGATGTGAAAGCGGGAATGCACGCTCAAGTGCGTATCCACCACTCTATTTCGACATCATGAACATATATTGTACTTTTGTTCCAGGCTGCCAAGGTTCGGATGGAATAGTCAGGGTGGTTCCAAGGTTCGGATAATAAACTTGTCGCCTAAGTTTCCTCATACCCTCCATTCCAAGGTGTGGACGTATGACGCACAGACCCACCGTGATATTGTCCGGTTCCTGAGGCTGAGGTTATTCCCATTCTATATTGAAACGACTATGGTCATGACGTCACTGGTATTGTAACAATTCTGTATATGTACTACCCTCCTAAGGTATGAACTTGCTAGGTAGGTAGTATTGGTCGAGGTAGGGTAGGTAATCAAGTAATCCTCCTAATATCCAATCAAAAAGACGAATATCAAGTGTGGTGGGAAGCGCTCTGATATCAATTATCCGACGTCATATCAGAAACAAGTAGAGATAGACTTTGACCGGTTTCATCAGTTCTTGATCAGACCGGATTTGATGATATTAGTATGATGTTTGCGATTATCTAAGGTTCAATTACGACCTCGGTTTCCACTCTCAGTCCTCTTCCACATGGGATTGAAACTATGATTGATCAATCAGATTGAACGGACTTGGGGCATGGCTCGTATCGCCAAGGCCATACCGTTGTGGATCAGGCCATTTCTCTCTGTGTGGCTGATTTAGAGAAATAGTGATTGGAGGTGATGACGAAGCCACTTACAGGAGTCAGAGTATGGGATGGCTGCAGATCTGGGTCTAGATACTGTAGGCCTGATACTCTTCCATAATTACCTATAGTAGTATATTAATCACCCTATTCCCCTCCTTTCCCCTCAATGATCAATGATACCCAAGTATAAATCAATTATTTTAATACCTTGACTCCACACTCTCTTGTACCACAGAAGAGCCTATCTCCACGACCCACTTTTCCAACACGCTTTATATCATTCAATATGGTCAACACCACTGATTTCGAGGCCCAAAGAGTTCGCCGACTTTCCAGTATACATGCAGAACGAGATCTTCTTGGAGATATCCACACCATCACTCCCCCAACACACATATCATTAAAGGCCCCAAGTCGCCTTGATCTCGGTATCCCTTCTCCATTGCAAATGCCAAACCTTGAAGACGACACGGCGGTCTCTTCATCAGAGGAGGATTCTCTCCTGACCCGATCCCCTCTCTCTACACCGACTACCCCACCCATAGTCACCAGCGATGATTTTGCGATAGCTTTTGATATCGATGGCGTCCTTCTTCGTGGTGGCAATGTCATCCCAGAGGCTATCGATGCCATGAAGTATATCAATGGAGAAAATCAATACGGAATCAAAGTGTGAGTTTCCTCTTTTTCCTGAGCCTAGTTCATCGAAGAAAATATGTTCTAATTATTTTTCTCAACAGTCCTTACATCTTTTTAACCAACGGCGGTGGAAAGACTGAAAAAGAAAGATGTCTCGATCTCAGCCGCCAACTTAACATCGAAGTTTGCGAAGGCCAATTTATCTGTGGTCACACACCTATGCGAGAAATGGCCCAAAAATACCACACCGTGCTAGTCGTTGGTGGTGTAGGCGAGCAGTGCCGTCTGGTCGCCGAAAAATACGGTTTCAAGGATGTTATCACGCCTGGTGATATTATTAAGGTAAGTTATAATTATCCATCAACTTTGCACTTTTCCATATTCATACGTTAACTATCTCCTGATTAGACCAAACATGATACAACACCATTCCGGAAGTTGACCGAAGAGGAGCACAACAACTCACGAACACTGGACCTGGATTCAACAACAATCGAAGCAATATTCGTCTTTGCCGATAGTCGCGACTGGGCAGGCGACCAGCAGATTATTCTAGATGTCCTACTGTCCCAAGGAGGCCAGCTAAACAAAAGATCAGAGACCTTTAACGAAGGCCCACCACTATACTTCTCCCACAACGACGTGGTCTGGGCAACATCTCACGACCACTCACGTCTAGGTATGGGAGCTCTCCGAGCCTCGGTTGAAGCTCTCTATCAAGCCATCACCGGCAAAGAGTTGAACACAATCGCCTTCGGTAAGCCGCAGATGGGCACTTTTGATTTTGCAACGAGGCTCTTGCAGCAATGGCGCAGTGATTCCCACGGCATCGACAAACCCCCTGGAACAGTCTACTTTGTTGGTGACACGCCTGAGTCGGATGTCCGTGGTACCAATGAATACAACAAGATATCGGATAATGAGTGGTACTCTATCCTTGTCAAGACTGGTGTATGGCAAGAGGGCACTTCTCCCCGCTTTCCTCCTAAGAAGATTTGCAACAATGTCTTTGACGCTGTCAGGTTTGCGACTGAGCGTGAGTTGCAGAAGGCAATCAATAATGGTTCCCCTTTAGCTGCTGTTAAGGGTAGTGCGATACAAAACTGAACCGGGCGACTTGCTTTGGATAGTTGATATATAAACACCACATCAAATGCTTATCCCTTCTCAACCTTGGAAGTTCAATCTTCAATTCTTAATTGACTAATGTTCCAAATCTTCCGAAGTTGTACATAGCTACCTAGGTACGAGGTATTGTATAAGCGAATTTGATTTCCTTACCTACTCGGTGGACCTACTTAGGTGAGCATGATGTGACGATATTCGCTGTAAACTTTGAAGTCCCTATGTAGGTAGACTATATAAAGACCTTTCGATACCAAACTGTAGACTATATCTTCCTTTCTTCAATTCTTCAGCGCAATGAACCACCATTTCGACCACCTCCCAGATCTCTGACCAGGTGTCTTGCCCAGGTGTCATTCTCTGCAGGTGGTCCCCGACTCGGTTGAAAACATTATTAATTAATTTTAAAACTTTTCAAGCCATGCCAAACTATACCGAATTATGCCTAGAAACCAAAGAATACTTATCTCGCCATCTACACGAGTTTGTGGCAGCCTGAGGTTCAAGGCACTTATCTGCGCCCTTAATTTGACAGACCCACCACAGATGACCCCAAGAATCATACTCGAGTCTTTCTTTCTCAGGGCCAATTTCGAGACTCTGAAATTGACCAAAGTTTTCCTCTCTATAAATGAAATGGTAGATCACAGCAACATCATGTGAAAGTCCTCGCTAACTGATAACAGGGCCCCACAGAAGCAGTTTACCTGCACGATAGCTCTTTAAGAACCCTGACAACAGAGATCGTTTCATATGAGCCCATCGCAGGACTCCCCGATGATGAAAAATTCTTAGCCAAAAATATATCCCCGGAAGATTTGGCTATTACAACGCGGCAAACCATTCTGTATCCGCAGGGTGGTGGACAGCCCAGTGATACCGGCACCATCGCCGTGGTAGATCAAGGTCAAGACCAAGAAACCACATTCACAGTGTCCCTAGTGCGCAAGACACCAGATGGACGGATAATCCATTTCGGCAAGCCCTGTAATGGATTGATCTTTGAGGAGGGCCAAAAGGTTATCCAACGAGTCGACGGTCCCAAGAGGGATTATCATTCCAGACTCCATACCGGAGGCCATATCCTTGGCGTGGCTATGGAGGCTCTCATGCCTGAGATGAAAGAGGTCAAAGCCAATCATACTCCTGGGGAGGCTTGTTTGGAGTATGAAGGATTAGTGTATAATGAGCATAAACCGCTTATACAGGCCAAGATCGATGAGCTTGTGCAGCAGGATTTGCCAATTCTTGTATCATGGTTGGAGGCGGGCTCAGATGTTGGTGAGCGTGCTAAGGCGGGCGATGGTCCTGTCAGAATTGTCAGTATTGGTGGGCTTGATCAGACTCCCTGTGGCGGGACCCATGTACCCCGGACTGGTCTGTGTGGACGAGTTACTATCCGCAAGATTAGCCGACAGAAGGGTATCAGTCGTATTTCTTATGAGGTATCTATTGAGGTTTAGAGCGACCTTGGAAGCAGTTGTATCAGTGATCTAGAGTTTCATGTATTAAATCTTATATAAGGGAAGAGATTGTTCGAGTTCTAAAGACATGCTGTGTCGTTTTGGTCAATCCAACCTTGAAATCTAATAATAAATCTGCCCAAACATTATGCAACCATGCTGAGTGTACGTCATCACCAGAAAGTTCACAGCTGTTGCCATCAGTTAACAAACTCGTTATCGAGCCAGTGCTTCATGACTATTTTGCCCTCTGCGAAACTCTCTTGCTCCATTCTAACAATGATAGCTGCATGGCTGTGTCGGTGATTATGTATATAAACGGGGTATTTATGGAAACCAACATCATTGAGCGAGTCAACAATAGCAGATTGCTCAGGTGTCAAAGCAAGTCGTGGGAACTTGGAAGTATCTTCGGTTCCGAGAGAGTAAGGCGGCGGAGCACGCTCGCTTGATTTCTTTCTGCTTAGGGTGTTTGTGTCGGCCTTCGCTAAGGAAGAATCGGAAGCCTCGGCATCGGTACTGGAGAGATATTCTGGCTCCTGTCGAGCATTGACATTCTCAAATACCTCTTCCATGACATGTTGAGCGTTCTGAACAAGTAGAGGTACTCTGTATTTTCCAAAGAGTATACCATTATCTCCCTCTCTGTGCAGTCGAATCCGGTTCCGGCTGCGGACCGATTGTACGCCAGAGTAGGCAAGGAATATTGTTGCAGCGGGTCCAGCCAGGAGAAGGATGAGCAAATAGAAAGGCATCTCGTTCGCAAACTTTTTTCCTCCTTTCCGAATCCTGGAAATAAGTGATTCACGTTCCTTTGGTGTGAAGGGTAGAAGATACTGATCGGGATCAACGATGACTTGGTCGTAGCCCGGGACATACTTGATATTTACACCATTTAGATGTTGGAAGGGATCAACCTTTGAGAAGGAAGCAGTCCAAAATGTCACAGAGCGGTCATTAACAAGATTGGCATAGACTGATCGGTTGCGAAATTTCCTTAGACCTTGGATGAAGATGCTGTCCGGGTCTGCCATAATACTGAGCAGGGGTCGTCTGGTGTCCCGGAAGGAATCCTCCAGGAACATCTGTTGACCAGACATGGACAGAATTCGTGATCCCATCCAATTCCATACATGGTTTGTGGTGTTATTGTGTGCGGGTGTTCTTACACCCACATGCGGCGTGGCAAAGGTAGTGAAGTTCACTGGTTCCAACTTATCCAACAAGCCTCGAGCTTGGAGCAAACCGATAGCATATCGAGATACTAAGCCCCCGAGGGAGTATCCAACAATACTCAATCTTTTAATTGTCTGTCCCTTTGCTTCCAAGGCTTCCAGAGTGTCTTCAATCTCATGCATCAATCGCTCGCCACCCACTTCTATTCCATCATAAGTCATATTTCCATCATTTCCTTTGGCGGATAAGATATGTAGGCCAGTTTCTCCATATCTTTCTCGTAGTGTAGAGGCCACATATTCCAGATGCGCCGGATTACCCCAGAGTCTGTAAAAGGAACAAGTCAGCCTAGCTCGATAAGTGACGTAAGGGAGCCTACCCATGCACTAGGACACATAGGTGATCAGATGTAGTCTGAGACTCGGACATTGCTTCTTGAATCCAAGGTTGGTTTGAAGAAGACTGTGTTAAACGTAAATGGTAAGGTAAGATGGATTTTAAGCTGCTAGGGGCTGACTTATAAAGCTGGACTGAGACGAAAGAGGCGTTCGGAGTTAACTGTCTAGCTGGGTCCGAGATCGATCGGACTCGGCTTAGTCAAGCTCCTTTTCTCTCCAAAAATATCTCCACTAGAGCACGTGTAAAGCCACTAACTCTTTCCCTTGAAACTTTCCGTCAATTTATTGCACCGATCCCGGCCTAGAATATTTTGGGCTGATCGGATTTTGACAAGACCTGCTTAAAACCGATAAGTCCCTGGAGATAAACCGATAAGGGGTCACCTGATATTCTAGGACCCACTTTGTTTGCTTTGCATCGTCACTCTTCAGCTCCTCTTCCTATTAGCTGATTCTTCTCCATTTTGCAATATTTGGTGGCATATTCAAGTCTGCCCATTGATCTCACATTAAAAAAGCATTTTGCAAATCGACAAATTAATTAGCGACTCCATCGAGCTTGCAGTGCTTTAAGGTGGCCGCGGGTCTCCTCCCGCCTAAACCTCCCAACTCTTTGCGCTTTGCTAGATTTCCAACCTTGCCCACAATGTTCAGACCAGGTGGCTTGTTTGAGCAAGTGCCTTGTCCACAGAGCACACAATGCTCTCTCTTAACATGCGTGTTCTCGCACAAGGATAACAGTCTACCTATGGTATGGTAGTTATGGTATGGTATTGATTTTACGTCCGTTAACAGTCAACCCAAGGCCTTGAAACGCGCTTCAACCTCCGTAGAGAAACCAAATAATGCCATTGAACAACCACCCAAACGACAGAAGGTTCCAAATTCTATCTGGCCAGAGGTCAAGCCTCCAAGCTCAAATACCACTCCGTCTACCACGAAGAGCAAAGCGCCTGCCTCGAACCCAACAAAGATAGACACAGTTGCATCACCTGATGTCGACGACTCCTTGAAACACCCTCCTCGCAAGGCACCCAAAGAAAACCTCAATCCTCGCATGATACCCAAGTCGCCAGCTCCACATTCTGTTCGGACAACAATTTTGAATAAGGTTCATTGGGCAATGTCGACAATGAACGAGAAGCTGAAGAAGGACAAGAATAACACAAACAAAAGCCTCATCCTTTCCGAAAATGAGCTTGTCATCATGGCACTCGACGAAGAGGAAAGGGCCGCTAAACAAAGTCTATACAGCAACATTATCAGGTCTCGGGTTTTGAAATTGACGCGAATGAATCTTAAGGAATGGGCCGAAGAGGTTATGGATCACCTCTATAAGCGGTACTACAAAACGAAGCCAATTCAATCGAAAATCAATGAAGCACCAAAACCCATTGAAACTGGTCTCAGCAAAAGTGAAGAGATTGCTCTCGTGAAAATGTTGATCACACCCCTGGCAGGCCTCGAAGAGTTTGGCTATAACACCAAAGCCCCGAGTGCAGCCGAAGTTGAGACCGCTAAGGAGACAATCGCCTATTGTAAGGGCTGGGAGAAATGTGACCGGTGTGGCGGACGCTTTCAGGTTTTCCCTGGTCGCCGCGAGGATGGAGCCCTGACCGGCGGTGGTCTGTGTACTCATCATCCTTCTCGGCCAACTTATCCTCTTCGCAAGAAAACCGACACGGTAACCGGTTCATCGGGTCCAATCTATCCATGTTGCAATGAACCAGTGAGCACCTCATCTGGCTGTACAAAAGCCAATGACCATGTCTTCAAGATTTCAGAAGTCAAATTTCTCTCGGCTGTACTTCCATTCGAGACTACACCGACCCAGCCCGACAAAGGATCCCTCGAGCCTGTATCTTTCGATTGTGAAATGGGCTATACGACACTGGGCCTGGAACTAATTCGACTCACTGCTGTCAGCTGGCCAGAGAACCGCGAGCTACTGGATATTCTAGTTAGACCCTTTGGCGAAGTCTTGGACCTGAATTCACGCTACTCGGGTGTATTTCCTGAGCACTATGCCTCCGCCAGACCATATGGCACTCCAATCGGTGGGGAGGGGAAACCGAGCTCTCTACAGGTTGTTGAATCTCCTGCTGCAGCACGAGATCTTCTTTTCAAACTTCTCCAACCCGACACACCGCTGATCGGCCACGCAATTGAAAATGACCTCAATGCCTGCCGAATAATTCATCCTACTGTAATCGATACAGTGATTCTTTATCCAGCAGGACCTCTTCCCTCCCGACACAAACTGAAGTTTCTTGCTTACAAGTTCCTGGATCGCGAGATTCAGATGGGAGGCCAGCAGGGTCATGATTCGAAGGAGGATTCAATCGCAACAGGCGATCTCGTGAGAGTCAAGGTGCGAGATATCTGGAAACGTCTGCAGAATCAGGGCTGGACATTTGTTAAGGGTGAATTGGTCGCACCGCCTGGGCAGGGAGAGGAAGATTTGAAAATGGAGTTGCATAGGGGTCGACTGACAAAGCCCAAGTCGAAGTAAACCTTCTGGGCAAATACGCGAATCATATGATGAGGCCGAGAATTATTTCTGTAATACCATTCAGATGTACTACTATTTGAGCGAGGATATCTTAGCAATGCCATATCGTCAGGAGTTTTAACACGAACTATTTAACGCTGTTGTTATGCTGTAGGTTGTACATTTTACACTGCTACCAACATCGGACTCCTGCAAATGATTTACTGTCTAAATGGGGAAGAATGAAAGGCGAAGTGGGTATGAACTTTTTCACAGCCGCATTTAAGGGCTAGTGCTAGTCTATTTCCATAGTCAGAGAGTATATTTACTCCTCATCCTCCTCATTCTCATCGTTAACGACGTTGTAGAAGCGGAGCTCGTAGACACCCTTGGAGGTGGAGACGACACGGAGCCAGTCACGGAGCTGCTGCTTCTTGAGGTACTTCTTGGTCCTGCAAAGCGAGAAAAATGTGGTCAGTTCTGGATGCAAGGTGGTAAGGTTTGGCGTAGGCAAAAAACTCACAGGTACTTGAGGTAGCGACCAGAGAAGGGGATGTGGGCAACGACCTCGATCTTGCCATCGCCAACCTGGGAGATGACAACGTCATCACCGAGGTTGCCAACACGGCCCTCGACCTTGACGCGGTCGTGGAGGAACTTCTCGAAGGCGGAGACATCGAAAATCTTGTCGCTGGCGGGCTGGGAAGCGTTGATAACGAACTGGAGATCATTGTTAGGTCTGGTGTCTCGATTGAAAGTCAATTGTGAATTGCAGGAAACGTACCTTCTGGGTAACCTTCTGGGCCTTGCGGCCTTTCTATAACCGGGGAGAAAACGAGTTAGCCTACTGCTCCTGTTGAGTCCCGAGTTGGTAGTCTATCAGCACGACGTGCATTCAAGACAATGAAATCGGCGCTGAAGTATTTTTCAACATCCGGCGTCGGTCTTCCATCGTCGATAGTGACATGTCTGCTGTAGACTTGACCATGTTCGGGGGAACAGCAAAGCGATTAGAATGGTATTCAACGTACAGCAGCGACGGGAGCCATTTTTGATGATGGATGAGGTATAGGGATGAGGTCGCAAAGAGGTGAATATCCTGCGCCGATGAGAGGGATGGTCGGAAGAAGATCAGATACAGTGGAGCCTCCTCGATAACGCAAAATTTTACGAGGGGTGTGGGTAAACTAGACCTATTTTGGAAAGTTCTAGGGCTAGGGCTCTTATAGTCTAGTGATCATGGTCTCCGCTACAACCAATGAAACAAACTATTGGCAATTATTATCTACTATGTCTTGCTTGCAACCGACTCAACTATATAACCAGTTTCTACATGGAATTTGAAGGTTTTTTCTTCATTAGCTCATCTATAGCTCCTTCTACATTGGTAATCCGATCATCTCCACCAATCGACCCAGGCGACCTTGGTCTGAATGAATTGAAGCCAGGCAGTAAGCTGAACGCGAATTTTGAGCCTATTAAGATACTCTCTTTTGATGCGAAGACCAATTTCCCTGCTAGGATTGATATAAATTCTCTAATCTCCTTTATGTACTCTTAAAACCTGATAATTTCCTTATTACAATCTAATAATAGTGATAAGTATATGGCAACTCAGGAGAGAGCCTCACGCATGACCATGGAAACCAACAGCACCAGCGAGGTGAAGATACTTATCACCGTTTCATTTATATTGGGGTACATACATCGAAACATACTGCTAAAGAGGAGCTTTGGTCTAAAAAGAGAAGCCACATCACCTTCCTCCTGACTACATCTCACTTAGCCGCTTTCAGCAAATTAATATTTTTTCCATTTCTCTAATCCAGATCAGAGTAAACAAAATGCTGGAAAAAGCTAGGATTCCGGGAATCACATATATGAGAGCATGAAATAGAATTCTTAGCGGATCTAATTCGTGCTGCATCTTTGAAATACTGGCTTCCATTAAGTGATGTTGCTATTGACGACTTGATGATTCCTCGGCATACTCTCAAGATACCCCAGAGGCCTATTACTCAGAAACATAAGCTATTTGGTACAGCTGATAAAGATTACTGTCTTTTTTGGGTGTGAATGAGATGTACGAAATCAATAATTGAAGTGAAGAAACTACCCACTCTCAAGAAGGATCTCATTACCCGGGAAAAATTTCGTAAGCAGCTCTATTTACTGCTCTTCAAGTTTGGTGCAGCAGAGCTTGAGCCACAGAAAGCCGGTATAGTTCATAGGGTTAAGAGACTTCCAGGGAAAAGAAGCTGTATATGGTGTAATGAACAGAGAAAAATAAGAAAGAAGCTAGGGCAATCTCCTCCAAGAGCAACTCCTACACAGTGGGAGTGCGGAATTTGCTACGACGGTCTGCCCTGATGGTGATGTTAGTACTTAGACATACTTACTGAAATTATACACTGCCGCCCAATATAGACCAATGTAATAAAAGATATTTTATAGCGATATGGTTTCAACCCTACCGTAGGTGCCAATATGTCGGGATGCCAGTTTTAATTGGCTATTCCTTTTTCTCGGACAAAGTAATTATGGAGGCTGTAGCAGAAAAGGCGGACAGCGGAAGGAGAGTGACTTTATTGGCCAATATTGAATGAGTCATCCAATGAATACGGGGTCTGTGCGTAGTCTCTCCTTTTATAAACCCCCAACTTCCCACATCCCTTCCTCTTCTTCTTTTTCTTCTTCAGCTCTCTTTGCCAATTGGCTTAGATCAAGTGTAGTATCTGTTCTTTTCAGTTTAATCTCTGAAAGTTTTCCAATGGAAAACACATTGATTATCCTTATTTTTGATATTAGCGACCAGCCTCTGTGCTTGCGCATGCTGGGCGCACTGTGTCACTGGGCTTACACTACCCCCGGTTGATGCGAACCTCTTTTTCATCAACCGCTTCGGCTTGTCCGATCGCTTGGAGAAGAAACTGTATTGGTAGTCTTCAACTATCTCCTTGAGTTTATTGACCATTCTATCTATGAAGCACCTGCTTGCTGATCACCATAGACTGCACCTCGAGCTCTTCAGCCCCCTTCAATCGTCCCTGTCTCTAGTATATTAATACTAGGATGATCATGCTGCTCAGTGTGTCAGGATGTGCTGGGCCAAGCGCCTGCTTACGGTTCTCCATCACTTGCACCTCAAGCTCTTCAGCCTCCTTCCATGATATAACCTGGAAAGGGTGATGATAAAAGGCGGTATAGAATTTGGTGTGAAATGTGGTACAGTAAGATTCGAAATTGGCTTCCATGCTAAACGCACATTTTCTTTCTCTAGTTATATATGAACCACAAGTTCATAAATACAGAGTGTAAAATACTCATTTCTGAGAATTCCATTGTATCAATTCAGGTCTTGGCAATACATCTCATTCCATTTCTATCGATTGAAAATCAGTGCATGAATTACTATCATTAAGTAATGGAATGCTATGGTGTGTACTGGTAATAGAAATTTTTGTTTTCTCGCCTATGAACGAAAAGCCGCTTTCCGGAAAAATACTCAACTCTACTTTTTGCGGAAGAGGCGAGAGAATATTGCTCTTCTGCGATTTCCGCCAGTTTGAGCACGCCAACTATTAAAAGAAGATATCGAGGAAAGGGTCTGTGGGTGATCAGGGCCTAGTACTTGGCTGCGTAGTCGGATACATTCTGTCATTAATTGCGAAGCAGCGGCGTGTTCGCCTAATGAATCCATGGTGCACGCAAGGTTGTTCATTCTGCTCAGAGTATCAGGATGTTCTGGCCCAAGCACCCGCTTACTGGTATCCATGACCTGCAACTCGAGCTCTTCAGCTTCCTTCCATCGTCCTTGGTTCCAGTAGGTCGCTGCTAGGTTGGCCATACTGGTCAGAGTAGAAGGATGTTCTGGCCCAAGCACCCGCTTACTAGTGTCCAAGACCTGCACCTCGAGCTCTTCAGCTTCCTTCCATCGTCCTTGGTTCCAGTAGGTCGCTGCTAGGCTGGCCAAACTGGTCAGAGTATCAGGATGTTCTGGCCCAAGCACCCGCTTGCGGGTATCCAAGACCTGCACCTGGAGCTCTTCAGCTTCCTTCCATCGTCCTTGGTTCCAGTAAGTCGCTGCTAGGCTGGCCATACTACTCCGAGTATCAGGATGCTCTGGCCCAAGCACCCGCTTGCGGGTATCCAAGACCTGCACCTCGAGCTCTTCGGCTTCTTTCCATCTCCCTTGGTTCCGGTAGGTCGCTGCTAGGCTGGCCATACTGGTCAGAGTATCGGGATGTTCTGGCCCAAGCACCCGCTTACTAGTGTCCAAGACTTGCACCTCGAGCTCTTCGGCTTCCTTCCATCTCCCTTGGTTCCGGTAGGTCGCTGCAAGGTTGTTCATACTGGTCAGAGTATCAGGATGTTCTGGCCCAAGCACCCGCTTACTAGTGTCCAAGACTTGCACCTCGAGCTCTTCAGCTTCCTTCCATCGTCCTTGTTTTATGTAGGTTGCTGTAAGGTTGTTCATACTGGTTAGAGTATTAGGATGTTCTGGCCTAAGCACCCGCTTGCGAGAATCCATGACCTGCAACTCGAGCTCTTCAGCTTCCTTCCATCGTCCTTGTTTTATGTAGGTTGCTGCAAGGTTGTTCATACTGGTCAGAGTATCAGGATGTTCTGGCCTAAGCACCCGCTTGCGAGAATCCATGACCTGCACCTCGAGCTCTTCGGCTTCCTTCCATCGTCCTTGGTTCCAGTAGGTCGCTGCTAGGTTGGCCATACTGGTCAGAATATCAGGATGTTCTGGCCCAAGCACCCGCTTACTAGTGTCCAAGACCTGCACCTCGAGCTCTTCGGCTTCCTTCCATCTCCCTTGGTTCCTGTAGGTCACTGCTAGGTTGGCCATAGTGGTCAGAGTATCAGGATGCTCTGGCCCAAGCACCCGCTTACTGGTATCCATGACCTGCACCTGGAGCTCTTCAGCGTCCTTCCATTTGCCCCCAAGTATTAGTGCTAACCCTAGCGTCGACAAACTATCAAGAGTCTTCGGGTTTTCATGGCCTAACAACTCTTTCCTCGCTTGGCTTGACCCCTCTGCCATTCTTTTACCATCGAGGAAATTCCCCTGTACCCATGCAAAGTATGTCGAGCTATATAATAAAGAAGCCCAATCTTCCAACAGAGACTCCGTCTTTGGTTGTTGCTTCATAGCACATAGCACATGAGGGAATAACAGTTGACAGGTCGGCCAGTTCTCGATCTCGCTATTCGGAAAATTATCATGAAGACGCTGTATGAATTTTCCTTGCCATCTTTCGTATAGTTTATGCGTCTTGAGCCATTGTTGCATAGATAGCTGGACCAGTCGGTGCATCTCAAAGCTCTTTCCATCGGTACTAACAGAAATCATAGAAAAGTCTCTTAGTACTAATATATCGTCTTCAAGTGCTTCGAACTTCTCAGTTTCACTTTCGCTCTCCTCTTGATCACAACTTTCGATTTTCGTATTTTGTTGTTCCTTGTTCTGTCGAAGTAGATGATCTGGAATCCCTTGGCGATCGAAGAAGCTCATAAAAGATAACAAATCAGCCGATGATGGCTTGATTCTTTGAATATAATCAAAAGAAATTTGCCATGTGATAATAATTGAGTTCTTAGCCTCTGTGTCTCGGCGGAGATGGCCGCCTTCACTATTAAGGAGAGTGATCTTATTCTGGTCACTTCTCTGGAAATTTTCGAGATACTGTCGCACTGACTGTCGTGGCGCCCTTTGCTTTATATAGGCCGCTGCTTGCACAATCGCAAGCGGCATAAACTCGAGTGCTGTAATCAGTTGAACGATGTCCTCTCTTTGTGTTAGGGTGCCAAGCTTTTTCTCTAAAAGTGCAAATGCTTGGGTCTCATCCATCGGCTCAACTGAAATGATTTCCTCCTCTTCTACTAATTGTATGGCCACGCGCCTACTCCGACTTGTAATAACGATAGAGCCTCTTGATATTTGCGAAAAATATGCCCAAATCGATCGCGTAAGTGTCTTACTTTGACCATCTGATACTTGTGGAGTTTCATGAAGAAATTGATCATCATCAAGATTATCAAGGACAAGAACCCAAGTGTGCTTCTCATCCTGTAGCCAATGGCAAAGGAGTTTGAAGATATTTGCCTGGGGATTCTGCCGGCCGGGGATCTTGACTCGGTCGGCAATCTCTCGGCAGCTCTGTTCGAACCGAATCTTGTTACTGGCGTGGATCCAAAACACCCACGTCTCAGCAGATTCATGTCGAACTCGATGACAGTACTCGATAGACAGTTGCGATTTCCTACTTAGTTCTTAGGAATTGAGAATTCGCACGCTATTCTTCTTTAACTTACCCAACGCCGCCTAGGCCGACTAATGCGATGCGAGATCCAGGTACTGAGCCTTTTTCATGTAATTGATCAAGTAGTGTCCCACGACTGACAAAGTCTAGGTCGCGACGAAATGGAACAGTGAAAACCGGGGCTGGTGGGGTTTCAGGTTGCTCTAGGTCATCATCAATTGAATGAATGGAATAGGATCTTGTGGAATCTACCCGCGGAATGATAAATTGGACCATGATGAATCCCTACTTGGAGCCCTGAGTTTGAACCACCTTGAAAGGTGACTGAAGACATTATCAGGGTAACGTGGAAGTGTTATGTTTATCTTAAGGGTGCTGGGTAAAGTAAAAGTCCAAACCTTAGAGATACCTCAGCCGCACTATCATGTGACTACCCAAAAAACCCCATTTGGGGCCAAAACCCAACCCATCAACATGTCTAGTCGCCCTCGAAGCAGAACTCACAAAATTTGAAGGGATTTAAGCGAACAGATGGATATGAGAGCCACTATTAACTTGAAGAAACCGACTACTGAATTTGTCGAGAGGAATTAAGAGATGCTATGATTATAAGAGAGAGTACTATAATAGTACAAGAGGGTAACATTCAATTGCTAATCATATAGCAAAAAATCATCATACAGTAGAAAAAAAATATACAAATACAGAGTTCATAAAAATACAATGCCCCATAGCGAATCAGGCTGGCACCAGCCCTTTGTGAGATAAGAAAATAGTGATCGATCGGCGTAGTTCATCGAGGTCCAGAGGGAAGGCGTCATTAGGATTTCGGTTTGGGAAGAGGAAGGCTGGGCCGAACAGCTCAGCGCGAGTGAAGGAAAGGGTTGGTTGAGGAATGATAGGTGCTGGGAAGATTGTCCGCTCCTCATCTTTGACAGGAGTTCCTGTCGCGTCTCTTCTCCAGAATTCGATCCGACCCTTTACTGTATGGGCTAGCTTCGTGAATTTCACAATCACCACTAGCTGGATTTCCGGGGAGCCTCCCCAGAAGATTCGTCGCATGTTTTCTTGCAGGCTGGTGTACCCTTGGGAGTATCCGGTCTCCACCATTATGCTTGGGATTGGGCTTTTGCCAACGGCGGACGGGGGAGCGCGTAATGAGATAATTGCGGTATCGGGTTCTTTTTTCGGGGCAGCGGCAATTTTTGCGGGGCCCCGTAGATCAACAGCTGGTGATGGTAGCATTCGCAAATCCCGTTTTTCATTGACGGTGAGCAAGTTCTGCTCATTCCACATTTCGCGGCAAATCCATAGCCAATCATGGACCTCTTCATGCATCCAGGTGGGCACCTTAAGCTCGAGGATGCCTTTGCGGGGGTCTGATGATTTGCGGATTTTGGGGTACTCCATGCTGAGCAGGTTCCAAAGTGAGTTGACTAGTGTTGGCGTCAGGCCAGTCAACACAACAAACTCCCTGCCGTCGATGATTTTTGCTTTCATAAGCACCTTAAGTGCCTTTTTAGCGGAGGTAATTTTGGCTAGCGAGAACTTTTCATCCTCATCCAGAAGAAATTGGGTTTGCGGGGGTTCCAAAATATTGCTGATGGGAGACGACTTGATGTTCTTATAGATCGAGCTTTTAAGCGAGTGGCCTTCTGAAACTTCTAAGTCCGAGGAGGGAAAATTTGAAGAGACCTCCATGGTGACTAAAAGTTCTGAGCCTCGTAGTTCTGAATATGAAAGAAGATTAAAAGTTTTGAATATTTTCTGATCTAGAAAGGATGGAGAAGTGGAAGCTATAGCTGTAGTGGGGTAGTGGGGAGCTAGGCTCCTTTGGTAATATCTGTGCACAATAAACACGGGAAACACGTGTTTAGTGTGCTGATAAGACACAGATAGCAGTGCTAAGAGCACACCCAATCGGTGTGCACCACCGGTTCCGACACTTTTGAACATTATCATCAAGAGCAATATCCTCTACCCACCATGCCTAATACCGACAAATCTACTGAATCCCGCCTTCCTAAGGCCTTTGAAGCTGCCAAACGCGAAAAAGAAAATCAAATATCTCGAAGATTGCGCGCGAATATGGTGTCAAACGAATCACCCTCTATGACCGCGTTAAAAAGAGGGCGACCGCGAAATCTCAACAAAAACCAGTTAATAAGGCTTTGAATGATATACAGGAGGAAACTTTAACTGTGCGTGACGCAAATCGCTCAACTATAGCTAGGAAAACAAAAGAAGAAGCTATAAAACAGAAGAAGCAGGTAAAATAAAAGAAAAAAAAAACAGGTTCAGGAGCAGGTTCAGGAACATAATCCAAGCTTAATGGTAGCGATAGAGAGAGATATGCTTTATTTTGAACAGTTACGACGCGAATGCCTAGAAGAATAGGTAGAATTAAGAGAGAATTGAGAGTTATAGTATAATGTTCAAAAGTGTTGGAACCGGTGAAAGTACCTAAAAGTGTCGGAACCGGTGGTGCGCACCCGAACACGGGACACGGGTTCGGGTCGCGAAGGCACTGCTGAGATGTTTACAATTTGGTTGAGTGCTGATATTAGTAGTCTATCTACCAGTCTTGTGCATTTCGTGGTCACAAACCTTGATAAACTTCCTAAGGATAATAACCTCTAGTATTCAACTAGACCCAAACCATAGCATTATGACGGACACTAGCGGAGGTTGAGAATAAGTCTTACTGTCAATATTTCCTAACAACTTGACCTTAGACGGACTGCTAGAAGCATTGTACTCTCCATAGCAAATAGATAGATATCTACAGAGGACAGGCTGTCTTTTCAAAGACCGCTATATTTGCTGAGTTCGCATCGAACCTTCCAGACAGAAAGATCGACGACCATATGTCCTCTATACTAGTATTATAAACTTCTAGTATCTATCACCTGATCAGTTGCAAGACGGATTATTTACGCGCTATTCACGTCGGAATAGCGCATCATGTGATTAGGGTTCAAAAGAGCCGCTCTGTGTTCGAAACATGGAAGGCTGTACGCTTCTTACTGAAAAGAACTGAAAGAAGAAGAATAATAAAAGGGCTCAAACTTACTAGGAACATCCACTTGAAACTCGCCCACATAATATTTCTGTCGCAGTTCTTGCTGCTTGAAACCTTGGAGGTTTATCACTTTGATTCACGAATTGAAGACTCGATCTTCATCTCGCTGTGCAAAGTTCTTGCCAATACACTCATAGATTGTCGGCGGAATGAAGCATACCGTATCCATGTCTATAACTGGACTTTCACCACCAGTGCAGCATTAAGGGACTTCAACGGGGTTACTATAACTTCGATGGTTGCATGTAGCTAGTCAGTTGATATTGCTAAACCTACCCGAATCTCCATGCAACCATTCAAGTCAGCTGGTCACCCATCAGTCTTTCACACATCATATAACCTACTACCCATGTCTTTACCACACATGCTACCAAAAACCCCCAGATATACAAAAATCAGTCGAGTTGGAGGGAGATATTTCGGAAACTACCCATTAATTGTCAATAATCAGCTTCACTCATGAACCTGCGTGTGTTTTATATCCCCACTCAACCATCAGCATCTCCAAGACGTATCTCTGGAGCTACCAATCGTATGAACCATACTTGACACAAATTTGGGGACATTTTGATGTTACATAGTTAACTGCCTGCAGTTAGTCTACCCCTCGTATCGGCTTATGCCGAAGTCTGATCACCCCCACTCTATTGAATGTAGCTCTGTGCTTAAGTCTTCTACTTGTGACCGATCACCACTTTGATTAACCTTGTCCCATTCGAAGACTTATCCTTGTTTAGCTCATTGTAACATGCTTTAGAAAAATGTCTGCCAAGGCTCTCTCGGACCCCAGATACAATTTTCGAAAATGAAACGAAGGAGGGTAGCTGTGTCTTTAGTAACCTTGGACTGCAGAAAGCGTCTCTCGCTTGAGAAACCATCCATACTATGACTGAATGATTGAATGATTGAAAATACCGATACTTCCGATTTCACAAGGAATATATCTGCATGCATTTGTTGAAAGCTTGGGCTACCTGCAGAGTACTATGCAGGAAATATGTCAACGAGACGAAGATGTCATTACCTAGGTCAGCGACTGATACAAAAGCTTCCTGGATATTTCAGGCATGCTCGAGATGATTTAGACCCCAGAAAGATTGAGAATATCTGGTCCTGACAGGAAATGAGTGACTTACAGGCCTTAGTATAAGAGAGCAGGGCTCATACATTTACTAATGTAAATTTTCTGTCTCTCATACTTTTTTACGGCCTGAATCTCCATGCATTAGGATAATGAGGGCAGCCCAAAGGCAACCCTTAATTGTACACGTCTTAAGCGCTCCATATACATGGCTCCAGCCCTGGAGGGGGCCTATGCCGACAAACCGCCCGAAATTACCCGACCTCGGGAGGTGATACTAGCACACAATGGCACCATTAGTACTCTAAAATAAGATCTTTTTGCCACGAAGAAATCTCTCGATTGTCTTGAAGTTCATAAAATCATAAAATTGTGTTGAACCTATTCCACGCAATATCCCCTGTAATTCTCATGGCTTAAAGCGGCCTCTGTGAGAAAGACGAATGTCGCATCTGCGCTGAGCGTGGTACTTCGCCTTGTTCAGGTCCACGTAGTCAATGCCCTTGGACTCAACTTCGCGAGCAATGTAAGCACTGATGGCAGTGGCGATAAACTCCTTTGCCTTCACGCGATCCTCAATCTTACCTGAAGTAGACAGATAAATAAGCGGACGTTGCGGTATTAGCAAGATAGTTATGATGACCTACCTTCTCTAGCCTCATGGTCTTCGTATGCTTGTATGGCTTCGTAGGCAGCAGCACCACCGAGCAGCTCAAATGTCCATTTCGCATTGTGGTGGTTGTTTACATTGACGATTTTTTGGCTCTTGGCCTCGGGGGTATCATCTGAAAGCAAGTTAGAGCGTCACTTCTCAAGTGTTAGACTTTACATACTGTCAAACCAGCCCATGTTTATTATATACAACCTTGGGAGTGATGAAGAATAGGAAGAATTCCACGGGTCAGTAAGGGGCGGTTAGAGGAAGAAAGATGGATGGGATGGGCTGGAACCTTGGAAGAGCTTATCCTCAATAGTCTGGCCTATTGACCCCGCACTACCCCGTGAATATGATAATCTATCGATAATTATCTTCTCAGCACTAAACCTATTCAGGAATTAGTAGGAATGCGTTGCAATGCGGTCGAGGCGTGGTCTGAGCAATCACTGATGCAGAAAACATAAGATTGATTCATAGAAATATCCGATCGATCATTGGGACAGCAGAAATGAGGAAAACAGGAATACGTCTGAACAGTGAAGTCTTTCACAAGTTAAAATGTCTACACGTCATCTGCTCATATTGTAATTTCCAATTTATGTGATCACATGAACAAATACTGAATTAGTGGGGCCGAACATTAAAATAATGTTTATTTAAAAACTACGGAGAAGCACAGCGCAGTACGGAGTAGTTAGTTATGCCAAGAGCGCACTGCTAAACAGACAGTGATTAACATCACGTGATACTTCATTTCCACGTGACTTTAATAGTGGGTCCTAAGATAAGCGTATGAGGTCACATTATTATTCTTTCCTTCTACACATTTCGATTCTACAACCGTTGTCATGGGTTCAATCGTTCTCCCTCATTTGAATTCTGGCTGGCACGTTGACCAGGCCATCCTCGGTGAAGAGGATAGACTCGTGGTTATCCGATTCGGACGCGACCACGATGAAGAATGTAATCACCCCACCTTGTTTGTCTCAAGACTAAGTGCTGACCGCATACCACAGGCATGCTACAGGATGAGGTTCTGTACAAGATCGCAGAAAAGGTCAAGAGTGGGTATTTTCTGAACCCTAGAGATGCACTACCAATATCACTAACACGCCTTTGTGTTTAGACTTTGCAGCGATCTATGTTTGCGACATCGACCAGGTCAAGGATTTCAACCAAATGTACGAACTTTACGACCCTATGTCGATCATGTTCTTTTACCGCAATAAGCACATGATGTGCGATTTCGGTACCGGAAATAATAATAAATTGAACTTCATTCTCGATGACAAGCAAGAACTTATCGATATCATCGAATGTGTCTACAAGGGCGCAAAGAAGGGACGTGGTTTGGTTGTTAGTCCCAAAGGTATGAAAATTCTGCTCTATTGTGGAAGCGGATTGAGTTACTGACCATTTTCACAGACTATTCGACCCGCTATCGCTACTGATTTATCTCGCCGGGAATGGCGGTTGACAGATTTGTCAACTTGTTTGTCCGAGAAGTCACCGAAAATGGAGAGCTTTTTTAGAGCTTTTTAGAATCAAAGTCAGTTATTGAATGTGTGGACTCTGAAAACATGAAAACATTGTAACTCTTGATCTCCTTAGAGTCCGACCTCCGGACTTCGTCGATGAAACCAGAAGTATCGGCGATGCTGCAGATGAGCACGATCTGCAGCAAAGACTCTAATTCGCTACTTCACCAACCTTGAAATGGAAGATGGAGTATTGAAGGAGCCTGGAAGTTCCACCATAATGCCATACGGTGATAACTAATGATTCATCCGGTCATCTCACTCCAAGTATTTCCGAGAGCCGAGCAAAGCTAGTTTTGTGGTGCGTAGACCTTATTTAGACCTTGTTCCAACTTCACTTGCGGCCACTACTATCCACAGCAACAGCTTCCAGTCATCAGTCAATCAATTCGCGATCTCTGAATGGCTATCCCTTCTTCATAAGAGCAATATCCTCGTCGCCCTCTGCACTAGCTCTAGGAGAGGTCTAAAGTTCTACTGACTTTTGAACAGCCTCGTCAAAAAATATCATTGCTGACCCAACCGTCCTCATTTGTAACTCCAATCTGCACCTGCCATAGATTCAGTACTTTATTATGTTGAACGAGAGTTGCTTTTGTTCAGAATTTTGTGATAATCCCAACTTCAGAGCCCAAAGCAGACTTGCATGGATCACAGCTAGGATCTAGATCCGCCCTTTTCCCATATCAAAACATAGAATCTACAGTTAAATCAACGAAACATAGCTCAGCGTCATGGCTTTTTTTTTCTGTGCTCACTATATAGAGCGGGGCTTGAAGTTGAGCAGGAATGTCTTCCTTGAAATGAATGCTTCCAGTAGACCAAAAAGGAAGATCAAAAAGCTTTTTCTCAATTTAACAAATCTTGATGATAGCTTGTGTTGTTCACAATTGCTCATATCCAACCATCTAGTCTATAGACTGACACCTAAAGCCTTATCCATGATGATATACTCCACGTCGGCAAGATTAGAGACCGAAGCTGAATACCCAAGTAGTTTCGGCACATGAGATGGTACACTTGTAATTGAGGCACTGCATACTGGCAGCCTCACTGGCAGTGACATAGTGTTTTGGCCCGGCAATATATATGAAGTCTTGGTAATGACTTCAAATTCGTCCTTCATGGTCAAAAGAAGACTCGATTGAGACTACTTTCTACAATTTTGATCATGTCCACGATATGACCATGGTCTGGGCATGTCTTTCAGTCTTGAGACTCCGGAAGACCTATTCGATCATCACAAGCGCTTCTGAGGAAAGAGGTACAAGGCTACACATATGAAGAGACATGCTGTTTCTGAATTAAGAAATCGCGTCAGAATTGAGCTTGAATATCTCGTCTGACAATATGCCTGAGCATTTCTAACTTTTGAAGGCGATGTTAGTCACAATCGCTCGAGGACTGAAGGTTCAACGGCGACCATATGGAATACCAGGTAGCTTGAAATGAGAATTAGAAACAACCTTGGGCAATGCGGCAATATCTCTAGTCCCGACTCCCAACGTTTGATCAATATCAACTGGGTATTGCTGCTATTGGGAGCCACATCCTTGTGGTGAATGTCAATATATCCAATTTTGATCAATAAAATATAATTTCGAAATGTTCAGTTCATGAATTGAGTTTCAGTCAAACCTCCAGTACCTGTTTTTTTGATGCCAAATCCCAAGGATTTTGACCTTATTTTGACCTTATTTTGACGTGCCTTCCTATCCGCCGCAACAACTTCACCTTGAAATTCAACCTCAACGTCCCGGCTCGCACTCCCACTTTCTCCAACTCTCTTCCCGCCAAAATGATCGATCAAGTTATTTTCGAGGATCTCCAAACCAAGATTGACGAGGAGAGCGCCGTTCGTGATGTGAGTATTTCGGCGTCCGCGTCTTTTCCGAACATTGAAATTCTTTGCCAAGCCGAACCCCAATCAAGGCTTTAACGCGCATGACTCAGCTAACACTCAAATGTCAGTCGCTTCACGAGATTGTTCAAAGTCTTTCGAGAAAAGGTATTATATATTATTGTCCTACACTAAATCTTCCAGCTCCTCTGACAGGGCTGCTCCCAGACTTGAAATTAATTTTCAGAGTAGAAACTGATGTTTTCCATAGGACGATCAACTCAAGCTACTCTCTCGCGGGCGCATTCTACCCCAAGCGATCAACGTATGTGAATATTTATGTTGAAAGCTTTTTGATCTTTCAATTGAATATTGCGCCTCTTTCCTCTTTTATTTGAAAGTGGACATGGCCTCGTTTCGAAGTATCTTATATCTAACTTGGTATAGTCAAGAGCTTGCTCGAAGATGCAACTGTCGAGATATTGGCCCAGAAGCAAGAAGTTGCTCGCCTGAAGGCTGTGGCTGACAAGCACCCCTTCTACAAGTATAACGGCCTGTGGACACGAGAGCTCCAGAACCTGGTTAGTCTATGGTCCGTTTGCCCTTGACTTTATATTAACATATGCAATTAGGTTGCCTCAATTGAGCTGTGTGCATGGCTCGGTGGATTGCAGGAGCACAAAGGACCCAGCTCGACCTCATTCATGACAATCGAGGACGTGGGCAAGTTCCTCGAAAGTATGTTCTCCCTATTGAGATCCAGCAGTGATTGGAACTGACTGTTCTATAGTCCCCGTCAACTTGAAGGAAGAAGATGCCTTCCACCTCACAATTGAAGAGTATCTTCTAGCTCTGATTTCCATGGTCGAGGAACTGGTAATTTTCACCTCCCTTCTTGTCAGATACGGCACTACTCACTCTTCTGTTTTAGGCACGACTTGCTGTCAACTCGGTCACCTTGGGTGACTTCGACCGTCCTCTCCAGATTAGCAACTTCATTAAGGAGCTCTTTGCTGGATTCCAGCTGCTCAATTTGAAGAATGACATTCTTCGCAAGCGCAGCGATGGTATCAAGTACAGCGTAAGTTAACACTCGAGGGTATATGAGGACAATAAGCTAATTCAACTCAATTAATAGGTGAAGAAGGTCGAAGATGTGGTTTACGATCTTTCGTTGCGCAACCTAATTCCTAAGGGTGCTACTGCTTAATTTCAGACTAGTAAGTCTACGAACCGACGGGGGAGTCGTTACATCCTAGTAGTTGATTGTATCGGTTTCGAAAAAAAAAAAATAGTTAGTCACAAGATCAAAATTGTTCATGAAAATTACAGGGATATTTCCTCTCTTAGCGAATCTCATCTAACATTCATTAATTCAGTAATATTCTGGTGTTAAACAGGGTATGCGATGGGCGTATTTCATACAAAACACAAAGATACAACAGTCTATGAACATACAAAGAGTACGGGAATAAAATAACATAATAAGCTCCTTCATGAAACGCCACTAGGGATGCGAAATCTCAAGTTTAAGCAGATGCAACAGGGGCCTCAGTGGCCTCAGCAGCCGCAGTGGTCTCGGTAGCTTTCTTTTGAGAAGCCAAGAGACCCTTAGCCTTAGCCTTCTCAATCTCCTTCACAATGGGTTCCTCCAAAGCATCAGGCTTAGTAAGAGAAGACCAACGGCCGGCGACCTTGCCTTCAGGTGTTACAAGGAACTTCTCAAAGTTCCACTTAACTCTCTTGAGTCCAATAAGACCGGACTGTTGTTCCTTGAGCCAGTTGAAGACAGGCGCGGCTTCACCACCATTCACATCAACTTTGCCCAGAACGGGGAATGTGACGCCGTAGTTGAGTTGGCAGAAGGACTGGATCTCGTCGTTGGAACCGGGGTCTTGGCTGCCGAACTGGTTGCAGGGGAAGCCGAGTATGGTGAAGTCTTCTGGGAAGCGTTTCTTCAGGTCCTGATAAAGCTTCTCAAGACCTTCAAACTGGGGGGTGAAGCCACATTTTGAGGCGGTGTTGACGACGAGCACGACCTTGCCCTTCAGTGAGGCGAGAGGGAAGGGTTCGCCCTTTTCTGGATGAGAGGTTAGTTGATTGCTGTAGTTAATACGGGGAAGGGTAGGACGTACTATCCTTGGGCTCAAAGTCGAAGAAAGTGGTTGCGGAGGCCATGGTTCTGAATTGCGCGAGTTGATGAGGTTGAGATGTGAAGTGTAGTAAGTGGTATGACGTCGTTAAGTAAGAAGTGAAGAATGTGCGAACAGGCGGAGTTGGAATCCCGCGATAAAGAAGCAGCGCGCGCATTTATCTTATTTGAATTTATGGGCCGAGGAAATCTTACCAAGAATTTTGGGTCTAGGCACAAGTGGTTTGAGGGTCTCCAGAGGGCTAGAATAAAGTAGAATAAAAATGGTAACAGTCTTTGACCGAATCCGATGCTCGATTAATATAGCTTCTGATTGGACGATCTTATTTCTGTTCTCTATTTTATGCTATTCAATCCACTCGAACAATTACTGATATTATTAAGCTTTGTGTCTAGAGCTTCACATTCTGGTAAACTTATTCCAAGTTGAATGTATAAAGAATATGGTAGGTATACACATAGAACCTCATGCCACCATGTGATTACAAATGAAGCGGGGTTGGAATGCGAGTGCGAATGCGAATGCGAACACCCTCGGATAGTAAATATGTTCATACGCTAGTAATTCTAACCACTAGTCTATCTCCTTTCTCGCGATCCTTCCAACGTTGGAAGCTCATCCACACTTGTGCCTGAAGTACCTTGTTACTGCCATCACGAAGACAATTTCTATTTTCTTGAAAGTCTCTGGTCAGTCCTGAGGTCTGCATGGTCGGAATATATCTCTGCAGGACTGCGAACGGATAGGATGCGTCGGTTATGAGAACATAAAGGTCCGGGTATAAAGCCCAGATATGGTTCGAAGACCGATTGGCCTTCCATATCACACTAGTTGAGCCCAGCCCACCGAGTATTGACTAGTGAACCAAGTTCCAAGTTACTCACGAGAGTACCAAGTATGCGGCGTCGAAGTTGATCATCTGGAAAAAGGATGTGATGCTTCAATCTTTCAGTTTTGCTTCAGCTTCGGCGTTGAGAACGTCAAGATCTAGTTCTGTCATCACTCCGAGAATGACACCCAAGCTTTCCATAAACCCATTGACCGCCACGCGCAGCATGCGGTTCGTGGTGGCGTAATATGTAGTCTTCAGAACAGTCTTCGAATCGTCGGTGTCTTGCTTCTGCTTCTTTTCTTGTGGCTCTGTCGAGTCTTGTGAGGATGGCGCTACGAGCGTCAATGTGCGTCGTACATTCGGGGACAATTCGGCGTCAACGTCGAGGGTTTGTAAAGCCGAAGAAGCGAGGCGGTTTGTGGGGAAGGGCAGAGAAATTGTCCTGATCAGAGTGAGTATGGTTGCTCTAAAGGCACAACGCGACAAGGCGCATTGAGTCTTGGTGGGGAAGTGATCGTACAGTGAGTGGGGAAATTCGTTGCTCGGGGGCTGTGCAGATGCCATTTCGAGGTAGTTTGGGCGAGAAGAGATAGCAGGCTTAAATCTTGAGGTCAATTCAGATGTTATATAGCGATTTTTTAGGGTCTTGAGGTTGATGCTGAGATATTGATCAACCAAATCATCAATTATTGATGACTCAGCACATGCGCATAAGCAACTAGCCTATTTTAGACTAGCTCGCGAACTTCATAAGGATAGATTCGCTTGATGTTTCGAATCAAACCCCCAGCATCTTGCAAAAACTGACGTCTATGGTTAAATTATATAATGATAATGGATACCTAATATGTGACTAAACATGTTACATCAGTTAGTTATCATTTATATCTGAGTGTTGAAAGCACTGCTTAAATGGTAGTGACATATTTTCCACTCATGTTGATGACTGTCATCCTCGACAACATACCTAGGTAGTGAAGCCTTTTGGCTTCCACATTGAATGTTACGTATGGACCGGTATGGTGCTTGTGGTATTTCTCAGTCTAGGAAATGGTGATCACTTTAACCTGGACTCGGCCTGACTTTGGTTGGCCGCCCTGGCAGTGTTGTCGAGGACATGTCGGAAAGTGTCCATGAAATCTCAGAAATTTTAATGATGATTTTATTTCAGGAATTATAGCTTGGATAGATTTTGCATAAATAAAACGATTTTTGGTGGATTGAAAGGAAAGGTCGTACACTTCCAAGAGAGGATGAGAACACATTCGACAATTTAAGTTACAAGACATATTGGGTAGCATCGTGGAGGGCAGAAATAACATTACAGCGGTGAAGAGATGGGTTACAGCTCATATGGCATCCTCCAAAATACGAACACCCAAAGAGAAGAGGAGATATCAAGTGCAGGCCAAAAACGATTCTATGGGGCTCGTATCCGCATAAACAACAGAACTATTCAGCTGTTGAATGACGGCTGAGGCAGGAAAACGTATGTAGCGACTTCTTCTACCCCGACGCCGGGAGCTCGCCAACATGGCTAGGGGCCGGGGGCTTATTGGCAGCCATGGCAGCATCAAGGCCGCTATAGTCTGCGGTGGTTGTCAGTAAATTCAGAGACCAAAACAGTTAAGGAAGGGTAGCGACGTACCTCCGCTGAGCATGGCGAGATCGTTGGTGACCGAGCCCTTCACAATCTCAGTCAGACCGGGAAGTTTGCGACGAGTGAGACTCTCCGCGGCAGATCCCACTGCTAGTCTAGAAGTTAGTACTCGGATGTCAAAATCGGAAGTTGGTCGAACTTACAATTCACTTCACCTTCGGCAGCGTCTGCAATTGGTTGAATGTCGCGATGAGTGAGACCCTCCACAGTAGATCCGAGGTCTATGTGAGAGATTAGTAACGTGGTTAATCGAAGCTTCAAAGTGCTGTTCAACTTACCACTGACTGCTCCGGTTGCAGTATCCACGGCGGAATTGACCTGGCGCTCAACAACTGATGGGTTGTCAGTACTCGAGGGAGGCATAATTGTCAATGATGATAGATGAACATACAAGGGACATTTCCAGCGTCACGGTCAATAAAATAGGCTCCACTCTCTGGGTGTGTTTCTTGGGGTCGACCGCCCGATTCTGGCTCGCGCTTAACAGCTTCACGGAGGGTTAGTATGGTGGCATCGGTTGATGAAAATAGCAATAGACATACCGGAGGCTGTATTGGTAAGTGCATTCTCACCAGTACCAGCAGCACTGCCAACGAGGCCAGTTACACCTTCGAGAGAGCCCGAAACATCAGAGGTAGATGCACCAGAAGAGTCAACATCACGCTTTTCACCAGCCACACCACTTATCACGTTTTTAGCAGTACCTTCCAAGCCGGATACAGCGCTTGAGATGCCAGTTTGACTAGGCATGGGGGCAGAAAGAACAATCCCCACAACGACGAGGGAAGCAGCAAGTCCGGCGAACTTCATTTTGGCGGTGTGAGCTTTTTTAGTTGAAGAGAGAGTGACGAGGCTGAGGCAAGTAAAGAGATTGGTAGGGAGAGTGTATGACTTGGATGATACAAACGAATTCCCCAGGTCAAAGCTAGACTTTATAGACATAATAAACTAGAACTAATAGTGTTTTGTATATCACCCACATGAGGCACAACAAACCCCTCGCGTGCAGGAGAGTCACGATGCTCAGAATTCGATTAGCTTAGAATTTGCATTTTGTCAGGTGAGACCCTTAATAGCACGGGTAATATCACGATCGACACAATACATGAACAAGGGTGCTGTTTAACATATCATGCATGATAGTATGGAAGCTGCAAGGGGTAAAACTCCCAGTGTCAATGTATCTCCCGAGGTGCGATGAATGACGACCCTTGAATCAGCAGTCATATTGATCAAAAAAGTGCGATGTAGTACGCATGCAAGGATTGAATTAGAACTTGCATTTTGGATTAGAAGGCCATGGATGAAGCACAATGCTCTTTTTATATGGCGTGCTAGGCCCCAGGCAGTTATACTGGACTGTCCAGGTGTAAGATCAAGATCAATTTGAGAAATCTACGAGGCATAGACATTGACTATCTAGTTCCGACTGCGTAGGCAACCTTGGAAACTCTAGGTATCTACTGTAGGTAGCTATTTACTTAGTGCATATGCACTTAGGTAGTTCTAGGACCAAGTGAATTTTCAATGCATACCTACTCAGTTGTTCTGCGGGCAGTTTTCGCTTCAACCCATGGAGTTTAGCTAGGTAGAAACTTGATAGAGTCCTAGAATGGTGCTTGATTCTCTCCAATCTAATTCTATATAGCATACAATAATTTTTACAGTTATGGTCTTAGACGCTTTCAACAATACAAAGCCACATAGACTTCCTTGATGCAGCATAACACTTCGGAATCCAGTTGTCAATTTGCTTCTCAAATTGGTTCATCATTTCCCCGGCCCTCATGATAAACTCGCGAATCTAGCCAAAAAAACACCTTCAGTGCGGCAGCAGCCTTGCCAGCTAGCTCGGAGACGACAGTCAGGCCACTGTAAACCACGGTTGCTGCATCCGGTTGCAGGTATGGAGAGAGTTTTCCGATTTCTGTGATGGTAGTATTGAGCAAATTATCCCATCATTTGTCATTGTTCTTCTTTACTTGCTTAATTTTGTCACTTAAGAGACTCTTCCATTTTACTTCACGGCTGGTAACCCTCATGGGAGTGCATAGAGAAAACCGATGGTGCTTTACAGCATTTCACCGCTAAGAATGTTGCCCTTTTACGCTTTTCTTTCTTTTACCTCTGCTGATCCTCTATATAGAACTCATCCCGGATTTCATCTGGATTGTCTTTATACGTTTCCTGGACACCATATTTCTTGATCTAGGTAATTAGACACCTAACTGTTTGCGTGCGGAGTCGATAGTTCTTTTCTTTCTATCAAATCTAGCCAGCAGTAGGGGTTCAAGTAGCATATAGCTGAATCATATTTCATCAAGTCATAAATGCGGCGCCAAATTCCTTGCTATCTATACATTTCCGTCAATATCTAGTAAATGATCTCAATCATTAAGCACACTGTATGTGACGAAAGATTTATCCCCTTTCCGCCCGGCAGATGGAGAGGTAGAGTCCTTTACATAGTTAAATTGACCCTCAGCATCAGCCTCTCTGCATGACAGAAATGACTCGAAGTTGTTTCTCGGTAGGAACCCAGCCAATATCGGTTTTGTTGAAACGCTTGGTCAAATCACGCTAGGAACGATCATGAACTGACATAACAATCCCCATGTCATCGACCTTGGCTTTCTTCTTGCGAGACACTTTCTCTAAGAACAGTTCGTAGCTTCTCTTCTAGAAACAGCCGCCAGTAGGCTCCCGGAGCCAATACTAGATTTTCAGGCCGAGATCAGTGGACATTACACCAAGCTGCCGACGAATTCGCCGAGCAGTTGCTGAATATGGGCAGTCAGGTCACCGGCATCGCTCGGGAGGGTAATAGGGTATTCCCAAATATCAGTCAAAGGAGAGAACTCTGTTACCTAAACGCAAATCTCTTCGTCTGATACCATCACCCGAGCAGGGCTTGTCGCGTGTTTTCCAAGTCTTCAGATGTTCCAAAGTTAGAAGTTTAATGCAGAGAACAGCGGCAACTAGGCAACCTGCCTAAGCTGGGAGGCACATGAGCAAATAAGTTATACCAATTGATATATATATACCTAGTCGACTGGTGATTCTTCTTTAAAGGGGATGGAATGTTAGGATCACTGGTTTGTTGTGTAAACAAGATATCTATTTAACACACGCAGATGGGCGATACGAATTATACGAATAAATTCTACGGTGACAAGATTACTTCAGGAACAGGCAACAATGCAGACTAGGCAGCGAAGGCTCACGTGCAGTCATCAAAACATCAATTCAAATAGGTTCGTTGGCCGAGTGGTTTTCAGATGACATAAGCTAATGTGTGAGATGCCTGAGGCGAACATCGGTTGCCCTGTCAACAGTGGGCACTATCCCTAATATTGACCAACATAACATAACAGCGGGCTTTAGCGCGGCATGGCAGCTGCCCTGACCCATAGGAGTCTTCTTCCACACTTTCTATCCCATTCAATCTTGAACCCTCCCATCCACAACATTTTTCCATTGCCTTTTTATTTCTCCTGTTGCTGGGTTGTATTATCCTTTGACTTCTTCTATCTCTAAATTGATTGACATTGTCGCGACTCTCTCAATTGGCCTGTCATTAATCAGTGTCGAGAAAGTGAGGGCAGTTTTGCGCAAGCTTGAATAGTTTACTCCTAGTTTTCTCTTTTTGTCCCATCTCTCATCAAAACACCATCATGTCGTCCGACGCCGGTCAGATGATTGAATACATCCAAGGTTCGTTAACTGCAATATTGCTATTGTTGCCTAGAAAATGTGTGATTGCGGGGGCTAACAACAAACGCAAAAAAGATCGCCTTTACCTGGCATCCTATGACTCGACTCCGAGTTCTAGAACTCCTTTCCCCTTTGCGCAGGACATACCCAAGTCTCCATCCAAGCGATCCGCGCGGCCCACTATGACGTCCCATAGCAAGCGCCGGTCTCCTGTGTATTTCACCGTCGATGATACTCTCCTCTACAATGCTTTCCACGCTGATTTCGGTCCTCTCCACATTGGTCACTTGTATCGCTTCGCAGTTCTTTTTCATGAGATATTGGGTGATTCTGCAAACAGTGAGCGACCGGTTGTCTTCTACAGCAAGACTGATGCCCGAAGCCGCGCAAACGCCGCTTGCCTAGTAGCCTGCTACATGGTTCTGATTCAATCGTGGCCCCCTCATTTGGCGTTGGCACCAATCGCACAGGCTGATCCCCCATATATGCCTTTCCGCGATGCTGGATACAGCCAGGCCGATTTCATTTTGAACATCCAGGATGTGGTGTATGGTGTATGGAAGGCCAAAGAGCAGGGATTGTGCGGACTGCGTGACTTCAATCTCGAAGAGTATGTATTTTCCATTTTTTCCTTACCGTTATGCCTCGTTTCCTGACAATTGAAATAGATATGAAAAATTTGAGCGAGTTGATATGGGTGACTTCAACTGGGTGACTCAAAACTTCCTCGCGTTCGCCTCTCCGCAACATCAGCCCGTTGCACCCATCCCCATGAATACACCCGAATATGACGCGCTTCCATCCAGTATTTCAGAAATCTGCTCTTCCAAACTTCCGCTCGCATTCAAGAATGTTCTGGTCCACTTTAAATCTCGAAATGTTGGCTTGGTTGTGCGATTGAACTCGGAACTTTACAGCCCATCTTACTTCACAGCGATGGGAATCCAACACATTGACATGATCTTCGAGGATGGCACCTGTCCTCCCCTCCAGCTTGTGCGCAAGTTTATCAAGCTTGCTCATGATATGATCACAATAAAGAACAAGGGAATTGCTGTGCACTGTAAGGCAGGCCTCGGTCGGACAGGCTGCCTGATTGGCGCCTATCTTATCTACCGCTACGGCTTTACTGCCAATGAAGTCATTTCCTTCATGCGGTTCATGCGCCCTGGTATGGTCGTGGGTCCCCAACAGCACTGGCTTCACCTGAACCAGGGCTCTTTCCGCGAGTGGTGGTTTGAGGATAGCATGCGGGAGAAACTTGCTCAGGCTGCCCCCGTTACCCCAGCCCGTCACTCGACCAAAAAGCGCTCCAGTAACGGACCGATCTCTACCCCTCCCAATAACAGTCACTCCAAACGTGCTGCCCTTGGTGAGATCGACAACAACACCGATACTCATGCCAACCAACACGAGGAAAACCTTCCTGCCCCCACCCCGGGTCAGCCTCGCAAATCACACCGAAAGGATTCACGTCACCATCCCTATGCTCGGACTGCATCAGGTGGTCTTGCGGTGGACCATGACGCTAAAAATGGAGAGCAGCGTAGCCAACGCGGTCACCGGCTAAGCAATGACAGCAGTGAGAGTGAAGAAGAGGCTCAGCTTCGCATGCTGGCCAAGCGGTCATCCAAGTCACCTGCGGCAGCATCGACTACCCGGTCTGTTAGCTACTCGGCAACAGTCACTGCCAGCTACACTTTGACTGATGATGCTAACGAGGATCAAGAGAACTGGGTCGAGCACGCAGGTCCTAAGACTCCTTCCAGTCGTAAGAATACTAGCACCCCTATCCCAGTTACCAAGGTCCGTTCTAGTCCCCGGCGGGCAACAACCGACAGCAAGAAGGTTGAGCCTCGAGGAGTTCGAAAGACTAGTGCTCGAGTTGGAAGCACATCGAGCCCCGCTCGTGCCATCCGAGCTGGCCAGTAAAAGCCATGAGCCGTTTTTTTTCCTCTCATGACTGGATGCTCCGCGTTGTCTGCCTGTGGCGACAATTTCAATTCTACATGCCCACATGGGCAACATTTCGCATACCCATTTTTCTTTTGCATCTGAATGCTTTTAATGTGGTTCTCGAATCTCGATTTTGTTATGTGGTTCTTTCGGCGTCTCAATATTGGGGGTTCTGGCATTTTTCTTTCCGGCGTTAGGTTACTGCTTTTTGATTACGTTAGAAAGTTCTCACCATTTGAGGCTATCACGATTGATCCGATTGTTTCCTCCTTCGGTCTCTTCGTACACCCACGGCATCTACTTTGCTTTTTGTCCCGGGTTTTTCTTCCGTGTCAATATTACGCGATATGACAGTTTATCTATCACATTTCAAAATATCTTTCTCTCCTTGTATCGTCAGCAGTGAACGTTTTCCATATACCTCGAATGCTAACACCATGCTCACTCTAATTCCTCCTCTGTTACCTGCTGGGCTTCGGTTGAACGTTGTGCCTCAACACTTTCGATTGCTTCTCCGAGAGAAGCAGAACTTTATCATCTAAGTGAATTCGAAAACCGGTACTAGGCTCGTTCAGCAAGAATAATATTACATTTCTGACAGCCTCAAATCTGATTTCTGGAGCCTCATACCCAACCTTCCAAGGTTGGAAGTACACAGTGTTTAACTGTTGTGTATAGAACTATTAAGTGTATTGAAGGATTCAAGGTTCGTAGATCGGAATAAGTCCCCCACTTTTTTGACCCCTTTGATTGGATAATGAATTGGCATGCAGTGCATCCCAGCAACCCCCATGGGTTAGGGACTCGACAGAACAGTTCTCCTGGCCATATAATACACGTTCAGTTGACGCCTGGGGTCAGAGGGGGTAGGTGATTTTGCAGGGGGTCTCTGGAGCTCTGCCCCTGATACCATTTATAAGAGGAGTGGTTGTAAACCTTGGCCATAGTAATAACTCCAATATGGTAATAGTAATAGATATAGAGATGTAGAGTAGAGGTTAGTGAAGGAAAAACCACTTATTATATAGCTAGTTAAGCTACTCTTAGAGAATTCTAAGGAATCCTTCACAATATACATTTCTTTGTTGTATACTTACCAACTCTAGAAATTTAAGCGACTCCATCATAACCCAGAATTGGGTGACCACCAGTATGATAAGAGGGCTGCACAGGATATCTGTCCGTAGCGACCATCAGGCTTTGTGGGTTGACGGGTGCTGTCAGAAATCGGATATAAACATCTTTTACCTCTAGGGGTATACAAGCCTCCTCGAAGATTTTTACCACGCTGGCTGGGTTGTCTGAATAGCCGCAGAAGGCCGCCATCTGCGAAGTTATTTCGGATGATTTAATCAACAGAAATTATAGCTAGGTGAATTTCTGTCTACCTTCGAGCTCTCATAGCTAGATCTATCCCGATATGCTCAAAACACTTTCGTCATCCTTCTAGACAGAAAATGGGTAGGTATAATAATTAGTAATCCACACGTCTAGGACCTACTCACTAAAGTGAAATATGAACTTACCCTTGCTAGTTAATCTATCCGGCCCTGCTGATCATTTGCGGGTCGTTCTTTGGTATAGGCCAATGTCACGCCATCTAAATATTTAGTAATTGATATTATCTAAAGTTCATTGTTTCGGCCTTTGGAAAGGCCCGAATGATTATAAATGCGATTTGGTAGGTCACGGCTGTAGGCATAGTAGTTGTACCTGATTTATACCATGAAGGAATGGCTATACAGAGCATATTTCCTATAATACCTTTGCTAGTAGAAATGTCGGAATCGAAAGAAACATCATCTAGTCAAGACTTCTCGGACAAGGAGGTAAACCCGAATCCTTCATCCTTAGCGCCAGCAAGCGAAGCCCCTAATGGGGGAGTTAAAGCATGGTTACAGGTTCTGGGCTCTTTCTTTCTCTTTCTTAATACCTGGTAAGTATTTTCGTTATACTGCTCTATGATACAGGTTACTAAGTGACCACTCACTTACTAGGGGCGTCATCAATTCCTTCGGAGTCTTTCAATCTTACTACCAGAAAGAACTCATCCCGAATAGCTCCAGTTCTAATATCTCATGGATTGGATCTGTCCAGGCATGCCTGCTACTGATCATTGGCGTGTTCACTGGTCCATTGTTTGATGCCGGCTACTTCTACGTTTTGCTTTCATTAGGGTCTTTTTTGGTGGTTTTTGGCATGTTCATGACAAGCCTTTGTACTGAATATTGGCAATTGATACTAGCCCAAGGAATAGCTGTTGGACTTGGGAGCGGCTGTTTATTTATTCCCAGTGTTGCAATTGTATCGACATACTTCACCACGAAGCGGTCCTTTGCCACTGGTCTTGCCGCCTCTGGAAGCAGTCTTGGTGGTATTATTTATCCCATTATATTTGTTCGTCTGCAGCCACAAATTGGCTTTGGCTGGTCAACTCGGGTGATAGCATTCATCATGCTCGGCATGATGCTAATCTGTCTAGCAGTGATGCGCGTCCGAGTACTTCCTCCCCAAAAACGTCGACTTTTGGAGCCTCGAGCCTTTCTCGAAGTGCCCTTCACCATGTTCACCATCACTGAATTCTTCGGATTTATGGGGCTTTATATTCCGTTCTTCTACTGCATTACCTACGCCTCTGAGAAAACGAAGGCGTCTGAAAATCTAGCATTCTATATGCTTCCTATCATTAATGCTGGGTCCGTCTTTGGGCGTATCATTCCCAACTTCCTAGCAGATAAGACCGGGCCGTTAAACATTCTTATACCCTGTTCTCTCATTTCTGCTCTTTTGGCTTACTGTTGGATCGCCATCGAAAGCTTTGGAGGGTTTATTGTCTTTGCAATTCTTTACGGGTTCTTTTCCGGCACATTTGTGTCGTTGCCGCCCACAACGGTGGTCAGTCTTTCTCCGAGTCTTGGTTTAGTTGGCACTCGGATGGGTATGAGCTTTACTTTTGCAGGTTTGGGCCTGCTGATTGGAACGCCGGTGGCTGGTGCAATCCTACACTCATATGGGTGGCTCGGTACCCAATTATTCTGCGCCTGCTCTGTTGCTATAGCAGGGGTTTGCTGCATTATTGCGCGCTTTAGTAGAGAATCATCACTGATCGCTCAAGCTTAGACTCAACTCTTGGAAGATAACAAAATGTCAAAGTATGAATTGAAAATTACAGAAGGGACTTAATATTATAAGACTGGTCTTTGAATTTAAAACATCTATCATAAATAAGCTCAGTAGTAAGGCAGATGCCAGGGGTCATAGCGAAACAAGTTCCTAGATATTACAATTTAATAGCCTTTCCATATATTAGTGTCTCAGAAGCTTAGACTCTAGCAATACTAGAGAGACTGAGGTTCAAAAAAAGAGAGATAGGAGGTATGTTAGTCCGAATGGAACATTGGAACTCTGTAACAGAATGTCCAGAAATGAAGGTAGATGTAAGCATAATACGTAGTCTCCCATCTATTCCTCGCCAGATATACTCTGCCACCGCTACTCTGACCGCCTTCATACCGCCTTCCTAAACCGTAATACGAAGGGGGTGCTCTTTCCCCACTACAAGACTCAAATGTAGACCAATTCGGGAAATCCGGTTGCCCACCTCAACTTCAATCTCCGCCAGTTGTCAAGCCGTCACTCTCTGTATTCAAAATGAGGAATGATGATATACATCGTTCACGGTCGCCTGCAACTCGTCGGAATGGTACACTTCAATCATGCGAGCCCTGTCGCCGTTCGAAGCAGCGATGCGGCCATGAGCGTCCCATTTGTCGCAGATGCGCCACTAAGAAAATCAGTGATAAATGCTTTTATCATCCAGCTCCTATGACCAGGCGCAGGCTCTCGCAGCAAGCTAATTCAACAGTGGTACTAGCTCCATCGAATAGCTCAACTTCTTTGGAGCTGACCCGTCAACCAATTTCCAGGTAGAGAAGCGCTAAACCTTGTAAACTCGAAATGTTAAATCTGATCGTCAAATATAGCTCTTCCAGTCCCGGGGCATTGGGCCAAGGTCGAATTTTTGTATCATTAGAGCCACCATCTGCTCTTCCTGGATATTTAGGCTCAACAAGCTTTAGCGCGGTTCTCGCCGAACATCGCAACGAGATACCCTTTGAGCCAGAAGAAAACACCGACTCTTACCCTGTGTTATCTGTGGAGCCGGACCGAGTCCAGTCCGGTGCAGACGTACTTTTGTTTCTTTGGAATCTTCATGGCCGTCGGCAGTTGATTGAAAATTATTATCCTCGATCATGCAATGTGGTCGTACCTAGAGTTGTCACTGATGCGATCCTGAATTCAATCAATGAGGTATTCTCTGGTTTTAATTCCAACGATATAATGCCACAGTTGCAAGATCTGGCGACTCAGATATTTCAGAACTCATCTCGGTCAATGACTACGCACCAAACGACGACTGTTCAAGAATATTGCTCGTCCTTTACAGGTCGTAATACCCGTTGGGAGGCAATAGGTAGCCTATTTTCTCTATTCGGCCTACAATTGGTAGTCACGCCTGAAAATGATCCTATTTTCTTGGAAGGAGCCGACCAAACTTGGCCGAAAAATCGCCTTCTGGACCAGGTCATAATGGCAAGCACCATCTGCATCAACTTCTGCGATCAAACCTCTTCCGCTAATGAATTACTGGCATTTTTACAATACAACTATGTGATGCTTTTGACACAGCATTATGGAGACTCAAGTAAGCTGAATTAATGACAATACGATACAAAACACCAGTTTATTGATGATTTTCGAAATTAGGTAACAAAGCCTGGCGTCGGCTGGGTGATTTGGTGGCTACAATTTATACTGCTGGATTACATCTTGACACAGAGAGCTCGGACGAATATCCTTTTTTCCGTCTTCAGTGGCGGAGAGGATGCTTCATCTCGGCTTTCTATATGGACAAGACGATGGCATCTTTCGTTGGCCGCCCACCTCTCATGAACTATCGATACTGCAACCTAGAGCCTCCACTCGATGTGAGCGACGATGTTCTTATCGAAGGGGGTGCTGCTTTTGATCAAGCAGTATCTGAACTTGACAGTAACGGTTGGAATACTCTGGGACAAATGTACCGAATGACATCGTCTCGGCTGCGATTCCAGCTTGCCATCTTCAGAGAACAAACCCTCGATATCGCGTTAGGAACCAATAAGCCCAGTGATCTGGTTCGTAAATCCAAGTAAGCATATCCAGGCGGGCTTTTCACTTTCTTTCTGTGACTGACTTGGGTTTTTTTTTCAAACAGCGAAATACAAGAGCAGGTGCGTGCTGTATGGGAAGCAGCCCCCGATCATATTCGATATGACCGACAGGTACCAGATTCTCTAACAGACGGGTGGCTCGCGATTGCTTATATTTATCTCAATTACCTACACACGTGCTTTCTGCTGCAGCGGACACTCATCAAACATACAGGTGCTGAAGAGGGTGCACTGTGCGATATCTCCCGCCGTATCCTGGGCATCGTCAATCAAATTTGCAGTCAGCGAAATCCGCTGGTTGACTTAGATAGACATTTTTCTTGGATTGTGAGTTCATTATCTCCGACAGTATGTTCAATATGCAAGTTGAACGCATTACTGATACCATGCAGGCACTCACGTACGGACTTCCCAGTGCAAGTGTTTTGCTTGTGGAACTTCTACACCAGTCACAACAGCCCAGCTCATATGTTGTTCTCCTCCCTCGCGCAGAACTGATACGCAATCTGAGTGTTTTCATATCACTACTGTCATGGGTGGCACGTCCAGGCCATGGTAATTACAGTACATGTAAAGCGGCAGAGAAGAAATTGTCTCTGATACTCGATCAACTTTTGGACCCACAGCCGGTACAGGAAGATATGGTCCACGATGTCACATCTGGCCTATCCAGTTTCTTGGACTGGTCAAACTATAATACTTGGGACTTCAACTCTGAGTATTTTCCTGTGGCTGATGCATTCGTGCAATGAATCCAATCCTAGATATGGATTAGAAGCAGCCAAGTCAATCATGATCTACGCTTTAGTAGTGCGCGCAATCATTGAAGTCATCATCTCATAAACGTGAGTATTTGTGAGAGCAGAATTAACATCATAATTGCATGAATTACATAGCCCCCCTTTCCATCGAGATCATCAATTATACCATCCAAGCATAGACACTTCGATGGGGCGTCTCCGCCACAAAATACGCCGAGTGACATAACGGGCAATTGAAGTGATCACCCAAGAACCATTTCTCCAAGCACTCCCTGTGAAAGACATGCAAGCATTTCAGCTCGCGAATTTCCTCTGAGCGATCCACTTGTTCCAGGCAGACGGCGCTTGGTCTAATTGTCAGTCGCCGGATTTGTGGTATCTGTGTTCGAAACCGAACGGGCGAGATTCCCTTACCAGATAAATTGGCCATCTACTGCCTCTGAAAGACCCATATTGCCTTTTGTCTCGGCCCACCACTGTCCTAACTCTCGGACGGGTGACACAACATCCAGCTTCGCCAATCGCTCATCGGCATTTATTTTCGGACTGAGGAATGTTTGGCGGTCGCGTCGGTTGATGATGACTGTCAAACTGGGCGATGTTAGCCAAATTCCTGTCGTACAAGTCGGAGGATAATTGGAGAACGGGCAGAGACATTCAAGTACAAAATCGGCGATGGAAGGTCATGCGACCAGAGTAACAAGGACATCAGAAATAGTGGGCAACAGAGATGAGGGAAAGCCACTCACGCCAAGCTCGAAACAATCAACAACACCACACCGAGACCAATCCCTAGGACAATAGCCAAATGGCTTGACTTGAGGTTATTGGTATCAGTCATCTTTCCCCTCCCTCCTCGATAGTTTTATCCTATCGAGTTAATCAGTCATGAGATTAGCTCATACTTCGGACTTTGTACAGGGAAGAAGAATATAGCTTTTACCTTTATAGTAAACAATAAACAAATGAAGATGAAGCTTAAAATGATGACAAGGGCAAAAAAAAAAGACAAAAAAAATAGAATAAGAATGTTGATAGCCAGAATGGCCAGTAATAAATGAAGACTGGCGTGACTTTTCTCAGATGATCGACCTGTCAAAGCGGGGGGTTAGACCAGTTCATGTGCTTTGACGCGAGCGATGCGCCACAGCTCCTCCCTGTATCTGTGGAACCAATGGTCGAAAGATGCCGGGAATATTAATCGGCTGAAAAGCCCTTGTTCCACTTCCCCGACTTTTGTGGGGTTAAACATCGTTCTTTAAGCTGTTTCTAGAGTTATTTGGTTTCAGGGTTGTTACTTCAGCTTATTGTCGGCGAATACCAGCCAGGATTGAAAGATGTATAGTTGTACAGATTTAAGAGTGTAGACTGCAGTTTCGCTTTGCAACTTTGCGCAAATGACTACTTCGGATTTAACTTGGTGGAATTACTATAATGGAAGTATTATGTGCCGGATTTCATATGCCAGTTCTTGTAGTTCTTCTTCTGTACCAGTGCTTATTCGCTGCTTTTGCTCCCTGACCCGATCAATGAGTATTATATAAACTCTCCGATTTACTCACTGGGCATCAGGTAAAATTCAGCAATCAGTGGGCAGTCTGATTCACTAAGCAAAATTTGAGCTGATTCGCTCACTGAGCGGCTGACTACGTATTTCCCGTCTAACCGGGAAACCCTATCAAAATTTCAAAATCACCATTCTTTTAAACCTTTATTTAAACACCATAACAAATTAAATTCAATTAAATGATACGATTTTGACATTGATTGATTTTATGCCCCTTTGACCACATCCAGAACAGGTTGGTTGACGCCTAATAATAAGCATATTACGCTGTTCAGTCTCAGTAAACACGTTTTGAGCAGCTTCAACATCAGACATATAAGATGCATCACCACTATTCCCATCGACACCATTGATCTCAAGCTCTTCTAAACCCCTAAACTACCTTTATGCGTAATCTGCTTTTTACTAGTAGCCCTTTTTTCATCTGTTTTTCATTAGCTTCTTCCAAATAGCCTCAGCGATCGTCTAGAAAAATATGGTGATGGACCGTTCGGATCGTGCGATCATAATGCTTTTAAATCCCCTTTTGATAGGCGATGGAACGAATTCTGATAAAGGTTCTACGCCTAGATCGATGTGAAATTTCGATTTTGCTAGCTTTTTCAGTGTCCAAATAGAGCTAGGATCACTATCGCTGCCAGAAGAGAATGGTCGATCAGAGGTGGATTCCAGTAGTGGTAGGTTTTCAAGTCGAATATCTAATCGATTTAAGACTTGATCAGGGTCTAAATACAGTAAACGGGTAGGCTTAAAGCTATTTGTTATAGTATCAGCTTTAGAAACTCTACTACGCGCAGGGAATATCTCAAGGAAATCTTCTTTCTCGATCGAATTGATTCCGTTTCGCATCCAATTTGCAACATCTGCTCTATAAAACGTCTTCAAGGAGCAAAATAGCCACATCTAAAGGCTATAAAAGATATGAAGCATGTGGAGGCATACAGAGAGTAATAGTGTCGTTTCCCCGACAAACCCAATCGAATTCAGGCGTCAGATAGCTACTATGGCCATCTAATATATCAGGAGGCAGAATTTGCCATTCAGCATCCTAATATTAGGGATAAAATGTATATTTAGCCAATCGATACTAACTTTGTCACTAGTCTAGCTATTAGGACTAAGATGAAGACGCCAATCAACCCCCTTAGGAAGGAAATCAAACCATCGCACCTTAAACATCTTAGCTTTAAAGATGATATAAGGCGGAAGAGCTTCACTATTAGCTCTAATTGCTTCAATTACCGTCATCCATTCGCGATTCCCAGCCTATAAAACAGGTCTCCGCTCATGATATTCCGAGGAAGTAATGATCTTTTGCGTCATCTTTACACCCATCATAAAACCTCACTCGTTAAAGTTGAAGATAAATATCGTCCGAATTAATATTATATTTTTCAATAGTTTTTTAAACCACTTCAAACCATGGTGCGATAATCCTAGGATCTTTAGCTAAAGCCCTATTATAATCACACTTCCTTAATCGACGCGATGCCAGGTTAGGGTGTCGTTTAAAAAATTCATGTGGCCAGTTTTTGCCAATAGAAAGGCGGGTGTCAGGTGGTTGAGAATCTCGACCGGCGTAAAAGATTGGCCATATCTCTAAACATAGCAGGGGCAAGGGCTGCGCTCCTAAAATTTATGACGTGTTGGTCGCATTTCCCACTGATTTGTTATGCCATTTATTCTAGTACCTAGTATTGATCTCGGGACATTAATTGACCGTGCAGCCGATGCGACAGAAAGAAATCGACCATCATTAATAGCTTTAATAGTTAATACGATGCGTCCCTCCTGCTCTAGCGATTTATGTTGTCTTCCAGAGCGATTTGAAGGCATAGTAGTGGGTTGAAAATGGTGAGTTATGAAAGAGTAGATATTTTGATGTCAACCGGGAAATACGTTAAGTACTTCAGCCTCTTCCCTTCCTCTGTAGGTCGTTTTTATTATCCCATCAATAAATGTCGTGTCTTACTAAAATGATCGTTCATCCCATTCAATCAATCAATTGAAGTAAGATAAATCAAGAGGATATAACCATCCTTCATTAGTGGCGGCGATGGAGAGAGATATACTCTATTTTGAACGGATGCGGCGTGAATGTGTAGAGTAGCGCAATTGACAATTAAACAATTACACACTTTCTACATTTTCCCGTTTATATGCTATCATTCGATTAGACGACTGAATGGTAGTCCCCTCAAAGACAACACAATCGCCCGAGTCTTGTTTACGATTGATTGAGCCTATCATTGTATTTTGGTTGAAGTAGTTCGTCACTAGAAGCTCGTAAGAGGCTTAGTCCTAAACTAACAAGAGGGTCGCCCCGACAGGGCGATCAGGGCAGTATGTTCATCTTCCTGGTCCTTCCTCAACAATAGCATTAAGAAAGGAAGGAACTCTCCAAGTGATACGATTTGTCTTCCGTGCCGATTCTCCTGATAGCCTTTTAAGTATCTTAGAGCATTTTGAACGACCCAGGCCTAATCATGCCGAAAAAACAGGTTAAATTTAACGATATGGCGGAGCCCAGCGCCGCCTCCGCTGCCTCATCGGGCACTTTTACAAGCTCCATTCAAGACAAGGCGAAGGGCCTATGCAATAATGCTTGCTGGGTCTGCTTTTCGATCGATCCAGATGTCGCACATGTGTTTGTCAAGGGAGATACAGCCGTATGTACTTCTCCTAGCCTTTCACAACTTTATTAATGTGGAAAAATAGCTCAAAGAATGGCAACGTCGGGGACTGGTTAACTATGCCCCGAAGTCGCTGGCAAATAGTGTCCCGCTATGCCTGAACTGTCATAGGCAGTTCGACCGCACGAACGACCCCGGCTTGCTCATCATTCCAGTCGACATCAAGTATTCTATCAAATTCGAGCAAGAAGACATGACTCGCCGGGGCGATCGATCCCGAGAAGTACCCTCTGCGAAGGATTACTCGGATCATTGCCACCAAAAATTCTCCGAGCGATACATCGATCAATAGGAGCAAAAGCCAGGCTTGTTCAGGTCGGTCTGGCTGAAGAACTACAGCTTACCCACTGTCGTTAAGCCTGGGCATGGTGATTATACATTTCTCCTGGAGCCCAAATTTTGGTATGGAGCCCCGGTTGCCCTATTCCGGCAAGCTTTTCAAGCCAGAAGCTCGCCGTTTTATTGGGATGTCTTGGACCGTCAAACGATCGACCAGTTGGATTTTCTGAACCGACTGTATATGATCAGCAAAGAAACCGGGAACTCGGCAGATACACCAACTGAACAAGATGACAATGAAGAAAGCGTAGAGAAGGGGGCCGCAGAAGGAGAGGTGGAGAACTTTCCCAGGAAAAAGTCCAGATTTAAGTATTTGGATTTCGAATCCTCTAGCAATGATCATTTTTTCAATAACGAGATGATTGAAAAGTGGGCCGCCAGTGTTCATCCCATTGCTGTTGGAAGCCTTGTTTATCAATAAATTATTGAACGGTCCAACTTTGAGACTTTTGCCGGATTATTTGTCTAGTAAATAAGAGGTTCTTTAGACATTGTAGCCCTCCCAGCCAAGACAAGCCTCGACTTGCTAATGTTTCGAGTTCTTGACAGACTCAATTCATTTAGTGCTCACCTCCGAGAGGGAGTTAGCTCTGGGTCTTTTGAGGCCCTCTCCTTTGTAACCGCTTCTTGTTATTGATTCTCAAGCTCTTCGATATTTCGTCGAAGCGTTGCGAAAACATTCACTGCAGTTGTGGAATACTTCTGGTCAAGCTGTCAATCGTCCTGAAAATCCGACTTTGATGGAAGACGTGAGTACGGGGTAGCTGCTATGTCAGCGATCAACTGTCGTTCTGAATCTGCAACTTCGTAGGTCGGGTTTGTGACGTGCGAGAACGAGTACTTCTGCGATGGGCTTTTCTGATTTGTGTTTTTCCGACGGTTTGAAGCATATCGCTTGAATGATACGCGCATGTGCCACTGCCGGACGTGTGTCTTGAAACGACGCTCCAATCGGACATACCCCGTTCGAGAGCTCATTTAGGTCCTGTCGTTCGTTATCGGACAATTCCCCCGATCACCAGCCAAAGCCTCATCGCGTAAACACATTCACACGAATAACCGCTTCTCTTTTCAAAGGTTTTTGCGCGCGTAGGGGGTACCTTGTTCAAGAAGCTGGTTGACGCAAAAATGCAGACTTCTGGTTCTTTGCAAGGGTGCCAACTTCTGTCATGTTGTCTTTCAGCTCGCTTAAATCTTTTCCCCAGATTCATCCCGGCCTTTAAAAGGCTTTCTCGAGATAATCGCTTAGAATTGCAACGAAGAGGTGTAGAAAGATAGATGGAGTAGATTTTGGCGCTAGGCCTAAGAAGTAAATAAACTATACTGACGCTAAGCCTAAACAAGAATGGCCAAATGTATTGTCGAGGGTCACGTGGTGAATAAAGTCACGTGAAGACGTGCTCCCGCGCGCTTCAACACAAAATGAGACTAAACAGTTGAAACTTGACACGATAGTTAGAAACATCAATATATCTACAAAAACCAGAACCCTACTGGGTTGAGGGATTCCTGAGATCGTAGCACATTCTCCATCGTCAAACACGCGAGGGCCCCCATGCTGCCAAGTGGAGAATCGAATTATCTTCGAAGAACCCTGTTCTGGCTGTACGCGTCTAGAAGAATGGATTAAAGACGAAGAAATAGGTAGAACGAAAGGCAATAGATACTACCCAGTGTACTCCGTATTAAGAAATCGCGTCCCCACATGTAACCAAGTGAAAGATGCATGTGTCACTAGCGCGGGCCGCGTTCTTTTCGACGCGATTAATGGGGACGCGGCATCTCCGTACATACTCCCGTATTCTTGTTCTGCTCCAGCCTCACACTACATCCTTCCTTACTTTCTAATTCCACTTCCCTTTCCGTGTTAATACAGTTTATATACACTCTTCTTCTCCCCAACCTCCTTTCTCTTCATGCTCTCTTAAGCGGGAACATGTCTGACCAGGAGCCTTCGGTGCTGGCGGCCTCATCTCCGCCATCTCTCCCGGCCACCGACTCCAATTCTCTCACCTACGCCTTCTTGGTACATTCTCAAAAAACCCTTACTCAGGATCTTCCACCTCGCATTGATAACAAATTACTTGCTCGGCAAAAGAGGCGTCGGACCAGGTATGTTGACGCAATTCTCACCGGCCTTTCAATACGCGTCGATTCTTTTTCTAACCGAACCCCATAATTGATAGCCCTGAGGACCATGCTATTCTAGAGGCCGAATATCAAATGAACACAAAACCAGACAAAGCTGCTCGGACAAGTATCGTGAACCGCGTCTCACTCGGCGAGAAAGAGGTGCAGGTACGCGATGCCAAGACCATAATCAAAATTGTTCTCCCGTGTCTGAACTGACCCGTTAACCCCTCCAGATCTGGTTCCAAAATCGCCGCCAAAACGATCGTCGAAAGTCGAAACCTTTGCAGCCACACGAACTAGTCGCTCCACGTAGTATGTCTGATCCAAATGGTGACGAAAACGCGTCGGCGGAACCGGGGTTCTCGAGTGGGGCAGAGCAGGGTGACAACCACGACCGACCGGAAGGAGCCAGACCAAAATCATGGACAGGAGAACTGTTGCAGTTATCTGAATCGGATCCAGTGGCAGAAAAGGAGGAATTTTATGCACAACTCCTGAGCACACAGACTAGCGTGGCAACAGATCCTTTAGATACTCCACCCACCACACAGGAGGAGTTTCCGGAGGCCGAGTCGGGACAACACACCAACATTTCATCACAAGAGTCCATAATGCAAGCACCGAAGCGAAAGAGAGCGGGATCAGATATTCGGGAGGAGGCACACCATCAACCTGAAGATGAAGCTCATGGTCAACAGATCGAGAATGTTCTTGCCACACCCGTTAAATCTCCTCCTTCATTACGGTTGTCTATGTCATTCGATGGCGAGGCCATGATACGAAGGAAAGATGAGTTGACTCCTTCCCCTCCAAAGGGCTGCAACGCACTGCGTATTGCCATGTCGTCGGACGGCAAAGCCGTCATCCGCTCAGAGAATGAGCCGTCTCCGTCCAAAAACCGAGTGGCCATGTTCTCAGTGCGTCGAACCAAGTCTTCCAGTCTGCGTCGTAGTTCCAGTGCCATATTTCCGGCCACGCCGCGATCAGTCATGGGAGACAATGAGCGGGTATTCGGCCGGTCTCGCGATCCCCGCAATTGGGAATCATTTTTCGACACAGACGCACGAAGCGCCCTATCCACCCCTACCAGTTCTCAAACAGCTCCCCATGCTTCCCCTAGTCTCTTCCAGTCTCGCAGTCAGCGCTCTCTATCTCGCACCATGTCAGCACGACACCTCGCTATCCAGGCCGAGGCTTCTCGCACACCTTCCTCCCAATCAACAGACAAGAAGCGAAAGCTCTCTCGTACCGCGTCCTCATTGGCGAGGCTAGAAACCAAGAACTCCAACTACCCTCAAAAAATGATGAACTCGAAGTCTAGCAAACCAGGCCTGGAGCTGGACCCTAACGATTCCGACAAGGAGAATTGGGTGCCGGGAACTCGATCATCCCAGGTTCGTCGACGTACAGCATCTCACACTTCACGCCCTATCTTGCGGGATGCCAATAGAAATCGGGGTCTTGGCATATCTACCGGCAAACGCAGACCATTCGCCGGCGTCCAAGGCAAAGGTCCACAAATAAGCTCAGAGGTGTCTGCCTTCATGTCGAGTGGCGGTGGAAGTCAAGAAGATGATTTGGACTGTGTCCAGGGTCTTTTGTCATTGAGCCAAGGGGCGTGGCGATAAGTGAGGGGACATCTACATATGACATGTCTCCTTCCCGATGTCATTTAAGTCTCCTTTCCAACTTTCCTCCTGTTTATTCCCTCTTCCTTTGATTATTTCCTTCTGTGTGTGGTCTCTCATGCCCTCGTCATTTCCCTTTCATTTTTCATGATCCCTTATGCATTTGTGATCTTCACCTGTCACGTGAAACCATGATCTCTTGTTTCGAAGGTCCACTGGGCCCTGTTATATTTCTCTCTCTTGTGAATCTACTGTCCTATACTATCTGATTGCTCGTCCTTTGGACTGTGGATATACACGGCCAGCTGAGTAATTCACTCTGACGGCTGACTATCCCAATCAGAGAACCTGTAGGATCAAATATCCCACCATAGATATATTAATCCTGAAATGAAATCCATTAACGACCATTGACCAATCTACACATATAAAAGACTGAATATGTTCAGTAGTAGTTCGAGTATCTAAGCAACCATGTGCAAGGCATTCAATTCAATCGGAACTAGACTTTCATCCACCGACTTAATCCATCTAAGTCGGCTTTCTCCAATCCACGACTCTCACAAATCTGCGCCGCAACGCGCTCACCACTCCAGTAAGCACCAGTTGTCGTACCAAGCGCCACAAACGGCGCAGTATGCTCACCAGCAAACCACAATCCGCGCTCTGCATGCACCCCAGCCCCAGAACGTAACGTCTCAATATCCCTATCACCCTCCTTCAACCCGACCTGGAAATTACTATATGACCCATACCCCGCATACTGGTCCGCTCCCCAGCGCGTACCAAGAAGCTCTCTAGGCACGCAGTCAGGCGAAGCGGGTGAATAACCCGGTAGTCGTGAGTAATAGGGTTCGACGAATTGGATCAGCGCATCTCTATATTCCGCCGAAGTAGGGTCTAGTGATGCGATTCGAGCAACTATTTCTGCACCGCAGGCACCATATGTGTAGAAGAGGAGAGTGGGGTGTGAATATGGTTCTGGGAGAGAGGCGAAGGAGAGACACTCTTGCTTCCATTCTATGTGTGATGGGTGGTTGTCGTAGGCTGGGTCGAGGAATTGGGCGAAGACCAAGTCCTCATTCTGTGCCACATTTGGCTGCTTGCTTGCAAGTTGCCAGAATGCGCGCGGGAAAGTAACGTAGATTTTCTCTAGACGGCCGTATGAGATGCTATCTATGGCTGAGAGGAGCCTGGTTGGGAGTTCGGGGGTGAATGCGCTTGTGTTACGCTTCAGCCAGCCTAGTGGGCAAGTCACTACTACTTCATCGAAGGCATAGTGATCTCCTGTGGCTGTGGTCACGGTGACCTTGTGGTTGGAGGCATTGATAATATCGCGAATGGGAGCATTGATGTTCACCACCGGTTGCTCAAGTTTGATAGAGGCATGTGCCAACGCTGGCTTGGCCACATACTCCAAGATGCGCTTGTAAGTCGAGGAAACAATGTAATTACCTATACCATGGTTAGGATATTAAATAAGAGATCAGACAAGTATATACGCACTCCCATCAACACATTCCTCCAAATGAAAGAATCTGAGACTTTGTCGCTCGACAGAATCGCCAACATAGGCACCCCATAATTTGGAAGAATCCAGCACATACTGCTTTTCTTCTGGGGTAAAATCCGTTTCTTGGACTTTGTCCGCGAAGAAGTCGAACAGACTTCGCTCGGAAGGAATGCGATCTGAATTTTCACGGCTATACGAGAACGCATCATCGATGGTCTTCCACACGAAATTTGAGATCTTTACTGCAGTGTCTGCATCGAGAGGATGTCCATCGCGCGAGACGATAAGAACCTTGCCCTCGGGATCATTGAAGGTTGTCTGTGTCGCCTCGGCAATGGTCATGATCGGGTTCTCCCCCGCACCATGAATCCAGTTGGGACCGCTATATCATAAAGTTAGATACACTATTTGATATAATGAGAGAAAGCGGCACACACATATCAACTACATGACCTCCAACTTCGCCCTGGAGAACCTAGATAAGGATACATCAGTCTGATGATTTCGCCGAGTTGAAGAGTCGAAGACTACATCAACAGGTCAGGGAACTGACATACCCTCCCGCCAATTCGATCTCTAGCTTCGAGAATGGTGACCTGAGCCCCGTTCTGAGTCAGGATATCGGCACAACGGAGCCCTGACAGGCCGGCTCCGATTATTCCTATATGGGGCCTGAAACTCATTGTGTAAGAGGCACTGCCGGGCTTACGGAAAGATGAGATGAGACGAAATCCTTGAGCGTATTTGAAGGCACCTCTGAACATGAGGATCTTCAAGGTAGTTGCGAGATTTGGTCGAAGTTGATACCTAGGTAGAGAGCGTGGGGTCAGAAGTGGGGGAAAATGATTGGTACCACTCAATCTATAGAGAAATACTAGCTTTCTCTACGAGTGCTCAATGAGATAAAATGTTCTACTTCTTTAAAATCACATTTCTGTTTGAGGTTCATTCTTAGGTTGTGTTGAGGACGAGAGGCTAGTGTCCTCTAACCTCGTAGCCCCATGCATGATACATGAGACATAGAAGATCCCATTCCCCCACCTGAAACGGATCGCTTGTAGATAGCTTCATAGTTGCCTGTTTAGGCCTCCTGCTACTGAGAATGGATGGCCAAGTCGATTTATTCACAGCATACATTGAAACATACCCAAGTTTCATATATGGTTTACCATAATCCTTTTATCCAAGCCCTTAGGCCAAGTAAATGATATTTTTAATTCTTCATCTAAAAATTTGCAGGGAGAGATGTAAAAAGGAAAGCAAAGGCCAGGCAATAATTTGAAATGGTATCGAGCATAGAACGGCGAATCAAAAGCACGAAGGCAATGTTGCGCCGAAACGGGAATGGTTATGCTCAGCATAATGAGATAGGAAATAAGAAACCCAGACGAGTATTCCCCAACGAAATGACCAAAAGCAAACAAAGGAAAATAAACTGCAAAACAGACTCCTTTTGGTGATGAGATCGCTCCTCTAACATGGAAAGATTTAATAGAAAAATGGACGAGAAGATATGTACGGTGCAAAGGGGGGGTATCAAGTGGACGAAGTGACGAAGTGATGAGGTTGTGTCGGGAATGTCGGAGGGAAAACTCTTAAGAGGTTGACTGAGCTCAGCTCCCGGTAAAGAGAACGTGGTAAAATGTCGGGATCAGTTCCTATTCTGAATGGCTGCATATTGGACCCTGTCAATCCCTGCAGGATGTGATAGGCTAGTAGCCAAGATGCTGATTGGTTCCTTTAATCTTCCCAGATGGTCTCCAAGTCTAGATCCTGACGGCGCTCAGCACCGCAGACACTCCATCGCTTGCGTTTATCACTTCGGTAGGTGTTGGGACCTCCTCGCATGGCGTTGAATGAACCGGAAGGAATATAATCCGCTGTACCGCGTCGTCGGTTCACATTGTTATCTTCATCGTCCGCATCGGCTGCAGCTTTCAATTTGGCGATACGATCATCCTCTTCAAGAGCCTCGGCCTCAGCATCGGGGATATCGGCAATAGTTTCCAATGACGAAATGCTAGGACTGCGGGAGCGGAGACTGGTGGGAGTAGACGGCACAGATGAAGTGGTAGAGTTCGAGTTACTTGGATAGGACTCATTGAAACGTGAACTCAGTATTGGAGAGGCGTGGGGAGATGGCAGACTAGTCATAGGTGGTTGAAAATTGAGGGGAGAGGTAGAGCGCATGCGACCGACGCGAAGGAAGTGCTGCTGCATTGGGACGGGAGAGGAACTGCGTGGAGAGCTAGGTGAGATGGGGGCCGTCTCAAGTTCCGCATTCTCGGAAATAGTCTCGGAGATGTTGAGTGATCCGAGGCGGGTTTCGATATGATCGTCGCGCATCTGCGAGGGGAACAAGCGTTTCGAACTGTCGACTGAAGGTGCGGGTACCTCGCGGCCGTTGACAAAGATATATCTTCCATGAGAGTCAAGTCCTGGGGTGGACCATACGCGCGTCATCGATGGCATTCCCGGGATTCCAGCCAGTGATCGGGAGCGTAAATGTGATCGGGCCACAGGAGATCGGGTACGAGGCGATTGTTCGGAGAGAGATAGATTGATCATGACGTCCTCCTTTCCTGCCCGTTCCGGAGATACGGGATTGTGTACAACTCGTCGGTGTTCGCGGGCATCAGAATAATGAGAGCGCATGGCCTCAGGTCGTTGCGACTCTTCCATGGATACGATCAAAGAAAAAAAAAAGGGGGGGGGAGGTGGGGAAGGAAGAAGTTGATTACGCCGAGCGCATCATTAAAGGCAGGGAAAGAACGAAAACTTTGGGCCGGCCAAGCTTCGAGAAGATAAAAAGAGGTTAGGATAATAAAAAGAAGAGGAGGGAAGAGGGGAGGAAAGAAAGACTGAGAGGTGAAAAAGGTTGAGGCGGAAAGGCACGGGGTCCAGACCGCAGCCTCAACTATACTCTTTTTGTCTGTCAAACTGCATATATTCCACTCCCCAGTCCCTTTTTACAAATTAACTGCATTATATTGATTTGAAAATCAAAAGTAGTTCTCTATACTCATCCATCATCCCAGCCTCCCTAAAACGGCTGTACTGTTACTGTATAAAATCATGACGACAATCAAGGATGCAACCATGGATCTACCGGTCCACGACGGAGATCGCATCTTCATCTCCGCCAATTATAATGTCTGAAAACAGTCTATGTGAACGTCGTACGTCTTCAGTATTCCTTAGATCCAATAGCACATTCCATTTTACTATCTAGATATACAGATATTGTACCTGCTTACTATATTATACCAATGAGTCATCTATTTACCTAGATTAATCTGTAGATATTACCTGGAAGGACTATGAGGCTGAGACTGAGGCTGAGGCCTAGCGTAATTCTGTTCTGATGGTAATCTCATCTTACACCTAGTCTCTTACTATACCGTCAGATATCACCTTAAAATCTATAATTGGCTGGACAAATAATGGTATCTGGGTAGGCAGCACGGTCGGAATGTGCAGACCGAGTCAGCCAAGAAAAACCAACCACAACCACGAAAGAAAGCTTAATGAAAGTAGGGAGTCAAAAAGTGAAGAGGTGTGTAATGGTGTCCATTCTGTAACTATCACAACTTCTAGATAAATGACGACTCGGCTCTGCCGCTGCAGACCGCCTTCCTGGGTTACTACGGACTGCCGCATAGGGCTACTACAGTAGTTACAATATTCTATAGAATATAAGAAAAGGAAGAAATTGGAGGTGAGAACTAGGCATAATAAGAAAAATAGGAAGTAGGGCCGTATCTCAGAGTGGATAAACCACCCACTTCACTCTCTTTCTCTTTCTTTCCATCATCGAATAAAATACATTTTCACCCCACTTCCAGTATTTCATCTCTCATTAATATTGCCTGAAAATCTCACTTAAACTTCTTCCCTTCTAGGCTTTAGTAGCAACCAGTACCGTCTTTTTCTATTTGCACTAACTATAAGGCGACAAAGGTAAGAGATATCAGGGAAGCTAAGTGCCTTTGTGGAATGTCTATCGTAGAGAGAACGAATCAGACAGTGCCACCACTCTCCTCCACAGCCGTAATCTTCCAATGGTTATAGTATGTCTTGAGCAGATCCGGCATAGACTTGAAGTTCGAGGTCTCGGGCGAATCTGCCAGTGCTTTGCGCAGATTTGTGGTTTCATACGTGGACATTCCGTTGCTTGTATCCCACCAAATTAGGCTGTCCGCCAGGCTTTCCTGGAGCATAGGAGTGGCCACTTTCATGCCTTTCTTGCCACCTTCCCGGAACAACTGCAGCCACTTGCTTGCAGAGATCTCTTGTAGGGGAGTGGGACAGCAATCGCTTATAATGTTGAAGGTATCAGCAAAGGTTATGGATTCATCTTGAGGATAAAGCACATTGAAGGCGTGACCGTGGCTTTTTGAAGACTGCGAGATATGCAAGATTGCTGCGCATAGATAGTCGACTGGGACGAAGTGGGTGAGTTGCGGAGGCGAGGTAGGAAACGCTCCGAGTTGGATACAGTTGATCATTAGGCGACTGGTTAGGTCTTCGGGCTTATCAACTCCTGTGACGCTGTCGCCCATCACAAACCCTGGGCGATAGATGGATATAGGGAAACCGTTCCCAATTGCATTCCATACTATGCTCTCGGCGACGAGTTTGCTCCTGGTATATCCCGTATGCAAATCAAAGGATTGACGATCCAACACCGCCCTTTTGTCCTCTGGGATAGCACCTCCAGAGAGGAAAGGAATACCGCAAGCCGAGATACTGGACCAATAATGCAAAGCCTTGAGACGACCAGCATTGACAAACTTCAACACATTAAGGAGTCCAGTGATATTACCCTCTCGATGAGCAGAGTAAGGAAGGGTGTAGTTGACATGGGCCGCAATGTGGAAGGCGGCACTTGATGCCTGTGCGTGATGATCAAAGTCTTCCTTTGACATTCCCAAGTTCGGATATGCGATATTTCCCGGGACCACAGTCACCTTGCTCAGAAAATTCATGGGCAGAGAATATCGGGCAAATGTATTTTCAATTCGCCGCTTGCCTGATTCGGGATCTGTGGTTCGAACTAGGCAAGTGACGTTCTTGACATGTGGGAGGGCAAGAAGATCCTGCAGGAAAAAGGCACCCACGAATCCTGTTGCACCAGTCAGGAAGATTCTTCCCTCTGAATCCGAGCACCAGTCCGGGATAGTTCCAGCAATAGGCCGCAAGTTGATGCCTAGTTTCATGTCTTCCAAACATACTGCCAATTCATCCGGTTCCTCTGATGATGGTTGAGTAGATGTGCTGGGGTTTTCTTCTCCATCCAAATACTTCTTGCGCAAGATCTTAACTGCAACATCGGCAAGGCCTCCAACGGTACCAGCATTCGCTATCTCTACCAGAGAAATATCAATACCCGTGTTACGACGAAGCCAACTGCGTATTTCAATGCCCATCAACGAATCGATTGCAATATTGGCGAGTTCCTCTTTGCTCATATCCTCCGCATAGGCAAGATGAGAAGCAACAACCTTGCCCAACTCAACAGTAATTTTGTCGTGAGTGGCCTCATCATTCAGAAGCTCGGGATTGTCACGAATTTCATCCAGAAGAGAGCTTAGTGCGTGAGATCGAGTGACGGTTGTCGCTTTCCCACTGACAGCAACATTCCGCCAACGGATGAAACGACCTTCTTGCACAAGGGAATTTGTACCTAGGCTCCGTGTCCCCATTCCCACAATAAGTTGCGATGACGGATGAGAGAATTGAGAAAAGATGGAGATCTCCAAAGCTTGAAGCAGATGCCTTTCTTCCAAAATTTGGCCATCAAGGGTATTGAAGACTTTCAACGCTTGTGGGCTCTTCTCGGCTGCGTAACCAATGTCCCCCATAAAACCAAGGTCAAGTACACTTGCCGGTAGCTTATGAGAATGACGATACTTCACAAACGAATCGAGAAAAGTATTGGCTGCAGCGTAGTTTGTCTGACTGCCAAATCCCATGACACCCGTGACGGAACTGACAAGAACAAAGAAATCGAGTGGCGTACTTTGGAAATTATAATGGAGATTCCAAGTCCCTTGCACCTTGGGCTTCAGGGCAGCCGTCCATTCTTCGTGTGTCATTTTGGAGAACATCTGATCCTTGAGTACCATTGCCATCTGGAAAACACCTGCGATGGGGCATTTTGCTGCTGAAATAGCCCGGTGGAGGTCTGCTTCCACGGCGACATCACCTGTAACCACCGTCACGCTAACCATACCTTGATTTTCTAGGTCTTGAATGAAGGCCTGGGTATGAAGGGATTCAGCACCGGACCGAGACAAGAAGATGAAATTGCGGGCGCCCTTTTCCACCATCCAAGTGCTGATCGCTCGACCAAGTCCCCCGAGCCCGCCGATCAAAAGATACGAGACGTCTGGTCTGAAGATAGAAACGCTGCTATGTATCCCGGTTATTGGCAGACTTTCTGGATCTTCTGGCATTCGAACAACAACCTTACCCATATGTTGGCCTGTTTGCATATAGCGAAAGGCTTTGATAACGTCACGAGCTTCAAAAACAGTGACCGGCTCAATGCGCGTTAATTTCCCTTGCCTGAAGTAGTCCATAAACCGGTCAAGAAGGTCTCGAAGGACCATCGGAAACTCAAGAGATAACATTCTGAGATCCACCCCACAGAAGGAGCGGTGTTCAAGGAAGGCTCTCATGTCAAGTTTACCGTGGCCCAAGAAGTCTCGCTTTCCAATTTCGACCATTTTCCCGAATTTGGCGACGCATCTCCACGAGGCATGAAGCAGTTCGCCGGCCAGAGAGTTGAGCACCAGATCAACCCCCCGTCCATTCGTCTCCCTAAGCACGCCCTGCAGGAATGATGTGCTCCTGGAATCAAATATACGACAAGCTGGGATTTTTATGACGTTGGTGAGATAGCGGACCTTCTCGTTTGTCCCAACTGTGACATATATCTCTGCCCCGATCATCCGGCAAACCTGAATTGCAGCCAATCCAACGCCTCCACACGCGGAATGAATAAGGACAGACTGGCCTTTTTTAAGGTCTCCAACAATGATCATGCAATATATTGCCGTTGCAAAAATGACTGTGAAGGCCGCCGCATCTTCCAGAGACGTTCCTTCAGGAATAGGTTCGCAAAGAAATGCTGGGACAATGACTCGAGTGGCAAAGAGACCATCATAGATGCAACTGACTTTGTCGCCGACTCTGAGATGCTCCACGGAAGACCCTACCCGACGAACAGTACCACTGCCTTCAAATCCAAGTTGGTCTGTAGACCCCAAAAATCCCATGGTAATCATCATGTCCTGCACAGGTTAGAGCCATGGAAGTGGCCAGCATAAAGCATAGGGACAGACTTTGACTCACCCGGAAATTCATACCAACATATTTCATATCAATTTCAACTTCACCTTCTTTCAAATCGGGTGGAGAAACTGGCGACATGGAAATGGCCCACGTTAACGAATCAAAAATTCCATTGAATTTGATATCCAATGACCTTGCTGCCGACAGGTGTGGCACACTGGCCAGCTGTTGATCCAGCGAGGACCATTGAAACCTAGGCAAAAGAACCTTTCCATCCTGGAGGGCATATTCATAATCTGGATCAAGCCACGACCTATGAGATTGAACCTTCAAATGTTGGAAAACCTTGAGCACAGAAGTCGTGGCAATGGTATCAAACTGATCAATTTCTATAGTCGCAAACTTGACACTCAATTCATGTCGAAGTGTTCGAGCCACACCTAATACCAATGCAAAACTAGGATCGTCACAAGCGATTTGGAGACTCTTTGTGATCCAAAGGAGATGACATTCGGCTAGTTTGGAGATGCAGTTTTGAAACAAGACGAATTCATCAGCCGACAAGTACTGAAAGAATGGTTCTTCAAGGTCAAGGAGGGAAATAAGATCAGTCCCAGCCGAAGGTGTTTCCTGCAATGTGTACCACTTCACTGTATAGCCTGCAAAGGAAAGTGCTTTCTCAAGGTCGCGTCCCCATTCCGTGATTTGTGAATAATAAATTAGTCCAATCTGCCCTCCTGTTACATCCACATCGGCAGCTTTCGTTCTCGAAAGGAGCACTGCTACCAGGCTCAGTGGTCTGTCATTGGCATATCGCACGGCTTCGACACCGGTGAAGTTGGCTTCGATCAGCTCTTCATGCCATCTCTCAACAGACAATGCAGGGCTGTCTGGCCGACCGTCATTCCCTCCTAGCCACCATCCCGGTAAAATGCCCATCAAGAAATTGATCGAGGGAAGGTCTCCACTGAGCTCCTGCATGAGTAGCCGACCACCGGGGGCTAGAAGCTTGCGGACATTCTGTAGCGTGCTGGATATTTGAGGCGTCGCATGAAGCACATTGCCAGCCAGGATCAGATCATAGCTCTCCGGAACATAGCTCTGCTCTTCTGGATCGCGAGTGATGTCAAGGGTTGCATATTCGACGGCATCGTACTGATGGAACCGCTCTTGAGCATCTGCTATAAATCCTGGTGAGATGTCCGTGAATTTGTACCGTGAGTAAAGTCGGCCACTGTCTGGATTGAGACTCTTGAGGGCAATGGATGTCAGCCCACCTGTTCCAGCGCCGATCTCAAGGATACGAACGGCTGGATTGGATTGACCTAATAGTGCGAGGAAATCTTCACAAGGTGCAGCCGCAGACATATTATCAAATAAATTTTTCATCCCATCATTCTGCATGAGAAGTTCGAGAGGATTAATGCGACCCTCCAACACATCGTGCAGCCCAAAACAGACTCTCTTCAAGAGTTCGAGAGTAGGCTTGAACATGGGATGAGACGCGTGTGCTTCCTTGTTCAATGCATCGGCATAGGGACTGAAGATGCTAAGTACTGAAACGTCCTCTTCCCTCATCTCAGGAACAATGTCAGTCGACTTTTCCTGAATTTTCTGGTAAAGGTCTTTAAGCCAAACATGATATTTCTCAAGGTGCTTCGAAGTGGGAGTTGAATGTCTCGTTAGACGGTATGCTTCAGCCACACATACACTCGTCAACTTGGCCATTGTCTGCCCATTGAAGACCGGTTCATGGGGCGGGAGTTGTTCTTTAGGGGGCAGATAGTCGATATGCGGCATCCAATGTAAATTCGATGCCAGTAGCGTATTCATGTCATCTGATTCTGGATCTTGGATACTGAAGAAGAAGCCCCTTTCCATGAGGAGTGAGACACGATTGTTTGAGAATAGTGTCGCATGCGCTTCCATAGTACCACCGATAGTCTCACAGGAAACATTCAGGTCCATTGGTCCACGACCTTCGCTAACATATAGAGACTCAATGGCAGTGGGTATACACATCCTTGTTATTCGCCGCGAGATACCTTGTGTCGCTGCTGCACTCAACAGCTGCAAGCATTGATCAATAGAGGTTGGATGAAGAGCGTAGTAGCTGTCGTGCGGTGGCTCATCGCTATGCAAAACCGCGGAAGCCTGTTGCGTGGTTGCACTCGCTGTGATCTGTTTAAGTCCCCTGAAATGGGGGCCATAGTCCAACCCTCGCTTTTTCAGTGCGCGATACCAGTTTTCTGAATCAACTTTTCGAGAATGGGTCTCTCTGGGGGGAACATCGTGCTCGTGCTCCTGATCAGGCCCCCCACGGACCTGGCCCACGACGTGCTTTTTCCATTTTCCGGTTTGAAATGTCGAAATCGTAAAGTCAAACCACATGGAATCAGCATGGTCTGTGATCTTCTCAGGCCGCAAATTCGTCATTATCTCTGTGAAATCCTCTAGGACCAGGGCATTGCGAATAAACATGTTTCTCAGCGAGTAGTCTGATGATCCAGTCACTCGCCGCACAGCTTCACCTGCCATAGCAACATAACCGGCGGCAGGAAAGACAATATCAGTACCTAGCTTATGATCCATCAACCAAAGAACATTTTCCAGCTTCAAAATGTTTCGCCAGGATGGCTCCAATTGATTTGACTCTAGTGTGTGAGACCCAAGCAGCTCGTGATGAGGATATTGGCGATTTCTCCAGTCATGAACAATACGAGGCTCTTCCCAATAATCCTCGTTATGCTGCCAAGAATAAGGCGGAAGCTCTGTCAGAACTGTGCCTTGGGGAATTACCGAGCGAAGATTAATCGAGGCGCCGTGTGTGTGGAGGTTGCCAACTGTGGTCATAAGACTTCTCCATGGTTCTTTCTCCCTGATGATTGTTGGGGTATATCGATGCACTTGTGTATTCGCATTTTTGATTGACTGTCGAATTGGACCGGAAAGCGCGGAATGGGGTCCGATCTCCAGGAAAAGCTTTGGCTGACTGTCATCGTTGAGAATTCTTTCAATTGCGGTATGAAATAGAACAGGGGACTGCAAGTTCCTGCGCCAATAGCTGGGGCTCAGAATAGAGGGATCTGAAATGATTGTCCCGGAAACAGTGGAGTACATTGGAATCATTGACGGCTGATGAGACAAATGAGGTGAGATCATCTTCTCGTATGCTTCACCGGCTTCAACCATATGGTGCGAGTGATACGCGACATTAACGGCGAGCTTTCGACAAAACGTGTCCTGGTTGTCACCGCGGATGTTATCCAAAACCTCTATGAGTGTCTCACTGTCTCCAGATAGCGTGACACTGTCCGGGCTATTATAACAGCCGATGACGACGCCCGGCTTCAGGAAAGGCTCAACCTTTTCAAAGCCTAGGCCAACAGCTGCCATACCACCCGAATGATTAGATTGATTCTTCATTGCCTGACCACGGAAATAAGCGATTAGTATCGCTATCTCAGCGGATAATGCACCTGACGCATAGCCGGCTGCAATCTCTCCACTGGAATGCCCTAGTACTGCATCAGGTGTAATACCCCAAGTCTGAAGAACATTAACAAGAGCAATCTGAACGGCGGTACAGAGTGGCTGTGCAAATTCAGCTTCTGCCACTCTACTTTGTTCGTCACATTTCAAAAGCTCATCTGAATCAAAACTGTTAACCTTGGTCTTTCGGAGTAGGGTGCAAGCTTACCTTCAATTGACCACAGCGGCTTGCTCTTTAGCATTTGCAAGACTCGATCCATCATCTGGATATCTTTTCGGAATCCTTGGACGTTTTTGATCAACTGTCTGCCCATTCCGGGCCACTGCGCACCTTGACCCGTAAATGTGAAGATGATGGGTGCACACATCGAGGTTGACCTTTCAAAAGACGAGACTTTCCCATCGCTTTGAGTGACCAAAAATGCGCGATGAGGCAGGTGTTCTCGTCTCAAACCCAAGGTATATGCAATGTCAGCTAAAGGTGACGTTGTTGTTTCAAGATATGCCTGTAGACGTTTGATCTGACCATCCAATGAGTCTTTTGACTTTGCAGAGACAACCAGGAGCTGTGGACTATCTACATCTGTAGAAACATTAGTCCGCTTGGAAGGAGCAGAATCAAGAATAACCTAGCAATGTTAACAGCGGTATTTTGAATAGAGAGAAATTCATACGTGAGCATTTGTCCCGCCAATTCCAAATGAATTGATACTTATTCTTTCGCTTCGATCTTTCGGCCAAGGGGTAGGCTCCACTGCTACCTTCAGCTTTGCCTGCTCGAATGGGACTGGCTGTCGATTAGTACTCGCTCGCGGATCTCAAATATCTAGGTGATCGCATACTGCTGGGGTTCGGATTCTGGAAGTGAACAGAAGGTGGAATAGTGCGATTTTCCAGCGCCAGTACACTATGAATCACACTCGTGATTCCAGATGCACCTTCCGAGTGTCCAACATTGGGTTTGACCTTGATTCGATCAGCATAAGCTCATAGACGGTGACAACAGACATACTGCTCCGATATGAATTCCTTTATCCCCAAAAATCTTGCCCACCACAGATGTTTCTGCCAAATCTCCAACCGTGGTTCCTGTACCATGGCATTCGAATAAGCCAGTTGAGGACACATCCAGTCCGGCTTTTCTATAGGCTCTTTTGATTAACCTCTCTTGTGCTGCAGACCCAGGAGTAGTGATGCTAGGAGTCTTGCCATCACAGTTCGTTGCACTCGAACGAATGACAGCTCGGATCGGGTCGCCGTCCCGAATTGCTTTATCTAATGGCTTGATGAAAATCGCATTCACAGCCTCTCCTCTACCATAGCCATCTGCTGCCGCATCAAAGGTCCTGCACACACCACTCTTCGAAATGACCAGATTATCCGACATTGATGTGGTCATGGTTGGTGTGAAAATGAGATTAGTGCCAGCCACCAGCGCGGAAGAGCATTCGCCAGAGTATAGAGCCTGACAGGCCTCATGTAGTCCTACCAGGGATGATGAACATGCCGTTTGGATAGTCAAGCTTGGACCTCCAAGATCATACTCATATGAGATCCGGTTGGAGAGGGCATAGGAGCCCGTTCCAACAACGCGATACCTATCATGGTCCTGGGGATCTCTGATCTTCACATCCAGCCAATCTTCTCCAAAAACACCCACATAGCATCCGATGTTCTTTCCTCTCCACCCTACTTGACCGCCATTCTCCATACACTCCCAGATAACCTCCAGGAGCATCCTTTGCTGTGGATCAAGCTTAGCGGCTTCGATCTTACTGATTCCAAAAAAATCTGGGTCAAAATGCCGGATATTATGTTTCAGAAAATATCCGTGCTTTGTTCGGATCTTACCCGGTCTAGAATCATCGTAAAAAGCGTCAATATTGTATCGAGTATCGGGGACTTTACATAGGCCATCGCGTTTGTTGATCAAAAAGTCCCAGAATTCCGTCTCGCAGCTCACGCCGCCGGGAAGTCTCATGGCCATTCCAACAATCGCGATCGGGAAAGGGACGGGAGTGTCTTCGATATCCATATCATCTTGATAGGGTTGAGTTTCCTCGCCCCCAAGCCTGGCCACAACGTCGCTTTGTAGAGGCACTCGATGAGTGATGGAATCACTGACGAATTCGCCCATTTGTACAACGTGGGAACGAAGGTTTGGTGTGAAAAGGGAATAAGGAGGCAAGAATGTAAAACTTCTTTCCAATTCAAATCGTAGTTAATCAATCGTCTTAATATACTATTTATAATTACTAAATTGGAAGTTCCCAGCAGATCGGATCCGAAACGAGCAATTATATTGACTAGCTGCATCGATCAACGCGCTATTTGTAATTAATCAATACTTGAACCGTCAGATACGGCTGAGGAGTGAAATAGATACATTGAATCTGTGACAGCTTCGAAATTCTGTATCACTAAGTAGTACCTACTATCAAGTGGCTTTCTTCTTTCGTTTGCATGGTGCAAGGGAGTGGGATTGTGGACATGCGACTTCCCCCTTCTCCTAGATTTCCTTCCCTTTTGCATCCCAGCCAAGTCAGAGTAGAAAGAGATGGCCGTACAGGTTATCCCTCTACACTCAAAGGATGACACATGGATGAATAGAGGGATTGCTCTCGAGTTCACCCTTCAGTTTGACTATGTTTTGGATCCAGAGCATCTCCGTCGGTCCCTCCAACGCTTGTTGGAAATAGGAGACTGGAAGAAGTTGGGAGCTCGTCTAAAACAGAGAGTACGTATCCATTGCGTTTCCTGCTTCTTGGCTCTGACTACTAATTAGAATATCTAGCATGGCAAACTTGAATATCATATACCCGAGAAATACGATGCAAAATGCCCTGGATTCACTTTTTGTACCACGACGCATGACGAAAGGCTGGACGACTTGCTTTCCTCAAAGCTTCCATATTGCACAAATTCTGCGACTATCTTCCCTTTCTCGGCTGCGAATCTCGACTCCTTACTTTACAGATCTGATTCCCCCAAGAAACTCGAAGACTGGATACATACAGATCGACCACAGCTAGATATTCACCTTGTAGTCACCTTAAATGCCACCCTGGTGAAGCTAACATGGCTGCATACTTTCATGGATGCCTCGGGGCGGGCTAGTTTGCTCAGCGCGTGGGCAGCCGTTCTTCGAGGTCGTGAAGATCAAGTCCCACCGTTCCTCGGGTTCTTGCAAGACCCCTTGGCGGACATGAATGCGCAGCCACTACTAGAGTGGTTCGTCCGGTCACAGTGGATATTGATGCTTATGCAATGGCTCGGACCACTACTGCTCATTATAAGTTGGATTTGGGAAATGCTACCATGCCCAAAACATGAAGATCGACTGGTCTGTATTCCAGGATCCATCGTGACCGAGATGCGAGAGGCGGCAATACGGGAATTGTCCGTGTCCGTGGGAGCTGTGGATGTCTTCATCAGCGAAAGCGATGTTCTATTGGCATGGTGGGCTCAGTGCATTGTACGTTCCATGCAACCGTCAGGGCAAACCCATGTCACGCTCCTGAACAACTTCAATATCCGGCCTACTTTTCCAGACCGGTTCCCACAGCATATGACCTACGTCGGAAATGCATGGCTGACTGCCCATACAATCCTTACCGCTGACCAGGTGCTCAAGCGGCCGGTAAGTTATCTGGCTTCCAAGCTCCGGCGTTCTCTTGTAGCCCAGCGCTCCAAAGAGCAGGTCAATGCGTACATGGCTGTTCAGCAAGGGGGCATGGATAAAGTTGGGGTTACACTTGCCTCAGCGATGGGCGTATCAAACATGTTGATCCATTGCTCGAACTGGCATCAAGCTAGGTTTTTCGAGGTGGATTTCTCCCCTGCAGTCGTTGGTCCAGTTGAGAAGACCCTATCAGTGGGAAGACCGAGACTGATCTTAACCAAAACTATCTATCGATGGCCCATGCTAATAAATAATGGATCGGTGATAGGGAAGGACACAGATGGGAACTGGTGGCTGACATGGCATTTGAAAGAGGGACTTTGGCGAGAAATTGAGAGACAACTAGCGGTAGATACAATTTAATGACCTTTCCAAGTCCAATCGGCTGTATATTTCCCACCAACTTCTAACATCGGCTCAAACAAAGACGGCAAACGCATTTTCAAACTCATCTTTAAGACTGTCGATGGGGCCAGCAATCTCAGAATGGCTTGATGCTGGAAGTTTGGATTTTGTCAAGGTCTCGAAAACCTCCCTTTCGCCACCAAAATGACGAACCAGGACTTGCGCGAAAATTTTCAGACCCGCAGAGTCTATATTATCGATCTGTATTTCGTAAGAAGAAGTCAGAATTGTATTAACAATCATTCTTACTTACCCTTGAAGATGCGGTTTCCAAAGTTTTGGAAACAGCCAAACGAATGCCATGATAGTGGTTCAGGTAAGCCTGGACCTGATCAGGTGGGACCGAGTCCAAATCGGCAAGGTCTTTTCTCGCCGAGCCGCTAGCCGTCAAAACGTTATACAGCTCGAAACCACAGCTCAAACTCTGTACAACACCGCCATCGAAGGATTTGATGCAGTCTTGGGTGGAGAGGATTCGCTTGTGTAGGTTTTCGAAACCAGAGAAGACGGTGTCTGCGTTGGTGGTGGCCAAAGCAGCAGGGGCCAGCAATGCTGAGATCAAACCCTTGTTAAGTCGCATTCTAGTTACGAAGAATGTTGTAGATTTGACTTCGTGTTGTCTTATGTTCTTATAAGACTCGTCACGCCAAGTGCCAAGTAAGGGATATGTATATACTTTAGTCGGGTGGGACAAAAAGAAAATATAATCAATAGCTCGTGATGGCATCTTGTACAGGAGTCGAGCCTTGTTGGGCTCACGGGATCATCAGCATATTAGACAGATCTGGTAGTTATTACAGGTGGCGAAGGAAGATGGAATCCCAATCCAGATCAGCAAAATTGAATAATTGTGTCTAACTATGAATGCTTTTTGCTGTTTACGTACGCCTGAGGCCTCAGGTAGCTGCCGGGCTCCAGGTCAACAGCTCCTTCTATATACCTTCTTTCTCCTGCATATCACTACGTTCTATATGCTCATCGCTGCTTTTGCACTTTCTATAGCAAGTATTTGGTCACTGTAAGGATCTAGTATGCGTACAATATAGAAAAGTAACGTATGAATATGTAAATGTATCAAAGCTAGAGAAGGGAGCAATAGGGACGGGGAACAAAGCCATGCAGGATCGTGGGTCACATAATAAGGAAGTTTGTCTCGATTGGAATGTGAGAGTCACATCTTATTCAGTGTGCAAACCAGTATTCGATTCCAAAAAAAGAAAAAAATACTTCAAAACTTATGTGTCAACCATTTATCCACTAGCTATTCCCACCGTAAGCCCTACCAGCCCGCCTGAAAGGAACGAAGTGTGAGGACGACAGAACTATTGCATGCGTACAAATTTGTGACGAGTATTTTTCAAAAATCACGATGATTGGAATGCGTGCTTTCACTGTCACTGGGCTTTTCGTTCTGTCTTTCCTCGCGTGTAAGATTATATTTACACATATAGAATAGAAATTAGGAAATCAGCTCGATGGCGTGGCCATAGTATCTATGACATTGCGAGAGCTGATACAAGAGAGGAGGTATTTGGTCCTTCATTGGGGTATTGACAAGAACGAATTTGGTCCTCATAAAGATCTCAATAAAGTTTAGTCAGGCCGTGCAATTGGTTAGTCTTTCAATTCCATAAAACACGTGTACGCCTTAATGTCTAGATACATTGCTTCAACCAGAAAGAAGCACCTGCATAGCCATTACGATACAGGCTCCAACAGTTTGATAGAACTTTTATTGATTGATTGATTGATTGATAGGTTGAGCATACAGTAAGCGAAAAGTGTGCAGGTAAATAAGATAAAAAATCACCCATAGTAAATGCGGCGGCTATTGTCGTATCAAGCGCATCAATATTTCTTCTATCATCTCTTGTAAAAAGGAACTTCGCTAATTCCATCAATGATCTAGTAACTACCTTGAATGATTTACTTGACACTGCTGGCAACTTTAGCTATACAGCAAGATGTAGCTAGCCCACAGGGAATACGTGATTAATTTCACTGGCCGACTTAGAGGGGCTTTTGTGGACTTCTAGGGCAATTTTATATCCTGTTTACTCGAATTCACATTCTTGTTCAAAATGAGCCCTTCTTAATACACTGATATCTTGTAGCATTGGCTGTACGTCTGTAATTGCAATCACCAGTATCGCATATAGAGCTTTGCATCCTCAGTTTATCGTTCCTTTATCCCGATATATCAATTGGATGACAGCACGAACCAATATCTCTATTATGTAGGAAACCTCAAGACTGTCTTTTAGATTGTAGCTTTATGGCCTCCCTGAAGATTTGTTTACTCGCACTTAATATACTTGGTGAAGATAAAATATTAGATAGATTACCTGGTCTGCAGTAGGACCCCGCATCTGAGTAAGAGAGAAGAAGGCTCCATAATTATTTGATTAGAAAATCCTGAAAGCTTTAGATCTTTTGGATGTTGACTATCTCTTTCACGTGAATGGAGTCCCGTGCACCTAATCCTGCTCCAATACAATATTTGAGTTGGTTCTCAAAATAAGAGAGCACTAGCCCTACATGAAACTAAATGCCATTTCTATGGACACATACAAATGAGAAATTCAAGGCCAATAAATAGAAAATGAATATGTGGATGTACCATCCAACTCTCCTGTCCTTATCTCACTAGATATTGATACAGGGAACGCTCGTAGGCAGTGCAGTCAGAATACATAGGTCGATTCAGCTATTAAGTAGACGTTAGAACAACTCATGTAATGGTGGGAATGGAACTCTGTAGCAGAATGTCCAGAAATGAGGTAGATGTATGCATAATGGTCTAACTATGGGACGAAGTCCTATCTATACTCCTCACCAGCTACACTGTCGCCGCTACTCTGACCGCCCCTCATACCGTCCTCCTAAACCATAATAATAAGGGGTACTCCTTCCCCACTACAGTAGGTGGATCTTCAGAAGTAGTAGCAGCATCTTCTATACCTAGGTCTAGCTCAGACAAAGATATCAAAAATTGAATGTGAAATTACAAGTACATCATACGAGACAAAATGGGATATCTACAAAAAATGTCACTCTAGAAGTCCGTCCGCTCATCTTCCTCTTTGCATGTCCTCAACATGTTCTTACGAACATATGTTTCGCGGACTTGGTCACCCTCATTCTTCATCACAACCCAATCACCCATACCAAATTCCTCTGGTGCAATACGGATACCACGACCTCCACCACCAACAATGACATTACCAGGGCGGTAACTTGGATCCGCTTGCATGCGGCGGATCGCAGATATATGAATTTCTGCATCCATAGGCACATCACGAACCTCACCCCGAGGTAGTGGCCAGCGGATTGGCTTCCAAGAGCCGTCTGCCTGAAGATCCATACGGCGGAACGGTAACCATTCCATGATCTTCCATGAGATGACAGAGCCAATTGGGAGCCCTTGATTGAACTCCAAGCAGTCATGCACAAGTCCCTTCGTACTGGAAGTGTGCAGTGCATGCCAAAAGTCACGACTTGCAGCCGAGCGTTGTTTCTCATCTGGCCCGATTCGGAAAGCTTCGGCACTGTCGTCAGTTCCCGAAGGAGCCTCACTGAGTCGTCGCGCAGAGATCTCCCGCTGGATTGGGCTGTACTCCCCTTCGAACTCCTCTAGGCACTGGAACTGTTTCATCTTGCGAGAGTCTAGCTCCAGACCAGCTTTCTGGGCTTCTTGGACCATCCAAACTAGCGGTGCATGGCTCAATGCCCACATCTCACCGTTCTTTAGCTTCCACCCACCACCAATATCCGCATGGCCACCGGGGAACCAAATTTCGTGAATATCCTGCTCTTCATCCTCCGGGTTATAGTCATCACCGCTAGGTATCTGGATGGAAATGTTTCCTGATTGGCCACTTTTGATAGACGTAAGATCTTCAGCTGACTGGCCCGGTTTTGGGGGTGCAAGGCTTGAACGCCGTAGAGACGATGCACGGTACGGATGGGGCTTTTCAGCTTCAAAGTTGACAGAGCTTCCAGCAATAGATGAGCCACCATGATGTGAGCCACCATGATGAGAACCATGATTTGGGGCGTGATAGTATGTTTCGCCATCACTAGGGCCCCATCCAGGGATTTGGATATTAGGTCCTAGTTCCGGCGCACGCTTCTCGTGACTTGGACTTTCATCCTCATCGTTCAAGCGGATGGCAGGGATTTGCTCGTCATTGTCACCGTGCTGATCACCTTGACCTACGACATCTTGGCGATGGAAGTGCAGATGATGTTGACGGTCTTCGTGGAGCCCTAGATGAGCCAGTTGGACTGGAAGGTGATGACGTTGATGTTTGCTCTGCTTTTCGTGAGGACGTGGACCAGAGATCAGATCCTGGCGGAACTTGGCGCGGCGCTCGTCGATACCAACAGCGTGTCGAATAACCTTTGCGGAACTGCGCGCAGTATATGGAAACTTGCTACGCTGCATCCAGGCATTCTCAAAGCGTGGAACGCTATTCACAGTGTCGAAGAGACCCATAAACCTGATTCTCGAGATTGGACGACTAAATGTTTCGCGGAAGGCCTTCATATACTCGAAGAGGTTCTTCTTCTCCTCTTGCTCAATTTCCGAGTCCCCCTGTCGCTGTTGCCATTTAGCAAAAGTCTTCCAGGCGAATCTAATCAGTTCCTCGTTTCCGGCTTCGAGTAATCCGATGTAGTCAAGCATCTCAGCCAAGAAACGAGCAATGTATGCGCCACGACTGAACCCAATGAAATAGATCTCATCACCAGGAGAGTAGTAACGCATTAAGAACTTATAGCCTCCCATAACGTGTTCATCGAAGGATGAGCCAACCGCCGAATCTTTGGCCTTTTGATACCAAGATTTGATGCGTTGGATTCGGCCATGGCTTGTCAATGATTTCGATGTCACGTAGGTTCCAATTCCAGGCTGATAGTAATGGTATTGGTGACTTTGACTGCGATCTAACATCTGACCATTTTATTAGTTAAATACTTTTCAAAGTTGCTAGATGGAAAGTGTATGATACGTACGCGAAATATTTTCAACACATTGCTATCAGATTCATCACCAGCAAACTTATTACCGGTTCCATCAAAGCAGAGTACAAACTGCTTCGGAATTTGCTGAGGCCCAAACTGGTCTGGTAGAGCCATAATGAAGGAAAGTTATACAGTACAAGTTACATCGGGAGAGGGGAAATTTGTATAAATGGGACAAGATGGGGATAAATTACATGTCAATTCTAAGACGTAAAGAGGGGGTTTGTAAAATAAGTAAAATACTCAATATATACGTACGACGTAGATTATTTCCTTGGTTTTATTGGAAAGAATACGTCAAGACATTCCAGTGGAGCCGACTACCTCGCTCAGCCCTTATCGCCAATCATTGCTTTTTCTTTCCTTCTCTCTCTCTCTCTCTCTCTTCCTTGCGCCGTATGACTCAAACATCCACATTTACTGGCCCTGGTCTCTAATTTTGCCCTGACACTATATTTCCTTGGCTCTGGATTCTTGTTTTCTTAAAATATGCAGCCCTTCAACGGCTATCTCACAATCGTTGCACAACATTACGCAAACTTTGATCTGGGCTGAGATTCTGGATGCGGAGTTCGTTACTGTTCAGCTCCGCTAAAACCGAACGAACCCAATTGCTCCGTCCTGCATGGTTGTTGCGACGTCGTAATGGCCTATTGGATCCAGCCGGGGCTGGGACCTACAATATCAGACAATCCCAAGTACCGCAGTTCACTAAAAATAATCAATATTGTTGATCTTTTCCAATGTTATGAAGTCCAACCCGTATCCAGCCCCCGGGTCGATTAAACAAGGAAGAGGAGACGTTCATCAGATATATTCGATCGAGACTAGCAACGAAGTGGAGACACGCTAGGTATTTCCGTGCGGGAAGTACTTTGACCTCCACATCGTGGCCCACAGTCCCCACTCATCTCGTCACCTAAAGATTCCGAAGAGTTTTCATTGAACTTTGGCATCGCGGACTGCAACCTACTATTTCAAGAACTGACGTTTAATCCATCATTCTTGTGGGATATGAGATGTTCAATCGACAGATACGTCATCCATGGATGGCTTCGGACCTCCCGGTTCCTCCACAGTGAGGCTCATGTTTTTATGACAGTTTCGATTTACTCTTTGCTTAGATTAGGAATAAATACTACTTACCCCACAGCGTGAGCTCGAAGCTTTGCTTTTATCTACCACGAGGGATAGAAAATTTGAATTATGAGTGTTCTGATCCATCAGATTCTGATCAGTTCAATTCGGTAGATCCAGCTACCAATGGTAAGAAGCGGAATGTACTCATGCAGCTCGGTTGTACACTATGGCCCATCCAGGGGGAACTGGTGGGTCTTGTCGATCTTGAGGAATCGAGAGAAAAAGGGGAAAACAAAGTCCTGCAAGCAAGTTAAAAAGGTAACAAGGTAAGTTTGCTACTAATGTAAAGAAAGCCCTTGCTTGATAAGCGAATGAAGGCCCTTTACCTAATGTATGACAGCCACGTCAACTGCCCAAAAAAGCCCACCAATTACGTGGAAACTGGTGATCATCTCTAGCCAGCCACACGAGATACCTAGATATGTGTCTATTCATACAAAGCTCCACTTTCTACGCACGGTCTTGTATCTTCTAGGATCTCACAGTCCTACTCCGTAGTGTGCGGGGCGCTCTAGCTCCGAGATCTGCTCCATACACCGCTACTGTAGCTTGACCTGAATCACATTTTTGACGTATCCCGTATTCCCTACATTATGGAAAAAGCAAAGGGCCATTCTCAGAATATGATAATGTATGACGCAAATATCGCATACTTCTCTCCTAGGAGACACGGAATACTGTCATATCTCTGCTGCTGCGTCCAATTACCGGCTTTGCCTTTCAAAGAACTTACAAAGCGTTCCCCACTAGAGGTGTCGATGATCAATTACTCTGTTGAGATGTTCATCAGATAGAACTCTATAGCCATGATGAGATCTGACGAATTCAGCTCCAAGTAGTACGCGAGTCCTTCGATATGATTGGCAAGCAATGTCTCGAGTCATAGAGTACCAGCCATCTCCATGCTAGTGTTGTGAACCTATCCATTCCCAATCATATTTTGAGATGATGAGATCCAGTCAACTATTGGCGATAACAAATCCGCCACTTATGAAGATCCACTTGGCCTGCAGCTATGATCCTGGCTCCCACGCAGCTCTTTTTTGAATCCGGGTTTTAGAAAGCCTTTTTACTTAGGTCCTCGCCCCCTGTCCGTGCCCGTGGAAGTTTTTTTCAATTTCTTTCGTCCCAATTCTTTACAGTGGTGTTGAAAGTTTTAGACTTCCGTCACCATGTTGCGGAGATTTTCTACTACCTTCAAGCGGAACAAGGATTCCAAGGATTCAAATGGGGATATCGAGCCCAAGAGCCCAAAGGAGAACAAGCGCTTCTCCAGGGGTTCACCATCGCGCAAGTCCTCGTCCAACAATGAGGAGAACCACGTCGTGAAGCGTGCCGAGGTTGTCGCAGTTTTCGAAAAGTATGCGCAGGCCATTCACGCATCGCGCGAGCCACTGCCAAACCAAACTGGCGATGGCACCTACTTGAAGCACGACCAGTCTTCTGGTCTAATCAATGATATCAAGTCTCTTGGCTTCCGCGATATCAACACGGTCAAGGACTTGGTGAAATCTAAGGCTAGCGGCGAGCTTGTCGATGACAAAACTTATCTAATGGAGCGCATTATTCAGGCAAGTACACTTGTCCGAATAGTTTCCATCATTATGCAGCTGATTTCTAACGAAAATCTTAACGGCAGCTTGTTGCAGATCTACCTGGTCACTCCAAGAACCGTACCGAGCTCACCAACACATTCCTGGATGAACTATGGGGAAGTCTTCCGCACCCTCCTCTATCGTAAGTGTTCTCTAGATTTTGGCTTTGCAGCTAGGATCTACAATCTGACATTATGACAGGTATATGGGTGATGATTTCAAGTACCGCTCTGCCGATGGCTCTAACAACAACCCGACTCTTCCATGGCTAGGTGCTGCCAATACCCCATACTGCCGCACCATTCCTCCACTTACCATTCAGCCTACTGGTCTACCCGACCCTGGCCTCATTTTTGACAGTTTGTTCGCCCGTGAAAAGTTCACTCCCCACCCTAACAAGGTGTCGAGCATGTTCTTCAACTGGGCTTCTTTGATTATCCACGGTAAGCCTTCAAATGAGCCTCGAGATGCCGACAGTATCTCTAATTTGTTTCATAGATATCTTTCAGACTGACTACCGTCAGCAACACCTGAATAAGACTTCTGCCTATCTTGATCTCTCCATATTATACGGTGATGTTCAGGAGCAGCAGGACCTCATTCGTTCTCACAAGGCCGGAAAGCTTAAGCCTGATTGCTTCTCTGAGGGTCGTCTCCAGGCTCTTCCTGCGGCTTGTGGTGTACTTCTTGTTATGCTGAATCGATTCCATAACCATGTTGTTGAGGAGCTGGCTGAGATAAATGAAAACGGTCGCTTTACTAAGCCACCCGCCGGTCTGTCCCAGGAGGAGGCTGACAAGGCCTGGGCCAAGTATGATGAGGACCTATTCCAGACTGGTCGTCTTATTACCTGCGGTCTTTACATTAACATCACTTTGTACGACTATCTACGCACCATTGTCAATCTGAACCGGACCAACTCTACCTGGTGTTTGGATCCTCGTGCTCAAATGGAGAAATCCGGTTCTACTCCCTCTGGTTTGGGTAACCAGTGCTCTGTCGAGTTCAACCTGGCCTACCGCTGGCACTCGGCCATCTCTCAAGGTGACGAGAAGTGGATTGAGCAGATCTACTACGACCTCATGGGTAAGCCTGCTGAGGAGGTCTCCATGCCTGAACTGCTGATGGGTATGAAGAAGGTCGAGGGCATTCTCAGCCCGGACCCATCTAAGCGTACATTCGCCCGCTTAGAACGTCAGGAAGATGGCACCTTCAAAGATGAAGAGCTTGTTGCTATTCTTAAACAAGCCACTGAGGATGTTGCCAGTTCGTTCGGCCCCCGCAACATTCCAAAGGCCCTGCGCTCCGTCGAGATCCTCGGTATGCAGGCTGCCCGTAAATGGCAGGTTGGCTCCTTGAACGAGTTCCGTAAGCACTTCGGCCTGAAGACCTACGACACATTTGAGGAGATCAATTCTGATCCACAAATTGCAAACAACCTACGCCATTTGTATGAGCACCCTGACTTTGTCGAGCTTTATCCCGGTATTGTTTGCGAGGAGGCTAAGGAACCCATGGTGCCTGGTGTTGGCATCGCCCCAACTTACACCATCTCACGGGCTGTCTTGTCCGATGCCGTGGCTCTGGTTCGTGGTGATCGCCACTACACCGTTGACTACAATCCTCGTAATTTGACCAATTGGGGTTACAACGAGTGCCGTTATGATCTGAACATCAATCAGGGCTGCTCTTTCTACAAGTTGGCCACCCGGGCTTTCCCCAACTGGTTCAAGCCTGACTCTATCTATGCCCACTATCCCATGACTATTCCATCTGAGAACCGTGTTATCATGAAGAATCTTGGCCGTGAGCAGGACTACTCTTACGAACCTCCTTCATTTACCCCATCACGCGTTGACCTGGTCTCCCACCAGAGTGCCAAGTTGGTCCTGAACAATCCCCAGGACTTCAGCATGGCCTTGACTGGCGCCATTGAGGAATTATTTGGCAAGACGTTCGATGCAGAGACAACCCAGGCTTTGGGTCAGTCCTTCAGTACTGCGGAGTTCCCCACTCTTGTCAAGAAATTCTACGAGGAGACCACTCTCCGTCTCATCAAGGAGAACGGTGCCAAGCTGGCAAAAATCAACCAGGTTGACATCACTCGTGACGTCGGCAATGCTGCCCATGTTCACTTTGCTTCCGCGCTCTTTGGCCTGCCCCTGAAGACCGAGGCGAACACGCAAGGCCTGTTCACCGAGCAAGAGATGTACATGATCCTGACCACTATTTACACCGCACTCTTCTTCGACATCGATGCCCCCAAGTCCTACTCCCTGAACCGAGCAGCCGCTGCTGTCTCCCAGCAGCTCGGATATGTAGTCGAGGCCACCGTCAAGGCCGACGTCAACAGCGGCCTTCTGGCCGGTCTCATGGACAGTTTCCGTCCTCACACTAACGCCCTCCGTGAGTTCGGTAGCAGCGCCCTTAAGCGTCTCCAAGACTCTGGCCTGAGCTCCTCCCAGATCACTTGGTCGCAAATCATCCCGACAATTGTCGCCATGGTCCCCAACCAAGGCCAAGTGTTCACTCAAATTATCGAGTTCTACACCGGCGATGGCAAGCATCATTTGTCCGAGATCAGCCGCCTGGCCCAGCAGGAATCTAGCGCGAACGATGAGAAGTTGTATCGCTATTGTCTGGAAGCTATCCGTATCAACGGTACTTTCGGTGCGTATCGCGAGGCCAAGACCAACATGACCATCTCCGACAACGACAGCCTGGTCAACATCCAGCCCGGTAACAAGGTGTTTGCCTCCTTTGTTCAGGCCAACCATGACCCAACTGTCTTCCCCGAGCCCAACACCGTTCAGCTCAACCGTCCCTTAGATTCTTACATCAGCCAGGGTCAGGGCCCCAGCACTAGCTTCGGCCAGGAGATTTCCAAAGTTGCCCTCGTCGCCATGTTGCGTGTTGTCGCTCGCCTTCCGAACCTCCGTCGCGCAGCTGGCGAACAGGGTCAACTCAAGAAGATCCCCCAGGAGGGCGGCTACTATGTCTATCTGCGCCAGGACGGCACCTCGTACTTCCCATTCCCGATGTCGCTCAAGCTGCAATGGGACGGTGATTTTGAGTTTGCTCCATTGAAATCGACCTGAGTGCTGGAAGTGGCAGCTTACACCTAAAAGTGTTATGAAAAACAACCATATCACCTCTATTGAATTCGTGTGGATTAATATCTTCTTGCCACATTTTTAACTGTTTTTTTTTTTCGGGCAACTGTTTGCTCTCCAGTATATCTATGAATTGTACTCCAAGTTATCAAAGTTCTATTGTTGTATTGTATATACAGGTTACAGTACACTGAGTAAAGTCAATGATACTATTCACAGTCAACCACATGTTTTTCCCTTTTAAAAAGAACCTTTACCCCGTTAGATAACTTCAATTCTGCCAAGCCTCCAATACTTCGTAATCCACACCGCCTTTTATCCCTGGTCTATCAACATCAAGACGCAGGAATTTGGACTGTCCACAGCAAACAGACTTATATCCAGGCGCCAAGATGGCTCCTAAACCCCAAGCCAAAAGCGAGTACATCGAGACTGTGCGTAACAAGCTCCAATTATCAACTTAACCCCACCAGCTTACGCAAAACAGGACACGGGTAACAAGATCTCGCGTCGCTCCCAAATTCACGGCACACAACACATCATCCTAGGTGGCAAGACAGTAATCCAAGCCGAAGCTGTCATCCGCGGCGACTTATTCCGAACACCAACCACGACGGCATCGACCGATGGCTCAACCGCTCCACAAACCAACACTCCCAGCGTGGCCATAACAGTCGGTCGCTACAGCTATATCTCCAAAGGAGCAATCCTACACCCACCTAGTCGATCACATCGCGGTGTGCACTCGTTTTACCCGCTCAAGATCGGTGACCATGTCTTTGTCGGTGAGGGTGCTGTTGTGGAGGCTGCGTCGCTTGGGAACCATGCCCATGTGGGCGCAGGCGCTATGGTTGGGAGTATGGCTATCATAAAGGATTACGCGGTTGTTTTGGATAAGGCTGTTGTACCACCCGGTATGATAGTACCGAGTTACTGCGTTGTTGGTGGAATACCGGCTCGAATAGTTGGTGAAGTTGGCGAGGGATATGGTGTCGAGGGGGCCGAGGGAGGAATGGCGAGAGAACGTTATCGTGTTGTTGGACGAACGTGAAAATCGCTTCCTTTTTTTGATTTTCCGTTCAACTTTGCCAATGATACCCCTTTCTACATTTTTCTCGATACTGTGATTTGTGGACTGCCGAGCCTTTTGCATTGCCCCGGTTCTGTCAATGTTTATTCTGTATATGGCCGGTGAGATATGATATGATATGCTAGAGAGGATAATATGTCCATTTCAAGTCTATCCCATATTCTCCAACTTGACTGCTCGTGTCAATTGCGGCTCCCCGGTCGTGGCAATACCAAGTTCCTCGAAAGCCAGGTCGTAAATCCAACGCTCATTTGGCTTTACCGACTCGCCTTTAGAGAACTTCGAAGCGAGATACAGCCAATTCACAGTATTTCCTACCGTGCTCACCTCGTCCGAAACATGGCTGAGTGCATACTGCGATATGCGAGTATAGAGCACCTCGTCCGTCCATAGGTCATACAGATGCTGTGCAACTGCATCTGTATCGCCCACATCGACCAGAAATCCGTTTTTGGTGTCCTCGACCTGCAGTGGAATACCCCCAGCGCGTGTAGCAATCACTGGCTTACCCTTGTGAAGAGCTTCTGATACCTTAACCTCAAATCCTTCTCGGGTAGACAGCTGCAGTACGATGGTGGCTTTGGAGAGAAGAGCGTTCAGAACCTGGTCCGATGGTCGCAACCGTATGACACAAATGGAATCTTGGATGAAGGGGATCTTCACATCTATGTGTTCAATCACTTGGTCGTAAATCACAGTTCCATCTGGATCATCTACTGAGCCATGGCCGCAAATGAGAAGTTTTGGGGCCTCTAAATCCGGTCTTTCTTGGACAAGCCGGTTATAAAATTTCTCATATGAGTTGAGAACATCGAAGATTCCTTTCGATGGGTCAAATCGCGCTATCTGCACGATGTACTTTTCTATTATCCATTTAGCTCTTTTCAGATAGGCACTTACTGATTCTCATGGATCATACCTTCGGGATATTTTATGGGCAGCATCTCCGCATTTCGGCAGGCTGCATTGAAGATACGGCCATAGTGTGCCACATCCTTGTCGCACATGTGCTTGTTCAATCCATCCAGCCTGTAACATGTCAACCATGACGATGAAGATAAATATCCACTCTCTCTGGGGGGGGGGGGGGGGGGGCCAGTCGGTAGAGGCGGGCATATAACCTGTTATATCCCGTGGTACGTCATTTGGCACAAACGCACTCACTGGGTGGCTGATGAAGCAATCAGCAAGTTTGATTTGGTTCCACAGAAACTGCCACGCTTCAGCCTGTGGGCTTCCTGTTTGCTCAATCAGGTCACTTCGAATCTGTATATGACTTCTGAAAAGAACAGGCCGGTCCGACGCTGCCTTTTTTGGCTATCGGAATTAATCCCGGCATTTGAGGGTCATCAATGATGATCACATCGGCGCCTCCCTCGGCAGTAGAGCATAGAGGGCCACCCGGAGAGGTCCAGTATCGTCTTGCATTTTCGGCAATCCAGTCTTGCAGCAGGTTCTTGTTCTCTGTGCTTAGACGTTCATCCGGATGTGCGACACCTTGCAGGATGTTGTGGATGTTCTTGGTGACTCGGAATACACCCGGCCACGGCTTTGGGACGTACCTAGACTTGCATCGTCAGTCGGTCTCTTTTCCAACTCCATGATGTAGTTTCTGGAATCACCATTTGATATTAGTACCAAGGTAGTGGGAAAATCGCACTAGGGCGTGTCGCATCAAAGCCACACCTCCACCTTGCGGTGTAGCACTAAAGAAAGCAATCTTCACTTTCCGATCTTTAAGGTCTGAAGCATAATGTTGCACAGCCGACCAAGTCCGATGAGAGACGGTATTCTGAAAATCGTCCAGGTTTGTAAGACGGACATGGAAGTCTGTGTCAACCTCCACGGTCCCCATCAAACCTACTTGCAGTAATGGGGTTTTCTCCGGACCAAACAATCTGTCTAGTTCAGTTTCCTTAATTCATAAGTGAGTTGTGATCAACACCAACCTCACACATTTGCGGGCCATAGATTCCGCCTGCTCATCGACGTGTTTGCAATCCCATGTAGATCCCGTAGTATACCGATCCCTCGACGCTTCCGGTAACACGAGGGGAATGATATCGAGCTCAGCCCAGAGGCGAGAGCAGAGTTTAGGGCAACGGTCGGCAAGGCTCTGAGGTATTGCAGCCCCAATGATCTTTTCCAAGTTGGTGTTCGTGTATTTTTCGAGCTCGTCGATAATAAAGTTAGTTGCACCATCGCAGCCCTCAGAAACTTCGTATTTTTTCTGGACAAAGTCCAATAGATAGGTTGTATCGCGAAAGGCTATGGCAATGATAGAATATTTCTCTGAGAAACTGGCTGATATCCCGGCATAGATAATCTGAAAATTGTTAACATCAGAAAAAAATAGTCGTTGAATACAATATGCTTTACATCAGAAGGAGGACCAAGCCAGGCATTCTTCTTGAATTGCGTGGAGAGTCGGCGTTGCTGAAATAAAGACGGCCGACGCTCAAAACTATTATCTCCATTGGACGACATGATTTTAGCATGATGAAGAAAAAATAAAATGAAATGGTTCGAGTTACTTAAGTATCAGGTGTGATGACGTCGGAAGTCTGTAATAGGCTCTCATACCTTGGCACAAATGTTTTTCGATGTTCAATTAAGGTTATGCACTAACTTTGAGGGTCTAAATTTGACCTAATTACCATTTGAAGAGAATGCTTTCCCATCTCATATGTTGGTCAGCTTCAGACCTCGGATCTCACACAGATTCAATATTCGGGCTGGTACTACTTTTCAGAAGATCAAGATTGCACATACGTTTTTCATCCCAAATAATAAAGCTATAGCGACGAAAGGAAACGAATTTGACATATCTACATGATGATGTGAACCATGTGGCTAGCTGAAGAATAGCGGACTGCCATCTGCCTATCTCTAGATGAAATTTCTTTTTGAAGCTCTCCTGGTATGTTAGAAGGAAGGATATCGAATTGATACTCCATTCTGCAATGAGGCAGTCGCATCGACAATGACGACCTGCATTATATGCGATTGATTTACCAAGGCAGCAGCGTGATATTTCCCAATAGGAGTTTATAACTATGGACTAAGCAGTCGGCCATGGTCCGAATTTATCTAAGCCTCTCATTATAATGGATTATGTGCGCTCAGATTATACCAAAGTTTAGACTCTGGAGCTTATTCGCTTCAATAGGGGGACAGTTCAGCTGAATCAAAATGATTTGTAAGACTGGCCCTGCCAGAAGAGCGATAATACTGGGACATTGGCCATTGAGGGGCGATGAAGAGGAAATAGGCTTGGGTAGAGGCACTAAAGACTGCTTTTAAAACCGCCAACGCATCCAGTGGAAGTAAGCAGCCAACAAGTGAGGTCCGAAAACGCACATGAGCCGACAAAGGAGAGATTGAAATTCTACCTACTCCGTAGGTAAATAGGGGGAAGATCTACTAGTTATTTAGTCTATAGCTAACTATGAGTTAATATCAATTTGGTGCCCACTTAGGCAGAAGTATTAACGAACGAGATACCTAGCTATGCAGTCAAGTAACAGATAAACAAAAAATCAATTGTGTCAAACGAAGAAAATTATCAAATGCGGCCGAGTATCAACCTCGTTTGGTGTACAGTATTCCCTTTTCCCATCAATTACTCTCTTAAACATTTTAAAGCAAGGTCCAGACAAGACAGTGTATATACACACTTGGACCCATCAATTAATTTTCTAGCACCGATGCGGACTACTCACTCCCTTCAAAATCGGTCTAGTGCGATGGCTTTAAGCCTTCACGTAAGAAGTCGTTCCTTCAGACAAGAAAGCAAAGGCAAAGCAAGGAGCTCAGCAATCAATGATATGACTATTTAAGTTAGGTAAGGAAAATAGTAGCAAGGGGTGGGAAAACATACTTGGGACTGCTCTGAAACTCTCCAAGTAAATGGACCGGATAATGCCTTGAGAATGGTCTGGCAATGATTGTGCAAATCGAGTGTCACCAAGCACTTTCTGGATGATTGCAAGTGCTTCTGCGCTCGTGCCAAGTTTCCGTAATAAGCCGCGTCTGAGTTGAGCCCGGGAAATGGTCGCTGCCAATGTAGTTCCACCAATCATTCCAAGTTGCTGCGCCATATAGTAAACTGTGATGGTAGTTGAAGACTGGTTCTCAGGTGCGACTGCTGAGATTCCGACGAACTGAGTCGCAAACACTCCGCCCAAACCGATAGCCATAATTAAGGTGTAAACAACTTCCCAGTGGTTTGGGCCACTTGACCATCGAATCGCGATGAGAAGAAAACTCAACATCGAGAGTCCCAAACTTAAAATAGAGAGGAGCTTGTATCTTCCACTTCTAAAGAATAGTGAGTACGAATTTCTCGCTCAGCTTCATCAAGAACCTTGTGAGCACCGCAAAAAGAGGGGAATATTCTTACCGTTTCATATATTGACCACCAATTATAGAACCAACAACCATTCCAATGGAGGTTGGTATCATGTAAAGACCAGTTGTTCTTGTTGAAGCGTATTCAGTTCGAACAAAAAACTCAGAAATGTTCGTGATCATCTAGGAATTGAAAAGTTAGCGGGCGTCATGTAGAAGAGACTATAGTCTAGACCAACACTGAAGAGACCAATATTAAGCAGGACTTGTGCAGTCCATGCAATGCCTATTCCATTAGTCGCGGCCAAATCCAGAGGAATCAAAGGATCTTTAGCCCAGAATGCTTCATCAATAACAAAAAGGACTCCGAAAATAATTAAGGCGGCCACAAGTGCCCATCTGATCCTACCCAAAGTTGAAGTCTCTGTGAACGCGCTGCAAAGAAGAATGAATGATGAAACAGCACCTGCCAGAAGAACGATGCCGAGAACATCCATACGCCTTTTCTCCAAATGACAGTCCTGTGCGCCATTTTGGTGGACTTTTGAGTAGGAATCCTTGGGAAGTTTCCATGCGATCATGACAAGGCAGAAAAATAGTATTGGGGTCTGTCCCAGAAACGACCTGACAAGTTAGCTTAACACTGATGGCATCAGATAGAAGCTATCATACCATCTCCAGCCCACCAAGCTAATAATTAGCCCACCAATAGGTGCTCCTGCGCCGACTCCTGTCATAGAAACGGTTTGGATGTACATTCGTAGCACGGCAACTTGTCGCAAGGGTGCCATATCTATTGAATGGAGGTCGTTAGTTACCGTGTAACCAGTGTAGGGACAGTGATCTCATACCAGTGACTAGTACAGACACTAAGTCCGTGATTCCAGAACTCCCGATTCCAGAAATAAATCTTCCTAGGACTGCGATCTGCATTGACCCTGCCAGGCCACTTTTATGTGTTAGCGGTATCTTTGGGGATTTCAGAGCCACTGAGAAACGTACGTGATGGCACAACCTGCTATGCATAATATATAAGCAGAAATGAGCGTGTTTTTCCCTCCATAGATATCGTAGAGTCTTCCGTACTATTATCCAAATCAATGTCAGTATTTCTGGCTATGGCAATGGAGTCTGAGGAGATTGAGTCTTACAGTCGGTAAAGCGATTGCCCAGCCAAGATTGAATCCAGTTACCAGCCAATGGCTGATAGTCAGTTGGCCAAAACTAGATGCAATCTCCTCATGCGTAGAGATGACAAAAGTGTCAGCACAATATGAGATGAACACTCCTGTCAGGGTTGATCAGCCTCTGTCAATAGTAGTGGAAGAAGGGACCATGGAGTATACTACCCACCTACGAGGGCTACCAAGAAAAACCCCCAGTCTAATCTGGGTTTTTCTTCTTCCAATGGATCTTCCACATCCTCAGTCTTTTTGGCTGGGCATGGGACCCCATTGCTTGGAGGATCTATCAAATGCGTGTTCTCATCAATCATTTTGCACGGTTCCAATGTCAGTGGAAGGCAATGAATGAAAGATAAAATCACAGTAGTGTTAAATGGACTTTCGAGGTTAATTGAGGAAAAATGAATCCAGTAAATTTTTCCCAGGGTCGTTCAAAATGGACTATGCCAGTTAGGTAAACTTCAAAACAAAAAAGCACATCTAGCCAATTAATGGCGAAAGTAAGACCATTTGTTGAAAGCAAGGGTTTTGAAGAAAGACAAAATAGACAAAAATAGAGACTACCTACCCACCCAATCTTACTGGCGTACCGTACCCCTTTCATCCATGTTATACGTGACTCTACGGAGTACTTACCTAGGTACTCTGGACAGAAGAAAATATCTCAAAGATCCATGCTCAGGTATGTTGATGCATCAGCTGAAGAGTTGATTCGAACGTCTATCAAAAAGTTTATTAGCCTTGATCCTTTGCCGTGTATGCAAGATCCTACTAGTGTCTGCAAGTTCTTATTTTCTTTTTCTCAATGAATGCATGCATACTTAGCATGTACCTAGGCTGAAGGTGAAATCTTGGAACATTGGAATTCTCTAACTTCTTCTAGTAACTAAAGCGGGGGTCTCGTGCATAAACCTGCCTTGAAAAAGGGTTACAATATTGAAACACTACCTATTGGGTATATAGACGTAGTTCATATTGACAGGTTCCGCGATTTATGGTCTTGGAAGCAGCTGGGTATCTATCATAAAATTCAAATCGAGGCTTTCCACGGTTGTAGCTTGCCAACCAGCTGAACTGTGGGGCTGCTTTTCTGTGGAAATCCATGTTCCCTGATTTAGTGATGCATCTCTTCGTAAGCGGCTTGTTTCCAACTTTGACCTTGACAAAGTTATAACCATTCAATACCAATTTCTTTCAAAGTCGTATATCACAACAGGAAAGTCAAATTTTCGTTGTTATGGCACGTTTATCCAACAATAAATTCACTGAAGGTGCTGTGTATACAGTCCCGACACCAGGACCTGAGGTAGTAGTTCCCGCCAATAGGACCCCACTATCTGGGTACATTACATGCATAAGCAAGATCAACATCGATCTATCACATCTGTAGGTTTTTTCGTCTAGATTTTCATATAGTACCTAGGTAAAACAAACTTGGTAGTATCTGTTTTGTTCTTGGCCTCGTAAAATACCTAGCTATGCAGATGATCACATCCATGGATGTGTGTACCTAGGTAGGTACATATCACAAGCTTAACCAATAGGTCAACTGCTCAGGTAGGGGCTATTCCGGTGGTAACTTTTAAGGATTGACAAATCAACCCAGATGAATGAATGTTGTGATCATTACTGTCTAAGGTCCAGGTGGTCATATATCTGTCTGGTTTATCCTTCTCTCTCCTTTTTAGTCTCCAGGGCCATACCCAGGTATCAACTGCTTGTCAGCTAAAAAGATTCATAGGGTCAGCCTGGAACGTGAAGTCACAGTCTGGTAAACATGTCACCAATCAGCGAAGCGAAAGGAATCCCATTGTCGAAGAACATTCCGAGCCTCGATGAACTTTTTTGCAATGCAATCAAAAGTTATCCGGAAAACTTAGCTGTCATAAGCACTCAACAGCCGGCAGAGCTTTACAACATCCGCAGTCAACCTCTCGACGACGACGAGTACCTTCACCAGCCTTACCTGAGATGGAATTATCGAGATCTTGACCAAGGTATCAACCGGCTTGTCAATGCATTAGCAGCCAGAGGGATTGGCAAGGAATCTCCCATGTTCATTTTCTTGCCTAATACTGTTGAGTATGTCATGGCCACATGGGCTGCATACCGTCTGGGCTGTGTCCATGTGCCTATCAACCCTCGAAACCTTTCAAACCAGACTGAAGTCAAGCATATGATGGAAACAGTCTTGGAGAGCTTTCCATCCCAGCAAACTGTTATAATAGCTGCTAGCTGTGATTCGGCTCAACGGATCGATGATTTGGCACTTGAGCCTTGTCTTCGGATCATCTTGGGTGGCCAAGCTGACAACTGGATCTCATTTGAGGATTTGATGAAAGATGTGGGTTGTCTCTGTGTAACTTCGTCGCAGAAGTTCTGGGATCCTACAGACGCAACGGTCCTCTTCACAAGTGGGAGCACTGGCTTCCCCAAGGGATGTTTGACACGAGGTTCACGGGTTGTTGCCGCCTTGCAGTGTCGCAACAAAAATCGAACTATGGTACCTGGGGACAAGGTTGCAATAGTCGTGCCAAATAATCACGGCTTCGGTTTCAATTCTCTGATACCGCCCCTCACTCGTGGAGCAGCTGTTGTTTTTCCTGGACCAAGCTTTGTCCCGCAAGATGTGATGGGATGCCTACAACGGGAACAATGTACTCATATGTCGATGGTACCAACAATGGTACACGCTCTTGTTACCCTCGGAAATGTGAAGAAAGGAAGGGGGATCAGCTCCCTGAGGCAGATAACATTGGCAGGGGCGCTTGTGACCCCAGATCTAGCGAGAATGTGCTTCGATCAACTCGGATCGTCGACTGTGGAGATTCTCTATGGAATGACAGAGGGAACTGAAGTCTCAACTGGACCTGTCAAGGAGTTTCATTCCATCACCAAAGGAGGACACATCTCCATCGGGGTGCCAGCTCAAGGCTCAAAGGTCCGGATATGTGCTCCTGGTAGTATTATTCCTCTTGCGAGGGGAGTTCCGGGAGAGCTGAATTTCTCTGGTCCCGCACTAGTCACACATTACATGGGCAACGGCTCTGGCCGATTTTACGACGATGGTAATGATTATCCGTGGTTTGCCACTGGAGATAAAGCAGTCATGGACCATGACGGTCAACTTTACATCATGGGGAGATATAAAGAAACAATCATCCGTGGAGGAGAAAACATTGAGCCCGGTGCTATTGAGACGAGTTTGAGCCAGGTTCCTGAGCTCAGCATCCTCGAGCCACAGATTGTTGGAGTATCAGATCCTATTGCTGGTGAGGTTCCAGTCGCTGTTGTCAACAAAGCTGTCGATCGAGGCGTGGCAAAATTCCTTCAAGATACCATTCGCACCAACATGGGAATGATGTATGTGCCAGCTGAGATAATACCCTTGCAGTCACTTGGGCTTGAAGATTACCCTAGAACAATGTCAGGAAAAATTCAGAGGGAAAAGCTTCGGGTGACGGTGCAGAAGTATAGGGACGAGAAAAATCTGAACCGAGTCAAAGACTCCTCTGATCGATTCATCTATGAGGAGAAGCTCAAGCAAGTATGGGGACAATTTTTGGGACTCGACGCCAAGTTCATCACCGCAAATACTGAGCTTTCTGCATTTGCTGACAGCGAAACATTGACATTGATACGGGAGAAAATTTGGAGGGATGTGACAACGAACGTTTCATTGTCTAAATGGCTTGCTGCTGACACTATCATGGAACAACTTCAGCTTATTGAAAAGGCAAATCAAGAACAAGTTTTGCATCCTGGGTCGTATGAAAATCAACCAATGAGCAAATTTCCGGAGAAAACGGCAGAGCTGCTCATATCCTCCATCGCAGCTGAAAGGGATATTGATATTGATGAAACTACGCGGCTGGTCGATTTGGGTGTTGATTCAATCATGGCTATCACAATCCTTGACCGGGTGATGAGAGAAACAGGTCAGATGCTGCCTCCATCGCTATTCTTCGACCATCAAACAGTCGCACAGTTCAGGAAAAGCCTCTGTCCTTCTTCATCTCCAGCTTCTCATGGGTTATGCTTCTCAAAACTTCTCCATGGCGAGCCCAATCCCAGAACTCCTTCATTGTTTCTCTTTCCCCCAGCTTCGGGATATGCCTTCTCATATAGTGGCCTTCCTGAATTTCCCGACAACCTAGCTGTATACACGCTGGGATCTCCATTTCTCACGACCGAAAACCTCAACTGGACGGTCGAAGATGCAGCAGCCGCATATATCGAGACCATACGCGCCATTCAACCTTGCGGTCCCTATCTTCTGGGTGGTTGGTCGATGGGCGGTGCCCTAAGTTACGAAACAGCTGTTCAGCTATCTAAGGCAGGAGAGCAGATTAAAGGACTGATTCTCATAGATAGTCCATTTCCAAGCCCAATACAGAATCTCCCAGACTTGACGATTGAGCTTCTGGACATGTTGAATTGGTTTCCACCGATTCGTCGCCCAGGGAAACCAGATATCGAATTTCCCTTCCATAGGAAAAAGCACACCATTGAATCCTTCCGGGCGCTGAGCAAGTATAAGCCACGTGCAATCAATGCTTCAAGCTGGTCAACTGATGTACCAGTGAAAATCTTCATGATATGGGCAAAAATAGGAACCACCGAGAAGCTTGTGAGTAAGATTGACGAACAGGCAGAGATCGTGAAGAAGTATGGTTCCAAGACGGAAAAACGTGCCTGTAACAAATGGCAAACGGAGCCCCGTCAGTCCCTTGGACCATCCGGCTGGGATCAGGTTGTTGGAGTGGAGAACGTGGAGTGCCACTCGTTAGAGGCAGACCATGAGACTATTCTTGAGGACCCCCAGGTAAGTTTCCATCAGCGAGACTGTCTAACCCTTGACCCCTCTAATGATTTGTGATTCAACAGGTTGAGACTACGGGCAAGTTTATGCAAATGGCAGTGGCCAAGTTCTTGTCATCTGAAACATTTGAACAATGACAATCTCGGATTCTTCTAGTCGTTTGACCTTCTTTGCGTTTTTGGCTTCTCTAATGTTTGGATGCATTTTGGGACCATGAGGAGGCTGGGCACTTGAGCGATGTGCCTACCGTACGGCCGGTGATGATATTGATTATAATTGTAATTGAAACCTTGAGATTTTTGGGGAAATATATAATGTGTCTTCACGTATCAAAATTTGGGCAGTTTGAGATCCCAGCAAACCATCGAGAAGTAGCTTCAGAGTGCCCAGGTTACTGGGACTTCAAATTTGAATACAACATTCTGTGCCATATCAAGATTCTTTTGAGGTTATAACGACCTTGCAAGATTGATATGCTGAACAAGCGCTAGCTTTCAAATATTTCATTCCTTATGGAATAATTCCAGCGAGGTGATAATCTGTGCAGACTGATAGTCGCAATGTATGGTGTACCCTGGTGGGGAAATGTAATCTTAGCTATCGCTGCTTTTAGGTTATGAACCATGTTTAAAACGATCTTGGAAGAACCAAGATTTTATTAATTTAGCGCCGTTGTTTCTAGTTAGATTTTCAAGTGCGCTATCGGTACATACCTCGGTAGTCAACTCCATCGTCCTTGCATCTTCAACGAATGATTTTATGGAGAAGGGAAGCTATTGAGTAGCTCCCTAAGATAAGGCTAGAACCTTGGGATGTTGATCGAAATACTAAAGTTGAATCCACCATCGGGCTAAGTGTCATCCCTCTGGCTACTTGGCGAACTCCAAGGCTGTGCGGGAGAGTCTGTTCTTCTTAGCCGCTAACCAACCTCGGGAAGTATAATAATAGACTACACTGTGTTGGTGCGCAAATGGTAAATGAGGTACGAAAGGCAAAGTGGAGTTGTGGATACTTCGAGACTACACCACCTACACTTAAATAAGTAGGCAATACTCTGTAATAAACCTTCCAAGATTGAGGACACCTATGCCTACTACCTAGAGATCAATATTTCTTTTTTCTCTGATAACACCTATAAGTTGCCAATATCCAGATAATGATATATTGGGGAGCTCAAGACCAACAGCATGTTCTTGCGCCAGGTAGTTAAACAAGGATTTATGGCAAGCTTAGAGATAGTTAAAGTGTGGAGTATACTTAAGTCCACAGGTAGTTAAGGTGATTTACTTCATCATGCTGGATCATGAGATGCTCATCTCCACACCTTGCGTTTCAAAGTTCATATAGATTAAATTGATCAAATAAGATGGTCACTGTGCGCAAATTTGAGTTTAGTAATAGATAACAGGCAAATGTACGTGTCCAAGTTTCAATTAAGAGTCTGAAACAAGTACGAATCTCACTGTGTCCATGATCTTGGATATTTTAGGGAATAGTGACCTGCCAGATCAATAAAATAGAGGTATATTGATCCAATTGACTGGTCATTGTCAATAAATAGAAGATCTAAGGTAATGAATGCAATCAAAAGTAGCCATGGAACTACTGAAGAGTACAAAGTCAATTATCATTCCCATAGGCTGACTCAGCCTCCCCCTTTTCCCCGCCTCGATCTCAAACAACTTCCCTCTTTCGTTCCTTTGTCTACGGCTGCATATCTGGCTGAACGGTCCACATCTCCTTAATAGACCCTTCTACTCTCCCCGCGCGACCACCTATACTTTCTCACTACAACTCCAATTGACCGCCAAAATGGGTGCTTCAGTATCTAAGATGATGGGGAAGATCTTCGGCACGAAGGAAATGCGTATTCTGATGTTGGGTTTGGATGCTGCTGGAAAGACAAGTAAGCCTGTTCTCCGTGCTCTTCCGGACACAACAGATGCTAACCAGCATCAGCAATTCTTTATAAATTGAAACTCAGCAACCAGGACGTGACCACCATTCCTACCGTCGGATTCAACGTCGAGAGTGTTACCTATAAGAATGTCAAGTTCAATGTCTGGGATGTTGGTGGTCAAGACAAGATTCGACCTCTTTGGCGACACTACTACTCCGGCACACAAGGCTTGATTTTCGTGGTAGACTCCAGTGACACGGCGCGTTTGGAGGAGGCTCGCTCGGAGCTTCACAAGATCATCAACGATCGTGAAATGAAAGATGCTCTTCTGTTGGTGTTTGCCAACAAGCAGGATGTTCCTGGACGTGCGTATTCCTTCTCATCGGCTGATAATCTATTTGCTGAACTGACCAATTCCTAGACCTAAGCCCGGAGGACGTCACTAACCAGCTCCAACTCACAAAGCTGAAGGATAAGCTGTGGTATGTCGCTCCCAGTGTTGCTACCGATGGTACTGGTATCTTTGAGGGCTTGGTAAGTTACTTTATCATCTTTTTCTCCTATCGAATTTCGGCATCTCTAACCCATTCCAGGCTTGGCTCTCGAATAATGTTAAAACCCAACCTGCGAAGTAAACATACCTGCTTACTCAAACTTAACGCCAAGGACCAATTCTAAAATGGGCTTAATACACACGCGCAAGACCAGGCTTGCTACGCAGTTGATTGCTCATGTTCACCCAGACAAGATGCTGAATGCCCGCCGCGATTCTGAAGTGATCATCTAGATCGCCTCGTGTAACAACACTGCTTGCTCCATCCGTTTTCGCTTCATGTCCGTGTTTGATGACAAGTCAACGCATCAACTTGGTTTTCAATTATCTTCCTTTCTTTTTCGTTCGTCTTTATCCCTTGGATCCTTCCGTCTCTTTTGTCTCTCCTACGCCTGGCCTCCACCCCCTTTGGACTCCTTTTTACTTCTATGATATCCCCTCTGTTTATCACCAAGGACTCTCTCGAGATCCGACCTAATACATTTAATTTCTATAATGGTTCATATCATCCGCGTCGCCATTGTTTGATTCGTGATTTCCTTGTGGATTCTTGATGTGTATAGGGTTGACTTGGATGCATCGAAAGATGAGGATGTGAATACGTGAACCCAGCGCCGGGTCAGAAAATTGAACCTAAAATAAGATGACCTTCATCTGACCCACTCTTTCGTACTTAGGATGTCTACCTAGATACCGACCTTAGATTATAAAAAGTCCCTCGGAACTATCATCCGGGGTGGATTACCCATGTATCATTTTCAAGGGCGCGGGCGATTATTCCCGCCAAGTCATATAGATCATGAAAGCCCTGAAGCTTCATTTCGACGTCAGTCTCAACAAATGTTTGAATCTCGCAGCGATACATGAATGTTGACATGACGCATAGCCACGGAAAACTATTCCATCAAAAAATCACAATACTTGAGGGTATATTAAGTAAGGCCGAAAACCCAACCAATGATCCCCAATCTGAATCCATCAATATTTTTTTTAACTCCAACATTACGAAAGAGTTCTCACAATACATACGATGGCAATCTACAAAGAAGGCGACCGAGTCAGCTACAAGCCTGTCGGAGGTATGATACCCACACACATTCGCTACGATCTCTGCCCAATTACAAAGTCTGACATTGAATGTTTACGCAGGCCCCAACTCGAACACCAGTGCTAGCACCGGTATCATTCGTGGCGTCACCACTACACTAACCACACTGTCTGGCCGCAGTATGACGGCTATGGAGCAAGAGCCGCGCTACCAGGTATTCTTGACAAGCGACGTATACTAGCATTGATTTTACTAACTGGAGTTTCCACCCATAGATCGAGAACGATAATACTAGTAAGAACTCTGTTGTCAAGGAGTGCAATATTCTTGGCCCTGCGGACTAAATGTGACACTTCAATGGTTGCTTGCAGGGCTCTACCCTTGGAAGTTCTGCCCATCTTGATAGGTACCTCTGAGTTGGGTTATAAGGGGATAATGTGAGATAACTGCCATTGCTAAGACTTTATTAGCGAAGAACGAGTTGCTAAATATGCCTTCAGAGAACAAAAGTGTTGCTTCCAAGGTTCCAAAATTCCAAAGCCCTAAGCGCATTCTATGAAGCATACACATATCAGCAGACACGTAGCGATGAAGTTCGACAATTCTTGATCAATAAATCCTCATGGGATTATGAAGAGACATCCAGGGCTCCAAGATGGTTTCACAGAAGGGAATTATAATCTTGTCATCTTCGCACGTAGGTAACATTATAGACGGGAAAGCAGAAGGTTGTGCTGTCAATTTTATTCATGTCAGGCTTTAAAATATCAAAATTTCCAATCCGAAAGGTGAATATCAAATACAAAAGTCCCGAAATAGGAAGTATCTCCTGAGATGTGCACCTTTCAATGACAAAAGAAAGCTTTGGATGATTAGAACGATTTCAATACAGGATAGAAATATTGAAGTTCGATGAATCAACCAGGCTTGAAAAAGAAATTACCATCCATTTGTCCAAAGTAGAAGTGACAGTAAGGTAGGTAGATTCAATGGAAATTAAAAATCAACTTAGGTTTTTACCCTTCTTGTTTCTTCTTCATCCATCGTTACTAATCCACTTTTCTGATTTTCCTATTCAAGCCAAGATAGAGATTCACTGTCACTGGTGCCAACAGGTTAGCCATGGATAGTATCAGTGCCCACGCTACCAGCAGTACCAGCAGCAACCACACGATGAACAGGCGCTATACCAGCAGGAGTAGCAGCGACAATCTCAGGCAAGTACACGCTTTGTTTGCTGAGCGTATGGAGGTGTTGAGCAACCGCATGGGATATTTCGGACCGGTGTCTGACCAGGGACAACTAACACCTTAGAAAGATATCCGATGAAGTGGTACAGACAGCAAGGCCCAGGAATAGTGACAAGAAGCTCCCGAGGTCGCGATATCATCCATTACCAGGCCAGAGGTTGAAGCATGATTCAACATTACCACCATACCTAGGTAGACGCCAAGCTCAATCGGCCTATTACTCTGCTGGTGCCAAATGAAAGTGTATTCACTAAGATCAAAACAGCAACAAACCCTATATCGGTCATTGGCGTGGTTGGCATGAAAATGGCCGATCAAGAATTTAGGGGATTACACCCGAAGATATCGTGCTGTCTGTGGCGGAGGAGAGGTTCCAAGATTTAAGGAGGACGACAAGCTAGCCCCTGGGTTGTTACTCCCAAAGGGCATGTCGGTGTTCCTTGTTGTTCAGGATTTGATCCACTTGACTACGAGTGCCATTGAACCAAATCAAATCAAAATCATGAACATTGGTTCATTTAATATTCATTGACTATATCCGAGAATCGTACGTTAAGGTGGTATTCCAAAAGATAAAATCGTGACATCCCAAAAATCCCCACCAGCGCGCTGTACACAAAGAAAATCCCAGGCCTCCTCGCATTGTTGAATAAGCGGAGAGGAATGACGCCTCTTTGTCGTTGACAAAGATAGAAATTTATATATATAGCTTTAACTTTTTTTTACAACTTCAAGTCCATCTACGGCTGGTTAGGCCAGATGTCGTTGGCAATGTCACGGACAAGCTGCAGCTTGTTGATCATGCCGTCCCAGTCAATGGCGTTACCCTCACGGTGAGAGGCAAATCCGCACTGAGGGCTGACACCAACCTGGTTGAGAGCAGCCTCGAGGGTGATGTTGTTGCCCTCAGCGATGATCTTGGCAGCGTCGATAACGCGCTTCTTCATCTCCTCCTTGTCCTCAAGGGTGGCAAACTTGGAGGTGACAACACCCAGGATGACGTTCTTGTGGGTGGGCAGGTGCTTGAGGGGCTCGAAGCCACCGGCACGCTCGGTGTCGTACTCGAGGTAGTAAGTGGCGACGTTCAGCTCCTGGAAGAGCTTGATGGCGATGCGGTCGTAGCCACCCTCGGAGAAGTGACGGCTGCCGACGAAGTTACCGCGGCACAGGTGGACACCGATGTGCAGGTCCTCGGGGGTACCGATGAAGCTGTCGTTATACAGCTTGATGTACTTCTGGAACAAGTCGTCGGCGGAGTAGACGTTCAGCTTGTCCTCCTTGAAGCCGTTGAGGAACTTCTCAGAGCAGAAGTAGGCGAGGTTAGGGTCGTCGAATTGGATGTTGCGGCAACCGGCCTCGTAAAGGATCTTGAGCTCGGCCTGGTAGGCCTTGGCGATGTCGCCAAAGTACTCCTCATCGGAGCTGTACACGTCCTTGGGGTAGGACGAGCCCTCACGGTAACGCAAGTGGTACCAGTTGGGAGCGGCAAGAGTGATCTTAAGATTCTTGACCTCCTCGGGGGAAACCTGGCTGGCGAGGTACTTGAACTGGTCGACGTAGGTGCTGCCGACGTGCTTGATCTTTCCAGTGCAAAGGACGGTCTCGCCGGGCTTGTGGCCGGCCTCGAGGAAGGCAGCGATGTCGGGAGCATAAGGGCGGAAAATATCAACGTCGAACTCGGTGACCTCCTCGAAGCCATCAAGACCGGGGAAGAAAGTACCCCAGAACACTACAATCCATGTCAATGATATGTTATCTATGCTATAAGATTTCCGAGCTTACTGTGGCGACGGTACTCTCCATCGGAGATACCAGAGTAGCCAAGCTTCTTCTGGGCGGCAACAATCTCGTTGATGGCCTTGTCCTCAACGGCAACGAGCTCCTTCTCGTCAGCCTCACCCTTCTCCTGGGCAGCCTTGACGGTCAAGAGGTCATCGGGACGAAGGAGGGAACCCAAGTGCTCAGCACGGAAGGGAGGTCTCTGGGGGAGTGTAGGGGCCATTATGATATATCTATAATTGGAAGCAATGAGTGACTGTAAGCAATGATTTATGGTGGACTTGCACTTACTATAAGGGATATGTAGGAGAAAAGAAAAGAAACAGCAAAAGGAGGGGATTCAATCCATCCATCTTCTGCCGCTGGTGGGGCTTAGAAAAAAAGTATGAGATCTCCACTCTTTCTCCCCATTCAACCTATCGGAATATCAGATCTTACGGATATAAAGGAATCACCGACTTTACTAGAGTCCGGTTACGGAGTACGAATAGTACAGAGCAAGAGAATGTCTAAAGGTCGTGTATTTGACTATATAATCTCGGATGTCTGGACATTTAGCCCTAGTTCAAATGCTGCATGGTAGATCTAGAATGATAGTACCCCATATACATCGCCTTAGTTCTAGAATTTCCAGAAGTACTTGAAACGAATCAATCGATCTACTAAACCCGAAATACTAAGTTTTCCTCTGTATTTAAGCATTCAAATAGGGGGCCAGGTCAAGCCGTAGATGTACTTTGTATGTGATTTTTCCAGCGGGGAGTGAAAGATCCACATTTGGGGATTTCCCGGCTTAGTTCTGTAAAACTCGACTTTTAAGTGGTAGAAGATCAAATTGCATGCATAGTATGCAGTTTAACCTTGGCTGAGTCAAGGCTTACAACGTGCCATGCAGAGGACATGCATTTGGTTGAGTGTGAGTGCTCAAGTGGGGTTAACCGGCACTTTGCCTTTATTCTTATTCCCGGGCTCATGTAAAGCAACACTTCAAGAGATATTTTATTTTACTTACCTAGGTATAAAATATCTAATATCCATGGAGCTAATAAGCTCACTGATAACTTTCTTCATAATGACATGCTTTAGTCAAGAATCACGTGAATCTGAGAAATAGATCTGAACTAAAGAACTGACAATTCGAACTGAATTGATATACCATCTCATATCACGACAACAAGGGATGTTGCTAAGCATTTCACAGCTAACTAGATATTCACTCAGGTTCAGGTGTCTTGAAATCGAACACTGACCCTTGGATCATTTGAAGAGATGTACACAGTAAAACTCATTGATAAGAATTTCGCTCTAAGATATCTTCGGTCTTTTATCTTCCAATAGTTTATCCATATATCCGAAAGGATTGATGCATCGATTTAATAGCGAACTAACATTGAAAGAAGATTCAAATTCATTATTGACATGAAGATTTCAAGTTGAATAATATGAGTGTAGTTGGTCGTCGCTCGTACAAATCACATAAACCTAGGCGGTGGATCACCTCCAAATATTCCCCTCTACATCATTCTCCACTCAACAACTCCGATCCTAATCCATTATCAGATATAAAGCCCGTACATTTATGGTGGTGGTTCATTGGTTGGACCAGTAGCACACAATGGCTTTAACTTCGAGTCACGCCAAGGACTCTGCTTACCCTGTTCTAGCAGTTAATCTAGTTCGCTGCCTTGAATCAGAACCGAGCGCAGTCATTAGTAACAACCATAACAATGACGATTCAAACCTCCAAGAAGACTGGAACCTAGGAATCAAATATTCAACTACAGGCATCTTCCGTCAAGGATGTGTCATCGGCTTCTCCAGACTACGGTCAAGAGAGAAAAACAGCGACGAATACGTTGGCCAGGTAGGCTTCTTCTTCACCAACATCCAACTTCATCTCACAAAGTATCAGATTCCTCGGTATCTGCTCACAAAGCACCTACTCCGCAAAGAGCCATTGCCAGAGACGAGCGCATTCATCATACATCCAACCAACTTCGGTGCCTTCGCACCCAGAACTCTACTGAGCACATTGCAATCCCAAGGTCTTTCAAGGGATGATGCAATCAGACACCTTGATTCAGTGCAATTACTTCCTGTGCACAACTTGCCCAGCGCTGTCAGGGCTATCGGGCAGGTATCTGCTTCTCTGCAAGGGATCCAATCAAATCCAATCAGCCACCCTGTCGTTCTCATTGTTGCTGGTCTTGATACTCTAGCTGACGGAGTCATTCGCGCTTCTAGCCCCGTCAAAGGCGCTGCTGTCTTGTCAACTACATTACGGACTCTAACAAGGATATCTAGAGCACATGCTTCTTTCTTGTCTATCCTTCTTGTCAATACTAATGGACTAGGTTCGGTTCAATTCGACGATCAGCCACCGAAGAATGCTGATGATGATAGACCTTCGCGCGAGGATGGCATCATCACTTCCATATTTCAGCCACCCGATTCTTCGCTCTTGACAAATCTCCTGATGAGGACTCTAGATCACGGCATTGATATACACCTATTGTTGTCGGATGTTAGGGCAGACACTGTGGCTGAAGTGATTAAAGACCGTGTTGGCTCTGGCTTTAGCAAATGGGGCATATGGTCCCAAGCCTAGATTCTCTACAGCGGGGGAATTTGGAATAAATCTCTTTATTGGTATCTCTCTTATCACAGTGTTATTCTTACATGTTCGTCCAAATATGATTAGATCCATCCACGCAGCGCCGATACGCCATACAAACGGGGCCATTGCCCCGCCGACTCTCCATAAAATGCCAACTCCGTCCCATGGATTTTTATTTATCTGTCAGGGGGGTATCAAGATTTAGTTTCTTGGTCCATCCGGACACGAGAAAGGGGAAAAGAAAATGATGAGATGAATGATGGGTACTCGGCAGCAATCACGGCGGTGCATTCTCCATCTCGGCCCACTTCTTCAGAACAGCGCTCTCCGCCACGGACCGTGCTTCTTGCTCGTACTTGGCGAGATCCTCGTCTGTTGTGTTCTCCTCGAACAAGATATCTTGCTGCTGCACTTTGACCCACTGCTTGTGTCTTTCACACCGTTTTTTGGTGCAAACACCCTGAGTGATGACTGCTATTTCGCCCTGCTCGTCGTCCATGGCTGTATCACCGTCAGCGTCGGTAGTTCCCGGGTAGCTGGCTGCGAGAGCCTCGACCGTGCCCTCTTTCAGAGCCTTTTGACCAGCTTCTGATAACCGCCACTCATCGAACTCGTCATCAGACCACGACAGCCGTGAGTCAAATCCACAAATATCTTTCCATCCGCCTTTTGGATCATTCTGCTTCAGCTTCTCCACGATGGCCTTGGCTCGCTGACGCAATAGCGACACGAACGTTGAGCGTGCAGCTAGCATATCCTTGCGCTGAAGAAGTTCTGCACGCCATTTCTGTAGCTTTTCGATCTTCACCGCTTCATCGGCGGAATATTCCATCCCATTCACGTCAATATCGAATGTGGATTTGCTATCATCTTGGGAGGTCGTTTCTTTCTTAATGCCATTCGGAGTCTCTTCCTTCGGCGTCTCTGCCTTGATGGATTGTGGCGATGGGGAAATGATTCGGTCGCCTAGTTTCCGAAATTCCGCGAAGGAGGCCACACCCATGAGCGCGGCTTTGAGATCGCTGGCTGTGAGAATGCCGCCCATGCTGCCTAAGTCTCCCGGGCCACTTAGCTTGAGATGGCGTGTCTGTCGGCGCATGAATTCTTGGCCATGCTCATCAGAACAATACTTGCTAGGGGGTTTCCTCGTAGCTCGTGCAGGTTTGCGACATTCAAGTAGGCGACACATCGGTTTCCATGTCGTACAGCCTTTGCCGCGATCACTGCAGCTCGGACCTGTTTTTTGCTAGGTCAGAATTTGTTGGGAGGTAATGGGGATATTGTCTTACATATGTATCTATCGATCAACTCGGCGTCTCTAGGATCGATATTGACACACTTTCCGTGGTACCAATCTTCACAGTCTCCATCGCATCCAATCATCCAGGTATGATTATCAGGCCGGCGACAGATACAGAAGAGTTGATTTTCGTCTTCATCATCGTCGTCCCCTTCATTGAGTCGTCCTTTGCCTCGCTTCTTCCTCCTGATGTTCTTATTTTCTGGCACCGGTGATCCTGCAATGGAGATGGAATCTTGCTTCTTCCCGGGGGTTTTGCTCGTGCGGGATAGGGGAGTGTTGGACCGAATGCTCTCTGTATCATCGTTCACCTTGCGCTTCTTGGTCACCGGCTTCTTCGCTGTGCCTTTCTTGGTTGCGCCTCCTTTTTAGATATGGGCTTGACAGAAGTCGCTGGCGATGACCGATCAGTTGATGATGCACGTGAAGGTAGTTCATTCTTGAGGTCGGTGAGCTTTTTTGATGTGGGATAGTCGCTACCACCTTCGAATAATTTGGTGTCCAGTTCATCACTGTCTGGAAACTTTTCCAGTGAAGTAATCGTGGGTTCGGTTTTGGCGGACATCAAAGGCACGCTTTTTTCAGCATCATAGGCTTCATCATAAAGATCTACCCATGTCGTATTCTCTTGCGATGCAACTGTGGTATCTCGCAATGACTGATGTATTTGTTTGACCCTCTCCAGGCCAAAATATCCACTTTGTCGCCAGCCTGCCACACCCACGACCCGACCGTCGTTCACAATTATATTCCTCGGTATCAAGTCGTTGTGTACGAGACAGAAATCTTCCGCGTCGATTTTTTCTGCGAATAGTATTTTCCGCTCCTTCTCCTCGCCAGAAAGTGGTGGTTGCGAATTAAGGCCGCGGCAGACGTAAGAGGGCTCATCGAGGGCTGGGTCGACCGTTGCTAGAGTCTGGATGATCCGACGACATTGGTTTTTGAGGCTGTCAATCTGCTTCGCATTGAGATATCTCCAGGCAACGTCTAGTGAAACACCTGGAATTCTAGACTCCACAGTCATGTTTCTCCCTCCGATCGTGCCGCAAAAGTATACCACCGGGATAGCGACGCCTAATTCCTTGAGAGCTTCCTCAACCTTCCGCGCTGCGGACAATTCGTTCGCATTCACACAGGAAAATCGCTTCACTGCTGGCCCCTCGACGAGTTCGCGGTCAATCCGAATGATCACACTACCCACCGCAAATGCCTGCCTGGGTCCATTGATGTTAAGCGAGTGTTCCGGAATACAGAATTTCTGCGCGACCTCAGTCCAAAAGGGATTTGCATCAGGGTCTGACTGGTACCAGTGTTGATGATGAGGGGTAAAGTCGTCGGGGTGCGGGGTATAACGACCATAGTGTGCGCTTTGAGCAAGGAAAGGGTCGTCTCGGGGGATTTTATCTGGATTGGTCCCATATGGATTTGATGGTTTTTGGGGTGTATCTGCGATTTTGAACCCGTTCACATGATTGGCACCCACGACGGGCCCCATATCTGCCGTAGTAGAAGTTGGAGATACGAAAATTGGCACTTGAGATGAGTTTTCACTTGTTCCACAACGGTCAAATGCTTCGTAAAACACTCTCACTGACCCCAGAACGGAATGAGAAGAAATCCAAGGGTATCAGGAGCGAAGGCGCGTAGGATGAGCTAGATACAAACAAATCCAAGTGAGAGGATTTGATGCATCATTGGACTTGTATTGACTGACTCAAATTCACAAGATTCAATCTAGATGTTTTTCAGTCTTGCGACAGGAGAAAGGCCCAGGGGAGACGTTTTGGCTGCGCGAGCGTTCCGACGGGGGCGTGCGCCGCTCGTGTGGAATGACTTGTCTTCGAGATGTGTTGTTGAAGTAGGCTGGTGATGACCATCTAGATTCAATAAAAAACTGAGAAAGGAGCTTGTATCATGTAAAGTCTCACCAACCTCACACGTTTGTCGTTGACCCTTGAATCTTTCCATGCATCTCGGAGATGCGGACTTTTTGGCGAAAAATAAGGCGGTGAGAAGACGATGAAGGGCGGTATGTCACATGACTCTATTCCATGGTGACTAATCATTATATGAAAAGAATAGTTAGTTAACTAAAGTAAATCACATATTTACGACTCGTGAATTAGACCCACTTTTATTTCATTCTTCACATTATTTATCCCATAACTCCATTGAAACTATGTAAATAAACTATTGAATCGGGCGCTGTGGACATGTCTCTCTCCTATACCCGGTTTCCCGACATATCCCACACCTATGTGGCCGATGGCCTGGTTGAGAAGAGGCCGGGGTTTGGTGTTGGTTTACACCATTACTATTTACAACACCATTAATTGACGCGTCGATAAGCTTATGTGCTTCCTGGAGCGCAAGACCATCTTCAACAACCATTCGGCGGTTAGGGCGTGCCTTTTTTTTTTTTTTTTTTTTTTTTTTTTTTTCTTCTATTTTTCATTAGCTTTGCGAAGAGCGGCTATTTCCTGATCATGTATTGCCATATTGGTGTATAGCTACTACGCCTTTCAAGAACTGGTCTAAGATCTGCTTTATTTGTGTAGACGGTGATCGCGACACTATACGTAACAGAGCTTTATGTTGGCAGCGTATATCCTTCTGTGTCATCGGTGTTTTTGGAGTGTAGTTCTGGCTAGAGTCGCTGCCCCGGGATGGTGGTTGTCGATCAACTACGTTGAAAGGACAGGGTTCACACGTTGCATTATCTATATACACTGGAAAAAGGTATGGTTCGTCCTAGATTCTTAGTATATACTCAGATGCCACCTGAGCGTCATTCTAGTAATTGTAGCCTCTTATGTCTGAGTTCTTTGCCATATGGGACTCAGACTTGAGAAAATATTTAAATATCAATACAGGACACTGTCATCCACATTTTGATGATATAAAACCCCAATTGAGCCAATTACCTTTTCTCGACATGAACGACTCCTGTAAGATTATGTCAGAACTTTGGAACATGATCTCCACAGAAACCACATGGTGTCTGACATGCATGGATATCCCCTGGATACATCATCTTCGGACTATAGACTAGACTTCAAATAGTATTTTGTCCGTCCTGACCTTTATCCTATCTAGGTATCGCCTATTTCTTGCGCCTCATTGGAGTTCGTGACTTCACATCAACAAGCTTGGAATGAACCTCTACTTAGTACTAAGTAGTACTTGAAACATGGCCCTAAAATATGCGGCCGTTTATTTGATAGATCGTCGGTTGTGGAAATGTCAAATTGGACTGATGAGTTGGCATACAGGGGAGATTTGCGGAGTACTCGTACTCGTTACCTACTGTGATTGTAAAGGGAAGAGTTCTAAGTGCCTAGAGTGTCGGAAAGCCCCAGCCCTGGACGGACATCGAAGAGCTTGAAGAACAGACAACTTTTGAAACCAACCAGTTTGACGTTTAAGTTGAATTACTGATCATCAGATTAGTCTGAATTTGGCGTAAACCTTGAAAGGGATTAGTCAGTTTAGCCATTTTATTAACTAATAGTTATAAATAGTTAATCAGATCAGATTACCTAACTCGGTTCAAAACTTTCAATTGTCATCCACATTCCTTAGTCTTTTTCCAACGGAGTCTATTCAAATTCCGTAGTGGGGGCTAATATGATTTCGCCTTGATTACGAGTTTCTTCGTGAATGTGTGGGTTCAATCGCGGCTAATCCAAATAGAGGCAGAGTGATCGCGCGGAGAAGAGGGGATTGCTGAAGATAAAATAACGAGGTCCACAGTCTGACTTTGGCTTATTTCTTCTCTCTTTCTCTTTCCATGGTTCAATGCAAGCAAATCACAATTCAATTTCTTTTTCTATTAATTCTCGTATTCTGAGACTTACCTCAACGTTAATTCTCCCTCAATAAAGGAATGTGAAAAATTGAAAAACCCACTAGTATCCTGGGGATATCAATCTTTTCCCCACCATGTCAAATCCCTCTAATACAGACTCTGCCAACATGAGGTGGCAATTCATCGATTCTTCAAATAATAGTCGATCCAATTTGACACAGGTCAAGCGCCATGTCATGCAAGAATATATGCGCCAGAAGAAAAGCAGTCCTGGTTCTGACAGTGAAGAGGAGGGAAGTCACCAGTCTAAGCGCAGCCGTCCCAAGAAGACTTCAACTCTGAAGCGCAAGTCAGCCAAAAAGAAAGATGAGAGTGACGGTGCAGATCCTGCAAATCATCCAAAATGTAAAGTTCAATATCGGGATGAAGCTGTACCCGTTGAAAACAACTGGTTCGGCATTCCTGCGGCTGCGGCTGCCGCTCAGCTTCATGATGTGGCCGCCTCTCTGCCCTTCCGAACGTCCAGTCAGTCACATGACTTTTCAATGTCGCAGACGCATAACCCTACATCTTGGTCGTCGGCACAAGTTACACCCTTCGACCTGTCACTATCACCGAGAACGGTCATGAGTGCTGCCCGCACAGACCCCTTCAACACCCTTCCTATAGACTTGGACGCAGAAGGCCAACAACTATTTGACTTCTACGTGAATACCATGCCTGCCTGTTCATACGGAACTCACTTTCGAACATCCAAGGCCCATAATTGGTATACGGCCGTTTTCGTTCCAGAAGGAATGAAAGGCGCCGTTGCCTTCCAAAACACAATTCTGGTCCATGCCGCAAGTACTTGGGCGTGGGTCCGCAATGAAAAAGAGACCCCTCTTATACTGCTGCATCGTGATCGTGCAATCACCATGCTTCGCGAACATCTCAGCAACAACCCGCTAGATAATTCCGATGTCGCAATCATTTCATGTCTGAGTGCTGCCGCTCTTGAGGACTTTGATCCACGACCAGGCCACAAAGAAATAAGCTGGATTCATATGCGTGCCGCGCGTGCGATGATCCGGTCTCGTGGCGGGCCTGATGCCTTTGCTAATACTCGATTGGGCATGTTGATAAACTGGCAAGATTATATTCTCTCGGGTTATGAAACACATGGGCCAAGCTTCTTCTACGAAGACAGGCCCCCACTAGCTACGATACCTGCTATAGAGCCTGTTCACCACTCCTTCTCCCAACCTCCTCACTCGATGCCTTCTCCGCCCGAATCTCCTTCCTCTGCTCCGACCAAATTACCCCACTCTTCCTCGACCCCGACAATACTCAAACATGATATCTCTCCCACCGATGAAATCAGGCTTCAATGTGAAGAATTCCTCGACTTTCTCCGTCGATGCGAGCAACTTTCCCTCTACCAACGGGACAACCCGGAGTCTTGCGACCGATCTCGGCGCATGGCAGTCCAAGAACATTCCATTTTGTTCCAGGTCCTTACAGCGCCTCCCAGTGCACGATTTACCGCGTCGGGGGATCGCAAACAGATGGTTGCTCGTTTAACAGCGCTGATCATTTTAAACGCCGCACTATGGGACTACAGATACACGCCCGTCCTCGCCAGAACTTTTGTCAACACTCTTAAACAAGCAATGATAGACAGCGAAGTGAGCGAGAGTGGTTCCGTAGAAGCCATTCTTCAAATCCTCCTCTCCTGCAACGACGGCCACGTCGGATGGAGCACAACGTACACCCCGGACTTTTCGCAATACTCACCCACGGCCACGTCCCCCTCCGCCCGACCTTGGTTCGCGGGCCGCATGCTGAAAGTTGCTAAGCGGTTGAATGCAGACTCTTGGCATCGACTTACTGATTTCCTTTTCTTGTGCTTGACTCTTCAAGTCTCGGAATCGACGATTTATACCTGGGAGTCTGATCTGCGTCGTGAAATTCTCGCTGCGCCTTTGACAAATTATGTTATGCCTTCGCTGATGTACTGATCTCCACACATAGCAGTTGTATTTTTTTTTTTTTTTTTTTTTTTTTTTGCATGGATGGTACATGAAGGTTGGTCTTGGGTACTGTCCAAGTGTATGATTTGTGGACTACAATACCCTATATGATTGATGAGATTTTGAACTACCCTGCATCCATATTATGGAAGAATTACTTTCGAGTGAACTTAAGGTCCCCACATTCCAACTTTCCAATATTATAACCTCAACCTTCAAATATTGGAATAAAAAAATTATTCGATTGAAAGCTGAGGCAGCTGGGCATATCGGGCAGCAGAGAGTGCGAACTAGTCTCAACAAGCGTAGTAGCGTTTCCACGGCAAGGCAAACCTACGTAACCAGACCTGAAGGGAGTGGGGGGCCTTGATATAATTTCCAAAGGGTTGATTAGCAGGGATATAGGGCCCCCGAATTGGCTGGATGACGAGTCGACAAGCTGTTTAGTCCCCTTTAGCTTATTTTAGCTCGTCGGTTAAATTTCGGTTACTGGCTGCGGAGAATGCCACGTGGAATCGCATTTCATGTGAACTACGCCGTTGTTAGGTAGCGGTGTCAAAAGTCAAATATTCCGAAGGATAAGGGGTTGCTAAGGGTTAGGGTTAGAGCTTCGGCTTCGGTGTTCGAGTTGTCGTTACGGAATTCTCCGGTGTTTCAATCATACGGCATGTGAACCTGACGGATCTAGGTTCTGGAATTGGGCAGAGAAGATCAACTACCTAGCTAGCTTATAGAAGAGATTGTACTTTGTATCCATCCAAGGTTGCATGTCTGAGGAAAGTATGGAGTGGTCTGCAGATCATGTAACGTCAGTCCCTCGATAACGACTCCAAGGATTTGCGTTATAGGTGTCAATACTAGAAGTAAATTTGAAAATACATTTGTCATATCGTAAATATTACACTTCACTCGTCGTCTTGCATATGCCATTACTCCAACCACTACCATTAGTCGGATGCATAGATAGCGGATTCATCCCATCATTTCTACACTCCGAATTAGGTCGCACAGTCTCTTGCGTAGCTTCTGCACGTACATCCAGCTGCTGGAGATGACCGATAAATACCTCCTCCACTTCTTCAAGTGTTCTGTCACACGTTTCAGGATAGAAGAACCAGACTAGAAAGACGGCAGCCCAATTGAAGCCAGCAAAACAGTAGAAATATCGCGGTCCGATCTTAGTCAGTGCTATTGGCGAGCACTGCGCGAAGATCAGATTAATACTCCAGTTTGTTGCTGTCGCGACAGAAGCTCCGCGGGCCCGGATAGCTGTTGGGAAGATTTCAGACTGGTAGATCCACGAAATGAGACCGAGAGAAGTGTAGAAGAGCGAAAATACAAAGAACATGGCGATGGCAGCTCGGAGCGCGTCTTGGTTGCTGTTGCTATCGTCAAAGTCAAAGTAATGACCCAGAGCAGCTTCAACACACATGGTTGTTCCCATGCCGAACAGAGATGGAATGAGAAGTTTTCGCCGGCCGATTTTATCGACAAAAGTCATGAAGATCGTGTTCCAGAACAAGGCCAACGCACCCCAGACTCCTATAATCATGAGCGATGTCGAGGTGGACAAGCCAAGAGATTTGTACAGCCGAGGTCCATAGTTCTGAATCACATTCGTGCCAGACAATTGCGTGAATGCTTGCAGGCCACATGCGAGCATAACGCGGTTGCACCACTGACGAGAGAATAGTTTGCGCCAAGACCGGACCACAGATTGTTTCTCGTAGGCGATGCTTTCGTAAATTTGGCTGAGTTCGTGCTCTACTATCGGGTTCGTTGCACTTCCATTGCCGTGCAGACGTGCTAGCATGGCCTGGCCTAGTTTGTCCTTGCCATTCTCAATCAGCCAGCGCGGTGATTCGGGAAGAAACCAGACGCCGCATGTGAGGATTAGAGCGGGGACTGTTTGAAAGGAAAGTGGGAATCTCCAGGAGAAGTTGTTCTCGTATCGAGAACATCCGTAGCCCACCCATTGCTGGAATCGAGCCGGTTAGAAAAAAGAGCCACGATCCGATGGGCGGTAACTTACTGCAACCATAATCCCTAGACCTATCATCCATTGCTGCATACTCGCTAAAAACCCTCGAATTTGAGGAGGAGCAACCTCAGTCTGGACTGAGTAAGCTATACTAAATTCTATAATCCAGCCAAAGATTCAAGCTCCACTTACGCAATACACGGGAACCGTGGCGGACATGAGGCCAATTGCCAGCCCGGCAATGAATCTCCCAGCGATCAGCATAGCAAGAGCGGTGGCGCCACCCTGAAGAGCCGCACCGAGCGTAGCAATAGAGCCACCGATGAACATGACCATTCTGCGACCCCAGGCGTCGGAAATATAGGATGCTAGCAAAGACCCCACAATGGCACCTCCTGTGGATTGTTAGATACTAAATTCAACAACCGAGACCAGGTCTCATGCGATCATAGGAGAAACTACCGGGGTTTCATACCGGTATAGGAGGAGATGATCCCACCGCTGGCCGCATCTGACAGACCGTTGTGGCCAAAGCGATGTAAAAATGCATCTTGCTCAATACTTGATGAGATGACACCAGAGTCGTAGCCGAATAAGAAGGAACCTAAGGCAGCAAAAGTACAGCAGAGTGTTACTAGGATAAACATGATAACTCCATTTCTTGAATTAAAATTATTATGGTGGAGTAAAATGGGTAAAATGGGTAAAATAAGTAAAATAAGTAAAATAGGTAGGAGTGGTTTGCAAGGCAGAATCAGAATGTGGCGACATCCACTTAGTATGGTTTAGGGTGATTTAGGGTAGTGAGTAGTCTCAAACGCCCCATCCTATTCTAACAAGAACTACAAACTTCATTACAAGGTTAAGTTCTGTTTACAATTGCATAGATCGAGCTGCACAATGAGCTTAATCATCCAGAGCCAAGGGTACTGTTTGAGCTAGAAATAATACTAAATAGAAAGGAAATGGAATATTTCGAATTGCCCAAGTTTTTTATCTTTTCCATTCTTCGCGTCCCTAGATAAAGATTCCATTCGAAAGCACAATTATCAGTGGACAAGTGGAAATACATTCGCTAATACAGACATAGGATTGGCTGAGGTCTCATCCCCACTGTAGATATAGAGAGAGAGAGAGAGAGAGAAGTGGGGGAAAGAGGGGAGAGATAGTACAGATTGAAAATCCTTATTTAATTTCAATAAGAGCGGTAGGTATTTAGGCGGTTGACTATAATTCGCCGAACTTCCCCCTCCATACCTAAGGGTCCACGGGTATACTTAGGGCATATAACATAGTACAAAGACGACCCCACGTATTTACCTACTTCAAGATCAAATTCCCCGTACTAGATAGTGAAATTAATCTTCTAAATAACCTTTAACCTAACGTCGATCATACCGGCAACTTTAACCTCACAAGTAACTATCCTATTCGGTATTCATCAAGTTGGCCGAAACCTCCACATAAGCCAAAAGTCCAGCCGAGTCGAGGCCTTCAGTTGCTATGGAGTCGAATGAACTGGTAAGCGGACTTCGACAACCTGAAATTTCAAAATGATCCCCATGTACAGTAAATATCAATTTATTTTTTAACGCCAAAAATCCAAAAAAAAATATCCCGCACTGTCAACTAATACTATTGAAGTTTTGTATTTTTTTTTTTTTTTTTGGTAGTGCTTACGCTCCAAATTTGAGGGGAAAAAGAAACAAAGAGAAGAAAAAGTGAAGTGAACTCATTCTCCACCTCCACCGCTTTCAGTTTCGTCAGTCCAAAGGCCCGTGTGAGATCTCTCGGCGTCGCCCTATTAATCTCTTCTCTACTATTCGCTACTTTTACCGTCAACTGCCTTTATCTTGACTTCAAGATACATAGATATTTTGTCCAACCCGACCCTTCTTGAAAGGAGGGCGATGACACTTTGAAGGCCGCCAAGCCCTCCTTACATCATTCCCACGTCTTCAATTCCCCAATCATGCCAACAACCCTGGGCCATTCTGTTGATATGGAGGATGAGTCTGTCATGAACGATTCCTATCACCTAGATGATGAGTCGCAGGATACCTCCCCCATCGACACCAAGCTCACTCCCCAATCTGGCTTACCTATGCAAAAGAGGAGGCGAGTAGGCCGTGCTTGCGATGAATGCCGTAGAAAAAAGATCAAGTGCGACGGGAAACAGCCATGTACGCACTGTACCGTTTACAGCTATGGTGCGTAACTTACCCCCGAAACTAGACCCCTGGACTCAGACTCGGACTCGAGCTCGATCGCGCACGTGGAGTAGGCTAACATTCCATCAGAATGCACGTACGATCAACCCTCTAACCGCCGTCGCAACCCTGCCCCGCAGTATGTCGAAGCCCTCGAAGCCCGTCTGCTCAAGGCAGAGACACTATTACACAATCTGCATCCAGATATAAATTTGAGTGATCCTCAACTGGATATACACGCCACGGAGCAGCACATCGCTGCTCAGAAGGAAACACAGGTACCGATTCAAGCACCAGGATCAACTCCAACACCCGCACCGACATCATCATCATCATCAGCATCAGCAATTGGAGAAGCCAACCCATCCAAGCCGGCGACTGGATCCACCGATGCGGCTCCTGAAGGTGGGGAAGAGCCATTATTGGAGACTATGGTGGACAACTCGGGCTGTCTAGATCGTGATGATCAGGGACATTGGGACTACCATGGTCATACTTCGGGTATCATATTTGTTCGTCGCCTGCGCAAACAGCTGGGCGCCGCCGATGTACCGATAAACCGACCCGTAAAGGCGATGAATCAGATGCTTGAAAGCCCCAAATCTGTATCAGACTCGCCTCAGGATGGATCTCTGCCGCACACGCTCGACTTACCCCCACGGGCCATCGCTCGCCGATTATGTCAAAGTGCACTCGATCATGCTTGTAGCTTGATGCGCTTCGTACATGAACCCACATTCTTTGCTAGCCTAGATCGTATCTACGACACGGCTCCAGAACTCTATGGGAATGAAGAGAACTCTTTTCTACCGTTATTGTATATCGTCATGGCCGTCGGATGTCTGTTTTCGGATGATGGAGCTGGGACTCTGGATCATGCTGGTTATGAGGGTGCAATCGGTCAAGGGTATGTTCTCGAAAGAAAGTCCCTATAGACAGCAGCGTGGTTAACTTGGATTCACAGATTTCAATTTTTCAAGGCTGGTCGCCAACTTCTGGAAATTACTGACTGTCGGGATCTCATTTCCCTGCAAGCAATTTGCTTCATGATTCTATTCCTCCAATCTTCTGCCAAACTGAGTACCTGCTACTCCTATGTTGGTATTGCGCTCCGCTCAGCCCTGAGATTGGGTCTTCACCGCACTGTGACGGCAGATTTCAATCCAGTCGAGCGAGAAATGCGCAAACGTCTCTTCTGGGTCGTTCGTAAGATGGATGTCTATGTCAGTACGCTCTTGGGTCTTCCCCAGATGCTGAATGATGACGACATAGATCAAGAGTATCCCATGGAAGTCGATGGAGAATTCATTAAAGCAGATGGTATCGTTCAGATGCCTTCCGATTATACCCCGCTGATGGCTGGCTGCAATGCGCATACCCGCCTTTCAAACATCATATTGAAGGTCGTAAAATATATATACCCGGTGAAGAATGCGCGTTATCGCTCTAAAAACCACCAGCGATATATGGTTAGCCATTCGAAAATCCGCGAAATCGAGCGGGACCTGCAAGGTTGGATGGAAGAATTACCTGCTGCCCTACGCCCCGGCACTGAAGTGTCCCCTCAGTTGGAACGAATCCGCCAGTTGTTGCGTATAGGCTATGCACACGTACAGATGGTTATGTACCGTCCATTCTTGCACTACGTATCTAGCGGGTCCCAGGCGCGTGGTATGGATAAGCGGTCATATGCTTGTGCTGCGGCTTGTGTCAGCGTTTCCCGGAATATCGTTCACATCACGACCGGAATGCACAAGAGGGGCCTTCTGAATGGGTCCTTTTGGTTTACCATGTATACTACCTACTTTGCCATCCTATCACTGATCTTTTTCGTTGTCGAGAACCCCGATTCTCCCACTGCCAAGGATGGAGTCCTTAAGGATGCCATGGAGGGTAAAAGCACCTTGGCCGGATTAGCCAAGAAAAGTATGGCGGCTGATCGTTGTTCCCAGAGCTTGAATGTGAGTATCTGTGCCATGATCTGTTGTTATACCAAAACTAATTGAAAACTTCCAGTGCCTGTTTAAAACATTACCGGAGATGCTGAAGAGCCGCCTAGTTTCAAAGACACCAGTTATTTCAAAGGCTCCAGTTGGTTTGAAGCGACCAGCGCCAACATCCGAACTCGATTCCTCCAACTTGGAACCAAAACCAAAACGTTCTACCACTTTCCCCCTTCATATTATGCACCAGCGCAACACTTCAGATCCTTTGAACCTTTCACAACCTTCCAACCCTCCAAACCGCCGACAAACTAGTCTTGATTATAACCAGCCTCCACAAAACAGACCCGAGAACGGAAACCAGCAACCATGGATAGCCTCGGCCCCCGAGTTATTGACGGAGACCATGGCTACCCCGGAGCCCTCGGTCTCAAATCCACCGAACCTCTCTCTCCCCAACCAAGAGCCGTCGAGCCTGGCATGGTCACAGCAATTCAACAACCCGAGCAATCTTCCCGATCTCATGCCAATCATGTTCCCTTCGGACGATCCCTTTGCTTATCCCACGCAGCCGATGTCAACACTTGAAGCCGATCACTTCAGACACGAACCCAATGGCATACGTTCATCACAGTTCCAATATGACGCGAAGTCACAAGCAATAGGACCGACCACACCTACCGACCCCACCGGGACAAGTGCCTCGACACCTGGCTTCGAATTCCCCAACATGTCCAACTATGCAGCTACTGGTGTCAAATCATCAATACCGAGCCGCCTTCAGTCCAATACACAACCAATGCACTCTCCAAGAATGAACTCGCCGAATTCCCAAGCCCAGACTCCAAGTGAAGCGCTCAGTAGTCCCGACCTAGTTTCCATTCCCAACCAAAATTTCGTCTGGCAAGGATATAACTACCAGCCCACGAATCTAGTTACGGATGAAACAATTCAGCAGGAACAAGCCAACATCCCCAATAGCTTACCGGATTTCAGCATGGCACTAGATGAGAATAATATGGGTATGGACATGGACCTTGGCATCTCGTTCGATGACCTTTTTGGGAACAATACTGCAGGTCGACCTGTGAACGGGGCACCCAACGATGAGTGGTCTCAGTGGTTGAACACTGCTGTCTAGGCTGCTTCTATAACTATAATACATATAATGAAGGAAGACGTTGTTAATACCTGACTGGCGTTACAATCAAATGGTCCCTTTGGCTTTGGCTATTCTGTGAAAATTATTAATGAGCAAATCAGGTCGCATTTGGATGGCAATGAAATATCAAGGTATTTTCTAAATAAGCACAACTTCATAGTACTGCTACGTATAGTCTCTCTCTGACTTGGCCGGAATCAGATACCGGACCCACACCTTCCAAGCTTAACGGGGAGGGCGGCACGACTGCTCCATCAGCACATACAGATACCTCATACAACATGGACTTTCCCCAAGGATGATTTGGGCCTCAATTGTACATTATCCCAATTGATTCATACCAACTCGCAGACAGCAGCCTGAGTCTCCCACGAGTAATTCGATTCGATCGCAAGCTCTGTCGAACTTTTACTGTAAATTATAGCTGTCGGCAGGGGGTTCAGACCCAATGGCTTCCATACCAAAGCTCTCGAGTCTTTTCACGTGGGCCCTATACTTCGTGCCGATCTACATTTTCGCCCTCGACCCCCTACTCCGCCCATTCTTCCCTGCTCTCCCCTCCAAGTCCCTACAAGACCGCGATATATACAATGACTGGGATCTTGCAGATCTACCGCCTGCGCTGAACACTACAGATGACACGTTCATCAGTCCCGAAGATGGCGTGCCGTTCAATTGCCCTGGTGTTCCCGCTGGATACCATGTACACCTCCTATCGCGCGCACCGCTCATTATATATCTGGAGAACTTCGTGAGCGACCAAGAAGTAAAACATATACTAGACGTCAGGTAAAAGCGAACCCTTCCGAGTCTTCGTCATCTGATTTCAAATCGGACCAAGGCTGACACATAAATATTACAGTCTCACTAAGTACACCCCGTCTATCGTGTACGACGGGGTCACCGAACGAATCGATTCAGACGTCCGTCTCTCCGAACGCGGCCTCCTTGAACGCGACGACGTTATCCGCTGCTTAGAAGACCGCGCCCGAGCCTTCCAGGGCTGGCGCCCACATCTGTACATCGAGCGCATGTGGGCGCAGCGCTACAACGTCTCAGGCCATTATCGCCACCATTTCGACTGGACGGGATCGTTCGCACAAGGCGGAGATCGCATCAGCACATTCATGGTATATCTCGACGCAGACTGCGAGGGTGGTGGCACCAATTTCCCGCGTCTGCGCATGCCGCCGGGGAAGGAGTGGTGTCGATTCTTGGAGTGCGACGATGACCAAGGGAACAAGTTTGCCCCTGGCGAGCGCAAGGAGGGCATCACGTTTAAGCCTATTAAGGGCAATGCGGTCTTTTGGCAGAATCTACGCCCTGATGGCTCTGGGTACCCGGAGACATGGCATGCCTCGTACCCAGTTACGGCTGGGACTAAGGTAGGATTGAATATTTGGAGTTGGTACCAGCCGCCGAAGCGAGATGAGCTCAGGGGTTAAGTAAATTGTGAACGGTTTTTAATTCTTTTTCCAAGACCCACGACGGTCTATCGATGCTTGGAGCCGTCCTCGCACCGATGTGACTGTTCTCACATGCATTATTCATCTGGTTAGTGGAATTAAGGGTTGTATTAATTAGTTGTTCAGATAGATAGACCTCGGGAAGTGTATATACTATGGAGCCCACCTGAGCTGCGAGTGCGTGCATTATAAGCAAATATTCTTAAAGCGTGACTGCTAGGTACCTAGGTACACAGTCCGACTATCCTATACTCACACCCTCTATTATAACCACTCCTAGAACCAACTTGGAGCCTCATGAAATACTTGGTATGTGCACTATAACATTGGAAATATGTGCCAAGTTTGACGTGCCGAGAGAAGGCTTGGGTCTCGGGGCGGAATTAGGAAAACCTTGGCTGCTTCACTTTAGATGCTTGGCAGATCTCATTCCTTGTCTGGTATAGTTCCACGATTGTAAGTTCCAAGGTTACCCCTATCCGGCTTTCAGGCTATCGTGGAAGACAGAAATTTAGAAGATTCGGTACCTAGGTATTTTCTATACTGCACATACCCAGATTACGTATTGGATGAATCTGATACCTCATTTAAACACACAAATTATAAGCAGATGTACATCGGTATGGTAATAATAATACTATTGAACATGTGTAATTGTCCAGCAAGTAAGAGGGGACTGGAATGCACAGCCCCTTTCATCCCGACTTCTACCAGTAAGAGTGCGTATGACAACGCCATTTCGGTTCCCGCACAGACTCTCTTGGCCCGGTCCATCTTCTTCTCTCCGCCCTGGGTTTTTCTGGGCAAAAGCTCGGCTCGTTTTCCTCTCTCCCCCCCGGATTTTCTTCTTTTCTCACTCTTCACCCCCCTCCTTTCCTTTCATCTCTTGACTTTTGTTTTTCTATCATCACCCTATTTCCCCACGCCTTTCTCTCCAATCTTCTCTTCTATCTTGTTAAGTCTGCTTCACCCCTTTTCTGAAGTTGTGGCAATTCCCGCCCAGCATTAAGAGGGTCATTTCTTGGCATAATGTCTGACAATAACGTCGCCTCGGCCGCGTCGCCGCAGCCCGTGTCTGCCGCGCCGGTTGAGCAAAACCACATCAACAACATTAACACGACTGCATCAGTCGCAACTGCCGTCGCCGCAACTGCTGCCGTCAATAACTCGCTTAACACTGGCGGTGATCAGTTTTCCTGCCAATGGGTTGGATGCCATGAAAAAGCTCCTTCTGCGGAGGCACTCTATGTACGAGCTCATCTGACTTCTTGATCAGCGTTGTTTCTTATGGTCACTAACTATTTCTTCAGGACCACGTCTGCGAACGCCATGTTGGTCGCAAAAGCACTAACAACTTGAACTTAACATGTCAGTGGGGTACCTGTACTACTACTACTGTCAAGCGGGATCACATCACTTCCCACATTCGTGTGCATGTTCCGCTAAAGCCTCACAAGTGTGACTTCTGTGGAAAGGCATTCAAGCGTCCCCAAGATTTGAAGAAGCATGTTAAGACTCATGCCGATGATTCGGATATCCGCTCCCCAGAGCCTGGATCTCGACCCAACCCTGATATTATGTATCAGCAGAACCCTAGAGGCTACATTCCTGCCTACTCTGAGGGACAGAACTACAACTATCCTGCTCCTTCTGCTCCGGCCCCACAATTCTCCTATCACCCGGCCGCGCAGCATGCCGCCAACCCTTCTTACGGAAATGTGATGTACTCTTACCAGGGCCCGGACGTGAGCCAATACAATCAGGCCAGTCAAAAGTATAAGTTTGATGCTTTGAATGAGTTCTTCGGTGACCTAAAGCGTCGTCAATTTGACACACACTCCTATGCTGCCGTGAGCCAACGCTTGAATGGCTTGCAAGCGCTTCAGCTTCCTGTTCTCAGCCCACCTGTACCTGAGTATCACCAGCAGATGGCCATAGTTGGTGGTCCCTCTTCGCACGCTCCCGCGTACCACCTCCCACCCCTGTCGGAGGCCCGCCACAAGAGCGATTTCATTCACCTCGAACACATGCTTGAGCAAGTTCAGAACACTATCTACGAGAGCGAGGACAACATTGCTGCCGCCGGTGTCGCCCAGCCTGGAGCTCACTACATGCACTCCCAAATGCACTACCGTCACCCTGAGTCTCCTCCAAGCCAGCTCCCTCCCAGCCACGTCACGGCGACTGCCCCCGGATCCATGATACCTAACTCGGCGCAATCCCCGTCAGTTGGAACCCCGGCACTGACCCCGCCGTCGAGTGCTCAATCTTACACATCAGCCCGCTCTCCTACTTCCATTTACGGCCACCGGGTATCCCCTCCACACGAGAGTAGCGGCGGTGTCTATCCTCGTCTGCCTTCCAATGCGGATAGCGTGAACTACTCCGTTCCGGCCAGTGCGGCTCCTCCGTCTACTCTTAGTGGAGCATTTGATAACAACGACCGCCGCCGCTTCACCGGAGGTACCCTGCAGCGTGCGCGCCAGGTGACTACGCAATTTGACAAGGAAGTCATATCGGATGATGCTAAGGTCGCGGGGGGCGAGCGTACCCCCACCCAGGCTCACGCGAACATCTCAGCTAGTCTGATCGACCCAGCCCTGTCGAGTGCCTCTCCCGACCCTGAGCAGGAGGCCGCTCGCCGTACCGCGCAAGCAGCCACCGAGGTGGCTGAACGTGACGTTAACTTCCCTTGGGTCGACAAGGTTCGCCTGATTGAGAGCCTCCGAGACTGGATCGCCTGGAACATCAAGCATGCCAGCTGGGACCACAGTAGTTCGGCCTCCCCATCATACTCCATGGACGGAGCAATGGATGTTGATGCTAGCACCCGTGCTTCTTCGATCCAGAAGGATGAACCCAAGTCTGAGCCAGAAGCCATTCTGTACCCCACTCTGCGTCTGGATGAAGATGGCGATTCCAAGATGCCTTCTGCTGAGTAAACACTTGGCGCATTCCATTCTGAATATCATCAACACCTCATCCTTATCAATCAACCAACCTTTTACGCCATTACGATTTTTCATCTTTCTTTTCATCTGTTTTTTTTTTTTTTTTTTTTTTGATTTCTATTACTCTGAAGTTGTTTTTGCCTTTCCCCCCCATGTGTCGGAAAGTAAATTTTGAACTCAAGACTGCCTTAGGTCCAAACTCGGTTTCCTTCCCCATCTATAACTATCAAAAGCCTATCCACGCTTGTTGTATGGGAGTGACGATGATTTCGGTCATACTTCAATCCTGAATGACCGTGGAAAAAGTCGAGGGTATGCCCTCACGCCTTTAGTCTTCTCCCTTCCCTTTCCTACCTTCCGAACGATCACGTTTGATGATGATTTTCTTCATTGTCCATCTACTATCAAGGACATTCAACTCCTACCGGCCACACAAGTTATCTTTTTTACTATCTCCCTCTCACACATCTTCTATCTCTTTCTCTCTTTCTTTTATTCATGACCTCGGGCGTGCCTGGAGTATATCACCGAACTAGCCCTTGGGTATATGTCTTATTTTCTTCTCTTAGTGATTTTTGAGGTTCCCACGGGAACAGGTTTTCATAATTTCATATCTGATATTTTATTCTATACCTCATTATCCGTATTCATTTCTTTCTAAATATTCAATTTTCGGATTATTTGAGTCTCATTTGAATCATGCGTGTTTGTTGTTTGCGTCTATATGTAGTGGATCAAAGTAGTCTCCACCATCGACTATTGACCCTCGATTCCCACCCAGATCGATCTCGTAGAGGTAATGTTGCATGCTAATATACCAAGCATGAATCCCGACGATAGTTGAGATCGACATGTCAAGCCCGATGAGGCAAGGAAACATTCCAACGGGCCAAACTAAACTAAATCCGGGGTAAGTGACGCAAACGGCATGGATTGAGTGGCCCCGTGGGACTTTTGTAAGTAAGGATCTGAGTCTGGTTTGTATCTGTATACAACGTTCAATCCTGTACTATACCGAATCCTGCATAGAATCCTATACTATACCTGGGTTTGATGTATGAATATAGACTAGTAGTGAATGTACCCACTCTGTATCCAATACAATCTAAACCCAGTGGAGTCGAGAATATAATAAAGACAAATCCACCCTTGTATCCTCCATGTCTTTAACGTAGGATGTGGGGATATTCTTTGTGTTCGCACTCGGACAACAATCCTCAATCCCACTCTGTACTTTGAGAGCGTAATTGTGGTATTGGTAATACCAACCTTCTCTCTAACCCCCACGGGCCCTTTATCCGTACCATACGCCACTGTGACCAGACTCCACTGTTTACGGCCAAAAGCGAAGACTGATTTATTTCCCTCTCTTATTTCTCTTCTCTCTTCCCTGGATCCTTATATTCTCTACTTCTTCCTCTTTCATTTTTTGATCTTTGTACTCTCCAGATCCAACTGGTATTTGTGGCTGATTAAAGAAGCATCACACGTTCCCCACGCGACAAGGCGGTCACAAACAGACGCCATCGCGTCGATCCGTAGGGATTATCGATAATCAACAAATCCAGCCACTCCAGCCACTGATCATACATCATCCCTCAGTTTCCTCCAACTCTTCAATACTCCCCTTCAACATCTTCCCTTCTCGGCAACTTATTGCGGTGGCGAAACCAAGCTCAATCGGGTGGTTCTGACACTATCGTTCTCTGGTTCTGGCGCTCTTCATCCGAACAACTTGACTGGGGCGACCGCTGAAATCCGGACCCATTGTTGTGTGTTTTTCTTTGCCTTCTATCATCGTCTTCTCTCTCTCTTTCTCTCTCTCTTCTCCGTTTCCCCTTCCCTTACTCCATCTGCTTCCCCGGATTGCGGAGTATTCAACCTGTACCCGGAATAAATTGCCCACATTCTTCAAACATTCCGATTCGGCTCACCAGAATTTGTTGATCTCCAACCATTTCTTATCAATCTCGAAGAGAATTACCCCCCACTACACATACTTCACCCCCAATAATATCCCGATTATGGCGCCGTTGACAAATCGTCGTCGTGCGCGTCGCAAGGAAATTCAACTGCAGGAAACATCCGATGCAGAGATGCCTGACTCGTCACCTACTCGTCCGTCCGCTAAGAAGCGCAAGGTGCGTATATTAGACAGTCTCGCAGATGCACTAGTCTGAGTCAAAATCTCGTAGGATGTATCCTAACTTCATATTTTGTTTTGCAGATTTCCAACGATTCTCTTCGAACCGCCGTCAAACAAGAACAGGAATCCGCCGATGAAGCTGAGGACTCCGGGGCAGAGGACCTCCACCTCGTCATCTCATATCTGAGTGCCCCACCTGAGGAGCTGCGCGTTGCGCAAGACCACTCCAACGATAAGACACAAAATCAGCACACTATCACAGCATACGCCAAGATCGCTGGTCGCGGCTGGACTTATTACGTCAAATCATCACATATCAACATCGGACGAGAGCCGGATCGTGAGTCGAAAAATCATGAACAATCCAGCCCCATAGCCGTGGCGGCTCGTGCACTGCCTGAAGTGGACCTGGACTTGGGACCCAGTAAGTTTGTTTCTCGTCTGCATGCTGAGATCTTCTACGGCCGCAATGATGAGACACCTGCTTGGCATGTTCGAGTGAATGGCCGCAACGGAGTGCGTCTGAACAACATGATTCTCAAGCGCGGTGGCGACGCAGTTCTTCGCTGTGGAGATATTATCGAAATCGCCAATAGTCAAATGGTCTTCCTCACTCCCTGCGACGAACCCAGCATACACCCCACCTTCATTGAACGCGCAAAGCGTATCGCTCGCGGAGACGAACCGGACCCGGTTACCACCGCTTGGGACCATTCACAGCATGCCCATCCCCAGAATTCACAGGCAACTGAGCCGCGCCCCTCTTCGTCTGGTGGACCTTCACTGGCGCCGGCTCCTAACTTTCTTAAACAGCGCAATGTCACCCCGCCACCTCGCTCTCCTGATACCGTCGGTGCACGTACGTCTAAGCAGTCACCGCTTTACAACCGCGGTATGATGATGGAAAGCACAGAGGAGATCGACTATAGCCTGGATGCCAACAAGGATCTCAAGCCCCCCTACAGCTATGCTGTGATGATCACCCAGGCTATCTTCTCCAACGAGGAGGAGAAACTCACTTTGAACAGCATTTACAGTTGGATTATGGCACGTTACGCCTTTTATCGTCATTCAACCAGCGGCTGGCAGAATTCGATCCGTCACAATCTGTCCTTGAACAAGGCATTCGTCAAGGTTCCTCGCCGCACGGATGAACCTGGAAAGGGCATGAAATGGATGATTGCTCCCGAGTCCCGCGACGAATTTCTCAAGAAGCAAACTCGCCGGGGTTGTCACCACTCCTCTGCACCATCCTCGCCTGCAACCAAGGAACCCCCTTCCTCGGCCCGCCATGTTCACATTGCACCCTTGAACACCTCATTCACGGCTGCTGCCCGCAAGTCTCCCCCTGTCTCATCGCCTGGCTTCAGCTCATTCCCTGTAGCTCCTGTAGAAGCATACACTCCTGAGCGTGGCTCCCGGCTCGGTCGTGGCGTTGGCTCGGACCACCCGTTGCGCCATATGGATCCCCAGGATTATGAAGAACCGTCCCCTCTTCCGGCCCGCACTCACAGCAACGTTAGTTCGGCCAAGGCACAGAACAGCACCAACAACCTCAGCCGCGCCTACGGTCTGTCAGACAACATTCAAGGCTCACCTCCGACTATCTCATCGTCCTATTACGACGATGGTCCCACATCAATGATCACTCCCGCCCCGCGCCGCCAGCAGCCTCGTCTTCCACCTCCAAGCACTGCTCAGATCCCCTCAAAGTTTATGCCGATGAGCTCCCCAGCCCAATTCTGGAAGTTTGCCGACATAGGTAGCACCCCTGCGCGCCCCATCCCGGACATGAGTCCTCTCAAGCGCGAAGCTGATGACCGCCTGAATGGAGGTTGCATGAGTAGCAGCCCGCCCCCGCCCAACCTAGTCAGCCCTAGCAAGCCGGGAACGTTGAACGGTCTCAACCCCAGCCGTAAACTGCCTCCATTGCAATCCCCCCAGTCTCTTCCTCATTCCCAGTCTGACCGCGGAAACACCTCGACCAGCGTGGCTAAGAATGACGAGGAACCGGAGCATGATGGAGGTGAAGGGTTTGATCTGGCTCGGTAAGTCTTTGCTCATTTTCCCATGTTCCTTCAAAACTAACTTTTAAGGGGTTTCCAACCTATTGGCTCATACCACCAGCAGTTGAGCAATGCTGCTCGCGCAGCCGCCACTTAGGATATTATCTTCTTCGTTTAACGAGAGATCATACAACACGTAACATACCATAGCTCCGTGGCTCACAGATTGAATGATCTTTTCCTTTCTCTACTGATTTTTTGTTTTCTTGACTTTTCTCTTGGGTTCACCGAGGTTCCGCATACACCGGTGTTGGCGGCTTCACTGTTTCATATCTTACTTTCTATTCTTATTGCTTGCAGGAAAGGTTGGCGTTCAAGGATTATTATCCGGAGTCTTTTAGGAAACTTGTTTCCAGTGAATTTTCTTTTTTTTTTTTGTTTCCCCTATTCTGTTTGAAGAAGCTTGTTTGAAGACTAGAAGATGGCTCTGCGTTTATGTACAGTTACGAAATGTATAATACAAGAGGAAGCACCTTGGAGAATTTTAATTCATCAATTTGGATCCTATATTCCCTGCCTAAGTAAAATCTAGGTCGCCACTCAATTCATAGCAGGCCAAAACTGTTCCTCTAACCATAAAACCTGCCTCCACCACCCCAAACACCGGTCTCGCACATCCTCCAATTCACTATCTCCAATCTGACCAGCTATCAGATCAAGCACATTCCCAATCTGGTAAACGAAATCTTCAAACTCCTTACTCGACCAATTCGGAATAAACTTCTCTCTCAACGCCCCGCCATCCTCATCTGGCTTTCCATCTTTCGTCTCCAAGAACGACGCGGCATACCGCCATGATCGGAGGTAGCAGACTTCCGTCGCCCATAGCACGGCTATTCCCTCTAGCACTGTAACGCCAGGACTGCCAGCTGACATGAACATGTCAATGTACGCACGAGTTATCACGGAAGGACTATCCCCCCGACAATCGGAAGTATCGCCCTCGACTACGGAAAGCCCAGGCGTGAGATCAAGACTATAATTTGCCGCTGTAGTCTCGAAGAAGTGGAGTTCAGTGCGGATGTTCACCAGGGCGTCTATCAGGACGTCAACGGCTAGATGCTCGGGTGTCTGTGTCTGTGTCTGGGAAGAATGTGTCTCTGCCGTATGACTTAATGGTAGACGAATTTTTGAGAGTAAGAGGCCGATAAATCGGATGTAAGACTGGGCGTAAAGTCTGTCTTGGGAAAGCCATTGTGATAGAGTTGATTTTGGGAGTTTGCCTGTACCGGCTGCGGCGAGAAATGGGTGATTTGTTGCAAGCTTTAGGTGATTGGGTGTACTGGCAAGTAGCCAGGTTGTTAATTTGCTTTGGTTGGACATTTTATGGACGGGAGATTGGAGATTGTAGCCCTATGCTTTAGGTGAAGTCAGATCGCCGAGCTCAGATGATGTTACTATTGCGTCATTGGGATAGTAAGCTTATCGCGATAAGCCAGGTATAGTGGCATTCTGCCACCGCCTCGTTGGGTTAAGTCTGTAGCTTTTGATTTTGAATAACATCGTTGTTTCTCCTACATTGTGCATTGATGAATGGGATTGTCAATGATAGTCTGCCTAGCTGTCTGCAAATTACACAACACAACACTGAGGTTTGGATGATGGTCAGGTGGACATAAAATCCTTCATCTAAGATCCTCTTTATTAGCGACTCCAACTTAAAGCAACGGCTAAATCATGAAATGATGAAATTTATTCACTCGCATTCCACATGAAAATTATTTAATTTTATTTTGGAAAATATCATACAGTAATGAATAGATAAAGCTCTGCTCATTCATCAAAACAACCTTGGAAAATATGTGACCTAATCCAGGTAAAAGGTATTCATTCCTCTCCAGACACCGGATTTCCAAACTCCAAAAACGAGAACCTTAGAACTCCAATTAGAAAGATAAGCCTGACACCTCGGTCAGGCCTAGTATTAGTCGATCAAGTCATAGCGGGGAATAGTTTCATCGTATCATAGAACCCCTTCAATTTCCTCCAGATCAGCGTCGTGATCCACCATTGACAATTCCATCAGTGCCCGTGTGGAGCTTGATGCGACATTCAGGGCAATACCACTTAGCTGTGCGTGAAGGAACTGCGGTAAGGCCAATACAATCCAGATGGAACCATTCACGATCACACTATTCAATCATTAGAATATCGAAATAAAGGCGTAGAAAAGTCAATGGGAGCTTACATCAGGGTTCTCGCAGCAAATCATAGTTCCGAAGCTAACATCTCCGCAGAGACAATAACGTGGCTCATTGGCATCGATTTGCTCAAGAACTCCGTCCTCGTCGACACGCACGTCCTGCGAGCTGCGAACATTGAGACGTTTCTTGCCTGGCTTGGCCTTACGACGTCCATAGCTTACTGACGCGCCGCCATCCTGTCCAGATAGAACGGGACCCGGTGCAGGTCTCTTGCGTCGACGGTTCTGTACAGAAGCACTGGGCGCACGTGATGCTTCTCGGACAGCAATAGTACTTGCGGGAGTGGCGCTCTTGACGCGTAACTCTCGTCCACTAGGGATAGCAGCCGGAGCCATTCCTCCTGATCCACCCAGCTCCGTTGGTATACCAGCGGCAGAACGTCTGGACGAGGGGCGAGTGACAGGGGGCGTGTTAGTAGAAGCAGGAATGGGCGGTACGATCGATCTAGTGGATCGTCGTGATCCAGTCGGCGAAGGCAGATTTGGCACTACTTTGGAGTCAGTGCCAGATGGTTCGGTGCCAATTGTAGCAATGGGAGCTTCAGGCACATCCGCCGCGACTTCGGTGCCCGTTCCACGACTAGATTTGCGACGTTTTGCGCCCTTGGAGGAAGGCCGAGCAGGCTCTGGCACAAGAACCGGCTCCTCTATCTTTTCAATCGCAACATCGTCTGCCTTTCTCTTTCGTGATGGCCTGGCTATCGAAACACCTTGAACAGGGCTAATCATCGGCTTAGCAGGCATTTCTCCGTTAGCGACTGCCTCAGCGACTGCCTCAGCGGCTGCTTCCCGCGCAAGCGCCTCGCGCTTTAGCTTCTTAGCTTCATTGAGTTTCATTCCCCGGTTGCTCAATTTGGTCTGATCCAGCTCTTTTGCGGCTTTGCCGCGTTGCGTCTCTTCGATGTTGTCGCAATCGATAAAATCAGTACCGTTCTCCTCAGCCAAGGTTTTGGCGGCGCGATAAGCTTCCCATCCTCGACCGGAGAGTGACAGCTCACGTTGGATCATAACTTCGCTTGGTTGCCAAATGGCGTTCTTCTTCATCTTTTTTCTCAGTTTAGTCATCTCCCACTCGGTCAGTCTGATCCACGGCAAGTCTACATCTCCCACCTGTGCATCATCCGGAGGTGGCTTGAGTAATGCCAGAGCATCTCTTGTTGAGAATCCAGCGGCTGGGTTTGGTCGAGGTCGCCGGGCTGCGTCCTTTTTTGAGCGCTTGGATGATTTGGCAAGCTTAGCAACGGTTGCTTCGCCCTCCGCATCAGACTGTTCAGTACTAGCGATTGGCGAATCGGGATTGAATCCTGACAATCGCGCGGCTGCTGCAGGATCCGATCGTCGCGATCCCGGCTTCTTCTTATCAAGTGTGAGGGTTAGACGCGGCGTAGCCGCGCTATCTTTCTTACCTGAGCGCTTCTTCGTGGGGTCTGGCGGCGGCGGTGTTGGTTCCTTTGAAGGTGGATCGGGAAGGGTTACAAGCTTCTGGCGTATGTTTGTCAGGCGATCAAAGTGGCGATCCACAACATCGTAAATGCGGGAAGCTTCTGAGTATGATGACTCGCGGGCGTTGATGGCGCGATCCAGCTGCTGAGATATTTGGGCGCGAATAGCAATTGCACTCGGGCGCTCATCAGAAGAAAGGTTAGGGAGCTGGCCGTAGGTCCGAGTCAGGTTGTGTACAGCTTGCGCCGAGTCGAGATATCGCTCATCCAGATTGCGAATGAGAGTCAACGAACGCATGAGGTCGGCAGGGAGGTATTCCGTGTAATCAATGAAGTCAGTGACTGTCGCCTGAGCATCTGGATCAAAGGGGCCATCTAGAATGACCCCGCCGCTATGATCAGTCTCGTCAGTCATGGGCATGTTGTAGGTGAAAGTTGTAAGGTTGTAAGGTGGGAGGTTTAGTGGGGGTTGGGATGTGCAAGGTCCTCAATAACGCGTCCAAGGTTACGCGATAAGAGGAAAAACGAATGACGTGACGTCATGAAAGAACGAGGATGAAGACAGTAAACGTGATGTGAACCGATACAGCTGAGACAGTCACGCTGTCGGCTTTGTTTGCGATTATGTAATGATACTCAACGGATCAGCTCACGGTCCCTGCAATTGTATTATGTAATATAGAGTAACCTGCGAAATACCTAGTTACATAGTTGTATACAAGAAGACTGTGGAACTGATATTCTGTACTGCTGTTCAATTTGACTGGAGCTAACATATACTCCGGGAAAATCAGCGATCACGCTACATTCGAACCCATCCTGATTTATGCACCTCTAACTCCGCTAAAAATCACACCTGGGCATATCTGGCATCTTTGCCTCGCAGTGGCTGGTTTTCTCTCTCTCCAGTAGAGAACCAGAAAGTCTAGAACAAATTGGAAGTGAGTTCATCGGAGCTGATGGACTTGAATTATTGTGTCCCACTGCTGTGTCAATTTATCAGTCAAAGCATTAGTACCTAGGTAGCTTTAGGAGGAAGATATCTTATCAGCAGCAACTTAAAGTGTGCCTACAGATCATAAAGTCAATAAAGCTTTTGTGATCTCGCATTGAAGTTTGATTCTGGTTATACAGTTATTTAGTCATACAAGTCAGTCATAGAGTCAGTAATAAAGTCAATCATAAAGGTTACTCGTCCGTCATACAGGTCATTTAGCCACGTTTATCAAGTCATGCAGTCAAGCCAGTCGTCTATCGGTCAGCGAAAATCCGAGGGGTTTCGGATCGGCGAGATGAGCGGGCTGCTGGCAGGTCTCTTGTTATCACTGCGTGAGTTCTCTTTCGAACCTTCGTTAGCTGGCATAGTTGCAGCTAGCTTTGAAAGAAGTCCTTTAATGTGAGGGAGCTGGGTTCGCTCCATCCAATTAGTTACGTTCACCACGAAGTCATGACATTTCTGGCGATCATCAGGTTTGGTGAAGTAATATGAGTCAAGAAATGTCATGCAGTGGATATCCCCATGAGGATAGTGAACGTATGAAACTGCTAGTCTTTGGCTCACTGACATACCAAAAACAAGGCAGGGCAGCACATCGGGTTCAATGTCAGGGTTGACGGCCTTCATCAGATGGGACATCGACCGGTTGTAATGTAAGCCCCCGACCGCTAGCTGTGACTCAGCTTCGTGAAGTGACCCTCGGTTAATTCTGATTTTCCCTCGATCAGGAGGCACGGGAAAAGATTTTCGTCATTTGGTGAGCAAAACTCCGAGAATTGGTCGTTGATCGCGGCGGTCTGTTGAGCGTGGGTCCATATTTTAAGCTGGTCGGGGCCTCCATTCTCTGCGTGAATAAAACCGATATGGTGTTCGGTTTTCGGTCTCAACAGAGGCATGCATCCTGGATTTTTGATAGGCCCAGTTGACCAAGGAGTCTCGCCACCAGCCTTCAAAACTTCGAAATCGTTGATCGGAAAAAGGGGGTGGTTTCAGGACCTAAGACATCGCATTTTATTCTTTCAAACTCCAGGCAACTCTAAGGTCGCGTTGGATTGTGATTTGTTCCTCCTCCGTCAAAGGGGTTCCAGGCAGAAGGATTTTCTCAGCAAGAAATATCTCGAGGATTGGCGGGATATTGATTTTGAAGTTCTCAATTTTGAAGTGATTGTTTGAGATCAGAGCGTGGAGTTTGATATTGTCAAGTGATTTTCTGGACCTGAGGGAGGGGTTGTCTGTGGAGGGTGGTGAGGAACTATATGAGATTAGACTTGAATTTGGGCTTAAGTCTGCGCCTTCGATAGAATGAAGCCAAGCAAGGATGTTGAACGAACCAGTCTGCGACATATTGGTTCGGGAAGGAAGTGTGAGGAAAGAACGAACTAGTTCAAGCAACTTAGTGAACTGTACTGATCCCGGAATAACATTATTCCGTAATTCGAAGGAAAAGTAACTAGTCTGATTGAGGAAATATACAGGATGGATGGAAATCAGTTTCACCACTTTGCTCTCATGGAATCTTTTTTGAACCCTATTCTGAAACACACTAATCGATTTCTGACTTAGCACGATTTCAAGTAGTTATTGAGTTTTATTGAAAGATGCAAATCACGTGATATGGACTCTAGAGCTTAGTCAGTGAGAACCTTCTTTCGAAACATACTAAACCCCTTATAGTTACCTTACTCTGACTTTAAACTAGGTATATTCAGGTAACAGGTAATCAACTGAACCTTATTAATATCGCTAAATATCCAACTTTCAGACTTCAAATATGAAGTCCTAAGATAAAGGACGGCCCGGCCCGCAAAGTCTATGATAGCTTGAAGCCGCTAACTGTAACGGGTCGATACCCGATGAAATGCCCAGTCTCTGGAAAGACTGCGCTCCTGGCATCTGTGCGGAGCCGGACAAGCCATAAGAGCATCAGGACCCCAGGACCCCTTTCCCTTCCTTAGTTAATTCTTTTCGTTTATCAATCGGATCTTTACAGCGTACCAATTCCTATATTCATCCCGTAACAAAGACGGCACTTATGTAATCCCGAAAAACTTTGAAATAAGGATAAGAAATGGGATCTCGGGAGTTGATTTGCAAATGCTGACTAAATACTGAATGAAAGGCCCCCATTGGCCGAAATGATGCTTCCAGTGCACCATCTAAACTCAGGGTTGCATATAGTTGCAATAAGTCCAGCAATATCTTCCGCATATGCAGGTCTACCTCCAAATTTCTCACCCAATATTCTCATCTCTTCACTGTCATCAGGACGTACAGCTGTCAATGGTGTCAGAGGATTCCACTTTGCAAGAGAGTGTTTGATATCATCATCGGCAGACATGTACATATCCGTCATCACAGGGCCAGGGTTTATTGCGTTGACTGTGGCGTTTTCTGACAGCTCACGAGCCCATACTCGAGTCATGGCCTCAACAGCGCCTTTAGTACCGGCATATAAAGTGGTATTCTCAGTCCCAACCTTGGAGTTAATACTTGAGAGCAATACGATGCGCCCAGATCGGTCGCTGGGAAGGTATTGTTTGCAAGCAGCAGTGAGAAGAATTGGACCAAGCACATTCACTTCGTAGATCCTGCGGAACTCATCTTCAACAACACTCTCGAGTGGTCCAACGTAGCAGATTGCCGCGTTGTGGATAATGATGTCGATTTGAAATGATCCCAACTTTGAGAAATGGTTCTTGGTCACAGCAATAAGGCTCTCACATTGGGCACGGGAGGATATGTCTGCTTGAACAGGCAATGCTTGGATAGAGTATTCTTGCTCAAGCTCTATAGCAAGAGCTTTGGCAAGGGAATCGGATGATTTAGTCGCATAGTTGATGATCACATTACAGCCTTTGCTTGCTAAATTACGGGCGATGGCTGCACCAATACCTGTTCCGTTTTCTTAATAAATGCCACCCTAAGAAACATATATGAACTTACTTCTTGCTGATCCTGTGACAATAGCAAGTTTACTCTCGAACATGCGAGTAGGCGCAACCTTGTTCTGGAGACTTGTCATTGATGAATCAATAAAGCGTGGAAACTTTAACGGAAAAAATAAAAGCGACTTGATAAACCAAGAACAGATCAAGCTGAAAACCAAGATGGCCCCAAAATCAACTGAAATTGGGTGGAAAGGATCGAATGAGTCTTTATCAGCACCAAGCTTAGCGGGAAGCACTTTCCAGGTTCAAGATGCTCCACCAAAATACCTACTATGTAGGTAATTGATAGAAATTTCAAACACTAACTAGATATCATGATCTTCCTAAGTAGGAATAGATTTTCATTAATACTTCCCGGCGTTGACTAACCGCTAGTAAACTATCATTATAGCCGATAGAATCCTAATGTACTTTTGCTACAACCCCAATGGACCCATCCGCATGAAAAGGTTCCACATTGTAGATAAAAAGTACATACGCAGCTTTAATTTTGCCGCTATTCCCCTGGTTTTATGGAGGTTTGAAGATACAGCATGGCAAGGAATTTACATAATAATTATAGCGCGACTTGTTGGGAAAGGAAAGGAAGGGGTAAATCAATCCTCATGAAATAAATCCAAGATTTATTTGCCAGCCCCAAGACGAAATATTTCTATATACTTAAGATGTACGACTTGAAAATCTCACTACCCAGTATTCAACGCAAATAAATACTTTTTATTTTGCAGGACTAGAAACAAAGCCTCACCAAGTTGAGAAACTGTGGAAAATTCTATTAGTTCAAGCAGGTAAATAACTTACTCATTTCTTTGATTACGGCATACCTCAGCTTCAAGCGGTTGGATATTTAAATGTGGAAATCCTATAGAGATAATCATATTCAATAGCATGTAACAATCATTTCCCACGAAATATGATCAGACTGCCTAACTACCACTTGGACAGAAATCCACCATCAATGGGTAGACAAATGCCATTGACGTACGATGAACTATCTGAGGCTAGCCAAAGAGATCCATGTGCCACTTCGTGAGCCTGTCCAAATCTGTTCAAGCTGCTAACTTTGGGCGCAAATTCGTCATGATTGGTACCCATAATCTCCAATGCCTTGGCAGACATGTCACTCTGTTTTGTAAATTAGTTGAGGGCAAAAGAAAAAGCCAAAAAAGCACAAGTCTAGCAATAACTTACGAAAATAGCACCAGGGGCGATAGCATTGACTCTGACTCCTAAAGGACCACCTTCAGTTGCAGCATGCTTGGTCAACCCGAGAAGTGCGTGCTTTGTAGCAGTATAGGCGGGCATGTTCGGCTGAGGCATAAAGGCGTTGATTGAAGCAATGTTCACTATTGACCCCTTGGACCCCTGTTTTTTGAACTGCTGCAATTCATACTTGCAGCAGAGAGCAGTGCCGGTGAGATTGACGTCTACTAGCTTGCGCCAATAAGACTCATCGGATTCAATCAAAGGAGTTTGATCAGGTGACATAGCAGCATTGTTGATGGCTACATCAAGTCTACCGAATGCATTGATCGTTTGTTCAATAAGATTTTGGACATCCTCCGATTTGGAGATGTCTGTTTTGACAAAGCGAATCGCTCCTTCATGGAGGGTAGAAAGCTGCCGAACGAGCTCCTCTCCTTGCTCAGTCTTGAGATCGGCAATGACCACTTTGGCGCCTGCACGAAGAAATACCGAAGCAGTCGCCTTTCCCATGCCCTGGGAGCCACCCGTGATAATGGCTACCTTGCCACTGAGAACGGGAAAGATGGGAGCTTCGGAGATATTCATTATAGCAGGACTGTGTCACAAAAAAATTGTTCCGGGTACATACTATGTAGATACTCGACGCTTGAAATATAGAGTGCTTGGTATTGATAGAAGCCACGTAGCAATCCTCCAAATGCCAGATGTGGACCCGGGGCCAAATTTATGATCATCTAGTGCTAGATGTGGATATCTCTTGTAAATGGAAGTGAGGGTCTCCATTCAATGGATGCGGAACTTGGAATGGAAGCCGAGTCTATAGCTAGCCACTAGCATGAGGTGGTCGAATTTAGCTATTTTCGACGCTAGCAAAATTTGTCGGTGCTAGCGTGGGCGCAGGAGAAGTGGAGTTTAGCGTATTTTCTGTACATTTGTAACTACTCTGTCAAAAAGGACCACTTTTTTTGAATTCTGTCAGGATTTAGGTTTTGTGACGCTAGTCAAGTTAAGAAATGATCATACTTCAATGATCGACATGCAAATACTCGAAGAAGTTGAACACTCTTGAGTCGGTGAGCAAAAAATACCCCGGATGGAAATTGAAACATTTTTGATTTCAGGATTTCAGGATTTCAAGTTGGGTCTAAAGTTGGATGCAGCGGTTGCTTTCCCATATGAAGAATAGTCGTGTGAGCACCTACTTCCCCACTTGATGCACAGAACCATTGAACTTGCCTGATATTTATGAGAAACTTACTGGGGATCATTTTGCTCAGCAGAAAGTTTTTAAATTCTCCTTCACTTCACCTCTGTTTCCATTTCGACATAGAAACGATCTCTCCAAATCGTCAGAATGGGCGAGCCAGAGAAGTCTAAGTCAGACTCCACTGTTGACACCTACAGTGTTAAAGGCGAGAAGCCTGAGACGAGTCTTGTCAACATCATCGTCGCTATGACTGCTTGCCTAGGAGGCTTCGTCTACGGATTTGGCGCCAATGCATTGTCCGGTTCTTTGTCCCAGGTGACGTTCATTGAGAAATTCCTGTCAACGCCACAAGCAGCATCTCGCCAAAGTGGTATGCTTGGAGGGTAAGATGTTGAAGTCAATTTTCAAACATAGCCTTCCACTAAAAATGAAAATAGCTTCCTTGGTGGTGCTATGATCGGAGCTCTAGTGCAGGCACCACTGGCTAATAAATTCGGCCGTCGTATTGCTAATGGAGTCGCTGCCCTAATCGTGATCATATCCGGTGCCCTGCAGGCAGGTGCGGTGAATGTCGCCATGTTTATAGCTGGGCGCGTTATCTGCGGTATTGGCTCTGGTATGATATTCGCTAACACTCCTGTCTATATGAGTGAAGTCTCACCTCCTCATACGCGTGGAATGCTAGTTGGTATGCACGGAGTCGGTACTGTGACGGCCTACATTATAGCTGCGTTGTGCGCATTGGCATTCAGCTTTGTGAAACACTCAATCCAATGGAGATTGATTTTCATTGTTCTCACGGCCATTGGTGTCATTTACATTTTGACACTCTATTTCATTCCCGAGTCCCCTCGATGGTTGATGGAACAAGGTCGGGATGAAGAGGCCATTCGAGTACTGGAATACCTTCATCGCACGAACCGAGATCCCAGTGCTAGCTTTGCTCATGCAGAAGCCAAACAGATTAAGGCTCAGGTTGAAGCTGAGAAAAACAGCCCGCGCGGATTTATTTACATCTTGAAGACCCCATCTCACAGAAAGAGAGCTATCTGTGCTGTGCTACTGTGGACCATGGGCCAAGGAACAGGTATTACTGCTATTGCCAATCTGATTCCCACGCTAATGGGAAGTCTCGGTTTCGGAACAACGATGCAGCTGGGACTTGGTGTGGTTTGGACTGTTTGTGCACTTATTGGTTGCGCAATTAATGTCTTCCTTCTCGACCGCGTCGGCCGTGTCAAACTCCTAGGTACGATTAAACGAGTCTTAAATATTGATGATAAATATGCTAACCGATGAATACAGTTGTTGGCGGATTTGGTAGCGCCCTGCTTGTTGGCATTATGGCAGCGCTGGAAAAGTACTATCTCAACACATCGTACACACCAGGTGTGAACGGTGCAGTGTCTTTGTACTTCATCTTTGGAGCATTTTATACCGCCACGATTGAGTGTACCTCATATGTCTACGGTTCCGAGATCTGGCCGACTCATCTCCGCAGTGAAGGTGCCACCCTAGCCTTCGCCAGTTTCTTCGGAAATGCCATTGCTTACAGCGCCCCTGTTACTATCGCGCTGGATAACATTGGGTGGAAATTCTATATGGTATTTGTCAGTGTGACAGCTGTGACAACTACCATAATTCTGTTTTACTTTCCCGAGGTACGCTTTCCCTTCTTTCCCTTCATGGTACTATCCTAGTATACTAATATTTTTTTAATGAAGACAATGGGTCTAAGTCTTGAGGAAATAAATGTTACTTTTGGTGATAAAGTCGTATTGGAACTACAGAATGCTCTTGTATCTGATGAATCCGAGTCAGAGCGTACTAAGAGTGCCAAGGAGTAGAAGTTCAATGGGAGCATTCCAACATTTTGGAAGAATCTAAGAAGATAGCTTGGTGGAGAATGATATAATTTTGTTTTAATCTATTCAATGCAATGTTTTTCAATCAAATTTTTTCTTTAATCAAACTTTGGAAGTACTTATGTCTCAATGAGCCGTTCCAAGGTTTTTGATATCACTGTTGACATTGGAAGGGCTATAGAAGTTATTATTGAAGGGAAGCATATCTGAATCCGATATATAGCGCTTGTATCTCTTCCTTTCTTTTCTTCCAAGGGTTTGGGCTTCTTCAAATTATTCTAATTTATCATTGCGAGGTTAGCTCGGGATATATCCAGTCACCGGCTACTATTTATATCCCTTCAATATAACCTGTGAATCAACTAATCCTTATTTACCGGATGGATATATGTAATCCAAATACGGTCTGAAATTTGGTCTGAATCCAAATGGTTCTAACACTAAACGCCGTTTACCTAGGTAACAGTTTAGAGAAATTGTCGCTCGCTTAGTGGGCGTAGCTAGCTAGTCGCCGATAACTGAGAACGGTGCTCGAGTTCTTACTGCAGTAAAAGGGAATTGGAGTTTACTGCAGTAGAAAGGAGTTGATGAGCTTCAACAAACCACTACTCAACACCGTAGACAAACCACCAAGTGTAGTGGTCTCTACAGTACTGAATATTGTGGTTGTTGTGAAGTCTCTCTTTTTCATTGATGGAGAGAACTAGCTACTTATAGTATATGGGTGCTCTTCTGTCCTAGACGAATGTAACCATTCGTCCGAGACAGAAGAGACGGTGAAGACGGAACACTACTGTCGCGAATGCACATCGCTCAAGGGTATCGTTTGCGATGAATGCATATCGTTCAAGGATGCCGTTGTAACAGGTTGAATCCTGGTTGTCAACCTAGAAATAGGGGTGTTTGGTCTGTTTGCATAGCCCAACCTGGATCATGTATTTAACAGACTTTTTTCCCTAATCCAACTTACTATGCTTCGTGATTTCACCCGATTTTAGTGCCTAAAATACTGCTGACACTGGTGAACTATCACGTGGTTGTACCACGTGACCCACCAACCGCATACCTCACGATTCCACCCGAATTGTTTACGTTTCTTTAAGGATTTTGTATACAGCATGTGCCTAGCTAGTTCTGAATTCAAGATTAGCTTTAGCCCTTCACAGCCGTGATACTAACCTAGTTCCTCCGAGTGGTTATTCCGAACCGAGAGTCACTGCCTTGGCAGAAGCTTTTAGGCCGAAATACTTTCCGTATGTTGACAGCCTTGTTTCTCGGCTGTCGCAACAGAAATATCCACTGGATACTCCACACCGTGTCTTATCTTCACACCCGACATAGCACGATAATTGGAAGGTATAGAAGTGAAGACCTTTAGATCTTTGTATCTAAGCCGATTCACTAAGTATAAAGGTGGAGGCCATATCATATGCTATACAAATTAGATACACTCAATTTAATTTAATCTTCAAAAAGCACAATGAAATACAGAACACGACGCGATCTCAAGTGTCTCAAAACTCGCATGACAAGACCCACTTATTTTCTGCCAAGCAGAATGCCCCTTGAATTCATTCAATATGGTGTATGCCAACCATGGCTTTTACTGACTTGCGCCACCCTATGCGGCATAGTAATAGCTAAATTCTCTATAATACTGAAGCTAAGATTACCCCATGCTAACTGCACAGTCTCTGCTCATAGCTCAAGAGTTATATCATAATAAGGAAGGAATATAAGCTCTGGGCGTATTTTATAATTAGGCGGTGTATTAGGCGATCTACCGACCTGCGAATTTTAATGAGACCCCACTTTCGCTAACTAATACAAAATTGACGTATTTATATGTATGGCACTAGGCTATAATAGGGCGTCTACAGCGAATTTGGCTAGTGGTCTCATATGGCCCCTGTACTTCAAGATTTTTAACAGTGACAGAAAGCTTCACAGGCTGACGTTTTTTGCCGCAAGGACGAGTCAATTTTATTTAAGCAACCGTTGTCTAAGTAAATGCGCCAACTCATTACTAATGATGCAATCTATTTGTGAAACATTCTCCTGACCAGCCTTTAGACAAGTCCATACAATGCACCCTATCTTCTCATTTTCATCCTAGCAGTGTGTTGTTATCTTATAGTTTTCAATTAGTCAAATTTCTGAGCCTTGAGTACTGTCGTATGTTGAATATTTAATCCCGATAATGGAGTCATTCCTTAATTTGATGCTTAGTTTCTTCCATCTAGTTTAAAACATCCCCTGATTCTCCTCATTTTCGTACTTCATTCCTCATACTTAACGACCGGAAGGATCCCGATAAAAATCTCGTTCAATTTTCTACTATTTAATCATCTCTCCTGAGTCTCCTTTGCTGATCTCGACTTTAGCAGCCTGTATTTTGGTCTTCTACTCCACATGCGAGTGGAGAAAAAACAAACTAAAAAATAAGATATTTGCAACAGCACGACCTAATGACAGAAAGAGAAGCCTAAAATGACTGCGCCAAAGACCTGAGCTTCCTAAATCCACTGATTTTCTAAGCTTTGACCGGCAACTCTGTTACATTGTCTCTTCTAAGTTTTTAGAATTGTATAAGATATTGGGATAAAGCAAGTCCATGCTCACAAATAAAAGGTTCAAAAAAGTATTAGCAACAAGTACAAATGGCAGTCCACGGCAAGGGCCCTGTCCTTATTGGAGTACTTTGGTTGGAAATCTTCCTGTGCCTGATTGTTCTTGGATTGCGACTCTATACCCGTACAGTCCTTCGTAAAATTGCTGGAATTGACGATCTATTGCTCATTATCACCTGGGTATGCTACCTAAATATGCTTCACTATCATCAATGAGAAAACTATCTGACTAATTATGTCTGATTCTACCTAGTTCCTGATGGTTATATTTGTATCTCTTTGTACTGCATCGGCCACATATGGAATGGGAGTTCACGCTTGGTATCTGACCGAGAGCCAGAAGGCTCACGGAATGCTACTACTTCTTTGTGGCCAGAGTGTTATTTCAATGGCAATGGGACTCAGTAAATCCGCTGTTTCGCTGTTCCTGCTGCGAATTGTGATCCAGAGATGGTAAAGCCCAAAATGATGACATCATGAACAATAACAGCCTTGGCTGATAAAATGCAGGCAAAGGATTTTCCTTTGGTTTTGGATCATCACTATAATGTTCTTGAGTATCTTCCTTTCAATCACTGTTTTTGCTCAGTGTACACCTACGCGCTCGATATGGGATCCTCGAGTTCAGTCAAATGGCTGTGTCTTGAATTTGACAAATATTGCAACTGTTTTATGTGGTAGGTTTTGGTCCTTGATATGCCCATGTTCTTTAAAACCAAGAATATTGTTGATAAACAAAAATTCAGTCTGGTCCGCATTAATGGATTTCGTTCTTGCTATATTTCCCTGGGTTGCCCTTTGGAAGATCAATATGAAGCCCAAAGAAAAGATCTCGATCTGCACATCATTGAGTCTCGGTATATTGTAAGTCTTTTGTCTTTCGATAGACCTCTCATCTTACCTATATATCTGTCATGTGCTAAATGAGTGATGAAAACAGTGCCGGCATTTGTGGCATTATCCGGACGTCGAGTCTATACGTGCTGAGCGAGTCTGATGACTACCTTTGTAAGCTTTTATAATAATCACAGTACCCGTATTTGTTCTCGCTAATAACGAGCTTAGATGCAACAACTGACTCAGTCATGTGGACGAACTCCGAGCTAACCACAACCATTATTTGTATCAGTATACCAGCTTTACGGCCGCTGTTTCGCTCCATTCGCGGAATGAAATCAAACGAGGATGCCTCTAACTACAATAATATGGATCAATCATTCAAAAGTGCCCCTGGAGGTCGATCTGGATATGTCATGGGCTCTATGGCCAGAGTAATAACAGGAAAAGACTTGGAACAACAAGATGATATGTTTGATGAGGAATCTGGAGATGCCGACACAAATCACATCTTGCAAGATAATCGCCATCAGTCACAGCTTATCACCAAAATGACAGAGTTGACGGTCTCCTATGAAAATAGAAGTACCCGTGGAAGTGAGATATCCCCAAGTGATGAATTTGAACCTGTCTCAACACGACAAAATATTTGATCAGGAGAGTCAGTTGAGGCAATCATAATTCTGATTTGGGATCGACTGATAAATCAATTTGAATACATCAATATTTAGTATGTCTCATTCACAACAAAGATCGGAACATTTATCTATTCCAGCAGAAAGTTCCATCAGTACGAATGCAGCCGTTGCCACTTTAGTGGCATTTTCCAACATATCCCAAAGTATGATACGTAAGTGTCGATATCAAGTCGCTCGTTTGGCTCGCAAAGAACATATGATAAGACCGCCCGCGCATTTTCGTCAACTTTAGAGTCAAAATTCTTGATCAACCCTTTTTCAACATCATCCGGGCTAATTCCAAATGTTTTGCTTCCACTGGGGCCAATAAGAGCTTTCCAAGTTTGATAAAAAAAAAACATCATCTTCGAGGCCGTGCACAACTATATTTAGATAAGTCATCCCCAATGCGAAGATATCAAGTTTCTTGTCGTATGGTGACTGAGCTCTCACAACCTCTATTATGTTTTCATGGTACGGATTAGAAATAATAATTTTGTATATAGAACATGTGGGAGTCCTACCGGGATCATCTGCCGGAGGGGGACTGGCAGCAGGGACAGCGCTGCTGGCTAGAGATCGCGGCGGACCATTGCTGTGTGCTCAAGTACTCATTTGTCCCATGTTGGACGATCGTGACTTTACAGTTTCAAGTCAACAGTATGTTGACGAAGGTTCTTGGAGTCGAGGCAGTAATCAGACCGGATGGAAGTGTCTGTTGGGTGAGCGATGTGAATAGGAGAATGTCAGCATATATGCTGCCCCTTTACGAGCCACCGACCTCTCCAACCTGCCCGAAACCTTCATAGACGTTGGCAGCGCCGAAGTTTTTAGAGATGAGGCAGTTTCATATGCCACCCTCCTTTGGAAATGCGGAGTCCAAGCTGAATTGCATGTCTGGCCCGGCGGGTTCCACGGATTTGATCTTTTAGTACCGAATACAACTATCTCAACCGTTGCGCGTGAACCAAGATCGGCTTGGATTCGTTGTTTGCTCAAATCCAAGAAAAGGTAGCAAAGCCTCTTGTGGTTTAGTCAGTTTTTTAGTCAGCTTTCTTCTCCAACGTGACTATAAGCATTTGTCAGAGATGATATTACTGCATTGAGTTTAGTCTGTTTTCTTCGCGTATTAGTCATATGTTCCAGGACCCCTTTCCCTTCCTTAATTCTTTTCGTTTATCAATCGGATCTTTACAGCGTACCAATTTCTGTATTCATCCTGTAACACTAAAACCATCCGAGCTTGAATTTTCTTATCAGGTCTGATAACATATTATCTTTATTTTGTTTTGTTTTTAAACTGTTAAATTACATTTAGTGGTTTTCAAAGTGGGTCTTTTAAATGGGGCACTAGCGTCGAGCTAGCGCTATATGGGCTACCTTAACTCTGGCGTATTAAAAATACATGTGATATGATTCCTATTTAAGTTAGTCAGTGTCAGTTCAGCTTTTCACCACTATCACGTGACGGCTCCATCTAGGGTCAGTCAAGTTCTAAATAGGAGATTGCTAGTTTTACCCCCTAGTTTTACTCCTCCTGCCTGATTCTTAAGGTTTTACTCCACTTTCCTTACCGCCTTACTTTAATTTACTTACCACTTGACCGCCTTTCTTCATAGTATTTAGGTCCAAATCTCTAAATCTCTATTCTTTTTCTTTACAAACCCCTTTAAATCTACGAATTGTTCGCAGTCGGCGGCGAGTTGAGTATCTTGCCTATCTTTATCTATAAATAGTCAATTGCTTAAGTATGCAAACCAGAATGCAAAACGGACCGATTACCGTATTTAAACATTAAGATATTTTGGAAGAAAGAAAGTGGGTTGCGACCGAAGCCAAATATCGCATTAATAGTTATTCCAGGCCGAATCAATAATTCGGGCAGAATATCTGGCAGAATAGTTGATGCCTTAAAAATCTTAAGAATTAGGCAGGGGGGTAAAACTAGCAGTCTCCTCTAAATAACACCATGTTACTCTATACACTTCGTCAAGATCACTTCGATATAGGTCCTATTTGGCTTGAATATTTAAAGTCATGCTTTCCGCAACACTCCGAGATCTATTTAAGCTCCCACTTCCCACCCTCTGATACAATTTCCACCGGCCGTCTCTCGTCTAAAGACCTTCGGCCTGCATCCAAGATGGCGGTAGTGGCGACTGTATTTCGTAGCGTAGGTAGTGGACGGGCATCTAGTTGGTCGAGAGTTACACGACCTTCGTTGAGGGCGGTGATTGCATCAATGAACTTCTCAAAGCTGATATAGCCGTAGCCAGTTTGACCGCCAAAGTTGCCCTCTTCGTCAGGCGCATAGCGCATATAGAATCTGAGAGGTCAAGTAAGCCTGGGGTCCAATGAAAAAAATTCGCAACTTACGGGTTTACCCAAATCAAGCCCTGTTCGTCATTGGTCACATCGTAGCCGCGCTTAGCCTGATCCACACGGATCTCGCCATTGGCAGCCATATCTGTTCAATGTCATAAGCTGAAGATCAACGATGCATGAAAGATTAAAAAACATACAATGGAAGTATTGGTTCGAGTGTACACCTGCATTCATTGGTGCCGTCCAGCTAGCGGTATAGACACCTGTTGCGATCTTGGCCGGGTTGTCCTTGCGTCGCCATTCCACAAGCAGAGTAATCGTGTCCTCAGTCTCAGGAACACAGCCTAGTGCAGCAGCCGTACCTTGAGAAGCTGTAGCTGTGACACGCACAGGCTTGTAATCCGGGACCATACTTTCGCAAACATCGATGTGGTGTGAGTTCAGGTAGTACGAGATGTCCGAGTCGCGGCCTGCCCATGCCTTGAAAGTCTCGAGCTGGCTCTTAGGCTGGCTCATGTAGCTGTAGAAATAATTGAAGTCACCCATAGTGCGGGCCTTTGCGCGTGCATCTGAGTAGGCCGGGTCGAAGCGCTTGTGGTGCTCGACGAATACGAATACACCATTCTTCTGTGCGGCCTCTACCAGGGCCAAGTGATCGACCAGCCGCTGAGTTGCGGGCTTAGTGATCATTACATGGATGCCGCGTTCAATTGCGTACAGGGCAATAGGATAATGAGTTGGATCTGGTGTGAAAATTGTGATTGCAGAGCCTTTAGGTAAGGAGTCAATTGCGGTCTTGTAGGCGTCTGGATCAGTCTGATCGTCCTCTGGGTACGAGGTAAAGGAGATATCAAGATTATTGTACACCTGATGAATGTTCCGATGTAAATGATCACCTGAGTTCAATCATTAGCTATTTTATTTTTTGAACTACTGTTTTGTAGCGATGCACTTACGAATACCAGGGAATTTCTTGCCCGACACGCCCACCATGCTCAAGTCGCCCACTTTGCCTTGACGGCGCAGATCGAATAAGCTCAAGCCGACTACACCAACTTTTTTGTCTGATGTTGAAGCACTTCCACCGACGAAGCCAGTGGTGTACTCGCCGGTACCGACCTTTCATTCTTCTATTAGCTTAATATTGTACCTGACGGGGCAATGACCTACCATCAATACACTAGGAGGAGCCATGGTGATCTCTGACAATGCTTCTAGTATGGAACTGTGGAGCAAGATTCACAGAGTCTATAACGGGAGAAATTAAGGAAGGAAATATGAATTGAGGGGAATTCTCGTTGGAGATAATTCTTCCGGTATTTGAAAAAGTAGTACGTCAATAGCCGATCTCATATCTTATCGGCCCACATGGATATAGAACAACATCTAAGTATGGAGCTGGATATTGATCAAATTCTCATTCATCTACCATTCAATTCATTGGAATTGGAGCTAAATATGAGCCACCTTAGCAATATTATCAAATCATACCTAGAAATTTAGATCAATAGTACATTTTTGAAGTACATAACTATACCTTTATGAAGCCATACCCCTCCGCCATACTTGAATACTGCTCGTTTATTGGTGGAATTTAATTCTCCGCCATACAAAATGGGAGAATACGCCAACGTGGGGAAGTCCGTTATATTAATGAGAAACGCCATTTCTTTTCAACCTTGTCTGCTTCCAAGGTTTAGTATAATTTTCTATATCAATAAAAACCACCACAGTAGGTTCAATCTAACAGATGTTCCTTGTAGCTACCTAGCTAATTTCAAAATCTAGCATCATGCCCACTCCACTTCGTCCTGGCGTCTATGCGCCTACAATGACATTTTTCGACCCAAATACCGAAGAACTCGATGTGGCCTCCATCCGCCGCCATGCAGTCCGTCTGGCCAAGGCCGGCCTGGTAGGCCTGGTAACTATGGGTTCAAATGGCGAAGCTGTGCATCTATCCCGCGAGGAGCGCAAGACAGTGACTCGGGAAACCCGATCAGCTCTTGACGAAGCGGGGTTTTCCAATGTCCCGGTGATTTCCGGTGCCAGTGAAAACAGCATTCGCGGCACTATCGAGCTATGCAAGGATGTTGCTGCTGCTGGCGGTGAGTATGCATTGATCGTGCCGCCTAGCTACTACCGCTACGCCGTGGGCAACGACGAAACTATCTACGAGTACTTCACTTCTGTAGCCGACAGCTCTCCAGTGCCTCTTATTCTGTACAATTACCCTGGCGCCGTCGCTGGTATTGACATGGATTCCGATCTGATTATCCGCATATCTGAGCACCCGAACGTTGTCGGCACTAAGTTCACCTGCGCCAACACCGGCAAGCTGACTCGCGTTGCAACTGCTCTCGGTGCCATTACTCCTCCCTCCCCACTTGCTCCTACTCGTGCTATCCCAACTGTTGTCAAGCCTAATGCCAAACACCCCTACGTTGCCTTTGGTGGTATTGCCGATTTCAGTCTACAGACACTTATCTCAGGCGGATCCGCTATCCTCGCTGGTGGCGCAAATGTTCTTCCACGTTTGTGTGTGCAGATCTTTGATCTGTGGGCCGAGGGCAAGCTTGCTGAGGCTATAGAAGCGCAACAGCGGCTTAGCGCGGCTGACTGGGTTCTTACCAAGGCTGCTATCCCCGGTACCAAGTCTGCTATTCAGTCATACTACGGCTATGGTGGATTTCCGCGTCGACCTCTTGCTCGTATCAGTGAGATCCAGGCTCAGGAAGTTGCTGATAAGATTAAAGGTGCGATAGAAGTGGAGCTGGAACTGAAGGATGTGGCATAATCACATAGATTGTTGCACCTAAGATCTTAGATAGGCTTATAACGCTGCTATGTGATCACATTTCAAGTATTTAAATTGAAAATTCGATATACCGAACAATATTCATACCTCTTCATTCAAGCTCAAGTCATATTATTGCGGGATAGATAGTCCCTTATCAACGATATTTCTCAAGTCTCATTGGTGGAGAATTCCAAGTCGGAGTAGATACGATCTAGATCCGCCTTTATCGTCATTCAGAGTATAAGAATACCCAAGTGGTTGCCATCAGGATTAGCGCTGTACTTATATACGTGGATTGTTTATTTTGATATTTATCTCATTTCAATATTCTCCACTGCCCAGCTCCGGGCTTCTTTTTTGACTTTCTCATTCAATTCACAATGCCTTATCCAGATGAAGCTGAAGGGTTTCAAGTCGATGCACCTGGAATCAGCGAGTTCCACAAGAGATTTGTATGTTTTTTTTTACCTTCAATACTAGTACGTTTTTGAACGGGTCTGACTTTTCATATAGTACAGATTGAAGCCATTTGGCGACTATGGTAAGATCGATATTCATTTCTGTTTAGTTGATTTGATTGGTTGTATTTCAAAGTATCTGACTGCATTGATAGACGTTGATATCAAGATTGAAGCTTGTGGTATATGTGGAAGCGATGTTCACACCATCAGTGGTATGAAAACCCTCAAAGCGCGATCTCAACATTTGAACTCACAGTTTTCCAGGTGGATGGGGAGATCAAAAGTTTCCATTGTGTGTGGGACATGGTAGGCCTCTTTATAAGACTCAATCATTCGCCTAAGTATTGATGGTTGATGTAGAAATCGTCGGTCGTGCGATCCGTGTCGGACCCAAGGTCACTCTAATCAAAGAAGGAGAGCGAGTAGGAGGTATGAACTAAGACTCATCCTAAAATACCTCTAGTGACTAATTTTATACCAAAAGTGGGAGCGCAAAGCTACTCTTGTGGCAAATGCAAGCAGTGTCTCAACGACAACGAAACATACTGTCCTGTGCAGATGATGGACACATACGGTTCCGAGTGGCCAGAAACCGGAATTGTGAGCCAGGGAGGATACTCTTCGCATGTTAGGACCCACGAGCACTGGGTGTTCCCTATCCCTGATGCATTGGAAACCGTCAATGTGGCACCGATGCTGTGCGCTGGATTGACTGCTTACTCACCGTTAGTGCGTAACGATGCTGGGCCTGGTAAGAAGGTTGGAATCGTGGGTCTGGGTGGCATCGGGCACTTTGGTATCCTGTTCGCCAAAGCGCTTGGAGCTGAGACCTGGGCTATCTCAAGGTCTCGGGCGAAGGAGGCCGATGCTCTCAAGCTAGGTGCTGATGGATACATCGCTACTGCCGAGGAAGGATGGGAAATTCCCCATCAATTATCGTTTGATCTGATCATCAACTGTGCCAACTCTTCAGATGGCTTTGATCTTGCGCGTTATCTGTCCATGATGGATGTACACGGTCGATGGATCAGTGTTGGTCTGCCCGAGGAAGAGGGCCAGGTTATCAAGGCACAGAACTTGATTTCGAACGGTGTTTTGATCGGTGCCAGTCACTTGGGTAGTCGTCGTGAGATGCTTAAGATGCTACAGTTGGCTGCGGACAAGGGACTCAAAAGCTGGGTGGAGGAGATTGCTATCGGGGAGGAGGGGCTGAAGAATGCTATGTTACGCATGAAGAAGGGAGACGTTCATTATCGCTTTACTCTGACTGGATATGACAAGGTGTTTAGGTAATGGGTCGTGTACTAGTTCAAGGTTGCTTTGATACGGGCTTAACCAATCTCTTAGATATTAGAGGGGGAAATTAGCCCTAGATTTGGCGGTTAGGCCGTATATACTCGTGAGATCAAGTCTTAGAATTGCCAAATATAGAGAGTTCTGTTTTGATCAACTCATTTTAAGAAACCTTCGAAGCAATATAGAGACACTTTTGATCCACTAAATTGTGATATACTCTATCTATAGCCTTAAAGATAGAAATCAACGGGATATTCACTCTACCTCACTAACAGATTTGCCGTAAATTCAGGCAACTAATGTCGACTCAAACCACCCATAGTCAAGGCCTAAATGACTTGGAAATCAATATAATTCCACATCCGAATGCCCGTGGCAAATCTACTAACCCGATTTTGTTAAGGTTAAACAGTACCTTGGATTTGAAGTCCCGAACCGCCATATCGACTCTTGTATCTCGGTTCGGGTACAGTACATAACCGAGTGAAAGGAATTTAGGGCTCTTGGGAGGCAAAAAAAGCCAATCTAGGAATAGATGTAAGAAAAAATGAGAATAATCCCTGCAAGGCTGAAGAGCACAAGTACTTACTACTTTAAGGTGGCAATCCCCGTTTCACCGCCCAACCCCATAAGCCCATTCCCATTCATTCTTTCCTTGAATTCTTCCCTTATTTATCCTCTCCTTGCGCTTTTTGTATTCTTTCATTTATCTCTATCGCGTTCATTCCATTCATTTTTAATTTTCTTACTGATTTTGGTGTTTCTTTTCTCCTCTTTTAAGACATTATTTTCCGAGTTCATTAGAATCGTCCTTTGCAGACCCCCAAGACCGAAATACTTCAACATCGATTTGATACACTAGATTAGGGGCCAAACCTCGTCATCTTTCTTCCCATATTATAGGCATTCAAAAATTGCCCAAACGTTTATTTGCTTCCCTTTAATTTTCACTTTCGTTTTCCCTTTCGCACACTCGCCATCCTCATATTCGCATCATGTCGCCAAGAGATAATTCCGCGCCTTTGCGACGACACCCCTCGCTGTCATCTCGCTCGAACACTCGAACTGCCGTACATCCTGCGCATCTTACCAAGGTCTATACTCTCGATAACTGGCGCGAGACCTCTCCGGCAGAGGCGTGCCTTGATGATGCTGCTTCGGCAGTAGAAGACGTTGAGCAGTTTTCAGGGGCCGTGCCCCGTCGCCGTACAGCCAAAAGCTTCTCAGGACTGCGCCATCCGATGGAGGGTCTTGTCGCTCTTGGTCGGCGCTTGTCTGTAACCCTTCGCAACAAGTCATCGAAGCACAATTTGCATCTCTACGGAGAGGAGAAGGAAGACGACTGTCGCAACCATTGTGTCCATTCCAACAACAAACGGCACACACCATCGGGTAGTTTGAGCACAAAGAAAAGCGCTTGGTATCATGGACATAGCATCAACCGCCGTCCATCTCTCCATAGCGTGTCTGCGTTACATAGCTTCTATGCGCCGACTGCGTCAGTTCTCGCCCCCATTCCGGGCTGTGGTTTGAAATCACCTATACTTCCTAACGATAAGCTCTCGGGTGCAGCAGCGCGTGCTGCTGCTGCTGCGGAAAATGAAAAGATAGAGCAGAGCAAGCTGGAGTTGAAGTTGAACAGACTCGACCTGACGCGGATGGAGCGGGACAAGACTTCTCCCAATGGACTGACCAAGGATTCCGAGAGTGGTATCGGCATTTATCTGCGAGATCGATCTGATCTTTCAGAAATTGAGTTGGATGTTGTGCGATGTGGTAGGATTCCTTGGTATCTGCGAGATTGGATGTTGATACTAATCGGAAACAATAGATCCTGCGTTATATCTTCCTTCTGAAATTATGGCTTTTACTCTTTCTTTATTGGACCCCGTGTCCTTGATGAATGCTGAGTCAGTTTCAAGATCGTGGAACCATGAAGCATCTTCCCGTCACGTTTGGAAGCATGTTTTCCGTTCTGCATACCCACGACGCTCAGTTAGCGCTACCGAAACCAAGAACAGACAATCCGCTGGTTTGGGAAAGAATATTCCCAATCAAGATTGGAAGAAGATGTTTCTTGTGCGACGGGCCCTCGATCTTCGTTGGAAAGAGGGTAAGGCTGCTGCAATCTACCTGTATGGCCACAAGGATAGCGTTTATTGCGCACAGTTTGACGAGTAAGTCTTAGTTAACTGTTATATTTGCACGTTCTAACCTTTTCTAGAAACAAAATTATCACTGGCTCTCGTGACCGAACCATTCGCATTTGGGATGCTCATTACCCTTGGTCTTGTCTTAAAGTTATCGGCCCACCCACAGATGATTCAGCAGACGTCCAAATGACCAACCCAACTCCACAAGCCACGGGGGTGTCTCCATTTCTAACTATCACTCCACCATCGGTTCCCTTAGGTGACATTATCACCCCTATGGAGTATCATAGCGCTTCAATCCTTTGCTTGAAGTTTGACGAGGAGATCATGGTGACCGGATCTTCGGACTTTAGTTGTATCGTATGGGATATCAAGGACAACTACCGTCCCATCCTCCGTCTCAAAGGTCACAGTCTTGGTGTCTTGGATGTGTGCTTTGATGACCGGTTCATCATTTCATGCTCTAAGGATAGCACAATCTGTGTATGGGATCGCAAGACTGGTGAGCTTCTGGAGCGGCTTACTGGTCACCGCGGGCCGGTAAATGCCGTACAACTGCGCGGTGACCTGATCGTGTCAGCGAGCGGAGACGGCGTGGTCAAGTTGTGGAACGTTATCTCTGGAACCTGCGTGAAGGAGTTCCCGAGTAAAGACCGTGGTCTTGCTTGTGTTGAGTTCAGCGACGATGGCCGAACTATCTTGACCGGTGGTAATGATCGTGCTATATACAAATTTGATGCGAACACCGGTGAAATGGTCAATGCACTCCGGGGCCACTCTCACTTGGTTCGGTCGCTTCATTTGGACACCATGAACAAGCGTATTGTGAGTGGCAGCTACGACATGAGTGTCAAGGTCTTTGACTCTGAGTCTGGAGAGTTATCCCTTGATCTCGCTGGGTGGACCACAAGTTGGATCCTTAATGTCCAGTCTGACTACCGACGCATTGTTGCTACTAGTCAAGACTCTCGGGCAGTCATTGTGGACTTTGGCTACGGCCTTGATGGCGTTGACCTCTTGGAGGAGTAAGTGTTGAGACCTTCTATTGTGACATGGATAGTGTACAATTGCATATTTTCATAGTTTATTAAGCGTTCTTGTTACTGGCAAATTGGTTGGCATTCTTTCTTATTAAGGAGTTCGGAACAAAACATGGGTCAAGGAGTGGATAGAACCAAATAAGGCTTTGACATGGACGGTTTCTAGTTATATCCTAGTTTATAAATTTACTCGCACAACACGCATTGCAATACATGTACTTAATTTTAGCATCATTTTCGTCGAAGTGTTGAAGTGGGCTTCAGTAACCTAAATAGAAGATATTGGAGCCTCAGGTGCCGTGATTATATAAGCTAATATGATTGGCCGATTCATCAACTAGCGCCACGGCGATACGTGGGTTTTAGCATCAAAACAAATCATCTGGTCATTTTGCATCAACGCAGATTAGGCACTGGCGAAGAAACCCTGACCTTGCAGTAAATTATCCACCCATCTTTATCTGCTCTCATCTCAACCTCAGTTCGATTTTTCCTTTTTCAACTCCGACCGCACTACCCCACCATGGGTGAATCCAGGTTCGGCTTTCCCCTCTACCCCCCTATTGACATTGGCATTCAACGCGACAAAGATGGTTCTCTAACGACAATATCTATCCAGACAAGAACTTCTGCAATGGTTGAACAACCTTCTGCAGTTGAACATTACCAAAATCGAGCAGTGTGGAACCGGGTATGGATGATCAACACGAATACAATACTGGGATCGCTATCAACTGACTGATCAATCGTGAATAGCGCTGCTCTATGCCAGGTTTTTGATTCGATTTTCAGTGAGTAAGACTTCGGCATCGCCCGAGTCCTGACTGGCTGTCAGCCAGTCCCTTTGAGAATAACCGTTACTGATGCGGGGAATCTTTTTTTTCTAGTGGACGTACCCATGTCCCGTGTCAAGTTCAACGTCAACTCCGAATACGCCTACCTCCAAAACTTCAAAGTTCTTCAGAGTACGTCCTCAACAGGCTATTCCCTCATTTCAGAAGTCCGCCAAACCGTTTTCCCCCCTGTCTAACATACCCCACATTTAGACGTTTTTGCCCGCCATGCCGTTGACAAGCCGATCCCCGTTCAATCCCTTTCAAAATGCCGCATGCAGGACAACCTTGAGTTCCTGCAGTGGGTCAAGCGATACTGGGACCAGCACTACCCGGGCGGTGACTACGATGCTGTAAGCCGACGGAAAGCGTCAGGCGCTCCTGGCGGTGGTGTTGCCCCGGCTGCGCGTGCTCCCTCTGCTGGATCCCGGCGTGGAGCGACCCCTACCACGACTGCAGCTCGGGGTCCCCGGGTTGCCGCGGCAGCAAGTGGACCTGCCACCGCTGCTCTGCAGCAGGAGATTGCGACACAGAAGGAGGCTATCAGCGGCCTGGAGAAAGAGCGAGACTTCTACTTCGCTAAACTACGTGATATTGAGCTGCTTCTGCAGAGTGCTATTGAGGCTGATCCCGAGTTGGAAAATGGTGATGATTCGCTGGTCAAGCACATCCAGGGTATCCTGTACTCCACTGAGGTGAGTTGTAGATATTTGCACTAATCATCACCGGTCATACTGACGAGGAACTAGGATGGCTTCGAGATCCCTGCCGAAGCAGAGGAAGGCTTGAATGAGGAACTGGAGACGTTTTAATTTTGAAACTAGTGTCTCAGTGGGTGAGAGAAAGAGAAATAAGCGCTCCCTTTACCAAATACCCCCAGTGCGGTCTTGATGTTTCATCTGGCAGAGAAGATGGAATTTGGCCTATTCCATGAACTAGTCAAGTACGTTACTAGTATTGCTTCTTATTAACTAGTACAAGTGAGTCCTTGCGGGAAGAGGATACTAATCACCATAATTAAACCTACGTAGAGTCTAGACCTAATCTAGTTTAGACTATTTATATCTACTCCACCTGTCAGTCGTATACCTTTTTGATTGGTTCATCATGCCGTGTACCTGCATCAATACCAGTGCGTGTTTGATGCAAGTTCTCTCCTCGCAGAGTCTGAACCCGTGGAACACAATGTAAACAATAGAACGCACTCAACTCCCCTTTTGATTTTCCATCTTCCCTTCTTCTTACATATTCACCATTTCCCCTCTTTGCAACTCTCCAAAAATAAAGATCAAAGATCATCTCCGGCCCCTCGGGCTAGTTCGTCACCGTGGGTCACCCAAACTTTTGATTAGGGGAAAAAAGTGTCTAGTCCGGTCTGGGTCTTGTCGTCCCACTCTCACTCTTTTCGCTCATTTCGCTTTGCTTTCGACTTTCTTTTAAATCTCACCCACCACGAGTCGAACTGGTTCGCCAATCTGAGTTCAGTGTGCTCATCGACTTCAACTGTCACACCTTCTCTTATTCAACTCCGCCTACTTTCTCCGTCCCAACGCTGGTATCGACTATCTTTTGAGGGAATTCCGTCGACATCGCTATGGACTAGGTCGCGATATCTGCCCCTCCATTGACCGGTTTTTCTCTCTCTTCTTTCACTCCTTAAATATCAAGTGAGATCTTTCTTGCCAATGATTGATGTAGACTGTCAATGGCAGCCCTATAAGGCGCCGCTATGTTGACATCTACTAACCTGCGAATATTTACAGATTTGAAACTTTCTGTCGAATGTTTATCCACACTCCTTTTGAAACCACTCGCCAGCGAACTCATCGCGACGTCCACTCCTTACCCACCCGATTTGTTCCCACTCTATCGTATTTCAAAACCAAGACTTTTGGAAGATCCATCTTATGAACTATCAGGCAAGATCCTGTCTTTCATTCCGTCTTCAATTATTCAACTGAATCCCGGATTTCTTTTTCCATCTCATTCTTGTGCTAGAATTGGTCGACCCAGTCCGAACCTCTGTGAGGAGTCACGAATACACTTCTGTACCCCGCCATCGTCGTCAATTGACGCGATGAGTCGCCATGGCCACCGCCATTCTCGATTTGCAAGGCTTGTCGAAAAGCACCAACACGAGGCAGTCGAGGATAGTGAAGGAGACGATACAGATGATAGCGAACCCAATATTCTCCGAGACGCTGAAACAAACCAGAAGATCATGCAAGCCCTGGTAGACCCACTTTTGACCGAAATTTGTGACCAAACTCACAATACGACATGTCCCCATGATGTACCAGCTGAAGACGAGGCGCAGCTTTTGAAACGGGAAGAAGCGGATTCCACCCAGGGCGTGGCGGCTGACTCTGTTCAGACCGTTGTGCAAGTGGTCGATGCAAACTCCCAGACTCTCTCTGCGTCCGTTGGCGCCGATTCTTCGATGACAGTTTCTAGTTCCACATCTGATGCTGATGTTCTTACAACTACGACCTTAAGTATAACTTCGCTGGAAAATTCGGTCGACTCATCGCTTACCACCTCGCCGACATCTTTCCCCGTGGCAACCTCTCCGGCTACACAAACCACCGCGCTCACTAGTAAAGTTGCTGCAGGCTCCCCGCCAAGGGCCTCCTCGCACACTTTCTTACCCACAACCTCGACACCTCTGGGCACCATATCAACCCCTACGTCGGGTAACAACTCGTCTGTTCATATACTTATTGGTACTTTTTCAAACGCCACATCCACCATCAATTATAATCCAACCCCCACATCGACTCCAACTTCTAGTTCCAGCTCCTCTGGCGACTATTATTTAATTTCCGGCACTCATTCCTCGGAAACAAATTTGTCTTCAGGTTCTGAGGAGACGAGTACCGCTAGCGGGACCGGGTCAGCACAAACCTCAAGCAACACGCAGATCGCACCAGTAGCCAGTACGACCAATGATTCTACTACTAGTACCCCGCAAATTGTGGGCGGTGTCGTTGGAGGCGTCGCGGGTCTGGCCGTGCTCTTTCTGTTCCTTTTGTTCTTATACCGCCGACGAACTCAGAAGGGTGGTACAGCGACTCTCCCATCTAGTGATGCTGGAACGTCACGAGAGATGGTGGAACACAATTCAAATCTGGATCACATGTATCGGTCTTCATACTTTGCGCCCGCATTTATGAAGCGCTGGCGGCAGTCAACCGCCACCACGGCCACGGATACTACATACGATTCAAATTCGAGTGAACGCGGATTTCAAAAGATCTCAGGACGTAAGATTCCTCCCGTCCTAACTCATGGAGGCGATGGTTATGGCGGCGGTGTCAGTACAGATGACGCCTCCAGCCTTCCTGACTTGTATGGTCTCTCTCCATTATCACCAGCTGGAGGACCCCTCTCCTCCCCGGTACACAATGGACCACCGCCCACTTCGCCATATGGAATTCCCTTGGATACCACCGTGACCCGAGAGGTAGACGAGCACCAAATCAAATTCATAAGGAATAAAGCTCAGATTCCTCCATCTGGCTCTGTCAACTCTAACTTTGCGAATACTATCACCCCAACTCATTCTTATCCCCAACCCCAGAGCGCACTACCCGACGGATTGGGCCGCAGTCTCGCCAGTCATGACGGAAGTCGTGGGAGTCGCTTCACGGAGAGTCTCGATCTTTAATCTATGACTCTCTTCCTCTATAAGATACGGGCTATGCGATACGAAAAACAAGTTAGCCGATGCCTTCATGCTCGGAAATGAACTAGGCTACGACTAATTTTGAGCGTTTTGATATTATTTCGGTGCTTCTCTTTTTTACTGGATCTTGAAACTTCACCCTTCAATTTTCTGCTGCTCATCGAGAGCTGTTTTTCTAAATGTTTCTCTCTTACTCTCCCTGACAAATGTCCTTTTACCCTGTCTTATCATCCACCCCATTTACTCTTCTACATAGATACCCCTTCTTCTTTCCCTCTTTTTTTCCCTTTCTTTCTTATTACCTTTTTTCTAACCTGGCGATTGTTGATATTTCCGTGTGCTATCATGGAGCCCTCAGCCGAGCAAGTAAGACCTGGATATCTCTAGAATATTTCATTAATTAAGTCTTCAATTAATATTTCCCCTGGTAGTTCATGACGCTATGGGTTGGCTAAATATATTTCCCGGTAGCCAGTACGAGGTGGATTTGAGGCTGCGCCCTCCTGTCTAGGTGACTAGCTAGGTACCGAATCAATATGTAACATTGTTTGGCTTTAATTTCTGACATATACAGCCTCAAAACACTGCCAAAATAGAATCCTGGAACCTTGGGCTGCTTGAATCTCACATGGATGTGCACTAAGCGGTCTAGAGCCCACGTGACCATGAGCTAATTTCAGCCACACTTCTGCGCCTTATCTTGATGTGGCTTGTGTTTCTATCTCGATCTTGATCTATTTAGCCTTAGTCCATAGTTATTAGTTTATTCCCTCTCCACTATGAAACTTTGGTTTACTTCGTATACCACGCGTCTTCCTGCCTGACTTTGCCTGATCAGAGTAGCTAGACTGGGATTTCATACGATAGCCAAATTGCTCAAAGCACATTCGGGCTCAGCTTGAAATAATCTGATGGCGCAAAGAAGAGGCCCTAGCAATGCAAGTGGCCAAAAACGCCGGGTTTCCGGTCCAACGAGTGATTTGATAAACCGCATGCCCCGATTTCGACTCTAATGACTCGTATGCCTGCCAAGAGCTTGGCCATGCTTACAGAACATCAAACAGCAAGGGTAAAGAATTGATTCTCGACGAAACTAAACCCTATTGAGCCGTGATACGCAGCTGGTTGAGCCCATGGGGCGATGCTAGAATCTGCTCACTACTAGGATCACCTGTCAGGAGCGTACGCGCCGGCCTGTTCGAATCAGAGGACTTCAATAACTTTTGGTCAGGTGGATTAGACTCTGAATCAGCTTATAATGAAGCCCTGGGCTTTGCTAAACGTATACAGAATATCCCACACCGCATTCTCTGCACCCATGTGACCTTAAACCTCATAATACTCTCGTGTGACTTGTTTCTGCTTTTAAGAGCACGTGACTGCATTGCCACACTTCTACGCCACATATGTGGCTGGTGGGCAGATTCATCAGCTGCAGAGATTCGGGATGAGTCCCAACCTCCGAAGTCCGAAGTCCCAAACGTTGGCTTATTGAAGGCGTTAATCTCTTACAACCGGACTCCGGGGTTAGCCCCTGCTGATTCTTTGTTCGTATTTATGGCTTATGTTAAATCTAGGACGTAAGCCAAGCATGACGGTTAATCCCCCTTACAATTTTATTACTTGTATACTGTAAAGTGTTTACCAGGTTTACTCTAGATACCAAAACGTGCTTTACAAACACTAAGGTTCAATATGATGATTATAACGTTTACCAGGTTCGCTTGTATCTCTGCTCGATCATTGGATTGTGGATTGAGGCGCAGCAATCAACCTTGAAGACCGGCGGCAACCACAATTTGATGTATCTAAACGGACATTGGACAGTTCAAGTGTGGACCCTTGGTTCTGGGGCCGATAACTGTATCCAGTGGGGAACATCTGGAACCGACAAAATAAAGCGCCTAACTAGTTTCAATAGCCTGTGTGAAATACCATTTACCGTATATCTTGAAATCTGAAGCCTGGGCGTATTAACAAGCAAGGTCCGAGTGAAGCTTAAATCACATTAGGTATCATTGTATCAATAATCGCCATTGAGGCTGTGCACCTGGGATTTCCTACTTCTTACTTTCGTGATTGCCACATACGACATCACTTAACATCCTATTCCGACCCATTAATGATCCAGTGGGTCAAACAATACACTCATAATCTTGGCATATTTTCCTAAAAAACTAGTGACATTTGCAAACTCAGTGAATGCTGGGCGGCCTCGGCATATATACTCAGCCTACTCTAGACGCCCAGTCCATAATCTTGGCTAAAACATTCAAGGGAATATCAGGACTTTACATCCCCCTGCCTTTTTTCAAACAGAAATCAGGGTACAGTACTACCCAACACTATAATAATCTGTCATTTTAAAATTGCATTGGTGCAGCGCAAATGGCTTCTTCACAATCCGATCAGTCTAAGCGCCCATATCTTGATCCTCTTGTGGTGACAGATACTTCTGGCAGAGAGGTAAAAAGCCCTGGAATTCACATTGGGCGCCAACTTGTTACTAACTTTTTTCCCCATCAGCGCTCTTTATCTGCCTCTTCTGCTGCTGTCTCTTCATCATGGTCTAATCCCACAGACTTGAATCATAGTCCGACGTCAACATCTCTTTCACCGGATATGGCTTGGAACCAAAATCAAGGCCATCTGACGGTGCATAATGCATCACATCGGCATTCTAGTTCCATTGATGGTGATACTTTACGTCCTCGTTCGAGCTCATACGCATCAACTGCGGAGACTATGATCCGCTCTAGGGCTAACTCCGAAACGGATCCCTCCCATGTTAAAGCAATCTACGATGATGTATCACTCAAAGATGCTCTGAACCCCGATCCTCGAGAAGAAGCTGATTTTCACATCGAGGATAATCGCTTTGCCTTTTCTCCGGGTCAGCTTAATAAGATGCAGAACCCCAAGTCTCTCGCGGCTTTCCACGCCCTTGGTGGCTTGCAGGGGTTGGAGCGTGGTCTACGAACGGACCTGAGTGCAGGTCTTTCTCCCGATGAAGGTCGATTGGCGGGTACAGTTGACTTTCAACAAGTTACTCCGCCATTATATGATAGGCGGTCTTCAATAATAAAGGCAGAATCAGAGCCCGGTCAGACAATAGCGCCATCACCACAACCACCACCATCTGGACATGGCTCGCCATTTGAGGATCGCATTCGTGTTTTCAGCCAGAATAAGTTGCCCGCTCGCAAGTCGACAGGCTTCTTCAAGCTTTTTTGGATTGCATATAACGACAAGATCATTATACTACTTACTGTTGCTGCAATTGTATCATTGTCATTGGGCATATATGAGACAGTGGATGGAGGAGGTTCAGGTGTGGACTGGGTGGAAGGAGTGGCTATCTGCGTTGCGATCTTGATCGTCACTGTTGTCACTGCTGCAAATGATTGGCAGAAGGAAAGACAGTTCGCTAAACTTAACAAGCGAGTAAGTATCTTAATTCAGCTCGCTACTATCGCTTACTAACCATTTCCAGAACGATGATAGAGAAGTCAAAGTCATCAGATCGGGAAAGTCCCTGCTGATATCAGTTTACGATGTCTTGGTCGGCGATATTCTGCACCTGGAGCCTGGTGATTCTGTCCCTGCTGATGGAATCCTAATCACTGGACATGGAGTAAAATGTGACGAGTCCTCAGCTACTGGCGAGTCAGATCAAATGAAAAAGACAAATGGCCATGAGGTATGGCAGCAGATTATCGAGGGCACCGCAACCAAAAGACTTGATCCGTTCTTGATATCTGGCAGCAAGGTTCTTGAAGGTGTCGGTACCTACCTAGTCACTAGCGTCGGTCCTTACTCAAGTTACGGCCGCATCATGATGTCGCTGCAAACTTCCGATGACCCGACACCACTCCAGGTGAAGCTGGGTCGTTTGGCTGATTGGATTGGATATCTTGGCTCGGCGTAAGTTTATATGACTTCATCTTACAACGTGGAAAGTACTAACAGTGATTCTCAGTGCTGCCATCATCTTATTCTTCGTCCTGCTGTTCCGATTTGTCGCCGACCTTCCACATCACCCTGACCGAAGTCCTGCCGTCAAGGGAAAGGAATTTGTAGATATCCTGATTGTTGCTGTGACTGTTATCGTTGTTGCCATTCCCGGTAAGTGACGTCACTTATGTCTAGATATCATAGTACCCAGAAGCTAACAAGTCTATAGAGGGTCTTCCTTTGGCTGTCACACTTGCCCTTGCGTTTGCTACCTCTCGCATGGTCAAGGAGAACAATCTGGTCCGTGTTCTCCGGGCCTGCGAGACAATGGGAAACGCTACTGTGATTTGCTCAGACAAGACTGGAACTTTGACTGAAAATAAAATGACGGTGGTCACTGGCACTTGGGGTTCGAAGGAGAGCTTTTCTCAGCTGTCTGAGACCAAAAATGGCATAGCATCACAACAAGCCTCTGAAGTCTTTCCGAGGCTGTCTGCCCCGGTTCGAGAACTGATTGTTAAAAGCGTTGCCCTGAACTCCACTGCTTTTGAGGATGAGAAAGATGGCCAGAAGCAATTTGTAGGAAGTAAGACCGAGGTCGCTCTCCTTCAATTGGCACAGACGTACCTGGGAATGGACCTGCCTTCGGAGCGTGGTTCTACTGAGATTGTCCAGCTCATCCCGTTCGACTCTGTGCGAAAGTGTATGGGCGTTGTTTACCGCAAGGCAGGCACTGGCTATCGCCTCCTCGTCAAAGGTGCCTCGGAGTTGATGGTGGACGCCTGCACTTCGCAAATTACCGATCTCGAGACAGGAAAAGAGAGAATCAATACAGATTCGCTTTCTGAAGAATCACGACAAGAGATTCTTAAGACCATCGACCAATATGCACAGGACTCTCTCCGAACTATCGGACTTGTCTATACAGACTTTACCGTCTGGCCTCCGAAGGGTGCCGAAAGACTAGAGGACGATGCGTCTCAAGCCAAATTCGACGATGTCTTCCGTGAAATGACCTGGGTTGGTGTCGTGGGAATTCAGGATCCTCTTCGACCTGAGGTTCCACCGGCCATTCGCAAGTGTCATTCTGCAGGAGTTCAAGTCAAGATGGTAACTGGAGACAACGTCGCAACGGCAACTGCAATTGCAACATCTTGTGGAATTAAGACAGAGGACGGCCTCGTTATGGAAGGTCCTAAGTTCCGACGACTATCCGACAAGGAAATGGATCAAGTAATACCCCGCCTGCAGGTTCTGGCACGTTCTTCACCGGAGGACAAGCGTATTCTTGTAGAACGATTGAAGATTCTCGGCGAAACAGTTGCTGTGACGGGTGATGGTACCAATGATGGACCTGCTCTGCGGACTGCAGATGTCGGTTTTTCTATGGGTATTGCTGGAACTGAAGTAGCCAAGGAGGCTAGCTCGATCATTCTTTTGGATGATAACTTCCGGTCCATTGTGACTGCGATCGCGTGGGGACGAGCTGTCAATGATGCCGTCGCTAAATTCTTGCAGTTTCAAGTCACTGTCAACATCACTGCTGTAATTCTGACATTCGTGTCTGCTGTGTACAGCAGCTCCAACAGCAGTGTTCTGAATGCAGTACAACTTCTCTGGGTGAACTTGATCATGGACACGTTCGCTGCTCTCGCTCTGGCTACGGACGCCCCGACAGAGAAGATCCTGGATCGGAAACCAGTAGCCAAGAGTGCGTCACTTTTCACATTGACCATGTGGAAGATGATCCTCGGACAGGCTGTTTACCAACTTGCCATAACCTTTATGCTCTACTTCGCAGGAGACAAGCTTCTCAACGCCCACCTCGCCAACAATGATCCAACCCTTCGAGCTAAACAGCTCTCTACAGTCGTCTTCAACACATTTGTGTGGATGCAAATCTTCAACGAGTTCAATAACCGACGCCTCGACAACAAGTTCAACATCTTTGAGGGCATGTTCCGGAACTACTGGTTCCTAACTATCAACGCCATCATGATTGGCGGACAGGTTATGATCGTCTACGTAGGCGGCCAGGCCTTTGGCGTGACTCGACTGAATGGCATCCTGTGGGCAGTTTGTTTGATCTGCGCTCTAGGTTGTCTACCTTGGGCTGTGGTACTCCGCCTAATTCCAGACCGTCATTTCGGTGTTGTCTTCAACGCTGTCGTCCGTGGTATGAGTGTTGTCATGAAGCCGCTGCTCAAGGCTTGGGAAATGCTTTCTCGCGGTATAAAGGCGGTCTTTCGACCAGTCACGCGATTTGCCCGTCGCGTTCTCTTCCGGGATGATACCAAGACTGATGATACCGCTGACAAAGTTGAGCTAAAGACTCCCGTCTCTGATGTAGAGGCCCCTGCTCCAGCCCCTGCTCCGGCCCCTGCTCCGGCCCAATTGGCTAAGCAGGAGAGCCATGAGCGACCTAAAACTCCGCCGACTATAACAGTGCCTCCGATCACTGTCACAAGCTCGCCCTAGGAGCTCTTGCACACGTATATAATTATGTTTAATGATGGATGGCTTTTGTGATAGAATTTTAGCATTATAGCGTTTGAGCCGTCCACCTGGGGTGGTTGTTATATAGATGAAATGAAATATGAAATTATATCAAAATTTAAAAGACATCGAAATAACCCGGGACAAAACAGATCCAAGCCCTTCAGCTCTAAAAGTTTTTGCCCTTGAAAGTTCGAGCTCGTAAGATCAACCGGTGAAATAATGGACCCACCGCATCGTAGATTTGATATCGAATTGAGAGCAGCAACCCTGGAACTCAAGGCAAAAAGGCACTGTTTGTTCTGTACCTATCCGGTGCGGTTAAGTGTAACCACTTGGGCAGCTTATCACTATACTATATGCCAAGCGGAACTGTCAGGATCTAAGATATTCACCGTACCAATCCCAGACTTACGGCGTCAAAAGACCGGATCTTACCGGAGATTAATAGGGCGCTGTGATACATACATAGGCAGGGTCTGAGGACTTATTAGCAAACCAAACTACCTAAATATCAATCTAGGGATAATCACAATTACCAACGTCTCCAAGTTGATATTTCCAAGATTCCCTTTACGGCTCCGGTCTCAGAAGATTGGCTTCATTGTGAAGATATCCAATAAAGTCTATGACCCCATGGCTTCTATAGTTTTAGAAGGTAGATCGTATAAGTAGACGTTATTTCAGTCAAGATTTATATATAGCAATCCAATCAATCATCTGTGACCGTGTAACTCTGATCTATCTGTACGATCTGTACTCCGTACTAGGTAGATGGTAGTTCACAACCGTGGAAGATGATTGAACCAATTTCCCACGAGGACGAACCTAGGGCCAGGGATTTCCAGTACGCTCCGAGGGTTCCAAGACTATCTATGTATCTAGGCAATAATATGTACAGCACCCCGGGCCGTCGTTGCTCAGATCTGAATTCCAAGTTTCGTCGGATTTTCCATTTTATTGGCAAGCGATCCCTATCACAGAGCCTCATGTTTTTGCTTTCAATTAGCATCAAGATGGGGGTATCAAAATTCTCCCTAGCGGAGTATCTAAAAGTTCTTCTCACTCTATTAGTTCTGTTCTCAAGTGTCTCCGGAAAGGCAGTCTTCGCTCACTTCATGGTATGGAGTATCCTTATTCAAATGTTGCTTACCCAGATATTCTCTATTGACACCTCACTGACTGCAGAATACTTTAGATGGCAAATTCAGCGCTATATGACACGTCAGATTGGAAAAATGACATGAAACTAGCTCAAGAAGCCCACATTGACGCATTCGCACTCAATATGGCATATGGAGTCAAAACAAATCAGAAAGCAGTTGCTGACGCTTTCGCTGCCGCCGAGAGTCTCAAGTTCCATCTTTTCTTCTCCTTCGACTACGACGGTAACGGGGCCTGGCCAAAAATGCAAGTTGCAGCTCTCTTAAAAAACTACTCTACTAGCTCTGCATATTATCGACACCATGGGAAGCCATTTACGTCCACGTTTGAAGGAACCAGCAACGCCGAAGACTGGGTTACAATCAAAAAAGAGATAGACTGCTTCTTTGTTCCTGACTGGTCTTCTGTCAAACCAGCTTCCGCACTTCAACTAGCAGGCGGCGTTGTTGATGGCTTGTTTTCCTGGGCAGCCTGGCCAGCGGCGGATTCCAGAAGGATGAACACCTACGCTGATGCGTCATATATTCAGAGTCTCAAACAAGCCAATAAATCATATATGATGCCTGCTTCGCCATGGTTCTACACAAATATGCCGAAGTATAAGAAAAACTGGGCCAGTCATGGTGACGACCTGTGGTATGACCGTTGGGTGGAGATAGCCTTTTTGGAGCCCGAGTGGGTGGAGATCATTTCCTGGAACGACTATGGCGAGTCTCATTATATCGGCCCGCTAAACGAAAAAGGCTACGGTGTATTCATTGCTGGCAAGGCACCGTTCAACTATGCACGAGACATGCCACACGATGGTTGGCGGGCTCAGCTTCCCTATGTGATCGATCTATACAAGGCAGGGAAGGCATCTATTACGGAGGAAAGTCTGGTTGTTTGGTACCGCACACAACCTCTTGTCTCCTGTGCTAACGGAAACACATCTAACTTTACACCGAGTCAGCTGCAAACTGGGTTCGACGTTGGTACATGGTTTGCAGATAAGATATTTTTCTCTGCACTGTTGACCTCCAATGCTTCTGTTGCCGTGAGCATTGGCGGTATCAAAAACAATGCCAAATGGGAATATGAGCCTGACGGCGGAGTTGGCATCTACCATGGGAGTTTTGACTTTGATTCAAAAACTCTTGGAAAAACTGTTGTCATAATCTCGCGAGATGATCAGGAATCAATGCGTCTTCAAGGTAACCCCCTCTCTACTGTCTGCTCGGGTGGTCTTGCCAATTACAATGCATGGGTTGGAAGTTCTCTGTCTGGAAAAGTGATTGAGCCGGTCTCACCGAAGCTCTCTCTATCACAGGAAGTCTGTATCGAAGGTTTCGGATACTCGAATTTCACAGACCTTTGCCAGTTCACTTGCAAGTACGGTTACTGCCCACTTGGGACGTGTTACTGTACTGCCATGGGAAAGTCAAAGAAGAAGCCCCGTGCATCTTATGAGAAGGGTGAGCCCAAACATGGTGACACAACTTTCACAGGATTATGCTCTTTTGCGTGCTACTGGGGATTTTGTCCTGACTCGTATTGCTCTGGAAATGGAACTTATCCGGCTCCTACAGCGACTACTAGGCCTAAGAATAGTGGTGGACAGATTCAGATCCCTTTACTATTTCGTCATCCAGTCATGGGGGCTTTCTTCTTGGTTTGTGCTGGTGTCTTTGGGGGAGAACTATGGGATGTGCTCTCTTGGTTATGATATAAATTTAACTAGAACCAATGATGATGGTCATGCTTTTAAGATTTATGAAGCTGCGAGTAATAGGAGAGTTTACTTTCAAGCACTGCATCAAATAGATTACCAATATGTGCCACTGCCAGTGTAAAATAGTAAGACATCAAGTTATTACACCTAGTCAGCCCTAGTTCAAATTTTAATGTCTCTGAAATATCCGCAACTCCCACCATAGCACCATATTGTCCACGCTTGGAATGACAGGAGAAAAGTGTGGCTTTCCAGGCTGCTCAGTCATCACTTGAGATTCAAATCCAATGTGGTTCATTTCTTAATCTTCAAAACTTATAGAGTAGGAAAGCTTAATCATTTATGCCTCAGGCAGCAATAGACCTCCACCACTAGCTCCGCCTTCCCCCCAAGTCACCATTAATCCACCCAATTGACCCCCCTTTAAACTCACCTCACCAATTCCTTATAGTCATTGGATTCTGAAGATATATTCTTCTTTTTCCTTTTCACTCCAACCTCTCTCCATATTCTCCCATCGAGTGTCACCCGGGACCCTTTCCTCTGTCCCCGATCTCCCCGCTTTCCGCCCACCGTAGCGACATAACCCAAACACGTCCGCCTCGACAACCTGTCTCTGCCACTCTTCCTAGCTCTAAGCCCTTGAAATCAAAGTTAGACTACAAATAGAGGCTCCAAATTGGTTTTCTAAGCCTTCAAATCCATAACAAGAACAACCCCGCCACTATGTCGCAAATCAATTACCGCACCATCAATATCGACCAGCTCGACCCGGAGTCGTCGGTCAATTTCCCTATGGAAACCCTCATTCCTGCCACTGTGCCTCAACCTGCGAGCTCTAGCGATGCTGCCAATGTCGCCGGCCAGGTGCGCCAGTTGCTGCGCAGCGGCGACACAGAAGGCGCGCTGCGCCATGTTTTGGACACAGCGCCGCTAGGCGGTGATGACCGTGCTAAGGAGGTGCATCTGGCAACTGTAACTGAAGTGCTACAGGGTATCCGACAGGGAGAGATGACTCGGGTACTGGAGGGTGTCTGTGGCTCGGATGGTGGATCAGAGCGGGCAGACTGCTTGATGAAGTATCTGTAGGTCTTATTCGTTATATGCATTTTACGACCGATGTCAGGGCCGTGCTAATTTCATCCAGCTACAAGGGAATGACAGGGACCACCCCTGGTAGCGCTGCCCAGAGCAAGAACGTCTCCCCCAGACTACAGGATTCTCGCAGGTCCAGGCCCGGAACCTCGGCGAAGGCGGCGGTGGTCAGCAGATGAGCGTGCTGCTTAACTGGCACGAGAAGCTAGTGGAATTAACAGGGACTGGATCGATTGTGCGGGTTATGACCGACCGCCGGACGGTTTAAGTGGAAAGAATGCGCGGTGATCTCCTTTTTCTTTTTTCTTTAAGAGGTTCGATTGCATTTCATGTTTTCTTTTTGTGGACAATCCTCCTCTTTGCTCAGCGTAGTGGTTTTACATTTGATATACTAAAAAAATCATATTGGAATTCCTTCCCAACTTCGTCCTATACATAATCTTCTTCTTCACGGCCTTTGGAAATTGCTATCTCCCAGGATATCTTGCAGGTTTATATCAGCACTACCACGTGCTAGCGGCTGCCTCTGAGTTTCACTCTCCTTCCATCCGATCATAAATATCATCCGGAATGTTGCTGGGATGCCTGGCGCACCGTCCTCCATATGCATAGCCCGGTAAATAGCCTCGTTGGCTAGTAGTACATCGCGAGATAAGGGACCGGCCTCGCGGTGCAAAATGGCATTGCTTTCGCCCATAGCCTGTAGGTCTTTCATCAGAGCAAAAGTATCTGGGAACTCAACCACGATATCCTCGACATCGACAGTCAGCATCTTGAAACCGGCTCGGTTCAGTAGGCCTCCGATATCCTTCACGTCCGCTAGTGGAGATATATGGGGGCTCACTCCACCGCGCCGCTCTTGGTCCGCCAGCTGCAATGATCCCCGCAGCTCGAATAAGGTGTCCCCGCCGAACATCGCTGCAATAAATGGGGCATCCGGCTTCAAGATTGTGTTGACTTGGCTTAGCAAAGCGGGGAGATCATTGATCCAATGCATCGATAGCGAGGATACCACAGCGTCAAATGTATTTGGCTCGTAGGGTAGCGTCTCCATATCTGGAATGACATCCCTTTGGATATCGATCTCCTTATTGAAGGGGAGCTCTTCATCCCGGTGAAGCAGTGCCCGTGAATTCTCAACGCAAGTAATTTTCGAGATCCGCTCTGCAAGTGGTGGCGTAGATGTGCCCTCCGGTACTGCCGAGTCGATGTCTGGCATTGTCATTGTTCGTGCGATATTGCAACTGTTTGCGCCGAGGTCAAGAATATGGGGGAATTTGCGCTTGATATCCTATTCAATAACAGAGTTAGTATTGAGCTTCGATTAGCCTATCTGACGGTGCTATCCCTGTCTTGTAGAAGTTTCTTACCAGCAACCGATCGCATAACCGCATTGCCATTTCGTCCTTCAAGTAGTCGACTCTCCGGCTCTGTTCGACATTTTGGGCTGCGCGCTCCTTTTGTAGTTGCTTGGTCTTCCGATTGAAGACTTCCATCGTGGGATTGCCTGGAGTCTGGCTAGCATATGTCCGAACCATCCACGACGTAGGGAGACATCGCCGCGGAAGATTGGTGCGAGTCGTGTGGAGAGAAATCATGGTATATTTATTGAGTAACTGTGTATGTGTGTAATTTTTGTCAATATTTAGGCCATTGTTCTTGTTGAGTGTTGGGCGTGAGGTTGAGGCTAAAGTTGGAAATTGAAGGCCATCGGATCTTAAATTTTGTTCTGACGTCGATTGTTGATGAGGGATCCCCGAAGCTCAACCTCCGCGCCGGTTCGTGCATTGCCCCACGCTCACTGTTGGACACTAACCAGGGCTTATGTGCCTGGTATCTTTTGAATCTCAGATCATTGAAAACTGAAGACGTCAAGACCAGTTAGCCTCGTGTCTGTGGTACGTTCTCATGTCACGAACTCACCCCCGTGAAGCGCCCGCCAAGCGGATAGAACACGCGCATATTGATACTCGACGCAGGTACAATAACATAAAGTTACCTTCCAGACAAACTCGTCGCTGATCAATTTACCCTTATATCGAAGGGATAAATCGAAGGAATAACGCCGCCGATAAAGCATGACTTGACAGACCAAACCTCATTCCGATCAAGCGCGACTTTATTAATCGCCTTCCTCAACCCAACACAAGATGTCTCGCCCGTTTCCTTACACCTACATCTCCTGTCCTTGTGCCGATACTCCAGTCCCAGACCCGGCCAGGAGACGAAGATCGAGGGAAACTCCCCGGAAATCAACGACCCCCGAGCGGGCATATAATACCAATGAAGAAAAGCCCGAGCTGAAAGAGCAAGATCATGATAGCGACGACGAAGAAGACCAGACATTTGATCCCCGATATCCAAGATCCAATTTTTCGCTTTATCCTCCCGAGCAGCTGCTGTACTGCGAGGATTGCCACCAGATCAAATGCCCTCGATGCATAACCGAAGAAATCGTCAGCTGGTATTGTCCAAGCTGTCTATTTGAGACCCCGAGCAGCATGGTGAAAAGTGATGGTAATAGGTAAGTAACAAAATGTTGACCTTATCTATGGCAGACGAAGATTGCTAAAAGTGTCTAGATGCGGCCGAAATTGCTTCAACTGTCCTGTCTGCACCGCTCCACTAGCTGTAAACTCCATCGAGAATGTTGTAGGCAATGGCAGCAAGCAAGGGCCGTGGGTACTATCCTGCGGGTACTGCCTGTGGACAACGCTCGATATTGGCATCAAATTCGATAAGCCAACCAACATTCGTAACCAGTTGCAAAAGATGACAGATACAACCGCTCCAATTACTTTTGATACACGATCGAGGCAGGCGTCCCGCACCTTTGGCGATCTCAAGTCACCCTTATCCACTCTTGCCTCAGTCGACGAACAATCCAATGCACTCGATGACAGTGAAGATCCAGCCACAAAGGAAGAGCCAGCCATGGGCCCTGCAAATACAGATGCCCGATTTGCAGCACTGAAATCCTTCTACCGCAATCAAATATCAGAAACATCAACATCTCCCAGCGATCCACTATCCGACTTTGGATTTTCCTCCCCAGGAGCCCTGAACAGGTTGATGTCTCTCTACGCATCCTCATCCAGACTAAGCGGACTTTACGGTAGTAGCAAAAAACCCAAATCAAAGCCGCCAGTAATGCGCGAGGCCCTCACAGCCAGTGAGGGTCTTTGCATAGCCCCCGAAAACGGCGACATCGCCGTGATCGAGCGACTCAATTCTCCAGACGGCGGCTGGGAAGCCGTGGCATCGATCAACCAGCGCGCAGAACAATCTCCAGACGTGCGCTTCGTCGACGAACTGCTCCCGCTACCAGTCCTTCTACGCACGAAGCGTGCCAAGCGCTGCAAGTCTTGCAAGCACATTCTTGTGAAACCCGAGAATAAACCACAGTCTACACGTTTCCGTATTCGTCTTATTGCCCTAAGCTACGTTCCCCTCCCAACTCTACGGGCTCTCGCCCTCCCGACCTCGTCGGCTATGCCCTCGCCTCCACCACCAGATCTCTATGCGCTAAATCCACTCAAACCTATTCTCGTTCTTCTCACGCTGAAGAACCACATGTTTGATCCAGTCCGAATTACCCTCGCCACACCATCTGTAACACCAGGTCGTGTTGCCAGCAAAGTTACCGTGCTCTGTCCACAATTCGAGATCGGTGCTAACAGCGACGTGTGGGACGAGGCGCTGCAGGGTGCTTCTGCTCCCATAACTAGTGGCGGAGTGCGTTCCAATGAGAAGGTAGCTGAAGCTGGTAAAGTCTGGGACAAGGGCCGCAATTGGACGACTGTTGTGCTGGAGGTTGTGCCAGGATTTTTACCTGGGTCCGAAGAGGGTGAAGGTGCCGAGGTTGCTGGTGATGATACTCTGCGCCAGGATGAGGATGTTTTGGAAATTCCTGTCTTTGTCCATATGGAGTGGGATGCGGAGGCGCAACTTGAACAGAATGTGGACAAGTCGTCGAAAGATAATATGGTTTCCAGGGAATTGGCTTACTGGATGGTCCTTGGGGTTGGTCAGATTGTACCTTCACTGTGATTTTTAATCTTGTTATATGCTTCTTTTTCTCTCTTCCATACCCCGTCGTTGCACATACATTTTTACTTTCAAATGCTATCCTTTTCACAAGTCATTAATCAGTGTAGAGTCTAGAAGGGCCATCACCCTCTGGCCACGTAGGTAAAAGCCAGGTCCAGCTTGATCATTAAGCTCCATTCCATCTATATCAATTCCACGTCAAATGCTACGGCACCTTGAAAATCAGAAATGATAAATTGGAAGAGTATTATCCCATCCATTCTGATTAAAAGGAGAATAAAGCGACCCGGGATGGAATTCAGCCTCATTACCTCAAACCAGAACCAGAACCATAGCCAAATCAATGAAAAAGGGAGTAAAATGGTAGGGGAATATCAGGATAAATTGAAGAAAACCCGTGAATGCATTTTTTGGTTCTTTCAGCCATTATGCTCTCTCTTGAATCTAGTGAGTTTCAAAGCCTAGAAACAAGTAATCCCATAAACACAACGACATCATTCCCTTTCCCTCATAAAAACCAGACAACTGAGAATTTAGTACTCGGCGCCGCTCTGGGGGAACTCGAACACGACGGAACGGCCCGTCAACCGACGGTAGACCTCGCCGTAGGCATCGAGACGGTGGTCGACACCGCCCTTCTCCTTCTCGTCCAGGACAACCTTCAGGGTCTTGCTGCCATCTTCCTTGGTGCGGATGCGCTTGCCAACGATCTCAACCGGGTAGACGAGGTCGGTGAGGATAGCCTCGTGCACAGCGGTCAGAGTGCGGGAGCGGGGGCGCTTCTGGGTCTGGGTGGAGCGGGAGTTGACGGAGCGCTTGGGGCGGGGCAGGATGCGGCGCTGAGCAACGAAGAGGACGTGGCGGTCAGAGAACTTCTTCTCGAGCTCACGGGTCAGGCTGTAGTTAATATGTTAGTCCGTGATTCATTCTTGGACGGTCCGCATATTTCAATGGCGCAGGACTGAAGCCGGTGCTTTGAATGGCGAATCTTACCGCTGCTGGATCTTGTGGAAGCCCTGGAGGAGAGGGACAGGGACGAAGATAACGATGGCCTTCTTGCCGTGGCCGACCTCAACCTATCGTACAATAATAAATGTTAGACCATGAGTTCTTCAAATCAAGAGCCTGCGCACAAAAGTTCCAGGTGGAAAAAAAAATCGATATCCTCCGGAATTGACGTTGACGATGCTTCTTGTTGAGTTGATCCCTTTCAATGTACCACATTACATGTGCTACAACTATGAGATGTGCTGCGATAGGAGTGGCAAAGTGTTGAGACTTGTCCACAATATCCACAAATCATAAATTCCACCTCTTCCGTTCCGATGACACCAAAAGAAAGCATAGTCGACGCGATTCACCGAAGATTTCGATAGCGGAATAATTGCGATTCTTACCTCACGGGCAGAGACGAACTGCAAGGGGCGCAGGTTGGCCTTGAGGTCCTGTGTGTTGCTCTCGAGGTCGAAAAGAGCGCCGGCAATCGCGTTCTCGAGCTCGGAGGGGCTCTGCCGGGAGGGCGAGTTGAGAGCAATCTTGTTGATGGCAGCCATGATTGCGAGCGACGAGGTGCTGCGGTAGTGCTGGTTGAGGTGGTCGGCGGAGGGGAGGTGATCTCGAGAACCAGATGTGAATTTGCTGTGGGCTTCGCTTGGGTAATAAAAGTGGGTCTTCCTGAGTCAGCGTTTTCATTTTAGGTTTAGCTTAGGGCTGGGTTGTCCCGTGACTAGCTTACCTTTGATTGGCCGAATATATACCCCATACTACGGAGTTCAGTTAGCTTATTCCATATGCCACCAGGAATGCCTTTCGAGTACTAATAGTTACTTGGTATTTCTAAACTTTTTTCTGAGCAGGATTCTAAATTGAGCTGTATGGATGGAATGTAATATGGCACAATGGGACAAAAAACTCATAAAAGGCCTGTATTGCCATGGGTAACTCAATACAAGAGGCACAATGATAAGAACAGTAATAGGGGAAACGCCTGTGCCCGTGCAAGTCGCAAGGTAATTGAGTATCAAGACCAAAAACATTAAAAGCATTGCGAGTTAACAGGCACAGCCCTCCTTGGCTGTCGCAGCATTACGATCGCCCAGATTCACTCGAGAGTCCTCTGCAGAGCGGCTTCCTAGTGCAGATTGACCAGCACCTGCGGCACCCCGGCCAGTCTTCAGGCTGCTCTCTGGTATGGCATTCGCAATGGCAGTAAAGACATCTACCACATTAGTTCCAGTTTTCGCACTAGTCTCGAAGAACAACAGGCCCTCCTCTTCCGCATATGAGGTTGCTTCGCGGGTCGAAACCTTGCGCGCATCGCCAGAATCTTGCTCCTCATTTTCCTCGCCGACTGCCTCGTCCCCGTCGGGTCCAGCCGACTCGGGTTCTCCTTCAGAAGCGGGACCAGAGGCATCACCGCTGTTGGTCAAGTCCAGCTTATTACCGACGAGAGCGATGACAATACCGGGACTTGCCTGGCGCTGGAGCTCAGCTACCCAGTGCTTCGCCTTAATAAGCGAGGAAGGCTTGGTGACATCGTAAACCACAAGTGCGGCTTGCGCATTACGGTAGTACATCGGGGCAAGCGACGCAAAGCGCTCTTGGCCGGCCGTATCCCAAATCTCAAACTTGATTGTACGCGTAGGAAGCGAGCATTTCTGTGTCAAAAAAGCAGCTGTATTGTGACGTTAGCGTATTGTTTCATATAGTATTTTGGTAGGTAGAATTATTATGGCATATAGGGGTAGGGGGCTGAAGGATGATGTCTCATCTGGATGGATTGCCCCAAAATAGTACTCGACTCTCACTTCAAGGGTGGTTTGTCCAGCAAAATACGGAGCAAGGTAGTACTAATTTATCGGGGGCGCTCGGGCGATTGAAGAGGGTGGGGAGGGGGGATATGTTAATGCTTACCGCCAATAGTGGGTTCTTTATTCTCCTGGAAATCATTGTTGACAAATCGAAGGACAAGAGAAGACTATAAGCGAAGAGAATAATATCAGCTACAGATTCGCAACATGGTGGAAGGACGAATGTACCTTGCCCACAGCAGCCTCTCCCAACAACACGAGCTTGACACTGCTGCTCGGCTTCGGAGCGTTTGAATTAACCTGGTCGGACATGGCTGAGACCTAGGGAGCTGGGATGAGGCAATAGAGAAAGATAGCTCGTTAGGCCGTCGTGCAGCAGGCGACGCCTGTCAAATAATTTACGATCAGGCAGAAGGCTGAGCTGGCAAAATCAGCTGAGACTAGTATTTGGGTCAACTGTCTTGGGGCTTGTAAGACAGAAGTTTAGATCGAAATATATGATGTGGGGTTCTCGTGATGGGCGTGATGTAGAAAAAAAGATGTCAAGAGGGTCGCAATGCAACGGAAGTGCTGGGGTTCGTGGTCGATGATGTTGTTCCCGAATGTAGTTTAGCGCCAAACAACATATCCGGAGTCACGGGATTGCGAAGTACATAGAGGAAGAACATAGGAAGATTAGAATATGAATGTTTATTGACTTTGTTCTCATTTAGAATTTCATATGCTGAACGGTTAGGCTAGCCATCTAGTATCTGATTCTAGCCTTTTCCCCTTTTCCAAAAGTTACGAATCATTATCCAATGTATCGTATACTCCCATGTTCTTATAGGACCGTACTGTCAATCAGTTTTAAAGGAAAAACCATTAAAGATATACCTAAGTAATCTTACGTCGTATCCGTATCGAGAGTTATAATACAAATCGCAGAATCTAATCAAAAGCAGTGCTTATATTCCAAACCTTGTTCCTGCGCAAAGGTACTATTTAGGTAGTGCCCGATTATGCAAATTGATCTCGGGCGCCAGTGCCCCAGTGAAGCCCTAGTCAGGCTCGGGATCTACCGATGCATTGGCAGGACCATCAAAAACCAGACCGGCGGTTCCTGGATCGGCATTAGTCTCTAAGCAAATCTGCCCGACAAGTCTCGGAGATTCAGTGTTGGCATAATTACTTTTTCCAATGAACCTCAACGAACCTAAACCTAAACCTCAATGAACAAGGGTCAGGGTCTAGACCGAAGGCAAAGAGTGGAAAAAGTGACAAGTATTAAAACCAGGCGCTTCTCATTTGATGGCGCAAAAAGGTATGATACAAACAGGTACATACATACAAATACACAGGAAGAACTCAAGTCCCAAAATAGAAATTAGCAAACGTGCTAATATTGACCATGAGGTCGGAAGATGTTCTTGTAGTATCAGTCCATGCTCATGCAAAAAATTCCGTTCCGTCTATGCCATAACGCCGTGTAAAAAAAGAAAATAAGAAAACAGAGAGAGCCAGATAACCAGAGATGAAGAGTTGGTGAGAAATCGAGAAAGAAAAGAAAAAGCAACACTTTTGAGAGATTAAAAGATGATTGTCCCAGTAGTCGTGTCAGGTGGAAGTAGATGAGTGTATGTCGGATTAAAATCATAAGGTGGGATGTCGAGATTAGGAATGGTACATATGCCGAAGTCTGGAGGAAATCGAAGTTGTCGCTGAAATCCGAGACCGATACAGAAAAGGATTATAAAAGGGTATAAGTCGAGCTCATTGTCGTTGACAGAAAAAACAAAGCGAGATTATGACAGATAGGCAAAAAGGGTGCCAAAATGGTGATACAACTGTCTAGGGACTGTTAGTTTTGATGCCCAAAACGAGGCTTAGGGTAAAGCATACCGAAATAAAGAGATAAAAAACGTGCGCAAAACTCCGAGTGTGTAGACGTCAAACCCCCAGCAACCATTGGTACCAGGCAAAGTATCGCTGACAAGTATGCGGATAAAGGGTATCATCAATTATTTGGGAGGAGGTGGAGGAGCGCCAGGCTTCTTGACACCAGTTGTGTCATAGGCTCCTCGTCCCATGTTGAAGGCCGAAAGATCTTGAAGGATCATGTTAAGATCTTTTGAGGAAGTCATGTTAGGACAAGAGCAAAAAAGATGGAGTAAGGTGATTGCGTTGTTGTATGTGCAATTGAACCCTTGGATGAGAAAAACTGACCAGATGAAGACGACGAATGGATCATTATATAGTTATTTTGAGAAAATGAGCTCAAGGCAAACTTTCCAAATCCAACCCCAGTAGCAAAAAAAAAAAAAAAATTCGAAAATCGAAAATTGGAAAAGGCCAGGATTGTCTAGTCAAGGATGGACGGAAGACGATGGGTCCAACTGCAGTCAAGATCGGAAGAGCAGCTTTTTAAAGATGACCACTAGGACAGTGCGGACGCCAGCAGATTAGGGCAGGAATGTTGAAGACAGGACAAAGGATTCGATTTGACAGGTTCGTTTTTGGAATCGGAGGTTGCAAGGTTGCTTTTTATTTGAAATCCACAAGTTTAAAAAGCCAAAAGATTCAAACTGATAAGACTGAGGTTGGCTGTAGAATCAGGTCCATAAAAATTGCGATCTGAACCAGAAATAACGGCAGAAGGGATAGGCTTAGTTCGGCAAGGGAGAAGAACCCTAGAAAGGAGAAAAGTGCGGAAGTTTGGTCCGGTAGATCCGGATTGAAGAGAGAAGAAAGGGAGGAACGAGGAGAAGAACTTGAAAGGGCTGAGAATTGAAGGTATGTCGAGGAGAGATATGTTCTAATAAATACAAGCCTAAGGGGGAATATTGGTTAGATATAGTGAGTAAACCCAAAATTAAAATGGAATAGCAAAAATAAAAATCAAATAAATGAAAAAAGGATTAAATGATTATAGAGCTAAGTCAAACACAAAATGCCTAAATCTAAAAAATATCTTAAAAACCAATTTAAAAAATAAATACAAAATACCTAATCGAAATATACGGTAACTTACAAGGATCCATATTTGTGGTTGTTGTAGCGGCTTTCCCTCCCGTCTTTAGCCCCCGGGGAACAGGGTAATCAGCCCCTGTCTACACATGTATGTTACAACGTCTTCATCACATACATTCAGATCCAATAGATCTGTGAATTAATCTATTCAAATCCAACTTGTCACTTTTCAGCATCAGATACAAAAGTACCTACAGATGGAAATACACAGCTCGATTTGATACAGTATACAACTCCACTTTCAGGGGAAACAAAAAGCCAGGAACCAAATCTCCGGGCGAAGCCTGCATGAGTGGAGTAGACGGTAACAGCCTCAGGAACAAACGGATCCATCCGAGAACATGGATTTACCAGACATAGGGACCTCGGGACTTTTAGAGTACACTTAGACTCGGATGGATCATATCTACCTACTGTATGCGGAGTAGACTGAGGACCTTCCTCTCTCATATGGACTAGAAAGTACAAGTCTAAACCCATGATGATGTCAAGTAACTCACACTCGGTACTGACCTAGAGGATGGGGGGGGGGGGGGGGGGGGTATGATGACCTAACATATGACTCCGGGATAGTTTATTCCTAACTCCTCTTCCTAAGCTCACTACGGATATACTCCATAGGTTCGTTCCTGTTAATTCCAATTTAGTCAATCAAGACCAGATGTTCAACCTTCAAGGTAGTCTTCCGTGCAATCAACGTCGACATTCACTTGAATGAACCCTTTCTAGCTTCTAGTCTCGGGAACTTTTCGTCAGCAAATCAGCTTTCCCCAAGGCCTTTTACCATTTTAGCCCCGTCTCATCACGAGAAACATGTTCAAGCTGGGCCAATAGATCTGACACCTACCATTTGTGTCATATTATGCCGAACCGTCTTCCATTCCACGTTCTCTTTCTCCATGTATCTTCGATCGATCACAGTATGATGTTCGTAGAATACACAACTTCTTACAGCCCCATCATAGGGGGTGGGCCTAAGCCCCATACGAATCGAAGTCAAAATCAGACTTCTGCCGGTCTCGGTTACGTGTAAACATTCTTTTCACCTTCTAGCCTTTCTAGTCTCCCCGGGGGTTGGGTCCCTAATATCCACCGGAAATTCTCTAAATATTCTGGAATTCCTTTATTTTCTGTATTTCACCCCTAAAACCGAAACTTATTCTGTATCCCCGTGCTCCACCCCCAGTCTATAATCTATTACTCTGTATGGTGAAGCAACTTTCTTGCGTCAACCTTTGCCACCTGGCTTCACTTGTCATTTCTCCGACTTCACCCCTTTTACATGGAAAATCAAGCTAGACAATCCTTTCAAAGGCTCAATTTAGCCCCTTACAATTCAAACATGTTTCAGCCCGGTTCCAGTAACCAGTTCAATGGTTCAGGAATTATGTAGTATACTGGTGGACTAATGATGTTCCGTATATATAAACCGTTGACGTTAGCGAAACTTCGGGCGGATAAAGTCAGGTAGAGGATTTTTTTTAGTCCCGGAGTGTGTCCCTCTGTCTCCTGTTGTCATCTCCATATTTTCTATCCAACCTGATTGGTACCGGGGCTTTAAAGACAGGAATGATCCTCTTGTGGGTCATAAAGACGGGAGCCTGGTATTTACCGTGCATTAGTGACCCGTGTCGGGAAGAAGATGACCTTGTACAAGATAGAGTGATGTGTTCAGTACCTCTAAAGAGAGGCTAGTTTCAATTGACAATCTGCGTGTCAAAATCAGAAAGGATGAAAGGATTCAAATAGGAGTACTCTTCAGACCCATACCAGGTCATCGGCTTATTGATGAAAGACTTGGACTTCATCACGCTAAGCTAAGCTAACTACTCATTGCGCTAACTACAGGTCTGAAACACTCCAATTTATTCCGGTTTCCCCGATACATTGGGAGAACCTAGGTATTGGTATAATGGTTCCAATATAGTTAAACTAGGTTTTATTTCACCTGACGATCCTATCGCCACAGATTCCAAGGTTGCTAACTACGTGTTCCTGAGTCTCCAGACTTCGGCTTGATGCATTAGTTCGTGAACAAGGTTTAGCATGAACTATTTCTCTTCTACCAGACCTACTTCTTAGGCGGCTAGTTACTAAGTACTAGTTACACCTACCTAGGAAGGTAGTAAGTCAATGCCAACACTTCTATACTCCGTACTTAGTACTTACTCCTGCATATGCCATGCAAAGCCTACCGTGTGGCGCCCGCAGGGAACAGGGGCCAAAGATCGGAACAAAAACAGCATTAACATATAAAAAAAAAAGGGAAAAAGAAAAAGATCTTCTGAGTCAGATACCTTGCA